GTTCGGGATTGGGAACAGCCGACTACTGTCAAGGGAGTCCAATCGTTCCTTGGCTTCTGCAACTTCTATCGACGCTTCGTTCGCGAATACGGTCGAACAGCGCGCCCACTAAACAACCTCACAAGGAAAGACGTACCATTTGACTGGAATGCGGATTGCCAGTGTGCCTTCGAGGAGCTGAAAGACCGGCTACTTAACGCGCCTGTTTTAGCCCATTTCTCTCACGACAAGCCAACCCGCGTCGAAACCGACGCGTCACAGGGAGTGGTAGCAGGCGTACTTACCCAGCAACAGCCGGACGGCGAATGGCATCCTATCGCCTTTTTCTCAGAGACAATGCACGGCGCGGAACACAACTACCATATCCATGACAAGGAACTCCTGGCGGTGATCCGCGCGCTGCAGTGCTGGCGAGCCGAGCTTGTTGGCCTCCAAGGGGACGACCCGTTCCTGATCATCACGGACCACGAAGCGTTGAAGTATTTTGGCACGAAGCGCCTGCTCAACGCTAGACAAGCCGGATGGGCTGAGCTGCTCGCGCAGTACCATTTCCAAATCACGTACCGGCCGGGCAAAGAGAATGCTGCGGCAGACGCTCTCTCCCGCAAGAGCGAGGATACAGTGACGCAGAAGGCGAAGAGGGAAGCCTATCGCACCTTGCAAATCTTCACCCCCGTGCTGGAGGATGGCGCAGCAACCCGCACTGATGATCTTGAAGTTGAGTTGATGGCGCTTGACGAGGAGATAGAGGCGCCCGCAGACTCGGGTTTCGAGCTCATCGACGAGCTCCTCCGTTACAACCAATCTGCCCTGGAGTTGGAGCCATACCGTGAGAAGGCCCGCAGCGAGCAGGATTCCGAATACTCGCTCCTGGATGGCCGCTTGCTGTTGATGAGCGGTAGATTGGTGGTCCCAGCCGTCAACCATCTGCGGACCCGCATCATTACTGAGGCACACTCGCGCTTGACGACCGCCCACCCGGGCATAAACAAGACGCGCAAGTTGATCAACACCCGGTACTGGTGGCCCCGAATGGGCAGCGATATCGATCAGTATATCGCTAACTGTGTGTGCCGCGCCGCGAAGCACCCGAGAGACAAGACCCCCGGATTGCTACACCCAATCCCCCCCTCGCAGCGAGCATGGCAGAGCGTTGTGATGGATTTCAACGAACTTCCGAAAGACAAGTACGGATTTGACAACGCTCTGGTCATGATTGACCGCCTCACGAAAGCTTCATGGACTATTCCCTGCACGAAGGGAGCCACGGCTCGCGATGCGGCGAAGATGTACTATGAAGGCCCGTATCGAGTCTACGGTCTCCCGATGGAGGTCATCAGTGACCAGGGGCCGCAGTTTCGAGCCGACTTTACCAACGAACTGTCAAAGATTCTGGGGATCAATTGGAAACTGGCCACACCCGGTCATTCGCAGACCGCGGGCCAAGTCGAGAACCTTAACCAGTATATTAACCAACGGTTACGACCGTTTGTAAGCCATTACCAAGACAACTGGTCCCGGGCAATCCCAGCTCTTGACGCGGTACAGTCGAGCCTCCCGCACGACAGCACCGGATTGTCGCCCCACGAAGTGATGTTTGGGTTCGCGATGCCCTTACCATTCGACTGGGAATCACGAACCGGACTGACAGATCTGCCGCACGAAGAGCGTCTCAATCGCGAAGAGGCCCAGCGGAGGGCGCGCCAGATCCAGGAATTTGGGGACTTCGCGCGGTCCAACATCCTTAAAGCGCAGGAGAAGCAAGCAGAGCAGGCGAATCGACATCGCCGCGTACCAGATTTCGACGTCGACGACCACGTCGTGATCATCAAGCGCACCGAAATGACGAGCAGACCCAGCGATAAGCTCGATTTCCCCGTTACGCGGCAGCACTTCCGCATCATCGAGAAGGTTGGCCACGCGTACCGTTTGGAAGTCCCAGCTTCGTGGAAGGGAACCGACACGTTCCCTCCCGACCGACTACGATTACACCTAAACAACCCTCTTCCTGGCCAAGCACCCGAGTCCCCGGATGCCGAAGAGGTTGGTCCGAATCAAGACATGGAATGGGAGGTCGAACAACTCTTGGCGAGCCGTGTTTACTATGGAAAATTGCAGTACCAAGTCCGTTGGAAGGGCTGGGCAGCCGACCCCGAATGGTATCCCGCGGCCGACTTCAAGAACTCGCCGGAAGCGTTGAAACAGTTCCATGACGCGAACCCCGACAAGTCTGGCCCGCCCACACGATTGCAAATATGGTTGGAAATGGCCGAACGCGACGAGTTCGCGGCGGATCATGAGGATGACAACGAACCAGTCATGGTGGGCGCGCCGTTGAGGCGATCCAACAGGAAGAAAAAGTGATGGACCTTTTCCGAGCAAAAGCCCGCGGACGAGCTTTTTCGTGGAGGGGGGGGGTTGTCACGAGAGGTGGTTGCCTGTGATGGCACTGTGGCTCAATCGGGGTTAGCGCGCATAGCGCCTCGCCCTACTTCCCCACGAAACGATCGCTAGCGATCCCACCACCTCTCTTTTTCTCTTTGTTTCAGTTTCGATATTATAGTTGTATTGACTGGTGGCCTGACCCCATGGAATATCTGCTTCTCGTCACAGGTACTATCGATTTTCTTCGTTCTACTAGCTACCTGGGCTGTAGAAGACTTTTTATAAAGGCGGCTGTTTTCGAACACTATAGGGTTAGCCATACAACCGGCTATCGAATCCTTTGCGAATTTGACGATTCGACCCTCGAACCCCGAACCTTTTACTTAAACTATATTGAAACGTATAGACGGAAGAAGAAGCTCGATTACGAAGCCCTTATATAAATTGAGAGGTATATTGATAAGGGTAGCTTCGATAGGTGTACTCTTCCTTAGGAGGGTATTCTACCTATAGCCGGCCTTAATATTAAAGTTTTGGGCCGAACTGTTTGCTATACCTTTAAGGAACTAAACTTCTAGAGGTATATTGCTTGCGAGAAGTAGTATTGCTCCAGCTAGTTAAAGGAAAAATGGGTAGAATATAGCCGGATTATATTTAAGAGGTACCCTAATATAAAGTTTTAGTATTATATTAGATTTTCGGATAAAAGCTACTTTAGCTAAGGGCTTTAAAGAAAGATCTGGGTTTTTTAAAGGCTTTAAGAAAGGTTTTACCCTAACTATATAGTTAAAAAGGAGGTTTTAAAAGAAAAGGATCTTCGTTAGCTCTATTATTAAGGTATTATTAGCTATAATTTTAAAAGCCCTTTAGTTTAATATAATGTTTCTAGTAATAATAATAGTAAGATAATAATATTAGCCTACTATAACCAAATCCTCGAGCCTATAGTAGGTTCCTAGCTTTGGGATAGCTATTCCTTTATTCTAGAGGAAGATAATAACTCTAGCTATAGTAGGAAGAAGGGAAATAACATAGTAACTAGATAGAAAAAGGAAAACAGCCTTAATAGTTATTTTAACTACCTATTAAGCCTAGACTTTATACCTATAGAAAAGGTATAGTAGTTACCGAAGTAATACATTTATAAACGGCCTTGTTAGGAGGATAGAATAGTTAAGGAGCTTATAGAGGAGGGTTGGGCTATAGTTCAACAAGCCTCTATCAACCGTTGGGTGGATCAGATCCTACAGATATTGAAGGACTGTATTGAAATGGAGGGAGCTATAACAGGGCATTAGAATACACTTAAAATCAATAAATTTGGCCGCGTTTTGACTGATTTGCAATATATTGAAATGGTGGGTGATGGTTTTGGTGTATCAGTTTTTTTGCCCAGGGGGAGCCCGAGAATCATTGAGCTTCCGAAATGCCGCTGATTCGGTGGGTGTGAACCCTGTTTTTAGCGCATGATGCTACCTTGCACAAGGGCTGTCAGTGGAGCCAGGGTCCCAGAGTCTTTGAGCTTCGAGACCACCCACCTGCCACACTGACAGGACTGTGACAGCAACGCAAGGAGCGAAAGGGGGAATACCAGGTAGCCCGAACCACCGGTTCAAAACGCCCGCTTGTTGCGATCAATGTGCAATTGCCGTCATATGCCCGGGGCTGGGCATCTGGAAGATTCTGTCGACCACTCGGGATAGTGCCCGAGCCACCATGACGATGTCGTGAGTCCAGGAAGCGGAGTTCCACAGGACCAGGGCGTGGAGCTCGCCCTGGACGACGGGCGTCAGTGCAGCAGACGTGCGTCAAGCACGATGACGGCACCCGAGAACGTCACTCTCGCAGCCAACTTTTGCGGGTGTTCTGTGCCCGCTTGGGGCTTAGCCCAACGCAAAAGGGTCCGGGGAGCAGCAACGGGTGCGTCCACCGGTGTGGTGCATCTCCCTTTCGTGCATTGCCCCAAATGCTGCCGACCTGGGGGATGCTGGCTTGTTCATCCAAACGCGAGCCTTTAGGGGTGGAGGGACGCCAGACACACAATGTGCAAAAAATCAAGGTATTACGGGCCCCTGTGGCACCTGCACCCTAAATACCTGCCATTACCTTCCTCTTGCTCATTGCAAGTTCCTGCAACTGCCCTGTCTTGGCGGCCGCCGTTTTTTAAACTCCGTCACATTTCTGCGGGTGCTGCCGGGGTTCATTAGGGCAGTGACTTGGCTGGGCCACCATCGTCATATCGCGGCTTCCTTTCCCGTCACCCTGCGGCCGTCTTGACCCAGGCTGCAGTTCCACTCCGCTCTTTCCTCGCATCTGCAGCTGGAAGAGGGAAAGAACTTCGCTGTCAACCCGGGAGCACACTGGGTCCCCAAACTCGAGTCGCAGGCGCAAGGTCTCTCTCTCCTCTCCCAGTCTCTCTCACCTTCCCCCCTACCCTGTCCTTCGACCCTTGGACAACCTTGCCGCACCCACGATCGTTGCACGTTGGGTACGGGTACGCGTGGGATACGCACGGTCTCCATCGATCCCTTTCCATCTCGTGTGTCTTCAACGGTCGCACCACCATCCAGGAATAGGTGGCTCCGTTGGGACCCGCAAGGCCTCTGGCCTTTGCCTGCCCTCTTCGGCCAACCCAACCCACTTTCACTCACTCCCAGTTGCACACTCGCACGCACATCTCACGCTTACAAACCAACGGCCGCCTTGTCATGGACGGCTCCTCGCCTTCGGTCCTCACGGACGACCAAGAATCAACCCGGGGCCCGCTATTGGAGCGCCGCCAGCAGCTGACTGAGGCCCTGGCTGAGTCCCCCTACGACTTGATCCTCTACTTGCAGCGGGCCGTTGTCTACTCCGACCTTGCCTATCCGGACCTCGCCGTGGGCGATGCCTATCGTGCTCTGCTCCTAGCTGACGAAGTCCGCGATGAAAGCTTCGAGTACCACGACCAGGCCAAGGAAGCACTCCAGGGCTATAAGACCATCCCCTGCCCCGAGGTGCTCAACCATGGGAGGCTGATTGACGACCTCGACCGGCTGGTCGACGGTGACGGCGTCGAGGATGCGGGAGAGTTTAACTTGCTGGCAAACCTTGCCTCGGTCCGCTGCTTCCAGATCATCTCACTCAGCCTCCTGCTTTGCGGCTGCCTAAAGAGCGCGCTCGAGTTCTGCGAAAGGGGTCTCAAGATGGTGCCCCATAACAGGGAGCTCGATGAAATCAAGGGTTACATCGAGCAAGTTGCCAGACGCAGGTTGCGGAAGGACCACGACGAGCCCATCGGGATCAACAACCTGCCCGACCGCGGTCTCGTGCGCCGGGAGGTGTATCCTTGGAACACCCACGAGCCCGACCGCTTCGCCAAAGACTCTCTTTCGTTTCTCAATAATAACCTCTCCAAAATGGCTCCCAAGTGCGAAGTCAGAGTCTCAAATCTCCCAGTGTTGCTCGATGACGAGACCAACACTAACGGATTCGACATTATTCCTTACTGCAATCAGCTGGGTCTCTTTGCAAAGCAAGATATCGGGCCCGGTGAGCCCGTTTTGGAAGAGTATTCGCTCCTAACCGCCAACAACCGGCACAAGGAATCGGCTTGCGACGCCTGCGGGACGGAGCTACCGCCTCTCCAGAGCAACTCCAAGGCTGTGAGCTGTCCCGAGTGTCACGACACTATTTTCTGCGACGACTTCTGCTTCACCAAGGCCCAGGAGCAGTACCATCCTGCCGTCTGTGACAAGGACGTTGACTCAATTGCCAAGGACCCCAAAGCTAGAGATATCGACGAATCGCTCTACTTACTACTATTGGCACGTCTCCTTGCCATGTCGGCGCACCAGGAGATCCACCCCTTGGAGATCAAGGAGATCAAATATAGTATGTTGACCATCCTCCTGAAATTTTTCAATGTAATGCGAGAGCTAATATCGTTTCCAGTCTGGGGGGACTTCGTGGCTGTAGTCCTGAACGACGTCGACGGCTCCATAACCGACCAGCCGCCACCCGAGTGGACGCTGCCTTTTTCTTTCAAGTACAACGTCGAAATTCCGCTTCACATGCTCGAAAAAATGGACATCGACATTTACGCGACCCTTGACAAGCACGATCTTTGGGTCTTCAACACGGCCTACGCCAAGTTCCGCGGCACCGCCTCGGCAAGGAAAAACCCCCGTGACGGCCGCCCGGATGTCGCCGCAGTCCATCCCTTCTGGTGCCTCGCAAACCACGATTGCAACCCCAACGTCACCTGGGAATGGGGCGGGCGCATGGTCCTTTGGGCGCGCGAGACTCGGGTCATCGGAAACCAGCCAGGCGGTATCAAGGCGGGTGAAGAGATCCTGAACCATTACTGTGACGTGAATCTGCCGGTCCAACAGCGGAGGGAGTGGGCCCAGGGAAGTTTGGGTGGGCTGTGCGTGTGTCGGCGGTGCCGGGACGAGATGGATAAGCCGAAGACAAATGGTACGAAAGAGAATGGGGCACCATAGGGCTGTGGAGAGGTTGAGTTATATACGAAATGGATAAACGCGGATGCTGTAGTTGGGGCGATGCCGTCTCGTTGAATAAACGGCTTATCCGCGGAGGAGATAGTCGAAATTTCAGGCAAAGCGAGAAAGGAGAGGAAACACCTGGTTATCGTGCGGAGAATATAGGTGCCTCAGAATAATCAAAGGCAAGGGTTTCCGGTGGGAATGGAACGCGGCCGGACCATCAATGGGCGGTTAAAGCGGTATCCTATTGACTTAGTTGCGTAGAAAGAGGAATGAAAGTTTGGCGATCGACAGTCAGTCTGGACTTGGGGAATTATATCCACTCAGTACATCTCTTATCATCTGTGAGTGCGGGTCTCCTCCGGTGTGGTCCCGACAGTGATGGGCTCAGTTGACGGTGTTGGCCTCTGCTCCGGTCCCCTCCGCGGTGATTCTAGATAAGAAACCAATAGTGCTTGCAGCTGCGAAGTGATGTGTGCCTTTCTCTTGCGCAAGTTAGAAGAGGATATGAGATGCCTGCATTTGTCCGAGTCAAAATGCCAGCGCGCGATCCAGACACTCAACATACGGCCGCCCTCATATCACAACAAGGAACAATTACTAGAAAAAAGCCCCCAAGTGCCTTGTATGCTTACGAAGATTCTGACACAACCCTAGGCTACCACATCCTATCTCTGCCTGTGTCCCGAGCCCATGTTTGCGGTTGGTCTGCTATGACAAGGCGGTTCCCAGAGCAATTAGCTAGCTATATTCACTAAAAGTCACCAATACATGCGCGAGTATTTACAACTCGATTACGGCAGTCCTCTCCCAGGCCTGTGTTTTGTTCTTTACTAAGTTATCAAGTCTCAAGACCATTTCACACGGCCACACCATGCACTTTCATCCGTATTTACCTACCGTTCTTGATACCCTTTCAACCCTTTTTAGCACACATACCAAGGCCATGTATGCGAGGATACACTGGCTTGGGCACTTGGATCGGAGGCAAAAGCTAAGCATCAAGCATCCAGCCGATCCGAGTGACGATCAAGCACGCGACAGTGTCATGACTAGTGATATCTAAACAGGAGATCCAAACCAGGGTAACTAGGTACGGTACAGGATTTACTGAACTAATACTAGAGCTAGGTAGTCGGTTCTGCATCCGCCGCTCGATAGGACTCGAAGCATATGGGGAAGTCGGCAATCCGAGACGATATGCGACATCCCTCGGTGATAGATCTAAAAACAATTTTATACTCGACGAAACAAGGCTATGCAAATAATGCTCAACTCTCGGGTGAGGGTAGTCAGCTACACCCCGTTCCTGACTGTTTCGGCAGAGCGGATCGGCACCCTAATTAAAAGGGTGACTCGAAGAGAGGGAAAATCCCAATATCCAAAACGCTTACGGCAGAACGCAACTCTACTGTTTAACGCCCCCATCAATGTATAACTACCGTGTAACTTTAGACACTCGGGCCGTTGCAAAGTCGACCTGCGAGAGGTAGGTAGGTATCAACCAGGTCTCTCGCTACCCTGATGTGCTGATTCGTCGGGCCTCCCGCAGGACATGCCGTCTCCGCAAAGCCAATGTACGGGTGTGTTACACAGATGTACATACTTGTAGACACTTATAGTAGGGACAATCCTGTGGCAAGAGACACTGCCCGACTGTGCAACACCCCAACCGAGCCCAACCTCACCCGTCCTACCCAGGTCCAGTTGCCCGACCGGACTCGTCAGACTCAGCTCCCCATTCAAGAACTGGCACTGCGGCCCCCCCTTTACGATGGTGACCGGGGAGAGGTCAACACGGTCGCCGGACGCTAGACCTTGCAGTTGCCAAATGTCCATAATGTAGCGCCATCAGTGCCCCCCTGATAAAGCCTGGTACTGTAGTGATTGCCTTCTCTTGGTACCAGGGAAATATACGCCTATGGTTATAGCAAGATCACGATGCAAATTTGCATACACGTAAGCACCTTATTCTGGTATTACTGGGTTAGATTTCACCGTCATCATGACAAAGTGCTTACATTAGGGCGCTACACCCACTTGTCGTACATATTCACACTGCTATCATTGTTGTTCCCGGTCGATGTTTCTAGTCAAGGCCCCGTGATGTTAAAGAGGAACGGCTGGTAGTGTGAAGGAACTCTGGACCACTCTACAACAACGAAAGACTATAAAGTCCCTCCCTGGATCACACTCCCAGCATATTCTGCCGCTTATAGTTATGATCGGAAAATAAGAGAGAATGCTGAGTACATGCTTGTGATAACATTCCCTGCAAGTTGAAACAAATGGATGCTGAGACAAGATGAATACACCGGGTGAACCGGGGGCCTGTCACAGAACCGCAAAATATACCCACGATCACCCTGTCCACCCGCTGGGACAGTCCAGAAGTCAGGCTAACAGCCGGCCAGTGTTAAGAAACTCGGGGGTGGAGCCTGTGATGCTTCTTCCACTCTCGTTAAATCAAGTACATGTCTTTTTATGGTGTATAACAGAATACAAGTTGCCTTGCCAGAGCTTATTGTGGTCGTATAGTTACTGTTGATGTGTATAGATTCTGTTTAGAGGGCCACCACTGTTTTGACAGTTGTGTGTTTTTAACGGGGTCTTGAAATTCGCCAGACTCTAGACGAGGAGTTAATGAACACCTGGCACGAGTACACACAAGGTCCAGCATTCACGAACAAGAACTGTCATGCGCGGTTTACTGTTTTTGTATATTATTGTGAGGGCTATCATCTCCCATCCTGTCCTTTGCCCGGCAAGGGCGTGGAAGGAAAGAAAGAACCGGACGGATGACCGGCCATGGGTCATGCTCCTGTCCCATGTGGCTGCTTCTCCTCTCCCCGACAACATCCTCCTTCCCGTGACCCGGGCCCAGGCCTAGCCGAAGCAGAAGTGGGATAAAACCCATGGGCAACCGACCGTCAACCCGATGCCAGCTGCCCGTTTTCTGTGATAGTCCACCGCCACCGACCCGGACGACGCTCCGGAACCCAAACCCGACCCCCCATGGGCGATAACACCCGGCCCAGGTCAACGGAGCCCAGCCGTGATGACGCCTGGTTTGAGCGGTACGAGCCAGAATTCGAGAGAACAATAAAGAAACGGGGTATATGTAAATAAACATGAGAGTTCCAAATCGACTCATCAAGTGAATACAAAAAGATAAGTGCATGACCGCCCTCCCATTCTTCAGAAGGGCGGCCACCAGGACCGAGCTCGCAAAGAAGAAGTAATCCAAGTCTCGAGACCTGTTTTGGTGTGTTTTTATTTCATTCCTCCCATTTGGTTGACCGAGTCAACCTTCGTTCCCTCATGTATTACAAAAATGGTATATAAAAGATGATGTTTTTTTGCCGGTCATGAGCCGTTGATCGCAATGGCGAGTGTGATGGGACGCCAGCCGAAAAATGAGATGTCGTCCTTGGCAAGGCGTATAATGTGATCGATTCGGCTCGCAGACCGATGCTTGTTGATCGAGGGCAGTGCTGAAAACCATGCCTCGGGTTTGAAGAGATTGAAGAGTTGAGATGGTCAGCCTGCCGATGATGAACGCAGGCACGTAACTGAGAACGACGCCATGACGCCTCGTGATCGGATAAGCAGACGCCTTGTGGCTCGAGCCGACGGGTATGTATGCGCGCCGATGAGAGGGCGCCGCCTCAACTGATGTTCCAATCCCGAAGCCAAACCAAACCGGGCCGAAACCGTGAAACCAAGGGGATTTCCCGAGCTAGCCAGCTCCTTAATAAAACCCGAATCCCAGATCCCATACCCACGCCCGGCGATGGTTGTGTTGTTGCCGACGATGATGATAATTAAGAGAAGATGATGCCCCAGCCCCTTTTGTTGAAAACGCCGCCGCCATGCCATGCATAGAGTGTTGTTGTTTTGTTTGTTGTGGTATTACATAGACCCAAGACTAAGAAGAGCCTCGACAGCCTCACGCTCCTGTGCGTCGGCGGCCACGACTCCCAGCGCCGATGCTGGAAAGTTGAAGTTGCGGGGTGACGGGCTCAGCTGCGGCGCGCGCGCCATGCCCGCCGAGAAGGAGCGGACGCCGCCACCGAAAGTATGTACATTATTGAAAGGGGATTGTTGTTGGTTGGACTGGGTCTGGTACGACGATGCGCGGAGTGCCGCGGCGCCGACAGCTGCCCAGTCCTCGTCGTCGGTCGCGTCTTCCGGGTCGTCGTTATGCCTTCGCATCTCGTCGTCGTCCGGAGCCTCGGAGCATGACGCGGACCCGGAGCCGTCGAGCGACATCTTGTCGGCTTCGTGGTCCATCATGTCCATGTCCGCGTCCGCAAAGCGGTCGTCGTGCGAGAAAGCGGCCGAGTAACCGCCCTGGCTCGTACCGAGGTTTGCGCCCAGGCGCGACCGGTCTGTACTCCACCCGGGGGTCTTGATGATGGGTATGCTGTTGGGGTGGGCGCCGGGTGATGCGTGGCGCGAAAGCGAACCCCGGGGAGGCTGGCCTCGTTGCTTCGCATCCCACCGGCCCCAGCCCACCTTCATGAATTCCACATCGCCGTCCAGACCGCCTCCTTCATTGCCGGTTCCCTTGCCCTCTAGAGCCCCCACGACCAGCCGGCGCGCCTTCGCGGGAGCGATCCCGGCAAAGCCCGGTACCGACGTGGTCAGGTAGCCCATCAGATGCCGGATCGGCAGCGGGCCGTGGCTCAGCAGGATCTCGGGGAGGTGGAACTTGGCCAGCATGGCCGGGGTGATAGCGCCGGACGAGTCGTAGGGTGGTGACCCGAGTCCGGCGGCTTGTTCCCCCCCACCCTCCATCAGATCCAAGTCCGAATCGATCGAGTCGAGCCGCGCGCGCCGCAGCTGGGCCTTGAGCCCATGCGGAGGCAGCGAGGGCGATATGGAGTTCGGGGGGGTCGGGAGGTCGGTCGGATTGGTCGGGTTGGTTGTCACAGGGACACTCCGGGCCGCTACAGCAGTTAAGTTGTCTCGGCCGGAGGTCATCGCGATATCGCGGACAGCAGATGCCATAGTTGCCATGTTGACGGTTCTAGGAGTCGACTTGCTTCGAGACGTGTCTGCCATGCGGCGCAGCCGTGTGTCAGCACTTCTTCTTGAGACACACACGGTGCGGCGCATCGAGGGGCGCTGGCTGCTGCTGGTCGCGCGAGCCATGGCTGTTGTTGTTGGGCGATGTCGCTGTTGTTGTCCTCGTCGACCGATGAAGGTGGCCAGGGACAGACAGGACAGGACAGGATGGGAAGATGGGAAGATGGGAAGATGGGGGCGTCACAAAACCGGACGCTAGACTGAGTCACACTCACAAATGTCTGAAGCAATGCGCAGCTTTGTATTCAACAGCTTTTGACCGAAGACGTGGCTCGGGCAAAAGGGCGGTGGGCAAAATGGCAGAGCTGCTGCGGATGATCTTCTGTGACAAGAGATGACTCTCTCGATGGAAAGTCAAGTGTGAAAATAGTCGTGTTGTTGTTGCTTTGAAGAAGCAAGAGAAAAGAGCAAGGGCCAGGAATGGCAGGTCCGGGCGGTAATAAACCAAACCATGTGTGCCTGGGCGGCGCCGGATGGGAAGGTTTGTGCTCAGGTCAGGGAATGGACAATGACTACAAGGCAGGTACATCTGTACCTCGCAGACTGTGTTGCTGATGGCTGCGGCCAATTCGCAGTTGGCACTGGGCAGCTCAGACCAAGTCCACTCATGCCTGCAGATGCTGGGCCGAAAGGGGACAAGCCGACACTCTCCGCCTTTGTGACATGGGGGTGTGCGCACAGTGGGCCGACAACAAAAACGGCCTGGGTGGCCGTGTTGGTGTGCACCTGAACGAGCCAGTCGCAGCACAGTGTCACCGACACAGCGCAATCACTGGTTCCCAAAGGGAATGCGATGACTCGGAGGCTCAGTCGGCTTCGCCGTCGAGATTCTGTTTCAGCTCTTTCTTTGGCCCTCTGCGGCCGATGGCTGTGGCGCTACTTGCAAATCCATCCCTCTGGCTTTTTCCAAGCTAATAATTTCGCCCACAAACGTTAGGGTTTCAGTGAAAAGCAAAAACATAAATATCGGTGAAGTTCGCTTTGTTGTCCGGACCCCGGAATGACGCTTATCTGTGGAGTTTCCTTTGATACGGGCACAGTGCGAGCCCCCGTTTTTGCTGCATCACAGACATCAAGGTCCCTGGATGTACCTGTCCGGCGCAATGACGGAAGACCCATTCTGCCACGGACGGCGTGTGCGTTTCAGAGCGCCTGCCAGGTTGTGGTTTGTGGGCATTCCCCGTCCCGTCCACTGATAATTCAGATTTCGGCCTTGTGTCTTTTCGTCCCTTCTTCGCTCAACCAGCCAACCACCAACTGGAAGCCAGCCCCTTGTCATGTGTTTCGATCAGCCACCCGGGAGGCTTCCACAGGAAAATATCTGATCTCGATGCCATTGTTTTGCCCGAGAGAATTAAGATGGTGCATCGCCCGTTCCACTTTGAAGCCCTCGCGGGGATGGTTATCCATATTGACTTCTACACAATTGACCCTCGTATCGATTTTGGGGGTATTCGGCAAGCAGCAGGAGGAATCGCCGAATATTCCCGCAAAGCGTCGCGTCCTGCTGACTGTTCCCCAAGAGGAATCATACCGCACTGGGTCTTAATCAAGAGTGCTGCCTTTACTGTGGGGGTTTGGTTTCGCTGGGTTAGCTCACCGGTGCTCGAAAAGAATGAGAAGAGGAAAAAGAGAAGGGAAAAGAGAAGCAAGTGGAAAGAAAAAGACGAGAGACGAGGAATGCAATCAATCGGAGCTGTTCCATATCCCCTGGCATCCGACTTTTCGATCAAGATGGATGAAGTAAGTACACAAAGGTACCGCTAACTGTCGACAGGCGCCGTGGGATTATCGAGCTGCACCAAAAATGGCTCTTCGATTGGATGAGCTGCACTGCCTTGGCTCCCACGCCCAGCTGACCCTCCGTCCGGCCTGTCCGATGATGAATGGATTGGGTTTTTGTCCCGCTGACAAGGCAGACAGGGAATATTCGACACCCACATCATCATCTTTCGTGACATTCAACACACATTCAACATTTTTAGGGCTCAAGCCCGGAAACGGATGTGGTGAGGCGGGCTCATATGGCGGGCAATGTTCGAGTCGTGACCGCCGTTACTGTTGCCACCCCCAGACTCCATATCACTTAGTAAAGTTACCAGGGGCGCACAAGCTGTCGTTGTTCAAGGGCTGTCCCATCATCCAGTCCGCTTTCCCCACGTTGTGAAGCTCTGCAACCCGGCCCACGCAGTAACCGTACAATCCCGAACAACCTGGAACCCCAGATCGATCTTCCCACTAGCGGCTTCGGACAAGGGACGGGGAGGGAACAGATCCAGGGCCAGACTCCAAATCCAGCTTCCCACCAGTGATCCGCCGACGCGTAAAGTGGATCAAAATGGAGAGGGCCGACCGCTGGTCTGAGGAGAAGTATCCATCAGTGCCATCTTCTTCCCTCCCCTGACTCTCCACAATGGGACGGACGACATCCCTCCCATCGGAAACAACAAGTCGGGCCAGTCCCGGGCACGAAGCGCACACAACGCGGGGATGGTTGGCGCCGTGGGTCCCGCCCATCGAAGACCTGAACGGACCCGTTGTCGCCCGAGAGGGGGGTGGCACCGGCTTTGCGCCGACCGACCCGAGGTCCCGTCCACTCGTGCTCTTGCATCACGGTCCCAATTGAGTGGTTAGAAATGCGCCAGCCTCCGTGGTGACTGGCTGCTCTGTTCTTCTGCGGGACCGTAATTGGGTTTCACCAAAACTATGCGGGCTAACTACTGCATCCGGTTCTCGGATGAGAGAGAGAGAGAGAGAGAAAGAGGGAGATCTGGAACCTCCCCCCACCATGCGTTCGTCGGCCATGCATGCGATGCGATGATGCTATGGCAGCCCGAGAATGCGCGTCCCCATCCATCTGCACCACCACCAACCCACATGATATCCCGCTCGCCCACCACGCGAGATCGCCCGGCCACCACGCGAGATCGCCCGGCCTTAGTGTGTATTAGTGTCCTCAAGCCAGATTCCATTGCGTTCATCTCGGTAAGAATAGGCTAGGCGAGGCACCTTATCCGCAGTCAACCCCCCTCGGCCCCTCGGTTGGGGGTCATCCAGGAGAATGCCACATTCCCCGCATTCTCGAAGCCGCACAACTGCATGTTTACCCTTGGGGGGGAAGAGGGGCAAAGGGGGGGGGGGGGGGGGGGGGGTGGTCAACAAGCGGGATTGACTCGTCATCCTCCGTTCTGGAAGACGTATTGCCTGCAGGCCTATTGGTTGTGTCAGTCCAAGAACCAGATAGAAAGAAAAAAAAAACACAGATCCAGTAGAAAACAAGAAGCCAAAAACAGGGCAACCACTCACTGCCTTGAGAACATTAAGCTCGGCGCGCGACTGGTCGTAGACGTGGCGGTACTCGCCCAGGCTCTCGCGCAGGACGGCCTGCCTGGTGGAGCGGCCGTCGCAGATGGCCTTCATCTTGAGCTCCATCTCCTTGCGCAGGAACGGCTTGCCCAGGCTGGTCTCGAACCGCATGCGGTCGAAGCCCTCGATCAGCGCCACCCCCAGGCTGGTCGGTATGAACTCGCGCACCCCGCCGCCCCGGCCGCCGCCCGCCGCGCCCCCGCGCCCGCCCCCCCGTGCGCCGCCCCCGCGACCGCCGCGCCCCCTGCCACGTCCGCGCCCGCCTCGCGCCGCGGGAGCGGCCTCTGGTTCGTCGTCGTCCGCGCCGGCGTTTCCGCCACCGCCGCCGCCGCCGCGCTCCACGGTCCTGGCGTACTGGCGCTCCTGGATCTTCTCGATGTGCTCGGCCATGGTGGCGTCGGTGCCGATGCCGTTGGCGTCCATGAGGGCGATGAGGTCGGCCTCGGTGAGGTAGCCGGGGGGGCCGGTCTTGCCCTCGGTGAGCATGGCCTCGGCGGGCTCGAAGCGCTCGCCGACGGCGAAGCGCGGCAGCTGGGCGGTGCCCGTCCAGTTCTCGTACGGGTACACGTCCAGGTAGTTGCGCGCCAGCACCGTCACCCCGTGCGCGCCGAACCCTTCCTCCCCGTACGCCACCTCCACGTCGCTCGCCATCCCCGCCGCGTCCTCCGAGCAGCACGCCAGGAACCGCCGCGTCACCAGCTCGTACACCCGCCGCTCGCTGTCGTCGAGCGCCGCCGGCGCCGCGTACGTGATCGGGTGGATCGGCGGATGTGCCTTGTCGTCGTGCCTACCCTGCCGCGGTTGTTGGAAGCCGCCGCCGTCGACGAGGTTCTGCGCGAACGCGCCCCACCGGTTGTCTTGTGTTTGTTTCCGCACGAGTGCCCGGAGGTCCATGCCCTTATCGAAGCGGTCGGTTTCGGTGCGCGGGTAGCTGATGAACCCCCTGTTGTAGAGCTTCTCGGCCACGGTCATGGCCTGCTGACCGGTCATGCGGAGGAACCGGGTGGCCATCTTTTGCATCTCGACCGTCGTGAGCGGGAGCGGCTTCCATTTCTTGGTGGGCTTCTCCTGGACCTTGGTGACCTTGGCCGTCCTGGCCGTGAGGCACCTCTCGTAGAAGATGACGACCGACATGCGGTCAAATAGCCGATGCCTCGACCAGTTGAAGTTGACCTTGATGCCGTCCCTCTCGTGCATCATTTTGATGCCCCAGAAGGCCTCGGGGACGAAGTTCTTGACCCGAAAATACCGATCCACGACGAAGCCGAGAGTAGGAAACTGGCAAGACCCTAGATCAGTTAGGACGGCGGATGGTTGATCTGCGCATGGCCTGTCTTACCGTAGCTGAGCGTGAGCTTGGATAGGGGTCCTCCCAGAGGACGAAGGTTGAGGGTCAAGAACCGGGTAAAGGCATACCCGATCCTCAAGTCGAGCTCGATGCGTGCCGATACGGCGTCTACTTGCTTGTCATCAAGGGCGATGAGCCGTCGGGCGGCAGATAAAATGTGACTAAAAAGATGGTTAGGATGGCGGTGCCAGTCCCAATGCGGGCGTCGACTTACGCTCTTTCGACATTGCTAAACCGTGCCCGTTTGATCTGAATATGGCTGTTGCCTTTCCTCGCCGCAGACCTGATCTCGCTTCCAATGTGTTCTCCTTCTCGATCGCAATCCGTCCAGATGACGAGCGCATCGGCGCGTCTCGCCTGGTCTTCGATATTTTTGGCGATGGATTTGTTGTCCTACCTCGGGGGTCAGTATCTACCTAGAGTAGCATGTTTTCCTCAGAAGCCTGGTGGTATATTTACATCGGGGATGACCGTCAGAACCGGTGCGTCGAACAGTCGATCGGGCGGTGGGTACTCCCATTGTTTGTAGTCGGGTGGAAATTCCACAGCGGTAAGATGGCCCTTCACAGCGGTCATGGTCACTGAGCAGTTTCCCCATGGCGGGCCGAAGTCATAGTTAAACGAGTAATTTTTGATGTAAGTATTGCGCGTGTTGTTCTAAGGCAATGTCAGTCCAATGTTCATGCTCGCGGTGAAGCAACAGCAGTTATTCCGAGAGAAGGCACCCACAGTTTGGTATTGACCACCAGAAAGGTGGCCAGCGACTGCCTTCGAAATAGAAGGCTTCTCAGCGACGCAAAGAACGCGCGTCATGGTTGCGGATGGTTTAGCGGCAGTGTTGAAGTGGTTGGAATGGCAACGAAAGTATCGGAGCAGCAACCAAAGCCGGGGAAGCTGTGGGCGGCTAACCGTCTCGTGGTTCTTGTTATTTTTCGACAAGCTTGTGAGTCGCGATAAAAGCCCACCTTTGCTTGATTGCGCTGGAAGAGCATCATGTGCCCCCCTTGCTGAAACTCAAATCATGGACTCGAAGTGACTCGAGCACACGCTTGAGACGAGACTGTAAGGAAGGAACAAGAACAGCTCCAACAGCTCAGGCTCGGAATTTACAAGACGGCACTTATCCCCTTAGAATAATCATGCTGTGATAGAAAAGCCGTCTTTGCTCTTCTGACTTTATTCTTGGCCAACGGCGGCCACAAACGCGTGTTTCGTCTTGTGGTCATGTCGCGGTGAACCTGTGAGGCTCGAATTTCAATACAGAAATACAACAAGGGTTTTTACACCGAGTGCACAGTAATTCCAAGAAATACGGAGGACCCACAAGCCAAGCTTGCAAATATCGAGAATTACTTGTATTCTGTATGGAGGCTTAAGGTGCGAACGAAAAACAAAGAGCCCACCGTCACTTTTGGCGCGGCCTCGTTTGACCCTCACCACCTTATACGTTCAACGTAGTCACTTTGATACATACGTTGATTCGCAATATGGTTTGGGTTTGGGTGAGGGATGGGATGGAGATGGGGAGAGGGATAGGCTGAGACTCATAACTTTATCCCAAACCCTCTCCCTACCTATCCTTATCCCTATCCCTAACCCAAACCTCAACCCATACCCGATCCCTTTCCCTTTTTTTAGCTTAAACCCCAAAGCCTCTTGTGAATCAACTCATCTATATGTGTATCACGCTGACTGCGTTGCAACTAACTGCATCAAATCGACCGCATCGAACTGACCGTAATCGACTAGGTGAATGCAATGGTTCCATTTTTGCGGCGAGCTCGGAAGATGTCATTTAATCTGGTCCGCTACCACAGTAAACCTAGTCAGTTCTCTGTGGGGGGTTTAATCCGAGCACGGTTGCCGATGACGCCCACACTTGAACCCCGAGGAACTTAACTTGGACAGAAAACATCCAAGAACCGCAACCAGCATAGCATCTAAATGGTTGTGATCTGGAACCATTAGCCTTGCATTCGAAATGGCGCTCCCAACTATCCGCACGCTAGAAGATTGCGCCGACTTCTCCCAGGTGGTAGAGCCCTTCATTCCGCAGCTCTACGACCTCCCCACGAAATTGCTCGACGTCTTTGCGGGACGAGAGAGCCTGTTGCAGCTGTACACAGAGACGAACCCTCTCGTATCCGGCTTTGCCATCTCTGTATTTCTGGGTGCCGTGTTTCTCGTGGCGGCCGAGATAAATCGCAACTACTCCCAAGTAGACCGGTTCTGGAGTCTTCTGCCGACGTTGTACATCGCGCATTTCGATGTGTGGGCCCGTCTAACTGGGTTGCCTTCGCAGCGAATCGATGCCGCCTTGCTCTTTAGTGCCGTATGGAGTGTGAGTTGGTCCCATAGATCAGCGAGATGGGTCGGTTTGCTAACTCCGCGACTTTGGACGGTAGACTCGTCTCACCTTCAACTACTGGAGAAAAGGGGGTTATGGTATCGGCCATGAAGACTATCGATGGTGAGCAAGCAAACATCTTCAATACCCTCACGGAAGAACTCACTAACACGCTTCAGGGAGGTCATCCGGCAGCATGTCCCCAAGGTCGTGTTCCACGTTTTCAACTGGACCTTCATCTCGTTCATCCAGAGCATCTTGCTCTTCATGATCGCCGCGCCCGTGTACACGGTCCTGCTGGCGTCCACCATCGAGCCCAACCTTACCAGCGCCGATATTGCCGCAGTGGCAATTGAACTCGGACTCGTGCTCACCGAGTACATCGCCGACGAGCAACAGTGGGGTATGCCTTGTCTCCTGATTGACGAACATGTGGCCAACAAACGTTTGCTAACTACCGGCTCGCAGTTTACCAATCAGCCAAGAAGCAGTACAAAGACACCGGCAAGGTCACCGGCGGCTTCCAACAAGCCGACCTCGACCGGGGCTTCATCACCTCCGGCCTCTGGGCGTACAGCCGGCACCCCAACTTCGCGGCCGAGCAGACCATCTGGTTCGTGCTCTACCAGTGGAGCTGCTACGCGAGCAAGACGCTGTACAACTGGGGCGGCGCCGGGCCCGCCTTCCTCATCATGCTCTTCCAGGGCTCGACATGGTTCACCGAGCTCATCACGGCGGGGAAATACCCCGAGTACCGCGACTACCAGCAGGGCGTGGGCATGTTTGCCCCCTCGGGCGTTTCTGCCTACCGGCCGCCCGCTGCCAAGGCGCCCAAGGTGATTCGGACCAGCGAGCTGGCGAAGAAGCAGCAGGAGAAGGAGAGGAAGCAGAAGGAGAAGCAGAAGTGAGGCGAAGGGGGGCAGAGGAGGGTGCAGGCACGGGCCTCGGGAAGACGCAGGGAACTCAAGCTGCCGATGGATGAATATTCGGTTTTCACAATCGACCGTTTGTTATCGTCGGTGGTGGGGTTGGGGTCGGGTTGGGGCGTAGCAGAATTTGCCCAATACCTAGTGCTACGTGCCCATGTTTGTTGGTGTTTGTCCGTCTTGTGGGAGGGGTTGTCGGGAGGCTCAAAGGGAAATTTCCAGAGAATGGATGGCAGTCAGGCCCCCCGGGCAAATCCCCAGCGTGTTGGGCGAGTCCTCGGCCACCTGACCGAGGCTTGATGACGTGAAGTGTTGACGAAAAAAAAGAAAATACTTCACGTATATAGGCTATGCCGTCATCTCGAGTGCTTTGCAATATCTGAACACATCCGACTTTCGTGTCGGTGTTTCAAGCGTTGGGTGGCCAGTGTGAAGTGATGCAAAGCAGTCTGGTTGTCCGTGAATGAAGAGCGCCTCTTGACTTCTTCCCTCTCCCAAGCCCCTTTCCCGTCTATGGAGGCTACGGCATCCGGGCAGATATGTACAAACGCCCAAGCATCGCAACATTTAAAGTCTTCATTTTGTCATACCCCTCGAGCGTGGTTGGATGACGCTAACGAAATAACTGGCTCATCGCACGTTAAAATGTTAGTGTCTACGGGCCCTTTTTTCTGCCAAACCAACCACTGAAATCCGGAGGCGGTGGGGCAATTCTTCTGGTGGGATCGTCTGTACGGGATACGGAGTACCAACCTGGACTTGTAATTACAGGGGTTAAAGTCGATGACGCGGGATCATGTGTTCACGCGAGGCAGCAGTCGCCTATCGCGGGCTGGTCGTTTGTTTCACGGATGCTGCCTGGACCTTCAGGATGAACCCAGGATAAGTGCACTTTTGGGTTTCTCGCCTACGCGCCTTCTTCTTCCTTTTCATTTTCACTTTTCTTCCTCTCAGCACTTTCTTGGAAATTAAGTTCGGCAACAATGGCGGACAAGGAAGCGACAGTATACATCGTCGACCTCGGCGAGTCGATGGCCGACTGCCATAACGGCCGCGACGAATCGGATCTTGACTTTGGCATGCGCTATGTCTGGGACAAGATCTCCACTACCGTCGCCGCCAGTCGCAAAACTTGGACGTTGGGAGTCGTGGGCCTCAACACCGAGGAGACGGACAATGCACAGGACCGCGAAGGTCTCGAGGGCTACGAACACATCTCAGTCCTCCAAGACATCGGCCCCATGACTATGACCTCGCTGAGAGACCTACGTTCCTCAATACAACCTTCACACAGCTACGGCGGAGATGCCATATCCGGCATTGTGGTTGCCCTTTCTATGATCGAGGTGTTCACCAAGAAGCTAAAGTACAACCGGCGGATCATCCTGGTCACCAACGGAGAGTCGCCAATCGATGACGAGTCGTCCGAGGATGTTGCCAACCGGCTCAACGACTCCAATATCGAATTGATTGTGATGTAAGTTTGCATCCTACGGGCTAGGGACAGCAGCTAACGTCGTTAGTGGCGTCGATTTCGACGATGCCGACTACAGTTTCAAGGAGGAGGACAAGTCCAAGGGCAAGGTAAGTCGAATGTTGTGGGTCTCCTGCTAGGCCACTCACTCACTCTGCACAGGCCAATAATGAGAGGATCCTCCGCAAGCTGGTCGAACAGTGCAACAATGGCGTGTTTGGAACCATGCAGCAGGCTGTTGAGGAGCTGGCCATTCCTCGCATCAAGCCGGTGAGGCCCTTCAAGGCGTACGACGGCGCGCTCACACTCGGGGACCCCGAAAAATACAAGAGCGCCTTGAGCATCCACGTCGAGCGCTATTTCAAGACTAAGCGTGCGCCGGCGCCGCCGGCAAGCACCGTGGTTGTCAACTCCGAGCTTGGGGGAGCGTCCCAATCCCAAACCCTTAATGAAGATACTGAGATGGGTGATACCGAGTTTTCCGGCGTCAAGCATATGCGTACCTACAGGGTCAACGATTCGGATGCCCCCGGTGGGAAGCGGGATGTGGAGTTCGAGGACCTTGCGAAAGGGTATCAGTACGGCCGGACCGTTGTGCCCTTTAGCGAATCCGATTTTTCCATCACCAAGCTAGAGACCAAGAAGTCATTCACCATCCTTGGGTTCATTCCATTCAGCAGCGTAAGTCACTTGATTGAGCCTTGATCTTGAGAATTGGTTGCTAAGACGATTGCACAGTACAACCCGTTCCTCAATCTGGGCGAAACGGGCATCATAGTCGCCCAAAAGCACAATGAGGAGTCGGAACTTGGGCTCTCCGCCCTTATCCACGCTCTCCACGAGCTCGAGTCGTATGCCGTGGCGAGATACGTGCAAAAAGACGGCACCCAGCCACAGCTCCTTTTACTCAAGCCGAACCCCGCCATTGAAGACGATTTCGAGTGCCTCTACGATGTACCGCTGCCGTTCGCCGAGGACCTCCGAAGTTACCAGTTCCCTCCACTGGACAAGGTACTTACCGTCACCGGGAATATCATCAAGGAACACCGACTTCTACCGTCAGAGGACCTGAAGCAGGCGATGAGTGATTTCGTCGATGCCATGGACCTTTCTGGCTTCGATGTGGACGAGGACGGGTATGTCGTAGTCTAGGTCCCAACACGCAGCCGACCCAGCTAACTCGGCCCAGAAAACCGACAGAGTACGCGCCAATCGACGAGACGTACAACCCAACCATCCACCGCATGAACCAGGCCATCCGTGCGCGCGCTGTTGACCCGGACGCGCCCATCAGGCCGCCAGCAGAGATCCTACTTCGTTTTTCCAAGCCGCCAGAGGAACTCATTGAAAACGCAAAGCCGGAGATCGAAGCGCTGATCGATGCAGCCGAGATCAAGAAGGGTATGCTGTTGCCTTGGTTACTGCTCTGGCACCTGCTAACACGCGGAATCAGTCCCGGCCAAGGCCCAAGGCCGAGGCGGCCGCAAGGAGCCCGTCAAGCCCCTCTCCGGCCTCGACATCGACTCGCTCCTCGGGGAGAGCAAGCGCACCACGATCTCGCTGGACAACGCGGTCCCCGAGTTTAAGCAGATCCTCGCCACCGCGGCGGACGACGCCACCATCGAGAGCGCGGCCAAGCAGATGGGCCAGATCGTCCGGAAGCTCATCCAGGACAGCTTCGCGGACCTGTTCTACGCACGGGCCGCCGAGAATCTCCGCGTCATGCGCGAGGAGCTCATCAGCTTGGAAGTGCCGGGGTTGTACAATAAGTTCTTGACCGGACTGAAGAAGAGCATTCTGAGTGGGGAGCTGGACGGTGATCGCAGGGAGATGTGGTTTAAGCATATTATTGGGGGTCATCTGGGTCTCATCACCCAAGATGAGTCAGAGGTTTCGGAGGTGACGGTTGATGAGGCCAAGGCGGTAAGTTGCTTGTCCTCGTCTGCGCTGCTTTTGCGGCCTATCGTGGTGTTTTTTGCTGACTGGTGGCTAGTTTTCGACATGACCTATTTGGTACACAGTAGAGGGGGATATTAACTTGTCAGTCTGTACGAGTAGAGTGATGGGCATGCCGTTGTTGGCGGGAAATGATGTAGCATAATGCTGGCGGTGTTGGGCAGGGAGGGCCAGTGAGCAGTGGGTTTTGAGGCCTACTATCGTTAGCTAATATCTGCCACGTTGGGAAGAGAGCCTTGTATCCTTTAAACCAGGGGTTGCACGGCCAGGCTTACTCTCATATGCTAACTAACGTCACACCTGGTCATCTTTGTGCCCAGTTATCTGTGCCTGGTCGCGGCCCAATTTGACATACCGCTATTTCGGGTGCATAGCCTGATCAAATGGTTGCTGAAGGGAGGGAGGGCTGAGATGCTGGGATCCACAATTTGGTTTGTTCATAAACCTGACTCTTGGAACAACACCTCGACTGTTTACAAGATTTCTTTCCTTGGACGTGTTGTGTAACATCCCACTTACAACGCACTCACATCGGAGAAAGTACAAAACTGGTGGCACAGAAGCACTTCACATTCTAGTTTGCACCTGTGTCTAAATCGTCCACTTAAAGAGTGTGCTGCTGTTTGCCATTCTAGTTTGCATTAGCAGCAGGTAAGGTCGCTGCAAACAACCTTGTTTTGTGACTGATCATTTGTGTTAATTCGACAGCTCCTTCCTCAGCCCCTTTCCGTTTGCACTCTTTGTTCCGACACTGCAAGTGCGACTCACAACCACAACGTAACCTCCACCCAACATCTTCGAGCAACCTTGAGAGCATCTACGAGCTGAACCTGTATCAGCCAGGCCGAGCAGTTAGTTCACTTTCCTCATGTCTCCGTTGCAGTGGTGTTAACCATGTCCACAGTATCGATTAAATACACGCCCTTCACACACCCCGGGTCACCTACCTCTGGTCTTAACAACCTCTTCACAGAACTTGATCTGTGGACTGTGACCAGGTCGTTGAGGGTTTGGTCCAAGGTTGTGGCGGGTCATTGACCGGGGCGGAATTTTCACTTTGCTTTTCTTCAACCCACGACTACTTCCTTATTCTTCCCCATCTCCTCGATTTATTTCTCTCGACCAGTTGTTGGTACTCTCGACCTGCCAACAACGAAGACGGGACAATTTTTGTCGTTTTTTTATCCTCACTCGCATTAACTAGACGGGGCGGTCACCAACATCACGTTCTCCAACCAAAAAAAAATGGCAGACGATCAGTTTATGCGTCGCCTTCGGGACATATCCGGCGACGATTCCGACATGTGGGAGGGTTTCGACCCTTCTTCCTGGCGCTTTCACCAACCTGAGGGCGATGAGTCCGAGCCTTCAGATTCGGCAGCCGCCGTTTTCTTCCCCGAGCAAGATGGCTACGCCTCGGACGACTCGGCCGAAATGATCCTCAACTTCCATAAGCTGAGCGAGACCGAGCGGGCCAACCCGGCACGCGGCAGCATCAAGCTTAGCAGGGCGCGCCAGTACGCATCCGAGGAAGTGGGCTTTCCGGACGAGCTTGCTGAGTTGGAGAAGGTCAAGTGGGAAGAGACGGGCCTTGCCATGGGCGACCTCTCGGAGGAGGGCTCGACTTTCGTGCCGTGGAGGCTCATTGACAATTATCCGAGCATGTTCGTCGGCAAGGCCAACGGTGTTCGCGTAAGTGGTTTATTTTGAGTCAACAGTCAACCGAGCATCGGCGTTTATGTGCTGACCATCTCAAGGCCGAGCCGCTATTCACCGTCGACGCTCTTCATGATAAGATTGTCTGGGATCTGTAAGTCGGCATCTCAATGACTCTTTGCTTGGGGTTTCTATCTGACAGTGAACTAGCTACTATCTTCACTGCCCTTCGGATATGAAAATGAAACCTGTTCTTTTTGTCCCCACCTACCAGTTCACACATCTCCTGGACGTGGTCAACGCCAAACTGGAAACCCAGTTTACCATCCCCCATGGCAGAAACAAAGAGAGGTTCATGATGTCGTTTGGCGTCGGCAACAGCCCTCTGCCGCGCTTTCTGGGTCGTTCCCACAGCGCCGAGTCTTTCAAAGCCCTCTCCATGGCTATTCCTGCGCCTCACCCGGACGACGACCTAACCAAAGTAACCAAGCTCGGCGTCGAGGAGTTTAGGCAGCTCCTGAGGCGGACTCGCGCCGATAGGAAGAAGGGCAAGAAATCGGATAGAAACCGCCCGAAACGCATCCAGATGCATCAGCATTGGGGTAGATCTGTCAAGCGTGTTCAGCGCTATCTTGGTCTCCGCGGTAGAGCAGCTGATGAGATGGCTGTTAAACTCGCTGACCTCGACTTTACTCGGCCCATGGTCCATGAGCCCGAGAACTCTGTCTTGTTTGTCGCCATCGACGTTGAGGCCTGGGAGCAGGACCACGGCCTCATTACCGAGGTCGGAATTTCCATGCTGGACACCACCCAGCTCAAGGGCATTGCGCCCGGCGAGGACGGCCAAAACTGGCTGCAGCTCATTAGCGCTCGCCACATTCGTGTCAAGGAGAACTCGTGGGCCACAAACTCGCGCTACGTACAGGGGTGCGCCGACTGCTTCGACTTTGGGTATTTCCCCCCTCTCCCACAGAAAACGCAAGAACCACAAAGCTAATCCCACGCAGCACAACCGAGTTCGTCGAGGAATCCCTCATCTCCGAGCTCATCAAGGACGTCATCGACCGCGCAACCTTTGCCAACGGCGGGGCCCCCCGGCCCGTGGTGCTCGTCTTCCACGAGTCGTCGGCCGACATCAAGTATCTCAAGTACCTGTCCTACCACATCGAAGCCGCTCGGAACGTCATCGACGTCGCCGACACGCGTGAGATGCACCAGTACGTGTTGCGCAGCAATGACTCGGCCAGCCTGGCTAGCGTGCTGAGCTATCTGGACATTCCGTACCGCTACCTGCATAACGCGGGCAATGACGCTGTGTATACCTTGCAGGCCATGCTCGGCCTGGCGGTCAAGAAGATGGGCATGAGCCAGGAGACGCAGAGGGAGAAGATCGAGGGGTAAGAGATGATCATTTAAAGCGCTTCTTTTTTTTATGCCATTGCTGATGAACACTTGTAGTCATGTCCCCTACGCCGACTTCACGGAGAAGGATGGTTGGACCAGCGGCGAGGACACTGACGGTGGCGAGCCGGTTGGCCTGCCTGCTCCTCCAGTTGGCTGGGGTAGTAACGAGGATACCAGCAACCAGGACTGGGGCAGCGAAGAGGCCAACGGCCAGAACTGGGACAGTTAGGAAAACATCCAGGACTGGCCTAGCCAAGGCCAAGCTCGCGTTGGTTCAAGAGATAGATATGTAACTTGCTCGCAGCATAAGGGCGTCTAAAATCTCTTAACACATTCCCTAGGAGTTACCGTGGTGCGTTGGCATGACAGGCGCGCAGTCAAGATTGTGTGTGCATCTAGTGGTATATATTAGAGGAGAGTCACTTAGCCAACGCCAAGTGTGTTCGTGGTCCGCAGACCCAACCTTGCTTCTTCATGTCGCTCCAAATCCGGGGCAAACAACTCGTGATAATACAGCCGTCCCCGTCAGACTCGTTCTGCTAAGGCCTGCCATGACACGACCAAAGCCAATCAATTCATCCTAAGCCAAACCACCCCCCCTTAAACGCCAGTGCTATGATTGTGTGTGTTGTACATGTTGTGGTGTGTTTGACGGCGCGAGATTTGGAATTCGGCGCGGTAGGCTGTTACTCGTACGGCAGGCGCGGGCGGGTCTGTCGCATTGGCAGGTCCCTTCCTTCCCCCGTAGTTGGACCGTGTTTCTCAACTAACTCGAGTTGACGAGATCGGCCCCGTCAACCAGCACCTCCTATACCCTCGCTAATTCCCCAACCCCAACCCCCGGTGGGGTTGGGGGAGGAGCCCAAGCAATTGAATCCGTCATGAGTTCTTCTCCAGAAACTCCTTCGCCTCGTTCACCTTGGTCGCCAGGTACGGACTGCCGCCGCGGTCGGGGTGGTTGAGGAGCATCAGCGTGCGGTGCGCCTTGCGCACCTTGTCCTTGGACAGGCCGCTCTCACTGTTTGTCGTCGGTGTCAGCATGCACAAACAAGCAACTCCCCCCTTTTCCCCCATCATGACCAACATCACCACCGTCACCATCATCGCCACTACCACCACTACCACCACCACCACCACTACCCCACCACTACCACACCATACCACCACTTGGATCGACACCACCACACCGGGGAGCGGGGTAGGAAAGAAAAGGAAACCGAAAAGCAACATACTTCAGCGACAGAATCAGCGCCGCCTCGCGCTTGTTCATCCGCGGCTCGAACCCGCCCTTGTAAAAGGCCTTGCCGAGGGCGCCCACGCCGCCGCGCGACCGCCGCCAGGCTACCAGGCCGGCTCTGCCCTGTTATATATGGCAAACATGCGCGGTTAGGTTCGTGCTCTTGCTCTCGTTTTTGTTCTTGTTGTGTGTGTGGTGTTGCGCTGGGATGGGCTGGGCTTTCGGGGTGCTGCTTGGGTTGGGGGGTTGGGGGGGGGGTGTGAGGGGACGTACAAGAAAAGCGGCGACTGCGACGCCTGCGCCGATGGCGACTGCGGAGGCCATTTTGTTTCCTTTCTCTAGGTTGGTTTGGCCTGGTAAAGGGTTCGGTGGGTGAATGTGGTGATCGTGGGTTCGGCTGGGGTGATGCGCTGTGGGAGCGGGCTTCGTGGTGGTCGTGGTTGGTGACGGCGATGATGCGCTTCGCTGGAGGAGGGATGGTGGATTGCGATGGAACTTTTTCTGTCGGGTTCGAGGGCGGGATTTGCCGCCGCCGCCGTCCGGGACCGGGACCGGGTGTAATATTACCATACATAATACTGTTCCTTACGTCGGTAATTACGGTGCTTGGCCCTTTAAACCTGCTGTTTGTTTGTTGCTTTGGAGTTGCAAGATCTGGACAATAAATCACCCAACTTGATCCGGTCGTCGCAGGACAATTTGTTTTTCCTATTACTGTGTATATCTCATATCTCCAATTTCTACTACCGCGGGGGGGCATAAACCCTCGCCGGCGGCGCCAACCCAACCTCAACATCCATCAGAACCTTCCTCTCCACTTCCTTTTCCTCCTCCTTCCGCCGCTCCTCTTTATCTTCTTCTTCCCTCTCACTCCCACCCATACTCCAATTTCCCGCCCCGCCCCGCCCACTGAGCCCACCGGCCTTGGACTTGGCCGCCAGACTGGCTGCGACCGCGGCGGCTGCTTTGGCGCGGTCCGCTTCCTCCTCTTGTTTCTGTGCCGCCGTGTCGGCTGAGGAGGCCGGCGTGCTAGCAGCGTCGTCGGCGGAGGAGAAGGTAAAGTTCCCTGCGCCGCCGCGTCCGGCGCGGGTGTAGCTTGTGCCGGGACCCAAGCTGGAGCTGCCGGTGGCGTGGGTTGGGGTCAGGCTGAGAGGGTTGGGGAGTTGGTCTTGGGCTTCGAGGTCCTAGGGGCGGACTGGGTTAGTTTAATGCGGTAGAAGGGGGATTAAAGGGGATGAACGGACGGTTGTCGTGCTCGCCTTCTTCTCGGCGTCTTGGACGTCCTGCTTGCTGTAGAAGTTGCCGGCTCCACCACGGCCGACACGGCGGAAAACTTCGGATGACATGTTGCGTGGTTGTTGGCCTGAAGCTCAGTTGGTCTGACTTTTGGATGTTACGGTCAAGGACGGGCCTAGAGCTGGACGGTCATTCAAGTCACTCCATCCAAGCAGACATCGATTCAATTGTCTTGACGCCGTCTCATGTCCTTATCGGGCGATACCCCCAACCCCTTATCAGCCCGGTGTTGCAGCTGTGTAATGCAATTGGGTGCTCCATCCTTTGTGGGTTGGCATAACGATCAAAGTACCTATGTACATTCCTTTCCAAAGCCTATTCCACCTTATCAATACGCTGAAAGTCCGATGTGATTTATTGGAGATCTTTTGTAACATCTCTTAAAGCGGTCCGAGTTAATTCAAACTTACCTCTCAATGGGACTCTTCCCAGAAGTTCGCAGCGAGATCCCTGGGCAACATGCACTTGGGTGCTCTTTTTCCCCAGACGGCTGCGGTCGATCCGCAAAGTTCAGCCAACCACATTAGTTACAGATCAACTTCTTGCAATCCCCGAGCTCGCGGACACCTGATCACAGTATTCCTTGGATTGCAGTCAGTTCAATCGACAGACAGAGATGGGTTGGCTCGCAATAGGGAAAGGGTTGAGGATAGGGAGAGATTTTCACCTAACCCCAACACCAGCCCTATCCCTACCCCTATCCCTCTTCCAGACCTTGGGGAGGTCCTCCTTAGCCAAGCCCTATCCAAACCCTCCCTCTATCCCTAACCTGAACTCACCCAACCTGAACTCACCACCTTGCACCAGTTCGATACAATCCAGTTCAGTCAGCTGCACCTAGTTCAACGTAGTCAGTGTGACGCAGCCGATTGCAGCCAGTTCAATTCGTACATTAGATGGGTCAAACTCGCGATCGGGTTTGGGTTTGGGATAGGGAGGGGAGTTAACGTCAGGGGAGTTCAGGTTAGGGTTAAGGAGGTGAGTTCAGGTTGGCGAGGTTGGGTGAGTTCAGGTTAGGGTTAACGAGGTGAGTTCAGGTTAGGGTTAAGGAGGTGAGGATGAGACGAGGTCGCTCCAAAAGCTCCGGTGGTGTGTGTGCATTTCAGGTGGGTTTTTTTCCCCAGTTCGGCTCAAGCCTCCGACAGAAGAGGAAAAGGTTGTCCCTGCCGATGAGCAAGGGCGGCGTCTGGGGGCCTGGAGCGCAAATCCGGCAGTCTCGGGGACGGCATTTGATGGCGCGGCTTGAACCATCTGGGCGTGCCTGATCGTCACCCGGGGCGTGACGCGCAGCCTCGCTTGATGTGGTTGTGTGGTGGTGTCCCTGCCTTGGAACCCTTCTTTTCGTTTCTCTCCTCGGGTCTGGCTTGTTGCGACGCCAGTTATTTTTCCCGGTCAGGTGGACAGCCCGGCAGCGTCATCTGCTTCCCGAGCTTTCCATCTGTCTGCTCGACTGACCCTGTCAGCAAAAGCCATGGGACCTGTGTCACGAGATTTTTCTTCGTCTGCGGACAACTGCGCTCCGTGGTACCGTGTTTGTTCGTCCACGCACTGGGAGACGAGTTTCTGAACGCAACGGTGGCTTGGGCAACATTCAGGGGTGGCGTTTGAGAAAGGCTCACAACTCTGGCCCTGTTCCCGGAAAGTTTGGAAGTGTTACATGTCGCACGGGGTCCCGCTGGACGGCTTTGGTGCTCCCCGAACGTTTATGCAGCTGCTTCGTGGACAGCCAAGCTCTGTCTGGAGTTGAATCCCGGTTTGTTGAAACAAGAATGAGTTGTCGGTCCTGCGTGATTTGGGACTCGTGAGGTGCTCATCAATTCACTTTCGGGTTCGGTCCAAGGCCAGCCACGTCAAATGGCGCAAGCAGGCGTTATCAATTCGCGAGGCGGCCGGTCGGGGCCAGCCCGGGGGGCATGGAATTGTTCCTGGTGGTTGATTGCGAGTTGATCGCTCATTGGTTTCCTCATTGCCTCTCAAGACCCGACAGCCTGATCGAGGCGGGACGGCAATAGGAGCCGGGACAGCTTGATCGAAGCCGGGCCCGATGAGTTAAGCATGCAGAAGTGTCCTCCCACCTCCAGCGATCCGGTGATCTCGACGATTGGCTCTCGTAGGTTCCGCGGCACGGGAACTGCTTGGGTGAACTGAAGGCGGGGTCCTTCAACAGGTCTAGCCTGTTAAAGGGCGAGCGATCGGGTGATGGGGGAGCATGTCTCGAGATGATTGGCAGGCTGCCATCCGCAATGGATGCAACTCGGCGTCGAGTGCAAGTCAGGTTATTTGACTTTAGGGTTCTTGAGCATGAAAGACGATAATACTCCATAGATTGGCCACTGTTGGGCGAGCACGACGAGCGAGTTGTTGAAAAGAAGGATCACCTGTTCATCCCGAGCGGCCGTTTGAGAACGCATCAATGTTCGATCCCTTTCGAGCAAAAGTTTAAGCACAGTTGCATAGTTGCATAAGCGCGTGCAACTGACTGCCTGGGCCAGTGGACAGGTGATACGGATACTGCTGTCAGATCACTTGGTTGACCGTGTCAGCAAACTGTACTCATTACTCGTGCTCGGTGTTGAACAAAGCGACCGACAACGGAAGACGGAGGCTGTCATGCGTTCGAGTCGAGCATCGGTAAAACACATCGCACCCGGTTGCTCAGTAATAACCCTTGGGCTTGTCGTTTCGATATCCAGCCCTAAATTCCCGGAGAGCGGTTTGCCACGGTCAGAGCGTTCTCCATCGAGAAACTCCATCGAGAAACTCCATCAGTAACTCCATCGAGCGACTCCAGCCCCTCCTCCAGTTCAACAACCCCAGTCATAGTTAGGAAATGGAGATCTAAATGGGGAACACAACAGGCGGGGTAATGGCATGTAACTCCAAGCCGCGGTATAATGCTGCCTCGCTAAGAAGCACCTTGACTCCTTGAGCAATCCATGGAGACACCACCCACCATATTGTGGAATGAATTGGTCGAATAATGACTTTTATCTTGATGGGGTTCTTCTTTGCCCTAAACTTCAAAGACGGGCGGGGTGAGTGAGAATTCCAGTTTCCCAACCTTTTTGTCACTTGATGGGGAATGGCGGCGCCCATTTGAGTCACTTGTGGAGACCAGGTGCTTCGCCTTGGTGACCAAAGGCTCGTGACCCGGCTTCGAGCCGACGCCTCCTCGCTGCGATTCCAACAAAGGCAATCAAGAGCGACGCGTTTTAAATTGACTGTGTGGATGAACGACTCGGTGGTTGTTGACGAGTCCGTTCGGGATTCTGGCATGAAACCGCTTCTTGACTTTCTGCAACCGATTAATTCTGGTCTCATCTTCCACCTCGATTGTCATCTTCGTTCTCTTTTTGTTAATCGGTGGTTCGTCTCATTGTCGCTCTTTCCAACTATGGAAACATCTTAGTGCAAATAGTCTGTAACACTGTCGAATCAAATCAGCCACAGAAGCGCGAAGCGGGTCGCTTCACCGAAGGTGTGAGAAGGCTGCCCCTTGACAGGAAAATGACCAGCCTCACCTCTCATCGAGGAGGAATCATCTTGCCTTGATTCCCGATCTTGCGCGTCGTTTTCTTACCGAGAAAGCTTCAGCCGGCAGCTTCTTCGACTCCCGCATCTTGGATGATGATAGAGTACGAGGGTGTGAGACGCCACCAGCTTTCGGACAACCTGTCCAGTCAGACGCCATCCCAGACACACGATGCTGCATTCGGCAGGACTGGAGGTGTACATCTGGACTTTGAGCGCCGGGCAAGGCAGGTACCGCATCCAAGGGAGGGGCAGCAGGGGTACTTGCCAGGGGCAGATGCGCTTCGCCGAATACGTACCCCCTTGTAGCGCCAACATTCCACCACCAAAGCTGCGAATCGCCCGGGATCGAGGGACATGACAGATGCTCCCATCTCTCCTGCTCTATCTGCCACCTTATTTGATGTCATTATGCCCAAGGAGTTCCAGCGAGTTGCAGTTTGAGCGACCCAGTGACTCCCGCCGCTTCAATCCCTCTCAACTTTTTTTTTTTTTCGGCTGACCCGATCTCGTTGCGTCCCATGCCACGCGCCTCCCGCTGACAGGCAACCCATCCATCTCGACCCGCAATTCGTTCCTCTTGTTGGGCCTTTCTTTCTTTCACACATCCTCCCAAACGGGAGGCACAGCCACTCATCTTTTGCGCTGGATCTTTTCTGTGCCACTGCCGCATCCCAATTGCTGGCCTTTTTTTTTTTCGATCTTGGTGTACCGAGCTTGAGTGGTTGGCAAGAGTCACCAGGGGGACCCATACCCTAGCCGGGCCCGAAATTATTATTGTTCCTCCCCGCGCTTCGACCGGCAGCTCCCAGCTGTTCCCAACCGCAACACAAGGCACCTCGAACAATCGTGGCCCACCAACAACCTCGCACACACACCAGTCCACCGCAACACGCCTCCTCTTTGCAGCTTTTAAATTGCTTTTTTCCTTTTCTTTTGAGAATCGCCTCGCCTTCACTTTGGATACAAAGCGAATTGCGAGATCCGCGTACACGCTGGATCTCTACTTGTTCCTGACGGGAGTTGTTTAACAATGGCGTCCTCCAAGGTAGGCCCCATCTCTGACGCACTGGCGGACTGCGACTTCGGCTTCCCGCCTCCGCAGACCAACACAGCACTGACGGCATCCTGTACCTGCTTAGGAAATACAACAAACTACGCGGCCGCTCTCGCACCGCCCGTCGATCTCGTCGACCTCCGTACCGGGTGGACTCACGCTTAACCGACAATCACACTCCCGAAATAACTCGCACTCGCACTCGCTTCTCGGAAGCGCCCTCAATGGCGCCCACCGCGTCACACGCCGCAAGAGCATGACAAACACAGGTGCGAACGTGGCAGCGGTAGCCGCAGCTCTTCAGGAATCCGGGGATATGGCCATGCCACTTCCAATTGCCGCAGGCTCCCGGCGAAACACCATATCCAAGAACGGCCTCTCGCGGTCAGCTATCGTGGGGAGCCTCCCATCACCGCCGGCAAGCCTCCCGACGCATAGATTCGCGACAGGACATGGGGCAGCCAACGCGCAGGAGAGTGCAATCGACGACGAGCTCAACGAAATGTCCGGGGACGAGGCCGAATCGGCCTTCCAGAAGGCTCGCACGAGAAGAGCTAGCGACGGCCAGCCCCTGGTGAAGGAAGGCGGCCGGAAGATCAACCGCCCGGATCTTCGCTGCGAGAAGTGCGGAAAGGGATACAAGCATAGCAGCTGCTTGAACAAGCATTTGTTTGTGCCCATTTTCCTTTCCTTACCCTCTCCCACCACGTGGTACCCGAGTGCGGATCCGACAAGCCCGGACCGGTCATGGACCCCAAGCTGTGCGGTTTGAAGCACTTGTGTTGACTTGTTTGCCCGTTCAGGTGGGAGCACACTCCCGAATGGTCCTACACTTCCAAGCTCTTGATTTCCAAGCATCAGCAAGTCCAGCTTCTGGAGGCCGCCTCGGTCCTGGTGGCCATGAACAACACCCCGACGGCCACTGCCGCACCCACCGTCACGACACCCCCAGACTCGGCTCGGGACTTTATCAGCGATCGAGACTCGGCGTCCCCCGCCGCGAGCGGATACTCGGAGCAGCAGGACCGTGGGTCGGCCGACACGACGCCGCCGCCGCAGCTGGACGCCTTCAACGCAGCGAACGCGTCCTACAGGAGTTTTGGCAAGAGGTACAGCAACGGAAGCGGCTTGTCCCGGTCCTACCAGACGGCACCCTACGGCAGCTCGGTGGCAGACAGCGTCCCGAGCGTGTCGGGCTTTGGACATTTCCGGCAGCTTAGCCAGGACCAGAGGCCCACATCGTCGGGGAGGAACGCCACCGGCCAGGATGACCGCGAGCTTGCGGCCGCCGTGGAACTGCTCAGCTGCAGCTTCAACAGCAATGGCGGCTCACGGACGGTTCACCTCCCCGCCGATGCGCCGCCGGTGCCGCCGCTCCCGGCACAGTATCTCGACCAGGGGATGTTGTCAGGCACGAGCTTCATCAACAGCTACCCTAGTAGGGCGCCGGAGAGCTTCACGCGCGGCGAGATGCGGAGGGTGGACGCAAAGATGGAGGAGAGCGGCGAGAGTGTCATGGACGATGACGACGACGAGGACATGCGGTCCCGGGCGCGGAGCGACGAGGACGACGACGGTGTCTTCGGTAGGATGGAGGAATGAGCTCGCGATACCAAGCGACGAGCCTCGTTCTTTTTCTGGAGAGATTTGCATAAGTTTATTGGACGCGAAGGGTTTTTATGAAATGGATCAGGTCACGGATACGACGGACGGATACGGGTCTCTTTTGTATACCTATATTGTAAAGCGTGTAAATGATGTCGCTCCGCCGACGGCCCTTGGCACCGAAGAGTGGAACGCGCGCGTGGGTTCCTGCTGGCGTTTGATGTCGGGAGCGCGTTGGCGCCACGAGGTTAAAGTGAGGGCCGTGTGCGAGCGTTGAGCGGGCGTCGAGCGAATGTGGACTCGGTGTTTTGGTGTAGTGATGGGATGGGGGTTTTTTATCAAGCACAACAAACACATTGGGATCTCGCCCAATTTTTCACTATTGTTCTGGCTGGGGCTGGGGCTCACGAACAAGAAATTGAAATAATAATAAAAAAAACTCACATAGACAAAAAAGTCTTGGGGAGGCTGAAGGTTGTCTCTCGTTTGGGTTGCTGGCGAACTAAGATGGACGTGGTTACCTCAGGGTTCCATTTCCGGGAGTCCACGAGCAAACGCAGACAGAGCAACGCAGCAGCGTCTGAAGTCAAGATCAGGAACCGCCCGACTGCAAAACTGTGCTTCGCGGTGGAGACGGACTGACATATCCAGTGGAAATCATAATCTTGGAGCCCGAGCTAGGCAAAGTGGAAATGAGGTGACAAAAGAGGGAATCTTGTCTCGGCAAGCTGCATCTGACGGAGATGGGCAGTGTAGTCTGTTTGGCTGTTTGGTCGGAATAGATGGTTGGGCAAACGGGTTCGTGCCTCTCACAAACTCTTTCGCCCTTGGAATAAGGCACCAGATCCATTTTCTCAGGGCGGGCCAAGGCGGGCGGCGGCGGAGCTCAACACGCTGAGCGGGAGGGGCCCCGGTGGGTTGGTTCCTGTCCAAGACGTCAGAGGATCCACACGGCCCCGGCATAATGCATCCCACACGGGCCAAAGCTTTCGGAGCTCTCTTTCGGGCGCGTTTGCACCTGTAATCTGGGAGTTATCGAGCGCCGTTTGTCCACTCGCCTTTTCAACCAACCAAGCAACCAACAAACAAACGGGCAGCATCGCGGCGGCAGCATATGGAGGTCAGGTCCCCATCCTGACTTTTGGGATTCTCTTGCAACCTCATCCTTCATGCCACCTCATCTGAACTAGCTACCTATTATTAGCATTAGCCGCATTCGCTTCAGAGTATCCCGGGTCTTACGATTGCCGTTGTCGCACAGCATTGGTCTCCGGCTTTGCTCCCCTCGAATTAATCGATCGATTAGTTATTCTCCGAACCAGAATCCTTCACATTATCACCGACCGAACCGATGGACCGAGCAAAAGAGGCCGCAGCTGAGGCTGCCGACGCCGCACCGATCTTACCTGGGGGCGCGTTATCCCCGAAACGCGCCGCCCGACTGCCCGGTGCCGCCCGGTTCGTTCTGGCGGTCGTGCTAAGCTTTGCGCTGTCAGCGCTGGGCCGCTCGTTTGTCGACCACTGGAGCAACAATGAGATGGGAAGCATTGCGAGGGAGATCACCTCCCAGACGGAGCTGTCTGTTTTGGCCGGGTGGAAGCTGTATGTCCCCAACCGCTCCCCTCCTTTTTATTTTGAGAGCGCGATCTGGTGTCTTCCGATGTGTTTCGCCCACAGCCCTGCCCTGCTCTCCACCTCAGCCGAGGGCTGACGAGGATGACCCCCACCGTTTACTACTGCCGGGCCCAAACTAATCTTGGCTTCGGACGACAGGTTCGGACTCGCCCTGGGTTGGTACGCGGGCTACGATGGCTTCGACCTTGCAGCTCTCGCCCTACTCTCGCATGGCCCGGTGGTAAGCTTCCCCACCCCCTCCCCCAGCGGCGTGCCCCTCGTAGGGCTGGCCGTCAGCACAGGCGAGCTCGGGGGTTTTCCCGCACCTCCCACATGGCACGGCGGGGCGTAGGGGCGCAGTCCCACTGACGTGCATGAACACCCACCCAGACCTTTGTCACCACCGTCTTCTACGGGATCCGCGGCCTGACGGCCAGCGCTTACCTCGCCGTCGAAATCGCATCAGCGTCCCTGCCGTTCCTCCTCCTGCGCCGGCTGTCCGCGGCCCACTCAGCCGCGCCCCGCACGCCCGGCCTCGAGGTGGTGCTCGACCGGACCATCCTGGCGCTCACCTGGTCCCAGTCGGCCGGTCTCTACATCTCGGTGCTGCTCGTGGCCAGCCACTTCATCCTGCCCACCAACTTCGTGCTCTACTTCCAGGGCATCCCCACGGTGCAGCCCGCGGCGGACGCCAGCCTCTTCGGGCCGGGCAACGTGGCCGGCGTCCCGCTCAGCATGCTGTGCGGGCTGGCGGCGCGGAGCTTCATCTTCGTGCCGCTGGTGTCCACGGAGCCCGTGGCGGCGGCGGACGTGTGGATCGCCGCCTTCGACCCGGTCCACGCCACGCTCCTCAGCACCCTGCAGTGGAACCTGTTTGGCTACACCACCCGCGCCAGGCTGTCCGTCTCCCGCATCTCCGTGGCCGTGCTCTTCACCGCCGTCGGTACCTATCTCGACACCGCCGTCGCCATCAACGGCGTCGAGCCCTACGGCGGGGTTGTTTATGCTGCTGTGTGGGTCGTCGCTACCGTGATCACCGGGGGCATGCTGCACGCTATCGCGTGCACATGAGGCGAGAGTGTGTCATTTCTTGCTTTGCTTGCCTGGCCGTTTTTTGATGGTTTGTTTGCGCGTCCCGGGCGGACAGGTGACGTGCGCGCCCTTTGCCCGTCTTGGGGTGGGTTTTGTTTACATACATACATTGGTTGGAACCTGCATAGGCACGGAGTGACAGGGGTTAATAGGGCTTTTTGGTGACGTGCGCTGGTTAGGCTGCAAAATGTGGGAGTTTGGACTCGAGGACTCAAGGACGTTGAGTGGTTTTGGTTTATGGCGTCCGGCTTGCGTTCCGGGCTTCCAAATTAACAGGCATCCATCTATCACAAACCTTCGATCATCTTCTGCCCCGCGCCTCTCTCTCCCGTCTGTTGTTCAAGGATACACAATCGGTGGCCGGGTGGCCGGGTTTGTTTCAGGTAGTTGTGCGTTTTGATGGGGTAACATGACATATGTGTGGTTGTGAGGTGGTGTTGTTGTTGTTATGCCAGGGGGGGCTGTGAAACCCCGGCAGCGGCTGTCGTGTGAGCTTGCTTGCGTTGGTGCGTCGGTGCGTCGGTTACCGCATCGGGCGCCCGGTGTCGCATGCATTGGACGGACAAACCAGTCATGAAGGATTCGGATTGGCGCGCGTTTGCGGCAGCGATGACAGGTACGGTGTGCCGCAAAGAGAGAGAGAGGACACTTTGGCGGGGAGCATGCCCTGTGCCAAGGCCCAGCTGAGGCCGGATTCGCCTTGTGGAGGGTAAGGTAAGGCTTTCCGGAGTCGGCACGCCCAAGGGCCCAGGGAGGGGGACCGGGGCTCCGATGAAGCAACCGTCGCGAAGGAAAGGGACACCTTACCGATTACCGATGTATGTTGTGTGATGTGATGTGGCGGGCGGTCTGACCAGAAGGAAACCACGTGCGGCGGGGGTCAGTCACGTCTTTCCTGCTCTTGCTCGAGAGGAAAAAGTCACTTTCAGCCGTGGCTCGTCGACTGCGCCTTACCTGAAGTTTCAGTGGGTATTTACTCCCCCTGAGCGAATGGTAGGGCAAGGATCAGGGCGCCTCATCTCGTGTCCCCCGGGCCCGGCAACGCCGTCGACAAGACAGACAAGACCTCACCTCGTCCGGATTTGTGCCTGGCGGCCTCTTGTGGAATGGAATTGAAAGTTCATGGTCTTAATCCGAAGATGGGCTGAAAGAGAAAAAGCGGCTTGGAATAAGCTATCGGCGGCTGCGGCTACCGAAGATCGGTTTTAGTTGCGGCGTTGTTGGTAATGTGGTAATAAGAGACCCATCTGATAGAGACGCTGCGCCACATTTCCCTTTCCTCGCTCAAACCACCCAATCACATTTCGGATCCGGACTCCAAGTCCCAAGAGCCGCTTCCTGGTCTCCATAATTCTGTCCTAAACAGCTCGCGTCTAAGTTGGGCGACTGCTCGAATTGGAACTGGGATCACCCTTCTTCCTGCCTCTTCCCAGCTCCCCCTCCCTCCCAGGAGGGACCAGTATGGGGGACCGGGGGGAGGTGGGATGTTACCTGTCACTCCCCGGGAAGGCTGTGGGGCGCGTGATGGCGCCCGGCCGTTATTCGACTTGATGTTGCTCGTCGAGCCGGGGCACGGGAGGGGGTGTAAAGGGGGGAAGTGGAGTGAAGCGAGAGGAAAGACTCATACTCCTCGGGATGGAGGCTCTCATGGAACGCCCTCGGTCAGTGCTCGCAGGCAGAAACCGGGGCCGGCCCGGTTCAGGTGGAGGTTTACTTTTCTTTGCTGGCTGATCTAGGTTGCGGTCCCGGAGACCGTTGAGAGGTCATGGCTTACACCTTGTGCCTGCCTACCTTACCTTACTTACACCTTGCCGGATCCCGGGGCTGTTCGGACGTAACGAAATGTTACCGCTTTCTATATAGCTTCCCGAACAATGCCCTCACCAGCTGGTCATGTTCGGTCTGGCATTCAATATTCCAACCTCTCCAAGCCCTGCTTCCTCTGACTCCTCGACAACAGATCGTGGCTGTTGCACGAAGCATGACTGCCACGCCGTACGGGTGCCATCACGAAGCTGGATCAAGCAGTCACACACAGTCGTCGCTATCACTTTCTTACCCGTGACGAGGAACATGAAAAGGGGCAGCCAACCTCCTCCGGTTGATACCGCAGAAGAAGCATCCACAACAACAACATCACCGGCAACCACATCCACCCCCACCCCAACCATCACCACAACGGTTGCCTCTTCCCCCTCGGCCTCCCCCTCCACACCAACAACTATATCAACCGCAGCCCCCTCCCCCAACCCGTCCATGAGCACAACCACAACCGGAGCCGAGGAAGACCCAGCAACAGCAAACATGTACGAGTACGAGCACATCATGACCTTCGACGAGCCCATGATGATGGGCTCGTCGTCGTCGACCGCCGTCGCCACCGGCAGCAGCAGCTCGGCCAGCGGGTCGGTCAAGAAGAAGAAGTCGATCAAGTCGGACGACTCGCTGACCCTGCGCGGGCCCATGGAGGTCGACGGGTCCGTCAAGTCGATGGCCTCCGTGTCCTTCTCCGGGGACTTTTCTGTTCGGGATCGCATCGAGGCCTACGGCAACCTGGAGGTGGATGGGAATCTGACCTGTGGTGGGAAGGTGAAGAGCATGGGGAATGTCAAGGTTAGGGGGGCGGTCGTCTGCATGTGAGTTGTTTTCTTTCTTTCTCGTCCGCAATTTGTTTGTTTGTTTGTTTGTTTGTCTTCCTCCCTTTGGATCATTGGCTGACTTGACTCGTGATATAGGGACAAAGTCAAGATCTTTGGCAAGCTCAAGATCACCGGGACACTGGAGGTACATGGGGATTTGGAGGTTTGGGGCAAGCTGACCATTGATGGTTATCTGTACGTTTCTCCCGTCTATTTACTCTGGTATTTGATGAGAACAGCCAACTAACTCATAGCAGGAAGTGCAGGACTCTGACGGCGTATGCCTCTCTCACCACCGTCGGTGACCAATCTTGGTACGAGGTGGAAGAGGGCGAGAAGGTTCATGGCGCGAAGCTGGTGCAGCGTTATTGAGGGATGATGATGGTGTTTTTTTGGGAGGCGTTTTTGTTTTCTTTTGGCTATCTCTCTTCTCTTTCTCTTTCTGATGACGATAACATGGGTCTGCTAGGTTTGGAGTTGTACACCACCGGGTTGTGTTTGGATGGGTTTCCGTTTAAATGGGTTCCTGTTTGGGTTCGGGCTTGGGTTGAGGTTCGGTTTTAATTTGGGTGTGGGTTTGGGTGTGGGATTGAGTTGGGCTTGAGTTTGGGTTTGAGTTTGGGTTTGAGTTTGGTTTTGGCTTTTGTTTTTGTTTTGAGTTTCTTCGTTTTTTCTTTTCTTGTTTTCACTTTCTGTTCTTTCTTCCTTCTTTTGGCCAGATGGGGTCTCTACACTTTGCATATACACCTGGTATGGGGTTTTACGGCTTGGAAGGACAAGACTACAGGAGAGGCTCACAGCCCTATACACAGTACATTTTGATGTTTTGGAAACAAGTTGGCCGGGTCGGTTTGGCTACACATACAAGCTTCTTTCTTAGGTTCATCGGATTCATCAGTAGCGAGACTTACATCAAATGGATCTCTGCGATTCAGCATGATCATGCCCAAAGCCGAAATGGCTCCCTCAATCAACATATCGAACTTCCAGAATCTGCCTAGCCAAACTCAATATCTTTACGAGCTTTCTGCCTATTCATGAAGCCCCGCTATGATTCAGGCCGGTCTGTTGATATTGTCAGAGGAGCTCAGTCGGATGAACTTTAAGGTAAAACATGTCAATCCCCGCTGTTTGATGACCCGAAGATCTGCGCTGACAGCCTAAATAAAACGGGCCCCATCTTTTCGAAGAGGACGTTGGATTGGAAGAAAGCCTTTTGGAGAGGGAGCTTAAACTGTGGGTTCCAGAAAGCTGTGGAACTGGTTCTGCTGCTTGAGCCCCGTTGAGGCCAACCCTCCGCCCAGTGGAACAGGTCCCAAGATCGCTGGAAATCCCCGAACTGGGGGCCATGCAGCAGCATGGAATGGCTGCAGCCGTGGATCCAGACTGGCCTCCATGTCCAATGCAGCTCCGCCCCTTGTTAAAACGTGGGGGCTTGCAGCCCCACTTGCCCGCTTGCCAGCCAGTGCCACCCCATTGCTTGGCGCGACCCTGCAGCTTCGCAACCGCGTTCCACATTCACCACCAGCCTGGCTATCGCGAAAAACCCTCCTGCAACCGGCAACAAAGCCACGCGAAAATCACGTTTCAACCGAGTCGCACCCGTGGTGATAATCCAAAACCAGAGAACAATGTGGTATTGATTGAAGGGCGATAGCGGCGACCTTATTCTACGACGCACGGCGCGATATTTCGTCGCAGAAAATCGTCATGGCTACAGAAGACGTTGTCCGTCGCGACGTCATGGAGGAGGCCATCTCGCCGAGGCAGCCGGCGCCCTCTGTCGAACGGGCTATGCAGTCCAGTGGCCGGCTGAGCAACCCACTCAACCATCTCGACATGCGCGCCGACCCCGACGCACAGGCTACCGTTTCCGATTTCCTCGACTTCACCGAATACCTCCCCGCCGACATCGCCCGCTCCCTCACGTTGATCGGCAACCTAAGCGAGACCTACGTCAACAGCTCTTCGAAGCTCAACGACCTTAGCACTGCCTGGGGAAAGCTCCCTAGCATCCCGTCCGCCGACCAAACTGGCGCCGTCCGCCTGCGCGAAGAGATCGCCGACGACCTCCACCACGCCTTGAACTCGCGTGTCTATTCGCTCGCCGAATCCCAGCGCATGACCGAGAATGTCCTCCGTCACTATACCCGTGCCAAGACCATATTCGGGAAACTGGCAACGATGCGGGAGAACTATTCCGCCGCCGAGGAGCAGAAGAGCCCTGTCACGGCCAAGTCACCTCAGATGTCCCGGGCCTCTAAGGCAACCATGCAGGGCGACGGCCAAAAGGTGCGGAGGCCTCGGGTCCCGCGGATCACAGTTCCGGGGGAGGTACTCGCGCCTTACGACTTGAATTATGACGCATATACCACGGGGACGGACAGTAGCTCCGAGGAAGAAGAGAACGAGACCGAGGGGGTAACCCCCGCTCCGCATGCGCGCATTAAGTTGGTGAAGGGCGCGTCGAAGACCCCCAAGCCCGGCAGACCGCCCCGGCCTGCGGGTGCTGTCGCGACGCCAGGCACACCGGGGGCTGGCCTGCTATCAACAAGCGCCGCAATGGCTCAACTGGCTCCTCCCCCGGTCAATGCTGTCGTCGGCGGGCCGGACGCTCCCTGGGGTCAGCTAACACCCTACGAGCTTGCCAGACTCAGGAAACGTATGAAGAAGAATGCCGCCTGGACCCCTAGTGATACCATGGTGGCACGTGAGCTGAACGGCTTGGGGCGAGGTGTAGATGCGTTTCGAGCCGCGAAGCAGAAGGCCGAGGAGGAAGGGGAGGTTTTTGAAGGCAAGATGCCCACTCCCGATGTCGATCCCGACACAGGCCAGACGCGGATGCCGGCCGGAGCTCTGACCTTGGAAGCCCTCGCTTCGGACGAAAAGAACCTGAGCAATCGCGGGATGAAGCTGAACGAGGCTAAGAAGCTCAAGAGAGAAATGCTAGCTAAGATGGCTGCCGAAGAGGCCGAGGAGTCCGCCAGGAGGTTCGACGCTATCGCTAGGACCCTTATGTCGGACCCTAACCAAGCCAACGCCCAGGATCAATCCAAGACAGCCGCTAAAGCGAAGGCCCAGAGAAAGCGCAAGCGTGATTCGGCCCCCGAGGCTGAGATAGAAAAGCCGGAGGCGGTCGAGAGTCAGAGTCAGCCCCAGCGACCTCAGCTCAAGCGCACTAAGACAGAGACACCGGTCCCCCCTCCGCTCCTGACGCCGGGCGGCTCACAGCTGCCCCATGAGACACCAACGCAAGCCCCCCAGCGCACGTCAAATGCGGGTATGCTGCATTCCACCACGCCCATCCCACTACCGATCCATAGCCAGGAGCCGTCCATCACAGCAAAGTCTACAACGCCGGTAGCCTCAGCAACGTCTCCAGCCAGCAGTTACGCCGGCCCGACCGCCGCGGCACCCACCCTGGCGCCCGTCAAGCTTCCCACGGCCGAAACCCCGATACCTCCTCCGGTAATCTCACCCAAGAAATCCATGACACCCATCCTTCCCCCAACCAGGGAAACCCGCAAAAGTCAAGCAGCGCGTGCGCAGGAGCAACAGCAGCTCGACGCTCGCGCAGCCCAAGTCATCGGGGACATCTCCCGCTCCGCGAGCCCGGCCACCACCCCCAACCCCGACCCGGACGCTGCATCGACCGTCACGCCCACCCCGGCCGCCAGCACAGTCACCCGCCGCCCCGCCTCCCGCGGCAAGGCCACCAGCCAGGAGCCGCAACCCTCCCTCGCCGCAGACCGGCCCCGGCGCGCTAGCACCGCCCGGAACACGCCTGCGCCCGACCGGGCCGACCCCCAGCAGCAGCAGCAGCAGCAACATCAGCAACATCAACAACAACAACAGCAACAATCCACCCCAACCCCCGCCACAGGCACAGGCACAACACCAAGCACGGGCACGCCCCCAGGCACCGCGGCGGCAGCAATGGCGTCAACAGCGAACGCGAACGCGAACGCGGCCGCCCGCCCCGCAAACAAGCGCGCCAAGCGGCCCGCCCCAGGCATCATCAGCCGGACCAACAGCGGCGGTAAGAGCGCCGTGGGCATGCGCAAGGCGGCGCCGCGCAAGAAGAGCGCCTCGGCGCGGGCGGGGAAAGCCGCCGCCGCGGCGAGGGCTGCGTCTGCTGGTGCGTCTGGCGATGGTGTCTCCGGTGCTGCTGGTGCGGCTGGTGGTGTGGGTTTGGGTGTGGGTGCTGGTGGGGGTGGTGCGGTGGGGGAGGCGGCGCAGGAGGTCGAGGTGGATGACGAGGGCAACGTGATCGATCCGCACGAGGAACGGTATTGCCTGTGTAATCGCGTTAGTTTCGGGACTATGATTCAGTGCGATAACGGTGATGTGAGTCCCTCTTTTCATTACTCGTTTTCTGCTGCTACTCTCCCGAGTTCTGTTTCTTTTGTTGCTATGGTGGTGGTGGTGTGTGTGTGATGGCAGTGCTGACTGGAGTGGAAACCTGCAGAATTGCAAACTCGAGTGGTTCCATCTTGAGTGTGTCGGGCTGTCCGACATTCCGGCGCGCACTACGAAGTGGTACTGCCCTGATTGCAGGAAGCTGCTTAATATCGGCGAGAGGGGCGAGGTTAGTGCCCGGGGCGTGAGGGCTTGACTCGGCCCGGAGTCGGACTCTGACCCTGACGCTTGATGCCTGGCGCCTGGCGCTGGACGGGGGGAGGTGGGTTTGGAGCGGGTTGGGGCTCGTTTACCTTTCGCTTCTTGACTCCTTTTCTTTCTTTCTTCTTCTTTTTACTTATGTTACCCGCTATTTCCCCTTCCCTAGGGCTTGATATAGCCTTGTGGGAGTCTACGGGGGGATCAGGGGTGACAATCTTATACTTGAGGGCGTTGGAGGTGGTTTAAATAGGGACCGCGCCTTGGGATTGGGTGCGATACTTTTCTGCGTACACGCTATGCATGGTTTATTTTATTGCTTGAATCCACGGGTTTATTACTGGTTGTGGTATATTTGTTGGCGTTGAGTGTTGTGGTATTTTGTACGGATTACGGAGTTCTGGTGGATGGCCAAGGAGAAGTGGGTGATACAGGTGATACACGGATCGCTTCCAGCAGTTTGCCTGCTTCCTTTCACGAAGGAAGCTACCCTACAAATCTGATCCAAATTTCTAGTCATCTTTGACTGTGTTCTCTACAGGTTGACATAAGCGGCAGCCTATTGCCCGGTACTTGCCAATAGACGACTCCCTAGGTGTGGCGGTTAACAAGGGGCGGTTTCTGCACCAAGCACATACCAAGTAGACGTAATGATTGCGTACGATCCGGGTGACATATCTAGCGTCGAACCAATAGCGTGGCAAGAACACAATATGCACAGTATGTTGTCTCTGTGTTCGTTCGGCAGGGGCCGTGCAAGAGTGGGAACGCACGCACGAAGGGGGTCTCCCGGGAGATGGGGTTGTGAAGAACTTCAATCTCCAGCCATCCCGGCTTGCCTCAGCTTTCTATTTCGCCCTCGGTTATGGCGGCCAACAACACCACGCAACAGGCACTCAACGCCCTCACCAAACGAGACATGAGTTCACATTCGAGTTCGGCTTCGACTTCGCCGGCAATACCCGGCGGCGAATCTGGCTACGAGCCGTGGTATCCCAACAACATACCTCTGGATTCGTCCATTAAGCGCTTCATCACCCACTTCTTCGAGGTCTCGGATGACCCGGACCGGAATGAGGAGTGGGTCGGATTATTCGATGAGAACGCGACGGTGATGATAGGGAATGATGTGGCCAAGGGGAAGGAAGGTCAGTTTCTCCTCTTCGAGGCGGTTACAGTTTAGCAGCCTTGTCGTAAGGTAGTTTGACTGATTTATCCGACATTATCTAAGAGATCCGTAAACTCAGAGAGCGTATGTGGAAAGAGGTCGAAGCGCGCAAGCACCGGTTGGTAAAAGTGTTCCCGGCCAGCTTCTCCAGCGAGCGCACTGCGGTTGTGTCGATGCATGAAGCCGAGTATATGCTATTTGGGGCAGCGGCGTTTAGGATGAGAGATGAGGCAAAGGAGGATGCAGTGGTCGGGTGGGCTGGGCATGCGCAGCTGAGGAGGGACGGAGTGACTGCGCCGTGGCGGTTGGGGTTTTATCGTGTATATATCCAGAGGTGAGCGATGCTCGGCACGCACAGTCGAGGCGACTTCATTTTACCCATCGAGCCATTCAAGTGGTGTTGGTCTGTCATGTGGTCTTTCGGTTTGTTCTCTCGAGCCAAAGCTACAAGAAGAGCCTGGCGGGGAATGACGTGTTGGCTTTGGGGGAGGGTGCGGGGTGACGGGGAGTGACCCTGATGTAACTCCACCGACTCATCCGGCAAGATCATGCTCCAACAACTCGTCCGCAAGGGACCGCCCATCTATGGCCGAACCCCCCGGAGAGAAACCGCCGGATCTTCAGTTGGTTATGTATGTTCTTCTCCAGGCTGCGCCGACCGAGGTCATTGGTGAAGGTCAGCAGCAGCGCGGGTAGGTGGTCAGGCCCCTCGCCGCGCCACGAAACCTTGATGGATGGCCTCGCGAAAGGAATGACGTAAGTTGCTGCGAGAATGAGGCCTGGGAATCAACGGCCCCAGGGTGCCAAAGCCGAGACGGCACTGCGACTAGAATAGTCCGATGGCTTCCCATGACTCCTCTGCCGACACGTGTTGCTTCTGGTATATAGGTATGTACCTACCTTGCGCAAGCCAACCGCTTATCGCGAAAACTGTCCTCAAGAAACAACCTCGCCTACCGCTCTTGGAGAATCATCACCGCTCGACGAAAACAGCGATAATCAGACAATCAGCCCCGCCAGACCCTGATAGCGCTGATGCTTGTCTGGAGATCATGCACTCGCGCTATTCCGTTCACAGCTGAAATCCCCCCAACAGAGAGTGGGTTGACCGTGCAGAAGACCCCACTCGCCCTGTGACCCCAGCTTGCCCAGGAACGAACCCCTCCCGCCCTTGCCTTCTTGGGCCCGCGTCCTGCGGCCAGCCCCGCCTCAACGCGACACCCAGGCGGTTGCACCTGTCAATCCTCTGCCCCCCCCAGCGGCTTCGCTCCGGAGTCACAGCAGCACCTACCTGGCAACCTACCTGACCTGGCATCGGCTTGTTGACGCATCCATCACTATCCCGCCATTTCTCTTCAATACAACAACTCTTCACTCTTTACTACCTTACTACTGTCAATAACGAACCAAACAAACAAACTGGTCTTCCTTTCTTTGCACCTTCTGCATACCTCGGCGTTTCTTGTTTCTTGTTGATAGAAGACCTCCTCCCCTTTTCACTTGGGCAGTGCCTCAGTGCTTTTAGAATTACCGCTCTTTGTCCCAACCGACATCGATTCCGCGCATATAACCCGGCCAGCCGGGCTTCCCATCTCTGTCCTACATCGACCGCAAACGTATTGCAGCCGCCTTATTATCCGTCGAATACATAAACGTCATCCCTCCACGGCTTCCTTAATCGACACCGCCTTCAACCTTCCACCGGGTTGACCCTACTCCTTCCGTTCGGGCAGGCCGCTGCTCGTCTTCTTCCTCTGGTTGCCATTCATGCCGGGTATGTCCAGCCCCTTCATCAAACCCTCAACCTTCTCGAACGTTCTAGAAGCGCTCCCCGAGCCCTACTCAGCTTGAACAACATCTACGGGGTTCTACAGCGGTCTCTGTGCTTTGGGAGCAACTAGGCTGACATGCCATTCTGTGATAGGCTCCAAGAAGGACCGGAAGAATGGCAAAGAAGGCGGCGGCGTGGTCGCAGCGGTGACGAAACATGGTGCTAAGTTCTCGTGAGTTTCTCTCGTCCGTTTGATGAAACACGCCCCCTGGGGAACTTGATGCTAACCACGTCACAGCAACGGGACCACCACCAAGGATTCTTCTTCCAACCCTTCACCTGTTATCTCCCCAGAGATGAACCCTTCTAGCCTCTCCTCGAACGACAACCACATCGCCTCGCCGATGCTGGACGCCGTTTCATCGACATCCTATGCAACGAGCAACTCGCCGCGAACAAGGGAATGGGCAAGAGGGCTCGGTGCAGGCATGGCTGGGTCTCCGGTGAACCTCATTAGCCTGGTTGGGGAGTCACCTCCCACGGCACCCTCCTCATATGAGGACACGCGCGGCATCCGGTCCGGCTGGTCCTCACCGAGGCCGGCTGTCGGTTACCATCCAGCCTCGGCTTCGCCGCCGACTGCTGGCCGCCGGCCGCTTAGTTTCCACATGGACAACCAATATTCACCACCAGACTCGCATCTGCAGCTCGCCGCGGCAGCCGCGAGACGCAGCTCTATGCACTCGCATTACGCCCAGGTTAGGGCTGCCTCGAACCCGCCGCTCCCGCATCAACCACAGCCGCACTTTTACGGTGCGCCTGCTCTCGATCTTGATGTGCAGCAACAGTCTGGCATGAATGCCGGCGAGAAGGGCTATTATTTTGGCTTCGATACCCTCTCGCCGCATGATGCTGACCGCGTCCCTGGAAAGGACAACGTGGTCCTTGCCGGATATGAGGGAGGGCTCGAGGTATTCTCGGTTGGAAAACGAGGCCTCGAGAGCGCTGCTAGTCTAAAAGGACTGCGCGGGGGCGTGTACCATGCCAAGGTTTTGCCGTGGGCGCCTGAGAATTCTGAGCTGTTCCCTCTGGTTGCGGTAGTTATTCATGGCCCGACCATTCCGCCGCCGACGCCGGAAGTTACCGTCGAGGGGGACTACGATGCGGTTTCTGCCGAGAGGTCCGAGGCGATGAGCAACGCCAGCCCGGATCCCGCAGCCAGGAATATTGGCAACAGGGTTGCCCCTGGCTTCGTCGAGTCGTACCAGACAACGGTTGAGGTGTTCTCGTTGAAGACTGGCCGCCAGGTGAGCGTTCTTCTTGAGGCGCCTAAGATACCCCTCAAATCGCCCATCACGAGCCCGAGCTTCAAGGCGCCTCCGCCGAGCGGCGCGTTCCATGTGCACGCCGATGGTGGCAATATCGTCGTATCATCAGGCGTCACGGGTGAGTGTTGGGTCTACCGGCAGGCACCACCCGGCGACGAGCATTCACCTCACTTCTGCTGTCATGGCAAGCTCTGGACTACCCTCCAGCAACCGCTCAAGGGGGAGGCGGCTTCGGAGCCCGAGAGAGGCCGTTCGCCCGCTCCTCCGCGCCCCCGACCCCAAGTTGCGATCCTGAGCGTTAGTGGCAGATGGATTGCTTACTGCCCTGCCGCGCCGTCCTCTCAGATTGCTCTGAGGGCGTTGGTCACTGTGCCTGCGGTCGGCCGTGCTCCAGGCCTGGCCACTGTGACACCTCCCCAGCTGCCGCCCGCCACGGCTGACCTCGATCTTCCCCTTCCCGAGAGTGTCATGAACAAACTCATGAGGGATGCCACCCAGGAGCTGATCCAGGGTGCAAAATGGGTCGGCAAGCAGGGTTGGCAGGCTTGGAACAATTACTGGAACCCGCAGACGAACCAGCCACCACGATCACCGACCCTCCCGCCCCAGGGTTGGGCAGGAGCAAGTGGTGCGCGGCCGGATCCCTCGCAGTTCCCACCGACCCACGGAACAGTTGCTCAGCCGATCGCGAAGGAGCCAGGTCTGATCTCGATTCTAGATATTGAGAGTCTCAGCTCCTCGGTGAACCCACATCCGGTTACCACATTTGCAATCACCCACGGCTGCAGCTTTCTTTCGTTCTCACCGTCCGGACTTACTCTGTTCAGCGCGAGCAGCAAGGGCGATGTGCAGAGTGTCTGGGATTTGATGCGAATTCAGCACACCAAGTCCTCGCCTCTGCAGGCTACCGGAGCACCTTCGGGTGGCCCGCGGGTGCGGCAGATTGCCCAGTTTTCTCGTATGACCGTGGCACGCATTGTTGAGGTCGCCTGGACACGCCCGAACGGCGAGCGTCTGGCCATGGTCACAGAACGAGGCACCGTACATTTACTGGACTTGCCGTCGAGTGCGTTTACGTGGCCTCCCCCCCGCCGCCGGAAACCTCAAGAGGTTGAGGCCGCCGCCCCGGAAGGCCCAGCTACGGCAGTTTCAATTGCCTCAAATGCACTAAGCTCCGTCCGCGATGTCGCGCGCCCACTCATCAATCGCCAGCGCAGGAGCAACTCCAACGCACCGCCGGCGGTGACGGGCTCAGCCATCGGAGAGTATGCTGCGCACGGCGGGAAGGTCATCGCCGCCAGCATCGGCCATTCGCTAGGCAAGACTGGCAACGCGATCAATCAACTCCGCCACACGGGGGATAACAGAGTTTCGCTTCCTAGCTCGACTACCTTACCCGGGTCGTCATGTGTGTTCTGGATTACTAAGAAGACAAACCACTCGCTCTTCGTGCTGGGCGGCGGTCTCGTTCGGGTGTTCTCGACTAAGAACCGGATAACACCGTCGGGGGCCAACAAGCGCACGCCGCGACTCTCCCGGTACAAGGACTTCCAAGTTCCATTGTTGCCGGACGATCTCCTGTCTCCGCTCGTCCAGAACATGCTTGATCTTGATGAATACCTGGATATCGAGCATCTAGACGCCGGTAACAACACTATGGTTCTCAACCAGCCCAGGCCACGGCCTCGCGTCCATGGCCACGGCGCTGAGTCTTCTATTCCCCAGGCTGAGATAGAATCCAGCGCGCCGTACCAGCCGTTCCATACAGACAGGCGGGTGGCGCTGTATGAGATGGGGGTGCCTCAACAAGAGATGGACCTCACCGCTCTCATGGCAGCAACTTCGCTGGACGAGACGGCATCAGAACACACCCCTCGGCGGAAGAAGAAAGCTCAGCAGGCCCAAACCGAAAGTGGCCCGTCGACGCCTGCGGGATCATCCGACGCTTGGGTCTTCGGCCAGGCGATGCCGGCGACCAAACTCGACCTAGGCATGACCCAACTTCTGGAAGACGACTCGTTCAACTTGCCGCTTGACGCCTCGCGCGCGCTCCCAGCATCTGCGATGGAAAGAATCCTGCAGCGGACCGGGGATGACGACGCGCAAATTGTGGTCACGACGCGCCGGAGACGGGGGCCGGCACCTACGCAGGACGATGATGGCTTTTTTGAGGACGACTGTGAGGTGCTTGATTTTGCCGACCAGAGGGTGTAAGGGGGTTGCTGCGGTTCCGTTCTTCGGCGTTTTTTCGCATGCATGTTTTAATTGCCCTTTCGCGTTCGCTTGATGCGCTTTACACACTGGCCGCTCGGGTCTACCAACTCAACTTACGACGAATGCGACATGCCACGGATTGCATTCATTATAAAGGGGAGCTGGGTATTTGGATCATTTGGGCGCTTTCACTGCATCGGCATTGGGAAGGTATCGTACCCCGGGGGCAGTCGTTGGAGATACTCGAACTCTCCTCTCTCCACTCCGCTGTTTGGGTTTGGGCGCCTGGGTTTCGCCGGGGGTCGGGTCAGTTCGGATTGGGTTACTCGGATTCTTGCTGCTTGGTTGCTGTTCTTGGACGGGATGGACCGTTGGTGAGCATGATGCAGCGGCCGAGGCTGGTCTGGCTGATTTAATAGTGGATGTTGAATAAGTAGATACCTTAGATACCTATCAAGCACATGCATGTGACCGGCCAGCGTTCATTCGGGCCGTGATACCTTGAGGCCAACAGAGAATGATGCGAGTCTCCATGTCGAGACGTAGAGTAGCCAAGGGGATGATGATGTTAGCCTACCTGACTTTGATATCCGGCAGCCACACGATGACATGCCTCTTCCCTGATACCGTCTAGGGAGTTGGTGGTTTATGGATTGTTTTTATTCGTCGAGCGCTATTACAGCAGATTCCCTTCGTAGCCCATCGACCTCCCGTCCAACACCACACCCCCTATAGCTCCCTCCGCCAGAATTAACACCAGATATCATGAACAGACACATGCGCGCCCACACGCCCGTCCAGCCAGCCACCAACAACAACCCCCCAATCAACAGTAGCTAATACATCTTGTTTTTTTTCCCCCTTCTTATATCCCCCACACCCGTGACGACAACGACAACGAACAACGAATGATAACCAAATCAAGCCTTCTTCTTCGCCGCCGCCGCCTTGGCCTTGGCCGCCTTCTTGCGGTTGCTGCGGATCATCACCACGCTGAGGAAGGAGCCCACCACCGCGCACCCGAGCAGCACCAAGATCACGGGGATGCGGATCGCCCAGACGCGGGGCGGGAAGAAGTTCTGGAGGGGGTGGTCCGAGTCGACGAAGGGCTGTTTTTAAGGGGAGAAAAGGGGTTAGTGGTTGGTTGGCTGGTGGTTGAGAGGGTTGAGAGTTTTGGGGGGGTTGGGGGTTGGGGAGATGGTAGGAGGGGGCTTACCATTAACAAGGTCCAGATGGTGTAGTAGAGGAAAACGACCGACGAGGCCACGAGCATGGCGAGGCCGACGAGTTTGTCGAGCTGTGTGGTTTGGGGTGGGTTAGTTAGTTAGGTGGCTTAGATGGTGGGTTGTGGGGATTGTTGGGTGATTATTTGACTGACCATTGTTAAAGGAGTGTTGGAAGGGATGGATTGAGTATCGGGAGGTGTTGTTGCGATCGCGATGTCGAGGTGGGCGGGTAAGTTGTGAGGTGGATTAATTACATGGCCTGAATGAAGCTCATCCACGTCCCGCGACAACTGACATTGCCCCCGAAACCAGTTGCGCCACGGTGACCTTCCACCAAAAAATGTAGTCAGGGGTTCGCGTTAGCGCGTTCACCCGTCGGGCAGACCCCGGCAGGCAACATCGTTAGCGGGTGGAGCCTGCTCGCGAGCCTTGGCTGCACCAGCCATCCGGTCAAATAACATTTTGTTAGCTCTGGCCTTGCTTGCTTCCGTTGCGAATTCATCATCACGTTGTTGACCTTCGCACAACCTGGCCAATCGCTCTTTATCGAAACCGCGGCATCTCGCATCTACCCCGGCCCTTAGACAGGGCGCGCTTTCTTCGCTGTCTTTAGGAAGGGGACTTTCTGATTGACCAAAGAAGAAATGGCGACGACGGAGACGGAGGTGTCTGCGCGCCACCATTCGGACGACCCATCACCATCCCCCATTGATCGCCGCAGGTCTCCGAGCCCTCGTCGTGAGCGGTCTCTATCTCGGGATTCCCGAGATTCCAGAGAGCCGCGCGATATCTCCCCGCACCCTCGAGATGCGTCCCGCGACCCCTCGCGCGACAGGTCTCCTACGAGATCCCCCATTCCTCCTCCTCGACGACGCTCGTCGCCCCCCCGCGATCGTTCTCCTTCCCACTCCGGCGATCGATCGCCCGTCAGGTCTCCTCCGAGAAGACGCTCACCACCTCCCGCGCGCCGCGATGCCGACAGGTACCGACCCGCTAAGAAGGAGCGTACACCACCACCAGTAGCTCCGGTGAAAACGGAGGAGGAGAAGCTGGCCGACGCTCGGGCCGAGTACCAGAAGCTGCTGAACCTACGCAGTCAAGGCGTGTACCTGCCACCCCAAAAGCTACGTGCTCTCCAGGCTGCTATCACCGACAAAAGCACCAAGGAATACCAACGCATGGCATGGGACGCTCTGAAGAAGTCGATCAACGGTCTCGTCAACAAGGTCAACACAGCCAACATCAAGTTTGTCGTGCCGGAGCTGTTCGGCGAGAACCTGATCCGCGGTCGAGGCCTGTTCTGCCAAAGTCTACTGAAGGCGCAGCACGCCAGTTTGCCCTTCACCCCGATCTACGCCTGCCTGGCGGCCATCTGCAACACCAAGCTGCCGCAGGTAGGGGAGCTGCTGGTTAAGCGGTTGATTATGCGGTTCCGGAAGGCGTTTAAGCGGAACGATAAGGCCGTCTGCCTATCCTCGACCATGTTCATTGCTCATCTGGTGAACAACCAGGTGGTGCACGAGACGCTTGCCGCGCAGATCCTGCTTCTCTTGTTGAGGAAGCCGACCGACGACAGCGTCGAGATCGCCGTGGGGCTCATGCGCGAGGTCGGCTTATTCCTGGAGGAGATGTCGCCCAGGATCACCAACGTCGTCTTCGATCAGTTCAGGAACATCCTCCACGAAGCCGACATCGACCGCCGGACACAGTACATGATCGAGGTTCTCTTTCAGGTGCGCAAGGACAAGTACAAGGACAATCCGGTGATTAAGGAGGAACTGGACCTGGTCGAAGAGGAGGACCAGATCACGCATCGGGTTGGACTGGATGACGAGATCACTACCCAGGACAGCCTCAACGTCTTCAAGTTTGATCCTGAGTGGGAGAACAACGAGGCGGAATACAAGAGGTTGAAGGCGGAGATTTTGGGCGAGGGGAGCGATGATGAAGACGACGAGGACGAGTCGGAGAGCGAGTCGGAAGCAGAAGACGAGGAGCAAAAGGCGATCGAGATCAAGGACCAGAGCAACGCCGACCTCGTCAACCTCAGACGAACCATCTACCTCACCATCCAGTCAAGCGCTGACCCCGAGGAAGCTGCGCACAAGCTGATGAAGCTGCGGCTACCCCCCGGCCAGGAGCCCGAGCTCGTGTCTATGATCATCGAGTCCTGCGCCCAGGAAAAGGTCTACCTCAAGTTCATGGGCCTGTTGGGAGAGCGGTTTGCCCGGCTGAACCGGATGTGGATGGACCTTTTCGAGGAGGCGTTTATGAAGTACTACTCGACCATCCACCGCTACGAGACCAACAAACTGCGCAACATTGCCCGGTTCTTCGGCCATCTGCTCGCGTCAGACTCCATCGGCTGGCACGTGTTCTCCGTCATTCACCTGAACCAGGAGGAGACGACGGCAGCGAGCCGTATTTTCGTCAGGATCCTGTTTGAAGACCTTCAGGAGAACATGGGCACGGCCAAGCTAAAGGCGCGCATGAGCGAAGATATGCTACAGCCCAGCTTCCAGGGCATCTTCCCGCACGATAATCCGCGCAACATCCGTTTCGCTATCAACTACTTCACCTCCATCAAGATCGGGTACCTCACCGATGAGATGCGTACCTTCCTCGCCAACATGCCCAAGCCCGCCCTACCGGCCCCAGCAGCCGATTCGGATTCCGAATCCGTCTCCAGCTACTCTTCCTACTCCTCCTACTCCTCCCGCTCCCGCTCTCGGACCCCGCGCAGGGCGATCGACCGCGACCGCGGCCGCTCCATCTCACGCACCCCGCCCCGCAGAGGCCGCGACGACAGATCCTACACCCGCAGCCCCAGCCGCCGCAGTTACACACGCTCCATCTCGACCGCCGGGCGCTCCCTCTCCCGTTCCCGCTCCCCGCGCCGAGGAGCAGTCCGGGGTGGCCGCAGCATCAGCCGCACCCCGAGCCGAAGCCCGACGCCGCGCGGCGCCAGAGGCCGCGGCCGCAGCTACACCCGTTCCCCGACGCGCTCCGTTTCCCGCTCCCGCTCCCCGCTGCCCGTCCGCCGCGGCAGCATAAACATAAGCAGAAGCAGCAGAAGGTCTTATTCCCGCTCGCTGACGCGCTCTCCCTCGCCGCCTGCTGCAGCTGGTGGTGGTGCTGGTGGAGGAGGCGGCGGCGCTGGCTCGACGAAACGCCGCAGGCCTGAGGAGGAGTATTCCCCCGGTCCGCCGCCGGCGAGGAGGGCGAGACGGTACAGCCGCTCGCTGTCGAGGTCGAGGTCTAGGTCTAGGTCTCCGCTTCCGGTGGGGCGCGGAAGGCCGCCGGTGGGTGGGGGCAGAGGCGGGGGGCGGGATTCGTACTCGCGCTCTTTGTCGCGCTCGAGGAGCCCGCTGCCGCCGGGGCCGCCGCCGGGTAGAGGAGGTGGAGGAGGAGGTGGTGGTGGTGGTGCTGTGAGGGATGGGTATGGTCGTGGGGGAGGGGGGTATAGGGATAGAAATGATGGTGGTAATGGTGGTGGTGGTGGTGGTGGGTACAGGGGCAGGCGGGACAGCAGGAGCAGGTCGCGCTCGCCGGCGAGGAGTCCGGTGGGCGGTGGTGGTGGTGCTGCTGCTAAGCGCAGGCGGTTTTATAGCAGTTCGCGCTCGAGGTCGCCGCCGGTGCCGGCGAAGCGGGGGAGGGTTGATGGGTAGTGAAGCGGTTGGTTGGGTTACTACTGGTGGAGGGGAGAAAGGGGAGATTGTGAATTGTGTGATACCATTGTTATCAAATCGATCGAGTGGGTTGTGCGTGGTTCTCTCTCAGTCGTGGGGTTCATTTTTGAAGTGGTTGGCTACGAGTACTCGGTTACTATTCGTATTATCTCCGCCTAGGTTTCTTGCAGTCTTCTGAGATGGAAGCCCTGTTTAGTTACCTGCTGCTACGGGCACCGCCTACGGGAGTACACAACTTCATAGTTAACAAGGCCACGCCCCGGGATAATATCGGATATGGTCTAGTTAATTTAATCGGTATCGGCGGTCCAGTCGGATGTAAAAATCATGGTTCCTTCCTCTCCCACGCATCATGTCTCTGATTTGACAGTTTTTGAGGTCTGAGTACCGCTGTTGGAAGAGGTTCAAGCCACGGCCCACTCGGCTTGCTTCCCTTTAGTCTAATCTCATGCAGCGGCCACGTCAACAACACGAGGCTGGCTGAGCAGTTCTCGATAGGGCCGAGAGGGAATGCGACGGGACCGAAAGAAGCAACCGAGAAAAGAGGCTGCCTTGCTGTTCGTCTCGAGTTCGGTCCAGGCCTGGGTGCAACGCGAGAACGTTGGGAACAAACAAAGCAAATCGTTCCTGTCACTCGGAGTTTTATGCGGGCGGCACTGATGCCATTTCAGCCTTTTCATCTTTTCGGTTGCCGTGTCGCAACCAGATGGCATCGACGCCACCATTCCGGGAGCTTGCAGTGGTCTCGAGCCTGGCTTCGGGCTCAGTGCTTGAACTTCCAGAAGCCATTTCCGGTGCGTCCAATCCGGGGAGGGCGGGCTTGGCATTAAGTGGAGCCTCTGAGATTCACCTGAAACACGGCCGATGGTGGCTTGTAAGTTACGGATAGGCTCCGGTTATAGTGGTATTTACATACATATTATAATACGGCGTAATCTGTATGTACATACATACATGCTTCGTATGGCCATCAACATGGAACCGCGCGGCGCCCCCCTCACAACACCTTAAAAACAGCGGTGACGCCGAGAAACAGCAGTCGTGTCGCTCGGCAGGCCACGCTGACGACGACTCTTAAACCAACCTATCATTAGCATGCAGACCACTATCCGAGAACCGGTCCTCGGGAAACGCCGCCTTGCTTTCACGTCGCTGCGCATATGCCCCCTGGCAACACAAGCACGGTGCTCCTTAACGGCCTACCTACCTGATCAGCCCTGCTGGTAGCCGACATCTGCACATGTATGGAAGTCCAATTAAGGTAAGTTGGAAAAGGTGGCCGAAGAGGCATGTGTAACTATCCACCTCCCCGAGCTTCGCGCCATCGTCCACTTAGCGACCGGAATGCCCGCTGTCCCCATCCGTTCCCTTGCCTCACGATGTGCTGCATACATGGCCAGCATGCCTCCGCCGTGGCCGAACCTGCCCCGTTTCCGTCGACATGCAGAGGATGGAAAGGGGGGAAACAGGCCTGGGTCTGTTGCACCGCTTTTCCACCGAGACGGATTACGGGCGCCGACAGCATCCCAGCTGGCTATCCAGCCTCTCCAGCCCGATGCCGGATACCGGAGGCGGCGGCGGCGATGAACACTACTGCGTACTGCGTAGTTAGACTACCTCGGCCATTAATGCGGTCCCGGGAGAGTGGGCGGCGACGGCGGCTTGATACAACTGGGACACAACACGAACAACATTCGTGGGTGGGGTGACTGGCTGGCTTGAGTGGCGCGACGAATCGGCATTTTTACCTGCAAGTTCGCGCCCGGCTCGCTTGGCATGACAGTGGTTGCCATTTTCGAGCCATTCAGTGTTCGCAGCATTGCAGAGACTCCGAAACCTTTCTCCGACGATCTGTGAAAACGATGCGGTGAATTTGCTGGACCCAACCAGTGCCGTAATGGCGTGTCTGTGCCTGTACGTGGACATTGACAACGTCGGTCTCGATAGTTGTTAGTTAGGCTTGTTTCCACTCAAAACGTCGATGGGCTGCACAACGAAACCGGCAAGGTGGTTGTCGAACTCCATTCCTCTGTAAGACTTCGATGTCCCCAGAGATGTGTGGCTTATGGATGGATACGCCAGCCCGCCCGTGGGGGGCAGGGAGGGTTACATCCAAAGTTGGAGGGTGTCAGGTCGTTTCCCCTTTTAACCTTTTATTCTCAGGGTCCTCCGCACCTTGAGAGCTGTTGACGTATGTAACGCCGAGACCGCTAACTGCTCTGGTGAGATTTTAAGTTTTTGGGAGGTTGGGTGCTGGACGGATGGCGCAGCTCGCTGATTTACCCAGAGAACGCAGGTGCTTGAAGCCGGGAGATATATCCCATCCTCAAACGGAGGCTGCGTTGTTCAAGGACACGAGGGTCGATCTCACCTTGCCGACCAACATGCGTGGCTGAGGAAAATGATGACGCCGTCCGAGGTCTGTCCGGTCGTCGCGCCTCCGCCATACCTCCTCAGGTGTGGCCGCTTGTCCTTCAAAGCTCCTTGTGTGACAAACGCGTACTTGCTGGGAACCTTGTTCCACTATAACTTCACCATTTTCACCGTTGTTCGTCAAAACCGTCGGCCGGCAGACATCCCTGGAAGGGCATCGATCGCAAGGGTGGCCGAATCTTGGCGCACTTCCCCCATGGGGCACACCCCAGGGTTAGATCAAGGCATTGATTGCTTATTAAAACGGCCACCCGTGAGTGAGCTACCGTTGAAGCTCCCTTCGGAGTCCAGCTGTCAACCTGTCAGCGCCCAAACTTCTCGGTTGAAAACCGGGGTCGGCACTGGCAACTTGTTCTCAATAACTGCGAGTTAGGCGATGACCCGAAATTTGAGACGGGAGAATGCTGCGTTTCGTGGGTGATTGAGGCCAGTTCATACCCCGGCCACTCAGCTTCTTTCGGGCAGCGACTGCTGAACTGATGCAGCACGCGCCGGAGGAGAGCGTTGCGGGAACGCTGCAGTCGTGCTTCGCTTGTTGTTGGGTGCTGTGGGTGCCTGCCTTGTTTGTAGGATCTCCTGTTCCGTGCAGCACTCCCTGCGGGCCGTAGAGATGATCCATTTGGAAAGGGGCGAGTGAGGGGGGAGGGGGCGGTCCGTTTCTCTCTTTGACACCAATTTTCACGGCGCAGACGACACTGCCACCATTGCTCCGAGATTCGAGCAAGGTTGTTGATGTCAGAATTCCAGAATCGCAGAAACAGGAGATGAAAAGAAATAAAAGACCATTGTTCTGTCCTGGGCAGAACCGGATGAGAGTGTCTGGATGCGACACGAGCTGGCAGGGGTCTCTTTGCAGGGAGTGGAGTCCGAGACTCCGGCTGCTGTGTGCTTCTCTCGCTCGGCCAGAAAACGCGATTCGCCGCCTGTCGGTTCGCGCGTTGGGTACCTGGCAGGCTCTGGTGGGGTTCCATTCCAGCCAGACGAAACCGAGACGGGTGAGATTCCATTCAAGAACACCACGCCGGAAAGAGATATTTAGAGACGCTTCAGGGTGAGGCGATGATCCAAATTAAATCATTTGGCCTTATCTGGCGTGGATGGATCGTAAGATGGACGCATGCAAGAAAGAAAGAAAGAGAAAGAGCCATTTCCGTACGGATACGGTCGGCCAGCCGAAAACATGAAGACGAGTCGCTCCTTCCGTCCCCTGACGCAGTGAGCATCTGGGCCGCAGGAGAGGCCCTGCTAGCGCGACTTGGATCAATGCCTCGTTTCCATTTCATCCTAGCCAATCATGAAGCCCGCTCTCTGGCCTCTGTCAACACAATCTGGAAAAGAGCTCCTAAAAACGAGGAGGGACCCTGTGAAAACGACCGGACCTGACTGATGACCTGACGGAGGAAGGAAATGGGATGGAATATTCGTGCAGTACGGAGTAATGAGAGACAGAACCACCTGCAGCCGATCAAGAAATGCACAGATCGCAACCCTGGGGAGATGATCAAAATTGAGGAGGCTCGAGGCTGCTTTTCGAGCCGAGGCCAAAGAATGGCTTCAGGGGGGTTACTGATGACGGAGGATGGAATGTGAGGACGGCTTCGCCCCGACTCCTCCTAAAATGACACCGTCTGTACAGAGATGGCCGTTCAGTTACTACCTTACCTGGTCGGCATGAGTTACGTCGTATTGCCGTATGGACAGCGTAATTACCGCCTGGCGAGATTGATGCGCCAGTGGGTCGGGTGGAGTTGCATGGCCTGTCTTGGAATTTTGGCCGCAGGCCGATGGACGGGAAGAGGCACCGATTCGTTCCAGGGGCTTGCTGGCGTGCACCACCGTTACCCAGCCTGTCGATGGTTTGCCTGCCTTTCCACTCGCTGGGACGGTCCTGACCAAAACTTCTCTTCATCGAAACTGGCCCTTTCGCTCAGTTTCCTTGTCACCAATCCCCTCCTATCGTTCAAGTCTTTCTTTTTGTCTCGTCACTTCACCACCACGTGTCCCGGTATCCGATTCGAAAAAATATCCTTTTACAGGCCGCACCTTTCAGAGTGGCACTGAGCCGCTTCGAAGCCTCCTCCCCTCGAGGCGCCTCGTCCTTCTGTGCCTCACCTCATTTGTTCACCTACAACGCCCTTCGTTCGATTCTCTCCCCGCGCCGTTTCTTCCTGGGTAGTCGGTGCTTCTAGCCTTTCCCTTGTCACGACGACTTATCACCCACCCGACTTTCCACTCTGCTCCCCGTTCGCCCAGTGCGTCCCCGTCCTGCGCAAACCGGCCATCCTGGGCCGTTCTACCAACCAAGAGAGGGAAAAAAAGGGTCGACTCGCTCGCTCCGCCTATTTCTATCACGGCACCAACGTTCTGGATCCTTCCGATGTGCTGCCGATAACGACCAATTTCTTGCAGGTGTCAGTAGTGGATGCTGCGTTCCTCTCTTCCTTGGCTTCGACAACCCGACAAGGTCTCGAAACCGACAGGCCGTCCGCGGTAACAGTGGGCGACTGGTTTTCCGAGACGACCAACGGGTTATTCCCCTTCTCCTGGCCGCAGGCGTCCTTCAATTCTACTGTGTCACCAACCGTTGAAGGTTTCCTATTACCGCGCCCTCCCATTTCTTCCCTCTACGATCGGCAGGTACGTGATCTTGTTGCATCGGTCCTGCCATTGCCTCATTTTGAGCTCGCAACAGGCAGCTCCGTGGCCTTGTTACCCCAGCGAGCATGCCCCGGTTGACTCAGCGGCAACGCAGCCTGTTTGTAGACGGTTTGGGCTAACACCGCGCCGAGCAGGAATCCTACCGATCCCGAGTTCCCTACTTTCCACCTACCTCACTTTGAGGCATCCTCGCACAGTTTCACACCTCGGGGTGATCCTCGCCGCCGTTTACCATGGCCGCCCTTGTACAAGGCTACCCCCAGCAGTCGGGAACGGTCACAGTGCTCCAGGCCCGGCCATCATCGGCCTCGGGAATGCTCCAGTCGCTCCCTGTCCAATCGGCAACACCATACGTACCTGGAGGCTCTCACAGGAATAGTGTTCACGGTTTACCTTCCACAGTCACCGCGCCTGTGGTGTACCGTGGCGGCTCCGGCGCCGTCCAACAATATGCCCTCAGGAGCATGCCCAGCCTTAACCCGGCGGCACCTTGGCAACAATCCAGGGCGCAGCGAACGTCGTCGTCACCGGCAGTCCCCACCATCCAGACCCTTGATTACTTACAGCCCGCCGCTTCCCGTTCTCGATACTCGGCGAGTGTTTCTATGACCAACCTCCCCAGCACTGCGAATCAGGGGCTGCAGACGACTATCGCTACCCGTGACGATCTCGGGTTACCGGTACCTGGCGCTAGGAGAGCCGCAACGGCGCCCAGGCCTTCGCAGACGAACAATGGGGCATCACTCGCACCGGCGGCCCCCATTCGGGCGGCGCCCGAGCGGTATAGGCGGTCGGCTGCTCTGCGTGCGGATTCGACAGGCGCGGCAACCGGTGCTCAATTACGCCCTTCGCACTCAGCCATGCTGAATAGGCCGAATAGTTTTGTTGGGTCAATGCCCGAGTCGGCGGTTGACGACACGGTATTTTCTCAAAACCAGCCCCACGGCGAAATCAAAAGGGTTCGCAGACGCAGCATGCCGGCGCTGGATTCTCCCGGTTTCCCCATCCACCTAACCCCGCACGACCTGAAGCAGCCGGCAGAATCGAATCGCCCTAAGACTGCTGATTTGGAGGGCAAGGCTGGCAAAACTGGGAATAACCAAACCACCGACAAAACCAGCAATGATGGGCAGGCTGGGAGCAGCCGAAGTGCTGGGGCAAATGTGAACCCCTCTTCGGTAAGTCCCCTCGTCCCCAAGATCCCGCATTTCCTCCCTCGTGCCCGCAACCAACCCACGCCGCGCATTGTCCAATCATACGTAATGTCCTGCCTTTTACGGTTCAAGACTAACACGAGTTCTCTTTTTCACCCGTCCAGTCCGCCAACCGCAACGGCTCTGACCCCACTGGCGACCCCACCATGCCGACTTCCTTGGACCAGGCTGGTGCCAACCAAGATTCTTCTCGCACCGTCAACGTCCCCCCGCGGAGTTCGTCGGCCGATGCCTCGAACGCCAAACGCACCGCAACCTCGTCGCCGCTTTCAAAACCCGTGACCATGGGCACGGCGGGCGAGAGCGGCCAGCCTGCGGATGTTACCGACTCGGCTGCCCAGGAAGCGGTGTCTCCGCCTCGTTTCGAGAGCCCCGCTGTCAGGCAATTGACAGCGATCAACGAACAGCGTGGCAGGCCCAAGAGCAAGACATCACGACTCCGGCGGGCTTTCTCATTCGGTAGCGCTGCCGAGTTTAGGAAGGCGGCAAATGACAGCGAGGAGAATGGAGCCGGTAAACTCCACAAGGACCAAAACCAGGACGACGCCTACGATGCGGAGCAGGCGCGGATCGCCGAGCGACAAGAGGCGGCCGGGATCGGGAGCAACATCTACGCCGGTGGGAGGTTTTTCCATGGATCGACAGACAACCTGTCCATCTCATCTACGGCATCCTCGGCTTCGATTATGATTCGGAAGATGGGCCGTGGCATGAAGAAGAGCACCCGGTCGCTTGTCGGGCTCTTTCGACCTAAGTCGATCGTTGGGGCGCCGGCGGCGGATGCGTTGCCGGAGACCAGCCAGCCCGCCGTGTCCATGATCACGGCCGAGGCGGAACGAGAACTAGTCAACGTGAGCGCTGATCCCAAGGCACAAGGGGGTGGCACTGGGTTTCCCCGTTTAGAGCGGAATTCGATTGACGCGGCAAAGGTGCCAACGCTGGAGCCGGAACGTTTGGGGAGCTCGGGGACCGATAGCACGGGGGCGAGGAAAAGTATCGTCGGCGGCGAGAAGGAGCGGGCCGAGGTATTGGCTGCTGTCCGCAAGGGAATATTGAAGCGTAAGTACCGGTGGCCCCTGGTGATGTGGCGCTGTGCTCGGCTGACGATTTCGCTGTTTTTTAGACCGCACCGGCTCTTCAAGCCCATCTCCCCGGCCATCGGAGACTAAGGGCTCTGCTTTTGACTTGCCCAGTGTCCCCTCGGTCACAGATTCTCCCAACTCCAGCGCACCCAGCACCCCCAACGAGGACTCGCACGGTCACAGACGGACTGGAACCGTAACGATCGGAAGCGAGGATTACTTTGTCTCGGCTCTCCGGCTCCGCCAGGACACCAAGAGCGCGCCCGGTACTCCCCAGAGCGCCAAGCGCAACGCGACGTTCAGCCCGCGGATCGTTTTCTTCGAGACGTGGCCGAGCCAGGAGTATGACCGCCGCGGCGAGATTGCTACGTGCAACCGCCTGACGCCGATGCTGGCTCAGCAGATCAAGGAGGAGCTGAACACCTTCAAGATGGTATGTCTGAGATTTTGAAAGCAATGCTGTTGACGAAGTGAGCTAACCCCCTGAATAGGAAATGGAGGTCCACGAGAACTCGAAGATTTACACGCACTTTTTCTGATCATACAGGCGAATGGTCCCCCAAGGGCAGCAACTCTCGACTCGTCTACTCTTTTTTTCCGTTTGATACAGGGGGACGGCGACATCGCGCCGTGTATTTGAGCGGGTTTACATTTTCCGCGGCGTTTCATGGTCAGCATGGTACGGTGTCACGGCGTTTTTTTCCTTCACGTTTCGATCTCGACAGCTCTTTGCGGCTAGAATCATGCACAGCGCAGCACAGCGATTCTTTTAATCACACGACACTCAGTCGGCTCTGTCTCCGTTTCCTATGATCGTCGGCCGACGTCTTTCCGGTCGAAGCCTGCCGCGGCGTTGGCCGCCGGGTTTGAGGAGGGTGGGGTGGGGGTTATCTGGAGACGAAGGAGGGATGAGTCGATGGGCGATGGATGAAGGAGGGAGGGTAGACGTGAGGGACGGACTACGGGTGAGCAGGGCGACAGCCGCATGGAGTTTTGCACCCTCCCCAGCGGCGCGGCAGTTTTGATGGGATTCATTCACCCCAGACCGACACCGAAAGGCGGAAAGGCGACGACACTGAGGGGGACCACAGCGACTCCTGGGCCGTGGCCCTACACGACAAACACACTGTTTTTATTTCTTTTTTCTTGAGTCTTGTTTCTAAGCGACAAAAAAGTTCCCTCTCACGATGCCAGTGTCGGAGCGGTTATCATCCATCTCATCTCATTGGGAGGCCTAATCATGGTTCATTCTATTTTGTTCCTCTCTCTTCTTGTTTCCAGTCAGTGCCCTCCCTTTTCGTTCGGCTGTCTCGTGGGTGTTACATAGTCATCGTCTGCTCCGTCATCCTTGTCGTCGTTGCTTCGTTGTTAATCGGTCTAGTTAGGTAGTGAAGTGAATATGGAAGCACAAATGAACAAAGTTAGCAAGCATCCCCGGCAGGGCATCCCTGGCGAGACAGCGAGCAGTCGTCATGGCTGTTCCGGGTTAGTTGGAGTTGGGCCAAATCAGACCAACCCCGCTGCGAGTGTTGCGGTCAGGTATTTCATTACATTGTGGTGTAATTGCTTTACGCCGAACCGGAAATCGCTCGCTGGCGCGGGACACTAATGCGCTCCACTCGACGGCGCAACGGCTCGAAAACGGTTTGGTTGGCAGTGCATGAACCTGCGTTTTTTTTTTGTTTTGTTCTCCGAGTCAAGGCGGCCATTCAAGGCATTTTCGTTTCTGTGTGGTTCGTCTTGCTTCTTTCCGTCCTCGTGATCGCCGGCGCATGCATGACATTGCGCCATGCTCGGGGGCACTGGGGGTTGTTTGCTCTGATCGATTGGCGGCCGCCACGGGGATGGATATGGGATGGTGCCATCTGGCTTCCGGATACGAGATTCAAGCCTTGAGAAGGGGGATTTATGGGCACATGGGGTCCATTTCTCCCATTTTCTGGAGTGGCATGCGTGGGGTGAGTGGTGGGGAGTGGTACAGTGGGTGGGTGGAGTCGACTTGCCGGTTTTATAGGGGTACGGTGTGGAATGGAAAGATGGAAGACTGTGTCGTGGACAGGGGCTTTGCGGGGAATTGCATCATCCCGTCTTGTCGGGGGTTCTGGGCCAATCATAGAGATACAGCGGTCGGCTTTTCTCAGCCTTGCAGAGAAGGCGGAAGTTTTTGCCCGACTTTTTTTTTCCGAGTTCGGGAAATCGACAAAAGATTGGATTTGTTTGTTCAGCCTCGACATTGACAGCAAATTACTATCGTCACTCTTAGTTTAACTGAGACGAGACAGTGGCGCGCGGCTTGTTATCGGGGTTTCGCGCGTCGATTGCGCGGACGTGGTCGATCGGCCGACCAAGAGCGCTCTTCTTTCCTATGGCCTCGGATGCGACGACACCAGCAGCCCCAGCGCCGGCTGCACCTGCGGCTATGGCTGGGGCTGCTGTGAAAAAGCCGAAACTCCATGGCCGCGCCTTCTACGAGAGTCTTGGCTCACCCAAATACATCGTTGCGCCCATGGTGGACCAGTCTGAGTTTGTGAGTCACTTGCGACTTGCGCTGTGAAGAAAGAGTGGTGGGGTAGAGAGAGGGAAAGAGAAGAAGAGAAGACTAATTCTGCCATTCCTCAGGCCTGGCGCATGCTTTCACGATCCTTCCTCCCCGAATCCGAACAGTCGGGCTTGCTCGCATACTCGCCCATGTTCCACGCCCGACTCTTCAGCGAGAGCCAAAAGTACCGTGATCAGCACTTCCAGGCGACAAAACCTAACTCCGATAAAATCTACCTCGACGGTAACCCCGCCATCGACCGTCCCTTATTCGTACAATTCTGTGCAAACGAACCACAAGCGCTCCTCAGCGCGGCAAAGCTAGCCGCTCCATACTGTGATGCGGTTGATCTCAACCTGGGCTGCCCTCAGGGTATTGCCAAGAAGGGCTACTACGGCTCGTTCTTGCAGGAGGACCAGGACTTGATACACCGGCTGGTCAAGATCCTCCACGAGAACCTCGACATACCCGTTACGGCCAAGATACGGATCCTCGAAACGAAAGAGGCAACACTCAAGTATGCGCAGAACGTCCTCAGCGCGGGCGCGAGCATCTTGACGGTACATGGACGTCTGCGCGAGCAGAAGGGGCACTTGACCGGCCTCGCCGACTGGCAAATGATCCGCTATCTGCGCGACAACCTCCCGCCAGAAACAGTCCTCTTCGCCAACGGGAACGTGCTCCAGTACGAAGACATCGCCAAATGTCTCGCTGCGACCGGCGCGGACGGCATCATGAGCGCCGAAGGCAACCTCAGCAACCCAGGCATCTTCGCCGCGCCGCCGTTAGCGGGCCAAGAACCGCGCGGCTACTGGCGCGGGAAGGACGGCAAGGGCGGGTGGCGCGTCGACGAAGTCTTCCGCCGCTACCTCGACATCATCCACCAGCACGTACTCGGCGTAGCCCCACCGCAGCGGCGCCCGCTATTCGTCCCCGGCGACGGCGACACGGCGTGGCTGGCCGAAGAGATCACGCTGCCGGAGCCGGAGGGCCCCCGGAAGCGGCGCGGCGACGCGGCCAAGGACAACCCGGCGCTGCTGGCGGCCAACTTTGTCGGCATGCAGCCGCACCTGTTCCACCTGCTGCGGCACTTCGTGTCGCGCCACCACGACGTGCGCGCCGCGCTCGGCCGCGCCCGCCTCGGCGAGATGGCCCATTACGAGGCCCTCTGCCGCATGGTCGAGAAGAAGGTCGCCGAGGGCCTGTGCGAGTATGATGCTACCGGCGGCGCTAGCGTTGATGCGGATATGCCGACCACCACGCCCGAGCAGGAGGCGGATCCGGAGAGCTCTGCCCGCGCCATCCGCGAGTGTAAGCGGCCGTGGTGGGTTGTGCAGCCGATTATTCGGCCGCTGCCTAAGGAGGCTATGGCCAAGGGCGCGATACAGATGAGCAAGAAGGAGCGGAAGCGGGTGGCGGCGGAGATGGAGGGGAAGGAGGAGAAGGACGCGAAGAAGAGGGGTGGGGAAGTGGCGGGGGGTAAGGAGGCTGCCGTGACCGCTGCGGTGACGGAGTCGCTGGAGAAGACGACGAGCTATCCGTCGAGTGGGCTGGTCAGCGGTTGAGAGGCCCGAGAGGGCTGCCTTTTGGTGGGTGATCTCACCACCGGGGGCAGAACCAAGACTCGTACGTGGAAAGGCGGACTCAGTCCCCTGATCCGATCCGAACGTCGGCCGACTTCCTGGGGCTACGGCCCGACAAGGTCCGGGAGGAACTACGAGCTCAGCTACACGGGGTGGTTATCCCGTGTGATATTGGGCTCTCCAGCCCTACAACTTCCGCCCCCTTCCCAAGCTCTAGACGGGATATTGGCCCAACGGGATAGAACCAACAGCAGCACATACAGGACAAGTCACAGACAAGGGCCGACTGTTGCCGGCAGAGCTTCTTTTTCGATATCGGAGCATGTGGTAGATGTTATCACGGTGTGGACCTACAACGTGAAAGAGGCAATGATATACAACATGTTGATGGAGCCATATCGGCAGTCTGCTTCCAGAAGCTGTTGTTTGACTTTGCTCGCATTCATCCCCTCACCATGGAAAGTTGAATTTCAGGGGCAAGTCATGTTTTTAGTAGAGGCTCGTCTGGTGTCACTACCATTTTCCTGGCAGCATTTTTGTCTTATCATTTTATCATTTACATAGATCCTGCGCGGAGAAACCCGCCTTTCACCCACTTCTTGCGGGCCGGGAGGAAGAGTTCGGCGGTCTCAGGTCCTTGCAGTTCACGGCGTGGGCCTTGCGTGAGACTGGGGACCCAATCCCGGCAGGACCAGCGCCGATCGTTGATTCGGGACAAGTCGCCTGGTATGTCCAGATTGGGTCGAGACACTCCTTCGAAACGCCACCCAATGTCAGCAAGGAATGCATGTCAGACTCGGCGGACTCAAAGCTTCGAATGGCGGCCGCAGGGAGCATCGCCCGTTGGCCTTGCGGCTTATGGATAGGCGTCTGGCTTCGTCAAGCTGCAGTTTCTATTGTCGAACGAAACCGCAGCGGAGCCAACAAGCGCGCGCGGTGCGACGGATGCCCACAACAACCCCTGTCGTGCCGTGCTGCTGTGCCGCGGTCCCGCTGTTTGGGAGGGCCCGATGATACATTGAGAACCTCCAGGGGGGGTTATGGACGGGCCCCCTTCAGGGCCGAAGCCACAAGAGACGGGAATAGGCTGTGCCGTCGATCGCCAGGGCTAAAGGGTATTCAGGCCAGACCAGGGATCATGGCCGATTCCTTTCTCGTCGTTCCTCATTCCATCACTTGCAATTCGCAGTTTGGAAACTCGCGACCGGCAACCCGCGCGTAACAAAAGTAAGACCACCCTCTTTCCGTTGCGGCCGGCAGCTCGTGCATCAACAACGGCATGCAACAGCCGGGGTGGGCCAATGGGCCCGGGCCCGGGCCCTCCGACCTGCCCGAGGCCGTCGACCGGGACGATATGCTACCAGAAGTCGTCCCACCGGACCACCCACAATTCGCCTATGAACATGACAAGCATCTCACGCCGGGGTACTCGACGACGACAGGATACGATTACTACGGATCGCCAACTACCGCGGTCAACAATGAAGAGCCGCCGCCGCGTCTGATATTGGGGTTACGGCGGCGCACGTTTATTATACTGGCCGTGATAATCGGCTTGCTGATTGTCGGCATCGGCGTCGGCGTTGGTCTCGGCGTCGGTCTCAACGCGTCAAGTAACGATGACCCGGCACCCGTTGCTCCCCCGACCGAGAACCCTGACCCTAACGGCAACTTGTTCGAGGGGTCGTCGCTGGCCGCCTCCAACTACACGGACACGGACGGGTTCATCCATCTCTACGTGTTCTTCCAGGCGGCGAACGAGGAACTGCTCACATCGAAATGGGACTCGCAGAACAAGACATGGGAGACCATGTCCATCTCCAAGATCCTCTCCGACACCGGCCTGAACCTCAGCCTGATCCCCGCCTCCCCCATCGCCGCCTACACCTACACCAACCCCACCTTCCAGACGCGCGTGTACTTCCTCACGACGAACAACTCGATCCGCGAGATCATCTCGTCCGAGGACCCGACCCTGAAGACCAACTGGCGGCAAGGCCAGCTCGGCAGCAACCGACTGCTCACGGCGGCCAGGGGATCCAAGCTCGCGGCGCTGCGGCCGCACTGCGGGACGAGCACCAACTGCCAGGTCAACTACCCGTGGCTGGCGATCGCGTACCAGGGCGAGGGCGGGGTGATCGCGGTCTCGCGCGCCGACGAGTGGGAGCCCATGGACATCGAGTTCGGCCCGGCCGAGCCCGGCGCCGCCATCGGCCTGTCGAGCGTCATGCGCAGGGGCAACATCACCGACGTCGGCTGGAGCCTCTTCTACGACGAGGACGGCACCCTGCAGGAGTTCAACTCGGAGAAACTCCTCGGCGACTGGACTAGAGGTATGTAACCACAAACCAACTCTCCTCCCCTCACCCCCGGCCATGTCGGCGACGGTGTGCTTTCTCTGCGGACACATACACCTCCTTTACCCCTGAAATAACACTAACCCACCACCCTCCAGGCCCATCAACGGGATTCGCCCCGGACGCCTCCGGCCCCAACATCGCCTCCTTCTCGTACGAGCTCGTCAACATGATGATCCTCAACGTGGACCCGGACGGGGACCTGGAGATGCGGAGGTGGGAGGGGCAGGACTGGAGCGGGCTGGAGCCGCCGAACCTGCTGGCGGGCGACGGCGCGCCCGACGAGCCCAAGTTCTCGGCCGTGGCCGGCACGTCGCAGCGCCGCGTGTTTGGCGTCGTCAACGGCACCATCCACCAGTGGGAGTTCTTCACGCTGAGTCCCCTGCAGTGGGCGTATCGGGGGACGGTGCCGACGACTTTTGAGCCGTGAGTGGTGGGAGACGATGGGCGATGTTTTGGTGCGGATTCTGTATATGCCACGATACCCGGGTTTTTTGTGTGTTTATTTGTTATTATTCTTCTTCTTCGTTGGAACATATCTACTAAATTGTAGAATAGGGGGGTAGGTATTACTTGGCTTTTGGGGGCGAAGGGGAAGGGGTTGGGACATCAAAAACACACACAAACAAGGAACGAACACATAGCTTGTTTGTGAAGGCGGAGGGAGACTACTATTGGACTGAAGAATAATACAGCAGTGACGTGAGCGCTGAGAACACCCTCAGGGGTATCAAAGTCAAACTCGATATTCAAGCCAACCCAAAAAAGTGTATATCCAAAGAAGGACCGCATGACTAGGTAGGGAATCAAGGAACCAGCCACCCCCGCCGAGACGCCAGACCCGAGCTCTAAACCAACAACCCCGTCGAAAGCAGCGCCATAACCAGCACCACGCCCGTGGGCACCCACGCGATGAGCCTCCCAGCCCCGGCCTCCCTGACCCCCACGGCGGCATTGTTCCACAGCATGACCGGCTTCCCCAGCTCCGGCGTATCGTCGACACTACAGACGGCACCGCACCCCTTGCCCTCGGCGGCGTCATCATCCCTCCTGACTTTGCTGTTCTTGGTAGCGTGCTCCGGGTCGGTGTTGTTGTACATGATCTCCAGCCACTGGACCTGCAGGTAGGCGGCGTCGAGCAGGGTCATGTTGCCGGTCCACTTGCCGCCGTCGCTCCAGACGTTGAGGATGACGTTGCTCTCGTCGCGGGGCGCCTGGAAGGCGATCTGGGCCGTCATCTCGTCGTCGACGTACCAGGTGGTCAGCCCCGGGGTCCAGTCCATGCGGTGGACGGCCCAGGCGGTCCAGTCGAGGCCGCCGGGCATGGTGGCGTTGCGCGTGGCCTCGGCGATGACCTCGCCGTCGTCCGTGTAGGCCGGCTGGTTGGTGTAGTGCATCACGTTGCGCGGGTCCGCCGTGCGGATCTCCAGGTCCGCCTCCTGCACGTCCGCCAGCGTCTCCCCGCCCCGGTACGTGAACATGCCCGTGATGGCCCCCGCCGCCCCCACCGTGCGCGCCCGCATCCGCAACGAGAGGTACTTGAAGTCGCTCGAGACGGATTCGATCTCGGCGGCCGTCTGGAAGCCCCGCAGGCGCTGTGTGCGCATGGTGAGGTATGTCTGCGAGGACGGGTCGGGCTCCGTGTTGGCCTCGATGTAGACGTTGTTGGGCGAGTTGGTCATGGTCACGGTGGAGTCGCCGCGCGCATTGTTGCTGTTGTTCCAGCTGCCCAGCCACCAGAAGCTGGTCCAGTCTGTGCTTTTGAAGTAGTCGCTGGTCACGGGCGCGCCGGGGCTCCCCTCTAGGTCCTGGACAACGGCCGGCACGCCGGCATAGTCGGCGAGACTACGGAAGTCGAAGAACCGGTGGTTCGTGAAGTAGGTGCTTGTGTCGTCGTTATTCCGGTAGCAGCCGCATTGTGAGTCGTCAGTGAGGGTAGGTTCTGCTGTGGCCAGGGGGACAACGGCGGAGATGAGGAGCACCAGTGAGGATAACGCGGCAGGCAGAGAGGGTATCCGTTTTATCGACTCCATCGTCACCTGCTGTGGGTTAAGTACCCGGAGAGTACCCTCAGGGAGATAAATATAAACGGGAGCTATCAAGTCCAAGTAGGCCCGGGGTCCTCAACAGGGGAACACGTGCGAAGCTGTCACTGACGCGGGACGGGAGACGGCATGCGGGAAGAGCACATGGAAGCTGGGAAAGACGAAGGGGGGTATCCCGCTCTGGGATGGATGGAATCATATACAAACGGAGAAAGCCCGAGCCGTTAGGATGGATGGACTCGATATCCACTGTGGGAACGAAAGCTTGACCACTCTAAGTAAGCCCGGTTCAGGCAACCGCTCCTGCATAGGGGCCTGGCCTCGACCAAGCTGCGCGGACTTTTCCAGAAGAGGCTGTAGGTATTGTGGAATGTGCCATTGCATGGACGGTCTGCGTTGTGGTCTTCAGCCACTGGCTCGAGCGAATCTATTGGTCAATGCCTCGGGGGGCACGCCGGCGATCCAGACCGGGCGTGGGAGCGGCACATCAGGGCGACTGACACCAGACGGGCCGGACCTGGTTGCTCATCCCAGCGAATCGGTGTCGGTCCACATGCGAGTACAGCAGGCCATGAAGAACGGCCGGCGTGCTAGGATCAGCATTTTACCATACAAGGTGTGCGTACTCTGCAGCAGGTTGGCGGCCAACGATATATCCGGCTAAAGAGAGGTCGGCTGGACGGCCTAAAAATGGACGAAATAGAGAGCTCGCTCGGCAAGATATTGATGGAGGCTCTCGCCGATCCTACGATAAACCCCAAATCCAGGGTAACACTTGTTGTATGGATGTGACGCTGGGCGCTTGCGCTATCTCAGCCGTCGCAGTCGTCGTAGTCCCGGGGACGCAGGTCTGAAGATGAAACGGGGGCGAGTATAAGAAGCGGAGGCGCTCTTGTCGATGACTTCCTGTTTGTGCTCAGGATGGACAGTTGGGCACTTGCCATCGATTGCGTATGACGTGTAAATCCGCGGCAGACCGAAGATGCCGGATGTCAGGTCGAAGGGTTATTCCGTCAGACCAGGAAAGACACGATGCCACGATGCCACAGTACCTCCACAGCAATGACACTGCAACTCGGAGTCTCGCCGAGCCGATCGGGTTGCTGCAGGTGACAGGCGGCTCAAGATAAGTAAATACTACGTCTGAAAAGAAAAGCCTGGTGATAACTTTTGCTTCTCCGAATAAGGGCTAGTTGGTTGATCATAAAAAAAAAAGGGAAATGGGAATGGCCTAACGCAGTGAAAGAGGAAGGAGGAACGGTTTAAGCTTCGGGGATTTTGACGATCAGAACGGCAGTGCCTGGCATTCGGCAGCGGCCCGACAGGCTGTTCGAACCATTCTGTGCTTGGCATGCAAGAACACGATAGCGAGGCGCTGGTGACCCGATTATCACATAACCCTGGTTAACGTCGGCATATGACCTTCCATCCTCTCAAAACCGCCACTTCTTTGCATCTCGGCTACGTGCATTCCCTTTTCCAACTTCACAGCATCTCCACCTAGGTCAGAGTCCAAGCGTGTGCAGAACAACGCCGAATTTTGGCACTCTATGAACGATTCGGTTATCAATTCTTCCATCTGTTGCTCACAGCACCGGGCACTGTCGGCATGCGACCCGTGACAATCTGAAAATCCCATTTCAGACTACTTTCACTTCCCCTCCAACCCGTGTGTGTGGGATAGCTTCACCATGGCATCCTCTGCTGTAGCCGAAGCTTCGGGTCTTCCACCCGAGGCACAGACCGAGAAGCCAAATGAAAGCCCTGCCCAATCGCCAGAGCAATCGCCAGAGACAGCCGGGCAACAGGAGGAGTCAGAATCCCCTGCCGAACCGCAAGGCTCCCCGTCCCCTTCAGATTCCCATTCCGAAGGCGAGTACTCCGGATCCGAGGCCGACGAGCAACGCGACCCGAAAATCACTGAAAAGTCACAACCACCACTTCCGAACGAACCTCTCCCCGGCCACGACAGCACCGGGCCCCCACTCCCAAACGAACCTCTGCCTTCCGATCCTACTGCACCACCCCTCCCTGCGGAACCGATACCCGAGCCCGAAGACGACGGATGGGAGTTCCACTGGAACCCCAACGACCAGTCCTACTGGTTCTACAGCCGCTTCACCGGCGCGTGGCAAAAAGAGAATCCACGGGTACCAGTCGCCAGCACCTCCACTGCGAACCCCCCAACCACAGCCCCAGCCGACCCCGGCCCGGCGCCACCACCCGCCGACGGCAGCACGGCCCTCAGCAACCCGACCTCGGTCGCGGGCGGCTACAACCCGGCCATACACGGCGACTACGACGAGAACGCGTGGTACGCACAGAACCTCCACGGCGCGGCGGGCGCGGGCGCGGGCGCGGGCGCGGGCGGCAGCAACCCCGCCGATCCAACCGGCGCTGGCGGCGGCGCCGCGGACGAGTACGCGTCGGCGGCCTTGTTCAACCGGCACACGGGCCAGTGGCAGACGGCGGAGCAGGGGGCGGAGCGGCACTCGGACGAGGCCAAGAGCCGGCGGCAGATGCGCGCCTTCTTCGACGTCGACGCCGCCGCCAACATGCACGACGGCCGCAGCCTCAAGGCCGAGCGCTCGGGGATCAAGCCTAGTCGTTCGGAGTTGAAGGCGTTTAAGGAGAAGAGGAGGGCGAAGAAGGAGGAGAAGAGAAGGGCTTGGTTGAGGGATTGATTTTTGGGTTTGGGTTTTTGTTTCTTTTTTTTCTTCTTCTTTTTTTTTTTTCAAGACGGGGTAATTGTTTTTGATTTCGTCGCGCTGTTGCTGGCTGCGGATTTGCGCTGCGTTTCTTTTGGTGTGTTACAACAGGCTGGTGCGGCCAGCTGAGGCCGATTCTGCCCACGGAGCGGTGCGACGGGATAAAGATTTACCTTGGGTACCAGCTCGGAGGGAAGGGTCTGTTCGATACCTAGTTTTCCTTCTTGTAGGCATTTTCACGGACATGGCTGGGCTGGGCGCAATGAGCAGACAGGCAACGGCAATGGCGACGGCTACGGCAGTGGTATAGGCGTTGGAGAGTTTGGCGTGATGGTTTAAGATGGCGGCAGATGGACATGCAACGCCTCGGAGCAAGTCAGTCTCGAGAAGAGATCATGATATCGGGGATAGACAGGCAACCATTTTGGAGGCTGCCTCAAATTTGTAAACTACATACGAACAGCAAGAATTGCTCAGATATATACCCGACTGCACAATGCCCAAGTCTAACCCCATCCCTCACTCCTCTTCTTCTTCCTCGTCATCGTCCAGCGTCATATCAATCTGAACGCTCCCCTCACTATCACTCTCATCTCCGCTTTCCTCTTTCTCATCGACCGGCTTAGCCTTGGGCATAACAGCCACCTGCGCGGCTGCCGCCTTCCCCGTGTCAACCCGCTTCGGCGGCTTGCCCACCTCGACCTCAAACAGCTCGCTCTTGCGCTTTAGCGGTGACGCCGGTCGCACCGGCACCGCCTGTGTCTTTTCCGCAGTGCTAGTGACCACCGCAAAGGGGTTGACACTCTCCGCCACCGCCGAACCCGACGCGTTCTCATCAACGTCCATAGCATCCACCCCCCAACCGCCCGCCACCTTCCCCGTCGCCTTCTCCGTTTTACTCCCTTCCTCCCCCTCCCCCACACCACCCCCAACCTCCTCCTCCTCCTCCTCCTCCTTCCCTTCCACTCCGATCTCCCCATCCCCAGCCAACCCCCCATGCACATCCCGATCCCACTCCCCCACCCCCCCATCCACCCCCCTCCCACCACCACCACCACCCCTAACCAAATTACTCCTCACCACCTCCACCGCCTGATCCCCCGGAAACCGCCTCACCAAAAACGGCAGGATGCTCGCATAATACCGCCCGCGGCTGTCGCGGTACGGGTGCAGGCAGCTGGCCAGCATGGCGTCGCGGCTGTGCGAGAGGATGGCCGTGCGGTCGAGGAGCCCGCGGATGTCGGGGGCGAGGGCGGATTGCGGGAGGTGGGAGAGGAGGTGTGGGAGGAGGGTGGTGCTTGCGGTGAGGTGCGGGGGTTGGTGCTGGGTTTGGGAGGTGGTGGATGGGGGGGTGGTGAGGTAGGCGTCGGCGTTGGTGAGGGTGGAGGTGGTGGAGTTGGGGTTGGGTTTTTGTTGGGGTTGTTTTGTGGTGGTGGTGTTGGTAGTAGTAGTAGTAGGGGGGGTGGGGTCGAGGTGGCCTGTTGAGAGGAGGATGTCGTGGCAGGCGGATTGGATTAGTGGCGTGATAGAGTCGACGGTGAGTTTGGGGAGGGTCAGGCCCGAGAGGAGGAGGAGTTGGCTGGTAAGCGTGTAGGCGGTCTCGCGCATGGCGGGGATGTGCCGGCTCGCGGTGGAGACGCGGACCATTTGGTCGAGAATGTCGGTGGCGAGGGGGACGGCGTTTTCGCGCAGACGGCGGATGAGGGCGTGGTGTAAGCGCAAGACGGCGATGTGGATATCGGGCAGGACGCTCCACAGCTCGGCCTTCTCGTCCCTGCCGATGGCGGGGTTGGTCTCGACAGAGTCCTCGGAGCCGGAGGGGGGGCGTCACGAGTGTTATCCTCGCGGCGAGATCAAGAAGTTCCCCGAGCGGGACGGTGATGGGGGCCTTGGTGGGGTTGTTGAAGTACTCGGCGAGGAACTCGAGTTGACCGATTAGTCTCTCGGCGCCAGCCTGCACACCAATCCATGATGGAAGTTCCTCGCCTGTATCACTCCCTCCCGAGGGTTCAGGGCCGGAGCGAACGGCCTGGTTCCTATACCCGGTAGCCGACTCCCAAGATTCGACCACAGCACGGAAGATCTGGTCAACTGTGCCATGGGAGTCGACGATGGTTGACCGAATACCCGCCGCCCATTCTTCGCTGCTGCCATTTTTGGGCGCAGTATATGACAACAAGATAAACAGCCGACGAGAGCTCTCCCTCAAGCTCCGAGGTACAACAACATCATCAGACGAAGTCGGGGCGATGTAGGTCCGGAGAGCGGTCTTCATTTGGGGGGCGGACGGCCGCAAGGTGGTCGGGTAGAGCACCACAAGCTTGGACAGAGAGCAGGCGACAGTGTCGATGAAGGAGGTCGGCACCTTTGGGGGTTTGCCCGAGGCGGGGGCCTTGATGAGCTGGAGGCAGGCCGTCACGTAGCTCGGGAGTGTCGGAGTGACCATTTCCCTAATCAGGGTCTGGTATCCCTGGAGCAGCACGTAGATCTTAGTCAAAGTGACGATGCATAGCTCTTTGGAGGCTAGGGGGTCGGATTTCTGGGAATTGTCAGTCTTTTATCGTTCTCAGACTTAAGCTCTAGTTTCACACACCTGCAGCACTCCGATCAGGCCCCTAAGCCAAGGGTCCGATGCCCGCAAGCTCTCCCATCCCCCCACGTCGATGACAGCCTTAATTAGACACACAGCAGCGAACCGGCCCGCGGGACTCTTTCCATTCAGGAGGGTTGTGATGTGTGTCCTGAGCTTATGCACTAGCATTGGCGTCTCTGACGACTTGTCCTTGGCCTTATTCGCATCCTGTGGCGCAGACAATGGTCCGCCGCAGCGAAGCACATGGTTGACGAGCAGCGGACAGAGGCGCGGGAGGTCATCAACGGGCGTTGATGCCAACCTACGGCAGAGCACTTTCAAATCGGGCGGCGCAGCCATGTCGAGGTATGTTGGTCTGTCCGGTCTGGGGATTTGAGGAAAGACGAAAAGTGAGTGTTGAAGAAATCGACGGCTTATCGTTTGAAATTTGAGATTATCGATAGACCATGAGTTCAACCTTGGCTCGGGAATATGAACACCGACGTGCGGTACTAGGATGACCGAAAATACCGAAGATTGGATTGGAGATATGCCACAAAAGAGTCATACTCGCAAAAGCAATCCCTTCCACAACACCTTCAAACATGAAATACTGCGTAGTCTTCCGCTTGAGATTTTCGTGTCGTTGAAGCTTCACTTACCCCTGTAAGAAGTGGGCTGGCCAATCCCGATCCGCTGTTGGCCGTTGCATGTGCCGAGTGGGGGCCACGCGTTGCAGGGGGTTGCCCAAGATCTCAAGCCCCATAAGCTTTTTATCTGCTCCTGGTATTAGTGCCTGTCCATCATCAACCCGCCGTAATCACCCCCTGACGAACACCCACCGCCTCGAGGTTCCAGCAACGTTTGCTCGACGTCCATACAGCTACGGCACTCGCAAGAACACTCTCCGTCCGCATGCCTTGTAGAATAAAGTCACCGTAGTGCGAGTTGGCTTTCCAACAAGGCAACATGGTAATTCATCCCACCCTTGGTATCTTCAAGGACCCGCCGCTGACGGACCCGACCCATCCATCTAGCCCGACCCAGTAAAGGCCGCCCGTTACCTCCAACAGCTCGACGACGCCCGCTGCGATGAGAATTGGGATGCCGTGCCCGAGTTAATCCGCAAGGTGCGGAAGCACGCCCCGGACCGGTCCTGTACGCCGCTTTGCCCAATTCACCCCCACTCTCCCCCAATTCCAACCTGACCGGCCCCTCCCCTTGTCTAGGCCTCACCCTGACCGCCGAAATCGAACACGCCATCGCCAAAGCGAACCCCAAACCGACACCTTCCGACCGAGCCACCTCCGCCGACAGCACCGCCCACTCGTCCACAGGGGCCACCACCCCGGCCGGCCTCGAAGCAGCCAACCACCTCCCCACCCTCCTCACCGCAATCGACGCCGAGTCCCACCGCCCCGAAGACCGCTTCCAAGCGCGCGTCTGCGCGGGCTGGCTGCTCTGGGTGCTGCGCGAGTACCCAGCCGCACTCGCCCGCCTCCCACGCACACTCCTCGACCACGAACCCTCGGCGGAAGAAGGCGGCGACAACAACAACACCGCCAACGAAGACGGCCTGCCCGGCGGCGGCAGCGGCCTATCAGAATGGACCAAAGTCTGCGGCCTCAAAGCCGCCTACCTACGAGCAAACTGCCTGGCGCGGGACGGGCAGCGCGAGGGCGCCCTCGACGCCTTCGAGGCCGCGCTGCCCGCGCTGGCCGCCGTGTGGGCGGCGGGGCCCGCCGACGCCCGCCAGCAGACCCGCTACTGGGCCGAGCTGTTCCTGACCGAGTACTGCATGCTCGCCGCCCAGGCGCTGCGCGACGGCGTGCGCTCGCTGCGCGGGCCGGACTCGTTGGGCTGTTTTCGGACGTGGGCGCGGTATTGGTCCGCCGTGGGGAAGGGCGGGCCTGTTCCGGGGGGTTATGGGTTCCGTGGGTCGGTGCCGCGGCGTCAGGTGTGGGGGGAGTATTATTTTGCGGTGTCGGAGGTGCTGCAGGGGGATTTGCCGTTCCCGACGGGGTATTCGGTTGTGGTGAGCGGTGGGGAGAATTCGGCAAGGAGTCGGCTGCGGGCGGAGCTGAAGCAGGTCGAGGCGGCTTATCAGGGGCTGTTGTTCGGCGAGACGCGGTTCCCCAAGGCGGACGAGGAGCGGTTGGAGGTGGAGGAGTTTGTGCGGCGGATGATGCGGAACTGGGAGATCTTGAACGGGAGGGGGTGGAAGGAGCATGAGTTGGGTGCTGGGGGGAGGGAAGCGCTGTGTCGGAACACGCTGGAGAGCCTGTATGGCGCCGCGGCGAAGACGTACCACTCGACGGCGATCTTGAGGCACCTGTTCACCGTCCACCTCGCCGTGGCCGAGTTTGACCTGGCTTTCATGGCGTTTGACTCGTGGCTTGAGCTGGTTAAGAAGGGCAAGGCGCGCGTGCAAAAGACGGGCCACCGCGAGCCTGCCCTGGACGACAACGCGACCGTGTTGGAGACCATCTCGACTGGCATCGCAGCTCTGTGCCGGTTTGGCAGCAGGGAGGCGGCCGAAAAGGCACACAAACTGGCGGAGGAGCTCGAGGATATTGTTGAAGAAGAGGAGGGCCGTGATTCGGACACCACCGATCCAGACGACGAGGTGCCGCCGAACATTCTGGCCGTGGCGTGGCAGTCGGTCGGGTTGGCTCAGGCCGAGTGGGCGCGCATGACGTACGACTCTGAGGTTCGCACCACGATCCAGGAGAAGGCGATTCAATGCCTCGGAAGGTCACTGTCGCCCCGCTTCGGCCAAGCTGTCGACGCGCGGGGTGTGTTTGCCCTGGGAGTGTTGTTCGCCGAGCAGCGCAAGCTGTCGGCGTCCATTGAGCTGGTCAAGACGGCGCTTCTTACCGAAAAGTCCCTTAGCACAAGCCAGGAGCTGCGCCTGGGGCCATATTGGCGGGAACGGTCGCTTATTCCCCTCTGGCATCTTCTGGCACTCATGCTCAGTGCTCGACAGGAGTATGTCATGGCCGCCAGGGCTTGCGAGGGCGCTATCGAACAGTTCAAGGATCCGAACGTACTGTTTGGGAGTAGACATCTGGACAGTGGCGTCCGGAGCGAGCACCTGAAAGAGGCCGGGTTCAAAGACAAGTCGGGAGATGGGATCGTGGATGAGATGGACGACTACGAGAAGGAGAGCATTCTGCAGATCAAGATGACGCAGCTCGCCATCCTCGAGGTGATTGAAGGCCCTGCCGTCGCTGTCAATGCTAGCACGGAGCTGCTCACTCTATTCCCGCGGCTGTTTGGCGATTTGGAACAGAAGGTCGAGCTTTCCAAAGCCGAGCCGCCAAAGACAGCTGCCACGCTACGCAGCTTCAGGGGAAGCGTCTTCGGTAGCAGGTCGGAAAAGACCCATCCGAGGCAGAGCGTCGTGAACAACAACGAGAAACTGGCGACGATACCCTCCCGACCGCAGACCACACAGACAACCCAAAGCATCGCAACCACGGTCCAATCATCTAACGACGCAGCTGATCCATACTCGAGCCGCAGGTCGACCAAGTCGGCCAAGTCGGATGACATCAAGCGGACCCGCAATAGTCTGCGCAAACGCGACCGGAGCGGCAGTCGGCGTCGCGCGCTCAGCACAGGTGGGCCGCCGGTGCCCCCTATCGACGGCGACAAATATTTTGCCGCCTTCGACGAGCGGGGCCTGCCAAATTACTTCCCCCCCAAGCAAACGGTCGAGCCCCCGAGGGAAACATCCGGCAGGTCATCATCCCGCTCGAGGACAGAGGTGGCGGCTGGGCAGGTGGCTCCGGCGTTCTCGCCCTTGCTCCCGTTTGTCCAATTCTCGCCCGACCATAACCGGCGGCGGAGGAAGGCGATCCTGGTGAAGGTGTGGCTGGTGATTGCGGGCTTCTATCGCCGGGCCGGGCTCCTCGATGACGCAAGCAAAGCGGCTGCTGAGGCGCAGGGAGTTGCGCAGAGCCTCGAGGCGGACGTGGTGAACGAGACTTCGGAGGCGCTGTTGGTGCGGCAGGTTGGCTGGGGGATGGAGAAGAGTGCCGAGGAGGTTCTCGCGGATGTTTGGGCCGAGGTAAGAGCACTGCAATATGAATATGGTGTGGAAGGGCCGACGCTGACTGACTACGCACAGAAAGGAAACCTCTCCCTTGCGCGCGAGCGGCCATACCAGGCGCGCGCCGACTTTGAGACGGCGCTGACGCACTTCCCCGACCACCCGGGCGCCATTGTCGGGCTGTCCAACATCCTCTTGGATATCTACACAGAAACCCTGCTCCCACCGCCAGCGGTGCCGGGGCTGGACCTCAACAAGCTCTCTCTCGGAGAGGATAGCATTTTCACCTCCGCACCCGACCCAACCCCCTCCCTCCCAGCGCACAACAGCAAGGAGACCACCCCCACATTGCCATCCGCGCCCCTCGGCCTCGGACCAACGCGGCCCAAACCAAACCCCCAACCAGCCGCCGCCGCCGCGGTCCTCGTCAACGGACGCCCGCTCTCCCCTACACCCGCGACAACAACAACAACAACAACAACGACATCATCATCCCTCCTCGGCGCGCCGCTGCCGCCGCCGCACAAGGCCACCTCCCTACCGCTGAACGACCGGCTGGCGGCGCGCGACCGCGCCTACGGCCTGCTCGCGGGCCTGACCAAGCTGGGCAGCGGGTGGAACTGCTCCGAGGCGTGGTTCGCGCTGGCGCGCGCGTACGAGGAGAGCGGCCAGGCGGACAAGGCGCGGAGTGCGCTGTGGTGGTGTGTCGAGCTGGAGGATGGGCGTGGGGTGAGGGAGTGGGAGGTGGTGGGGGGTGGGTATGTGCTGTAGTGTGGTGGACTTGGTGTGTGGGGGTGGTGGTGGTTGTGAGGGTGCGGAGGGGGGTATAGTAATGATAGAGTTTGGGCAATATAGACTTGTAATGATCGAGTTGGGTTTACGGTGCGGTGTTTGTGTTGTCTCAGGGGCATTCCTGTCTCTCACCTTGAGGCGGCCAATGGGATATACAAAATGCCGATTTGATGCCCCACCTCTTTCACTTTGCACCTCTCTTAGGTCTCAACTCTCAACCTTACAACCCTGACTCTCACAACCACAACATCCTAAACACAATCCACCAAACCAAACCAACGTAAAGTTTTACAAAACCACCCACCATGGCAGCAACAACAGCCACCCACCCCGAACTCACCCTCATCGTGGCGGCCACGCAACAAATGGGCATCGGCCGCAACGGCGCCCTCCCCTGGACCAACCTCCGCCGAGAAATGGCCTACTTTGCGCGCGTCACCAAGCGCGTGCCGTCCTCCCCCAGTTCCACCACCACTCCCAACCCCCCATCAACAGCCACCCCAACCCCAGCCCCAACATCAGCACCACCACAGTGGACATCACAGGGAACGGCGCAGCCTCAAACACAACTCCAAAACGCCGTGGTGATGGGCCGGCGCACGTGGGAGAGCATCCCGCCCCGCTTCCGCCCGCTGCCGGGCCGCCGCAACGTGGTGGTGTCGCGCTCGCTGCCGTCGAGCCCGCCGCCGGCCGAGGGGGTGGTGGTGGCGAGGAGTTTGGAGGAGGCGCTGGCTTCTGTTTCTGTGGCGGCTTCTTCTTTTACTGGCCTTGCTGGGGTTTCTTCTGAGGGGAATTCTGGGGGGGTTGAGGGTGTTGAGGATGCGGGGGGTGCGGTTGGGGGTGGTGAAGTTGGGGATGCTGGGGATGCTGCTGGTGCTGGAGGTATTCAGGGCGCTGCTTCTGCGCCGGCAGCGTCGGGCAGGGTGTTTGTCATTGGCGGGGCGCAGATCTACGGCGCGGCGCTGGAGATGCGCGAGGCGAGGCGGGTGTTGCTGACGCGGGTGCGGACTGCGTTCGAGTGCGACACCTTCTTCCCGCTGTGCTTGCCCGATAGCGGGGTGGCCGAGAAGGGGTGGCGGCGGAGAGGGCAGGCCGAGATGGATGCGTGGGTGGGCGAGGAGGTGCCGCGGGGCGTGCAGGAGGAGGCGGGCACGGAGTATGAGTTTGAGATGTGGGAGAGGGTAGATTAAAACGGGTGTTAATCCGGTTGTTGGGGTGATGTATATTGTTATGCGTTACAGGTTGTGGTTTTGTTTTTTACAGTGTTATACATGTATGCACATGTCCTCTCACGACGAGATAATCCCCGCTTGCCCGAACGCCGTCCTCATCGACGCCGTCGGCACATCGACCATCGCCGACTGCACCTTCAGCCCCGGAAGCACCTTTATCGCTGAGGCTAGATCCTCGTCCGCCAGCTCCCCCAGTTCCCTCAACCCGGACCGCATCCAGGCGACCACGGCGGCCAGCGCCCGCACATCCACGTCTTCCCGCGCCTTGAACAGGTTCCGCCACACAGCCGAGGCGAGCACGGCGTCCCCCTTGACGATGCCCTCGTCGTAGGCCAAGATCAAGCCGCGCCACTGGACGAACAGATCCTTGAGGTAGGTCTGGCGGATCATGCGCGAGGACAAGTCGTGCACGTCCTCCATCTTGGCCTCGGCCTGGTGGAAGAAGTGGTTGACCAATTGGGACTGCCAGGCCTGCTGGGCTGCTGGTTCGAGGCAGCGGAAGCGGACAACGAGCAGGTACATGTGCAGCATGGAGACGTGGGCCCAGGTACTAAAGGTCGGGAGGAGGCCGAGTTCTACAGGGAGGCAAGTTAGTCCGTTGTAAGTCTAGTGATGGGGAGGAAGAGGGGCATACCTTTATGCCACGTCTCGGTCTTGCTCGTGCCGATTTCCTCGCCATCTTCTGTGGTTTGTAGCGTCCCCGCCTTGCGGTCTGCGGCCTCGATGGTGTAGTCGGCCTGGGCGGCGCAAGCCTTGTAAAGGTCCTCGGTCACCCTGTAGATATAGTAGGTGTTATTCCCCGTTGACAGGCTTTCGCGGACGCGGTCGAACAGCATTTCCTTCAAGTTGAACTTTTGCTGTGGTGACGTTGTGTGGAGGGCTCGGCGGGCTATTCGGCTGGGTGGGTTCGCAGGTATTGTCGCGAACGGTAGGGTCGCAGCCGAGGAAGTGGTTGAGAAGGCGCATCGTGATGATGCTGGTAGTGGGGTGACGTCGAGGAAATTCTGGCGGAGGGGTGCTGCTATCCTCTTGGGCAACCGGCCGAGGCTTGTGCTGCAACTGCGGCAAGCCATTGTGAAACTGCGGGTGGGAGCTGTAGACTGGGGAACGGTGTTGGCGTCGAAGCTTGTCGCGATTCACTCCTCTCGGCTTTCGACCCAAAAAACGTCGTTTCTGGTGATCAACGATAGGGGTTAGGGTTGTGTTGTGCTCTCTTGGGATCAGAACCACCCACAACATCACCCCTACAAACAACGGAGATGAAAATGTGAAAATGTGATTAATTTACGGGTCAATTGTATGGCATTCCGTTCTTCATGCCTGACTTATATGCATACAAGATAGGTACTTACACTAAAATACATGGACCTGTGCTCCATGTGCTAGTCCAGCTCCGAGAACACGAGCGAGGCATTGGTACCGCCAAAGCCAAAGCTGTTGGATACTGCCACTTTGACCTCCTTCTGCTGTGCTTCATGCGGCACGAAGTTGAATTGTGCGCCGACATCCGGCTTGCACAGATTGAGCGTAGGGGGGACGGCGTTCTGGTAGTTTTTGGTTAACAGCCCCGCAGTGTCTGTCGGTTGTAGGTTGTACTCACTTCGGTGATGGCGAGAATCGAAAACACGGCCTCAATAGCGCCGGCTGCTCCAAGAAGATGACCAATGGCCCCTTTTGTACTGCTGGTCGTGATCTTGCTCTCATCATCCACACCTTCTTCGCCCATCATCAAAGTCCGGATGGCCATCGTCTCAGCAGCGTCGCCAACCTGTGTGCCGGTGGCATGGGCGTTGATGTAATCAACCTGGCCAGGCTTGACCCCGGCGTTCTTCAGCGCTTTTTTCATGGCCGACAGCGCTCCCGACCCATCTTCTCTCGGGGCCGTCATGTGGTGTGCATCACCGCTGCACCCATACCCCTTCAACTCTGCCAGGATCCTGGCACCCCTCCGCTTAGCATGCTCCAACTCTTCAAGGACGACCACAGCAGCCCCTTCGGCAACCACGAACCCGGAGCGGTCAGCATCAAACGGCCGACAGCTCGCCGACGGATCGTGGTTATACGCTGTAGACAACGACCTCGACCGGCCAAAGCCGGCAAACGTAAGCGGATGGATGCACGACTCGGCACCGCCCGCTACCATGGCGTCGGCATCGCCAAAGGCAATAAACCGCGCCGCATCCCCAATCGAGTGGGCGCCGGTGGTACACGCCGTGGTGGCGGCATGGTTCGGCCCGCGCAGGCCATAGCGCATGGCAATATGCCCCGCGGCGAGGTTGATCAAGATCTTGGGCACAAACAGCGGCGAGACCTTCTTGTAGCCCTATCGTCCCCCACCCGGACACCAAGCCCACGAGTCTCAGCAAAACCATCCATAATAATATCCTTACCCGTCACGCGGAGGAGGAAGCCAGCCTACCCCTCGGTCAAACGCGACACTAGTCGCATAAAAGTCGTCCAGATTCCCGATCCCGCTCCCCAGACAAACCCCCGTCATCTCGCGCTCCCCGTCGCGCGTCGGCCGCCACCCGGCGTCGCGCAGGGCCATCTCGGCGGCAGCAGCAGCATACTGCGCGAACGTGGACATGCGGCGCTGGTCGGCGGCGTCGAGCCAGTCGGCGGGGCGCCAGAGGCCGTCGTCCTCTTGTCCCCTAGAGAGGGCCCGGTCCGGGTCCGGGTCCGAGTCTGGGGCGGAGGGCACGATGCCGGCGACGGTGCTGGTCAGGCCGCGCCACTGGGCCTGCTCGGCGGCGTCCCGGCCGCGGTCGGCGACGCTGACCAGCCCGGATTCCGATGCGAGCAGCCGCTGCCAGGTGCGGCGCACCCCCACGCCGAGCGGCGTGATGGCGCCCAGGCCGGTCACGACAACGCGCCGCATGCTGGGGTCATTTCTGGGGGGTGGTTGGTTGGGGTGTGGTGTGGTTTTGGGGGTGGGTTGAGTTAAAGTCGAGTTAAGGTTGAGCTTCGAGCAAGAAACCAAGATGGGAAGAAAACCCGAACGGGAAAGTCGAAGAGCCGATGGATGTCAAAATCACAAGCTCCCTGCAGCTCTGGACTGCTCGCTAACTAGCTGTGTTGAGCTTAGCGGCTGCGGGAGCTGCCCAACCCCTGTCCGAAACAGAGCTGAGCTCCAAACGGACCCCTGTGGGGGCTTACGCTCTCTTTGTCCGGGGGCCACTTGGCCGGAAAGCGATCTGAATAAGACAACAACTGGCAAACATGCGATGATAACTCGAGATACGCCAAATAGCAGTCTTCTCACCAAACTCTCAAATTACCTGGTTTGACGGGCTCGGGCTCAAAGTCCCGTCAATTCGGCCCAGAAAAGGCTCCCAGGATCACCTCCGTCTCTCACTTCGGAAGAACCACTTCCACACCTCAACAACACACTCCGGAATCATCTTTGACACGCTCAATTCTTCGGTTGGATTGCCGTTTCATGGGAATTAGGTAGTATTGTTTTGGTGAATTGATTGCTGGGGAATCTTGGGTGCCTCCCCTTGAGTTGTGCGGCAACCCGACTCAACACCAACAACGTTCACTCCGGTATCGAAAAAACACGACTGGGTCACAATGCTCTAAACGCATATTTTGCTCTCCGCTTTTGCAGTTTATGAGATTTCTCATTTCAATCTCATGTTGATACCCGGATAACCTTCCCACGCCCCGCCATGGTTAAACCCTCGAGCTCCACATCCTCGGATGTGCCTCTTCAACCTCTACCGTCGTCAAACCCCCGGGATGAAAACTCCAAGCCCAAGTCCACATCCCACACCTCAGGTATAGAGGCAACCGCAGGGCCCTCCCGCTCCCGGCCTCAACCCCGGCCCTCCTCCCCGGAGTCGCCCCTCAGCCACCTCAAAGCCCGCCTCTCCCTCCTCCGCCCAGGCCACTCGGACGACGTCCACCGAGACGGCGACTCCGGCTCAGAAGACGAGCTCCTCCTCGACCCCAACCTCCCCACCGACCACGCCCAGCGCCACCAAGCCATCCCGCTACACTCCCTCTCCACCACCGACGACCACGACCACGACGAAACCAAAACTTCTCTCGACTCCGACCGCGCCCCCCTCGTCCCCAACAAAGATGGCTCGGACGAGGATGACTCCGACGCCGCCTCCGACGTAGAGGACGAGGTCGAGGACTCGCCCTACCCGGAGGTGCGCGCCGCCGTCCACCCCTACGACGACCCCTCCCTGCCCTGCAACACCGTGCGTGCCTGGGCGATCGGGTTGAGCCTGATCTTTCTGGGCGCGAGTATGAATACGCTGTTTTCGTTGAGGTCGCCGAATATTAGTTTGGGGGCGTTGATTGCGCAGGTTATTGCTTGGTAAGCTTTTTTTTCTTTTTCTTTTCTTGTTTTCCCTCTCTTGTCTTTCTTCCCTTGTCTTTCTTTTCTTGTTTTCCTTCTCCTGTTTTTTTTTCTTGCCTTTCTTCTCTTGTTTTCCTTCTCTTGTTCCTTTTTTCTTATTCTTCTTTTCCTTCCTCTTCTTTTTCCGGGGTGGTGGGGGGGGGGGGGGGCTAGCCTCCGGCCGGGTTCGGGGTGGTGGGCTGGCTGGCTCTGCTGGGCGTCACTGTAGGGGGGATGACTGGCTAACTGCTTTACTCTAGGCCACTCGGGAGGGGATGGGCGAGGTTTGTCCCCGACAAGGAGGTGACGGTGCCACTACTGTGGTTTGGAAAGGGGGTGAGGAGGGGGGTCGGGCTGAAGAAGGTGCGACTGAAGTTGAACCCCGGCCCTTTCAACGTCAAGGAGCATGCCATCATCGTCGTGATGGCGAGCGTCTCCTTCTCCGTGGCCTATGCGACCGATATCATCCTGGCCCAGAAGGTGTTTTATAAGCAGGACTTTGGCCTTGTGTGGCAGCTGCTGCTGGTTGTGTCGACCCAGAGTTTGGGCTATGGGATCGCTGGGATGATGAGGCGGTTTCTGGGTGAGCAGTCCCTTTTATTTTGCTACTCGCTTGAGTTCAACTAGGAGAGATACTAACAACCACAGTGTATCCCGCCGCCATGATCTGGCCCGGCAACCTGGTGTCAGTGACGCTCATGAACGCCATGTATGAAAGCAGCGAGGACCGGGATCCGACCGTCATTGGAGGCTCAATGCCGCGGTATAGGTGGTTCGGCTTGATCACCGCCGGCGCCTTTATCTACTACTTCATCCCGGGATTTCTAGCCCAGTTTTTGAGCTCGTTCGCCTTCATGACTTGGCTGGCGCCCGAGAGCCCGGTCATTAACCAGCTGTTCGGCTCCAACACCGGTTTATCGCTGTTGCCGATTACCTTTGACTGGACCCAAATCTCGGGCTTTGTAGGCTCGCCCCTTATCCCGCCATGGTAAGTACAGATACGGACTGGAGCGGATATGGACTCGGGCCTAACAAGTAGTACAGGCACGCCATTGCCAACACAATGGTCGGCGTGGTCTTCTTTTTTGTCTTCCTCGCGTCTGCTCTTCACTACAGTGGCACCTGGTACTCCCAGTACCTTCCGATGAGCGACTCCAACACCTATGACAACACGGGGAAGCAGTACGATGTGTCCCGTATTCTCTCCGCCGACTACACCCTAGACGTCGAGGCGTACAACAATTACTCGCCTCTGTTTCTAAGGTAGGCCGCTTTCTCTACCCCCCTAAGTCCCCGCTGACAAACCAGCACGACATTCGCCATCTCTTACGGCCTCTCCTTCGCCGCCATCGCCTCTTTGGTTGTGTACACGTATTTGCACCACGGCAAGACCATCTGGCGGCAATACAAGAGCAGCACAACAGAGAAGCCCGACATTCACATGAAATTGATGAGGCGATACAAGGAAGCACCGACTTGGTGGTACATGTCGCTTTTCTCCGTGGTGGGCTACACCCTTCCAGACCAGTACTATCTCGCATCCGCTCACACACACCTGTTAGATGCTCGTCCTCGGCTTCGTGACCGTGCTTGCTTGGCCCACCAACATGACCTGGTGGGCGTTCTTGCTCGCCGTGTTCATCTCTTTCGTCTTCTCCCTCCCGATCGGCATCATCCAGGCGGTCACGAATAACCAGATTGGCCTGAATGTGCTCACCGAGTTCATTTACGGTTACATCCAGCCGGGCCGACCGCTGGCGCTCATGATGTAATTGCCCCTCCTTTGTAATACTCTCTATGTGCCGAGCTAATGACTCTAGCTTCAAAACATTCGGCTACATTACCATGTCACAAGCCCTAACGTTTGTCTCGGACCTCAAGTTCGGGCACTACATGAAAATCCCGCCGCGCACCATGTTCATGGCCCAGGTCGTTGCCACCACCTTCTCCTGTTTCGTGCAGGTCATCGTTCTCAACTACGCGCTCAAGACCATCCCCGGCGTGTGCGAACCCACTCAACCGGACCACTTTACTTGCCCCGGCGGCCGCGTTTTCTTTTCCGGTAAGTCCCCTTTCCCTAGCTAGTTACACCTTTCCCCCTCCCCCCTCGGTTATCCTTGGCCTAACCTAACACGTATCCGTGCCCAGCCTCGGTGATATGGGGCCTCATCGGCCCGGCCCGCATCTTCTCCCCGGGCCAGATCTACTCCTCCCTGTTCCTCTTCTTCATCCTCGGCGCCGTGACCCCCCTCGTCATCTACCTCCTCGCCAAGCGCCGGCCCAAGTCCTTCCTGCGCTACCTCATGGCCCCCGTCATCTTTGGCGGCGCCGGTGCCATCCCGCCCGCCACCCCGCTCAACTACCTGTCCTGGGGCATCGTCGGCTTCGTCTTCCAGTTCCTGATCAAGAAGCGCCACTTTGCCTGGTGGAGCCGGTTGAACTTCCTAACCAGCTCGGGTCTGGATCTGGGTCTGGCCCTGAGCACCCTAGTTATCTTCTTCGCCTTTACTTTGAGGGAGGTGGAGCCGCCGCAGTGGTGGGGAAACGAGGTGGTCAAGGGGACCATGGATTATCGCGGCGAGGCGGTCCAGGTGGTGCTGGGGGCTGGCGAGACCTTTGGGCCTGCTTCGTGGGGGTAGCGGGTATTCTAGTTGGATAGTGTATGAAGTAGGGGAGTAACTATATGAGAAGTCCCATAGCCTGTTTAGAGACGTTGGATACTGCCCTCGGTTACAAAATCCGCTCCTTACGACCGTATCAACCGGCTTGCATCCACTAGTACCACCCCGGTCCCAGTAGACGACGATGAAAGCCCGATCCCGTCCACAAAACCATTACACGCCTGCATAGAGACACGCACAAGTTGATATCTGGGCCGTACTTCTGGACTACGTTCTCACCCCATAAATAAGAAAGTTCGGGCTCGAGATGTAGATATGGACCAAACCTCGACTACAGGAAGAAACGAAAGCCGTCCCCATCCAGCCCAAAGAAACAGCTTTTCCTCGATTGAACTCCCCCTTGCTCGAAACAGTGCCCGCCGCTTGAACCTCTCGGGTATCTCTTGAAGTCCGGTTTTCGTCGTTCAGAGGCTAGTTGTCCTACCCACCACCGGCAGCCGGGATGCAACCCACCTCTACTCTCCTCCCGTGTAAGTCCTGAGCCGCCGGTGCAATGCCGCGGATGGTGTTCATGCACACCATCTCTGTTGTCGTACTCGTACGACACCGTCCCGTTTCCGAAACAGACCTCGACAATTTCGACGACACCCTCGATTCCTGAGCCCCTGGCTACAAATTATGTACCACACACACAGACACACACGGGCACACACAAGCACACACAGACACACACAGACACACCATAACCACACCATAACCACACCACCCAGCCAGCCATGGGGCGGGATCGCCGGCTCCCCGAGCCCGGGCATCGGTGAAATGAAAGCCGATGATGGCAAACCCCGCCTCAGCTGTCCAAGCATTCCCAGTAAAACGGCATTGCCCGAAAAGAGAAGGAAATGAACAGACTTTTGTCCGAAATACATACTGTCCGTAAGGTGACCGGGCGAGCAAGGATGTTATCAATTTTTCACACCGAAAAAACAACCAAGCACACACCGTCGCGCCTCACCATTCTGATCGCCGCTCCCCCAGTCGCCGTTCCCGGAGACGGAGCCTCCTCACCCCTCGGGGAAACCGACTTTGTATTCTTGTAGTTACCCGGGTCAGCCCTCCGAATTAGGCCTCGCGTCAGACATACGGTCGAGTCAGTCAGTCAGTTGGTTCCCTAATATCATGACAACTGGTTGCACCCGCTCTGTATTGCTTGATATTGCTTGCCTATCCCGGTAAAAAGTTGTCGAGTTAGTCAGGTCCGCCACCCGACCTTTCTTTTTTCCCCTTTTTGGTGCCCTTGCACGTCCCCTTTTGATCGACCACGCCAGTCCCACAGGGCAGCCTCACACACAAACTTCCCTTGCGAGCGATCATCACGCCGTTGCGGACAGGCAGGCCCTGCTCGCACCATGGCACAAACCTGCCGAATCGGGAACCTGTAAAACCCATCACATTCCGCGTGCTTTTGTCGATTGCCGAGCCACGCCTCGCACACATTCACTTCCCAACACTGGTGCTGCTGACCGCCAGAATTTTGGAACATGTGGGGAGCTTCGACGCCAGAGCGGGGGAGGGCCCGGCCTATCGGATGCCCGCCCGGACGTCTCGGAGCCTGCCGGCGCTCTGGGCGCCCTCGCTTACGCCGGCCCAGCCGGGCGTTCGTCCGATGTGAAGGATTCGACCCGGCTGACTGGGACCGGCTTCGTGGCATCCCACAGGGTCCGGAGGAAAAAGAATGAGCGGTATGGCCTGACTGGTGGATGGATTGGCGCTTGGGTCTCCTCACTTATCTCCGGGTTCGGGGTGCCGCCTGGTGGCTTGCAGGGTTGTTGCCCTCGTCGGCGCAGGCCGAATTCGAGGCCGATATGTGAGCGATTGTCGGGTACAGGAGCCTTTGTTGTTCCCCTGATTTGAGGAGAAAAAAAGCGTTTGATCAGTGCCGCCCGCCCGCACACTGTGGGAAAGCTCTTCATCCGCCTCCGTGCTTCGCCCAGAGTGGACTGGATTACCATCCTCCTCCCCGTCCCGACAACGAGACCTTGGTTCAACCCCCGCAACGCTAGAACAATTGGCATGAACTCGGGGATCCACAAGACCGCCCTGTCGGTTCTTTCCACTCTTCTAGAAAATGATCGGCCAGTGAGCGACGAGGCACGACGGCAGATTATCCACCGCCGATACACGAGATGCTGCAGGCGGTCAGCGGCGTTTGCTAACGTTGCGCTAACCAGGGGCTCTGACATCCTTCCCTCTGTTTCTCTCATGCATTGCCTGCCCAGATTCGTCGATTGGGTCCTCGGACAGGGTCCGACAGGAGCAAGGCCGTAAAACTCTGGATCGCGCCATGAACTGTGCTCTTGGGCTTGTCCGTGCCCCGGAGAATGCGCCGAGATACACCCATTCGCCTGCGAGACCAGAGACTTGTTTGATGCCACGAGGCAAGGGTTGAGTCTGGCTAACCGCACAAACCATCTCCTGACGGCGGCCGTCCGTTGTTCCCGCGGAACCAACGGAGTTGTGCATGGCTTTGTGTCCGCCTGGCGGTTTTTGAACGCCCGAAAAAATTGTCGACAAAGTGCGAGCGGCTGTCGTCATTTCATCGAATGACAAGGGCTCGCTGGCGAATTCTTGACTTTGTCGACCCCAAGTCGCGCGTGACTAAATCAGCTTTTCGATGGACGTGTTTGGCTGCCCAGAGAACTCCCACGTCCCTCGTCCGGGATCACCCATCTTCCTTTGCGTTACCGCCCATGCGGTGTGACCCCTTTTTTGTGACCTCCCTGTAGCCATCCTTGTTCCCAGCTCTTGTACGCAATGGCAAGTACAAGTATCGAGTACTTGAAGCTGCCACCGTTCCTACCCGGGCTCCAATCCTCTCCTTGCAACATCTCCTGTACCGCGATCCCCAAGAACGAAGTCGAAACCCCTGAGTTCGTCCTCTGCTCCCGTTTTTCTCAAGATGGGCCAAATGATACCCGACCTCACACCAGGACTGCCTAGAGCTTTCCAGACCACCAGCGCGCCTAAGAGACCGCAGTATGACACCACCATCACGGACAAGGTCATATCTGCCACTGGCCCGAATGCCAATGGGCGCCTGGCACAAGTGATGCCCAGCTTGGTGCGCCACCTCCATGCGTTCGCACGTGAAGTCGACTTGACGGTTGCAGAGTGGACAACTGCCGTGGATTTTGTAAGCCCCTGTCCACCCACCGCGGCTGCGATTCCGCGACATGTAGGCTGACGCGATGCGAATTGATGTAGATTAATGAATGCGGCAAGATGTCCGATGACCGACGGAACGAGACCCAGCTGCTGTGCGATATCGTGGGGTTGGAAAGCCTGGTTGACGAGATCACGTCCAAGATGCTGGCGACTTCCAACTCCGAAACTCCCTCCGCCATCCTCGGCCCATTCTACCGGCACGACGCGCCTTTGCTGCCGAACGGGAGCTCCATTGTCCAGAACCTAACCCCTTCTGTACCATGGTATGAACAAGCAGTTGCTGACTCGGCCTTTGTATCGGGCCGCGTCTTGACGAGCTCGGGCATGCCTATTAAGGGGGCGGTCGTGGACGTATGGCACTCGGCGCCGAACGGGTTGTATGAACAGCAAGACGAGTCGCAGCCGGATATGAACTTTCGAGGTCGTTTCGAGACAGACGAGGCGGGCTGTTACGCCTTTTATGCGTTGCGGCCGGTCCCATATCCGATCCCCGACGACGGGCCGGCGGGGAAACTGTTGGGCTTACTGGATCGGCATCCCTATAGGCCGGGCCACATCCATTTTATGGTGTATGCTCCGGGGTTCCGAGCCTTGACGACGCAGTTGTACGACGACCGAGATGAATATGTTGCCAACGACGCCGTGTTTTCCGTCAAGGACGAACTGGTCGTCAAATTCATACCACGCGACGGGGACCCTAATGCGCGGTGGTCACTCAAGTATGACTTCGTGCTTGGTCGGGAATGATTGTGGTTGCAGGGGGGATATCAGGTGCATTTGCTGTATTGTTACTTTAGAAAAGCCTGAAGGTTATCACTTTGTTTCCATCCACTGCACTCTGTGGGTTGTCTGTGTCGGGTGCAGTCGCCGCCGTTTCGAAAGCCCGCCTAGAGCCCATCAAATCTCTTGAAACTGTTGCTTGAGTCAAACACGGCTTCCGGTTCCTGCCGTGAAATGGGTGCTTCTAAAAACCAGGTTTGTCTTCGAATGCGGCCCTGTATATCAGCTAAGACCTGTACGGACGGAGAAGCGGATACCCCCCTGGACGAAACTCTGGGGGTTTATAAAACGTAAATACGTACCGTACGGTTCTGTTGGCGCACCGATGACTGGTGGTGGGAACTGCATGGCAATATTGCTGATGTTTGGGGCCACTGAGGAGACGGGCGGGAGGTGGTTGATAAAGCTGTTCCATAGACCGTCGAATTCGAACTCGATGTTTCCGCTAAGCGGTTCCGAGCTCGCGATTGACGAGTGGGCTGAAACGCTCGACCGGCCGCCGGCGAGGGTGGCGTGGGGGATAAACGGCGGGCTCATGCCATTCGCTCTTGCGTCAAGTGCCGTACTGGGAGCTTGCGTAGATAATATGCCTAGTAGTGGCATTTTCGGTATTGACGGCGGAGTCAACAGTCCCGGATCCGGCCCATCGACGGCCTGGGAAGGGTTTCGCCTTTGCATGTTCGTGCTGATTGCGAGCCCCGGGTGTGGGTGTTCTGAGGCCGGCCCTGGGCGAGGGGCTTGGTTGTAGAGACAGCTAAAGTCGTCCGATAGCTTCGGTGCAGGATAAGCATGGTCCTTGGTCCAATTGCTGACCACTTCTGAGAACCTCGTGATGATATCGTGAACGCGTTCCGCCTGTGGATCGATTTCGGCACAATGCGCCATGATTCCCAACGCATCCTGCATGGTATCGTTATATTCGTCCGTGTAATACAGCGACGAGAACTGATTCATGAGAATCACCAGGCTTGCTGCGAAGATAAAGTATCTAAGGGCCAGTCAGTTAGCCTGGCCAGTGGCGGTCGGCCATGCAGCTTAGGCGGTGTAATGTGACCGGAACTCACATAACAAAAGGGTTCCTGCGTGGGAGGTAACCGTCTTCCCATGCGCAGCGAGCCTGCTCGATTGTCCGGTAGGAAGCGACAACACAAGCTTCTGAAAACCTCGCCATAGACGACTCGCGAATTTGAGGCGATTTCTTGATGCCCGACCGTTCCTCCACGAGCATCCAATTGTGCATAACGAACAGCTGCCGGGTGAGGAGTATGAGCGAATGCAACGACAGGAGGCTGACGTGAAGGGAGGCTACTCCGTGGGCCGGATTTGCCGCGCCACCACCAGAATGTCGCCTATATGGCTGGGCGCGAGAGGCTTGGTCCCAGTTCCTGGACATGTTGATTATCTCTTGGACTTTGGTGGTCGAGATCTTCCTGCGCGAGAAGACCTTGAGCGTCACGCCGATGACATGAGACGTCTCGACACAGGCATCCAGACTGCTCGCATGGATGTGGTCAAAACCGAGTCCGCTTATACCGTGGGCATCGGCCGTATCATTGCGCGGCAAGATATTGCACGAACAATCGTCCTCTGAAATGGCAGTAGGTCTCCCCAACGTAGCGGCCAAGAAGCGGTCGAGAATGAACAGCGTCTTCCACAAGTTTCTCCTCACCCTCATCTCGGCCGGCGTGAAAATAACGTCTCGCATCGTCTCCTCCCGATGCAGGCCGAGGGCGAATGCAGAGCGGACGGCCATTCCTGATTGGGTTAGCTAGTTTTCGGTGGTAAAAGGTAATTCAAGGAGCCTACCCAAGTATGCATAAGCTCTGTTCCTCTTGGAGACTATCAGCATGTAGAGGGTCATCAATGACAATGACTGGATGGACCAGAAATCGGCATCCTCAAAGCCGGCGCCGGGGTCGCACATGGACCTGGCGCTCCGGAAGAAAAGCTCTGCCCTGTCTGGCTGTGCAGTAAGCTGTTTCTGCACGACAGCTTCCTCGCGACTCCCTGGAGCGGGCGCAGCCAATAGTAGACCAAGGGCCAGGACGAGGTATAGGTTGCAGAGGAAGTCATTTCTAGCGGACGGAGGGTCGCTATAGCACTCCTCGACTAACCTAAGAAATGCAGTCCTGTCCAGGATTTCGATCAAACCGCAGGTCTAGCAACATCAGCAACCATCCATCCTAACCACAGGGGCGGACTAACATTCGTGAAGTAGGACGTTATGAGGACGTCGGCAGTTTCCTTGTCTGGCAAGGGGCTGGGGAGCCGCACGTTGTCGGGAAAGTCAATGATGCTCTCCAGTATGCGATGCCTCTTAGGATCATCGATGAAGGGTGAGCCCATATCCGCCCCAGCTGTATTCTCAACAACGATGCGGATCAGCTGGAGGATGGACAGGGTGGACGCGTCTCCGATGTAGACTGAAAATAGCAGGTTAGCAAAGGCCTTGGCGATGCCCCAACAAGACCGAGAGTACCCACGAAGACGTCCAGTTTGGTCCTGCAACATCCGAGTTTCGGTGTAGATGTTGGTCTCCTCGGATAACCCGTTCGCATTGTTACGGTTTGGCAACCTCTTGAAGGTGTGGTGGAAGGAGCCTTGTCGGACATGATCCGGCGCGGGCATGGATATCGGCAGTTGTGTTGTCATCCCCGACATGGACGAGTCCCCGGTTTGCTGCTCGTTCTGTGTCTGCTCCCACGTTTGCATTGTGTCGTGGGTTTGAGGGGAGGGTTCCTCTGATGCCTCGAGCACAGAGGGTATGGAGGGCGGGGACGTGTCGATGTGGCGCCGCTTAGTTGGTGACACAGCAGAGTCCGTAACATGGTCGGAAGCGTTATTTGGTGTGTAGCAGCACGTTAACTTCCTCCTGAGACAGGTTTGGCAGGGTTTCAAGCCATTGCACTAGACGGTAATTGTCAGCGAGAAGGCGAGTCATGAGAACCCGGGTTGAGTGAGACTGCGGTGGTCACTCAAGGGAAAAAGGCCCCAGAGACAGGAGGACGAGAGATGAGAGAACCAGTCGAGAAGGGCGTCGTTCCGAGGCTAAGCTGGCCACCCAACGTGTTAGGGCCCAACGCCGATGCCGTCCGGGGCTCTGGACGACACACTCATGGACGATGCCTGTTCGGGGTCCGGGAGCCAGTGGATATCGCACGCTTGTGCGACTGAATCGGGACTCCCGTCTCCCCCTGCTGCCTTGTGCTTCGTAGCAAGTGGGTGAGCACGGCGCCGCCGACTGGGCATACCTGCTTTGTGAGGCAAGCATTTTCCCTCGAGCATCAAGCAACATCGCCGGGGTGCATCCCGACGGAGGCAGAGGGAGGTAGATGAAGGGAAAGAATGGGGTTGGCAGCGAGGAACTGAGACATCCCGCAGGACGGGGGTACAGCTTGTATACGCCGCCGAGCCGAGCCAGCCACTGACAGGTCCTCGGGATGGGGACAAGGTTGGGTTTCTCGGCGCTCGTCGTTGACACGGTGCCCTCCCATATCCGCACGGGGAAAGGGGGGTAGAAGGGGGGGGGGGGGGTAGAGGGGAGCGAGCAAAATAAGTAAAAAAAGAAGGCTCCCACCTTTTGTTTCCGACGTTTGCACGAGTCACAGGCCTGAGCAGTGCGCTGGCGCTTGTCGTCGGGAACCTTGGGGCGCGTCATGGTGGAGAAGCGCAGGTGAAGTTGATGGCGTGGGATGCGTGGGGAGACGTGCGCTCAGGCACCCCGCCATCGGATAGCAGACTCTCCCGCCTGCTGGGTCTTGCTGGCGGCGCGGAGACGGCAGCCGCAAGTGCAACGGTGCGGGCAGCTGGAGGAGAAGTGATGGGAGGCCGGCGGGCGTTGGGCGGTTAGTGCGATCGGAAGCAGCGGGCGCGCGGGGATCTGACGGAGCGGATGATGCACACGAGACACATCGGCAGCAGGGCCGGCAGTAGAAGAATCGGGCTGTCTGTCGGATGGAGGTAGGCAGGCACGCTATCTAAGGTAGGGAGCTATGTTGTCGGGGTCGGCAGGGGCCTTGCCTGGGTCTGCGGGTTTGCCTCCTGGATCGGTCCAGTTTAGTGCCCGCAGCGGGAGAGCGCTTGGTGGGACGAACCGCTGTGCCGCAGGCTGATCCGGGGTTTTAGTACCGAATGGGGAGTGGGTGGGAGATCTGGTCTCGCGGCGACGATGACGGCGTCGTTGAACGAGAATATCGATATCGTCAGGGCCCTGCACCACGCGAGGAGATATACTAGAGCTGCGACCGCAGAAGGAAGCAGAAAAGAGGGAAAAAGCGAACCGCAGGACCAGGTTTGGGGCGGGAACACGGCCTTAGACGCACACCACCAAGCCGATGGTGCGAGACTGGCCTCTAATAGGAACCCCTGCCGTCCGTCTGCAAGTTGACAACTTTGGATAATCCTGGGCCGTGCGGTCGCTTGCTTTTGCGCCCAAACCTACCCAAGATCTGCTCGACGCATGCTAACCGGTGACTGGCACGCCTCAGAAGGGCGGCATCAAGCCCCGGTGCTAGTGGCACGTGAATCCAGGTATCTGGATAACGGGTTGCCAGCTCGCCGCGGACGCATGAAACAGGCAAGGCATCAAGAGCAGGTGCGGGGAATTGGGGCCAGACGGGGGGGCGCAATGGGGGGCGGGGGGGGCGACCTTGACAACAACAACCCCAAACAACCTTGGAAGCCTCACACGGGATGGTGGACGGCGATAGGCAGGGCTCGGCCCAGCACACGAACGGGGTGCCGAGACTGGAGCCGTGATTGACAGCGTCATGAACTTTGGTCGCGTTCGCATTGGGCCATCAGGCGGCGGGATGGCCTCGTGGCGCGTGTTTGGTGCTACCGTGCTGTCAAACATTCAGAAAAGCGCGGCGAGCCATCGCGAGGTAGTAGAAAGGGCACGCCTCCCGCGAGAATTCGGGCAGGTCCAGGCGAGGGGGCGGGAGCACGAAGGAGGCGAACCGTCTCCATCTCATTAAGCAGATGCGAGCCCCACGTCGTAAGCAGGCTGGGCATGTAGCGTTGTGTGACAACGAAGAGGGGTGCCGGGTCTTGTAAGGTTGGGGCTCCAGTGCGAGGCGGCGATGTTGATGGTTCGATGGATCCTCTGGTTTTTGGGTCGCGGCCTGAGAGCGGCCGGGAATGCAATGGAAGTTACGGTAAAAAAGAGAGATGGCACAATGGAATTGGAGAGAAATCACTCAGGTTCCAGTTTGCTTGTCTGTTCAGGTAGATAAGGGAGGTACCGAGGTAGGTGGTAGGTAGGTAGTGAACGAACGACATGTCCACCACCTTACCCGACGTTTGTTCAGGTACCAATGGAATGGAAGTGTCGGCTGAAGCACCTGGCCAACCTGAAAGTTACGGGCTTGGTGATGTTGGTGATCTCGGTCTTTTCCATGTTGTGGGCGTTAAAAATCAAAAGATTGCCCTATCCATTGCATGTCGGGCGCCCTACCTAAGGAAGGCGAGACTGGCACATGGAACGGGCTGCCCGGTTTCCATCCGTCCAAAAGGAAGGAAGGTGCGTTAGGCACCCACGAGCCCATCGGATAATGCACCTAACACAGCTTTTTTTCAGCGGAGATGCGCTGCCACTGGCCGCCCCGCAGCAGGGTGCCGGTGGGGCCGAGAGACACCCTAGCGACCTGACGGAAGCTTGGCTTCGCATCCGCGATCTGCTTACTGGCCCGATCCGGGGAACCTTCCATCTTCAACTCCAACCTCCATGCAGCCTGCAACATGCAACTTGGAGGTCCCCCCACGACCGGGACTGGACGAAAATACCCAAAAAAAAAAACAAGACCATCCCGAAAAACATACTTTGCTTTTTAACGGTCTCAGATCCATGCGAACCACGCCAGTACATCATCGTCTCGGAGTAAAAGATCGGTTGAACGACCTCAAATTGGCTTTTTGCCGAATCTGGTGGACACTACACTAGCCAAGCCCTGTCTGCCGTTGGTGGCCCATGGGCGACGATGCTCAACGCCGAATGTCCCCTAAGACGGGGAGATCGGGCGAGGTTTTACCCACCTCATGGATGATGATTGCAAGTGCCCGGGCGCGCACCAACGAAACGACTAGGCTCGATTTGTTCAAGAAGCATCCAACCACCTCCTCTGCACTCCATCATCTCAACCGATCTCTGGTCTGGTGGATGATCTGCCTGCAATGTCATCACCCATCACACATCTCGGTTGCCGCCATCCCGGAACCCAGGGGTATGGATGTACAGTTCCTCCCTCGGCTGGCTGCTGTCGATGGATGGCGTTCGCGGGGCGCATCAAATCCGGCAGGATGCCTCCCCACGTTTCCCCCAGTGGTGCAGCCTCCCCCGGATTCAGGGATGCTAGTCCCTCGAATGATTGCCGTTTTGTGCCACAGTAACTCTGGAGTGTTCTACAGTAGAACCAACCGACGTCAGATACACAACACACTAACCCCACAGGTTCCGCCTGTCACCAACGCCTTGCCTGCCTTGTCTGTGTCTGGGGTACAGGTCCAGCCCCCGCTCCTTCACTATCCCGGCCGTGCTACCCGTTTCCCCAATATTTTCACGGTAACGAGCTCAGCTCCCAGTTCGCGCCGGCGGTCTCATGTCTCAGACTGAGTCGATGTCACGGCATCGGATCTCGTCGGCCGCGTGATCACGCTTCGGGTCTCACGGCGGCATTTCTGGCAGGTGGCAGGACTTCTGTAACCGGAGATTCTGCCAGGTCCCGGCGAGCATGCCGGGCCGAGCCATACCCCCCCCATCGTTCTTAGGTGGCGGAGCGGCTTGGGAGCACGTGGTGCAGAACTTGGGATTCGCCAATGTCTCTCTCCAGCCCCCGGGATCCGTCGGGCCCCTAACAAACGACGTAAATGGTTCGGAAGGGACGTGGAGCGCGGGCTTGCGGAAACCACAATTCCAATCAAGGCCTTCGCCTGTTTAGATCCGCTCCGTCTTGCCCAAGTTACCCCCCAGGTCCCGCAGACGCGTGGGGAAACAAGGGGCGGCCGTGGTCATGGATCCGGCGATGGTTCCTCGCCTCTTTGTCTCGCGTCGCGGTCAACATGTGCCGGATATCACCTCAGCTCCCAGCGGTCCCCATTGTCGGTTCGAGGGTGCGGGTCTCACCAGGGCCATAAATAATGTACAAAGTACACCCATGACCAACACGGTGTGATCATCAAAGGTCCTGTTCTTTCACTTCGGATGGAACCTACTTATATTGGCAGCTCACCCGCACTTCATAAGGGCATGCTATTTCCTAGAACCCCCAATATGCTCACGATTTTGAACACGATGGAGTCGACAGCTACAATGGCACCACCAGCGTCTTCTATGGCCTGGGGCTGGGATGGTGCCGTCGACAAAGCATCCTTCGCCGGCAACGACGCCGAGCAGGTGTCTCACCAGAATATCATGCTCTCCGTCTTTCGATATTGGCAACGTCTCATGACGTCCAAAAACGACCGCGAACCGGCCACAAACGGCACTCGACCTCTTACACGGCATTCTATAGCCGCCGGGACGCAGTCGGCTCTCCAGAAATTGTGTGCGACCTCCCTCGACGAGCTTCCCGAGGCCGTCTTGGCGTTCACCGAAACCGTCGACGTCACCTCGACGCCGGAGAAGGGCGATGAGGTTTACTTTCCAACCCCTCTCAGGGAGCAGGAAGCCACCGCGGCCATCAAGGCACTCGAGTCCTGTGCCGCAGCCGCCATTGCCAAGGTTCGATATGGCACGGAGAGCAAGAAGATCCAAGTGGACGCCGACAAGGTCTCCGCCTTCTTGATGTCGGCCTATCTCACCACATTGGATGGCATGAACAAGCCAGACCCCCGTATCAAGGACAGGATTCCTGGTGAGTACACTCCTCGACCGATAGATACCCCACGGAGAGGGGGTGATAGCAGGGCTGACCCCGATCAGACACGGACTTAAACCGGGCTCAATCCGTCCTCTACCGCCGAATGTCGGCCAACCTATACAGCACCAAGAACCCCGGCGAGTACTTCCACATTCACGGCTCCCTCGACGCCGATGTAACCCTCCAAATGCTCGGCCTGCCCAAGGAAAATCCGGAAATGACCGACTACCACACCATCATCGACTACATTGAGTCTGCGGTCAAGAAGCACTCCGCTGCGGAGCTCGACGCCCTCAACGTTGCCCACCGGCAAGCCGGAATCCAGGCCCTCACATGGCCCCAATTCCAAGCCACCCCGCACGGCAAAGCCATGTTGGACCTCCCGCCGCTTACCATCCGCCCCAACCCCTCCGACGACCGCACCACCCCGCCCGCTCCCTTCCCCCCACCCCCCACCCCATCATCGGGCCCGCAATACGCCCTCGCCGGAATCAAGGTCCTCGAGCTCTGCCGCATCATCGCCGGCCCGACAATCGGCCGCTCGCTCGCGGCCCACGGCGCCCAAGTCATCAAAGTCACCTCCCCCCACCTTCCCGACGTGCCCTTCTTCCAGCTCGACGTCAACACGGGCAAGCACGCCGTGCACCTGGACCTGCGCCGCTCGTGCCCACATGACCGCGCCGCCTTCGCCGCCCTCCTCGCCGACGCCGACGTGCTCATCGACGGCTACCGGCCCGGCGCGCTCGCCCGGCTGGGCTACGGCCCCGCCTTCCTGGGCGAGCTCGCCCGCCAGCGGGGCAAGGGCTTCGTGTACGTGGCCGAGGACTGCTTCGGCGGGTCCGACCTGCCCCCCTCCGCCAGCGCCGAGTGGGCGTCCCGCCCCGGGTGGCAGCAGATCGCCGACTGCGTCACGGGCGTCGCCTGGGCCCAGGGCCGCTTCATGGGGCTGGACGAGCCCGTCGTGCCTCCCTTCCCCATGTCGGACTACGGCACGGGCGCGCTCGGCTCGGCGGCCGCGCTGGCGGGGTTGTATCGCCGCGCTACCGAGGGCGGGTCGTGGGTCTGCCGCACGAGTCTGGTGCAGTACGACGTGTTTCTGATGGGGCTCGGCCTGCTCCCCGAGCCGGAGCAGGCGCGTCTGCGCCGGGTGCACGACAACAGCGCGGGCTTCTTTGGGCTGCGGCATAGCGACTCGGTCGACGAAGTCGGGCGGCGCGCGCTGGCGAGCATGCGCATGGTGGTGCCGCGCCTGTTTGCCGGGGAGGGGGGAGAGGGAGAGGGAGACGGCGGGGGCCTGATGCAGGAGGCGTGGAGCGAGGCGTTCCGCGGGGTCGTGCGGTGGCCGAGGGAGGCGGTTGAGATCGAGGGCCTGCGGGTCGGGCATGTGCGGACGGCGAGGCCGAATGGATGGGATAAGGAGACGGGTTGGGAGGGGTGGCGCGAGGAGATTGGCGAGGGGGTGGTTGCCGGCGGCGTGCAGAAGCTGTCGCTGTGACGGTTATCTACCGCCCTACCGCCCTACCGCCCTACCTACCTACCTACCGAGTAGGGTTTTCTTTCCGTCTTCATCACAGGGGGTCGGAGCGTTTGCTTTTTGCGTTTGCGTTTGCGTTTGCAACACGGGCAGGCAGGTCTTAATGAACCTCGCGCCGAAAAGGGGGCGGGCAGTCTGACCACCAACGGAGGTAGCCTGATTTTTGTGAGCGCTGTATTACCTATTTCCATTGGCAGGTCCGTAGTCAATTCATTACCGCATTATTGCGAGCCCAAAGCACGCAGGGGGCCGTTTGATGGAGAAACCAAGAGATCTATGACTGCTTGACTTGATTAACCTACACGCATCAACGCCGCCGGCGATGCCCGCCTCACAGCACCAGCCTCGCCGGCTCGTTCTCCAACACGACCTTGACCCGCTCGAGGAACACCCGCGCTCTCCTCTCCTCTGCCTTGGGCACCTGCAGGCTGAAAACGTTGGGCCCAGTCGAGGGACCGGGGAGCACGGTGGTCGTCTTCGCGGCCGGCTTGGGCTTCGAGGCAAGGATGTCGAAGATGTCGGCCTTCTTGGTGGGGCGCGTGGGGAACACAGACGCGGGCGCGAGGGCGCCGATCTGCGGGATGTACGAGCCCCGCGAAACCTTGCGGCCCCCGGTCTTGTCCAGGCCCAGCACCTGGCTGAACAGCTCGTCTGCCGACGGTTGGTAGTTGGCCGGGAGCGGGAGCTCGTCGTTGGCAACCTCGGTGGCACGCGAGATGAAAGTCGAGAGCGGGAGGAACACGCCGAGCGTCTTCTGTGTCTTTCTTTGGGCTTCGATAACGGCTGAGAGGGAGACTGGGAGCGTGACGACGGACTTGACGGGGGCCGGAGGAGCTGGGGCAGCCTCCTTCGCGGACTTCTTAGGCTCGGGCGCCTTGGCAACCTTGATGTTGCTCAAGTCGAGGTGCGATGCCTTGTTGAAACGGGAGGAAACCTCGGCCGGGGTGTTTGCGTTAATCTTGCCCAAGAACGCGAGGACGTCGCCCTTGAGGAGACGGCCGTTAGGGCCGGTCGGAGTGATGTCGTTGGCAGCGGACGCATCGAGGCCGTTCTCCTTAAGAAGATGGCCCACTGATGGGAGCAGAGGGTAGGTCCTCTTGGATGTCTTTTCCCCGGGCTTCGACGCAGCCTTCGGGGGCGCGGCCGACGATGTGGATTCGGGTTCCGGAGTCGCCGGAGTTTGTGTCTCGGGTGCCTCGGCGGCCTTCGTTGCTTGCGGGTTCTCCTCGGCGGGGATTTGGAGCGTGCTAATGTCGTCGCCCTCCTCGGCGATGACTGCTATCCGCGTACCAACCTGCACACCTTTGCTCCCGTCGCCCTGCATGACCTTCATGAGGGTGCCATCCTCCTGCGCCTCGACGTCCATTGTCGCCTTGTCCGTCTCGATCTCGAGAAGGACATCGCCGGCAGAAAACTTCTCGCCTTCCTTGACCCTCCATGTCGCAATGTTGCCTTCGGTCATCGTGGGCGACAGAGCAGGCATGGTGAAGTTTTGGGCAGCCAGGGCGGCGGGTGATGTCCGGTAGCCTGCGGCATAATATGGTCAGCTCGAGCTTTTTCTGACTTTCTCGTCATTGGCCTCTTCGTCTTCTCTCTCTCTTCTCTCTTCTCCTCGCTGTGTTCTCTGACTTCTTTCTTCCTTTTTTTCTTTTTTTTTTTCTTTTTCCCTCTCGCAACTAACCTCTGATCGTAGCATCCTGCCGCACCTTTCGTGCCGCAAGCCGCGCCGACATGCGGCATGCCGCTGCAAAGGATGCCATGCTGGCGATTATGAGTGGAACCCAATTGGGTTGAGTTGCGATGGTGGACCGATTTGCGTTTTGATGGAAAGATGAATTGCGCTGTCAGTCTCGAACTTGGCGGGAAGGGGACCGACTTAGGCGGTGGTCCAAGCTCTCTTGGCTTCTCAACATTTGCAACTTGCAGGGGTTTTTTGATTTTCGGAGCGACATCGTCAACAACCCGCTGCTTAAACGTACTATGCCAGTTGTCGATCTGCGACTTCGAGACCAAAAACATCCAGCAGCTCTCAAACCTGTACACCTACCTTTTATTAAGCCTTCAACGACCCAGGAAACATATTCCAGTTACCCACCATATATCGTCAAAGCTTTATCGGCTCTGTCTTTGCTTCACGATGAGTTTGTATGTACAAGTGAGCCGCGAAGAATGGAGGTCGGATCTAAAAGTGGACCCCTGTTCGTGAGCTGCCATAGTCCGTCTAGCACTTCCGAAGCGCCCGTGCGACTGGACCCGCCGACGCCCATCAATTGGGGGCTCTCCGAACCTCCGACAGAGCTCCCGCCGCCAAGCCGCAACCTCGCGCGAACTTTGTCCGGCACCGACAAAATTTCGGCCCCGCCAACCACCGGACCCAGCTCGACCTCCCCCCCATAGCCAATTGGCCCGAGCCAAATCCAAAAGGTACAGATCCTGTCCACTTTAGCACTTATACAAGTTCGAACTGACCACCGGATCTCCAGATGGCGTCCTTCTCCAGGGGCTTCGGCCCTCGACTACTACTCCTCGTCCGGCAACAAGCCCCATCCGAGTGCGCTATGACACAAGCACGCCAACTCCTCCGTGCCCGCTTCTCTACCGCTCGGATACTCCAAAAAGCCGGTCGATCACACCGACTAGCAAACAAGCCCTCTCCTAAACCAAAGCCCGCGGCGGCGGCTCCCAAGGCGGCCAGCCCGAAGCCCGCTCCCAAAACAGCACAGGGCAAAGCCCCGCCCATCCTCGGCTCCGCGACAGCGATCCCAGCCGCCCGTCCCATCAACGGGTACGCCGAACAACTCGCGCTCAAGGGCCGCACGCTTCTGTACGAGTCGCCATCGCACTTCTGGTTCCGGGCGGGCTGCTTCTCGTCCGCGATGTTCTGCACGTCGTACGCCGTCTACCAGTACTGGAGCGTGATCCTGCACCCGCTCGATGGGCTGATGTGGTGGATCCCGCACGCCTTCGGCGTCATCCTGGTCTTCATGGCCGGCATGGGCGCCTACTTCGTCACGGGCGCGGGCCGCATCGTGCGCTCCATCGAGGCCGTCCCCGCCACCGCGGTCACCGCCGCCGCGAAGCAGCTCGCCGGCAGCACCACCACCACCGGCCCCCTCTACATCCAGGTCACTACCCGCCGCATGGCGCCCTTCATGCCGGACAAGAAGCACCTGCTCCAGCCGGAGCAGGTGCTCCTGCCGTTCAGGATGTACAGCGTCTTTGGCGGGGAGATGGGGGCGCCCGGAGCGCTGGGCCAGAAGCCCATGAGCATGGCGGAGAGGGTGCGCATGGAGCGGGCGGCGCGCGAGGCCAAGATTGCGGAGCGCAAGTATACCATGGACCACCTCATGACGGCGCCGTTCCGGGACGGGCGGAAGGCCTTCAGCGGCGCGTGGGACGGGATTGTCCGGTCGTTCAACCGTGGGGGGTTCGCCAAGATCCAGCTTGGGAAGGGGGAGTATAAGCTGGATGTCACGGGTGGCTGGGCGTTGGATGGTGGGAGGGCTATGGACAGGCTGTTGCCGGTGAGGCCGAATGCGATTCGCGCGAGATGAGGGGGGGTGTTTTGATACCGTGGGTGGGTGTATGATGGCGGCGTAAACCTGGCTGGGTGTGGTTCTCGAAAATACATGTACAACATCTGGCGGAATGCTCTCGCGCTGCCTTTACATGGTTACCACTTTCCATCTACGTTCGTTCACTGCTATGTGGCTTCTATCCGTCCTTATATGCGGCAGACCTCTAGGATCTAGCCTCATATGCAGAGTTGTCCCTTGAGAGACAACAAAAGTCAACTCGTAGGTTGTTGTACGTATGTTTTAAGTTGACGGAGCACCGAGCTACCATGACATTCGGCCTTGCTTGACCGTCCTCGAGAGGGGGGTAGCAAGGTCAACTTCACTCAACTCCGAAACAATACTGTCGATAGACAACGGGGCAGCGAAAGCAATTTGCCGTCTCGGGAATACTGTACTTCATCGCTAGCTCTGTTCCTTGGTGGCTTTAACACAGGCCTCATTCGCGACTGCGGAGTGAGAGCTCGAGGGTAATATTGTATAAACTCTAACATAGGTGTAAAATATTCAAAACTTTCAAATAAGATTCAGTTGCCTTACTTCGGGTCTCTGCTCAAAACAGCACGCACTAAGCACCCATATCAGGATGACTACCTAAGGAGCCGAGTACCACACTTGACACTTACAATGCAGCATCAATATGGTTGCAAGGAGCAGAAGCGAAGTAGGCATTCTGATTTATCAAGTACACATTTAAACGAGGCGGTTTTGTGTAAAATGGGCCGGAGAAGAGCATGAAACAAGGACTCGGCTGTTTACAATGTTTTGCTCTTCAAGTCAGTTGGCACAATGAAAGAAGTTGGCAGGATGAAGAACATCCGGGGCATGCCCTATACATAGAGACTTTTTTTGTTGCAGGTATTCAGAACCACCGCCCAAGCGACACTGGGTTAATTGGCACTGGGTTAATAGGCACTGGCTGTGGTCTTCCGCCCCGGGCATTGTGCTCCCCAGCAACGTAGCCCATTCATCCGGAAGGTTGTAGATTCGAGCGATACCCGGGGCGTTGTAGGAGAATTTGGGGGCTCCCCCCTTCTCACGGAGTAGCCCACGGAGTAGGCACGGGGTAGGCCTAGGGGGGGGTTCGTAACCGGTCACCCGCTTTTCGGGGGCTGACCGGGGAGCTTTTAATAGTTTTCTTTTCTGTTATCTTCCTATCTCACACACTTTCTATATATCCACGTAGTCGCTCAGTTCAGCTAATTCATGTCTATATCATCAAATTCCAACCATTACTTCAGGCGATGAGCACAGGATCTTGCTAGGCTAGCCAACTCCTTTCCAACTTGACCCTACGCCGTCTTTGCCCCTTAGTTGGAGCATTGAACAGCTTCGCTCTCTGCACCACACATTCTAATCATAAGACGAACACTTGAGCCAGATTGGGTTTCCTACCAATGCCATTGAAGCATTGTATCCGAGGGGTTCATTGGTTACTAGGCACGCTGGTTTTATTCTTCTTGCCTGCCAAATCGTTCTTGATATCCAGCGACAACCCTTCATGTTGTCTGCTCCCGATACATATTACACGCAACACATCTGACACATGTATGTTTCCGGGACGGGTACATGACATTGCTGTCCCGCATCTCAACACCGCGCCGGAAACCGGTAGACTCAAATTCCGACAAGAACAAGCAGTCATGGGCGCCAGAGCTGAGAAAGTCGCCGAACACTAGAGGCTACCGTCTCCGGCGTCTCTATATTCCCGTGCTTAGCATAAGGGAGACGAGCAAAGCATGGCGGCATCTCGGAATATCGGCAACTCTCGGGGAGCACTTGCCCGGCTACCCCGATTAGCCGGCATCCATCCTCGATCCTCATCAGCGCTGCCGAGACAAAGCTAGTGGCCAAGGCAGAGGAGGAAAAGAAACGAGCTATGGCTTGTGCTAGTGTCTAGTGGCTTTGCCGGGTATTGAGGCGACAAACCACTTGCAAGCTCTGAATGCAAGCTCTGAACACCAGCCGTGTACGCCGACTCCGCGATGCCGAGCAAAGCAAAGTGTAAGCCCTCGGAATATTAGTAACAGTTTACGTACCACGAAAACAACCCCCCGCCCAACCACCCCCAGACCAAAACCAACAAACCTAACCCAGCACACCCTCAGCAAACCACCACAAGTGGCGTACCATCCCGTCTGTGCTTCGCCAAAAGAAACCCCTCAAGGATCTCCCCAGCACGTGAAACCCAGCCGTGGGGGAAGGAGGTGTGGACTGGGGGACGGGAGACGGAGAATTGCCCCCCTCCGCCAGACCCCAGCGAGCCCAGGTCGAACAGGACCCTGAATTCCAAACTCACCTTCCCTGACCTTGGAGATCTTCAACGGGTACGTGGCTTGCCACGAAGACCGAACCAGGGAAACCTCTGTTCGCCCCCGAACAGCCTGTGTATCAGAAATCTGTCGATCTTCCCCAGACTCTTCCACGATCCCCGGTCGTCTCCGCGCCCCGCACTTGGAAGCGGGAAGAAAGAAAGACGGAAGAGCTCGGCTAATAGTGTACATAGACGAACAGACCTCGAGATGGTAACCGCAGTAATACCAAGGTGGTATGGTATAGGCAGGGTAGGCACTTATACCAGCGCAAGTCCCAACCAACTGCTCGACCAGGACCGAGTCGTGCGAGTCAAGTCAAACAAAACACAACACAAAAAAAAAAAAAAAAAAGAGGAACCCCCTCCGTCATCGCGCGCAACAAAAGTGGTGCAACTTCAACCGGGGGGACAGGGGGAGAAGGCAGGGGGGGTTACAGCAACGGCATGGTCCCCCCCATATGTCGTGCATCGGTCGCACAACCACACCACACCAACAACGGCGTCTGCGCATGTATGTCCATGTATGTACTCCACAGACAAGCGGTCAGCCGCCGTGCCGTCCTGTCTTAAGAGGTATGTGTGTGTGCGTCTGTTGTGCAGCACGCAAAGGCCGCACGAATCAGTTGCCGGCATGCGGCATTGGAGTGGCCGACTTCGGCAATCTGGACGCCGAACAGACACACCCACACACACACTCACACCAGACGGAAGGCGGTTGGTGGGGGGGAGATGGAAGGGAAGAGGGGGCGGGGTCGGTGTTGAGACAAAGGGTGAATCCGGGATGGACTCGGCAGGCAAGGGATGGGGTATGGGAAGGGTAAGGTGAGGACTGAGGCAGGCAAAGAGGTAAAGGTGTTCTCGGTGGCGGTGGGGTTTGGGGGGGTTCAACCGTCACGATGGGGAGCCTTTGTCTCAACCCGGGTGGGATTGACATTTGCAGAGTGGGATAGCGAGGAGGGGGAGGGGGCCAAAAAGATGGCAATGGCGACGGTGATGTGCCGCGCAGATCATCACTCACCCCTCTAGCCGCTCCGCTGTGCTATCTCCGCTCTGGCTTCCTGTTTGCTACCGCGTAGATGGTTGCCCCGCGAGGTCGCAGCAAAAGGACCCTGAAGAACCGACCCCTCCATTCCATCCATGCCATCCCGAACGATCAGCCAACCGGTCCGAAGCAGGCAAAAAAAGGTCAAGAACAGGCCATGCAAGCCCACGGCGCTGCTCGAGGCTAATGCAATGCATGTGCATTCAGATCATCCCAAGACATTCCTACCTTTTTTTTTCTCCTCCCTCGCTTCCTGGCTTCCCTGCTTCATATCCAACTGCAAGACATGCATTACGTGCAAGACCGACCGGAAAGAAGATGAGCGGTGAGGGACGACTCGGACGGGAGAGGAACTTTGGAGTCGACGTCTCACCGTGGAAGGGACTGTGGAGAGAGGTCCGTCGCGACAAGCGAAGCGCGTCGTCTGGCTTGGCTTCGTTGCCCCGCATCAACCTGGTCACTTCCATGGCGGTTGCGAGTGTGGGAGAAAACCCTGCGTCAAGAGAGTGGGGGTACAGCGGACTGGGATTCCGGGGTGAAGGGCAACCCCCCCGGTAAGGTCAGTCACCGAATGAGACGACCCGGGAGTGCCAAACTGGGCAGGCCGGGGCAAGGATGGCTGGCATTTCCATTCCGGCACGACTCGGAACAAATCAAAGGCTGCTGGCGCATCTTGTGACTTGCACTTGAGACCCCACGCGAGAACGCCCCCAGCTTGCGTTGTTCCAGGTTATTGTGTGCTTCGTCTCATCGGAAGTGTCATGTGCGGCATCTTCCTTTGGGACGAACATTCAATGTGAATGTGGAACTCGGGTTTGAGCGGGTCCGCTGGGCTTCGGATACGTCATCGGGACCCCCAGCGAGGTGAGAGCGTTTGGCGAGTTTATCTCGGCGCAAACCCCACAAGCCTGAGGAAAGGCAGTGGGGTGTTTGGCCGCAGGTGTGTGTTCGCACGAAGATCCCATTGGGTGCAACAACCCGAATGAAACGGGAATGCTTCGACTCGATGCTGTTGATCTGCTTTCTCGAGTCGGGGCCTTTGTCGGGATATCACGGACAGTCGCAACTGTGGGCCGCGGGGAAGCAAGAGAAGGCCTGGCTTCTTGTCTACTCTCGTTATCAAACGGGATTCGGCCGCTGGCGCAGGCATTCGGTGATCTAGGCCCCATGTTGAACATGTTCCTACTAATAGAAGCGGCGACGGCCGTGTCTCCCCTCGCGTTAGCCTCTGAGAGGTCTGAGACAAATCGTCTCGTCGCAAACCGCATGTCGGCTTTCTAGTGTAGCTTGCTTCGTCGGACTTTGACCCCGCTTCCCGTAGATTTGCGGGGAGTGTTGCCTTGGATCTGCATTCGAGGTCTCGTTGGCGTCCCTGCGGTTGCTTGGAGGGGTTGAACCCAATCATTTGCTGTCTGGGCCGGCAAATACGGAAGCTCGGCCAAGAATAGGTGTGGCAACTTGGAGCGGCATCTCCCATTCCTGGCCTTGCCTGTAAAGGTCAACCATCATCCCGAGGCGGTGAGGCTGCAGTATGCGGGTGCCCGTCCAAGGTACTGAAAATGAGGTCAGTTACGAAAACCATCCTGCCTCTCTCGAGGATAAACGAGGCGGCAGATTGTGCAGATTGTGGGGTTGGAGGTTGGCTGTGAAGTCATGAGATGATGTTCAGTCGCAGACCCTCTTCTGGCATGATTCCATAGACTCAAGTGTTTCCGGCGGGGTAGAGGGAAGGCCCCATACAGCCCACTCTGGCTATTATATCGTTGTCGATAATGCGAATGGGCCATGGGTGGGGATGACAAAATCGGCGCCTCGTGGTGAAAACAGGAGGTGGTGCGGTGAAGGTGTGGTCGCAGGGTTGTGCCGGCCTCGAGGCCGAATGACAGGCGACTCACACACACTTCCCAATCAGCAACCACCAACGTGTGTGCGGGCCGATACAAAATGACATAATTGCGTTCCTTTCGTGTGTCGCATGGGGTTCATCTCAACAGGGCGATGGTTGCTATCTTCGGCTTTCGGGAAGATGAGGACAACGAGCATGCATCCGGAGGCGATCAAGGGGCCGGAGCAACCTACGGCGGGGACGGTGATCCTTCCGCGTGGTGTGCGGCCTCGATGTTACTGTCTGTTCGTTGCTTGAACGGTTGGGAAATGTGAAAAGTCCTCAACCCGGCAACTCGGAAAATAAAAAAGGCAGAAATGGGCCGGAGGAACCCCTGAGCAGCGGGTAGGGGGAGTACTGTGTATTGATGAGTGACGTTTTGCCCTTGAGCCGCTCGCTCCGTGATATGATATTGCCACTTGTTGTATTAAGACCTGATGGAAGAGGATGGACTCGCCTTTGGGCTTGAAGATTGGCGTGGAGGCTTGTCCCTGTCGGCTTGGCTTGCAGGGTCTTGGAGTTCCAGCACGGGACAACGGCAACTTCAGGGCACCTACCAGGGACCTCGGGGTTGCTGCGGCCGTCATGACCCCCATGCTTTCCAGCCGATCGAATGTCGACATGGCATGGGAAAGTCGTGACTGGTTCTTGTTAAATCGCTTTTGATGATCCGAGGGACGGATGAGACAGACGGGACGATTACGCTGCTTTGGTCGCACAGACAGACAAGGCGGGCTGAAAGAGAGAAGGGGCCCCTGCAACCTAGGCGATTCCATGCCGCGACGTCGCTCTGCGCATAATCTGATAATCACTGGTTTCCAGGGTCCACTCCACCCACAACTGCGTGCGAGCGAGAATCGGCTCGCGGTGTAAACAAAGAAACCGAAGACCGGAGAAATCGTGTGAAACAGCCCGTGACAGCATCATGCTTGTCAAATTGCATTGTTCAATGGGTGTTTTTCCAGACCTTGGGTTTTTTGAGAAAGGAAAGAAAAGCCATGCCCTGATCCCCCTGAAACGATCATCGGCGCCCAACCACGAGAGTGCTGCTCCTTCCCCCAATTGATAACGTTCGTGAGTGGCCGCACAGAATCTGGTGGTTGATTTGTTGATCTGCCGCGCAGCCAAGCACCTGAGGACCCATCTCAGCTTGCCATCTCCATACAGTGCAATCACGGTACGAAATCCCTCCCACTTCAGTCAAGATACCGCGGGAGCCGAGACTGGACCGTACTGCAACGTATCGAACGACTCGAACGACTCGATGGGCTTTCTGCCTCGAAACAATCTTTTCATGATGGTCAATAGCATAGCACACCGACACCACCACTTGGCCCCAGTTTGAGACATGCAGCGCCTTACACGACAGGATTGAGCTCATGCATGGCCGCTACCGCAAACGATTGGTCCAAGGCTGCAGCGAGGCGGCGGCTTGGGCTGCTCACGAGAGAGCCGACTGGCAGAAGCCCGCATTTCAGCGCCCGTGCTGCGTTCCTCTCCTGCCTGCTGCCAAAGTACAAGTGTTCTAGATGGCGTGTACAGCAGTATGTACAGATTAATGCTTCCATTCCTACCTAGGTTGCTGAGATAGGTACTCGGACTTTCGAGTTAACTTCTTGACCGGAGGGATTTGGTTGCTGTCGGGGAAGGCTACGGCCCTTCATCTTTGAGGATCCAACTGCATATCAGAGAGACAGTTATCTCATCGCCACTTGATGTCCCGTGAAGGATTGTCCCAAATGGTCACCTGGTCGAGAATGTGTAAGACCCTGATGACCCTGACCTCGGAGGAGACCATGACAGTGCGAGAACTGGTCTGGGGTTCAATGGCCGGCGAGGCGCGGGTTGTGGGAAATTGCCCATCTGCCTCGCACTTGCCCAGGTTTCCAGGATTCTCGCTGGTGACCCCGCCCAAGCATGGCGCCCATGCCGCTCCAGGCAAGTGGGCGCCGCCTAACCTTGCAGTCAGAGGAACCTTGTCGCTGCCGCCAATCTGGGCCCCCAACCCATATTTTACTTTGGTGCTGCCCGGCCCCCCTCACCACCAAGGACCCTTCATTTTCTCTTTCCTTCCCTTTCGCGACGGACAGACGCTGCACTGAGGGCGCGTCGAGAGAGTGCAAGCGTGGGTAGCTTTTCTTCCTCTCTCTCCATCATCCACTCCGCCAACACCGTCAGCCAAGTCCCTGTCTTCATCCTCCCTCTCCCGCTCGCCTCAGTCACCAGTGTGCCGCACCGACACGTTTTGCGGCCGGGACCTCGACCAAAAAATTCCGAGAAAGCATACCCCCCGACTTTGAATCCGAGGACCTTGCCTTAGTCTCCGACTGGTGCCCATATCTCCGGCTTCACACCGTAAGTGTCTTGTGCTTTTTTCTTCTTCTTCTTTGTGGTATCTTCGACAACCTGCGATCGAACCACCTCGCCAATCTCCACCACGGCACTTCCAAGCCTGCGTGCCGCAGTGTTGGCGGCTGTCCGACAACATGACACCAAGGAATTTATGATCGCTCCATCCGGTGACTTGCCCGCCAGTTCAGCGGGCCTTGGCCTCCAGCTTGCGCCCTCTTGTATGCAAGCGCGTGACCCTAGGTTTTGGTTCATCATTCCTTCCATCGACTAGGTACCCGTTGCTGGGCCGGTCTCGGCGGCACCGGCAAGACTTGTCACAACTTCGGTTTAGTCTTGAGCAACAAGAGAATTCAAGAATGGAATGATGGGGATCTGCCATGGCGACGCCTTTACAGTGCCAACCTTGGCCTTGAAACCGGCCTTCAGTCTCGAAACTATGGGGAGCGCTGCCGACCACACGAGAAGACCGTACAAGTGACCCGGTCCGGCCTGCGTCCCCGAGCTTCTATCCCGCCGAGGCCCTGTTTCCACCCACCAACTTCTCGAACCCTTATAACCCTGTGCCGCACATTCGCCGTATCCGTACCGACCGATTTCGAATTCAAAGACCTTTTTTGACTCCGGCCAAGTCCCGCCCCACCCGCCAGCCACATAGCCATCTCTAGCCTTTTTGAGTCGTCATCGAGGCGCCATCCACCGGCCGCGGGAAGCCCTTTCGGTCGCTTCTCTGCCTTCTTCGCTGGCCGGCCTCTTCTGTCTTCTCACCGGCCACCGGGCGCCTTGTCCAGAGTGACGAAATCACTTGACTGACGTATTACCTTTGCTAGGCTGTTGTCCAACCCTTGCCACAACCTACTACGCCCGTCACCGCCTCCGGGGCGCAACATTCGATATCAAGTCCGCCGAGAAGCTTTCGGCCGAAGACAAGTTGCTTGAAATCGAACATCTTCCTCGACCCCCCCGGCTTGGAATTTGCAGCCGTCCACTCCTTTGAATATCGCCCCCCCATGCATTCTTCTTGCCCATAAGGATTCAAAATGGACTCGGAAGACGGCGAGTTTTTCGTCAAGGTATGTTATGTTGGCTTGGTGTGGTGCAGCCCGATTTTAGGTTGCGGCATGCGGCTGCATACGTTGGATGTGAGAACTGACGGCTCTTGGTTAAAACAGCAACTGGCTAGCTTTGTGCGAACACACGAAAAGGCACTTGCCAACGCGCTTCAGTTTAGGAGGCAGAACACACCACGCCATGGCGCGTCGCACAGTGTGTCGTCTATCTCGACAGGGGCTGTACCACCATCCCCATCGGTACCCGAAAGACCCGCAACGTCTGCCTCGACATCGAGCACGCTCGCCGCCGCCCTCTCACTCGGAACCCTAAACTTCACGTCGCACACCGTTAAGTCGGCAAAGTTGGCCCTAACACCACACCATCTGTTTTATTTGCTTTCCCGCTTCGAGGATTTGGGGATTCCTGTCGGGCCTATGAAAGTACGCCTCGAGAACCTGCACGATAGCACCACGTCGGCGAACTATGTTTCCTTCCTCGGCCAATCGCAGCGTTCCAAGAGCCGCGGTTCCGATGTCGGCTCGATCCGTTCCGTCTCGAGCATCAGGAGCGTGGTGTCAAGCATGTCTGCGCTGTGGTCCAGCTTCGGGCTCGGCTCCAGCATATCTGCCGCCCGGACTGAGAAGCAAAAGGCTGCTCTCCAAGCCGACCTGAAATACCTGTATTCAGCCTTCACCAAGATCCCGTGCTTGAGGTTGGCGCCAGATTGGCGAGCCCGGCTTATCAAGGGTTACGAGGAGTTCCCATTCGACTCGGCGGTGCCGTTGTATGTGTTCAAGAACGTGCAGGCGCTCGAGGTTAGCGACATCGACTTCCGGCAGTTTTTCGGGTGGGACAGGCTTGCAGACCAGCTACGATCCCTTACGCTCAAGCGTGCCAGCATCGACGACCCAGCGGATGTTTTGATTGATATCGTGTTAGACGACATGGATAAAAGACGTCGTCGAACATCCAAAGGGCATGCCTCACCCACACGGCCGTGGCCTGGGGCTTCGAGTCCTCGAAGAAGCCCGACAGGGTCCAATAGTGATCTTCACAGGTCGGCGCCCATCCCGGGCTCCTCTCCCGAACCACGGAGGTCGACAATGGACTTGCAGGTTGGATCACTCAATAGTGAAGTCGGAGCCGACGGATCGAGTGGGCCGGATAGCCGGAGACCATCCGTCGCCAGGATCGATGGCGATGAGCCAGCCTCGCCTCCCAAGGACGATACCCGAACGCGGAGCCATTCCCCTCGGCGTCCGGGTAGTTCCAGGCACCAATCGACCAACGTGCGCGGTTCCTACAAAATCCGACGGTCGGGGTCTGGTAGCTCTCATTCGAGCCTCTCTGACTCGTGGCAGCATAACTCACGCGGCAGTTCTTCGAACCTCTTGGGCATGGGCATCCTTCCGGCTTCCAAGTGGCGCTTCCTCAAGCATCTGAGTTTGGCCGACAACTCGCTAACCGCGATCCCCGCAGGGAGTCTAAATCCCCTCGCCAATACTCTCAATTCGCTCGACCTTTCTTCGAACTTGTTCACACAGATTCCCGACAGCCTAGCGACTCTCACAGCGCTCCGCGCTTTGAATTTGGCTCATTGCATGATTGATTCGCTGCACTCTCTTACGCGCAATCCGCTACCGGCAATTAGCGCTCTCAACCTGCGAGCCAATCGCTTGCACTCCCTTGCAGGCATCGAGAGGCTCTTGCCGCTCGAGAGGCTGGATCTGCGAGACAATCGTCTGGCTGACCCGATGGAATTGGCCCGGCTAACCGGGATTCCGGAAATGCGCGAGATCTATGTGGAAGGCAACCCATTTACGCGCACCCATCGCGACTATCGTATCACCATCTTCAACCTGTTCCGCCAGACACCTGGATACACGGATGATATCACGATCGATGGTACGGGGCCGACATACGCGGAGAAGCGGTATCTGGTAGAGCGAGCCGAAATCCCTCCCGCCGTACCCGTAGTCAAGCCGGAGACTCCGGAGATGCCTGCTGTCGACGTGAGCAGACCAACCATCATCTACGATGCGCCTCCCAAAGAGCCCGCGGTTCTACGAAAAGACCGGCCGCTACCAAAGACGGCCGCTACCGAGGTTAACACCAGCTCCACACGACGTCGCAGGGCGCCCAAACGCCGTATAGTCGATCTCGCTACCAACGATAGCCCTATACCGTATGCGCGCCCCGTTGACTCCCATGCGGCTGTTGTCAACAATACACCGAAGTTGCAGAATCACTACCGCACCTCGCAGCCACCCGAGACCCACGAGGCACCCCGGAATACTTTTGTTGAAAGTCCCGTCCCAAACATGGTGGAAGCATCTCGGGAAGTTCCTAGGATCGACACCAATGTCGTCCCTCAATTGCCCGCCATCTTTGGGTCCCCGGGAGGCCACCTCGACTGGGATGTCGAGGGCGAAATTTACCGCCAAAAGATTGAGGATCTCCGTAATAAGGTCGGAAACGGCTACCTGAGCGTCCTCAGCGAGGAGAGTTGGGACCCTGCTTCTCACCCGCCAGACTACCACCAGGCACCCGACTTTGGCGCTACCTCTCCATCTCTCCACTCAGACCCAACGATGCCCCGGCCGAACCTGCAGGCCATCCCGAGCGGTGGAACGTTCGCTTAACGAGCAGTATTACCACTCGCTCATTTTATCCATGATACCCCTTGGTTTGTTTGCGTTGGCTGGCTGGAATTGGGAATAAATAACGACGAGCGACGAACGGACGGACGGACGGCTAATGAAATGGACTGCGTTGGATCGGAAATACCCATCTTTTCTTCCCCTGCGCATTCTATTTCTTATGCAGGATTCCTGCGCCGAGGTTGTACTTGTTTTTTTCCGCATATGTTGTCTTGGTTTTCTTGTTCTTTTCTTGTTCCTTACTTTTTTTTCCTTTTCTTTTTCTTGTTTCTGCTTTTTGAGATATCACAGCACAGCACAGCGCAGCGCTTTTGCACTTTCGCGCACTGGAGCATTTAGCATGCATGCATCATCGCATACCTGGCGTTTTGGGACGAGGGGCCTCGAGTTGAGATGGTATGGAAGTGAGGGTCAAGACTGGTGGATGGATGGGTGGATGGAATTGGTTTGGTTTTGGTCTCGGAGGCTTCAGCTTGTATGGCGAAGCTTTGTTGCTGTTTTGTTGCTGGGACGGATGCGGGCTCTTTTCACCTCCCCTGGCTGTTAATACCCCGTCGTTCCGAATGGCCTGCCCCGAGAGTTTTAGATTTGGATGGAGAGATCCTGCTTGGTCGGTAGGTGGTTTCTTGTACAAAAAGTTGTTTTGATCATTCATGGTTGGAGGTTGCTGGAAGGTATACAAGAGAAGCAAAGAATCAGATGGCGGCGCAATGAGATTGGTGGGCTGAAAGAGATGAATTGATGAGAGCGGCTTATTCTGTCTGGTGCGTGCAGTTTGTTTTGGCTTGTGTCTTGTGTGTTTGTGCGAGGAATGGGGCGGCATGATGCTGAGCGTCGAGTGATTCTACATTGTGTCGGGTCCTTTGCGTCTTGCCTTTACCTGCCTCGTTCTCCAACGTCCCCCCTCCATTCTTTCTCGTCCACTTCAAGGCTGGTTGGCGCGGATCGAGAGTGAAAGCTGCCGAGGAGAATTAATTGACAAGTCAATGTTTGCCATCGAATGCTGTGATATGTAAGTTTATCCGTGGAACCATTTGGCTGAGTGAAACGGCCCCTCCTATTGACCACCATCAAGGTTTTAACAAGCTTGGGAGTTTCTCTCCGAGAGCACCGGAAAAGGAAAGATGGGGATACACCTGCGTGTTGGATTAAACCCGGCTGATCATTTGGAGTTGCTCGGAGGGTGGGGGTTTCTTAGGGGTTGATGGAAGTCCTAGGAAGAGGAGATTGTATCGGAGGCAAGGGCGCCATGAAGATCCGTGATGCTCCGGAGTGCTGGCCGGGCAGTTACTGGGAATGCGCTCAGCATCTGATTGGCTTGTCGCAGAATCGAACTCTCATGGAATCGCGAGGGAAAGTGGGAACATTTTGGGTTGTGCGCCAAGGCTCGCCAGCATAGCAACCACGTCATTCGGGTCACTTGTCGGGTCGGTCGGCCACAAGATGAAACTCAGCCCTACGGGGGTGCCGGCAGCAATCATGTGAATTGAAGATGAGAAGTTCTCACTGTTGATTTCCATAGCTTTTGAATTGGTCTCGAGGTTGAACAGTAATATGACCACACTCATCTATAAATCTTGGGTTTTTTTTTATTCTTTTGTGTTGTTGGTTCTTCAAATGGATGTACGAAGCACGAATACATCATACGGAGGAGGGAGGACGGAAAAGCGGGCGGGTTCTGGCCACAATTGCCCGTGTCTGCGGGGCGATTGTGGGCTTGTGCTTTTTGATGCAGCTCGCACAGAAGCAAGGTGCCCCAGTGCCCCACCTTGATCGACTGTCGGCAGTCGGCAGGGAGCAGTTCGCGCCAGAAATTTGAATTCGACTTTGGCGGCCAATTGCCAATGTATTTTGGTAAATGTACTCTCACAAACCTGAAACCCCAATTCGGCCTTCACCAGCAACATAAATCTTCATATTGCGATTACAAACTCCCTGATAAGTTCTCATTTGCGTCAACTTTTGTGAGCTCTCACCCCGGTCAGACGCACGGACGGCATACATGCGGCTGGATTTACGTAAGCTGTTCAAGGAGGAGACGCCACTCCACCTGCTTGTTTTCCCGCGCTGATTGGTCTGGGCGGCATCACGCCTCGCGTTTTCCAGAACGTCACATCTTCGCAAGCTGAAGGCACCACCTTACATTCCGTATCACCAACCATCAGAAAAAGGCTTTTCCAAGCCAGAACACAAAAGCCCGGGTTGCGAAATGCCCATATACTCGTTATCGATATAATATTGGGAATAATCACGACCTACCCTCGGAAACCGCGCAACGAGCGACACCCCCTCGTCCTTCCTCGACTACCCCTTTCCGAGCCAGAGCCTCCGCTATCTCACCTCATCAACAACCTGACCCTCGACAAGACATAAACCACACTAGTCGCCGGTCATGGCTCCGGCTCCGTCAACCCCGAGGCGTACAGCACGGGGCCGTCCCCGGGGTCGCCCCAAGGGGCCCGGCTCCGCGAGCGCGTCTCGATCCAAACGAACCGTCGCTGATGGCCCAGCTACCGAGCCCGCACCTAAGAGACGCCGGTATATCCCAGGTGGCCCCGGCGGCGGCGGGCGCTTCGTCGACGAGGACGGTACAGAAATCCCCACCGAGTCACTTGCGCCGTCGACAACCGTGTCGCGTCCCCGAGCGTCTGCCGCGAATCAGGCGCAACCGGCGCCGGTCGTATATCCGCGCAGAGAACGAAGCACGAGGATTAGGACGGCTGTGAACCGTGACGAACGAGATGATATGCAGTACAGCTCCGCGGCGGCTGTGGCCGCGGCCGTCGTGCAGAGCGAGGGCTACAAGCCACGCGAGGAACGCGGATGGGAGGAGTTCCACCCCAATCTTGACATCGAAGCCACCTTCATTGTACTCCAGGCAGACGAAGTGGACGGAGTCATAAAATCTATCCCACCTACCCCCGCTGCCCAGGCCTCTACCACGAACGGCGCAGGCACCCCCACCAAGGATACGAACCCAAGCCTAGCAAACGAGGCGAATGGCACACCGAGCGGGCAGGATAAACAATCTGTCGGTTTTTCGCTGGCAGATACGCCCAGCAGACGCCGACTTGGCAGGCCGGCGCGGGAGTCGTTTTCGCTGTACGCCACCCGGACCCTCGATTTTGGCGCAGGTCCCAAGGTCCCCAAGGTCCTTCCCATATCTGGCCAAACCGCCAAAGAGCGCCTCGATCTGAAGCAGCCTCAGTACCGAAAAACCAACCGGATCGCCCTGTTCGAGAGCAAGACCTTCGGGCAGGCTAGGTATGTCGACAAGTCGATGATGAATGTCGGATATCAAGAGAGCGACAACTTCATTCGGCCGGACCGCAACCTAATCAAGGCGACGGATGCGAACATGGAAGAGGAGGCGGACCAATCCGGCGCCGCAAGGCCCGACGGTGATGCTGTCCAGCATTCGGCAGGCGCCGTGGGCCGTGTCGAGTACGATATGGACGAGCAAGATGACATGTGGCTCGAGAAGCTGAACGGCCAGCGCAAGTCCACCGAACTCGACCCCATAACCCGCGAGGTCTTTGAGATTACGATAACGAAGATCGAGAAAGAGTGGCATGCGCTCGAGAAGAGGATACCGAAGCCAAACCCCAAGCCGCCGCAAACCCATAGACCCCGATCGAGCTCGGCAGCGGCGGTTAACGGCGAGCCACAGGCCGGCGAGGAGCAGGATAGCAAATGCGCCATTTGCGACGACGGCGATTGCGAGAACACGAATGCGATCGTGTTCTGCGACGGCTGCGACCTTGCTGTCCACCAGGAGTGCTATGGCGTTCCCTTTATCCCCGAGGGACAGTGGTTGTGTCGAAAATGCCAGCTTATTGGGCGTGGCATTCCCGTAAGTGCTCAAACCGTCTCTCGGACCGTAATGCCGATGTTGGTGGTGGCCGATACTGACGAATATCGCAGACCTGCATTTTCTGTCCCAATACCGACGGCGCTTTCAAGCAGACCAACTCGTCAAAATGGGCACATCTACTGTGCGCCATGTGGATTCCCGAGGTATCTCTCGGGAATCACACCTTCATGGAGCCCGTCATGGAGGTTGAGAAAGTGCCCAAAACGCGGTGGAGATTGACATGCTACATCTGCAGCCAGCGGATGGGAGCCTGTATCCAGTGCTCTAACAAAAGCTGCTACCAGGCCTTCCATGTAACCTGTGCCCGCCGGTGCCGGCTCTTTCTTAAGATGAAGAACAGCCAGGGGGCTCTTGCCGTGCTCGATGGCACCCTCCCGCTGAAGGCCTTTTGCGACAAGCACTGCCCGCCCGATTATGCCGAGGAAAACGGCGTGGCCCAGGCGACCAAGGAAGCCAAGCGCTTCTACAAGCGCACCATGAAGGGCCGCCTTTGGGCGGATAGTCAAGCCTCCGCCTTACAACTTGCCGCAACGCACCGCAACGCTGTGACAGAGCGTCCGCCCGACGAATCCCAAATCACTGGCGCAAAGGTCTCGGCCGTACTCGCCGATAAGAAAAAGGGCCAACCACCCAAGAACATCTGGAAATTACCGTCCGGCGCGCCCATCATCCCGCAAGCGGTTTTCGACCTGGTTGAGAGCGCACTCGCAAGGTTTCCGATCCGCAAGCGCAAGGACTTTGTGAGCGAGGCCTGCAAATACTGGACGCTCAAGCGCGAGGCACGCCGCGGCGCCGCCCTGCTCAAGCGACTGCAGCTGCAAATGGAGACATTTTCATCCATGGAACTGACACGCCGCAACTTTGCGGCCATGGGCCCCTCCGGCAAAGCACGGCTTGACAGGAGAGTCGAGTTCTGCCGAAACCTGGTCGACGAGCTCGGCCAGCTCAAGGATTTGTGCCACTTAATCGAGGAGCGCGAGAGACTGAAACTCGAAGCGGCTGAGCTCGAAATGGAGATGATCAACACCTGTTACTTCCCGATCTACAACCAGCTGCAGCCAATCCTCGAAAAGGCATTCTTGTGAGTTGTCTCGGAGGGGTGCTGATTGTCTTGGACGTGACTGACATGGTTAGCCTTGACAAAAATGTTTTCAAGCAAGGCTTGCAGGAACTCCAGGACAAGATGGACCGGCGCTACTACGTGACAACCCTGCCATTCACGCAAGATCTTTGCCAGGCTATTAGTGCCGGCATCGAACACCCCCCGCCCTCGTCGGTTCCGGACTCAGAGCCGGTCGAGGCCTCACCATCCAAACATAACAATTACACAGAGGTCGGCGCCCGGAGGCGCTTGGGCAAGCGGATGCTCAAATTACTGCAACCGTACCTCGAGGCAGCCCTGAAGGCTGAAGCCGAAATCCTCGACCAGTCATATGACGTGCTCCAAAAGGAGCTCGAAGGTATGCTAGAGACGGGCGTCCAGGTGCGGCGACTACCAATCACTAGCATCACGGTGTCCAGCGATGAGGACACGGCAGCCGGTCAAAGCCAAGATGTGGACATGGCCGACGCCCCGGTCGAGGGCCAGATCATAGTCGCCGACCACAGCGAAGGCGAGGCTGACGCCGAAGGCGAGCCCGACGACCTCATGGATGGCGCCGAACCTCAGGAAGATAACATCGAGGTGGGCGGCTACCATGAGCACGACGAGCACGACGGGCACACTCTAAAACCCAACGGCCTCCTCTCCGCCGCTCACTCGGTCGCCGGTGAGCCCCATAAAGAATCCACCCCCCATCTCACCAACGGCTTCACCACCAAACCGTCCCACTCCCCACCCTCCTTACCAGACGCCGGCTACTCCCACCACCTCCCCGGGACAACGACAACCAACTCCCACCCGCTCACACCGCCACGGTCCAACACCGGTTCCGCCGCCTCCTTCGGCCAAACCCTCACCGTAACAAATACCACAACAACAACCTCCACCTCTACCAAACCTCACCCCGGCGCAGCCACAAACGGAACCTCCTCGTCCCATACCCACCCCAATAATAATAACAACTTCCTCACGCAGGGCGGCATCCCCTGGTACCTCGACGGGTTCGAGCTGCGCGGCACCAGCGCCGCCCAGGCGCAGTGGACGCCCGGCCGCGACGCCCTGCGCGGCCTGAGCGAGGAGCTGACCGACATGGACGAGGAGGCCCTGCGGGATCTGGAGTTTGATGTTGATGACGAGATGACGATTACTATTGCGGGGGATGGGGAGGAGGAGACGACAGCTCTGGGTGGGGATTTGAAGGAGCTGGGGCAGAATGGTGGTGGTGCGGGGTTGGTTAATGGTGAGGTTAATGGGGTCGAGAGGGCTGCGGCGGTTACTGCGGGCGTGGGTGCCGCTGCTGCTGCTGCTGCTGCTGCTGTGGGTGTGAGTGCGAGGAAGGCGGTGGGGATGGGTGCTGTTGCGGCGGCGGCGAGCGGGAGTCCTAGGAAGCGGACTAGGAGTGAGGTTGCGGCTGCGGCTGTGGCTGGGGGGAGGTTGCTGCGGAAGGGGGTGAGGAGCTCGGCGAGGAAGAAGTGAGTCGTGGGCTTCTTGCTGGGTGGGGTATGCGCGGTGTATGAGTATTGTTGGTGGTTCTTTTTTTTCCCCTCCCTTTCCCCCTTAGCATAATGGCGGGGGGCGGGCGGGCGAGTTCTTCTTACGTTGCTTTTCTCTTCCTCTTTCCGCGGGGGGTACCGTTTACGGCGGGGGCGGGTTTGTTGTTCTTCTTCTTTACCGCGCCCGTGTTGAGGCTCGTGGTTTTTGAGTTGAGTTGACCCCGGGTGGGGTTGATATCCCTTTCACCTTCACCTTCCTTGGCCGTGAAATCGGCACCCGGCCCCAACAACTGGCGCAATGGCAGGAGGAGCCACGGGGAGGAATGAGTCGGTATGACGGACATAGCCATGGGCTTCTCTTCGCTTTCTTTTCATCCTCCTCTACGTTACATTTCATTGTGCGCTGATTTATTGATTCCCCTTTTCTTAATTTTTCGTTTCTTCTCAAAGCCTTCTTCCTTTACCGCTTTGACTTTGATCTTACTTTTTCAAGACAGAGAGACGGATCCAGCAATAGGGATGGATGGATGGATGGATGCGAAATGGGTCTATTATTGAGGGTCGGACGGAGGACTGCGATTGTTGGCGGGAATTCATTCGAGCTGTTGGTTTTATAACTACCTACTACTGTACGGAGTCACGGGAAGGGGCGTCGGGACGCGAGGTATTATCACATTATCACATTATCACATCTGTCGAGCTGGGGTCATGGGGAAGCATACTGCTAGCTGGCTCAGGGATGCGGTTGGAGGCAGGGGTTGGCAGCGCAGGTGTGGGAGATACCTCTAGGAATATACTAGTGTATTGTGCTATTATTTTGTGACATTGTTGCCCTATGGTGAGTGTAACAACATGAATTATCTGTTGTCTTTTGCTGGGAATAACTACTGTGTAAGGCAAGTTTGAGATATAATATGGCAATGCTTGATTAAAGCTGTAGAGTTACCCGACCCTTCTGGCTCGGATAGCAGCACGACTCCCAACACGCACTCTCTATCCTGATGGAGATGGCAACCCAGAATGATTGGTTCGATTCTCCCGTGACTAGTGAAAGAAGCACCCCATCGGCAAAAAGAGCCGGACTCCAAACGCGGATGCCAACTGGATCCCGGGCCTTCGACTGCAGGAACGAAACGAGAGTCACCCGGCTCTGGTCACAGTGCAACGACTCAAGGCTAACCGCTCAGGTGACTTAGCCGTGTGATTACCAGGGCTGTTGTGTATCTTGTGTTTTACTGGCGTCCAATCGGCGATAGTTGGGGAAGTTTGACCTGCTGTCCACACAAGCATGATGACAGCATCGAGGAGGGGCAGCGCGGTTGCCCCGCTTGGCGAGGCAGCCACTCGGCCTGTTACAAGGCGGGGCAGGATGAGGAAAAGGGGAGGATGGCCACCGTGGATGACAAAGGGAGACGGCCGAGGCCGCCCGAGAGAGTCTGACAAGGTACAAGACCACAGGAGAAGATAAGATACCGCCAACCGAGATCCCGCCCGAGGGAGGCCGAGTTCATCCCGTGATTCTCGGAAAGTCAAGGCAGACGTGAGTCAACAACGAGCAACACCCGGTTCCGCGCAATCGCGCCAAGGGTCTGGCACACCTGGATGCATCGACAGTGCAGCATGCAGACTGCGGTGGTCTCGATCGGTCGTTGGGTGAAACCTCGGTCAGGCCAGGACGGAGACTTGAGAAGAGCCAAAGTGAAGTCGAGCTTCCCCGGCGGGGGGATTGGATCAAGGGATGGCACGCTGTCCAGCGAATCAGACGCCATCCCACCGCGAGGTGAGCGGCAAGACGCCCAAGGCCCTCCAACTTGACACTCCCACCACACCATCAAGGATCGGCCCCCCCCTGGGGGCGCAGCCCAGATCCGGCGCCAAGCAGGCGCGCGGGAGGGAGAAGGTTTGGCAAGTCAGTCAAGTTCGGCATTCCCCGCCAGAGCCAGCATTGGATTGGATACATTATCATCACCAACTCGTGTCTCGTCATATCATCGACATGAGGGCCGCCATCTTGGCAGCTAGCTATTCGATCAGTAAATCAACGTCTGCGGGTGAAAGTGGACCAGACACGAGCTTTCTCGATCGGGCTGTGCCTCAAAACCAGGGCAAAGATGGACGAGTCCCGCCCGTGCCCGGCCGAGGCTGACAGAAGCTGAATCAAAACCCGTCCCTGAGCCGTGGTCAGAGCGCCAGAAAGCGGCGCGACGGGGCGTTGGGCAGCTGTGGTTGGCGATCGCAATCAGGGACGGGAACCCAAAAGAGGTCCTGCCAGAATTTTGAAGACAATTTGCATCGTGTACGGAGTATCTGTACGCATCATCAACCCGATTCTCTCATGGCGGGCTTGTCAAGAGTGCAAACGTAAGGAAAGCGACGTTTTAAATGCGATTGCCAAGGACAGGGAGGGCGGCGAGGGGTTGAGCCCCACCTTGACAGGCCAATCCGCGCTAGAAGACTGGGTTTGGAGGGGAGCACTAACAGATTCTAGGCTAGATTATGCTGGTAGAGAGATAACGGCGACGCGTTCCAGACCCCGGGCCCAGCGTGGGTTCGCATGCAATTTTTCGTGGAGAGCGGGCCTGTCCCGGCCAGTGTCAGTGGTGCCTTCCCGACACTGAGAAGAACATAGCCCTGTGAAGCGCCCCTGCTCATTTACCTGACCTCCCGGTTGTGCCGTGGTCTCCTCCAAAACCTGGACTGTTCAGCGACCGAACAGCAATTTTTCCTGACGTTCCATCCTGAGCAGAGCGATTTCGTTCACCAGCGAAAACCAGACAAACAAGGCGATCAAAGTCCTAACACAGGCACAGTGCACGTCGAGATTTCACCCTGCTGAATTTTAAAGACAATACCCGCGAATTCCTGCCAACGGCGCGATTTGCATCCACCACTTCCCTACCTTGTCTTCCCGGCCCCGACCGTGGCAGCCAACCCAACAACAACACCAGCAACACCCTTCATCGACGACCGGCCTTTGTTGCCATCCTAGCGACGCGCGTCTAGAGAGCGATTCAAGATAGTGCTTGCATTGCCGACGCCTAACATCAAGTGATCGCGACAAAACCAGTGCTCTTTTTGCAGACGAACCATCGCCTGTCTGTCGCATCTTGCCGCACCTTGCCTGCAGCCACGTACAAACCCCGGCGACGAGGACACCAAGCGCCCATCCCACGACCATCAAAATTAAAACCACACAGAGGAACACATCGTCATTCTGCGAGCAGCCGACGAAGCCGAAGAAGGGGCATTTTCCCCTTGATTCCCCAACACCAGCCACTCGTTGCTGCGATCACTTGTGAGCACCCGACCAGGTAAGTCCACACCTCGCCTGCCTGCGATACACCGAGGGTTTTTGCGATCACCACCGCGAGGTTCGCCGCCCCTGGGCCCTCGCGGCCATGATCACATCACACCTTGGCTATCCTTTTTTTGCGGACACCGCGCTGACCTCTTTACCCCTCCTTCCCTCCAGTGCTAGGAGTGTATCATTCCCAATTACTCTTCGCGCCTGTCTTTTCTTCCCGAGTTTTTCTTTTTTTCTCTTGGTCGGCCGCTGGGGTTCCACCGGTCACCACCAACACCGTTACCTTCGTGCGCGCCATAATTTCGACTAGGAGGGTCGAGGGTATTTTACCATGGCGGACCAGCACGACGTCGATCTCGACTCTATAATCGACCGCCTCTTGGAGGTGCGGGGCAGCCGCCCAGGCAAGCAGGTTCAGCTGCTCGAGGCCGAGATTCGTTATCTCTGCACCAAGGCCCGCGAGATCTTTATCTCACAGCCCATCCTGCTCGAGCTCGAGGCTCCTATCAAGGTGAGACAACAAACAACATTGTCCTCTCAACTGCCCGGCGCGCCCCCTCGCGTGACCCCTTTCCACCTTGATTTTCATGGCTAATACCGTCCTCCCCAGATCTGCGGCGATATTCATGGGCAATATTATGACTTGCTCCGCCTGTTTGAGTACGGCGGCTTCCCGCCCGAGGCCAACTACCTCTTCCTTGGCGATTACGTAGATCGTGGCAAGCAGTCGCTCGAGACCATCTGCCTTCTTCTCGCGTACAAGATCAAGTACCCGGAGAACTTCTTCATCCTGCGGGGTAACCACGAATGCGCGTCCATCAACCGCATCTACGGCTTTTACGACGAGTGCAAACGTCGCTACAACATCAAGCTGTGGAAGACGTTCACCGATTGCTTCAATTGCTTGCCAATCGCCGCCATCATCGACGAGAAGATCTTCACGATGCACGGTGGCCTGAGCCCCGATCTGAACTCGATGGAGCAGATCCGCCGTGTCATGCGCCCGACCGATGTAGGTGGAGCAGGTGTTACTCGGATACTCTTGTCCCGAGTCGCTAACGTCCCATCTCTAGATCCCCGATTGCGGTCTCCTCTGCGATCTCCTGTGGTCCGACCCTGACAAGGACATCACTGGCTGGTCCGAGAACGACCGCGGTGTTTCCTTCACGTTTGGCCCCGATGTCGTCTCTCGTTTCCTACAAAAACACGACATGGATCTCATCTGCCGCGCCCATCAGGTTGTCGAGGATGGCTACGAGTTCTTCTCGAAGCGCCAGCTCGTCACCTTGTTCAGCGCCCCCAACTATTGCGGCGAGTTCGACAACGCCGGTGCCATGATGAGCGTGGACGAAAGCTTGCTCTGCTCCTTCCAGGTTTGTAGTCCTCGTCTCTGTTGGAGTGTATCGGGCTCAGCTAACAGTCTTTGTCCCAGATTCTCAAGCCTGCAGAGAAGAAACAAAAGTACGTCCACGGCCTCGGTGGCAGTAGCCGGCCCACCACTCCCCGGAAGTCCAAATAAATAAATAAGGGTTTATGCGAACTTTTTCTCTTCCTTTTAGGTTCGGGCGCGGCCGATAAATGCCACCTTACGACATGCAACCATCGCAAGCGGAGAACCGCCTTCATCTCGTTTTTTGATCGTCAAGGGGCCACAACCCCATCATCCTTTTTTTCGGCCACTCCCGTCTTGCGTCGAGCCTCGGCCACCAGCATCGCCATCGTTGTTGTCGAGCAAAACCATGTCTGTCTAGTACTGTCACGAACGGAAAAGCTGTCGGGGCAACGGAATCTTTTGGAAGGGAAACGAATAACGACTCTCCTCGTCTTGTCACTCCTAACACAGGCAACATCCGGGAATGTATAGATAACGCAGCGGGGGGTGCTGCGGTAATTGCGAACGGGCGGTGGGTTTTGGGGGACGCAGAGCCACAGCAAGGAGGGACCGGTCTTGTTTCTCCTCGTGACGGCGCTGCTGCCTGCTGCCAATCTATCTTACCTCTATACTAGGGTCGTTGTTCGCTTCCCTTGGGCCAGTTTGTCTTCAGCTTCCACTCAGCTTGACTCGGTTAGGCTGGGCTGGAGATGTGTCAGCGACTCGCTGGGACGGCCTGTACAATTCATCAGCAATCTTCTCGTCTACGTGACCTGTCTACGTACCCGCCAATCTATGCGTCCCAGGTGTGACTGACTGACTGGTCATCGCTGCTCTCACCGGCGGGCCGATTTACCCTTTGATTAAGAATAGCCCTCGCGCGAATCGGTGAGGTCACTTACCATGCGTGGCACTTTAGGCTTTCGGGAGGTGATGAGGGGCATGACCTATATATCTCTTCGTCCAGACGGTGCGAGGGTAACGATAGCCGGGAACACCGACGAGATAGGCACAAGCGAGGATAGAGCTGCTCCCTACCTTTGGACGCTCGAGAGTCGGGAAATGCACCCATTCCGGCGGGACGGAGAGGTCTAGCGGTCGAGTTGCAAGTGTTATCCATCCATGTGTACGGAGAAGTTCCAGGTGAGGCTAGGTAAGCCGGGGCGTTTTCGGGGTCCGTTTGTTTCTTCTATCCTCCCTTTTTTTTTGGCTCCGGCTGCCGGAGAGCCAGCTGGCTACCTCCTGGCTGGCGCTAGGTTGGTGATTCGAGCCAGGGCTGTTTCTGCGTTGGGGTTGATGATTCACTCAGGCTCAGGGGGTGGCGAGATCAGTGGGGGGTACCTAGGTACCTACATACTGTGGTGATGAATATGGGGGGAGGGAGGGGGGGGGGGGGGGGGGGGGGGGGGGTTGTGCAGGTTAGTGTAGGGAGCGTGGGTTGGAGGTATTAAATATGCAAGACTTTAGCATCGTGTTGTGATATCTACCCCTTTTCGTTGTTTTGCTTTCTCGCTCAATGATTGTCTAGCCGAGTGTTTTGTGGTTTGTTTTTGTGGCTTGGCGGGCGTTCCCGTCTCGATATTGCTTTTCCGCCTCCCGGGAGCGGTTTCAAGTTGATCTCAGCTATCTTTGCCTCTTCTTGGCTTTGACGTGCGAGGGTCGAGATGGCAAGTTCCGCGCCCTTCCGCAACGGACTTCGGCATCACCCGTGCATAACATGACGTCGGGTGATATCGTTACCATGTACAGATATAGAGCAGATAACCTTCTTCAAGGGCTTAGTTATGTGAGACATTAGGATACGGCCCGAGACAAAAGCACACCAGCCATGCCACGGCCTCATCACCACCGGTCCAACGGCGTTGCCAACCAAAAGCAGAGAGCTCCCAAATCATACCCACAACCCTCCTCCATCACCACAACAACCCGCATCTCCCACCTACCCCCAAATACTCATTGGCAATCCTCACACTTTTCACCTCCCTCAACACCACAAACCTTCCCCTTCACCGCCTCCCCACCCGCCTCACCCGCGCCCTCCCCCTTCTTCACCCCCGACGCCTCCCCTCCCCCTTCCGTCCTCGCCTTCACGTCCCCATCCCCACCCTTCCCCTGCCGCCCATAATCCCGATCCACATGCCCCAGATCCCTGTCCGGCTGTATGACATCCCTCACCCGCCGCTTGAGCTCCTTGACCTCGGGGAAGCCCCCGTCGATCTTGCGGTCCCACAGCACGGCCTTTGTCCGGTGGGCGGCAGGCGCCGACGTTGACGTGGACGCTGCCGCGGTGGTGCCCTCTGGCTCCGGGGTGGTGGTGGCGGTGGTGGTGGTGATCTCGACGACAAAGACGCCGCCTGTGGCGGGCTGCAGGGCGACCTCGCCGAGGGAGAGGGAGAAGGTGGAGAGGAGTTCTTGGGCGTACTGGGATGGGGTTAGTTTGGTTGTTGTTGACGTTGGCCGTTGAGGGGGAGAGGGGTGTGTGTAGGGGTGATGCTGTGACGGGCGCGGGGTGGGGTGGGTATCGCAGGTGGGGGGGATTGGGGAGGGAAGAGAAAAGAGGGGGGATTTAAGGTTTTAAGACGAAGGTGCGTGGTGGAGGATGGAGGAATGGAGGAAAAAGCCTACATATGCCGCTCGAAGCATCCATTTACATTGGGTGCAGAACTGGATTGTGACTCGCGGGAGCCTTGGGTCGGATGATACCTGGGTGGTCTCGGCCATTGTATCGCGAAAACGACAGGTGTGTTACCTGGTGTTTCACTCGAAGCCTCGCGGATCGTTTCGTGTGGTATTTATGACGTTGAGCTGATAGGTTGTTCGGAGCAAAGGGAGTGCCGATGACGGGGAAAATGAGCGGGAACGCGGGTGTGGTGTCACTGTGGCAAACCGATCGGGAGCCAGGAACCCACCCAAATCTGATATCTTACTCGAGTTACTGCGTGCTGCAGGAGACGGGCGTGAACGGGGTTTGAGCCGTTTCACGATGCTTTTGTCTGTCCAAAAGAGGCTGCAAAAGAGGCTGCATAAAAATTACAAAAGGCACAATGCTTGGTGTAAGTCCTGTCTCATTCGCCAATCCTCATCTCATCAATCCATTGGGAAAACCTGGAACCTGGAACCTATATACATTGAAAAAAGAAAAAGTCGCAGGGCAAGGAGGAGCCAAGCCAAATCGAGCACGGGGTAAAAACAAGACAGATGACAAGAAATAATGAAGGAACTAAGGTATTACACGCTGAAGAGCTGCGTAGCCAGCCTGCGATCCGCTCAGAATAAAAGGGGTATGAGTGGTAGCGTTATCGTAGGAGGCCGTGCCGTCGTCCCGTCCGTTCCTGGCCGCTCCTCCTTGCCCTCGCGAATCCGGGGATTTTGTTGTTCGTACCGGCAATGGGGGGGTGGTGTTGAATAATCCGTTTTTCCTCCTTCGGCAATCCATTCCCTCCGCCCATCATTCGTAGCCCGGTGCCAAAATTACTATTCTCGAGACGTTGCCGACAGATCGAACGACTCCTGCGCGGTAATGCCGCGGGCACGCTCCACGAGACACAACCAGCCCGGGATGGCAGTGCGAACCCGAAGCTAGGGGTCGGCTCTCCGCGTCCAAGTCGGGGTTAACTAGCTCAAGAGCCCTACATGACTATACAGCACCCGCCGCTTTGTTGTGGCGCGTAGGGGTCCTCTCCCTTGGGCACCGGGCCCCAAACGCTGGGCACCATGTAGTCCCTGGTGCTGTTGCAGTAGGCGATGATGCTGGTGGGCGTAGGTTAGCGACCGCAGCCAAGAAGAAAAATAAAAAATAAAACAACGAGGTTTTGTGATGTCGTCTTACCTCTTGGAAGCCCCGCTTACGGGAATGCGTTCCCGGTCCAGGTCTTCGCGTAGCCGCGAGTTGAGCTCCGTCAGCCTGCGGAGCTTCAGGTCGGCCATGCTCTGCTTGTTCTTCCTGATTTGCGACGGGTCGCCCCCGTCGCGGGATGTGTACTGAGGCATGATGTGGGAAGAAATTGTGGCGGTGGGAGATGGTGCCGATGGGAAATCGCGGTACGCAACCGAAGTCGCTTGGGAGTCCTCAGGGTTCGACGGCGGCGGTGATGCACGCGGCGAAGTTCCTTCTTCAGAGACCCGGCGGAAAGGGTCGGTCGGCTGTTGCTGCAATCGGCTGGCGCCGCTGCTCTCGCCTGTGTGTGAATCGGCGGCCGACAATCGCGACCGGGGGCCCGTAAACTCGTGATGATCGTGCTGCTGAGCCATCGGCGTTGTCAGTCAATTATCGCGCGCTGTCTTGTCGCTGAATTCTTTTTCTTTTTCACGGTTCCGACGTGCCCAGCCCATCCTCTCCTTTTCAGACGGCTGATTTCTCCCCTCAATCCCTCGGCTTGTGTTGTTGGCCAATTGGCTCGACGTGATTGCTCTCGCTGTCGGTCGCAGGGCACGCAGGTTGCACGGTTTGCTCCATGGCGCAACCAGCGGGAACGGCACAATCCAGGCAGCAGAATATCAAACACGCGAATGAACTTACCGAAAGAGAAAGGAGTGGATGCTCGAGGTCGCGTGTGACGTCTGGCGACGAATTTCGAAGACGCTTCGATTGACTGGTATGGAGGTGGATGCGAATACCAGAGGCTTCAAGTCTTGGAATGGGTGGACGGGATTGGCAGAGGCGCCGGGAAGCGAAGGGGAAAGCAGTTCAGGAGCGGGCGTTGCTGGTCTGTGCACCGTGACCCGCCCAAGCCGGGCGAAAAGAAAATGAGCTGTCCAGACACGGCTAGATCGGGCCCGCTAGAAACATACGGTCGGTTACACTGCGCTGGGTCTTGTCTCAATCCCGATCTGGCTCCTTTCCCGCCGAGCGAAAAGGCTGGGCAAGCGTTGGAAGTTTCGACGCGCTATCTCGTGCACAAGAAGGGAGTAAACTTCGAGGTCTCGGGTCATCAAACCTAACCTTCCATTCCAGTCATCGCATCCGCTTTCGCGTCGGCGAGAGGCACTCAGCTAATCCTGCATCGTAATTTATACCCCATTATTACTTCGATACAGGGATTGTCTTGGGTGCTTGGCCGGGTCTCGAGTGCACGGTTGTCGGGAACCCGATCCTGAGCCTCTCACAGTGCGTCCGGACTTCAAGTTGGTGAAAGGCTGCCGAAGAAAAGGGACGGAATAGGCACTGCGTATGTGTGGATGTCGTCAGTTTTGCATGATGGGAGACGCATTTGGTTTCCCTGTAGCGTGACAATAGGATTTCTTCTCAACAGCCCTTTGCTATTGTCCTCGACCGAATCTTGTCCTTCTTCCGAAGGCAGTGCCCCACCATTCCCGTTCAGAGAAGGAGCCCCACCCCTCCTCAGCAAACCCCTTTCGCGCTGCATCGCGAACTGGAAGCAAGCCACAACTCCAAGGTTGAAGCATGGGAAGCTCGGTGACTGACAGGATGCCCTCAAGCTTCCAGTGACTCTGTGATATCATCCGCAAAAGTTATAAATATTTTGGATGCGCTGTCGTGCCGAGAGGGACCACATCCTCAAAATCACGTGATTTGTATTTTCCGCCCACACAATTTGCAAACCTGCACCTGCCTGGGGCCAGGGCTCGCCAACCCATTCTCCACGAGGCGAAAAAATCTCGAGAGAGCGCCAGCCAAGTCGCCAGCAACCCCTCACGCTGCGTTGCGCTGCTCTTTAATACACACATCAAATCTCCTCGAGACCTGCCGCCGCGCAGAGGAGGTTGCCCATCATGGTAAGTCGTCCTCAGAATTGCCCGGTTGCATCTAGGGCTGGGCGGGGGGGCACCAACATCGCTGCGGATACAACCCCTCCCCGCCTTGGACCATCACCGACACCGTCGCCGTCGGTTCGTCCGGCTTGAATCGCTGAGCGCCAACTGACCGTCTCACAGCCGCCCCCGCCGCATCAAAAACCCGAAAATGTCCTGAAGAGGGCCCACGAGCTCATCGGGGTCAACCAGGCCCCGGCAGCCCTGACTCTGCTGCACGAGCATATCACGTCAAAGCGTTCCCGCAATGTCCCCATCGCCTCGCTAGAGCCGGTTATGGTCCTGCTCGTCGAGCAGGCCGTCGAACAGAAGAAGGGCAAGCTCGCCAAGGACGCCCTGTACCAGTACAAGAACATCGCCCAGAACACCAACGTTGGGACAATAGAGGTGTGTAGATGCCGATGCGACGCGGGGCTTGTGCGCTTGCTGACTAGCGATGTAGCTTGTATTGAAGAAGTTCATCGAGTTGGCGGCCGAGAAGGTCACGGCTGCCCAACAAAAGGCGGATGAGGTTCAATCGAGCATCGAGGCCACGACTGGGTCGTCCAGTGTCGAAGACCTCGAGGCTAGCGAGACCCCGGAATCCATTCTCCTGGCCACCGTTTCCGGCGAGCAGTCAAAAGACCGGACTGACCGCGCCATCGTCACCCCGTGGCTAAAGTTCCTGTGGGAGGCGTACCGGACCGTTCTGGACATTCTGCGCAACAATGCTCGCCTGGAGCTCCTGTACCAGAGCACTGCGATGCAAGCCTTCGACTTCTGCCTCAAGTACGCCCGCAAGACCGAGTTCCGCCGTCTTTGCGAGCTCCTCCGCAACCATGTCCAGACTGCTGCCAAGTACTCGGCTCAGATGCATGCGATCAACCTGAACGACCCGGACACCCTGCAACGCCACCTCGAGACCCGCTTCCAGCAGCTGAACGTGGCTGTCGAGTTGGAACTCTGGCAGGAGGCTTTCCGCAGCGTCGAGGATATCCACACCTTGCTGAGCCTGAGCAAGCGCCCGGCCAAGAACATCATGATGGCCAACTACTACGAGAAGCTCACCCGCATCTTCCTCGTTGGTGAGAACTACCTGTTCCACGCTGCCGCTTGGTCGCGCTACTACAACCTGCTGCGGCAGTCCGCCGCCATGGTCGCCACTGGCCAGAGCAAGAAGTCCGACAGCCCGCCCGTCAGCGAAGCCGACCTGCAAAAGGCCGCCACTTTCGTCGTCCTCTCGGCGTTGTCTATCCCGGTTATCAGCACATCGCGTTCGCGTGGTGCCATGGTCGACTTTGACGAGGCGCGCAAGAACAAGAACTCGCGTCTGACCCACCTCCTCGGCCTATCGCAAGCCCCCACCCGCTCTTCGCTCTTCCGCGATGTCTTGTCCAAGGCCCTTCTCCGCCGCGCCAACCCCCAGATCCGGGATCTGTACAACATCCTCGAGGTCGACTTCCACCCCCTCTCTATCTGCCAGAAGATTTCCCCTATTCTCGCCAAGGTCGGCGCCGATGAGGAGATGCAAAAGTACATTCTTCCTCTGCAGCAGGTCATTCTCACTCGCCTGTTCCAGCAGCTGTCCCAGGTGTACGAGACGGTCGATCTCGAGTTCGTTCAGAGCCTAGCACAGTTCCCCGAGCCGTTCCAGGTTACCCGGGGCACTATCGAGAAGTTCATCATGAACGGTAACAAGAAGGGCGACCTTGCCATTCGCATGGACCATGCCACCGGCGTCCTGAGCTTCGACGTCGATGTCTTCTCGTCAGCCAAGGCTGTTCACGCTGGCTCGGCGGCCGGCTCGGCTGAGAACGAGTCTGGCTCCGTTCAGCGTCTCCAGAGCACCCCGTCGCAGATTGTCCGTTCTCAGCTCACTCGCCTGGCCGAGGTTCTCTACACAACGTGCCGGTACATCGATCCTTCGTTCAACGAGGCCCGGATCAAGGCCCGCGACGCAGTTCTCGCGCGCGCCAAGGCTGGGGCCGAGAAGGAGCACCTTGAGATCCTGTCAAGGAAGGATGTGATTCAGAAGCGCAAGGACAAGGCTTCGGAGATCCAGGCCCAGAAGGAGAAGGAGTTGGCTCGCAAGAAGATGCTCCAGGAGCAGGCCCTGCAGCAAGCCGAGGCTCAGCGGTTGGCTGAGGAGCAGAGAATTCGGGAGCAGAAGCGGATGGCCGCCGAGCGCGAGCAAATCAAGAAGAAGGAGGTCGAGGGCATGCTTAAGGACATGAAGCTCGACGACGTCGAACTTGAGGACCTCGACAACCTCGACAGCAACAAGATCCGCATGATCAAGCTGCAGCAGCTCGAGCGGGAGAAGAACACCATCGCCGAGAAGATGCGCGTCACTGGCAAGCGCCTCGACCATCTGGAGCGTGCCTTCAGAAAGGAGGAGGCCAAGAAGCTCCCCGAGGACTACGCCAAGCAGCGTGAGCGTGACGTTGCTGCCTACGAGCTGATCAAGGTGCAGACGCTCAAGGATGCCGAGTTGAAGCACAAGGAGGATGTGGAGTTGAAGCACCGCCTGACCCGCCTGATGCCGTTTTACGAGTCATTCCGGGCCGACCTGCACGAGCGCCGTCGCGACATGTTTGAGAAGCGCCGCCGTGATGCCGAGCGCGAGCTTGAGAAGCAAGTCACCCTTCGGCGGAAGGAGTACCGCGAGCGCAAGCTGCGCGAGAAGCGGGAGCGCGAAGAGAAGGAGCGCGCTCTCCGGGAAGCCGAGGAGCGTGCGGAGAGGGAGAAGGAGGAGGAGAAGCAGCGGCAGGAGGCTCGCAAGGAGGAGCTGGCCAGGATCAGGGAGGAGCGCGAGAAGGAGCGCGAGAAGGCCAAGGAAGCCCAGGCTCGCCAGCAACAGCGCGAGGAGGAGGCCATGGCCCGTCGCAGGGCCGAGAAGGCTGCTGCCGCGGCAGTACCTATCCGGGAGCGCGAGCCGGTCGCCGCCGCCGCCGCCGGCTCCAGGCCTCCTCTGCCACTTGCCGGCGCCAAGTCCAGCTGGAGAGACCGCGAGGCAGCCAAGGCTGCTGCCGGTGGCGCGCCATCAGATTCTGCCCCCCCCTCCGGCGCGGGCTGCCCCGCCCCCAATGGGGCGCACCGACTCCAGCGACAGACCCGCTGGTCCTCCCCGCTTGGCGCTCGCTGGCAACAAGCCCGGCTCCAGCTGGCGTGACAAGGAGGCGGTTAAGAATGCTGCCGGGGGTGCCCCGCCCCCTGAGCGCAGCGCCCCGCCGTCCAGAACCGCGTCTGGTCGTGGCGAGCCCATGGACCGGGCAGGCTCGGGCCGCGGTGGTGACCGGGAGGCTGGGGACAACAACGGTCCTGCGCCGGAGCCGCTCAAGGCCACGGGCGCGCCGGGTAAGTATGTGCCCAAGTTCCGCAGGCAGGGTTAAGCCCTGGGAGGTATATGTGGGGAGAGGGGGCGAGGGAAGGATGAAAACATGAAATGGATGGAGTGGGGGTTTACGGATCATGCCATTTCCTTTCCGCTCGTTGACGAGAGATGTCTCACGCACGCACTACACACCGGAGTTTTTTCTCTTTGGGAACCGGGGGAGGGGGGCACTTCTTTCTCTCTTGTCCCACGCTGTCACTGGGCGTCGTTAGCATGTGTAGAGAGTAGCATCACGGCTGTCACGTTCTCGATTTGCGTTCCCGAGTTGAGCTCAGTCTTGGGGTGGTGGTGTGGAAGTTCACGATAATTGGGAAGCATGGTTGGGATGGACTGGCTGGGAGGCGGGTTGTTGAGAATGGAAAAGTGGATTCTTTCTACTGGATATGTTATGCATGCTTCCGTGACCTGACCTGCCTTGACCATGTTTACTCGGTTTGGAACTATGTTTGCCTTTGTATACTTGCTCAGAGAACGGTCCAGATGGGCTGGACCCGCAGAGAGGCATCAGCAGCTGAAAAGCTGCAGCGGGAGCGAGAGCTGCAGCGGAAGGAACAGTGCCGGCATAAGTAAAGTAAAAATAAACACAAAAAGGCCTCAAGAAGACAGGAGTGTGGAGAGAGAGGGAAGAAGCTTAGGGGCGCCCGGCATGTGTCTGCATGTGCCGGCTGTGACGGTAACGGCGAAGCTGACGGTGACGGTGACGGCGAGGAAGGGAGGCCAGACTGGGTGACCGGTGGGCGATTCGTTGCGAAGGGAAGGGATCGGCGCTCAAAGATCGGGCCCAGCCGGATCGACGGCAACTTCCCTGGGCTAGGGGGCGGATCGCTCGGGCGGTTTGTTTAGTCTCATCAGCTCTCGTCAATTAGAGTTTCCGTGGTGGAGTCGAGAGGGTGGAGAGGAGATCGAGATCTGGATCTGGGTGTTCACTCCGGCACATGTTGTGAAAGTGGTTCTCTTTTCTCAATTTCCCTTTTTCTTCGGATATAGGGCTTGGATGGTGGAGAGTTGGGTTGGGGGCTGGTCCTTGTCTTTTTCGGTTGGTTGCGAGGCCGTCCGTTTTGTTTTTCTTTTCTGGTTGTTGTTGTTTTGTTGCAGGGGTTCTCGAGAGCAGGGAAGGAGCTCTCTCTGTCAACTTAGCTGTCTTGTTGTCTCTCGATGCAACCCTAAGCTTCTTTCTTTTCTGTCTCGTGCCAAATAGGTGCAGCCCAAAGTGACAACAACCTGCAACTCAACCCAAAATGTAACGGGGCCGGCCTCACCTGATTTCAGCTGATTCTCGTTGGAATGTCGGTGGATATATTTGCTGCGTGTCTGACCAAAGAAGAAAAGCTCGTATGCTCGTCTGCACGGTCATGCGCCGCGGGGCTGCGGCTGGGGTACAGCTGCATCTGTGTGGTGAAGTGTTCTTGGGACGATGGAACCTCGGGGCAGGGGGTGGATGGGTGCGGCTGTCGTTGGTCACCGTCCAGGCTTGGTGGTGCGAGTCATGGAGCAAGCAGGTACGGGGAGGGAAGGAAGGGGAAGGCTTGCGACGGTCGGAGATCGGGGACTGAGATGAAGGAGGGGGTGGCTTGTGTGGAAGACTGTCATAGGTAGGGGCAAGGATAGGGATGGGAAGCTGCAAGATGGAGAGAATCTCACGAGAACTGCGGAGAAAACACTGCGGCCCTGGCCAGCTGATGAGCCTCGTTGGTTGCCGGCTTCTTTCGGCGGGTAACATCCATTCAGCCCTAGCGCCAATAGTCGAGACTCGGTATATGCAATGCAGGTGTATCGGGAGCCCAAACATTCTCCCCGCGAGTCGTGAGAGTGGAAACATCACGACAAGAAGAGGTCAGAGGTTTGTGCAACACAGTCCGACCGCCGCCTCAAGCGAGCCTGTTTGTGATGGAGACGCGTCTTCCCAAGGCCTCTGTTTTGTTGCAGTTTTCGAGTGCCACGGTCGCACCGATATCTTGCACAGTTACCTAATGGGAAATTGGGCGGCTGCATCTGGCAGAGTTACTGACTGGCACGCTGCAGGGTAATATCACGGCGTCGTAGCGAAACGCAAGAAGCATGTCGTCCTACCTGAGGGCAGGCCCGCAGGCTGGTCGACACGAGCGGGCGTAACGCGGCCTGCCAGCTTGCTGACAGAAGAGTAAAGGCAATAATCATGCAAACGGCCTCAATATTGTCTGCGCGCGCCTCCTCGTGGCCGCACTGGCTGCTGTCGTCTAAAAATAAGGGGCAAAAGCAAGCATCGGGGTGCCGAGGTGCCCGTCGCAAACCCGGGCTCTTGGGTCAAACACACAGGCGTCACTGTGTACACCCGCAGCAGGGACTGAGAGGAGCCGACAACTCGAGTACATACTTGTACATACATCACATACCATCCCAACCAAGGACGTTCCCTGGGAAGCTCCTCTTCCAGATGAGAACCGGGTATCGGCAAGATTCCACGTTTGAAGAAACAGGGCCGTCTGTGCAACATTCGGTAGAAAGGGAGAAAGACGGGTCCTAATATTTTGCGCCGTGATGAACCGACAGCGAGCAGGAGGCACAGTCAAGATGATTGTTGAGAAAGAAAAAGGAGACAAGTGACAGACCGGGAAATCGGGGTCCAAGCTGTGAGAAGGGCCCACCAGATCCGGCTGGGCGAGGGCCAGACCCCCAGGCCCTCGCCTGCGCTAGTGCAGGTACAGGACGATCCTCCAATGACAGAACGGTTACAGTCGTTCTCGCTTCCTGTTTTGGTTTGTGGGCGGGCCCTGCCGAGTTTGCCCAGCTTGATCGTTTTTCCTTCTCCATTTCATCTCCACTTGGACCCGATGCAACTGCACGCACCGAACGAATTCCCCGACTCCCGAGCTGAACTCCAAGGCGACGCCATCCATCTCCGAGCCATGGCTGCCAAATGGGCTGTGCTTGGTTCCACCACATGAGTAGCCTCGAAAGTGCGGTATGTGATCTGTGATCGGGGCTGCCGGAAAGCTAGGGTCATCCTAGTTTCGACTCGCTCATTTTTACTCAACTCATCGTGGACCTCGACGCCGACCTTCCATTGACGGGTGTCGCGGCACTTCAGAGCCCCATCTCCATGCAGTCGTCCGAGCACCTTGGCACTCGGCCGTCTACCAAAAACGGGTGTCGTGTGGACGCCGCCATGTCCCGGCATCGCCAGACTTGTCTGAAATCTGGGCCCACGGTTCTCTGCGTCGACGCAAATGAGTGCCCAGCCCCATCGGAGCATCCACTGGCATTGCCCAACCCTAGTCCAATAGTCTATGTATGTACTGCGTACGGCTGCTCCCTCATGGTGCGTGTGATGAATATGGATGCATAAAGACATCGAGTATCCCAGATTCTGGGACTCTCTTCTCTCCTTTCTCCAGGGTCCTCCGACACAAACAAGCGAAGATCTCAAGCTCTCTCCTTGTCGGTCCATTCGTTCACTATTACCCCAACCCCTCCCACTGTACTGTAGCCCCGGCTCCAGTCAGACATTCGTTCTCACTACCAACATGGCCGCCTTCAAGATGGCCGCCGCTATGGCGGCAGTGGCTCTGGTCGGACACGTCCAGGCCACCGAGGTTCCCCTGCCTCCCTGTCTCGACCCCTTCCAGCCCTTCGTCTACTCGGGCTGCTTCCAAGAGACGAGCAGCACACAACTCCTCCCCTACCGCAGCCTCGCCTCTTCCGATGACATGACCGTCGAGAAGTGCGTGGCCGAGTGCAAGGGCAACGGCTACCGCTACGCCGGTCTTGTCTACTATGGCGTGTGCTACTGTGGCCAGACTGTCAACGGACCCGAGGCCGAGGAGTCGCAGTGCAACCTCCCCTGCAACGGCAACCAGACCCAGACGTGCGGCGGCAACGGCATCTTCTCCGTCTACTCGGACCCCACCTTCGAGCCCATCGAGGACGTGACCATCGAGGATTACGACCACCTCGGCTGCTGGACTGACGACTCCAGCATGGGCCGCGCCCTGACCTACCGCCAGGACAAGGTCGACGGTGCCACCCTGACCACCGAGAAGTGTCTGCTGGCCTGCCGTGACGGCGGCTTCCCCTTTGCTGGTACCGAGTTTGGTGGTAAGTGATAGCAGTTGTGAACTTCTCCTGGCCCTCGGACTCATCTAACGTGTGGACAGGTGAATGCTACTGCGGTGTTGTGATCGGAAACGACACTTATGCCGCTCCCGCCAGCGAGTGTGACATCCCGTGCAACGGCAACTCGGCCCAGTCCTGCGGCGGCCGCGGACGCCTGAACCTGTACGTCGCCGATGAGCTGCAGTCGCTTGAGCCTTGCGGCTACGAGCCGCCCGTTTCGAGCAGCAGCACGCTGCCGCCGTCGTCGACTACCTCGTCAACTCCCTCGTCGACCGCCCCTCCCGAGACCTCCATCACCTCGACGAGCACCACCCCGATCACCTCGGCCACCACCACGAGCAGCTCCGCCTGCGTGAGCACCACCGTCGTGCCGCCCACCTGCGAGTACAAGTGCGGCAAGTGGTGCTCGTCGCCGCTGCCCGACTGGGATGATGTCAAGACTTGCAAGGCTGCGTGGTCCCACTGCGCTGTCCAGGTCGCCTCGTGCTTCAAGCACGCCGGCTGGCCCGAGGTGCTCAACTGCTTCGACTTTGGCGAGTGGTGTGCCGACGTCAACAAGTACTGCGACAGCAAGCCGCGCGGCGGCTGCCGCAAGGGTGACTTCTGGGGCAAGAAGCCTCCCAAGGGCGGCCACAACCCCCCCAAGACCGTCACCGTCACCACCACCTGCGCGCCCACCGCGACCGTGACCAAGCCGACAACCCCGACCTCCACCTCCACCCGGTGCCCCATCCCGACCCCGACCAACATCTGCATCCAGCCCAGCAACCTGCTCCTCGGGTACCGCCCTGGCAAGCCGGTGGGCGGCATCGAGATGCCGGTGGTGACGTGCAACGACCTGGGCGAGGACTGGCCGCACTACCCGTTCAAGCAGTACACGGACGTCGACACGCGCAAGTGCCACAAGTACCAGCGCAACAAGTGCCCGAGCGCCTGCGCCGACGCCTGCAAGGAGCAGTACGAGGACTGCGTCGACGTCTACGCCGAGGGCTGCCGCCGCAAGCCCAACAAGCCGCGCGACGCCAACTACTTCGACTTCCACAGCAGCGTCGAGAAGCGCACCTTTGGCTGGTTCGATAACTACTCGGGCGCCATCCTCAAGTGCAAGGCCCAGTACAGCGACTGCCTGCGCACCAACAGGCACGTCACCGGCGCCGGGAAGTGCCCCCGTTATGGGGGGTGGTAGATGCTGATTATTGGGGGGGGGTTATGAGTGGAATGATGGGAGGTAAAAAGGGGGGAGGGATTGATGGGAATGGATTGATGAAAACATAGCTTCTTACGCTCCTTAGCATACCCGTAAATATTAATACTTAGTATCTGTACTTATTATCTCGTTCCTGGCGTGTCCGACATCCGTTCTATGTAAGAAACAGTACTATGAGCCGCATTTGATTTTGTCACGTATTATTCCCAAATTCACCTCACCTCGCCCGTTCCCTTTGACGTTTACCGCGCGTAGTCCGATGGGGACGAGTACACCACCCCATCCTCAAGCCCGATGCTTTCTCCGTTTAATTCAGCATCGTCATTAACAATCTGCTCCTAGCTCAACCATTGCTCGATCAGGAGCCTAAGGGACCCAAGGAACACCCCTCCACCCCTGCTTTCTAGAGTAGAAAAGGGAAACAAAAGCAACTGCAAGCGTCCCTCCACCTCGTTCAACTCCTCCCTACGCGACCCCCAATCAACCGCAGCGAAGCAACCTTCCGTCGTTCCACCCTCGACCCAACCAGGCCACCCGCCCCTGACACGCAAACCAGAGGCAGCATCGGCCGCCATCCGGCTACCGATCTGTCCCCCTCTCTACTTCCTAACCACACCGCCTTCAGCATCCCAGCCTACCTACCACCACCCACCCACCGATCTTTCTCCTACCTCCATCTCAGCGCCCCCCCGCTCACCGACGACCGGCCGCGCCATCCATCCCACCCACGCCCCTGGGAAATCAACCCCTCCCAAACCGGCCCAAGCAAGTCGCAATACACGGGAAGGGGACAGGGGAAAAAAGAGGTGGGCATTCACGGTCACGATGCACGATGCCCACCCACACACCAAGCCACCGCACGCCCGGAACGGAAGCCGGTAGTTTGCGGTGCCTGCCCGGGGGGCACGGGGGGTTAGCTGGTCGACTGACTGGATCATCCTTCCTGTTGGCGACACGGGGCGGCCGGTTAGGGAGCGCCCCCCCCCCCCTCTTCTTCGCATTCAGGGACCGGCGGGAGGGGTAGGGGTATGGTGTGGCAGGGCAGGGCCGGTCGCGGCCCCCCCTTTGGCGGCGGTGGGGGAGGCGCGGGCAGTTTTGAGTGTGGGTGGCAAGAGCGAGGCGGGTACAATGTTCTCTGGGGGGTTGGTGGGAGCGGCGGAGAAGGGGTGAGGGCCGACGGGGGCAGGAGGGTTGCGAGGGGTAGGGGCGGGGCGGGGCGGCGCGCTTTCTTGGCTGGGTGAGAGTGGGTTTTTGTTGTTCCTGTTTGTGCTCTTGCTGCTTGCTGGGGCGCGGTTGGGGATGGTGGGACTCGGCGAGGGGGTAGATGGCGCGGCCGAGGGGATTGGGGAGCCAGGTGAATGTGGGAGAGGCTCGGCGTTAGGTCTGGAGGGCGAGGTGGGCGGGGAGGCGGAGGGTATTCTGGCGCGAAGGAATGGAGGGTCCTAGGAAAGAAAGGAGACGGAGCGCTCTAGGGAAAGATAGGAGACGGAGGGTTCTAGGAAAGGATGGGAGACGGAGAGTTCTGGGGAAAGAAGGGGATGGAAAGGCGCGTTGTGGTTTTGGTCGAGCCAAACGTTTGTTCGAGGGAGAGATCGGTGAAGGAACACAGTTCTAGTATAATGGGAAGATACCTAACTAGCGTGGGGGAACCGGAGGCAAGGGAGGGGACGTTGCCCGTAGAGAAAGGAGGTCTTGTACGAGGCTAGCTTGTATGGTGATAAAGCACCCACCCTTCTTGGCTGGGTATTGTAGAAAACGCAGCGCCGAATCGAACGAAACTACCTGATTGGGAAATGGTTATGTCAAGCATTGTCAAACATGGGACGGAATGTGTCTGCTGCCTGGGTAAGTGGCCGAGCGGACGAGATATACTGGACAAACCACAGTAACCTACCTCGGATTGTCGAGAATTGACACGGGGATACGAGTAAAATATTCGCTATGGCTACCTAGGTTTACGGAGAAGCAGAAATGGAAAGAAAAAGAAGAAGAAGAAAAAAGGCAAACCGAGGAAGGAAAGAGGACGGACGGTAAACACACGAGGACCAGCCAGACCAAGCGAGGAATCAGACCCCGAAACCAAGATAGAGTATTCACAAAAAAAGGAGTTGGTATCAGTCGGTAAACAAAAGGATGGGCGACCCCGGAATCGAACCGGGGTTTCTTCGGTTTTGTATGTGGGACAAGCCACAACGAAACGTCCTGACCACTAGACTAGTCACCCTGTGTTTGTTGGATGCTGACTTTTGGCGGAATTTGATGGTTTTGTGTGGGCTTGAAAGTGGGTGTGAGTGGGTGTGAGTGGGTTGTATGCAGTTCAACTCCGCTTGGCGGTGGGTTGTTGACCCCCTTGCTTGACCTGCATGAGCCGGCATTTCGGGTGGCTAAGCAGATGTGGCAGTGGTCGAGAGCCGTGGTGGCATTATCACTGTGTATATACTCAAGCACCACGGAATGGGACTCGTTGATATGCAGGATTCGGGCTATGGGCGGCTATGTGGTATTCCATTTATCCCATCACCACTCGGTGATTCTCACCCTCCGCCTGCCAGAGCTACGCTGTCCTCGTCCATGCGCACTCGAATTCCAGTTTGATCCCAATGCCCGACTGGAGACGGCATGTAGTAAACTCGGCAGGCCCTCCTAGGAAGGGTTGAATAAAATGGTATAGCTCCCTTCCATCGTGGAATTGCCTCCGTTCCCCCCAAAACAAGTAATATACCCCAACGCCCGCGCTAATGCAATTATGGTTTTCTTTGTCTTTCCTAACACACAACCAGCTCATTGAAGGAGCTCCTCACAAGTCCAGTCCTCGTAGCTATTATCAACGGGTTAGTGGCCGACTCGAAAGACAGCGGCCAAGAGCTGCACTTACTATCCATCCGGCAGGTATCGACGGACGATGAGGGGAATCTTCTTCTCCCTCAGTTCCTTGATGGCGATCTGCAGTGGATCCGTCTCACCCTCGAGGTCGACCAATACGGGCGCGTTCATGCTGTAATTTCAATCAACACACTGGCCCCCTTCCCCCTCCTCCTCCACGCGACGTAAAACCCACCTGATTTGCAACGCTCTGGTCCCCAGGATGCGCGCCTTCTCGTACTTGGTCATGAAGGGCGTGGTCGTTCGCTGGTCGTTGGGGATCTTCTTGTCCTTGTGCGACTTGTCGTTACCCTTGCCGTGATTAGCGGCCGCGTTGGGGTCGCCCGACGCGACGACGTGGTCGGTATCCTGGTTCTCGCCCTCAAGCTCCGGGGCGCGTGCAGCATCGTCCTCCTCCGCCGCTTCCGGCTCTGGCTCGTAGTACTCATCGGGGTCTTCGTCAAACGCGGGCTCGTCGTTGCTGGGGAGAGAAAGAGAGGTTAGAGGGGTCCAACGTGGTGGCACGGCAATCTGATCCGCTTACAGAGGCTCGCGATCATCATCACCACCGCCGTAGTCGGACATTATGATGGATTATGATAGGTTTGCGAAAAAGAATTGGAATGGTGAGAGATGGATGAAGACGCGCTGAGTCGGGGCGAGTTACAATGCCGAGGAAGGTGCTTTGTCTGATGAAAAGAGCGGCTGCAAATGGCAAGAGAGCGGCCGATGGAGGGACTGTGAAAAATTTGAGTGGGGCGCCTCTCTCCAATTCGAGCGAGGCTGAAAGATTAAAGCAGCCTTGCAGGGGAGTGCGTTTAGCACAATTGCCTGCCGGGAACTCGACGCACACCCACAAAAAAGTTGGGGAATTTCGAACTTCAAACTCGAACTGCAATTGCAACTTCCACAACTGCTTATGCTTACATAGGTAGTAATGCACAGCTCTCGCTCTGGCTGATGCTCCCCTCCCGCCAGAGCCATGAAGAGGAAAGCAACTGCCGAGGGTGGAGTGCCATCCGGCCAATTTAAACGGCTGCATATCCAATCACCCCAGGGAAACGATACCGAGTTCCTTCCTCCAGCATCAACCGATTCTACCTCGAGTCAGGATGACCACGATGACCAAGACCACGACAACGACCATGACAATGACAACACGACCACCTCATCCGACAACCACCAGCCCCTCACCCCGACAGCAACCTCCATCCCCAGCACCCCCTCCCGGCGCGCCCGCAAGTTCCCCTCCGACCTCAAGACCATCCCGTGCACCTACCCGGGCTGCCCCAAGACCTTCAACCGGCCCGCCCGCCTCGCCGCCCACCTGCGGTCCCACACCAACGACCGGCCGCACCGGTGCGGGTACGAGGGGTGCGGCAAGACGTACATGGAGGAGAAGCACCTGGCGCAGCACATCAAGGGCTCGCACACGCACGAGAAGAAGTACGCGTGCGCCGAGCCCGGGTGCGGCAAGTCCTTCGTGACGGCTACCCGCCTGCGCCGCCACGCCGCCGTCCACGAGGGCGCCGAGCGGTTTCGCTGCCGCGGCTACGACGGCTGCGCCCTCAGCTTCCGCAAGCACCAGACCCTCCAGCGCCATGTTCGTGTTGCTCACCTCGGTGCGGCCGCGTTTGTGTGCTCGGCGGCGGAGGACTGTGAGGCCGGGTTTGATACTGCTGGGGCTTTGCGCAGGCATGTCGAGCGGGAGCATGGGGAGGTGCGGTTTTGGTGTGAGGAGTGTGGGAATGAGGAGGATGGGGATGGCCGCAGGGTTGGCTTTAGGACCCTGCTGATGCTGCAGGCGCACATGCGCAAGGAGCATGTCAATTGTGTGTTTTGTGATGTCAAGTGCGGGAGCCAGGCCGAGCTCGAGAGGCATGTGGATATGTACCACTCCGGCACGACGGTGGAGGACAGAAAAACGGTCGAGTGTCCGTGGGAGGGGTGCGGGAAGAAGTTTACCAGGGTGCCGAACCTGAACACGCACATCCGGACGGCGCACGAGGGACTGCGGTTCGTCTGCGGGCAGGTGGATACGTACCAGGTCGAGGACATTGCCGATTGGAACTGGCAGGAGGAAGGGTGCGGGCAGGGCTTCATCAGCAAACTGAAACTGGAGGAGCACGTACGCTATGTGCACTTAGGCAGGAAGCGACCGCCCAAGCTGTACACGGTCAAGTCGGCGCTGCCGGGCGAGGATGACGAAATGTCTGCCGCCTTACCCACGCGGACCATCCCCTGCTCCGCCGAAGGGTGCGATGCCATGTTTATTCGGCATGCCGACCTGGACAAGCACCTGCGGAAGCATCACCCCGAGCCGGAAGGGGATGCTATCGACCCGCGCCTGCAGGAGGCAGGTGGGAACGGCGAGCCGTTCTGGGTTGAGTCGGTCATCCCTGCTGTGGCCGAGCCGAGTTTTGATGCGGAGTGGGCTGAGATGCGCAGGCTGATCGATTTGGACGCGCTGGTCGACGCGAAGGAGTAGGGTTAAAAGCGCTGTTTTTGGGATGCATGGCTATGCAGGAGTACATATACCCTTTGCTGATTTTGTTGTCATGATGTTTACGAGGGTGGGTTTTGAAGAAAATGTGGGAAAGCTGGAAGTCAAAAGCAACGCTACTATGTTTCGCTATAGAAGAGGCAGAACGCCGTATATCAATACAGATGAGACCTTTATTGTCCAAACCTTTCCTCACCAAGACCTCACCAACCAAGACGATCCCATCCGACAACTCCATCCCAGAACAACCGCCATCCCACCCACCATCTAAACCATCAAACCCCTACGCCCTCCGATCCACCCCTTAATAACGCCCTCAAACCCCCGGAGGCTTAATACCCCCCGGACGACCCCCTCCCTCCAAACCCAAGCCAAGCCCACGGCCCATCCCACCCCCCTCCGCCACCACCACCAGCACCACCCACACCATTACCACCACCTCCGCCGCTACCAACCCCGCCCCCGCCCGGCCACCGCCCGCACCACGCACACCCGGGGCAGTACCCGATCGCCTGCACCGTCTGGGAGTGCCGCGCCGCGACCGTTTGCATTTGCCGGCGGAGGGCGGCCGCGCGGAGGCGGGTGCGGTACTGCTGGAGCTGGAGGTGGAGGTCTTGGGCGTGGAGGGCTTGTGGGGAGGGGTGGGGGTTTGCTGCTGCGAAGAAGGGGTGGGGAGCTGTTGGTGGGTGTGCTGCTGATGGGTGAGGGTTGGTTAATGGGTGGGGGTTTGGTAAGGCGTTTGGGAGGATGGGGCGGGGGTGGGTGTGGTTGGGGTTGAAAGGGGAGAGGGGGGAGATTGAAGGGGTGGTGTGGTTGAGGGTGTTGAAGGGGTCGAGGGGGTTGGCCGAGTGACGTGGGGCGATGAGGTGGTTGAAATTGACGTTGCTAATGGGGTTGGCGGTGTGGTTGTTGAAGGAAACTCTGTGGGGGGGTTGGCGGGGAGGAAAGGGGTCAAAGAGTTGAAAATCGGGGAGCGGCGCGATGGGGTCCTGCCTCGGTCGACTGGTGAGAATGAGTAACTCCCTTATATCATCGAACCCCGACCCTGTGTTGCTGGCACCCGCGGCGGGGGAGGCGTAGTTTATGAGCTCGCCGAAGTCGAAGTCATCATCCAGGTACCCGAATTCGTCCTCCCTTTCGGTGTTTCCGCGCTCCTCATGGCCACTGTTCCCCGCCTCCGCATTATCACCCTCGCCCCCTTCGCCGTCTCCGTCCTCGCCATTTCCATCGCCGTCTTCTTGCGCGTCAGCCCACAACTCTTCATCGGATGAGTCTGATTCCGAGTCGATATCCGACTCAGGGGCAGGGGTGGGAGCGGGATAGGGGCGAGGCCTGTTCTCGGGGTAGCTCCTTGGCTCGGCGGTGCTGTCTTCGGTCCCTGTTGCCGCTTCGGGGGTACGCTCCTTTTTGGACGGCGGGCGGTGGTCGGGGAGGCTTCTCGATCCGGATGGCTGGGGGCTGCTAGGGGTCATGGCCTATCACCAGGGTAGTGGTCAGAATATTGGCTTTGTTATAAGATACAATTGATGCAGGTGCTTACTTTGCCGGCGTTGGAAGACATGATGGATTGCAGAATATGTTTGATAGCTGTTCGGATAGCTATGGGGGATGAAAACTGACCGTTTGTTATCCAAGAGCATCAACATGGCCCTTTATATAATTTCAATACTCGCTACATACCTAGTCATTATTTCTCAGGCGTACACACCAAACACCTTGTGCTCGCTGAAACACCAACGGATAATAGACAAAATGTTACATAAATGCGAGTCATCATCTTTTGGAGCGCGGCTTACAGCACACATTAACTAGGATAACCACGTCACGGGTGAGTAAACATTTCAGACAAGAGGATGGCATCGCCCTGCTGTTTATTTGCTACCACCATCTACACACGGCCTAACCCAACTCTCATACAGCTATTGTTACAGTTCCACCACCGCCCTGGCCAACTAACAACTCTCTCGGAGACAAGGAGAAGGCTCCTGCTCATGACCCAGGTCCTACCGAGCACAACCCCCCTTTTACACCCCGGATATACCGTCGAAACGGTTGGGTGCGGCCCCTAGTTGGCCGTGTCCCCCTCGTGATACGGCGCACTCCCCATTGTCCGGGCCCCATCCCAATGCAGCGGGAATGGCATGGGGACGGTCCCATGGCCAGAGCGTGTTTCCATGGAAGTGACTCTGACGTTTGGAAGTTGTTGAATGCACTCCCACACCGACCAATGACTCCAACCAGGCTCATCGTCCGACCCCAACAGACAATCACAGTTTACTCTCCCTCTCATCCTCCACCAGCGCCCCGCTCATCATATACATCTCCTCCTGCTGCTGCTGCTGCTGTGGCGGCGGCCCCCCGCCAACCGCCCTCCCAAACAAAACGGCCTCCCGCCCACCCTTAGTCCCCCACCACGCAGCCGCAATAGCCGCCCTCTCGACATCCATCTCCCCGCTGACCAACACCTCCCAAAACCGCCTCCTCGCCGCCTCCTTCAACCGTTCCCCAACCACCTCATTGACCGCGCCCGCCACAAGCCCCATCCACTCCTCAAAGATGCCCACCCGCAAAAACGGCAGCGCATCCACCAGCGTCAGCACCAGCGCGCTCTGCTCCGACATCTCCTGTCCCTCCTCAACCCCACCAACCCCCACCCCCCCTTCACCCGGCGACAGCGGCAGCGGCACCCTCCCCGCCCCCCCCACCCTAAAACGCACCATCTCCAGCAGCACGTCCGCCAGGGCGGCCTGGTCCCACGAGACGGCAAAGGGCGGGCTGAGGATCTGGACGAGGGTGCGGAAGGCGAGGCGGAACTGGCGCGGGGAGATGTGGGCGGGGAAGGAGGCGAAGAGGGTCTCGGCGTAGAAGGGCACGAGGCGGGCGGTCAGGGGCGCGTTGTGCGGGCAGGCCAGGCAGGCGAGCACGGCGCTGTGGGCGGCTTCGAAGAGCTGGATCATGCGTGGGGATAGGGGGGTGGTGGTGGTGGTCGTGGTGTTGTTGTTGTTGTTGTTGCTGGAGGGGAAGGGGGAGGACGAGGGAGGGGGGTTGAGGTAGGCTGTGGCGGGCTGGATTATTAGGGCTTCGCAGTCTGGTGGGGAGAGGAGTAAGGGGAGGTGTTCGGCTGTGTTGAGGTAGAAGAGGTCGAGGGTGCGGTGGAGGGGGTGAGGGGGGATGGCTGATTGGGGGGATAGGATGGAGCGGAGGAAGGAGGCCGAGGCGGGGCCGTAGCGAGAGAGGGTGTCGAGGGAGGTGAGGTAGGTGAAGGCGTAGACTTGGAAGGCGTCGCTGCCGTTGCGCGAGGAGATGAAGTAGAGGTTGCGGAGGGTATGGAGGGTCTTGGTGGCGATGGTCGGGGCGACGGTGTGGTGCTTGAGGCGGTGATCGAGGAGGCTGCGGGTGACGATGGATTGTAGGACGGCCACGACGGCGTACATGGTCTTTTTGAGGAACTGCCAGAGGGCGATCCAAGTGGTCTCGAGTGTCTCGGGTGTGAGGAAGACGCTTTCTTCTGAGATTTCGAGCTCGGAGAGTTTACCGGTCTGCCAGTGCTGTAGCAGCCTCGCGGTAAATGCCACCAAGTCGTCTTGTAACTGCATTACCACGTCGGAGTCGCGTGCGAATTGTACGGCATGGGCGAGCAACGTGGAGAGCGGTCCCAGGCCGGAGATGAGCGGCCGCTGTTCGAGCTGCTGCAGGTGTAGATATGACGGTGAGTTCTCGAGCCACATAAACTTCTGCTCCGCCTGCCGCACGTCCTGATCGATGGATGCGAGGACCACGCCGTCTTGTAGGCCATCCCCGCCAAGCATCGCCCGGGCTGCGACGGGAACGAGCGCATCGCAGTTTAGGCCGGCGCGTGCCGAGTCGGACAGCAGCGGAAAGGCGTAGTTGAGGGCCAGAGCCACAGGACCGGACGGGGCTGGGGGTTCGGGTTCCCTGCTTTGTACGGCAAGGTTCGTGGCAGTGACGACGGCTAGCTCGACTGTGTTGCGCATGCCGCTGCTGAGGGAGTACCGGTGATTGCCCTCCATGCCCATCAGCACGCCGCTGAAGACGAGCAAATGTTGCCATCGCCCCGACTGGTCGTCGGCGCCCTTGAGGATTGCTGCCGTCCAGGCATTGCTACTCAGATCGCCGCCACTCCGCTGTTGTTGTAGTTGATGTTGTTGCTGTCCCTTCTTCTTGCCTTTCTCGAGCTCGTTGCGGCGCACGTGGATAGCGGCGGTGTTGAAGATGCTGATGATGCGGTAGCATGTGCGCATGCCATCACGGCGACCCCATATCGCGGGCGCAATGAGGAGTTGCGATGTGAGCAAGGAGAGGTTCAGCGGGTTCGAGAGGTTCGTGAGGAGGAGGGCGGTTGACCCGAAGATCTGCTCGGTGCGGGCGTCATCGTGCACATCCTGGTACGATTGTAGCACCGTCGTGAGGAGGCGATCGATCGACATGGTGGGTGGTGGTGATGTTTGTAGCCGCGTTTATGTCATTGAATTCGGGGCCGGATCTCGGCGTGTTGTGTTCAGTTGTTGTCGTTGTCGTTGTCGGGTTTGGGAGGCAGCTGAAGGGAACCACTAACAGCACCGACCTCAATTCGGCATTGGGGAGCCGAGGCATGTCTGCTATGGAAGCGATGGATGCTGGATGCAGGTACCCGGGACTTTGCCTTAACCGGGGTCAGCCAAGATTCTTCTTGGCTCGACACATGCATTTCAACACGGCGCCTGCTTGGCATCTGCCAGGCCCCCGAAGTCCCGAACATTGAATTGTTACGCAGTAGGGTGGGTAACAGTAGCAACAACAATAAGGCCGCCCCGGCACCGCGCCTGAGGTATTGTAACGACCATGGATAGTCCTTCGTATGTGCCATCCCATCTTTTTACAGTCGAAATCCAATTGCTGACCGATATGCAGCCGGGTCCGGCGCAACACGCCCGCCGAATACACGGTGCCTCCATTCCCGTCGCTCTTCTGGCCGCCACAAGCCGCGAGCGTCATTCTTTACGAGCTGGACGAGATGTGGAAGTTTACCCTCTTCTGGACCATCATCCTCTACGGCCTCTTCCACCTAGGCGCGGTCGGGGTGGCCGTGTTGATGCAGGGCGGCAAGCGGATGTCCAGCTGGAAGTACCTCTGGCTAGTGCCTCTGATCTACGCCTTTATTGCCGGCGCTGAGGCCCTGATCGCGGGGACTCTCGTGGGCTTGATGTCGGTGTTCCCCTCACCACCCGTCTCTGCCAAACCCGCCCCGAGCCCGTTCGTGCTGACTGTGCAACAGAGTTGGTGGTAGCTACCTCGTCGGGGGCTTCTTCATGTCGACCTGGATCCCCTTTGTCTGGGGCTGGGTCAACGTGCTGGTGCTCATCGTGTCCTCGTTCAGGATCCAAGGCGGCCTGTAGCCAGCACAACCATTGCATGCCGGATGCAAGATGCTCGACTTTTTCCACTTCCGTTGGAGAAACGGAGAAGTCGATCTTGTGATGGGATTGGTTCATCGAAGCTGGTCAATCCCGGCAGTCCAACAACGGCAGACGCGAATCGCGCAAACCCGGTGCTCGCGTGTCATTACGGGCAGTTGTGTCAGGTACCTCCAGTTGTGGCCCCAGTGCCCACACCCCTGCCCCGCCACGTGGGTCAGCAGCTTTGAGAGTGCTGCATCCACTAAAACATTGACCGCGAACTGGCCGCGCGCATTGAGCAAACAACAAACTCCGGACTTTCTTGCCCAAGGACTCGCCGACACCCTTGCAGCCCCAAAGAACAAACCGGTTCAGCAATCTCAGCTCAATTCCGCACAATACTTAGGCACAATCCCTAGGGCGGACAATCGGCATGACATAGCAAAAGAGACGGGCGAGTCTTTGTTGAGCCCGACTACCGAAATAGGTCGGCAGCACTATCGAGGTCATCGGTCCCGTCCCTTTTAGACACTGTAGGTACTTCGTACCAGGGGCCGTTTCGATAATGGACGGCGCATCTCGTCGACGGCCCTGGGAGACCGACAGGTAAGCGCAAATAATACCCTTGCAGTCCGACCCCCTTTCCCGCATTCCCATCCTCCTCGGCCCTCCACATCTTGGATCGCCCATTGCCATGTCGAAAACCACTACTTCAGCCATCGAGCGTGGGAGCATCGACGAGCAGGCCCCTCCCTGGGCCACCCACTGCACCCTTACCGCAGCAACTCCCGATATTCACCGTCACCACTACTCCGCCTCTACCTCGACCAGCGTCAGCCCGCCGAGCCGTAGCTCACTCGATCTCGACAGCACTATGCCCACCAATACAGACACCGAGAACGAAAAAGAGCCCACCGACGCTGACAAGAACCCTTTAAACAGCCCATCCCCGTCGCCCTACAGCGAAAATGAAAACGAACGAGAAGAAGCCGAAGACGACCCGATCCTCCCCTACCTTCCGCACGAACACAAATCCCTGGCCGGTATTGCCGTCCGTTCCTTCGCCCTCGGCATCGCACTCGCCGCCGGCCTGATCGCTACTTTTACCATCCTCCTCGCGACATCTTCACCGCTGTGGCGCCTCCCCTTCTTCGCCGCCGCCCTCGCCCTCTTCCACTTCCTCGAGTTTTGGACCACCGCCACCTACAACACCCGCGCCGCCGAGATCGCCTCCTTCCTGCTCACCTCCAACTGGCCCGCCTACGCCATTGCCCACACCGTCGCCGCCCTAGAATGCCTCGTCGTACATACCCTATGGCCCGGCGCGAGCTGGACGCCTCTCGGCCCCGGGTTCGGCCGGGCCGCGGCAGCTACGGGGCTGGCGCTGGTGGTCGTGGGCCAGGCGGTGCGCAGCGTGGCCATGATCCACGCCGGGCGGAGCTTCAACCACCTGGTGCAGAACCGCCGGCGCGAGGACCACGTGCTGGTCACCAGCGGCGTGTACGGGGTGCTCCGGCATCCGAGCTACTTTGGCTTCTTCTGGTGGGCCCTCGGCACCCAGATGGTCATGGGAAACGTGGTCAGCTTCGTCGGGTATGCGGTGGTGCTGTGGCGCTTCTTTAGCAGCCGTATCCGGCATGAGGAGGCCTATCTGGTGGCGTTTTTCGGGAGCGAGTATGTGGATTATAGGAGGAGGGTCCGGACCAGGATTCCGTTCGTGCCGTAGCGGCGTTGTACAACTAGAGATACCGGATATTAAGTGGGAAATGGGTGGGAAATTTATGGTATAGACGGGAGAGGAAAAGTACCAGGGGACGGTATGGATTGTATTATATTATATATTGTGTCCCCCGGATGTGTTCGTGGCTTGTCATTCGGCGTTCTTGCTACATAGCAAAATCAAGCAAAAATCAAACCGACTTCCATCTATCTAATAAATGACGCCGCACCGTTCCAGATAACCCGGCCGTATAAAAAGAAACCACTTTTATTGTCCCAGTGACCCATCCCATCCCATCCCATTTTATCCCATCCCAACGCTACCACAAACCAACCAACCAACCAACCAGACAGACCGACAGAAGCCATTCCCATTCCCATTCCCATCCGCATCCCCCGAACACAAACACAAACGCAAAAACGCATCATCAAACAACCACAGGACACGTCCCCGGCTGCGCCAGCGGCACCTTGCTGACGCTGCCGTACTTGGCCTGCCACGCGTAAAAGTACATGAGCGCCGCGAACGGCTGCCCGAAGATGGTGAAGGACACCCAGAAGATGGTGTTGCCCACCAGCCGGCCGTGCGCCGTCTTGCGCCGGCCGAGGCGCGCCGTCAGTGCGATGAGGGGCAGTTGCAGGAACATGCCGAGGAAGGCGACTCCTGGAAGTGGGTGGTGTGTGAGTATGGGTGGGTGTGGGGTGGGGGATAAAAGGGGGAAAGTGCGGGGGGGGGGGAGGTTACCGATGATGTTGTGCGTGGGCACGCCGACCAGTAGCTCGTGCAGCACGGCTGAGAGCAGGAAGACGGCTAGGCTGGCTGACAGGTGGCTCCAGCCGCGGGAGCGCATGGGTGAGTAGACGTGCCGCCGGAAGAACTGGTACACGGGCTTGTTCCACGTGCGCCAGTACGCCCCGAGGCTCTCGCTGTTCCCTATTTCGCCGCGAGTTAGATATTGGGTACTTATATAGGAGAGGGAAGTAGAGAGAGCGGGGGACATACACCAGGCCTCGTAGAATTCGCGGTCCCCAAACCGCATCACCTCGGCCAAAGCATTCAAGAAGCTTTGGAAGAGCGCAAAGAAGCCGGCCAGCCAGATGACCAACGAAATAGTCGACAGTTTCAACAGGCGCTCGACGATGGACATGTAATCGAGGGTAGCGATCTTGTCGAGCGAGTTGCGCAGCACCGGGGTGGCATACTGGGCGCTGGCGAACCAGATGAAGGCGCCCAGGCAGACGACCTCGCCGAGGCGCTTGGCCACGAAGACCCAGCGGACGCGGGCGGTGCGCGGGTACGCCGGCTGGTAGACCAGCGTGGGCGCCCACCAGAAGTAGGTCAGGTTGGAGAAGGTCACGTTGGCCGGGTAGGGGCACTGCGCGTAGATCTCGGGCAGCGCCGCCAGCTCGCCCCGCACCGGGTGCAGGTAGGCGTGCCGCAGGTCGCGGTTGGTGAGCGCGTACGACGCCGTCTTGAGCCACACGATGATGGCGTGCAGCTCGGCGAGCGTGCCGATGAGCGGGTGGTGGATGTAGTAGTAGACGACGTACGACGTCACGGCCAGGGCGGCCGTGATGTTGACGGCGTGGAGGATGCGGAGGATCCGCCAGCTGTGTAGGAACTGCTTGGACTCGTCCTCGGTCGGGCTGGTGCTGCCATCCCGCCTCTTGGACTTGGCCCGGGAGTTACGGGCATCAGCGGCGGCGACTAGCTCGATGAAATAGGCGAGCATAAGGTGCCATGGGATGAGAATGTACAGGAGGAGCCCTAGGCGCACATCGTTGGGGCGGAAGTCGTGGCATTTGATACAGATCAGAACCCCATACTGTAACGGACGTCAGTTGCCGCCTATTCATTTCACCATCTTATCTGGTGAGCAATGAGGGGGGAAATAGGAGATAGTGTATGCCAACCTTTTGGATGTTCTCGATGACCAGGCGGAGATTGGCAGCAACTAATGGTCGATTGATGTTAATGGAGATAGTTCAACTTCATCACGGTGACAGAATCATCTTCGATAACATACCTAGCACAATCACCATGAGATTCCTGAACCCGATGAAGCTTGGGGTCTCGGTGGTGTCGTGGCTAAGACAGGACGGCTTCGATTCGGAATGGACGGCCTCGACATGACGGTACTTGTTGCGGAACGCTTTGCGCAATGCGAAGACGTCCACTGAGCCATCAGCGGTCCCATTCATGATACCATTTGCAGAGCCGTTGGCGAGTGTATCTGACGGTGTGGTGGTGGTCGTCTCATGAGTTGGAGCTGTAGCTGTAGCTGTAGCGTGGGGGTTGTGACTGGGGCTGACAGGGGCCCTGTTGGTTGTGACGCCATTGACTTTGGAATCCTCAAAGCTCGTCGACGTTGCCATTGATGTACTCGTTTCCGTCTTCATTTTGGCAGGACAGCACTGTCGAGGGTCATGGGGGATAAAGTGACGATGGCCGAGGCTTTTCTCGTCCGATATTTACATTTGCACTTAGAAAGGAACAAATCGAGATGGTGGCGATAGATAAAAAGGTCCAAGAGCCTGTTGAAGGAAGATACGCCGGATGCAACACTGGGCCGCGGCGCCGAGGGGGCACCCCACTCGGACCGGCCGAGATGAACAGAAGATTCGTCACCATATCTGCGGAATGATTTTGGCTCTCATAAGTCTCAGCGATGAGAGCAGGCTGCAATGCATGGTGGCATGGTGGCATGGTGTGTAAAATAAACCGGGAAGACTATTCTACCTGCAAACATTCGATGTTTCCGGGCACACCTCTCTTGAGAGCGAGGAATGCAGATCCCAGTTGGAGGTTTCAGAGTTCCAGAACGCCACTGCAGTGGGAGAGAGACGAATTCAGGGCTTGGCGAAGCACATGTCGGATTTCGTGACGAACAAGGGTACCGAACGAGCGAATTCAAAAGACCCATGCATTTTTGTCATTTATGCCTAGGATCTCGAATATCGTAGAAAAAACTAATGACAAAAAGTGGAAAAGTTACAAGAAGAAATTGCAATAAAAGAGGCCGGGGGAGGGTCGGAAAGGGAAGAAGAACTCAGTTGAAGGGGAATGATAAAACAGGCACAAATGCAACACAAAGAGGTTCAGAACACCGCACGGCTCGGGTCATGCACCCTTGCTCCCGCAGTTACTGTGTACCGAGTGACATGTTTATGCACGGACCACATCACTCTGTTTGATTGAAGCTCGGGCTTGGAAATTCACGGCCGACTGGCCAGACATGGACCCAGACCAATCCCAACAAAGAGCGGGTTCGCGATTGAGGAAAGAGTCGGATATACCAACAACAACCTACATTCACCCTACCATCTCGTGCAGCCGCTGGTATTTTGGCCGACATTCACATCATAGGATCACCCACAGGATAATCATCATCATTAAAATCGCGTTTTGGGGTGCTCGAGACAGGGATCTATGCAAGAGAAGTGAGAGCACCAACTGCCCACTTCTGGTCTTGAAGTGTTGGTTGCTTGCTTCTTCATCATGGCATACGAAGGACGGGATCACGGCGATAAAGGATTTGGGTTTGGTGGTGGTGGTGGAGGAGGAGGAGGAGGAGGAGGACACGATGGACCGCCGCCGAGAGCCCGGGGTAGGCGTAAGTTCACCATTTCCTTCATGTCTGATCGCTGCAGTGCGAGAGGGAGCGCCGAGTGAGAATGACTCTCATCAAGGAACGCGTTTTTGAGGGGCAACTCTTTCTTCTATCACTTGGGTTTATTACGCACCTCTCGACACATTACCTCTAGCAACTGGGAGTGGCTGGTTCTCACAACCACAAACCATCCCGTTTCTCCTCCAAGTCCCCCAACATCACCATTGACGACTTGTTTGGCATGCTGCAACCAAAAATGGCCGCTACGCACTCTCTAGACTGCCCGCGCAGGCCTCAAGATGAAGACGGGAAAAAGCTAACAGTATCTTGGAAAGGCCCTGTCACCGATTATGGCGCTACCGTTGTCCACTGGATGCGAAATCGCCAACCGCGTTACAAAGGGTCATTTACCGGCGAGGTCGAGAGACCGAGTAACAGCTACATAGTTGACGTGAGTATCCCGGTTTTTAGCAGCAAAGACGTCGACTTATTCCATGTATAGATGCTGCCTCCTCATGCGAGGACAACAAGCCCGGCCGATTCGGTACCTACACGCCACCTGCACTCGTCACTCAACAAGATCAAGCACCCCATCAATGTAGTACGATGGACGCCGGAAGGCAGGAGACTGTTGACGGCGTCTAGCAGTGGGGAGTTTACCCTCTGGAACGGCACCGGCTTCAACTTTGAAACCATCATGCAGGCCCACGACTCGGCCATCCGTGCCTTGGCATATTCCCACAGCGACGACTGGCTGGTATCCGCGGACCACGACGGGATTATCAAGTACTGGCAGCCGAACTTCAACAACGTCGAGAGCATTCGTGGTCACACAGACCCGGTTCGCGACTTAGCCTTTAGCCCCACCGATGTCAAGTTTGTCACAGCATCCGATGACTCGACGCTGAGGATATTCGACTTTGCCGCCGGAGCAGCCGAGTCCACACTGACGGGCCATGGTTGGGACGCAAAGAGCTGCGACTGGCATCCCACCAAGGGGCTTATCGTTTCGGGCTCCAAAGACCATCTGGTCAAGCTCTGGGATCCGAGGACAGGCCGGTGTCTGACAACCCTTCACGGTCACAAGAACACCATCACTAAGACCGTCTTCGAGAAAGTCCGCGGGCAATGCCTAGCCACATCCGCGCGGGACCAAACCGCCCGCGTGTTTGACCTCCGCATGATGCGCGACATCTGCCTCCTCCGCGGCCATGAGAAGGACATCTCGACCCTAAGCTGGCACCCGGTTCACTCCAACCTACTCAGCACGGGCGGCTCCGAGGGCTCCCTCTTCCACTACCTCCTCGACGAACCCAACACGCCGCCCGGCCACTCCCTCTCCATCGCACCCTACGACACCGCCGACCCGGCCTCCACCCCGGCCCAGGCCATCTACCCCGCCCACCGCGTCCCGCACGCGCACGACTTCGCCATCTGGTCGCTCGACTGGCACCCGCTCGGCCACATCCTCGCATCCGGCTCCAACGACCGCATCACGCGCTTCTGGGCCCGCGCCCGCCCCGGCGAGGCCGACAACTTCAACGACCGCTACCACATCGGCGAGGCCGCCGCCGAGGCCCAAGGCACCTGGGACCGCCGCGGCCACCGGCACATGCGCCAAGCCGAAGAAGAGCAAGAACTCGAAGACGAAATGGACGGCCTCGTCGACCAAAAAATGCCCCTCCGCCAACAACCCCCCGGCCTGCCCGGGCTCGGCATCCCCGGCCTCCCCGGCCTCCCAGGCCTCGTCCCCCCACCTCCCCCACCAGCCTCCCTCATCCCAGGCATGTCCGGCGCCGCACCACCACCACCACCAGGCACGCACGCCCCCCCCTTCCCACTACCCGGCGTCGGCGTCCCCCTACCCGCCGGCGCCGCCCCGCCCCCGCCTCCCATCCCGCCCATCCCGGGCATGGCGGGCGTCGTCGATGCCAAGAACCCGCCCGATTTTGCCGCCATCGCCGAGATGATGAAGAAACATGGCATTGTGCCGCCCCCGCCCCCGCCGCCGGGCATGTTGCCGCCGGGCCTGATTCCCCCGCCGGGCATGTTGCTGCCGCATGGGTTTCCGCCGCCGCCGCCGCATTTGGTGGCTGCGGCTGCTGCTGCGGGGGGTGGCCCTGCTGGTACAGGGGCAAGTGGTGCGGGTGGTGTAGGTAGTGGTGGTGGTTCTAGTGGTGGTGGTGCGGGTGGTTCTGGTGTGGGTGGGGAGCAGTATGGAGAGCGGTATGGAGAGCTGCAGTACGATGATGATCAGGGCGGGGATGGGCCTGGTGGGAGGAGACGGGCGCCGCTGCCGAGCCAGGAGGAGAGTTTGAGGATGGAGCAGAGTAAGGGGAAGTATACGAGGGTGAGATAGAATTGGGAGGGGAGTAGCACATGGGCCGATAAGGTCCGGGAAGGGAATGGTGGTGATGATGAAAGTGGTGGTCGGGTAGGGGTGTGGGTGATGTCGCTTCTATTCGGAAGAAGAGCTAGAAAAAGAAGAAGAAGAAAAGAACAACCGGGGGGGGGGGGTCGTTTGGCGTGGGGGCTATACCTGATCGAGCGGCGGCGACGAGAAGAGTAGGAAGGAGAGAAAAGAGGCGCCACCCTTATTTAACAGGCGAACGAGCGGGTGGAGGGGAGGAACGAGGGTTGAGTGCGACGGACTTGGGAGAGGCGTGCCTGGGGTATACTTCTCAAGGGGGCTTGTTATGTATTCACTCGCGATGTCCACAAATCGGTGCAGTTCAGCACGAGGGCTTGGGAGGGGAATTGCAGTCGAGTAAAATCATGTTGCTGTTCCTTGTTTGATTACGGAGTGGGTTTCCCAGCCATGGGCTGGCACGGACAGGTAACGGGACAGGAAGATGGATGTCTAGCCATGCAGCTAGTCAATGCTTGCTTGTTTAGCTATTATTGTACGATCCAACACTATGACACAGATCCCGCTCTGCTATGCTGAAACCGCGCTGTATCCGTCCCGAATATAACCACGGCAAATGTTGGTATCACATACCCCCGACCCCAGCGCCCTACTTCTTCGCAAACGCCTTCTGCCGCTCGGCGTACTCCTTCACCATCACGGAGCAGCTCGTCTCGGCACACAGCCGCTTCCTCCTCGCAGCGGGCAACTTGTTCGCAAACTCCAGGCCGCTCGCGCGCTCGACAGCCTCGAGCGGCACCTCGAAGTCGCTCAGCGGCTTCTCGTTCGGGATGACAGCGTTGGGCAGCACAAAGGCGCCGAGGGCGACCTTGCCGCCGGGGGCGGCCTGCTCCTCGGCGTAGATGACCTTGTAGAAGTGGGTGGGCACGGCGACGTTGGGGGCGGCGCCGCCGATGACCTCGTAGCGGACGTACCACTTGCTGTCCTGCGGGTCGCGCTTGGGCAGGTACAGCGGGCCCGTGACGATGCGCACGCTCGGGTAGCGCTGGGTCAGGCGGCGGCAAAAGTCCTCAAAGTGCGCCCAGTAGTCCCGGTTGAAGCCCTCGCCGACCTGCGGGCACATGTTGGACAGGTAGAAGGTGTCGTTCATGGCCCCCTGCGACCACTTGCAGTCCGCCGCGGGCACCTGGTGCCCGCGGTCGTACCCGGACCGGTAGTAGTCCTTGAGCTTGGCCTGGAACTTGTCCGGGATGGCGGGGTCCTCCAGGAAGGAGCTGTGCTTGCGGTCGCCGTCGCGGATGCTCAGCGAGGCCGGCGTGATGTGCTCGGCTACCCAGTGGGGGTTGCGCGTGCGCCGGTCGAAGGAGGATACCAGGCCCTGCCGTGTCGCTAGGTCGGCGACGGGACCGGGGAAGCCGTATTCGAATAGCCCGGCGGGGTCGACGGGGGCGCCGGGGGCGGTGGTCGTTTGGGGGGTAAAGACCTGGGAGGCGAGGACCGGGACGGGGGCGGAGGGGGTTCTTGTGGTTACGGCGGTGGTAGTGGTCGATGTTACCGTCTGTTCTGGTTTGCGCATCGAGTACATGGCCGCCGTGGCCGCTGCACCGGCGCCAGCGCTGACGGCGGCGATGACGGCGATGGTGGCTTTCGACATTTTGGACGTGTTATCCAATTTTGTGTGGTTACTGTGTCCGCCCGGCCGCCGTGATGTGGGAGTTACCTAATGATTCGGCAGTGGTTGTTGTCTCGGCCGTCAACTTCGAAATTTGACGCGAACTCAGACCCTGTCCCCTGCACCCTGCAAGCGCTGGGCTACGATGTGGGGTGAGGGGTGACAACCAGCTTCTCCAAACCTCCGTTTGTGACGAGACAAAACCACTGTGTAACAGTCGAGACATACAGATTACATGCAGTTGAGTTACTCAAGTATATATTATGCTGGGGTATTCTAGGTTGGGTTAACGAACATGGCCTTTATCCAAGCAAATGATTCAAATGATTCATCTCTTGCTCGGTACCTATCCCGGTGTACCAAGTGGTGCACTGCATTTTCGAAACCACCTGACGCTGGCCGCGTGGAGTTACCTGACTCTGAGCTGGCCATCAAGGTGCTCATTGTCCGCTGCGTTCATTCTGGTACTGGCAGGTGGCCGTGGCCGTGTACAGTATTTCCATTGGTATCACGGTCACCGCCTGTACCGATGCACAGATCATGATTGGCAATCACTGCCTTTTGACTCGGTGTGGGCTTGCAGGGCTGACTTGACACCCCTGTCACCCCGCGGGGGTTACACTCGGTGGGCGACGCCATCCTCGAGTCCGTCCTCTGCCTAACTTTTAGCCTTCCATTGTGGCCCGTTTCCAGTATCTGGGCAAAAAGGCGAGTTTCTGGCGGCCATGTGGTCAAGGTGCGCCTTGTCTCTTGTTTCGGGAAGGCCTGCGACACTCTGCCCTGCAGGTCGAGAACCCAGCGGCCACTGGCAGGTGCAAGGGTTGGCCCGTTTTGGAGGCGGGAACCCGGGCACTCGCACTGGCACTGGCTGCATGCAAGTGGGCAAAATGTCAAAGGCCGTTAACACACACACCTGCATGAGGGAGGGTGGCCATCGAGGTTCTCATCGGATTAGTTACAATCCCATCCTTTATTTCCTCGGACTAGTTATTGATTTTGTCTCTCCTTTGTAATTCCAGCCTCATCTCCATCCCATCCCGATGACTACCGTGTCTTCCCTCAACGCCCCTGACAATAAATATCGAAAACTCCTGCGCCGCAAGTAGAAAACACTTGATTATCACATCACTCTTCACACCCTAGTTAACCCTCAAACCCCTTTCCGAGCGCAAAAAGCGCGCATCCGAAGCACAACCATGGACACCAACGCCATGGACAATGATACGCGAGGCTGGATCATGTGCGCCTTCAGCGGCCTCGCGTGTATCTTCGGCGCATCCGCCATTTGCATCGACATCCCTATCCGCCTCATCCCTGGCAAGCGTCACTTCCGCATCCAAGACAGCAATGCCTTCCTTGCCTCGTCACTCAGCTTGAGCTTTGGCGTCATGGTGGGTAGTTTAAGCTTTGCCGTCTGTCGTCAACTCAACCACCCCGCTAACTCCCACAGCTCTTCTCGGCCCTCTATAGCATGCTGCCCTCAGCCATGCGCTACCTCGCCAAGGACAACTGGGATGAGCACAAGGCCGGCTTCCTGATGATGGGCTGCTTTATCGGTGGCTTCTTCGGAATCCAGGTCATCTCCCGCGTCTTGCATCAGTACATGCCCTCACACGTCGTTGACTGCGACCACACCCACGAGAACGTCGACGGCGAGGAGCACGACCACTACGGCCACAACCATTCTCTGCCAAAGTTATCTTCTCACTCAAGTGCTGTTTCTGAACCACCACACATGGTCGAGGTCCACAGCAACATCACCGAGACCACTCCCTTAATACCTACCGAAGCCCCGCACAGTGGCCATGTCCATACCGAACTCGTCAACGGCGACGCCGCACTCACAGCCGAGGCTGTCACCCACTTCGACGGCCTTCAGCAACGGGCATCCACGCAAATAAAACGGCCCTCGATGAACGTCCGGGGCAAAGTCATGTCCTTCTTCAAGGACACCAAGGCAAACTGCGACGAGGATGGGCCCTGCTACGGCTACTCAGACCCCTGCGGCCAGGAATGCTTCAAACACATCGGCACCCGCTCCGCCCTGTCTCGGAGCGGCACATCATTGACCGACGACTGCGACGAGGTGTGCGAAGTCCCAGCCGTGACGCCCCGATACCGCGTCGTCCGCGCCCCTTCCCACGCCCACGACGACGACAGCCATCATCACCATCACGCCCACGCCCACAATCACGCCCACGGCAGCGACATAGAGTGCCCCGAAGACGTCGAAGCCCAACACCATCACCACGTGCCCACCAACGGCTTCCTCTCCATCGGGCTCCAGACCGTCATCGCCATCGCCCTCCACAAATTCCCCGAAGGTTTCGTCACCTACGCCACCAACCACGCCAACCCGTCCCTCGGCTTCAGCGTCTTCATGGCCCTCTTCGTCCACAACATCGCCGAGGGCTTCGCCATGGCCCTGCCGCTATACATGGCTCTCGGCAGCCGCGTCAAGGCCATCTTCTGGTCCTCGCTGCTGGGTGGGTTCAGCCAGCCCCTCGGCGCCGCCGTGGCCGTGGCCTGGTTCAAGCTGGCCAAGCGGTCCAATTTCGAGATCAACAGCACCGCCTACGCTTGTCTATTTGCGGTTACTGCGGGCATCATGGTCAGCGTGGCGCTGCAACTCTTTGTCGAGAGTTTGAGTCTGAACCACAACAGGAACCTGAGTATCTTCTTTGCGTTTTTGGGTATGACGCTATTAGGCATGAGCAACGCGCTTGTTAGTCATTAAGGGGCCTGTTGGATTTGAAAGCATTGTTTTGGCGTTACATTGGAGGTTATAAAGTTCAAGTCCGGTTACACTCATAGGCGAGGTCTGGTAGGAGCAGATCTAGGGCCACGGCGTTTGGTTAAAGGACCACCGGGTGTGGGACTGGCGCACGGCAAGGGACATAAAAATCAACTCACCTTTGTATACCATTTTGTATACTCTTAGCCAGCTGCTCATGGCCCCCAACCTAAACACAATCCCAAGCAGCGTTTTACCGCAAAACCGCATCTTCTCGGAGGCACCAAGTGACAAAATATTCGGCCACCCCCCTCCCCATCAACACCTCACCCACTTCTCAACGCCTCTCCCAACCCAAAACCCCACTCCGTTCACCCGCCCCTCAAAAAGAAAGAACAAAAAACACCAACCCCCACCCACACACCCTCCTCCCCACCACAACAACCCCATCTCCACCACCACCATAACCAATAACCACGCCAAGCCTGATTAGCATAGTGGCTAATGCGTTGCACTTGTATCTAAGCTCCGCCTCCCTCCGCGGCCGCGACAGACGACATGCAAAGATCACAGGTTCGATTCCTGTATTAGGCATTGGGTATCCCATACTTTTTGTCCTCTCGTGGTGGGCAGGTGAGAAAGAGGGGTTGGCTAGGTTTTGGGGTTATGGTTTGGAAGTGGGTTGATGAAAGGCAGCTTGGGATGGTATGGGCGGGAAGGGTAAGGGGATGTTAATGTTGTTTGTCCGTCTCTGATAATGGGAAGGGATGGATCAGGGTAGGAGTTGCAGAGTTTAGAAGGACATAGCTGTCGTTGGTGACGCATTCTGATGGTAGGTGGAACAGAATGGGGGGTTGCAGTCAAACCACTAGCCATCCTCGACGGCATTCGGTTGAACAAGATGCATAACTATGTACAAGCAACCAGGTAATTTGCATCACCCCCAACTGCCACCGCTGCATCGACCACTCCCACACCTAATGCACACTGCAACGAAAGCACGGCCAAGAATAGTTAAGTATGTATGTATGTTAAAAACAAACACAAAGAATATGTAGTACTCAAACATGATCCATCACCCATCCCTCATCTCAGCTCCAGGTTTATCCCCAGCCAACCCCCGTTTCCTGAGCCAAGCCGAGCCCGCCAATTCCTCTCGGTCAACGGTTAGATCTTGACCGACCCAGGCAAAGACCAAAAAAAACAGGCGATGCTCTCTTTCGTCCGCCCATCCATCCATCCATCGAGCCATCCATCGAGCCATCCACTCATCCAGGCCGTCTTCTTAACCGCGTCTTTCCCGCGCCAAGTCTCACCCTCTCCGAGCCGATTCATCCATCTAACCCAGACGGAGCCAAGCAGTACGATAAAAAGAAAAGAGGCCCAAGCATTATAAAACGCAAACGCCATTGCCTACCCATAATTTCCTCTCCCCAAACCCAGCCTAGTCGCCAGCATATCAATCACACACAAAAAACCGAGAGCGAAAGAACCATAAACCGCCAAATCTACCACTCCGCGGCGCATCACACGCCCACGCCGAGTCTTCCGTTCCATTCCGCAGCTAGAACTAGAATCCTAGCATGGGCTGTGCGACCAGCGAGCGACGCCGAACCCCCAAGATCCCAAGATCAATCCTCGTCGCTCTGCACGCCGCTGCTCCCGCCATTGACCTGGCTGCCGGCGCCGTTGGAGGTAGGGGCGCTGGCGCTGGCCGAATTCGAGACCAGCTTGATCCTGGTCGGCGGGCCGCTGGGCGTGGGCTGCGGCGTCCCGTCCGTCGGCGCCGTCGAGGGCGCGGCCGAGCCGTCCTTGGTCGCCGAACCAGCAGAAGCGGCGGAAGCAGCAGCAGCCGCCGCTGCAGACGGCTCCTCCAGCGCGCGAAGGTCCGGGTTGTCCGAGAGCTCTTTCTCGAATTGGGCTCGGAAGAAGGCCTTTCGCGGAGGGTTAGTATGGTTTGGCACTGGGTTGGAAGGGGGGTGGTAGAGGGGCTTACCTCGATCAGATTCACGTCCTGGCAGATGCCGCTGCTCTCCTCGTTGAACGTCCGGCAGTTGGCAACCATCAGGTCCATGTCTCTGCGCATGTCGGCCAAGCTCGTGTAGTCCTCCTTCTTGATCTTCTTCTGGATGTCGTTCATACAGATGGGGTTGACGATGATGAGGTAGTAATCGCCCCAGTCACGCTTGGGGGGGAGCTTGACAAAGGGTCCAATGATGAGGCGCTTTGGCGGCCCATCATCGTCACCGTCGGGGTTCTCCTGCGGCTCGTCATCGTCCACCTCGAAGTTCATCAGCCCGTCGAAGATGCGCCGCAGGCTCTTCTGCAGCTTATCGCGCACGTCTGGTGCCAGGCGGTTGTCGGGACCGTTTGAGCCGATCGCCTTTGGACGCCCCTGCGGTCCACGGCGCTTCTTGGCGGGGGGCTCCTCGTCGCCCTCCTCGGCCTTGCGCTTCTCCTGGTTCTTGCTGCCCGGCTTGCGGCCGCGCTTCTTGACAGGCGTCTCGACCTCCTCGGTACTGGCGCGACTGGGGACTGGCGAGTTCTCCAGCGACGCACCCCCGACGCCCTTTCGCTTGAGCTTGTTGACCTCGCGCTTCTGCTTGCGGGCGGCCTTCCGCGCGGCAGCCGCCTCGGGAGAATCGTCGTCGTCGTCAACAGCCATGAGCCACTGCTCCTCCGTGAGCCCATCGTCGTACTTAACCTTGGTACGCTCACGGGCTCCACGGCCCAGGATGGTTTCAACCTCCTCTTCGACCGGATTGCCCTCGTTCAAATAAATGTCCGGGAGTTCGTCCTCGATCATGAGACGTGAAACAGCCTTGCAGCCAGGGCCAGTGCCGTAGACGGGATCACGCATCCTCTCGTCATCCAGCTTCTGGAACACGGTAAGTTCGTCGTCCGTTCGGGCGAGGATCAAGTTTAGTTCCTCGTCATCCATCTCCTCTTGCTCGCCCGACTCTGCCATGTCCGCAGTTTCCAGGAGCGTCCTGAGCATGGCATCACGATCTGTTTCCGAGGACTTGTTGTCGAAGCGACCAGCCTGAATGACCTTGCCATCCATGTCGAGTTTGTACCTAGCGCGCTCCAGAATCTTTTCCTCGACGGACGCTGAGCTGATAAGCCGGAGAATGCGGACTTCGTTCTTTTGACCGATACGATGGGCACGATCCTGGGCTTGCAAATCCTGGTGAGGATTCCAGTCGGAATCGTAAATGATGACTGTGTCGGCCGTCTGCAAGTTCAGACCCAGGCCACCAGCACGGGTGGAGAGGAGGAACATAAAGTACGGCGAGTCCGGCCGATTGAACTCATAGAGGAGCTCGGACCGGTCCTCAGACTTTGTGGTGCCGTCAAGTCGGAGGTACGTGATGCCACGGAAGCGGAGGAAGTCTTCCATGATGTCCATAATAGCGGTCATCTGGAAGAACATCAACACACGATGGCCGGTCGCCTTGTACTTGGGGAGAATCCTGTCCAACAGCTCGAACTTTCCGGCCGTTCTCCAAAGGAGATCATTGCTGATGTTGGCGGGGTTCATCTGGTTCTCGACCTCGTCGAACACGAACGGATGGTTGCAGAGCTTCCGCAGCTGCATGATCATGTTACTCAAGCCACGGGCACCCGTCTTGCCTCCACTGCCGTCACTAACGGCAATCTTTTGGTGGGTAACCATTTGCTTGTACAGGCGGGCCTGCAGGGCTGAGAACTTGCACTTGATGACCTTTTCTGTCTTGTCGGGAAGATCTTTTTCGACATCCTTCTTGAGACGACGCAGCAAGAACGGCCGCAGCACCTTATGCAAGCGACGGATGACGAGAATCTGCTCTTCTTCTGTGAGCTCCATCTTGTCTTGACCGCCGGTGTTGGCGAACGGCGTGTTGAACCACTCATCGAACGTCTTGACAGACTTGAAGATATTAGGCAGGACAAAGTTGAGCATGGCCCACAGTTCGGTAAGGTTGTTTTGCAGCGGGGGTACCGGTGAGAATCAGGCGGAACCGGGTGCTGTAGTATTGCTGAATGGTAGCGCTCAGCTTGGAGTTTGCGTTCTTCATGCGGTGACCTTCGTCGATGATCATGTGGAACCACTTGATCTTGCTCAACAGCGGACGATCCTTGATGATGTACTCGTATGTCGTAAGCAGGACCTGGAACCTGCCTTGGCGGATCTTCTCTTGCTGCAGCTTTCTGGCGTTCGGGGGACCCTTGTAAACAACCTTGGTAACTGAAGGTGCCCACTTGTCGAACTCCAGATTCCAGTTGGTCAGGGTGCTGAGGGGGACGATGACCAGGTACGGGCCATGTTGATGCTTCCTCTCGATCAGGTATGTGATCAGGCTGATGGTCTGAATCGTCTTGCCGAGACCCATTTCGTCGGCAAGAATACCGTTCAGGTTGTTATTGTAGAGCGACAACATCCACTGCAGGCCCTTGATCTGGTATTCCTTGAGGGTACCGCCGACCAGGATATTGGCCTGCTCCGTGACCTCTTCCTTGACGCGGTGGGCAATAGCGTAGTAATCAACCTTGCGACTGCTTTCCTCATCCTCCTCAACCTCGCTTTCCTCGGGCTGCTCGACGTCGTCGCCATACCGTTCGGCGGCCTGCCGTTGTTGAGCACGGACGGAGGAGGCAAGCTGGTGCAAGAAGCCGTCGGTCTGCCGGAGCAAGTGAGTGATACGGGTATCCTTGGCCTGGTCGAGGAGCTTGAGATACGCCTCTTCGTCGTTGGCTTTGAGCGCCTGCAGACGTTGCTTGGCTGTCCGCTCGATCCTCTTCTGCTCCTCCTTCTCGATGTTGAAGTGATGAGCATACATGTGGCGACTGAGCCTTTGCGTTTTCCCGCGCTGAGCCTGACCTGCGTTGAGAACCTCGTTGCGGTGGTTGTATACGGCTTGCAGAAAATCGACGTGCTTTTTGCGCTCCCGGTTCTCGCGGGCATCGCGCTGCTGCTTCTCGAGCTTTTCGGTGACGCGAGCTTCCCGGACGTTCTGCTTCTTCATGCGGCGGTACGCGGCCCTGTTAGTGGTCATGGCCAAGTTGTCGTAGTGCATCATCTGCTTTCCGACCTTGTCCCTCAGAGCGCGCTGCTTAGAGTACAGGGCCAGCTTCTTCATCTCGATGATGGCTTTCCTCTTCGCCGCGTCGTCGGCCACGAGGGTATCCTGGGATGCATCCCAGTGTGCCAAGTTGCCCGGAAGCGACTTCAGTTCCGAGTACCTCGCGCTCATGCGGTTGAAGACAATCTTCTCACGGTCAGCCCTCAGCTGCTCAAAGTCGATGCCCGTCGGGAAGAGGCCGGGAATGATGAGGCGGTTCTTCCGGCGGCCGTGGTCCATGTACGAGATAGACTGGCGCACGAGCCCACCGTCGTATGGAGACTTTATTGTCTTGAACGACTTGGGCTGGGGAACCGATGCGGCTTCGCCTTGGGCATCTGTTCCGTTGGTGCCAGGCTTTGCACCATCCTGTTCCGGGGCGTCTGAGGGGGCAGCTGTAGTGGGGGACTGCGTCGTTTGTTTTGCCGACGACATACGACGGCGTTGCCTGTGCTCGAAGATGGCCTTCTGCATCTGGGCTGGGACACCGGCATTTTTTCCAAGCATCCTGAAAGCCTTGATTTGTGTCCAGAGCAGGTTGAGTTGTGCCTGTGAGAATTGGCTGGCCTGATTTTGCGCCGGCGCGCCTGCGGCCGTGTTAGCCGTTGGGGCGCCTGAGGTTGCTGGCAGAGCAGACGCCCCGAGTGAGGTTGTGGAGGGGGCCATTGTCGTCTGCGCTGCGGTGGGCTGCGCGGGACGAGCAGGTTGAGTTCCGTTGGCAACACCGTTCGCACCATTTTGCATGGCCTGGTGCTGTTGCTGCTGCTGTTGCATCTGTTGCATCTGTATCTGCTGCTTCCGCAATTCGCTCTGGCGCTGGAGGGCGGCAAGGATGGACTGGGTCTTGATGAACTCGGGGTCGGTGCTGGGAATGCCCTGCTTTTTCATTTGCTGGAATCTCTACTGGGGGGTTAGAAAGAATGCCAGGCGGGCCGGGTGACGCCAGAAGGGATTCAGGGGAAGGGGAATGACGGACCAAGTAGATCTCCTGTGCTTGCTGTTGGGTCATGCCGGCCGGGATGGCGGAGCCCGGGTGCTGCACCGCAGGCGGCACCTGCACACTAGCCATGATGATGGCAGTGATGTTGGGTATGCCAACTGGGTATCAATTATTTTATTTGGAAAGGGAATATCTGGGCATATCTGAAGGCCGGGTGGTCGCAATCGAGGGGTTGTGGAACCCGGTAGGGATGGTCGACGCGGCGCACTGGCGAACGGAGGGCGGAATGCTGGAGCCTGTCGCGTCGAAAAACAATGTTGGCAATTAAGCGATGGCAGCGATGCAGGCGAGGGCCGATGCAAACGCGGATGTGGACAGCGACCTGGGGTGGGCGCAAATGTAGACAAGGGCTGTCGCGTCGCTTGGGACGAGCGCAAGGTGGATGGTTTTTGGGGATGTTCAGCCGCGCCTGGATGGCGACGTGCTGTGTGGGGGGGGAAGAGGAAAGGAAAAGAGAAGAGGGCGGATCGGCGAAGTGAAAAAAGTGAAAGACAGCCAAAGACAGCTGGGGTTGTGTGGTTGCCCGATGGAATGTGGGGATTGGCGCGTTTTTGGTCGGCGATATCGAGATAGCCTCGATGCGTCGCAGGCAGATTGGTGATTTTTTGGATGCGCGCACGTCGCCCTTTGATGGATGGAGGTTGAGGCAGAGCGAGCCGACAAGATTGAATGGCGCGGCGATGCCTGGTCCGGGCTGTGCTGCAAACTGCACGCGAAAATATGAGCCCGGATTATCTAACCATTTGCCCCCTGCCCTTTTGCGGCAAAACGCCGGGCACCGGGTGGCGTAAACCAGCCAATGAGACGCTGGTCGTCTCGAGGATTCTCTCACAATTGCAGGAAAGCTGAATTGAGCACTGGCACCTTGCATTGTTGAACAAATAGTTACGTTGAAGCAGGCTCAATAAGCTTGCAAAAGCTCGCTCAGAGGCCAACAAACATGTTACGGTTGGAATTCAATCCTGTGATTATTGTTCTGTGAAGCCCCCCAGTCAAGTCTCTTTGTTCGCCCCACTCTCTTCCAACAATAGCCCTTGGTAAAGGGAGGGACGGGTACTTGTAGCACCGTAAGCTCAGTCAGCGCCAATGGTCTAGTGGTTAGGATTCAACCCTTCCAAGGTTGAGGGGGGGGTTCGATTCCCTCTTGGCGCATAGTTGAATAACTTCGAGTTTTCTTTTTCCTCTTTTTTCCCACTCTCCATGTCAATCCCTTCGATTTCTTGGTGTCTGTGTTTTGGGGGATATCACGTCGGCCGCTCACCTGTTTTAGGCAAAGCAGACATGTTTCGCCAAGCTCTGTAGAGGCATCCAATGCCTGGTATCAATTCCCCCGCCCGAAAGAAAACAATAAGATAATCTTCTAAAACAGAGACGCTCCCTCTCTCAACGCCACAAAATGCCATTAACCCAACCAACCACCTTTTACCCTTTTTACCACTTCACCTCTTAACCCTCTTAGCCTCCCTCCCCTCCCCACCCGCCTCCTCCCCATCGCTCAAATCCGCATATTGCGTAACAGGCTGCGTCTTCGCCCAAGCGCCCGTAAACACCGGATCCTTCTTGGCCACCTCGGCGTACTTGAGCAGGGCCTCGCGCGGGTCCTCGTGCAGCATGCGGCTAAGCGGGATGTTCTCCTCGATGTGCTTCTCGTCGGGCTGGCTGCGCATGAAGGGCGTGATCTGCTGCACCTGCGGCCGGTAGGGGTCGCGCGACGTTCGGCCCGAGGCCGAGACGCCGCCGGTGCCGGCGCCGCCGCGCCTGTGCGCGCCCGACATGGCCCCCGGCGTGATGATGGCGTCGCCCGAGAGGCCGAGCTGGCTCTGGTCCATGGTGAAGGACGGGTCGTCGTCGACGTGGCGCTTCTTGGGCGCGCGCGACATGACTTCGAGGGCGCCGCGGGTGGAGAGGGAAGGGTGGTAGAGGACGTGGGTCTCCGCGTTGGCAGAGCCGGTGATGATCTGGTTGAGTTTGGCGTGCCAGTCGACGGTGATGAGGGGGATGCCGGGGGTGATGGAGGTGACGTGTTCGGGCCGGAGGTTGGCGGGGTTGAGGATGTGGAGGTGGCCAGAGGCGGAGCCGGTGATGATGTAGCGGGAGTCGGGAGAGTACTTGATGTTGGTCATTGGGTATCGGTCCGAGGTCGAGGGGTGGTCGATCTTCACCAGCGGCTGCTTGAACTTGCGCGTGTCCCAGAGCTTGATCAGCCCGTCACCGCCGCGGGTTACTACCATCCGGCCGTCGGCGCTGATATCGATACCCCCAGTCCACGTGCCAGGCTGGTGCGCATCCTTTATTTCCCCCGCGGGCCTCGTAAAGGAGCCATTTCCGCTGTACATGACTAGCGATCCATCCAGAGCAGTGGCTACTAGGACGGGAGTAGTACCCTGTGCGGAGGCTCCCCACGCAACTGCTGTCATTCGAGTGCGCCCCGCCGTGCCTGGGGCCTTGGATTTGAACGCAATCACATCCTTCTGGCTTCTCTTGTTGTTGATATCCCATATCCTCAGCGTGCTGTCGGAACCTGCGGTTACACAGAGGTTCGGGTCTATGGGGTGCCATGTCCCCGTGGTTATTTCCCCCACATGCCCCTTAGTGTTATTCATGTCCCGGAGGTACATGTCGCCCTTCACAAATTCCGTCACCACGCCTCCATCCCTTGACATGATCTTCGCTTGGGGGTGCGCTGTGACGCAGAGGAAGACGCTGCCCGAGTGGCGGCTGAACTCGACGTGTTGGATCGGGTGGGAGTCAGAGGTTGCTGACTTCTTGGTCTCCCACGGATCGACGCTCTTGAAGGCTCGGAGTGTGGTGGGCGTCATGGCCGCAAAATCGTGGAAATTGACGTTGCCGTCGAGGGAGCCGGTGAGCATGCGCGACCCGGCAGGGTCCAGGGCGATGCTTGTGATGGCCCGCTCGTGTGTCTTGAGCACCATCTCGTGGGTCACCGGAAACCTCTCGGCCTCATCCTCATCCTCATCGTCGGAATCCGAATCGCCGTCTGAGCTACTGTCGTCGCTATCGGAAGCGACCTGTTTTTGTTTTTGTGGCGCTGGCTTGTCGGGTTGTCTCCTCGTCTGCTCGATTTGCGCGGCGATGTTTGCCTCTTTCGTTGTCTTGCCGAATGACTTGGGTATGAAGGCCCGCATGGGGTCATCGTGGGCGAGTACGGGCGCCTCAACCCGGTAGTCGTCACTGTCGCTGTCGCTCATCTTAAAGGCTATTTTGTGTTGGTGAGTGACAGGATGATGTGACATGCAGTTTGGAAATCGAACTTATCGAAGCCGCTCCCGCCGCCAGGTCTTGGCTGCTCCACTCTCACACAGCGGAGCACAGGGGGGATCACTTTTATGCTTGGCATCTCAGGAACCTTGCTGGCTACGGAGGTACTCAACCTCCACAACATTTACACACAGTCGTTACTTTTGGTCAATTGGCCAAAGTGTTGAACTGATCAATAATCTGGCAATCTAAGTAGGTCGACAACTAACTTGACACAGGTACTAACTACATCACGACCAACCATTTAAGCGGCCGCACTGACAGTTTTCTGTTCCTCCTTGGCCTTCAAGTCGGCCAGTCTCTTCAGCTCCTCCTGCTTCATCTGTTCCTGCATCTGCAGACGCGCCGGGACGACCTTCTCCCTCGGACCCGTGGCCTTCCACCCGCTCAGCCTCTCCTTGCCCAGCGAGCGCATCGTGAACTGCTCGACCAGGCTGTAATTCCCATCCTCGCGGTCGAAGCAGTGCTCCTCCTTGAGCGACACGGCCGGGTTGATGATGATGCGGACCTTGCGCAGCGCGTTGCTCGAGGGCGCGTGCAGCATGAGCGGGTGCATCAGGTACACGTCGCCGACCTGGCCCGTGGCCTCGACGAAGTTGTCACAGCTCTTGGCCACGTTGCAGAAGAAGCTCAGGTCCTTGTGCTGCCCCGTCTCGAACCCCTGCTGCCCGCGCGGCACCATGCGCGGCGACACGCCCTCCGGGTGCTCGTACAGGTGCTTGGCGATCTTGGGGATCGCCTCCGGGCAGATGACCGTCGCGCCGCCGTTGGACACGATGTCCGTGAACAGAGGCGTTACCAGCAGCCCTTGCTCGCGGCTGTCGAGGTAGTGGACGAAGAAATCGCCGTCCTGTCCGGAAGGGTTAGCCCTCACTCACTACCTAGTGAAGCCATTCGGGGAGCACCGGGTGGTGTAGGATTGTAAAGGGAGACCCTCAGGTTTCACTTACCACATGCCACTCGGGCAGGTCCTGCGGCGGGACGGGCTTGCCGCCGTGCTTCTCGTCGCCCAGGTTGACGATGAGCGAGTCGCGCCACTCCCTCGACCCGGGATCGACGCGGTCCTCGCCGCCGCAGAGCTCGCAGATGGCCGCCCAGGCGCGCGGCGCAAACTCGGCGGGGTCGAACTTGTTGTGGCCGGGCATGTTGGTGCGCAGCCGCGTCCAGGTGGACCGGTCGTTCGGGTCCATGCCCAGCCGGGTCCAGACATTGGCGTTGACGCTATCGGCTTGTTCCTTGGTGAAGGCATTGGGGATCCTGGGTGGGGGTCAGAGATGGGGTCCTGGAAGGGGGTGAGGTAGGGGGTGTGTATAGCAGGGAGGAGAGGAAGGGTGAAGGTAAAGTATCTCCAAAGGTGTGAAGAAAGGTTTGGTACCGAGACTAGGCTTACTTGACCCACCCGTGGGTGAGGAAGTGTTCCTTCTCTTCGGGGGTAAGAACGGATGTGGACGACATGATGATGATCTTGGGTTCAACACAGATTACACGGTACCAACAATATCGGGGCTAAGTAAGGTGTTTGTTTCCCTGGTTATGACTTTCTCCCTCTGGCCGCAGCATCAAGCCTCCCTTTTATAGACGTTCCAGCCACCGACTCAGGCTTTTGATCGGGCTTCGACCGGGCTTCAACGATGCCTCGTGATCGTCGCACACGTGTAATACACCCACCCACGGTATCTCCGAGGTGCGGGGGAGGAAATGTGGTTTAACCAGCGGCATCTCATTGGATATCGGATGCGTTCCCCGGGGATAACGGCGCCGTCGGTTTCCTGATGGGTGATAGCGACCCCCTCTGGACCCGCGAGCCCGGTTGGTAGGGCCGGAGGTCAGCCGGAAGGCAGCCGTGGGTAAATTGGTTTTTTTGACGCCATGGAAGACGGGACCCGGCCGTGCCAGGATGCTTGGCTTGCCGTCGGTAATTCAAGGGGTGTGTGTTGTGACTCCGTACCTCGTACACAGTAATCTTCGGCCGAAGAGGGTGTAGACGGGGGCCGAGATAGTGCTTCGGGCCCGTCTTGGGGCTCATTTTAACATCTATCCGAATTCACTACGGCATGGGACACATGCACGAATTTATCCCACACAGCTGCGGGCTCGATGGACTCGCTGAACCTGGTAAGACTCGATTGTCCGTGTTGTGGTGTGCGCCGACAACGCGGAGCCGAGCGGGGGCGGGGCAGCACGGCAGGTGGAGTTGACAACTTCGCGCCACTCCACGCTCTGATCCACTTTTATTCTGCCTTCTCCAACACGACCCACCTCTCTTCGATTCTCGGAACCTTCTCCCGGCGTTGTTGAAATAGGCAGTACGATTAGAAACTCTATGCCTCAAGATGTCGGCAGCGCCATTGAACGAAACAGACTACGTCTCAGAAGAAGACTCCGATTTTGCGCCCGATGATGCCCCTGCGGAAGCGTCTTCTGCCTCGGATGACGACGAGCCCACTGAAACCGAAAAGCCGGCCCAAGGGAAACGAAGTCGCGAGGGTGCCAATGATACCGTGGAGGATGATGCGGGTTTCGAGAATTCCGGGGACGAGGCAATAATTGAAAAGGGTAAAAAACGGCAGAAGAAGTCCAAACGTAAAGATGAAAAAGAGGGCGAGGATGAAGGAGGTGAAGGAGGGTTGATCAAGACGCGTAGAATGCGTGCGGCCGAGTATGTAGTCCAGCTCTGTAACGCCGCGAATCACCTTACTCACATTATTCTCTATCCAAAGGAAAGCCGAAAAACGAGCAGAGGTCGCAAGCGGCCCCGTTACAATCGACGTGGATGCGCTATGGGCACAAATGACTCTCGAGTCGGGAGGAGGCCGAAACCCGCAAGAATCGACATCAACACAACCTAAAGTAGAACTTCCTAAGCCTTCGTCGCAGCCCAAGCCCAAACCAGTCCTCGAGAAACCCGAACAGTCCGATCTTATTCGCATAAAACGAACCTACAACTTCGCCGGCAAAGTCCACACCGAAGAGAAGCTAGTCCCCCGTGATTCGGCCGAGGCCAAGTTGTACCTCGCCGAAAACGGCGGCAGCGACTCGACTCCCCCAGATGGCGATTCCTCTCCCACGCGGAAACGCATGCCAAGAAAGGCATTTCGTTCCAGGTTTGAGCCTGTCGCAGCCGAGAGCAGTTCCTATCGATCGGACCTAAACCTGGGCATGTCTGATCGCCTGCGAGCGCGTGAGCTAGCCAAGGAGACGGATGCTAAGAAACTGAACACGGTGGAAAAAAGTAGGATGGACTGGGCCGGGTTCGTGGATCGGGAGGGTATCAAGGACGAACTCGAACTGGCGGGCAAGTCGAAGCACTCCTTTGCCGCCCGACAGGACTTTTTGGCAAGGAGCGAAGCCCTTAGGGAGGACGAGGCGAGGCGATTGCGGATGACAAACAAAACCTGAACGTCCTTGGTGTCGAGTAATATGTACATCGTATCGTGTAGGAGGGAAAAGGAGGAACCCGAAATGGCGTTAAAGGACATAATACCCGAGTGGGCTATAGATTAGACTGGTTCATTGATATGTTTACAAAGCACACTCCTTGCCTCAACTCTTAAAACCCAGAGCGCAACTCGGCACAACGTTTCAAAGCTTCCCCTTCTCCCCGCCTGCCGGCAGCAGCGTGACATCCGTGTATGGCAATCCCAAGAACTTATACACAAAATGGAACCTGCCACATGTTAATCAGTACCTCCTAACAACCAGACCAAACCCCTCCCAAAAAAGAAAAATAAAAAAAGACAGAAAGAAAGAAAAAAAGAACTCACCGATCACTCCCAAAAAACGGCTCCTCCCTCCCGCGCCCATCCCGAACCCACAACCACGGCGCCCCAAACGCCCCCTTCTCCAACGCCTCCTGCGTCGTCTTCTTCAACAGCCCCTTCATCTCCTCCGTCCCCGCCGCCGCCAGCACCTCGTCAACCTCCCCCTCCGTAAACAACAACAACGACGACGACCCCCCACTTACCGGCACACCCCTCAACGCCGCCCCCACCCCGGCAAGCGTCGTCAAATCCGCGTTGGGCGGCGCCCAGAACGCCTGGAACAGGTGGTGCAGCGCGGCGAGGAAGGTAGCGCGCGGGTGGTGGCGTTTGATGTAGTGCAGGCAGCGCAGCGGCGCGACGGTCATGCCGGATTTCATCATGTCGGGCGGGAAGGAGATGGCGGGCGGCGGGGTGTGCCGCGCGATGGAGCGCCGGGCGTCATGCATGCCGTAGGACGCTTTGGCGGGGAGGGTCCAGGGGGGGCGGTTGCCTGTTTGTTTTGTGAGGGGGGTTAGTTTATTGAGAAGGGAGGGGGCGTAGGTACCGGAACCGGCGTTTATGGCGCCGAGGAGGACGGGGTGGTATCTGTGGTTGATGTTAGATAGTTGGTGATGGGGTGGTTGGAAAGGGGCAAAGGGGGGTGACGGACTCGACTTCTACATTGTGAGAGGCGAGGAGGTCGCTGTTCTTTTGGAGTTCGAGAAATACGAGGTAGCTGTAGAGGGACGCTATGGCGTGTTAGTCCCCCTGGATCGTTCCATGTGAGAAAAGGGCTTTCACCAATGTCCAGATAACAGTCAATTTTGCCGCCCATTTTCATTCAATAAGTAAATAACTCGCAAAACAGAGACAGAATGGTGTCATTCCTGACCATAATCTCTAAGCCTTATCAAAGAAGTGTGGTCCTCATCCCGGATGTCTCATGCAGGGGCCCGGAAGAGGAGAACCTCGGCAGCCCCACATCGGCACCGCCCCCGGCGGGGGGGGCTCCGGCCTTGCGACCTCCGGCTGATCACTAATCCACAATTGTTTAACCTCATTGCCGGACTGACCCACCACTCGGGATCATGTAGCCGGATTCACCATGATATCAAACCTCCGTCCGAGACTAGTCAAATATCACATAGACGACTTACACAACATCCCGTTCTCATCTTCACCGGCTCAACTCACCATGACATCCCGCAGGGTAGCTCTCGTAGTCGGTGCTTCACGGGGCATCGGCCGGCAGATCGCCGTCGACCTAGCTAACGAAGGGTACGCCGGTAAGTATTACAGTCTCCCTCTCGAGCTCCAACCTTCAGAACCATACTAATAACCGTTCAGTCGTCGTCGCGGCCAAATCCACCACCCCCGAAGCCGACCTCGCCAAGTTTTCCCCCTTCCCACCAGACCCCAACTCCCCTCTCTCCACCATCACCACCGTCGCGCGCGAAATCACCCTCGCCGGCGGCGAAGCAACCGCCATCCCGGTCGACACAACCAGCTACGCCAGCATACAACAGCTAGTCACCAAAACCGTCGAGGTAACCTCCACCCCCTTCCAAGCCCCCCAACCCTCCCTCATCACCACCACCACCACCACAACTAACCCCCCGCACCAGACATACACCCGCCTCGACATCCTAATCTACAACGCCGGCGCCATCTGGTGGGCGCCCGTCGCCGGCACGCCCATGAAGCGGTTCCAGCTCATGCAGCGGGTCAACCCGGAGGGCCTGTACGGGGCCGTGCAGGCGGCGCTGCCGCACCTGAACCCGACGGACGAGGCAGGGAGGAAGAGGAGACGTACCACGGGGGGAGGGGCCCGGATTGTGGTGGTCTGCCCGCCGATCTACAGCCGTTTCTTTCGTGGTAAGGCGGCGTATGCGATGGGCAAGGTGGCGATGAGTGTTTTGGTGAAGGGGCTGGCGATGGATTTTGAGAGGGAGGGGGTTGTGGAAGGGGAGGGGACCGCTGAGGGGGGGTTGGGGGTGGGTGGGTTGTGGCCTGCTGTTGTGAGTTCTTTTTTCCAATATTCTTTTTCAGGTTATGAGGAAGCGGGGGGAGGTGGTGGGGGGTTGTGTGAGAGAGTGTGAAAGGGGGTGGAGGAGCAACAGGCCCTGCTTGGTTTTTCCTATCACTTGGCGAGAAGCTTCAGCTGACATGTTATCGTCTAGGCTATTGAATCTGCGGCGACGGAGCAGTTCACGCGCAAAGACGCATCTTACGCCAGGGACCTGCGCAAGGCCACCATCTTCTCGGATGCGGTTCTCGCCATGATCAAGGCCCCCGCATCCGTAATAAACGGCCAGCTAGAGCTAGATGAGGACTTCCTCAGGAAACAGGCGGGTGTCACCGACTTCTCCAAGTATGCCGTTGTTCCGGGGACGTCGCCAAGGAGGATCATGCCGGCTGAACTGCCGGATTTGACGGTCAAGGAGCAAGATGATGAGGGAATGAGGACTGATAGTTCGAAGCTCTAATTAGGTGGCTATTCTGGGGGTCGTATTTAGTTGAGGGTAGATTTCTGCAATGAGTTTTGCGAACTTCAAGTTAGCTGTCTGCTTTTCAGATAGCGAGCAAGATGTGTTCCAACACCACTGGGGGCCCATGAGTTCGAAGTATCAATGAAGAGATGGCCTCGAAGTCCCGCCATTTGAGTGTTGAATGTCACCCTACGGTTTGAGACTGCCTAAGCTCCAATGCGGTTGGCGGCGCTGTGCTGACATGCTTTCTTGGCTGCGATTGCCGTCATCTTGGTCAGCCCGCGTGCGCTCGCTGGCTATGAAGTGCGGTGAAGCCGTGCCTTGTAGAGCCATCTGTCTTTTGCTGGCAATGCCTCCACCTTCGTCGCCCCCGAGCGGCATGGTCGTCAGGTCCTCAATCACCGGGAACTTGACTTGTTGAGGTTTCCATGATATTGCGTTGTCAGCCTCCAGCCGCTTGAACATCTTCCTATCACTTTCCGGGTTTTGCAACCATCTGTGGTAGAAGGCCTGGCGTGCTGTTGGTCTTCTATTGCTGTCATAAGCCAGACAGCCGCAGATAAAGCTCTGGCCAGCTTCAGAAATCGAGCCTTGGGGCCCGAGAACAGCAAAGATGGTGCTCAGGTACGTGTCGACTTCCCCTTGGCTCTTGAAAACCACAGAGTCGAGACCTGGAAGCTCCTCATACCCAAGAATCAGTTGCAGCGACAGCATGCCCACTGCCCAGATGTCGACTGATAAACCGTGGCCTTGGTTCGGAACATCACATTCACTGTAGATGGTCAGATTGGGCTCTCCGAGGTTGTGGTGTGGCTTACGGTGGTCGATAGAACCGAGTCCCGACCTTGGATTTCAATCTCCCGGGGCCGGCAATGCCCGAGTCCCCAAAGTCTGAGAGCATGATGCGATACGGCACCTGCGGTGTCACACCGCACAGGATGTTCTCAAGCTTTATGTCTCGGTGTGCGACGCCTTTGCTGTGGATGTAGGCGACCCCTCGGAGAACTTGCCGCATAATAGATCGGATCGCCCACTCGTTTAATTTGTTGTATCTCAGAAGCAGCGAGTAGAGATCTCCGCCTGTCGCTAGTTCCGTGATCACATATCTACTGGAGAATTAGCTCTTGAACGCTCGGCCGTGGCGTCCAGGGGTGACGTACATCGTCTGCTCTGTCTCAAATGCAGCCTTGATAGGAAGTATGTTTGGCTAGATGGTCAGAAGGTTTGGTCAAGATGATTCCATTGTATCCATACGTGGTCCAGTGTGCTCAATAACGATGCCTCTTGGCGAATCCTCTCTACTTCCTTGGATGTTCGGGAGTATCTGCTGATGTCGTGGACTTTACAGACGACATGCTGTCCAGTTTCCACATCTGCGGCCAGAAAGACAATGGCATGAGCACCATCACCAATGGTGCGATCGGTGACTACGTATCGGTCCTTGAACATCTACGGTCCATGTTAGGGCGGGGGACAATAAAAAGCCTATGTTTGTCAAGAAAAATATCTCTTACCTCGATTTCCCGGCGCTGGAGTTGAGTGAGGGCGTACGAATGTCTCCAGTTACACGAGTTCATTAGCAGGGTATACCCGAGCCTCAGATGAGGGTGCGCTCCAACAGTGATCGTATCTCCATCTTCGAGCAACCTTGACGGGGAAAGCCCAGCTCCCCTTCCAATGAGCTGGCCATTCACAGCAGTCCCATTCGAGGATCCGCGATCACGCACAAAGACAAGGGGCGGGTGGCCATATTGTTCATCAACGACGACGGAGAAGATTTCCAAATGGCACCTTGAGACCACAAGGTCTGCGAATGCGACGTGGTTTCTGTTCTCATCCCGGCCAACGAGGACCGTCTTGTTTGGGAAAATCAGAAATAAACCTAAATTGCGTGCGTTAGATGGTTACGGCAGGCTGGGCCATGGGTCTCGGATTGTCGGTGCAGGCCTGGCGGCGCAGGCCGAGGGAGATCGAACTCAATCCGTTCCTGGTGATGATTCTTACCTCCATTTGGGGGATCTTTGCTCCTATCCTCCCACGCCACTTTCCCAATCGGCGACGACGACATAGATATGACAGTCAAAATTTATCTGGTTAAAGCAGCGGTTGGATGGTACATTGAGTGATGAATGGAGGTTGATCAGACTTAGAATTGACATTCTGGATGAGGCAAAACTACCACATCATGTCTGTTGCCTACAACTTCCAATATTTTCCTGACCAAATTTTCAAGCAAAACCTCAGGCAGCTAGCCTTCTGGACACTTAATTCAGTGATTGGGGATAAATCCAACAGTCGAGGAAGGAGCGCAGCTACGGGCAAGTTTTGTTTTCTTTTTCGCGTGAAGTTGAAGCTCTGGTGGATGCCCCACATCAAGCAAGCTGGAACGTCATGGAAGGAGCTTGGGCCAAGGCACGACTTGCTTGGTGCAAGCTGCGTCACCTGACTTACCCCACAGGGCTGCTTGCCCTCTGCCCTAGTTTAAGTCTACTTCCCCTCCCGAAAATCGAGCTTATTCTTTTTCTACAACCATCACGCCAATTCTCATCAAGAAGTCAAATGTAGGTACACCCTCAACAAAGACACTTCCTGTCTCATACTGACCCCGAATAGTCACGATGAGAGCGAAGTGGAGAAAGAAGCGCGTTCGCCGCCTCAAGCGCAAGAGAAGAAAGATGAGAGCGAGATCGTAAGTTTCGCCACCATGGTGGGAGTCGGTTGCATTGGTGCTGACAGCTCCCAAGCAAATAAATGCCCAAATCTACTCGACCTCAACCAGTCCCCGACATCAAGTTGGTCACCCAGCGGGTTGAGCACTGCGACTGCACCGACGGTCGCCTCGAACGCTTCCCCACTGTTTGACGCCGTCCGTACCCAAGCGGCCCAAGAAGCCTCGGCAACCCGTGGACTTTCAACATCCTGCCTTCCGTTTACGGCAAGGCACTTTGACAACTGGCTGGGATGCAAGGCACGGAGCGGTTCGGTGGTATCATGAGTTATGGTAATGATTGGTTGCCCGTCAATGAAGGTTGAGCTGGACAAAGGCGTTTAGCGGGACTCGGGCAAGCTATGCCTCGATAGGATTGCGAATCCGGAATCATGATTTGCAGGAATTGACGACGCTTGGCTTCGATATCATGGTGCATCATGTGCTCCCCCATTACCTTCGTGACCTGTCGTCTTGTGTGCCTCAACTGGATGCGGATGTTTTTACAGCTACATGTTGTATGTATTCGGTACCATGTTGGTATTGTATTTCCCGGCCGACTGTTTGCACCTTGGGACCTCGGCTGGAGCTTTCTCCCGACAGCTCGAAGCTGGGTAACGGAAACGCCGTTGCTGAAACCGATTCATTTCGACACAATTACAAATATGCTCGGTCATTGAATCATGTAATCTGCCCTGTCCCTTGATTTTTCTTGTTTCGTTACCTCGAGTAAGAATTTCCACTTGTCGTGTGCGTTTGGTTCCCGTCTGGAGCTCTGATGGAAATGGTGGGGGTGTTGGGTTGTGTGGGGGATGCACCTTGGGGCCCTGGCGGTCAGGTAAGAGCGGGTCCAGTCGCGGGCAGAAAAAAAAAGTTGCCAGGGGCGCCCTCCTCGACTAAGAAACGCAACGGGCCGGATGATTGCGATCTCGAGACGTCATCTTCACAGATTCACCAACCAAACACGATGCCGGGCTCAGCAATGAAAAAGCGGAGGAGGCCGGAGGACGATGCACATGCGACAAAGAAGAAGGTCGAGTTTCGAGAGGCACAACAGGCCGTCGCGCCTTCTTTCTCGGTTACCAAATTGCGAAAGCCGCAGGTGTCTCCTCCTGTAGTAGGTGAGGCTCCCCCCAACAGTCCTGGCTTTTCACAAATAGAGAACACAAACCCTAACTCTCAATATAGCCCTTACGCCCGGAATCTCTCTCCCCGACACCTTTCCATTCAATGTTTACGAAAAAGACGAACAGCCCGCTGTAAAGCGGCGAAAGGGCAGCGCCCCACCTCCGCCTTCCGAGATGGCACTGCACTCCTCGTCGCACAGGACCGTAGATTATACCGCTCGGGAGGAGAGGTTGAAGAGCGTGGATACACTACTCAACCACTTCCTTGCCGTCATCGATCCGCAGACCGGGGAGGTAGAAGTCATCCAAGCCAAAAAGATGGTGGTTCGCGGGACAGTCCGGTCGAAGCAAGCGCCAACGGAAGCGATGGAAGTGTCCAGTGGCAAACCGGTACGACTTGGATTTGGCGTTGAATATGGTTTGAACTCAACACTGACGGCTTTGCAGACGCACTCGGAGATGAAGATGGAACTGGGCGAAACCTTTGGCACAAAGAAAGCAAAGAAGGCGATCCAAGCGGTTGCAGAGAATGCTGAGCTCGCTGCCAATTCGCGCGGCAAGCTAGGCGACAACGACCGCGCGCTTGTGTACACCATCCGAGACTCCAGTCAGCATATGTCAACCCGCGAGGAGCTGCAGGCCGCTGTCGACCTGGCCCGACCTGTACCGCGGGGCAACTTCGACGCAGACGAGATTCAAGACGTCTATGTCCCGGCAGAAATCATTGGCGCTGAGGTGCTCAATGCGATTCCGGTTATGGATTGGCAAGAACAAGTCAGGAATTTGGAAGCGGTGCAGGTCCCTGCTCGCTTCGTCGCACACCGTATTGTTCGTGTGGCTGGCAACGAGGACGACGTACAGAGGCTGAAGCTCCTGCGTTATCTCCTTTGGGTTATCACCTTTTGGACGACAACCAAACAAGGCAGGGAGCGCGGCACCAAGAGCATAGCGAGGAGAGACGACCTGCGGGAGGCACTTGCGCCAGCCCCCGAGATGGTGATCGAGAACATTCGTCGCAAGTTCTCGGACAGTGGAGTGATGCGCAAGGCGCATATTGACTTGCTCATGACGCACTGCTGTGTTTTTGCAAGCATTATCGACAACTTTGAGGTCAACACTCTGGATTTGAGGGAGGATCTGAAACTGGAGCAGAAGCAGCTGAACCAGTACTTCTTGGAGATCGGTGCTCGGGTCAAGCAGTCGAAGATGGGTGACAAGGTCAACCACCTCGCCAAGCTCGCCCTACCACTGCAGTTTCCGAAGATGCGGCAGCCAGCAAAACGAAGATGAGGGGGTTTGATGAGTATTGCAGCTTTCTTACAAGTAAGAACGTAGTGCTGTTCTATGTACGTACAATGACTGAGCTCGTTGGTGCCCTTGATTGGGCCTGCCAATGCGCAAGCCTCATAGGTTCGACGCTGGAAGGGGAATGGTGGGCCACCCGTCCAAAACCGGACCTCGCAGAATAACCAATGATCTGAGACAACCGAGCTTCCTGCAACTTGATGGCTAGGCAAATCACGAAAGGCATGAAATCGCAGTATCAAACCACGCCGACTTCTTTCCCGGCTCACGTATTATGTAAACCTGAACTGCCTCGCAAAAGTGAGAACTTCAAACACTGCTCAAAGTGAGCGGGGCTCCGAGGTTGCAAACATCCCCTCCGAGCCCCTCGTCTGAGACCAGCAACCAAGCAACTTGCGCGGCCAGCACAGCGATCCAACCCTGCACGCCAGCCGCCCACCAGCTTCGCACTTACCACGGCAGGCAACCTAACGGGGACCGCTCCGGCCGGGGCCGTAGGGCTGATCGGAAGCCGGGTTGTGATCCCCAACCCCCCCTGGTCAGCGGCACCTTGAGCCGCATCAACCACGTGGAAACTTGGCTCTCCACAGCCCGCCCGCCCGCCGTCAGTCAAATCGCACACCATGACGCCATTAGTATTTCGCGATCACCACGTTCGCGATGCGCTTGGAGCGCGTTTTCGAGATGGGTTTGCGATAATGAATTACGAAAGCGCCGGTTCAACCTTTGGGTCGCGGGAGTTGCAAATATGATAACCAAAAGCACCACAACCGTGTACGCTCTATGAGAGCATTTGCCTTGCGTTTTTGTGCATCATGGCTTTACAATCGCTAATTGTCGTTCGCGACGCGGTCGCCGTGACTGAACTCGTCGGTCGTGAATTGCGAACTTTTGGAGGTGGTCATGAGGCGTTGCTGCCTGCAGGGGCGCTGTGACCCACTTTAACCCGCCGTCTCACGTTAATGATTGGCCGCATCCCGAGAATTCGCAGCCAACCGGCCTGCGCGAAGCAAGAAGAACGCGCGAACCGCTCTCCCTCGCTCGCCCTTTCGATCGTGCTTCCGGTGCACTCCGTTTTCTCTCCTCTTCGCCTTGGACCAAATCTATATCGTATTTTCATCGCAAAGAATTGGGAATAGGGTCTCCTACTTGTTGCTCTGGATCGGTATATCGCCTGCGGCATCCTTTCATTCGGCCGACGACATTGCCGTGTTCCATCTTCCCTCCCACGACTCCAACACCGATCGCCCTCTTGTTCAGCGTGCCTTGGCAGATCATCCCCAGCGCACCATTTCGACCAAGTTTGCCGTGTACATCCTCTCTAGCGATACAGTCCCTTCGCATCGACTTTGTCCATCGTGTTGATTGACGGAATTATCGAGCGACGTAGGTGCATTTTTTCGTTGATTCCCCCTCCTCCCCTCCCCCCAATCATCAAAGGGAATGCTCCTCCCGCGTTGCCCGAATGGTTCACATTAACGCGTTATTAGTAGCAACCTGTTGTATCCATGATACCGACATCACCGTGTTCTTGAAGACGTTGCCTGTGTCGGCTTTGCCGATTTTGCGTTTCTTGTAGCCGTTCAACCTTGTCATCACGTCCGCTATTTTGTCAGTCTCAACAGGTCGACCATGCCGTCGAAACGGAAACGCGATATCCTCGAGGGGTTTGATCCTAACAAGTCGGATCCCGAGGATGAGAATTTCGACCCTACCGATGACCGTCCTCAGCCCAGGAGCGCTAAGAAGTCACGCTCATCGAGACTAAAAGGACCCCGAAAGAAGTCCAACAAGTACAGGGGATCCGACATTGATGATGACGATGAAGAAGTCTCCGACAGTGGAAACGACGAATCCTTTGGCGAAGAAGAGGACGAGGAGGAAGAGGACGAGGATTTGCCCATGGGTGCGACGGGCAGAAGAATGAGGAAGGCAGCTGTCAAACAACAGTCCTACAAAGAGAGTAGTGAGGATGAAGAGGATGTGATCAAAGACTCTGATGGGGGTGACGATGACCCGGAAGATTCGACCCCAAAGAAGCCAGCTGGCCGCCCCTCCAGGATTGTGGTTCTCAAAACGAACCCGCGCGCGCAGCGAGCATCAAAACGCGGGAAGGAAGAGTCTGCGCCACCTTATCCGCCGGCTCGTCGGACGAGAGCTCGTACTGAGGAAGTAGAGGAACCGTTTGTGGAACTGTCAAATTCTGGAAGGCACGCAAGACCAGCAGGCGCTTCCCGCAGCAAAAGCCCCGAAGCCATGGCTCGGACAATGCGCGCTAACCGGGGCGGGAAAGGCCTCAAGAAACCACCCGCTCCCATCGAAGAGGCGACGCAAGAAACTGATCCTAAAGACGACCCTGACCAGGCTATGGATTCTCCGGACGAGCTTGCCCTTACTAAGCGCGAGGACGAGCCGGACGACCAAGGAGGAGAGGATAATGCAGGTCAGGTTGGGGAGGAACCCGAGGATGCCGCTATGGAGGATCAGCAACCAGAGCCTGCCCAGATCGAAGCTCCAGAAGTAGAGGGGGACGATGACGACGATGACGACGATGCGCCTGTCACTAGGCGAACTAGGGCCTCGAGAGCGAATGTCTCTGCGCCAGCCGTAGCCGAAGAGACTAACACCGAGCCGGAAACGACGAGGGGCGGTCGCCGTCTCAGACAAAGATCGGGGCTTCAAAACAAGAGCTTACAGGAGCCAAGTAGTGACTTTGAGCCCGGCGAAGAATCCGGCGAAGGCGAAGGCTCCGGCTCGGAAGCGGCGAAGAATGACGATATTGGCGGTGACAACGAATCCACTCCGACGCCTCGCGGGCGCGGCTCTCGCGCTCAAAGCCGACGGAGTCGCCGCAACAGGCAGGATTCCGGCGACGAAGAAGTCGAGCTTGACAAAGACGAGATGGCAGAGGAGCTTGAAGAACTCAGAGAGAGCTCCAGGTCGCGCCCACGTCGCACTCGCCGCCGATCACCGTCAATTCAGTACGAGGAGCGGACTTCCAATAAACGTCGCACAAAGCCGGTTAATTACAGCATCCCTGCAATTGACCCTGCCGCGCTCGAGGTTGAAGATGACGAGGAGCCGGTTGCGACACCCGCGAGGAACCGCAGAGCTGGCAAGGGTGGTGGCGGTTTGGCTTGGGAGCGGACCCTCAATACCACGTACGGCCCGTTCGGCGGTGGCGGTGGGGCTGGAGCGCTGTTCGGTGGCCCTTGGGGGACTGGAGCAACGGGCGGTGTGGATTCGGACAGCAGCGACGATGAAATGGTGCAGCGGTCTGGTGTTGGCGGCACCGTCGGCATGACACCCACAACAGCTGCGCCGCTTGTCGGTCTATTCAACACTGCCGGCCAAACCCATAACGCCGATGGCGTGGGAGGCATTGGTGGCACCACGCCGCAGGTCGGCAAGGTCAAGAACCAAAAGGCATTTGCCGATGCTGACCCCCTGGGAGTCGACCTGACCGTCGACTTCAGCAAGGTCGGAGGCTTACAGAGTCACATCGATCAGCTCAAGGAGATGGTTCAACTCCCACTCCTCTACCCGGAGCTGTTTCTCAAGTTCCACGTAACCCCCCCTCGGGGTGTCCTGTTCCATGGTCCACCTGGCACAGGTAAGACCCTCCTTGCCAGAGCCCTCGCCAATTCGGTTGGCTCTGGCGGCCGCAAAATCAGCTTCTACATGCGCAAGGGAGCGGATGCCCTTAGTAAGTGGGTTGGTGAGGCCGAAAAGCAACTGCGGCTGCTGTTTGAGGAAGCGCGGAGGACGCAGCCCAGTATCATCTTCTTTGACGAGATCGATGGCCTTGCGCCCGTGCGGTCAAGCAAACAGGAGCAAATCCACGCCAGCATTGTCTCGACACTCCTGGCGTTGATGGATGGTATGGATGGTCGTGGTCAAGTCATCGTCATCGGCGCAACAAATCGTCCTGACAACATCGACCCCGCCCTTCGTCGGCCTGGGCGTTTCGACAGAGAGTTCTACTTCCCCCTGCCTGACTTCGAGGCTCGCCGGTCTATCATCGATATCCACACCAAGGATTGGGGCATTTCGGATGACTTCAAGAATGGCCTCGCGGAAAATACCAAGGGCTACGGAGGTGCCGACCTCCGGGCGCTTTCCACAGAAGCCGCGCTCAATGCAATCCAAAGAACATACCCGCAGATCTACGGCTCGAAAGAAAAGCTGATTGTGGATCCTGACAAGATCACAATCCATGCGACCGACTTCATGATCTCAGTCAAAAAAATGATTCCCTCCTCCGAGCGGTCAACCTCGTCGTCGGCTTCGCCTCTACCACGCCTGGTCGAGCCACTCCTGAGGAACCAATACAGGGCCATTTTGAGGGTTTTGGATAATATCCTCCCACGACCCAAGAAGACTACCGCTCTCCAGGAAGCCATGTACGAGCCGTTTGAGGATGCGGACCATGGCTTTGGTAGGGAGGCCATGCACCAGGAGTTTGAGCGCTCGCGCATCTTCCGCCCCCGGCTGCTCATTTCGGGTGTGCCTGGGATGGGCCAGAATTATTTGGCGGCTGCTATCCTGCATCACCTTGAAGGGGTGCATGTACAAACGATGGACCTCGCCACACTACTGGGTGACGGACGGGTAAGTTTTTTCTTCCAGTGTTGATGACAAGGTATATGCTCACAATGCCATAGCCCATGGAACAGGTCATCGTGAGTCGGTTTACGGAGGTGAAGCGGCACAAGCCAAGCGTCATCTTCGTCCCCAGTGTCGATATATGGTGGAACAGCATCACCGACGCGGCCATCACGACATTTACCACTTTGCTGCGGAGCATACCGCCGTCCGATCCCGTTCTTCTTCTGGCGACGTCCGAATGCATGCCTGAACAATTAGCGCCCGAGATTCTCAAGGAGCTATTTGGCTTTTCTAAAAAGAACCGTGCCGTTGTCGAGCGCCCGGAGCGAGTAAGTTACGGGACACTATAAACCAACATATGGGACAACGCTAATTAATATTCCCTAGGAAAACCGACTTGAGTTCTTTGACAACATCATCGGCCATTTAAGGAAGTCCCCAACCGACTTTCCAGATCCTGTAAATCGCAAAAAGCGGGTTATCGAAGAACTCCCAATTGCGCCGCCACCGCCACCGAGAGTTCTGACCAAGGAAGAGATTAAAGCTCAGCGCAAGGCTGACTTGCACTCCCTCAACCTTCTGAAGATGCGTCTGCAGCCGATCATGGACCAGATTCACCGCAAGTACCGCAAATTCAGGCAGCCAGTGATTCCTTTCGCGCAGATAGCGTATCTGTTTGACGAAGCCGACCCCAATTTCGTTCGAGCCGATATTGTCCAGACTGAAAGCAGGCCGTACGAGATCGCGAAGGACAAGGAAGGCACTGATGGTATCCGGGAGACGGCCACAGGAAAGTTCTTCTACAACTTGGAGAGCACCACCATCGAGGAACGCCTAGCGAACGGCTACTATGCCAGACCCATCGACTTCTACAAGGACATCAACAGGCTGTACCTCGACGCCAAAAACGCTGGTGATCGAGACAGGACACTCAAGGCGAATGAGCTCCGCACCAATGTCGAGGTTGATGTGCATGACATTGGCCAGACCCTTGCAAACCAGGGTATCAGGTTCGAGGAAATCTTCCAGAGGCAGCTGCAGAGGGTCAAGGAAGCCGAAGAGAAGGCCCGCAAAAGACAGGCGCTTCAGCCCGTGGTTGATCTGATCCAGTCCGATATCCCAGGCGATGGCGATAGTGACTCACAAGGCCCAGTGGGCATCGGACTTCCCCTGACACGGGCTGTGCGGACAACAACCGCGGCCAGGTTCCAGCCGATCATGAGCCCTGAGTCTAATGGACATTCGGACATGACTGGCTCGCACCGGTTGACTAACGGCACGTCGGGATCTCGACCCGAAGGCGAGGACGTCCACATGGGCGGTCTGGATGACGACACACAACCCATGCCTGACCTGGCTTCGCCTCTTCAATGGCCTCATATTGGAGGTCGCCCGCCACTCGGAGACTCGACCAGGGCAACCGCAGGGACGCAGTATTCGCAGCGCTCAGCCATCACCTCGGTCCCTCCTGGCGTGTCCCCATCCGCCATCCTTAATGATGCGTCAACCACCAAAACATCAGAACTGTCCACCAACCGCGGGTCCGAGAACTGGAGCACGCAGCGCACCGACACGCAGCGGACTAACGGTGGTACGGCGCACAACCCAGACGATTCGTCCCTACTCCTCGACACTCAGGTGCACACCCAAGACTTGGGTCAGCATCAGAGCGGCCATTCCACTCTTCTCAGCCAGTCAAGCTCAAGCGGCAGGGAATGGGCACACTCCCAAGCAGCCGCCATGGCTCAGGGCATCCTCCAACCCCGGATGGGGATGGGCTCCATGGGCCCACCCCAAGGCAGTGCTTCTGGGTCCATCCGGATCTCAGACGACAATATCCCCTCCTCTTCTCAGCGCCCGGTCCAGAAGCCCTCATCCAGCGCGGGTAGCATCCTGAACGAGGAGCACCATAGTAACCACAATTCCCACAACGCCAGCGGCGGTAGCGGCGGTAGTAACAGCACCGGTCCCGGCACGCACACTCCCAACTCCGGGTCGGGGTCCGGGTCCGGCCCCAGCGCAACCAGCGGCAGCAAGGGAGGCCCCGGCACCGCCCTCGCCTTCTCCGCTCGCGGCCACAACTCCCTCCGGCAATCCGGCTCCAACGCATCCTCGCAGCAGCCCGTCATCCACGACGGCAGCCTCTACGACTTCCTCCAGACGCTGGCCGACCGCACGTCGGGCTGCAGCGTCGAGCAGCTGGAGCAGATCTACCGGGAGCTCATGGACGAGATCTGGAAGACGCGGCACGAATGGAACCGTATGACGGTTCTCAACACGCTGATTTCGGTCTTCAACGATACCATTGGCGATATCGAGCTGGTGCAGGGCGCGCTGGTCGACAGCCAGAAGCAGAAGGGGGGCAAGGGCGGCGACGGGGACGGGGATGGCGAGGTGGTGGAGAGCGTGGAGGGCGGGGTTGGGACGGCGGGGTTCGTCGGCTCGCAGAGCCAGAGCCAGAGCCAGGGGCAGGGCAACGTGGCGGAGGAGCCGTGGGTTTATTTGGGGCGGGCGTGAAGGTGACGGGAGTGAGTGGTAGGGGGTGTGAGGGTGGTTGGTTTGTTTGCTGGAGAGCGAGCGAGCGTGTGAGGCGGGCGAGGAGAAAATGGCGCGCTATATTAAGGGTTTTTTTGTTGTCTACTGCTGGGATTCGTTTCTCCTACTCATAGTTCCGTGGATGGGATTGGGTGGCTGGTTGGTAGACTGCGTTCTTTCCAGGTCTTGAGTTTCCTGGTAATACTTGGCTTGAGTACGAGCTCGCTCTTGCCAGGCAGAGCCATGGTTGCATATTCTGCGTGCCTGCCTGGGGTTATATTAGCATTATTATCGTGATTCCCATAGTTGTTGAATTTGATTGTCAAGATCGTGTACCAAGATCATCTGCCTGGATTCTGTTGAACGTGGTTCAAGCTTTTTTACTTTGGTTCTCCCGTCAGGGTTCGAGATGAAGGACTGTTCATAGCAACTGCCGAAAAGTGAAACTTGTGTTTGTCCTTGGACTTGAGGAACATCTGCTCCCAGCTTTTAAGAGCTACGTCTTTTAAATAAAGGACATATTTAAATTCATAGGTTATTGCTCTTGAACCTTTAACAATCGTTCACATCATTCTTACACTAAACCAGCATCGGAAAACATGATTCAAGCGATGGCATAGCCAAGGACTAACAGGAGTACATGCAAGGGACATATTCGAGATCAATGTTGATGATACTGGGTTGCCTTGAATGGAAAGGAAAAGGGGGGAAAGGCCGAAAAGAAAAGAAAAAGAAAAAGAAAAAATGGTAGAAACAGAAACCCTATGCTCGACAAGCTGCAAATATTAACCTCGTTCTCAAGTATCACGAAATCGACGTTTTTTTTACCACATCAATGACAATTTATCAAACTAAATCTCTTAACTTTTCCCTTCCAAACTCCAAATACAACCAACTCCCAACAATACAAAGCCAAATCTATATGCTCCTACGAATTAACCTCTGCAAACCAAGTCCTCAACAGCGCCGCCAGCGCCCCCGGCAAATCCTCCAAGTGATGCACAATCAGATAATACGGGAACGGGAACGAATCCAGGTACCGGTGAATAACCGGCACGCCGTCCGGCCCGAACCTCGCCTCCTTCAGCTCCAGCACACTATGCCCCTTCTTATTCTCGCGCGCATCATCCATAACAATAAACACCACCATGACCCGCTGCTCCATCGCCTCTCTCAGCAGCGGCCGCAGGCGGGCGTGGTCCCTGCTCTGGACGAGGCCGTCGGACAGGATGAGGGCGAGCTGCCAGAGGTCCTCGCCGCCGGCCGCCGACGCCTGCGCGAGCCGGGCGTCGCGGAAGTGGTCGATGGTCTTGCGCAGCAGGCCCACCATGTCGGTGCCCTCCTGCCGGAAGGTGAAGCGCTGCAGCACGCGCGCGCCCGTGTCCTGCGAGGTGAAGGACGGGTCCGTTAGCGCGTGCGCCACGAACACGTCGGTCCCGAACCCCAGCACCCCGATCTGCCCGGCCTCGAGCACCGTCAGCGCGCGCGCGACCATGACGAGGGATTCCAGCGCGAGGTTGCCCGACGAGGAGCGGTTGTCGTCTGACATGGAGGAGCTGTCGTCGACGCAGAGCAGGATCTGGTAGGCGCGTTTGGACGGGATGGCACGGCGCATCCAGATCTTGTCGCGCTTGTAGCTAGAGGCGATGTAGGGGATGATCTTTTTGATGTTGAGGCGCTTGCCGGTGCGGAATGAGCCGGAGAGTTTGGTGGATTGGGTCGGGGCTAGAATGAGCCGGAGTTGGGAGGAGAGGGATTGCGAGAGCGCTTGCGTCTTGCTTTGGAAAGCCGACCACATGTCGAGCGCTTCGTCGTAGTCACGGAGGGCCGTCTCGTCCTCCTCGGCGATGTGAGTAGCCAAGAGCTGAGTGGATGTCTCGTCGATTTGCTCATCGTCAACATCCTCGGGAGCTTCAGCCCGGGGGATTTCGTCCTTGTCATCCGTCTCGTAGGCTCCCTTGCGTGTCGCGACACCAGAACGACCTTCTTCGCGGTCGTTCTTGGAGGCATCCTGTGGTTCAGGCGGTTCAATGTCCTCCATATCCACATCCCCGCCCTCCTCTTCTTGTTCATCCTCTGGCATAATCTGGTTATTACCCTCATCCATCTCGGTGTCGACCGCCATGGCATCGTCCATTGGGCGAGCCTCCTCGTTGGTGGCAGTTCCGAGAGCCTGGGTATCGGCTTCGGCCGTTTCGTCTTGGAGATGCTGGAACTCGGCCCGCGCCATGTCCTCGGCTGACTGCTCCGTCTTTTCTTGACTTTCCGAAGCAGCCTGGATTTCCCGCTGATTGCGATACCATCGATCCAATGCATCACCAAGCTTCTTGAATGGTTGTGCGTCTCTCGAGTTGGGGTCCTCAGCTTCGTCAGACGGTCCTTGCTCTTGATCCATGCTCGAAAGCGCACCCTTGTTGCCCGGAGCTTTATCTTCCTCGGCCGATTGCTTGCCGAGGGCGCCTTGCTCTTTCTGACCGGATTTGTTCTCAACCTCATCGTCCTGCATGTTGGCATCCTCGGCTTGGCCGCCTCCGTTTTGGACGTCGCTGGGCGCGACATCGTCCTCATTCGCACCTGTTCCGTCGTCGGGCAGCGGAGGCTTCTTCTCGTCCTTCTCCTCTTCTTGGCCCTCATCTCCCTGTTCTTCCTCCTCCATCTCCACATCCATCTCTTCCTCCCTATCACCAGCCGCATCAACCTCCTCATCCTGTTCTGCCTCTTCCTCCTGTATGTTTTCGTCCTTCTGGTGTTCCTCCTCGCCCTTCTCCTCATCTCCGCTTTGAGACATATCCTCAGCCACATCAGCCTGCTTCTCCTCAGCCTTCTCCGCATCGGACAACCCATCCAAGTCATCATCCTCCTCCCCGCTCTGCTCTTCTCCGTCGTCAATCTCAATGTCCATATCCTCCGGCAACGCCAGGGTCTCATTCTCCTGAACATTTTGGTCCTGGTGATTCAGCTCCTCCTGCGGCATACCCTCCTTTTCTTCCCCTGCCTCCATCTCCGCATCCTCGTCCCCTTGCTCCTCACCGACCTCATCCGGCGGCGCATTCCCCTCATCCTGTTCATCTCCCTTTGGCTGCTCCTTCTTCCCCTCGGCAGCCGCACTCTGGTCCTCATCCTTCTTCCCCTTCTCCTGATCCCCCATCTGATCCTTCTCAGCATCATCTTCGCCACTGCCATCCCACATCTTCTCGTCCACCGCCGTCGGGTCAAGATCATCCACATCGCCAGCCTGCTCGTCCATCTCATCCTCCTCTTCCTCCTCCCCATCCTTATCCCCGTCCTTCTTCTCCTCATCCTCATCCTCGCCCGCAACACTGCCCATATCCCCCTCCAATTCATCGTCGCCCATGTCGACAGCATCCTTGTTCTCTTCGATATCACCCTGGGTCTTATTGTTCGGATCCTGCGCGAGGTCGGACAAGTCCTCGTCGGCCTTGATGTCCTTGCTGATATCCTCTGCGCCCTCGCCGTCTCCGAGGCCGGTGCCGCTCTCGACGTTGCCGGACTCGCCCGATTTCTCGTCGCTCTTTTCTTGCGGCGTGCAGAAGCCCTGGGAGGAGATCTGGACGAAGGAGGCGGCAAGCTGGTAGCCGAGACGGCATGTTGTGCGGTGGAGAGAGGAGAATTGCACGATATTTTGGGTGCATATGGTTGAGTACTGTGCGAGGACAGGGTGGATGAGTCGGAGGAGGGCGGATGCGGTGGAGAACTGGTCGGCGGGGAGGGCCTTGAGTTGCTGGATGAGGGATTGGGTCTCTGAGCTGATCTTTGTCACGCGGAGGGCGTCGATAGACTTTTGGAGGCTGTCGCTATAATTGAGGAACCAGCCGGCGTCTTCTGTGGTCAACGGCAGAGACTGGGCGGCCTTCTGGAAGTTCTGAAGCGCGACCAGAATCTTGCTTGAGAGTGTCAAAGCTGCGACCGCAAAGTTGTTGATATCGTCGCCAACGACGCCATTGATAACCTCCGTTGCCTGAATGTTGGTCCATAGTTGGATTTGTTGCACGACAAAGGACAGATCAGGCCTTGCTTGAGCGATCTCTACAAGGCCGGTCCGAAGAGCATCCAACCCCTTCTCCACGTCATCCTGGAGCTTGTCGTTGCCGGTTGAGGTGAAGCCGCTAGGAAGGCGAGGTAGGTTGTCGTTCGCATCATCCAACTTCGTAAACGTCTCAATCCAGCTCTCAAGCCTACCACGGACCGCCGCATTACCCGCACCACCGAGCTTGCCATGAACATCCACCAGATGGACACCAGCCTTGATAATCTGCACCACCCAGCGAACAACCTGGGCGTGGTTCGACGAGCGAGCTTGCGGCTTGAAGTGTACCTCTCCTCCGGCGGAAAGAATCTTGACCGTCTCGACAACCCCATGGAGACCACGCTCGTCCCCAGCCGCGCGAGCCAAGAACTGTCGCTGACGGAACATCACATGCAACACGCCCTCCAGATAGCCGATACTCCTCTGCACCACTTCGCGGTTCAGATCCTCCGAGTGTTCGTACGTGGCATGACGGAACCGGGGTGCCAAGTCAAGCGTCTTGTGGTAGAAGTATTCAATGGCACTCAACGCAGCATTGTCGATGTGAGGCACAACTCCTGAGCCGACAAGGACGACAGCTGTCGAGCTTTGCTTCTCGAGGAGATTGGTACCGAGATTGCGGCTGAAGCCCATTGCGCGAAGGGTCTTGAGGGTATCGCTGTAGAGGGTGACTTTGCGGGTTTTGAGATGGCTAACGAGGTTTTTGTTCTCGTCTGTCAGAGTGTCGGGTGTTTCTTTTCTCAAGGCAGAGATGGATGACGAGAGGTCGGTGATGTAGCTGTCCAATGTTTCGGCAGCGTTGATGCCGGCCGTGGGGAGAGCTCCATGCCTGGACATGGCCTTGAGGACAGCAGGGAGATTAGACATTCTGGCCCAGTGTGGGTGGCTTGCAATGTCTGGGAGTGCCCGCTGGCAGAGAGTAACGGCGCCCTGGTCAACTTGGACTTCAAGAGGCTTCGCGCTAACTTCCAAGACCGCGTTGTTGTGGACCTCCTCGGGAAGCCCCTGATCCACCATGGCCTTGATAGGTTGTTCCAACACTGCGCGGAACTTGCGCACAAGCTTGAAGAGTTTCTGATGAGACTTGCGTGCGCTATCCCGGAGCGACTCGATGTTCTTATCACGCCACTTCGATAGCAAAAGGACATCCTTCATGCTCCTGTCAAGCGGCGCCCTTCCGGTATTGATCGTCTCGCCGACCTTGCGTTCGTAACGGCTGTAGAAGGTGATGAAGTTTTGCACGGCATCACAGACCAACCCTAGAGCAGGCTCATCCAGCACAAGTTGATCCAGCTGGTTCTTGAGTTGCTTGAGTAGATTCAGACGGGCACCAAACTGACCGACACTCGCACCAGCGAAGTACGACTCCAATATGCTTAGTAGCTTGACGGTGTGGTCCTTGAGATCCAGTCCCTGCTGCAGGATAGAGCACGGTTCGAGAATGACAGCGCCGTAGGCGATGAACCACCATGACTTGGCGTCCTCGTAACTCTTCTTGACCTCGGCGTCGAGCAATCGTGACCAGCTCGACAGCTCGAGACGGCGCCAGTCACAAATTGTGTCCCGCAGCTTTTCGTACAATGCCGTCGCTTTGTGTACCTTGCTGGCCCAGCCGCCCTCGTGCCATTCATAGACGTGTGCATGCAATCTCTCGATGGCGGTGATGATACTAGCGAGGGGGTCGTCAATCGCCATCTCCAAGACCTTGTCGCACGCCATGACCACATCGGCGAGGGTCTGATGGTGGCCGATCTCGTCAATCCCTTGGAGTTCTAAGAATCGCTTCTTCATTGAGTTGACGAGCCCGAGGATCTTGCGAACCTCGGAGAGATTGGCGTCCGTGTAGAAGTTGTAATTGGTGGTGCCGATGTTGGAGCTGAAAGCCCTGACCTGCTCATCGAAGGCTAGGATGGTCGCAGGGAGAAGCATGCCGTCCAGTGCAGGTTCGGCAACAGTACTGTCTCGTTTCTCGCGGGCGATCCGGCGGGCCACCTGCGTGCACAGCCCCTTGATGCTCTGCTGCGGTTCTTGGACCGAGAGGAAGATCTTTTCATGTGCCTCGGCCAGCATGACGGAGAGATCGCGGCCACCGCGGAGGGGCTTCTTGACCTTGGGTACGCCCTCTTCGTCGGGGGTATAGTCGGGGAAAAGCTGGTCGAATTCTTCTTGGTCATACTCCTCTTGATCCTCCAGGCTGCCCTTGAATCTGAACAGACTGTTCTTGGCCTCCTCAACCTTTCGGTCCGCTTCGAGTTTCTTGGTCCATTCCTCGTGGAAAGAGCCTAGACACTCGTGTAGGGATTGGCGTAGGGAGACAGGAAGTTTCTCAAGACCTTCCACCGCAACGACAGTCTGCACAAACGAGAGGAACTCGAGTGTACGGGTCGGCAGTCGAGTTGTCTCAGCTTGCCACACTGTACCATTGAGGAACGGCGTGACTGCAACAAGTGCCTGTGAGTCGCCATCTGCAAGCCCCTTGCTTGAGCCAACCCCCTTCCCTAGAGACAGCCCCATCTTGACACAACGGAGGAAACTGACAAGCGGCATGGTTAAATCCTGGTAGGCGCCAAACCTCGACGTCAAGCGAGCGATCAGTAGCGTTACGTTCTGTTCGACAAGAGCCAGTTCCTCGGCAGCGTCGGCCGATGATGACGAGCCGAGAGATCGTAAGTGGGTGGCCGCGACATCATTCCCAACCAGCGCGTTCAACACGTTGTTGAACTCACCCTGTAGGCTGCGGAGCTCGCCACCACCTGGTCGGTAAATCTGCTGGACTGATGGCGGTTCGCCCAGCCCCTCTGCCTCTTCGACGAGGAGTTGAGAGCGGAGACTGGTCTTCTGGCCCGTGAACGCAAGCTCGAACGACTCGAGGGAAGCGATCTGGGTTTGCAGGCTCTGGTAGAGCTCCTGGTGCTCCTCCGCCTCGACCTGTGCGCGGTGGTGCGGGTCAAAGATTTTGTCTGGCACGAAGAGCTCAACACAGCCCAGGGCGAAGCGAATCCAGGCCACAGAGGTCGACGCAGAGCGCGGCTCGAACCCTTTGGCTGAAGCCGCTAGGGCCAACAAGGCCTTAGAAAAGCGCCGTTCATAAACAGCGCCGAGGTGCTGAGCTGAGTTGTCGCCAAGGGCCTCGGGGCATTTGGCTCGCTCAAGCCACGTCCCAAACTCGCCTTCGAGAACGGTTTGAACATCATCGTCCCTCGCCAAAAGACCCTCGTAAATGGCCATTACCCGGCCCCTGCAGGACTCGTCATGCGCCGCCACAACCTCCTCCATCAGCTTCAACAGCAACCGCTCAACTTTGACCAGCGGGTCCGTCGCCAGCGCCTCGGACGCGGCAACGAGGGCCTTCCCCATGATGGGCATCTCGACCTCCAGCGAGCGTAGCTCATCCAAGCTCGCCGACGACGCGGCATCGTACTTGAGAAGCAGAGACTTGGACAGAGCACCACCCCAGGGGTGAACCTCGCTGCTCTCTTGGACAAGAATGCAGTCCACTGCTTGGAAGGCAGTCTGTTTAAGACACTGCAGACGCATCAGACTCGGGGTTGGGATGCTTGCGAGAACGTCCACGTCCGTCGAGCCGAGCTGTATGGCCGTGTCCTGGGAGACTTGGTGCAGGACGAGTGATTGCCTGAGACCTTCAAAGCTGGACGCAAAGAAGGGCTTGTGGGTGGTGGAGTGTTCTCCGATTCTCGACTCGAGGGCGGTGATCTCGGACTGGAGGTCTTTGACGAGGCTAGCAGCGTCTCCCTTGCCGGTGCGGATGAGGGCGTATACGCGCGCCATGGAATCTTGAATGGTGCGTAGGGTGGAGATATTGACGTCGACGCGCCAGCGCAAGGAATCGAACCGATCAGCCAGGCGCTCCAGCTCCATCACTTGCTCCAGTGTCTGGACGTCCGGTATCGGGTCTGGCCGCAGTCGGTGCCAGAGAGCCTCCATGCCGAGACCACTCGACAGTTTGAATCCCACGACAAAATCGCGCTCCAGGAACCCAGAGAGCATGGAAAGCAGCTTTTGATCGCCGTTGCCTTGTAGAGTAGACAGGCTATGCTGCAGGAGGTTCGACCCCTGTGTCAGATGGGCTTGGAAACGCGCTTCCTCAAACGAGGGGACGATCAACGACTCGAAAGTCCGCTTCCAGAACAGCATCAGCCGTCTGAAAACCGAACGGCGCTGCTTCCAGGCGCCAGGGTTGTCTGACTTCTCGCAGATAAACGCCTTGGCCGCGCGGAGTACTGACGAGAGGAACCGGACGGCATTAACCGTTGAATCCCGGGAGAGCGAGGCGACCTTGTCTGCGACCCAGGACCGCTGGAGACGGTTCATTGAGGACGGTTTGCTGACATTGACTTTTCCAAGCTGCGCCTCCATCGCTTTCTCTGAGGTTTGGATGGCAAGATAAAGCTCGTAGCAGCTGGCAAGCCAGAAGACCAGCCCTTCGTTGCCCTGTTCCAGGAGAGAAATCATGGGTGAGTTGACCAGTGGATGGAGAGGCATCAACATCTTGTCTGAAGACGCGGCGTATATGTTCGCAAGAGATTGTCTTAGGGGCGCGGCATCTTCTGATTGAATGTAAGATAGCACTTGGCCCAAGTGCTGGATGGCCGCTGGCGAGCGTACTAGTGATGGCGAGGAATCAGCCAGTGCTTCGCGGGTGGCTTGCAGGTACGCATCAAGTTTGTTGCTATCCCCAAGGGACAGAACGTCGAAGGCGAAGGGGACAAGCTGTCCGTTTTCTGCTTGCCGGTCCAAAATTCTGGAAGCGGTATGGAACCTCTGCAAGGCGCCATCCACTGGAGCAATCCTTTCCACGGCAGCCGTTCCCGCGGGCAAGGGGTCAAGATAAATTTCAATCGAACGGTTCCTCATAGCCCGCGAGAGCTCGCCGTATCGAGGATCAACCGTCAAGAAGATTCTGAAATCGGGGTGTGGCGTGATGATTCTCGGTTCCCCTCCTGGGCCGCTATGCTCGTTGATGCTCAGGATGCCATTCGGGCGTTCAAGAAGCGAGTTGAGTCTGTCAAGGACGGACGCGCTGCATAGGTTGGCATTGTCCAGGACCAGCCAGGCGCCAGATTCGACGGCGCGCACAATAACACCATCCAGCCACTCGAAGCGGGGGTTCTCTAGTGTCAGGGGCTTGTGCAGGGCCTCGGAGGCTTCAGAGAGGAGGGCAGCAAGAGGCTCTGGGACGGAGACATCCGTTTGCAATGCCTCAATAAATGGCAGAATGCCCTCATATTGGTCCGCCTCTCCGGTCAGCGAGTGGAGAGCAGCCATGAGGTCGACAACGGCATTAGGAACCGGGTTTGGAAGAGCTAGCAAAATTTGCTCTTGGAGTGCTTGCCGTACTTTGACAAGGCAAGCTTGAACTTCCCGATGAGGATCCGCTTGCTCAAAGCCGCCAATGAGGTCCATGGCATCGACGTCGGCGTTGAGTGGGAATACGACGAGAGACTTCCCCGCAAGCGCAGCAACATGTGCCAGAAGCGTCGACTTGCCGCTGCCGGAGGGGCCGACAAGGATACAGGGCAGGTCTTGCTCAATCGAGATCATGACTGACTCGATTTCCTTGAGTCTTGGTACCGTGTCGATTTTGGGGAAAGGAGTCGGTTGCGAGAGCGGGTTTCTCTTCAGAGTGGCAAGCCCGACCTGGCCAAAATAGGGGTTGATATCATGATATAGGCCGTGGTTCTCGGGCGCCCGTTCAAATATTTGAGCAAAAAGATTGTTCACCTGCTCTCGATCTCGCTCCGTCCTAAAGCGTTGCCGAATGATCACATCCAGGTAGTCATCGGGCGTCCGTCCGGCCAAGAGCATGTTTTGCGAGGTTAACAGGTCGCCCCAGCGCAGGGTATCTCTGAGGTTGAACTCCCAAGGTGATCCCAGAGCACCGAATGATCTTCTGCTAACGACTTCATCATCAAGCCTGGACATGAACTCGATGAGCCGCTGCTGGGTTTCGCCTCCAATTGTGCTGAATTTCTTGGCGGTGATGTGAAGCAGGTCCTGCTTGGTAAAAACGTCGGAGTAAACAACGATGAAGCGGTTGACAAAGGAACTAGGCAGCCCCTTGCGGCCGCCGCCCTGGTGATGAGGGTTTTGAGCGGCGAAGAGCTTGAAATTCGGGTGACGTTTGAAGACCTGGTCTAGTTCTGCAATGTAGACCTCTCCACGGTGGTCAAGGCAAGCATTCAGACCTTCGAGAACCGTTTGCGAGGCAAGATTCATTTCCTGTAAATTCAAGTTAGCCATCGTCTCAGAAGCAAACGAAACATCCTAGCGAAACTCACATCAAGCAACACCCACTCGCCCTTCTGCATCGCCTCCAGAAACGGCGCATTCTGCCACACGAAGTTGCCCGCCTCTGCTCCCTCAACCGGCACGTCCGTACCGAACAAATCCATCAAATCCGTCTGATCGGACAAGTTAATCCTCGTCAACGGCCGCCCACAAGCCCTCGCGAGCGCCGTAATCAGCGTTGTTTTACCCACTCCAGGGTTACCCTCCAACAAGATGGGCTTGGTCCCCTGTAGCGCCCTGATGACACGCATGGCGTTCATCTTGGTAGTGGGCACGCTGAACTCGTGCCCGGCGTCGATGGTGCCGCCCGCCATGGACCTGTCGACGGCAAAGTCGCCGATCGTGAGCAGCTTCTCATCGATCGTTACCTGCGGTTCCTGGAAATAGGGTTGGGTGAGATCAGAGCCGCAAAGGACGCTGAGCTGGTCGATGCACATCTGCCGTTGAGAGGCCATCTCTTTTGGATCGACGGCTACAAGAGCTGAGGGATTGGCACCGATGGTGTCGATGAAGACCATTGCTGCGCCATGGAGCAGGGCGAGTCCAGAGGAAGGGAACTGAGAGGCATTCATGAACTCAACCCAGGACAGGATGTCTCTGACCGAAAAGGCTGTGGCTGATGAGGGGCGGAAGGTCTTGCCGAACCATGATGCAAATTCGACGATGATGCGGGAGATAGGCTTGGACTGTTTCTTGTTCCCGCTACGGGGCTTGAATTTGTTGTCGAGCTTGGAGAGTACAATGTCGTGGACGTCGTCGACTTCCGAGAATGCTGGCACCCAAACCTCGGTGAAGCGGTTCCGTAATGCTGGAGAGAGTTCTTTCTTGCCGAAGTCACCACCTGGGTTCATGGTGGCGAAGAATTGGAAACCTTCGGTGGCTTGAACGAAGGAGTCGGTGATGCCCTTTTCGGCGAGGAGGAGGCTGCGATGGGGTTCGAGCACCGAGTTGAGGCGCTCAAGAACCGAGTCATCTGCAAGCGAAATTTCGTCGAGGAGGAAGTAGGTTCCCTCCTTCATGGCGTGGACAAGACTGCCATCACTCCATTCAAAGAGCGCCTTGCTCCGCGTCGTGCCCGCATGAATTTTGGAAGTCAAGGATTCGGGTAGACCATTCGAGCGCTCTTGAGGGGAAAGAGATCGATACCACTCCTGCAGAGCCTCAAACGAATCGCCGTCCGGCCTTCCCAAAATGGCCGCTGCCTCCTTAAGATCCCGGAAGAGAGCGTCCAGAATGGCCCCACGGTTTCTCACTGGTCTCTGGGAGCCGATGAGATCTCCAGTCTCAGTGTTTTGGTGAGCATTGACAATGTGCAGTTCCTGCTTTTCAAACTCAGCAAGCAACTGGCAGACCGTAGTTTTGCCACAGCCCGTCTCGCCCACCAACAACACGGGCTCGTTGTTCTTGACGGCGCGCTTCACCAACACATACAACCGCCGCATTGCCCTGGTCCAGATGACGCCCTGGCTGTTTCTCGCGCGAACATTGCTGAGCTCAGGGGCCGTCTCTATGTCGTAGAGGCGAGCGGGATCGATGGTGACCTTGAAGACCTCCTCGATAACCTTCTTGACTTCGTCACGCTCCTCATCTTTGCGAACACGCTCTGCGAGCAACATGAAGCCATGTTCCGCGATTTCCTGACGCGTCTCCGCCTCCCGCAACGCCCAGCGAAACAGGTCTCTGAGCGTGGCAAAACTGTTCTTTTGCTCGAAGACGCGGCTCTCCTGGCGAAGACGGGTAAGCTGCTTATAGACGGACACGATACGGCGGCAGTCGGACGGCGCGGTGTTGCGGCTGCGCTTCTGCAGAATAGTCTCGAGCTCGCTCTCGGGAATGTCGTCAAAGTGAAGCTCCAGGAATCGGTTGCGGAACGCCCGAGAGAGGACTTTTCTCCCTCCGTACAAACCTGGAGGGTTTTGCGTGGCGAAGAGACAGAAGTTCTCTGCGGGTCGCACAATTTCTTGTGTCTCGGGGATCAGGAGCTCTCTATTATCGTCCAGAAGGCGGTTGAGAGCTTCCAAAACGTCGGTAGGCGCCAAGTTCAGCTCGTCCAGCACGATCCAAGATCCTTCCCTCATGGCTTGGACGAGCACACCCTCCTGAAACTTGAGTTTGCCTTCCGAATCGGATACATATGTTCCCAGGTATTCTTGAAGGTCAGTGTGCTCGTGATTGTTGATCCGCACGAACTTGTTTCCAGTGTAGTTGGCCAGATACTCAATCATGCTTGTCTTGCCGGCTGAGGTCGGCCCCTGAATCAGGATGGGGTATCTGCGAGTGGATGTCGCGCGGACCAGGTTCAACAAATTTCGCTCAACGTACGGCGTGATGATGTAGTCCTCCCTCTCCTTCGGCATCTCGTTCCCTTGGAGCAACCAGTACTGGTGGTCCTTATTCGTGTTTTTGAAGGAAACGTAATTCTTCCCGTCAGTTGGCTTTTTGGGCGGCAGAGTGAGGATGTTTGACCGCTTCAGCAGATGCTGGTGGATCAAAGGCATAACCGTCCGCTCCGACTCCTCGCTGAGCAATGTTGTAAAACACATGCAAAAGCCTTCGTAAAGCGCCCGTTCTAGGCCGTAGAAAGGAGAGACGTCGTTGGCGTACGTCAAAACGCGGGTCAGAGTGCGCAGACTGAAATGCGGTACCTCGTTCGCCTGGTCCACCAACAGCTTGAGCTCTGCTCGCTTCTTGATTTCGAGGTAGAGATCGGCAACATCATCAGCCACTCGGTCGATGTTACTGTTGTTACCCCTGAGGTAGGTCTTGATGATGGTAAGCAGGTCCTTCTTATCCCGGTCCGGGCTCCCCACATAAATCTCGGTGAATCGAGACCTCAACCCGAGCGGGAGATCACGCTTGCCGACATCGGTGGCTGGGTTCATGGCTCCGAACACGCGGAAGTTGGGGTGCGCCTGTATTCTCTCGATCTCTCCCGTCTCGGAAAGGAGAAGTGAGGGTGTGGTCTGGAACAGCCCCGCGATGCTTTCAAGGGTGTCGGGAGAGGCTAGGTTGATCTCGTCGAGGAGAACCCAGTCGCCGTTCCTTGCAGCCTTGACGATTTTGCCCTCGACGAACGCGAACGCGAACCCGGCGGAGCCGCTCGCGATCTGTCTGTCGAACTGATCGAGGCTTTGAGAAAACAATGCCCAACGGGGCTTGAGATCGTGCAACCGTTGCAACTTGGTGGACTCGGTCCGCCGGCGTTTCGCCGGTTGCCCATCCGTAGCCTCGGCGCGGCTTTGGCTATTGTTCAGCTGGGCAAGGATGGCCTCAAACATCTTAGGAGCCTTCCGCCACTCCTTCGAGACCTCTTTCCATCGACCCTTGGCGAACCGCTTGGAAATGCGTTCCAAATATTCCCTGTTCTTCTCGGCAGAAACACCCGTCCTCTCAAGAAGGTCCTCAAACTCCTCCTTCAGGGGCATTGCAAGGCTCTGGGAGCTGACAGGCTTGAAACCGCCCAGAAGATCGCCTGCTTCACTCTGTTGTGACAAGTTCACAGCGACTAGTTGGCGCCCGAGGGACTCCGCCAGCTGCTGAACCACGGTTGTCTTGCCAATACCAGTCTCACCAACTAGCAGGAGAGGCTCGCGGTGCTTAACGGCAACGGAGATCTGCTCAAGTAGCCTCTTGGCATGAACTGTGGTAGCGAACGGCCTTTTCGACTTGGTGACCCTACTTGTCCGCCGCGGCTTGACAAAGGAGGCACGCCCGATTGTCAGCCTAGACTCGCTGTCCTCTAGGTCCGGGATGTAGCTTGTTAAATAATGCTGCACTCGTTCGGAAGAGAGATGCATCTCCTTGGCGATCGCCGCCACCAAGATCTTGCGGGCCGTCGGCTCATGCATACTGCTGACGAAGCAGTCGACGGCCTCGAGGAACATGCGATCTCTCGTCGTATCCGTGATGGGCTCGTCGCCAGTCTTGCAGCCGGCCGCTCGCAGAATGTCGTCGAGTCTGCTACACCATTTCAGGAGGTCCCTTGTACCGATAGGGCGGTCCAGGGCGGTCCGGCCGAGAGACAAACGTGTTGATCCACTGGTGCAGGCGAGGAGCTGGTCGAACACGGCCAACACACCGGGCGTGTATTTGTGCAACATGGGGTATCTGCCGATGATGACCTCTTTCAAGTCGTCCCGAGGCAGCGCCTTAACATGGAGCAGATGCCAAAGACGCAGGCCGATCAAGTTTGGTAGATTCTCCCTGTCGTTCATGCCCAGCTGAGTTCGGACGGTAGCAAACATCCGGAAGCCCGAGGCTGCCTGGATCCTTTCCCCACGACCAGGAATCAAAAGCTCCCCGCGTTCGATGAGCGGCAGTAGCGTGCTCATGACCTCGGTTGGTGCGCGGTCGAGATCCTCGATGAGCACCCATCTCCCCTCCCTTACCGCAGTCGTTAGGACACCCGGGCGCCACTGAAAGGAGCCGGGTTTCGAGTCTGTTGTGTACAAACCGAGAAGCATCTTTGCGTCGGTCTGTTCGTTGAGGTGTAGCGTCACCATGTCCTTTTGTTTGCCCAACTCCCTCGAGATCTCGTGAACTAGGGACGTTTTACCGGCCCCGGACAGGCCATGTAGCAGTACGGGTCCCGGCCGTTGCAACATGCTGCTGAGATTCTCAAGGTTCTCAATAGTGGTCGGCGTGAGAGCTAGAGTGCTGGGGGTGTTCACAGGGCCCAGAGGCCGAGGGAGGACTGTCTTGCCATACTTGACAACAAGAGGTGTTAGATTTTGCATTTGGACGCAGGACTGAACAGAGCCAGACTCAATGACCCCGTCTGCCTGAAGACTACTGCGAAGACGCCGGGTCTCTTGGTTCCTTGCGTCCTCGTACAGACTCAGAAACGCATAATCCGCCCTCCTCCCGTCCAAATCCGCAACGAGACTGGTGTCCTTGGGGATATATCTGGCTAATAAAGCCTCCATCTTCTGGTCCGAGGCATCATGGAGCTGGCAGAATAACCTGATGGCGAGGTATCTGACTGTGGGGTCCTGATGGGCATAGAGTGACTGAAGCTGGGAAGGTCGTGACAGGGGCGAGAATGTTCGTTTGTCAAGATTGTTGAGCCTCCATAAAGAGAGCAGGACGATGGGAAGGTCTGCATCTTGGAAAGATGTCAAGTCAAGGGAACCGAGTGCCTTCACTCCGATACCTCCTCCCACTTCTCGTTGAAGATGAGAGATGAGAAAGACAGACAAGGATGGTGAGAAGGGTAGAGTGCGGGCAAACGATGCGAGCACTCTCACATCGAGTTTCGGATGAGACAAGACCCATCTAGCGCAGATATCTGGGAATACGGATTCGAAATGGGTGAATATCCTGTCTGTGGCTGAAGGGACGAGGGCTGCGTTTGCGATGGCCTCTAATAATTGAGTTGAGCTGCGATCTTGGATTATGAGCAGCAGTTCGCGGGGCAAAAATTGTATTGTTGCCGCATCACCAAGGAGAGATTCCCTCTGCCGGCTCACGTCGATCGTGGCCATCCTCGGCGTCGGAAATGGCGTATTTTTGTCGATATGACCTCGTGTGAGTTGCGACTTGCAACTCGATGCCCTCTTTCCCTTCTCAACTTTTTTTTCTTCATTCAGAAAATCAAAGGTGGGGCATCTCCAGCAGCTGCATGGGTGGGTTGCAGACGGGAACACCCCTGTCAAACAGAGCACCCCACCCCCAGGCACTGAGAGGCCCAGGCTGGATTGGATGATGAGGTTGTTGGTCCAGCTGCCAGCCACCTGGCCAGCCGGGGCAACCACTCACGCCGGTAGACTTTTCGAACGACGGCCGAAAAAATCTCCGGGATTCTCGACAACAGCAGCACCCACATCGAGGCCAATCCGCACGCCCGACGCCCCAACAGGCCGATAGCCCGCCGTTTCTCAGCCCCCTCCCCCCGACTCTTCAGTTCTCCCGCCATGTCGCTCTCCTGCAGGTACGCAGCCCAGTGCTGCGCTCGCCAACTCCGCGCGAGCAGCGCCGCTCCGATCCGCGCATCGAGCTCCCTCCTCCAGCAGCAGCAGCGCGTGACGCGGAGGTACAACTCGACCGAGGCCGCCCCCGCCGCCAACCCCAAGATCTCGGCCATTGTCGACCAAATTAGCCAATTGACTCTGCTAGAGACAGCAGACCTTGTCTCGAGCCTGAAGGTGCGGAAGAACAACCACACCCAGTAGCGGGGGCGGCAGTAGCAGCAGCATTAAACCCCGCCAAAGCCAAGCCGTACGTACTAACATGACACCCCCGATTAACAGACCCGCCTCAACATCCCCGACCTCCCCGTGGGCGGCTTCGCCGCTGCCCCGGCCGGCCCCGCGGCCGCACCAGTGGAGGAGGAAGATGCCGCCCCCGCGGCGGCCGAGAAGACGCTCTTCACCGTGAAGCTGCAGTCGTTCGAGGCCGGGTCCAAGCCCAAGGTCATCAAGGAGGTCAAGAACTTGCTGGGTCTCAGCTTAGTAGACTCCAAGAAGTTCGTCGAGAGCGCGCCCAAGACGATGAAGGAGTCCGTACCGAAGGACGAGGCCGAGAAGATCCTGGCGACGATGAAGGAGCTGGGCGCCGTGGTTGTCATCGAGTAGAAGAAGGACGGGCGTATCAAAGACAGGAGAGGTGTGGTGCCTGCCAGGAGATGGGCTGCCGCTGCCTACCTAGCTAATGGTCAAAAGGCGGAAAGAAGGGCGCCAGGACCAAGGCGGGCCGAACCGGCATGTTACGATTACAACTAGCCTGTGGCTTTTCCGCTGCATGTACAAAAAAGCATGTAACATTATAACTCGAGATATACCAGTCAGTCTCAAACTGTCTTGGATAGTGACTGTTCGAATTGGTGTATTCGCTCTCTATTCAAACCAAATATCGAGATAATATGCTTGATTCAAAGCAGAAAAAACTAGCGCATCCCCCCAACCATATTTATCTTAATGAACGCCATTCCAGGATTTTACCATACTAACCCCTCAACGCCACGCAATGCAGTATCCGATACCCACATCCACCAGACGCCGCCTTAATGCGCGCCATTAGCATCCTCCTTACGATGCACACACCGCCGTGCCTCGAACTCAGCCTTCCACTCTGCCCACTCCTCCTCCCCCATGCGATGGTCATCCTCCCCAAGATCGCTGGTCTCCTCCCACAGCTTCTCCATCTCGGCGTCCTCGCCGGGCGGGACCGCCCAGATGTTCTCCCGCTGCCGCTTGTGCCGCTCCCGGTCCTCCTCGATCCGCTGCTCGGTCTGCTTCTTGTCTAGCTTCGGCGGGGCATTGCCCTTCTTGTTGTTGTTATAAGGCGGCATCGTGCGGGACGGGGGCATGTCGCCGAGGTTGTCGGGGATGCCGTCTCCGTTGAGGGGGGGCGAGGACATGGCGATGTCTTGGGCCGAGGCGTCGCGCTCTTTGAGGACTTCTTCGATTTGGGTTACCGCCTGGGCTTCGAGGAAGGTTTTGCTCTGGAGGGCGTGGAGGACCTGTAGCGAGTCGGTTAGTATGTGGCACGATGGCGGTGGGGGGGCAGAAGAGGGAGGGCTCACCTTCCGGACAACCTTGACGTTGGCCGCCCCGGACCCATCATCTGGCGCTACCGCGTCCACCACACGGATGATGTCGCGCTGCATCATGCGCACATAGTCGTCGTAGCCGTCCTTATGGGCTATGTCGAGAAAATGCTCGATGAAGTACATGATATTGGCTCGCGTGTTCATATTATTCTGCCGCCCTAGTCGTCAGCCAACAGCGAACTTGTACCTCTTGGGAGGCCGAGTTTCACTGACCCTCTCGAGCTGTTCCAGGATGCATGAGTGCAAGTCTTCGGCCATGTCTCGGTATTTCAGAGCATACTGTGCTGCCTTCTGTGCCGATGTCACCGACGCGTTTAGCTGGCGAAGCTGGTTGGTAAACCGCATGCGCACTTCAAACGGGTCGGCCATTGTGTCGTCCTTGGCGGTTGTCCGTTTGCTTAACTCTTGCTGTCGAGTGTTGGGGGTGCTTTGTAGGGACGTGACGGCATTGGCTATGGAGCGGGATTGATGTTTTTATCTGGTTTTGTAGCGGTCGGCATGGAAGCTCGCGTTAGGGAGGTGGATGTCGCAACAGGGTGCTCTTAGAGCTCCCCACCATGTGCCTGGTGTTGCCGGGACGAAGTTCTCTGGCTCTTGGCGCTGTTGGCAGCTGCAAGCTCGGCTTTCCCGTCGAGTCGTCTGCGTCTGGGCTTTCGGTCGCAGAAGGCTCTGCCCTCCCTTTAGGTTGGTTGTGACGAGTTTACAGAACTCTCACTAAAATCATATTCAAGGGCAAGGAAAAAAGAATCAGTATAAGAATGGGGAAGGAAACGAAAGAATGAAGATATCAGAAGCTCGGTACCTCCGAATCGAATGGAACATCTCATTCGTCACCAAGGTTATTTTCCGACTTTGACGGGAATCTTTACACTAACCCGTTTAAGTAAGCGGTGAGCCGCGAGCACTGCGGGGGAGGGGTTCTTTCGCCTCTCCCCCAAAACTTTTTGGTCCGAAGTTTAGATAGGAAAACTTTGTGAAACGGAGGCAAGATAGCTGAGGTTGTTTAGAATATCCCAAAAAGTTTCCACTCGTCCCATGCGTGTAAATATTCTGGTTTCGCTCGCGGATTGTGACATTGAAGCCGGTTGCCCATAAGCTCCTTTCCTTGAACCGTTAGTTACCGAACTCGACCCGCTCCATCCTCGAAGGGAATCCTTAAAGGGGATCCTCTTAACTTACTTACACCCGAGTCTCCTTTGCCTCTCCGAACTCGGGCCCCTCCAATTTCGACACAACGCCACTAAATCACCACCAAACCACCATCACAAACACAGATAACAAGATGAGTGCATCACAGGACGGCAGCTCTTCCGAGCTGACCGTGGCCGTCCTCGGCTGCGGTAGGTGTTCCCTTCTCGGCTTTGCCTACCTCGCAAAACTAACACGCCCCAGGAACAATGGGCATCGCCATCCTCTCGGGCATTCTCGCCTCGCTCAGCGAGATCCAAGACGCCAACACCAAGCCCTCCGTGTCAGGCACCTCCACCCCGCTCTACGAAACCACGGCCACGACCCGCCTCCCCTCGCGCTTCATCGCCTGCGTGCGCCGCCCCGAGTCCGTCAAGAAGCTCAAGGCGACCTTCGCGCCGCACCTCTCGGCCGTGACCATCGCGCAGAACGCCAACGTGCCCTCGGTCCAGAAAGCCGACGTCGTCATCCTCGCGTGCAAGCCGTACATGGTGCAGGAGGTGCTGTCAGAGGCCGGGATGGCGGCGGCGCTGGAGGGAAAGCTGCTGATCAGCATCCTGGCGGGGGTGACGGAGGCGCAGATCGAGAGGACACTCGCGGCGGCCAACGGGGAGCGCGGGGCGGTCGGGTGCCGCGTGGTGCGGGCGATGCCCAACACGGCGTCGCTGATCCGCGAGAGCATGACCGTCATCGGCATCTCCAACCCGCCGCTGGACCCGGACACGCTGGGCCTCGTGACGTGGATCTTCAAGCGCATCGGCGAGGTCGTCTACCTGCCGCCGTCCACTATGGACGTGTGCACCTCGCTGTGCGGCTCCGGCCCGGCCTTCTTCGCCCTCATGCTCGAGGCCGCCATCGATGGTGCGGTTGCTATGGGCCTGCCCCGCGCCGAGGCCCAGCGCATGGCCGCGCAGACTATGAAGGGTGCCGCGGGCCTGGTGCTGAACGGGGACCACCCCGCGCTGTTGAGGGATAAGGTTAGCACCCCCGGCGGGTGTACGATCGGAGGGTTGTTGGTGCTGGAGGAGGGGAGGGTAAGGGGTACGGTTGCGCGCGCGGTTAGGGAGGCGACCGTCGTGGCGAGCCAGCTTGGGCAGGGCGTGCAGGGGGTGAATGGGACGAGGTTTCCTGGGAGTCAGTTGCAATAAGCGGAAAGGGTCATAGGACAGGCCTGGGGTAGAGACATAAAATGTTTGTTTCCTTTAGGGTAATCGGGCCCGAGGTATGCGATAGACGATGGTTAAAAAAATGTTTTCAATACTTGAGAACTCATCGGCAAGTAGGTCCCAAATGCCAACCTCCCCCCATCTCAAAAAGGGGTAAAGACTGCCGCACCAAACGCCGTAATGTACACAACCCAGAAGAAATACATGCAATGGCTACACGATATCCATTTCCAGCCGTCATTCCCGAACCTAGGGGAAACGGCGATCCGACGAGAATATTACGTCCTCTGGCCCCAGCATCATTCATTCATCATCAACCCTCGCCCTCTTGCTAGCCAGCTTCTCCCCATCATCCACCGCCTTGCGTTTCCCGTTCGCCGATGACCCATTAGAGGCACTAGCAACAGCCACCGCCGCCGCCTCCTTGGGCTGCTCCTCCGCCAGATTCTTCTGCTGCTCCTCCGCCCTGGCCAGCAGCCGGGCGTAGTCAAACTCGACGCTCGACACCGTCTCGTCGAGCTTGGTGATGCGCTCGGGGATCTCGAGCTCGCCCAGCGCGTCCTTGTTGTGCTTGTATATCCTCTTCTTGAGCATCAGCCGCCAGAGGCGGTATTCGTGCTTCTGGTCCTTGGTCGCGTCGGGCGCCGCCTTCTCCGGGGAAATCCCCGGCTGCACGGGCTCCGGGAGCTTGGACATGAGGTACATCTCGAGCACGCGCGCGAACTGGCGGGGCGCCATCTTGGCCTTGACGCGCACGGCCTCGCACGCCGCCTTGTCGACGATGTTGTTCGGCGCGGCGCCGATTTTGGGGATGTTGATGTCCGTGTTGATGCGGAGGGCTTGGAAGCCGGGCAGCTGGCGCAGGTATTGCAGGTCCGCGATGTCGCGCAGGTCGTCGAAGGCCTCGTTTGGGTCCTCGACTGTGATCTCGGTCGTCTGCGGATGCTTGATGTAGTCGTCGAAGATGTGGCTGTATAGTCTAGGACCTAGGCCCTTTCCTTGGAAGAGGGGTAGGACGATGAACTGGGAGATTCTGTTGCGACATGGGAGTTCGGACAGGTCGAAGTCTTGGGCGAGTGTCGCTTTCTCTAGGTCGGCCTCGGAGGGAGATTGGGGCGGCGTCGGCAACCGGAAGTGGAAGAAGCGATATACTGTGGAGTAGCCGGCGAAGACGTAAGGGTTGATGTCGGCATCGCTCGAGGCTGCCTTCTTCTGGTACAGAAAGAAGACGGTCCACCGGTCGGCATCGGGGTCATCCATATCAATGGCGCTCCCGCCTTCGATATATAGCGGAACGAGGATCTGAACGCGGCTGATCACCTGTCTGACGGCGGGGGTCGGCCAGGTTCCCCTTCCAGATTTCAAAAGCATCGCCCTGAACGTTAAACGACGTTGCAAGCTTTCCTGGAGGAGTCCAATTTTTCCGGAGACTCTTTACCGCCGTCTCAAAATCCTTCTTTTTCTGGAATGCAACATCGGGAAGAAGCTCGCGCAGGATGGCGTCGACATCGGTCGCCTCCGTGTCTCCTATGGCGGCGAACTTTTTGTCGTATGTGATGGACAAGTTCGGCCGCATATCGCTCGCATTGTACCGGAGGTTGATTTCGAGGTTTTGGTAGCCGAATATTTCCTCGCTGTCGCCAAAAATTGAGTATGTGAATTTTGGGTGAAAGCTGTGGCCGATGGTTTTCACTCCCGAGGGAGAAGGGGACACGAGCGACAGGAGTAGCGCGTCGTTGGACGGCGTCGACCCTAGCAAAAGATTAGCTTTTGAGAACAGAGATTTGGATATCCGGAAGACTCACAAGCATCATTCGAGTCCATTTTTGGCGATGTTGTTTACCTCGATTTAAGTTAAGTCTGGGAATGGTTTGTGGAAGCTCAAGTCGCAAACGGCGAGCGAAGAAAGTTGCTGGTCGCAGATCGCGACGCGCTCTGGGCGCGGGCACGCGGGTAAGATGCGCCGTGGTTAATTGAGAGAGAGCTCGGACCACACGACCCCACACAGCCCCTTCCACTGTGCAAATGGAACGCAGGTTGCAGGCTGCCCATGCTTTCTTTCTTTCTACCAATGTTTTTGTTTATTTATAAACAGAAAAGTACTTTCCTGTAGACCCTACCTACCTAATTATTGTCTATTTTTCTGCGATTTTGACGGGTGCAAACACATAGTGCGGTCCCTCCCTCTTTTACGTACTACTACTCGTATGCACAAGTCCTCGGGTGCAGCAGCGCCAGGGGTACCACGAGAAACCACAGATGACGCTAGCCCAGAATGGTCAAGTGTAACGGGAGCGACGGCCTGCGGGGCAAGCCATCTCGGCCGATCTGCCTCCAGGCTGAATCAGGGTCCAACCAACCTGCCAACTTGCCAGCCAAGCCGTTCGAGGAACCCGAGAAAAAACATCTCTCCACGTTGGCAACTTTGTCGACCAACGCCAATGAGCTGACAAGAAGGATCTCGGCATTCCGGTTTTTTAGCAGTGTGTTAATTGATAGCTGCTCGAGATGGCCGGCTTACTATTTCTAATTGCGACTTCCGTGAGTGGCCGTTGCGACCTCGCTTGGGAACATGGACCATGATGGGATGATGCGCTAACTGTTTGCCCCGACAGGTCGTCATGGCCGTGGCGTGAGTCTCCCTTGACTATACTAGCCTTGGTTCTGGCGCAAGCTAACTGATTTGTGTGACAGCTCCTTCCTTGCCGGCGCTCTCCCTTTGTCGTTCTCCCTATCCCATTCGCAACTGCGACTCATCGCCTCCCTGGGGGCCGGGTTGCTTGTCGGCAGCTGCTTGATTGTTATTCTACCGGAAGGAATTGAAGCTCTTGCAGCGGCTTCGCAACAACACTCGCACCAGCCCCCGCAGCCGAAGGGACGGACACTGGTGGGGATATCAGGACGAGCTGAGGACCACGCGAGCCAGGACCGCGAACTGCCCGCTTTCAGCATTGGGTTTGCTCTGGTCATCGGCTTTGCGCTCATGTTCCTCGTCGACCGACTGCCCCGCCATGCGACAGAAAGGTTTCAGACAGCGCCGACGAGTAGGCACGTCAGCCTGGAGGATCTGGCCGGGTCAAGCGTGTCCGGAGAGGAGGAATCCGAAGGCTTTTTGGGCTCCCTTGCGCCGTCGCCGAAACAAAGCCGCAGTCTGGCCACCACGATGGGCCTTGTCATACATGCAGCGGCGGACGGGATTGCGATGGGGGCGTCGGCCACAACATCCAACTTGAGTGTTGGGCTTATCATCTTTTTCGCGATCCTAGTGCACAAAGCGCCAGCCGCGTTTGGGCTGACGTCGATTCTACTAAAGCAAGGCCTCTCGAAGCGAGCCGCGCGGGTGCATCTCATGGTGTTCAGTCTTGCCGCCCCCGCTGGAGCATTGGCGACATATTTTATCGTTTCACTCGTCGGAGGCGACAGCATGGAGGGCGAATCAGCACAGTGGTGGACCGGCATGCTCTTGCTCTTCAGCGCCGGGACGTTCTTGTAGGTTTCGTATCCGGCCCGCTGGACGCCCGCAGGGCGATGTGCTGACGTCTCCCTAGGTACGTCGCAATGCATGCGATGCAGGAAGAGAATAATTCGGCGGGCCACGACCACCATTCGGGCGGAAACGGGTATTCTGAGGGCGGCGGCTCTTCCCACAAGAAGCAAGCCAAACTTCAGATGCGGGATACACTTGCGACAGTAGTGGGTTTTATGCTACCATTGCTGACGCGGTTCGGCCACCACCATCATTAACATGTACCAAGTACGTTTTGTATTCTGGGTTGGGCGTTCTGGTTAGAATAGCGAGCGTGCCATACTTGGGCATGAAAAATGGCGTGGCTTAGAGCGGGCGTTCTGGATCCAGCGTTTCACACCAACCACGATGGGTTGGCTCACTTGGTTTATCGTGAATGTGTTTGAAAGTTCGTCTGAAGCGAACTTCTCACTGTCCGTCATCTAAACAATTCACAATGCATTTATACGCGGGCTGTCGACACTCGCATCTCGCTTTTCGAAGCTGTGCTCTGTGGTAACACCAGCTGCAGTGGCCTTGGGTCGCTTGATGACGCAATCTCTTGAATTGTCATTTTCGGTGCCATTTGCAGTCGAATGGCCAGGCTCCGGCGAAGCGAAGAACGCTCCGACTGAGGCTAAATGTGACAGCGGCCCAGGTAAGTGGAGACGTTTCAGGCACAGTCCTGGCGCCGCTGCCGGTTGTTTCAACTGATGGACAAGATGCGTCTGACCTTGATTGCGTCGTCAACAACGAGATCCATGAGGCAACACTTTTCGGTCTCATCTCGAATTATCAGGACGGCACTGACAAACTTTGAGGATGGCGTTGTACAGATCTGTCAATCGTGCAAACTGTAAATCATGAGACAAAGGATGTTCATGATCTGGGCCTGCCCAATCCACTATTTTGGCTGGTGAGAAGGCATGCTGGCAGTGGCTGGGTTTCTTATTTCGGAGTGATAACCGGCAAACTGTCTTGTGTCCTATCAAACTGGCAGTCGCAAACATTGACTGAAGGAAACAGAGAGGATCTGCTCAACACCTGGTGCATCTCTCATCCCATTCCATTTCGTGCGCCTGCATGCATCGGACGGAGAAGAGCGAGGCATGACAAACGGACACAGCAGCAATCTCGATGCAGGCTGATGCAATCTCTCACGGTGCCGTGTGCCTTGGGTGGGTAGCGGCACAGCCCGACACCGCACATTGGGCCCAGAAGTTGGGTAACCTTCCGAAGTGCCAGTCGTCGGCTCCATTCCCTGGGGTTGTCCTTGCTGGCCGGTTCTCCAGCCGTTGTCAAATGCCAGCATTGAGCAGCCTTCAATCTACAAACAAGTATGTACGGAGTGTAGGTTGTTCGCCTGTCTCTATAATAGGGACCCTGAACCCAGCAGCAACTCCGCTTGGGTTTGTCGATCCACAGGCACAGTTGGTTAAGGACAAGGTTTTGGATTATTATAGCTTTTTGGGCAAACTCCGCCGCTTGGAAGAAGTCGCGGTGTAAATGCTGCAACGCGCTCAGACGGCGGCGATGTTGGCGGTCTTGAGATCCATGGAGGGAGTGTCAGTTGCCGCAAAGTGGATGCTGACATGCAGGACTCGAGGGCTGGAACGGCTGCGAGTGGAGAGGTTTCGAGGACAAGGCCTGCTGTGCTCCGCTGCTGCCGGGCGCTGTTGGACTTTCATGACAACCGAACGAAAAAGGCTGCCCAATATGCCAACACAAACCTGGAATGACAAGATGAGGCCCGGGTGACCTGGTAGCGAATGCCCTCAGCGAGACGGTGGGTTTTCTGTCACAAAACCAACGACCCAACCCACCCACAAACCCGTCGTGGTGAGCGTGGCTCCATTTGATCAAGGGTTGATGGAGGGGGTTGTAACAGGTGGCGGATGGGCAAGGGCTTTGGGTGCGGCCCTGGCGGCGTCGATAAGTGGGTCCGTGCCATTTGTGGGGCACCTCCAGACACTGGCAGAGACCCCCTGGGCCTGGCCGGTCAGCTCACTCTTCATTCGGCGCATGGGAATTCAGGGAAGAGGCGCCCCTTCCCGCCTCGTATTTCTTCCCCTTCCTCAGCCCTCGCACCCGAACCCAAAGCAGTTGGCCCTTCTCCACGACCTCCCTTGAACCCCGCGAACTTGACGATCTGGAAGGGCATTTTCATGGTGTAACACGCGTGTTTACACCAGACCTTGCCATCCCTTCCTACCTACCACTCTCCCTCTCGGCCAACCATCGGCTCAGTGCCCCTATTTCCTCTTGACTCCCTCCATCGTCGGGTTTGTTCGTCACCTTCGTTGCGACCGACCTCGAATCGGATTTCAAACCCCGGGCTGTTGATCGTGACCTGCTCTCTTTCCCAGTGGACGACCCCCCGCACGCGTGCAGCGCATTTGTGACTTGCTTAGTTACCTGCAACATCGATTCCGAACCATCACGATTCGAGCCGAACATTCCGACGTCATACCCTCAAAGTTATCCCGCTTGACGATCGGTTGTCTGCACTCCCCGAGCTCGGTGAAATCCGACCTGGGTGCTCATCGTTGATCAACGGGGCGTGACATAGTGGTTGCAGGTCGCGATTCCGCCGTTTCCCTTCCCGCATATCGAGATGCCGCCATACAACCGGCCGATTAGCTTCTCCGAGCGAAGAGGTGCCGTCTTCAACGAGGAATTGTCGTTGAATACCCACAATGTGAAACTATCGCAACAACGGCCAAGGGGGCCACCGACACCGAGCATGAGCACACCGGCAGCCGACTTCGAACAGGTCACTGGCTCGCCACCACCCCCGCCGACACCTGCGGCCTCTCCCGGACCGTCGCACTCGAGGCTGAACTGGAGCAATGCGGGAGAGGGCGAAGAGGCATATCTTTCTGAGCTGCGAAAATACTTTGTGCAGTGCAATGGTGGCCAGAGGACTCGGCTGCTGGCGGATCTCTTGAACCTCTGCACCAGCGGGCAACTGAGTTTTGTCCATCAGTTTGTCAGCCCCCTCCTCAAGAAGGACCCCTTTACCACACTCCCAGATGAGTTGTGCCTTCGAGTGCGTTGCCAACCTTTCGACTATGATCTGGGACCCCGCGACTGACGCTTTGCAGATCCTTTCCTTCATCGATGACCCGAAAGTCCTAGCCCGCGCGTCCCAAGTGTCGCGGAGATGGCGGGATTTGCTAAGTGATGACATGACGTGGAAAAACCTGTGCGTGAAACATGACTACCAGCGGCGGTTATCCGAGGTTCAACAGTCGTACCTGCCTACCACGGCGAGGCCCGAGGACTACTCATTTGGCCAACAAGACGAGGACCAAGCAAGCCAGGGCTTCTCCGCTGCGCTCACATCAACTTCGCTACCGGCCACGTTCAACATGGATTCCAATACGCGACCCGTGCTTCGGACCTACAAGTCGCACTTCAAGCAGAGGTACCTGGTTGATGCAGCTTGGCGGACCGGCGGCCGCAACGTGTCACGCAACATCACACAAGACGGCGGCGTCGTTACGAGTCTGCACCTCACCTCCAAGTATATCATCGTGGCTCTCGATAATGCCAAAATCCACGTGTTTGATACTGAGGGGAATGCCCTCCGCACATTGCAGGGCCATGTGATGGGCGTCTGGGCTATGGTTCCTTGGGACGACATTCTGGTCAGCGGCGGGTGCGACCGTGATGTCCGCGTTTGGGACCTCTCCACTGGGTGAGTTTTGCTTTTATCCGATATGACTGGGCGTTGCTAACCACCGTCTAGCGTATGTCTGCACACGCTGCGGGGCCACACCTCCACCGTTCGCTGCCTTAAGATGTCAGACGCCAACACCGCGATATCTGGGTCCAGGGACACGACCCTCAGGGTATGGGACATCAGGACCGGGGTGTGCAAGAACGTGCTCGTGGGTCACCAAGCGAGCGTCCGCTGCTTGGAGATCAAGGGTGATATCGTGGTTTCCGGGAGCTACGACGCAACGGCCAAGGTCTGGAGCATTTCAGAGGGCAGGTGTCTGCACACGCTCCAGGGACACTACAGCCACATCTATGCCATCGCTTTCGACGGACAACGAGTGGCAACCGGAAGCTTGGACACAAGCGTCAGGATATGGAACGCTCAGACTGGGTAGGTTGTTCTCGGTCACTGCATGCTTCTGCCGGTTGGACTAACTCATCCTTTTTAGCGAGTGCCAAGCCATTCTTCAAGGGCATACATCGCTTGTGGGGCAACTGCAGATGCGTGGCGGCACCCTTGTCACCGGCGGCAGTGACGGGTCCGTGAGGGTATGGTCTCTGGAGAGGTTCTGCGCCATTCACCGCCTGGCAGCCCACGACAACAGCGTCACAAGCCTGCAGTTTGACGACACCCGGGTAGTCAGCGGCGGTAGCGACGGGCGGGTCAAGGTTTGGGACCTCAAGACAGGAAACCTTGTCCGCGAGCTGGTCACCCAAGGCGAGGCAGTCTGGCGCGTTGCTTTCGAGGAGGAGAAGTGTGTGGCTATGGCGTTGAAGAATAGCAGGACTGTTATGGAGGTAAGCGGATAACCAGCCACCCTTTACCCCATCCCCAGCAGTTGCTAACCCAACTATTAGGTGTGGTCCTTCTCTCCTCCGGAAGAGATGCTGCTCGACGAGCAATCCATGCTGCCTCCGAAGCGGCGGCTCGAAGGACCGGTACCTGACCGGCCGCTAAGCGCATTCTCCCTGGATTACCGAGGATCTGGCTCCGCAAGCGGGATACAGGACGTAGACATGACGGATGCCGGGCCTTCAACAGCGCCCCTTCAACAGAGCGGCCCGACCTTCTTCCACGACGAATAAAGTGGCGTTATCACGGATATATTGCGGCGAGCACATTTCTTCATTTCTTATTTACTCGCAGATACCCCCCTTCAAAGCAGCTCGCAAGCACGGAACTTGTTCGTTTCCTCGTTGCACCGACCGGCAGGCGACATACGGGGATACGGTACCAAGTTCAATGACACAGAGAGAGATATGGGCATTGTTACGGCGTTCCAAGTTACACACAATTAGCATGGTTTCGGCAAAGATATCAGGGTTGCCATTAGGCAAACAAGCATTGGCGGGATGAAATTTCAACTTTGGGCTCGACTTCGGATTTTACAAGGTCATCGTGTGGGGAGTACTCGAGGATTATACATACACGTTGCTGATGTTGAGATCATGTGGGGATTGGCCTCGTGTTAACCCGGCGTAAGTCCCCGCGGAGTTCGGACTAGACAGTGTCAGTTTATGTGTGTATGGAGTGATTGTAATGGAGTGGGCTATTGTCCCGAGTGTGCTTGGTTGTGTTGCTCCCCCTCCTATGGTCTTAACACCAGCTCGGAATATCAACCAGCTTCGGTCATCCCCACTATATAGCTCCGGTTTTCGGGTCAAGTAACTCGGGTTTGGTGGTTCACTCATTGCTTATAAATTTTTGATAATGCAGTCAAGGTGGTGTCGCAATGGGTTGACCCCTAACCCATCGAATTGTCCCGAATGAAATCCATGTTCATTGTGAACTCAGCTCTCAAAGGTTTGATGATTAGACGCAAGAGCAATGCCAGGTTCCACGTTATCTCAACTTTGACAGTCCCCACTTCGCAGATCCTGGCCGGTCCTCTCCGAGCTGTCACACAAATAGCGCGAGGGTCCGATGGGCCCGAACAGCCCAGCCCCAACCCATGTTAACTCTCCCAAACAGGCTTAGCTCGGGTTCAACAAGCATCATTCAGTTGCCCCAACGCCAAAAACTGGGCCGCCCATTTTCTCAAACTGCGGCAGGGCCAGCTTTGCAGCGGAAGCAGAACTTTGCGATCTCGCATCTCCACCGTTTTTTGTTTTCCTCTTCTTCTTTCCCGTTTCATTCCTCCCCGTCTCCACCTCCACCCAGTCACACATCACACAATGTTCTCGCGAGCCGTCCGGATACCGCGAGTAGCGCCCCTCCGCGCTGCTCAGCGCGCCCAAGCTGCCTCCATCGTCGCTCGGAGGACCGTCACAACCAATGCGGCTTCGGCAGAGGTCGATAAGAGCTCAATTCCTCAGGTGAGTCCCGGAACAGGTGGCCGCCGTCTTTTCGGGGCCAGTGCCATGGTTGCTTGGGTTTGCGATGTTTCCGGATTTTGGCGGACTTGGGTTGGGCTTGGGCGAGGAATTGGCGCTTTGCTAACCCTGCTCCGAATAGGCCGAGGATGAGACTTTCCACATTAAGCTCAACGATGAGAGCTTCGAGACTTACGAGCTCGACCCGCCCCCCTACACGCTCGAGGTGACCAAGAAGCAGCTGAAGGATATGTACCGCGACATGGTGGTTGTGAGGTAGGCTTTGACAGCTCAGGATCACCGCATAGCTCAGCCCCGCTGACAGTTGTGTCCGATAAGGCAAATGGAGATGGCTGCCGACAGGCTATACAAGGAGAAGAAGATCCGGGGTTTCTGCCATCTTTCCACCGGCCAGGAGGCCGTCGCCGTCGGTATCGAGCATGCGATCAACAAGTCGGACGATGTCATCACTTCGTACCGGTGCCACGGCTTCGCCTACATGCGCGGCGGTACCGTCCGCTCCATCATCGGTGAGCTGCTTGGCCGTCGTGAGGGTATTGCGTACGGCAAGGGTGGCTCCATGCACATGTTCACCAAGGGCTTCTACGGCGGCAACGGTATCGTCGGTGCTCAGGTTCCCGTCGGTGCCGGTCTCGCTTTCGCCCAGAAGTACACCGACAGCAAGAAGGCTACCATCATCCTCTACGGTATGGGCTCCCCGTGTTGTGTCGTTTTTGAGAGCCGTATCGCTGACTTTCCATAGGTGACGGTGCGAGCAACCAGGGTCAGGTCTTTGAGGCCTTTAACATGGCTAAGCTCTGGAAGCTGCCCGCTCTTTTCGGCTGCGAGAGTGGGTTCAGTCCTCAGTTTCTACTCGGTGACAATGGTTTACTGACGACTACGCAGACAACAAGTACGGTATGGGTACGTCTGCGGCGCGCTCGTCGGCCCTGACGGACTACTACAAGCGTGGACAGTACATCCCCGGTCTCAAGGTCAACGGTATGGACATCCTCGCCGTCAAGGCCGCCGTCCAGTACGGCAAGCAGTGGACGGAGGAGGGCAATGGCCCTCTGGTTCTCGAGTACGTCACCTACCGGTACGGCGGCCACTCCATGTCCGACCCCGGCACCACCTACCGCACCCGTGAGGAGATTCAGCGCATGCGGTCGACCAACGACCCCATTGCCGGCCTGAAGCAGCACATTCTCGACTGGGGCGTTGCGCAGGAGGACGAGCTCAAGACCATCGACAAGGAGGCTCGCAGCCACGTCAATGAGGAGGTCGTCGCTGCCGAGGCTATGGCCCACCCCGAGGCCACCCCCAAGATCTTGTTTGAGGACATCTACGTCCGTGGCAGCGAGCCGCAGTTCATCCGGGGTCGGACGCCGGATGAGGCTTTCTACTTCAACTAAAGGATCATCTGGAGCCGAGTCTTGTGTGTTGATGGATTAAACCAGGGGGGACGGATTTATGCCGGAACTGCGAGGTTCTAAGCGTTAGGGAGTTTTTTTGTACATTATCCTAATCTGCTATAGAGCCTGGGACGGTCCTGAAATTGAGGTTCGGGAATGGGAAGCCTTGAGATTTACAATTTCTGCCTGGTCCCATTGAAATTATACCTGTACTACTTAAGGTGGTGGTGAGGTAGTTGTTGCTAGGCTTTTGTCGGTGATGCTGCCCGCCTCCTCCGGTTGTGGTTCGGACGGCTCCATCTCTTTCAGGTTGATGCGCTAGTCTCACACGCCGAACCAGCTCATGTGACCCGTGCCACTTTACGCGCAGCCACCCATGCCAATTCTGGCTGCTGCCTTCGCCAAAAGTCGCGTCCGAGCGCGTCACGTCAGTCGAATTGAGCCGTCCAATTCATTGCAGCCAATGCCAGGATATCGAGGCCAATTGCGCCTGCCACTATCTGGCTCTCTGCCTAATCGAGCCGTGTTGCACTGCCCTCGTGCCAATTTTCTTTTTTCCTCCTCTCTTTCTACCTACAACTTGAACTCCGCACATAAAAATCTCGAGAACAGGAGGGGGTTCGTCTTTCCCCAATCCATTCCTCGCAACCTCTTCTCCCACACGAAGCTGGCTCCCCGACTGTCCATCTTCCATATCGTCCCGCCTGCCCGTCACGCAACCGCTGCGAGCTTCACCACCGCCGCCCTCCTCGATCGTCGCCGCCTGTGGCCGCTGCCTTTGGAACTGAAACGCACGATTTCCGGCTGGGAAGTTGTACAACGACAAAAGGAGGGAATTCACAGCGAAGCTAGGATGGCGCCAAAACAGGCGACGTTGGGGTACGTCAAGAGTGGGCAGACTACCTTGGGGTGGGTGATTGCGAAAAGAAAAAGCTTTTTTGGTGATTACCTACCGGCAAGGGCTGCATTATTCTTATTTTCTTGTGCTGTTTGCTGGGTTGCTGGAAAGGGAATTGGGCTGACATGGGGTGTAGCAAGTTCTTTGGCCAGGCAAATGGGGCCAAGCCAAAGGCGCCGACTCAGCAGACGAAGTTGAGTTTTTCGACCAAGGCGGCTGATAATGCCAAGAAGAATGTCGAAGAGGCTATTTCGAAGGATGAGGACGTGAAAGAGGAGTCAAAAGAGGAGGAGGAAGAAGTTGAGAAGGTTGAGTCGGACAAAGGTATGCCGGTGTCCACGGATCGGGCGGTGGGGGATTGGCTGACACGGGTGAAACACAGAGACCAGCAAAAAGAGAGGACGGCCTACGAAATCAGCTGCAGCTGCGAAGAAGGCTAAGAAGGAAGCTGTTGAGGAGGAAGACGCCGAGGTAGTGGCCCCTGCCAGCAAGCGAGCAAGAAGGGGAAGAAAGGTCATTGAGGACGAGGAGGACGAAGCCATGGAGGATGCGCCAGAACCGGAGCCCAAGAAGACGAAGAAAACCGCCTCTCCCAAGAAGGCTGCCTCCCCAAAGAAGTCCGCTTCCCCCAAACCGAAATCACCGCGGAAAAGGGGCGCCGAGACAGCATCAGTCATGAAGACAAGGGCTGAGGAGGACACTCCCGAGTCATCTTCCGAGGTTGAAGAGGAGGAGATGCAAGACGAGGAAGAAAAGCCTGAAGTCGCGGCCAAAGTCCGCCAAAAGGTTCAGGCCAGCCTCAAGTCGGAGGTCAAGCATCCATATCCGGATTGGAAGAAGGGTGATCCAGTGCCGTACGCTGCGCTCTGCACCACCTTTTCCCTGGTGGAGCTTACCACCAAGAGGCTCGAGATCATGGCACACTGCTCCCTGTTCCTGCGCCAGGTTTTGAGGCTCACACCAGATGACCTTCTATCAACTGTTTTACTCATGATCAACAAGCTTGCCCCTGACTACGCGGGTATCGAGCTCGGAATCGGTGAGTCGCTGATTATGAAGGCGATAGGCGAGTCGACTGGGCGCAGTTTGGCGGTCATCAAACAGGATCAGAAGGAGATTGGCGACCTTGGCCTGGTTGCCGTCAAGTCCAGGTCCACGCAGCCCACGATGTTCAAGCCCAAACCGCTCACGGTACAGGGTGTCCTCAAGGGACTCATGGGAATCGCCACGGTGAACGGCAACGGCGCGCAAGGCAAAAAGGTGGATGGCATCAAGAAGCTCCTATCAGCGGCCGATTCGACTGGAAACCGCAAGGTAGACATTACCAAGGACAAAGGCGGCCCGAGCGAGGCGAAGTACATCGTTCGCTTCCTAGAAGGTAAGTTGAGACTTGGGCTGGCCGAGAGGACAGTTATTGTCTCGCTTGCGCACGCCATTGTGGCGCACGAGGCGGCGCAGAAGGGTGGAGTGCCCAGTCCCGACGATATCACGAAGGGGGAGTCGATTCTCAAGACGGTTTACAGGTTTGTTGCTTACCCTAGGATTACCATCGACATACTAACCCTTTCCAGCGAACTGCCCAGCTACGATATCATCATCCCCGCGATGGTGGAGCACGGCATCCAGAACCTCAGAGAGCACTGCAAGCTGCGGCCTGGTGTTCCCCTCAAACCCATGTTGGCGAAACCTACCAAGGCCATCACCGAAGTCCTAGACCGCTTCGAAAACCAGACCTTCACATGCGAGTACAAGTATGACGGCGAAAGAGCGCAGATCCACTATGTCGCCAAGGACACAGACGAGGAGCTCAGTCAGTCGGCAATGAGCGTCACCAAAGAGGTTGGCAAGGGTGTGGCTGCCATCTTTTCGAGAAACTCGGAAGATCTGTCCAAGAAATACCCCGACGTTCTCGCTAAGCTTCCCACCTGGGTCAAGGAGGACACTAAGAGCTTTGTCTTGGATTGCGAATCTGTAGCCTGGGACGTCCAGGAGAAGAAGGTTCTGCCCTTCCAGCAGCTCATGACGCGGAAGAAGAAGGATGTCAAGGTGGAAGACGTCAAGGTCAAGGTGTGCGTGTTTGCCTTTGACCTGCTCTACCTGAACGGGGAGGCGGTCGTTGAGAAGTCCCTGAGGGAGCGCCGCGAGCTATTCCACAAGGCCTTCCAACCCGTTGAGGGCGAGTTTTCGTTTGCCACATCCATGGACGGCCAGGAGCTTGATGATATCCAGACGTTCCTCGACGAGTCGGTCAAGGCCTCCTGCGAGGGTTTGATGGTCAAAATGCTGGATGGCGAGGAGAGTGGGTATGAGCCGAGCAAGCGGAGTCGGAACTGGCTGAAGGTATGTCACAGTGCAATCGATGAACGAGTGAACCCCGGCTAACACCGACCAGATCAAAAAAGACTACCTCTCTGGCATCGGCGACTCTCTCGACCTCGTCGTCCTCGGCGCCTACCACGGCAAGGGCAAACGCACCTCGGTCTACGGCGCGTTCCTTCTGGCTTGTTACAACCCGTCTACTGACACATACGAGACGGTGTGCAACATTGGCACGGGCTTTAGCGAGGCTGTGCTTGAGGAGCTGCACGGCGCCCTCTCCCAGATCGTCATCGACCGCCCCAAGCCATTCTACTCACACAGCTCCGGCGGACAGCACCAGCCCGACGTCTGGTTCGAGCCGAAGTATGTCTGGGAGGTCAAGACAGCCGATCTGACGCTCAGCCCGCGGTACAAGGCGGGGATGAAGGAGGGTGTTGACCCCGGCGGCGAGAAGGGGATCAGTCTACGGTTCCCCAGATTTATCAAGATCCGTGACGACAAAAAGCCGGACGAGGCGACCAGCAGCCGGCAGGTGGCAGAAATGTACTGGAAGCAGGAGAGCGTGACCAAGAGCAAGGGGCCGGCGGTGGATGATGATTTCGAGTATTAAAGGGGTTAATTAGTACGTGTTTATCATCCTGTTTGCCTTTTGGTGTTGTTCATAGTATCAACGACCGAAACATGCAGTCTTTGCTCTCCCAACCGAGAGGTCGGTTCCCGCAGCCCCGCGAGTCTCCTTGTCCTTTGAAAGCCTCACCACGGGACCTCCACATCGCGATCAGGTGTTTTACAACACGCAACCAACTGAACGCGACCAACGGAACGCAACGAACCCGATTTTGACGACTGGTGGTCGTCAAATAATTCGAGATTCTGGAACTTGTCGCAGGGGTCCCATGCTCCAAACCAGGCGCCCGCAACGCAGCAAACAAGCGAGTGAGTGAGACAACACTTATCGCTGGTTACTTATTCAAGTACTGCTTGAGTGTTTGCTCCCTCAATTCCGCTTCCCATCCCGCCCATCAACGACGGCAAAAATAAAAATAGAATAAAAAGAATAAAAAGAAATGGCAAGATTCTATGATGGCGCAGAGATGCGCCGTCGCCACGAAGAAAGTATGCGGGCCAGAAAACCATGGGTTGAGGCGGCACAAACGCCATTCCGCGACGACGCGTTGATGGACGGGACCCCGGGCTGTACCGCCGCCGACTTCGAGCTGCCCCGCCTCCGCCGTTGTCCTTTTGACGCCGACAAGTTTATCTGGGGTCGTCGCCTGGGTGAGGGGTTGGATGGATGCGTCTGGAAAGTCTGGTCTGGAGACGCAGGACCCTTCGTCCTCAAGGTGTTTTGGGATGACGAACCGCCCGAGTTCGCCCACTACTACGCTCCCCAGCGAGAATGCCAGGTTGCCGCCCTTTTACAGATGATGGAAGCCGCCGTGGAGCAGGCCGCCGCAGCCTCGCGCCCCGTCGTGGTCAACGCGAACCCGACAACCCGGGACGACGCGCTGGACAACCAAGCCGCCTTCTCCGACGAGGCTCGTCTGGAGCAGCAGTCATCAGCCCAACAGGAACCGGGATCCGGCTACCGGCAAATAACGACGATGCCGCGCGTGAAGAAGTGTTACGGCTGGCTGACACTCAAAAGCAGCGTCTTCACGAATCTGCCCTGGGAACTGAAGCCACCCGTCATCAAGGTCGACAAGGTGGAACGCTTTATCCAGCCCGGCAAAGAATACATGGCCATCGTGTACGAGTATGTCGAAGAAGGCGAGAATACGGTGGAAACCCTGCAGGAAGCGATGGATTTCTTCTGGCTTGCCGGTTTCTGCCGCACGCTATCCCCGCTTCTAAAGAATTGGAAGAGCAGCGTGCTCGTGGACCTGTGTGATGTCGCACCCCCTCGCGGATATGGCTGGGTAGAGCGGCTATATAGCCGCGGTCCGACGTCCGCGCCTCTGCTGCTTAAACAGGCGGAATTCGTCGACGTCGGCCCCCCCATGCCTCGGCCGCCGCGTGCAAGCCAGCTCGCCCGCTTCAGGACCCCGCTACCTCGGAAACAGGTGCCTCCGGCCCGGTCCCCGAGCCAGTCTCCGACTCCGCCTCCGCTCACGTCCCCAAGCGCGTCACCAAGTCCGCCGCCAACAAAGCCCACAGCTTAGCCTCCCCGTCCCTACAATCTGCGCCGCCGGGTCCCAAGACCCAAGCAAACCGCAGCAGCTAGGCGGAGAGTGCATCTAAGGCCCATGCCTCCAAATAATTCTCAGGTGCGAAGGGATGGACGTCATGGGACAAGGGATGAGCCAGCCCGGCGCCTACGGTCAGTCTCACTCCGTAGTGTGTGCCGGTTGAACACAAGATACAGGGCTATCGAACGGGATACTACCCAAGGTGGAGGCCTTTAGATATTGGGGCATGGCAGTGGTGGGCGAGTGGAAGTCGGGTACAGATACTAGGAGCGTTTGTGATTTTATTTTGTCGATATAGAGGTGTGCAGGCAGGGAGTTACTGTGTTTACCCAGTGTAATAAAAGTACCGGAGTCATACCTACCTAGGTACCAAGAACAAATATTGCTGAGAGAGAGGGCTTGATATTACTTGAAACTTGTCTACCAGTCCTACAAATCTCCCATCACCAACTCTGCCCAAAAAGTCTCAATAAAACAAAACCGCCAGACCCGCCGGCATCGAAACAGAACGTCACCCTCACTACAACCCTTCAAAAAGAAGCCAAATCAACCCACCTCCTCCCGGCCACACCCTCCCGCATCTCCCTCCCCCTCGCCAGCAACCTCTCCCTGAACCCTTCACACCACACCAACTCGACCCCCCCATCCCCAACACCAGGCACCCCGATCGCACCCATCCCCGTCCCCATCCCCATTCCCATCTCCAACCCAACCCCTCCACCACCCATATGGCTCCCAACCCCAACACCAACCCCAACACCAACCCCAACACCCACACCAACGCCCACACCCCCCAACTCCCCAAAAAAACCGCCCCACCACAAACAGCGCGTGCCACAGCAGATCAGGCTGCACACACCACGACGAGGGGGGCGGGTTGGAAGACGGGCCCGCCCCCGCCAGGAAGAACTCGAGCGCCCGGCACACGTCGGCCGCCGCGTCGCGTACCCGGGGGAGCGAGTACCGCATCGGGTCGAGGGTTTGCAGGCGGGTGGGGAGGGGGAGAGTGGTGGGTTCTAGGAGGTCGTGCTGGTGTTGTGGGTGGTGGTGTGGATGGTGATGGGGGGGTGGGAAGGTGGTTGCGGGTGGGTTGCCGCTGGTGGTGGTGGGGATGCTGGTGGTTGTGGAGGTTGTGGTGGTGCTGGTGTCGTAGGCTGTGACGGGGTCGATGACGGCGGCGAAATAGAGGCGCCAGATGGTTGGGTAGAAGAGGACCAGCGCGGTCCAGTAGTAGGATAGTGCCAGCGCGGTGTGGGCGTCGCGGAAGGAGAGGGGGTCGGGGAGGTGGTAGGGGTGGGGTGCTGTTGATGATGCCGTCAGGGGCGGGTTGGAGAGCCAGAATAGGGGTTGGGAAATGCCAGATGCTGGTGAGACTTGGAGGGCGGTGTACCATCTGCTGAGTTCCACCTCCAGGTCGAGGCAGTTGTTGAGCAAGTCCTGCGCCATCAAGCGGCGCGTGAGCGTGTGTTCCTGGGCTAGAACGCGGTCGGCGCGAGCGAGGAGGGAGGGCAGCAGGGCGAGACTGTCAAAGAGTCGGTCGAGCGCGGACTTGGGATGGGCTTCGAAGGGCGTTGAGAGCCACTGGGGTTCAGCGAGGAAGATCGGGGTGCGGTTGATGAGAGCGGTCATGATCTATTTTCAGGGGGTAAGTAGGGCGGAGGATGAAAAAGGGGTAACCGGTGGGAAGGGGGCGTACAGCGGTAGGCCGGTAGATGCGCACAAAGAAGTGGTGAGCGGGAAAGGCACGAAAGTGTTCTGGTCCGAGCCGACGGACGGCATTTGTTTGCGCGGACGGGTCTTTCCAGGGCGGCTGGTTGCTGAAGTACGAAGACGTGTTGTGCTGTTCTCGTCAGTCAGTCAGGGGTAAACCGCCACGCCGCCAGCACACACCTCGTATAGAAACAAACAGGTCCCATCTGTCGCCGTCCGCCCACCCCCCACCAACCCCTCCTCGGGCGCGCCTAGATGAACCAAGCACTGCGACGCGAGCCGGAACTCCTCGTCGGCCATCCCCGGCTGGACATCCAGTGCCCGGTAACCCGGCAGCGAGACAAACACCCCCCCATCCGCATCCCCGCGCCCCCTAACAACCCCATCCAAATCCGCCCTCAACCCCTCAACCCGGAGTCTATACCGTCCCCCCATCCCGCGAACCACCGTCTCCACTACATCATCCCACGCAGGCCTGGGCTCGCCATCCGGCACAGGCACGACCATACCCGGCCCCAACCTCAACCCAGCACCCAATCCCACCTCCGATCCCGATCTTGATCCCGATCCCACCCCCACTCCCAAAGCTGCCCCTGAAGCAGCCCCCAAAGCAGGCCCCGACCCCAACCCCAAAGCAGAACCCCTCTCATCCCCCCCTCCCACCCTCGGCGCCGGCGACGCCTTCCTCGACGATGCGCCCGACCTCTTGGGCTTAACGACGCGCGGCGGGTGTGACGAGCACCGGCCCTGGTCCTCGACGGTGCCGATGATGAAGACGGTCTCGCGCTCGTAGCCGGCGCAGGTGCGGCCGCCGTCCTGTTTGCGGGGGGGTGCACGGTGGGGTTAGCAGAAGTCTTTTTTTTGGGGGGGGGGGGGCTGGTGGGTGGTGCCCGTTGTGGGTTTTTGTTGTTTTCGTGGTGGTGGGAGGTGGGAGGGAGGGAGGGAGGGACGGAGTTGGGGGCTTGAAAGATGGGGTTTCGGTGTTCGGCTGGTTGCGGGAGGTAAACCCGGAGGCGCCGGAAGGTGTCGGGACGTGCTGGGCGCTTGGAGGGGAGCAGAGAAGGGGGTGGGCTTTGGACGTACCAGGCATTTTCGGCAGTAGGGTCGTTGGTTGTCGCACTGAGGGGGAGTAGCGGTGTGAGTTGTTTTGGCCTGGGCCCGGTTGTTTGTGGCGGTGGTTGTTTGGGCTATCTATCGTGGTTTGACGTACCTTTACTCGACGCAGACGGCAGGCTGGAACGGAGAAAGTCGGTTAGTTAGTCAAAGAGGTAGAGATGATGTTTTGCGAGGAGCACGACTTACTCTCGCAGCCTTTGTATTTGCCCGGAACGCCCACTTCGTGTCTCGATTAGTGATGTGGTCTCGCAAGTTATCTCCTGATGTGGCAAGTTCGGTTGGTCGGTCCGCTGACGGACAAAGCTGGGCAACCAAGGGCAAGGGAAAGGGTTTTCCGGAGACAAGAGGACGTCCTCACCCATCATGGATCAAGTCGAGAATCGAACAGAGGTTTTCGTGCTTGAGTATCTAGCGATGGTTGACGTGGGAGGGAGTTTGGGAAACAAGCGGTCCCTTTGTATCCGAGCAGGAGCCGGTACAGGCCGGAGGACCATGCAATAGGGGTTGCAGTTAATCCTGGCCGGCGGTGATTTCCTTGAGTAGTGGTTGCTGACGATCCCAGTGACCACCATAGGAGATAACCTTGGAATCAGACGAGGTCCGCCAAGCAAGTAGGAGATGATGGGTTACGTCCAGTCAGAAAGATATGATCAAGACACACATGCGGCCTCCCCAGCCGTCGAGATTTTCCTCAACTCCGGAGTCAAGCACCCGGACTGCCTTCCCACAGCCGATGAGGACTTCCATAAAGACGCAAAATAGTACAGTATTACGTTGGCAGCCCCTTGCTAGGCTGAGGCCTCGTGCTTATACTATGGGGTGCGTCGTAGGAGCCGCCGGGGCAGGGCCAGTGGTAACGCCTCCCGATTTCCGAGCTGCGCTTCTCCCATGCGGTCGATGGGGAGTGCCGTTGCAAGAATCGGGAACTTTGAACATGGCCCCGCCATGACTGCATAGGAAAAGCGCATGAGATGGCATTGGGTTGTGGAACAGCCATCCCCCGGACGAGGAGCTGAATGGAGATTTCTAATGAGTTCCAGGGGAAGTCCGTCAAAACAAGGCTAGGTGGGCAGCAGGGTGTGAAGGAAGCATGCCTCGGCGCTCCTAGTGAGCCCTACCATAGGGCTGAGGGAGCGAGCTAGAGAAGCAGGGGCTCCGCCTGCAGCTAGTTTTAGCCGGCTGGACAAACCGGGGGTAAGCCGCTGCGGCGTTGAGCGAGGGGATTGGCTCGGGCACGATTGGAGCATGCGGCGCAGAGGGTGAGAGAGGCGCCCTCATTCGCGTCATCTTCGCAACCCGTCCAATGGAACGGTCCAAAACTCCAACGGGTGGGGAGTGAGGAATCATGAACAGAGTGCACGAGACGCGACTTGCTGAGTAACCCACGTCACGGACCGAACCGCAAGCGCAAGCCAGCCGCTTCCCGGAATTGCGGTCAGCCACCCGCCGTTTGGCCGCCTTATTCGGTGGAGGGTGGCGGGGAAGAAGGAAATAACATCGGATGTTGACCAGCCGAAGGGTCGAGAATCAACGGTATCGCTGGTTATGTATGTACAATAACGGGAAGATATACACTTGGTACGCGTACGGCAGATCAGGGGATCAGGACACTAGCAGATGGTAGGTTGTTAAAACCTTGGCTGCAGTATCACGACTTCAGAGATACTTGTAGGGGTTAAGGATGCCGTTCTGCGATGTCGTTAGCATGAGCTCAAGGTACACGAGAAATTCCGAAGAATAAAAGGAGGGCAGCTTACTGGATCAAACGTGGTCTTGATGTTCCTCATCAACCCAACCATGGTCGGGTTGCGGCTGTATCCGATGAACTTCTTCTTCATCACGCCCAGACCATGTTCGGCACTGATGCTGCCCTGTCGTTCGGCAATCCACTCGTACACAAAGGGTTCGAGTACTTTCTCGACCCTCTCGTCAAACCGCCTTGTCGAGACGTTGAGGTGCAGGTTCGCGTCTCCCATGTGGCCATAGCCAACCACGGCACGAACAGGGAACTCCTCGGTGTCGCCGAGCAGGCCGGCGGCGTCAACGCGAGCGCGCGTGTCCTCGACCAGCTGGTACAGCTCCTTCAGGGGGATGGAGACGTCGTACTTGTATGTACCGCCGAGGTGGCTCAGCGCTTCTGTGATGCCCTCACGCCAAGCCCATAGGGACTTGATTTGCGTCTCGTCCTGGGCGAGGGTCCCGTCCACAACAATCCCCTTCTCCATGACATCCTCGAGGAAGGCTTGCAGCTTCTCGCTGTCGTGGTCGGCGTTGGAGCCGCTCGTCTCAATCAGGCAGTAAAACGGATACTTGTCTTCCAGCGGCCGCTTGTTGTTGGTAACCTGGCGGACTAGCGCTTGGCTGCCCTCATCCATGAGCTCGAAAGCTGACAGGATCTCGGAAAGCTGACCCTTGGCCTCGCGGAAAGCCTTCTGGACCTGGTCAAATGACTCGAGACCGAAGAAAGCCACGTTTTGGGCCGGGGAGCGCTGCGGACATTGGATGGACACCTTGGTGATGATGCCAATAGTACCCTCAGCACCAATGAACAGCTGCTTCAGGTCGTAGCCTGTGTTGTTCTTGCGAAGCTTGCAGAGATCATCAACGACGGTGCCGTCAGCGAGCACAGCCTCTACTCCCAGCACCGTGCCGTGTAGGCTCCCGTACCGGAGTAGCCGCAGGCCGCCAGCATTGGTCGAGACATTGCCACCGATGTGGCAGGAACCTTTCGCGCCAAGGTCCAGAGGAAAGATATACCCCTTTCCGGCCAAGAACTGGTCGGCAACCTCGAGAATACACCCGGCCTCGGCCACCAACGTGCCGCTGACCTCGTCAAATTCGAGAATCTGGCTCATACGACTCATGTTGATGACAATCTCGTCAAACACCGGCACCGAGCCACCCACCAGGCCTGTGTTCCCGCCCTGCGGAACGACAGCCAGCATCTTGTCGTTGCAGTATTTGAGAATCTTGCTAACTTCGTCGGTCGAGCCGGGCTTGAGTACTAACTTGCAGTGACCACGATACTTGCGCATCCAGTCGCTATTGAAGGGCTCGATGTCGTCGATGGCATCGGAGCGGGTCACACCATCAATGACGGCCGACTCACTGCCGAGCAGCTCCCTGAAGTAGGCCACATGCTCCTCCGTGAGCTGGGCAAAGCGGCTGTCCCGCTTGATGTCTGGGTAAGACTCGCTCGTGAATTTGCCCTGGGCGGCGGCTGCAGGGGGTGTCCTCTGGAACCGCTGGGGCGAAGAGTTGCTGAAGCAGCGAACGGGGCGTGAAAGTGACTGTTGCAGCGCCGCTTGCCTGCCGAGGTTTGTTGATGCTTTCGCCAATCTCAACCTCCTCAGCATCGGAGCCATCTGTTGGCGGGCCGCCATGGTCACGACGAGGTGCAAAAGAAAGCGGAAATAAATAAATAAGACAGTAACAATTGAATATTATACAGATACACCGTCAGTCGAAGCTGATTGATGAATAACGGGCGAGTTCCGGCTAATTTCACGATACTGAGAGAAAAAGAAAAAAAGAAAAAGTAAGAATACAAGAGTTGTAAATGGTCTCACGGAAGCAGCGACACCGGCGACAGGCTCAGTTTGTGCTGCCATGACGTGGCAGCTGGTAATACTGGACAGGTCGACTGTGTCACCTGGCGTGGACCGGCTCCGAACCATCGATGCGCTGGACCCTAACCCTTGATCTAAAATCAGCATCTCTTTTTCCTGTCCCCCCAAGGTGCTGCTTCCCTATTAAGTCGCAGTTGAGGGAATAACTAAAGCGTGCCGTAGAGAAATTGAAGACTCGAGGTGTTAGAAATGGACATCCCTAAGCTTGAATGGGAGAATAAAGTAAGAGGAAGTACAGGAGCACCGAGATCGTGGTGCTGCTTTTCATCCTCAATTTAGTCGTCAACTTCATATCGACGTCAAAGCCCTACAGGCCCTCAAATTCCTCGCCGCACAAATAAAAACCCAGTACGTTAACTACATAGTTTCCCACAGGAGCAGACGGGTTGAAGTCGAGGACGGCGATGGTGTTGTTGGAGGAAAGACACGGCTGAAGCAGTGGTATTAAATGATTGGCCAAAATGATCGGGTGGGGTCAACCCAGCAGCTGGGGGGCTCCTTGGCAGCCTTGAGCCCGTCGTCACAGCTGTGGCAGCCTGCGGTGCACTGCATCTCCAAGCAACAACCCTCAACCGCGATCAGACCCAAAGCCACCGCATCTCACCCTTTCGCACGCATTACGAACCCCGCCCTCCAAATAATTGAGCCTTCTTTCGGTGTGCGATTTTACGATTAAACCCCAGCGGCCATGGCTTCAGGATATGACAGAGCTCTTTCGGGTGAGTTGCCTTGGGCGCTGTTCGCAGCTCCACAGCTATCCCACCATCGCTAACCCAGCTTGCTTTCAGTGTTTAGGTCCGTCGCCATCGTTCCGCAAAACAAAACGACAAGACGCTAACAGTCCCTAGTCCCGATGGACACGTCTTCCAAGTCGAGTATGCGGGCGAAGCTGTCAAGAGAGGTACGCCGTTGCCATCCCCCACTAGCGCCATCACCCCGCCTCTGACAACCGTACAGGTACCTGCGCCGTCGGCGTCAAGGGTACGGATGTGGTAGTGCTGGGCTGTGAGAAGCGGTCAGCCATGAAGCTCCAGGACACGCGCATCACCCCCTCCAAGATCGGTCTCCTCGATACCCATGTGTGCCTCGCCTTCGCCGGCCTTAACGCCGACGCCCGCATCCTGGTCGACAAGGCGCGGTTAGAAGCCCAGTCGCACCGCCTCAACCTCGAGGACCCTGTCACGATCGAGTATATTACCAAATATGTCGCAGGCGTGCAGCAACGGTACACCCAGAGCGGTGGTGTCCGACCCTTCGGTATCAGCACCCTCGTCGTCGGCTTCGACAAGGGCAGCGAGCAACCCCGACTCTACCAGACGGAACCTTCGGGCATCTACTCTGCATGGTGAGCTAGGAAATAATGGTCGGATAGTGTTTTGCAGGACTGACACCGGCTGCAGGAAAGCCAACGCCATCGGCCGATCGAGCAAGACGGTTCGCGAGTTCCTGGAGCGCAACTACAAGGAGGACATGGACCGAGAGGCAACAGTGAGGCTCGCGATAAAGTCGCTTCTGGAGGTGGTGCAGACAGGCGCCAAGAACATCGAGATCGCCATCATGGCGCCCGGCAAGTCGGTCGAGATGCTGCCGGTCGAGGACATCGAGAGCTACGTCAAGAACATTGAGCAGGAGAAGCAGGAGGAGGCGGCCAAGAAGAAGACGGGCAGGACCCCTGGGACAGGCGCCGCCGCCATCTTGACGCGGGGCACTCAGGGGGAGTCCAGTGAGCAGTAGGGTGGGACAGAACCAGCGCTGGAGGGCCAGAACTTGGGCTTGCACATGAGATAGACGGCGAGGCGCTGAGAAAACCGAAACCCTTTTCTGTAAGACCATGAACGCGTCCACGGCAAAAATGACATGCTTTTGGCGCTGCGCCCGTGCCCAGGCTCTCTTCCATCTCTATGCTATCTTTTGCGCCCAAGTACCGGGTATCACATTACCAAAATCCCACACACGCTCAAATCACAACGCACCCCTCCCCCTCCCCCCCCCCCCCACCAACCCTCTTCCGCAGAACCCCTCAACCCAGCTTATCAGCCTCCCGATCCGGGTCAAACACGGTGATCTTTTCCCCTTCCTTGGCCTTCTCGCGCTCGTCCTTGATCATGCGGCTGTCGACGCGGAGGTCGGCGCCCTCGACGCTGATGGCGGCCTTGGGCGTCAGGGCGTCCAGCACGAAGTGGTTGTCGCAGTGCGGGCAGTACTCGTCGGCCTCCTCGAACTCGGCCGCGTTCTTGCGGAAGCACTTGCGGCACTTCTTGCACGCGAAGATCATCTCGAACCGCTGCAGCAGCGGGTGCTCCTCCTGCTCCGAGTGGCAGTCGGGGCAGTCGAACCACTTGCGACCTGTGAAAGGGAGGGGGCGGGGGTTAGGTTGGAATTAAGGGGGAGGGGGGGTTAGGTTTGAATGAAGGGGGAGGGGGGGGGGAGTGTGGATCTGAGAAAGGGGCGAAGCTGGGGAGGTGGTGGGCTTACAGCATGGCGAGCGGACCGAGACTTGGGCGTTGAGGATGTGTTTACTGGAAGGGGGGGAGGGGTTGTTTAGCTGCGAGATCCAGAAAGGTAAACCTCAAAGGGGGTATGGGTGGGATGGACGTACCACATTGTGGGGATAGTATCACTAGACAGTAACGGAGGTGGTGTGTACTCTAGAAAAAGAAACTCGAATTCTTGGTGTTGCTGTCTTTACTGCCATCCATGGGAGTTGGAGTCGGTGAATCTGAACCCCGGGCCACTGCGGTTGTGGCGGGGTCCCGGGGAGTTAATTTAATATGGGGCGACTTTCGATGGACCCGACCCATAATTAGTAATTCGAGAAGGCCGAGCAGTCGCGCAGTTCAACTTCAAGGCTACCAGCGACTTCCACTGCAACCTTTAGCTCACTTTCATTGTTTTCTCATCAACATTAACTCGCCTTCCGCCTTCCGCCATCACCCACGCCCGGCCATCTCCGACCGCGCTCATACGAAAATAGTATACAAACTTTGCGATAGTGGACTATTTCTCGATTCGAGCCGGGATCGGATCGGAAAGACAACACCGCAGCGACGACGACGATGCCGCCGAAGCGAAAGGCGGCGCCGGGGCAGGGAAATGCGTCCAAGGCGGGACGAGCATCTGCTATGTCGACCCCGGGGCCAGCCACCCCGCGTAGTCTCGACAGCTCGATAATGTCCGATGGCGATGAGGACTTCGACGAGGATGTGACCGAAGCCCAGAAGGAGCGCGAAGCGTTGCTGTCCAGGGAGGCCGACGATTTCGTCAACAAGTTTACCTTTGGGGGCAAGCGCCTCCAAGGCCAAAACGACGAACTCGGCGGAGGGGGTAGGCGATATGATGCGGCGACGGCCTTCTTTAGGAAACGGGACTTTTCCCACCTGCCACTGAAGCCCGACCACCAGAACCGCCCGCTGTGGATCGACCCAGACAGTTGCACCGTCGTCCTCGAACGTTTCAACCCGCTGGCCGAGCAGGCGACCGACTTCCTCATCACAATCGCCGAGCCAAAGTCGCGGCCTACATTCCTGCACGAGTATGCCCTGACACCACACAGCCTGTACGCCGCCGTGTCGGTGGGCCTGCGGCCACGAGACATCATCAACACCCTTGAGCGTTTCTTGAAGACCTCGTTGCCCGATGTCGTCCGCATGAAGATTGAAGACCACACCAAGAGTTTCGGCAAGGTGAAGTTAGTCCTCAAGCACAACAAATACTTCGTAGAAAGCGTGGACGCCGAGGTGCTGCAGACCCTTCTCAAGGACAAAGTGATTGGGTCGCTCCGCGTCCACGGGTCCGGCGATATCACGACCAGCTATGCACCCACCATGGGTGGTCTTGTCATCCCGGGGACGCAGAATGCGGCCGGCGTCCACCAGGCCAATCTGAGGCAGGCTGAAAAGAAGCCCGGCGAGGGAGGGGACGCCTCCAACGAGGCCGACCTCTTCACCGCCCTGAATGAAGAAGATGACGACGACGATAAAGAAGCCGTCCATGCATTTGAGATTTCGGATGCCAACGTCGAGACGGTCCAGAAGCGCTGTCTCGACATAGGGTTCCCTATCCTGGAAGAATATGACTTCAGAAATGACGACGTAAACCCGAACCTCGAGATTGACCTCCGCCCCAACACCCAAATCCGCCCTTACCAAGAGAAGAGCTTGAGTAAGATGTTCGGCAACGGCCGCGCAAAAAGCGGTATCATCGTTTTGCCGTGCGGTGCAGGCAAGACCTTGGTTGGCATCACGGCCGCTTGCACCATCAAGAAGGGCGTTATCGTCCTATGTACGAGTTCCATGTCTGTTGTGCAGTGGCGCCAGGAGTTCCTCAAGTGGTCCAATATCAACCCGGACGATGTTGCTATTTTCACAGCCGAGAGCAAACAAAAGTTCTCCGGTAGCACCGGTATCATCGTCACCACGTACTCGATGGTCACCAACAGCCGAGAACGGTCCCACGACTCAAAGAAGATGATGGACTTTTTGAGGGGCCGCGAATGGGGTCTGATGCTCCTAGACGAGGTCCACGTTGTCCCGGCCGAGATGTTCAGGCGAGTCATCTCGTCCATAAAATCGCACTCCAAACTAGGGCTCACGGCGACACTGCTCCGAGAAGACGACAAGATTTCTCACCTTAACTTTCTTATCGGCCCCAAGCTCTACGAGGCCAACTGGATGGAGCTGTCGCAGCAAGGCCACATCGCCAAGGTGCAATGCGCCGAGGTCTGGTGTCCCATGCCGACAGAATTCTACGACGAGTATCTGCGTGCCAACGCGCGCATGAAGCGCACCCTTTACGCCATGAACCCGCGTAAGTTCCAGGCCTGCCAGTACCTCATCAACTACCACGAGGCCCGCGGCGACAAGATCATTGTCTTCTCGGACGAGCTCTACTCGCTCAAGCAGTACGCCCTCAAACTCAAAAAGGTCTTCATCTACGGCGGCACGTCCCAGGCCGAGCGCATGCAAGTGCTCGAGAACTTCCAGCACAACCCCGAAGTCAACACGCTCTTCCTCTCCAAAATCGGCGATACCTCCCTCGACCTACCGGAGGCGACCTGCCTCATCCAAATCTCATCCCACTTCGGCTCCCGCCGTCAGGAGGCCCAACGCCTGGGACGCATCCTCCGAGCCAAGCGCCGTAACGACGAAGGCTTCAACGCCTTCTTCTACTCCCTCGTCTCCAAAGACACCCAAGAGATGTACTACTCCTCCAAGCGCCAGGCCTTCCTCGTCGACCAGGGGTACGCCTTCAAAGTCATCACGCAGCTCGCCAACATCGAAAAGACCCCCGACCTCGCCTTCGCCACCCCCCTCGAGAGCCGCGAGCTACTACAACGCACACTGGTCGACAACGAGCGCGGCGCCGAGGACGACGTCGAGACCGACGACCTGTTCGGCAAGCCCGGCGGGCGGGGATCCGGCGGCGGGCGGGGCGGCAGGCGCGGCGGCAACGGCGTTCGCCGTACTGCTGGCATGCTGAGCGAGCTGGCTGGTGGCCAGGATATGGCCTACATCGAGCAGAACAAGGCGGCGAATAAGGCGCTCAAGGGCAAGGGCAAGAAGGGCGCTGGCGGGGACGGGCAGAGCAAGTTCTTTAAGGGTATTCAGAGGGAGAAGGATAAGAGCCGCGGGAGGGGGTGAAGGGATGTGCGTTTTGTGGATGGGGATGGGAGACGTACGTATGTACATACGATACGATACATATTGGATGGCGCTCTACCAGGTGCCGGTTTCCGTTTTTTTCTTTTGGTGTGTTTGTGCTAGAGGACACGAGGTGGTTGGTTGTTTGTATAACAAACATGAAACAGGACTGGGTTTGGTTTGGGGGATTCAACGAATACTGGCGTTCATTAGATTGGGCAGGGGTTACACTAAGTAATCATTCACCGTCAGAAAGAGCGGTTGGAGATTGGGAAGTATAGCGATTGATTATGAACACTCAATGAGCGATCGAACGGCTCAACCATCTGTCCCCCAATAAGACGGTGACGGGGGCCTATTGTATGTACCAACCCCTCCCGTTTCCCTTGCTAGCGAGCGATATTATGTACAAGGCGTGTAACAAAGCCGCCTGTATCCCTAGTATAACAACATCTATAACCGTGTAAAAAACCCATGCTTATGCTTGCCTCTCCAAACCCGATATTACTATCCAATACATTTCCTCCCAAACGCCCCGCTTCTCGCTGTGTCGATCAAGAACGACTGTGATGCATCCACCTCTATAATCACGTACTACCTACCCCCTTTCCCAAAATCCCATTACCCAAACGCGGTGCTTTTTCTTTATCGCGGCCAGATGTCCCCCCGACTTAAAAAACGCCTTGGAAGCCAGAATTCTATCCCTGAAAACCGCCTAGCGAGCTGAGCCGGCTCAGTCCTCCCCGGCCGAGGTGCGGGGCCGGTGTATGTACAAAGCAGGGTCGTACCGGCGGGTGGCGCCGGGCTCGGTGCGGCGCGAGCTGACGCGGGTGGCGTGGGACTCGGGCTCCTCGCTGTTCTGGTCGGTCGACCTGGTCCGGTGAATCTCGGTCATGGACGGGTTGATGGGGACGGCCGGGCCTGGGTGCAGCAGCGAGGCGAGGATGTTGGGGCGGTCGCCGCTCATGCTCTTGCGCCGGCCCACGCTGGAGCCCCGCGCGCCGGTGGCGGCCGAGGCGTGGGACTGGATCCTCGCCATCCGCGCGTCCGCGTCGGCCGCTTCGGTGGCATTGAGCGACTCGCTGGGGAGCATGATAGCGCGGTCGAGCCCGTAGGGCAGGCCGCGGTGCCGGCCACGGACCATCATGGCGATGATGACTAGCTTGCCGAGGACAGAGAACTGTGAGCAGAGCGACGCGTTAACACTGGGATGGCCCAGCGACATGCCGACGGTGCCGTAGGCGCTGACAACCTCGAAGAGAACGGCGAACACGGAGAAGTCGTTGGCCATGAGCTTTTCGCCCTCTGCGATGTTGATGATGAAGAAACCGATAACGATGTACCACAAGTCGAAGGACAGCTGCTGCCGCAAATGGGACCCGACGTAGGACAAGTCGGACTTTCCCGATCCCTCTTCGATTTCGTAGGTAGGATAGACACCCAGCGACTTTTCCTCGTACACATTCGTGCGGCGGACGGAGATGGAAATCGGGAAAACAGAGATGTACATCATGACCATGTACGAAAACTGGACAGCAGGGTGAAGGGCGGCGACGTTGACGCAGGAGAAGCCTGCGGTTCTGGTAGCAACGGCTTCGAAAAGGCCGTTGAGGACCTTGAGACCGGCGGGCAAATCGACAACAGGGGCTTGTCGGAGCTGTACGAAAGCATTAGGACCATGACCAACCAACAACCACTTAGGAGGGTAAACTCACATCAAGGACGATAAAAAACATGACGTCGAGGCCGTTCATGATTACGAGCAGCCAAAAGAGCCACCAAGTGGCGCCGGCAGGGAAAAGCAAAGTGAAGCATCGGCGGGGGTGGTCGAGTAGGAACCTTAGCTCCTCGTAGAGCCCAGTGCCGGGGGGAGTGAGGTACGACAAGACCCAGATCATGAACCGGAGCATGACGGGAAACGCGGTGTTGCCAATGACGATGAGAAAGCTCATCAGCAACAACGGCCACACAGCTGTGTTGAACGAGTTCATGCTGTCCGGGGTCAGGGTAAAGCCCAGATCCATGAAGGCCGAGCTCGATGTGAAGAAGGCCCACCAGGTCCTGCTTATGCCGGCCTTGTCAACGACCTCTCCGTAGCTATCCACGTTAAGGATCCAGGGGGCCAGCCCTATGACGCCCATGGCCGAATAGATCCAGAAGTAGCCCGTCAAAACTAAGGCCAGCGTTTTCAGGGACCTGTACTCGATGCCCCCGAGCTCCTCTCTCTGCTCTTCGGATAGGTCCGGAAAGTTGGAGTTACGGGCAATGGTAGGCTCCCAGCTAAGGTACGGTGTACCCTCGACTTTTTCCCTGGAAAAGGCGGTCCGAATTTTCTGGAATGATTGTCTGCGGGTTTTGGTATTAGAGGAGGTACCGGACGACTCGGCTTCCGTACTGTGATGCCTGTTGTCTGAGCGGTTCAGGATCCGAGGCTTCCGAAGCTTGAGGAACGAAAAGGCGTGGGCAGCAGCTTTGGCATCCTCGACAATATCGTCCGAGTCGGATTGCTGTAGCTTATTTCGGTCAGGTTCCTCGATTGTGATGGCCTGCTGGCGGCTGGCTGCTGCAACCGTCTGGGGTTCACTGTCTGTGGGCATTGTAGATGCTCCCGCTGGCGACAGACCGGCATCGGGCTCCTCGTCGTCTCCGGCCTCGACACGCTTCGGGCGTATGCCTCGTTCAGCGTCCCTTGGGTTCGGGATACGGAGAACCTCGTCATCACCCTTCCGTTGGCGCTCGACAAAGGCGATGTGCTCGCGGTCAGGCCGCACAGGGGGGAGTTTGAGGGCGCCCTCGCCCAAGCCGTCACTCTTGGTAACGGTGTGAGCAAACTTGATCTCCGGTTTGCGGGGTTCCAGAGTCTCGTCAGCGCTGTCCGCCCCCGGCTGGTTCGGATGCTGGGGCTTAGGATTAAGACGCTCCTCGTCCGACGGTGGCCGGTTGCCCTCAAGTAGAATGCCGTCGTTGGTGATGCGCGAACGGGTACCGTTGAGCATGACGGTAATCTTGCGGCCATTCACGCCTTTTTCAACATCGGCATTGTCGGGGTTCGCCTTTGTTTTGGCCTTGGAGAGAGTGCCTCTCCTCAAGCGGGCTTCGCGCGCGACGTGTTGGAAACGCTTCTCGAACCAGTACAGACGGAGGAAGACGACAAACGAGTTGATGGTGATGGGGTTTGCCATCATCGGCCACAAGTATAAGACGACTTGTTGAAAGGTGTTGAGCAAGTTGAGGTCGACCGTGTTCAAACCCGCTTGGGTGCTGGAGCAGCTCGCCAGGAGCAGAGCATCGATATAAGCGATGTTGCCTCTGCCAGAACCAAAAACGATAACAGATCCTATTAGCGCGAGGCTGATGATATAGAAATCTACACGGTGTTCAGTAGGCAGTTCTGTCTCGCAACCATAACGGCCCGTGCCGGAAATACTCACAGTGGGCTGAGATGAAGTTGAAATGCGGGTTCTTGGATATGAAAGCTGGTCGTAAGGCCTTGATCTGGCCAACCAGCAGGTCCTTTGCGTTGTTGAGGACGTCCATGGTGAATGACTATTTAACGGACAACGTAACGGAAAAGAGAGAAAGGTACTGAAAGGAGGGAAGGGGGCGTGAGAGCAAAGCGGGCGAGAGACAGAGAGTTGAGCGACAGGTGAGTGACGAGCAGGTCGGTCGTTGTTTGCAACCAGCCGGCAAGACTCTGTGAAGAAGTGCAAACACCCTGCAGAGCAGGAATCAATCGTGTTTGCGGCACGGCGCAGACATGACGGCGAAAGATGGCGGTATTTGTGCGCAGCCGTTTGGGGGGGAGGGGAGGAGGGGGAGGAGGAGATATACACAAGTCAAGATGAAAGTGTGGTAGGGAGATAGTCGATCGTGGTCGAGATAACGGAGGCCGGTGTAACAGGTCCCGAGGAGATATTGAAGAGCCGGCGGTCACCAGGAGGGTGTCACTCAATCGGATGGAAGAGCGGTGGCAACCACAGATGGGGGTGAGATGGTAACAAGGGTGCTATACGCAGTGATGCTGCTGTGTAAGGCGGGTGCCAGTGGGTGGAAGGTGGGTGAGCGGGTGAGTAAGGTATGTAGGTTGGGGGAAAGAGCGGGTGGATTTGAGATTTGGAGGGCTCGGATGTTCAATTCTCTCAGATTTGTTAGTGATTGTGACGGCTCCGGGGGCGGGCAGTGCAAGGGTCAGCAGGCATGCATGTGCAGGAATGGCTCTTTGATCCATTCTTTTCCTTGAAAGGCCCCGCCGCCTCAGCAGCGTGCAGTGAGGTGAGCAAGGAGTGGGGCCTGAACACCGGCAAGAGCTGCCCGTGTCTGTGCCAAGAAACTCGGCTGAGCAAGCCCAAGGTTGGCGAAAGATAAAAGCGGGGATTGAACCGTGTCCCCCCTGCTCAAAGATTTCCTTCCAAAACATTCCCGGGCAGCACGCACGTGGGAGACACGAGCAATATTTGAGGAGAACCAGGAACATCTGTGGACGCCATTTCCCTGCCAAGATGGGACGGTTGGGCCGCCTTTCTGCGGTGTGTGCGCGATTTCGAAATTTGGGCTGCCTGCAAGTTTCCCTTCTTGACTCGACAAAGATGCGAGGAGTGCGGGTGCGGGTATGCGCGCCTCCACCATGACCCCAAAGCAATCCCCGCGAGAAAATGGACTGCGGCGCCGCTAATTGTCTTGGCTGCGGTGGCCCCGAGAAACAACCAAGACCCTTCCAGATGCGGAAGCATCAGGGATTTGTCCCGGGTATTCGGAGGGCACGTCTTACCCGTGACACAACAGTCCTGCGCAAGTATTGCACTTTCCTTCGATGGAACGCACTCATGCACAACGGTTGCATAATGAAGGACGGTCCAACCGTCCGATGTACCGAAATCGCGGCTCGAAACAACGTGCCAACCAAACCAAACCGAAGGACCAGGGGGCCCTGCAGGATCCAGATCTTGACGCAACCCCAACAAGCACGCCAAGGGGGCAGGAAATGCCGATTCAGCCAACCAAACGCGCCAAGACGACGTTTAAAGAGTGGGGTCGCCCACAACTCGGAGCCTCCCGAATCCATTTCCAAGCAAGTTGACAACCGAATATTCGGCACCACTCGCCTACCAATTAGCTTCTTGTTGACCCGCGCTACCGTGTAGACCACCGTTTCAGAGTATCCGTACAGAGGAAGAAGTCTCCCATGACAGTATCATATATGTCGGTAGTTACCGGTAGTGACAGCTCATAAGTTCTTGGGAACTCGACGATCCTTCGGCTCCTGTCGCGACGTCGCACACAACCCAATACCTGCCTCAGCACCCAGGCACGTACCTTGTTACCCAACGCCCCACGCAATGGGATCCCACCCACCCCGAGCCACAGGTCTGGGTCTGTGATCATCCAGCCGCGCGGGTGAGAATGAGACAAACCACGGGCATATGCAGAAGGATCACAGACAACAGGCCCTGATTGTTTGACCTCTTGGGACTCGGACATGCGGGGTTCTGAGACAATGTCTCGAATTGTAACGACGCTTAGGGACTTTTACCCCTTGAAGGCGAGGGGGCCATGAGGCCTCACCCGGGGAACCGGGTCATGGAACTCCCGCGAAGGAACAAACTTGGAATGCCGGGATTGTGAAGGCGCTTGTCATTGGCCTTGAGGTCAAGCCCCGACATCAAGGCTCATGATCAGCAAGCCCGACGCTGCGTGGAGGCCCAATGACCAGCATATCACGCATACATAGGTAGGACACCGGTCATGGCCAGACATGCATGATGCATCGAGGCTTGTCTCCATTCGTATTCAGCTTACTATCAAGGTGTCTGATCTTCGCACTCTCAACCCAAACCCATCCCGCTGGGTCGTTGAATTAATTGGATGTCTCATGATAGCTCCTCGGGAAAGTGTCGGTTCGACGGCCGCTTCAAGTACATACAGAATGATTGGTGAAGGAGTAGGTGGTACATATATGTACATGGAACCGCTGAGCTTCGTCCAACGGGAGAGGCTGGGATACGGAACACTCCATTCGTCATACCTACCTCACAGCACGTATGTGTGACATTGAAAGATGTACTGCGGAAGTTTTTGGGAATATATCGAGCGCGGGTTTATCGGTATGTCGGGGCAAGACAGGCCGGTGTTAGGTGGTATAACCTGAGAGCGTGAGTTTGTCTCTTTTGGTAACAACCTAAAATAGCACAAGACAAGACCAGGTTCACGGTCCTGTTTAACATCACTGAACAGGGCCAAGATTGGCGCCATGGCGGGCGTCATCCCCAGCGCCCGATATCGGCATGCTCGAGGCCACTCGACGCAAACGATTGACCACAAGACTCGGCACCTTCCAATATACTGGCATCCGAATGTGAAGCCCTTGGTCTCGGACAAGTCCAAACGCATCCGTGCCTAATCAAGGTTTTTAATACATCCGAGCGGCGGTGGGAGAGAGAAGAATGTCATGGTTTGTAGCTGGACTAAGCTTACGGAGTAGTTGCTTATTAACTGTTTGCCCTGTGATAAGCGTTTCTAATGTTGATGAATATCTGCCCCTGGCTTGGTTGTAAACACGACCAGGTGAAACCTACCACTGCTCGATTATCGATCGCAGATGGTGGATGCGTTGCCTTTACCACCTTCCTTATCAGACTATGATAGCTAAACCTCGCTATACATCACACATGATCACACATTAGCAAGGCGGTGGTTTTGATCCCATCCCAGGTAAATAGTTCTATACATGGTATACACATCCGTCCACAGCGCGGACCCTTCCGCCGCCAACAATCCCCAACCCACCGCGGAGCACCTACTTCTTCTTCGCAGCCGCGCCCTTGCCCTTCGCCTTCGCCTTCGCCGCACCGGCCGCAGGCTTGCCGGTGGAGAAGACCTTCCTCGAGCGCTTCCAGGCAAACACCAGATCCTCGACACTGCCAAAGTCGTGCTTGGGCTTGCGCATGTAGGTGAGGCGGGCGCGGCGGGCGCGCTTGCGCTGCCTCTTAACAACCTCGATGCCCGCGACGTTCTTGTTGTAGATCTTGAACCACATCTCGACGCCGACCTTGGCCAGGTGGTTGCGCAGCAGGATGGCCGTGTCGATGCCGCGGCGGCGGATCGACAGGCACACGCCCGCGAAGGGCTCGCCGCCCCGCCGGTGCGTCACCATCAGCACGTCGCCCACCTTGGCCGCCTCGCGCGTCTTGGCGAACAGCGCCGTCCGCGCCCCCGTCGGGTCCATCCGCTTGATCTGCGCCTCGTGCAGCGACTGCAGCGCGTTGACCGGCGGGGGGGCCAGCGTGTTGCTGCCCGCCACCGTCGTGGCCGGGTAGACGGCGAAGGCGCTGCGGAGCGTTTTTGTCTTGCGGTCGTCGAGGCGGACTGAAAGTGGGAGAGGAAAATATTGTTAGATACGGGTGTAGATATCAGTGTATATATGGGAGAGGAGGAAGAGGAAGGAGAGGAGAGGATGGGTGCATACAGAAGCCGTGTTGTGGTGGTGGTTGTGGTGTCCTTGTCGTCGTCGTCTGGACTGCTTCGGAAGCCATGTGCCGGGTAAACATGGACTTTTGCTGCCTCGTTCGGCGTAGGCTTGCCTTGAGGCAGCCCAAAGGCCGTCTTGCCAATGGGGCAGCGTTCATGGTGAAGGAAATACGTGTGTCGTTGTTCAACGGCCGGCAATTCGACGATTCGGCGATCCGATAATTCGGCCTGGCGGCGTGCAAACCATGTTCGAGGTCTTGGGGTTCGACGAATGGCTTGCTCCAATTGGCTGTGGTAGGTCACGTCAAGGTGGGGGGTCCACTAAAAATTCCAGACGCCATGGATTGCTCCCGACTTGATGCTGCACCCGATATCGATTTGAATTCGGCCCACTTGAATCTAACGGCACCACATCAAACACCCTCCGCACGCAACCAATGTTCCTCGCAGCAACAGGGCCCAATGCCCTACGGGCAGCGGGAGTAAGGACATGTCTTTCCATAAGCAGCGGCATTGCCGTCCAGCCTAGGTGGCTGTCCACCTCCCCAGCACTCCGAGGCATGCCACACCCTCCCCCCTCGTCCTCGAATCGCGAACTGTGATTTGGGGGGATTTCGCAGTGCTAAACTAACACGTCTGCTGCAGCCGCCCACATTCTCAGCTTCGGCGAATCCTCCTCTCCCAAGCTCGCCGAACTACTCGACCACTACCGGACAATGGTCATTCTCCCAACATACCTGGCCCCGGACCAACGCAGGAAGATTTACAAGCAAAAACTCAAGCAAATTCTCCAGAATGACCCCATCACCATGGAAATCGACGGCGTGGTGCACAAGTTCCGGTACAGGAGCAAGGCGGGTGATCTCCCCAGCAGCACTGCCACGGTCAAGGAGGCCTTGGAACTGATCAGCACCCCGGCCGACTTGCACAACATCCCGCCGCTTCTCGCAGGGGTCGTCCGGGCGGGACACAAATTGCCGCTGTACTACTACAGCATGTTCCTCCGGCGGGCCGCGGCGCACAACCAGCTCCAGCTGATCATGGACTGCATCAAGACAGTCGACCGGACGGGCTTCAAGCTGAACCATTCCGCCATCATCAACGAGCTGCTCGTATACCTCCAGTGGCCGGCCATCAAGAGCGGCTGGAACGAGGCCAAGACCAAGAACGCGCTGAAGCAGGTCCGGCTGATTGTCAACATCCTCGAGAGCGGCAAGAGCCACGAGCCCAAGGGCGATAACGAGGGCGCGTTCCCCTACTACCGGGACCCGCAGGTCCTGGGCTCGCGGCTGCACATGGCGGCGGCGCGGGCCGTGCACCTCAAGGAGGGCAAGGACGACGACGGCCTGGTGGCCAGGTTCGCGCAGGAGCTGGTGACTCTCTGGCCCGAGGACAAGGGGCTGCTGGACCTCCAGCCGGACGAGTCGTACCAGAAGGGCGGGCCCATGCGCTACCTGCTCGACCGGAACGCGTACCTCTTCTTTGCGTCGCCCGTGCTGAACGGCTTGACGCTGGCCGCGCAGGTCGTCGACCCCGCCCTGGCCATGCAGCTGCAGAACCGGGCCGACGCGGTGGAGGCCGAGCTCCAGACCGCGCTGGCTGCGGTCGAGGGACAGGAGGGCAGGGGTGTCTCTATCTACAACTCGTTATTCAACCCGGAGGCGGAAGCGGGGCAGGCGGCGGAGGGCGAGGAGGAGGCATGAGATGAGCGGGACATGGCTGGGGCGTCTGGGAGGTCTGGGCTGAAGCTATGTACATTGTAGATATATTCTATGTATTTGTAACAAAGGCGTGCGCGCGGCGCTGGCTATGGCAGGACGATGTACTTTTGCAGATGCGCCGGGATGGCGGACAGCAGCTTCTTGGTCTCGAGCCACTGCCTCGAGAACAACCTGTCGGCATACCGGTACGCGCCGTCGGCCAGCACCGTCACCACGGTATGCCCCTTGCCCAGCTTCTCGGCCACCTCCTTGGCGGCGACCACGTTGAGCGCGGAGCTAGCACCCAGGTACAGCCCTTCCTCGTCCAGGCACCGGTACACCATCTCGATGCTCTTCTCGTCGCTGATGTGCAGCGACCCGTCCACCAGCTCCAGGTCCGGCGCCAGGTTGTCCGTGATGCGGCCCTGCCCGATCCCCTCGGTGATGCTCGACCCCGTGCGCTCGATCAGCTTGCCGCCCGAGCTGATGTACGAGTGCAGCACGCTGCCCGGCGGGTCCGCCAAAAAGCTCTTGACCCGCCCGCCCGACGCCTCCTTCAGGTACCGCGTGATGCCCGCCAGCGTGCCGGCGGTGCCGGTCGAGCAGGTGAAGGCGTCGACCTTGCCCGCGGTCTGGTGCCAGATCTCCGGGCCCGTCGTCTCGATGTGGGCGCGGCGGTTGGCGACGTTGTCGAACTGGTTGGTCCACACGGCGTTGTCGAGGCGCTCGGCGTGGCGGCGCGCCTGGTGGTTGTAGTTCTGCGCGTTGTCGAACGCCACCGCCGGCACCGGGTACACCTCGGCCCCGAGCAGCCGCAGCAGGTCGATCTTGCCCTGCGACTGCGTGTCCGGCATGTAGATCACCAGCTTGTACCCCTTGCTGCGGCACACGTGCGCCAGCCCGATCCCCGTGTTGCCCGCCGTCCCCTCCACTACTGTCCCTCCTGGCCGTAGCAGCCCGCGCTCCTCGGCGTCTTGGACTACGTAGAGGGCGGCCCGGTCCTTGACTGACCCGCCTGGGTTCATGAACTCGGCTTTGCCTAGGACTTCGCAGCCGGTTTGGTTGGAGAGGTGGTTGAGCCGGATGAGCGGGGTATTGCCGATGGCTGGGCGGGGAGGCAGGCCTTGTTAGCTGTGTAACCAAAGAGGAATGTCAAGGAGGGGGGGCTTTGTAAATCTAGTTACCTCCAGTCAAGCCTTTGGCCACCCCTTGCGCCCTGGACACTCCGATCAGGTGCTGTGTCGGCTCGGCGGCGGCGGTGGCTAGGCGCTGTGCGCTTGTTGCGAAGGTGCGGGCGCCGTGACGGAACATGGTGGGCAGATGGTGCGCGCTGTTCGGAAGGCCTAGAGTTGACGCCCGTGGGTGCTCTGGAGGCTCTGGAGGCTAGGAAGAGTGAGAAATAGGAACTCCCGTCAAAGTCCTCGGCCGTGCCGGAAGAAGGTTGCGGCAACAATGGCCGATCCCGCCGTCGAGAAGGACAATCAGTCAATGGAACGGGACTGGAACCGGGGAAGTGGGGGCTTCTCAATGGCGCAATCGGGCGCTAACCCGCCTGAAGGGAACCGCTGCAGGGGTTTCTTTTGACTGCTCCAGCGTGCCGCCGGCAATCCTCAATTGACCCCTGCCACGCGACCCGTTCCTCTGATTTTAAGTGCGGATTTCGGCTTTGAGCGTGTTTCGTTCTTGGCATCGAATGCCATCATCACCCTACCCGGGACCTTGCACATCACAAACGAGCAATAACATATGTTACTGCAATATTATCGACTCAGGATTTGATATAAAGAAGGGCGGCCATGGCCAGCGATGAAGACGCGAGGAAATCCTCCTCCCCCGACGACCTTTCCGATGTCGACAGCACAAACAGCAGCGATGGCGAAAGCGACGCGGGGGAGCCTCAAAAGGTCGAATGGCTCGTCACATCCCGCGCGAAACGAGCGACTGCAGGGAATCGCATGAAATCGATGCTCGCGAATGAGGAGCCTGCCGCCGAAGACTCCGATCTCGAACTGCTCTTCGCCGAAGACGAGGATGATGTCGGCTTCAGCGACGAGGCCCCGGATGACGCGTCTGACGTGCTCATGGATTCGTCTTCGGACGAGGAGGACAAGGAAGAGAATGCGGACGAGATGGAAGGGGAGAAAGAGCTGGAACGCCAAGCTCGTGAAAAACGAACAGCCGAGCGCAAACGGAAAGCTCAGGACGCCATACCCGTCAAGTTCAGAAAGAAGGTCCGTATCGAGAAGCCAGCTGCCCGCCCGCCGCGGCCTAAGAAGAAGTCGGAGAGGACAAGCTGGCTTCCATCGCCCGCGGATCTGCCAACGCGCGCCTCGGAGCGCCGGACGACCAAGATAAGCAAGCAGCAGCTGCATCAGAAAATGGTGTCGGACGAGATCAGGCGGAGGAAGCAGGTGGAGCGGATGGAGAAGAAGGCCAAGCAGCTCGAGGCATCGAAGAAGCCCCCCATGACCCAAGCAGAACGTCTAGCTGAGGCTGCTATCATCGAGAAGCGGAACTCCAAGAGCCTGAACCGGTGGGAGGAGGCCGAGAAGCAGAGGGAGGAAGAGCGCCTGAGGAAGATTGCAGCTTTGCACAGCCGCAAATTGGACGGCCCCGTAGTCACGTTCTGGAGTGGTATCCAGGAGTTGCAAGAGGGCCAGGGCAAGCATGTCGGCAACCTGGTGTCGATGGAGGAGAAAGCACCGCGGAAGAAGAGGCAGTCGGTCGCGGCAGCACTCGCAGCAAAAGAAGCTGAGGCATCGACGCCTACTACCCCCCGTGGAGAAGCTGGTGGAGGGGGATAAGGCGCCCGAGACGCCAGGCGTCAAAACAGAACAGCCCGATACACCAACTCTGCCGAGTACACAACCTGGTCCGCCTGAGCCGCCGTCTGCTGGTCCCGCGCAGGGTGCTCCGGTAACAGCGACGCCGCCGGCCGCGGGGCCAGAGCCAGGCTCAGCCTCAGGCCGAGCCTCGACACCAACACCAGCACCAGTTTCCGGGCCGGCACCAGTCTCTGGACCGGCACCAGTCTCTGGACCGGCACCAGTTTCCGCGCCAGCACCAGTTTCCACACCGGCGCCAGTCTCCGCGCCAGGGGTAGTGTCTACAATAGCACCGCTTTCCACACCAACACCGGTTCCAGCACCAGCACCACCAGCACCAGTTTCTCCGCCAGCACCAGCACCGGCCGTAGCTCCAGTGTCAACGCCAATGGCCCCTCCTCCCATCCCTCCACCACCCGATACGAGGCCAAGCAGCCTGGGCGTGCTCGCAGCGCCGGTTCTCGCACCACCTGCGGGGCTCTCGTCTTCCCTCGGCGGGCAGATGCCCATGTTGGGCTTCCCTGCCGGAACCAAACCTTTCCTTGCGGCCCCGAATACTTCGCATACCCCCTCACCCCTGTCTATGCCGCCATCTACCCCAACCCCTACTGCCGCACCCCAACAAACTGCTCCTCCGACAGCGTCGACCCCAAAGCCCAAAGTCACCATTCCGGCTCCTCAACCACCCTCCACCCCTATCACACCGCTACAAACACCACAGATGAAATCATGTCCACCGTCCGCAAGACCCCCCGACACGCCACAAGAAACACCAGCCTCCGCCTCCGATCCTGTACGCGAAGGAAAGGTGACGCGCAGCTGCATCATCCTGCAGAACTTTGACAACAACGCGATCAAAGACAAGCAGGTGCAGACGCAGATTCTATTCGGGAGGAAGATGAACAAACTAGCGAGTAAGCATTTCTGTGATTTCGAGGACAGAAAGGGCGTGAACACTGACACGTTGCAGAACCCGCACATCCACCCCTCTGCGTCATCACGAACCACCCCGCGAAGTACAGAGACCCGAAGACGGGCCTGCCGTACTACAACGACTACGCATACCGCGAGATCCAGCGCGTGTACCGCGGCGATTACAAGTGGAGCCGTCTTGTAGGTGCTTGGGTCGGGAGAGGAGACTATGCGGCGCATGGAGTCCCGGAGTGGTTCTTGGACCCGTCCAAGGAGGTGAAGCATGCTGAACCGGACTCGGCTCCCGCCGACGAGGCCGCCGAATTGAAGGTCGAGGAAGAGGACAAGACCGTAGGCGAGGCGAGGCTAGAGCCAGTTGAAGGGGTACAGGCCCCGGACGCGGCGGCGGCACCACCTGCCCCTCAAACTATTAGCACGTAGTTGTGTCTCGAACACGCGGGGTTCGAATGTACAGAATAAATTGCCCGAGCTCGGGTTTAAACTGGCGGATGATATATGGTTAACCGTATCTGGCTACACAACCGTACCCTTGGTATCATAATAAACAACCCAAACGCCTTCCCGTCCCGCCGTTATCGCAGAATTTCTTTCAGTTTCGCCGTCATTGTTAAAAAAACATCCGACCTAGTTTCAAGACTCATCCATCTTGTCCTGCTGCTCCGCACTCCCTCCGAGCATGCCGGCCACCCGCTCCAGACTCTCCACCTCGCCCCTTGCCAAACTCGGTCCACCGCCATCCCACTCCCCGTCCCTCACCTCCCCGTTCTTCCCAAGTTCCAGCCCACGCACATTCTCCAGGTGCTTCTTGGTTGCCGTCTCGACATATTCCAACCTCTCCCTCCGCCAACTCTTCTTCCCCTTCCCGTCCGCTTCCTCATCCTCCCCGTCCTCATCGCCCGCAGCCAAGCCGGCCATGACCCCCCTCAGCGCCGTCGACAGTTCCCGCAGCGCCTGCAGCTGCGAGAGCGAGAACGCAGCCGTCGTCGTGAGCGGTGTCTCGGCATCGCCCTCGGTGAGATCCCCCTTGTCGTGCAGGAACTCGAAAGGCGGCTTGTGCTGCTGCCCGGCCTCAGAAGGCTCCGTCTCCGGCTCCAGCTTGATCCCCTGCCCGGGCAGCACCCCAACCAGCCGTCTCATCTCCCCCAGCAGCGCGGCATTCCTCGCCCGCTCCGCAACCAGCATGCAGTTCAGCCTCTGGCTAGCCTGCAGCCGCCTCCGCAGCCGGTTCACGCCCTCCACACTCAACCTTGCCGCATCCGCATCCTTATCCGCATCCCCAGTCCCATCCCCATCCCCCCCTTCAGCACCACCACCACCACCACCACCACCACCAGTACCCCTCTCACCACCCTCCCCACCAGCAGCAGCACCGGCCCCTCCCTCAAAAACCAACCCCTCATAATGCCCCAACCGCAACCACTGCATCTCCACCTTCCGCAAACACAGTATATTCCGCATGACATAAATCTCAAACCGGTCAAAATCCCGGTCGATACTCGCCCACAGCAGCGTCTCCAGCTGGTGGGTGCCCGACTCCACCTCGTCGCGGTGCCGGCGCGCGGCCGCTTCCTCTTCCGTCTCGCCTTCTAGTAGTAGCGCATTCTCGCCGTTGGGTTGGGAGGTGTGGTTGGGGTGGTTGTGGTTGCGTTTGGACGGACGGAAGCCGAGGGAGGCGGGGGGCGCGTTGAGCAGGCCCTGCTCGATGGAGTGCAGGGCGCGTTCGGCGAGGAAGTTGATGGCGTTGATTATTTCGTCGAGGAGGCTCTATGGAGGGGTGGGGGTTAGTTGGTGGGTTGGGCGAGGGAGCTTGGGTGAGGAGGGGGAAGAGTGTGAAGGATGGAAGATAGGGAGGGGGAGAGGGAATGGGGCAAACGTACGACGGGGGGGTAGCCGAAATGCTCCGTTAAGAGCTCCGTGTCGGATCTGGAGGCCATGGTTTGTGTTTGTGGTGCGTGTTGTTTTGGGAGAGTTGCACCTTGCGAGTTGCGACGACGCGATAAAGTGGGATGCGACGAAGTCAATTGGCAAATGCGCGTCCAATCACGAAGGGTTCGAAAGGGTTAGGGTTAGCGACCGAGGCGCTCCCCGGATGGGAGGACGAGCAGTTGACCCCTTGGATGACGGAGATGCTATTTAAGAAGCCAATTGCTTCCTATAGTGTTTACGTATGTGAAATATGTTTATAGTGGTTTCCTAGACGGCATCCCCAAGTTCTCTAGCCCTTTGCCTCAACTCACAAGATCACCTGCATATTGATTCCAGCAATTAGCCTTCCTTTGCATGGTTACCATATCACCGCCAACCCCAGCATCTCAACCAAAGAACCAGCATAAAACGACGCAGTGAGATTGCCTTTCCTTCTCTACCTAACCACGACTGGCGATAGCGCCAACCCATGCCCCGTCCTCAAACCCAACCCTATCCTATGAGATGCCTTTCCATGCTGACCCCCCAATCAATGCCACCCCATCTCTCAGACCAAACCAAGCCTCGCCATGGCTGAGTAAATCCTATGGCCCTCTTCTTCCCCCCCTTTATCTTTGCTCAACCAGTCACCCAATTACCCACCCACCTGCACACACCACCACCACCACCCACCAAGTCTGACGACGACCATCCGGGAACAAGCGAAGCAGAAGTCAAGAAACAACAAAAAGCCCAAAAAACACGATACAAGTGAAAGTGTGCTATTACAAGGAGCGAAGTGGGTTAAAACAACAGCGGCGGCAGGGATTAAAAAAAGAAAAAGCAAAAAAAGCGCGCGCCAAATCCAAAAAAAAGAGTTACTGACCCAAACAAATTACAACAAGATACTCGAATCTGATCCCGTCCCGGTCTTTTTTTCTTTCTCGGTCCCGCCCGTCCCCGCGTTGCCGCTCGCCGACGACACACCCCAAGCCCAACAACAACAACAACAAACAGCCCAACTCTCAACTTTTCAAGCTCAGATTCAGTTAGCAACCTCCTCCTCGACCCAGCCGTTCAGGTTCCCCTGGATCGCCAGCCCAAACCCGGCACCCATGCCGCCGAAGCTAGCCTGGTACTGGTGGCCGCGGCGCTCGCCACCGCCGCCACCGCCGCCGCCGCTGCCATCACCACCACCAACACTGCCGTGCAGGCTGTTGGGGCTGGTGCCGCCGTTCTCGAAGGGGGCGAAGACGGGCAGGCTGACGGCGCGGTTGTGGGAGGCGCGCGAGTTGCCCGGGGCGAGCAGGCCGCCGATGGTGGGGGCGCCCGACGCCGACGGGTTGGTCACGTAGCCGTTGGAGATGCTGGCCGACTGCTGGTGGCCCGAGATGGGGCCCTGCGGGACCTCGAGCGCGAGGCCGGGGTCGTTGGGCGACGACGAGGCCGTGCCGAAGAGCGCGGCCTGCTGCGCGGCGAGCACGTGGTGCTGCTGTTGCTGCTGCTGCTGCGCCTGCTGGGAGACGTGGTTCAGGTACATGGTCAGCGGGTTGCCGGAATTGTTGAACAAGGCCGCCGACGAGGCGCTGCCCGAGTTGGTGGGCGAGTTGCCGTTCGGGGTAGAGCCGCTGCCAGGGGGGGAGGGGATCTGGTCGCCGCGAGGTGACGGTTGCTGCTGCTGCTGCTGCTGCTGCTGCTGCATCTGCCTGGGCGGGTTCCCGCAGCGGTCCTTGCCGAAGTTCACCTTGAACTTTCTGTACTCCTCCTTGCCCCTGACCGCCTCGATGGCCTTGATCGCGTTCGCAATGTTGGTGAAGTTGACAAACGCGCAGCTCTTCTCCCGCAGGGCGTTGACGAGCTCGATCTCGCCGTACTCGGAGAAATCCTGCCTCAGGCGCTCCTCGGTCCAGGTCTCATCGAGGTTACCAATGTACACGTTCCGCGAGGCACCGCCGCTGACGGCAAGGGCAATTGCAGGCGGGAGAGCCCCGGAGTGCTTGCCCCAGCCGATCTTCAAGCGACGGTTGTGAATCATCAGACCTTGCAGGTTGCTCAGCGCGTAGAACGACGCGGCAGCTGTGGGGTCGATGAAGGTCACAAAGCAGATGTGCTTGTCGGGGATGTACCGAATGTGGTGCAGAAGGCCACCCCGGACAACGTTGCAAATCTCCTCAATGGTGGTCTCGGGGTGGATGTTGCCAAGATAAATCGTCCGGTTGCCCAGATTGCCAATGCCGCCCGCCGTCGTAGCCACAGCAGCAGCAGCCACCGACTGCTGAGCCAGAGCGTTCGAGATGAGATCACGGTCCGCTCCAGTCAGCATGTGGGCGTAGCCAGGGGCAATGCCTAGGTACTGCGCAGCGTTCTGCTGCTGCGTCTTGGAAACGTAGGCACACCGGTCCTTTCCATAATAGACCCGGCGGGGCGCCTGCCACTTGGCCTCCTGCGGAAGCTGGGAAACGGCCTTGATGGCGTTGGCGATGGACAGGAAATGCACAAACGCGATGTTCTTCTCGCGCACGATCTTCACCGTGTCAATGGCGCCAAACTTGCCCAGGTCCTCGCGCAGCTCCTCGTCACTAATGTCCTCGGGCAGGTTCCCGAGATAGACATTGCGCGACGCGCCAGACTGCTGGACAGCTAGAGCGACCGAGGTCGGGACCTGCGAGGGCTTACCCCAGCCAATCTTGATATCCTGCCCCTTGATGCAGAGCTTTTTCAAGATGGCATCGGAGTGGAAATGCGTGGCGGAGCTCGCGTCCAGGAACGAGATGAAGGCGCAGTTCTTGTCCGGGAGGAGGCGGACGGACTCGATCTGGCCGCTGCGCACATGCCCCAGGATCTCCTCGGCAACTGTGTCAGGAGGGATGTTGCCAAGGTAGACAGTGCGGCTCGTGCCGGTGACCATACCGGGGCCCATCGACACGGGCGACGTGGGCTGCATGGGGACCTGCATCTGGCCTCCCACATTGTTGAACGAGCCAGTCGGGGACTGCGGCGCATAAAACTGGGGCGCACCGTAGGCCGAGGGGGACACAATGGACTGGTACATCTGGGGCGAGATGTTCTGCTGGACCGGGCTAGACGGGCCATTCTGCTGCTGCTGCTGCTGCTGGAGGCCCTGCTGCTGGGCCTGCTGGAAGTTGTTCACGTTCTGGAAGTGGGGGCTCGCGAAGGCCGCAGGTGTCCCCGGCTGAAACGGGCTACCCAGGAGCAATTGCGAAGGCAGAAGAGGAGTGAACTGCATGTCGAACGCAGTGCCGGGGGTGGTCAAGTCAGCGCCATTGGTAGGCGCCTGGTGGTGGTGGTGCTGGATCGGCTGGGTGTTGATGGTAGGAATGTTCCCGCGGCGAGGGTGCCTGTCGGCAAAACCGCTGATGTTTGAGGCGAAGGCGCCGTGAGAGAAGCCGGTGTCGCTGTTCGACGGCTTCGAGGCATGGCCAAAACGGCCGTTGGGGGCACTCGGCCCGCCCTGGTGACCCGACATATCCTGCATCCCGAGAAGATGCGGAGGGACCAGGCTGTCCCTAGCTTGGTGAGAAAGAACCGCCGTTTTGAAAGATTAAATGTGCCCCGTCAAAGGCACGAGAAGGATATTGCAAGCTGGAATGCAGAGGCGGCGAGGGCGTTCTGGGGACGCTGAATGTGGTCGAGGAGCAAACACAACACACAGGGAAGTCTTCGGCGGCGGCTGAATTCCAAAGAAAGGAAATGATTGACAAGCAATGCAGTTTCTTTGAAAAGCAGGTCCCGTTTTCGAGCAAAGACCGACGAGGGGAGCGGCCGAGGTCGAGATTGGCTAGGCAGTGAAGGCTCGACTTGGCGATTCGGACAAAGAAGGATGTCGAGTATTAAAATGCTATCGGGAAGTCGAACGAGCGATTCTCAAACGAGCGTCGAGAAGATGCAAGCAAGATTGGCAACGGGCACGAGAGCCCTCGTCCGAGCGAAGGGACCGGGAAATCGGGCGGATCGCGTGGTCGAACGGGCGAGCGTGGTGGTGGTCCCCAGGGGTTGCGCGCCAACGAATTAATACCTATAAAAGAACGATAGATAGGAAGGGAAGAAGGCAAGTCGGAGGGGAGGAGGTCCAAGTCGAAGGGACAAGGTAACAAGTCCAACGAGTGAGGATGCGGGAAGCAAGAGAAAAAGAGGGAAGGGAAAAAAGGAGGTGAAAGATTGGAGCCCAGGAGCCAGCCGAATTGGGGTGGATGGAGCTAAAAGTCGCTTTAATTGCAATGGGCAGGGAACCGTGGCCGTCTGACACGGTCCATTTCTGTACCTGGCAGTGAGGTCCCTTTTTTGTTCCTTGCAGAGTCGCCGCGCCCAGAGCTGGCCATGCGACCTCTCAGCGGGTACCACCAGTTGAGCGCCAATCAGCAGCTGCCGTGACTTCTAATTCATGCTGAAAGTAATCTGGACAACCTCACCCGTAAGTACCTTCTTTAAGCCATTGGCAGCCCGTTAACTGAGTGCCAGAGTGTCAATGGAAGCTCAGGCATGCAAGCTCTGAGATACGATCGAGAGAGAGTCGAGACCCAGACGGAGGCTTCTTCCGCTTCTCCTCAGGGGGTCAAGTGCCCAGTGCCCGTTTGAGTCTCGGCACTGCGACAGCGCCAGCCCAGATGGTGGGGCCGCACAACGGGAACCCTGCAGATATTCCTTACCGATCGCGGGCTTCCTGCGACAAAGCATCCCCCCAATATCTTGCATCTTCCCGGTACGTCCATAGTAAAACTATCAGGGACCAATGCGCCTGCATCTCGAAGACGCAGAAGGCGGCGGGCCGAAGGGGCACAGGGCGGTCATCTCAGGAAGCACATTAATTGAGTTTGGAGTCGGGGACCATGTGCCGTCACGGCCGCTCTGTCATACCGCTTCCCCAGGGGCCATTCTCGCGTAACTCTGTTTAACCGTGTCAATTTCCGATTGGTGTGGGTTGCGTTGCACATCACATCGTGTGCGACAGGTTGCGGTGAGAAACGGTACGAAGAGTATGGTTCCTGAAGACGCTCTCAAGATCGAAATGCAGCAATCGAACACACTTGGTCTTGTGACTTAGTTCTAATGTACACGTTGTGTAGTTTAATGTACATGGATGTCAAACACTCATTATTGAAACTGCATGTCAACACCTGCCCCTTTGCACAGTCATTGACAAGTTGGCTAACAACCCTTCATGTGAGCTGAGCTCATATTTCAGCCAAGCAACAAACCCCAACGCATCTCCCAACACAGTGCCTCAGCCGCCTTCCATTCCTCTTGTCCATCGTTGGCGATACGCACAGTGTGCATACTAAACACCGGCACTCTTCCCTTTGCTCCATGTCTCTCCACCCAACAGCTGCTTAGGCAGGCGGTGCCAGTTTGAAGCAGGGGCACGAGACGTCGCCAGGGGACTACGATGACTTCCCGAGGGGTGGCGGGGGGGACTGAATACATGCCAAGTCGCGATCGTACTGTTGCGAGCTCTCAATCTTGGAACTTCGAAGGCAGAAGGTGACGGCAAGGCGAAATTACGTGGTTACACAACACCATTGCCATTCCAACCCCTTTCCTAGCCCAGCAACGAGGATGCGACCACGCATCTTTCCAGCTTTGTCTGGCTTAGGGAAAGGTATCTCAAAAACAATCATGTCATATGCTCCTAGCCAGCTTCTCAAGGGAAAGGTTTGGGATTATCGCATCCTCGCCGCCAGGCCGTGAAAGGGGACGGTACCCACGGCTCCACCATCTTCAAGGCTGATGTGATTCCACGTGAAAATAGTACCAACATTAACGTTCCCAAATGGTCTGTTATGTTGCCTAAAATCTACGTGTCTTCGAAATGAGAGACTAATACTCGCCTCCAGGGCTGCAGTCAAAACAGTTTCGCCCGGAGATAAGACCGCCATAGAGAACCTAAAACGTGAACTCCAGAGCTACCGCCTCCCCGGCGTCGCCTCGCAGGCCTGTTTCCGGGCTCTATACGACAAGATCGATGACAGGACCGTCACTCTAGAATGGCTGGACACTACTCTCGCGGGAGTCAGCTACCAGCCAAACGCGGCCACATATAGGCTCATGGCAGCCTCACTCAGGGCAGCCTTAGAGAGCTGTGTCGTCTTGGACCATCTGGACTACGTAAACACTGGTATAGCATTTTAACCCCCCTGCACGACAGCAATCCGGACGTGTATTAACCTACCTAGACTTTAAACCCGCCAACACCCTGTGCTCCGGCATCGAGACCGGTAAAATCATGGCCAAAGTACGTAGGTGACTTGGGACTCGGTAAGCGAGAATTACTCATACAAGCCTTTCGGTAGACGAGAATGGCCCTTTAACATACGGCGGATGCCCACAGTCTTCCCGTCCGGCCAGCGTATCAACGTCCAGCCATTTGCCATGCGCGCTCCCGAAGTCTTCCTGGGCAATGCTTGCACCGGTCCATCTCAGGTCTGGGCTACCGCCGCAATGATCCTCTGCTGGGTCAAGCCCGGCATTCTAGGGGCATGGGATAGTATCCATCCCCTCCTCAACGAGGCCTGGTCTATGGCGAAGATCAAACGGCTCTTTCCCGAATGGAATATCCCTACACCTAACCAGATCAATCCCAGAAGTTATTCCCTCCAAGCCGCTGTCGAGTCTGCCGAGAGGATGAGTGTGGAGAGGCCGGAAATGCAGGCAATATCGCCCCTCGAGGAGGAGGCACAGAAGCTAGTGATGCCACAAGAGCTCCGCAACCTCCTTCGGTTCATGTTAGTGCCCGGTGTAGAAGCTAGGCCCTCGGCCTCGGTAGTGTTGGCGTCGAAGGAATTTCTCGCGTTCGAGAGGGTGGCAGGCGACCCGAAATTCTCAGGATAACAGTGTTGGTGTAATCAGACACACAGTCGTCGGCAGGACTGGCTGCAAAGATGGTGCTATATTATTCTTGTTTTGGTTGCTCGTCTTCAACCACTACGAAACCACCTCGGTAGTACAGTGGTAAGAGTGTGAACCTAGTCGATTTCCCCCCCGTTGACGCAAACCCGCTCCGGGCCCGGAGAATGACCACAGTCTTCCTTTTTTCGATTCCTGGCTGTAGCTTTTCTCGCTCACTTTTACACAACTTTATTCCTCTTTTTGTCCACTCTTTGACAGATCGAGGGAGAGGACCGGACATCCATACTGTGGAGATGTCCAACCTGAATAAGCAGCCGGCGCGTTGCCCGTTTGGGACAGATTGCTTTCCCAATGCGGCAACTAATTGCTGCGCCTAACCTCCAAAGATGACGACACTCCTCCATACCATCCATAGGGAAGTTCATTAGAATTGAGCTTCTCACCAGGGAACGCGCGAGGGCAGCATCCAAAGATGTAAACAGCACGTTTCATCGCCAGGATCCAATCACCAGGATCGTACGCCGGTACTTCATGCACATGTACACCCATGTACCGAAACCAAACAACGAACTCCCGACAGGCGCACATCTCCCGAAGGATTCACAGGTTCCCAGATTCCCAGATTCCCAGATCCTCGCAACACCATGTAACCAGTCAGAAAGACCCGAGAATCTGGCTCGGCCGTGCGACGGATTGTCAAGGATCACAAGCAGTATGTAATCCGTACCAGCACCAGCACCCGCCGCCGCCGCCGCAAACACGCCGCAGAGAAACAGCCAGGCCCCAACCCGCCAGCTGCAACCTCGATCCCAGATCTCAGATAATGTCACGGTGCCACAATCCTCTGCCCCCAACCCCCCCCAAACGCCGCACGTGTCAAAACAACCCCCTGAACGTGTCAAAACATAAACAAACACACAACAAACACTCCACCAGGCTCACTACACTAGCTCCAGCAAGATGCGAGCCTTCATCAAAATCCTCATGGATGCAAGCCTGTCTATCAGGGGGGGAGGGGGGTCCGGGATTCGGACCCAACCTCCAAAACTAGGGGGATATCTAACCCATCTAGCCTAGCCCGGCTGCCTGACACCAGTACATACCTAGAACCCACTCTAAAATAAACTCCACCTCTCAAACCAAACCCAACCCCCTCCTCCTCCTCCTCCTCAAGGCTTGCACCGCCCCATGAAGCGCGAGTACAAGCTGCAGGTGCGGACGGTGTGCTGGTTGGCCATCCAGGCCAGGAACCGCTCCAGGCCGAGGCCGTATCCACCGTGCGGCGACGAGCCATACCTGCGCAGACACGTCAGTCAGTCAGCCATGCGGCACGACTTCGAAAGAAAGAAAAACAACAGGGTAACAGGGTTGATATTTTCGGATTTCCCTGGGCAGGCAGCGGTGAAGAGAAAGAAAGGTAAGGTGGGACTCACTTCCTCTGGTCGGTGTACCAGTAGTAGGGCTCGTGCGGGATGCCGTTCTTCTTGTACGCCTCGATCAGCTCGTCGTAGTCGTCCATCCTCATGGAGCCGCCGACGATCTCGCCCACGCCGGGCACTGGGTTTGTAAAAGTCAGCATCTTCCCATGTAATTTTACATCTACTATCCCTCGGGCAGGGAAAAGGGAAAAGGCCATACTCAGCACGTCGACAGACTCGGTCACCCTCAGATCCTGCGGGTCCTTCTTCATGTAGAACGCCTTGATCTCGACGGGGAAGTGGGTGAGGAAGATGGGCCGGTTGATGATGTCGGTCATGCGGCGCTCGGCGGCCTCGGCGATGTCGTCGCCGAACACGTGCGGGTTGCCGTCCTCGTTGGGGATGGGCGGGTCCTGCTTGTTGAGCCACTCGATGGCCTCCTCGTACTTCATGCGCATGAAGGGCCGCGACGGCTTCTGGAACCCCGGGTTGAGCGCCTTGACGTACCCGCGCATCGTCTCGTCCGCCAGCACCTTGTCCACCACCCGCGAGATCATCTCCTCGAGGTGGTCGAGCAGGTCGTTGAACTCGATGAAGTCGAGCTCGGCTTCCACGTGCGTGTACTGAATCCGTCAGCTTTCCTCCCCATCCCTTTTGGAGCACACCAAGTGTCACACATACCTCAGACAAGTGGCGCCTCGTCAAGCTCTTCTCCGCCCGGAACGACTTCTCGATGCAGTACACGTTGCCCAGCGACTGCATGACCGTCTCGAGGTACAGCTGGCTCGACTGGGTCAGGTAGGCCTCCTCCCCGTAGTAGTCGTACTTGAACAGCGTCGAGCCGCCCTCGACCTGGGTCTGCACCATGGCCGGGGGCGAGACCTTGCGGAACTCCATCTCGCGGAAGCTGTCGATGAAGGCGAGCTCGACGAACTCGCGCAGCTTCAGCACCGACGACGCGTTCTCGCCGCGCAGCACCAGGTGGCGGTTGTCCAGCATCTGCGCGTCCCACGGGTCCTGCTGCGCCGACACCTTGTTGGTGATGGCCTCGAGGTCGCTCGGCGCCGCGCCCAGCACCCGGTAGTAGTCGACGTGCAGCTCGCGGCCGTCCGGGGCGGTCACGCCCGCGGGCACGGCGCGCATCTCGCCGTGCAGCACCAGCGCCGTCTCCAGCGCGAACATGAGCGCGTCGTAGTTCTTGGTCAGGTCGCCCGCCGGCAGGATGCACGACAGGTAGCCGTAGCCGTCCTTGAGCGTGATGAAGGTGGTCGTCTTCTGCGCCCGCAGCTCGTGGATCCGCCCGTACACCTGGACCCGCGCCCCCTTCTTGTCCTTGCCGTCCCCGAGCTCGACCGCCTTGTTGTTGATCTTGATGCGCACCGCCGCCGGCAGCGACGCGTCCTCCCGCAGCACGATCTTCTTGGCGTCCTCCAGGTTCTTGACCCGCTGCTTGCGCTCCTCCTCCTCCTGCTTCGCCGACGCCTGCTCCTTGGCCAGCTTCTTCTTGTGCGCGTCCACCCGGCTGACCGCCTTCTTCATGGCGCTCTTGGCCGGCTCCTCCCACGCCGCCGCCGCTGGCGCTGCCGACTCTGTGCTGCTGGCTTCCTCTTTTGCGGGCGCTGCCGCCGGCCGTGTGAGGTAGGCCGGCGCCGGCTTGCCGATGTGCTGCAGCAGGGCATGGTAGAGGGACTGGTACGGCTTGGCCTCGGAGCCGTCTGCCGAGGCGTCGTCCTTGCCCGCGGCCGGGTCAATGTAGCATTTCGTGTCGGGCGACGCCTTGGTGCGGTCGGCGAGGTCCTGCGGCGCGGCCATCTTGTCGTTCGCACTGGTTGCGCTGTCAATCGCAGGTTTTGCCTTTTTTTTTCGTGCGTGGTTGTGTGTTGTGTTGGTGGGCAACGTGACAAGGAAGGGAGGGGGGAAAGAGAGAATGGATGGTGGGGTTGAGGGGTCGGTTGTGTCTGGGAGAGAAAAAGTTGGCGGGGCAATTGGGGGGTTTGACTCCTCCGCCGGTGGTTTTTGGTGCCCGAAACACCACCTACACTCAATGACTCACTCTGTTTGTTTGAGAGTCGAACGATAAGGGGCCTGCACCCCATGTCCCGGGACCACGGGTCTGCAGTTCCGCATGATCTGGGCTCAACACATGGAACAAGCCTACAGCGATCAACAAGTCGATCGCAAAGTTGTATCCGGACGGTGAGCTTCCGTCAGTGATATCGTTGTACCTGGGCAGAATGGGAGTTGGTCTTGGGATTGGACTCTCACTTCAACGTGTATCTCAGATTCGGCCATTGTTAATTTACACCAAGATCTTTAAACTCGGGAACCAACTTGAGTCGAGATTCCTGGCTCTCGAACCCACAACTCATACAATTTACATAGACTTCTATCGCAGATCAAGGACCACCCTCACAGGTACAGATTACATGTGTGTAAAGCTATTTCGCCTCGGGCGCGCATGCATGACTCCAGGACATGGACTTCGCGCCAATGGTTCATCCCACAGGCCATAGATCATCTGAACCCGTTCCTCGCCTGCGTCTATCGCTAATCATATATTTTCCCTAGAAATCAACCACTCTTCTTGGTGGTTGGTTGCCTTTAGCCCAACATGAGGGTGAGTGAGATAAACAATTATTGCTGTGTCTGTATCTTGGTCAGATTCTTATCTCTGTCATACATGGCAAAGACCGAGGCCGTTTCTGTCTTACCCCTTAATTGCCATGCTACCCTTCCCAATCCATATCAATCAATGCCTGCGTTGTATTAAACAGCTAGAGCCACGGAATTTGCTGGACTCTTGGAGCATCCGTGCTGACTGTGCAACCGATCCCGTCTCTCATTCACTCGCGTTCCAGTGTCTGCTGCTTCTGGCCGGCCCTTCACGCTTGTTGGTACATCTTTTCAGTAGAGCTGGGCTTTTGGTGGAGATTCAATAATAAATATTAAGCAGAGATGTTAAAATAGAAAAGTCTTGATTCAATTGCACTCCGATCGCCATACTGTCCTATCGAAATGGAAAGTTTCCTGCCTCGGTTTATGAACTTGTCCACCCATTGACAAGAGAGATAGAATCAAGAAGGAAGGAAAAAAATACCCGCTGCTAGGCCAGGAAGGGTAGGTACCAAGAAGCTGGGTGACTGGGGTTGATGTCTCTCGAGAAGAAAATTAACAATGGTCAATTCCAGGCCACCCCTTTTTGATAGTGAGCAAACCTCACCCCTATTTCCAATTGGGCGTCGTTCATGCCCCAAGGTGAATTGAGGCAGATCGGGGGGAAAACAGCCCTGGGTATTTGCCCGGGTTTTGCTCGAATCCCTCTTTTTCCCGGACAGAGGGCGTTCGGGGGTTACTGTCCAATTGTTGTGCGCCCGCTCAAGACAACTTGCAAGCCGCGGGTTGACGGCTGGTCGTATAGACCTGGGTATATAGCTGTCCAGATTCTTTCTTCTTAATGGGCCAGCCCCCACGCCAGTTGGACCAAATCTGACTGACCATCATGCCACATGCTCCAAACCCGTATCAGAGAATCTGACATTTGTGTTTGCTGGTCCTGCTGTTCTTCGGCGGGGGTGGTTCAAGTGCAGCAACAATAGCCTAGAAATCGCTGGTTAGCCTCGTCGTTGCCCGTCATCACAGGTTATGGCCCGGCCAGGGGCGCTGGGAATGCTCACCTCATCGAATACATCCTTGAGCTTGAACTGGGTCAGAGCGCTGCACTCAACGTATTTGACCGCGCCCAAGTCCTTCGCCATTCGCTCGCCGTCCTCTTTCTTCACCGGCGACATCTTCTGGTTGTTCAGTTTCTGCACCACCTGCTGGTCCTCCCGCAGATCCACCTGAGTGCCGACGATTAGGCACGGCACGCCGGGGCAGTGGTGGTGTACCTCGGGGAACCACTTCTCGCGGACGTTTTCGAACGACGCCGGTGACGTGACGCTGAAGCAGACGAGGAAGACATCGGTCTGGGGGTACGAGAGCGGGCGCAGGCGGTCGTAATCCTCTTGTCCGGCCGTATCGAACAGCCCCAACGTGTACGGCTCGTCACCGATCCTAGAAGCGTCTGTTTAGTGGTGTGATGAGGGCGGAGGGAGGTAGCGCAACACCAGGGCTCGGCATACATAACCGTGACGGCGTAGTTGTCGAATACTGTCGGCACATATTCCGAGGGGAACTTGTTCGTCGTATAGCTGATGAGAAGACATGTCTTGCCGACGGCACCGTCACCGACAACCACGCACCTAGAAGTAGTTACTCGGTTAGCGATGGGCTCGGCCTTGAGGGCGGGGGGGATGTGTGCCGCGGCCGAAGCGACAAGAACGCGTCTAATCGAGACGGCAATTCCCGAGTAACACGATGAAAACGAGCTGCGTTTGCATGGACTCGTCCACGCAACGATATGACTCGCACCCGGCCGCTGGTACTGCCGCGTACTAAGCTAGGAAGGCCGACATACTTGATAGTTCCGAGTACCATTTTCGAGAATAGAGTTCCTAGACAGGAGTCGGGCGTTTGATGTTGACTGGGCTCGTTGTCCGCCTTAGGAAAAGACGGTTTGCAGCCAAACTCGTCTTCCCCTTATCGCGCTCTGCAAACCACTGGCAATTCGAAAGTGCGCAGGGCGGTGGAGTGGAGTTGAGGAGCGAAGGGATGGGAAAGCGGGAAACCAAAAGAATGGGGTTTCGGCGGTGGGAGAGAGATGACGAATGAAGCAAGGCGATTGATGTTTCGAGACGAGCTAGAGGGGAAGGGGGGGGGCGTGTCTGTACAGACACAGGTGCGGGCGATCGATTCGGACGTAGAAACAAGAATGGTTCGGTCGACTAGCAGGGAGCAGCAGTCTCAGCAACGAGCAGGGCAGCAATTGAATGGGAAAGGGAGATGGGTCCGGGTTGTGAATGAATAAAGGGGACTGGAGGTTTTGTTGCGAGCGCCCGTGCAAGCAGCAGCAGCAGCCTCGTAAGATTACGGGGGGAGCTTGGGAAACCAGGAGGGCCTGGCTCGCTGGGGAAGAATGAACCAGGCGAGCGGTCAGTGGTTCTGGCCGGGGTCCTGTGCGCTGGGGCCAAGCAGGCTTCCCACATTGGGTTGGGCCTTCTTCCTCTCGTCGGCGCGCTCGCAATCAGGCGATTGATAACGGCTGGCCGGTGCTTGAATCCCGGCAGTCAGGTGGCAGACAGCCGGAGGGTACTGGCTGCACTAGCCAACTCGAGCCAAGCACATTTCCAATGCTCGAACGGGAGATCAGTTTCGTCAAAATTGAACGATGTTGTATCGATGGACGAGTTACTTGGAGTATCGAAACGGCGTGCAGAGCCTGCAGCCACCCCGTGTGTACATAAAAGAACATGGAAACGCATCTAGTTCGATATGCGCGCATGTGTTCTTCTGGCGGCCCATGTTCCGGCGGCTTGCCTGGCACATGGCTGATAGGTGGGCGCCGAGCTGCATCGGTTGGCTTCTGGAAACGTAAAAGCCGGCAAATGTTGTGCAACAGAAACACCGCCCTATCACCTTTTGGCCCAGGATCGTCACCGGCTGGCTACGGCCCGTTTGGCCTACCAACACCGACCGTGGTTGGCTCCTTCGTGTCGTTGAATCTTCGCTCGATCTCCAGGCCATCGCGACGAAGTCGCTCCTCCGGGCTCGATGGGTCGCCAACCTCGTTTTTTTTCTTTTCGCGTTACTACAAGTGCTGACGTGGAAAGCGCATGAAGAGAGCCCAAGAAAACCGTCGGAGGAGGTTCCGTCCGTGTGGCATCGCAGCGACAGCATGGGGTTGCATGAGAAGCGCGGGGCCTTTGCATTCAAATCCAAGGGCCTGAGACAAACTAGGAAGGGATGGGCCTCGGGAGCCGACGGCTGGCAAAAATACGGCAACATGTTGACGATGCACCGAAAAAGCCCAGTATTACTCTGTATGTAGGTGGGAGCATGGCGTGGAGCAGCATCACCAGCACAAACTTGCAGCCCCTTCGCTGGAATCAGATTCGGCTTGGCAAGGGTAGGTAGGTGGGGCATGTTCGCTGTGGACGCTTTGTTTGGTGTTTGCTCCTCATCTTTATGCTGTTGCCCGTCGGTCAACCAGACACGACTTTGGGACAATATCCGGTTGATTGCTGTCCGTCGAGGCCGTGCGAAGAGAGAGGCCGAGTCTGATCCATGGATGTCCACTCACTAAATTGCAGCCTCGAGCTGTCGCAGGGCTAATATTTCTCTCCGAGACCCCGGGGAAATTGGAGCTGGAGCTGGGAACTGTGAAGGCAAGTATCCTTCGTATCGATCGAGTTTTCGGCTAGGCTGGGATAAACCACCTAGAACAGGGATGCTGGTTTGAATGTCCTTCCATGATATATTAAACTCTCGGCTGCGCCTTCAAGTATGTAGGTATATTTTGTACGGCACCCTTGATTACAGGTTATGGGTGTTTTTATTCTTATCATTGCACCAGGTTTAGAGTCCCGGCGTAGTTCACTCAAAAATCCGGAGGGTGCCTTGCTGTGCGTAGTCAACATTTAACATCCACCGTTTTGTCATTGGGATGAATTCATAAAATCCAGTGGGGCCTGTTCAGGATTCCACTCCCGACCAACCACATCTTAATTCTCAATTCATCTCACCCAACTTGTACGACAACATCCGCTCACCACCAACTCACCACCAACACCCAAAAGAAACAAAACGAAACAATACCTTCAAACCTTGAGCAAACACGCTAGCCCACCCAAACCTCAAACAAGCCGCCAACAACAACAACCATGCCTAACACCAACCCCAACCCCCATCCCGCCCCACCTCCCAACTCAACCTCCAACCCCAACCCACACCCAACCTCATCCTCATCCTCACCCCCAACCAAACCCGCAACAACAGACACAAACCGAGAAACAAGCACAATCGACGCCCTCCTAACAGGCTACCTCTCCCTCCTAGACGAGTACACCGCGCTCCGCCACACGCTGCACGCCCTCCAGGCCCGGATGTACCACGACCTGGCGCGGGCCAACTTTGCGGCGGAGCGCGGGGTGCGGCGGTACGGGCGCGACTACTACGACGGGCGGATGCAGGCCGGGAGGCGGGTGCGGGTTTGCGATGGGGGTGGTGGTTTGGCTGGGGGGGATGTGGATGTGAAGGGTGCGGAGGGGGACAGGGAGGAGGAGGGGGTTGGAGGTGGTGGTGAACGGGAGGGGGAGGATGGAAAGAAGGGGGAGGAGGGGGATGATCCCAGAGAAAGGGAGGGCGTGGTGTTTCGGGTTGCGGTATACCCCCCGCCGGGACGGGGTGCTGGAGGTAAGGGAGAGGATGAGGGGCCTGGTACGGAGGCACCGACCACGGAGGCGGCTGACGGGAATGGGAATGGGGACAGGGAGGAGAAAAAGCCCGGGAAGGAAGGCCCTGCTGGCGGTGGCGAGGGTGAAAAGCAGAGCGTGAACCCCATCGACCCCCTCCGCTGGTTTGGAATCCTTACGCCACTTCCGCTGCGACAAGCGCAAGGGCATGCGATCAAAGCAGTGGAAGAGATTATCCCCCAGTTGGCGACGCTCAGTGCCGCGATGGCGGCGGTGGAACTGGAAGTGAGGAGGGCGAGGAAGAAGAGAGCGAAGGCGGAAAAGGCCGAGGAGAAGAAACTTGTGGCCCTAGAGGAGAAGATGGGGGAGGTGGATGTTAACGAGTAACGGGGCTGATAGTTACCTAGGGTTTGTTTTTAGGGCGCAGAAAGCCAGTGATAAATCTTGAGCTCACGGCTGGCCTAGATCACCTCGTCGATGAGTGGCCCCTAGGTCACGTCCTAACTCTTGAGTGGAAAGTTTTGATTGTCATTACCGAGTCCTTTGACTCTCTCATTATTCCTTCGACTTTCTCTAGTTCCACCAGAGTAATACCAATCGCGCGCTATCCGCTGAGCTATTTCCAACCCATCCATAAGGAAAGGTAACCAAGGCCTACCTACCCATTATTTCATTAGTCGGCCCCCACTCCCCCAAATCAAATCCTCTACTAATGATGATAGTTAAATATGTAAGCACGACCCTCTTCTAATAGCTCCAGGCGAACTCTCTTAGTGGCCGGCCCATTCGGGCTCTCCCGTCGGCAAAGCGGGCTGGTCCCTGTTCATACGGCATTGCTGTTTCCAGTTTGTCGGAGTGAACTTGTCGACGACGGATTTAAAGGCGGCCTGTGATTTGGTCAGTTATCCCAACTCAAAGGGCTGGGGATAGAGGCTCACCAGTGTGCAGAAGGACTCGTCACCCTCGAGGTGATTCCCCGGTAGCTTGCAGGCCGGCACGGTGACGGGCTCATCGTTGTAGCGCATCCGCACGTAGTACCCATCCAGCTTGCTCTTCTCGCTCGCGGTCAACTCCGTCGTTGGACGGCGCCCGATATTTACCGGCGCTCCTGTCGCCCCAAAAATTGAACTCCACCAGCTGCTGTTGGCCGGTCCCTGGGCCGGGGGTGGAATCTTGGCCTCCCTGAACAGCTCAATCGCGAGATGGCTCGTGAAGGGTGGCCACCTGTCCGTGTCGTATGTCCCCAAGCTCGCCAGCACGCCCGCGAGTGTGGTGTCGTGGCACCCGCTCAGGCCGAACCGGATTCGATCACTGTAGTTCCCCTGCCCCGTCCTCTTCAGCAACGTGTGCGAACCGTCCCGGCCGGTCTGCTGCTCAACGCTCCCAACCATCCGGCCGACGATGTCCCCCATCAGGCCTCCTATGCCCAACATGCGGAATTCCTTCGACTCGTTGTACCCGGCGAACCACTCCTCGACGCCGATCTTCTCCATGATGGCCCGCGCCTTCTCGTCGTAGAACTCACTGGGCAGCCTGGTCTCCGGGCCATGGGCGAGGGTAGCGTTGACCGTGTCCATAATACCGGACAGCCGCGGGCGCGAGTCCACGGCGACCTTGGTGTCGGGGGGCATCCACTTCCCGTAGAGCTTCTGGAGATATTCCATGTCTGGCGAGTTGTTCCACCTGTCCGCGGCGCGCTGTGCGAAGGCGCGCGACAATGCGGCAAACCGGCGGCAGTTGCCATCATTGGGGTACAAGGTCTCATCCCCCGGCACACGGGTGAGGATGGTGGGAGCTGGAAACCTGCCACTTGGGTCGGCCTCCCGGGCTGAGGGCGGGTACAGGGCCGAGAATGTCTGGTGGAGGGATTCTAGGGCACGGGGGACCGGGGTAGAGCGCAGGTAGAGAAAATCGGCTGAGCGAATGGTGGATGGGATGAAGCCAAGGCGATCGACGTAGTGTTGGCGAAGACGCAGGCCTAGCTGGTAAGTGCTCTGCCGGCCGAGATCTGTCAAGCTACCCATGTCGCAGATATCGTCTAGCTGGCTCTTGGGGCCACCGGCGATGACTGGCTCGTCATTGGTACCAAAGGTTTCCAGACGGCGTTTCCATTCTAGGCTATCAAAGGAATGGTCGGCTTTGGTGTTGGTCGAGGCGAGAACGGCGGACCGCATCTGGCGGGCACTGGCGCAATATGGCCACCAGGGTTGCAGACCGGCATTCTGGAAGCGAGCCGAGACGGGAGTGCGTTCACCATGGCGCATTAGGACCTGCACGAGTTGCAGCTCTAGGCCTTCCGGGTAGAGCTTCCGGAGCTCGTCATCCGTGTAGGGCGCGCGTGGGACAAGGGTTGTCATGGTGTTGTTGGCATATATTAATTTTATTATAGAATCTTTGAAGAGGGGGGAGGGTTGTATCCGGAGACTGGGCTACTCTGGCTAAGGGCCGCGAGGGCGGGTATGGATTTTATAAAGAGCAAAGTTGGAGCCTTTGGGAACCCAGGGAGAGGGAAATCTCGGGTGCAGTGCCTGGCCTCGAGTCCATTGAGTGAGTGAGTGACGTGGTGACGTCCCACATGATCGGGGGGACCTCGAGGGGAGGAGGGGAGCTGGAAACAACAAGGGTCCGATTGAATACTGGTGGGGTAGGTGCTTGGCATTCCGGGATGTGCGACCTCTCAATTCGGGGCAATTGCTGTTGAGAGTCTCCAAAATTTTGAGCCGAGAAAGGAACAACGGCAACCACGGTGCTTGCTTACACTTTCTCCCTCTCGTGCCTTCGAACTGCAGCAGCCGCCCCAACCCTCCCCATCCCACCAATGGTCACCCGATACAGGCCGCGCCCCGGATAGTGTTGTCATGAGATGCACCTCATACACAAGCCGAGTTCGAGACTACGTCAAATAATCGAACGACTGCAATGCGCGAACTGGGAAGCGTAGGCAGCATCTGCCTGCGTTGTCAGTTTCGCCTGCTCGTCACACCCCATGCTCGAGCACGTCGTGGCATCTCAACTTCTAGCAGCGCCGCCGTCATCGCCGAAGATGCGAGAAACGACACTCGAACAAGCGATGGAGCCTTGGGCGCCGGGCAGTCGGGTGACGGCCCCTCCATCGCACCGCTCCCGACGCCTCAACACCCCATGTCGTCCAGCCGCTCCTCCTCAGTCGCTATGTTCCAAAGCATTGTACAAAGTCAGGCTCAGGTGACCCCCGGTATCGGCACCACGCTTGCTGGGGCGGCCAGCATCGAACTCGTGAGGGACGTGTCCCGACTACAAAAGATGATGGCGAAGGAGGGCGCCACCCTTCCCGAGGCATATGCATACTTTGAAGAGACGGTGTATCCTCAAATCAAACAGGGGGGCGGAGTTTCACAGATTGTCAAGAACCACATAGGTACCGTTCTCCTCAACAGGTTGGCCTTCGAGAAGCCGCGGGACTTTGATGCAAGCCGGCTACCCAGCGTCACTCGCATCACCGAGATCATGGTCGAGCTGGATGTTCTTAGGCCGTCCGCCTGGGCTACCCTCGTGATCGCCCTGGTCCAGCACATCTATCGACAAAACACGGTTCCCGACAGCTATAACTCGATCAAAGATTACGAGACCGCCATGGCGCGGCGGGACGTCCTCGTGTATGACCTGCTTGGCGCCTGGCGCGTGTTCTGCTCGCAAAGGCCTTCCTTGGATGGTGGCTCCTCGCCGGCCCGCCCGCTCGCAAAGCCCCAGCAGCAACTCACGCTCCAAAAGGCCTTTGGGGCCATGTTTCCCCAGTACTTGGTCCCGTCCCTGCTGAGACCGACCTTTGCTGCCTTTGCAACCTACAAGCTTCTAACGGACGCTTTCAGTCGCGCCCGCGCCACCAAGGGGGAGGCTGCGCCGTTTCTTCAGATGATGACGGGTTTGATATTTCAAACCCGGGCGCCCCGGCCCGCCGATTTCAATCCAATATTCGACACCTTCCCGGACCTTCCACGCTTCGTGTGGCCTAAGCGGCAGGACAAGGCCAGAGTCAATACTTTTCTAGAACCGGTGGCTTCGTTTGGGGAAGGGCCTAGTCATGTGAAAGCCAGTGTGCACCGTCAGCTGGGAGACGCCATCAAGAGTATGCATCTCAGGATGGTGGAGGATGCCTGGCTGGAGTTCTGGGGTGATGCGGCCACCCCCGATGCCGCCCGCACAGCCGAACTCGTCGAATGCCCGGAAATGTTCGACTATTTTATCCTAGCCTACACCATGATGCGCCGGCCCCAACATGCCGTCGCGGTGTGGAACAACATGGAGCGTATTGGCATCAGACCCACTATCAAAACCTGGACCTCGATGCTCCATGGCTGCGCCAAGGCCAACAACGCCCGCGGCATCAAAACTATTTGGGAAAAGCTGCTGGCCTCGGGTATCCGGTTGGACGCTGCCATATGGACTGCGCGCATCAACGGGCTTTTTGTTTGCGGCGAACCTGATGCCGGCCTCCGCGCGCTTGACGAGATGGCCAAGATCTGGGCCGCCCGTTCCGACCGCCGCTTCGCCGCCGTGGCCGTCCAGCCCGGCGTCGAGGCCGTCAACGCCGCTCTCTCCGGACTCCTCCGCTTCAACAACCGTGATAGTGACGCCACCCGCGTCCTCGCTTGGGCTTCCAAGCGGGGCATCGAGCCCGACATCTACACATTCAACACCCTCCTCAGGCCGCTCGTCCGTCGTGGCGACCTGAACGGCATCGATGGGATCTTCGCCACCATGCGCAGCACCAACATTCGCGCCGACGTCGCCACCTTCACCGTTCTCCTCGAGGGCACCCTCAACCAAATCGGCGGCTTGCCCCCAGCGCAGCAAGTTTCCCTGGTCGAGCGCATCCTCGCCGCCATGAAGGCCGCGGGCGTCGAGATCAACATGCAGGTCTACGCCAAGTTCCTCCACCTGCTCCTCCGCGACGATCGCGCGGAGGAGCCCGTCAAGGCAGTGCTCGCCCACATCTGGGGCCGCGGCCTCGAGTTGACCTCGCACATCTACACCATGCTGGCTGACCATTACTTCTCGCGCGACCCGCCCGACTCGGCCGCCGTCACCGCCCTGGTTGAAAACAGGCGCCTGCACGACAACAAGAGCATCGACCGCGTATTCTGGGAACGCCTCATCACAGGCTACGGCCACGCCGGAGATGTCCGCCGTGCTTTGGGAATCTTTGACCGTGTCTTCGCCGGCGGCAGCGGCACCATCACCTTTGGTACCCTCTACGACTTGCTACGGCCCTTAGTAGAGATCGGCGACCGCGAGGCCGCCCTGCGGGTCGTGGAGGCCGGGCGCAAAATCGGCAAAGCCGATGAGGTGGGCGCCGGGCAGGGCGGCGGAGAGGGGACGAGGTACTGGAAACACCGGTTTTGGCACCTGGCGTATAGGGAGGGCCTGATGGGGGAGCAGTTGGCGGAGAGGTTTCGCGAGGGGAATATTTAAAGCGAAGGCGTGTACGTATTTTATCGAAGTGTGATGTACGGGATATGAATTGTGTATGTATGCATGTACAGTACTATATTTCGCGACGCATTTATTCGACTCACAATCAATTGCGAACACAGCGGAACCACCGCGCCGAGCGGACCTCAAATGGTTGCTTGAGTCCACCTCCAAACAGCCTCAAAAATCCCCTCACCAAAAAGTCCCCTCACAAAATAACCCCAAAAAGGGGCAAAGTAAACAAATCCTCCCCCAGACCCAAACTCGCCAGGCAACCGTCATCCACCACCCATGTATCCACACAGAAAACCCCAGACCAGATGAGACGAACGGGCTTAGCGTGCGGCGTAGTCTCACCGCGCCGTTTCAGGCTCACCTGCTCACATGCTCACCTGCGACAACGCAGCATCTTTGAGCGTGGCTGTGTGTGTGTGTGTCCCCGGCCCGTCTCCACCGTCGTGCTGACGTACGTCGTATTGGAAAATCCGTGATGGGGTTCGTGTGGGTTCGTTTGTGGTAGGCGGCGGACGACTTGGGGTTTTTGGGGTGGGAGGTAAAAGCTGCTGGGTTGTAATGAGGGTATGGGGAGGGAGGTTTGTTTGTGAGTGAAGCAGTCTGAGGGAGGCAGAGGGGGGAGATCGTGTTCCAGTAGGCTCTGTCTTAGCGTTGGGTCACATGGGGAGGAATAGGTGAGAACAAGAGATGGATAGGACAGCCAGACAGGCGTCATCGAGTTGATTACTTTCTATCCACGGGGCGTTTCTCCCCGGTCGCCATCCATCCATCATCATCCACGGTGCTCATCAACCCCCATCCCGTCATTCGCTTTCCACGCAGACATCTCGCAGATCCAACATGATTACTTTTCATCACAAGCCACACCCTCCTTCCCCTCCCATCCCAGATCCCAGTCGAGACAAAAAAGGGAAAACAGAAAAGCCAAGGTATCTATCAAACCGGTACCCGCTCGCTCGCTCCCATGTATGCAAACCAAACCATGCCCAACCAGACACCAAAAAATCTATTTTGCCATGTATCCCGCGCTCAAACACCCAAAGAAAAACCAAAAAAAATCAAATGCAAAAACAGCAAGAAAACTGTAAATTAGGCATAGCGCCCCCCAATCGCCCCCGCCATCCAGCCCAACTCACTAACCAGCTCGCCCAGCCCGGCATCCGGGATCGGGCTCGTAAGCATCAGCGACCCCGACACCGCAGACTGCTGGCCCGCGGCAGCGGCAGCGGCGGCGGCGGCGGGGGCAGCCAGCTTCGCGGCGTCGGTCCCCGCCGTGCGCGGGAGCGAGTAGGTCGACAGCGTGGCGGCGATGTTTCGCGCGAAAGGGTTCTTCTGGATCTGGGCGGCGCCGCTGCCGAGTACGTCCTGGTCCTCGTCGTTGGCCGCCTCGTCGTCCTCGAGGTCTTCGTCGTCGTCCTCGGCGTCGGAGAGGTAGAACCCCGGTGGGGAGGTGGAGTCGGGGGACTCTGGGCAGAGGGCGGAGAGCGGGAAGGAGGGGTGAGGTTTTGCTGCCAGGGTGGTGTTGAGAGTTGGGAGGCGGGGTGGCGTGCGGGTTGGGGCGGCCGGGATGGTTAGGTATGGGCTTGCGGGTAGCTCGGCGTTGTCGATGGAGGCGATGGTCGTTGCTGGGGAGACAGCGCGCGGCGGGGGAGGGGACAGCCCGGTGAACTGCATTGTTTCCGAGACGGCCGAGGTGGCGAAGTTGTCGTCGTCCTCGTTCTCCTCGACAATGTCCTCTGGGATGTCAATCGCCGGCCCATTGGTGTCCTCGTGTTCGTGCTCGAGCGGGGCGTCATCGGCCAGGAACCTGCGCAGCGACTCAGGTGAGATATCCCTTGACCTGCTGCCTTCCGACCTAGGAGCCCTTTCATATTCCGCCTGCGGAATTTGCATGTCCTTCAGCGAAGACGAGCTCGATTTGCGGCTGAAAAGCTTCCGTGCTGAGAAGTGCCAGCGGGAGCTTGGCGACGGCGACCTGGACGGGCGCGTCTGCGGCGGCATCCGGAGGGGCGCAGTCCCGAGCCGGCGAGCCGGCTCCGGGGGGGTTGGCGCTGGCCTCGGGGAAATAAACTTGCTGGCCGGGTCCATCGTCTTGAAGTCGGCCTCGTGCAGCGATGTCAATGATGCGCTGCGTTTCCTCTGCGACTGTTCGACAGGAATCCAAAGAGTGTTGACGGTCTGGCCAGGGAGATATGGGCAGGTGTTGGTCGAGGGCTGAGAGGGATCATGAGCCTCCGAGGATCCGTCGAGTTCGTACTGTGTCTCGGTTAGTGACTCACTCCGTCTCGATCAGGACCTTGGCACTCACGTAGTAGTAGTAGGTGTGCCCCATCTTGAGGCCTCCATCCCGTTTCGGTATGCTTCCCGCATCGCCTTCACAGGTGATGTCCTTGAAGGTGTAGCAACCCTTCCATTGACCACGATCCCGTCGGCTATCGCGTTCCATCGTGTAGCTTTTGGTGAAGTTGTCCCAAGATCCAATCAGATGTACAGCTTTGATTGAAGGAGGTGTTCGTCTGCCATGTGTTAGTTTCTAGTTTAAGTGTGAGACATTCATGGCCGGATGGTGCCGTATCGAGACCAGTTTTCTCGAACAATGCACCACCAATTCGGACCAAGACCAAGACGTACAATTGAAAGACGGTAAGAGAATGAGAGAGTGGCAAGGTATGTCCAAAGAAAGAGTGATCGGATTATACCAAGATACGATATCAAGCACAGGGCCAGACTGAGCAGCGAACGGATGATCAAAGGACCAAAAATGAAAAACGAGTGAGAAATAAGCTTGCTCAAAAAGAACTTACAGCATGAACGTAAAGAGCGTGGTGGTGGGATCCATCTCGATGGAACGTGGACTTGTTGCGCCTCAGAGGACCCAGTCTCGAGATGGCGCAGCAGGATCTCTTATAAAGTGGAACAAGTTACGAGCAGCTGCCTTGAGCGTCTGGAACGACCGGGCCGGGGTGTGTTACCGGGGCACGGAGAGACGCGAGCGATGCAGCGATGCAGCAATGCAGCGACTAACTAACGTGGCAGTCGCCTCTGTGAATGAAGGGCCGCGGCGTACGGCCAATGAGAGTCCCAAGAAAGCCCCGGAAGCGCCGTGGTGATGCGCAGATGGAGGCGGCCCGTGGGGTTGAGTGGACGGCGCTTAGCCACGCAAGCGGCGGACAACGAGTGTCACTGTTTCGAGTTGTTTGCCCGTTTTCGACCAGATCGTTGCGGCGTCGACGGATGCAGAAATAGCCCACTTGAGACGACTGTGCCGCATGTGTTGGGTGGACTCGACTGGCTGGACTGGCTTGAGGTTGTGACGCAGCAACACTGTGAACCCGTCGGGGGGGCTGGCGCAACTTTAAGAACCTTGGAAGCGGTCGTGGAGTAGCTTGGTGGACACAGAGAGGGCTCCCGATGGAGCGCGCCATGGCGAGCATTATTTCACACCGTCGAGACCCCCCCAAACACTCTCCCACACTCACAAACCCACACAAGACGCCATCGGGCCCCAAGGGCTGCCAAGTCAGCCCCCGGGCTGCGATGGTTTTCGGCACGCTTTGACCTCATTGTCGCGATGGTCGAATGGGATGACAGATTGAGAGCGGCTGACAGAAGGATCGAGGCTGGGGATTGGGCCGTCTCCATGCACCGCTAATCTCGCCAGGGGCCTTCGTCGGGGGTGGCCCTGGCAACCATCGACGCCATGTGGGCCATTTGGGTGGTCGGGGTGCAGTCGATCAAGCGGATGGTTGCATCCATCGCTGCACTGCTTCCGTCGGCGGTTCGGTTGGTTCATCAAGCGAGAGACAAAGAAACCCCGAGTCTGGAATTTGCCGTCATTTGAGATTCTGTCCAGACGCGGTAAGTGCTGTTTCCAATTGACAAGACACAACAGCGCTTCAAGGAGAAGCCGGTGGTTGGGGTTCCGAAGCGGGAGGGACAGACAATGACAATTCGATTGTCCGATCGCTGTGCCGCGCAGAATTGTACTTGGTGCCTCTACGAAGTAGAATATGCACTTCTGCCCAGGCTCCGCACGACGGCATCGCCGCACGAGGCGGGAGCTGCAGGAGCCGTCACCGCCATGCTTTCTGTGCATGTTCTGTTCGCCGCAGACACCAATTGGACTGCAGCTGGACTTTCCAGAACCGATGACTCGCTCCTCATTGTGTACTTACGTGCGTCCGTCGTGCGTGTATGTGTGTGTGAAGTTAGTCTAAGTTAGTGTATGTGTGTGCTGGCGTGAGTTACCGTGTCTCCGGGGTGGCTGCAGGACCCCGAAGCATGTCTCAGCTGAGGGAAGCTGGAAAAACAGACAACTGTCAGGCCTCGACTGGTTCTTCCTTTGCGGCGGCATCAATCGGCCTTCCACTCAGAACCTCGTCCAGGTTGCGGGAATTTCCGTGCTCTGTGCCTGACTGCGAGGTCGCATTCCCACCACTGGTGGACCAGTTTCGAACTTGAGATCGAATGCTCCATTTTCCAGGGGAGCAGGGGCACAAAGACAAATTCTCGATGGGGATGAGACGAGGGACGAGGAACGACGAGGACGAATCAGGCGATCGAGCAGCCCTGAGACAAGACCCACTCTGCGGGCCGCTCGCATCTGTCGGCCTTGATTGGCCATTGGAAACTCAATGCATTGTCTTCCGGTCCCTGAATTGCCCGACTGCCACTCAACCAAACACCAGAAACACTGGGGGACAAGATCGAAACCCTGGAGAAAACATCGAAACCCTGGATAACCCGGCCAAATCCAAATGACGATTGTTCACAACCCAAGCTGAAGCGGGGATCGTCCATTCTCCGCGCTGAAGGCAATCCTCGGCCTTGAAAGGCGCCAGCACAGTCAATCGTGCGACCTGCAAACGCGGCCTACGGCATGAACAGGTCATTTCCGATGCGGCCACCAGCAGTCCCAAAGCAGTCTGCTCACCTGTTTCGTCAGCAGCTGAGCTTCCCAACGCGGCAAGATGAAGCTGACAACACCTCATCAGCCAGCTCCGACGGGGAATTAAGCTTTGGGGCAAAAAGGACCAAGGAGTGTTTCTGATTGGGAAGAGAACGACGAAACAGGCTTGCCGAACCAGGTCTCGAATGCTTCTCGAAGCAATTGTCAATGCCTGGCAGCTCGGTCCAAGCGTACCTAATTTGGCAAATCCAATGCTGTGTGACGGGTTGGGCGGCTGATGTTTCGGCCTGTGCTGTGTGCTCTGTGTTGCGTAGAGTTTCACGGGAACCCTGATTTGCAATAGCAATTCAAGAACTCAAAACACTCGACCGCCCCCATGGTCTAGGCCTTGTAACTGCCTGGCTAACAACAGAAACACAACAACCCAAATATTAGGCGGTGTCTCAGAATTCAAAATTCATGAGATCGAGCTCAAGGACTGGGCCCTGTGTAGGTCTAACGCATTTGTCAATACTTGCCTACCGACTTACCGCCTGGTGAATCTTCCCCTGCGTACGGGGTGTTGTACACTACTGGAAGTGGTAAACACCGTCCCATTGTATGTACAACTAGTCGTGAAATCAAACAGTCAAACACCCTCAAGTCCGACAACGGCGACGGGTACCCGAGAATAGATGACACACCACACAGCATGCAGCTGAAATCCTTCCCGCACCACCACACCACCTCACACCACCTACACCACACCGTCCAAGCACCCGGAGCCCTCAATCAAGCCGTTCCCGCCCGCCTTACCCCCCCAACTCAAGCCAGCACACCACCTCACCAAACACAGCGCCGCCAAACCGCAGATGACCGAAGCCCAACCTCCTCCGCCAACCCGGGCTGCGCCGGTGCCATGCTGCCATGCCAGACCGCGCCGTGACGACGCAGCATGCATCCATCCCCCGGACCCACGCCGGCGCCGCCGACTCCGAAAACCCGCCTCCCAGAAAAAGAGCAATCATTGTTGTTCGAAGGGGTATTACCATTAAATATGTGTACGTAGTGTAGTAGTAGTAGTTGTGTGCGCGCGCCCGGTGTAGAGTACCTCCAAAAGTGTAGAAAGCAAAGCAAAGCCAGCGCAATGACCTCCGCCCGCCCGCCGACCGCCGCCAGCCTGCCTGCCTACCTTACCAACCAGCCCGACGCCGCGCTGCGTTTCCATAGCCCAACCCACCCAATCAACCGCCCCCCACCCCGCCGGCCAGTCGTCCTGGATTCTTACCGGAGTGCCCGGCTGAGAGATCAGTAGCTATACATTATCTTCGTCTTCGCATATCTCCGCCCTTCCCGAACCCCCAATTCCCTACCCCCGGCCAATCATCAATGCGCTGGCTGGGCCTGCGTGTGCCGGTTTTCGTTTCCCGTTATGCCAATGCGAAGAAGAACGGCCGGTCCTGAAGATAGAGGTCGGTTGGGGGCGGGTGGTGTGTGTGTGTAAGTGGTTGAAGCGAAGCCAAGCAAACGAAACGCCTCTCCAATTCCCTCCCATGATGCCCAATGTCGTTTTGTTGTTGTTGGTTAACCCCATCCCGGAATTGCATCCAAAACAGGCCCCGTCTGTCGTATCTTCCCAAGACAGATTCGGTGGCTGCCCGCCCCTTTCAGTCTCTCGCACCCGCCCAGCGAAGTGTCACCAAAGGGTTTCGTCTTGGTCAACCCAGAATCCAATTATTTAGCCCGGCTATTCCCATTCACCTTGCCATTCGCCTCGCCGTTCACCTTGCCATCAACCTTTCCGTTCTCCGCAGCAGGCTCCACCTCCTTCTTCTCCGACTTCTTCGCCGCGGCCACGCGCGTGCGCTCGTACTTGTTCGCGGTATCCCCCTTCCACATGGTGCCCAGGAGGCGGTCCCAGATGGTGAAGAAGGGCTGGGAGAAGTTGGACTTGATGCCCCAGCTCTGGTGGTGGATGTCGTGGTACGCCGCGTTGTTGCTCGTGATATGCTGCAGTGGGTCCCACGGCAGCGCGTACCCGCAGTGGTCGTCCACCGTCTTGACCGTGCTGAACACGAAGAACAGCATGCCCCCGCGCGCGCTCAGCATCGACACCTTGTACGCGAGCCCGGCGCCCAGCGTGTCGAGCACGAACGCCTCGACGGGGTGGTTGTAGAGCGCGCCGTAGGCGTAGGGGACGTAGAGCCGGTGGTGCCGGGCGTGCCAGTTGGCTGTAGGGGAGGGGACAGGGGGTTAGCTTGGCGCACGCACAGAGGAAGAGGTCAGGGGAAGGGATGTTGACATACTGTACATCCACTTGTTCAGGTGCATCGCCCGATGCCAGAAGTACTGCCATGTGTCGAGGAAGCAGGTGGCGACCCAGAACTGGAACCCGGGGACAATGACCCAGTAGAGGGCCTTGGCGACGATCAGCTCCCATGTAGCGAACGCCGGAACGGCGGTTCCTGTGACGTCGTCGAGGGTCGTGGTGAGAAACGGATAGTGCCCGCCGGCCAGGGCGCCTGCTAGCAACGGGTACGAGGCAGCCATGTTCTTGGAGATAGCCGCGGCGTTGAGTCCGAGCGTTCCGAGCACCGCGGGCAGCGCGCGCTGAGCCAGCCGAATGCGCGTCGCCCAGACCGCAACGTCATATTCCTCCATGCCCGTTGTTTGCTTCGGATCGGTCGCCGAGAGGAAGGCGGACATCCCCATCTGAATGATCTGTTCGATGATCACATCCCGGGCCACTTCGTAACGAGACGCCAGATTCCGCTGGCTGATCTCCTCGGGCGTGTGCAACCGGTACTGCGGGAACAAGTCGTAGACATCGATGACGTGAAAGATCATGGACACGACCCAGTAGGCGACGTGCGACGCGACGAGGGACAACCAAAAGTCGGATATGAAGGGCAGGAGATCGGGCATCGGCCGGATCTCGTAAGCCGGAAGCGGCGGAAGACCGGATGCGAGGGTTGTGTTGGCCATGGTGAGACCGGGGCCGTGTCAACGGCGAGCAGGCCGGGGCGAGTGTGTTGCAGACGCAAAACAATAAGGGACAGAAGAGGATGCTGCCTTGCGACAGCGGCAGAATCAATCAAGCAGTGCAAAAATGGGTGGTCAATCGAGGATGAAGGAGTGGCGCGAAGATGCTTGGGTAAGAAAAAGAAGATCGGCTGTGGAGAAGCCGCTGGTCCTGGATGGGATGGCGAAAAGGTCTCGCACGGCCCAGATTTCAATTTCCCGTCTTTTCATGTCAATGTCGGGCCACTCATCGCACCACTTTGACAGGCAACCGAGAACTTCCACTTATGGCCATGACTCAGCTACGTAATCTTGCTCGAACCCTCCCTATCCTCCGCGTCCCGGCCATGAGCAGACAACTCGGTCGTGCTTTCCGCCTTTGTATCTCCTGAAAAACACCGACGCCCTCCTGGGCTTGGCAGGGACCGATCATCCGTCAGCGGCAAGGAGTGCAGCACTCGGAGTCGCGCCGAAAAGCCCCACAAACCGGCGTTCGGCTCTGTGGGCGAGTCCGGGAGCTGGGTTAGGGTTTCAACTGCCAGAAGCCGAGATGAGAATGGGTCCAGCTGCGAAATGCTGGATTGGGTTAGGGTTAGTTAAATCAGATAAAAGGCCTGGCACAAAAACCCCAGCTCCCCCGGCTTCCAGGTTGCAAGTTGAGGGTTTAAATGGACCGGGGCGTTGCCTAAGGCGACTGTACCCAAACCTGCGTCTGTCCCACGCTCACGGAGTTGATATAAGTGTAGAGTGCAAGCAAGAAGTGAAAGGAAAGTATCTGGGAAACTGCTGGACTATACAGTACCTACCTAGGTACCTAAAAAACAAAGCCTCGAACAGACCACCCCTTGTTTCGTCCTCAGCCATTTGCATCGTGCGGTGCGCCAGACCGAGGTGAGCTTCCAGTTGAGTTCTCTGAGCACCCCGGGGGCAGGTGGGCGCACAGTTGGTCTAGAATTTCCCCTTGCGCTGGAAAAAGCTGCCCCGCCTACCCCTCCTCCATCTCTTTGCCCCCGCTCAATTTTTTCCCACGACCCAACCCACCTTCTTCTGCAGCCGCCTCGTCGAGACAATCTTTACCCTATCTCTCAAGGTATAATACACCAGCCGTCAAGATGATTATCTACAAGGTGAGCCGGAAAATACCCACGAACGAGCGCGGCGGACCGCCGCAACCCCATGCGCCGGCGCAAGTTCGCTAATACAAACTCCTCTTAGGACGTCATCACCGATGATGAGATCATCTCGGACTCGTACGACATGAAGGAGGTCGATGGTGTCGCCTACGAGGTCGACTGCGCTATGATCACCGAGGGCGCCGTTAACGTTGGTGCGTTCGATTGGGCCCTTCCCGGCCAACTTGCGAATCTGCGAATCTGCGAATCTGTGTGGCGGGGCACCAATATCCAGGGATAGGCGCTAATACAAACATCTTTTAGACACCGGCGCCAACGCGTCCGCGGAGGAGGCTGATGAAGCCCTCGACGACGCTGAAGTCAAGGTCAACAACGTTGTCAATTCCTTCCGTCTCCAGAGCACGTCATTCGACAAAAAGTCGTATTTGACCTACCTGAAGGGTAAATAACCCGCCCCTCCCCCCCCCAGGCATCCACAGGAGACAGGCGCTAACCTGGCTCCCGCATTACAGGCTACATGAAGGCTGTCAAGGGAAAGCTCCAGGAGGCCGGGAAGTCGGAGGAGGAGGTCAAGGACTTCGAGACCAAGGCCGGAGCTTTCGCCAAGAAGATCCTCGGCAGCTTCAAGGACTACGAGTTCTACACCGGCGAGTCTATGAACCCGGATGGGATGTGAGTAGTATTTTCCCTCGTACAAACTACGGGCGTTACTAACCGGCTCAGGGTCGTCCTCCTCAACTACCGCGAGGATGGCGTCACCCCTTACATTATTGCGTGGAAGCACGGTCTCAAGGAGATGAAGGTTTAAGGAACTGGGATTGTGCCCGTCTATACACTCAGTCGCAAAAGGCTCAATGCCCCATCCCCGTCCCTCTTGGCATATTCAGACGTACAACACAGTCGTGCGTTCTATAGTCCCACGTAGACTGTAGCCTGACCAGTGCCCGACAAAAGACGCGTCGACCCCCTCCGCCCATATCTGGTTCCATTTGTTGTAAAGTTCGCAATGTGCAATGCCGTGCCGGAGTGAACGTCAAAGTCATGGGGCACACTTCCCTCAACTTCCGCCCAGAGCCCACTAAAACCGCGGCTTCGTCGCCATAGGAATCGGCGGCGGCTCATCATTCTCACCACCCTGTTCCTGTCCCTGCCCCACCCCTACCGCTCCCCCCGACAAACCAGGCTTCTTCTTCGGCGGCGGCGGCGGAGGCGGTTTCTTCTTGCCCGCCAGCGCCGCGATACCACTACCCACCGCCCCAACCCCCATCATCCCACTCCCACCTCCATTCCCACCCCCATTCCCATTCTCATTCCCACCCCCACCTACACCCCCACCCCCGCCCCCAAACCGCGCCTGCAACCCCCCCGCCGCCCTCAGCCCGCCCGCGACCTGCTCGCCGTGCCGCTGCCGGAAGTTCTCGGCCGTCGACGCCGCCGCCCGCGCGTCGGACAGCGACACGGATGACGGGTCGGCCCGGAAGGCGGCGGCCGTGCGCACCGCTGCCTGTTTTTGGGCGAGGGTTGTTCCGCCGCCGTTGGAGCCGCTGTTGGCTTCTCCTTTGGGGGTGGTGGTTTTGAGTCGGCTGAAGCGGGATTGGAGTTCGCTCATGTGGGATTTGGTTGGGGTTGTGGTTGTTGGTGGTTGTGGTGCGGTGGTGGTGGTGGATGATGATGATGGGGTGATGCCGAAGCCTGGGACTGAGATGCCCGCTGCGCCGAGGCGGCTCACGGCGGATTGGTTGATGTAGCCCTGCTCCGGGCCGGGGGCGGGTTGCCGCGCGGGGAGGGCCGAGGAGGAGGGGGAGGGCGTCGCTGGTGAGGAGGTGGATGATCGTGGCGGGAGGCGCGGTGGGAGGCTTGGAGGAGCTCTGCCGCCGCCTGATTGCGGTGTGGGAGGGGCGGGGCGTGGGTTTCCTCCGTCGGTTCTACCTGGGGGTGGCGGGAGGTGTGAGGTGGAGAGACCGGTGGTGTCTAGGCGCCATGGCTTGGGGGGAGCGGTCGGTTCGTTGGGTGTTGACTCTACGGTTGTCCCTGCCCGTGGGGGGATGGTTGGACCGGTATGAGAGGCGGGTGATGAGGAGGTTGCTGGGCTCGTTTCTCCGGTAGATGCGTTGGGATTCCGCTTGGGTGGAGGTGCAAAGCTGGCTGGGTCACGCAGCGACGTGATGGGCGTGGCGACATGATCGTTGCGGCGGGTTTGCTGTTTCTCAGTTAGTGACGCTGGTGGGGCCGATGTAGGATAATGACAACCTACGTCTTCACCACGGCCGACCAAGCTTTTCTGTGAAATATTAGCACGATACTCAGCATCGATATAATCAGAAAAGCAGACGCAATCCACATACCATTTGGCCCTTCAAGCTCGTCCCCTCCTTTTCTGGATGCCATCCTTTTTTGAGGATATCTTTGTATTGTGACATGATGTTTCCACTGTTGTGTTTAAAGATGGTTCATAGGGTAACCAAAATAAACAGAAACAGAATATTTAGAGGATGTGCTGTGGTGATGTTGGTTCTACATAAAGAAAGTTGTTGGACTGCCGGTGAGGTAAGTTGATAGTTAGTGGGTCCATGACCAAGTCAGGTCGCAAGGGTACAACACCAACCCAAGATTGGGATAATTACATCCACCCTCCTGGTAGCTTTACGGTTCCCCGTAATTTGTAACATTACGGTGGACGGCGTATGAATCATTATTCCAATATCGTGTCAACCTCGATTTACAATGATTGAGATTGCCAATTAGTTCAAAAGACAGAAGACGATTGGAATGGAGCATGGACTTTCACTCAATACGCCAAGACGAGGTCGAAAGATCGAAGCAGCCCCCACAGGCTGACGCCTCAATTCGATACCAAAACACCACCACATACACCACCTAACTACAATATACTCCCATTATCCACCCCCGGACTCGCAAGCCCAGCCTCCTCCCCTAACCCAACGGCCCTCAACAAACCCGCACTCTCCGCCTCCCCATCCTCCCTCGCCACGCCCATATCACCACCACTCCCCACCCCCAACCCCAACCCACCGCCCTCAAACCCCTGAAACCCACCCGCCGCCGCAGCACCACCACCACCACTCGTGCGCCTGGTCTCCTCGGCACCGTTCAGCAGGTACCACACATCCTTCTTGGTCAGCAGACCCTGCAGAACACCGCGGTCGACAAACAGCACGTAGCGCAGGCCGAGCTTCTGGAAGTAGCTGACGGCGAGGTGCAGGCGGGAGCGGCTGGGCAGGGTGAGCGGGGTCTGGTCCATCCAGGGGCGGAGGTCGAGCGTGGAGCGGGGGTCGGCCATGGGCTGGTGGGCGAAGAAGGCTTCTGTCTCTGGGGGTAGAGAACGTGGCGGTTGCGTGGCGGTGTGTAGGGTGTAGGCCAGCTCGGCGCGCGAGATGTAGCCGAGCAGGATGGCGTCGCGCGGGTCCGACACGACGGGGAAGCCGCGGTAGGGGTGCGATTCGAGGATCGAGGTCAGCGAGGCGATGGTGTGGCCCGTGGCGGTGAGGACCACGAGGTCCTCGATGCGCGTCATGATTTGGGAGGCCGGGATGTCCGGGATGGGGGTGGTTTCTTCCGACAGGTCGAGGAAGGGGTACTCGTTGAAGTGGATCCAGGACTCGTAGATGCCGCGCCGCGAGAAGGCGTCGCCGACCCATTTGGAGATCATCACGGCGATCATGATGGGGAGGACGTAGTTCAGCGCGCCGGTCAGCTCGAACATGATGACCACGATGGACACGGTCATGCGCGTGACGCCGGCTAGTGCCGCGGCGGCGCCGATGACGGCGTAGGTACCGGGGGTGATGCATGGGATGTCGGGCTCGCAGGTGTGGAAGCCGATGAATTTGGGGTGGTTGGTCTGCCAGATTTCCATGATGATGCCGATAGCGCGTCCTGTGAGAGCGCCGATGGCCATGGATGGTAGAATGATGCCGGCCGGGATTTGTAGGCCGAACGTAATGGCGGCGAGGAAGAAGCTGAGAAGCGCAGCAAAGATGAGTAGTAGGATGGTGGTTGCAGAAGCGGCGCCCGTCTTGCAGAGCCCGAACTGATCATCGAACTGCTCTGAGCACTCCGAGAAAAGATTCCACACCAAGTCGGAATTCCCGGAACGCATATAGCGGTTGGGATAGTTGATGAGAGCAGTAACGGCGGCCACGATGACGACCTGAATGACAGGACCCGGCAGCCAGGAAATGGACTTCCGCCCTCTGGCGATCATCATGTTGGCCTTGATAAACAGCCCGCCATAGATGCCGCCGAGTATGCCCAGGAGAACGAATGGGAAAAGCTCGAAGCCGTGCCAGCTAGAAGTGTATGTCACTTGGTACATGACTAGTTTTCCCGACCGGAAAGGGTCAAAGGCTTGCAGAACCATGGCCGCTGTCATGGCACAGACGAAGCTTTGCCACATAGTCTTGTCGGGGAAGTAGTAGGATAGTTGCTGCGAGAGTTAGGAATATGTGGTGTACAAACAAGGCTGGCGGTCATACCTCGAGTGAGAATAGCACGCCGCCAATGGGCGAGCCGAAGGCGACGGAGATGCCAGAGGCTGCTGCCGCGGACAGAACCTCTCTTTTCCGTGCTGGTGCTGTTAGTTTTCTAGTCGTTAAGGATTGAATAAAGAGGGTTAGCATACCTTCATTATTGTTAATGCTAGGAAACAGCTTCGTAAAGAGATTGGCACAACAACACGCGACATGGACCAGCGGTCCTTCCTTGCCGAGCCACAAGCCAGACGCCACGGCGAGAATCTGTCGAGTCAGCACACGTCCATACACTCGTACCCACCAAGGGGAACCTACCAAACCCAAGGACTTTGTAATCAAAGTCCATATCCCAAGGAACCTCCTAATAACGAACCCCCCCAACACCGTTTTGATCTCCGGTATCCCGCTGTGCCTGGCATACACGCCGTACTCCTTGACCAACACGGCCGCCGAAAGCGCAAAGGTAACCTATTCCTCGTCAGCCTCCATTCCCCACCTATTGACTCCTATAGCCAGAAAAAAAGGGGGGGAAGAAAAAAAGGGCCTACCGCAAAAACCAAATACACCACCCCCTCGACCACCCACCTCCCGCCCCCCTCCCCGGCCCCAAACACATCCCCCCACCTCCTCCACCCGCGACACTGACTGCCCTCATCATACCCCAAACAACACGCCGTCCTGCCCAGATAAAACCGCCCCCCATCCACCTCGCCAGAGCAAAAACCATGCTTGACATCCCCCAGCCAATCCGTCGCCACATCAATCCCGGCGGCCAGCGCGCCCACCGCCAGGCCACACAACAACAAAACAACCCACACATGGCTGGCATCAAGCAGGCGGCTCAGGTACCCCAGCAGCGGGTGGCCGAGGGGCGCGTGCGCGTGCAGCGCCCGCTGCCGCTGCCGTTCTTTGGTGTACTCGAAGATCCAGTCGATGGCGGTCAGGTCGGCGTAGCCGACGCGCCGCCCGGGGCCTTCGGTGTACCAGTCGTGTGGGTGGGGGGGGAGGGCACCGTCTTTGGTGGTGGTGTTGTGGTTGTTGTTGGTAGTGTGGGGGAGTGCGCCGAGGTGTGTGGATGGACCGGGGTTGGTGTCGAGGCGGAGGGGTGGTTGGGAGGTTTGGGAGGGTTGTTGTGCTGCGTGCGGACGGGGCAGGTCGCGGCTGGTTCGGGGGGAGGAGGAGGAGGCGAAGGGGCGGCGGCCGGTGAGGGCGGTTATGAGGCGTCCCGGTTGGGAGAGGAGGCTGGGTTGTTTTTGTTTGCGCTTGAAGGTGAGTGGGGAGGAGAGGTCGGTCTGGAGGGGGTCGTTGGCGGGGTGGGGGTCGTCGCCTAGGAGGTCGAGCTCGTCCGTGCCATCGTCGTCGTCATCGTCGTCATCGTCATGGCGGTCGTAGGGGTTATTGTAAGGGTTGCCGTCGTCATGGCCATGTCCGTTTGGGGGACGCGAGGTCGAGGGCCCCGAACTCGATGTCCCATTGTTCATTGTGTGATTCGTCGGGGGCATGCTGGGCGAGATGATGTATCCGCCATTCTCATCCGTGGCGTTAGAACTACCCGCAGTGAATGCGCACTCTTGGCGTCCTGGAGCTCGAGTCCTTGTCGTCGTTGGCTTGCGTGTCGCAAGTGTTGTTGCTGTGTTGGTTATCTTATCGCTCAAGGTGCTCGATTGCGCCGATGGTCCGTGCATGAGTAGCAAGTCCCTCACTGGAAGGATATTGCAGCTGAAGTTCAGCGCCTGCAGCCCCGCCGCAGAGGGCTGTCAGCCCCAGGCCAGCCCTGTATGACGGAATTCGCTACCCTGTAACTCGCCCGACCGAGACACCAAGTCGATGATCAAGACCCAAAACTCACCCACATATTCCACGGGGTATAGGTAATACCTTGGTAATAAGGTTGGGGCATGTTGTGAAACACACCCAGCTTTATATTGTCCCGAAACTCCATCAGTTCTTCAAAAAACAAGCCCAAGATGAGCGAGAGTGCCCCTCCTGTTGAAGAACAACCACCCTCGATCCAAAAAATACAGGAATTATTGGGTGCAAAAGACGACACCTCACGCTTCGTCGGTCTTGCATTGCTCAAATCAGTCCTCGACAATACCGCAGAGCTACGGAATGATGAGGAGGCTATCGTGTCGCTGTGGGAGAGCATCCCGCCCAAATTTCTAGACAGGCTCATCAAGACTGGGTCGAAGCAGACGCCATCATCAGACACACGGCGAAAGGACTCGAATGATATGTTGGACTTGGCTGTCTCTGTGCTTCACACTTTTGCTTCTCTACTTCCGGAAACTGCAAAAAATGGCCCCAAGCTGGTAGACAGGATACCGCAGCTCGTGGCCTGTCTCCTACAGTGGTGAGTTCACTAGTCACTCCCGTCCCAAAAGTTGAAGTAACGAGAACCTACTAACTATGAGGTAGTTCCGATGAGACCACCAGGTTGACCCTCGAGACTCTAGTGAGCCTCGTGAGCCAGCCAGATGGCGCCCACGTCTTCACAGCGGTAGAAGACCTATCTCCCTTGACCGAGATTGCGCCTTCACAACCCCTTGCTCTGGACGTCCTGCTCTATGCGTGGCTTAATGCCATGACCGCGACGCCAGACAAGGAGAGCTTGAGATCCAAGATTGGCGCCACAATGAGCAGCCTCGTTGCATCCTTCAAGGGAACCGATGCTGTCACCCTGCTGAGCTTCCTTGCAAGCTTACTGCCGCGGTTAGAGCCAGAGGTTGGTTGCCCCTGAACGTCAATACCAAGCAATCAACTGACTGATCAATTATCAGGTTGTACCATCCGACCCCAAATGGCTCCCGTCCCTCGGCAAATTCATCCGCGACCTCGTCATCAGCCGTCCCACCGCCGCCGGCCGCGCCGCCTTTACCAACCTCTCCGCGGCCCTCCTCGAGATCTACCCCTTCCAAGCCCCACAACTCCTCTTCGCCGAACAAGACACCACCACCACCTCCTCCTCAAACCCCTTCTCCTACCTCCTCGTCAACCTCATGCTAGTCGACCTCCGCGCCACCCTCCCAACCCTCCTCGAACAGCTCAACACCCCAACCTACCCCGCCACCTCGCACCGCCTCACCTCCGCCTTCAACACCCTCTCCCACTTCACCGGCTACCTCCTCCGCTCCATGGACTCCGCCTCCGACCTCCCCTGGACCATCTCCCCGGACCTCCTCCTGCACCTCCGCAAGTCCATCTCCGAAACCCTCTCCCTCACCACCGAGTACCTGCGCGACCGCTGGGACGCCGCCGTCGCCGGCGCCATGGGCCTGCACCGCGACGCCCGCGCCGCCTCCGTGTCCGCCACCACCACCACCACCACCGGCGGTACCGGCACCGGCGCCACCACAACCACCACCACCACCTCCCGCCTCCCCCTCGCCTGGGACGCCGCCTCCGACCGCGACCGCGGCGCCACCGCCGACAACGACCCGCTGGTCCTCGCCGCCGTGCGCGCCCTGGCGCTGTGGATCCGCGAGGATGATAACGAGCTGCTGCGCAAGGAGGCCAGTGGGTTGGCGGATATGTTGGTCGAGCTGTACCAGCGCAGTAGGGTGGGAGTGAAAGGGGAGGGGGAGGGACAGGGGCAGGGGCGGTTGGATTTCCGCCGGGCCGTGCTGGTTGCTTTTGAGGGGGTTGTGGTGGAGCGTAAGGGGCGCGAGGCGGTCCTTGCTGAGGGGGGGTGGGAGGTGTTGGTGGGGGATTTGTTGGGTGTTCTTTTGGGGGGGGTTGGTGGAGAGGGGGAGGGGGAGGGGGAGGAGGAGGAGGAGGCGGCTAGGGGGGTTGAAATTGTCCGCGTGTTGTTGCAGATTGCCGAGGCTGAGGTGCCTGGGCCGAAGGAGGCGTGGATGGATTTGGTGACTAAAGTGGCTACGTGGGATGTGCCCGAGGGGATGCAGTCGCCGGTGGTGGTGGAGTGCCATGTTGCGGTCCTGCAGCTGGTGACGACGTTGTTGGTGAGCGCGCACCCGGGGATGCGGAAGCGGTATGTTCACTCGACCAGTGCGGTGCTGGGGGTTGCGAATCGCTTGAAGGGGAAGGTGAAGGGGGATAAGGCGTCGGAGGAGGCGCTCGAGGATGTGGTGGGGACGCTGGATGCGCTGAGGTGAGGGTGGGATAATGTCCTCTGGAAGTCGCGTTGGTAGCGGTTGTTCCTTCAACATCAGACGAGCTACTACCGACTGGATGGGCTTCCAAGGTGTCGTCGATAGGTATTTGAGATGCAAACTCCAAAACCTATTCATCTCTATCTACGCAACCTTACGGCTCTACGCTTACCTATGAGTCCTTTTACCTACCCTCCTAAGATGTCCGTTCCTAGTCGATATTCGTCATTATCCCAAGAAAAACACCACCTACCGAGATCATGTTAACCAGGTATCTTTGGAGCAGGTACTTGTGCCTCAGACCTCAGCATCGGACCTCGGTTACCCGGAAGAGAAGATGGCTTTTCAGCAAGGTTAGAAAGGGTGTTTGCAAAACGTTTCACGGCCATTCTAAACGCAGTGCTTCTTGGCCGTCTCTCATCCTGCTGGATGATCCGGGGAGGAGGATGTACCCTAACGATGCCCGTATCAGTAGCATCAGCATGAGCCAGCTCCCCCACATATCTTGGGAGGGTGGCGACGTGTCTCCGGCCTCTGGGCCAGTTGGCACATTACTACGTACGTACACATGCCCCCTAGACTCGGGAACTATCACCAATACTAACATACGGTAGCCTCTCGTTTCTCGAATCTCCTCGCCCATAATCACAGAATCGCCCCACCGCAGGCCAACTTTGGTGCCGAAGCTTTGCTGGAGTTGTCAGACTCGGTGAGAGAATCGCTCGCTAAACACGGCCACTTCGGCCCAGGCGCAGATTTCATGTCTTTCTTCATGGAGCTTGCCGCCCTGGAGGAAACACACGGCACGCCGACACTCGATCTCGAGACCATCAAGCTCGCTCGCTTGGACAAGTTGGTTGCCGACCTAACTCAGTGCGGCGAGATGCCCTTCACCCTGGCTCCGAGGTTCATCCATGATGCTGTCAATGCTGAGAAGCTGGAAATGATGTGGCGGGCGCGTCTCAAATCTGACTACCTTATGATTGACGAGATACGTGCCAATGACCTAGTCACGAGGTGGCGGCTCAAGGAAGGACTGCCCGCTGATAGGGATACTGCTGTTTCGGAGCTACCAGAGGGAATCATATCAGGGCCAAGTAACAGTGCCAATGAAACTGCCCAGTTCAAGCCGGGAGGGTATGATCCACCGACATTCAACTGTGGTGCTCACTAACTGACAGGTCTCGCAGATGGTGGTTGAACCTCGCCTGTGCTCACTTAGACGGTGTGGTCGGTACGGATCGCGACACGACAAGCAGGGGAAACGATGGGACTCTAACCTTGCCTCTTTTGACCGGGAGGGAGATCAATGCCGGTCATAACAGGGTCAAATACATCTGCGAGGGAACGCTAGCAGACATGCACCCGGGCCTTCCCCCCCAGACCGGGAAACAACTGCGTGTTTTGAGAGGCTACCAACTCCGGAGTCATTTTGCTCCCACTATCGGCATTCGGAACGATGGCTTGTATGTTCACATTTAAGAGGATATTGGTTAATAGTGAGCTAACCAACTGGTTAGGTGGACACTACTCAGGTATAACGAGAGGCGCAACCGCACTACCGGGGGTTACTGCCTGGAGGTAGACCTTGAGAAAGTGCCTGGCCAACCCGCGATGGCGGAGCTCATGAGGGTCCCACGGCCGTCGCATCTTGATGACTGGGACTTGTACAAGAGAGTTGAAGTTTGTCTAGCTCTGCAAAAAGAGTACCGGAACCACAGGAACCGAAGTGAAGAGGGCCGTACACCATGAGAAACGTCCTAGGAAAACCATGGCTAGGCCCAAGCTAATTTTGGCAAAACAGAACGGAAACGAAGCCTGTCATTAATATCATGAAATACAAGTGGTCTTTGAATAGGGCGTGGTGTGTTCCGTGTGCTCAGGGGCGAGGCACTGAGGGTCATCTAACCCTAACCCTCCTTATACCATACATGCCGCTTGTATCGTCAAAGCGCGGCAGACAGAGAGGGGGGCAACATAAATCACGGACCGTCATAGCCAAGTTTCTTCACCACTCTCAACACTCAACAAGCATCCTACCCAGATCTTCCAAACCACCACCGCCCCAATAGCCACACACCCAACCGTAGTCACTAAACAACAACACAGACAGCCACCATGGCCAAATCCAAAGACTCCAAACCCGCCGGCGGCAAAGGCGGCGGCAAGGCCGACAACAAGGGCGACAAGTCCAAGAAGGGCGGCGGCAAGGGCAGCAACTCCAAGGCCGCCGGCGCCGACAGCAGCGACACCAAGGCGTCCAAGCTCAAGGGCATGACCATCAACGTCAGGCATATTCTCGTATGTGCCCCCACCCCCCCCCCTTGGCTGGTTTATTACTGGGAATGCTTTCGGTTTTTGAGTGAGATAGTGGCTGGTGTGACGCTAACGTGTCATTTTTTTCTTCCTCTCTTTTTTACAACAACAGTGTGAGAAATTTACCAAGAGTGAAGAGGCCATCGGCCGGCTGAACAACGGTGAGAAGTTTGACGCGGTGGCGAGGGAGATGTCCGAGGACAAGGCCAAGGCGGGTGAGTTTACTTCGCTCCGCACCTTGGAGGTCACGGACATGCTCACACGCTTGATACAGGAGGTTCGCTCGGCTGGAAGTCCAAGGGCAGTTTGGACCCCCAGTTCGAGGAGGTGGCCTTCAAGATACCGCCCAGCCCGGTCGCTAGCCCCACGTTTGAGAGGGTCAAGACGGGCTTTGGGTATCACATCATCATGGTCGAGGAGCGCAAGTAGGAGTGGGGTTGGGTGACAACCGGAATGGCCAGTTGTGAGGCTTCTTTTTATTTTGTCTTGCTGAGTTTCCCATGCCGTATGCGAAGGGTAGCCGCGTGAAGGGGCTCCCATGTTTCCCGCCATCCATTTTGCCAGCCGGTGAGAACCAGGACACCCAAGGAAGATGTCATCGGACCGTGGCCCGAGAGGTGAACCCTTCTCCAAATCCCTTCATGATATCCTCATGCTCCTTCTTTCCTAGCGAAGTGCCACTACCCTGCGCCCGTGCTTGGTCCGCTTAGGCCTCAGACGAGAAGTAGTTGAGGAGGATGGAGCGCTCCTGCGACTCCTCACCCCAGTCCTTGACGACGACGCAAGAGCAGTTGACAACCTTGCGGGCGTTGCCCTCGCGGTCGAGAACGCCTAGATCACGAGCAGTCAGTATACGCCACCCTCTCCCCCAATCGGGGTATCCCGGGGCCTACTCACAGAGACCAGCCCACTCGCCGAGCTGCTTGCCGTCGGGCACCTTGATGAGCGGGATCTTGTGCTCCGAGCAGAGGGCGATGACGAGCTTCTTGTAGGCCTCCTCCTCGCACGACTCGTTGAGCACGCACATGTGCGCCTGCCTCCGGTCGAGAGCCTTGGACGCCTCGCGGAGACCGCGAGCCAGACCGTCGTGCATCAGAGACAGCTTCAGGACGCCCTTGAGCGCATCCAGAACCGACATCTGACCCTTGCCGGCATCGGCCGACACCTCAACCTCCTCCTGCACCTCGGGGGCGTTGTTCTCTTCTACGTCCGACTAGATGGGGAAGAAGCCACGGTTAGCGGGGTGCCTTCTCCAATCGTTCGAGAAATTGCGAGTGCTGGGGTTCGTCGACGGTGTGCAAATTGGTTCGATGGCGATGGGTGACTTAAGGGGAGGGCGGCGGGGGTCTCACCATCTTGACGTTTAATTTTCCAAGTCAGTTGTCGGTTCCGATCCTCGAAGAGTAGTTCGTGTTGTGTTCCTTTTTCGTGTGTTGGGGAGGGATGTTGACTTGGCCACAAAAGTGAAGATTAATGTGTGCGGGAATCGGCCCCACCAATCGGCCGGTGCCTCAATTCAGGAATTTTTGTGGTCGCAGTGAATCCGCACCGAGCTAGTCTGCTTCAAGCAAGCGCACAATTGCAGGGATCCGTGTTTTAGGGCAAGTTTTCGCGGGCACGGGCCACCACAGCTCTCTCCATTGCGAATTTTTCGTCGCCGTCAAACCTCGTCCATCCCCGACCCGATCAACCATCAGCTCCTGAACGCAGGCCCAATTTTGAGGTATGTAAATACTCTCGAAGATGACTTCTCAACAGAAAAATGTCCTTCGCGAAGGCCGAGGGAAGAAATCATGGGGTGGCTGAAGCAGCGGCCGAAGCTACACCATGACACTCTTCTCCTCACCGGCAACTGAGCAGGCAGAACCCTCTTGAGACTTGTCGACGAGGGCACTCTCCACGCTCGCGAGCCTCGGAAGGCTAACGTAACACGCTTCGGCACGCTGGCAGATACCTCATCTCCTCTTCTAGACGATTTGAGAATCTCCGTTCCCACCGAACTACCGCCAAAATGGTCCGCACCTCCGTTCTTCACGATGCGCTGAACACCATCAACAACGCCGAGAAGGCCGGCAAGCGCCAGGCCCTGATCCGGCCCTCGTCCAAGGTCATCGTCAAGTTCCTGCAGGTCATGCAGCGCCACGGTACGTTGTCCGCCCCCGCCCCGGCCCCCAACTCTGCGATACCTCCGTGGACGTGCAAGACACTCGCAACCCTCCCCGTTCCCTCCAAATTCGGCATGATAACTAGGCAACGATCCTTTCCGCCCCCACGGTCGAAGCCCTTTAAGTTGCCGATAAATCAAACACCAATGCGAGGGTCTTACACGTTCTCGGAGACTTCCAATGATGTACAATGTTTAATCTCGCGCAACAAACAACTGACTAGTTCGCTTCTCAGGCTACATTGGCGAGTTCGAGGAGGTCGACAACCACCGCAGCGGCAAGATCGTTGTCCAGCTCAACGGACGGTGAGTCCATGGCCCGGAGTGCTGTTTAAAGTTCCTTTGCTGATAATCGTTTGTAGCCTCAACAAGTGCGGTGTCATCTCCCCCCGCTACAACATCCACCTTGCCGAGCTCGAGAAGTGGGTTGTCAAGCTTCTCCCGGCCCGTCAGTTCGGCTACGTCATGCTCACCACCTCGGCCGGTATCATGGACCACGAGGAGGCGCGTCGCAAGCACGTGTCCGGCAAGATCATTGGGTTTTTCTACTAAGCATGTAAAAGCTAATGAGAGACGAGCGGATCTAAAAGAAACAAAAAGGCCTGGCATGTGTCTAGAGTGGCAATGCATTGATACCCGATACCCGTTCTGTGAATACAAACGGCCTGCGTTTTTGACAGGACCGCCGCACATATGGTTACCTGAATGTTCTTGCCCCCCGAAACCCGGGGCCCCGAGTAACCTTTGTAATGGTGATCCTCGTGAGACTTTGCCTGCTGTGCTCGACTGGGCGATAATTACTTCCGTTCCTAATTGAGACCTCCGGGTGCAACGTCGGGTTTGCGCACCCAAAAGGAGCCCGCGATGTTGGTCGCGTGTTGTCTCAGATGCAGGGTCCCGATTGAGTTCTCGATGGGCCAGCCAAGAAGAGGGTGCTCCATATTCTATCTCAGCCCAGTTGTTGGAGCAAACATGGCGTTGGCTGAATCGTGCATAAACGTTAACGAGGTGCCAATATTGTCCTTTTTCGCAGCGGCACAGTCGCTCTCGGTCTTGGCTGGCGGCCTGGCGGCAGAAGTCGCCCGGGCTTTCTCGCTTTTGAATGGCGACCCCAGTTTTTTTATGCAATCAAGCCTGGGATTAATCTTGGCCGCCTCCTTCAGCAACCTGGAACCCGCTGCCCGCGCATCGTTAAGCCCCCAACCAGTTTCCAATTGCCTCTGCCTCGACTTCTTCCTACTTCTCACTTCGCCATTTCTCTCGTTCCGATGAGTAGTAGTAGGGACATCTCGATAGCAGGGATAGAGCCGCCGCCGCCTTGACGACAGGGCCGAGATTATTATTTTAATTAGACGACGACTTTTACTTTCGTATGGGCGACGCGCTTGGCCGGCGGCTCAAGGGTGCCGTAACTAGTTTCCCAAAGCCGACGATGCGCAACCGCCAACTCGGCGTGATCGGCGTCTTTTTCCTATTAATATTCTGCTTCTACTCCATTCCGAGGACATCGCCGCGCGGCCTTGGAACGGCACCCAAAAAGGGGGCCCCTGTGCAAGGCCCGAAGCCGCCCAAGACCAAGGAGATCATCACTTTCACCAGCAAAAAGTTCGCTACCACCAAGCCGAAGCCGGTGGCCGGGGGGGCGCACCCGATATGGCACCTCATCACCGACGCCGAGCGCGAGTTCGAAGCGGTTAAGTCTCGCCAGTCGAAGAGCCTCCGCGACGCCGTTGCCGAGTACCGCCGCCGGTATGGAATACCGCCGCCCCCGCACTTCGACAAGTGGTGGGCGTTTGCCAAGAGCAAGAACGTGCAACTGGTGGACGAGTTCGACACGATACACGAACTGTTGACACCGTTCTGGGGCCTGAAGCCGTCGACGATACGAGCACGGGCGCGCGAGGCACTGGGGACCGACAACCAGCTCATGGGCTTTCAGGTGCGCAATGGCAATGCGTCGCACATCTTTGGGGGCTGGGAGTGGATGCAGACGACCATGGTCGACATGATGCAGAGCTTCGTCGAGCACCTGCCGGATATGGACCTGGCGTTTAACGTTAATGACGAGCCGCGGGTTGTGGTTCCGCACGACGACATGGTGCGACTGGTGCACACTGCGCGGACCAAAGCCATGCCGGCCGCCAATGCCGCGAAGTCGCTCCGCAACGGTTTCTCCAAGAAACCTGCTGACCTCAAATACAACGGTCGCTTCGACGAGGTCAAACAAACCCGCTTCGACTTCTTCGCCCATCAGCCCGTCTGGACACACTCGCGCATGTCCTGCCCCGCGGACTCACCTTCCCGCAACCTCGAAGAGGATGAGCAGTTCGACGATATCGAGAAGTATGCCGTTGGCGACCTTGGTTTCGTCTCCAACTGGACCGCCATGTCCGACATCTGCCTGTCCCCCTCGCTCGGCTCGACCTACGGCTTCTTTGAGCGGCCCAACGCGTACGGCGTGGTGCACGACCTCTTCCCCATCTTCTCGCAGTCCAAAATCTCCTCCTACGCCGACATCCTCTACCCGTCTCCCTGGTATTGGGCGGGTAAAGTCCCCTACACTGAGGACACCGACCCGGCCTGGGGCAAGAAACTCGATAGCCTCTACTGGCGTGGTTCAACCACGGGCGGTTTCTCCCGCGACGGCGGCTGGCGCCGGCAGCACCGCCAGCGCTTCGTGCAAAAGATCAATGCGCCGGACCAAGCCAAAATCCTCAACCCACCGGCCACCGCGACCCTAGACACCCGCAGCCCGGACGCCACCTCCAAGGCCGCCGCACCAAAACCCAAACAAGAAGACCAAACCAAAAAACAACAACAACCACAGCAACCGCAACAACAGCAGCAGTGGACAACCCGCGAAGTCCCGCGCGGCGACTACAAGCAGCTCCTCGACGTCTTGTTCTCGCACGTCGGACAGTGCGACCCAGACGACTGCGACGCGCAGCGCGAGTTCTTCAACGTACAAGAGTACGCCAAGCAGACCGACTACTTGAAATACAAACACCTGCTCGACATAGACGGCAACGCCTTCTCGGGCCGCTTCTACGCCTTCCTCCAGAGCCGCTCCCTCGTGTACAAGTGGGCGATTTTTCGCGAGTGGCACTACGAGTGGCTGAGGCCGTGGGTGCATTTTGTGCCGCTGAGTCTGCATGGGGAGGAGTGGTTGGAGGTGGTGCGGTTTTTTGCGGCGGCGCCGGAGGTGGGGGGTGAAAAGGGGGCTGGTGCTGGGGGGAAGAAGGGGGGTGATGCGAAGGGGGGTGGTGGTGATAAGAAGGGGGGGAGGAGTGCCGAGGTGTTGGGGGGGAAGGAGGCGGAGCGGTTGGCGTTGAGGGGGAGGGAGTGGGCGGGGAAGGCGTTAAGGAATGAGGACTTGGAGGTGTGGTTTTTTAGGCTGTTGTTGGAGTGAGTTCCCCCCTTCCTTTTCTCTTTTTTTTAGGGGACGCTTTGCTAACATGGCCAACAGATATGGACGCGTCATAGACGACGACAGGGAACATATTGGATATGCTGGCTGAGCGGTTCGACCTTGGATACCTAGACCGCGGGGAGACCATTGGATGGGTGGTCGTCCGTGTTATATACTTGTCCATAATCATAGACTGCTGCCCTGTCGCAGATAGGGGCAGTGGAGGGTGGATTGGATGGGTTGTCCTTGGCACAGTTGGAAAGGAAGGATCGGACTGGGTGGCGTTGTTTGTTTCCTCCGGTTGGATGGAGCGAAGCGTAGAAACGGGATACTGGATACTGGAAGCACGTTTAGAATCGTGTATACTTGTATCACGGCTAGCGTAGTAATGGTATATTGCCGTTCTTTCATGCTTGGTAGTCTGGGTTCACTGGGCTCACGCATGGCGAAATCTTGGATTAGGTACGTTGCATGTCTAAATCCCATCCATTTTGGTAAATTACCTGTCAAACTCCGCGCTCGAATGAGTGGCCTAAAAATACTCACTTGTTCTCAGATTTTCAAAATAGTCTCCTCAATTATTCCTCCTCCCCCTCGGCATCCTCCTCATCGGACTGCCGCCTCCCCCCGTTCGCGACCGGACTGACCGAGCCGCGGTCGCTCGCCTCTTCCCGCCCGCGGCCATCTTCCTCCACATCCCTCTCGGCATACTCGACCACATCCCCGTCGTCCTCCTCCTCGGGCAGGTCGCCGACGGGCTGCTTCTTGTAGCGCAGCAGCTCGGCCTTGAGATCGTCGCCGGGCTCGTCGATGCGGACGTGCAGCTCGTCGAGGTGGGTCTCCTCCTCGTCGGTGATGCCGATGGTGCGGGCGATGTTCTTGGTGCGCTGGTTGCGGATGGTGGTGCGCTGCATGACGGGGTAGTAGTAGACGGCCTTGTGGGCGCTGTCGTCGGCGCGACCCTTGGCGGCGGCCTCGTCGTCGCGGAAGGCCAGGATCACCTCCTCGTCGTACTTGTTGTCGTGGTCCATCTCCTTCTCCTGCGCCGTCTCGTACGCGCGCACCCGCGGGAACCGGAAGCTGCCGCCGGCTTCGCTGCTGGTGTACAGGGACCGGCTCTCGCGGTCCGCGTTGTCCACGTCGAACTTGGTGCGGAAGTTCTCGCCCGTGAGCGTGTCGGCCGGGAGGAAGAGGTCGTAGTTCATCATCTGCGATGGTTTGGGCTGGGTCCGGTCGGCCTCCCAGGCTGCTTGGGCGTTTTCGTAGATCTGCTCCTCGGCGGCGGTGCGCTCGATGGGTTTGAAGATGCCCGACAGCAGGCGCGTGTCGTACAAGTCGGTCGAGTTGACCGGGTTGCTGCTGAATTTGACCGTCACGTACGCGCCCGAGTCGGGGAAGGCTTCGAGGTCGGGCAGAATGGGCAAGGCGTCGACAACCTTGAGATTCCGCTTCGAGGGGTGCCTGACGCGCGTCCGCTCGGCGAGGTTGGCGGCTGCCACGTCGAAGCTCTTCTCGATGCGCCGTTTGACCCACGCAGACGTGCCCTTGTCTGGCTCGGGGGAGGCCTTGCGCTTCTGGGGGCGTTTTTGGGCGTTGCCGGACGATGCCTTGAGGAACACATTGTCGGTTGGTTTCGGCTTCGCCTGCACCGAGGAGATGTACTCGGTTCGCCTGAGGAAAGAAACGGCCGTGTCGCCTATCTTGGGCTTTCCGAGTGCTGAGATACCGCGGAGGAGGGGAAGGTCACGGGGATGAGGGGGCGGTGCTTGGGCGGGAGCTTGAATGGCTGGATAGGTATGTATGTCAGTGTTTGCTCGGGCTGGCGGCTATAAGTAGGGGCAACGGAGGGGAGGACTGACAGCTCTCGTCGCCATCAAAAACTCCTGGCATGCCAACCAGGTCTAGGGGCATTCCGAGTTCGGCATCGGCTTCAATATTCAGAGGCTGCTCTCGCGCCAGACGAGAAGCAAAGCCAGGCGCTGTGTATTGGCCACTCGCAAGCCCCGTGTTGGGAATGTCGAGCAGCTTCGGCGGGTTTGGTGGTGGAGGGAGCGCATTGGAGTATCGTATCCTAGCGATATAGTCCTGATGAATCATGCGCTCGCCGCCGCCTCTCGATTGTGAGGACGACATTTTGGGTGATGCTGGCGTCTTCGTGGTGTTCGGAGAGCTGAGGGCTGGTGTACTTCGTGAAAGAATGCGATTGAGTTGGGGCGCGGCGCGCGATTCGGCTTGGCACCGTGGCACCGTGGATGCGAGCATCCAGGATTCTGTCTGGGTGTCTGGGTTAGGGTTGAGGTTGTGGCCGATGGGCGTCTCGAGTGCCGGGCGGCACAAGAAGAAAGGCGAGAATCCAATCCTATTGTATGGCAAGATTGGAATAAAGATGGCAGTAGGGGACGAAAAAAGCGTGAGGGGCCAATTGACGTAGTGCCCTGGAACGGCAAGACCTTGAACAGAACCGCTTTGTTTCACCCCATCTGCTTGCGAGGTTCCTCCTCGAAGGGTTCAAAGTTTGGTCGCCTTGATATCAGGACACGGTTAGATTGCAAACGTGACCCGGGGATGGGCGGCGGTTGCTCCTTTGTACGCTGCGTATGTTGCAGGGCGACTACTACTTTACGTGGATATAGCTGTTGCGTGTCAATACTATCCCGGCGCAGGGCGCCTTCGATGAGACCGAAAACCACTTCGCTTGACTGACATCGTCTCGTACAAAGATACAACGAAGATATTCCTCCCGCCCGCCATCCCACCAACCCCATATCAACCCCCTGCCTCCGCTCCCGCAATCCCTATGGCAAACCGCCCCCTTTCGAAAGGCAAAGATTACGCCGAGCCTGCCCGCCCCAAACCCACACCGGTGCGGCGGCTGCGGGCTGATTAAAAATATGAGTACATCCATAGAGTTTTCCAGGACCGTCGTGAGCTCCGAGCATGCGTCATAATACATTGAGAACTGTGTAAAGATACCCGCCATTCTATCGCCAAAAGCCGGTCCCATGCGTCCAGTCTCCCGAAATAACGCCGAATTGACGGGGTGTGTCCGTCTCTCTGGCTGTTGAAAAGAAGTCTTAGGCGCTGTTCTTAGTGTAGCGCGCCTTGCCGATGGTGAAGGGCACGTAGCGATACTTGATCATGTGCTGAATTTGCTTCCTCACTGTTGTGCCTGTCAGTATTCTGCGACCCTTCCGTCGGATATCGGCGGGGGGTAACCCACTAGTCAGGATGAACAGCATGAACCAGTACATGACCAGGACGGGCCAGAAGACGGGCACGTTGAAGACCTCGAACCAGCTGCACATGAAGGAAATGGCGACGGCGCGGGTGGCCGAGTGCCAGAACTTGAACTCGGGCAGGCGGCGGATAAAGGGACGGAACTCCTCGTCCTGCTTGGTCGGAAGCGAGCCGATAGCCCCATCTTCCATATCGTTGTCGAGCGCATCGTTGGACGGGTCGAACTTGGGCTGGAGGAAAGCGAGGAAGAGGTTCAGGAGGTAGATGCCGAGCGCATATGCGACTGCCGTGGATGTTAGCCGGGGGTTTTATCATGAGAGATCACCGTTTCCCGAGTCTGGATCACTAACCGATGTACCAGCCTTGCGCAAAGAACACGCGCAGGAAGAAGAGGAAAAGGGCGACACCGGTGCCGATCCAACGGTAGAGGACGAAGGGGGTAGACTGGTCGAGAAGTGCTTGGTATTGCTGCAGGCGAGTTAGCGACTTGACATGATATGTATGCGACACCACAAAGGCTTTGTCGCAACGTACCCTCTGCAGCTTGTTAGTCTGCGCAGTGACGGTGCTGAAAGGCGTCTGCGGCTCGTCTGGGACATCCATCGTGAAGGAACTGTGGGCGCCGAAATATAATCGTCCAAGTAATCCGTAAGGTTCCGATCGTATAACCGTACTACTGTCGAGCGCTGGTTGAAGAAGCGAAGAAAACGAGGCTGGAAATTGAAAGCGGAAAGTTCCCTGTTGCGCGTCCCTTTGATACACGATTGACAGCGTAGCGTCTGTTGGATAAGCCACGCTCCGAGAGATTAGGGGGAAATTTTTGGGCGTGGCACTGCGACGATCTCGGCCGTTCCTCGAATCGGTCCTTGGCACCGAGCGGGCCAATCTGTGGCGCAAGCTGCCTCCGGCCTCGAGTGCTTGGCAGCCAGTGTGCGCTCTGACGTCGCTTCTCCAATCCCGGAAGCAGCCATCTCGAGGTACCTACCTACCGTCAACAGCAATTCATCCCCCCTCTCAATGCTAATTACATTTTCAGGGGCCTTGATATAGTCTTGGTTATCTCGGAATTATGGATTTCCCAAATATTTATTTTTCCCTTGGTCTGGTGGCTGCTCAATGGAGGAATTAGTAACATGCTGCGGCCGGTGACATGTGCTTAAACCGAGGATAACCTGTAGGCTAAGACATGGTGGGATGTTGAGCTGCACCGTTGGACCGAACAACCTCTCTCAACTTCAACCTTTCAATCCAAGAGACGCCCATTCTCAATCCCACAAGGTCCATACTGTGTAGCCCGTCCATTATCACAACACCACCAACATGAACGCAGCAGCAGCGATCCGTGCCAATGCCCTCCGCGGCTTGCGACCCATGGCCTCCCGCTTCCAACCGAGCACCCTCCCCCAGATCACCCGCTCTTTCTCGGCCTCTGCCCGCCGCAGCTACGAGTATATCGAGGTTTCAGAGCCCCGGCCGGGCGTCGGACAAGGTAAGACAGCCACTCACTTTAAAACCACACTCCCTTCATCCCAATCTCCATGCCAACCCCCAAAGCCAAGGCCGCATCACTAACCCCCACCTCCCCCCCTCTCTTAGTAACCCTCAACCGCCCCAAAGCCCTCAACGCACTCTGCTCCCCCCTAATCGCCGAACTCAACACGGCCCTGCGCAGCTTCCAAGCCTCGCCCACCGTCGCGGCCGTCGTGCTCACCGGCTCGGAGCGGGCCTTCGCGGCGGGGGCGGACATCAAGGAGATGGCGCCGCTGACCTTCAGCGAGGCCTACACCAACTCGTTCATCGAGTCGTGGTCGGAGCTGACGACGGCGCTCAAGAAGCCGCTGGTGGCGGCCGTGTCGGGCCACGCGCTGGGCGGCGGCTGCGAGCTCGCCCTCATGGCCGACGTGCTGTACTGCACGGCCTCGGCCAACTTTGGGCAGCCCGAGATCCGGCTGGGCACGATCCCCGGTGCGGGCGGCAGTCAGCGGCTCACGCGGGCCGTGGGGAAGAGCAAGGCGATGGAGCTGATCTTGACGGGCAAGTCGTTTAGTGGCGAGGAGGCCGAGCGATGGGGGGTGGCTGCGCGCGTGTTTCCGAGTTATGAGGCGCTGATGGAGGGTGCGCTCGGCACGGCGGAGACGATTGCTGGGTACTCCAAGGTGGCGGTGCAGGCGGCCAAGGAGGTGGTCAACAAGAGCCAGGACCTGCCGCTGCGGGATGGGGTGGAGTATGAGAGGCGGCTGTTCCACGCGCTGTTTGGGAGCCAGGACCAGAAGATCGGGATGAAGGCGTTTGCGGAGAAGAAGAAGGCCGAGTGGAGCCATCAGTAGAGACAGGTAAGGTAGTTACTCTATCTTGCGGGAATGTAAACAACAACAGATCTGTGTTACGCTGCTATCCAAAAGGGGGCGGGTATAGTCTCTCTTATCATAATCAAAACCTCCCCAAAAGCCGCACATACGGCGCCGGAAACAGCCCCCCCTCGCCCATATAAAACCCATGAAACCACTCCCCATTCACATCCTCAATCTCCAGCACCTCCGCCCCCCTAGGAAACATCAACTCGTCCTCCCCCCCCGCAGCCGGCGTCCACCCCCACCCGGCCACCGCCTTGGGCCCCACCCCCCCATCCGGCGGAAACGTCCTCACAAACCGCCCCTCACCACCACCACCCCCCGCCATCACCAAACCCGCCGTATCAACCCGCACATCCTCCGCAAACAACCTCTCCACCCTCCTCCCCGTCGAAGACGCAGACGCACCACCGCCCTCCGCAAGCCACGACACAACCTGCACCCCACCCTCCGCACCACTACCACCACCACCACCACCGCCCGCTTCAAACCGCAGCCCCCGCCCACCGACCAGATCCCGCTCCACCCGCCGCCGCATATGCATATGCTGCCCTGCCCCATTCCCATTCCCATGCCCATTCCCATTCCCCGCCCCAGCCGCCGACACAAACCCCACAACAACCATGCGGTGGCCGCGCGGACAGCGTCGCCAGCCGGCGGGGCCGTTCTCGGGCGCGATGTGGCCGTCTGCGACAAGGGCGGTGTAGCAGGGCGTGCAGAAGTCGGAGCCGACTGCTGATGTGGGAGTTTGTTGGGTGAGGTCTTCGCTTTGGGTTGGTGGAGGTGGGGGGCAGGTGTAGCAGTGGAAGCGGGAGTCGGTTTGGGGGATGGGGAGGCGGCAGGCGGAGCAGGGCGGCGTGGAGAGGAGGGGGTGGAAGGTGCCGGTGGCGGTTTGGGTTGCTGTTGGTGGGGGGGTGTTGTTGTTGTTGTGGGTGCCCGGTGGGGTGGTTGCGGTGGTGACGGGTGGGGAGGTCAAGGGGGAGGAGAAAAGGGGGGGTGGGGCGTGGTAGGCCAGCGCGAGCAGCGGGTGGGAGCAGGATTTGCCTTGCTCGACGCAGTTGTTGCAGAACCCCCACTCGCCGTCGTTGCAGGCGTCGCAGCGCCAGTAGCAGTCGTTGGTCCAGGCCGAGCAGCGGCTGCAGAAGGTGCCGCTCTGGAGGCGGTCCAGGGGGTTTTCGGTGGTGAGGACGCGCCGGCCTTCGGCACCGCCGGGTACTTGTTTCGGGGGCAGGTAGCGGTTGGCAGTGAGCGTATGCGGAGGGGCCGCGGGGGGGCCGCTCTGGTTTTGCTTCTCCCAGCGCGCCCAGGCGGCCACTCCGAAGCCGAACCAGTGTAAGCATCCCTTGCGCCGACGCCAGCAGTCCAGGCAAATGTTCCACTCGCCGTTGTGGCAGCGGTAGCAGTTGAAGTGAAGTTCGTATTCGATGTGCTCTTTGTGGCACGTACTGCAGCTGATGAAAGGTTCTTTGTAGCGCGGAAGTTGCTGCCGCGGAGGGGGCAGAGGAGGAGAGGATACCAGCTCTGGGCTGATGGGGGCCGAGACACTGCCTAGCGTTGGTGATTCCGGCCGGATGTCGATGGCTGGCGGCCGGCTAGACCGTTGCCTGCTGCTAGTCGAGCTGGATCGAGGTTCTGCTTGGGCAACGGCCCCTAGACCTGCTGCCGCTCGAGCACTGAAGGGAAGGACTCGGTTTCCCGGCGAATCCACCCGTGACACCGGCGCCGTAGCAGATGTGGGCGAGCTTGAACTCCTAGTCTCAATTCCCATGCTCGGCCGCCTGGTATGTGGCTCGCCCGTGCCGGCCCTGGTGGTGAGGTCCGTCTGCGCGCGAGATCCGACCCTGACATCGGTTTGGGTAGGCACAACGGGTAATGTCGCACTTCGAGCACCGCTAGATGCCCGCCGTCTTCTTGTTGGCTCCTGGACCCCTAACAGCGCCGAACTGGAAGGGGGGTACCGCCCGCGCTCCTCATTGCTGCCCACACTCGGCGCCCTCGATCGAGCGTGCCTGCTCGTCGGCCGTGATCCCTCGTCCGTCCGCGACCTAGGCCTTGCCGACATATCGGACCGATGCGAGTGCGCGCTGGCGTTGCTCCTCCTCCCACTGTCCCGCCTCCTCTCGCGATGCCGTCTCCTGTACGCCTCGGTGATCTTCCGGCTCAGCTCGTCGTTATTCTCCAGATCGAGGTTATCCAGATCCAACCCGTCCAGCAGCCCCTCCTCCTGGATCTGCCTCGCAAACGCCTCCACCTCCCTCTCAATATCCCTCATATCCATCCCATCCGTACTGATCAAACTCCTCAGCGAAGACTGGTGCTCCACCTGGCGCGCCGCCGCATCCTGACGCTGCCGCGACCCACTCCTGCGCCCCGTAGCCCCCCTCCCCCCATTCCCACCAGCCGAACCCGAACCCAAAGAAGCCCCCCCCGCAACCCTCTCCGTCGCCTCCCGCAAACTAACCGCCCTCACCTCCTCCACCAACCTCCTCTCCCTCTCATCCGCCCACCTCTCCTCCTCACTCCTCTCTTCCACCCGCCTCACCCTCGGCATAACCCTTTCGCCCTTCCGATACCTTGCATCCATCTCCCTCTTCTCGGCCGCACTCTTCCCCCTCCCCGGGTTCAGCGCCACGAACATATCCAACAGACTGAAGACGCGGGCATCGTGTTTGGTGTCGCGCACGCCGTCGCGGCAGCTGGGACACGTGAAGATGGGCACGGAGGGTGGGGGTGGGGGCCCCGGGGCGGTCTCGATCCGCTCGGCTTGGAAGTGGAACCATTCCTTGAGGCAGGCACCGCAGAAGGTGTGCAGGCAGTCGAGCAGGGTGAGGGGTTGGTGCAGGAGGTCGGTGCAGATCTGTGGTGGGGGTGGTCCGTTAATTGCTGGGTTTTCTGGGGTAGGGAGGGGAAGGTAGGAGAGGGGAGGGAAGGGAAGGGTGGGCTTACGGAACAGGTTAGTTGCGCCTCGAGGTTGGGCGCCAGGACGGGCGGCGTTGTCGGTTGGGGGTCGGCCATGTTATTGTGTGGTCGTGTGTGTGGTGTGATATAGTGTGTATGATCTGGATCGGACCCGACCGTCTGGTAAACCCAAAGCGAGAGACAAGGACCGAATCCGGGGTCAGGTAGCGGGGTTGGGATGAATTTCCGTCAGGCTTCAAGTGGCACCTCGTTCGTGGTTCGTTCAGACGGTCCCGGGACGGGCCGTTGCAGATGACGCAGGAAACAAAAGGAAGAAAGAACAGAAGGAAATAGTGTGCAAATGGCGAGTCCTGTCGGACTACCTACCCATCCACATATGCATGCGACAGTTGAGAGAAGGAGGCTTCGAAAGACGGCACAGAGAAACCGGGCTAACCATCTCGTGTTTCGGCTGAGCCGAGCTGCAGCGGAGTGGGGGCTTATAGGTCTCGTCGGCTTGTTCGATAGGTCCATCCATCATCGCCTGCATGACATTGGACGTAGCCTCTTTCCACTGGATCAACCCATACTTGGCCCTCGTACACGAGGAGTGAGACTTCGTCTGTCATATGACTCTGAATACCTGTTTACCATGCAACCTATAAACCGCTACGGTATGCTCTGAATCTGTTGCCCTTAACCCGCCAAGGAAACTCCCTGTAGTGTACCTAATCTGTATGTATGTTACGCAAAACCAAGTTCGCATCTTGTTGATCTGAAACTCCAAACGCGCCGGATACCTAGCCAACCAAGGATAATCACAAACTCAAATCCGTTGCAAATGCTCTTACATGTCGTCGTTGCTCTCGGGGTTGTCGCCCTCCCACTCTTTGCACATACCGTACCAAGCCCGGTGGACACATCGGCTCTGGGGCGGATCCTGGTCTGCAGGTGCTGACGAGGGCGCCGTCGTAGGGCTGGGCATGCTTGGAGCGGGAGTAATGGTGCTGGGTTCCTGTGTCGACGTGACGCCGGACTCCACAGCAGAAGTCTCGTCGTTGCATCCCCAGAACCGGCCTGGCGTCATGCAAGTGGTGGTTGCAGTTGACGTCGTTGATGTCGTAGTAGTCACGCTCGTGGTGGTCTTGTCCTTGCACCCAAACCAGCCCCTGATAAAATTAGTACAATTCACATGAGCCTGATAGGTTTACTTACGGAGTGAGACACGTGGTTGTGGTTGTGGTTGTGGTCGTCGACGTTGTTGTGACTTCGGACGTTTCGGTACCAGTCGCGGTGGTCGACTCGTCCAAGCAACCCCACCAGCCCCTGAGCGGTGTCAATAAACATTCGAACTCACAAATAGACAAAGGGATAGGACGTACGGTGTTTTGCAGGTCTCTGTGCGGGTGCGAGTCATGGACGTCGTTGTCGGGACGCTCGAGGTCGTCGTGGACTCGGTCCCGTTGCTTTCGTACATCTTCCAGTTGCCACAGTCCCTGCATTCTGGTGTGAACTTGCACTCGGGCACCGTATCATACTTCAAGATGACGTCGCGAATTACCGCCAGGATTTTGTGTGTTCCGATACCAACGCGCCAGCCCTTGTCGCCCACTGTGTCGTAAACACATTCTCGGCCCGTATGGCAGGCCGACTCCAGCGCGTAACCCCCGAACGAGCACGACGCTGTCGCTCCATTGCAGGTCCCGATGTAGATAGGGTCGGCTGTGTGCCCAAAGTGAAACGCCCCCGTGTAGTCCCTAGTCTGGGGCGCGCTCGGGTCGGCACCCGGAGGCACAGGCAGCCCCAACCGTGCTGCGGGAAGGGCTTCGGGTACCGCTTGGAACGTCACCACGGGCACGCCGTACGTGAGGCCAAGAAACGAGCTGACAGCCCCACCCAGCGAATGACCGGTAATCCAGACATGCGAGTTGGGATAAACCTCGGTGACGTTGGCATACAGTTCGCGTGCCGCCTGGTAATAGCGGCTCTCCTCACGGAGGGCTTGGGAGACACACGTGTTGTTACACGTGTATGTGCCCGTCGCGCAGTCGCAGACTTGATGCCAGGTCCACGGTCCCTGCTGGGCGCAGCAGCAACTGAAGAAAAGGTTATCGTTGACCTTGTCGTTGGTCGTAGTGCCATCGCCGTCGAAAACAGCAGGCGAGGTCCCCTTCAGCCCGATGACGATCGTCGAGTTGGTCTCGTCGGCGAACACATGGCCCCGCAGCCCATCGCCCTCCCAGCCAAAGTCGAGACTCCGGTTGAACGGGCCGCCGACGTCTTCCCAATCGGCCTTGCCCGGCCCTTCGACGTAGGCGTTGGCCGCCATCAGGGCCATGCTCAGGACGGTGTCCTTGTCGGTGACGTCGGGCCCGGCAACATCATCGACCGTCCATGCGGATGGCGAAAGCACCGAGACGAACCCCTGCTGCCGTGACTGGGCCACCATAGGGTCTACGACACTGGGCCTCCGATCCACCAGCCGTTGTATCCGGAGCGCATTGCTTCGAGCCCGCAGGGGCCCAATGCGCTCGGCCTCGTAACCGTCCTCGGCCGCCAGCCATACCTCCGCATTCGATGGGCTAACGTCGTGTTTGCGATGGAGGGTAGGGTGTTTATGGGTGCCGTGATGGTAGACGTGTCGGAGGGTCTAAAATAAACCATTAGATAGTCAGCGATCGGTCCCACTGATAACATCTCGCAGCACCGAGCAACGTGCAACTTACGAAGGTGTGTTCAGCCGGCGCCGGGGGCTCTGGTATTAGCGGAGCTATTGGGGCGACCTCTATCGGGAGAACGAGCTGTGCATCTTGTTTCGGATTACTTGCCGCGGCGATGGGTGATGCTGACAGGGCGAGGAAGGAGAGCAGCAGCCGGGCGGTGACTCGGCCAGTCGAACTGCACGTCGAACCGGCCTCCCTCCTCTTTGGAAACATGCCAGGCGTTGAACCGATGCGTCGATGATGAGACGGGCAAAGGGTGTATACTATGACTATGGAAGAAATAAAAATCGCGTTGTCGTTCGTTACTCCATCAGTCCGAAAATGTGCAGTGTTCCGGTTGGTTTTGGTTTAGTTGAGAAGCGGAAGATGCGCGGTGCCTCGTGGACGGCGCTCAGATGACGACGGCATCGCTCCGGGTTGGCTGGCAGCCGATCGGATCCAGCGCCACCGCCAATCAAGGTTACCGCCTCGCCCGTTGGGCGAACGACAGGGGTGTGCGGGTGTCGGTGATAAGGCTGTCATGCGGATCTTGTAGCGGCCCGGCAAGCGGAGCCCGCACAGTTACCCGCGATAAGGGCAGTCCTTAACAGGCACATGATGCACTCCCCCGGATTCCGGGCGGGGAGGGTCTGACGTGCAAGCTTCTCCCGCTTCCATTGGCGGCTTTTGAGAAACTGTTGAGAATCCACTGGCAGCAGGTCGGGTGCCTGGAACAAGGCTCTCGTCTGTGAATCCGTTTTTCCAGATTTCCTCTGATATCTTTTTGGGGGTCTTCCATCTCGAGGTAACTAACCTGTAGACCACCATGGTTCAAACATTCAGGCCCGCTCTTCGAACCTGGCTGGGGCCTGTGACAGCGCCTTGCAGCCCGTCCCAGAGGGCACCTTGAAGACCGCGCCAAGACCAGGCACTTTGGACACTATCACAAGGAACTGACCTTCTCGTTTGTAAAGTTAAATGAATGCTCTTGTCTCTCTGAACCTTTTCTCTTTTGAGGAAACCGAGGTGATTGGAATATTTCCATCATCTTTGTAAACCCATGACTCAGTTTCAACACCTGCTGTTGCGTCCTTGGTGCCCTCGGTGCCGAGTCATTCTGTTAGGACCGCCAGTACCCGGGGATTGGCTTGCGTCGCAAACGCGCCCCTTGATCCAAGTGCGCGCGTCCCTGTCGGCCCACACCAGTGTTCCCGCTCCGTCTCGCGTGGGGGAGAGCTCCATATTTCGCAGTTCGATAATTGAGCCGTGAGGTTGAAGGCTCAAAGATACACAACACAGTACACACATGTCCCACCATCGCTTTTATTTTTGTGCTTTGGATACCGTGCAGCACATCTCGATTGTGCACGTCTTATTTTCCGACGGCGAATCAAGAAAACCACCTGCGGTCTCGATATCGGCCACCTGCTGATCACCCGCCCGGGTCCGCTTGTTTCAACATCCCATCTTGGTGCATCTTGGAGTGGTCCGTTGCTTCATGCGACCGAGGTCCGGCTCTGGTAAGGCCAAAGCTCACCCTGCAAACCCCGAGGGGTCGTTCATTATGAGAAGGGTTTCCCGCGAAGATGGGGCGATCCTTCTCGTCTTGTGTCTTTCCAAGCTACGAAATAGCTATTCAGAAGCTATTCGAACACTAACGCAATGCTATCCAGTCTAACTTTCAGCGGCAGCCCCATGGCTTCCAACTCCGACCCGGCGCAAAGCCCGACTCCCCAGAGGCCGGTACGCTCTTTTCGGGTAGAGCGCACCACCTCCCCTGAGCCAACGACACGGCTTAAGAGAGCTAGTACCTCCGATGATGGACCCCCACCTGCTAGGTTGTCCCTCCGGACGGCCTCTGGGACACAGGTGGCGCAGGGTGCCGGGAGCGAGGCGCCCGACACCTTCGTGAGCAGAGTCAGCGAGGAGGTGATCGAGCCACCGAGGGCTTCTGTCGACCTTGACGATCTTCCCATTGAGCTCATCAGCTTGACGGATCGCTTCATCGATTCCCTGTCGGCCAAGGTGCATCCTACTCCACCCAACATCGACAACCTAGCCTACATGTTCCAAGAGTTCTATGGGACAGCCTCATCACATATCCAGACACACATCGATGCTTTGGCCAGCAGGCAGAGGCGCGAAGATGCCCCCTCTCTCTCAACCCGTGTATCGGCCGCGAGTCTGTTGCGCGCAAAGCCCAAGGACAAGGCCCCCCTCAGGCGGGACTCGGATCAGCAATTATTGACGGCCGAGGAATACGCAAATCGGAAGAAAGCGAGGCGGGCGCTGGAGCAGAAGAAGTCGCTCCTGGAGGAGGCCGTGGAAAGGAGGTTGTGTGAGGGCATTTACAGCAAGATTTACCGCCACCGCAGCACTCAGGACGAGGCGCAGGACGCTAAGCTCCGGTCGAAAACAGCCGCCCTCTCCGTGGTCGGTATTGGCCCGGTGGACCTTGGGGTCGAGCTCGGCACAGCAGATAACGACTTGGAAGCGGCAGCCAAGAAGCAGAAGGAGGTCAAGGAATGGCTCGAGCAGGCCAGGAACCATCTGGCGTTGATGAGCCAGTCAAGGTATCCCCTGGGGAAGCTAAACCACCTCAAATCAGCCCATAAGAGCATCATCGACACGCTATCCCACTTCCACCCCTCCTCGTCAGCCGACGAGCTTATGCCCATGTTAATCTACACCCTCATCACCCTTACGCCCGAAAATCTTAGTGTCATCAGCGACGTCAACTTCATTCAGCGCTTCCGCTGGGAGCCGAAACTCACGGGCGAAGCAGCTTACTGTCTCACCACCCTTGAAGCTGCCGTCTCCTTCCTTGAGACGGTCGACCTCTCCACCCTCCGCGCCGACGAAACCCCAACCGGCCCGCTCAAAAACCCCGGTTCATCACCCCTACCAAAGGGAGACACCTTCCCACCAGCCTTCTCACCCACCTCCCCCGCTCCACCAGCCGCCAGCCCCAACCCTTCTTCCGAAACCGCCTCAGCCAGCCTCAGCGCCGCCCTAAAACAGCAATCCCCATCCCCATCTCAAAGCCCAGCCGGCTTCCGGGCGACAGTCAACGCTCAGCTCCGCGCCCGCCGCCTAAGCGACCTCGTCCGCAACACGCCCACCCCCGCACAAGCTCTCAACGCGGCCTCGGACGCAGTCCTCAACACGGCCGACCAGAGCCTCAAGACCATCGGCAGCTCCCTCGACAACAGCTACAAGTTCCTCCTCGGCAAGCTCCGCGAGCGGGCCCCCGACGCCGTCCTCACCAAGGCCGACGGCGGCGAGGTCACCGTGCCCAAGACGCTCGACGACGCCCGCAAGCTCATCGGCACCCCGCCCCTCCCCAACCCCGACGACGACCTCACCCCCACCCCTACCCCCGAACTCTCCCTACGCAGCCCCAGCCCGGACCAAGAACCCGAGCGGCCCCCGCTGCTCAGCTTCATCTCCGGCACGGGCCGCAAGCCCCCGCGCGACCACAGCGCCGACTCGTCCCGCAGCGCCGGCTCGTCCTCGCGCCGCCACACCACCGACGACCACCCCCACCATCATCAACAACATCAACAACATCAACAACAACAACGGCGCGCCGAACCCGGCGCCCCGTCCTCGGCCACGCAGGTCACTGCCACGGGGTCCAGCCCTGTCGTTGCGAGCCCGCCCATCATGGACTCCATGCGCAACCTGAGCAACTCGTTCAACCCCATGGCCAGGCTGTCGGCGGGCATTGGTGGGCTGAGGGGGTTTGGGCGCTCGTCGGCTGCGGCTGCTCCAGGTGCGGGGAGGGCGCCGACGCCGCCTGCGAAGGATGGGGTTGCGAGGGGTGGTGTTGGTAGTGCGGGTGCGGGTACTGGTGCTGGTGGGGTGGGGGAGGGTGGGGATTTGGCGACGGTATGTTTTTTCTTCTTCTTTTTCTTCTCTCTCTGCCCCTTGGGTAACGGGATTTGTTGTTGGTGGTGGTTGGTTGGTATGAATGCTAATGAGTGTACCTACTCCCTAGGCCTTCCCGGACCTTGCTGCCGTGCTCCCGCCGAGGGAACACCCCAAGATCAACCCGCCACATAAGCGGTTCATGGAGCTGCAGAACGCGGCAGACCTCAAACTGGGCGAGGTGTTTGATTTGTTGAAGGACTACAAGCGGTTGGCGGGGGCGTTGAAGGAGATGGGTGCTTTCAAGGAGTAATCAAGCGTACCCTTTCTTTCTTTATGTGATCAACGATCAGTGTCACGGCCAGTCGAGTTGTGTTATGTCATTTCTATGCTAGGGGCGCGGGATAGATGGGTGGGAGCATGGAGTGGCTGGCTGGATCGTGGGTGTTGAGGTAGGCCGAGCGATGTATCTGCTAGAGATGGGTTGGGTTGGGTAGACAAAGCGAATCATTCATTGTTTTACTATTTACGGACTGAACATCCAGGCCATGTGAATCAGGTACCTAGGTACTCCTCCGTTTCACAAACTGGGCACGGAACAACCCCCAGGCCCCTTCATATACCAGGTCTGAGGTTCCAGTTTCCAACGAGGACCACTACCCGATGGGAAGTGGCCCAAGCAATGGTGGCTTAATTGGCACTGGCGGTGGTCCTCTCCCCCGGGCGTACTGTGCTCCTCTCCAACCCCCCAACCGAGAGGTTGCGAGTTCGAGCACGGCCCGGGGCGCGGAGTAAACCCCCAAGGGAGTTTCGTAGCCGGCTACCTCCCTTCGCAGAAGCGAAGGCGGCTAGCCGGTGAGCTTTTGCTGCCCGCCACGACCTTCCAAAGTACGATGCTTTTTCCCTTTCTTTCCTACTGTGACCGCAAGAGGCACGGGTTGTTCTCGTATGGGGGAAGGGGAAGATCGACTGACATCGGTTAGAAATGGTGGTGGTATTATGATATTTTTACCTCTTTCTACTCGAAAATATAAATAAAAGAGATAGCGTAGCTAGCCACTATGGGTATCAGCAAAGGTTGAGTGGTAAAATCTGAGTGTATTCCCCAACCCATGCCCGCTATGCTTAACACGACTATTAAAGAAAGAATATGACGAAAAGAGATGTGAAGCGAACCTACTTCCGCTCCCAGAGCGACATATAAAAACCCACCCACACACGCACGACCTCAAATCAGTGCGCCCCGTTCGTCGACCCCCTCGATGGACTCGACCTCCCGCTCTCGGCGTCCCCAATCATCTTGTCCATAAACGCGATGTAATCAAACTGCGGCTGCCCCCGGTCGGACTGCATGTCGGGCCCGCTGTGGCCCGGCATGATCTCGACCAGCTTCTCGATCACCTCGTCCGGCACCAGCGAGTGGCGCAGGTCCATCTCGGTGACGTAGGGCTTCCCGTCGGCGACCTCGCGGAAGCTCTGGAAGACCTGCTCGGCCGTGTTCTGGTCCTCGGTCACGTCGACCATGAAGCGGATGAACTGCTCGAACGTGACGCGGTCGAGCCCGCCCGACGTGTCGAGGAAGTAGTCGTGCATCTCGTCCTCGGAGAAGATCAGCCCCAGCGAGGCCAGCGCGGCGCTGAATTCGAGCTCGGACAAACAGTTGGTGTCGTCGCGGTCAAAATGCCGGAAAACGGACTCGAACTCTTCGAGCTGGATCGGGGTCAGGTTGGTCATGTTGCGGGCGACCATCTGGTTCTCGAGGAAGGCGAGCTTCTTGGAGACGGAGGACTTGACTAGGGAGAGCTCGTAGCAGAGCTCGTCGTAGGTGTAGGTGGTGAAGTCGTTCTCCTCAATGTTGGCTTCTTGGCACTTAGCGTCGACCGCCGCGATGGTCTTGAGGAACGCGTCGAGTGGAGGGAGGTTCTCCGAGAGCTTCCGTACGTGGTGTAATTGGTCTTCTACGTCGCCTTCTAAGCCAGAGATGGCGAGCTGGATGGTGTTGAGCGCCAGGGCAAAGTCGTTCGCCTTGTCGGCAAAGGACTTTCTGAGGGCGTTTTTAATGCTGGGGCATGTTAGTGAGCTTTCCGCGGCACTGGGCTTGGAGATACATACTCTCTGATGGTCTCGTTAATCAGTTGCCCCCGGGCCATTTCCGCCTTGGTCAGGTTCGCCCATTCGTGGTCCAGCATCTCCAACTTCACCTCTGCTGGTGGATCATATGGCCGCAGTCGGTATGTGCCCAACTTAGTCTTGATGTTGCCCAGCAGCGTCGCCAGCTCGCTCTTCTCTGCTACCCACTCCCGCTTCAACCCTCTCTTGTACGCCGCAAAATCACCAGCTTGCGCCTTAGCGTCGGTATAAGTGCCTTCGAATGTCGCCAGCTGCCAGCTCTCCATCTGCTCGCGTATGACCTTCAGCAATGCTCTCATCCGCCGCTCGTAGGCACTCTGCATATCCCAGGCGCCCCGCATGTTGTTCACAAACTTCTCAACACGGCGACCCGCGTTCTCAACTTTCTCCATCTGGGAGAAGGCATGGAACCAATAGGCGATGTAGGTCATCAAACTGCGCTCGTCGGGCTTCGCCACGTCGCACACGTCCTCCACATCGAGCAGCTTAGGGATACCGATCTCCTTATGAGCAATATCGAACGCCATCTGCATGTTTCCTCTGTGGTCGGACTTGTCGAGCGCATCGTAGTCGATAAGGTCCGGTCGGTGGATGTCGAGTAAGGCGCAGAATGCGAGCCCGTCGTTCCAGCTAGCGCTGAAGTCGCGCACGTCCACCTCGTCGTAGCAGGCCGTCTTCCGCTGGCACCATAACAACAGGCCCTCCTTGGCTGTCATGCCCTCCTCGTTGATGTCGTTGATGGTAAAGCGTAGAATGAGGGTCCATATCAAGCCCAGGATAATTTTGCGGTTGCCGTCTACCACATCCTCCGCACCGATGTTCGTCATCTGGATCCCGCGTGACTTAATAAAGTCTAGGGCTCTGTTGGCGTTCTCGAAGCGCTGCACGCGCAGCTTGGGTTTGGCAGCATATCGGCCGAGGGATTCGCTAGAGAGGCATTCGAGTAGATGGATGAGCATGACCTAGGGCGGGGAGAATAAAGACGAGCATCAGCAAAACGGTTCCTCGTCATCGTCAGTATGTGGACAAAACATACTCCATCAGACAGGTCCTGCACCAGATCCTTGACCTCAAGACCGCGGGCCTCCACCTTGGTATTCAACCATTTTGTAAAGGTCTTTTGCTGGACCGTGATCCAGCGCTGTTGCTCGGCGAAGGCCATTTTGTTGACGAGCGCCGATGGGGCGGGTATTTCTATCCAGATCTGCAATTTAGTTTCGGATGATGTCTGGCAAAGCTGCTGTCGCCATCTGCTTTTGTACGAGCTTTTGAGGCGATAGTTTCGGAGGGTCGTTGTTGCTGTTGCTGTTGTCACGCTCCGTGATCTCTCCCTCTTCGCTTGCATCTTGGACAACCCTGGCGGCTGGGCCCAGCCCCGCCAATAACTATTGCACTGTGTCAATAGCCACGCCGGCACCTGCAGCCGAGAGGGACCGATCGATGGGCAGGTTTTACGAAGTAGTTTAATTGGACCGCAACTCGTTGGGCTTTTCTCCTAGACTCGACAACTTTCGACGAGGGCGCGGGCGCTGCAAGACAATGGAACAATGATGATTCGATTTCCCAAGAATTCCAGAACAATGGTCGATTTACGGGACAAATGGTACCCAAGCCCAACCTAGGGATCCCGTTTGGTTTATACCATAACCGTCTGCTTTTTTCATCAGCAGCGACATTGGAGTTTCAGGCATCTCCAGCCTGTAGATCAACCAAGCATCACAGGCGACACATTCTCATGCCGTCCTCTTTTGGTTGCCTCCTTCCCTAGCCATTCCTGTGTCGCATTCCTCGCCGATGGTTTGACCAATTAGCCTATACACGCGACGGTGCCTACATTCCCGTGGTTCTCTGGATTTCTTATCACCGTCTCTGCGATAGCATTTCCGTCGAGTTATCCGGCCAAACTTTGGACTGTGGCAGCCTTAGGTAGGTAGTTCTCGACTCCACCCCGACCGACCTGCGGCACCTTGTGGTGCTCGCCGTATAGTTCACAGGCCACGACCATCCCATCCGTTAGCAACGGTCCGTACGGGCTATAAATGATGAGAAACGTCTCCATGTTACCCATAGATCGATTTGCTCCGCCACAAAGTTACACTGATCGGGCGCCTCACCGTTCCCCGCTGGCCCAGTGGTGCTTTGATCTCAGTTACACCGCAGTTTCCTTTGTATACCTACACAGTACATTAACAATCTAACCAGCCACCATCTTGAGCAATGCATTCCTTACGCCATGGTCGGTTCCCAAAGGCTGGCCCAACAAAGCATCTCGAACCAAACACTGTAATTGCAGCCCTCAGCCTTCGCTACCCATGTCAAAATATCTTGCCGCAAACCAGAAGCCATCGTATCTCCTCACCCTTTCCTTTTCGGAGTAACTCTTCCAGGACCGAGATAACGTAAAGCCAAGTGCAGCTCAGTACGGAGAGACGGGAGGTTCTACGCCACCTAGTACCTAACCTGTATTTTCGGTGTTGATGACCTGGGCATTTAGAAACTTCTACATTGCCCCTCGTGCCCTCCCACCCGCGAGCTCTTCGGTGCGTGCCGGAGTGCAAGCGGGGATCCCGCTAGCCAGGTACCAGGGTATGGTTGACGGCGGGCGGCCGGTGCACGCTTCCGGGCAGCCAAAGTTGCCGGAGGCATTGGCCAATCAGACGGCATCATCTCTCCAAGTTCGGATCTCCCACATCGGGCGGTGAAATCATGCCCCGCTCGGTCCACATACCCCGCGATTCTGCCGGTCCCTGACCACCAGGGGTCCACAGCTCTCGCTGAGCAACGACTTTTTTCCTGCATCCTCTGGTTTGCACCACTCAGACTTCCCAGAATTCCTGCAGCTAGTGGCATCACAACCCCGTCCGGCTTTTCTTAAGCTTGAGATACTAAAGGTAATGTAGTTTGGTCTTTGCCATTCCCTTGTATTCATTTATCGGCCAATCAAACTCCCTTTTCCCTGCAGCTGCTTCTCCTGGAGCGCGATTACTTGCTTCCAGATTGTTTCATCACAAGTCACAACTGCAAAGTTTCCCTGCCGCAACCCCGATAAAAAACATCCTTCTACCTCTTCTACCTTCCGCACTTTTTTCACTTCTTCTTACCATTTAAATTCCCACTTCCTCTTCCACATTCCACCCGCTCTCCTCTTCATTTACTCTCTCGCCTTCTCAATTCTAACCGCCGACTTGTTTTTCCAGACTACCACCGACAAAGCAATCGCCATCACAGTCGGTTGATACTGGGCAACATAATCATCGCTCACTAGCGACTCAACTCACGGGCTTCTTTGAGACATCCTCCCACTCAAGACAGCATGTCTCAGCGCCCGGGCACGCATGTGCCTGCCGTGCGTGCTGAAACGGAGAAGAACCTCGGTATCACACAGCGCTCGGCTGCAATTAACTTTGCCTGGACTGGCGACATTCGCAAACGGTAAGTTTATTTTGTTTTCAACCCCGTTCCACCATCAACGATATTATCGCGATTGGCGCTTCAGAGCTCAGATCTTGGTGCTATTAATTGTTCTGGCGGGTTTGTCCCGTACTTTGGACCTACGGCTAACATTTATCAGTTACACCGACTTTCTTGTCAATGAAATTCGGAAGGATGGCACTGTCCTTCATCTCCGTGATTTCATAGAGAATGAGCCCTCTCCCCAGGTCCGTACACTGTTCTGGTTAGCAATGTCAATTAAGCCGCTCTAACACCCCGTCCCAGGCTACTGTTGACCGCAAGGTCTCTGCTGCCAACCTCAACAAGTCAGACAGCAAGCCAGACAAGTCGGACAGCAAGTCGGACAACAAGCCTGACAATAAGCCGAAGGTCCACCCCATCTCTGAGGATGACCGCAAGGCCTTGGTCGGATTGCTCGGCGAGTCTACCACCCAAAAGTTGGTTGAGCTTGACGAGAGCGTTCAAGCCAAGAAGCCGTTAGATCCCAAGGATCGCTCTATTGTGTTCGATCCGGTCACCGATAGAGCCAAGCGGGGCACCATCCATCAGGTTTGTTTCGGCCTTGTTAATTTCAGAATCACATGTTTGCTAACAATAGATAGGAAATCCGCCGCATTTTCCGTTCCCGCTATGAAACGGTTGCTGATGCCACGGGCGTCATCACAGCAACCGCCTCCAAGTGGGCTCTCAATAACCGGGCCCCTAGCCAAAATTGGGGTGCTCGCCGTGACAATAGCAACAACAACAACCGCCGCGATCAAGCTCGTGAGTTTGCCGAGGCTGGCGGCGATTACCTTCACTTTACTCTCTACAAGGAGAACAAGGACACCATGGACGCAGTCAACACCATCGCTCGCCTTCTCAAAATCAAGGCCTCCAATTTTGGCTTTGCTGGCACCAAGGACCGCCGTGCCGGCACTGTCCAACGCATCAGCCTCTATCGCCAGAAGGCATCCAACCTCATCTGGCTGAACACTCGCATTCCCAACGTCAAGGTTGGGGACTTCACCTATTCCAACGACCCGCTGCAACTCGGTCAGCACGGTGGCAATGAGTTTGTTATCACGCTCAAGAGCTGCCAGCCTCTGGGTGGCGATAATTGCTCTCTTCCTCAGCGCATGAAGATGATCCAGCAGGCAGTGGAGTGTGGTCTCGCCCACCTCAAGCACAACGGTTACATCAACTACTACGGTCTGCAGCGCTTTGGGACTTACACCATCGGCACCCATATGCTCGGAATGAAGATTCTGAAGGGCGATTATGAGGGCTTCATTGACGACATTCTCCATGTCGATGAGGACACCCTCAAGGAGGTTCTGGGTGGCCATTCCCCGACCCATGGATCTGCGAAGGACCAACAAAACAGCCGGGATGACCAAAACCGTGCCCGTGCCATCACCGCCTGGAAGACAACCAAGAAGGCGGAGAAGGCCCTCGAATTTCTCCCCAAGCGCTTCAGCTCCGAGACTGCCATCATTCGTCATCTGGGTAGGAACCCGAAAGACTTTACTGGAGCCGTTCTGAGCATTACCCGCGGAATGCGCATGATGTACGTCCACGCTTACCAGTCCTATGTTTGGAATTTTGTCGCCACTCGCCGATGGTCCAAGTATGGCGCCAAGGTCATTGAGGGCGACCTCGTCTTGGTTACCGGCAGCCGTCGCCGTGACCGCGCCGATGATGATGAGTTCAACCCATACGACGACAATGACGACGACAACATTTATGCCCAAGCCCATGCCCTGACGGCTGCCGATGTCGCCAGCGGCAAGTACACCATCTTCGACGTCGTCTTGCCCACCCCGGGTTACGATGTCTCTTACCCTCGCAATGAGATCGGAGAGTACTATGTCGAGTTCATGGGCAAGCCGGAGAACGGTTCCCTGAGCCCCTTTGAGATGCGCCGCAAACAACGCGAGTTCAGCCTGAGCGGCAACTACCGCCCCCTCATCGGGCGTCTGATTGGCAGCCCACAGTACGCCGTTCGGGCGTATCGCGATGATACTGAGCAGATGTACCCCACCGACTTCGACTATGCTCTTCACAAGAAACAATCGGAAAAGCTCGCGAAGGCTGTGGCTACCGTGAAGACCAAGCCCGCTGCCAACCCTGTTGCCGACCCCAGTGTCAGCAGCTGGGCCCATTTCGCTCAGAACCCGGCTACCTACGACAACGCCATGGCTGCCGCACGCCGCCGCAAGGCCGATCAAGAGCCCCCTTCGGACGGAGTTGCCGTTACCAATGAGACCTGGGTCCAGACTGGGGTCGATGGCAGTGCCAAGCGTGTTAAGGTCGCGCGTCATCACCAACAGATTGAGAACCAGACCCAGGATGGAACCCATACGCCTTTCCCGGTCGGCAACGGTGCGCCCCTGACCGACGACACACAAAACGCCTCCCCCCCTCACATTCTCACGGATGGCCCGTTCCCCATGATTTCTCTCCCCCAGGGTGCCATTCCCACAACTGGTATCCGTGGGGTCTCGGACAGTTACTATGCGGAGACTGGCAAAATCCCTTACTTCGGCCCCCTTCCGGAGGGTATCAAAATGAGCAGCCCCCCCAATGTCCCCACCAACACTACCGATAACCAGGCAACCGGTGCCATCCATGATGGTCCGACCACAGACGCCAAGCCCATGACATCCGATTCGATGGATTGGTATGGAATGAACTTACCCAAGGTCCCCACTGCCACTACGAATACCACAGGTAGCGAGGCCAACGGTGATGGCATGGCTCTCGTCAAGGTTGAAGAAGCCGGCCATGCGCCCAGCCACACCGAACTCATCAACCACGTTCCGGTACCCGAACTCCGCACCGCATCGGACAACCCGCTTTCAGTCATGGGTGCCGACATCGACGAGAGCAGCATCGACCCCGAAGCCAGCCGGATTGCCGTGATTCTGAAGTTCCAGCTGAAGGCCAGCAACTACGCGACCGTCGTGCTCCGTGAGCTCATGGGCACGACTGTTGAGGAGCTCGCTCTCTAATCGCACCATGGCTGATGGCCTTGGTGTGAACCATCCAGCGCCATCATGACGGCAGGGCCCATTTTGCGTGTCCTTGCTATCGTCTCGGTACGGCATACCAGTGGCAGGTTTGCAACGGTTCCACGGTTGCGGCATGGCTTCTTGTTGGCCTACCTTGGCCGGGCTGAGCATATTGCAGTTCAAGTTTGGTCGATCTAGTTGTATCGCCAATGATTCGACCTATTTTCCCATCATAAGCATATTTGTTTTGCACTTTCGGCGTTGCGGTCTCGTTTTCCTGATTTCATTCTCGCGGAATCGCCCGAAGATTTGTCCGGGCTGGAGATGACTGTCGCTTTCACACCATTCTGAAAGCTTACTCCGACTTGTCAGCCAGCCTCCTTCATGAATTCACCACCACACAGGTCTCGTGTGTCTCGCCGCTGGCGACCTGCGCCTGCTCAGCTGCAGAGCTAAGTCTGAGAAACACCCATGTCCGCTGCGCGATTCTCGGGCAACCGCGTCTTTCTTCTCGTTTTTCTTTCGACTTTGTGCTATCTACCGATTCGGCTCGGATACCGGGCCGCACAAACTGGGGCGTTGGTATATTTTGTTCTGCTTTGCAATTCTCGCCTTGCGAGTGGGCTGCCATTCGGTTGGCGGCCTGCGCCTTTGCAAGCAAGGGAGAAAACATGGCACTTACATGACATGGCATAACACGGCGATGGGAACATCTGGCGGTCAAAACCTGGGTTTTATGGGCTTCTTCTTCTTTCGGCGTTGGCAGTTGGAGGGGGCGCGGCGAATTGCTACTGGGAAGGGATTGACATGACTTGACGAACCATTGAGATACCCCTTTTGCAGGACGGTAGATGGGTTATGTACGACTACAACGATACTAGGCCGGCGGGCGGAAATAAAAATGGTGATCCGACTGTATCTTACCGTGCTGTTATGTGATGTCTCGACGTTCATCGTCTCTGAATTGTGTACGCTCATCAATAGGGTTGATCATGCGGGTGTTAAACTCTGGCATATGTCGGGGCACAAAGGGAATTCGTGTAGTAACTACCTAAATGCAAGTTTGGCTCGATCGCTAACATGTCATCCCGGCCGACAAGAACGAGTGGCACCACTACACACTAAGGAAGCGCATGCTTGCTAGTTACCAGTAGATTAGGTCCTGCCTCACTAGATAGATGTGAACTGAAAAACACCGCAACTAAATAACCCAACCGGATCCAAGAAAAAGGTATTATACCATAATAACCAAAAGAGAACAAGGCCAAGATCGGTTGCCCATCCATCGCATCGCCGGCCAGGATCCGCACCAAACCAAGACAAACACACTTCTCATTCCTCTCCACCCATCCACCCGTCCATGAGTGACCCGTGATAGACCCAAACCAACCCCTCACTCAGCAAGGCACTCCAAACCGGCCAGACCCAGACCGTAACCAATTAGCTAGTTGGCTAACCACCTTTCCGATTCATGCATGCATACCCTCCCCTACAGAAGCAAGGCACATAAATCTTCAGTCCCCGTACTGAGAAACACTCCCGATGTCCCACCCCTGTTTGCCAGAGGAAAGTCGGACGTTGTTGGTGTTGATGATTGTGGTGTTAGGAGTTTTTACGATGACGACGATGGCGAAGGCGGCCTTCTTGGTAATGTTGGTGAGGCTGGGATTGGCGGAACGGTAATTGGAGGTGGTGTAAAAAACGACCAAACCGTCTTGCCGTTTTGGATGGCCTCAGTTTCCTGTTCACCCCACTCTGATGTCCAAGTGGAAGCTGTGATCGATTGGAAGAAAGGGAGAAGAGAATGCCGTGGCGCCTATCCCCCCCCGGAGGTCTTGTCGTTCATGCTGTCACTTGTTTCTCTCTCTGTGTGTATCTTTCCGGCGCCGCGTTATCGACCATAAGGCATACCACCTATGAGGGAGTTGCTAGCCCAAAGTTGGGGACACCGACCCCTTCACAGGACGTGGTTGTTGTTGTGATTGTTGTTGTCTGTATTTCCTGCTGACCCATGCTGTATCCGGATTCCTATCCCCAAGCCCTCTGCTCTGCCTTGTGTGCCCGGGGCAGCCTCGTGGTTGGGGTCGTGCCCGGGTTGAGCCTGAACACGTCCAGGACTCTATGCCTTCTGTGAAGCCTGCTCCTTATCATCCCAGCCCCATACTTGGGCCAGATAGCGGCGCATGTTGACGCGCTTAGTGCTCATTTCCGTCATCCAGGGGTGCTCCAGCATACGCCATGGGCTGGCGCGGCGAGACTGTTCTTTTTCAAGGCTGGTACAACACGGTTAGCTCAAGAAAGTGGTAGGGGGAGGGTAAAGGGGTCGTACCAGCACTCGATGAAATACTTGAAGCTGCCACTCCAGTAAATGTTGGCATCGGGTTCGTCTTTGAGCTTGGGCGTGGGGTGCTTGACGATGTAGGTTAGGAGGTCGAGGGGAGTGGCGCGGGGCTGCATCTCGGTGCCGTCTGCCGGGAAGGGGAAGCGATGTTGTGCAACCTCGAGCAGGGTGATGCCGGTGGACCAGACGTCGGAGGTGATGGTGTACGATTGCCCTGTGATGCGCTCCGGGGCCATGTAGTAACTGGTACCGATAAATGTGCTAGCGTCGCCCTTGGTGCCAAATTCGCCAGACACACCAAAGTCGCAGAGCTTCACGTCGCCGTTGCGGCAGAGCAGAATGTTGCTTGGCTTGATGTCGCGATGGATGATCTTCTTGGAATGCAGGTAGGTCAAGCCGTGGAGCACGCCCTCGGCGACCTTTCCAAGGACCTTCTCACCCGTACGCCCACCGAGCCGCTTGACCTCCTTGTAGATGCTGTCGAGCGATCCGCCCTCGCAGAATTCCATGGCAATGGAGATGGTGGAGCTCGCCGGGTCTACGAAGGCTCCGTAGTAGCGGCAGATATGTTGTGAGGCACACCCCTTGTTGAACCCCAGCTCGCGGATGATTTGCCTCTTTGCGTCGGGGTCGGGGTTGGTGGTGATGATCTAGGTGACTGTTAGAGGAGGTATCGGGTTGGTAACAAAGGGAAGCACCATCATACCTTGAGAGCAAACACGGTGTTGCCGCCCCTCAGCTTGCATTTCGTCACGGCACCTCCGGCACCCTCACCCAAGTTCCCGAGCTCGATAATCCGCTTCTCCATACTCACAATCCGCCAACCCTCGTCGTCCAGGTCGTCTACGTCTGCTGCCCGGGCCTTCTCGAGGCTGAGCTCGTCGAAAGTTTCCAGCCCATGCAAGCTGCCCTCCCTATCCAAGTCCATGCTCTCGCTCGCGTTGGAATACAGCGACCCGACCGCCGACACGGGGTCGCCGGTCTGCCTCCCTATCCCATATTGACTCGCAAAGGAGAGGGCGCTGAATTGGGAGCCGGCACTGGTGGGGTTGCTTGCACGACCGTCGAGCGGCCCAAAGCTCCCGCTTCTGCTATGGGCGGCGCTGCTTTCACTACCACCGCTCGCACTTTGGAGGCTAAGCTGGGGCTTGAGGGGTTGTTCTTGTGGCACCACGCTACTGCCCATGGGTGTCGCAAGGTGCAAGGTGGGCAGGGCCGGACGCTGGGGAGGCGCCCCCGGGTTTCCGAGGGCCTTTGCGTTGGGAGACGGAGGGATGGCGAGCCCGAGGCGGGGGGCGCGGCCGCCAGGGCGGGAGCCGGGGATGGCGGGCCGGAGGAGTGGTGGTGCCGCCGACATTGTGGGGACCGGCGAGGGAGTGTGTTGTTGTGGGATTCCGAGGGGGGGATATGAGGGCTTCATTGTGTTCGAGAGGGTATGTTAGCGTATAGGTTTCGAGTTTGTGTCTTCTCAGGACCGGATCCAGATATATTGCTCGCCCCCACTCCGACGTCTGTGTTTTTAAGAAATACACTCTCTCTTCTCGGGCGAGGGCTTTAAGAGGGGAAGAACTAGCTGAGGGGACGCGAGGTGTTTCGGAGAGACAAGCACCGAATATCAGAGAGAAGGAAACGGCGACCTAAGAAGCGGGAAAGAAGACCGGTGGAAGAGGAAAGGCTCGTACCATGGCTGCAGCTCCGTCGCTGCTCTGGTTCTGGGAACCGGGCATTATTGGGCGCGGGCGGCTGGTGGGTTGCGGGCCTTCGCTGTCGACCGGTGACTGGCGACTGGAGACTGGAGACAGCAAACTGGGAGTGGTTCGCAGACCAACAGGGCGATATGCAGAGCCTGGTTATCCCGATCAAGGCCGGCTAGGATAATAGGGCCGAAGGGGATCGAGCGACAAGCGGACAAGCCCGCGATGGGGCTGCCGAATGGATGCAGGAAGCACTGGGCCAAGAGAAGTGGAGCGATGCGCAACACGACAGCAACGCAGTGCACAAACGGACGCAGGCAACACTGGATCGAGCAGCTGGCGGAAATGCTGCACTTCGGGGTTTCTAGCAGCTGCGGCAGCAGCAGTAGCAGCAGCAATCTGGGTCTCGGCTGGCTGCGGGCGGGCGGTGGTGGATTGGATCAGCGGCTCCTTTCGATCTGACGACGAGGAGAAGGGACGCAAATGACGCAGATTCGTCCGGTGGTCCAGTAGCGATGCGGCGTGGTGTTTAGGCACTCGGGAGTGGCTTTCCGCGGAGTTGAGGGAGTTGATTGTTCGCCTCTCTTCGACTTCGGGTTGAGTTGGTGGCCGCTGGGGAGCAGCTTTCGGGTGCGGGAGAGGGTGCTTTGAATCAAGCACAATGGATCGATGGAACAGCCCCTCGATGGGCTAGGCGCCCTGCCTCCCTTGCCCAGGGGCGTCCTGGCTCCACAGTTCAGTGATTGCTCAAGGCCGGCCAATGCCGCGGTCGGATGCGTTCAGGGGGTCCTTGGCCCTGGAAAGGCGGGGTGTCGAAGTGACAAAAGAGGTTCTGATGCGCCCGGGATCCATGGTGGACTGGCTCACTGGCTCACTGGCTCGCTGACACCGAGACAACTGGAACGCAGAAATTCCTTAACTACTTCGTACTGAGGTATGTACCGTATGGAAAGTCTACCTGGAAGCGCGATTGGAAGACTCAACGAGGCAATCTCGCCAGTGAGCTGCACTAATCGAAGAAGTCCAGGCAGGAGCGGATGAGAAGCCCTGTGATCTACACAGTACGTACGGGCACTGTAACACGAACAGAAAAGCCAAGCAAACCAGCAACCAGCACCAAGGTATGAACATGTACACATGAACTTGGAAAGCAAATCAAAAGCAAGGCGAGCTGGCGGATGAGCAGAATGATGAAAGGATCCAAAAGCTCTCAGGTTCTGATGGGCTGCAAGGGACAGTAGCCGCCACGGATTTACGCGTGCTGGACGCCACCACTGGCCACTCCATCCTTCTTCCCGCCCTAGCATTTGCTGTGCATGGACCGGATGCGCTGCTCCCCGCATCGTCGCATCGTTGCATTGTGTGAGTTCGAGTCCGACGAGGACAGTCCTGCGCCATGTGGCAAGTGCAGCACGGAAGCATGCGGAAAGTATGTAGTACAAACCTAGATGAACTTTGCTGTAAAGGGACCTAGTTATTAGGTCCTAGTAACTAAATGAAAGGGTTCTGTTAACTACCTTGGGTATGTACCTACTATGTAACTACCGTGCCAGGCTGACGTGAGGACTCGCCTTGCCGAAAGGGCCGCATCTTTCTGATTATCTGTGTGGTCCGCTGAGGTCCGTTCAACGTCACTGATGTGCTCGGGTACTCTGATGGTGGTCAGCCGATATCTTTCCGGCCCCAGGATTCGGCACTGTGCCATCCCGGTGCAAGCGTCCTTGGAGTCCTTCAGGGGCAAGCAGGCGAGGCAGGGCAGCTCGGCATGCAGGCGGCCGGCCAAGCTGGAAGCTCCAGGTCTCCCAGCAAATGCATCGACTTCTCAACCACAGTCCAGGTCCGCATCTCGAATTGATTGGTCTGTCGACTCGTCACCTCAGCCAAAGCGCGTTTGCTCTGAAAGGTCGGACATGGTTTGGGTGCTCGGGGGTCTGATCCTTTTTACACCGTGCTTCGAGGGTCTCGACTGTGTTGGACGCAAGATGTGGTTCCAAGCGCCCAGGGCGGGCGCCTCTTGATGTTCAACCGTGTTAAGCGCCGTGATCAGCAACTTCGTTGGTTGAAGGCAAGGATGGGCTCGTTTGATGTTAAAGCGGGACTCTCAGCTACCCGAACCCGGCTCGAGCCCCCGATCCACCGTTATTCGCTGCCAAGGGCACCCCACTTCTTTTTCTCAAACCCCTGTCTGAAATTTTCGGTTCTCGAAAACAACAACAGCGACGAGGTCTCACTGGCATTTGAGAGGCTCCCGGAAAATTGCATCTGCAAGGTGACTAAATGGTCAAATTAGTCATGCCATCAGTCTCTGTGAAAGGTCGGCGCAAGGAGGCGGCGGTGGAACGAATCGAGGAGATCGACAGGGCTTCAGATTCGGGCGCAAGTTTAGCATCTGGACCAGCATCACCATCACAAGAAGCATCAGACGCATCAGAGGATGAAATCGATAACAGCGATGACAACGATGAGAACGCCGCCTCAGATTCAGATTCTCTAGACAGTGCCAGCCCCAGGAAACGACGCCGCACCTCTCCTCCGGTTAGCGATGATGAAAAACCCAACATTATCAAGTCGGCCTTTAATGTGCCCTCACGCATAAAACGGAAAGCCCAAGTCGAGGCCAGTGTCGGAGTCCCTCCTCAGCCAAGCAACCCCGAACCCGAACCAGCGTCCCGGGTCACGGCCCCCTTGGATGCCAATACCACTTTCGAGTCGCTTGGTCTCCGGCCATGGCTAGTGCAGTCACTGGCTAACATGGCCATCAAGCGGCCAACCGCCATTCAACGAGAGAGTATCCCGATGCTGCTGAAAGGGAGGGACTGCATCGGTGGGAGCAGAACGGGTTCGGGTAAGACGGTGGCCTTCTCCGTCCCTATTTTCCAAAAATGGGCCGAGAACCCGTCTGCCATCTTTGCCGTCATCCTGACGCCTACTCGGTGAGTACCACGTCTCTCTTCCGGCAAGACGATGCCAGGCTGACTCTCCCATCAGTGAGCTTGCTCTCCAGATCTACGAGCAAGTCAAGGCCATCTCGTCGCCACACTCGCTCAAAGCCATCCTGGTCACGGGCGGGTCCGACATGCGGTCGCAGGCCATCGCCCTGGCCCAGCGGCCGCACGTCGTCATCGCCACCCCCGGCCGCCTGGCCGACCACATCCGCACCTCGGGCGAGGACACGGTGTGCGGGCTCCGCCGGGTGCGCTTCGTAGTCCTCGACGAAGCCGACCGGCTGCTCGCCGCCAACGGACCCGGCAGCATGCTGCCGGACGTGGAAGAATGCCTCGGCGCGCTCCCGCCGCCGGCCGAGCGCCAAACCCTCCTCTTCACCGCGACCATCACGCCCGAGGTCATGGCGCTCAAGAACATGCCGCGGCAGCCCGGGCGCGAGCCGGTCTTCGTGTGCGAAGTCGACACGGACGCGCTCGCGATCCCGCCGACGCTCCAGCAGATGCACCTGCAAGTACCCGTCACACACCGCGAGCACTACCTGCACATGTTCCTCCTCACACCCGCCAACGCGGAAAAATCGGCCATCATCTTCTGCAACCGCACGTCGACGGCCGACTTCCTGCACCACCTGCTCCGGCTGCTGGACCACCGCGTCACGGCGCTGCACTCCAAGCTGCCGCAGCGCCAGCGCGTCGACAACCTGGGCCGGTTCCGCGCGTCGGCCGCGCGCATCCTCGTCGCCACCGACGTCGCCGCCAGGGGTCTGGATATCCCCGAGGTCAAGCTGGTAATCAACTACGACATCCCGCGGGATCCGGATGACTACATCCACCGCGTCGGCCGTACGGCGCGTGCGGGCCGCAAGGGTGATGCTGTCACCTTCGTCGGGCAGCGGGATGTCGAGCTGGTGCTGGCGATCGAGCAGCGCGTGGGCAGGCAGATGGAGGCGTGGGAGGAGGAGGGTGTGAACCTGGAGACGCGCGTGGTGAGGGATGCGCTCAAGCTGGTGGGGGAGAAGAAGCGCGAGGCGTTGTTGGAGGTGGAGGAGCACAGGGAGGTGGGCGGGAAGAGGAAGAGGGGGAAGCAGAAGCTGAGGCTGGAGTAGATGGGCGAGTTCCGACGGACTTTTGTAAAAGCAAAGCCTGCCTGCTAAATAGAGATACCACACAACCCATCAGCAACCACCGTGGCTTCTGTAAGCCGAACCTAACCACGGTGCCTGATCCCACTGGAACCTCCCTACTCCTCATACAACCTCAACACCCTAACCGCGTTCCCACCCATGACCATCCCCGCCTCCTCACTCCCCTCCCCCAGCGCCTTATTCACCGCCTCCACATTCAACCTCACACTCTCCCACTCCCCCTCCTCCGCCTCCCCGGCCTTCTCCCCCACCGGCGGAAAAAAACGGATGATCCGTCCCAAACATCAACCTATCCGCGCCCCCCGCGGCCTCCACCGCCGCCTTCAACCCGACCTCACTATAAATCACCGCATCCAGATACACCTGCTCCCTCAACACCTCCCACACCGTCCTCCTCCCCCCCTTTTTACCCTCCCCCGCAGCCAACGCCGCATCATGCACCACACAGCTCTCGATCCTGCCCGCCAGAAACGGCAACGTGCCCCCCGCGTGCGCCAGCACCATCCGCAGCCCCCGCACCGCGTCAAACACGCCCGCCAGGAACATGCGCGCCACCGCGATCGTCGTCTCCATCGGGAACCCCAGCGCCAGCGGCAGCACGTGGCCCTGCTGGGTGGCGCGCTCCCCAAACACGGAGTTGGGCAGGCCGTAGTGCGGGTGCAGGAAGACGGGCAGGGAGGCGGCCGCGAGCACGTGGAAGATGGGGAGTAAGGACGGGTCGTCGAGGCCGGCGCCGAGCCCGGAGGTGCCTAGGATGATGCCACGGCAGTGGGGGAGGGTGGTGAGGTGGGTTATGGAGGCGAGGATGGTGCGGGTGGGGGCTGTGAGGGGGAGGGTGCCGAAGAAGAAGAGGGTTTTGGTTTTGGTTTGGGGGGTGGTGGTGGTGGTGGTGTTGGTGTTGGTGCTGCTGCACATGGTTTCGAAGGAGGTGTTGATCTGGACGGCGGTGGCGCCCGCGGTGTCGGCGGGGAGAAAGTCTAGCCAGGGGTTGGCGAGGGAGAGGACCGAGGTGGTGATGTTGTGGTGGGACATGAAGGCGAGTTTGGCGGGGAGGGAGGTGAAGTGCTTGGTGAGGGGCCGGCCGGGGAGCGGGGCGGAGGGGTCGGCGAGGGCGCGCTCGAGGGAGGGGATCTCGGATTCGAGGAGGATGAGGCGCGGGTCTGGCGAAGAGGGGAAGGTGCGGACGAGGGGGATGGTGTCCCGCGATGAGAGGATGGAGATGTACTCCGGCGGGTACATGTGGGTGTGGATGTCGACGACGGGAGCCATTTTGATCGTAGTCCGGGAGGTGATTCCTGAGTTATTGGTCTTGTTGAGTTTGCAGTTTGTGTGTGAAAGAGGGACGGGTGATAGATTGTAGGTGTCTTTTGAATACTAACCGTACTACCACTACCCAAACACAATTCGCACCTGCCCGATGAGATGAACTGGGATCCATGAACAACCTCACCTCTCATGCCAAGCCGGCAGTCACCCCGCACTCCACCTCCCGTCTCACAACCCCACTTGGTGAGCTGTGAAGTCGATCATTGCAGGGGTGTTATCGGTCTAAGAGCAGGGGTTGCGGCCTAACGATAGCTGCCGGAGCAGTGAGAGTCGAGCACAGAAGAGGGCACCGCATTAGACGGACCAGCAAGTGATGTTGGAGCTAGAACCGTACAGCATGGTACTTTCCGTCTCTATCTAATTACCGGCCTGGTCCTGTTCGGATATCTTCCCCTCGTCACCTCGGACTCCGTTTCCTCAATTGCTCGCTCTTTTAAAGCTCCCTCCCGTCCGCGAACAGGAAAGAGATTCCTCGTTTTCGGCAGTAGATAACTGATCAAACCAAAACATGGAAAAGGCCGCGGTGCAAGGAGATGGGCTTCTCATCCCGGTAGGTGTCCAGACCACCTGACTTCCACTTCCCAATCCTCGCCTGACCAGGACACCACAGCTCATCGACTTCTCCAAATTCCTCAACGGTTCTCCTCCCCAAAAGCTTGAAACTGCCAAAGCCATCCTGACAGGCTTCCAAACCGCCGGATTCATCTACCTCTCCAACCTCCCCATAGCACCCTCCACCGTAGCCCAGGCCTTCGACCGCTCCGCCCAGTTCTTCCGCCTCCCCCTTTCCACGAAAGACTCACTCGCCTGGTCCACCCCTGAAGCCAATCGCGGCTACTCCTCCCCAGGCCGCGAAAAGGTTTCCCTTCTGGCCAACGACGCCGATGTCTCGGCATTGCGCACCTCCATCCCCGACATCAAGGAGTCCCTCGAGATCGGCCGGGAAGACGAGCCGGGCCACCCAAACCGCTGGCCCTCCGAGGAAGCCGGAGAAGGCGCGCCCAACGAACTGACCGGCTTCAAGCAGAGCATGCTCTCCTTCTTCGGCGACCTCGCCGAGCTGCACACGTCGGTGATGCGCGCCATCGCGGTCGGCATGGGCCTGCCCGAGACGCACTTCGACCGCTTCGTCAGCGACCGCGACAACACGCTGCGCCTGCTGCACTACCCGGCCGTGCGGCGCGACGTGTTCCAGATCAACCCGGGCCAGGTGCGCGCCGGCGAGCACTCGGACTACGGCTCCGTCACCATCCTCTTCCAGGACCAGCGCGGCGGCCTGCAGGTCCAGAGCCCCAGCGGCGCCTTTGTCGATGCCACCCCCATCGAGGGCACCTGCGTCGTGAACGCGGGCGACCTGCTGGCGCGGTGGAGCAACGATACGATCCGGAGTACGGTGCACAGGGTGGTTGAGCCGCCGAGGAGGGAGGGTGGTGAGGATGGGGAGACGTACCCGGCGAGGTATAGCATTGCGTGAGTGACCCCTTGAAGGCGAAGGCGTGACAGGGGATGTGTCGGCTGACTGATTCAGATACTTCTGCAACCCCAACTTCAAGGACTTCATTGAGGCTATCCCGGGCACGTATGCTGCCGAGGCGGACAAGAAGTACGAGGGTATCAACAGCGGGGAGTACCTGGTTCAGAGACTGAAAACGACGTATGGATAAGACTTGAAGGAGAAGTGTGATTGTAACTCTGGATACATATATATGATATGTTTGTTCGCATGCAACCAGCGGTTGGAACGCATCTTAGGACCGAATGCGCCCTTCGTTATGCGGATTTAATAGTCCTTTCCACCAACGGCGATATTGTTTCTGAGAGAACCTCAGACAGGCCAGAGCTCATGTAAAGAGACGGGTTCGGGCCTCTACATGGATACATTATTCACTGTTTATACCGAATGTGAAAAACAGGAGAAGTGGAAAGTTTGCCAGTCAAAGTTGGCCCTGCCAGTCTTCACTAACCAACGGCAGCGGTGGTACCTAGGTAAAGAGTCACTCGGTGGATGTCGCGGGGAGAATCATTAAATTTAAATAGACACCAGAAAAAGAATCTATGAAAAATAGTGAAATAAAAAGAGAGAAAAGAGCAAAAAACTAGAATAAAAGAAAGTTGGTAAAAGACGGAAGAGGAATAACTGGCAGGTTTGGCCGGGAGTCCTTCGCTGCAGACCCTTTAGGTTTCCTCTGCAATGGAAGCTTGGCACGCTGAACTTCCTCCCACGGTCCCACCTCACCCAACTTCCACCACAACTTCCACCCCCCACAACCAACCGCAAAATGGCCGACCAAGACCTCATCAACTACGCACGCGATGCCGCCGGCAGGGGGGACGACCTGTTCGCGCTGCTGGCGACGGACGCGACGGCGTCCGAGTCGGACATCCGGCGGGCCTTCCGCAAGAAGGCCCTGACCGCCCACCCGGACAAGGCCGGCGACGCCTACGACCCGGCCCTGTACGAGCGCATCGAGCGCGCCCGCGACGTGCTGCTCAGCCCGGAGGCCCGCGAGGCCTACGACAGCGGCATGCGCGCCATCCTCCAGAAGAAGCTGCAGCGCGAGCAAATGTCCGACAAGCGCCGCCGCCTCGTCGAGGACCTCGAGCGCCGCGAGGCCGAGGCCAAGCGCGCCAAGACGGCGCCGCAACCCCAGCCGCACGACGCCGAGCGCCGGGCGATGGCGGAGAGGGGCAAGGCGAAGATGGAGGAGATGAGGCGGCTGCGGGAGGAGGCCGAAGTGCGGGAGCGGCTGGCGAAAGAGAAGGAGGCTGCTGCTGCTGCTACGGCTGCGGCGGCTGCTGGCAAGCCAGATATGGGCGAGACAGCACCAGGCGGCCATCCCACACCCCCACCGGTGGTGGACGACTACGACGAGCGGATCGCGGATCTCGAAATGCGTCTGAAGGAATCGCAACAGCGCAAGGCTGAGAAGCGGCAGCGCAAGGAGGAGCGGAAGGCAGAGAAGAAGGGAAAGACCGGGGAGAAATCCGGGTCGCCGCCAGCGCCCGCGTCTCCAGGGGAGAAGATCCCAAACAATCCTCCACCTTCCACCGCGGCAGAACCACAGGCTGACGAAGACAAGCTCTCCAAGCCCGTTGAAGCCGTACCTCCCGCGCCCCCGCCTGGTGCTGGCGGTCCTCCCAAAGCAAGCGACCGTTTTGCATCAACCTTGGCGAGATTGCGCGCTGCCCAGGCGAAAAAGGACGAAGAGAAGAGGCGGAAGGCCGAGGAGTCATAAGCAGTAGCGGGTGAGAGTGCGCCGTAGAGCCGACCGAGGTCCGATAAAGTAACGTACGATAGAATCATGATACCCCATATTCATATAGACTAGGTGTGTCGTTGCGGCACCACCAATACCAGCCGTTTCACGAAAAAGTCGAGAACAACTATGGGGAAAACGTGGTTGACGCTGTCTCTGTTTTTATGTCTATGACGACGAGGCCTTTGAGGAAGAACGCCAACCCTGATCATAAGAGGCATCAGACAGGAGCCGCAGCTCTACAGCCGAAACTCCACCTTCGTAACCCCGACCCCAAGTATGCAGCCATGTACAAATATGATACAACCCCCTCCACCTCTCCAGGCTCTAACTAATGCCCCTCGCGATTCGCCAGCGCACTCCTCAGCCAGTCCGGCACGAACGCCTTAATCCTCCCCTTCCTATCCTTGCCGTCCTTCTCCCCCACCGACACCGTAAACTCATCCCCCTCCACAAACCCGGTCCCGCCCGTCTCCCCCGGCAGCACCACATCGGTCATGATCTCCAGCCGGCACAGCGCAAACCCCAGATTCCCCACCCCGCCCAGCCACTTGCCCGCGCTGCGGCCCGTCTTGCCCACGCGGCCGATGCTCTCCCCGGCGGGCACCGCCTCCGCGCTCACCGCCACCAGCCACCCGTCCTCGTCGACGCTCGTCACCACCGGCTGGTACTCGTCGAGCCCGCGCGGCACCGCCCACGCGGCGTCGTCCCGGTCCGGGTACAGCACGCACGGCAGCAGCCGCTTGCGCACCACGCCGCGGTGCTCCGTGCGGATCGTCAGCTCCTGGCCCACGTAGCAGCCCTTGCGGAAGTCGATGGCCCCCATCGCGTCCAGGTTGCTCTCGTGCGGCAGCGCCTGGTTGTACAGCAGCTCGCGCTGGCCCTCGGGCACGCCGTGCTGGATGCGGCGGATGTGGTAGGCCTGCTCCGGGAGCACGTCGACGGGGGTGGTGGGAGATGAGGGGCGGGGGGTCGGTGGTGGTGGTGGGGGAGAAGGTCAGGATGCGGCGGCCGAGGTTGGGGGCGCGCGCGTCCTCGGCGATGATGACGGTGTCGGCCGGGGAGGAGGAGAAGGACGGGATGGCGGTGGGCTCGGTGGGGTTGGCGTCGTCCCAGGCCTGCCAGACGCGCGCTTCGCCGTGCTCGAGTACGCGCACGTCGAACTTGGCGCGCAGCTTGTACCGCTTGATGTGCGTCTGCAGGCGCTCGGCCTCGGCGGCGTCGACCTCGACCAGCCAGCTGTGGCCGTCCGGGTTGGAGGTGTCGCGCAGGTCGCGGTAGATGAAGACGTCGTGCAGGATGCGGCCCTGGGCGGTCAGGAAGGCGGCGTAGAAGCCGTCGTCGGAGCGGAGGTGCTCGCTGGTGGGGTTGGGTCCGGCATAGCCCGGAGTGAGGTTGGCGGTGATGACGCCCTGGAGGTACTTGGCGGCATCCGGGCCGGAGACGGATATGAGTTTGCGGGAGGAGAGTTCGGCGATGCCGGCCGGGGGGGAGGGGCCAGGACCATCAGAATCATCATCGCTTATGAACAGCACGTACGAATAGGCACGGCGTTGATGGTTTGCGGGGAGAGGGAGCCGAGTAGTGAGACAACCCCGCCAAGCGAAGGCGCCACGGGCCCTTACGGGGGGTGCCTTTACGGTGGCCCTTACGGTGAACGCTAGAGCCCTCCATGCTGGCTGCATTGTGGTGGTGTCGCAAAGCGGATGCGGCTATGCGGCTAGGCTCCTAAGGTTGAGCTAGGTAGTTGACGTTAAGCGGGGAGCAATCATCTGAGCTCCTCATCTGAGTGTGCAGGAACCCGTGGAACTTGCAGTGACGTCGATCAATCCGATCTGTCCGGTCGGGAAATCGTAATTTACGCCGATCGGCAAGCGGGACTTTGCAAACGCCGAAGTGGTCAATGCGCCAGTTAGTGACCGTTCTCGACAGCTCTTCGGCCCTATGGGTGGATCTGGGGGGATAAGATTTATCGCCGGTCCTTGCTTCCACGAGGGAATGGAGACTCGGAGATATGATTACCTATGCCTGCGCGCGTCGGGTCTACCAAGTAACGTTCGGTTTCTTTCATGCGCCCGACTCCTCGACATACTATGGACGCGGGCCTAACGTATCCCCGCGGGAGGATCCCACTCATCGGTTCCATAAATTCCAGGTTTCGACATCTTGAGCGCCGGGAGCGACCGGAGCAAGCCACATGTCCTACGCCGGCACAGGTCGCGGTGTCAGTTGACTCATCACGCCGAGTTGTTGCTCGCCGGCATTCTCGCTTCACGATGGAAATCATGGTTGGAAGTGCAAGTTCACTTCACCAATCATCTACCATCCATCTAATGGCACCTGTGATAATTATCCCGCAAGGCGGAAAGGGCGCTTGGCCTGGTCACCAGACCGGAACAGGCCGTATCGACCTAAAAGGTAGGTGGAAAACGTGAAGGATTAAAACGGTAGGGAACGCTTTTTCGCTCTGTTTTGGCTCTTCCGTTTCCTAGCTCCGTTTCCAATCTCTACCCTATTCTGTTCCTGATTCTCTTTTATCCTTCTTTCTTAACTGTTTATCCTTTTGATCCCGAGAGAAAGGCCATGCAGGATGCAAGAGGTACAAGCATGATGTTGGACAATATATTCCCAAGGATGAAAATATACGAATAGGTAGGTAGGTACCTATCTATCATTTATAGTCAAATCTAGGTAATTTCTTCTATACCTAAACACCTATATAAAACCCTTCCTATGCTACTGTTTTTTACCAACGCCGAATACAAGTCCCTAAGGAAATACCCTAATCCACGCCGAGTATCTAAACTCCTCTCTCTCCTCAGACTACCAACAACTCAACGAGTATACCCCTGCGCCGGCAATTCGTCGGCGGCTGCAGTTTGGCCCACCACTGCCTTTCTCGTCTTCAACAACCAACCCAGGCAGCCAACCCAGGCAGCCGTTAAAGGCTGCAACTTGCCCACGCACTCTCGACCCGAAACTCCATCAATACCTAGCTATTCCGTCCCTGCAACGCAACAAGCCCAACAGACATGACGGATTCTAACAAATTGAGTGAGAACCCTACTCACGATGCCTCAACTCATCTGGATGGCAAGTTCCCATCCTCCCAAACTTCAGGCAAGGACGACACGCTAACGGCACCGCTAGGACCAGAGGCCGGCCGCGACGACAACGACGGCAAACAAAACGACTTCGAACCCTGTACCTTCTTCTTCTACGGTAGCCTCATGGACCCCCAGGTGCTGATGGCAGTCGCCAAGCTGGACGACCAGCCCGACCTGCAGGACGTATGGGTCGAGGGCTTTGAGATGAAGATGTGGGGTGGCATCTACCCGGTGCTGTTGCCGATCAACGACACCGATAACAACAGCGGCGCGAGCCACCGGATCAAGGGCAAGGCATGGCGCGCTACTACCATGGACCAGTGCCTGCGGCTTCAGCGGTACGAGACGTCAGCGTACGAGCCTGCCGACTGTCGTCTATACCACCCGGGGGGCGGCGAGCCGACCAAGGGTCTGGTGTTTGTGTGGGCTCGGGATCCCGGAAGTAATCAGCTCGCGGAAGGGGTATTTGATTTGGAGGATTGGCAGAAGACTCATAAACCGAGTCGCTTTCCAGTTTAGAGTTCTGTTATAGTTAGGTACTGCTCGTTCCGGAGGATTCTGGAAATTCTCCAGGAAGCAATTCAATACAGTTTCTACGATTAGTTTACTGTTACAGACATTGATTGATTTTTGTTATACACCTTTTGGCTGCACCGAGTTAATCAGACGATACCAGTTTACCTTCGAGTAATCCCTTTAGAAGACGGACAAAAGAAGAGCAAACTCCAAGCACAAATCAGATGTCGACAATGGAAACAAGTTCGAGTCCCCGACAGTAGGAATAAAACGAAACCCATCCTGAAGCCCAAAGAAATGTGCTTACTCCATTTACTTTTCTTTTACCCTCTCTCTTTTATTTGACTTATTTTTCTCCTTTTACTTTTATTTGTTCTTTTTGCTTGATTTCTTGCTTTCCTTTCGGCTTTTTGTTGGCCAGGACACCGGGCGTGCTGAGTCAGCAACCACACGAACACATTTGAGTACCTTCCAGGATGGATCCGCTCTTAGACGGCCCACAAGCCGATCATGGTGGTCAATGGCAATGATATCCTTCCGACCCTCCAGCTCATCGGTCCTTTCCCGCAGGCCCGATATGCAAAGCATTTTCTCGTGCACCCTCCTTCTCTTAGGGCGGCTTATCAGAGCTTCAGGCCTCTGTCGTACGGCAGCCGGGAGATGGGCCGGGGGACGCGGGGCACGGAGGAGTTGCCGATCCCCCCGCTAGGGTGGCGCCGCTTGCCCGTCGATGCTTCCTCGCCAACAACGTTTCAAAAAACATGATGCGAGGCTGTGACTTCCTCTGATTCTGCCGCACCTGAGCAGCCAACAAAGCCAACAAACGGACCGCCAGTTGACCTATTTTTTTCATGATCTTGACGCTTCCAACTCTGCCCCCAAAGGGCACGGCTGCATGATGTTTAACCCAATACTGCTTTATGTGCCGCCCGCGGTCAACTGATGGCCGAGCTGTTTCACGTGAGGACCCGTTGCGGAGACCTTGTGATGCGATGCACACCTGGAGCCCCTCTTATGGAGAGCCTCCTTCCAGACCTCCCCCACCATCACCGGATGCTCGAGTGTGCCCGGTGCCCCTCCTTTCCGGGCCATTGCCGGTCAACCCCCACACATGCCGAGAAACGGAAGAGGGAATTCCTCGACCTATGGGCATAACCGGTGTCGGTTCCGGGGGGCGGAGAGGCCCGAAGTCCTGCATAGTCCTGAGGTTGTTGGCGAAACACTCACCGGTTGGGCGGCGATTTAGGACCTGCGAGATTGATTGTTGCCTCCATGCATGATGCTCCATGGCGGTGACGAGAAAGGTCCACGTTGACCGCCAAGTCATGAAATTGCTGCATTGTTCTCACGGCGTGATACTGTATCGTCGCACAGCCTCAGTTGCCTTTACCGAGCTCACGCTGCACTGCGAAGGGTGTCGCCGCGATGACCCCAAGCCTCGGCGGGTGAGTTTCGAAACGTTGCCTCTCGGTAACACCAACACCAATGCCAAATGCTCAGCATGATCCGCAGCACATCCCCCAGAAACTGAAATCGCCTGGCGGATCGCCGTTTTTGATTACGTTGGATCCCCCCTGCCCCAGGTTGGCGAGCAATCGTTTCCTCGAACTTGGGCGAACGAGGTTATCCTAAACGAGGTTTCCAAAGTATGAATTTCTGGGGTCCGGGGATCGTTCAGGCTTTCTTTTTTGGGTGCTCCGTCTCCACCGCAGGGACATCTGAGCCACCCTCACCTCAGGCGGCATCCGCTTTTGCATCAGAGTTACCCCGGATTGGCGCGATTGGCAGGGCTCATAGGGCTTTTCGAAATGAGAGAGCACGGCACGCCTGAGTCAGCCCGAGAAATTAGGCATCGCACTTTGGCCCTGCAATCTTCATGCAATCGAGCCAGAAACGCAGGCGCGCAGTCATCGTGTCAATCGCAGAGCGCGCGCAGGCGGTGAGCGGAGATGGTCGGTGTAAGGATCCAGCGAAGCAGGGCGATGCGTTGGTATTGTTTTGGTACGCCTTGTAACGAGTGGGAAAGGTTTGCCGGGATCAGGTCGTCTCGTCTCGTCTCTGCGGCGCGATGCAATGCCAAAACCCAACTGCAGCTAAAATCAACAAGCGACGGCCTGGTCGACCCATCCGCTTGTAGCAGCGATGAAGCTCCTGAAACCGTAAATCCAAATCGGTTCAAACGAGCCTTCGAGGTACTCGACCCTGGACTCGGCCGCCCGGGACCGTCTCGGCCTTGGCCACCGCCCCGAACGCCGCGGGCCGCGAAACCCCCAAAATCCATTAACTCCTGCCCCAACTCGTCCATCACGCCCCCAACACCAACTATAGAAAACAAGGATCGTGAAGCGCGGGAAATGAGCGATGATGAATCAGTTACGCACGCCCACCAACACACCTCATCAGGTAGGCTAGATAGGTCACGCCGCAACAAAACCCAACTGCCGCCAATACCACCACAGCACACACGTAACCTCGCATCCCAACCCGACGGGCGGGACTAGGTGGACTCGCACGCAGTGTTGTCAGCCCTGTAAATCTCCCACGACAAGTCAACAAACCCAGGATAATCCACGTAACCGGGAGGGGGCGGCCACCAAGGAAAAAATTAAGCGAGTGCGAAAAGCAAAACGAAAAGCCCGCCCGCCGCCTTTCCGCCTCACAAAACCCGAAACGCGCGGAAGCCGGTGGGATTGGACCTTACCTTGGGGGAATTTGGGATCACAGTTCCTCCATGCTTGGTCACCCGGACACCCACAGACAGGCACAGGCGACAACAAGGCAAAAAAGGCGCGCGAAGCCAAAAAAGAGCCAAGCGGGCAGTCCCTCCGTTGCCCCGTCCCCGTGTCCCCCGTATCCCGTATCTGTCCGTAACAAGTGAGAAAAATGACACCGATCGGCCAGGTACGAAGAGGAAAAGTTCCCGAGAGGGGATTGGTTAACCGGGAACCGCACCCCCCTGGTGTGGATGGAGATGGGTTATCAGTGGTGACTCCACTTTACTTTTTGTGAATCATACCGCCGCCTCGGGACCGATCTCCACGCTTTCGAGTCGAGGGTTGGGGATAATCGAGTGTGGGCAGCAAAGTTGGAGCGGGGGTGGGAGAGATGGGACGGCGGCGATGGGTGATGTCAATTGTGGGATCGTGGCACTTGGGGAATGATTCAGATGTAGACGAAGAGATTGATTCATGTTGATTCGATTTTTTCATTTTCTGGTGCTGTGGCCGCCGCCGTTGTCGGCGGTCGGTGCTAAGCTAAAGCTTCCCACTCAACCTCAGATAGGGAGCGGGAGCTTGGTAAAGAAGTAGTGTGTGTGAATCCATCCACCTGTGGTAGGAAATATGTGTGTCCTCCTGCTTCCTCGTCCGAAACCCAGGACTTCATGCCATCCACCCCCATTATGTATTGAGTGGTGTAGTAGTAGTAAGACGCAATGACGCTGCTGATCCAAATCCAAACAAAGTAAAAAACAAAACTTTTTTCGCTCCCAGTATCTGGTATCATTTGAGAACGCCGGCCCATGCAGAAGGAAGAGCAAACACAGAGACAAGAGACAAGACCATTTAGTACACCGACACCGCCGAGATGAGTCTCGCCGGATTCCGTGGCGGGAGGTAGTACCCTTCCTCGTAGAAAGCGGTCTTGTCCCCTTGGTCTATTGTTGTCGCTGGTGTGCTGCTCCCCTTCTGCGTCTCCTCGAATGCGGGGATGAGAGTCGTAGGTGGTGATGGCGGCATCGACTCGTCTTCTGTCGAGCCGTCCGAGTCGTCGTCGAGCTCGGGTGGTGATGAGGGCGAGACGGAGTGTGACGGGCTCCGCTGTAGGGCGAGCTGGGTAAAGTCCTCCTCCTCGTCCATATCGTAGTCCTCGTCCTCCTCCTCGACACCGAATGGGTAGGCGGCCTTGTGGGGCAGCATCGTGTGCGAGGATATCCTCCTGAGGGCGACAGCGTCGGCCATCTCGATGTCCTCGTCGTCGTCAAAGTCCGAGTCCGAGTCGGAGTCGGACTCGGCGTCCTCGGCGTGCCAGTCGTGCTCCGGCTCCTCCACGATGGTATCCGCCCACTGGATGTGCCTCTCCTCGCTGGTGCTGGGCGAGGCGCCGCGGACGGACTGGTTGAACCACGACTCTTGTTCCCTCTCGGCGTCGGCGAGCTCCAGCATCAGCGAGTCGAGCATGTTGGCGTGCCCGACGAGCAGGCGGAGGTTGTGGTCGGGGCGGGCAGCTTCCGAAGACAGCTTGGCCCGGGCCTTGTGGGCGAGAAAGTAGGTTTGTGCGATCGACATCTTCTTGCTGGCTCGGGGTCTGAATGGGGACGCGGGAGCTGCAAAGGAGGCCGGCGAGGAATGTAGTGGCCTCGGCGGTTGTGTGTTTCTTGGTGTTTGGATGGGAAGAGAAGACATTTTGGCGGGTCTGCAGGCTTCCAGATATTTGATGTGCTTTGGCGTTTTCCTTCCGGTGAGTCAAGGCACGAAAGCCGATTGCGGGATAGCCGAGTTAGGCAGGCTTCAGGGTGTGAGTTCAGGCCGGGGTGGGGTGGGCCAGTAAAGTGGTAGCCAGGGCAAGGCAAGGACCATAGGACTCGTTCGGTGGGCAGTGGGAGACACTTCGATGAACAACTTGTCAAAGCAATAAAGTAATTATCACTGGCAAAAAGACAAGATGAAGTGCTGACCTGGTCGATGACTGAGAGGGACATGTGCCCGAGGAAAGGGCGGCCCCCCGAGTCCTTTTGTAATCTTGACCGTCTGTTGGTGTTCGGCTCTTCCAAGACACCGCAGGTCACCAGAACCTGGCTCGTTGTATCATCCGCAGCAGCTGACAAAAACCGAGAGTCCGATCTCCACCCCGGGCCCGCCCTTCGCCTGCGCATAATTACCTACCCTTGTAGGTTAGTGAGTGAAAACGCGGCCTCGACCACGCCCTGCGCCGTCCCCTCCTGCAGCGAGTAACACTCGATACTGAGACGCGGCGGCGGTGAAGCACCGTTGGACAGTTTTGCGTTGCCCCGACGCAAATCGACCGCGCCTGATCCCCCGCACAGGGCCGCCTCGGCGAGCCTGTCAGGCCCCAACACAAACGCAATACGTATCACCATTTTTGGTGCGCTGTCCATCGCTCCAGCCCAGCTGGCAGGAACACATACAGGAACAACAGGAAGCATGGATTGACGGACCCCGTTTCGGCCAACGGCGTTCGTTCTCCTCGTAGGACGGAGTTACGCTCCAGCGTGCCAGCCTAACCCCGCTACGCCCTGATAAACGCGGCCTCAGACTGATTGATGATGAACCCACCTCGTCCCGCGTTCACTCATCGCAGCGCTGGATTTGTCGGCGCCAAGGCTCTTCTCCCTCCGCCGATTGTTAATCAGCAACGCCGAGCACCCCGCATTCGCAACGACAAGTCGCAGGACTTTCGGCATCTTCTCGCTTCTGTCTGGATTTTACCACTTTAGGGTTTACCTAAGCACCCGTTTCATTATTAACCATGGTGCCTTTGCGCTCATAATAAGCTCGAATGATGCGCTTCGCTCCCTGCACGCGATCCTCACCATCCCGGCACGACATCGACGGTTTCGTACCTTGATTTCTAATTGCCCAAACGGTAGTTACAGATTACAGATTACAGATTAGAAGAAGCCTCTCAATCTTTCTGCGGTAAGAGTAATTTCACCTCGACAATGCGCGTCTCATACGTCCCAATCCTATCACGGTTTCAACGCCGAGTACATACGTCAATCTCAACACGCCAGTCGGGGCCACGGCACCGAGGCAATGCATCTCGTTTACGCGCCACAGATACGCGATAGCATTGTGGTTCATCATCTCGGCGTCGGTCCCGATCTTCATCCCGCAACATCATATGCATGGAACGTCGCGAGAAAGAACCGCACCGCCCCCTTGCGTATAGAGTCATCAAATGCGACGGGCTCCCGGCGGTGTGGGCTCACAGCGATTGCTATGCGAACGACGAATGAGGACTCGGATTCGGCTGCGACCGTAACACCGAGTTCGAATACACAGGATGGCTCATTGCACCGCCCGAGTCATCTGTGGGGAGGGGGAAATTGCGGGCATGGAGTTCGGTACGGGCTCGATCTGATTCGCCCTCACCCCGTAGGGCTGATTACCTGATGTGCACCGTCCGGGTGGGAAGGACAAGAAACCACCACATGGCAAGCCGGCGCCCAATAACTACTGTCCTAATGGGGATGCCGCTTCATCTCCCCAGTCAGGACATTGCGTGCCCTCACGGCACAGCCCAGCCACGAACATTTTGTCGGTATCGCATCCCGCGAGGACGTCGTGCTCCTCTGACTGCAGGAGTTCTGTCCTCCGTTCAAGCAAGGTTCAATGTCACGTAGCATCTCGACATACGGAGTACCGCTTCCCTTTTTCCTCTAGTTAATCCAGGAACAAACGACACGGGGACAGCGAGATCGGGAATCTGGGTCGAAATCTCTCCAGCAAGGGGATTACGCAGCAGCACCCGTACCATCGTGACGACTGCGAGATAACCTCAACCGTTTGGGATGCAAAGTCTCGATGGATGACGAATCGCCTCGCATGGCGGCCAATCACGTAAGTCTCCGCGTGGTTGCTCGGTTGCGATTGAGCGCTGCCTGGACACCTGGATTTCAGGGTGCGTGCGTGGGTGCCCACCCTCGGGATGGTCCCTGCGTCGGACGGAGTGACCGACCGCTCCGGCTCCGTGCTCCGTCGGCGCTTGGAGGCTCAGGAAATCTGATACGCGCCTCCTTTGATCTCTCGCGTTCGAAATACGATGCACGTTGCCCCGTGATGTCATGCGGGCTGCAACCACTCTAGGAGAAACCCCAAGTGCATTTTTTTGCCTCGCAGAGAGGCCTGGACATATTATTGCCCAAATAGGGACAATCTGCGTCGCCTTGCCCACGTTTCGCAATACGGACCAAAGAGGAAAACGGGTGCATGTGTGTCACTCATACATACATCCAAGTCGGAGATATTCCGGAAACTTCCCTTGACACCCGTCGACTTCGCGGAAACTCGTGTCCTTATTCACCCGCTTGCAGCAGACTTCGTCGGCCACCGCCCGGAACGCCGGGCGTCGACCTTGGTTTTTTCGGCGGGGAAATAACCACGAGACAACCCCCAACGGAGGAAGTCGGAACGACTACGCGGGTGTGTAAGTCTCCCCCCACGCTCCATTTACCCGTATCCCAAGTCGGCGTTTGCGAAGGTCAGTCAGGGTTTTCTTACCCGAATGCCACAAGTACCTTCGAATATGGTCCGGCCCGGCTGTTTCTCGCTCGGGCCGGTGTTTTCCACATAGACAACAAACCAAACCAAGGCCGGTCATCTCACTCCTTTCTACCCAAACCGGCATACATACAAACAATCAGCCCTCCCGCGCTCTCTACAGTTTCTGTTGAGCAACGGAATACCTCGAGCATGACAAGAAAGCCATCGGAAACCTGGCCGGAGGACAAATGGAGAGACCCGAGCGACTCCCAAGAGATCGAGGGCCCCCAATGCCAACAACCCTATCAAGTACGTCAGCCAATTCTCACTCCCCGGTTTGCTGGATGCGACCGAAAAGTGCTTTGTCGATGTCTGCTTACGAAATCTAATCGTCAAAATAGGAGGTGCATACCTTTACCTGCCGGCTCCACAGCGCTATCCCATACTCATGGGCGGGGCAAGACCCTGTAAAGATGTCATTGTGGCAGAGGAGAGCCTTCATCTCCTCATGCCGCAATGCCACGCGCGAAAACCTCTCTCCATGCATCAGTGCTACCTGTCACGGTCAAAGATCGACATGGTCTTGGCCTATGTTCATTCGCAAAATTCCACCCGTCAACCAGCCAGACGCACTGGGGGAGTGGGAGCAAATCTCCTTGCTAAACCTCGGTGAAGGCAGGGCCCAGCGAGAGGCCCGAGACAAGCGCTCAATGGATGACCATGTCGGCCGCCCGCTGTTCTTCTGGAACGCGGCGCTATTTGGTCCCGTGCACGCGTCCTTGTTCCAGTCTATTTATGTCAACGATGATACTTTACGAGGGCTGAACTGGCACGTAAAGCATTTCCTCGAACGCGATGAGCAGTGGCGCGACCTGGGAACAGAGGCCTTCGTTGAGCTTGAGGATGCTGTATTCCCGGCGGAACCTGTTGGCGAGTCCGACGGAGTCGCTGATACGACTGTCAGAGCACCGGTGCATGGACGAATATGGTGACTATCCCGATGCAAATCCACAGTTACTCTATCTAACAACTATTTTCGAGTGGCTGGCTAACACTCGCAGGTGTCTCAACTTCAGCCGTTCGGGGGGCATCCTCCCACTGCCGGTGTTAGCCTTTCTTGCTGTCCAAACACACAGAGGCCCAGAGCACGACGAGAACATTCATGACCCCTTTGTTTGTTTTGGACAAGCCTACGCGGCACCCTGGCCGAGCACGGGACCTCGAAGTACTCATTATGAGACTAGCGCACGATGGATGCTTAGAATCCTATACCATACTCGGTGCTTTGTCGTTACCCTCGCGGGTTCTGGACGATGGCAAGCGAGCAACAAGTTCACTTATGCAGGAGCCAGTAACTGTCAGTGCTGGGTTGAAACTGGCTCGTGGCTTTGCTCAAAGCTCGGGGTCGTTTCCTTTGCACGGCCGGACTCTGTGCATTGAAGAAGTGCGGGCCGCCATTCTCCTCACCCAGGAACTAGATCCCGCCCGCCCGCTCTTTTCAATCATATGCCTTTCGGACTCCGATCAGATTTTCTCTGCAACGCGAAAGCTAAGGGATGGTACGGACGACAGAATGCTCCGGATGTGGCCGGAGGTTCTCAAAGGACAGGGGCTTGCCGGCATCAACGCATTTCAGAATACCGTATCCGTGTGGCTAGAGGACTGGGCAGCAGCCTGGAATGCCAGCCTAGACGAGATTAACACTATCATCAATGTTAATGTGCGTCCTCTTCCAGCATACTGCCACATCGCTTCCGCATCCAAGCTCTGCCGCGCACTCGGGCTAACCTTCCTGGCCCTGTGTAGCTCGACGATGTGATAAGGAAGGATTGGATTTCCGAACATATGTTTGACGATTCATTCCAAGTTTCAGCCATGTACAGCTCGGTCTTGCACCTGCTCAGGATCTTTTCCACTCACATCACCGAATCCGCCACGCATGTCGGCGAACTCCGTTACGCCATTAGATGGGACATTTTGGGGAAAGAAAGAGCACTCACTGTCAAGGAGAACTTGGACATCCTGGTGCTTAATAAGAACAGGTTGTCCGACCAGCTCCTCCGTCGTATACAGGACAAGACGGCTGAGATTGAAAGCCTCCGGGACGCGGTAAGAAATGGCTCAACGAATGTCTGAGCCTGCGACGTGACTGACAACTTAACCTCCGACGCAGATCTTCAACGCCACGTCACTTAGGGAAGCTTCGGCAAGCAGCGAGGTGAACTCGTATCTCTTCATCTTCACCGTCATGACTATCTTCTTTCTGCCGCTGAGTTTCGTTACGGTGAGTCTTACGTCACCGCTCCACGTACGGCGGCAGAGTAGCCGTGCATGATCCCGCACATATATAGTTCGGGGCTTACGCAGAACCCAGTCCATCTTCGGGATGCATTTGTTTGACAAGGAAGATCCCTCTGCCAACCAGACCACATTTTATATCACCATGGTTTTGACGGCCATAACTACCTATGTCGCGGCTCTGTCGGCGGTTTGGTTCATTGCGCCCCCAGCGCAACGCGAGAAACTAAAGACGACTTTGGGGAGGGCTCTGGGTAAATAAGCAAGAGACGTTAAGTAGAGCACTGCCATCCGGGTACGTGGTGTGGTTGCTACCGTGTGCAGAGGTGGTTGGATACATGGGAGAAGTGGGAACTTCAGAATGCATTTAATGCGAATGAGACTTGACTACCTTCCTCGAGTTAGAGCTAATCCGGCTCATGTGCTCACAACTACAGATGTGGCCTAGATGCACGTCGGAGGCCGACATGGACCGAGACCGGCCAATTTAATATTGCCAATACACTCAATCTTTTCCGCAAACTGTCGCTTCTCTGCTACAGACCTTTGCTTAAGCACCACCGGGTAATTGTCGTTGTTATTTATAGTAAGCAAAGGAGGATGCAGTTTAACGTAGCTATTTATAAAGATTTAAAAGGCATTATCAAAGTAGCCAGTACCTAGCCTTGTTGGTCAAGGCAAAAGGACATAGAACAATCAGAAAACAGTATACTCGACCACAGCACATATATTCCAGGCGAGCCTCTGGTAACCGAGCTTGTTTGCAAAATAGAGGTGGGATTAATGACAGGTGAAGAAGATCGGACCTCGTCATCGAGTCGGGTTTGTAGCCTCAAGTTGCTCATTAGTAGGGGGCATCCTTCTCGACATAGTCGGAACTATGGTGACGTAGGACCTCGTAGGTCTCAGTGCCCTGTGCAGGTAGGCAGGCTGGAAAGTGTGCGAGGGACTAGACCTCCGGAGCAATCCAGTAACCTACATACCTAAGGTACTAAGAATTATACCCTGCCATCGATTGAGTTACCAAACGATTAGGTTGTTCTTCGACTCCATCTCCGTCTTTGTCCTGGAGTGTAGTCTAGAACTTAAGTGTAGCACTTTAGTAGGCACCTCACGACTGACTAAGGACTTAGCCTCGGTCTAAGACATAGACCTCGTGATGACTACTAGGTAGTGTTAGCTAGTCAAGGTTATCACCTCTCCTAAATATTGCATTGACGCTTCCCACTCGACCCGTTCAGCATTTGGCGTTGTATAAATAGAATCCCCATAACAGTTACATCGAACTACTACCATGTCCCATACATTTACCACGTTAACTGTGTCTCTTTCTTCAGCGAGAAACGAACTTCATGCTGGACACTGTGATGAGTTGAACACAAATGTATGGAACTTAATCTAGTATGACCGACATGTGATTGTGGAATATGCTACTGCTGGACGTACTTAATCTCGAGCTCCAAGTATCAGAATAATATATATGAGCTGGTATAGTTACTATCGACCGAGCAGTGTTCCTAATAAATGATCTAGCGACAAGATGAAACGCCAACAATGCCCCTCCAAACACCCTCACCTATGATGTTTTGTCTACATCAAGCGAGAAAGGACACAAACTAAACTTATGCGACCCATGCTCCAGACGCAAACCGGCCACTCGACCAGTAAGCATCCCATAACACCGCATGAACCCATATATAACAAAATCAACGCCTCGTAGGTGGTTGTTCCCCGGGCTCAACTCAACGCCCCTCGCCGTTACTCACTCACTTAATTCATCACTCCCTCACTCATTCACTCCCTCACTCCCCCACTCACCCACTCACTCCCTCACCCACCCAAATCCATCCATCACACACCAACTCAAACAAAACCAAAGAAAAAGAGAACGTATAATACCTATCCAACCCCCCCTTTCACCTCCTCCCCACCCCTAGCGCACACCATACCAAAACCGCTCCCACTCCCCCGGCAACCACCCCGCCGGCGGCGACTGCACATGCAAATAATGCCTCGTCACCCACAGGGCCAGCCCGCCCAGCACGCCAATGCTGCCCAGCACCTCCAGCGCAAGCAAGCCGCGATGGCGCAGCTCGTCGGCCACCTCCAGCAGCCCGAGCGGATCCTGCCTGTGGCGCTGGCACTGGCCGTCGCCGGCGCCATGCTCCCGACACTGGTTATGGCCCTGGCCCTGGGCTTGCTGCTGCTCCAGCGGCCCATACCCCAACCCCCACGCACCGAGCTGCTCAGCCAGCGCATCACCACCACTACCACCCCTCACCCGCCGGCCGCCGTGGCGACGACCTCTTGCCACATCCCGACCATGCGACCGATGGCGACGATGATGATCGGCAACAACAACCGGCAGCCCCCCACCCTCCACACCATCACCCTCACCACCACCACCCTCCCCACCATCATCGCGCACGCACTCCCCCAACCGCTCCGCCAGCCAAACAGCCCGATCCCTCCGAGCAACGGCAGCGTACTGCTCGCGCTCGCGGGCCAGGCTGCGCTGGAGGTCGGCGGCCCAGTTGGCCAGGCGCACCTGGGCGAGGCGCTCCTCGCGCTGGGTGTGGTCGGCCAGGCGGGCGAGCGCGTAGCTGGACGAGGGCGTGCCCATGCCGCTGCCGCCTCCGGGGCTGGTGTTGGTGTTGGTGCCGACCGGGGTGAGGATGTCGTTTTGTGGTCGTCCTCCGCCTGTGGTGGGGGTGAAGGTTGGGGAGGTGAAGGGGTTGGTTAGGTGGAGGGGTAGGGCGTGGTTGCCTGTTAGGGAGGGCGGGTTGGAGAAAAGGGAGGGGGTGTGGTTGGGGGAGTCGGGTTTGCGCCACTGGACGTATTTGCGCGCGACGGCGTGGCGGAGGCGGGCGACGCCGGCGGGTGTGAAGACTTCGGATACGAGGGCGGAGAGCTCGGTGGGTGTGAGGGGCTGGACGTAGTCTGGCGACATGAGCAGGCTGGCGTCCATGGTCTCGTGGTCGGGCCCGGCGGCGCTGGAGATGGCGTAGACGCCTTGGTTGTCGGTGTCTGCCGACGCGGGGAGGGAGAAGGAGAAGAGGCGGATGCTGGCTTCTTTGAGCTGGCTGTGGATTTGGGACTTGCTGGCGGCGACTTGGTTGGGGGACATCAGGTCGGTCTGAGCGAGAAGAATGATGATATTCGTGAGCGGGTAGAGCTGGCGGAGGTACTCGATATCAACGGGACGGAGGCCTAGGTGGTGTTAGTACCGGGTTGACGCAACGGGGGGCTCATGCATACGGTTCGAAACCAGGTAAAACACGGCGTCAACCTGGACGCCGCCCTCTCCGCCTAGAAGATTTAGGAGATCACCATCGGTGAGAAAGTTAGAGTTGATCCGCTGCAAATGGGCCTCGATATACTGCGCCACGGGCGTGATCGTGTCCATGGACTGCGGGGGTTAGTCATTTCTGCACCACAATGGTCACACGAGAGGAGAACTCACCGATGACCCGCTCCCGTACCCCGGGGTATCAACGAAGCAGACATTCCGATCCAGAACCGCATCTCCCAGACTCTTCCTCCGCCTCAGCACCGGAACATCGTCCACCTCGGACCACCACTCCGGATACGGCTTCGTGCTCGCATAAATCTCGGTAATCTGGCTCGTCCCAGAAAGGCTTCCCCTAGCCGACTGCTTCCGGCTCTTCCGCGACATCGGCGAACCGCTTCCCGCAGTCTGCGTGGACCTGCCCATCGCAGACGCGCTCAACAGCGCCGACGGCGTAATAGGATCGACGTGCACGATATGCTCGCACGACTGCACGATCGCTTTGATAAGTGACGTCTTGCCGACGCCGCTGTCGCCGGCAATCAGCACCTTCAGGCGGCCCATGCGCTTGCCATCGTCGGTGAACGGCCGTCGGCTCGGCATCTTGATGCTGGGCATGACAAGCTGTGGGGCGCTGCCGCTGTCCATCATGGCGGAGGAGTCGCAGCTCGTGTCCCCTTCACCGCCCCTCCCCGCGGGATCCTCTGACCGCTCCTCGTCATCCTCGTCGTCCTCGACCGCTATGTCACCGCCCCTCATGCTCGGCGGGAAGCTGGGCAGGTCCTCGGAGAGGCAGAGGGAGTTGCGGCGCGAGGACATGCTGCTGAGGGCGGACGCAGGGCCGGACGCGCCGAGCAAGGCTGGGGTGAGAGGCTGCGAGAGACTGGGGGTGTCGGCTGACCGGGGAAAAGGTGAGACGGCCCGTGGCGCGTCGTAGTCTTCGTGTCGGAGCGCGTCGACGGGGCCTTTGGAGCTCGTGGGTCGGGCTTTGGACTCTTTGTTTCTTTCGAAGTCGTGGTGCGTTGGGACTCGAGGTTTGGAGTGTTCGGGGTGTTCGGTATATGGGGCGGCCCTTTGCTCTTTTACGCGGCGCTGGGGCGCTGGCGGGATTTGGGACGATGAGCCGATGGTTGCCTCATCACCCAGCATATACGTCATCTGCGGTGCGGTCGGGAGTCTGAAGGTCGAGAAGCCATCGGGATCCGAAGTGCAGGCACGCCCATGGGCGTCATCACCAGAAAGCGGTCGCATCGTGGCGAGTGTTTACATGGGACAAGGAAATAAGAGTATAAGTTGAAGGAGTAAAAGGGGAGAAAGCCGGAAATGGTGGAAATAGATGGTTGTCGAGATGTTCTATTTTAGGCAAGTCGGTAGTTGCACGATGTTAACTTTCCAGAGGTATCATGATAGTTGATACCTAGAGAGTGTATGGAGGGACAAAGCTGGCCCCCGAGCCGTGCTGATTGATGATGAGGGGTGGTAGGGGTATGTGCCATGGGTACGAATAAGGAGTGGTTATCTCTCTCGTTGCACTAACAGCCCCAATGATGCCATGCCATTGGGGATGTTGCAGCGGTGATCGCTCAACGAAACCCCGCCTTTCCCGGCTCTGGACCAGCCAAATCGCAGGGTTCCCCAGCCGAACAGTTCCGTCGCATCTTCCAGGACTCAGCAGATCCAATGCGGGCGTTAGGGGCACCCCGGAATAGTCCCTCGTGGTCACTTTGTTAACTACCTTAGTGCTGGTTAGTTCTGTGCTTTGCGTGGGGGTGTTGGTTCAATCATGCAATCATGAAGCGCCGCCCACAGTTCAGCTTGTCCCTGTGATTGCTGCTGCAGGGGCTGCCCCGCTGTGGAGTCCCTGCAGATGCCGTTGCAGCCCGTGGGTTCCCGTCGGGGAGTGGCCCGAGGACCCATTCACGGACCCATTTACGGACCCATTCGCACCGAAGACGACGACTTCCATGATGATGAGGGGGGAACGAAGGAGGTGATATTGTTTAAGATGCTAACGTTGTGTGGATATCCTGGACTGAGTATATCTTTATAGGAGACCTAACAGTGTATGTGAAATCGGGTTTCGTGATCATGTATCACGGCCGCGCACTTATGACTCAACTTACCTATTGCATCATACCCAACGGGCATCCAGGTACGGAGTCAACAAACAAACAAGGCACAACCTCAATCAACAAATCAAGACCAAAAAGGTGCAGCAAAACCATCACATTCTCGCAGTCTCGCTGGCATGGGGACCCCATCTGTATACAGTACACACGCCCCCATATGCACATCATCCCATCCCAAACCTCAGCCCATCCACGGGCAGTGTATCAGTACCTCAGGTAGTTGAGCCATCTCGGCATCCACCATGATCAATCAACCATGTTGATATTCCAACCAGCCCCTTAATCCCTAACCCCCAACCCACGGCCCCATCCTAACCCACGGCACCATCCATCCACCTACCCCCCATCCATTCCTTCATTTCCCATCCCCAACCCACCAATCCATCATCATTCATACCTCGCCCTCTCCCTCTCCTCCTCCAACCGCCTCATCCTCTCCTCCTCCCCCTCACCACCACCACCCCCCCCTTCACCCCCATCCCCCCCAACGGCCACCTCCCCCCTAACCCCCCTCCCACCCCCCTTCCTCCGACTACTCTTCCTCGCCCCACCCTCCTCCTCCCCGCCCGCACCATCCCTACCCTCCCTACCCCTCTTCGTCCCCGCACCCCCTCCACCACCACCACCACCACCACCACCGCCGGCGAGACCAGCAAAGCTGGCCATGCGCCGCGTCTCGCGCAGTAGCCTCTCCCTGTCGCGCGCCGCGCGCTCCGCGGCGTGCGGGTCCGTGGTTGTGGCGGCGGACGTGGGGGTGGGTGTGGCGGCGGAGGAGCGGCGGCTGTGATCGGCGGGTGTGGATGATGAAGTGGTGGCGGCGGCGGCGGCGCCTCTGATTTCGAGGCCTAGGGCACGTGGGCCGGTGGAGCGGGGGTGGGGAGGGGGGTTGATTTCTGCTGTGGTTGCGGTCGTGGTTGTGTTGTTGGTGTTGGTGTTGTGTTCGGGGGCGTCGGTTGTGGCGTCGGCGGCGGCAGAGGTGGTTTTGCTGCTGCGGTGGTGGCGGTCGCGGTCTTTGTCGCGGTCGCGGCGGCTTTCCCTGTCTCTGTCTCTGTCGCGGTCACGGTCATGGTCACGATCGCGGTCTCGGTGGCGGTGGCGGTCTTTGCGGTCTCTGTCACGGTCCCTGTCACGGTCCCGATCCCGGTCACGGTCACGGTCCCTATCGCGGTCGCGCGTCCTGTCGCGGTCCTTCTCCCGGTCTCGGTCTCTATCCCGATCCCGGTCATGGTCCCTATCGCGGTGCGAGCGGTGCGACTTGCGACGGTGCTCGTCGCGGTCCTTGTCCTTGTCCCTGTCCCGGTCCCGGCGCTTCTCCGAGTCGCGGTCCTTGCGGCTGCTGCGGTGGCTCCGCCGCTGTGAATCGTCGGCGGGCGGGGAAGCGGACCTGGACCGTTCGTCCTCTTGCTGCTCACCGCGGCGGGACTTGGACTCGCGCTCGTCATTTCCGTACGTCGAGTGCTTTCTGCGGTGCGACGACCGGTGATGGCGGCGCTCGTCACCGCTCTCACCCTCCTCGCCGTCCGCCCGCGAGTATGACCGCTGCCGCCTGCTGCGCCGGTGCTCCTTGCGATCGTGGCTGTGGCTGCGGCTGCGGCTCTTGCTGGCAGAGCGTTCCCGGTCCTTGTCCCTGGCACGGTCCCGGTGACGGTCACGACCACTGTAATCGCGCTCCCGGCTTCTGTCCTGGTAGCGGTCGTATCTACCGTGGCGGGAGCTGTGGAGAGAATTACTCCGCGACCGGCCGCGGTCGAACCCGGTCCCAGCGGCACTGGTGGGGGTCGGCGGCTTGTTATCATCAACCCAGCCTCTAGCTTGGAGATGTTTATAGCTCGTGTTAGGTAGACCCTGCATCATGGCTTTAGGACCCTTGGGTGCGTTTATGGGCACATCAGGGTTTCCCTGCGAAGGCATACCCTCTCCGCCTTCTCCGCCCTCGCTTGGCTCCTGGACCGCGTTTTGCGGGGCGCCTTCCCCTTCTCCCGGGACTTGCTCGACGCCTCCTTCCTGCTGGCCCTCTTCATCGCGGCGGGAACGTCCGAACTCGTCGACGTTGGCATCTGGGTTTGCCTCGCCGCTCGCTTGGTCTCCGGTTGCACCGCCGGCTTGGTAATCGCTCTGGCCGCTCTGATACTGTTGCTGCGCATCGTAGCTTTGGTCATTCCAGTTGCCGCCTGTGCCGTATCCTTGCTGCTGCTGGTAGCCCCCACGGCCGTACCCGTACCCGTAACCACGGCCTCGACCCCTACCGCGGAATCCGTACTGATTCCGGCGATAGTCATTGAACTGGTTCTGGTGGCCATAATTACCTTGATTGAATCCTGTCTGGAAGCCAGAGTTAAACGAGCCATAATCACCATTGCCCATGCCAGAAGCGCTTGGATGATTGAAATTATCTTGGCCGACATTCCATGATTGCTGTCCGTTCCAGTTATCGGCTTCGCCTCCGTAGCCTCCCATGCCCATATTCATGTTCATGCCGTTCATGCCCATGCCTTGAAAACCTCCATTCATGTACATCTGCATCGTCATCGGGTCCATGTTCATGCCTGGCATGCCTGGTATGCCTGAGAAGAGTTAGCGACAAGGCTTTCGTCACGAGGAGGGGAGTAAGACTAACCCATCATCGGAAAGTTGCCAAACCCGTTTTGCATGGCCATCATCATTGGCATCTGGTCGAATCCAGGGGTGAAGCCGGCCGGGGGGAATGCGCCGCTCATGCCTTCGGCTTGGGCTACGCCAGAGCCGTCGGGGTCCGGTTTGTTGACGTGACCGTTCTCGTCCCCTTCTTGTGCCGCTTCAGCATCGTCGCCCTCAACCAGTTCGGTGCCCTGTTGCGCTGGGACCAAGTCGGTCGAGGTTGCGGCGTCGCCTTCGCCTTCTTCTGCATTGTGTAATGCTTGCTCCTGATGAATGTTAACGAATGCAGCGCGCTGACTAGAGCTGTGGTGTCCTACGGTATCATCGGAAGTATTTTCCGTTGTCTTCTGTTGGGCCTCCTCAGCACCGGGCTCTCCGCTTTCTTGGTCCCCCGCAGGAGCCCCCTCCTCAACACCCTGTTCTGCCATCGGAGCCTGCTGCTCCTGGGTAGTTCCAACCCCTTCTCCAACTGGCGGTCGCTCGAAAGTTGCTGGCGCCGTGGCGGAAATTGGGCTCGGATCAACGGGAGTAATCGGCGTGGTGGCTACATCCTTAGGTCTGTTCGACTCCCGCTTCTTCTCCTCGGTTCGCAAGAACACCTTGATCGTCGTGCGCAGCGCCTTGTGCGGCTTGCAGTCGTCGGCCGACAGGGGCGAATGTTCGCAGACGGGGCACGACGCGGGCAGAGCCAACTGGCAGCTTTCGCAGATCGCCTGCTCGCAGCACGGCAAACGGAAGGCGTTGACGGCGAGCTTGCTGCAGATGGCGCATCGGAGCTTCGCGGGGATATCGTCTTGCGGCAAGGAGCTGTTCCCTTGATGTCAGTGGTGCCCGACACACTCCCGGAGTAAGTTTAGTGAGCCGTACCTGATGAGCTCGGCTTGTGCCTCTGTGAGGGACAAGGAGGCGGCCATGTCGCGCTGCGGTTGGCAACGGACGTGGTTCCACTCCTGAAAAAAAACTCGACCGGAATTATAAAATTGAGGTCATTGAGATTTGTGCGACTCCCGAAACACTTAGGTTACGAGACCAACGGCGTGATAGTTTAGGGCGACACGTCGAACAAGTCGATGAGACGTTGAGGCGATGGATTCCAAACTCCCGGGCGCGTTCCGGCGCTGGTCGGACCGTGAAAATTTAGGCGGCGGCCACCGCACGTGCGCTGCTGGTCCGCGCGTAACAGTGCACTGTGATAAATAAACACTGTCTTATCATGGTGTTTTCGGTATGCATACAGTGTAAATGGCACTGTACTCTAATGGTGAAAGCGGCAGGTCAATGCTGGTTCTGTCTGGTAGAATTTAATTTCTTTGTGACAGTAGAAGTTTATAGCATGGCGGGTGTAGATGTTTTGAAGGCCCGTCCCTTCTCTGTTCAGTGCAGTGGTGTGGTGTTGGCGGGCAGACGCCAGACATTTGGATACAGGAGATGAAAAACACGCGGCGCTTCAATAGCTTGAGGGCTTTGCTGACGGCAGAGTATTAACGTTAGAATGAATAGAAATAGAAATCCCCAAAAGCAAGAGTTACTCCTAGTTAACCTGCCCAATATGACCAACCACTCCGATAGACCGTGTAAAAATACCGAAACGGGCAAGCATATCCCCCCGCTACCCCCCGGTCACTCCATCTACCAGCATGGCATCAGCAAGCGCACCCGTCCTTTGAGCTCGAATCCCGCGGCCCATTGAGATTCACCCTCTGCTCCTCTGTCCGGTTGGCCGCATGCGACGCACCAGGCCCGCGGGCCGTCTTCAAGGACGTTTCGGGGATCGCGTTGGCAATCGCCGTGAACACCTCGGTGACGTTGTAGCCCGTCTTGGCGCTGGTCTCGAAGAACAGAAGCCCCTCCTCTTCCGCATACGTCTTGGCCTCCTCGGTGGTGATCTTTCTAGCGTCGCCCGAGTCCTCGGTCCCCGCATCCTCGGCATCCCCGCCGCTCCCAGCTGCGTCGTTCGTGAGATCGAGCTTGTTGCCGACCAGCGCAATGACGATGCCCGGAGACGCCTGCCGTTGCAGCTCGGCAACCCAGTGCTTCGCCTTGATCAGAGATGTCGGTTTCGTCAGGTCGTAGACCACGAGGGCGGCCTGGGCGTTGCGGTAGTACATGGGCGCGAGCGATGCGAACCGCTCCTGGCCTGCGGTATCCCAGATCTCAAACTTGATGGTCCGCGTCGGTAGGTTGCATTTCTGTGTCAGGAAGGCGGCTGTAATGGCGCACTCGGTTAGCAAGCAATCCTCCGGCTGCGTTTGAGGTGGCAAGATGTACCTCCTATTGTCGGCTCCTTGTTTTCTTGGAAGTCGTTGTTGACAAATCGAAGGACGAGAGACGACTACAGAAACAACCCGGTCAGCCTGAATGCGAAGGGTCGAGGGAGAACGGTAAGGGTACCGACCTTGCCGACGGCCGCTTCACCGAGGAGGACCAGCTTGACGCTGCTGCTCGGTTTGGGTGCGTTCGAGTCCGCCATTATGTGTGATATTGTCTTGCGATCGGTTTGTTGGAAGAAAAGCCAATGGTGATGCAGAGGCCTTCGTGATCTGTGTCGTCGTGGAGGCCGATTGCGTGGTGTGAGTGCGTGTTCCTTGGAGTTGGCACCGCAGTGACGTGATAGGCAGACGCTGAATGGAAGGCCGCAGCCAGGATGAATGCGACGACATCTCGAACCAACGCCAGACCTGGACTAGCGCTGCAGTCCACGTGCACGGGCCACGGAGCGGAGGACATTGACGTGCCGGCCTATCAGAGTCCGAGCCTCCACTGTGTTCAAGAACCCACCACTGCCCCACTAAAAAGTTCGAAGCCACGAAAAGTTCACTCTCTTCATGGACTGTTTGCCTTTCGAAAGTTTCCCATCCCTCCATCCTTATTGCGGCATTGGGCTTTAAAGACCTGGGGTTCTTCAATATGCCGCCGGCTTCCGCGAAAAGCACCAAGCGCGCGCCCCAGGATGACAAGATTGTCTCCAAGAAGGGTCTGTTCGACGACTCTTCATCCAGCAGCGAAGACGACCAGGAGGATGGCGGTGCTACTCTAGGTCCCTCGGCCGAGCTCAAGATCAACGAGGAGTACGCCCGCAGATTCGAACACAACAAGAAGCGGGAGGAACTACACAGGCTGCAGGAAAAGTACAAGCCGGGCGGCGAGGGGGAGCAGGAGTCCGAGTCATCCTCCGACGAAAGCGAGGACGACGAGGCCGTGCTTGCGACCGAGGATCTGGATGCCGAGATCTCGGCTACGCTGCAGGCGATTAAGAACAAAGACCCCCGGATTTACGACAAGGAGGCCGTTTTCTACCGGCCCTTCGACCCCGCCGCCGAACCGAAGACGAAGGCGGAGAAACCTATGTTCCTGCGCGACTACCACCGTGAGCGGTATTTGAGCGGCGATGTTGGCGCTGACGATGATAGTGCTCCCGTCGCCGACGTCCCCCGGACCTACGTGCAGGAGCAAGACGAAATGAAGAAGTCCATCCTGTCTGAGATCAAGGCCGCCGCAGCCGCCGCCGACGACGAAGAGGAATGGAGCGATGACGACGCTTTCATCAAGCCCGTAAAGAAGGACGATGCGCCCGCAGCGAACGGCATCCACCCGTCGCGGGCAGCCAACATCAACCTCACCGAGGTCGACGTCGCCAATGCGGACAAGAACCCCGAGGACTACTTGTCCAAGTTCATGGCATCTAAGGCTTGGGCACCCGAGGGGTCTGGTTCGAAGTGGCAAGCATTCGAATCCGACGACGGAGAAGACGGAAACGACATGGCTGACGAGTTCGAGCATGCCTACAATATGCGATTCGAGGACCCCACCAAGAGCAACGAGTTCTTGAAGACGTACTCGAGAAACATGGCCGCCGCCCGCTCCGCGAGAAAGGAGGAGCTGACGGGCAGAAAGAAGCAGAGAGCCCTCGAGAAGGAGCGGAAGGAGGCCGAGAAGCAGGAGCGCGAGGCAGAACGAGCCCGCCTGCGACGCTTGAAGATTGAGGAGGCCTCTGGCAAGCTCGCCATGATCAAGAAGGCTGCGGGTATGAGCGGCAAGAACCTAACGGACGAGGAGTGGCTAAAGTTCCTGGAAGATGCCTGGGAGGATGACAAATGGGAGGAGGAGATGAAGAAACGGTTCAACGAGGACTACTACGCCGAGGCCGACGACATGTCAGTTGACGAAGCGGAGGACGGCGACGAGGACGGGGCAAACAAGAAGAAAACGAAGAAGCCTAAAAAGCCGAAATGGGACGATGACATCGCCATCGACGACATCATCCCCGATTTCGACGACGAAGCCAAGCCCGCCGTCGCCCTCTCAGACGAAGACGACGACGCCGCCGAACCACAACCCGAAGAACAAGCCTCCGAACCGGAGTCCGACGACGAGCGCCCCTCCAAAAAGCGCAAGACCACCAAAGACCTCAAGAACGAGCGCATCGCCGCCAAGCGCCAGGCCCGCGCGGACCTCGCCAAGATCGAAGCCCTGGTCGACACCAAGATGGAGCTGGACAACCCGCGCGCCCTGCAGCAGCAGCAAGCGTCCAAATCCTCCAAGGCGTCCTCCTCCTCCAAATCCTCCGGCGGCGGCACCGGTTTCCGCTACCGCGAGACCTCCCCGCAGTCCTTCGGCCTCACGGCGCGCGACATCCTGCTGGCGCCCAACGACGCCGCCCTCAACGAGTTCGCCGGCCTCAAGAAGCTGGCCACCTTCCGCGACGCCGAGAAGAAGCGCAAGGACAAGAAGCGCCTGGGCAAGAAGGCGCGCCTGCGCGAGTGGCGCCGCGAGACCTTCGGGCGCCAGTTCGAGCAGTCCGGGCCGACGTTTGGCTTTGAAAAGCTCGTTGGTGGTAGCGGTGGTGGTGGGGAGGAGCACAGGTCGCGCGGGAGTGGTGCGAATGCTGTGTCGGCTGAAAAGAGGGGGGCGCATGGGAAGAAGGAGAGGCCTGCTGCTGCTGCTGCTGCTGCTGATGTAGAGGCGGGGGCGAATGGGATTGTGGAGGGGGAGAGGAAGAAGAAGAGGAAGAGGTCCAAGAAGGGGAAGAAGGCGGGTGTTGAGACGGAGGCGTAACGTAGGGTTCGTGTCTTCGAGCTGGGTACATGGTATGGTTTTACGGGCGTTGGGTGGTCTTTGTGTATGGAATTTGGCTGCGCGCTACCTAGTTATATCTAAGGAGTACTTTTATCTGCTGTTTTCGAACCGGTGTTGTTCCCTGTTTTACGTGTTCGGTCTCTCGATTCACTGCACGGCACTTCTATTTACTCGGCAAACATTCTCAACACTATCGCGGGTTCCTCAGAATGGTGGCTAGTTGGTTTGATTCGATCGATTCTCGCACTCGGACTCGCACTCCAGCCGCACCAAAGGAACAAGTAGTCGGTAGGTAATTACACATTTCTGAATCCTCCGCAACTCATCGCATTCCGCAGCGTGACCCGCCCTGCTGTCCTATGCCGAGACGCCGCACCAAGACCCCGGGTTGAGTGATTCCCTAATCCAGGGGCTTGCCCTTCCTATTCTCAAAAGCCGTATCCGAAACACATACTGCGAGTGCTGAGCGTTGAGCTTCCTGAAACTATCAAAACCTTCCCATCCCAGTTTGTACGCCGTGTCCCCCACCCGGCCCAACCCATCCATCCCTGACCCGTTCCATAAGATATCGTTTGCTCGCTCAGTTGAATGTGCTCCTCCCTCAGCGAAAACATCTCAGAAAATACGGCAAGCAAGACAACCGCTTCCACGCTCGGCTCTGCTCGTCCCACACCCAAAGAAAAACGTATCGGTATATAACCACACCACAACACCCAGTCAAACGGACCCGGTCAAAAAGTCCCACTCCTCTTCTCCATAGCCCCCCTCACACCCTCCTACTGTTCATAGCTGCGGCGGGCATCCTCAAAATCAACGATGATGCATCCCCCCACCACCCCCACCACCACCACCAAACATACTAGCAAACCCATCCAACCCCCCTCCCATCCCACCACCTACCCCCAGCCCTTCCGGCCCAAGCTCAGGCGGCTCCATATTAAAGGGCATAAACCAAGCCGAACTAGGTTCGCCAAACGCCGCGTGCAGCGCCGCGTCCGCAGGGTGCTGGTGCTCACCATGGCCGAGATGGCCCCCATGGCCTCCATGCCCGCCATGGCCGTGTCCATGATGCCTGCTGAGGGGGTGGCCGTGTCCGTCACGGCCCTCGGCGGCAGCTGCGGCGGCCGCTGCGGCCGCGGGGTTATTCCCGTCGGCCCAGCCGGCGAGGCCGGAGCCGCTGAGCGATGGGTGGTCGACGGCGTGGCTGTGGCCGCCGTATGCGCCAAAGACGAGCTGGCGGTCGAGGCGGGACATTCCGTGGGCCGCCGCCATGGGCATGGCGAAGGGGTCGGGCGGGAAGAAGGACTGGGGCGGGCCGTGGTGATGGTGCGGGTGGGAGAAGGCGACGGGGGAGACGGGGGAGAGGGCCGGATGGTAGGAGCCCGGGCCGTTGCCGCCTACGGCGAGAGGGTTGAAGCCACCGGGCGGAGCGCCGCTTGTCGGGGCGCCGCCGTTGGGGTTTGCGTTGGAGAAAGAGCGCTGGTGCAAACGGGCGGCATGGAGCTGTTCAGCGGTGGCGCGGGCGAAGTCGGTTTGGAGGGGCTCCAGGCCCTGGTCTGGCCCAGGTCCGCCGCCGCGAGAGGTGGTGCTTGCTTTACGGACCATCGATTTACGCTTGAGTTGCGCTGCGGTGGGTGGGCCGGAACGGGGGATGCCGTTGGCCGCGGCATTCTCGGCGCTTTGTGGGGAGAGGGTGGTGAAGAACTCCTCGACTGTGTGGAGTTCTGGTTTTTGTTCGAGCACGGCGTCGTCCCCCTTCTCTTTCTTCTTGTAGGTGGCGGGGTCAAGGAAGTCTGATTGTGACACGCCGTGGGGATAGCGGTCGAACCAGTCGCCATACTGGAAGATTGGTGAGGCCGCGCTCTCGCTAGCAGGGTTGCCTTGTCTCGCGGCATCGGCACAAGTGCGGTATTGCTCGCGGAGGTTCTCCGACATCCAGTGGAACATGCCCCAGTACCGCTTCATCTTGGACAGAAACCTGACATTGGTGGCCAAATTCCGTTTCGAGGTCGCCTCCATGGTGGGGTTCCCGGAGAATATCCCAAAAATATGGACGGTGCTTGATAGAAATGCGCAGTACCCGGTGAACGGCGCGGTGATAAAGTGCACCTCGGCGTCCTTGAGTAGCTCTGATACCCGATTCGCGGCGGCGAAAGCCTTGGCCCCTGCCTTCGTCACGAAGGCCTTCGGTACATCCTGTAATGAGTGGCCATTCGGCGGTGACACGGCGAATCTGTTCATGAAGAGGATATTTTGTTGGATGGAGATGTGTAGGAAGAGAAACTGGTTTGCCATATTATCGGTCTCGTGCAGTTTCAGGTTCTCGGGTGTGTAGGCCAAAGACTCGGGCAACTCGGTCAGAAAGTCTTCAGTCTGCTTGAGAAGCTTGGTGTACTCCGAATCCGGGTTCCACATCGGGTGAGTATCCAGCTCCTTGCCGCCCTGGTTGAGGTAGTTGATGATGCGCCCCCATAATGCAATAGCCTTGATCATCCAGGCGGCAACTCCCATGTTGTCCTTTGCTTCGTTTGGATGGTCCTCGGAAAGGGGTTCGAGAACCTGCCCATTGAGCATTTCGGTCGGCCCCGGCAGGTCGTACTGGAAATTCTTCTCCTTGATGGGCAACGGAATCTTGAAGGTCTCTTCCCTGATGAAAGTCGGCCGGTCCGTCCCTGACGAGTTGAAGCGGTCCATCAAAAAGCACGCCCACATTGTCCGCCTCCGGATCTCGCGGTCGATGAAGCTCAGCTGTGTCTTGCCCGGTATTCGTAGGGGGTCGTGTTCCAGGTCTTTGTGAAGCTGGAGGGCGAAGGCCATGCGGATGGCTTGTCCCCCCAATGACCAACTCCGTCCACCATGGCATGTTCCAAACTCATGCAGGCCGAGGATCAGCAGGCACGTCAGAATCGTGATGTTCGGCCATTCGTATCGCTTCGTCAAGATATCACGAGCAGTGGACGCCCACTCCTCGCCCCGGAGGAAATTTGGATTTGTGTTGAGCTTCGGGTGGTTCGAGAACCGGGCGGCTATGGCACACACTGAGAGAACGAGGACCGGAGGTAGCGTACCGGCTCTGGGGTAGCCATGAGTTAGTATCATCAATAGGTGGCTGGGCGAGTAAACCTACTTGAGTTTCCTCATAAAACTGGGCTTGTGAAGAATATGATACGCCTGGCCATAAATGTTTTCGAAGAAGACTTCAGCGAGATGCTCCTGGATATCCTTGGAAGGGAGCGCATCGCCACCTTCTAACAGAAGCTTGCTCTCCTCTGCCTCCTGGACGAGAATGGTCGAAGGTTTGTTTGGACCATCAAGCTTGGACCTCGACGGAGCGCGAGCCCAGTGATCTAGGTCCGGTCCGAATGCTTCATCAACCCCGCGTTTCTTCGCTGCTGCTTTTCCGCCACCCGGCAAGGTTCCCGGAATCGCGGGCTTCACCACGGCTCGGGTAACCGAGGGCGACGTGGTATCTTGCTCTGTTTTCGGTACAACTTTGATGATGCGCTCTTCCATGCGCTTCAACCGCTTATCTAGCATCGCCATGTAATCTGTCCTCGGAGCTGCCTTGCGGGCAGTGACTTTGTACACGCACGGTATGCGCGAACGCAGACAGTGCTTGCAGGCAGGCTTCTCGCCCGAGCAGCGAATTTTCTTGCGGCGACATGCGATGCAAGCCAGCGGCAACCGTTTGCGCTCCTTTCCCGCCTTCGTTTTTAGCTCGCTCCAGGCTGGCGCAGCGTCTGACTTCTCCCCCTTTTTCCCGCCCAAGTCCGTCCCATCAGCTAGTCCGCCGGTCGCGAGCCCGAACTCGTCGGAGAGTGGCTCGTCCAGCAGATTGGAGCCATTTGTGTTGCTGTCTGGTGTGCTATTATCGGAATCGTCCGGGCTGGGCCGTTGCCCGTTGCCGCCGCCGTAGGCGGATGTGTGAACGGTAATAGAAGCTACGGAGTCTTGTCGGTCCTGCATTGGCGAGATCGAGTTCGCCTGCGGCGTGGTGAAGACGTCCGGGCCATGGTCGTCGAAGTTATGCGGCAGGCCATTCATGGGCGAGTCTTGGAGAGAATCTTGGTACGAGAACTGGAAGTCCCCAAAATGCGCTGCATCCGCCATGTCGTGAACGGCGGTGATGCTGTCTAGAGTCTCATTGGCACCTTCCAGCTTGAGGCCGGGCTGGGCAACGTGAACTTCGGGCTCGCCGGGAGTGGGAGCGAACTCCAGCTCAATGGAGTTGAAGTTCTTAAGGCCAGCCTGGGTGTCGCTTGGTGACATGGCGAGGTACTCAAAAAGGATGGCTTCAGGGTGCTCAATGCAGTGTGGTCACGGCGGGTAGGCAGTTTAAGATCCCCACACACGGTCAACCCGAAGCCCGGGGGTTTCTCCACTCGATCCGACTCGTCTCGTAATCGTAGTCAGGGCGTTACATAGGGATATCCCATCGTACTTGTCGTGTGAAGAACTTCGAGTGAAGTGAACGTGGTGAGGCGATGTGACCGAGGTGGGTGAGGCAGATGTTTCTGTGCAGCAGGTGTCAAGACGCGGTTTTCGATCTTCTCAGCGGTTCCTCAGCCGAGAGGGATCCTGGGCGTAGTCTCCAAACGTTGATGTTTGGGGAAGAGAAATCGGAGAGGGGAGGCGAACTGGGGTCGGAACCTGCGGCGCCCCAACCTTTCCAGTGGATCACTGGCGAACGACTAGCGTCGAGAGAGTGTTTTCGCATGGTTGAATTGTGGGGTAACATCCCAGTCATCCTTGTTCACCTCTCTCTGGCTGGCCTGTTCTCGAGCCTGAGCACACATCCGGTTGCGGGGGTTGCAGGCTTCGAGTTGCTCAAAGGGGAAGGGGGGCCAGAGACAGCGGAGGGCGAAAGGAAGCGCGGTCTTGGCTCACCCGCAACGGCGCATGCAGGCAATATACAACAAGCATGCGGGACGAAGCATCGAAGGCCATGGGAACAAGAAAAGAAGGTTGGCCGAAATTCGATGGATGGGGCGAATAGATTGAGCATGCGATGCTGGCAAGCCCAACGAGGGGACATCAGAAGTTTGACGGGCCGGCTTGCTATTGCAGATGGGGCGGCTTGTCAACCTCCCCTTCCCCCTCTGGGTTCAAGACGAGGAGGCAAGCAAGAGACCGAGGATGCAGCCGGGCTGACGCACACTCACCGCATCCATCCCGCACTGGAGTGCATCCAAAGCCCGCAGCCACCCTCATGCATGCGGTTCGCATGCACCAAGCAGGGCAAAGTCGGGCCTCTTCTGTGCTTCTCTGCAGCTGAGGCAAGCCACAGGAGTGTCATCCCCGGGCAATCCCTCTGTCCGACAGGGAAGTGTGGTGGTCCTTTTCCATGCCTCCGTTTCGCGCTGCGCCACGCACGGGCACCGGGAGGACGTCCCCTTCCGAATTGGACGTCATGGCAAGGGGACGCGGAAGGCGACCGCGTGGTGCTCGTGTGCAAACCTGCAGGGATGCCGGGTGTAATTGTATGAGCGAAGGAAAATTCCGAGAATACGCCGGAACGTAATATAGGTACAAGCCGACAGGGATGCCGGGCGGTTTGCATTCAGCAGATCTGCGCTCGCCCGTGATATCTGCAGCCGCCGAGATTGGCCATGGCGCGCGGGTGTGTGTGCGTGTCAATTGATGCGCGGGGATTGTGAGCGAAGTTGTCCGTGTCTTGTTTCGTTCGCGATCTCGCCGTTTGAGGCTCCGGTGGATACCGTGGATATCGATTTGTCGATCATCGATGTGGCGGAATGACTTGGTTGGATTTTGCGGAGACAACTCACGGATCAGACCGGGGCAGACAAGCGCCGTCGTCAGGAAACGCGAGCGAACCCGCCGGCGTGGCCGGAACCAAGCAGCTGTTGGGCGCTCGAAGACCGAACGAATCTTGGGACGAGGATAGTTAGCGACGAGGGGCGCCGGAATCTCACGGACCTCGCCAAATATTACAGACCGTTGTGGTGATAATTCAATGCAAGGAACCCGAGTCAGCCCGGAGAAAAGAACCTGGCGGCAGGAGTCTGTCAAATGGAAGTGCCCACCACCCACCATGCCACCTCAAGCCGCGACTTCCCTCCTACACTAGTGCCTCCTTCCTCAGCGACGAAACTTGAATGTTCAAATTGACACTTTTTCGTAGCGCGCCCCACCAGACAAAACCTCGTCAATATCGCCCCCGACATGGAAGTTTTGTCCTTCGGCGGTTTCTTTCGCACATGCCCCGCCTCCCCACACTTTTCAAGTGCGCCTCTGGCCTTGCACGCCTTGTCTCAGATGACCTCAGCGCCACAAGATCGATGGGTTATCTTGATGGCATGAGTTACACAGTATGATTCGCCGTCAAACTCGTTAATTCAACAACGGAACCGAGTTGCAAAGGCGTCATGGTAGCCAGACGGGCCTGACACGAAGGTCGGATTCGACCATCTTCAAATGCATTCGTCGCTCCGACTTCTCGGGTTTCCAGCAGAAGGGGGCTGTAAGCAAAAGTTCATTCAATTCGCTTCCAACCTGTCCCAGCGAGGTTGTCCAGCTCCTCCCAGAGGTGTGCCAAAATCAATGGCAGCTGCTGGCAGACCCAACTTTTCCTCGGCCAAGCACCAATGCAACCCCTGGTCAGTGCATGCTGTGAGTGTCTCCCCAACTGGAAAGGCTCACATGGTCAGCAATAATTACGCTGTGCAACCGAACCCGGCTGCAATCGAGAGTTACACGGCTCGATTCGATCCGTCCTGCCTTTCCAGCTTCCGCATTGGCATATTGTCCTTGTCTATCCGACAATTATCCGCATCGGACGGAAGGGGTCTGTACCTGAGTGTCTTGTAAAGGCACCGCAACTTTTCATGCGCGACGGTCAGTTGCAAGGGGGCATGGAGGGAACATGGCAACCAGGCTGCCGCCGTCGGATGGCGGCCGAGCTGTTCGCCTCCGTGCCGATTGTTTCCCCAGAATGTCAACCCAAGGGGGTTAGACACGCCAACAGCTCCAGACACAGAACGTTCCCCCACACCCGTTGCGACATGGATGCGACCCTATTCCGACCACTACCACCTCAGATCCTGGATCAACCAGAGTTATGCTGAACCTGATCGTCGTGGGCATGCTGAGTTTTGGTCGAAGGAGACGTCAACGGGCACCATCTGCGGAAGAGCCTCCGAACAGGAACTGGGCAGAGACACATCCATTCTGATCCCTGGTCGAAGTCGTCCCCTCAGTCGAGCATCGCTAATCCACCCACAAAGCAGCCAGAACTTCCAGAAGTGATACGCGCAGCTCCCGCTTCAGCCTTACTTGTCGATCCGGTGGGCACCTCGGCCGCGTCCAAACCTCGCCCTGAACTCCCTATATCACACGCGAAATGCCTTTTTTCGTTGGACTTGATGTCATCTCCAGCGAAAAGCCAAAAGCATGGCATCCCACAGTGAGGGTAAACAAACGAGCAGGCATTTCCCAATATTGACATGCCCTGCCTGTTTCAGCACTCAAACCACCTACCGACCTGCTTCTTTCGGTTGCCCCCGCTGTGACGTTCATTTAAACACACACCAATCCCCCGCCCCAGAAAGCCAAAAGTCTGCAAACCGTCCAGGCCCGCTGTGTTAACAACTGTGGGGTGGAGGGGATTTGGCGGGCTAAAAGCAAAACAGGCTGATGAACGAGGGACGTTTCCTTAGGGCAAGGGGATTTGGGCCATGTCGAGGACGCCAACCAACGCCGCCAGCCAGCCAAGTAACCAGCGGCCTAAATTTGTCAGATTGGCAGACGCGGTTTATTGAACTGGTATAGGTAAGCAAAAAAGCGAGGCACGCGGAAGCGGGAAGCGGCCGAGTGAGTGTGGGTGTTTCCATGTGTTTGTGTGTGTTTTCCCCGCTTAGGTTCTTTTTTCTCTCCGATGAGCGCCGCCCTGGTAGCCAATAGGGTAATATTGGGGTCGACGTTGCAATGGCGGTTCGGCTCAACGTACCGACATTTGAATGTGTCGAGTGTGTGCCGGCGCATGTGTCAATCTGGGGATACAAATTAGGGGGGGTGGTCGGCCGTCCGGAATGTGGAGGAGGGCGAATTAAAAGGTTTGGAAGGAACCGGTTTTGGGTTTGGTGATTTGGTGTCGGTGACGCGCTTCCCTCCTGAAGCGGCGCTCGGGGGTAACGAGAGGTTATAGAGCGACAACCCTATACTTTTTCGTCTTGATGTCAACAGGTTCGGTGGTCCGTATGGATACTGGTCTGCTCTGACCCTAAACCACCCGAACTCTGCAGAGTCTGGCAACGCAAACATATTCGACTCCCAAGGCAGTATCGTATGTAGTATTGGTGAGACGGCTGCCGGTGGGCCAAGGAAGTGTAGGCCATGGAAGTCCTGCTCCTTCTCGTTATTCTGACTCTCGAATGCAAAGTTGCTTCATAGAGGCCACTAAGCTTAGTCGAGAACGAGCCGGGGAAAGGTTTCTAAGTATAGCCCAGGTTAACTTTGCGGGCTTCTCTCTCTAAAGTCCTTGGGGATCTACTTCATTCTTACTCTTTGGTGCTCTCCCAGGGCTGGCTATTAGGTAAGGGGTGACGAGTCTCGGGTTAACATGATGTACAGCTACGTAATTGAGTAGCACTGGGAGATACGACGGCAGGGAGATGATTACTAGTGATATGAGCACGGGACAATTGCACTTTGTGGTGAAACAACAACCTACCTAGGTCAGCGACCTAAGGTCCTTGCAGGACGACAACCTGGCATAGCCCCCTAGAACCATCCACTTCTTTGATTATTGCGTTTGCTTCCCGTGGTTGACTACTCCTTTCTAGTCTCACCTAAATTCCCCTTTTGTCATCTTTAGCTTGTAGATCCAGTCTCCGTTGTCTCCTGGCGATGGTAGTTCGAGTTCCGGTCCCTGTTCTCTTCATCTCTGCGAATTGCGTCTCTTTCCATACCTAGATAGCCAGTAAATGCTGTTGGCACAAACCTCAGACGAAATAAGTCAGAAAGCTCGTTTGAGATCACCAACTTCCATTCCCACCTGCACATTGCGACTCTGGCGAGAGCTGCTCGTGGGGGCCGAAATCGTGAGCGTACTCTCCATTGGAGAAGAAAAGTGAACAAACAGACCAACTTCAACAACCCCTTGTTGTCGTGCGTTGGCGGTTGCCATAGCGACCGCTAGCATGCGGTATGCAAGCCATATCACTATGTTTGTTCTGCAAACGTCGGTCACTGACTGTTGCAAGAAACATCAACTGACGATAGTTTTGACTTGAGGGGGACGGACAACAAGCCTCATCATGAGTGGCATATTGACCGGCCGGCAAGCCGATGAGCTGTAAGTGTTACCCCAAGTCTTCCGTACCCTGGTCGACTCTAACACTACCTATCTAAAAGGCACAAGTCAATCATTGCGTATCTCTCGGCAAATAACTTATCCTCTGTTGCCACTACCCTACGGACGGAATTAGGCCTCGGAGAAGATGCCTTTGATTCGGAGACGGCAACAAAGTATCAAACGCTGCTGGAGAAGAAATGGACCGGTGCAGCCCGGTTACAGAAAAAGGCTATGGACCTCGAGTTCCGAAACAACGCCTTACAGTCCGAGGTAGACAACGCAGCAACTGCGTCTCTAAGCAAGCCCCAGGACCCCGCGGAGTGGCTCCCCCGGTCACCCCCTCGATACTTGCTCGAATCCCACCAAGCAATCGTCAACTGCATAGCCTTCCACCCGGCATTTTCCGTCCTCGCCTCCGGCTCCGACGACTACACCATCAAGATCTGGGACTGGGAGCTGGGCGAGCTGGAGCGAACCCTCAAAGGCCACACCAAAGCCGTGCTAGACGTCGACTACGGCGGCCCAACAGGCGGCATCCTCCTCGCGTCCTGCAGCTCCGACTCGACCATCAAACTCTGGGACCCAGCCGACGACTACAAGAACATCCGCACGCTAAGCGGACACGAGCACAGCATCAGCGCGGTGCGCTTCGTGCCCGGCGGAATCCCAGGGCACACCAACCTGCTCGCCAGCGCCAGCGGCGACAAGACCCTCCGGCTCTGGGACGCCACCACGGGGTTCTGCATCCGCACCTTAACAGGCCACACCGGTTGGGTGCGCGACGTATGCCCCTCCCCCGACGGCCACTACCTCCTCTCCGCCGGCAGCGACCAAACCGCCCGCCTCTGGGCCATCTCCCCCACCACCACCCCCCAAACCAACCCAGACAACACCAACTCCACCAACGACGACAACCTCCCCATCCTAACAGGCCACACCAACGGCATCCAAACCTGCACCTTCGCCCCCCCCTCCACCCACCCCTACCTCGCCGCCCTCGCCAACCACAAAAAACCACCCCCCACCACGGGGGCCACGGCCACTTCACCACCAGCATACGCCGCAACTGGCTCCCGCGACAAAACAATCCGTCTCTGGGACACCCGCAGCGGGACCTGTTTCGCAACACTGGCGGGGCATGATAACTGGGTGAATGGGGTGGTGTTTCATCCTGGGGGTAGGTATCTGCTGTCGGTGGGGGATGATCGGACGGTGAGGTGTTGGGATCTGGGGCGGGGGGGGGGAGTGTGTGAGGGTGTTGGGGGGTGGGGTGCATGGGGGGTTTGTTACGTGTTTGAGGTGGGTGCCGGGGGTGGTGAGGAAGGGGGGTGGTGAGAGGTTGGGGGGGGAGAGGGGTGGTGAGAGGGGTGGTGAGAAGTGGGGGGATGATGGGGTGCAGATCCGGGGGGTGGTGGCGACGGGGTGTGTGGATAAGGTGGTGAGGGTGTTTGGGGGTTAGAGGATGTGGTTGGGTGTGGTATCCTGTGAAGCATGGTTCTCTCTCTTCGAGGTGCTCGTCGTGTTACTGGTGGCATTACATATAACCTGACGTCCTAAATACAGAGAAGGTCTCTACATTGTATCCAACCCCCGGCTACGTGGATCCTCTAGTTGAGCCATGAACTGCCTCTCCGCTCTGGGCCGCCTCATCTTCCACCGCGCCCACATCTTCCTGCTGCTTGTAGGTACCGTATACGCCATGCACGTCGTTCCACATCTCATCCCTGATGTCTTGAGAGATCCAGCGATCCATAGGCGTCACCTCCTGGCTGTCCAAACCATGGACGCCAGCTCGAGTGGGATCTCTGGTCGCCCAAGAGCGAGCGATCTGGAGGTAGGGCTGTGTTGGGATGTCATAAATGGACTGGCCCGCGGGTTGGTGCTCGTGGACCCCGGGCGGGACGCTCGCGTCATCCGTCTTCCTCGGGAGGGCCAACTGGTTGGGGATGGCTGATGTGCTTGGCTGCCTCGAGCGGCTGTGTTTTAGGCGGGCCCGCCCTGACGGCTTGGAGGGCCTGGGGGTAGAGGACGACTGGTGGGAATTCATGATGGGGTTTCAAAAGTTAGCGGAGATCTGATGTAGATGAGGATGGGCCCTGCGTTGGTCCAATTTCATTTGTCCTCTGAAAGGATTTGACTACAGGTATTTATGGTTTTTACGATTGCGCCAGGACAGGCCTCTCCTTTGAGTCCAGAAAATGTCCTCAAGTCTAGAAACGCCCCGAACCTGTGGCATTTTTAAGGTGAATTCGTCCGAAAGAGAATGGCCTCGGTTCATTAAAACGAGGTACACAAAAACGGAGTTCTTGGTGATACCAAAACTGGCCTCAAAACTGGCCTCAAAATTGGCCAAATTTCAGAAGAAACGGCTGTGCAGGGAGTCAAGAGGCGGCGAGCAATCCGGGAGGTCACTGCAGTGTATGAGGCCAGGCTTGGAAGTGAACCGATACGCCCTCTTGATAGGTTGATTGTGAGTCCATGCCATCGCTTGCTTTGCTTTCTCGGCAGGCAGCTTAGGCTCGCAAGCCGCCGGAGGTCGCGATTGGGCTTTAAAATCGAAGTTCCTATTGGCAAAGACTGAGGTGGTGAGGCTGCGTCGGACCAATTTGCTCCCGTGGGCCACTGGCCACACGGGACAACGCTGACGTGCAGGGTTCTCAGCCTCCCCTCCTTCACTCGCCCGACGAGCTATTTATCTTTCCCCAGATTCCCCTTCCCAGGCCACTGATACCATCTTCTCCATCCAACCGCACCGCTTGAGGTGCCCTTGAGTGGAAGCCATCGAGGCATTTTGTTGTAAGCACTCCTCCGAATCCACTCATCCCCTGCACCCGTAATTACCCAATCCATCCTAACCGATTAATCAGCTCGATAGTAGGCTCTTTGGGCTCTTTCTCAGTCTAGACACGGCTCCTGAGGGAGGACGCCTTCAGTCCTCCCTCGACCCTTATTTCGCGGGGATGCAGCAGTAGTCAAGTAGCCAATGGACTTTGGGGTGTGCCGTGGCCGGGTTCAGAGAATCCTCCTGGAGGGCTCGAGGAGGGTTCTCTGGATCCGCAAGGACTCCCAGGCCATTGGAGCTTTGGTTGCTGGGACGGAGAGGATGGAGGAGTGGGGGACGGGTCAAGGGGTTATGGGTTTCTGGAATCGTCCCTGTCGGATTTTCTAATCGGACTCCCGGATGATACCCTATTCTGGGCTCAACCCAGGGCCAAGGCAGAGGCTCATGGGATCTACGAGGAAGGGATGAATGAAGCTGGAAGGGGCGTTGTGGATGTGGAGGATGGCTGGTGCCCGTCGTTCCCCGTCTCGGGTTATCTGGCAAACCAAGTCGAGGCTTCCCGGTCATCTTCAGTCTCGGCAGGCGGACGTTCTTTGAACGAAGTATCCTTTCGGCTGAATGATGGCAGCGGTGTTTCAACACCACCAGTCGCATTGCCAACCGTGGTTCTGTACACGGCGCCCGACATACAAATCGACATGACAAGTGGCCGCTCACAAGTCGAACATCAAGTAACGACTACAAAAGATGCCAAGGGGGGGAAGCCGGGACTGTCTCCTCCGCCGAGGTAAGTAACCTGAAAGACTTGGTACCCATGAGCTCGCATCACTCTGATACTGGACATCTACCAGGGTTTCCAGACTACGGACAACACGTCCGTTCCGATGCCCCGAGGACCTCTGCGCAAAAACATTCATCTCGAAGAGAGATCTTGGGCGACATGTCAACGGAGTCCACCGCAAGATCTTCGCCCGTTGCCCACACTGCTCCAAGCAACTCGGAGCACGAGATGACAACCTAAAACGGCACGTCGATAAGTTCTGCAGGGCATTCAAGAGACGATAAACACGGTAGTCAAGACACGCGGTACTTAGCGATTCCGTCATCAACTTGGTTAGTAATGAGAGGCGCCCTCTAACGGCTTCCTTTGGCAATAACAAATTACTCACTACCCATGTCAGGCGATCTAGAGCCAGCTAAGGCTTATCTCATCGGCACTGCTTTTTTTTCCCTAATGGCATAACATTGTTTTAACAACCCCTCCCACACGGGAGCGAGCCCTGAGATAGGCACTACACTACTATATGTAGGTAGCTAGGGACGTTCATGCCTGCTTGTTAAGGAGTCGGGGAGTTCGGCGTCATTCGGTATGGACAAAAAGAGACAGAGGACAGGTGAGGGAGGAATAGGTACTATCTATTGCCTAACACATCATCTTTTCCGCATCCATCGCCCTTGACAAGTCATCTTGAACTCGTCAACTAACTGGAGAATCTCGAGTTCGTTCAATTTGCCGGTTTTATGAAAGGGATAAGACTGATAACTTGTGCATTTGGCTCAGCCTGCGCCTCCCTCCCTTCAAATAATGGGGCTTGAGGGAGTTTGGGGTCCGGTTTAGCCCGTACCGTGCTTTTGGTCTGCATTATATCAAGATGCACAGTGCCTCATGTGTGTTGGTGTTGGGCGTTGCCTTGGGGGGCTGGGGGATGGGGCCTTGGACCACCACTCCTCCTCTGCTGGACATGCATCACTCGTCAAACCGTCACCGATCACCGTCATGACGATAGAAGCAAGTTGCAAATTGCAACACTTTCAAGTCTTAACCTACATACCGACTACGCAGTGACCGTTCGGGCACTGACCGAAAACTCAGGTACCTACTCGTACAATGGTCAGTCCAGACCACGAAGAAGCTCCTCACCGCCCCGAGGCGGTTGATGCTTCAACTGCCTCAACTACCTCAACCAAGGCCACCACCACCGCCGCCGCCACCGAGAATGACAGACCCGTTCGCGTGCTGGTGCAGACCAGAACTCATCTCGTGCCGGGCGACAAGTCCGCCAACTCCATGGTGCGGACCGACGCCATGGAGAACCTGATCTGCCAGCACGTTTGGCAGCGCGACTTTGACGACTACCAGGAGCGCGGCTGGGACTACAACTGCGAGTTTGCCTGGGACAGCGTCGAGTGTTGGTTCCTCGTCGACCACCACGGGCCGGACTCGACTCTACCGCCAGACCCGCCGGTCTTGTGGTACAAGTGGACCGGCAAAGAGTTGTTAGTCTGCCTGTGAACCAGCCCCCTTATTGTTTGAAAATTTCTGTGTCAACTTACCTACCGCCGTAGCGTGACGGTGCACGATCCGCTCCCTCGGAGGGTGCGCCGTAGGATACGGAGTTATCCGTTCACGAGGATTCCGCCTGAGCGTCTGCTCAACCGCCGCGTACCGCGCCCGATACAGCAGCCAAGGGAGTTTTCATCCCGTGCCGAGGAGATACGTGTTCAGAGGCATAGGCTCCGGGACACGTTGGCCTGCAACTTGATGTTAACTGAGGACCTCGCGCGGTTTGCAAAGGAGAATCCTGGGCCGGCCCAATGGGTGAGGGCGCGTGTTCCGCCGACGGCTTGGGCGAGGCTTGACGATCCGTCTCAGATAGCGATGATAGACGAGGAGGGGGTGGCATATATGGAGGTTGGGTCCCTGGGTGTGCTTGAGAGCCTAGAGAGCTAGATGGAACTGCGGCACCGTGGAACTTACTCTAACCTTTGAGCTAATTCATGGGTTGTGAGTTAGGAGATAGAAGTAAAACCCATCCTTGTCTTAATAATGTCTTCCCTTCGACCAGGTTGGCCGTTGTTTTCTCGGCCCCCAAGGAACGGCCCCCAAGTGAGAGAGAAGTGAAACATTTTCCTGTTTGAATACCTTGTTTTCAAAACTGTCAAATATTATAGAGCAACCGTTGTTTCCCCAAACTCAGTTAGGTGGGTTTGCGGGGACCAGCGCCATCCACCAAGTCATCATACCAATTCCCGTCATCGCCAAATCCGCCACCTGGATTCTTGGTACTTCTGAGAACAATCGCACTCCGTTTCTTCAATTTTCGTCTTGTAATACACCTCCTTGGCTCCGGAGCAGAAAACGCACTGTTGGGTACGCGAGTATAAGAGGTTCCCGTGGCATAGTTCGCAACTCTTTCCGGCCTGGCAGTCCCTACACCTGTGGAAGATTGTTGTTGTCCCTCTGCCGTCGCAAGGGATGCAGGGGTGGAATTTCTTCACAGGTATGACGCGCTTGCCGCTGCCATGACAGCGTTGGCAGTCTTTGTCGAATCGGTTCGCAGAACCTCTGCCTCGCGTTCCGCCGGAGGCCTTGGGTCGATATCCGCCGGTGCGGGAAGGCATCTCGTATAGTATTGAATACTCTGTTATTTATTAGACCTGTTATAATACTATACTGTTGGGGGTAGTATATGACCTTTAAAATACCTTAGGGATGAGCTGTATTTACTAGTAATCTGAGGTTAGGGAACCTAAGAAGATCAAATATAAGGGTAAATATTGTAGAATGTAATAATAGTATAAGGGCTCGAAATGCTAAAGTAAGTTGTAGTAAGTTGCAGTATCGAATGGCGAACTAACTCTCTCGCCAGACAACGTCGTTTTGCATTTTAGACCGGTCATAACTCCCCTCGTTGCCTTGAAGCAGTATATTCGTCCTACACCTAGAACGTCTCAAGTTGGGCCTCCTTTCTCCAGTTGTAACAACACGGCGGCGTTCATCAGTCACAACCACGGCCTGGGGCTAGGCCTGAGTTTGAGCCGGAGGCGGCAGACCTGCCCCATGAGCTGGGGCTCGACGAGCACTCGGCAGGCTATCCTGCATAGGTTCACACCAGGGACTGTTGGATACTACCCTGGTCCCAAACGACGCCGACGCCGCAGGCCAGCCCTCGCGCAGTACGCCAGACCCGACCGCCCGGTTCGACGGCGTGATGCACGCTGTCTCGGACATGCCGAGGCCAAACGTTGGCTGCAAAAACACTAATTATAGGGATTTAAAGGAGAGGGGGTGGTATGGTCGATGTTTCGGCCTCCTCTCGAGATGTTGCAGTTGGCCGTTTACCTAGGTACATAACTTGCTTGGCCCCCAACATGCTTCGGGGCGTCCGAGTGACAAGTGTTGGTTTGTTTGAACCAACACCGAAATCCGGCCCCCTCGTTGCATAGCGCGCCCGTTGGCCGTTTGCCAACAGCACCCTGGCAGCAGCCCCCATCTGCCCGATGCTCCGTCGTCGCTGGACACTTTTCGAACGGGTGTGGTCGGCTCGAATTAAGCGGACGGAAGAAGAAAGGGTTGTTTGCGTGGAGTGGCAAACGAGGAAAGGAGGTCCATATGGATTGTGAGAGAGTGGTCCATGTATTTAAATTCAACGTCACGTAATTAGTAGGATCATACATTGTTCCCCATCCTCTACTTCGTATATACATATGTACAAGGATTTGTGTAAGACCGGCCCGGTGGCAAGGCAGGGTTTAGGCCTTCTCACCTATTGAGGCGCAGTCGGCCTCTCAGGCATCGGCCACGGCCATATCAACTACCTGGCTAGGTAGTTACACTCTATCGAGGATACCTTGGCCGTGGTTGGTTTCAAGGCATTATGCACGGAAACGGAGCAATGGCCAAACATTCTTTTTTCTTCCTCAAGGCGTCTTCTTTTCTTTTCTAAGATGGCATGGCAAGGAAACGCATCACGGGCTGTGATTTAGGTAACTCGGACTAAGTCGGGAGTAAATAATAAGGGGGACCTATTCAAGCATGCCTTTCTTGGAACCGTTCTACTCCCAGTAGCACCGACAAGCCCATTGTGTAAGCCAGCGCCCAGATTGGCGGATTAAATCCCTTTTATAAACCTCTCATGCCATTTGCACGGGTAGAGATGCAGCTGGTATCGCGAGCTGACAGGCCCGCTTCGTTCTTCGGTTGTGGTTTTCTCCTTTTCTCCTTCTCCTCTGTAGATCACACCGTCACAGCAGACAATCCCCCGCTGCAGCGTATGCGCGCGAATCAGGAGGGTTACTAGCGAGCCGGGTTGGCCCGTTTGCTACCTCATTACCCTAGATTAACTCAGGCAATTAACACAGCATCAACCTCCCGGGTTCTCGGGAACAACAACCGGTTGTTGTGCATAAAAGGGGGTCTCCAACGAGCAGGTCAGTGACCCTCCCGCGCAACCACAACCGCAGATCGCAGATCGCATGTGGGTATCGTTGCTAACATGTTATTAGCAGCCTTGCTAGTCTTGGGCTCTGCGGCCGTCGACGCCGCGAGGGTATGGGATGGCTCACGCTTTGCCTGGTACGACACGGACGCCGGAGATGACTTCAAGAGCGCGCTGCCCATCGGAAACGGAAGGCTGGGCGCCGCCGTCTTTGGAACACCCACCGAGAAGCTGGTGTTGAATGAGAACTCAGTCTGGAGTGGCGGCTGGCTGGACCGGGCGAACCCGAAATCCAAGGATGCTGTCCCCAAGATCCGAGAGATGCTGGTCGCCGGGGACATCACAGGCGCTGGCGAGTCTGCCATGGACAATATGGCGGGCAACCCGACCTCGCCGAGGGCATACAACCCGTTGGTCAACATGGGGATCGACATGGGACACGGTTCTGGCATTGAGTCTTACACGCGCTGGCTCGACACGCTCGAGGGCACCGCCAGCGTCAACTATATTCACGGCGGCGCCAACTACAGGTGAGATCCGGTCAGTCCGTGTCTATTCTCAAAACTCCCGCTGACAACAGCAGCCGTGAATATGTGGCCAGCTATCCCCATGGCGTCCTCGCCGTTCGCCTCACTGCTGACGCCCCGGGCAAGCTCGACGTCAAGCTCTCCCTATCTCGTGAGAAATGGGTGCTCTCCCAGACAGCCGACACAGGTAGCGGCGAGAGTGGCCACAAGGTCACTTTGAGTGCCAACAGTGGGCAGTCCTCCAACGCCATCACGTTCTGGTCTGAAGCTAGAGTGGTAAACTCAGGGGGTAGGTATCTCTAGAAAGGACGGTCACGGTCAATAATTATGCAATGACGGCTAACTCCCGCATAGGCACCGCCACTTCTCCGGACGGCAAGACCATCTCCATCACCGGCGCTGATACGGTCGACATTTTCTTCGATGCCGAGACGTCGTACCGGTATCCCGACGCGGAGGCGGCGCAGGCCGAGCTGAACCGGAAGCTCGACGCCGCCACGGCCGCGGGCTACCCAGCTGTCCGCAGTGCCGCCATCGACGACTTTAGTAGCCTCACGGGGCGGGTGAAGCTCGACCTCGGATCCTCAAGCGATGTCGGTCTGCAACCCGCGCCCACCCGGCTGAGCAATTTCAAGGAGAATCCCGACGCAGACCCGCAGCTGATGACGCTCATGTTCAACTTCGGCCGCCACCTCCTCGTCGCCTCCTCACGCGACACGGGCCCGCGCTCGCTGCCGGCCAACCTTCAGGGCCTCTGGAACGAGGACTACGACCCGGCGTGGCAGAGCAAGTACACCATCAACATCAACCTCGAGATGAACTACTGGCCCGCGCTGGTCACCAACCTGGCCGAGACACAGAAGCCCGTCTTCGACCTGCTCAACGAGGCCATCCCGCGCGGCAAGGCCGTGGCCAAGACCATGTACGGCTGCGACGACGGCTTCGTGCTGCACCACAACACCGACCTCTGGGGCGACGCGGCCCCCGTCGACAAGGGCACCCCCTACACCGTCTGGCCCATGGGAGCCGCCTGGCTATCGGCCGACGCCATGGAGCACTACCACTTCACCCAAAACGAGACCTTCCTCGCCGAAGTCGCCTGGCCCATCCTCCGCCAAGCAGCCCGCTTCTTCCACTGCCACCTCTTCGAATGGAACGGCCACTGGACCGCGGGCCCCTCCCTCTCCCCGGAGCACGCCTTCATCGTCCCCGACGGCCTCACCCAGCCCGGCCGCAGCGAAGGCCTCGACCTCAGCATCGAAATGGACAACCAGCTCCTCCACCAGCTCTTCACCAACATCAACACCACCTGCACCATCCTCAACCTCCCCCAATCCAACCCCGACTGCGCCGCCGTCGCAACCTACCTCCCCACCATCCGCCCGCCCGCCATCCACCCCACCACCAACCGCCTCCTCGAGTGGCACAACCCCTCCTACACCGACACCGAGCCCGGCCACCGCCACTTCTCCCCCCTCTGGGGCCTGTACCCGGGCTCCCTCCTCACCCTAAACACCAATGAGACCCTCGCCGACGCCGCAGGCACCCTCCTCGACCACCGGCTCGCCTCCGGATCCGGCAGCACGGGCTGGTCACGCGCGTGGGCGACCGCGCTCTACGCGCGCCTCCAGCGCGGGGAGGATGCCTGGCGCAACGCGCAGGAGCTGGTGAAGTTGTTCCCCTCGCCGAACCTGTGGAGCTCGGACAACGGGCGCGGAACGCCGTTTCAGATTGATGGGAATTTTGGGCTGGTCGGAGGGATGGCCGAGATGTGGGTGCAGAGTCATGGGGGGGGTGGTGCATTTGTTGCCGGCGCTTGGTGGAATTGAGAGGGGGAGGGTGGAGGGGTTGGTGGCCAGGGGGGGGGTTGTGGTGAGGAGGTTGGTTTGGGAGGGGGGCGTGTTTGTGGAGGCGGTTTTGGAGGCGACGAAGGGGGGGTTGTTGAGGGTGAGGGTGCAGGGGGGGAGGGGGTTTGTGGTGGATGGGAGGGAGTATGATGAGGAGAGGGGGTTGGAGACGGAGGTGGGTGGGGTGTATACTATTACTGCTGCGTAGAAGGTAAGGGGGGATGGGTGGGAGAATAGGGGTTGTGGGCACGATGGCAGGGTGTGATGTGTTAAGAGTTGGATATAATTTGGATGAGTATTCCAAGCCTACCTATATTCCAAGCACTGGTTCCAAGCACGAATGAGTTCATTACTCCAAATGCTAGCATACTAGTGGAACTATTTTCCCAGGTACTGGTGAATATATGGACGAGCTAGTAACATGAACCCCCGAGTCTTTACGCCACGCTGCTCTGCATCAGTCACCACCTTGAACACGGCCATGTCGTGCGTGTCCAGCTCCTGTGACACAGACGAGCCCGTGCCAGTGCGTCCGCTATACAGCTCCGTCCACGCATACTCGCCCTCGCCCAGACCTGGCACGTCGCTGAAATTGACCGTCAGCGTCTCCGCCCCGTCCGCGGCAACGAGACCGACGACCACCCCGTCCGAGAGCTCCCCAGCGTAGTACTTGTACAGCTCCCCGCTGACCGGCTCGGGCTGGCCCTTGGGCGTGAAGGTGGTGGCCGCCTTGCCCAGGGGGTCTTGGTTGATGGCGAGGATGTCCTGAGTTTGTTAGCTTTTGCTATTAGGCGAGGTGGTTGGTTAAGCAGTTTATCTCACCTTGTTCTTGATAATCGCCAGGGTCGATTCTCCCAGGTTGGTCATGTCTGTGCCCATGATGATGGGCGACTTCATGATGGCCCACAGACCGAAATGGGCTCGCTCCTCGGCTTCAGTGAGGACCCCGTTGCCGAGTTCCTGTTTGTTTTATTAGTCCTAAATCAGAACGGGGAGCAGCCCACAAATCACCACATACCATCATGTCCAAATCGTTAAACTCACCCGGAGCGGCATGCTCGTGCATGGTGGCAGCCCTCGCCGCGATGCTCGAGACCGAGTCCCAGTCATTGGTAATATCCTCAGACATGCGCCACGAGTTGCCGACCTTGCCGCCCCAGGTCCAGACCTCGTCCCTGCCCCACTGGCACAGGGAGAACAGGATGGGCCGCTCGGTCTTGAGCAGGGCGTCGCGCATGATGGGGTAGTAATCAAAGGACTGGATGCCCTTGTTGGTGTAGACCTCCTCGGTCAGGCAGTTGTCAAACTTCCAGTAGTCGACGCCCCAGGCCGCGATCGTGTCGGCGTCCTTCTGCTCGGACCCGTACGACCCCGGGTACAGGGCGCACGTCAGCGTGCCCGCGTCGCCGTACAGGCCCAGCTTCAGCCCCATGTCGTGGATCTCGCTCGCCAGCCCGTCGATGCCCTTGGGGAACTTGACTGGGTCCGCGACGAGGTGGCCGGTGCTGTTGCGCTCGTGGGTCGACCAGCAGTCGTCGATGTTGACGTACTCGTAGCCGAGGTCCTTCAGGCCCAGGTCGATGAAGGCCTGGGCTGTATTCAGCACCACCTCAGCTGTGGCCGCATCGCAATGTCCCTGGTTCTGTAGGTGCGTGTCAGCATGCGGTCTTTGAAATGTTTCCCAGGCAGATCATACCCAGGAGTTCCATCCAAGTGCCGGCGTGCGTCCAACGCCATTGTCCAGTCGCTTCTCTGGGATAGTCCGTGATGAGACGGCCGAGACGGCGCCCAACAAGACGGGAAACTGTCTTAACATGATTGATTGACAGTCGTATCTGACAAGGTAGTTGTGGGATGTCAAAGAGCGGCCTGATACCCAGCTAAGCTGGTTACTAGTGGAACTTAAAAGACAAGTAAGTAAGCGAAGACAACAATATATATACAGCACAACACGTTCAATGTCTCACTCGTCGGCGGAAGAAACCATGATGTAATTTCAAGGATACCTAGATCCCACCAAATAGAAACCTCAAAGGTGCTCGGCTCGGGGCTCTCACGGTTTTCCCCCGAACCAATAGACCAAGCGCACCAATGGCAGGGGATGAACGATGAACCAACGGGATGGAATTCGGAGATGCCATTGAGCTTGGGGGCCGGGTGGCAATCATTTATCCGCTTTTCGGTTGGAGATGCCCGCATGGGACCATGAATGTCTTACGCAGATGTAGTAAGAGTATTCGGCGATCCAAAACACTCCAGGCACAGAGGGAGATGAGGTCGTTTTGGGGGCCAAAAGATGACTGGCAACCTGGTCAAGGAGAAGAGAGTGAAAAGACAAAAGAAAGGTTTTATTTATATCTCCTTTGGGGGCCGAAAAAAACACAGGCAACCTGGTCGAGGAGAAGAGAGTGTGCATCACCATCGAACCCGGGGGCCGCGACCTGGGTGCGGCGTAAGGGCAGGCCTGCGGCGTCGGCGTCGTTTTGCGACCAGGGTATTATCCAACAGTCCCTGGCGTGAGCCTGTACAGGATAGCTTGCCGAGGGCTCGTCGAGCCGCAGCTCAGGGGCTATGCCGCCTCCGGCTCAAACTCAGACCTAGCCCCATTCCGTGGTGGTAACTAGCGAACTCCGTTGTGTTGTCACAGCTGGAGAAAGGAGGCCCAACCTGAAACGTCCTTGCCCTAGAATCGATACTATACTGCTTCAAGACAACGAGAGCGGCTATAACAGCTAAAAAGGAGCAAGACAAAGTTGCTTTTGCCACATTCAACAACCTTCGCCCTCTTGTTTGACCTTCTCGATCCCCGAACCCCAGATTACTACCACCTAGTCTTTACCACCTTATCTCTAAGCCCTCTTGTAGGTCTCATACCACCCCCGGCAGTATCGTGTCAGGTCTGACAAATAACAGAGTATTTACCATACAATGCCTCCCCACACCGGCCAATCTCAGGCTAAGGCCCCCGGCGGAACGCGAGGCAGTGCCTCTGCGAACGGATTCGACCAAGACTGCCAACGCTGTCACGGCATAGGCACGTACAACAGACCTGTGAAGAAGGAGTCCAAGCGCTGCACAAAGTGCGAGGGCAAAGGGACAAGGACAGTCCCGGGCAAGTGCGACTACTGCTGGGGTGAAAAGAATTGCCCAGTATGCCACGGGGAATCCAGATACCCGCGTACCAAACAGTGCTCTCGCTGCCTCGGAACCAAGAAGATTCACTACGAAGTGACTAAAGAAACGAAGTGCGATTGTTCCCGGAAGTACCCAGAATGGTGGCGGGTTTGGGGATGACTGGGGTTGGTATGGTGACTTCGTGGACGGGACTGGTCCCCGCACGCCTATTATTTAGATGGAATTCCTTACCATGCATGCATCGCATTCCGTTGCTCCAGCGTAAATCATGTCTAGAAGCCAAACACGGCCAAGCCGGTCTCGATCGAGCAATCACTGATGCTGTTCTACGAGCTACCCATCTCCACAAGCCCCCTCCCCCCCTTTTGGACCATGGGATGTTCTCCCACTCGGTGTGTTCCGCGCGCGTCAAACTGTCGTTGTAGCATCCAGCAAGCCATGGTTGGTGAGTGTGACAGAATTGGAAATGCATCAGGATAAGAGCGAAGGTACTTGGTATTCATTCGATGACCTCGTAGTCTATGTCCGCGTTTGAAAAGGAAAAGGAAAGAAAAGAATCCTCAAAAGCAACCAGCCACCCCTCAATCAGAGGGCGTCAAACACCTCCACCACAGCGCGAGCAGTCGAGGTCGCACTCGCCGGATTCTGGCCAGTAACAAGACGACCATCAACAACATGAAAGTCATCCCAGATACCAGGGGCGCGCTTGTCTATATCAGGAGTCAGCATTTCGATCCAAAAGTAAAACCCAAGCAGGGAACTTACACTCCGCCCCCAACTCCTCCGCCAACTCCTCCACCATAACCGCCCCCCACCCCCTCAACTCGCCCATAATCCCCATCACCTCCTCCGCCTCGGTCGTAAACCCGGTCATCTTCTTCCCCTTCACAACCGCCTCCCCCGTCACCTCATCCCTCACCCCCCCAAAAATCGCCGGCCCATGACAAACCGACGCCACCACCCCGCCCCTCGCCCACACCCTCTCCGCAACCCTTTGCAACCCCCTCGCAGCCGGGTAATCAATCAGCGCGGCATGCCCCGCCGACGCATAAAACACCCCATACTCATCCGCATCAAGCTCATCCGCGCGCGGCATGTTATCCAGCTTCCTGCGGAAGGCGCTGGCGGTGTCGTTCCAGATAGCAAGGTCGGTGCCGGAGAGGAAATCGGGTTGCTGGGAGAGCCAGTCGGGCGTGTAGGCGCCTGTTTCGGAGGCCAGGTCGACGTCGAAGCCGGCGGCGGTGAGGACGAGGAAGGGGTGCAGGGCCTCGGTGATGAAGAGGCCGGTTGTTTCGGTGTTTTGGAAGAGGGTGGCGTGGGCCGAGGTGATGGCGATGAGGGCGCGGCGGGGGAGAGACATGGTTGTTGTTGTTGTTGTTGTTGTTGTTGTTGTTGTTGTTGTTGTTGTTGTTGTTGTTGTTGTTGTTGTTGTTGTTGTTGTGGTTGGGGGTGGGTGGGTGTTGATGGAAGAGAGTAGGAGGGTTATGTTGGTATTAGGGAAGTGATGTTGCTGGTGAATGTGATGGGTGTTGTTGGTTAGATTGTAGTTGTGAGAGTGTTGTACTTAAGTGTTGTGTTGATTGCTGTGCTGGTGAGTGGGAGTGATGATGTTGGTTGATGAGGACACAGCCAACATATATAGTCGAAAGCCATGGTATTCAATTTCACCCTTCTCGGGACCAACTCCGAACCACAAGGCGACTATGCTGCATGGCAGCAAGCCGTGGGCCTAGTGTTGTCCATCTCGGAGTTTACCAGAGTAGCACTCTCTCGGCTCCAGTTGTTTGACCTTCACCCCTACCGGGATTTGTAACCGGAGCTCCTCCGGGTGCCCCACCGGCGATGGGTCGTAGGAGCAACTCCTGTTGGCTAGAGTTAGGCTAACCTTCCCGATTCTTCTCGTGCCAGGATTACGGAGCTCTCCGATTGGCCATGGTATCTCCGCTTTCTTCGGCTTGGGATCTCGAGTTCTTAGAAGTCGAGGCATCCCTTCCAATTGTTTCCATCATGACTATCCTCTAGATTCTCCAATATGTCTCCTACCCAAAAGCATACTGCTCCGGCATAATCGTCCGGTCCATGCTCGGCCATAACGAATCGAGGTTACTCCACTCGTCAACAGCAAAGGCCATACTGAAAACATCCTGCATGGAAGCAGCGTTCAGGTCACCGAAGTCTAGGGCGCCATCCCACGTCTTCGCTGCAGCCGACATGTCCGGCATGGACAAGGCACTGCCAGGAACGACCGAGCTCGCTGACACTACCGCCACAGGGTGACTCACCCGCTCGACCGCTTTCTCGCGGCCCTGCTGGGTGAGGAAGTCGACCTTGGCGCCGAGGTCCCGCATGATCCTGGCGGCGCTGGTGGCGATAGGGAAGCTGTCGCTGAAGATGTCGAAGACGGCGACGGATAGGTCCATGGCTTGCCTGGCGTCGGCTGTGATCGACGTAGTGGCGGAGGTAGTGGCGCGGGGGTGTGCGAGCACGAAGCCGACGAGGGTCAGGGCGGCGTTCCACTGCAGCTGGAAGGCCTCGTGCCAGCCGGCCAGGAGCGTGGTGGTCGAGAGGACTTGGTGCGTGATCTTGGTCACAGCCATGGCGTGCTGGGCGCACTGCATGGCGGCCTCCTCGACGACGGTGGAGCTCCCCGGGCCGAAGGAGATGAAGGGGCGGTAAAGGTTTACGGAGAGGTGGTGGTACATGAGCTCCAGGAGAAGGCGCTGCCGCTGGAGCCAGAGAGGCGCGAATGGTTCGATGTCGAGGACCACTCCGTCGGTCGAAAACGGGACGGCATCGTGCTGCCGCTTCGTCTTCAGGGCAGCAGGTACGCCAGCGGTCCATTCGTCCAGGATCTTCATGTAGGGGCCGATGAACTCGGCGTGGTTCGCCAGCGCCCGTTGGTCATCCCATATAGTCTGCCCGTCGTCAACGTCGGGACTCTGGTCGTAGAAGGCTGTATGCACTGTCCGGGCTGCCCCGAACAGCTTCGATTGCTGGAGACTGAAGCTCAGCCATGTGACGTTGTCTCCCAGAGGGGCGAAGTGGGATCCCGATTGCAGGGCTGTCTCAAGGTCATCGCCCGGTAGAGAGGGCGTGGCATCGGAAAGGTGCGGGAGCAGGAACGGGCGGCCCAGCTTCATGCCGATCTTGCTGTCCAGAACGTACAGTGCCCACCACAGACGCTTCCGCATCTCCCTCTCTCGCTGCGGCATGGTTTGTGGGGGTTCCAGGTGGAGGCCGAGCATATAAGCGGCACGTACGGCAAGGCCACAAGCGCTGTCGGCCATGTTCTGGAAGGACCCACAGCACAAGTAGATGCAGCACAAGAGGTGGCACTGCAGCGTCGACACGGTAGGACTCTCCAGCTCTCGTGCCAGCAACGTCTGGGAACGGCGGTAGTGCCATCGGCCGGCGATGGCGGCGTCGGTGTTATCCACGGAGGCCTGCTGCTTCACGGCGGGCAACATGGACATGCCATACTGCATGCACATGGCGACTACAATGTCGACGAGGGCCGACGGCTTTCGCGTGTTGCCCGATGCGGTCCATAAGGACCTGTAGTGCTCCTTGAAGGCTGCCTCGTCGAGCACGGGGAATAATGAGGTATGGTAAGACTGCCAGTAGAGGTCAAGAAAATATTCCTCTTGGGTCGGGCTTAGGTAGGTCGCCTTTGCGACGGGATCTGCACGAGGATGGTGCGAAGGTTCGGGTTCCTCAGGGGCCGCGGTCGGTTCATCGAGGCGTCTACTAGATGAGTCGAGCAGCATGTGATCTGGGGAGTGAGGTTGTTGGAGTGTCCGGTCCAGGAAGTTGTTGATACGGCCGATGAAGTAGAACAGAGACGATGGTCCGTACCATGTCTTATGGGGAGATCGTGCCGTGCTCATGCGGATGCCTCCCCAGGCGTTTTTGGTGCGCGACGATGATGACGGAAACGACAGTGGCACCGACAATGAGCGAGTGTATTGCATGTCGGAGCTGACACTAAGCTCCGGGGGAGACAGACTGTTGAGTGTCAGGTTGTCACGGCCGTCCCGTTCCTGGCGGAGTTCGAGCTCCAACTCCTGGACCTTCTGGCGAAGACGGTCAATCTCGCGGTGGGCCAAAGGAAGAGAAGCGGTCTTCATGGACTCATTGCTACACTCGCCTCCCCTATTGGCGCAATTGGAGCACGGGTAGTGGTTGTCGCACTTGACTCGATGTTTCCGGCACCAGTCGCAGGCTCGAACCACTTGGCTGCGCTTCGCCCGGGGTCGAGGGATGCCGGGTTTGGCAGGGCCCGGCTGGGATGACTGGGGTGTGCTGCATGCCTCCGGAGTGCTGTGACTTGATGGGGCCGACATGGTGATTAATTCGAGTTGGGGGTTCAATCGAACCTTGAGGTGGGTTGCACAGTGCAGGATGCTTGCCTCGGAACCTTGTGGAGAGAAGGAGAGGTCCGGCTTGGCAAGGCATTGTCGTCTGGAGTGGCACTCAGCGAGGGAGTTCATTTTTAAGGTGGAGCCCAGCAAACTCGGAGTGGTCCGAGGGAACTCCCCGAAACTTGAAACTAATCAACTTTCTTCCACGATTACACATCACAACATGGAAGAACTCCGTTGGAGGCAAGAAAAAATAAATCGGTGGAGTCAAGTGCAGGTTTGCAATGGATATGAAAAATATAAAGCGCTGGCGAGCGCCGGCGAGAATTAAACAATGTATCATCTTCACCACGCAATTCGCCGTCGATTAATTCATCAGACGTGACTCGAGCATCTCTCCACAACTCACTCCTCAGATCTGACGAAAACCTTCATCCCTCATCCCTCGATATATCCCATATACCACCACCACCATCATGCCTAGCTTTACCGTCTTCAAGGGTGGCAAGGATGGCGCGCCCAAGAAGTCCACCACCCAGAAACCCGACCAGCTCGTCGGGGACCAGGTGCTTGTGAGAGTTACAGCATCTGGCGTTTGCGGAACCGGTATGTGCTATGCTCCCTTATATGTTTATTTCACATCAACTGACAACCTATCTCCTAGATCTACACTACGTTAGTTAACCCAACCTTACACCCCGGGCCATCCATCGATTCGCCGTTACTAACAAGTGCAACAGCTGAAAGAAGACATGGTCCTTGGCCACGAGGGCGTTGGCGTCGTCGAGAGCGTCGGTCCCGACACCAAATACCTCAAGAAGGGCGACCGCGTGGGCTGGGGCTACGAGACCGACAGCTGCGGCCACTGCCACGAGTGCATCTCCGGGGAGGAGGTCTTCTGCGCCGAGCGGGCCATGTACGGCGGCGCCCACCCCGACCAGGGCAGCTTCGCCTCGGGCGCCATCTGGCGCGAGGCCTTCCTGCACCCCATCCCCGACGCCATCACCGACGAGGACGCCGCGCCCCTGCAGTGCGGCGGCGCCACCGTCTTCACCGCCCTCTACGACGTCAAGCCCAACGAGGTCGTCGGCATCATGGGCGTCGGCGGCCTCGGCCACCTGGCCATCCAGTTCGCCGCCAAGATGGGCTGCCGCGTCGTCGTGCTCTCGGGCTCCGACAGCAAGCGCGACCAAGCCCTGGCCCTGGGCGCCCACAAGTTCGTCGCCATGAAGAAGGGCCTCGGCAGCAGCCGCGCCGACGAGCTCAGCGGCGGCGGCTCCTGGCTGCTCGACCGCCTGCTGGTCACCACGGCCGCCCAGCCCGCCTGGGACGCCCTCCTGCCCATGATGGCCCCCAAGTCGCGCATCTACCCGCTCTCCGTCTCCGCCGGCAACCTCGTCATCCCCTACATGCCGCTCATCCTCCAGGGCATCACCGTCCAGGGCTCGCTCGTCGCCACCAGGACCGTCCACCGCGAGATGCTGTCCTTTGCTGCCGTCCATGGCATCCGGCCTGTCGTCCAGACCTTCCCTATGACCGAGGAGGGTATCAAGGAGGCTCTGGATAAGTTGGAGCAGGGTAGGATCAAGTACAGGGCTGTCCTGGTGGCGCAGTGATTGGGAGATTACTGGGTGTTATTGGGTTCTGTTAGACGGGGACGAGGGACTAGAATAGACCGGGAGTTTAGACTTGTTTTCAACTTATTTGTTATGTCCTACGCCGCAAGGACAAATATACTGGCGTATACAGCATTCCGTTGTCTCTAACCAGCCTTCCAAGCTCTCGTTTGTCCCCGGTCACCCTCACGAGAGCTCGTTGTCGCTTCCGCGACCAAAAAGGCTCGGACGCTAGGTAATTATTAGGTGTTACCTCAACGACGACCCCCGCTACCATCCGCGGAGAAAAGGAAATGGGGGATTGCAGGGGCTGCCGAGGCTCGCCTCGCTGTGCTCCCACTCACAGCAGCCTTCCAGTGAACCATGCATGCCTCGCCCCTCAATTAATCTATACTGATGGCGATATAGCACATTTCGAAGACACGGACTTGAGAATCGCGGTATTTTCCCTCTTTGATTGAGATTTGCGGGGACTAGTGAAAACTTGAGAGACTCTACATGCTCTGTTCTTTTACTCTTACAAGTGCATATTGATTCTGCCGCTACTGCTTAGGTAGACTTTGTAGGGATTTCAATTCGAAGGATCTTGTCCCGCTGTGTCCGGCAAACGCCTGGTCGTCTTGGCGTGCGCGCGCGCCGAAAAACGCTCTAATTTTTGAAAAAACGGCCAGAAGACCAGAAATCAGTCGAACTATCTACAGCTATATCAACCAACCCACTACATGCGCGCACTGCGCAAATACCTTAAGCTATATATCTAAATACGTAGAATTCGAATATTGTATCCGATTAATAATGCGGATAATACGTGCTGAGATCTTGATGGGTTTAAAAACTGGTGAATCTTTGGTAAAAGCCGCCAAGACCTGCCAAGCCTTGCCAAGATATCTTCGAAAAGTTCAACAAAAATCAAGAAAAACAGAAATCTATCGATACCTCAACGCGCATTATCCGCATCGTCGATCAGGTATAAAATTCAGATTCTACGTATCTAGATATATAAGTTGAGGTATTTGCGCGGTACACGCATGTGGTAGGTTGGTTGATATAACTATATAAAGTTTTTAATTCTCCTTTTCCCCTTTCAAAATTCCAAAAAAATAGAAAATGTTGCGCAACCCGCGCACGCACGCCAAGACGACCAGGCGTTTGCCGGACACAGCGTTATGAACCAAATAGTACTAGTTACCTAATTACTGTGTGCGCGCTTCCAAAAATAGAGCTGGGCAAAAAAGAACGGTGACTCTATTCGTCCGAGGTCAATCAAGACGTCCCCCCCTTCAGGAGGCGCGGACTTTACAAGTACTCTGCAGCTTGAAATTGGTGGCTTTTCTTTCCTTTTTCGAGCTATTAAACCAGGCACAGCGCCCCCAAGTCGAGGTTCTTGCAGCCACGGGCCCACGACTACCTACCCAGGTATGTGCTGAAGCTCACTCAGGGCCAGATACCACCCATCTCAACACCATGAACGGCCGCCTCCTCCTCCTCGCTGCCCTAGCAGCAGCCGCAACCGGCCAGGAATGCGACTACTATTCCAACAACCACTGCCTCAAGTCGCCCGAGACCGTGAGCACCACCGTCCCCTTCACCCCCCTTTTCTCCGCCGCCCCGACCTTCGTCTACGGCGTCGACGAGCTGGACAGCAACGACATCGAGACGGCGCGGGACAAGGACATGTTCAGCATCCCCGCGGCCTACTCCGGCCCCGTGCTCAAGGTCGCCTGGTGGCTCGAGTACGACAACAAGACGGTCAACCTCGACCGGGCCCAGAACCGCCACTACTACGCCTTCGCCATGGAGACCAGCTCTACGAACGGAGTCGGTGGCGGCGCCAACGGCTGCGCCGACCTGCTCGGCACCGAGTGCGTCCGCAACCTCAAGGAGGTCGTCGCGTCCAGGACCTTTGCCGCCTCCTACGTGCTGGGCGGGATGGGCTATGTCATGGGCCAGCTGGCGGAGCGCCCGCTGCGCAATCTGTCGTGCCCGGAGGACATCTTTGGGAACACGCCGTCGTCGTTGTCGGCTATACAGGACGCGCAGTTGCCGTTATATCTGGACGGTATGTCCCCGCAACCCCCCCCCCCCCCCCCCCCCCCCTGTTGCAATCATAAATGATCTGAGTGCTGCCTTGCGCTGAGACAAAGACTGATTGATGGCTTTTCCTCTTAGGATTCGATGAGTTTGCGACGATCCGTGACGACGGCCTGATCACGACGCCACCGCCGCCCGGGAACGCGAGCTTCACGCATGTCTCTGGCCAGTTCCGGTACCGTACTCTGGAGGCGCACAGGGCCCAGGGGTTGGTGGCCGTTACGGTGAGCTGGCCGGCTGTGGACGCTGTCGTAGGGGAGCCGTTGAATTATACGATGGATGATGTTACGGTTGAGACTGCCTGTCTTCGGCTTGGGGCGGCGGGGGGGACTGGTGGTGGGAATGGGGGCGGTGGGGAGAACGCGGCGCCGAGATACCGAGTCGGTGGAGGGCTGGTCGTGGCGGTGGTAGGGGCGTTGGTGATCATGTTGTAGGTTTGAGATGCCGAGTGTAGGTTATGACTGTGACTATTAGCCATGCAATTATATCGTACTTACCTCTGTGGCTTGTTTTCTGCAATTGAGATGGTATTTGATAGTGCTCGCAATATATAAGTTCGGTTAGAAGCTCCAACGCATTGCGTGTGGAAATATTATACTGCGCATATGCGCCTGAGATAATTCAAGGAGGGTCTCAATTCAAGGGGTTGGATCTACTTATTTACAATGCCCATGCTAACTCTACCTAGGCTCTACTTGTATTATTCGAAATTTAAATTCGATGAACCATCATTGTCTTGTAAGTGTTTGCTGTACGGCTTCCCACCCCTTTCCCCTGCTCGGAGTTTGAGTGATTTAGAGTAATCTGTATTAACTTCACTCCCTTGGACTCAACCTTGGCATACGGATCGTCAATATTTCTCCCATGAGGGTCATCGTTTGTGACTTTGCGCCGGAATGATTACTCAAGCCGACGGACCATCGTTCGCGAATTCCCTTTAGGAACTCCCGTCTCGTGGCAGACCATTCTTTTCAGATACCAGCCTCGAGCCCGGGCTATGTTGATAGAACCTACGTTGCACCGACAAAGTAGGAGGGCCGGCGATGTACCCTCCGCGTAAGGGCAGTGTGGTAGCAATTGCTCGCATCTGTCCCGTCCCTCTCGCATTTCGATTCCAGTCCCCAGATCCGGCTTAGTTGAGGTGGCCAAGAGACGCAGTAACTATAGCCTATATTACACTATCTGCAGCTACATAGATGCAGACATCACAAGGGCTTCACATATGCGGAGTATAAGAGTATAACAAGTCCACGCCAAACCCTATCCTTCCGACTCCTAGCACCAACCCCCCTCATCAACCTTACCAACTCCGCCGGGCTCTCCGGTTATTGTCTAGCATGCACTGGTCTTTCCTGACCTCCCTCTTACCCCTGGGTCTCGCTGCCGCCCAGCAGGTAGGCCACGACCTGAATGAGACACACCCCAGGCTCGAATGGAGCAGTTGCGCCGTCGACGGAGGCTGCGAGAAGGTAGACGGCGAGGTAACCATCGACGCCGACTTCCGATGGCTGCACAACGTCGATGGCTACATGGACTGCTACTACTACAACGACAACATGTGGAACGATTCGGTCTGCGACAGCGTCGAGAACTGCACCACCACGTGCGCGCTCGAGGGCGCCAAGTACACCGAGGTCTACGGCGTCAAGACGGCTAACAACACCCTGTCGCAGCGGCTGCGAACCAACTACGACTTCTCCTCCAACATCGGCTCCCGCCTCTACCTCATGGAGTCCCAGAAGCGGTACCAGACCTTCACCCTCAAGGACAACGAGCTGGCCTTCGACGTCGACCTGTCCACCGTCGAATGCGGCATCAACAGCGCCCTGTACTTCGTACCCATGGACGCGGACGGCGGCATGGCGCGGTACCCGACCAACGCGGCCGGCGCCGAGTACGGCACGGGCTACTGCGACGCCAGCTGCCCGCGGAGTCTGCGGTTTGTGGGCGGCAAGGCCAACTTCGATGGCTGGATCCCCTCGGAGACGGACCCCGTCGCGGGCGCCGGCAACATGGGGTCCTGCTGCCCGCAGTTCAGCGTGTGGAACTCCAACGCCCACTCCTTCGCCATGTCGTCGCACGTCTGTTACGAGGACGGCCCGCATGTCTGCCAGCAGGGTAACTGCCTGTACAATGAACCCTATGCTGAAAGGGGCCCGGGGAGGTGTGACGCTACGGGGTGCAGTTATAACCCCTACCGGATGGGCAACAAGGACTTTTATGGCAAGGGGAAGACGGTTGATACGGCGAGGAAGTTTACGTGCGTCCTCTCTTTTCCCCCCCTGTCTCTGTGTGAACCCCCTAGCGTGATAAACCCCCTCCCAAACCACTCATCCATATATCTCTCCGCAGGGTCGTCACGCAATGGACCGAGGACAAGGTAACGCAGTTCCTAATCCAAGACAACCAAAAGTTCGACGTACCCGCCCCGACCTGGGACGGTCTGCCGCAAGAAGCCGGCCTCTCACGGGATATGTGTACCAGTCAGTTCCCCGTGTTCGGCGAACGGGACATCATGGCGGAGCTCGGCGGCTGGGAGCACCACAGCAAGCAGCTGCTGAACCAGCCCATGGTGATGGTCATGTCTATTGGCACAGATGTGAGCGCTCCCGCGGCTTTTCGTTGTGGCCTGACACACTAACTTACCAATCAGCACTATGCGTGGAATCTCTGGCTCGACTCCCTATACCCGCCCTATGACTCGAATGGGTTTCCGGGGCAGGAGAGGGGCGATTGCTTCCCCATCGAGGACAATGATCCGTGGGTAGTGAAGGATATGTGGCCGTCTGCGTAAGCTACCAGCACAGGATTTCTCGTCGAGTTGAGCTGACCTGTTGCAGTACGGTGAACTGGTCGAACATCAGGTTTGGGCCGATTGGGTCGACGGTCCAACTTTGAGTGACTGCATTATGAGTAGGTTGTGAATAAACTGCTGTGCTGCTTCGTTGAAGAGCGGCGTGATTGCTGGACTCGACTTGAACAAAGCAGACATCCGTTGCTTGCATTCATCATGATCTATGATTTATCGTGTCTACCAACGACCCCATCTCCAACTCCATCCAAACACCTTCCGATGCAACCCAACCGTCCCAACCCAACAAGAGAAAAACATACACAACGGCTCTCAACCCTACACTCCCATCAACAACCCCCCCTTCACCGCTCCACATAAACAGGAATCCCATACACCACCGCCGCCGCAGCAGTAACAAACCGGAACCTACACCTCTCCCTCGCCCTCGCAACCGCCTCCACCAGACTCGCCTCCCCATAACCCCCGCTCTCCTCCCCCTTACCCTCCCTCCCACCCCTCCCCTTCCCCTTCCCCTTCCCCCCCTTACCACCACCATCCCCCCCTCCACAAACCCCCCACGGCAACACCCCCCACTCCTCCACCACCCCCACCGCAAACCGATCCACATCCCGATCCGTCACATCCCACAGCGTGCCCACCACGGCCGGACACCCGGCCATCATATAATTCCACACCGGGCCCGCGGGCTCGAAATCCCCGTGGTCCGCCAGCGCGGCCGACGAGCAGCCCATGAGCAGCACGGCGGCGCGGCAGCGGTCGAGGCGGCGGATGGTGCGCGCGCGAATGTACTGGGCGCCGGACCCGTGGCCGAAGTAGAGGAGGATGTGGGAGGCGGTGAGCGCGGTGGCGAATTCGGTTTCTGTCGGGGGGCGGTTGGTGATGGATTTCCAGGTTTGCGGGGGGAGCTGCGTGGCCAGGGGTTGGGCGAAGGTGGATTGGGTCGAGGTTAGGTCCGAGGAGGGGTTGAGGATGTAGGTGCCGCCTGCGGCGAGCGGGGCGTGGTGGCCGTCTGGGGCGGGGGCGGTGGTGGTGCTGGTGGTGGTGGTGGTTGTGGTGGGTTCGCCGTCCGCGCGTTGGCGGCGGTCGAGGATTAGGCGGCGGAGACAGGCTAGTGAGGGCATGCGCGAGACGGCGAGGCCTTGCATGCAGGGGAGTGACTCCCAGGGGAAGACGTGCAGGGCTTTGTCGAGGAGGAGGATGGTGTGGATGTTGGTGGGGGCGTCCTCGGCTGCGTGGGTAGACGAGTGGTATGCGTTGAGGGCATCCATGGTCTCGACCACCATCGAGTCGAAGTCGATCTCGTCGTAGGCGTTGCGCTCGCCGTGGAACTGCAGGATATCCACAACAAAGTAGAGGAGGTCCGTGAGCTCGTCGTCAAAGTCGCAGTCCGGCTGGGTGATGTCGCCTAGACCGACGAACAGCTCCAGAACGTTCATGTCCAGCGTAGCCTTGGGCCCTTGCGCCGCTTTGGTCCTCTTCCCGCGCACCTGTCGCCGCGAAGGGAGATGCTTGTCTAAGATAGCCAAGAAATCCCTCTGGAACGTCGCCAGCAGCTCCGGACGGCGGACGTGCTGCGAGAAGATGCCTCTAAACCCGCCGAGCCAAATTTGCTCAATGCTCCCGAGCAACTCCTTCAGTCGCTGATCGAGAGCCTCCCGCTCTGCCCACCACGCACCCTTGGCGCCCTTAGCAGTCATGTCCCTGGAGTCGTGGCACGTCTTGTTGATCAGCTTGATGATCTCCAGCAGCTCGGAACGGCCCTGCTGAAAGTCAAAGGCATCGCTGTCTCCCTCGCGGGAGCTTGCCCGCTCGAGGGGCAGACGGATGACAAAGGGACTCTGGCCGGCTTGGAGTTTGGTGATGCAGAGGTCGTGGTTGCCCTCGCTGAGGGAGATGGAGATGACGTTCCAGGGCTTGGGGACGATGTCGATGTAGTCCCGCTGGATCTTGTGGAGGTCGAGCGTGAATCCGAGACTCGACCTTCTCGTGCTCGCGGACTGAAGCGCCGACGGCCACGAAAGCCCGTCATTCTTGCCCGCATTCTTCTCTTGGATCAGGGCCTTTCGTTCCCGACGCCATGTGAGGTTCCGAGCGAGCTCAACCGAGTACGACGTCTGGGCGGAGTGGATGGCCGCCTTGGTCTTGGCCGACGTGGCCGTGAGAAACAGACTAACGTTCTGGAGCATGCCCGAGATCCTGTGGATTAGGCTGGCATCTCCGGTCAGGGCAGCCACCGAGTGTGCCTCAAGAAGGTAATCGTGGGCCTCGCGAAGGTTGTCGACGTACAGCCCCGGGTTGGCTTCCTTGACGACTACTTGTCCCGGGCTTGCGGCAGCAACTCGTGATTTCTTAGGTGACGCAGGCTTCGCACGAGCTGGCGAGGCCTTGTCGGAACCAGAGAGGGCGGGGAAGGAGATGGTCGACTCCTGAATGACAGAAAAGACAGGATCTTGTGCCATCTGCTCCATGCTTATGCCCATGAGGCACGACGCCATGGCGACTTGTCTGGCGGGCAAAAGTCCGGACGCCTTCGACGCAGCAGTAGCTTCTACGAGGGCTGCCTGAGCTGCCGCCCATTCTTTTTGTCGTAGCATGGACACGGCCTTTTGCACAAGAATCGACGCCCGCAGTTTAGCCAGCTGAGCGTCCTCCTCGATTGCCATCAGCTGGGGAGCGGTGACGATGGCTGTTGTTGCTTTTGCCTTCGCTGCGGTTTTGGCCGTTTTCTTGACTGGTGCCTTCTTCACGGGGGCTTTACGACCGCCCCTGCCAGGTTTCTGTGCAATGCTCAGTTTCGCCATCTTGTTCTCAACCACCACGGTATCAACCGGCTGAGCCTCAACTTCGGGGACCACAGCAAGGCTCTGCGCGATCGCCTCGGCTTTTGCTAGCAGAAGCGCTGCCCCCTCGGAGTCGTTCTGGGAGAGGTACATGGAGCTGATTTGGCAGGCGAGCGTAGCCGAAGAGTAAGAGCGGTTGTCGTCGGGGAGCAGAGCCGAAGCTTCTTGCAGCATCTCGAGCGACTTCTCAGCGTTGGCGGCTCTCCAAGAAACCGCTCCGATCCAGGCGGCGCACTCTGCGTTGTAGAACTCGGAATCGACCGTCTTAGCCATTTTCAGCGCCTGCTCTGCGTAGTACATGGTCTCTGGGAACATGCCTAGGTGAGCGTACATGGAGGAGAGGCGGAAGACGTTGCGGTATAGGCAGTGGAAAAGCTTCCAAGACTCGGGTCCGGGATTCTGCTGTTGGGCGTCCCCTCCGAGGGTCATTGCGGACACATCAATGGTTTGGTCTTCAACTTGGCCCTGTTCCGGCAATGCCTTTGGCGCAATCCGGGACTCTATCTTCGCCCAGTCTTGGAAAAGGGTGCGGACGCTGTCTCGGGAGTAAGCGAGCGCGTGGTGAGAGTCGCCGCGTTCCAGAGCGATGAGAGAGTGCAGGTAATAGGCGTGTGCGACGAGCCGCCTCCTCTCAGCCCGAGTGTGCTTCTGAGGCGCATCGGCATTGAAGGCGAGCTGTGCCTGAGTAAGGTGGTCCTCGGCTTGCCTGAAATTGCTGAGCGCGAGAAGATGCTCGGTGAAGGAGAGATGGAAGTTGGCAAGGACTTCACTCCGCAGTTCGTCGCCGATGTGTTCCAGCGCCTTCTGGAACACCAGCTCCGCCTTTGACGACTGGCCCAGATTTGTGTACTGTAGAGCGAGGCACGAACTGTGCTGGACCACCTCTTCAGCCTTCGGCCCCTCAGACACCCGCGCAATGTCGGCTATGAGCTCAAGGACCGTTGCGAGCATGGTGTCCCGGCCCTTCATGCGGAGGAAGTCGGCGACGGACTGAAGGTACTCCAAAAGGCCCGGTATATCATCGATCGTTTTCTCCAGGGCTGCCCTGTCCTGAGATGCTGTGGTAATCGACCGCCAAGTGAAAATGGACCGTTCAAGCGCCCGATCACCCCGGTAGCCATCCACCGCGGCAGCCAGCGAGCTGTACAGGGCCTTCATATGCGGGAGAAAACTCGCCAACCCTGAGTCCTCTCCGAGGCCGCCAGTGTCCTTGAGCTGCGCGGCGTCCTTAGCGACCGAGAGCAGTTCGGGAGCCCTGTCGAGGTTACCGAGTGCCGAGCAAAGCAAAACGAGAAGCACCCTAAGTCTACGAATCGGGTAACGTGTGGGGATATAGGTCCGAAGCAGCGCGTCGACAACAGGATGCTCCAGTGTGATGTCGACTTCTTTCGCTCCATCCTTCAGCAAGATGAACCGCAGGCGGTGTTCCAACGCCGCAGCGCGCTCAGGCTCTTCAAGATCCACGGTCCAGTCAATCCAAACCTGCTCCATTTTCGAAATTGCCAGCAGCGCGCGTGAGAGGCCCTCGGCCTTTGCGTCGCGGGTCCAGACAACGGCGGGCGATCCGGTCGCGAGGGATTTGGCAACGTACGCCAAAACACCGTCCTCCAGGAGGCTTGTCCGGATGTTCTGAAGAGCACCGAGTGCCTCCTCTCCCCTGCCGAGCGTTCTGCAGAGGTCCGCCATGCGTTCCAACTTCAAAGTGAGCTGGGCTTTTTCCTTTTCGCCGCTCGTTCGGTCCTTCACGCATTCGATGGAGCGCCTGAGGGCACGCAAGGGCCCGACGTCTTTCGAATCGCTAGACTGCTGTCGCAGGGCGCTGTATTGTAAGTAGTAGAAATGCGAAATCTTTACGTAGTAGGATGTAGACGCATTAGATGTGGCCGCGTTTCCGGTGTACTCCAAAAGGGTGTTGCAGTCACTGAGGACAGCGTCCATAAGGTCCCAAGAGAGCCGTGACTGATCTAGGCTATTCTTGATGGTCATGAATGTCGAGTCGAGGATGTGCTGAAGGTATTGCAACATAAGCTGCCGTCGTTGCTCGTATCGTAGGTAATCCTTGGTGCTGCCTTTCGGTCCAGGGGGCTTCCCGAGCCACCGGAGGCAGAAACGCGGACATTGCAGGATGAAGGTTTCTAGAAGCTCCTTTGCCTCGGACGAGGGTTGGAAAATGCTATCGCCACCCTTGGCGAGGGTGAGTAGAAGATGCATGGCCGTCTTTCGAACAGCGCAAACGTTGGTCAGGAGTTCGTCTAGTTCGGTAGTGTCCCCCCGCAACGGCCCCTGAATACCGGCGACGACTTCTTGGAGAAGCAATTCGTCAGAAAGATACTTCGCCGGCTGCTTGAGGTGAAAAGAGAGCAGCTGGGCCGCAACCGCGCAGGTTTTCGCGATCGATTCGGCCTTCAGGTCCATGGCGTCTCGCAGCTTGGTTGCCCACATTACAGCGTCGGCTATTTGTTGGGCGTCGCGCGCCAGGGTTACCAAGGTCTGGCATATTCCAGCAAGGGGGAGCTTGGATCCTTTCGAGGGGCAGTAGCCGTGGCTTTGAAGCTGCTGGTAGATTCGGTTGAAGATTTCTGAGCAAACGGCATAGCTGGATTTGGAGGTTTCGGATGTTCGTCTGATGTACGCACTAAGGCATCTTGACAGAGGGACCATGACATCCTTCTCAGCGTCTCCCTTGTGCTTTGCCAATTTCCACCAATGCAACCGGACCTCCAGCGCGAGTGCTTGTAATTCGAGAGCGGATGCAGGTGATATGCTGAGCCGGGACTCCTGTCCCAAGGCGTCGTCTTTGTTGGACACGCTGGGGGTCAAGGAAAACAGACACTGTGCCACCGTTTCCATTTGTCGGGCAATTTTGGCCACGTCGACCCCATCTTCCTTTGCCGCGAGAAGGAGTAAGTTGGCAGGCGAAGAGGCGTGGTCCTGTCGGAGGTAGGGCAGGACCGCTTCGATGGCTGAGGGCTTCTTCGCCATTGCCAGAACCCGCAAAATTTGGATCTGGGTGGTGATCACCAACATGAGCCGTTGTCCCGAGGCCGTCACGGTGCCGAAGTCAAGGAGCTCTGAGAAAAGCTGTGCGGCATTTTTGGGCTCAGCACTGGTGGGCTTGGCCCCCTTCTTTCCGTCCGCAGACACAGGCCCCTCCAGCTTTCTTTTTAGAATCCGCAGCTCTTTGATAGCCTGCTCCTGTATGTTTAGACCGAGCAACTTCCCGACCAGAGCCGACATGCCAGACTCAAGCTGAAGATCTGGGAGGGTGATCTTCCCGGAGGCGGGTAACTGACGGAGCGCAGCCAGGGCCACGCGAGCACACTCAACGGTGGCGAGAAGATTCGTTGTGTTCGATGACCTCGAGGGCGATCGGGCGTGCCTCGTAGCGACAGGCGAGGTGGACTGCCTGTTAAGCGCACGGGGTTGTAGGGGCGTCATGGGTGCTGAATTTGACCGCCGGATCGCGTTTTTGGCTGCCGTCTTCGCCAGGCCATCCTCTTGAACAGGTTGCGTCGCAGGGGTCGGGGTCGACGCGGGTTTTGCAGCCTCTCCGAGAGCTTTGAGGGTGCAATTGACGACGTGTGTTGCGAGTGCCGCCTTTTCTCGCACCGACAGGCCATTATCCGCCGCAGTTGGTGTTGGTGTTGGTGTGGGCGCGGGTCTGGCACGTCGTGACGGTGCTCTGGAAACCGTGTTCGTTCTCGATCGGTTCGTGTTCGCGGTCTTGGAGGGAGGTCGGGGGGTGGGCTCGTCGGCGGTCGATGTTTCGTCCCTGGGGAGCAACAAGGTCTTCAACAAGACTGAAATCGCGGGGGTGCAGGTCGCGACGGAAGAGACGGCGCTGCGAACAGCATCCGCCTGGGCGAGTGGTGTATCCATGAAGAGAAAAAAGAGGAGTGTGTTATGGGCTGATCCTTAATCATATCATCGCCGTTCCGAGGACATTATCCAAAAGACAGCAATACCCAAAGCAATGAAGTGCAATGAAGAAGTTTTGGTGTTCGATGTTTGAACTTGAGAATCTCCAATTGCGGCCCGCTCGCGTTTGGTGACGACAGGCAGCTTCTCCAAACAGGGGTTAGTTGCTGCCCCAATCCGGGTTTGACACCCGGCAAAAAAGCGACGTGGCGTTGGCAGGGCAACCACAATGGATCTCAGGCACTGGCACTCCCGGGAGTCAGCTCCCATTGCCTGCCGGGAAGCCCTCCAGGGGGTGCCAGGCTCGGCAGGGGTCCACCCCGAATTTGAACAACTCCCGAGTCCCGTTCTGTCACTTTGACCTGCAAAGTTTCAGTGGGTCCCCGCACTTTCCCATCTCCCATCTCCAACTTCAAGTCGAACAAGTCCACACGAGACCAACATGAACCGGGTCGCGCTTCAACGCGCGCTTTTAGCGCCAAGTCTCCGACAGCAGGGCTTATTGCAAAAACCGCTGGCATTGGCCCTCAACACACGCCCCGTCAGTTCCGTCGCTGAGGTGTCCTTCTGGAAGTCTCTCGTACCGAAACCCCTCCGATCGCGGTCACCGTCGAGGTGGTGGAGGAAGAAACTCAAGGTACAGAAGGGGTGGAATCCTGCGACCTTCTTTATCTTCATCTTCTTGTTGATCGGATCCATGTCTATTCAGATGATCGCCCTCCGAAAAGACTTTGCGACCTTCATGCGCCAGTCCGACGTCAGGATAGGCTTACTCCGCGAGGTGGTGGAAAAACTGCAAAAGGGCGAGGACGTGGACGTGGAGAAGGCTCTGGGCACCGGAGACGCAGAAAAGGAGTTGGAGTGGGAGCAAGGTTCGTGCTCCTGGGAGACTGAGACACTGGGACGCAACATGCTGACGGATAGGGCAGTTCTGAGGGAGATTGAGCGCGAAGGACCGGCAAAGAGCCAACGCAAGAAGCAACCCGAACCAACACCCCCACCGGCACCAACTCCGGCACCAACATCTGCGCCTACACCAGAGGCGGATACCCCACCTGAGCAAGAAGGCACCAGGCCACAGGTGCAGAGCACCCTCGCCAGCAAGGGCTTCTTCTGAGCGGCCCCTTCTCAGGGGCTCTGCGTCTATTATCATCTATTGGTCTATTGTAACATGTTCTTGAACACAGCAGCCTCGTTTTCCTGAAACGCTGCGCTGTCGGGTGACGCACCCCGGAGAGCAGACTGTCGCATATCCTGAACAAGAGCCGGCAGCAAGCTATCGGTGGACATCTCTAACCTCACGCCCTGGCCGCCCGCCTGGGCCGGGTCCAATCCTGCAAAGAAGAGATCCTCGCCCCTGACGCCGCCGATGTTGACAATCCCAATCGGCATCCCCCTATCCTTGGCGCGCTTAGCCAGCCTCCACGCGGAGTACGTCGCCATAGATGTGGCGAGGATCAAAAGCTTTCCAGCGCCATCGATCGCATCTTCAGCCGCTTCCTTCACGCTACTAGCGATGCTTTCCCCGAACATGACAACCGCCGGTTTCAGGATACCAACATTGCTCGTCGGGCTCCAAGCACCATCATTATCGACCTCCACCATCCCCTTCGTCCCATCCGCCAACGACGGCGGACTGCTCAAACACGTCGGGCACGCCGGATACCGGAAAGTCGTGTACGGCGCCTCAGGCAGCTCCACATCACCATCCGGATTCATGCGAATCCCGCGCGCCCGTTTCTCATGCGGGTCCTCCGTCTCGAGCGCCCCCGTGGCGATCGCCTCCTGCAGGAAGGCATCCCAAACGGGGTTCAGCCGCGCCAGCTCGGCCTGGAACCGGTCCCGCGGCAACTCGCTCCGGCACGACGTGCACACGGCCGAGCGCAGGTAGCCGTGCAGCTCGAGCGTCGGAATATCGGGGTGCGCGCGGGGATGGAACGAATCCACGTTCTGCGTGATGACGCCCGACAAGAAGCCCAGCCTCCCCAGGTCCCGCACCGCGTAGTGGCCCGCGTTGGGCGCGGCGTTGCGCAGCGTGGTCCACCCCAGGAAGCTGCGCGCCCAGTAGCGCTTGCGCGCCTCGTGGTTGGCCAGGAACTCGTGGTAGTAGATGGGGCGGTACGTCTTGTTGACCCGGTACGTGCCCTTGGTGCCGCGGTAGTCGGCCAGCCCGCTCGCGACCGAGAGGCCCGCGCCCGTGAGGAGCACGGTGGACCGCGGCAGGTGGTCCCGCGCCGGCGGGGCGTGCAGGAACTCTTGCAGGGCGGCGACGGCGCCGGGGAGGGAGCGGGCTGTGGGGGGGATGGTGGCGGGCGGCGGGAAGAGCTCGGTGTAGGGGATGCGCATGAGTGGTTTCTTCATGTTGGGTGGGTTATGGGGGGGTTTGGATAAACAGGAATCAAATCCCGATGTGCACTATGTAGTGTAGACGGGTGTGGCGTGGCGATGGACCCTGTTCATCAAGGGATTAATTTGAGATTGAAGCATGCTGCGTAATCGTCATGGTTCCGGAAAGGTGGGTTACAATTCTCGGTTCACTCCGGTTCCTCATGGTCAATGCTCACACCCCTGCTTGTATGTATTTACAAGTATGTCCAGATTATTAGTACACAGAACATACCGTGACCGTTACAACACATGGCAGTGAGAAGAAGATCAGGCACAAGAACTCGAGTTCAAGGAATTATAGCTACATACTGTGGAGGTACTTCGTAAATCGAGTAAATACAATTTCTTTCGTTCCGCCCTTACATTCGAGGTTTGGTTGACATGCACATTTGGAGCCCTCGGGTAACAGACTGCGTCTTCCGTACTGTCTCGATCAGCCGATGCTGTTCTCCATACCCCCCTGGATTCATCCGGCAAGTGGTGCGATGTCGGGTGCATCCAGGAAGTGCCGCCCACTACAAAACGTGCGAAGTTACCCCTTATAGCCAGCTGCCGCCAGTGACGCGCTGGCTGCCATCGCGAATGGAATCGAGAATTACTTGACCGTCCTTCCGACGAAGCCGCCAATCCAATCCTCTTTTCGCCCAAAGTACAAATATTGACCAACCCTGTCACCGGAATTTCCCAGCGCCTCCCGACGCCAATTAACCCTATTCTGGCGCGCCGAGGTCTCTCATTTACTTCGTACGTCACCTTGGTACCCAGGTAATTCGTTTTTTCATGCTTCCGCTTAATTGCGGGCGCTGCGCGAGCCCTGCGCTGGTGCAACTGCGTGCGACGAGTGCCGCGTCACAGCTCCATCCAAGACGGGCACGGAGCCGTCAACCGCCATGCCCGGCATTTATTAGCCATCCCAGCAACAGCAACCTCTCGGGGACACATCACCCACAACTCAAAGCAGTGCGCATCTTTCAGACCTTTTCCCCTTCTCGGGCATTCACAAATCGGATGCGCCGTTCGTTACACCCCGACCCGACGTTACCAACCAGAAACACAACCACAACTCCGACTAAACCAATACATCATCGTCTCCCCAACCACAACGCCGCCATCATGGGCGCCGGCAAGACCCAACAAACACGAGGCCACGCCGGCCACAGCCACAGCCACGGCCACGGCCACCACCACCACCATGACAACGTCTACCTCACTTCGACCAACAAGAACGACGCCGGCGTGCGCATCACCCGCATCGGCTTGTACTCGAACCTGGGCATGGCCATCGCCAAGGGCGCGGGCGGGTACGCCTTCAATTCGCAGTCCATGATCGCCGACGCGTGGCACTCGCTGACCGACCTGGCCTCGGACGTGCTGACGCTCGCCACCGTGTCGTGGAGCCTGCGCCCGCCCACCGAGAGCTTCCCGCAGGGGTTCGGCAAGGTCGAGAGCCTGGGCTCGCTCGGCGTCTCGAGCATGCTGCTGTTTGGTGGGTTGTTCATGTGCATGAGCAGCTGCGAGACGCTGTATGCCCACTTCTTTCTGGATGCCGAGGCCGCGCGCGCCATGCTGGAGCATGGCCATGGCCACTCCCATGGGCATGGGCATGGACACGGCCATGGGCATGGGGGTGCGCCGAGTCTGCACGCGGCGTGGCTGGCGGCTGGGACGGTTGCGATCAAGGAGTGGTTGTATCATGCGAGTACGTGCCCCTCCCCCCACCTCTCTTCCTCTCGCAACCCTCTTCTCCTTACTCCCCACCACCCCCGTTTCCAACCATCCACTAACACCCTCCTCCCCCCCCCAAACAGCCATGAAAGTCGCGCGCGACCGCAAATCCTCCGTCCTCGCCTCCAACGCCGTGCACCACCGCGTCGATTCCCTCACGGGCATCGTCGCGCTGTGCGCCATCCTGGGCGCCAACCTGCTCAAGGACGCGACCTGGCTGGACCCCGTCGGCGGCCTGCTCATCTCGCTGCTCGTCATCCGCGCGGGGCTCGGCAACACGCTCTCGGCGCTCTACGAGCTCGCCGACCGGTCCATCGACGCCGAGGTGCGCGAGTCGGTCACCAAGCACGTCGGCACGTCCCTCGCCGCCCTGCCGGATAACTTGGGGGGGGAAGTTGACCTGCGTGATGTGACGGGCGTCAAGTCCGGGCAGAACTACCTTGTTGATCTGGAGCTGGGCGTGCCGGCCGCGTGGACTGTTGAGGCTGTGCGGGTTGTGGAAGAGGCTGTGCGCACCCGCGTGGGGGGCAAAGTGCGTGGTGTGCGGAGGGTGAGGGTGCGTTTTGTCCCGCACACGGCGCCCGTGCCGGATCGGTTTGATGAGTTTATTCCGGGGGATGTTAGTCCGAGGAGTAGTCCCGAGCCGGAGGATGGGGAGGAGAATGGGAAGGAGGGGCGGAAGACGCAATGAGGAGGGGCCTAAGCGAGCAGGTCTTGCTGGGCTTGGCTTGGCTGTACTGTCGAGGTACTGTCCTGGGTTGGGGATGGGCGCACTGTTATGTGTGAAAACTCTGGCCAGCCCGGTCCGTGGTTCTGGTCAAGAGGACTAGTGGGAGTGAAAAGCGTGGCTCCGAGGCATTGGTCTTTGTATGAGGGGATTCATGTGCTATACTTAGGTATCTACCGTGTACATACATACATAGGTACGTAAGGTAGGTAAGTGTTGGCGGCGATACCCAGCCTCTGGTAGCCAGCTGGCCCAGGAATTGGCGCGACAAGATCGCAATAAAACAAAATATATGTTAGTTAAACTTGGTCACTAAAAACCTGCAAAGTCAGCAAAATATGAATGGGCCTAGATCCGTTCTACTGGGGACAAGGCTTAGAGGTAATCAGACGGTATCCATCCAGTGCTCTCTCGCCTTACCTATCCCGACCCGTTCGATATCAGAGACTACGGCGAGCGTGTACTACAGAAAAAATCGTGGCAGACGCAACTGACAACAAACCAAGGTCTTTTCAACCCCATCTATCAAGCAGCGTCACTCGTCTAACCTCCACGACAACACTCAACTCATCAAAAACCAAAACACGTCTGTATATCCCGCAAGAAATGCAAAACTAACATTAAACAATAGCCACCCTCAGATGGGAATGCAAACATCGACCAACCCGACGCCTTCCTATCCAGAAAAAAAAAAGCCATGTATGTATGCACCATGCAGGCCAGCTAACACAAAACACAAAAGACACAACAACAACAACAAGACCACAACAAAACGCAGCGCAGCAGTTCTATATAGTATGCACCATCAAACCAAACCCCCTCTCCAGAAACGCTTCCTCCCCCTCCCTCCTCCAAGTATACCTACCTACCTTACTCTCCTATCGTACCCACCGCCACCATCAAACGAAACGAACCCACATCATCACATGTGGCCCTCCTTCTCCTCCAGCTCGCGCATGTACTTGACAAACGTCTTCTTGTGCGTCTATACCACAACACGTTAGCATCACAGAAACCTACGCTGATCACAAAACAAGCAGAGAAAAAGGAAAAAGAAGAAGACTCACCATCCCCGCATACCGCCCATCCCTCAACACACAAATATACCGCAACCCCAGCTTCACAAAACACTCATACACCAGATCCATCGGCGACCTGATATCCAGCGCCACCGGCGCGGGATCAATAAACGGCGTAAAATCCGTCGGATCCGGCAGCCCGTCATCCGAATCATCGATACTGGGCACGGGGGCCATGAGGCACAGACTCGACGGCTCGTCGCGCAGGTTGTCGAGGGCGTACTCGAGGTCCGGGGCGGGGATGAGGCCGACGAGGATGCCGTCGCGCACGATGGGCAGGCCGCCGTCGAGCTCGCCGGCCTTGTGCAGCAGCTCGAGCTTGGCGCGCAGGCTGAGGGCGGGGACCACGGGCGAGGTGCTGATGTCGATGATGCGCTCCTTGCGCACGCGCGGGACGATGTCGGCGAGGTCCGAGGTGAAGATGGGCTTGTGCTTGTTGTTGAGGTAGGGGTACGAGTTCATTTCCGTGAGGAGGTCCTGGAAAGTGTTAGTCAGTCAGGGGTAAAAGTAGAATGAGTTAGTTGAGTCTTACGTAGATGCTGAGCGGCTCGATGGCGTCGGCTGTCCACTTGGCGACCAGGATGGCTAGGGAGAACGGCAAGACATAGTCCAGACTCCCGGTGAGCTCGAACAAGATAACCGCGAGGGTGACAGACAAGCGGGTGACACCGCACATGGTTGAACCGGCAGCAATGAGGCCGTACACGCCGGGCTGGATGCAGGTGGCATTCGGTATCTTGCCGCAGGTGCCCCAGACACCCCAATCAGGCGTGGCCATGACCACCCACTGAACGACGTGTCCAACCAGGCGGCCCATGAGACCGCCGACCACCATGGACGGCACGTAGATACCAGCTGGGAGTTTCTGCCGGTTGTCAGCCATGTGTCGTTGGGACTAGGGGAAATGTCAAAACTTACGATGCCAAAGGTGATAATAGTCAGAAACCCCTTGATCAAGAACGCGGTGAGCAGGTTCAGCAGGATGGGCGGGATGTCCCCAATCTCCTCCGGACACAATCCCAAATCCTCCAGGTTGTTATCACGGTCGTCGCACGGCGCGGCAAGGTTGTACAGCAGCTTGGCGACGGGAAGCTTGGTCAAGGTATTCCAGTACCCAATCAAGCCCGTGACCAGGGCAACCAGCACCACCTCAAGAAGGGGATACGCCTTGATGGCGGGAATCCGGCGGAACGTCTTGGCCCAGTGGCGGGAAGCCTTGATGAACAGGGCACCAGCAGCGCCGCCGAAAACGCCAACCAAAATAAAGCTGACGATCTCAAAGTACTCCCAGTCGACGAGGTAGCGCACCTGGAACATGACAATCTTGTGCGTCCCGTAGGGGTTCAAGAACTTGAGTGTCAGTGCGGCCGTGATGCAGCAGAAGAAAGTGCGGAAGAGCGTCTTGGCCGGGAAGAAGTAGGCCACCTCCTCCAAGCCGAAGAGCACGCCGCCGAGCGGGGCGCCGAACGCCACGGCGACACCTGCCGCTGCCGCTGCCGAGAGGACCTCGCGCCTCTTAGCGTCGTTGCGGTCGTACTTGGTAAAGAGGCGGCAGGCGATGTTGCCGACGCAGGTTGCAATGTGGACGTAAGGGCCTTCCTTGCCCAAGCTGAGACCAGAGGCCACGCTGAGAATCAGACCAAGCGTCTTGATGATTAGGGTCTTGAGACCTAGGAAACCGTGTAGCACGAAGCCACTGAGAATGACACGAACTTCGGCGACACCGCTGCCGGCAGCCGAGTAGTAAATCATTGGCGCCTGCTCGGTCTTTCCAGGTGTCGGTCGGAGGCTAGCATTGGTTCCATTCGCATCCTCGGGTGGAGGGGCGGGAGCCTCGGCGGCAAGGTTCTCGTCCAACGTGGTCAGTCGATAGGCCGAAGGAACAACCGTCTTGGTGGTGAGACTGAGAAGACACGACAAGCTCGCCAGGGTGATGACGGCAATGATGTACACGCCGTACTCTGTCCACCTCCGGCCGAACGGGAACCCCTGAAGGACCTCACCCCAGTCCCGCCAGTCCGTACAGGGGCCGTGAGGGCAGCATTTCTGTCACAGTCAGTCCGGCCCACCCACCACATCCATTATTACAGCGACTCACCTTCTCATTTATCAGCCACCCCTTCTGGCAATACCCATCCTTGAGATCGAACACGGTTGCCTCGCTCACGTTGACCACATACGCCAGCACGGCGACGATGAACCCCACGAGGGCGCTCAGCAGCCACCCCTGGGCGCCGTCGAGCAGCACGTAGATGCGGCCCCAAAAGTCCTTGCGACTCCGCAGGGCCTTGACCCGATAAGCGTCGGCGATGCTGTCGTGGACCCAGTCGGTGGAGGTGAACTGGTCGTACCACACGCGGTCGTCGGGGTAGAGGGAGCCCTTGGAATCCGCCATGGACGACTCCTGGCGGTCCGATAGGGCGTGTATCAGGCGCGTGCCCCACGAGTTGGCGCGGCTGTGGTGACGGATGCTTCTTACGCTGTCTGTGAACAAAAAGGGGCCGGTTAGCCGATGGACGGAGAGGGGGTATGTGACTCGGTACGCGTACCCGCATAACTCTGGTTCCTCGACAGGAGGGGCACCCTGGGCGAGCCATGGGCGCTGTGGATGCGGATGCGCGACGGTCGCGACGCGCCGAGGAGAGGCGAGCGCTCGTCTATCGGTTCGTTGGTGGACGGCCTCCTGCTCATGCCGGGTCGTTGTCTACGGACATTGGTCGGGGAGCTGGGCAGCGAGAGGTATTGGCCCTGTTGTTCGGTGCCTGTGCCAGAGTCGGCGCCTGTGCCGGTGCCGGTGCCGTCGTTGGCGCTGTCGACGGCGACGATGTCGGGGAGACGAACCCCATGCCGTCTGCCGGTCATAGCGGGGGAGGGTTGTGGAGCGAAGTGAGGGGTGGCCTCGGGGTAGATGGGATAATTCGAGGATATATCGCGAGAGATGGAGATGTCGTCACTGTGCAACTCCGAGGTCAGACCAAGCCTGTAGCTACCCGGGCCGGATATAGCCTACTCACCTTCGACGTAAATCTCGGGGATAAAGAGCGCAAGGTGTTGAACATCAGACACTCAATGATCGGCTGAGCCAAGCGGAACCCCTAGGTGGCAGTTTCGAGTTCGGCGGAAAACCAAAGCCGAGGTCGTCGAACCAAGAAACAACCTCCAACCCGGAACAGGAACCAACCAACTACTTCGTAAGTCCGTTCTTCTCCGGGATAGAAAGAAAAACGCCGGCTGCAATGAAAGACGAATGCAGAACGGAAACGACGAGCAGCAAGATTGCCGCGAGGCCTGTAGATGGCGGCCTGGACCAAGCAAGACTTGATGTTTGGTTTCGGGTTTCGGGAGCGGAGAAAAGGTGGCTCATGGGCTAGGATGCGCGGCGTGAGGGCGGCTTGTTTGGCTGGAGGCCCTTGGGACCAACCCCCACGTGCACACTTTCGGTGTCTCACTTGGCGTCATGGAGCGCTGCGCCAGAACTCAAGGGGAGCACAGCAGGCTGTCAGGTGCCCCTGCCGATTTCCATTAGTGGAATGCAGAGTTACACTGTGCTGCATCGCCATCGCGTGTTGCGGCACTGCCATAAAAAGCCTGAGCAGGTATGTCTCAGGAAGAAAGTCACAAAGAAATCCCAACTTGGAGACTTGGATGCCCTCGGTCAAGCATCGGCGGGGAAAACAAAGCCGGGCAGCGAGCGGTGTGTTGCATGCGCATTCTGTGGTACGCGGGATGCACAGGGATCCCTTACTGTGCGGTTATGTCATAGCACTGAGAGCAGTCCCCCTTCGGGATGCATTGGCACATTGGTCGGACTTTTTTTAGGCGCTGCAGCGACGCCCAGACAAAGGATCCAGGAACTGGGGAACCTGGAAAAGTGGCGCGTTGCAGCGAGATGGCACCCTGGGACCCGCAATCCATTCAAAGAAGTTCAACCAACGTGCCGATGCTTGGCAGTTGTCACCTCACGTTGACCTCGAACGTCAACAACTGCTGGAAGGACCAGCGACGGGAAGGAGGGAGAGAGAGACTGCACGGGAAGTACTCCACAGAGGACGAAACTCTGTGTGCAGGATTCTGACAAAGGCACAACAACATAACATGATCGATAAAAGTGTCCGATTCGAGCATGAGGATTTTAAGGATTTAAGGATTTAGGATTCCCGTCATCTCACCAACAAAATGGAGAAGGAGAAAGAAAAGGAAAGGAAAAAAGAAACGCGGCGAGCTGTGCCGAAATTCGGATCCTTCAAGCCGAATCTCACTCCCGAGTCCGCGCTCGAGGCACCACTTGCGTCAAAAGAGACCCGGGCCCACAAAGACGGCCTCGGTGGAGCCGAAAGGGACAGTGACCGCCGCCGTCATGAACGAGATCGAGATGGTGACCGCCACGGGGAACGACGCCATTCCAGTCATGCGAGGGAACGGCAACGGGATGGGCATGGCGATCGGGATCGGGACAGGGCTCGAGATCGGGATCGGGACAGAAAAAGGGAGAGGGAAAGGGAAAGGGACAAACACCATGAACGTGAGAGGGAAAAAAGGAGAAGAAAGGAGAGCGAAAGGGAAGACCACCGTGACCGCCATGGGCAGCAACCTCCGCGGCCAGGCAGCCCCAGGGCTATGTCGAGTCGAAATAAGAACCAACGGGAAGACCCTTCCTCCATGAGCAACGACCTCTTCGTCGTCGACAAGCGCGGCGACCCGCTCATCGTGCAGTACGGAAGCAATGACCGCTCCCAGGTCCCAGTCTACTACCGCTTCGGCGCGGGCAGGCTGGTGGGCTCGCCCGGTTTCCTCACTATCCACCGCGACGGCGCCCAAGAGCAGTTCAGTATCAGAGGCCCCGGCGAAGGCAGCCGCAGCGGCTCTGCCTTCCGCGACAAGGCCCTCGTAACAGCAGCCTTTCGCTCTCGTTCCAAGCACATCAAATCCTCAGAAGAACAGCCCCTCCCAACAACATCCGAAGACTTCATCTCCCTCGCCCCGTCCCGCAAACGAAAACGCACCGAGGACGAGGACGAGGACGACCCAACCGACCAGCCGCCACCCGACTACCGCTCCATCCACGGCAAAGCACGCCCAAACACTCGCTCCGATTCCGACTCCGATTCCGGCTCCGAATCCGAGTCCAACCCCCGCTCCCCCTCCGACTCACCCTCCACCAACCCCTCCCAACCCACCCCGCTCACCCGCGCCAGCCACCTCTCCCGCCACGTCAAAACCACCCCCTCCGACATCCCCGCCTGGCTCGAGCTCATCGACCTCCAAGACGCACTCTTCACCCTCCAAACCCAACACGCCACCAGCAACCCCACCCAATACACCACCCGCACCGCCGACGAAACCCGCGCCCTCGCCGAGCTCAAACTCTCCCTCTACCAAGAAGCCCTCCCCCACGCCACCGCGGCGCACCCGCCAGCCGACCGCGAGCGTCTGCTGCTGGGCATGATGCGCGAGGCGGGGCGGGTGTGGGGGGAGGAGGCGCTGGAGCGGAAGTGGGCTGAGCTTGTCGCTGTTGAGGATGGTGCTGCTGCTGCTGCTGCTGAGGGGGGTGGTGGGGGTGGTGGGGGTGGTGGTGGCATTAGGTTTGGGTTGTGGAGGGGGAAGTTGGATTTTGAGATGGGGAGGGTGGTGGGGTTTGGGTTTGAGGGGGTCAGGGGGGAGATTGTGCGGATGTTGAGGGTTTTGGGGGGGGAGGTGGCGCGGGTTGGTGGTGGTGGTTCTGGGGAAGGGGAGGAGGAGGAGGTGTGTGGGCGGGTGGTGTATGTGTTTTTGAGGCTGACAAGGTTCTTGCATGATGCTGGGTTTGTGGAGTTGGCGGTGGCGGCGTGGCAGGCCATGGTGGAGATGGTGTTTTGTCGGCCGCCGGGCGACTTCACTGCCGAAGTGGCGCTGGCGTCGTTTGCGGCGTTCTGGGAGAGCGAGGTTGCGCGGATGGGGGAGGAGGGTGCCAGGGGCTGGAAGCACTTTGTTGAGGCGGGAGAGGACATGGTTGATCCGCCTGAGCCGAGGGTGGACACAGCGAGCGAGGTACCCCGGAAGGTAGACCCGTTGGAGGCTTGGGCTGCCGCGGAACAGCGGGAGGCGGAAAAGGCACGCATGCCTGCGAGAACGCTTGACGAGGGGACGGACGATGACCCGTTTAGGGTTATCATGTTCTCGGATATCAAGGATCTGCTTGTCTGGATTCCGTCGGCGTTGCTTCCGCGAGTAAGGCCGCTGCTCGCGGATGCGTTTCTCGTTTTCTGCGGGTTGCCAACGGCGCAGTTGTCCGAGGGGGGATTTGCGACCATGTTGGACGACCCTTTTGTCTCAAGCAGGGCCCAGGGCCTCGATCTCGGCTTGATTAGAAATGACACTGGGGCAACGCAAGACCTTTCGAGGCGAATCCCCGAGTTCAGACAGGAGGGTGGCAGCATGGCGATATCACCCAACGCCCTCTTCGCGGGAGATTCGTGGTTCCGATACCTCAACAAATGGTCAGATACGCACCAGCCAGGGGATAGACAGGTGGATATCTCATGGGGCCTCCGCACACTCGAGTACTTGGTTAAAGACTACGGAATGGAGCCGCTCGCGGAGTATTACCTAGCGATGGAGTGGCTGAATGGGCCCACGAAAGCGAGGAAAGTCGCAAAGGGGCTCCTGAAACAGTACAGCTCCAACATCAGGCTGTACAATGCCTATGCTCTTGTTGAGTGCGCGAACGGCAACGCTGAGGTTTCTAACAAGGTCCTATCGTCGGCCACGGGACTAGTGAGTTAACCCCCATGAAACCGCTGGTCGTGTACTAACATGCCTGCAGCCATCCGCATCAGACAACCAGCTGCTATGGAATACCTGGGCGTGGATTCACCTCCAGTCTAACCAAAATGACTTGGCTCTTGCCCGTCTCGTTTCGTCGGTGGAAAACGAGTTCCAGGGCTCAACTCCGCCTCCAGTTTTGCTCCTCAAGACCAAAAGCCATTTTTCCAGTACCCGAGACTACTCACTCTCCTCCCAGCAGCTGGAAACAGCGACCCAATACGCCGAGAGCCTGATGCTCCTCGAATACCTAACCTCCGAAGGCGGTAGTGAACCAGCATCCGAAGCTCAAGGCAGCATCACGGCCGCTCTCTCGACCACCCAAGCCTTCTCCCATGAGCTCGAATCCCGCCAGCTACACCACTCCCCACACCATGAACGCCTCCTCCAAACCGCCGCCCGCCTCCTCTACCACCACGCCACGCACGGGTAAGCAACCCCCCCCCCCCCCCCCCCTTTTTTTTTTCCCACCCCAATCCCAAGGTAAACAAACTAACCCCCCCCTCCCACCGCAGCCCTCACCGCCCGCGCCACCTGCGCGCCCACCTCGAGACCTTCACGCACCTCTTCCCGCACAACACCCTCTTCCTGACCCTCACCGCTTGGCTCCAGCCCCCGCTCCGCATCGACGACCCCGTCCAGCACACCCTGCAAATCCTCTCCCTCACCCCGCCGCACGACCGCCTCGGCACGCGGCGCTTCGCCCTGCACCACGCGGGGCGCGCCCCGGGCAACGCCCACGCCGTGCGCGCCGCGTTCGAGGCCGCGCTGGCGGCGCCGGCGGCTGCTGCCGGGGCCGGGAGTTCCGAGCTGTGGCTGCGGTATTTGCGGTTTTGCTGTGCGCGGAAGGAGTTGAGGGGGAGTGTGAGGGGGGTGTTTTACCGGGCGATTGGGGCGTGTCCGTGGGCGAAGGAGGTTTATATGCAGGCGTTTGGGGGCGTGGTGAGGGAGGAGCTGGGGGCGGTGGAGGTTAGGGCGGTGGGGGAGGCGATGGTGGAGAAGGGGTTGAGGGTGCATGTGGATTTGGGGGGGGTTTTGGAGGGGAGGGGGTGAGTGAGTCAGCTGCTAGGGTGGCAGTTTGTGTGTTTACCGACATAGCTACCTACATACCTGGCCTACAACATAATCAAGTCAAGAAGGATTTGCCTCTCACAACGTCTACGGTGTCAACCCTCTTGACGTCGCCGAACGTCACATCGTGATATAAACCGCCGTCGTGGGTTGGCACACTACCTGTAATGATATAGACGTAACGACTCTTCCATAATCCGAGTCGAATATCCGCCCACAGGTCTAAGGGAAACTCAGGAGTCGGGGTGGTCGTGAGCTGGAGGTGTGGGAGACAGCGTACCATCAGCAGGAAAAACACAACTTGTAAAAGTCTAGTAAGATTAAATCTCTATATAGACAGACCTACATAACATAACAAAACCCACATGCGGTGTCGTCCGCGAACCTCCAACGCCAACAACGACCATAAACACACAACCCCCCCAAAGTAGACTATGCCAGGAGCCTACAATAATAACCCACCACCACCGGGTGCTGTGTACATCCTCGGTACCTCCCTTCCCCACAAGGCAACCTCAAGCCTCACTAGATAACCTTAATTCCCCGTCCCACCTAAGCAACTCAGCCCCATCCCACCCGATAACTCAAACTCCCCTTCCCACCTGGCCAAGTAACTAAAGTCAACTCAACCCCCTCCCCTTCCCCATACCCCTCCTCGTCCCCAAACCCCCAACCCCGTATCCACGACCTCTAACCCCTCGCCAAACTAAGCAACCCACTCGCGGCCCCCCCTCTGCCCTCCAAATCCTCCTCCCTATCGTCAGCATCATCGCCAACAAAACTAGCCCTCCTCCCAAACGAACTCGAAGCCGATGACGACAACGACGAAAAAGACAAGCCCGTCACACCGGCCGCCGTGCGCGGCCGCGGCGGCACGCCGGGTTCCGCGCCGTACATGTACCGTCTCGCGTCGTGGCGCATACCGAGGGCTTCGGATTGCCGGCGCTGGTGGTGGTGGTGGTGGGGTGTGCGGCTATGGGTGTGGTTGTAACTGTGACTGTTGTGGTTGTGGCGGGGGAGCTGGGGTTGGGGTGGGTGTTGATGGTGTTGTTGGTGGTGCTGGTAATGGCGGGGTTGTTGTAGTTGTTGTTGCTGCTGTTGCTCTTGGGGTTGCTGCTTTCTCCGCTCGTCCCGGGCAATGGCCAGCCGGGCCTCTTCGAGCAGCACGCTCTTTGACGGCGGTGCTTCTTGCTCGAAGCTCACGCTGGCGCTGCTGCTTGCCCGCCTGAGCGGTGCGCCGGGCAAAGGCCGCCTGCTTCCGGCGCCCGGGGTAGTGGTGGGTGGAGATGAGGCATGTCCCGGGGGCGGGAAGGACGCGGACACGGATGTTGGGCCGCGGCTGTGGCCTTGGGTTTGCCTCTGGCTAGGAAGGGAGGGGGGTGAGGATGAGACCTGGGCGTGCTGGGCTTCTAACCTGTCTAGCGGCACGTCTGTCTGGCCGGTGCGGACTTTGTAGCTTGCTAGACCGAGGCGGAGGCGGATGATCTCTGCTTTCTGTCAGGGGGGTACTTGTTAGTCTCATTATCCTTGGATACCATGCAGAAACCAGAGGTGGGTGCGGGGCAGACATACCTCTCTAGCCTGTTCACGCGTCAACCTCGGCCTGGTCCGCCTGGTTGGCAGCGGTGCCACAGCGGGTACCGGTGCAGGCGCTGTGGTATCCGGTTCGGTGAGGATCGTGACCTGGGAGTTGTCGACCGCCGAGTTGTCAAACACTGAGGGTGTGTCCGGGGAGGCGGATCGGTGGCGGGTCGTGCCGGAAGTTCTGGTTGTCCATGACGAAGGAGGCGGGGACTACACAAGATGCGTGTTAGTGCGAGAACGGCGAGACGGGCGGAACAATTGCTAAGGGCAACTGCGTACCTCTAGCTGACGGGGCTGTGTATCCTCCCTTGTGCCATCAAGACAAGCCCTCTTCGCAGCCGGTTCGCTGTCCTGCGCTGCGGGGGTAAAGGTGGGCGTGGGGGAGCGACGTTTCCTGGATCCAGCGTCCATGTCCTTCTCCGGGGTGGCCAACACCGACGGCACGCGAGCAACTCGAGTTGGCGACGTCAATGTGGCGAAGGCCTGCCGCGGCGCGATCGACTTCACCTTGGTCGGGCTCTTTTGATGCTGTGCCGACGACGAGAACGGCTTGCCCTCGTGCCTCCTCGCCTTGCTCGGCGAGCACGCGTTAGGGTCGAGCGCCCCGAGGACGCGACGTTTGACGGGTGATGATGCGTTCATGTTTGGTGATTTGGAGGTCCCTCTCTTGTATCCCCAGAAGATAGTTGAGCACCTAATAGGTAGTGAGGGTATCTGCAAGCAGACGGACTGGTAGACGGACAACCACCAATGGCTGGTTAATAAACCCCGAAACGAGAAAGTGTGTGAGATGCGTGCATGTGTTGCAGAAGAAGTGCTAAAGACGGTCCCAAGCTCCGGAGGAATCGAGAGGGGCCAATGGCTCTAAAAACAAGTCCCTCCCCAGTTCGTCCCGCGGTTTGTTCGCCAGGTCAACGCGTCGACAGGGCCCTGGAAATGCAGTGGTGGGACACGAAAAAAGAATCCACCACCTGGAGCGCGGCAGGTTCGCCATCTGAAATAAGGTACCTTTTGGTGGAGCCGACGCCCCCCAACACGGCAATTTGTAAATAGGCGTGTTGACGCGTTTACAACGGCCAACCCTCGAGTTTTGGCTGAGATTCAGGGTTAGACCCACTCAAGATCTGGGCTCGACGGCCAGGGTCCTGGTCTGATGGAGATCTTTGGCACGCTAAGATACAGGGATCAACGCGCCGCGCTTCAGGGACCCCCAAGCCGCTTTCGAGCGCGGGGGCTGGGACTGGGAACCGCGATTTGCGTGCAAATTGGAGGGGTTCATCTCATTAACCAACTGAGTCTTGATGATAAGGTAGGTAGTTAGGTACGAATAGGTATCCTCTATTTATCACGAAATAGGCGAGTTGCCGCCCTGCGTTGCCAATTGACACCAATACTGACGCTCCTATATGGAAGAAACACATAAAACTCAGTAGCCATGCACAAACCATCCATCCCCAAACCCCGTCGTTGACAATGTACATGAATGGGTATCACCACCCTGCCTGGTTGTTTCCCCGGAAAGACATGCCCTAAGCCGAACCAGAAACTCCTCCCGAGTCCGCGAGTGACCAGTCCAGAGTCACCTAACCCCAAGAGACAGAAGCCCCGAGTAAGAAACGAGACATGAACAAACCAAAGAAAAGAAACTTTGAAAAATACAGGCCTGCCCTAATGCCCGGGGCGGCCACGCCCAAGGATTGATGTAGATGAAATCAATGAGTAACGCCAACCCTCCTTTTCCATTGATTAACCCCCCCGCGCTCCATCCCAATGCTTGTGCCACCTCCGACGCGTCTCCCTCCTCCAGCTCCTTCGCGTGTGAGCCAAGCTCTCTTCTCATCTCCGGTGCGCCGGTTCCAGTTCTGCTACCTCTCGGTGCATCCGGACGCTGCCTCTTTGGTTCCAGGTTGGGTCCTAGATATCCAAAACCACGACCCTGTTCCGGCTTGTCTCGCCATCGCTCAGGGTATGTCCATTCCATACAGATCCTGGTTCACTCGGAACGGCTTCGAGAAATCCGTCTGCATCTCCTCCAGCGGGAACATCATCGACTCGTTCGTAAACATGTTCATGTCGGGCGACGCCCAGTTCTCCATGTTGAAGTTATCCATGTCAAAAATGATATCGTTGTCGAGCGACTGCACCTGCAGGTCGATGTCGAGCGCCGCCGTCTCGGCAATGTCGCTGGTCCCCTCTGACACCCCGCTGTCCTTGCTCGACTCGGGCGTGTCGTTGGGCGTCAGCGATCGGTACGTGGCAAAGTCGGCCACGAACGTCCCCGTGACCGCCTCCAGTGAGCGGCCAAGGCCTGCAAACAAGTGCTGCGGGTCGATCGTCGAGTTCATCCACGGGTCCTCCACTGGCATCTGGGGGGTTCCAGCCCCTTGTTTGGCCATTGCGTTCCGACCGGGAGTGCCAACGGTTTCGCCTGCCTTGCCGCCCGCCGCGCTGCCCTGCCGCTGCATGGATCCGCCTCGGGACATGGGCGGTGCTCCGGGCTTTTGGCCCTGCTTTGAACGGTTGATGCTCATGGGTGTCGCCGCCGGAGTCGAGACACCTGGGACGCTTGGTTTCGGCAGCGCCTTCGGGTTGCCCTGGGAATCCAGTCCGTAGGCGGCAGCCATGTGCTCCTGCATGAATGCTTGGGGATTCTCATATGGCTTGATATGTTCCTCCTGGCGATGTGCGCTGAGCGCTTCCTCCGTCGAGAAGCCCACCGAATTCATCTCGCAGTCAGGTTCCGGGCACGTCAGCTTGGGCGGCTCCGGCTTCCTGAGGGCCACCGGGGACGGAACGTTAACCTGGGGCGATGTCGAGCTGGGCGTGTGTTGCTGGACCACGGGCGGAGAGGCGTGGGCCGTTCCCGTCTTGACTTTCTTGCGGGCCGGGATTACCAGGTCGTTCCGCGTAACACGCTGTTCGCCATAGTATTCCGGGTTTCCAGCAGGCGACTTCCCGGCGCCAAATTGGAACGGCGGCTGGGACGTTGTTGGTGCCGCCGGAGCTTGTGCCGGCTTGCCGGCCGTCCGGTTCTGCGCCTGTTTGAGAGCCAGAGTTTGTTTCTCCAGGTTCGCAGCACTCAAGGGCGACGGCTGCGGCGGAAGCTGCTTGGCTGCCGGTTGGGCTCCGCTGCCGGCCCCCCCTTGGGCCGCCGATCCCTTGAGCACCTCCATATCTTGCAGCATGCTGTCCATCATGGTGATGTATGGATCCAACTCCTCCTTGGTTATGGTCAAGGTCTCCGACAACTGAGACATGCGGTCGGTGTCGGCGAACTGCCTGACGACCTTGGAGCGCTAGAATAGATGTTAGCAAATATCCAAGCTGGTAGCCAATTGGGGGGAGAAGAAGCACGTACAATCTTAAAGTACATTCTCGCCCGCGAGTCGTCTTTGGTTTGATGGTACCACCTCGCAATCCCGGCTCGGATCTGTTTGAGCTTCTCGGATGCCTGGACAATCTTGGCGCGAGTCTCATTGAGTGTCGATATCGACATTGTCATCGGAGCGCCTTGCTGCTGCGCTTCCTGGCGCCCTAGTTCGTCGAGCGCAAGCCGATGGCCATCAAAAGCAAGGGATTTCAATCGGGCGACCGTCTCCGGCGGTGCCTGCGGCGGCACCTGGCGAACCCGCATCGCGATTGCTCTTTGTTGCTCCGGTGTTAGCTTTGCCAACTGCTCTGGGTTTATTCTCGCAAGTTGCTCCGGCGAGAGCTTCATAATCTGCTCCAAGGTTGGCTTCTGGCCGGAGGGAGCAGGCCGGGCTTCCGGTTGGGGAGCCGGTCGTTGTGCGGCACCGCCTGGCTGGCCCGCCACCTCCTCGGTATCATCCGAATGTGGTCGCTTCAGATTCTTGGACGCCGTCGAAGGTGACGGGTTTGGGGGCGGCGGCCGCGCAACCTTCGCAGGAGCGGGCGGTACTTCGGGTGCTGGAGTGGTCACCGGCTTCGGCTGGGTAGCCTGGTGCTGGACTCCCATCAGCGGGCTCGGCTTCGGCGCCGCGGTGACGCCAACCGGCTGGCTAGCCTGAGGTTGGGACACCGGGCCCCCTAGTTTTTGGACTCCACCAGGGAGGTTCATGTTGCCCATTTGTTGCTGAGATTGGTTGTACTGCTCCCAAGCTTTCCTTGTCAACATATCCCGCTTGAACTTCCTGACAAAATCCACCAAGACCTCATCCGACAGGTTTTGAAATTGGGGGTTCCTCCGCGCGCTGTCGATATCCTGACGGGACACCTGCGAGATGTTAGGCGGGTATGAATAGCCCGGAGGTAATGACTGCGGTTGGGCGCCCGGCTGCTGAGGAACGGGACCGCTCGGGCCCTGGGGAGGTACTGCCGACGCCGCTTGCGGTCTCCTGTCCCATGTCTGCTTGAATTGGCTTAGCTGCAACTGATTCAGCCGGGCCACCAGCTGCGGAGGGGCGACGCCGGGGTTGGCGTGAATGAACTGCCTAAGTTGCGCCCATCGTCGCGTCTCGGCCGGTATGATTCCGCGAAACTGTGCCAAAACCTGGTGAGGTACATCCATGTTGCCCATCGCAGCTCGGCCATGCGGGGTCTGAGCGTAGGCAAAAAATTGGTCCCCGCCTCCGGGTAGTTGCTTGGGCGGCTGTTGCATCGCCGTGGGCTGGACCATCGACTGCATCGCGCCATTGCCTTTCTGGTTCGGATCGATAACGGCAGCCTGGTTGGGGCCGCCCATCGCATTGGGCTGGGAGGCTCCTGGGATGCCAGACATCAAGCCCTGTTTGGGGCCCTGGAAGCCGTTGTTCGCCGCGCGGTCTTGCTGCAGCTTGGCATAGAAATTCCTCATGGCGCCGTCGGGGTTGAGGTTTGGCGTCATTCCGCCTATAGCCGGGTTGTTCATGTTTCCCTGCAGTGACGGCGGCCGCGTGTTGTTTTGATGGTTGAACTGCGGGTTGAGGGTGGGCCCCATCGGCTGGTTTCCTTGATTTCCGGGGTGTTGCACGTTGCCTTGTCCCATATTCAAAGAGGGTTGTCGCATGGGCGCGTTGAGGGTGTTCATTGCCGGGCTTTGGGAAGCCTGGGGGGGTGGGGTCGGCATGGCTCCGGGCTGGCCAGGCATGGGCCGGCCGGCGACCGCCCGCACTCCCATCTGCGCCTGAACTGTAGGGTCTACCTTTGTCTGCGGCATGCCGAAGGCCTGCTGCACCTGGGGCGCTCGAGGCGTCTGATTCGGACCCTGCTGGCTGCCCGGCGTAGGCATGCCAGCCATAGCACCCTGCGTAACGTTCCGACTAGGAGCGGTACTAGCCGGCACTACCGTTTTCCCGGCTTGCTGCGCAAGTAGGCCCATGTGTTGCTCGTTGCGAATCTCTTCTATGTTTGGGGTGAAGCTTTGGCCGTCGGGCATAACCGACTGCCGACCCAAATTGCCCATGAGGGCGGGGTTCATCTGACCCTGGTGCGTCCCTGGGGGCATCACGTTGGTTGGCATGCCCGGCCGCTGCTGCGGCTGCTGTTGCTGCTGCTGCTGCTGCTGCTGCTGTTGTTGTTGTTGTTGCTGCTGCTGTTGTTGATGCTGCTGCTGCTGCTGCTGCTGCTGCTGTTGCTGCTGCATCATGTTCCTTTGGGCGCCGCGCAGTTGTGTAAGGGCGCTATTCTGATAGAAGGCAAAGATGGGGTCCTTGCCCTGGGAGGCGTATTCTTGTAATTGAGCCGCCGTCATCCTCCCCTGTAGGGCGTTTCGGATCTGGTTCTTTTGGCCCTCGTCCGCGGCGGCCATGAGCTTCATTGCCACGGCATTAACTCTCATTTTGTCCTGCTGATTCAACTGCGCAAGGGGGTCGACTTGGAAGTTGATGGGTTGCCGCGCCTGCCCCATCTGTTGCATCTGGAATTGGCGTTGATCCGGCCGGGCCTGGAGTATCCCTGCTGTCGGCATCCCCATGCCTAAAGGCTGCGGTTGCTGAGGCATGACGGGGACTTGCATCGGGTTTTGCATCGGCTGGAATCCATGTTGGGGTTGACCCAAGCCTCTCGCGGCAATCTGGTTCATCATCATCTGCTGCTGTTGCTGTTGCTGTTGCCGTTGTTGTTGCGCCGCCTGTAGTTGAGCTTGCCTTACAGCGTCGTTGTTGACGTGGTTCTGAAGGTCTGGTGCGTGCCCCTGTCGTCGTTTGACCATCTCCCCTATCCTCGCTGCCATGGCGTGCTCGTACGATTGCTACGATCGTGTCAAAAACAACTGCTCCTGATTTGATAGTAAATGGAGGGGTCCGTACCTTGTCTGGCGATTGCAAGTACAACTTCTTCTCAAACTCCATTGCCGTCATGCAGATCTTCTGCCACTCGTTGTTGGGGAAGGCCAAGATGGTATTGGATACCCTAGTCACTGTTAGCGATCTCTGAGGTTTCATCAAGAGTGCCACAAACTGAGTTCAATACTCAAAGGCAATAGGAACGGGGATCGACTTGAAATAAAAGGGCGTTGGGTGGAGAGGGGGATGATCCGTACAGGTTACTGGTTTTCGCGAAACGATCCCCTATGTTGACTTGGGACTGCCATGAATTGACAGGCGCCGTGCCCATGCTCTGCATCAAGTTGGTGTAGATTATATTTTGGAATTGCTTGTTTTGCGGCTGCTGTTGATGCTGCTGCTGCTGCTGCTGTTGCGCCTGTTGTTGCAGCATCATCATCTGGCCGTTCACTGCCATCTGGGGCATATTGGCGGCCATGGCCGCGGAATCGTGGTGGGTATCAAGCCCTGGTGCCGCTCGATACAATTGGACCGCGAGAAAGCGGCGTGGCGTCTAGAGAAAACGGCGTCCGGTCGCCTACCCGAACCGATCGTCGCGATGTCCAGGGGACAGGAGGGAAGCACCCAGGAGAAAAGGCGGAGAGTGGTCGACTGGCCGTAAATCGTAAAGCGTGAACGGCAAGCGTCCGTATAAGGCGTATGGCAGCGTGTAGATGCAACACAGCACAGCCGCGGCGCCTTGAGGCGGGCCGAGCGACCAACTGGGTCAGGCCAGCCAACGGCTCGCAACTGAAGCACAAGTCAGGCCGTCGCAGAAGATGAGTCGATTAATTCGTTCACAGGCGAGGCTTCGAAACGGACGGGTTGAAGAGTCGTCTGCGAAGCGATCGCATCTGTTTCCACGACAAGACTGGCACACCAAAAAAGGATGGGGCGCCCGGGTTCCGGAGCGTGGGAGCGATCCGTCGGTCGGTGATGAGGTCCAGCCGATGTCGAGAATTGTCGGCAGCAAAGCCTCTCAGCCGGCTTTTTGCAGCTGGATCAGGACTTGAGCGACTCGGATTTTCCTTCGTCGGCCTCGGGCTGGTGTTAACGCCTCGGGGCTGGCGGTGTGCGGGTGGTCGGAGGGTAGCGATGGCGGTGGGTGTTGGCAGCGGGAGGGATGTTGAACCCACTGGATTTGATGATGATCGCACGCACCAGGAACCGAAAAAGCCCAAACCCAGGGCAAAGACGACTCGGCGGTAAGGCGAGTCGATGGAGAAGATAGATGATTAAAACGCAGTGTGCTCACACACAGCGCAGGACAAATGGCGGTTGGAAGAGAACAGGTGAAGCAATCCTCGGGGTGCGAGTTTGCGGGTACCTGGGCGGCGTGGTGAAGTGGGAGGGAAACGATGGAAGCGGAATGGGGAAGGGGAACGACGGGACCTGGCGCGAGGATGTGGGCTGCAATCGCCAAGCCTGCCTGCTGGGCGGTTAAGTGGGTCCACGCCCAAGAGCCAAGACCAGAAATGGAGGCCAAGACTAAACCTTGTCTGTCGCAGCCGGAAGCTGAAGTGAACGACGGCGCTGGATTGGGAATTGAGAGATCAGTTCGTGGTGCCGAAGCGGTTTTTTGCCCTCGCACACACAGCAGAATCAGGGACGGGGGCGACGGGTTATTAAGGTATACTGTGTACTTCGAGCAGGCACGCAGGGCCGGATGGCTGATTGACAAATTCTCGGTGCAGCACGTCCGGTGGACAACGGTGTTGATTCCATACAGTACGATTGGGTTTTGTGCTCTCGCACGTTTGGCACGGGGCATGTGGATGACAGAACCCTGGCACCTTAACTCCAGCACGTCACTCCGAAGAGAGGTCTGTGGTATTACGTACAGAGCTCCCGGTCTCTGAAAATAGCTAGGATGCATACCGACTCGGCGACAGGACTACGAGGTAAATCGGCAGGACGAGCATACGCAGTCGAGGGGGGGGAGGAAAGCCAAGGAAGAAGAAGGACGGGAGGAGGGTGTTTATGAGACAGACATGGGTGGCGACGAGGTTGTGATTTGGTGCGCAGGGGTTGCAACTTGGTGCTCGTGGCGTTGCAGCAACGCACCTCAACACCACTCACTTGCTTGAATTATTCAGGACGGCGGGAGGTCGTCGCATTTCGATGTGACTACCTTGGTAGGTCTCCAAACACTACTCCAAGCTATCTGCAATCCGCCGAATTTTCTAGTCTTCAACGCACTGCTTTCTTTTTCTCCTCCCTTCTCGTTTACATTTCCGAATGCTTTTGCCTCGTCTCGCACAGGCAGTCAAGTGGCCGAGCGAATGAGGCTGAAGGCGGTCATACACACCAGGCGCAGTCGTTTTCTCCCCGTTCAAGTGTCGCCCTTTTCTTCTAACCTTGTCTTCTAAGTTCTGGCGCTCCGTTTTTATCTGGTTTTCTTGCAGCCTGGCCCAAGCCGAGACCACCGTGTGCCGGGCGCTCCTCGACAAGACTGCCGTCTGGCGAAATGAGCGTGCAATTCTTGTCCCTCGTCGCCCGACTCCGACTCCATCCAGCGGTTGGGATCAGAGCCAGGATAACCCTGGCTCAGCCACGCATCGATCCACTCGGCTGCCAAACCACCAAACCTGTTCTGGCCTCGTGGTCCTCCCTCTTGCGCGAGCGAAAGGTCGGCGAAACCTGTCATTTTTTTTCCCTTTTGGTTTTAATTACACTGCGTAGGCAAACAGTTATGAGATAACTTCCATTAGCTACCTACCTACCTATCGCTTGCCCGTCTCGCTATTTTGGCGCGAAACAAGAGGATCCCACTCTTCAAACGTTGCAAAGGCTCAGCATCCTCCTGTCAGACATCGCAGGGGGCCACCCCGCTGGCAACGGTCTTGGGCTGTCTGTGCGCAGTCTGCGGGTCCTGGTCTTCGACCCAAAACAAAGCTTGGATCCAGGGCGGGCAGATGGACCTGAGATGCGTCATTGTTAGACAGCGTTCAGCTGCCATCGCTGTTGCTCTCACCACGTTCACAATACTACTCCTCCACTCGAAACTCTCAGGAGATCCAGGCTCCCAAATAATCGTAGTGTGAAAACTCCTCACATAAATACGCAGTAGTTTTGAACGTTCGAGAAGCGAGACCTTCCATATGAAAGCGAAGAGGTGTCCTCGGCATCCGTCCCAAATCCTTCCGGCAATTCAACATCCCCAATCCTTGTCCTGCACAGCTTTGAGCAGCTGTCCTCGATCCGAGCTCGAGCACCTGCTGTCTGTTTGTACATACATAACCTGTACAATGATACGATTCTTGTTTTTGCGATCTGCCTGCTGGCTGGGGCAACGGATCCGTTTCCCACAAAACTGAAACCTAAATTGGAGCTTGATGATCCATCTCTTGTCGCAAACCGCTTTTTGGAGACCACCAAGCCCGCATTCAGCAAGCAGCGCAGCTGCAAGTTTTCGGGCAGCTCAATATGCAACACCACACCACCCAAATTCGGGGGCTTGAAAACTGCTAGTTGTCTCCGAGACACACCCAGGGAAAAAAAATGACGACAAATAAACCCGAATAAAGAGGAGACGCAATTTGACCGATTGCGACGGCCTGTTGGCGGTGTTCCAACTGGACATTCCATGGGGACCCGTGGACAAGTTTCGCCGTCCTCCTTTTCGCCTCGCGCCTTGCCTTGCCCCCATCGTCGCACGCAAGGCTGCGCTTGTTTCCCACGCCCGTTTTTAATTACAGGGTCGGGCACAGGGCAAACAGTCGGAGGTTGATGCCCTGCTTGACATTTCCCATTCCCGTCGCGTCCCCGTTGGTTGGCGATCTCGCTGGAGACGGGCGAGGGTCCCCGTTGGCCAGATACACGCCGCTCTCTCCCCCCAACACACACCGCCCGACATGGATTTGCATGGATGGGTAATACCCGCAGAGCACGGTTCAGAGCACGAGGCTCTGTGGCTGTCATCCGCTTTTCTTCGCGATCCACATTCACATCCATCCACCGTATCCATCCCTCCCCTCCCCCTTCACCCAATACCCATTTCATTCCAACCCCTTCAAACCCGGTCTCGCCATCTGTCACCATCAATCGCCCAGCAACCACCTTACACTTTCGGCCAGGAACGGTTACGGAACTCGGATAAGTGCCAAAAGTAGGGTTGCATACATCGAAGATCAGGGCCAGGGGTTCTCGGCCTCCCCTCCGCTGCTGGAAGGAGGGGGGGGGGGGGAGCAGCAGCAGCAGCAGCAGCAGCAGCCTCAACTCGGGGGTCAGCAGCAACAGCAGCAACAGCCAGCAACAGCCAGCACTGGCGAAAAAGAAGCTGTGACACGGCGCTTGACCGTTTCGGGCGGCCGTGCTTGCTGCTGCGACAGCTCTCTTGAGTCTTGGGCCCCACCCTTCCTGGGCCCCCCCTTGTCTTCCCGTGGCTTATCCGCCGATGCCCGGCCAATGAGGGCGGTCCGCCTGCCCTTCGCGGTGGACATCGGGGCCCATCGGGGGGTGGGGTGCGTGATCGGGAATCCCTGCCCGGCTCGGGGCGGGTGACGAGAATAGCAATTGGGTGAGACGACGGCGGGCCCCTTCTGGAGGCGGAAGGTGGGGTTTTCCCGCTGAGGATGGGTGTTGTTGGTGTTTTGTTTTTTTTTGGTTCTGCTCTCTGTAATTGCGCTGCCTTGCGCGATGCTTGTCGACGGTTGGGAAGGCGAGTTGTTGGAATTGCGTTGGTGACGGGACCGGGTTGCTGGTGAGTTCGGGACGGGATGGAACGCGGGGAATCGTTGGTGGGTTGTTGCCCCCCCCCCCCCCCTCCCCCTTCCCCTTCCTCTCTCAGACAAGACAGCGGGGGGTTCCCAAGCGATTGGCCCCAACCGTCGCAACCGTCGAAGCTTTCCAGATCCGCGCGACGGCTCGCCCCACATCTGGACGATCATACAGAGGACAGACAGACGTGCAGTGTGCTTCCGTGGCTTCGTGAATAAAACCCAATGGGAGATTTCCCTTAGGAGCTGTTTTGGAATTGCGTGGCGATTTCTCTCGCCTCTTTTGGTGATTCGGCACATGAAGGGACTCCGAGACGGGAGACGCCTCTCGATTTTCTCCCGACTTGTGCCTATGATCGTCTCAATCTCCGGACCAGGTCTCTCCGTCTGGCCATATCTTCGTCTGAACGACCCGAAGCGGCCGTGTCCAAGGGAGCCCGAGAGAGCGCAGGCCTACTGTGTGCACAGTATACTCGAAAGTCTCGAACGGCCGACTTTGGGTTCCTCTCTGTCGTACACAGGACTGTGTACGGATCATCGATTTGAATAATTCTCACCACAAGCTTCCAATGCGAATACTACGTGGATATCCTATTTTCGAAAAGAAAAGTCAGCGGCGAAATCGACCAAGTTCAGCTCACATGAATGTTCGGAATCGCAGGCGCCTGGAAATTTGCCGCCTGCGCGCCTCCGAGGTTACACGCGACGGTTCTACCTGACCGTTTCGCAGTTGAGAGCTGAACCAGGCCCAGCGCGGGCAAGGCTGACAAACGATGATGTAGTATGCAGCTGACTGGCCATGTGGAGGCGTGGGCGTGGGCTGCTGCTCAACTGTGCATCCATTCATACAAACCCCCTCGGGCCCGACAACACACGTAGACGTCTGGCTGTGGGCACGGCCACGGGTCACTCGGTGAAGAAGGCATCCGTCAGTTCCATGTCATCATGGTTCTGCAAGTCAGCAAGAGCGTGACTGCAGCGAGGCCGCGGCGGAGGGCCCCCTTCGTTCGCGATGTGGCCCTAAAATGAAAAATGGCTGTAGCACGAAGGAGGTTATTTCGGCGAAAAGTGTTGGGAAATAACCTCAATTCGCTTCTGTCCCCCACACCATGGCCTTGATCGTGGCTGGCCGAAAAAGTGAAGACCCGGGGAGATGGGCTGGGTGGCTGGGCGGCCCCTGCCTTGCTGAAGCTTTCATCAACCTTGAACTGAGCTCAGAGAGTGGGAGAGTGGGATGCCGCCGTGGCCGCCTACCAAGATGAGTGGGGCGCATTAGCATTACTCGATCTTTTATTGGTTGGTCGGCAGTCACATTCGTCCCACTTCTGCCTGCCTTCTGTGGTTCTGTCTTCTCTTTCCTGCTCTTTTTCACGATGTTGAAGTCTGGTGGTGAAATCTCACATACAAAGCCTTATGAGCTGACTGCCTAACCTGTGTACCTACTTTTATGGTGTTTTCATTTATCTGCGACATTACCACAGTAATTAAAGAACCCTCACAGCCACATCTCCCTGTGAGGAGAAGCTTGTCCTCCTGCCCCACCTCGCCCAGCTCAAGTGGGACCATTTTGTGAAGTCTCGGCAGGGAAGTGTGCAAGGAGTGAGCTGTGTGTGGTTCATTCATGTGGTGGTGCGTGTGGGCTTGTGGACTTTTAACCCCACGTCCATGATCAAGAGGAACCTAACCAGGCAACTGGCACGGGATGGCCTCCTCCCCCTCGATGCAAAGAAATATCCCGATGCTGGCTAGCCGAGTCTTCCCCACGTTGTATTTGCTGCAGCCTGTCTCGGGCCCGCCCAGTTCACGACTCGTGCCAACTTTGTGTGTGTCGGGCGTTACTGCTGTTGCTCGTGTGACAACGACAAGAAGATCAAGTTCAACTTTGAGTTCAAGCCCAACGACTCGCATCTTCTTGACTCGACGTTCTTATTCCTCGACTACCGCACCCCCACCAACATCATCCCCATCCCCATCCGCGCTCGCATCCGCACCTCCGCCTCCACCTTCACCCGCACCCGCACCCGCACCCGCACCCGCACCCGCATCCGCTGCCAGCCGAGGTCCTGTCCCTGTCAAGATGGCTCCCCCCAAGTCCGCCTTCGAGTTCCTCGACTTCGTCAATGCCTCGCCGACGCGTACGTAGTCTTCTTTCTTCCTTCCTGCCTACGTAGCATCGCCGAGGTTGGTTGCGCAAAGTGTTGACTAACCCCAACTAGCTTACCACGCCGTCGCCGAATCTGCCCGCCTCCTCGATGCCGCCGGCTTCACCAAGATCCAGGAGCGCGACAACTGGGCTTCGACCGTCAAGCCCGGCGGCAAGTACTACACAACTCGCAATGGCTCTTCGGTCGTGGCCTTCGCCGTTGGCGCGAAGTGGAAGCCGGGCAACCCGATCGCCATGGTCGGCGCCCACACAGACTCGCCGTGCCTCCGGGTCAAGCCTCACAGCAAGCGCACCGCGAACGGTTACCTGCAAGTTGGCGTCGAAACATACGGCGGCGGCATATGGCACAGCTGGTTTGACCGTGACCTGAGCGTGGCGGGCCGGGTGCTGGTGCGCGAGGGCGAGGGCGAGGGCAAGTTCGTGCAGAAGCTGGTCAAGGTCGACAAGCCGATCGTGAGGATCCCCACTCTGGCCATCCACCTGCACCGGCAGACCAACTTCGACCCCAACAAGGAAGACGAGCTGCTGCCCATCGCGGGCCTGGCCGAGGCCGAACTGAACAAGGCGGCGGAGCCTGAGACGAAACCGGAGGGTGACTTCCAGCCCCTGGCGGCGATGCCCGAGCGCCACCACCCGGCCTTCCTCTCCCTCGTCGCTCAACACGCCGGCGTCGACGTCTCCCAGATCGTCGACTTCGAGCTCATCCTCTACGACACGCAAAAGTCCTGCCTCGGCGGCCTCAACGACGAGTTTATCCTCTCAGCCCGCCTCGACAACCTCAACATGACCTTCTGCAGCATCAAGGGCATCATCTCCTCGGCCCAATCGACCTCGCTCGACAACGACACCAGCATCCGCCTGGTCGCCTGCTTCGACCACGAAGAGATCGGCTCCCTCTCCGCGCAGGGCGCCGACTCCAACCTGCTCCCGGCCATCCTGCGGCGCCTGTCCGTCCTCCCAGCCGAGGGCACCTCCGCCTCGGAGCTCGCAGCGTCCACCGCATTCGAGCAGACCTGCGCGACGTCCTTCCTCCTCTCCGCCGACATGGCGCACGCGGTGCACCCCAACTACGCGGCCAAGTACGAGCGGCACCACACCCCGGCCATGAACGGCGGCCCCGTCATCAAGATCAACGCCAACCAGCGCTACGCCACCAACTCGCCCGGCATCGTGCTCGTCCAGGAGGTCGCCCGCGCCGCCCGCGTGCCCCTGCAGCTCTTCGTCGTCAAGAACGACTCCCCCTGCGGCAGCACCATCGGGCCCATGCTGTCGGCTAAGCTCGGCCTGCGCACCCTCGATATGGGTAACCCCCAGCTGAGCATGCATAGCATCCGGGAGACGGGCGGCTCTGCTGATGTCGAGAGTGCTGTGCGTCTGTTTGAGGGGTTTTTGGGACGGTTTGGGGAGCTGGAGGGGAGGATCCTGGTGGATTGAGGGGGGGGTTGGTTGTTGAGAGGTCGGGGGGATGGGGTTGAATGGTGTCTTGTGTGCTGGGTAGTGTGTCTGGGTACGTTCCATGCTTAGTAAATACAATGGCAGTACGTTTGGGGGTTTATGTTGAATGCTGCGCGTTGTGCGTGGCAACCTGTCCAATTCTAACATGAGACGCGAGGATATATCGGATCTCCGGGGTTGTCAAACAGAAGCTGGACATTTGCGAACTTCATGTGACTTGTGCGCTAAGGCCGAAGTTTCTTTACGTTTTAATAACTGACAATAAAGTCTAGGGCGAGAACGGAACGCACTTCACTTTATCATCTCACTTCATCTCCTACTGGACTCAACATATGGGGATCCGACACACAAACGACATAGCATAACACGACAATACTGTGACCCTGCACCCCTCCATAGTTTCCCATCGAACCCTATTAGTTCACTTTACTACACACAAGCATATCTTCGTGTGCCGCTCCTTTCCCCCTAGTTTTCTATGTTAGCCTCCCGGGAGGCCGGCGGACGAGGTTCTTCGGATGGAAGAATGATCTTCAGAATCTGACGGATTTTCCGCATATCAATACACCGACAGCTTCCGAGTCCCAGCCAGCCGTCTCTATATATTCCTTTCGCCACTTGTCGTTATTAAGCTTAGCGTCTTGCCAGAAGATATACGGTTTGTTACCAGTTAACACAACGCGCTGGGCTGGTGTCCGTGCAAACCGATCAACACATTGGTCGTGACAAACGAACACGGCCCCTATACACCCAACGCAGGTCCCGGACTTCCCTTGCCTGTCCGAAGGGCCCAGAGCTCATCCCCCGTGGGAGGAGCCCACTGGTACTGCAGCGCCGGCGGCGAGGGCACATCAGGTCTACCTCCTGCTAAGAAGACAAAATCTTCCCAGACTCCATTTTCTCCCGGAACGCACATCACCGCCCACGTCCGCGCTGAGACCGAACCCCCCATGACCAGGGCACGGAGGGCGTGGCCCCCGGGCAGGGCGAGCGAGAGGTGCGGCGGCGGCCTCCACTCGACCTCTGGCCGGTCGGATCCCGGTCATTGGCTAGCTCTGACAGTAACGCGGCCGGGAACGGCGATGGGATGTAGGAGGAGGCTGTCATGACGACGACGGCGGCGGCGGGGAAGACTGGGCGGGGACGCGGGACGCGGGAAGAGTCGACGCCGGCGAGGGCGGCCTCGGTGAGGGAGGGCAGTGGCGGCGGAGGAGAGAGGGGGGAAAGCGAAGAGCGAAGGGGGAGAGCAGAGAACGGGGAATGGGGGAATGGGGGAATGGGGGGGGGGAGGCGTGCCGGGACGGGGCCCTAGGGCTACCGGAATCCATCCACGTCACCTCGCTGTCAGACAGCACCACACCGTGACCTTCTTCCTTGTCGACCCTGACTGCACCAACAGGCGGCCCGATGCGCTCGAGCATCTCCGGAGAGCGCATCTCCGTCCACGGTGGGTTCAAGATCACGTCGCGAGTCTCACGCTATGATCCGCTGGACTCTTTGCCCACGCTCCTCGTTGCTATGTATGACTGGGCCGCACCTACTTGGTCCCTGGCACGTCACTGTCGAATTATATGAGCCCTTCTTCTTTATCTTTCGTACCCGCCCTCTTGATAAGTAGGTACGTATGTATTAGCTGTCTGAAATGGGGCTGAGGTAACCTGAACGCACGCAGATATCGCCAACCCGACATCAGAACGGTGACCGGAAGCGGTCCGTGGCCCAACACCGTGATTTTCCGCGGTTGATTTCCCTCAATGACAAAAATGAATCGCCACTTGCTGTGCTTCTCTCATCTTCCCGCAAACGCCATCATCCCTCCTAAAGCCATTGTCACCGGTGTTGTTTCTCGCCAGGTTATATGTTGCTCGTCTAGAGTGAAAAGGGGGGTAAAGGCGTAGGGGGTAAAATTACGGGCAGGAGTCGGGAGGCGATCAAAGTCGCAAGAAATAGTACAAACCAAGGAAACAAGTGACCGACGAAGGGCGACCGTTCGCAAATTAAATGTCAGATGAGACGGAGTAAAAACGGGGCCGCGACGATCTAGACACCAACGGACGAATGTATAAGACTGAGATAACAGAGCAGCCATCGGATGGCAGAAACCCAAACAGGATGATGCGTTGGAGGTCGAGTAGAGAAAAATTGGCGGAGAGCCAGCTATCTAAGTACCAAACTTTATTCATCTATACCGGGCATCGCAGTTGTTGACTGGCAATGCTGCTAAAGGACAGTACATACACGCCAGAATCAAAAGCTCGGCAGCTATCAATCAACCACAGAATACATTCGTCCCCCGTTGCCCACCCCAGCCACTAATCAAAGCATGGCAGGGCACAAGCAGGTATCTACTTAACCCTCGCAACTACCTCCTCCCCTTCAACAACCCCAGCAACCACGTCGCGACCGGCTTCTTCTCCCGCGACGTGGTCAGCACCCGCAGGTACTCGGTCCCGTCGATCCCCAATTGCGGGAACGTGACGTTTTGTAGGTGGTTCACGAACGCCTCGCCCGTCTTGGAATAGATGACCTGCTGTATCCCGGCGATCTCGTTCAGGATCTGGCGCGACTGCGCGTCCGTGTTTGGTCTGAACCCGCCATCCTGAAGCACCGTCCAGCACAGGCCGTGGAAGTGCTCGATCATGAACTGGTCGAACCCTGGGATGGCTGGTGTCGGTGCCCCCGTGGTGACTGGGTTCTCGCCGATGGTGGCAACGTCCGGCCCGCCCCACTGTGAGGCCATGCGGCTGAGGACGCCGAAGGCGATACGGCTGGGGACGAGATTGCCGTGGGTCAGGGTCTTTGCGATGTTGATGATAGAAGAGATGAGGGACTCAAAGGTGGCCTGGTTGGACGCGCTGACTAGGACGCCGCCAAGCTCGTTGGAGAGGATGACCTGGACGAACGAGACGTATTCGCGCCGAAGTTCCTGCAACTGTATCTCGTCGTCTGTCCCGTTAATGGGCTCTGACAGGCCGCTGAAGACTCGCTGGAGCAGCGGGGTCAGAAGGACGTCGAGAATGTTGTAGATCTCGGTCTTGAAGTTGTACACAACCTGCTCCAGGAGACGGAGGAACATAGCCATCTCGTCCTTGCTGGAGCTGCGTGACAACAGCCCTTCGATCCACTGGGGCAACTGCGGCAGCACCGCAGAGCCAAGCACGCCGAGGAGACGCGAGAAGGCCGACCGGCACGCCGCGCGGACGTCGTCGCTAGCGTTGAGCTGGTTGAGCGCGATGAGAATCGCTTCAGCGGCCCTCGAAAACTCATTAGAAACAGCCTCGTGGGGCTGTGGCCGCTTGGCTGGCTGGGCGGTATGGGTGTCGGCAAAGCCGTTGGCGAGTGTCCCCAGGGCCATGATGATGTGGTGCACCTGTAGGACGGCCTGCGGATCTCCAGCTTTTGCACGGTCCATGTGCACGCTCATGTCAGAGAAGAGCGGTTCCATGACCGACCGCGCGTACAATCCCTGATCGGCGGGGGGCGTGGCAGATGTCGAGGAAATGCAGCCGATCGCTTCATACAGGTAGAGCTGGCTGTTGAACACGGCATCGGCCGAGTGGTCAGACTCATCCGAAGACATATCATCGTCAGCATCGTTGCCGGGGACTTCAGCCTTGATCGGCAAAAGGTCGCTGATGGATTCTATCACTGTCTTGGCCACGTTGCCGACCTGCGCCCTCAACGTTTTTACAAACCGGTGGAAGAGGTACCAGGACCTCGTGCGGATCCGGACGTGGTCGTGGTGCACCAAACGGACAAAGTTCTCGAGCACCTGCGGGATATAGCGCTGCTGGTCCTCGAAGAAATTGTAATACCGGGTGCAGATTTCCATGTACTGGAGAAGGATTGCGGGGTGGTGATAGTTGGCGATGCCTAGCAACACACGTCAATACACGTCTAAACATAGTGCAGGGTGTTTCCCTTACCTGACTCGACCATCTTGCCCATCATGACGGCCAGTCGTTCGGCAGCGAGCGGGTTCGGCTGGCTCTTTTGAGCCAGCCCCGCGTTGGGCAGCGCCAGCTCGCCAAAGAGGTAGATCTCGTGTAGGGCCAGGTCCAAGTCCCTCCAGTCCATCTGTGATCCCTGCTGTTCAAGAGTAGAAAACATGTTCGCCACCAGATTGCTCAAAAATTCTATGCAAAGATTCTCGTCGACGGACGCCACACTCTTTTGAAGGATCTGAAGCTTTTTGCGCAGCTCCTGGAACTCGGCCTCGTCCGTCTGTTCGTCCTCGTTGCCCCAGTTGGACGTCTCATCATATCTCATCTTCAAGACGATGGCGTTCAAGATCGGTGGGAGCATTTCGGAGTACGTGGGCGGCAGCTGTCCAACCTTGCGGAGGAAGGTTAGGAGGTCGGTGAGTGAGGGGATGACGGTCGAGCAGACTTCGTCGTACTCGTCCGAGAAAAGGCGCAGGAGGGACGGCAGGAAATCGCGGAGTAGCTGTTCTGCCTTCCCCCTCGTGTCGTTGTCGACCTTGCCATCTTCCAGGACGCGGACCACATCAGCCATGAGAGTGTTGACCAGCTTGGCCACGGCTTCGGCAAGGTCGGTATCGTATCGCGGCGTCCCCTTCCATTCGTGGAGAGGCGGACTCGCCAGAAGCTGCGTGACAATCTCACGGAGGTTCAGAAACGTAATCATCTCAGCCTTGTCGCTGGGCTTCATTTTCTTGGCCACAATCTCGGTGAAGGTGTCGACGGCCGCGTCCCTGACTTTGTCCTCGCTCCCGGCCGCATGCGTCCTGCCGACCAGTGGCAACACCAGGTTGATCATCTCCTGGTTGATGACCAGGTGGATGTCAATCCAGCTCACCCACTTGCCAATAACCTTGAGCGTGGTCTCAACCACGGCGTCATTCTGATGGCTGTACCGGGCTAGCAGATCCTGCCAGGACTGAGCAATCTTCCGCATGTCCCGCTCGCGGATCAGATCTTTGAGGTCGTTGTTACGCCTAGCCTCGTTATCTGGCCGGCTTAGCATAAGATCGGCGATCTCGTCATGAATCGAGCCCAGTATACGCAGGTACATGACTACCCCGGGGAGATTGTTTTCTTTTTGGGCGAGGGCCAGGAAGTCGTCGATAAAGCTCTCCCAGCCCTCCTTGTACAGAGCGACGAATAGATAAGTGAGGGTTTGTGTGAGTTTATTTTGAAGATGTGCCGGGTCGACCTGATCTTGGGCGTCGCCGCTGTAGATTCGCCCAACGTATTCGAGCAGGGATTGCTTGAGGAAACCGAGGCCCCCGCCGTCGAGAACCCCCGAGTGAACGGCATTGTTGACTATTTCGAGGCAGACCAGTCGTACAACGGGGGATGTTCGGGGAGTTCGGGTAAAGAGGGAGGTGCAGACCTGCCAGGCCTGGGAATCGGTGCGAATTTGGTTCAGAAAGTCGAAGGCCTGGCCTTTGAGCGCCTGGTCCGAGGTAGGGTCCCAGGCGATCTCGATCGCATTCTCGATCTGCACGCAACCGACTTGTTAACAGGGCTCGAGTGCAGCTAGAAGGGTTGAAGGGCTCGAGGGTTGTAGGGGCCGCATGGCGGTGCTGACATCGTTGACATCAAAATCAAAGCCAGTGACTCTATCCCTTCCCTTGCGATAGCGGGGCAGCAGGGTTAGGCAGCGGGGAACACGCGACCGACGGCACTCACCTGGGCGTCCATTGCCGGACAGTAAGGTATGTTTGGAGAGTGGATGTTATGCCAGCAGCAGGTCGAATGCGTGATTGCAAGAAGTGCTATACCCCGAGCAGATGAGTAGTGAATGTGGAAGTATTCGGCATTCTCAGAAACGGCAGCAGCAAATGCAGTGCCCGACACACATGGATCAACCCCTCTAGCAAGCCACCATCGTCTGTGATTTTACGGCGACAAGAGTATGAGAAATTGATATGAGGGAGTGCAGTATACAGCGGTGAGGTCGATGCCTGAGATAGGTAGGTAGTCACGATAGAGAGCGGGCGAGGTTGGGGGAGCAGCTGTTAGCAAGGCCGAACAAAGACTGGTGAGGAATGCAATGCCGTGCAGTGCGTGCAGTGGACTGGGTTCAGGTGGGGCACTGAAATCGAAAAAGTCAAAAATGGACAGCTCACGCACGATTTGGTGAAGAAACTCGGCACACTGACGTTGGTGGGGGCATGGTGGCGCACGGTCCATCTCGGCCTGGGCCTTCAGTTTCCTGTGATGGGGGGCAAGGGTAAATTTAGCTCGGCAGGAGCCGAAGGAAGCAACGGCCGACATTCCGATAAGAAACTCGATCTCAGATTTTGGGACGAATGAGGAAGGAAAAGATAGAAGGAAGGGGAAAGAAATCGGAAAGTCTGTAAAATAACCTGGACAGAAGCTACCTATCTGTCCGTAATTATAATATATCAGCAATAAGCAGATGTACTTGGTAGAAATGTTGCACCCTTCTCAAGCACGTGCCCGGCTGCAATGAGCCGTTTACCGTATGACACAGGCCGAAACTCGATGCTTCCCCTGATTCGTACATCGCTACCTACCCCAAGGAACATTTTATGCACTCAAAACACTGCATGGTACCTCATGCTGCTGATTTCCCATCCCAAACGCCATACCGTAAACTTCACTCAACCCGAACCGAGCCGGCGTTGCCAGAGGATGGCCGCCTTGCCACTCGCCGGAACTTGGCTGCGATACCATCCCTAACTGCCTCCTAACCGGTCTTCTTCTTCTTCTTTGGACGCTCCTCCTCATCGTCGTCGTCGTCCATATCCTCGTCTTCATCGTCCTCGACCTGGTTGTCAACATCGCTCTCGGCGCTGCCGGAGCCGTCGCTCTCGTGGTTGCTGTCGTACTCCTCGGCAACGTCACTCTCGGACTGAGAGCGGAAGTCCTCATCCACGCTCTCTTCGTCCTCGTCCGCCGAGCCACGGTCCGCCTTGGCCCCGACAACCTCCTCGTCCGAGCTGGCCATGGCCTCGTCTCTAAGGGCCGCGGCCATGAGCGTCGTTTCCTCGTCGATCTCGTTCTTAACACGCAGGCCCTTGAGCTTGAAGAAGTCTTCTAGAGCCTTGAGATCCTCCCGATTAATGTTGCTGAATTGCGAGGACCCGGCGCCGGACTTCATGTGCACCGTGATGTCGAAAGTTGACAGAGCTGAGACGGCCCCGCTAACGCGGGAGAATGTGATGGATTGCGTCTGGTCGTACGAGATGTAGGTGGCGGGCTTCGGCACAAACATGAAGGCCTTCTCCAAGCAGTACAGGAAACCCTCGCTCGCCTTGATCGAGCACTTGATGCCGTATTGCTGGCGGTGTCTAGAGGCGTGTCAGCATGTAAACTCTCCGGTCAGCAAGAGGGCATGGAGACGCACGTTGTGAAGTCCTTCGCCGGCGCAGTGATTTTCTTGTTGGCCAGGCCCTTGAAGATATACGCGACAACCTGGTGCAGGGGCTGTTCGTAATGGGGCTGCAGCTTGTCCTTGTATTTGCCGTTGAGCTCCTCCTCTGCGAGGTTGAGATCCAGGGTAACTTCCTCATCCTGCTTGAACTGCATGATGAGGAATGGATACCGCGTTTGGCCCTGCCGAAGGGGTGGGTCCAGCCCGATACACAGCATGAAGTGGGTATCATCGGGTTTCGGGAGGACCATGAACTTCTTGATAGCCTCGTACTGGATCTTGTAGTCGTACGTTTTGCCACGCAGGCGGAAAGAGGCGTCGTACATGTCGATGTCAAACCGACCTCTGGGCGGCCGTTAGAAACAAGACAGATAGTTTGGAAGGTACGTGGCACACAAACCTTGGTGTGAGATGCAGGACATCGAGGAAGGTGGCAATCGTATCGCCCGCCGTCTCCCCAATCTCCGCCTTCTCAATGAGAGTATCGTAGAAGAGCGTGACGGCGCTCTTTTCCTCCTCGTCCACACCGCTCCCAGCATTGCTGCCTTCGGCTTCTTTCCGAGTTGTTGTGCCGGGGATGTAGAACCTCATCTCCGTGAGCTGGTCTCTCCCGGCCGCTGCCTTCTTGCCCTTCCCTGGTGTGGCGCCATTTTGACCGTTCGACTTGCCCGCGTCAGCGACAGAAAACTCCACCGCGATTTCGTTGCGACCCGCAAGGTTGGTGTTGGATATCTCCGAGTACGGGATTTCGAAAGCGGGCCGGTTTTGCACGTTGAACGAGATCTCGGCCTTGCCAAACTCGGCCTTGCCCCAATTCCAACCGCGCAGCGAGTGTTCCTTGTTTTCAAGAGTGGCGCTGTACCAGTTCTTAAATATCTTGCTAAGGCGTTCGTAGTCCTGTTCCAAGTCAGCCGATGCCCGCTGCGCCCGCCCGCGTTATCCCTACCTCTTGTTGGAAGCCGTCCAGCTGAAGGACCCCCGAATTTCGCTGCAGGATTTTCACCTCGTAACCTCGAGCCGCTCTGCTCCACTGTGCGCCACCAATGTTGCTAGAGTCGAGGGTGAAGGGATCGCCGCCGCCTACGGGCTTCCACCCCAAGCCGTTCTCGGCGAACCTGCACTTGCCATGTTCTCGGGATAAGTCCAAATGGATGTTGTCAAAGCTCTCACTAACGGCTTGTCAGCTATTCGTCGGACTGGGATGCGCTGCAGGTGGCGGGAATGGAAAACGACATGGAAATAAAGTGAAGAATCAAAAATTCATACTTACATTGCTGCCATATTGTCGCGTTATTTCGGGGCTCTGGGAATGTTGGATGGTTGAGCGATGGATCCGATCCGCCGTGGAAGGTTGCAGGAGTTAAGAGTTACCAGTCGCCTGGCGCGTGTGAAGAAAGGCCGACGCGACAGGAGCTAAATTGGAAAGCTCGGCGGCCGAAACTGCCGGGCGGTCGGGCAGGCAAGACCCGCCGAATAGGCAGCCTCCCTGCAGGCGAGCTCTGGATCGCTGACATAATACACATACAGATTACCTGACATACACGTACTTATAAGATGACGACTCTTTCAACCCTTTTGACGACAGGCTGGGAATAGCAGGGTGGAAAATTCCATCTTACATTTTGTAAAGTTATCTCGATTTTCCGGCGCTTCCCGTATGCCCATTCCTTGTTTGGTAAAGCAGGTCAACGGGCAAAACCATGGAATATTTTGCAACGCTCATCCATATTCGTCCGTCATCTTGTCCTTGGTGTGTACGAATAATTACCTGGTAACCGACTTGGGTCTCGTCTTGGCAGAAGATGATGTTAACTCATGCTGACCCTCATGTTTCACTGACAAACGACCACTTGCACAAAACGATGAGAATGAGATTTCGTTCTTCGGGCATGTTCATGTTTCTTGCAAAACCCGCCTGCCTAACTCAGCTCGGAAGAGGTTCCATTCGACATGAGGATTGGAGCCTCCCTGCCTGGAGCGACGATGTCTGGTAACCAAACAGAGCTCGCACGCATGTGGGGTGCCCCCCAGCACTAACTAAAATCGGTGATGTAAGTGATGGAGCCATGGTTGTCTGAAGTGGCTGTCTCCCATGATTTAACAAAGTGAATGACCACCGATGGCCAAATGGTCAACATTGCCTCTGATCCAGTTCAGACGATCACATGAAGAATCGACATTGACCTGGTCTTCTTTTACTCTCTTTATGGCAAAGGCCTGCCGTTTCTGAATCGCTTAGTAGTGTCTGGCTGCTTTTGCGTTGGCCCGACTGCTGCCAACCATCTTCGCCATTGGAAGTTACCGTATAAAGGGACAGATCGGCCGACCAGTGTTGTCATCGACCCACGACCGACATATTTTGAAGCGTGCAAAAATCCGCTTTCAATCTGAACTTTACTCTCGAGATACAGTTATTGCCGAGTCTTTTTTTTCCCGAGGGCAACAAGTTGAGACCGAAACGATGAGCTTCAACCGTCCGATCCGAGGCGGCTGCCACTGCGGCCGCAACCTCTACATGATCCAACTCCCCTCGGACCAACCAGCAACCCAAACCGCCCAGATCATGTTCCACTCGCACCCCTCCCATCGCAAGTCCCCCCCAGCCTTCCCAACCCTCCCCCTCCCCCAAACAACAAGGAATCAACTTACTAACCAAAACCCCCCCCAACACCAGGCTCCACCCTCGGCACGCCCCTCCCCGCCTACCTCCGCGTGCCCCTCCAATACTACCGCGCCGCAGCGGTGCCCGTACGGGCAGACGAGACGAACGCGATGATCCACCGGGCGTACGAGCCGCGCGGGACAGCAGGGGAAGGGGGGGACGAGGACGAGGAGGATGCGGTGGGAGGCCACACGAAGCGGTACTTCTGCGGCTTCTGCGGCACGCCGCTGTCCTTCTGGAGCGAGTCGCCCCCCGCCGAGGCCGACTTCATCTGCCTGACCCTGGGCAGCCTGTGGCCCGAGGACTTGGCTGATCTTGAAGAGCTCGGTTTGTTGGCGGGGGTGGGCCTGCGCCGCAGCCCGAGCCCGGCTGGCTCTGGCTCTGGCTCTTCGGCTTTGTATGCGCCGGAGCGGGGTGGTGGTGGTGCTGCTGCTGCTGCTGCTGCGGGAACGCGGAGCAGGGAGGGAGAAGGGGTGGTGGGGAGTGTTGGGGTGTTGTCGTGGTTGGATACACTTACCGAGGGGAGTAGGCTGGGGGAGGCGCTGCGCCAGACGAGGGGCGGGGCCGCGGGTCCGAAGGGTAGGGTGAGGATTGAGTGGGAGATTGTTGAGTGGAGTGGGGATGATGATGCTGGTGGTGGTGAGAGCCCGCGAAAACGGAAGGCCGATGAGGTTGAGGGGGCCGACGAGGGCGGGAGAATGGAAGGAATCGCGTAGTAGGTTAAGCGTCTGTCTCCTCTTTGCCCGCAGCTAGGGGGTTAGGGGTTACGCGGCTCGTTTCAGAGATCAAGGCGAAAACAGTCTCCAACGCGGGACGGCACGCATGCACCAAGCTCCATGCGGTTGACAAGGTTGCGGGAGGGGGTCGATCGGCGTAGTTGGCGTTTACTTGGACGGATGATTGGGCATCGGGGGGCTGTAGTCGGAGATTATGAAGGCAGGAACCAACATTATTTCGAATCCGAGCATCCGGCTGGACTCGTGACATGGAAGCATCTCTCGTTACGTCTCATGTTTTTCAGGCTGTTACGGGCGGCAACCATGGTTAGACAGAGCCGCGCGGTTAACCCTCGAGTCAATCCAAAGACAACAATAAATTGCCGGAATGGTTGCCATGGCCACGGAAGTGCAGGCTTGACGACTTACACACCATGATCCAGGCGGACAGGCCATCGACGTTCATGCTCCGGAATCAGCGGCCGGTATTGCCGTCGCTCATACGAATTTAAAGCGGTCGTCCACCACCTTTCGCTGGCGGGATCTCACGCCGGCGGCCGAACCGTGGTCAGCCGTTCGGTCCACTGTGAGCAAAGCACTGTGAATCGCCAGGACGACCGATGTTTAGCCAGCGGTAGGAAGCGACTGGCCACTGCACGAACCGCTCCGGAGTTTTGCCAGATAGACGCGACCGCTACTCAGGTTAGCGACGGCGTGCCGTGCCAGACCAGCCTTGGTTTGGGTTGGCGGTTGAAAGAGGCTCATCTCGGCGCGGGCGGTGTGGTGCCGTGGTTTGCTGCTTAAAACGACGCCCCTGCTCGTGACCATGTTTTGGGCGCAGCCACCCCTAGTTCCGCCGAAGTTTACCCAGCCAAGGTCCTTGCTCTGGCCCTTCACGGGCCGTGGTTCCGGAAACTGATGCCAAGGTGGAGAGAGCAGCATGAGCGACTTTCGCGATCGTCCAGCGGGGTTTTGAGGGGGCATTGGCCGTCTCCGAGAGCCGGGAGAGCAGGCATCGATGCTGGAGCTCCTGCAGCTCTCGGCCGGAAGAGCCTCTTCATGTAAGGTACCTGGGTACCTTGGGTGCCACGCTTGATTTTGTTTCGAGAAGGTGTGTTTCGGGTTGTTCTTCCGAGCGCCCAAGGCTGGGCGGTTTTCCCATTGGGGGTTGGTGGGTTTGGTGGGTACGGTGGGGCCAAGGGGAAACTGGCCCCTGTTCTCCGCAATTTCGTGCATCTTTGACAAGGGCCCTGCGTGCTTGCCCACATCAACCACCGGGTCACTGACCGTCGACCACTGACGGCGCTCCGTTGGCCATGGCTCGCCAGGGCTATCTTACCCCGCGGTGGGGGCCCACGGGTCCTTGTTGAGACCCCGGTTGCGCGCATCACTCATGGTTCATGGCTGTGCGCAAACGTTGCACACGGCTGGCTGGATCGTGGCCCGCATCTCTCATCAGTCTATGCCTAGCTTTCTCCTCGGTGTTGACGGTCCGAAACACGCGGGAGAAATGGGGGGGATAATGGCATGAAACGGCGGTGATGGTTTCCATAATTATATAAGGGAGGGCACATCGCCCCTTCCGCGCTCTCAAGTCCCGGACAAGCACCTTCTCTGTCTTCATTTCATCTCCCATCCCCCTCTCACCTTCCCTCCCACACACAGACAGTCAGACATCATGTCTCTCCCCAAGGACTTCCAGTGGGGCTTTGCCACTGCCTCGTGAGTTTGCCTCCTCTCATCCTACCCTCCTTATTCGTACCTTCCGCTAGTAGCTTCCACACCTGAGCTTCAGTAGGAAGCAGCACCCTTCCATGTCCAGTCTTTGAACCCTTGACTAACACCAGTCTCTCCCCCCCTTCCCAGGTACCAGATCGAGGGTTCCATCCATGAGGATGGCCGTGGCCCGTCCATCTGGGACACCTTCTGCAACATCCCCGGCAAGATCGCCGATGGCAGCTCCGGTGTTACCGCCTGCGACTCGTATAAGCGCACCAAGGAGGACATTGACCTGCTCAAGACCATCGGTGCCCGCGCCTACCGCTTCTCCATTGCCTGGTCGCGTATCATCCCCATCGGTGGCCGCAACGACCCCATCAACCAGAAGGGCATCGACCACTACGTCAAGTTCGTTGACGACCTGATCGAGGCCGGCATCGAGCCTTTCATCACCCTCCTCCACTGGGATATCCCCGACGGCATCGACAAGCGCTACGGCGGCTTCCTAAACAAGGAGGAGTTCACGGCCGACTTTGAGCACTACGCCCGCGTCCTGTTCAAGGCCATCCCCAAGTGCAAGCACTGGATCACCTTCAACGAGCCGTGGTGCTCGTCCATCCTGGGCTACAACAGCGGCTACTTCGCCCCCGGCCGCACCTCGAACCGCGCCAAGTCGGCCGTCGGTGACAGCTCGCGCGAGCCGTGGATTGTCGGCCACAACCTCCTCGTCGCCCACGGCAAGGCCGTCAAGGTGTACCGCGAGGAGTTCAAGCCCACGCAGGGCGGCGAGATCGGCATCACCCTGAACGGTGACGCCACCCTCCCCTGGGACCCCGAGGACCCGGCCGACGTCGAGGCTTGCGACCGCAAGATCGAGTTTGCCATCTCGTGGTTCGCCGACCCCATCTACTTCGGCCACTACCCCGAGTCGATGCGCAAGCAGCTCGGCGACCGGCTGCCGGAGTGGACGCCCGAGGATATTGCGCTCGTCAAGGGCTCCAACGACTTCTACGGCATGAACCACTACACTGCCAACTACATCAAGCACAAGAAGGGCGTGGCGCCTGAGGATGACTTCCTCGGCAACCTCGAGACGCTCTTCTACAACAAGAACGGCGACTGCATCGGCCCCGAGACCCAGTCCTTCTGGCTGCGGCCGCACGCCCAGGGTTTCCGCGACCTGCTCAACTGGCTCAGCAAGCGGTACGGCTACCCCAAGATCTACGTGACGGAGAACGGCACGTCGCTCAAGGGCGAGAACGACATGTCGCTCGAGCAGATCGTCGAGGACGACTTCCGCGTCAAGTACTTTGACGACTACGTCCGCGCCATGGCGCTGGCCTCGTCCGAGGACGGCGTCAACGTCATGGGCTACATGGCCTGGTCGCTCATGGACAACTTCGAGTGGGCCGAGGGCTACGAGACCCGCTTCGGCGTCACCTACGTCGACTACGTCAACGACCAGAAGCGCCACCCCAAGAAGAGCGCCAAGAGCCTCAAGCCCCTGTTCGACAGCCTCATCCGCAAGGAGTAGGCGGGTTGGGTTGTTGGGTGATGAGTGGTTGTGTTTGAAATGGGCTAATGATGTATGCCATGTTTATGCCGCAAAAATGCTGGCTCCTGTTTCTGAGGGAATCCCGTCAGGGTTATTATGATAGTTATGATTGAGCGAATGTTGAATCTAGCGTTATTTCGTCACTCAGTGTCTGCTGTGCTGTGATCTGTGAGAATAGTTAGTAACGTTAGTTGTCATTTTTGTTTTCTTTTGTTTTCGTTTTATTTTCCTTTTCTTCTTTTGTCGTTCATTCTTTTTTTTTTTGGCTCTCTTTTCTTTCCTTTTTTCATTCTTTTTCTTTTTCTTCTTTTTTCCCTTTCTTTATTCTTTTCCCCCTCTTATTTCCCCCCCCTTTCTTTTCCTTTTGATATTATCAGTCCAGTTGTTACAACCTTCGGCCTCGAGGCCTCGACGATTGCGAACGATCTCCTTCGTCATCCCTGGCCTCGAAGGTTCGCTTCCGACCACGCCCCCGTTCCTTCCCGCCCCCCTCCTCAGCGATCACATAGGCGGGATCAGGGCCAAACTGTGCTAGTAGCCCAGAGGGAGAGTCGGACAGCGCCCCCTCGTCAAGACGTCCGCCCCCATAAGCACCGCCAGCAGCATCACGCCCTTGCTCCCCCCCGGCCTCACGTCCGTCGTGGCCACCGTCCAGGATCCCCCGGCAGTCGGCGGGGCCCACCTTCCTAACGCTCGGGATCTGGGTCTCGGCGTCCCGGATGCGGAGGCGTCGGGGCACAGTGGTTCCCGATAGGAAAGCTGAGGAAAAGACAAACGGGCTAAGGATCGTGTAGGCGAAGCGGGCAAAGAGGCACTCCTTCGAGAGGCCAGGAGGCAGGGCGTGCAGGTCGCGGTTGTGCCAAAGACCCGCGATCTGGCCGTTGGGGGAGGGGACGACGACGTGGATCAGGAGGCGGGTTTGGGGTTGGGGGTCCCCGTTGTCAACCTCGTGCGAATCCGAACCCGGACTCTCAACCACCTTGGGCACAAAGCAGAGGTAGCGCTCGTCGAAGACGCGGTGGAAGTCGGAGCGGAGGGGCACCAGGTTTGCAGGGGCGTCCTGGGGCTGCGTAGAGAAGAGGAGCATCGAGGGCTGGCCGTAGTAGTCCATCCGGTTGAGATCCCACCACTCGCGCTCGTTGGAGGGGACGCAGTGCGCGACGTCGACGCCGTAGGAGTAGTTGGTTGCGACGCAAAAGCTGGCGCGTTGGCCGACGATCATGGGCGGGAGGTTTGCATTCGTTTGTAGCTGCAGGCGGGTCCAGTGCTCGGGGAGGTCATGGTGAGGGAAGGTCCAGTCCGAGAAGCGAGGGTTGATGGGGTATGGTAATGAGAGAGATGTAGGATCGGAGGAGGCGTCGCCCGTAAGCCCGGATCCCGACGCCGGGAGGTGGAAGTAGTAGCATGGGTGGTCTCGAAGGATACCGTCCGGGGGCCGGTCGACGCGTGACTGCCCAGACTTGTCGGTGGAGAAGCAGCCGGACCACTGATTGCAGGCTATGAGGCCACAGGCGGCGAGGGCGGTGTCGAAACAAACACCGCCGTCATCGAGGCGGGGAAGCGATAGGAAGGTCGCCGAGGTAAAGTCACCGTCGTAGCCAGGGTGGACGAAAGCGATGTTCGGTTGGGATGCCGAGATAAGATAAGGTGGAATGGCAGCAGGGTCGTTTGATGCAGGTCGGGGCCGCATGCTCTACAGGGAGGCGACAATGGCCGCTTTGGGAAGCTTTTTTGCTGAGACAAAAAAAAAAGAGATACTCGAACGCGCCGCGTTGTCTCGACCGTGATAGAAATCGAGACTCGCTCTCGGTTACCCGAGCATCAGTAGTCCAAAAATAGCCGAACTCCAAATGCAATGCAGGTGTCGACCATGGAAACTTCAAGTCCTCGACTGCAGGAAGAAAACGAAAGTCATCCTGAAATGTAAAGAAATTAGATTTACTCCATTTACTTTTCTTCTACCTCATTTCTCTTATTTTATTCCTTTTTTTTCGGTTTATTTCTATTTGTTCTTTTTGCTTGATTCCTTTGTTTCTTTTCCAGTTCGGCTTTTTTTGGCCAGAGGCTCGCTCCGCCCCACACAACCCCAACACCAGCGCGGGGTGCCGTTTTACCTTACCGAATCGGGTTTAGCGTGCAAGGCATCTTGCACCGCGGGCCTGGAACACAGAACGAAACGGAAATGCGGAGAGAAGCCGGGGTTGTTGCCGTGACGGCGCGGCTGGCCGAGGAATTGGAGATGGAAACCGGACGGCAGGAAGCTGGAGTTCGCCTTTGCAGTTGCCGGTTGACTCGAGACGGAAACACTTGAGTATATACCTATATAACCCCCTCTTTTTATTCCGATTGAGGCATCAAAGGCCCCTACACAACAATGTACAGAATACCTACCTAAGTATCCTCGATCACCGCTCGTTCCCTCTCTTCTGCGGCTTTGATCGGCACGAAGACACATCGGAGCTGGCCCGTGACAATAACTCCGGAGGAGCTTCCTCTCCAACACAACACACAACACCTTTCTTCTCTTCTTTTCCCGAGCTTACATCCAAAATCAGTCCACTCTCACGGCTTCCCCGTTGCCATAATTTCGCCATCAAACCTTCAATCCCAATTCTTATCCCGACCGCCAACTCTAGCCATCTCATCCCACATTCTCCCAGACAATCACCATGTCCTCCTCCGCTCCCTCCCGCCTCCGCAGCCTCCTCAACCACCTCCTCCCCCCATCACCCCCCAGCCCACACGAACAGGAACAACAACAAGGCCAATCACGGGACCAACAACAACAATCACCACAACCACCACCGCAACCAACCCCCCCTCACCTCTCGCACCTCTCCCCAACCTTCTTCCTCGAGCGCGCCGCCGCCATCGAGCCGCGCGCCGAGGCCGTCTACCACGTGACGGCCAACGGCGCCGTGCTGCGCCGCTCCTACCGCGAGCTGGCCGACCGCGCCCGCGGCCTCGCCTACTACCTGCGCAAGCGCGGCCTGCGCCGCGTCGGCATCCTGGCGCCCAACACGCCGGCGTTTTTGGAGACGGTGTATGGGGTGGTGGCGGCGGGGGCCGTGCTGGTGCCGGTGAATTATCGGTTGAAGGAGGTGGATGTGAGGTATATCTTGGAGTTTGCCGAGGTGGATTGTGTGGTGGTGGATGGGGAGTTTGAGGGGTTGTTGGGGGGTTTTCGGAGGGCGAGGCCGGGGGTGGAGGTGGTTGTGGATTTGGTGGGTGGTTTTGTTTTGTTGTTGTTTGTTGTTGATTTATTCCTTTTTTTCCCCGGTTTTTGTTCTTGTTATTTTATTTTCTTCCTTTTCGAGAGCGAATACGGGTGACGGCCGGCTAATTCGATCCGCAGGACACCGATGCTACCGAGGGTGAGTTGTGCGGGCCGTTCGATGAGGCCGTGCTTGAGGGGTTGCTCTACGACCAGGAGACGGGGAGTAAGGGGTGGGCGGATCTGGTGTCGCAGACGGTCGCCAACGAGGATGATATGATTGCGATTCCGTTCACGTCCGGGACGACATCCAAGCCGAAAGGCGTGGTGTACACCCATCGGGGTGCTTATCTCGCTTCGCTGGCAAATATCGTCGAGTCCGGGCTCAACGTCCCGGACGGGAGGTGTAAATACCTCTGGACCCTGCCTATGTAAGTGCACGCCCAATATGGTACGGAAGCACCACCCGCTCACCGACAATAGGTTCCACGCGGTCGGCTGGACATTCCCCTGGTCCGTCTGCGCTGTCCGCGGCACACATGTCTGCCTACGCAAGATCGACTACCCCCTGATCTGGAAACTCCTCAAAGAAGAAGGCATCACGCACTTCAACGCCGCACCGACCGTCAACACCCTGCTCTGCGCCCACGCCGACGCCGAGGTTCTCCCCCGCCCGGTTCGGGTGACGGTAGCCGCCAGCCCGCCGACAGCACACCTCTTCGAACAAATGACCAACCTCAACCTGCTCCCGGTCCACGTCTACGGCCTGACGGAAACCTACGGTCCCATCACGCGCGGATACATGCTGCCCGAGTGGGACCAACTCCCCAAAAACGAGAAATACGGCAACATGGCGCGACAAGGGCACGGCTTCCTGACTGCCCTCCCGGCGCGCATCATCAAACCCGACCAGCCCGAGGGCGTGCTGGTGGACGTGGCCAAGAACGGGAAGGAAATCGGCGAGATCGTGTTCTCCGGGAACATCTGCTGCAAGGGCTACTACAAGGACGCCGAGGCGACGCGGAAGCTGTTCGCGGGCGGCGTGCTGCACTCGGGCGACCTTGCGGTCTGGCACCCCGACGGGAGCATCCAGATCCAGGACCGGGCGAAGGACATTATCATCTCAGGTGAGCCCCCTCCCCCTAGCCTCCTGATCCGAGCCCCCACTAACCACCCACCCCCCACAGGCGGCGAAAACATCTCATCCGTCGCGCTCGAGTCCATGCTCGTCGAGCACCCGGCGATCCTGGAAGCGGGCGTGGTGGCGGTGCCCGACTCGCACTGGGGCGAGCGGCCGAAGGCCTACATCACGGTGAAGGTGAAGGGGAAGGGGGGCGGCGGCGGCGGCGGCGCCCAGACCGACCTGCGCGGGGCCGAGGTCATTGAGTGGGCGCGCACCCACAGCGCCATCAGCAAGTTCATGGTGCCGCGCGAGGTCGAGATCGTGCGCGAGCTGCCCAAGACGAGCACGGGTAAGATCAAGAAGAATGAGCTGAGGGAGTGGGCGAAGAAGGGCACGCCGAGGGAGGCTTTGGTGGGGTGATGGTGTGGTGGTGGTGGTGGAGTTTGGACGCGAGAATATTGATATCCACAGACGCTTGGGTCGGCGCTTTCCGCATCATATAGCTGGTTGGATATTATGCACTTGTGATGATGGCCATGGCCCTTGAAACGAGATCAGCCAGTTCATGTCCTAGTGGTGGTGAGATGATATGTATGCAAAGACCGGATACGGTGTGTGGTACCTGGGGTCGAGTCACGATCCATAATCACACTCGAGAAGACCAGGCCACGTCGCGACTGATGGATTTACTTAAAGAAGGGAGCGTATGAACTCCCCGAAGGAGAAAGCGTCTTGCTTTTAGAGATTTGGTCACAGGTGTTTGGAGGTTTCGGGTAGAAGAGGGTGTCGTGAGGGGGGAGATGTGGAAAATAAGGACAAAAGGGCAAAAACGCTAGAAATATATCTAGGAAACCAAGAAAAGCTAATCGAGAATGGCACTGAGGTTAGAAAAGGATTGAATAAAATGGTCTACCTCCTGAATCCTGATACTTACAAAGCCCTAACCCTGAGCCAACTAAATGTGGGTGTCAAGGTGTTGAGGAAAAAAAGGTTGTAAATGTTGATCGCAAAACACCAACGATCACACATCCTCATCAAAAATTGAAGCTAGCGATTACTCGTTTCGATCGAGTGACCTCCGGGTTATGAGAGGATTAAAGAAAGATCGTCTACCTCCTGACTGTATCCTGATACTTACATGGCCCTAACCCTGACTCAACTATAGGTGTCGAGAGAAAAAAGGTTGTAAATGTTGATCACAAAACACCAACGATCACACATCCTCATCAAAAATTGAAGCTAGCGATTACTCGTTTCGATCGAGTGACCTCCGGGTTATGAGCCCGGCGCGCTTCCGCTGCGCCAAATCGCTTTCTTTGCTTCCGCTGATGCTTGTTGGAACTCGGAACCGGGGGGGTGCTTGATAACCGGTCCGAACTGAGTGCGCAGGGGGACTGTGAGTGGCCGTGTTCGTCTTTTTGTCTGTTGTGACTCATTCCAGTTCCGCCGCCGCAGGGGTGAGACAAAGCCTGGCGTGGGGTGCCAGGGATTGGTCAATGGAGCCATGTGGGATCGGTTCGGTTCGGCATCTGGACATCTGCCCTGCCCTTGTGGAGATGTCGAGAGCCGCGGTGGTCACTGCTTGATGATTATGGGGACATAATGGGGACTTTCAGGGTTCATATAAAACAGCTTTGCAGCCTTGCAGCCTTGTAGATGACACAGGGAAGACAGGAGACAGGAAACGCACTTTCTTGCCGGTTACACAAACACCTTCTAAGAACTTGGCAAAGGGACATACAAAACTGACCACAACGCCACCCCATCCTCTGGGGCGGAGGGCATCCAAAGACATCCAGCCAGACAATGATAGAACATTAAGTACGGGTATTGGTATGCGCATGAACTCATCAGTCATAGAGAGACCGACTAAGGGGTATACGTAAAAGAGACATCATAAATAAAAACAGGTTCCGTGGGGATGTTAAGCTGTGACGGCGGCGGGGGGTTCAACGGGCAGCGAGTCTGGCCCGTCACGCGATGGACTGGCCGTCGTTGGGGACGCAGGCGCAAGTTCGGGGTCGGGTATTTGAATGTCAAGCTGCAGAGGTTAGCACCCATCAACCGCAGCAACAGAGACTCAGTGGCCGGACATACCGTCATGTATCCCGTCCGCCGTAGCGGCACAATCTTGGGTGGAATCATGCCCTCATCCGAGTCCATTCCCTTCTCCATGTCGGAATTCCACTGCTCGATCCACTCCTCGAGGCTCCGGAGGCGCGCCTTGGCAGCCGTGAAACCAAGGTCATCCCAGAGCCACCCGGTCGCCAAGCCCAGCACGTTGTCGAGTATGTTCCTCCAGGCGTACGGGCTGAAAATGGGGACGAGCTCCCCGTTCAGCTTGTCGATGATGCGGCGGAACTCGCTTTCTGAGACCCCCGCCGGGTCCAAGATATCGGGATACAGATTGGAAAACGTGGGCGCAAGGTCACCCTCGAGCAGCCAATCCCGCCGGACCCTGATGATGCGCGTGTTCGCATACTCGGGAGAATCCGTCGGGACATGCGGATTCAAATGCGGATAACACGGGTGCTGTGGCCCCCATTCTTCTCCGTTGTCTGGCGGTTGATCTGGGTCGCCCATGATAGACGAATCGCTGGAAGAAATCGCCGACCCGATGCCGGATATCCCGGAAGCCGTCGAGTGGCGCTGATTGAGAACGTCTGGCCCGCGTTCTAGATCGGGCGTGAAGCCATCCCCGACATCCTCGGGCGGCGCCATGACTGCTTTTCCTTTGCCCTTATCTTCCTTCTGCTTTGACCCCGGCCGGAAGCTGAGCCCGAGCGGTGCTGGTAGCTTCGTGAAGCTTAAGCCTCTCCCCCTGTACTTCCGGGTCTCGGGGACCACCAGGTGCGCAGCGTGTCGGCTGGTTGAGGGTCCTGCCTCTGGTTCCTCGACCGGCGATGGCGTGTGGCTCGCACGCTTCCCGTCGTACGAATGGCGCAACGAGGGCGGCAGGCTGGCGCGCTGCTCGGCCCCGGCGACACGATCGAGATGGAGACTGGCCCTGTTGGATAGCGCGGACCGGACCTCGCGTTGCTCCGGGACTGTCAGGAGCGGGTAATCGCCGGCGGAAGTGCCGGTGGCTTCGAGCGGGTACTCGGTGACGTCGGGCGTGGGGCGCGCAAGCGGAACCGGCGGAGGTGGCGGTGTGGACAGTCGCCGCGGCCGGCTTGTCGGAGGTGCTAGGTTTCTCGGAGTCGAGTTGGTGGGATTCCAGAGACGCGCCGGGTGAAGCTGCCTGAGCGGGACACCAGCACGGCGGGTCCGGAAGGGCGATTGCAGAAATGTGTCCGGGGCGCCGCCGAGGCCCCTTCGTAGGAGACTGTGTTCTCGCGATGGCAGGTCCTGGGCTACTGGTAACAGGGCAGCGGGTGGGGAATTGGCGGGTTGTTGCGACGGAGACGACAGGTTTGAAATTGCTGCTGTTGGCAATTGAACTTCGGTCGCTGCATCGAGGGCAAGCGCTTCGTGGGGCCGGGGGTGGGCAGCTGGTGCCGTGGGTGAAGCCGTGGGGAAGATCTGGCAGCGGCGGCCGCCGAGACGGCCTCCGAAGAGCTAGGATGCCGGTTTCCCCCCTTCTCCGGGCAAGTTATTCTCCGACCGGTCTTCAGAACGTGGGGTCCTGGTCGGCCACTGTTCTGCTAAAACCTCCAGCACACCGAAGAGCCACAAATTCCAATGCCTTTCTCCACCTGCTCAGAAGCAGGCTTGAAATTGCCCAAGACTAGCGCCAGGTAAGCGATTTCAGTGGCTCACGTTTCACAGCGCGTCAATGAAGATGCAGGCTGTAAGGAGGAAGGTCAGGAAGGCGCTGCGCGAGAGTGCCGCAAAATGGGTGGGTTCAATTGGGTGTCTGAAATTTGCCAATATGCCGGCGCGATCTTGGTGGTTTTCGAGGGGAATTCAAGCCGCCCAAGCCTCAGAAGTCAAGGCTATCTCAAAAGGGCTTAGCGCATGTTTTCGTTTGCACTGACCACAAAAGCCAACGCGACTCGCTAATCGGAATAGGCAAGCGCAACCCCCTTGCTCAAGCTTGTTGCATCCTCCATCTCCTTTTAACTAACTAAATCCAACTATCGAATTCGAGAACGCAACTTGACCTCGCAGCCCGTTTCCATAGCCGCAATTGCAACCTTGTCCCCCGGAATGACGAGTTGGCAGCTCTCCGCCATTCCCTTGCTTATCTTTATCACCCAGGTAACAAAGCACGCAATACTTGGTAGGGGATCAGTTGGGCTTCATGTTAAGGGTTAGGGTTAATTAAGCAGCAAGCACAACCGAGCCCTGCCGACGATAACTACCAGGTACCTCGCGTTTGTATTCTTCTGGTCTTTATACTCCCTTGGGACGGGCGATTTGACCTCATACCCATGCCACGTTTCGCGCTAGGGATTCCCGGTCTACATTTATACTGAGGCACCGCGTTATGATGTTCTTTCGGTGCTTATGGTGGCTTCAGGGGTGGGACACCCCGCCATAATCCGGTTTGGGAAGTCACAAGGCGACACACGCATATCAGTCCCAGGCAGGCGGCTCACGAGTCGACTTTCCCCTTCAAGACGAACAACCTACCTTCAGGTCGTCAACTCTTCTCAGCACTCATCCATACCCCCATGATGACTGATAATATCCGCGACGTGGTTCGACTTCAAACGCGACGTGACGGATGAAGTAAAACAACAGTTCGGCCTTTGCTAATTCTTCGATTACGTCACTGCCATCCAGTCCACTCAGACCATTCATCGCCTCATCCACTTGGACAGAATTGCATTGCAATCAGCGGCAACACGTGCGATAAAGGAAGGGGTCACTTTTGAACCCGTCCTTGCGTCGCAGTCATTCGTTTAATTTATCATGACGCCTGCCAGGCCGGAGACCGGCAGCCCGGCCGTTAGCTCGTCCGCGTCCTCGGCTCCGAACTCTCCCGGAGTCCTCCGTAGCCGTAAGTTGAGCGATCGTGCTAACATTGGAGGTATGCGCCGCTCCTCCACGGCTGGGCCACTTGAACCCGGACCAGGAATAGCCCCCGAGAACTACATCCACCGCCGCAGTTCGACTTTTTCGCAATACAGCATCAATGAAGCAGTCCACGATTTCCAAGAAGAGATTGCCGATCCCGGGCCGGACGTCAACCGCGAGCCGACAACATGGAAGTCGTTATTGCCTATCATATTTGCCTCGGTTCCTCCCATCGCTGGGTTATTCTTCACGAACGGGTCAGCCTTCTTCAGCGACCTCATCCTGCTATTTCTTGCTACCGTCTTCCTCCACTGGTCCATAACGGCGCCGTGGTAAGTAATATTTAGCCCCTTACATTCGTGCGGCGGAAACTGGAGGACAAATATTCACGGTTCGTAGGAAATGGTACAACTTAGCCCAGCAGGTCCGGGCGGACAATGAACCAGCCTTCGAGGAGTCACTCAAGGCACAGGGCGACGAATCGCCGACCAAACCAGGCAGCGACTCCGAATCGCTAAATGGCCCGCATCGGCCAAAGGCGGACAAGTACGACCGAACACGCCAGGCGGACGCCGCTCTGGACCGGCTACAGAGTCTTGAAACCATGGCACTGGCAACATGTTTCTTGGCCCCTGCCTTCGCCACCTACCTCCTCTACTCTGTCCGGTACCTCCTCAGCCCTCCATCAGAAAGCCTGGTCTCCAGCTTTAACGTCGCCATCTTTTTGATGGCGGCCGAGATTCCACCACTTTCCCATTCGATTAGGCTGATCCTAGCGCGGACGTTGCACCTGCAGCGGATCGTCAACACGAATCCGTACCGGGTGGTGCCGGTCACTGCCTCCAATTACCGCGAACTCCTGGCCCGGGTCAAGGAGCTCGAGGCGCGGACGCTCGAACAGTCGGGGAGGGCCCGTTGCGAAGGGTGCGACTGCATCGACAGTCAGAAAAAGCAACATGCGGCCAGGCAACTGCGTGAGGACGTGACGCGAGACGTGCGCGCCGCCGTCGGCCCGGAGATCGACGGCGTCATCCGTGCCGTGAGACGCTACGAGAGGAAGACCAGCACCCTGACCGACGAGACGGAGCGCCGGCTGGCCGACCTGCGGCAGCGCCTCGACGACGTGATCGCGCTGTCGGCCGTCGCCGCCAGGAACAATGCCGGCGGATGGGGCTTCCTGGGAACGCTGGCCGCCGCCGGCTGGCTGGCGCTCAGCTTCCCCGTGGCGGCGGCGCTGACGTTGGCCTCGCTGCTCTTAGCGCCCCTTGCCAAACCGCTGAACTGGATTAGCAGCCAGGGCCGGCGGGTGAGGGCTGAGGCCGAAGCTCGGGATCAGGGACGGTGGAGGAAAACAATCGGGAATGGGCAGGCACAGGAGAATGGGCAACCACGGGCGCGGTCCTCGAGGCAGGGGCGATCCGTCTCGACCTCTTCGGCCGTGGCTCCCCCAAGGTCGAGTAGGATGAAGTCGGGGTGAGGCCAGCTGGCTGCTGCGTGTATTTTTCTTTTTTTCGGTTGATGTATGTATGAGACAAGCGGGCATGGCGGGCTCGGCGTCGGATCCTTTGAACATCGTTTCTCGACTTGTGGAATATCATGGCCTTTCAGCTGGGACCTTTACAGGTCGGTGTGACAATCTGCGCGACTTGCGGATGTCGATCTCTGTTCCATCGACCAGTTGTTCGACCGCCGCTGGGAGAGAATGGCTTTGCGGTCTTCACTTTGCAGTTCTTGGGTACCTAGTTATGTACATATGTACAGTCCGGGACCATGTACACTCCGGGTAGCCACTGGCTGACTGACCCACTGGCTCATGACTAACTAACTATGTACATAATCTGTACACAGTAACTTATTGACCCACTGACTGACTGAAACATCGCAGCATCTGGAGAAGCATCAGAGACAGGTTGACTTGTCTCTCGGTAAGTGGAGGAGATCCTCGGTACGGTGTGTGGGAAATCACTGGGATGAATGTGGGCGGTCGGCCATGTGTTTTTGGAGACGTGGATGAGCAGGTGCCCGGTGGTGTGGTTGTGGTGATTGACATACCTGGATGTGTGGCGGTGAAAGTCTTGGGGGTTGTGGTGTTGCGGGGCACGGGCAATAGGGGTCTTGGGGATCGGTGAGGTGACGGTTGCACTTGGGTGGACGTGCGTTTGTCTCGCGCCTCGGTATCAAGCCTTGGCACGCAAGGAAAAGTTCAATGGTTTGTTGATGGTCATTGGATCTTTCCTTTCTTTTGTTTTCTCCGCTTCTTTTTCTTCTGTCGGGTTAGAGGAGGGCGCGGAGATTTCGCCCGGGGCCGGAGCAAACGGGGTTTTCGGGCCAAGGTTCAAAACGGGTTGGCCTCGGTCTCAATAAAGGACGCAGATCAAAGTAAATCAATTCTTCTTTGGCGAAGATCCTCAGCCAGGACCTGGCCCGGTTGTGTGGGACTGATTGTCTTGGTTAAGCTGGTGTCGTGAGCCGAATCGATGTGTTTCGGACGTTCACTGTCATGTTGAGGCGAGTCCACTGTGGTAGTGACCTAGATACTGCAATGGATAACAGAGGACACACATGGATCCGTCCACGTCCGAGTATTTGTTGTTTCGATCACCCGATTTGTTCAATGTGTATTCGTACAGAATGCACAGTATGGAATCGCGAGACCCGGGTTTAAGTGGTGTCCGGATCGGGAAAGCGCATCGGAAGATACCGAAGTGGGGTTCATGGGATCTGGGGCTCGATGTTCGTGTTCTGGGAGGTTTGGAACAGGTTGTTTTGTCCCAAAGGTAATGCGCTTTGATGGTAATTTCCCCCGACTTTTCTTCTTCTGTTGCTTCTTGTCTAGAATCGAGTTTTTTCTCTCTCGACGGGACACGAAAGGCCCGATGGCATGCGTTGAACTGTGTGTCCGTGCACACGAGATCGACAAACTGATCTGTTACATCCCGCGGCTTGGCGACGCAGGGTCCTGCGTGGAAGTTAACTTGAACTTCGGCACTCGAAGCCTCAACATCGACCGTCCGAGATCGATCGGCTCTTCAACGCGGAGGAGTTTTCAACAACCCAACACATTAACCCATCCAATATATCGCACCATTTACCAATGGCCACAAATTAAAAATGCCCGACTAATGCAAAAAGAAAGAAAAAAAGAAGAAGAAAAAGAGAGAGAAACTTGGGACGACAGACCGCTTGGTCCCGACTGACTCGGTTGTTTACAGGGCGATCGAGCGGCGCTAGCCCAACACTCGCCAGTGCGATACCGTTAGTCCCGTTACACATTCGGGATGCTTTCCCGTTTGACCCGAGTTAACTAGTAGTTTTGTCTCAGTCGGAAAATTACGGCTCGTCGCAAATCGCAGACCCGTCCTCGGGCTCGGCCTGCAACACGACAAATTTGGCATGCTTCGAAGATGGAGGCTTGGGGAAAAGAGAGACTTGTCATTGCAGACCACAGTGAGTAAGAACTGCAGATGCCCCCAAATTCATTCTCATACCACTCGAGGCCGACCAGCACGACCGATGAAGACATTTTCCCGCGGAACAACGACGAAAAGCATCTTTACCCCTGTCGCGGTCCCCGGATTCGACCGCATCAAGCCCTGGACCCTGACCCCCTGCACGGTCTTATTTTCAGCCCTGGCGCCTTCAATGCAACTCAAAACCCGACGTCGAGTCGTCGACGTTGTCATCCCTGCTCATCTCCTGCGCGATGCCGCCGTCGACTGGGACTGGCTGTGGCTTGGCCGGCGTACTGCACCTCACAGCGTTCCGTGGGCGCACACACAAACACCACCGGATAGCCTCAACAACCACCTCAACGAGCTGGGGCTCGGACTTCTGCGGCTAAGCTGCAGTCTTGCTTTGTGCGTCTAGCTGTTTGCCGACCCAGCGACCCGGACATGCGTCCGTTGTATGATACTCATCATGTTGTACGGGCTGGCAGTGCCACTGAGAAGGCCTTCTATTTGCCCTCTCGCATCCCGCCCTTTCGTAAACGCGTTGAGTTGCTTCGTCTCTGGCTTGTCTGATGTTTACCTCTCCCGTTTCAACTCTAGATGAACTAGATCTGGCCGTTCATTTTACCCACAGAGAGCCGCTAATATGAGGCTTCCGCGAACTTCACATCCTTTGTTTTGTTTGTTTTTCCTCTCTGCTGTCATCGCAGCCGAGGTCTTGGGTCATGGAAAAAGGCAAGAAACAAGCATCTCCTCTAACTTGCTGGGCCCAACGGCGACAAAAGATGCGCAGGGTACGGCACCGGTGCCGACTTCCTCTGCCGGGCTGCAAGGTGGCGCGGCGTTATGCAATGGTATGTGGTCTTGACAAAGATCTTACGAATCGCAGCTGAGAATGTGAAGCTACACTCCCCGACAGTCAGCTTCCCTTCAAGCCGACAATCACACCCGGTTGGGCCGTCGCTGGCACCATCCTCCTCGGCACCGGCGTTGCCCACGCACTGGTCGGTATTAGGGCGAAACGAGTACACACCTTCTTCAGTGCCGCCTTCCTTGCGGCTCTCGGGACAACCCTCTTGATACTGTATCTCATGACTCCCCCGGCTAGTCTTGCAGTACAAGGCGCTTTTGTAGTTGCTGCGGTTTGCACCGGCGCGGCGCTCGGTGGGCTCGCTGTTCTATTCAGGGACCTCGCCGAGTGTCTGGGTTGTCTCCTCGGTGGATTCAGCCTCGCCATGTGGCTGCTGACCCTCCACCCCGGCGGGCTCGTCCGTCACGGCGCCGGCAAGGTTGTGTTTATTGTTATCTTCAGTTTGACGGGTTTGTGCTTCTACTTTAGTCGCTGGACACGGGTACACGGTCTCGTGGCTTGCATATCCCTTTCCGGTGCAACCGCGGCCATCCTCGGCATCGACTGCTTCAGCCGCGCAGGGCTCAAAGAATTTTGGGCCTACATCTGGGAACTGAACGACAACCTGTCCCTCGACGGCACCGTCACATACCCGTTAACCCGCGGCATCCGCGTGGAACTCGCCATCACCATTTTACTGGCCGTCGTCGGCGTTATCTCGCAGCTCAAGCTGTGGCAGCTCATTCAGGACCGGCGCAACAAGAACAAAGATGAAACGACCGACGAGGAGTTAGGCTTGCCGGATGAGGAGGAAAACATAGGACGGCAAGTGGAAGAGGTGAAAAACCGCGAGCGCCGCGAGTGGGAGCGTGTGTATGGAGAATGTGGGAGTATCTGCCGCCGGTTGGCGGACAGTGCCCTGGGAGGTATGGAAGGTGAGAGGCCCGATGGCCACAGCCAGCGGACTTCGCAGGCTTCTACAACCAACTTCCGGACTTCGGCCGGGCCCTCAGCGAAAGTAGGCCCGACGGATTCTATCATAGAACGAGACGCCGGAACCGGCGGGGGGACGGTCATGGTTGTTGAGGATGATGTGGCGGAGGGAGAGGCGACCGATATTGCTACTCCAAAGAATGGTGATGACGGTCTAAGTGAGACTCCGACGGCTCCAGCGACGAGCCCCGGTTCGCAATCCGGTCTTGAAGAACTAATTGCCCCTCTTCCATCCAGCATTTCCGCCGGCTGGAATGGGAAAGACACAGACTCCCAGGTTGTTGAGGTGGAGGACAGGTCCTCTATAGCGGCTGTCACAGGCGAGGAACAGCCATGTGCATTGCTCCCTGATTCTGAAGACACACTGCCGCGGGAGGACCAGGCGGGTTGCCGAAAGCGTTCATCTAAACTCGCGAGAGTAAGCAATTTAGAAAAGTACGTAGCTACGGGGAGATACGGGGTGCTGGTTTTGCCAACCAAGGCGATGTCGGACGACAGAGACTCCGTGATTGCGGATATGGATGACGAGAGCACGAGCGGTGAAGCAGAGACCGCCGTCCTCGACTGGGCGCTGTGTTGGCCCGATCGAAGTTCGCCATCAGACTCGAGTGACGAGAAACAGGAAGACACTGAAGCGCTGCGACAGCAAACCACAACACCACACACGACCGACGATGCCGGAGAGAGTGGACCGAGCTCCCCACCATTGGGAGGACTTCATCAGCTAGCAAGGGCCGAGTCTCTCTCATCAAACACGGGAAGGCCCCCGGCCGTGATTTTGAATGCGGTGAGACAGACCCAAGCGGTGAGTGAGTTGGCGCCCCATACTCGGAGAGACACCGGGTTGGGATCGACGACATCATTTCGGCCCATCGTCGCGCGTCTCACGAGACTTAACCTCCCACCTGCCCTTCCGGATGTTGCCTTGACGTACCGGACAAACGAGTGGACAAAGCACCTCAGCATTGCCGAGAAGCCCGACCCAGAACTACTTCGACTTCCTGAACCCACCACCCCAGAACCTCTGAACGAAGAACCCGCGTATCTAGATATTGTCGAGCTACAGCAGACAGCCGAGACCGGTGCCCCTCCATCAGCTGCTCTAGGAATCTCTACTATTGTGTCCAACTACCCGCAACACGCCACATCCAAGAGCATCTCAACTGCGTCGCTCCCCGACTCAGATATGGCCATGTCCAACCCGTCTCCAGGCTCGCAGCCTGAGCCTCGCCCTTCTCATCAACGCCCCACCCCCGCGCCGTTGAAACGCCAGAGCACAAAGTTCCCGGTCGACTCCATCGTTGAGAAACAGGGCAACTCTCGGCGTCACTCGGCATGGCCGCAGGGAACCGCCCAGACACAGGCAGCGGGCGCTTCCGGCCATCGCCGCTCAACATCGGCGTCGTCGATGCCAACACCCGATGTTCCGCACAAGGCGTACCCCCAAACCAAGCACCCCAACATGATCGGCATGCGCGAGAACCTCCTCCGCTCCCGCGCCTCGGGCATCCTAACTCCCGTCAGCGGCAACGCCTTCCAAGCCCCTCCGAACCCCTCCCCCGCTCACCACGCGCCCGCCGGCGCAGGCCGCGCCCACAACTACCCCGTACGCTCTCCAACCCCGAGCAGCCAACACCGCCCCTCGCCCAACCGGCGCCCCTCGGCCGACGTCGTCGACCTAGACGACCTCCCGCTCTCCCAACGCCGGTCCATCATCCGCCACCGCCAAAGCAAAAACGCCACCAACCTACGACCAACAGCCCACTCCACCTCCTTCGACTCCCACCAACCCCGGCGCGGCGCCAGCGCCGTCCCCACCGTCATCCGCCACGCGCAGCTCGCCAGCTTCCGCAACAGCGTCGCCGTCGACCTGCGCCCCAGCTCCCCCCCCAGCGTCTCCGAGCTGCGGCGCATGTCCTCGTCCGCCACGCTCATCGACCTCCACGGAGCAGGAACCGGCGTACCAGGAGGCCTAGGCGGCAGCAGCCCGCTGCTGGCCAACACGGCGGCGCTGGGCGTGGCCGGGGTGACCAAGCCGACGCCCACCGCCGACAAGAGCCGGGCCGAGGCCATGCGCAGCATTGATCTGCAGCGCGGCTACCTGCTGGTGGAGAAGGCGGCCGAGGCGCAGCGCCGCGAGGCCGAGGCTGCTGGGCGCGTGCAGTTCCAGCGCGACTTTGAGGAGCTGATGAGGAGTGGCGTGCTGATGGGCGCGCATCGGGATGCGATGCGGAAGATGCAGGGTGGGGTGAGGGCGTGAGTTGTGGGGGGGTTGGGGTTGTTGATAAGGGGAGGTGGTGGTAATTGGAATATGTTGATGGTAATTTGGTTTTGTGGAGATGGAGATGGATGGGGAGTGAGGAGTAGGGGAGGCGAGCTAGGATAAGATGATTAATATGGTGCTGTGCTGGTAAGGTCATGATAATGAGGCGAGGGACGTGGTTTCGTGGACTAGTTGTTGTCGTCGAATATATATACCCGTATACTAGCTTTTTAATAATATTCTAACATCCCATCTTCAGTGGCTTCATGGGTGAGGCAACACGGTATTACGCTCATTGTATATGTAGCTGCAGTGAGAGTTGACTATATACGCGCCCACGTAGTGTCTATTATCCACGGCTCGTTTTCAACATCCCACGTTAGCTCCCATAGAGGCCAACAACCTGTCTAATGCAAACGCCTAGAGTTAAAACAACAGAAACAATCACAATGATTATTAGGCAGCATCGATCTATGTAAAAACGGAGCATATTACACGGTAAGTGTGCCTCCTCCGACACAAACCAGGGGTTTCACAGCCGGCAACAGCCAACACAATATATGCTAGTAATAGGAAACCGACAACGCCATCACATGCTTCTGACCATGACAGGTATCGAAAAAGAAAACAAAGAGAAAAAAGAAAAGACGCTATGCCATGAGAGAGACCGACCGAAAGAAAAGAAACCAGGTATCCGTCCGTCCACTCGCAAAAAGAAAGACGCCGCCATTTCTAGGTGTCGTCAGCAAACCCGCGGCGGGCACCAGCCCACCCTCTCACCACACCACATCAACCATATCACAACCTCTCCCCACCCCCACCCAACGCCCCATCCCCCGTCGTCCTCGCCCTCTCCAACAGCCCCCCAAACACGGCCCCATCGGTGGTCTCTCTCCTTGTGACCGTCGCCCGCCTGACAACCGTACTCCCACCCCCACTCCCACCCCCACTCCCACCCCCACTCCCACTCCCACTCGCACTCCCGCTGCCACTTCCACTCCCACCAAACAGTCCCGCCAGTCCAAGCGTCTGGCTCAGACTCCGCGCGCGGCCCCTCAACCCGCCCTCCGTACTACTACCACCACCTCTCTCCCCGTCCACACCACCACCCTCCGCCGCACCAACACCCCCATTACCATGCCCATGGCCGTTACCGTGCTCATCCGCCCCATCAAACCCCTGCCCATACCCCTGATGATGATGATGGCCACCATGACCCTGCCCATGCCCGTGTAAATGCCCGCGCATGGCCATGCGCAATTTATCGCCCACCACCGCGCTGACGGTGCCGGAGAAGGGCGAGGGCGAGTACATGTGGGACGGCGGCAGGCGGGAGGTGCTGGCGGGGGCGCGCGGGGTCATGGGCCGCTGATCACGGTCTCTTTCCCGGTCTCTATGATCTCGGTCGAAGAAGTGGGGTGGGGATGTGGCGGCGCTGGCCGTGCTGCCGAGCGGGGTGGCGGGGGTGGTTCTTGTTGTTGCGGAGGACGAGAGTGCTGCTGCTGCTGCTGCTGTGATGTGGGCGGGTTCGAGGAGCTGGGGCTCGGAGTAGGAGGTGAGTGCTGCTGCTGCTGCTGGGGTGGCGGTGAAGTAGTCGGTTGTGATGCTGGTGTCTTGCCAGGGGTTGGAGAGCAGGGGGGCGTCGGGGAGGTCGTCGTCGTTGTTGTAGTCGTCGTCGAGAGGATGGCTCTGGCGTGGGTGGATGCTCGGGAACGAGCGCGGGGTGGGGAGGCCCGTGTCGTGCGTGTCGGAGAAACTGACGCGCGAGGCGCGGGAGGAGCCCCCGGATCGCGATGGGGGGTCGCGACGGCGGGGTTGGGGTGGTGTGGGCGGGGGCACGCGGTCCTGCTCTGCGAGCCCGATGGTCTCCTCGATGCCCTCGGCGTCCGAGAGCGTGGGCTCGTCGTCGTCATCCCGCCGCGACCGGCCGCTGGTGATCAGGAAGACGCCGAAGAAGGTGAAGAGGCAGCCGCCGATGAATTTGATGGCCTGCTCGCCGGTGGTGCGCTCAAAATCGCGGTACAAGACGGCACTGCCGATAATCACGGATAGCGTAAAGAGCACGAACTGGATCGGGATGACCTGAGTGGAGTCAAACCGCTGGAGCGCCTTGTTTAAGTAGCGAACTTGCATGATGGCGGTGGACAGCAGGATGAAGAGCAGGACGTAGGTAACAGGGGTGGTGAAGGCGCCAAACAGAGTCGAGGACAGCATCGAGGACACACCCTTGGTTGCCAGAACCGTGTAGCCACCTAAACAGTTAGTCTCACACAACTCAACACTGCTCGGGTCAAAACATACCGAATAGCCCCACGAGCCCGAGGTCCACCAGGATCGTCCTGTGCCCATACTTCGGGCTCAGCCACATGAGCAGCACAATCAGGCCACAGCTGACGCCCAGGTAAATCTCGAACTCCATGGTGGTGATGGCATCCCACACCTCGTGCGGCCCCAGCTTGGTCTCCTCGGTCTCGGCGCTCAGCACAACCGTCACGGCGCCCGTGATGGCGACGATGACCCCCCAGAAGTCCCGCTGGCGGAACACCTCCTTAAAGAAGATGGGTGCGATCACGCAGTTGGAGACCAGGGCCACCACGCCGAGCGGGCTCACGATGGACGCCGGAGCGAAGCCGTACGCCAGAAAGTTGCCCATCTCGCCGATGGTGATCAAGACCTGTCCCAGCCACCAGTAAGGGTCCTTGAGGTACGTCGAGGCGACCTTGGGCTTGCCGTCGTCGTGGTCATCGTCGCCATCGGCCGAGCCATCCGACCGGAAGGACTGCGCGAGGGGCTCCGTCTCGGACGATTCGCGCACGTCGTCATCACTATAACGACCGCCGCCGTACCCGTTCGAGCCGCCGCCGCCGCCGTTGGAGTCGCCGTTCGCAGCGCCGTACCGCCCCGTCCCCTGGCCGTGTGTCCCGCGGTCCGCGTTGCGCATGGCCTGCCGCGCGCGCTCCCGTATCTGGGCCTTCTTGCGGTGCAGGCGGGTGTGTGCGTAGCGCTGGACGTTGAGGGCCAGGGCGATCAGCACGTTGCCGCAGATGGCGGTGATGATGCCGATCAAGCTGGACCAGTTTTGGAGTTCGCTGCCGGGGCTGCCGGGGCTGCCGTCGCCGTCACCGTCATTGTTGCCGTCGCCGTCGGAGGGCCATGCGGGCCATGAGGAGAGTTCGCTGCGCCCTATGCTGGGCGGTGATGGTGGGGGGAAGAAACGCATGTTCCTCTCTCTTTATCTCTCTCACTCTCTCTCTCTCTCTCGCTGTGGGCGTCTGTTGCCTGCCGGTGCTGGGTTCGTTCACCGCACGGTGGTGGTCGCCGTGGGAAAAGAAAAGGCGCACCGGAGTCGCAATTTGAGTTGGCAGATCATCGGCGCCGGTCGACGAAACCGAGGAACTTAGGGTAGGTTCGTTATCGGCATGCGATGGGATGGGGTGTTGGCCTCTCTGGGTTGGCACCGTGCCAGGTTGGAGGTTGGGTATTCGCAGTACGGATAAGGTACTTTCTTTCTCTCAAATTGGACCGAATCGCGATTTCTGTCAGGTGGGAATCTTCAGCACAGTGCAGCGACGAGTAAACAGCGGAAATATCATCGAAAATAAAGACACAGAATAGCAAGCGACGCGGTTTCAAGCAGAGCAATCTTCAAAAGTTAATGGCGATACCTAGGATAGCTAGGTCGTGCTGGAGTCGCGCCCTGTTGGTTAGGTCGTGCCGCTCGCAGCGCGGAGTCTTGATTACCTACAAAGAGTACGAAGGTACGAATAACTAACTCCAGGGTTAGGTTCGTTACCGAGACCCTGGGCCGTTGCGGGCTGAACAACCTGAAGCTAGGGGCTTGGCGTTGCGCATTCAATCTGCAATGCACTCGCCACACTCGAGCCACATCTAAGCCACATGCTAGTTATGCGTGACGTCTGGAAAGCAAAGAGAAGGAAAATGGGAGTCTTTGTCGGCTCGTTGGGGGTCTGACTTGGAGTTACCCCTCTCACCTTGGATTCGACTGCTTAATTCTTGGATGAACTTCCTGACATGGCTTCCCGTCCTGCAAGAATGTAGTTGTCGTTAGGTAATCGTGGACCTGAGGTCCGCAGCTTGCCGGGCATCCGAGTGGAGAATTTTCTTCATAATCCAATCAGACCCCTGACCCCAGGTACGTGCTGCCAAGTCCGGGCTCCTGCAAGTCCAGCCTCGATGATCTTGTGACGCAAAGAGCTTCCCGAATTCTCAATCCAGGGGCAAGAAAAGAGCGGTCCGAGAGAGTGTGAGACACAGGATTTGCAAAACATGCAATTGCGCGATGCCAATCATGTTAAATTATGGCTGCTAAGAAATTAAAAGGTACTACTGAGAGATTAAACAGCTGACAGCTCACAGCTGAGCCGAGAAGTTTTTTTTTGCGAATCCAGTTCGAGAAAGCAGTGTTTCAACGCCAGAAACCCTTCGGTCATTTTTCCAAGACCGCTTGCCCAGATCCGTCGTACCCTTGTCCCAAAAAAAAAAAAAACTTTTGATGTCCGTTCCCTTGTGCCTTTTTTGTCCCATATTCCCAATATTAGTCATTTGCCTGTTTTGTTTTGCTCCTTTTGTCCCATCTGTTTTCTCCGTAGATCACCTGAATGATCGCTCTGATGAGCGACCAGAAGAACGCCGTCGCCCACATGGCGCCGTAAACGTCCTGCCCAGCCCCATCCACGCTGGCTCCCCTACGGGAGCCGTACCCTCCTGGCTCGAGCCCCACAGCTTCTGAGCCGGCGCGCACTCCTCAAAGTGGCCCATGAACCCCTGCCTAGAGTAGAACCTGTCCCGGAGCTCCAGGTGGTCGTCCAAAAAGTCGCCCTCAAAGGCGAGCTGGCAGCCCTTGCACGAGACGCCGGACTGGACCTCGCCCGTCAGCCGGTCCAGGTAGGGCAGGCTGGTTGCCGCTTGGAACCGCAGGGTCAGCGAGTCGGGCCACCGGCTGGCGGCGGCCTCGGCCTCGGCCTCGCCCGCCCCGCTCTCCCGCAGCGCGCCGAGCGCGTGCTGCACGGCCACGATGCTCCGGCGGCTGTCCGGGAGCGTGTGCAGGACGGGCAGCCGCCGCTGCAGCGCGCCCGAGTCCACGCCCGTCGCGTCGGCCACGCGGCTCACGTAGCTGACCTGCATGGCCGGCGCCGACGCGAGGCAGGTGAGGCAGCAGCGCGCCGCGGTGGGCAGGAACATGAAGCCGCCAAAGGAGCCGCACAGGGAGCAATCCTGGGTGGTGAGCGTCGAGTACACGTCCAGCGCGTTCACGTGGGATGCGAGGCCTGTCCGGAGGAGCACGCAGAGGCCCTCCAGGGCGTGGGCGCTGAGGTGGCGGAATTCCCGGATCGAGGTGAGCACCTCGCGGGCGGTGCGGTTGACATGGCTGAAGCGGACGGCCGAGGTGACGTCAAGTTCGAGGCAGATGAGCGAAACAATCTCAAAGGGGAGGCGTCCGAGGCGTCCTAGGTCGTAGTCGAAGTCGGAGTGGCGGGACTTGTCGCCCAGGGGCTGGAATACGGTAGATCGGACGGCATCGTGCTGGCTCGGGTGCACAGTGACGACGGGCAGCTCAAAGTCTGCCCGGCTGTAAGATGTGACGCCGAGGATAGCGTCGGCGTCCGGTCTTGGCGCCGGACCCGCCGCGGCAGTCTGCTCGGTGTGGGAGGTGTGCGATGTCGACATATTGTCCAATTGTGATGGTAAAAAAACTGTTGAAAAACAGGGACGAAGAGGAGCCCTTCTCCGGACAGATCCCCGTGGAATATATACAAAGAAACGGCCTTCAGAAACCTGGAATGCGGGGGATCAAGGGCATGCTGTCCTCGTGACACTTCATTACGAAATGACTTGCAAGTAGATGGCAATACCAAGGACCCGCTTGCTGAATACCGCCCCTTACCGTGCTTCCAGAACGGGCTTTCCCAGAAGGGAGCAGGCACTGGCGGGCTCGCGCAGCATCTCGTGGACAAAGCGAGATCCACAGCGGGGCCAGCCCCAGGGGTCCGTAACGCGCCAAGTCTTGCGCTGAAGGTGTCACGATCTCGCCATCCGCTTCGTCATCGCCAATCGCGGCCATACCGCCTGCCCCGTGTGTTGCAGGCCCTGTAGCCGTTAAAATTTTAGGGGGGATCTTATTCCAAACTCTGCGGCTTACCAGCTTACCACTCCACAATTTGGGTCCAACGAGCCACAACACCAGAAACGGCGGAGTGCGCGGCACGGCACAGCGACGTTTCCATTACACAATGACAAACGCCGATTCTAATAATAACCACAGCCACAGTAGCCACGACAGTCACGACAGTCACGACGGTGAGAGCAGCCACGACAACCGCGGCGACAGCAAGAACCCCTTTATCCGCTTCCGCCACCACGTCGACACCAACCTGCACGCGGGGCTAAGCACCCTGATGGTAGCAGCAGGTCGGCGGGGTGACCCAACGTCCACATCCACATCAGCCCAAACCCAAACCCAAACCCAAGCATCACCACTTGCAACACCCAACCCCAACCCCGACATCAGCCCAACCCCAACCTCAAAACCCAACCCCAATCCCAACACCCCATCCTCACCATCCTCACCCTCAACAATGTCCCCCTCAACCATGTCCCCCTCACCACAAACCATGCCGCCCTCACCACAAACCATGTCCCCAAACCAACACCTCGAATCCCGCCTCTCCCTCCTCGCAGGCGGCACCCCCGCCGAAGCCGCCCTCGCCTGGCGCCTCTTCCTCACCCGCTCCGCCTACTCGCCGTTGCGCCTAGAGCAGCAGCACGATGACGATTTGTGGGGTTGGCGCCCCGTGCCGAGGGGCGTGTCGCCCGAGGTGGCGGCGCAGGTGGGCTGGCTGGAGGCGTTTGAGGATCTGGTGAGGGTGAGTTCGGGGTTGGGGGTTGTTGATTTTGACTCTGAGGCTGTGGAGGGTGGTTTTGGGGGGTGGGGTGGGTTGGGCTTGTTCGGCTTGGGTGGTTTTGGTGGTAGTGGGTTTGGTGGTGGTGGGTTTGGTCGGTTTGGTGGCATGCGGGAGGTCGCCTGGCTCGAGCGGATGCATCGCCAGGGGCTGACCGAGGTGCTGTTCCCCGTGTATGACCCCGGTCTGGGGTACCAGTCGCCGCGCACGATGGCTGAGTGGGTTGAGCGGCGGCGGGTGGAGGAGAGGAGGGAGCGGGACGTTGGGCGGGTGTGGGAGGAGCTGGTGGGCGAGGGGAGGCGCGCGGCTGAGAGGGAGGCCGAGGCGTGGGTGGAGGAGGCGAGGAGGGAGATGCGGGAGATGAGGAGGGAGGTGGATGCGTGGCGGGATGCTGCGCATGAGACGGGCACCTCGTTTTTCGATGGGATCGGGGGCGCTGTGAAGACGCTGGGGAAGGTGCTGGAGGACGAGGTCAAGTCGTTGCGCCGGTTTGGGGGGGAGGAAGACGGGAAGAGTAGAGATAGGAGCGCCGACGAGAAGGACGATGCCCCACAGACAGAAAGCGACCTCTACTCGGTCATCCAGTCCGCCTTCCACGAGTCAGAACGGTCGCTCTCCAACTTCTTCAAGCTCATCTCTGAGGGCGGACGTGCTCAAGGACCTCCAGAGCCCAAGCCGATCTCACCACCGAAGGTGAACACCACCGAGGCCGTAGAGGACGGCATCACGAAAAAGACCACTACAGAAGAATTCGTTGACGAGCACGGTAACACACACTCCAAGACCGAGACTACCTGGACCGATGAGAACGGCCAAGTTATCATGAAACAGGTGCACAGCTCTATGGGCCACTCCGCACGCTGGGAAAAGGCAACTCAGGGGGCTCCTACAGAGCCGAACCAGGCGGCTACCGAGGGCCCAAAGGAGCAGCACAGGCAAAGCGGATGGTTCTGGAAGTGAATACCATGGGCCACCGTCGAGGATAGGAAGGCTGACAGGATCGGAAACCTTGGAATACCCCACTCAGTGCGTACACTCCGAGGTCGTCTCCATCATCTCCATCATCTCCGCTCAGTTGCAGCTCAATTCCAAAGATTGACTCATCACGGGGTTTTTGTTTTGTTTTGTTTCTTCTAACCGAACAACTCATTCATGGAATTATGTATCTATCAGATGTCCAGCATGACACAACAAACTTGCTCAGCTATTCCACTCGTTCTAGCCCGGCTCCGTGGAAGTCAATGAGTCGACTTTAGTGAGCATAAAGTAGCAGTGACGTGTATGTGGGTCCCATGGCAACGGCACCACAGGAAGATGCATGTTGCATTCGGATTTCGTTGTGTCTTTTCCGGCCTTTGACTGATCTACACGTTGATCGCCAGGAGCGAAGCTTGGAGAAGCAGCACGTGAACGGGCCAAGCAGCTCCAGCCGGTTGAGCAAATCCGGTTGAGCAACTCCAAGAATCCAACAACACTACGTTACAAGATGACCGCTAATTGTACTCCGAGTACTCCTAGTTATCCGCGGAGCTGCGCGAGGCAGGGTAGACCCCCCTATTACTTACCCGCCCGCATAGTCACCTTCTTCTTCCGCATCATCCGCTTCCGTACAATGATCTTTGTCCTCATGGAGAGCTTCTCATCCGCCTTCGTCTTGCCCTCCTTGGTAGGCGGCGCCTCGCTCTTCGCCTCGGCCGCTCCCTTCTTCCCGCCCTTGCCAAACTTGCCGTCCCTGCCAAACAACTTGCCATCTCTGCCGGACCTGCCGTCCCGGCCGGGTTTTCCGTCCCTGCTAAACTTCCCGTCCTTCCCGTCCCTCCCCTTGTTCCACGTCTTCCCCTTCCCCCAATCACCACCCCTCTCCCTCCCACCAGCACCAGCACCACCCCCAACCCCAGCAGGCCTCTCCTCCCTAGGCAGCCTGCTCTTCTCCTCCTGCTGCCGCCTCCGCTGCACGACATTCGCGTTCTCAATCGCAAACTCCACAATCAGCCGCTGCGTCTTGCCGGCCTCGTTCTTCATGGCATGACCATTTAGGTAGCGCAGGCCCATGAGCGCCCAGCGGTGGGACGAGTACTCGATGAAGCCGTAGCCCCTGGACTTGCCGCCGCCCGTCTTCTCGTCGACCTTGGAGCCCTGGGTCGTCTCAAACACAATCTTGGCCTGCCGCACCACGCCCTTGCCTTTCTCCTTGCGGCGGCGCTCCGCCTCGCGGTCCTCGTCGCCGCCGCGCGAGTTCTCCTCCCTGGAGATGGGCAGCCGCCGGCCCTCCTTGACGTCCTTGGCGAACCCGACGACGGCCTCGCGCGCGAGCGCCTTGAGGCCCTTGGAGTCGAGGTTGTGCGGCAGGTTGCGGATCGCCATGCGCGTCAGGCTGAGGTGCAGGCTGGGGTTGGACTCGATCATCTTCTTGCGCTGCTTGGCGCTGGCCTCGCGCATCTTGATCTCGGCGGGGGTGAATTGGTTGAAGAGGGGTGAGCTTGCCGAGATGGAGCCTTCCGAGAGGAGGAACAGGCGCCGCTTGTCCTTCTCCTTGCGCTTGCCTACGCCTTCGTCCGCTAGCCGGGTCGCCTCGTCCTTGGAGACGGCTTGGGCAACTTGTAGAATGCGGCCGTCGAGTGTGTATTTGCCTTCCGGGTCGGCTGCCTCATCTTGAAGCACCGAGTGTTTGGCTAGCGTAGCGATGGGCTGGTGGCGGGGCGCACCCTTCAGGCAGGTCTTGAAATCGTCCTCGTTGAAGAAGCACACGAAACCTGTGCCCGCCGGCCGGTCCGTGGCGCGGTCCATTACCACTCTGGCGTATCTCACCGGGCCGAATGTTGTGAAGTGTGCCTTGAGCGTCTCGTCGGTTGTCGAATATGGTAGGTTCCGGATGAAGAGAGTTGTGTCATTATTCGTCAGGGGTTTCTTGGGTTTCTCCTCCTCCTCCTCATCCTCGTCGATATCTTCAAACTCGTCGTCCTCGTCAATCTCGTCATCGAGATCCTCATCCTCTTCTCCCTCGCTCCCCTCCTCCTCGTCACCCTCTTTCTCTTCGTTTTCGTCCTCATCCTCCTCTTCCTCCTCTAGGTTGTCGCCGTAGTTCTTGAAGAAATTCACGAGATCCCGATCTTCCTGAGTCATGTTCGGGTCATCCTCCTCTTCCTCCTCCGCTTCCTTCTTCGCCTTCTTTGACTTTTTGGCCTTGGGACTCTTGGCCTTTTCCTCGTCCTCCTCTACATCGCCCTTTTGTTGCTCCCAGGTCTGCTTGTCCACGGCCCAGTCCACAGCCAGCGTTCGTCCATCAACCTCCTTGCCATTGATAGACTCAATTGCCTTCTCGGCGTTCTTCCGCCCGCGAAGCGTGACGAAACCGAAACCGGACAACTTGCCCTTGTGGTTTGGAAGATCCGAGAACTTGACCTTGCCGAAGCTCTGGAACAGTTTTGCCAACTGGTCCGACGTCTTGATACTCCAAGGCAAGTTTCGAATAATGAGCTTGGGCGCCTTCCGTGCATCTTCCAGATCGGCCTGGCGCTTCCGCTTCACCTCAACAGCCTTTGACATGGCATCGGAACCCGACTTGGTAGGATCGCGGTGCCGTGATTGGGCGATATCGAGCTTCAACCGGCGCCCGCTGAATAGCTCATTCTTGAGCTTGTCCTTGGCCTCGGCCGCATCGTCGGGATCGGCGAACGACACGAAGCCGTAACCTCGCGAGAACTTGGTTTTCGGGTCGACCACAACCGTGGCGTGCTTGACGGGGTAGTGTTGCGAGAAGAACTCGGTCAGGGACTCGCTCGTGGCATTCGGCGGCAGCGATCGAACAAAGAGTTGCCGATTCGACTCGACCCGTGCTTTCTTTGACGGAGGGTTTGGGGTCGGCGCGGCGGCTTCCTCTGCCCCGGCCGACACCTCCTCAACCTCGCGCTGGCGCTTTTTGTCAGTCTTGCCCATGGTCGAAGTGGTCTGTTCGTTTGCAATGCCAGATGCGATGTGCAAAATTGGCCTAAGCTCCTGCGCAATTGTAGAAAAAAAATACAGGGGACGAGACCGATAAGCGGTTATCGTGCAGGATGTGGGGCGCGACTTGTGCCAAAAATCGACCCCTCCTCACCCCCCAAAATCTAAAGGCACTAGCCAGATCGGGAAGAAAGCCAGTAAACAAACAACACCCGAACCCTCCATCCCACGTCAAGACCTAATACCAAGACCAAGACAACCTCGATCTCGACACCCCTCTTTCGACGTCATACGCAAATGCGGCTCGGCGCGCGAATTCACTAACTCAAGCCAAACCAAAGATACAGCCGCCGCCATGCCGAGAGCGTCGACGAGGTCGACTCGGTCCTCGACAGGCGCCGCCTCGAAATCATCAGGAACACGCGCATCGACAGCATCCCGCGCCTCATCAGCAGTAAACACCGATGTCCCCGACGAGACTCCCGACAATGCGCTGCGCGCCCAGGTCGCCAACGTATTCCGCGAGGCCCAGCGGACAACAGCCACCCACCGCAAGCTGGCCGTGACGCTGCGCAAAATCCAAGAAGCATGCTGCTACGAGCCGACGTCGGTCAAAAAGACAACCACCGCCGCCGCCGCCACGGCCTCGGACTTCGAGGAGGACGACTTCAACGCCGAGTTCGTGCGCTGCGTGCTGCGCGTCATGCCCATCAAGAAGAGCGAAGGGGTGGGCGAGAGGACGGTCCGGTTCATCGGCCTGTTCCTGCGCCACGCCATCGACAAGGACAACGAGGCCGTCGGCGAGCTCGACGAGGATGCTAGCACCATGCCCGAGACCCCCGGCACGCGCCTGACGACCCACCTTATGGAGATGGTCCTGCCGCTGCTCGCCGCCAAGGACAAGTTTGTGCGCTACCGCTCGACCCAGCTGATCTCGCACATCATCAACTCGCTGGATGCGATCGACGATGATTTGTTCCAGAAGCTACGCGCGGGGCTGCTGAAGAGAATTCGGGATAAGGAGGCCATGGTCCGCGCACAGGCTGTTCTGGGCCTAGGTCGGCTCGCGGGGAATGAGATGGAGGCGGAGGCGGATTCAGATGACAGCGATGACAATGGTGCTAGCGGGCTGCTGGAAAGGCTGTTGGAGGTGTTGCAGAATGACCCCAGTGCCGACGTGAGGAGGTCATTGCTGGTCAACCTGCCTATTCTGCCTGCAACACTCCCATTTCTGCTGGAGAGGGCGAGGGACCAAGACGCGGCTACGCGCCGTTCTGTGTACTCGCGGCTACTGCCAGCACTGGGGGACTTCCGCCATCTTTCGCTTTCGATGAGAGAGAAGCTCTTGAGATGGGGCTTGCGTGACAGAGACGAGAACGTGCGCAAGGCCGCCGGTCGTCTCTTCCGCGAGCGGTGGATTGAGGACTGCGCGGGGACACCACCTCCCGCCGAAAGTGGGCAACCGTCTGAGGTTTCGCCGCCCAACCTCGACGCCCTACTCGAGCTTCTGGAGCGAATCGACGTGGTGAACTCTGGCGGCGAGAACGGCGTGGGCCTGGAAGCCATGAGGGGCTTCTGGGATGGTCGCCCGGATTACAGGGAAGCCATGTTCTTCGATGATAACTTCTTCGAGACGCTGAGCGCTGAGTCCGTGTTCGTGGTCCGAACCTTCAACGACTTTTGCCGGAATGAGGGCAACGGCAAATTTGAATCTTTGATCGAAGAGAAGCTGCCCGAGGTCACCAAGGTGGCCTTCTACCTTGAGCGGTACATCAAGGTGTTGGTTGACGCCATCCAGAGGGCGGAGGAGCAAGAGGTTGAGGACGAGGAAGAGGAAGAGGACACGGCAGAGCAGGAGTTCATAGTAGAACAACTGCTCTACATCGCCCTCACTCTCGACTATTCGGACGAGGTTGGCCGACGCAAGATGTTCTCCCTCCTACGGCAAACGCTATCTATCCCGGAGCTGCCAGATGACGTGACCAAACTCACGGTCTCTGCGCTGCGGGATATCTGCGCCCCTGACGCAGCCGGCGAGAAGGAGTTCTGCAGCATTGTTCTTGAGGCTGTCGCCGACGTCCACGACACCATTGTCGACGACGACGTGCCGGAGAACGACGACGAGAGCTTCCACTCGGCTAGATCCGAGGTTAGCGGTGACACTACTCCCACTAAGAGCGGCAAGAGTAGGACTCCCGAACTCTCCGAGGAAGAAGCGGCCAAGAAGGCGATCAAGGAGATCATGATCAACATGAAGTGCCTGCACATCGTGCAGTGCATGCTCTCCAACGTGACCGGTGATCTGCAGCAAAACGACCATCTCGTGGCCATGCTCAACAACCTCGTCGTCCCCGCCGTCCGCAGCCACGAGGCACCCGTCCGCGAGCGCGGCCTTGTCTGTCTCGGACTGTGCTCCCTCCTCGACCGCTCCCTCGCCGAGGAGAACCTCACCCTCTTCATGCACTTCTTCAGCAAGGGCCACACAGAACTGCAGATCACCGCCCTGCACATCCTTACCGACATCCTCAACGTGCATGGCGCCCAGCTCCTCTCGTCCAACCCGACCCTGCTCAAGGTCTACATCAAGGCCCTTCGGTCGGGCGCAAAACACCCCGAGGTCCAGGCCGCCGCGACTGTGGCCGCGTCAAAGCTGCTCCTCGGCCGCGTGGTCAACGACCACGACGTATCCGCCGAGCTGCTCAAGACGCTGGTGATCGCCTACTTCGAGCCCGCGTCTGCCGGCAACCAGAGCGTGCGCCAGGCGCTCAACTACTTCCTGCCCGTCTTCTGCTACTCGCGCGCTGAGAACCAGGATCTGATGCGCTGCGTCGCGCTGGACGCCCTGCATACGCTGTACAACGTGCGCGAGGGCTTCGATGACGACGACGCGGACATTGAGGACGAGATGGTCTCACTGACCACTATCGGCGCATGCCTGGTCGATTGGACTGACCCGAGGAAGTGCTTCTCCCCCGCGAGCGGTGCCGGCGGGCTGGGCGAGGCGGAGAAAAAGCATGTCAACGCGGATGTGCATCTAGAGTTTGCGAATGATATTATCGAGCGGCTAAGCGGCAACGTGCCGAGTAAGTCTTCCCGCAAACAACACTCTTCGCTTTTGTCCCGCAATGCTAACCACTTTCACCGCACAACAGAAGAAGAAAAGAAAATCATCTCGGCCCTCCTCGGCAAGCTGTACGTCTCACCCGCCTCGTCCGAGTCCAAGTCCCGCGAAGTCTACGCCGTCATCTGCGAGGCCGTCGACAACCAGCTGCTGTCCGACACCGCCAGCCGGAACGCCCTGTACAAGATCCACGTCAGCCTCGGCAAGATTGTCAACACCCTCGACGCTGCTGTCGAGGCGGCCGGTGCTGCGGGCGGCAAGTACCGCCGCAGCGTGAGCCGCGCCAGTTCGGTCGGGTTCGATGCGCCAGGCACGAGTACGCGGCCGACCCCGTCGGAGGAGAGGACGGTGGTGCAGCATGAAGTGCAGATTAAGGAGGAGGAGGAGTCTGATGCTGGGACGGTGGTGCACAGGTCGAGAGAGCAAAGTCTGGTTGATGAGCTTTTGTCTGAGGAAGAGGAGTTGTGATGACATGCCAGGTGATGATGTAGGTTTGGGTGGGTGGGTGGTCGGTTGGGTTTTGTTGCATTTCATTACGGAGGATATCCGGGTTTTTGTCAGGTTCCGTCTGGGTATGAGACAAGTCAATACATGAACACGATGATGCCACGCTTTAAATCTCTATAACCTATGCCACTCTTCAGCATCCTCATGTACATGCACACCGCACATCTATCTATCTCTACTGTGTATTACCAACACCCTACTTCCCTTCTCTAACCCCCAACCAATACACCACTCCGCCAACCAGCACATTCACCACCAAATGCTGCCCCAGACTCCAAGCAATACAGTACAAATACTTGGGCGAGAACACCGTCCACACAAACAAATGCGTCCTCAGCGCCGAGCACGCAGCCATGACAGCCACCACGCTCCCCGCCACGAACACCGTCAACACAGCAACATGCGCCTTCCACAACCCCTTCCCCTTCTCCCTTCCGCCACCACCATTCCCACCATTCCCACCACCATTAGTACCACCACCATTAGTACCACCACCATTAGTACCACCATTTCTCTCCCTCCACCCCACCAGCATCACACACCCCGCCACGGCCCACCACACCGCCCCCGCCCAGTTCCCCACAAAGGTCAGCACGGCCACCGCCTCGACGCTATACGCAGCCACGCCGTTATACGCGCTCGACAGGTCGACGGACGCGACCGAGTTGGCGCCGCCGGCGGCGAAGAAGGCGGCGTGCTGCAGCAGCAGGACGGAGGTGGTGATCTCGGTCGGGGTGAGGGACGTGCCGAGGGAGGTGGCGGAGGAGAGGAGGAGGTGTTGGAGGTTGTGCAGCAGGTAGAGGGGGATGTTTTGCGGGCGGGATTGGGTTAGGGCGAGGAGGGTGTAGAGGGTTAGGAGGGTTGATGTGCCTGTTTGTTTGAGGAGGGGGTTAGTTTGGGGGTTAGTTTGGGGGGGGGGGAGGTGAGAAGGGGGGGAGGGTGTGGAGGGGAAGGAGGCGGGGGGCTTACCGCTTTGGTTGAGGGAGATGCGGCGGCGGGCGAGCATGGAGAGGACGGTTATAGCTGTGAGCAGGGCCAGGCCGATGAAGACGGCGCGGGCGCGGGTGATGAGGGTGGCGCTGTGGGTGAGGTGGAGCTTTAGTATGTAGCGGGCGAAGTCCGTGACCAGTTCTGGGGCGTCTTCGAGGGTGAAGGCAACCTTGAAGGTGAAGGCTGCGAGGACGAGGCCGGTTGCGGTTGTGAAACTGAACCACATGGGTAGCCCGCTGAGGCCGTAGATCAGGCTCTGGTGCGCCCAGAGATAGGTGACACCGATGAGGCACCAGAGTAGGGCCGGGTTGGTGTTGAGGTAGGTTTTGACAATATCTGGCTCACCGGCGAACTTTTGGCCGGTCTGGTTCCAGCTCCTAATGATGCGCGTAGTAAGGAGCAGGGCTGTAGTGGTGAGGATTTGACGCGCGGCGGAGGCGTTACCCCTGCGACGAGTGAGTAGGAGTTCGGGCGGGGAGTGACGAGAGACCTACCGTTTGAGCCCCCTGACACCGAGATAGGCAAACCAGGCCGTCGTCGCCCAGTACCAGAAGTGGTGCTCTTCCTCGACATAGCTGCTTGCGAACATCATGACCCCGTAGGCGAGAACAATACCGGAAAGAGGGATGAAGGAAACAAGTTTGTCCCTGGCACACCACACTGCGGCAATGATGGCAGCGACCAGAGCTGCACCGGCAGCAGCTTGCCCCAGGAAGAGCCTTGATGTATCATAATTGCTGGCCATGCTGCTGAGGACCCCCTGTGCGTGCTGAAGCCACTGGAAACTTGTCAGCGGGATGTACTTCTAGATCTGCTGTACCTTGAGACCTACCTTTTCAATAGAAGGTATATCACCCCCGCCGCTGCTATAGCTATTAGCCAGATCCTCCCAGCCGAGCGCTAACTCCCGATAGTCGATGTTTGACTCAGTAGCAGCGTTCGCATCCGGGTTTGACTCGAAAATCTGCGGGCCAAACACTGCCAGGACAATGTCACGAATTTGGCGAGCATTACGCATCAGCAGTTGAACCTGGTCCTTCTCTGGATGGGTGTCAGCACAACCCTATCACTGTCGAAAGCACGCGCTTACTGTTGGCCCAGAAGGGTAAAAAGTGAGGGATGAGCGCGCCCAGATTGTTTTTGGGCACCGGGAAGCCGAGCAAAGCAGCAAGCGTCGGGGCGACATCTGACTGCTCGACGGTGCTATAATATTGAAAGCTCTCATCTTCCGGCATAGGCGACTTCAGGTTGCTTTCCAGCGCCTTCAGCTTTGGGGACATGAACACCAAGGCCGGGGAGGTCTCCCCGGGGGATGATGCGCCGTGGTTGCCGGCGTCGTTCATGCCGTGGTCGCCGCAGACCACGAACAGGGTCGAGTGAAGATGGTCCTGTGACTCGATAGCTGTGTAGATTTGACGAACGATTCCATCCATTTCCCGCTGCTTGACAACCATATGAGGACTGGATAGTTGGTTAGCGGTCGTCCGCGCGCATGCTGGAGGTGGTTGTACCTTCGTGGCCCACCCTTGTGGCCGATGTGATCCAGTCCTAGATAATGCAGAACCATTGTATTCCAGTCGTCATTCTTGAGCTCCCCAGCGATATGCCGAGTTACGTTGTTGTCCACCTCGGTAAAGTCCTACTCTCGTCAGCTCTTGACCAGCCCCTCCCTATTCTTCTCGACCCTGAATGCGCTGTGCTCACCGAAACGAAGAAGCTTGTGGTCCCGTCGGCACGATCAAAGGTTCCCGGAAACAGCTTCAACCAGGTGTCGTCCCCGTACATAACCAACTTCCCCGTGCCCTTGGCCTTCATTTGCGCCAGCCACGTATCCTGCGACGCCAAGCTGGAGCTCTCGTCTCCCTCGTCGAGGTTGAGTACGACATCGAGGAAGGAGGGGATCGAGCCGGTAGTTATCGCTTTGAGACGCGGCATCGTGACGGTCGGGGAGGTGGCATGCGCGGTGAAGGGGAGTGCGGCGCCATCGCGAATGAGTCTGGGCCCGTCAGCTTGCGCGGCCCGAGTTGATGGGAAGGGCTCGGCCTACGATTGTGTGAATTCGAAGCCGCTGTTTTCGGCATAGACAAAATCACTATTGCAGCCAGTCGATTGATCAGTTCATGTATGTCTACGACGACAGCGCGTTGGATGTGTCTACGGTACCTTCGCAAGGCATCGATCACCATGAATACGAGCCTGTCGAACGGGGCGGCCGGAGGGTCGCCATACTCGGTCACGGCATCGTAGGTTGCCAGACCAGAAAGCAGTGGCTTGTACGGGAAGAAGCCTGTCGCAAATACGAAAATAGCGGCCGGTATTAGGATGTTGGCCGCAAGCAGAAACACGGAGCTCAAAGTCCCATCGCGACGACTGTGCGCCGTCATCTCCACGGGAGGGAGTCGGCGTAAATGGTGGGGTATTAACTGGAGAAAAAGGTTCAATTGGAGCCAGAGTCCATGGTTAACGCATGCGCAAGTTCCCGAAATATGTCTTCCCCTCGAAAAAGAAAACGCGATTTCTGAGCGTGGTGTTCTCGTTCTCGTTCAACCCCCCCAGGCACCCTGAGAGCTTGGCCTCGACGAGAATGGTTGGTGATTGGACGAGAGATGGAGGATTCGAGCCAAGAGAGGACCTGAGGCGGCCCCGCAGATATGGGCTGGTGGGCCGGTGGCAGCCGAGCGTTATCGTATCGATACGTAATTACACAGTACTTGGTACATGTGGTATCAGAATGGGAACTCCACGAGCAGAGAGACCGCCAAATGGCATGTGAATATCATCGAAACTGACGGACCCGCGCGCAATTTATGGACCGGATACGCCGAGAAGGTGGTCTGATACATGGTGCTTTTCCTTCCTCGTATGTATCCCAAAACCAAGCCGCTCGAGCTAATCGGTCCTACGACGCCCTGACGTTGCTGGTCATGATGGCCGCTCCGCCGCGGAGCTGATGTTTTGTTTCCCAACTCCTGACTCCTGACCCAATGCAGCGGGTGTGAATCCGCAAAATGGAAAATCGCCGAAAGCAAGAACAAAACCTCCCTCTTCCCCTCCCTCTTCTCGGCAACGTTTGGCCTCGCCGATCCTTCTCGACTATGACGGGGTCGACATCAACTAATCGCAAGGGCTCGGCCCGAGGGAAGAGAAGTCGGGTCCGATGAGATGCTCTCGCACCAAGACAATCCGACTTCAAACCCATCACCCCTCATTTCTTGTTCCGCTTGGGTCCCCTCATGGGAAAGACAATCGACGACTTCTTGCCCCTCCGCTTCTCCACTTTCCTCTTGCTATTCGGCTTCTTGCCCGCCGGCTTAGCACCTTCAACCTCCATAGCAGCTGCAAAAGGTCAATAACGATATCTCAGCGTCATCTACTGCATGAACTTACTGTCCTCCTTGGCAGCGGCGTCCTTGGTCTCCTCCACAGGCTCTGCGAGTCTCCATCAGCATCGATTCGGCACGTACTTTAGTTCTTCAAGGGGTCAACATACCTTCGTTCATGTCCACATCTTTCTCTGGCTTGGACTCGGCGGCAAGGGCCAACAGCTTCGCAGAGAGGCGCTCTGCACGTGCGGACTCGATTGGGCCGAATACATTCTTCTTGAGCCGCCGGTTGTTTGTCTTGATGACGCTTGACCTTGAACTTTTCGCCATTTTGTTTTTGCCTTATGACGTCCTGTGGGATGTGGTTTAATTTGAGTTTGAGTGACAGGGAGTTTGTCAACCCGAGGTGGCTTGGTGGGAATGAGTTGAGTGGTGGTGGGTGAAATTAACACGGATACAAGCATGAGCGGGTGGTTCGAAAATTTCGATCTGAACCAGGCCAGGCGCAAACCAGAGCTGAATTTGAAGTCAAGGTACTTTGAGTGGGTCCCGCTTGTGAACCAGAATCGTTTTTCTTCGCGCATGAATTGCGGGTGAAATTGGCAAGCCCGCACCTCTTCCGCCAAGGCTCGGTATCCAGTACCTGCCCCATATTAATTCAACCGCCCCCTGGTGGACAGCCGCAGAGTCTCTGGGCCAAGGCAGCCGTTGACTCTTTTGGGACAGGGCGTTTTCTGCCATAAAACACCGCCCATTTGTGTTGACGACAGACTCGAGCTATGGGTGAAGAGTCGATGTCGGGAGAGGACTGACAAGGCTTCCCACCGTGCTCGCTTGCGACCAAGCATACGGTATCCACTCTGCTATACATGAGGTTTATTTATCTCGACTTCCGAGGCCACATGCAGCTCTAGAAACCACGAAACTCGAAGGAAAAGAAGCGCTGCAATTGCAGCTCCGAGGGCTTCATCGGGCAGCCACCCACCTTTGGAGCTCTAGCCTTGTCGCTCCTTCCTGCTCACCATAACATCATTATACCCGGCCAGTCATCTCCATCACAGGGCGATACATTTTAAATCTTTGCTAGTACCAATTCGAGGTCATGGACGACAAATCTGCCGAGGTTCAAAGCCTCGTCCGAACCATCCAGGTGCCTGCCATCTCAAAGGCCATCCTTCAGTCTATTTGCGCCGTGAATGGCATCCCCAAGACGGGAAACAAAAGCGAGCTCCAGAGACGCATCATTCAGCGTGAGTGGAATTTCTTTGGCATTTTGAACAGTCCGCAACACCGCTTATGGGCTTTGCCTACTTTTTTTTACCCTTCTTATTGTTTCAAGTTCTCTACTATCACCCATCTCGTCACAGCTCACATTCAATGTCACGCTTCACACTGTTTATTCGGCCATGGCTCACAATCATCGATCAGAAATCAACTCGTGCAGTGATGCTCGGGACTGGGAACGACTCCATGAAATTCGTGAGAGCATAGTAAATCGGGCACCCATTTATGTGACCCCGTCACTTGTCTCGCAGTCGCAGTCGCAACCCCAACCGCAATCACAAGTGTCGCAAGTATCGCTCCGGTCACAGCCAATACCACAACCATCGTACTACCAGAGCTCCCGACCGCAGACACCTCCCAACTATGCCATGGGTTCATACAACCAGCCAAGCTATGGTGCGCTCAACGGGTTGAGATCGCAAAATCCCCCCTCGGTCGGGTACCAAAACCCGCCAACCGGGGCAGCCGCTCGACTGCGGCCGAATGCCGGGTTAGTTGCGCCGGCCATCGCCTACAAGTCAAGCCCGTTCTACGAGCTAAAGTACCAGGTCGGCGACGTCAAGACGCTGGAAGGTGTGTTCGGGGTTATCCCGCTTTCTCCGCGCCGCTAATACGCTGGCTAACTAGATTCAGTGATGGCGGCGCACCGCAACTCGGAGCGCGTCTCCATCAAGGTCCAGGACCATCCTGCTCTGCAGCTCTGCCTAACAGATCGGACCATGCGCGTCATGGTCTTGTGTACCGCCGGCAACATCGGCGTTCAGGAGATTTCCTTTCCGTATCAGTGCGAATTGAAGGTGAATGGTGGCGACATCAAGGCAAATCTGCGGGGTCTGAAGAACAAACCTGGGTCTACTAGACCAGTTGACATCACCGACTCGCTGCGTCTGAGGCCTGCCAGTTACACCAATAACGTTGAGCTCACCTACGCCCTGACTCAGAAGGTAGGCGCAGCGTCTCATAAGGTCTCAGAGGTACGGTTTGGGAGGGGCTGCTGAGATGGTCTGTTAACCATTCGTACAGAAGTTTTACCTGGCCTTGATCGTCTGTAAATCTGTCCCCATCGATACGCTCGTCTCTCAGATCCAGAAGAAAATCCGAAAGGAGTCAGTTGTTGCTGAGAGTAAGTATTCTGCCCTGTGCCGGTCTGGCCTACACTAACGTATCACAGTCACGAAAAAGGCCAGCGACCCCGACGTGGTTGCGACATCGCAAAATCTAAGCCTCAAGTGTCCGCTATCCTACATGAGGCTCAATCTGCCGTGCCGAGGTGTGAGCTGCAACCATATCCAGTGCTTTGACGCAACGTCATACTTGCAACTACAAGAGCAGGGGCCTCAGTGGCTGTGCCCCATCTGCAACAAACCCGCGCCGTTCGAGCAGCTGGCCATCGACGAGTGAGTACCCACGAATCGTTTGACTGAGGTACCCGCTAAACAGAACAGGTACGCCCGGCAGATTCTGGCCAAGACTACCGATGAAGTCGAACAAGTCACAATCGAACCAAACGGCGAGTGGGCTATTCCCGGTGCCAAAAAGGAAGAGACACCGAACCATGAGGCTAGCTACGTCGACGACGACGATGTCGTTGTCTCGCAAGTCACCAAGACGGCAGGGAGGGCCTCAATAGCCCCGAGCCAAGCTGCCGCCTCTACACCACATCTCGCGACCCCAACCAGCGTCGGATCTCGGGACAACTCTGCGGCCCCTAGATCGTCCAAAAAGCGGCCGGCTCCCGAGATTATCGATCTGACGCTGTCGGACGACGACGAGCCACCGCGGCCGGTGAAGAGGTCAAACCACGGCAGCGGGTATTCCACCGTCCCCTACTAGCGGCAGGGGGCTCCAAAGAAGCCTCGGCGCTAAGGTGACCTCTTGCGCCGGCAGAGAGTCGGGAAGTTCTTTTTCTTTTTTTTTTCTCCCAGACTTGGCCTCTTCGTTGTGCCATATTTTAGCATTTGCACTTCTGGGCGGAATGGCTAGGCATCGGTAGGCGTTGATGGGGGATTGTCTATATTTTGTAATTGCAAACAGGAATGGTCGACGGAGTTCGTGGGACTGGCATCTAGCTAAGAGGGAAAGAGGTTTTCGTACTGGCTATTCCCGAGGGCGGGATTAGATACCATGGGTCTAAAGCGCCTTACCTTTTTCATGGCGCCTTGGACTGAAGCCGACATGCAATGGCTTTTTATCCACTGGCAGGTACATACAACTGGAATGGGCGTGTGTGGGAGTTGTTGTTCCCCCTGATCTATGCTGGTTAAGCGCATGCGGGGTATGTGCATACCAAGGCTGCGCTCCATCTGTTTGGAAGCAACTCTGGAACGCAACCACAACTAATCTGTACGGTGTCCGGAACGGAACTCGACTTCCCAAATTCCCAACGTAATATTAGCACACACCATACCGACCTATTGACAACCGTGTTTGGCTTTACTTGTGCTCTTGAACTCGCTATACGATATTCGTCCACCAATGCCCAATTCCTCACGTCAACACGAGCTTTACCGACCATCCACACCACACCCCGCAGCTCCGAGACCGAACCTCTTAGCTCCAGATCGCCGGCCTCTGTCCTTCTAGCCCGACGACAACGACGGTTTCACGGCAATCACGTATCCCACTTCTCCACGACGAGACACCCCCATCCACCCACACCGCCGGCGCATCCACCGACAACAATACGCAACCATCCGCACCACAACAACAACCAGCAACGAACCAAGCACCCCCTCAAAGAACGAAGACACCACCCAACAAACCACCCAATAAACAAACCAACAAACCCGAACAAACACCCGCCCATAACACCCCCCAAATCACCGCCCAAAATGTCCTTCGACCCCGTAATGCCCCCCTACAACGCCTCCGACCCAACCGCCCGCTTCGTCTCGGCCTCATGCCTCGACTTCCTGCTCATCGAGCTCGTGCCCATGGCATACCGGCTGACCAACGAGCTGGAGGCGGCGGCGCGCGCGCACGAGAGTGAGGCTACGGCTGCTGCTGCGGTGGGGGAGGGGGAGGGTAGTGAAGATGGGGAAGGAGAGAAGGGTGTAGAAAGTGGGGAGGGGGTTGTTGCGGATGGGGAGGGGGCTAAGGGCGCGAAGGGGGAGGGGGTAATACCATCGGGGTCGGGGTCTGCGGTAGCGGCGGTTGGTGCTGGTGGGACGGGGGCGGAGACGGAGACGGTCATGGACGAGGAGGATGAGAGGGGCGCGGTGTTTTGGCGGCTGGAGCGCATCGGGTATCGGGTTGGGCAGGGGCTTGTGGAGAGGTACGTGTGTCGGTTGAAGCAGCCGCTTTCCGTCCCCTTCTGCGTGAGGTCATCGTGTTGGAGCAGGGTGACGGCTATGGCCAAGACTAGTGGCTGACACGGATGGCGCGCAGATTCTCCCGCGACAGGCCACGCTTCAACGACACGCTGGATGTGATCAAGTTTCTGTGCAAAGACCTCTGGACACTCGTCTTCCGGAAACAAGTGGACAACCTGAAGACGAACCATAGGGTACGTTCCCGATATCATCCCCGCCTCTCCCAACACTCACTAACCCGGCCTACCTATACAGGGAGTCTACGTCCTCACAGACAACGCTTTCCGGCCGTTCTCGCGCATGGGCGCCGAGGTCAGCAGCCAAACAATCATCCGCGCGCAACCGGTAACTCTCCCTCCAACCCCCAACCCAACTCCCCAAGACTAAAAGAAAACTAAAAACTAACGAGACTCCTTCAAAGTTCCTCTGGCTCCCCTGCGGCATCGTCCGCGGCGCGCTGGCCGGGCTCGGCATCACAGCAACAGTCCATGCCGAGTCGACTCACATGCCGAACGCAATCTTCCAGATCAAGACTGTACCGGCCAAGTCGTAGCGCCTTCTCACCTATGATGTCCAATACAAGCGGCGAAGGGCTAGTTCGATCACTGCCGGAACAGCGAACAGGCGGCCAGTGCTTGGCAAGAATATCGGACTGCCAGCCTTAATCCCAAACCAGTGCAACACGTCGTGGACGTGGGAGGACTCGGCGTACTTATTTACGGATTCATTAAACCGGTCCCCGCACCGGTTGCGGTAGTAGTTGCGGCTCCGGTTACGGTCGACACGACACAACATCACGAGGGAGAAAAGATCAGCGGCGTATGGCGTTAGGACAGTTGGTAGGCATGCACGCAGGCAGTGGGTAGATGGGGGCAGAGGCATGTTAGAACCGGTAGTGTTTAGATTTTGTGTTTCCAGGTATACCCGGCGTTCGGTAATAGAACATGACATGCTCGCCAAAAGCGTCCCCCTTCCCTCCCCCTTCCGGCCGGTTGTGGCCGCCAGTGGTTATCAGTTGCCTGTTTCCCTCTCTTGTGGTGCTTGCCGACGAGTTGTTAATGGGCCCAAGTCACGCCCCACGCGTCCAGCGTGAACGCTTACAACCTAAAGAAATGGAAACACCAATTAGCCACCTGATCTCGATATACGGGAGAAGCAAAAAAGCATTTCTATTTTTGCTCTACCGGCCACGACGGCTCGGACTAACTGCAAGCCCACCGCGGCTGCCTCGCAAAAATGCCACTGCCTCGCAGGGCAACAAAAGGGGGTAATTTTGCCATCACGAACTAGGGGGTGGGTATTCACTTCTGGGGAGGGTTGTGGGCAAAGTCGACACCCTTCTTGATGTTGTCCTGCAAGCCCTCGACCGCCTTCTTGAGCAGCGTCTCCTCCTTCTCGGTAATGTCGCCGAGGATGTCGACGACTTTCTCGGCACCGTTGGGCTGGACCTTTTGTCAGTATATCCGAAGCTATATTTCATTCAGGCAGCTGTCACTTACACCAAGCTCGACGGGGACCGAGAAGAAATCGACGCCAGTCTTCTTGGCAATCTCCTCGCCGCCCGGAATGCCGGGGAGGTAGACGTAGCTGGGCTCGACGAGGCCCTTGACGCCCGCGACGGCCTTGAGGAGCTTCTCGGCGAACCTGGGTACTAGTCAGCATCACGAGCAAGAAGGTTTCACAGCTTCGAGCTTACCTGTAGCCGGCATACGCCATCGAGAGAGTGGCAGAGCCGAGGCCGTCCTTGGCCTTGACGACTTCGTCACCGCCGAACTGAACGCGGTTGACGAGGGCATCGTACTTGTCATCCGGGATCTTGACCGCGGGAGCGACCTTGCTGAAGAGCGGGACGATGGTCTCGCCGGAGTGGCCGCCGATGACGGGCACGTTCAGCTCCTGGGGGTTGCTCTTGCCGGCGATCTCGGCAACGAAGGTCTCGGCACGGACAATGTCGAGGGTGGTGACACCGAACAGGCGCTGGGCGTTGAAGACGCCCTTGGCCTTGAGAACCTCGGCCGAGATGGGGACGGTCGAGTTGACGGGATTGGAGATGACGAGGATGAAGGCCTTGGGGGCGACCTCGGCGGCCACCTCGATGAGGCCCTTGACGATACCGGCGTTGATGTTGAACAGGTCGTCACGGGTCATGCCGGGCTTGCCTGAACAACAGTATTAGTCTCGGCCCCAAACAAGCTTGGGATATGGCATACGCACGGGGAATGCCCGCGGGGATGACGATGATGTCGGCATCCTTGAAGGCAGCCTTAGCACCGTCGTTGGCGGGAAGGTAGCCAGTGGTTTTCTGTTGAACGATGTGAGTGATACAGGTCCGTGAACCTATAGCTGTATTCATGAGCTCCCGCTTACGGCATTGGAGGAGATGTGCGAAAGGTCGGCGGCGACACCGGGGGTGTTGACGACATCGTAAAGGGCGAGCTCGCTAACGAGGGGAGAGAGCTTCAGGAGCAGCGACAACGGCTGCGGGGTATCGCGTCAGTGACCAGCTTCTCATGCCCGCTCGGGGAGTAAACAAACCTGTCCAATTCCGCCCGAGGCACCGGCAACGACTGTCGGCCATGTCAGAGAGTCTTCTCCTTAAATCGCGCAAAGATGCCGTGTTTGATTCTTACCAGCTTTGACCATCTTGACTTTGGGATCGAAGATCGAAGGGTAAGCGGGGCGATGGAGGGGTAACTGTTGATGTCGCGAAATCGGAGGTCAGCTCGAGTTCGGTCAAAGCACGATTGGAGCTCGGGAAGTAAGTAACAAATCCCTGGACTAAATGGGCAATTACCTGGAGATATGGCAGATGTTGAGAAGTAGAGGGAAAGTTGGGGAGGACACGATGTCGCGATCGCGAGCTCCAAGAGGTGCTTGGCAGGCTAAGTACTGTCCGAAAAGTTGGCGGGGTCCGATGGCGTCCAGGCCCGCCAAACCGCAGGAGCTTCGTTTGCCCCGCGTTCACCCCTGAGACGGCGGCATGCAGGGAGAATTCCGGCTCAATTGGGTTCCGCCCCGAGTCCGGCGCCGGACACCCATTGCGTGGGATGGAGCAGAGCCAACTTGTGTACACCTCCCAAACGGCTTTGAGGTCATTTTCTACCCCAATTCATGCCGTATTGTTTATTTCAGTTTCAGTTTCAGTTTCGATGATTCCCGTTGCTCTGTGCGAGTAACCCACTCTATGATGTGGTTACCCGATCTACTTCCGAGGTCCGGCACTCGGTCCGGAGAATCGGGCTAGACCGGGACACCGTCCATACCTCGACCCGAAGCTATAGGCCGAATACCCTTGTGAATATGAAGAGGCTGGTCGCACGACTTCCCGTAGTCTCCTTCCGATCATTTACATGTCGTCACGCGAGTGGATTCTGGGACTCGGACAGCAGGCTCGGCACGCAGGTGGTCGTGCTCTCATCACATGTATTGTGCCGCAACGCCATCCGGGCTGCAAAGACCCCGCTTGAGTGATCGATTCTTTGGATATCAAACGCCGTGGCCGTTCCTGAATGCAAGTTTTGGCAATCCGTCCTGTCCCATTGCCCCGCATCCCATCGTCTGTCATGCACTCCTCGGCGCGAGGTTTGCGGACTCAATGCAGAGCTGCGCTTCCGACCCTTCCTGCCCTTTCATCATCCTCTACTGCTTGGCAGCGGCAGCCTTCTTAGCGGCATTGCCCCTGAGCTTCTGCTCCGGGTCGGGCTTGACGGCCCTCTGGGAACGGCGGATGCCGCTGGCGCGCGAGACAGCGGCGGCGCGGAGGTCGGCGCGGTAGTTGTTCTTGGCAGCCTGGTTGGCAACGGCGCGGTAGGTCCTGTTAAGCATAGATATCAGCATCCCCCGCCGTATTTGTTCCGAAACTGGCTTCCACTGACTTGCGGGAGGTCTTGTTGCCGCCGTAGGTGACGGTGTGCAGGCCCGAGGCGGGCTTGTTGGCCGAAGCGGGCTTCTTGCTGGTCACCTGAACACCACCCTTCTCGTTGGCGGAGATGCCGATAGCCTAACCCTTCGTATTAGACGAATATTCCTCCCCACATCTGTTCGAAAGCTGTGCTCGAGTTATTCGTACCTTGTCATTGACGAAACCGGCGTACTGTTGACTGCGTTAGCTGAGTGTTTCTTCCCGGTTTTTGCCATCGAATCCGTACCTTGCGCGAGTGCAGGTTCGTCAGGTTGAGGGGATCCCGCGAGAACTGGCCCGTCCTCGTCTTGACGAGGTACGAGTTCTGGGGGCCTATGAGCAAACGTTAGTCAGAAGCTGTGCGAACCCTCCCAAATCTACAGCCTAACCAACTTACGGGAAATCTCCCAGATAAGGTCGGCGGAGACGTTGGACATTTTTGCGGTATGGACGTTGAACAGGCGATACGGTCAGAATCAAGGCGTCGGCAAGTTTTCGTGATCTCGAATTTCAGACCCAAATGTTGGATTTTTGGTGCTGCGAGTGTGTGCTCGCTTAATTTGCTATTTCGGGGTTAGGTTGGGAAAGCGGCAGGGGCCGCGTATTCAGACTGTGGGTGTCTCCGCCCCCGCCTGTCAAGCACGCTCGTCCCTTGCTCACCTCGATGGACTCGGACTCTGATAAACATAGAACCTACACATCTTCTAGGTTACAAATTACCTCTAGCTCCTAAGTACGATAGGTCGGTCGGTTTGGCCCCTACCTTGATACCGACAGGGACTTCCTTCTAGTCGCAACATTAAAACATTAACTCTTTTTTTTTCTCTCCCTTTTTTTTCTCTCCCTTTTTTTTTTCTCTCCCTTTTTTTTTTCTCTCCCTTTTTTTTTTTCTCTCCCTTTTTTTTTTCTCTCTCTTTTTTTTTTCTTCTCTCTCTTTCTCTCTCTCTCTCTCTCTCTCTCTCTTTTTTTTTCCCACTCTTTTCCTTTACCTTTCTCTCTTCCTTCAGTTTCAAATTCTTATTTTCTGCTTTTCGTCTTCTTTTGGCTTTCTTCCTGTAATTTTCTCTATCTTTTATCCCTCGTTTAGAAGCAAATAACAGTCCTCTCCTCCCACAACACCCCTCCCAGCCTTTGCCGAGATTCGTAATAGTACAACGACACTGATTCTACCATGATACCCAATAAGCACAGCCCTCCACAGTCACAAGTTCACCTAAACCAGGGGCTCATCTAAGCAAAACCGCATCAATCCAGCCGTCTAACCTGAGCGCGACAAGCTGACCGAGCTCCGTTGTCCCATCTTCCCTTGTGTCCCTCCACTCCAACTCCTTAACAATTTTATCAATATAAATGCCCGCCCCAGAAAGGTGAAGAATGTGTGCAATGGCGGAGTGGAGAGCCAACAGGCGCGGTAAGGGCGGCTCGATAGATCGGCTCTCTGATAGGTAGAGTGTGCGTTCGACGGGCAAATCCGGCATAATGTAGGGTTCAACGAAGGTTTGAACTCTGTAGGTGTGTTCTCGGCCAGACAATGCCTCGAAGAACACCTGAAAGTTGCTAAACATCTGATGTAACTCCGCGCTCAATGTGATAGCGTTCCGCGGACCGTCAATATCGGTTCCTTGGATGACATCAGTTACTCCGCGGTCAAGCATATTGAGAATATCAAGTGCCGCCTTTTTTGAGGGTGGCTAGCGGTCGGGGGTCAGCAAAATCGTATTTTGAATCGAACGAACGCGAAGCGACAAACCAGCTGAGGGGAACTTCCCTTCTCCGTGATAGAACGCGGAAGGGGATGGGCGACCTCTAGCTTAGCGAACCTCGTATCATCTACAAGGCGTCTGCCATCGTCATCCTCAGCCATGGCGCCAGACTTGCTAGACCGTTCAGCGGCTTCCCCGATGTCGAACCGACGACTAACCACACAACGGTGGCGGTCGCGGGCAAGGCAGTCGGTCCGAAGATCTGCTATCCGTTCTGGCGTGCCGATGCGATCTGGCACTGACGGCGACAACTGCAACGTTTTGAGGGCAGAGGCACGCACTGGGAGTGAGGTGTTAATGTAAGTTGACAATGTCATAAGAGGGTGACTCGAGGCTTACAGGGCAAGAATAAGCTCTCAAAAAGGTAATCTGCAAAGCGAGATAAGCCTAAGTTTAGTTCCTCTTCGCCATTCTCGAAGTCAAGGTCGTCGTCATTTAACGAAAGTCCCGTCGACAAGAAAAAGGCCCGCAAAAGCATGTCCTTCGATGCCTCGGAGCGCGCATACTCATAAGTAAGACGGACTAGTCGAGGCCGGTTATATTGGCTGTCACCACCAGTGTTGGTCGTTCCATTTGCACGGTCAAAATGGTTGATAATGCGCTGGAATTTGTTCTTCAACAGAGCGCGTTCAGCCGCTCCCATGGCTGCTTCATCAGAAACGGACATGATTCCTTCAAATGATGGTTGATACCGATGATGTGAAGGAGCCATTTTGATGATGACTGATGGTTAAGATGTTGCTGGTGACTCGTGAGGCTGCGATCTGACACTTCCATTGCACTCGAGTATGCTACATAGGCTTTTAAAAGGGTGCTTGGTACCTATGTAAGAAGGTCAAATATAAAAAGAAAGTAAAAAGAAAAAAAGGAAAGAAAACTCAAAGTTTTGATGGTTGAGAATCGCTAAGCAGTCCCAGGAACGGTTACACAGTCAGGGGGGAGCCTGGGGGACCGCATGTGGCCCGTGCGAAGATCGCCGATTCGTCAGTCCATTTGTTCCCTGCGCTCTCTGTGCCAAGCTGCTGATGGCGGCCTCTTCGGCGACAAACTCGACACATCTCGGGACCTCTTCAATGTTTCGCGATTAGCAACCAGGGCTCGCCAACTCGAGCTCAAGGAAATGTTCCACCCACCTGCGTAACACGCCTTATCTTTCTTTCGCCTACCTTCTTTTTTCCCTTGATTCTTCTTCTTCCGCCTCCGGCGCATTAGCGTAAACCGCCCGCCGCGGCTTCCGAAACACCTTCAAGCTTGCGCCACAAAGCAACATCCCGCCGCGCGGCACTCCCAAATCTCAAGACGTCACCTCGCCAAACCACCACCCCGAACCCCCCAGCCCACCAACCCCAAGCGCCTCCGCGCAAACCATCACCCCCAAACAAAAAATGGGCTACCTCCTCTACAGCCTGACCTTCCTGGTCCTCCTCACCGGCACGACCCTCTACCTCACGCGCGCGCGCTGGCTGCCGGGATTCCAATCACGTATCCGCGAGCTGCACATCCCGGGCAGCGGGTATCTCTACTCGCGGCTGGCGCCCGGGTCGTCGTTCGAGGACGACATGGAGGCGGGCCTGTCGTCGGCCAACTTCGACCTGGCGGCCAACGTGGAGGGCGGGGACGGGCGCGCGGGGCTGGACGACAATGCCAAGCGGGAGGTGCTGCGGATCATGAAGAAGAGGAGGCTGAAGTTTGACGAGGCGAGGCGGGTGTATATGGAGCAGCGGTTTAAGGAGAATGGGATTGGGGCGGATGGGCGCCCGAGGGATCCGAAGTTTGTGAGCTTTTCGTGAGGGTCTGATCCGGAAGGGTGTTTTTTTTTTTTTTGCTTGGGGCTGTTGTCTGCTTTTTTCCTTTTCCTTTTCCTCTCGGGGCGGAGGATTGTTTGGGTGTGGCGAGGTACCACCCGGCCTATCATTAATATTTCCTTTAGATATTCGGCCATTTCCTTGTGTTTATTTTCCCTAAGCGGGATTGCGAGGCGTTGAAGGGGTCATGGGATGCTTGGGGCTACGCTGTCTCTGGGACGGTGATACCAGTCCCTCCTGAACGCCGGTCGAGACGGAGTATTTCCATGCAACCATGACAGTGGCGGACGGAAGCGTTGTTTGTAGCGACGCGTGTGGACCTTGGAGTCATATCTTAAACCACGATATTTCACTCGCCGTTTTCAGGCTTTGGAAGATGGAAGGCTGCGATATCCGAGTGCCAGTCAGAATAAAGATGGTCATTGCGATTGCTTATATTAATATCCATTCGTGACTCGGCATTGTCTTACTCTCTTCTCACGGCATGTTCATCGCTCCATTTCTTTACCGTCTCGAAACTCCGACACGTGCGGCTCCCCTCAAACTCGAGCCGCCCGCTGGCTGTCCCTTGCCCTATGCCCTCGAAGGTGTTCCTAACAGGAAAGATGCCCGCATCACTGTGGCACATAAGAGTCTCCCGGAGTAGCTCGACACAGTAATCTAGGCGCGGTCAGCAACTGCTTTTTCTCAGCGGAAGTACTTCTCACTCACCAATATCTGCGTTTGCCTCAGTGTTGCCCGTCCCACGAGCTTCCTGCCTAAGTAGATTTAGGCAACGCAGCTGGTAAAACACTTCAACGCCTGCTTTATACCCCTGTTTTCCTGTCTCGGGGTGCTTGCTCGTCACCATATGGGGTGATACGCCTAGTTTCAGGGCCTCCGCTTCTGTGAGAAAGACATCGCCCGCTACTTCTGGGTCAGCGAGTATCAGATGGGCCAAGCCAGGGAGTAGTTTACTATGTGTAAGAGAGCGCCACGCCTCTTCCGCCTCTCCACTTTGACCGGCGTACGACGAGTCCTTCCATGCTGGACCTAATCCGACCCGTTTCGTTTCGTACCTGAAGGTTGGAGAGACCAGCGTTGTGTTAAGTGAAGATTCATGACCGGTATGGTTTCTAGACCTCAGGCAAAACGAAAGGGCAAAGAAAGTCATTGAAATAGAGAGTAGCACGGCATGGGCAAGCCATGCCCAGTGACTATGAGATTTGGTCCGGGTGTTCGAAGCCGATTCGTAGTCCGGATGTGAATCTCGCCGTACCTGACGGGTCTTGGATTTGCGCTCCTCGTCAAGAGGGACAGAATGATACTGAATGTTGGACATATTAAACAAAGTACCTAGTATTGCGCAATAGTTAAACAATACAAAAAAGAATGTAAAAGAAAGCCGTGGTGAGTCCTGCTCTGTCTGAATGGACCAAAATACCTACACAACCTATCTGGTGAGAATGAAAGAAAGAACAAATGAAACAGAGTGTGTCTGTTTGCTCAGGAACCGGAGTTGCATCACGACCCCCTAGACGCGGTTAGGCTGTTTGAAGTCTCGAGAGAGCCCGCTGTTGGCCCGTTCGCCCGCCCACTCTACATAGTAGTTGCCAAATACCTATCAAAACCAACAAATCAAGCCAATACTCTAGGAGTGTGTGGTTGTGGATTGTAAATTGGACATAATAACACTACTCTTCATTTCCCCAAGCCCTTTACCAGTACGCAGACGGAGAAAGTATTGCAGCGAGAGAGAGATCTGTTCTTTTTCGTAAAGAACAAACGCCGAAGCGCTGCAAGAGAGGCGTTTCAGCCGCCCGATTTGGTTTAGCCTACCCCACAGGATCGGATGAAACATTCCGATACTGCATTCTGCAGATGACATCAACCCACTGAGTCCACCTCTCTCACACTTTCCTCCGGGAGCACAGTCTCGGTGCGATGTGTGGGTAGGCCTACGACGGAACTCTCTTGGACGAGCCATCAACTTCTGGGTTGGTCACTTGGCCGTAACACTCAGGCAGTTAGGTGCAGATTACATGCCCTGTGCAGACGGTTAAGGCTGAGCCGGGAGTTGTCTCGGGCCGTCGAAGTCCCCTGCCGAGCCGGCTATCAAGGAGCCCGGCTCGGGATGCAGAGGAACGAAAGATGAAAAAGAACCACGTCATTATTTTGCGTTTTAACATATTCAAGTAAAACCTCCTCGCCCCTCGTATCCTGTTAAACCCCCAAGTTTGCCTCGGTGTGGTCAGTTTATGACGCGACGTGTATGGTTCTAGGCCTGAATTTTGCTCGATGGTGACGGCAAGTGTGGATTTCGCTGGTTATCGAACTGACTCGGATTTTGAGTTGGCATGCGGTTGGTGAAGATGCATTGTCCTCGAGTCTCTACACAGTACACAGTAGGTCAGGTAGGTTGGGAGACGGGAGAACATCTCGGGAAAAGCTTGAAGTAACTGGCTTTCGTTTCAAAAAGAAAAGAGAATGGAATCGAATGCTTGATAGATCGAACGGCATGTTGTATTTTCTTATCGAGGATGTGCTTTCAGGTTCGTAACTCGGAACTGCGCAAGAGTTCTGTCCTGTCCTCCCGAACAAGGGTTGTTGTTTTGAGTTGGTGGGTAAGGTGAGATAACGACGGGAGCGGTGAGCTGGCTGGGCACCGGTCTCAGAACGGCACTCCGGACTTCGCACCGGCCAGTCGGCTAGTTCCTTCCCACCCGGATGCGGTTTCGCTTCAAGTTTTGTACGCGGGAGAAAATGTACTGGGAAGCATGCAACCTCAGAAGCGATGCAGAGTCGTGTACATGTACGCCTCCACGTGTATGTACATGTATGTACGATGGGCGAAAATGGCGTGCATCCGGATGGCTGAAGCCGTCATGACACGGCCCCTGCAAGCTGGACACAGACAAGCCGACCCCATCGCCCCCACCTTCTCCTCATTGTCCTGTCTCCTGAAGCGACAGTTCGGGCCTAATCGGACGAAGGATGGGCTGTGACCCGTCCTCCGGATGGGATGTCCCCACCACCAGTTTGTGGTGGCACAAGGTCCGACACTTCGAAGCGCACACTGTGTAGTGTACGAAGTCCTGCATCGGTCTGTCAGACAGGCCCATCGAGCGGTGCAACCCGCCCCATTGGCAGTCTGCCAAACCGCGTCCCAGCTGGAGAACGGGAACAAGCTGCAGGTGAGCCAAAAAAGGTAACCCATCTTTCCCCACACACACCACCTCTCAGACCTCCTGCCATCCACGCCCAGGGTGTCCGGCACGATCAAGGCGCGGGGCCGCGGGGGCTTGCCGAGGCCGCACACAGTCTGTCCGAGCCCAGACCCCCCCTGACCACCGGGGTTGTCGGCCGGATAATTGTGGCTGCAAGGCACCTGCAGCGCATCTGAGCGAGAGCTGTTGGAGGAATCCCGTGAATGTCACAATCTCTTGGCCTGCTGCTGAGGCAGCGCGGGAGCGTGGGTAAGGTGAGGTTGCGATATGAAAAGATCTGACTGGGGGAACGAGCTCGTCATTTTCCACAGCATTTTCGGACATGGACATGGGCAGCGACCCGACCGAAATCAGACCCATCAACCTTGCTGATAGGTCGACTCCGGCGTGAGATTCTTTTCTGCGCGGTAATTCGCGGTCCGACCCACTGAGTAACTCGGCTCTTATTTTTTCTTCTCGGCAGAGAGCCAGAAACGCCAGTCGGGAACGCTGCGTGGTTGGTTCCATGTTTCTCAGGAAACAGAAACGTGAGCAGTCGTTTTGGGGTCACTCCACTACTGCAGGCAGATGCACACTCCCCCCTGGTCCCACTTTCCCCCACTTCGTCCATTTCCGCTTTCCAGAACGGCTACGCTAAGGGACCCTGCAACGCACGGGCTGGACCCACCGGGTGTCGCTCTGCAGACGCCTCACCCCTGTCCTTGTTCGTGAGCTCTGCAATTGCTTGGGTGGCGCCCGCCGCATGTCGGGCAAGGTACCTTTTTTTCCCTGGGAATGACTTGGCCAGCCGGATTGCCTTGCGCTTCCCCCAAAGTTCATCAGCCGCCCCTCCGCTTCTGGGGTTTCCCGTTCCTTTTCCTTCCTTACGACACACTCCATTTCCTCCGTCTCTTCCCAACCACCGTTCCGAGCGCCCGCAACCTCACCACCCGCCGGCCGATGACAATCGGAATCACGGCCTGCATTTAAAGCCTACCGTGTAGACGTTTTGTAGTGACGCGCATTGCATCCACGCCAAGACGCGCTCTCCTACCTAATCCGAGTGTGTTTTTTTTGCGCGTGCGCGGGGAGGCTGAACCATCCTCTGGCCAGCTGTTGTTGATCGGGGAAAAATTTCCGTCATCACCGTCCGGTTGCCCCCATCACTCGCCGCACGATACCAATCGCTATTCCATCGAAAATCGATCTTCCCATCTCTCGGCCGCGACCGCGGTGACGAAGGAACAATAGCGAGATAATTTTCGACGAGAAACCATGTCGTCGATGTATCCCGGCCATCAGGGTATGAGGGGCGTGCCCCCTGCCAATGGTGGCGCCGGCCGTCTGAACGAGCTCCTCGACCAGATCCGCGCCGAGTTCGAGTCTCATGTCCGGCAGACCGAGACTTATGAGCATCAGAGTACGTCATCCTGCCCCGACACAACGACCTTCGGCCATGTGACGGACTCTCCTAGTCCTGGCCGTCGCGTAGCTTGTCGGGCATACACTAACCGTTTTTCGAATAGTTCAAGCCCAAGTGCAGGAGATGCAAATGATTCGTGAGAAGGTCTACCAAATGGAACAGGCCCAGATGGGTCTCAAGCAGAAGTCAGTTGTTCTCATCATGCCTTGTCCCCTAGCCTCACCGCTCTAACGCGCCCACCATCAGATACGAGGAAGAACTCGCCATCTTGCGCCGCCAGCTGGACAACCGCGGAGGCCCCCCAGGCCCCATGAACCCGCCTCCCCAGCACGTCGCTCCTCCTCAGCAGCCGCCCCAGATCGGGAACCCGGGGAACAACACAGTCATCGGGGCCATCCTCTCGGGCCAAGTCACCCAAGGCGGCCTCGCTCCTCCGCCTCACCCGCAGCAACAGGAGCAGCAGCAACCTCCCCACATGCCCCCGGCACCTCCCGGTCTACAGGGTCCCCCACCCCCGCCGCCCCCGCCGCCAACTCAACAACAGCCTCCGTTCCAGCCGCAGTATCCGCAGGCCCCTGCGCCGGGAGGTTTCCCTCCCCAGCCCCCGCAGAGCACCGCGTCTCCGGGGCCGGGAAACAAGCGGCCCATCGGCAGGCCCCCGGCAGCTGGCCCAGCCACTCCCCAGATAAACACTCCGGTGCCTTACAACGGGCCTGGCCAGTCCCCCCAGGTCCCTACCCATCCGACGCCCGATCATACGAGGATGGCCCAGCATGTACCGGCCCCTCCGCCTCATAACAATGCCCTGGGCGATCTTGACCCGGAGCGTCTGCCGAATCACATTAAGAAGGTTCGGGATGACTGGTGGGCCATTTTCAACCAAACTGTGCCCCGGGTTCTGGACGTCGATCTCGTCCACACCCTTCAGCACGAGAGCGTCGTTTGCTGCGTGAGGTTCAGCCACGATGGCAAGTATGTCGCGACCGGCTGCAACAGATCGGCCCAGATCTACGATGTCAACACGGGCGAGAAGATTTGCGTCCTTCAGGATGAGAGTATCGATCTCAATGGCGACCTCTACATCAGGAGCGTCTGCTTCAGCCCTGATGGCAAGTATCTAGCCACCGGAGCCGAGGACAAGTTGATCAGGGTGAGTGCTTTCCTTTTTAAATCTTGGCTGCACCAAAGCCATGCTAACTTCCCCAGGTCTGGGACATTCAAGCTAGGCAGATCCGGACGACGTTCGCCGGCCACGACCAGGATATTTATTCGTTGGACTTTGCTCGTGATGGACGCACTATTGCGTCTGGCAGTGGCGATAGGACCGTCAGAATTTGGGACTTGGAGACGGGCAACTGCAACTTGACGCTCACGATCGAGGATGGCGTCACGACGGTCGCCATTTCGCCCGATACCAAGCTCGTGGCTGCCGGTTCTCTTGACAAGAGCGTGAGGGTGTGGGACGTCAAGATGGGATACCTCCTCGAGCGCCTCGAGGGTCCCGACGGCCACAAGGACAGTGTGTATAGTGTCGCATTCTCCCCCAACGCGCGCGAGCTTGTCAGCGGCAGCCTGGACAAGACGATCAAGATGTGGGAATTGACCACGTCTCGCCAAATCGGCCACACCCAACAGCCCCCGCTCAAGGGTGGCCGCTGCATCAAGACCTTCGAGGGTCATCGGGTATGTTCACACAAGCTGGCTGACCTTGACTTACTGTGCACCCCCGCTAATTCGCGATACAGGACTTTGTTCTCAGCGTTGCCCTCACCCCCGACTCGGAATGGGTGCTCTCTGGATCCAAGGATCGTGGCGTCCAGTTCTGGGACCCGCGCACCGGCCATACCCAACTCATGCTCCAGGGCCACAAGAACTCGGTCATCTCGGTCGCTCCCAGCCCCGTCGCTAGCCCCGGTGGCGGCTTCTTCGCCACGGGCTCGGGTGACATGCGCGCGCGCATTTGGTCGTACACCCGCCTGGATAGGCGAACATAGAAGTTTGTCGCCATGGAGCCAGACGGGTTCTGCAGTGTCTTTCCGTGAACCAAGGCCAGCAACCTATGGTTGGGGTGTTATCGGAGGAAATAGGCTGTTCCGCGCGTGAAATAGAACGGGGTTTGAGAGGCGATGGCTTGGTAGTAACTCGATACTCGGGGGTTGGGAGTGACGTAGGCGGTTTCCCATTTGGATGTCGCGGCGTCAGGAATGGCTTGGAGAACTTTCCCCTGTTTCTTCTTTCTTCTATGTCGGTTTTATGGGATGGATGGAAATGGGTGTCACTGTTGTTGTTTAGTGTCCAAGGATGATGACCGCCGCCAAATCTCCCCTGTGTCGGTTATGTAGGGTAGTCCAGTAACGTACACCTAGCTTACACCATGCAGGCCAGTTCTAATTGACAATTTGTCAGACAGGTGTTCTGCTGCTCTGCTCTACCCGTGCATTGTGCTGCATATGTATGTGGGTATTCCATATCTCAAGTACATATCTCCCATACATTCTCCATTAACAGCCCCATAACCACCACCCTACTCCTTTCCCACAACCCCCCATCATGAACCCGCTAGCTCCAAGTGCGATCCCTAGCGAACTTAACCCAAGCAGACCAAAACATGTATGATAGATAATTACATTACAACCCCCCAAAGATATCATCAAACTCATCCCCCTTCTTCCGCTTCTTCTTCTTGGGCTTCTTGCTCTTGCCGTCCAGCGAGCCAAAAATGTCGTCGAACTCGTCGCCACCTCCGTCGTCCTCGCGCGTCTTTTTCTTCTTCTTCTGCGGTCGCGGCTTGTCTGGGGGTGGGCTGCCGGTGGTGCTGTCTGTGGGTTCTTTGCTGGCTTTCTTTTTCTTGGTGACGGTGGTTGGCGCTGGGGCGGTGTCTTCTTCCCCGGACGAGCCGAAGATGTTGTCGAACCCGTGGTTGTTTCTCCTTGCGTGTTTTTTGGGTTTTGTTGGGTCTGGGTTGGTGCTGCTCTCTTTGCTGGGCGGCTCAGTTCTTGAGAGGGCGGCTTGGCCGGGTAGTTTTCGTTTTGGTGGGGGGTTGATCGGGAGGGATATGGATCGTGGATGGAGTTGTCCTGCTGGCCGTGGAGGCGCTGGTAATGGGGCTGGGGGCTTGCCCGTTGCGTCCTGCTCGATGGATAGCATGACCTCTTCTCTCGAGACGGCCACGCCCATATCTGCGTCCATGGCCATATCCAAGTCTGGGTCTGCTATATCCTCCCCCGTGACACCGTTCTTCCCAGCCAACTGAACACTCACTGCTGCTTCCCCCTTGACCTCCGCCACATCCGGCGAATCGATGGGTACCGGAGCGAACGGTGCAACGGCCTGGTCCACCTGCGCCAACACCCCAAGCAGCATTAGCCCGAGGTGTGCAAACTGCCGGTCCGCCGACAATTGTGTAAAGGCCCTACAACCTGTTAGCAAAACCGCCCATTCCCGCACCAACACAGACAGAGGGAAGAAGCAAACGCACAACCACGCCCTCGGCCCCAACACCCCCCTCAAAAACGCCGCTCTCTTCCCCACCACCCCGTTCCCACCCCCCCCTCCTTTCCCCTCCTCCCCCATCCCTCTCCCTGCACCCCCCTCTCCCCTAACCTTACCCTTACCCTTCCCCATACCCTTCCCCAAACCCTTCTTCAAACCAACCCTCCCCACCCTCTCCGCCTTCTCCGCCTCCCCCAAAGCGCCCTCCACCTCGGCCAGCATCTTGCGCACCTGCCGGCGCAGCATGTCGGCCTGGGCCCACCACTTGGCCAGGCGGTGCTGGTTCTTGTTGCGGTGGTGGAAGCGCTCGAGCAGCTCGAGGGCGGGGGCGAGGGATGTGATGGCTGTTGTGAGGGCGGTGGTGGCCGTTGGGGGGGGTTGGTCTGGGTCTGGGTCGGGCATCTTCTTTTCCTTTTTGTTTTCTTTCGTTGGGGTGCTGGATGAGCGAGGTTGGGTTGAGAATAGGTTTAGAGGTGGTGGTTGATGGAGTGTTGAATAAGGAACGTGGATATTGAGGCGAGGCGTTGAGATGATGATGATCCGAAGCAAGCGGAGGGCTGAGGTTGAGAGATGAGGTTGATTAGATGGGGTTTGATAGGTATGTATAAGTGTAAGTGATGAGTGACGAAGAAGAGCGTTCCATGCTAAAAAGTGTGAACAGTGTAGCTGTCCAGGGTTAGGGTACAAGCGGGCGAGAGGCTGGAGCTGGAGGGAGGACGAGGTAGAAAGTGAGACGACTAATAGTTGAACACAGCATTAAGAGGCACTTCAGGCTAGCAAGTCCAGCATGAGGATATAAACCCAAAGAATAACCAAGCGCACAACCACCATGCAAAACAACTCTGCAGGCTTGCTCGGCCAGCCGCGAATCCGCTAAACCGCTCTCATTCCTCGTCTCATGACGCAACTAAAAGCCCACTACAGCCCTCAGTATCCCGTGAGGTATAACAACTGAATCCAAAACACGCCAATCAATACATTCACTACACAGTCACCACCAGTATCCCACATTGGTAAAGGCCGGCCCCTAGCAGACCCTCACCCCGCACACCTCAACGCCCTTCGTCTCGACATACGCCCTCCTCCCGAAATACCGCGCCGACACCTCCCCCACGAAATCCGCATCCGCCTGGCTCCACACATCCAGCCCCATCTCAGCCAGCGCCTCGCTATCCACCCTCACCCAGCCCATCCTATCCCCACCGCCACCACCAGTACTAGTCGCGCCAACAGGACCAGCACCCCCCGCCGGCCCCGCCGCGGACCCCAGCAACCTCGCCTCCTCCTCCGCACCGCGCGGCCCGGCCGCCCCATCATAATCCGTGTACGCCTCGGCGTCCTCGCGGAGGTTGAGCCCGAGCAGGTCGTCCTCGTCGGACGAGTCGACGATGTCGGCGAGGACCGACAGGACCGAGGTGGTGAGGCGGTGGAAGTAGGCGACCGCGGCCAGCTCGACGCGCGCCTGCGCCTCCTGGTCGCCGTCGTCGTCGTCATTCTCATCGCCGCCATCTTCGTCCGCCGCCGCGCCCCGCGAGCGGCCCGTGAGCGAGGCCAGCGACGCGGCCATGTCGCTCCCCGCGGCGGTGGCGCCGAAGCTCGTTCGCCTTTGTTGTGGCTGCTGCTGGGAACGGGGCTGGGCTGACGGGGAAGAGGCCATGGCGGGGGATAGGGGCGACGCGAGGTCGGCGAGGAGCGAGGCATCGTGGCTCTGCTCGTCTACCTCGTCGCTGTGGCGCTTCTCGCCGGCCGAAGCCCACCACATGAAGCCGTTGTAGGCGAGAGCGGCCCATGTGGCGGGCTCAACGATCGTGTCGGTGTCGTCGCCACTGTCTAGGGCAGGTAGTGAGGGAGGGCGGTCCTCGGAGGCTGTTCCGGGGCGGGAACCGGTGGCTTTGGAGAGCCTGATGGCGGGTGTGGTGGGCACTGGGGAGTCGCTTGCTTCCGAGGGGGGACTGCGAGGGTTGGGTGGTGGTTGTGGGGGGGGATGGGTGGCCAACCGGGCGAGACCGAGAGTGAGGGACCGGAAGCGCCGAAGGTCGCGCTGTGTAGCCTTCACGGGAACGCCCTTGGGGCATTCTACGGTGGGCCAAACACGCTGTTTGGCGCTGGATGAGTAGGGAGGAGGCATGGTAATGAGCATGTCCCAGAGCCCCTCCTTCATAGCGAGGATGCTGTCGGTAGTGCACGCTACCCAGCCCGAGGTGGCGTCGTCGGAATTGTTGTGAGTGTCGCGGTCGTCATTCGACTGGCCGGCTCGTTTTAGAGCCGCTTGGTGCTCGAGTAAATAGGATATGTCGTGTACTCCGATGCAAAAGAGCGGCCGGAGGCGCTGGACAGGGGCGGCGGGGTCTACCACATCGCATACGGAGAGGGGTATATTGGACAAGACGGAAATATCGTACACTAAGCCGGGTTAGTCAACGTGCAGAGACCGCCCATCGGGATGCGTACCAAAGTTGCAGACCTCGTGCACCGGGGCATGGCAGGAAATCAAAATACGCTTGCGCAATAGCGCGGCGCGGTGTATCGGAAAGATCAGGGGCCCAAAGGTGTCCAGCAGCGATGTCAGGCTCCAGGCCGGGTGAAACGGAGAGAGGCGGTGGCCTGGTGGTATCAAGGCGGCGCCGTCCGAGGCAGAGCGATTCCTAGCATGCCCCTTGCCCAATCCAGGACGGTTCGCCTTGATGCTGAGCAGAGGCGACTCGAGCGGGGTGTCCTTCAACGGCTGTAGGGCTGTCGTCTCGCTCACCCCGTTGTTCTCCCAGTACTCGTCCAGCAATTTTGTCTGTTGCCTATCGGCGGCCAGCTTGGCTGCTATGTCCTTCAAACCCTCGGCGTGGCGCCATGCCCTCCCGAGACGGCCGTAGCTGAGCGGAACTAGCACGCCGACGGCGATCATGCGCGCATGGCGCGTCTCTTCCTCGTCGGTGGGGGTGTTGACGAAGGCGCTGAGACCGGCGTGGCCTCCATCGTGGACGAAGTATATGAGGTCGTCAGACACGGTGTGAAGGCCTGACGGCAAGCTCTTGTACTCGACGGTGCCCTCGAGCTCGAGGCCCTGCACAGCCTGCTTCCAGGTGATGGTATACCCGGCCTTGACGTCGAAGTCGATTAGGAAGAGAGCCGAGATGGGCGGGAGGTCAGGCAAAGCGGCGGATGTGGGCTGCGGTAGCCGGACCGAGAGGGGCGGCTGCCCACGGCGGGATGCGGCCATGGTGAATTAGAATGGGAAATCGGAGGAGAGGCCTGCAGTGAGTCGTGTACAATGCGATGCAATGTGCGACGGGAAGTCTGGGGTTGGCGGGTTCTAGGGGCTCGGGAAGCGCTGTTGCAGGAATGCGATCATCGTTGGGTCGTCGTCGAATGGCCCGGGCAAAACTCAATCGATCATCGTTGCCTAAGGTACCCTTCTCTCACAATCGAATAAAGCCGGAAGCGAGGCTACCGAGATATTCTTCGGAAGCTGCCCCAGATGCCGGTTCGCAGTGCTGCGGCTGTCGCGTTACAGGTCGTTCGAGCGGGACCAGGGAGTGGCCTGTTCTTCCCTCCCGCAGCAGCATCATCGCCTTGGCACCGCTCTCGGCCCGTGGAACCTTCCTCGGGGATGGAACGCGAAGGTGCAGTTCGAGACGCCAAGCTTTTCCCCAAGTGAACCCTCAACATTTCTCAACCTCGGAAGAAGACAAGTGGGGCATAATGGTCCACGAACCAATCGAGGCCGACAGCGGCCATTCCCCCACATGCATCAACCAAGAGCAGGCCCAGCCCGTCCAAAGTTTTATTTCTGTTGGTGAAGTAACACGTGCATCTGTCAAGCGATTCTTTCTCGGATGGTGACCCGAGGAAGCATGACGATTACATCGCATACCTTGCTCACGAATGACCTAAAGAAAACGGACGATCCCATCTGAAGTCGTCCGTAAAACGCTCCATCTCCTCCTCAATACTTCTCCACATCCACCTTCCAACGCCCCCACTCGGCACTCTCAGGGCCCCGGGCCTACCTCTACGAACAACTTGAACCTCACACCGAACAGCTTGGATCGCCACAAGGTCACGCACGGCAGGCGCAAAGCACACCAGACGAACCCCGCGCTGCTCTCCATTCTGCGCCTGTCGCCCCCCTCGTGATCCCCTCGAACTCCGGCCCTCTATTTAAACCATGGCGTTCCTGCTCTACACCGGCTACTTTGTAGCCGGATACATCGCCTTGACGATATTCTTCTACATGTTGTCCGCGGTGATCTCGAAGGCGGCCTTCGTGGCCCGCCTGCTGGCTTCTTACCTCGCCTTGATTATCAGCTCCGCCTACGGCGTCTCCGCCGCGATCGCCCTTCGCGCCATTGGCCTTAACCAGCTCACGCAATGGACCGTTGCCCGTAGCTTTAAGTTCCTCATGGGTCTCTCGACGGGTGTGACCTTCGAGATTGAGGATCCCAACAATCACCTCAAGAACGTTCGCCCGGCCGTCTTTCTCGGCAACCACCAAACCGAGCTCGACGTGCTGATGCTGGGGTGCATGTTCCCAAAATACTGCAGCGTCACGGCCAAGGCTTCGCTAAAGAAGGTTCCTCTCTTGGGCTGGTTTATGGCACTGAGTGGCAGCGTTTTTCTCGACCGCGCCAACAGCAAGGACGCCCGCCAGGCCATGCAGGGCGCCGCCAACGAAATCCGCGAGAAGCGCCAGAGCGTTTACATGTTCCCAGAGGGCACCCGCAGCTACTCCAAGGAGCCGATGCTACTACCATTCAAGAAGGGCGCCTTCCACCTCGCCGTCCAGGCTCAGGTGCCAATCATCCCGGTGGTCGCTGCCAACTACAGCCACATCCTCTGGGTCAAGGGGATGGTGTTCAATGCCGGGAGGATCCCGTGCAAAGGTAAGCCACCCGCTGTGCCATGCCGCCCCAGCCCCTGACTGACGCTGGCCCGCAGTCCTCGACCCCATCCCTACGGTCGGCCTCACTGCCTCTGACGTCGACGAGCTTGCACGATCGACCCGGGAGTTGATGCTCAACGAACTCTACGCGCTGACCGAGAAGGCGCGAGGGCAGGCCTTGCCCAGACCTAACGACAACAAGGACGCGAACGGAGTAGCACAAGCCACCGGCACCGATATGAGAGTCGCAGCCTGAAGATCGCACAAGAGTTCGTCGAATACAGGATAACGAATTTTCGAGGGGATTCGCTAGCACGGGTTCATTCAAAACCGAAACAGCAACACCAGCAGAAGATACCGCAACAACATACCTTGCAACGCACCCTGGTCCGTGGCCAAGCCGGGCGACGGAGCCGAGGGAAGAGCATACGAGATACCCCCTAGAGACGGAGTCAGGATGTTGAGGGCATCGGGTGAGACGGTCCTTTTTAACGATGGCTTAGACGCCGCGCTACTATAGAGGATAGAGGGGCATACTGGGTAGTAGAGGGGGTTGGTTGCATTTAGGCGCCGAGAGAGGACTATCCCGCATGGCATGGGGTATGCCTATTCTTTGGACACGCCCGAGACCGGAAGGCGAGGATGAGTAGTAAGAATCCTAAGTTTCAGTCAAATCCGTTTAGAAAAGAAAAAAAAGAACAGTACTACAATACAAGTATAGTGACCGATTAGATTCGTGACCCGACTCCATCCATTTAGCAGCCCATAGGCACGAGCTATTTTCGGGTTTCTTATCCATGGGTACGTGAACATCACCGCTCCCGGACCACTGCAGGAACACACCAGAATTCAAGACATCTATACCATTTTTTCTACCTACCCACACCCCTACAAACGCGGCCACCCCAACCCATGGAAGCTGGGCATATATTCATCCACCCACCAGCTCCCATACATATCCAAATATCTAAACCCACCTCTCCAACCCCCTCAACACACACCCCTCCCCACCCTCCTCCCTCTTCACCAACCTCCCCACAGTCCACACCCTCTCCCCCTCCCCCTCCAACAACCCTTTCACCTCCTCCGCGCGCCCCGCCTCCACGGCCAGGACCATGCCCAGCCCATTGTTAAAAGCGCGCGCCATCTCGACCGGCTCGACGGCCGACCCCAGCCAGCCGAACACCGGCGGCCGCTCCCAGGCGGCCACGTCCATCTCGGCCGCGAGGTGGGCCGGCAGCATGCGCGGGACGTTCTCGGTCAGGCCGCCGCCGGTGATGTGGGCCATGCCGCGGACGGCGTCGCCCGTGGCGGCGAGGGCGGCGAGGAGAGGTTTGACGTAGATGCGCGTGGGTGTAAGGAGGGCGGCGCCGAGGGTGGTGGTGCCGGTGGTGGTGGTGGTGGTGGTGGTTGTGGTGGTGTTCCAGGGGCAGGGGTCGGTGTAGGCGAGTCCCCGCGAGGCGACGATCTTGCGCACGAGCGAGAAGCCGTTGGAGTGCACGCCCGAGGAGGCCAGGCCGAGGAGGATGTCGCCTTCGGCCATGGCGTCCTTGCGGGGCAGGCGCTGGGGCGCGCGCATGACGCCGATGGCGGCGCCGGCGGCGTCGTAGTCGTCGCCGGTGTAGAGGTCGGGCATCTCGGCGGTCTCGCCGCCGACGAGGGCGCAGCCGGCCGCGCGGCAGCCCTGGGCGACGCCCTCGACGAAGGAGGTGGCGACGGACACGTCGAGGCGCGAGCAGCCGTAGTAGTCGAGGAACATGAAGGGCTCGGCGCCCTGGACGACCAGGTCGTTGACGTTCATGGCGACGAGGTCGATGCCGACTGTGTCGTGCTTGTTCATCTTTTGCGCGATGATGAGCTTGGTGCCGACGCCATCGATGGCACCGACAATGATGGGCGCCCCGGGGTGGCCGGCGGCCGAGAGGTCGACTTCCCCGCCGAAACCGCCGATGACGGCGTCCGCACCGGGGCGCCGCGTGGTGGCGACGGCGGCCTTGATGCGATCGACCAGTTCGTTGCCGGCATCGATGCTCACGCCGGACTGGGCGTAGGTGAGCTTGTCGGTGGTGTCGGTTGTGCGGAAGGCGCGGTGGGCGATGTCCTTGCGGTAGTACATGCCGTCAAAGTTGATCAGCTTGACGCCCTCGTAGGCCTTGTCGACAGCGGCACGAAGGGAGTCGCCGGTCGCGGTGGCCGCAATGACACGGCCGCCAGAGGTTACCAACGAGTCCCCAGAGAGTTTGGTTCCGGCGTGGAAGATGTTGATGCCGTCGGGCGGGTTCGCGACCTGCATGGGAATGTTCTTGGGGTATGATTCCGGATAGCCGGGGGCGGCGACAACCACGGTGGTGCTAAACTTGGAGGAGACCTTGACTGTGATATCCTCAAGGTACGGGACCGGTCCGGCGCATGCGTACATGATCTTAGCCAGGTCTGACTCGAGCAGCGGCAACATCGTCTGGGTCTCGGGGTCGCCAAAGCGGACATTGTACTCGAGCACTTTGGGGGTGCCGTCGGGGGCGATCATCAGGCCGGTAAAAAGGCAGCCGCGGAAGGGAAAGCCGTCCTTGCGCATGCCGTCGATGGTGGGCTGGAGGATCTCGCGCTCGATACGGGCAATCAGCTGTGGCGTGGCGAGCTTTGTCGGAGCATAACAGCCCATACCGCCGGTGTTGAGGCCGGTATCGCCCTCCCCGATACGCTTGTGGTCCTGAGCCGGAGGGAGGGACTTGATGGTGGTGCCGTCGCAGAAGGACAAGATGCTCAACTCGTCGCCGGTAAGGAACTCTTCGATAACGACTTCGTCGCCCGCCGAGCCAAAGGCCTTGTCCTGCATGATGTCCTTAAGCCCCTGCAGGGCTTCCTCCTGGGTCTGCGGGATGATCACGCCCTTGCCGGCGGCCAAGCCGGTGGCCTTGATAACGACGCTGTGTTTGACCGACTTCAGGTATTGGCAGGCTTTCTCGTAGTCGGAAAAGTTCTCGTAGGCAGCGGTCGGGATGTTGTGTTTCTTCATAAAGTCCTTAGAGAAGGTCTTGCTGCCCTCCATGGCGGCAGCGTCCTTGGACGGGCCGAAGACGGGAATCCCCGCATCGCGGAAGAAGCCCTCGATACCGTCGACGAGGGGCGCCTCGGGGCCCGGTACCACGAGGTTTACGGCATTTTTCCTCGCAAAATCGACGAGGCCAGGGTAGTTGTCGGCGGCCACCGAAGAGTCATTGATGACTTTGGGGACTCCTGCAGTGCCTCCGTTGCCAGGCACGGCGATAATGGACTCCACCAACGGTGACTGGGCAAGCTTCCAGGCGAGGGCGTGCTCACGGCCGCCGTTACCGATAAGTAGAATGCGCAGAGACGACGACATCTTCACGTTGGGTCGAGTCGAATCGGTCGTCCTCTGCCCAGCATCTTGTCCCTTCTCCGTATCCGGCGCTAGAAAAAAAAACCCTAAAAGTTGTGTTATTACCCCTCCCCCGCGTTTTCGGCTCTGTTATCGAAGCGCTGTTGTTGATTGGCCAATCCGTGTATAAACACCAAACGGGAGCATGGTTCTATGGAGGTTCAACTTCTTCCTTAAACCTGTATTCCTTAAACCTGTAAACCTGTCCAAATATCATACGAGCAGGTGGTTCGGTTTGAATGTCAAGTCATAAAAGGCTCGAAACATCTGGTCAAATCATTTAGGTGGGCAGAGTGGCAGCGCCGCATTGCGATATTGGTTACCCCCTAGCCGGCCCTCTTTCCTGAAGCTCCTCGATGTTTTAATTCGTGGTGCTCGATTCAGGTCTGCGTGGAACGGCAATGGTCTGGATCAAGATGTTACTCGAGACCTTATCTCTGGATTTCACACAGTAGGTAGACCAGGAAAGCTGTCGCCGAGGAGGGGGTTCATCAACCGTTCAGGCTCGGCATGGCTTCGAACCGCTGCACATCTCAAAAGACTGTGCGACGGTTGATTTTGGCGAGGGAGGAGCCGAGAATGGGCCGAAGGGGCGTCAATAAGGCGTCAGAGCGAGCTGCCGTCTCCCATCTCAGATCGATATCTTGGCTGCGGAGCTGCAGTATGCTGCATGGTTCTGGTATCATTTCCCCCGGTGATTGGAATGCTGTTGATCAGGAAAGCATATTGCTCACATAAGCAATAACGAACCAATATCTCTTTCGAGAATTAATCATCAACCCGTGAAACATTGAATCGTGGCTGGTACTGGCCTGGACAGTCGGCCGTGAATTATTTCTGCCTTCCCAGCCCCCACGCACGATAACGTTAGGAGATGAGACGGCAGCCAGCTGAGGCCCGCCAGCAAGCTATCTCCCGGTCCGGTATGTACGGAGTACGGCTACTCGGATGGCGGCGGAGCGCAAAGAGCATCGCCCGGTTGGTGCGACTGCAGTTCTGAGGGCGGCGCGGCGATGGTGCCGGGGACGAAATCCTGAATAGTGTAGTTCTGATGGTCCCACGAGCAGTAATATTACACTATCCTATGGATCGGCATCGTATTGTACCGTCGTATTATGAGATCAACAGTTCGTTGACGTCGCGATTGAAGGAGGCCCATGCAGCACCGTTGAGGCTCGCCCCAGGTCTCCCTACCCGCGCCAAACCGGCCTGCCGGTTGTCGAGACGAGGCGAAGAGCAGATCGGCAGCAGTCTGGAAGACACGAAGGGACGCGATTGCATCATGATTACCTACTTCAACCGAGATATCCTCACAACTAGAGAAAGATGCCGAATACCCGGGATCGTAAAACTTGATTCGTAAGATGGCACATTCGGTCTCGCGTGAAGTCAGGAACTTTGCACTGCCAGGGGGATGGCCGTGTGTGGCGACCGCGCGAAGCCTTGGGCCCGGAGGGGGGCCATCGTGAGCTTCAAGGGCTCTGCTGCGGAAGGGGCTGTTTGTTGTTGGGGTTGCGCGAAGCTCCTGAGGGCTTCCATGGGTTCGAAGCTTTGACCGATTCATGGGGAAACAGCTGAGGGTTGACTTCCGGGTTGGGCAGGGGCTCGGGCTGGACCCATAAGGTACGTACCATGGACTTCTCGGGAAGGTGTGGGTCAAAGCAGCCAACACAACCACCAAGGTTCCATCCGAGTGAACGCCGTCAGAGAAGGCCGTCAGAAAAGGACCTCAAGGATGATGGGCTCCTATTTCGAGGTGTTTACTCTCCTCTTTACGGCACATAACGCAAATGCGAACGGCAATGAACATGAAGCTGAAACACAGTCATACAAAGAAAGCATTCCCTGTTGCTGGACAGTCAGCGTGGTAGAAGCCATCGTGCCATCGCGTGTGCCGGGCAACAGCTCGGAACATGGGCACGCTTTGGGGTGGTGGTCTTTCTCGATGCCGCGAACAGCCAGTAAGGTTGACGCAACCCGCAAGCCGTCTGCTCCGTAGCGAGCCAATTGCCGACTGGTACCCGCTGGTGAACCACAGACACGAGCGTCGCCGTGGCCATGTTTGCGAAGGGCAACGGCGGCTCATGCCAGCATCAATGATGTCGTAACGGCCATGTTGTGTTCGCTCGGGGCTTGATTGCCTGCTCGAGTGTTGGATGCCTGCTGGATTGGAGCCTTGGAGGTGCCACGGCAGGCACTTGCGTCGGTACCCGGGTTCAAGCTCTCAAGTCCGAAGAACAAAGCGGAGGGACGCTCGGGACGGAATGTTCGACGAGGTTGTCGGATGGCAGAGCTTGGCAAACATCCGACCCCCCAGACCGCGCGATCGGGATCGGTGTGCAGGGCTGCCCCACCATCCGTTGAATCCTTGGTTACCATCAAGACATGGTTCTCGTCCTGAATGACGCCACGACTTATTGGTTATTGGCACTCTCAAGCCTCAACAGAGTCCATGAGATGGCCTAGTCCCGAGCACAACAACACTGAGTGAGCAATACGAAATAAATCTCAATAGGTACTTCAGTGGGGACCGGAAGGCATGGGACGTTACAACCTGGCAGCAACCAACCCCCCTTGAGGAAGGAGCGACCTGAGTGCAGCAGTGCAGCTTTTTTTTAATATCGAAGTCCGCCCCTGCCCAAATAGATTACGTCGTGAGCTGCAGGTTCGCTTCCAGCCTCGAAGACCTCTGAGAGGCCCAGATCTTTAGCTTTTGTCTTCTCCGGTCGGAGCTGTCTCCACGTCAGGCCAGAGATGCAGATCGCGCGGGTGACTGCGGGAGTTCCCCTGTCAACCTGCCCATGGCCAGCCTGCAGACCTTGCTTTTTGTTCTTCTTTTTGGAGAGCACAGCTGCGTTCTCGGCCCAGCGCAAGGGAAATCGATCGACGGCCTGACCGGGCAATACAACCCTCCCGAGCGTCCCCGGGTCGCCATTGGCGGCGGAGTGGTCTGTCGGCCAAGGGTTGGTGCGTTCGTCGAAGTTCCCCAGGCCGTGCGTCGCCCGTCGGTCGCCACAACATCGGACTACCAGCCTACCTTACCTATCTATACTACACTCCAAGAAGAAAGAAACGGTAGCTTTCCGCTTGCCCGGCACATCAGCAAATTCCAATACATTTTCGACAGAGGGGCTCTCGCGCCAGGCTCAAAGGCGGCAAGATGAGACACACTTGCTTGCCTGTTGGCTTTGCCGACGAGACGAGAAAAGCGGCGCTGTTGTTTCCCAGATTAGGAACCCCCAACTCCACCCACTACCTCCTAGGTATGGAGTGTAAAAGGTCGGCCATCGGGCCGGTCAACAAAGTGGTCTCTGGGTAGAGCTGGAAACACGTCAAACCAGGCTAAGGAACACCAACAAGGGGCACATGGGCTTGGCAAGCTTATCAGCGAAAGCCGGCATCATTGGCAGGGGTTGAGAAGGGCCCGCTCGCGGCGTGGTGGGCACGACAACCACTCAGCTGCTTCAATTCTCCAGGGGTGCATGTCCACTGCAACAACCCACTACGCTAACATTAACTCATTGACGTGAGTTCAACATTTCATGCAGTTTCCAGGAACAACACACGCAGCCGAGACAGCGCCTCGGCCACTAATCGATCGGTGGACCGCGGCAGTTATTTCTTGTTCTTCATAGAAAGGCATTGGTACAGGAAACTGCGGGGAACTCGACTGCACGACACACACAGTATGGCCTCAGCTAGGCAGGCCCTCCACTCGTGGGATGGGGGTGGGGGTGACAAATGAGGCACGCACTTACACGAGCTGTGTGAATTCCGTGAGCCACCACCTGTGCCGCCCTCCGCGAGAGCTTGAAACAGCACGCAGTCACAGATTGTTAGTTGATCATTGCCTGGGTAGATCGAAAGTCAACCCCGTTACGACTGCGCCATGTCCCCAAAGGAGTCTCGAGAGGGAGGTGCTGCGGTGGGGAGGTTGGACGGGCCTGTGGATGCAGGACCTTCCCGGGGTTGACCATCTCCACGACATGTACGAAGTACACTCGATCGGTGCGGAAATCTGACAGACGAGGATGTTGTTCGCCTCCTCCTGTGTACTTCCTGCACGGCCAACAACGGCCTGGCTGGGCCAACCGGTGGGCACGGTTGTATGCATGCACGCCGCCGTCGGTCTTGGGCCAGCTTCCGCATCGGTCTCACAGCTGGGGGGGTCTGCCCAACCTCGCGATTCCCAGGCGGAGAGCTCGCCGCCGCCCAATCCTCGAGCTCCGATTCCTCTGATCCCCACCTACCCTCCTCCTACCATGGCCAGCTTCATGCAGCCTAGATGGGATTGTCTCAAGCTGCTGTTGGGACACCAGCAAGATGCCATCCCAACCCCGCTGTACCACACCTGCTCTCCCTCGAGGTCCTGCCCGGGGTGGCACTTCTGGTGTATAAACATCCCGCCTCCCAGATCGTCTGCTGCCTCCTCTCCCCATCCTGCTTCCTCATCGCCGGCTTCCTGGGTTCTCCCGACCACCAACCGTTCGCTAAGGTTTCTCCAGACCCTCGCTCCCAACCTCCTCGTGCCTGAAGATCCTGGGCCTACCAGATCATCTTAACCCTTTACTACAAGCCAGTCGTTGCCAGCAGGCCGGCCACACAGACACAATGAGAGCAGTGCTTTCCCTCTTCGCCCTCGCGGCCACGGCCCTTGCGGCCAACATCCCCCGCAGGGGAGACCGCGGGCTAGTTGATAGGACATACGGACATGGTGGTGGTGGTGGTGGCCATGGCGGCGGCGGAAAGGGCGGCGGCGGAAAGGGCGGCGGCGGCGGAGGCCACGGTGGTGGTGGTGGTGGTGGCGGCGGCGGCGGTAAGGACGATGAGGACTGCGAGACCGTCACCACCAAGGTGATTGTGACTTACACCACCGTCTGCCCCGTCACCGAGACCCACACCGAGCCCGGCCACACATACACAACCACCTATACCACGACCAGCACGGTCAAGACAGCCGTCCCTACCACCGTTGTCATCACCAAGACGGCACCCCCAGTGACCAAGTCGACGGACCAGGGTAAGTCAACGCTGACCTCTCGAGGGCGTTTACAGTTGCTGACATAGCTTGCAGTTGTCTACACTACCCTCACCGAGCTATGCCCCGTGACCGAGACCAAGGTTGTCGATGGCTCGACGGTGGAGATCACCTGGACCTCGACCTCGACCGTTGTCACCAAGGTCCAGGAGACTGAGACCATCTACACGACGTCGGTTGCGACCGAGTACGAGACGACTGATGTGTACACAACGGTACGTCTCTTGCTTTCCTGTAACAATACCAAAGTGATAACATGCTAACATGAAAACTAGATTACCTGCCCTGTCACCACCTACACCACCGTGATCGAGGGTTCCACCGTCAAGGTCACCCAAACCGACACGTAAGCCTACCATACCCTTCCTAACTAACGAGTCAAAACCACTAACTCTTTGACCTAGAATCACCCTGACCAACACGGACGTGCACACGGTAACCGATGTCGTCCCGGTGACCATCACGGAGCACGTGCCGGTGACGGTCAACGTGCCGGTCACAGAACAGGAGACGGTGACGGGCTACTCGACCGTCATCGTGGAGGCGACCGAGACGGTGTGGACGTCGACGCCGCTCCCGCCCACCACCATCATCCTGCCGACCTCGGTCACCGTCCCGTCCGAACCGGAGCCCTCGGTCCCCATCGGCTCCACCCCGGTCGGCTCCAGCCCCATCGGCTCCAGCCCCGTCCCCATCCCCTCCAGCCCCGTGCCCGTGCCCTCCAACGGCACCACCCCGGAGCCCACCCCGGAACCCACTCCGGAACCCACCCCCACCCCCACGCCTACCGACGATGGCCCCCCGCCCATCGCCACGGCCGGCGCCAACAGCCTCCTCGTCCGCGGCGGCAAGGGTGTTGCTCTGCTCGCTGGGTTGGTCGGTGCTGTCGTGCTCATCTGAGCTTGACCAGCCACCCCTAACCGGGCAGTTGGGTTTTTCTTTCAGTCTGTTCCTCTCTCTCTCACCCCTTTCTCTTTTTTTTCGTTCGTGCCTTCTACGATCGGGAAAGGGGTGGCGGGGCTACGCATAACACATACGGTTTCTTCTTAACTTACGACTGGGGATGACGGGGTCGGCGTGGGGGGAGCGAGCGTGATGACACTCCTTTTGCTTTTTTATTGGGGAGGGATGCGATAGATACACCTGTTTGGTTTGGTTTGGTCCTTTTTTCTTGCTGGGTTGGGGTTTGGCGATCTCCTCTCGACATGGTACTGCAGTTACCTGGCCGGAGGGGGGTTTTGTCGGACTTGACCTGAGTGGGTGGCGGTAGTGGTGGTGGTGTGGGATATCTCCTTCTCCTATGGCTTTTGGGGGGAGGGGTTAATGCTACCTACTTAATGTTTATGTATATATACTATTAGGGTTTCCATAGAATGGGGAATTGTTACTTTTTTTTGCAGCTCAACTCGCTTGGATCTTGTGATGTATTATCTCGTTTGTGTTGACATTGACTTGATCTCAGCCTTAAGTTACAAACTTTGCTCTTACGCTGCTCTGATGTTGATGTTTTATGAGTACGTCCAGTGGAAAATAGGGAGTGCCAGCCAATGTGACTGGCACTCCTCTTAGCAACTCCTTCGAAGAAACGGTCATGTTCCCTTCTAAAATAACCGTTTTTCTTTCTCTTTTTCTTTTCCTTTTGGTAATTCCTGAGCTCCATTGCCCGGGGTCTGTCATAGTCGTTGAGGCATGGATTGACCAACTTGTCAACATGTTAGTCTCGGTTTTGCGGATTGGTTTTGGTCAGGAACCTGCGAGGAACGGGCAACCCGAAAACTGCACAGAATCCCCCCGAGATAAGGCAATTCTTACATGCACCATATGTACATACAAGGCTTCGACTTGTTGTCACTCGCTCCAATCACGAGATCTCACCTCACCAATTGGAACAGCGTGATGGACTGACCCCGGCCAATTCAGAGAGGATCAGCCTACGCCACCCTCAGACGCCTTCTGTGACTGGAGCTACCAACAGCTCCCATGCCGTGTTACCGAGTTTCTCAGTGGTAACCAAAGTGACAGCCATGATGTAATGTTTGGTTTTCTCGTATCTGCACTTCAACTATTTTATTGCCGTTTTCGGCGTCTGACCTCTGGTCTGTTGAAGGAGGAAGGATTATTCACGCAGTAGGCTGCCGTTGGTTATAAAACGAAGCTCGACCCTTCCTTCCTCAATCGATTAATACGAACCACCTTCACACAACTGCAGAGCAATTGAAAAATAACCGTTCAATTTCGCCGAGAAGATAATCCTTTACGTACCTAATTAATCACCATGTCACTCAAGACGATCTTCACCGTTCTCCTCGCCTCCCTGGCGCAAGCATCACCCGTGCCCGAGCACGATCAGATCGGTGGTGTAAGTACCCCCCTTCGAGTATTGGCCGTCTTGATCCCCGTCTGACACAACCACCTACCCGGAACAGGTGCTCATCTGCAACGACCCCAACGGCCAAGGCCACTGCGAATATGCCGTCTACGAGCTCGAGAAGTGCTACGACCTGCCCGAGGCGCTGATCAACAACGCCGCGACCTTTGCTCCCGACGACGCGCCCTTCTACTGCTACCCCCGTCTGTGAGTTTCTCCTCCGCCTGCAGTGCAGGTACTTGGCACATATATTCGGAACTGGTAACTAATAACAATGATGTGGCAGCACGGAATGCGGCGGCCTCTGCATGTCGCCGACAGGATGCACCTTTGGCGCCGTGTCATACGACTACGACAACAAGTTCAACCTGACCAGGATTGGGTGGAACGAGTACATCACGTCGTTTGACTGCTATCTCAACCAGACAGAGGATGCGACTGCGCGTATTTAGGTACTTTTGAAGTACTTGGGATGTCAAGAAGGGACGGGAGTGGTTCGGTCGGCATTGGCTTCGGTGTTCGGCGATGACGGCATGTCATTGTGGGGTTCCTTTTCTTGTCCCTTTTTACCCCGCCATCGGCAAGTCAATTGGCGGGGTAGCTAGACGGGAGTTGATGGTTTGAATTCGGAGCTTTACTGTCGGGTGTAACGAATGAAGGTAATAGATAATTAGACGAGGTAGTCCGGAAGTAATTAAACCTCCTTCCCCATTCCCCAACCGCACGGGCAGTGACCCTAATCTTCAACATCCCGTCACCATCATCCAAACCCACTATCATCATCACTCACCACCACCACTACCACCAACAACATCACCAAACAAACCACCCAAAATGGCCTTCGAAACCAAAGCCACCATCGCCTCCTTCGGCGGCAAGCTCTACAAGCTGACCCACCAATCCACCGAAACCACCACCCCCATGGCCGTGAACCTCTACCTCCCCCCGCAAGCCCTCACCCCCACCCCCACCAAAGTCCCCCTCCTGATCTACCTCTCCGGCCTAACCTGCACGCCCGAGAACTGTTCCGAAAAAGGCTTCTTCCAGCACCGCGCCTCGCAACTCGGCCTGGCCATCCTCTACCCGGACACCTCCCCGCGCGGGCTCAACCACCCGGGCGAGACGGCCTCCTGGGACTTTGGCGCCGGCGCCGGTTTCTACATCGACGCGACCCAGGAACCCTGGAAGAACGGCTACCGCATGGAGAGCTACATCACGCGCGAGCTGCCGCAGACCCTCTTCGCCGACGCCACGTACGGCGCCGCGCTGGACGCCTCGCGTGTCTCCATCACGGGCCACTCCATGGGCGGGCACGGCGCGCTGACGCTGTACCTGAAGAATCCGGGCATGTATAAGAGCGTGAGCGCGTTCGCGCCGATTGCGAACCCGGGGAAGTGTCCGTGGGGCGAGAAGGCGTTTACGGGGTATTTGGGCGGGGATAGGGAGGGGTGGAAGAGGCATGACGCGAGTGAGTTGGTGAAGGGGTGGGACAAGGGGGTGGACTTGAAGGCGTTGGTGGATGTGGGCACGGGGGATAATTTCTATAAGCAGGGGCAGTTGCTGCCGGAGAATTTGGAGAAGGCTGCTGCGGAGGCGGGGGTGAAGGGGTTGACGGTGCGGTATCAGGAGGTGAGTTTGGGCTTGGGGTGATGTGTGTGTCTGTGTTTGTGTGTGGAGGGGATGCTGACTTTGATAGGGCTACGACCACTCGTACTACTTCATGGCTAGCTTTAGCGATGACCACGTCAACCACGCGGCGAAGCATCTGGGGCTGTTGTAAGGGATGGATCGGGGTTGAGGGTTTGATTGGAATATGTGGTTGATGAGGTATGAACGGGCCACCCGTATTGGAAAGGGGTGGCGGAATAGATACATGAAACAGCAAGGTAGGAACGATACGATATAACCACCGGTATACAACTTTCATATCCCACCATTCAAAAACAAAATACCAACCGCAACAACGCCATATCCATGAATGATGTCCCTTCGAGCATGCCACACCCCCCTCACCCACCCCGTCAGCTAACCCTCTTCTCGACCTCCCCAAACCCCACCCCCTCCCCCTTCTCCACCAACGCCTTCCCCTCGGCCTCAACCTCCCGCTTAATCCTTGCATACGCCAGCTTCTCAAACCGACTAAGAATGCGCCACCAGTGCTGGCCGGCCTCGTGCTCGGCGACGCGCTCGAGGAGGGCGGCGGTGCGGTGGCGGACGTCGCGGTCCTTGTGGAACAGGCCGAGGGCAACATAGAACAAACCCGTGTGCGACTCGGGCGCGACGCTCAGCAGCATGCAGATCTCGTCGTACGAGTGCACGTGCCGGGCCAGCGTGTCGTAGATCTCCTTGCTCTGCATGGGCGTCAGCCGCTGCGTGCGCAGCCGGTCGTGCAGATGCGCCAGGTCCAGGCCCTTGAGCGGCCGGATCGCCGAGAGCTGCGCGACGTCCTGCGGTGGTGCTTATTAGTCCCAGCCCCGGCCCTGGGGGAAGGGGAATCGTTCGGGTTGGCTTACCTGGATGAAGCTGTAATAACTCCTGGTGTTACGCCACCCCTCTATCCGTGTCACGTTCCCAGCCAATTCTTTCGCCTTCGTCGACTCGTCAACCCACACATACCCGTGTCCATGGGCACCCATCGCGTTGGCATCCTGCTCGTCGTTGGTGTAGAGGGCGCTGGCACCGTACACGCTTTCTTCAAAGGCAGCGGCTATGCGAGTGAACTTGAGCACCCACGTCCTCCACTTGGCTCTGATCACCCGCTCGCCTGCCCGCGTGGTGATGCTCCTCAGGATGCCGGCCATGAAGGCGGCGTCGCCCGTCAGGTCGTTCGACGCCGACCCGCTACTCGACGAGTTGTGGATCAGGTTTGCGTACGCCGGGTTCTGTTGCTGGAAATAGACTAGACCCTCCGTGATAGGAGCCGGCTCGATCTTGCTGCTGATTTTCATCTTGCCGCTCGGAATGTCGCAGAGCAGATCCCACCATTCGGGGTGGTGCTCAAAGGTGGGATTCGTCACGCCGGCAATGAACCCAGGCACCTTCAGGAGGTCGTCGACCTTGGTTAGATCTGTGTACGGAAAGGCGTACCGGGTGAAGCCCCTGAGAATACCGCCTGAAGCGAGCGCGCATGCGGCGAGAACGGCCTCGGCGACATCCCCGGACGGCATGTTGTGTCCCAGGAAGATGACCCGCTTTTGTGTCAAGAGGGCGTTGATAAGCACAATAATCGGATGTGTGGTGGGCCCGTTTGTTGTAAGATGAGGATGTAGGGAGAAGGTCTGAGGTGACTTGGAATGTGAGTCGGAGAAGTTTTGGATCAGCTTGATCAAAGAGAAATCCCCAACGATCTCGGGCATAACAGCGACCGGAACCTTGACCGGGATGGGGATGCCCTTGTACATGACTTTGCTCTCGAACTCGTGCGTGTCCCGGGGAACCACATACGCAGCGTGTCCCTCAATGTGCGCCTTGGATCCTGACCGGAAGACGGTGGGCGGCGGCGGAGGACCTTTGCTAGCGTCGAGTGGCTGGTCGACATCGCCCCCGGATCTTCCAGAGATCCGGGCCTGAATCATCTGCTCAAATTTTTCGACGAATAAATCTTTGTTCTCGCTTGATTGCAGGAGGTGTCGCTCAAGCCAGGTCAGCTTCGGCATCAGTGACAGATCCATCTCGTTCACCGCGTCGTATAGCATTGCCAGAGTTTCGGGTACGGGTGCTTTGAAGTATTCTTCCAAGGCCAGTAGTAATAAGGGCTGAATACATGTTAGCAAACATAAACGGCCGGTAAGGTCGTATTGCTCCGTTCACCTTATAGATATGTAAAAAAGGATGCCGGGTGCAAATGGCCATAGCCTTGACCACTGCACCTCGCTTGACCGTTTTGTCTTGTTTTGTGTTGACGAGATTGAGAACATAGACCAGGGGAGGACCCTCGAAGCCATCGGGCTCCTCATCCGTCGACTCGTCGTCATCCCAGTCGTCGTCGTCCAAGTCGTCCAAATCGGCCTCTTCCTCATCCTCTTCGTCCGACTCGTGTATTATCCCCTTGGCTCGATCACGCTTCCGGATCCGCCGAGCCTTCCTCTCCTCCTTTGCCTGCCGCTCCGCCTCGTCCTCCTCTTGACTAGTGTCTTTATGCAGAAAGAATATGGTCCAGTCTTGGTTCCGGACGTGGGCCTGGTCCGGAAGCATGAGCTCGGCAAGCATGTGTTCATCGCCCGTGATGGATACCGGATACTGGTGTTCCATGACCGGACCGCGATCAATGTCGAAGGATGCCACAAGGATGTACTCGACATGGTTCTCGGTGCTCCCGCGGGGGTACTGGGACCGCAGCTTTCGTGGCCGCTCCACGGCGGCATCGTAGCGGGGCTGAGCACTCGTGGACAGTGAGCTGTGTTGAGAGGAGGCGCCGGTGCCGGTCGACGGCGTCTTGCCCTTGAAGCTCGGGTCCGAGGTCCGGTCCATCTCGGGGGTCATTCCGACCGGGGGTTGCGGGGAGCGGGTGGGGCGCGACGGCGGGATTGTCGAGAGTGATCTTCGGTGCTGCAGGTTTGCACCATTGGCGTAGCTAGCCGCACTGCTGGTTCTTTTCAGATAAGGGGGTGCGAACTGGCTCGAGGCCATCGTAGTCCCGCACTTGCTTCCAACCCTCCCGCCCGTACACTCTTCCTCGAGCAATTGCTCCCACCGCGTAGTTACAGGGAGTTGCTATGGGCGATGCTTGTGTTCGCAATATCGTGGAGGCAATCGGTATATAGAATAGGAAAGATGGTTAAATCCGAGACATATGACGTCGAGAGATTAAGTTCCGTAGCTATTTCGAGTCGTGCGAAGAATGTCGTGCGCAAAACGAAGAGGGCGTGTGCAATCTAGCAGGGAGCCGGGTTGGGTAGGCGGCAGTATGGATCTAGCACCTGGAGGTAAAAACCCAAGAGACGAAAGCAATTCTAGAGGTCGCGTGTCTATTAGTCGGCCGGCGATTGTTGTGTAGATCGGTTGCGGGAAGATGCGACGCCGAGATGTAACCGGCAGCCGCTAGGTAAGGTTGTCCTCGAGCAAGATGCTCCCGCTCTGTGAAGTCAAGCACTCCCGCACGCTTGTTCCCCTTTTCGGCTCCTGGCTATTTGACAGGGGGTTGCGATCCTTGCTTGGTGGGGGTTTGAGCCGCTGAGGGGTGCTTGGAGGGGCGGGTCTGGAAGCGGGCGGCAGCAACCCCCTGCTTTCCCTTGCATTTTGGGGGCTTTGAAACAAGCATTCCATGAGGTCGGTGGGCGGCAGACGGGCATCAGCCATAATTACCTAACCCCGCAGCGGTCGCACAGTGACGCCACAAATGTCGTCGCAATTAATCTGTGGCTGATTGCCGCACCTCTTCCATGGTACCCCTGCTGGTTGTCCGGACGGATTGTTTACTTTCTCCTACAATCGTCCCGTCGGCCCACCGACATTGAGAGCAGATCAATCACCATTGATGGATTAATGACGATAAGTTCACGACTAAATTTCCAGTAACACCGGAATCTCATAAACTTGACATCAAACCTTATCTTACTTTGGGGACACCTCAGTGCAGTCCATAAGGCGCCTCAGAACCACTCTGATTTCCATTGGGCGCATTTTGTTGATAGTTCCAGCGTCGCACCGCAACAACCGAAGACTTGCAGCGAGATCCCTTTTTGACATCACCCCGGCGAGCAACATCGGAAAGGCGATTTTGGATATGGTAGGAAGAAAAACAAAGAGTGGTGTTCTTTTGAGCAATACTGACCGAAATCAGTCGGTGCCATCAGCATACAAACCGTCCCCGCTGGGCTATGGCGGGTCCGCCCGGTCTTCACCGTTTCGTCGCCCACAATCGCCAGCATCCTCTGCGACCCTGCGGCAAACTCCCACACCGACGAGGGATGGGTTTTCCGAAGCTCGCGCAAAATTTATGGGTAGTAGCCCGGTCACAAGCCCAAAAGAGTTCAGAACATCTCGCATACACGCAACGGTGGAAGACGACCCCGACGAATATGTTCCCCAGCCGCGCAGTCTTCCCAGCATTCCTCGGCCGGCGTCAGTGACCGCCTCGCCAGCTCCTAGCACAGTAGGCCACGGAAATGCGCTCTCCCAGTTGCAGCCCTCGCAAGTTCGCACAATGCGGGAGGCATTTCAAATTCTGGACCGCGATAGCGACGGCTTCGTGAATAGGGAGGATGTCGCGGACATGCTCAATCAGCTAGGTAGGGCGAATCACGTATTGTCGTTGCTATTGCAGTCGGGCCGGCTGACAAGCAGGTTTAGGTCTTCCATCGAATGCGGGTGACGTGTCCCACTTCTTCCCTCCGTCAGCGCCTCAGACCATGTCAATGGCGCTGTTCCTCAACTCGATAGCCACCTCGCTGGTCGCTCTGTCACCGGGGCCCGAATTACTGTCTGCCTTCTCGGCATTCGACGACGACGACAGCGGCCAGATCGACGTTGCAGAGCTCAGAGATGCCCTGCTGCATACAGCACCTGACCCCGATCAAGAGCCCCTAACGGCGCTGGACGTTGAGAAGGTCATTGCTGGCTTCACAGGGCGGCGGGCCTTCACCAAGAGCACAGCCACGGGACTGGGCGGCAAGCGCGGCGAGGTATTCCGGTACCAGGACTTTGTAAATACAGTTGCGGGCGGAAACGAAGCCGCGGCGCAGGCCGCTGACGATGCGGAGGAACCATGAGTTCGTCCGAAGCGCCAACCAGATGATTGCATGGGCGTTGTGGGATTGGATGGGCTATCTGGTTATCAACAGACATCGATGGGTGGCTGGGCATTGGGTCCTGTTGTTTGGTGGCCATGTCTGGGGCAATACCAACTAACGGTGAACGGCATGATTTAGGGCCTATCAGTTCTCGGCATTGGGGGCGAGTCACGGAATTATTACCAACCAATACAATGTTGGCGGTCCGCAGTTGCATGTTGCGCCCGTGACTGTGACAAGCTCGCTCGTGTGCACTCCCGCGCCAGTCCGCGCCTAGCGCCGCTCGGCATTTGTTGACATAACTTTTTGTTTGCATACCAGAGACACACACTCGGGACACACCAGACCAGATGCACAAAAATCATCCCCAAACTTCCAAGAAAACACCTGTCATCACCGAAGCCGGGTGGAGGGATGGCCTCCCCTGAACGAATGACGACAGTCCCCTCTCAAATGGCAGACGGCTTGACCGGGAGAGTGCAAACAAACCCGAGCCTGGGACGGACCGACCCACAGAAGCTTCGAGAATCGGTTTCCCCAGCCTCCGGTCGGGAACCGCTTACAGTGATCTGCCCCGCTATGTGAATGCTTTTGCCTGCTTTTGCCTGCTTTTGCCTGCGATCAGGGGTCCTGTTCCAGCGCTGAATGGTCCCGTGGCGGGTTAGGTGGACAGGCGCCGGATCCCACCCGCTGTCCCCCGCAGTCCGGCGCTGGGTGTTTGACGAATGACTCTCTCCTGCCTACCAATTTCCAGAGCAACGGGCAACCCCAGCCAGCCCAATATTTTCTTCGAATCGCAAGTCAAGAGGCCCCAAGGGCTCCATGATTTGCCTGAGGGCTGAGCAATCGTCTAAACCCTTTCAATCTTCCGCAGCGTGATGGGTTGATCGTCCGGCTGCCTTTGTTCGCCAGTTTTTGAACAGAGTTCCCCGACCTCCAGCCTTTCCCAACTTTTTTCGCCTGGTGCCCCAGTTCTTGTTCGCCAGGAAACCCCCTCCACGACTTCTGGCCGCTCGTGCATCCGACGAAAAAAAAACCGAGTTGCTCACAATTGCATGCGCACCCACTCCCGATAACTAACCTAGGATACCCGGCGCTTGGTACCCTCCCCCAAATCCTCCCAGCTATTTTTGCCCTGATGCACCGGCAGCGATACACTGCCTGACCTTGTCCCGGGAGTCACGCCGTTTTGACGCTTCATTTTGCGGGACCAACCGCATATTACAATCCGGACCCCGGTAGTTGACGACTTTCTGCTGCAATACCTTGCAAATGAAGTTTTTCTCTAAAATATCGTCCAAAAAGCCAAACTCCGCCGACGAGGAGGAGGACGACCAAGCCGGTTTCTTCGAATCGTCGCAACCATCCTCGCCCACCAAGTCGCCCACCAAATCTCCCACCAAGTCTCAGCCTCCCACAAAATCCTCAGGTTCCCGGTCGCCCACTAAAAAGGCCTCTTCTTCCCAACGCCCCCCCTCGCCGAACTCGCGCGAGTCCAAGCCGCAGACGCCGCGCACCTCGCGCCCCTTTGGGCGGCACCCAACCGACGCCGGGCGCCGAAAAAAGATCGACCCGGACACTCACCCCCTCAACCTGCCGCCTGAGCAGCGCAAGCGTCTGTCGGAACTCTCTGCTATGAGCGCCCGCAATTCAATGGATGTCGACAAAGAGCCCGTCACCGGAGGCAACCCCTCCTCGCCTCCCCCCCCGCAGGCGCCGCCGCCGCAATACCAGCAGACACGGCCGGCGAACCCTCCGTCCCACCAGAATACTTTCACCGTGCCTGTGACGAACGGCGCCGACGTGCCGTCGACAAACGACGCCGCCGAGGAAGAAGTCGTCCCCGCTCCCCCGCCTCACCGATCGCAGCCTTCCAGCCCGGTGCAATCAGATGCCGAGCAGGCCGAATCATTCAAGAATGAGGGCAATAAGTTCTTCAAGGCGGGTGACTATACCCATGCCGTCGAGTTCTACACCAAAGGTGAGTCAAGGCAGAAGTCCCACGTCGTACAGACTGCGAGTGTGTGTGTTACGGTCGGCTAACGGAAATGAACAGCCGTCGTCCTTCAACCCAGCTCGGCCACCTACTTAGGAAACCGGGCCGCGGCATTCATGTCCGCCGGTAAATACGGTGATGCTTTAGAGGACTGCAAGCGGGCTGTTGACTTGGATCCCCGCAACCCCAAGATCCTCCTCCGTCTTGCTCGTATTCACACCAGCCTGGGCCAGCCCGAGGATGCCATTGCCACATTCGGCCGCATCCAGCCGCCGCCGTCCGCGAAGGACATGGCGCCCGCCAAGGATATGCTTCGTCATCTCCGGGCCGCACAGCAGGCTCTCAGGGATGGCACGGCCGCATCCATGGTTTTGTATCCCCTCGACATGGCGGAGAAGCTGCTCGGCATCGGTGCGCTAAAGCCCAGAAAGTGGCAGCTCATGCGGGGCGAGGCGCTCCTGAAGATGGGCGATGCCAATTCTCTTGGCGAGGCCCAAAACATTGCCATGTCCCTCCTGCGCATGAACAGCCAAGATCCCGAGGCTCTGGTACTGCGGGGCCGGGCGCTCTATTCACAGGGTGAGAATGACAAAGCCGTCCAACACTTCCGGAAGGCACTTAGCTGCGATCCCGATTTCAGGGACGCTATTAAGTGGCTCCGGACCGTGCAGAAGCTGGAGAGGATGAAGGAGGACGGCAACACCCAGTACAAGGCTGGGCGGTGGCAAGCAGCTCTCGACCTCTACACATCCGCCCTTGACGTCGACCCGGCGAACAAGGGAACCAACTCCAAGATCCTGCAGAACAGAGCCCTGTGCCGCATCAAGCTCAAGCAGTACGATGATGCCATCGCTGACTGCGAGAAAGCGGTCAGCCTTGATCCCCAGTACATGAAGGCCCGGAAAACCAAGGCCACCGCCCTGGGCCTGGCGGAGAAGTGGGAGGCGTCAGTCCGGGAGTGGAAATCGATCCAGGAGCTCGACCCCGAGGATCGGACCATCGCCAAGGAAGTCCGGAAGGCGGAGCTAGAACTCAAGAAGTCGCTAAGAAAGGATTACTACAAGATCCTCGGTGTCGAAAAGACGGCGACCGACAACGAGATCAAGAAGGCCTACCGGAGGCTGGCCATCGTCCACCACCCCGACAAGAACCCCGGCGACGCCGATGCCGAAGCTCGCTTCAAGGATATCAGCGAGGCATACGAGACCCTGATTGATCCGCAGTAAGTATTCCGTCTATGACATTATTCCCACCTTGACCTTGATATTCCATAACTAACATGCCTCAGGAAGCGTGAGCGGTATGACAGCGGTGTAGACCTAGCCGACCCGTCAGACATGTTCGGCGGCGGCGGCGGTATGGGCGGTGGCATCGACCCCGAGATCATCTTCTCCATGATGGGAGGCATGGGCGGTGGTATGCCCGGTGGCATGGGAGGAGGCATGGGCGGCGGCATGGGCGGCGGCATGGGCGGCGGCGGACCGTTCGGCGGCGGCGGCGGTGGCGGCTTCCCTGGTGGCCCCGGCTTCTCGTTCAACGACCGGGGCCGCGGCAGAGGAGGCTTCCCGCAAGGCTTCCAGTTCTCTTGACAACCCGACTACGAGGGAGAATCGACTGATGCCGGGAGCGAAGGTGACACCTCTGACGAGGATGACCATGACAGCCGACAGCAGCGACGGAGCCAAGGCCAAGGCGGGTGGGCCCGTAGAAACGGGACCGGCGTCAAGGAGGCTTGGCGGGCCGAAGCCGAAGAGCAGAAGGATAGACGGCTGGAACAGCTGCGTCGGTTCTGGCTGGTGCTGGTCGTGGCTGCCGTGCTTCTCCCTCCGTATGTCTTGGGTGTGCTGGTGGCGGGCAGCGCAGTTGTGTACATTTGCATGGGGGTGGTGACGAGGTCGATCGGGGCGCGTTAGGGACGGCAGCACCGGTTGGGTCGTCATCACAAAAAGATCGGTTGTCTTTTTCGGCATACTAGACTACTGGCCAGTTCACCACAACATTGAAGGGCGTTCATGGGGTCATCTGAATTCACACGACATTGGCGCCCCCCTTTTCCGGCATGAGCACATCATCGGCATTTCTACTACAGATAGACAGGGAGCGAGTTGTTTTCCTTTCCCCATCATAAGGTATCCATCCCTCTGGTTCCCGGTTTCTGGTTCCTGGTTTCCTTGTTACGCTCTACCTGTGTGGTCTTGAGTCCCCATGGGTTATTGTGTGTATAGACTAGTCAAAAAAACCCTTGTTCGGAGAATTCAGCATTCGGGTCTCAACAACCCGTCGTATTTCCTTTTTAAGCAATTTATTCGTGCTTGTGCAATATGTACTGCATCTGCATCTCTTCCCGCATGTCCCTCCTGTGTAAGTAACAGGGCACCTAAAACGATGCACATCCACCCCGGGCCGCTGTGTGTTGTGCGCTGTCAAGCAGCGTGCCACAGGGGATCATGTGGGGCTTTCTTGGGGTACCAACGCCTTGCGGACAGTTCGACAGGGGTGTGGAGCAGCGGGAAGCTTTGACCCCTGCTTTTCGAATCTGGAGGCCACGATTCACTTCCAGCTGCACTCCGCAAAAAAAGCCGACGGGCGCCAGACTGGACACTTGGACACCTTGTGGGAAGTGGAAAGCCGCCACATTGCATTCTCCCAATTCCCAATTCCCTTCCCGAGTGCGGACTTCGCTCTTTGTCCTGCACCTCGACTACTTGGTCTCTGAATTGCATCCATCTCATTGTGCGGATGCTCAATCCTCGGGCAAGCCGCTTCTCCCCGTCTTGACTTTGTCTGTTTCCCGCATTATCGGAGTCCCGAATCCTCTCTGAGTTGTTGCATTTAAGGAACACGCGGAACACGCGCACACCAGGGTGCCGTCCCGGTTCAGCGAGTGCCCACCATGAGTACCGACTACGCGTACGACGAGGAGGGCTATCTCTGGCCCTTCTTCGTTTTCACCCTCGCCCTCATCATCACCGTCCCTCTCACATTCTTCCTAGTCAAGCGGTCGCGAGACCCAGCTGCGTCATTCCCGCGCATCCAGACAAGCTTCAAACATGCCCACACAGACACGGTTGACTCCTTGCGCAAGAAGGAGAAGCGCAAGGATAGGAAACTCTGGTTGACCTTTGCCGTCATTGCGGGCTGGGCTATCATGGGCTACATGCTCTACCTCATCCAGACCACCGAGGCGCCAGTACACAAGCTCTGGAACCCCTACGACATCCTCAACGTCCCCGAGACGGCCACCGAGAAGCAGATCAAGAGCACCTACAAGAAGCTGTCCCTCCGGCTGCACCCCGACAAGGCGAAGCCGGATCCGGCCAAGAACGAGACGATCGAAGACCTCACCGCCCGCTACGTCGAGATCTCCAAGGCGTACCAGGCGCTAACCGACGAGGACATCCGCAACAACTACATCCAGTACGGTAACCCCGACGGGAAGCAGGGCTACAGCATCAACATTGCCCTGCCCAAGGTGATCGTGTCGGACGGCAATGGCAAATACGTTGTGCTCCTCTACTCGGTCCTCTTCGGCGTCCTCCTGCCCTACCTCGTCGGGTCCTGGTGGTACGGCACCCTCAGGCGCTCTAAGGAGGGCGTCCTCATGGAGAGTGCCAACAGGATCTTCCGCGAGTACAAGGACAGCATCGACGAGGGCGGTGTCGTGACCGCGCTCAGCACCGGGAAGGAGTACGATGAACTCTTGAAGGGAGACAAGGCGGACTCGGGTCTTTCCAAGGTGGAGTCTAGGATTCTCGCCGAGGGCGAGCTTTCCCCTCTCGCTGGCGGTCTGTCCGTCAAGGACAAGGAGAAGCTCGAGGACCTGGAGAGCGGCCCGCAACGAAAGGCATTGGCACTGCTGTGGGCTTACCTGGGCCGGGTCGAGCTGGATGACGCCGAGCTCAACAAGGCCAAGTTTGCCGTTGCCCCAATTGCGCACTCCCTCAACAAGGCCCTCAACGCTATCGCGCTCGCCTACATGAACACCGGCCCACTCCTAGCCTCCTACTACACCAGCCAGCTCCTGATTCAAGCTCTCCCCCCCAAGTCGTCGCCCCTCCTTCAGCTACCCTACTTCACCCCGGCCGTCGTCAAAGCCGCCGAGGGCGATTCGCGTGTCCACACCAGCATCCAAAACTTCATGGACAGGCCAGACGCGAAGCGCCGCAGTTTGGTGGTGGGCAAGAGCCTCCTTACCGACGAGCAATACCAGGAAGCCGTCGGCGTCGCCAAGCAACTCCCCTTCCTGCGTGTCGCCAAGGCCTACTTCAAGGTCACCGGCGAGCGCTTCATCATCCCCTCCTCCCTTGTCACCCTCGTCGTCAAGGGCCGCTTCGTGCCCCCAGGCAGCGAGAAGGTCCCCGAAATCAACCCCACCGAGCTGGAGGACGTCGACCCGGCGGAAGACGACCTCGACGCCCTCTCGGGCCGCAAGACCCAGAAGCTCGTCGGCAAGGACGAGAAGACGGGCAAGCCCATCTACGAGTCGGCCGAGGCCGAGGTCATCGCGGCACCCCTCGCGGCGGCGCCCTACTTTGCGCGCGACCACAGCCCCAGGTGGCACGTGTTCCTGACCGACTCCAAGCAGGGCCGCGTCGCGGTCCCGCCCTTCACTTTCGCGCAGTTCGACCGCCCCATCTTCGAGGCAGACGGCAAGACCCCGACCTTCGCCATGCAGACCCTCAAGGCCCAGTTCCAGGCGCCGCCCCAGGCCGGCCACTACACCTTTGTTATGCACGTCGTGTGTGACAGCTATGTCGGGTTCGACACCAAGATGGAGGTCACCCTCATTGTCGAGGAGGCGAGCAAGGCGGCTGAGATGGAGATCGAGGATGAGATTAGCGAGCCGGATGAGGGTGAGTCTTGTTTCCTTTCCCCTGTATTTGTTGAGGATGATCATGAAAACTGACCCATGTAACAGACTCCATCGCGGGCATCATGAATGCTGCCAAGGGCGGCGAGCCGCCCAAGAGGAGGAAACAAGTCAAGAAGGTGGAGGAGTCGGACTCGGACGAGGAGAGCGGGACGGAGGAGGAGGAAGATGATACCAGCGCCACGAATACGGATACCGAAGCGGAAGATTAGACTGGGTTTTGCTTGGGGTTTTATTGTTTGGTTATTCCGGCTTCTGGCTTCTGGCTTCTGATAATTGTACATATCGGCGTTCCTCCCCCCGTTGTTATGCACTGTCGCTGTGTGTGCTGTGGTTGGTGGGTTTGAAGCGACCCTCTCTACACCTCTCCCCTTCTGTCCGCTGGCTTAGGTGTATGATATGTGTGCATGGTGTGAGTTGGGATTTGTTGTCGGAACGGTATGAGGGAGTGGACGATGCAGTGTATGTCGGTAGTCAGGGTTGCTGTAGGTTGGGGACTTGTAGGTATGATATATGTTTGTTCAACACGGGTTGCGCGTAAATCACACCAGATGATGGAGTCCCTGCCCTGGGGAAAAGGGTCATATGACGGGTTCCGGCTACGGACACAGCAAGACGAGAAACATCAACGTCGGCCCATGGGGAAATAAATGCCGGAGACCAGCTTATTTTATCTCATGATTTGCTGCCGACCCTTCCATCGACGTAGTCTGAGTCGATTGTAAGTATAGCCTCAAACTGCACCAGCTTCTATCCACACTCAACACCACATGGGTATCTTCCTAGCCATTTCTCCTCGCTCACACCATGTATACCGCTTTTGCGTACCCATTTCCCAACACCACCAGATGCCCGTAGCGTAGGTGAGGGTAGCGAGACTAAGAATACCTCGCCCAGCCTGAGTTCGCCGGTGTGCGGCAACCTCGCGAGGTTTTGCCCGACTAATTTGTACCTCCCTCCGGCGAAGGGAGTTAGTCGGCGAGCCTTCTAGCCTTGACCCCAACATTCTTTCGTGTTCAAGCTCAAAGCTTCTGTCAGCCACCCAGTAAGGCATGCTAGGTTAATTCTGCTTGTTGTCCCGTTGTTGGTATTATCCTCAGCCATCCTTCTCGAAGGCATCGTTGAGATAGCCCACGAAACTCGCGCGCAACCGCTCCGCTGCCACCTTGCCAACGGCCTCGAGCCCGATGCCACCCCGATTCAGCGCCACGAATGCCCGCCGATATCTCTGTAGCTGTGGCAACCCGACCTTTTTGATAGGGAGCTCCACCACCAGATCGTCCCCTCCTTTGCCTCCACTCGCGTTGTTCACCCTCGGCAAACTGACCTCCCCGCCGCCCTCATCGGATTGCCGCTCCAAGATCTTCTTGACAATATCCTGCGTCTCGCGTTCCAACAGGTAAAGGTAGTCGCCGCCATGGTCCTTGTCCCGCTGCACCGTCGACTGGTTCGGCTTGACCACCTTCCTGTTCTCACCGGCGATGGCCTCCCAGATCTTATCAAACACCTCTTTGGTCTGCGCCTCGTCGTCCTCCCATATGAGCGTAAACAGCGGCGAGTCCCAGCGCGCCATAGGGTTGGGCTCTTCGTAGCGGAAGACGAGGTTCTCCCAGCTGGCGGGCTCGTACGGCTCCTCGTCGTCCACACTGCCGTTGTCATCCTCAACTCCCTTTTCCCCATTCTCTCCTTCCCTTTCCCCGTTCTCTCCTTCCTTTTCCGCGTTGTTCTCTCCCCCCTTCCCCCCTTCCATCGCCCCTTCCCCCCTCACCCTCCTCCTCTCCAACCTTCTCTCATTCACCCCCTTCGCCCTCTGCCCCGCACCCACCTGCAGCACGCAGCTCGGCGTGGCCATATTCTTGGCCTCGCAGTACAGCTGGTAGCGCCAGCCCTTGATGTAGTTGAGGCCGTCGAGCACGACGATGTCGCGCGGGGACAGCGCGCGCTTGACCGCCGCGTACGCCGCCGCCCGCGCGTCCTTCTCCGACGCGTTCGCCGACCGCACGTGTGCTGGTAGTTGCGCCGGGGAGAGGTCGTACACGGTGCGCGGGATGGAGAGGGTCGTGTCCGAGATGAGGTGGAGGCGGTAGGGCGGCTGTTGTTGTTTTTGTTGTTGCTGTTGTTGTTCTTGTTCTTGGGAGGGGGTTTGGGAAGCGGCGATGCGTGAGGCGAGGTAGGCGTGCAGCTGCTGTGCGCGGGTGGTTTTGCCCGAGGTGGGGAGGCCGGTTATGGTTATTAGCTGTTTTGGGGGAGGGTTGTTAGTGGACGGAGAGGGAAGGGTGGGCGTTTGGAGGAGGGCTTACCGGCATTGTAGCGAGTTGTGTGTCAGCCCCTAGAGAAATAATATTGCACCTAGTTGGCGTTTCTCATGATGCTACTGTGTATGAAGGGTGTTTGGGTCCGGGGAAGAATTATGGCGGGGCATGGCAATCGAGGGGCAGTTCGGCCGGACCCCCGCCATTGGGTAACCCTGGGGCCACAGGGTTGCAAGGGTTTCTTTTCCTCCAGGGAAACTCCGCGTTGAGGGAGTGGATCAGTTTGCAGCAACAACCCCCCTACCTACGGATTCTGCCTGGGTTTGAATACATCAACGGATAGCACTGGGCTCGAGGCACTTTTCATGGGCGATCGCCCCAAAGGTGAGCTCCCTACCTAGGTAGGTACCGAGCTTCCAGTCAAGAATACCATGAGCATGTGACGTGGCTATCAATGGCATTAAAACATTCCTGGAGGAGATACCGAGGGGCAACGCAAGGGATCGCGGAGCTGCAGCTCGCATCCAATGGCCGTTCGATCTCTCCTCCCGGCCCCCAATGTCGGTCGCTTGCCGCTGCACTTCTGGGCAACTTGGTTGGTGGCTATGGCTGGATGCGCCCGGGCGGCTCGCTCGTAGGGCTGATGAGGCGTGTACAGAATACATACACTATGTACTGTGTATTTCCACACACACATGCATCGAAATCTCCCAGCGGTTCTGTGGAGGGATCTTGAAGAACCCAATATCTCGGTGTTGAATTTCCAGCGCCGCGGGTGTCACCGTGCCTCCTTCGCGCCGGGCTAAAAAAAGCAACCGCCGTATTCCCAGTGATCGATCCGAGATTTGACGGCATGGTATTGATGCACCGGGTTTCACCGGCGTGACCGGGCTCGAGCCGGGCTTCATTTACCCGCGACCCGAAGTTGTGGATGAGCAAGGGTGAGTCTGGGGGTTGGGTCACTCACCCATGCAGCTTTCCGATATCAGGCCCGGGCCGGGACAGGACGCCAAGCTTACTGTCGCGGAACTTTTGTTTGTCGATGCTTCCCCGCCTTGATCCCGCCGCTGATGAGAAGGATGTGTCGGTGTTGGGATTTGGGTTGCATCGCACCCATACCTGGTTTTTCCAGCCACAATTAGCGCGGCTGGCAGTGAAGGGGGACATCCACATCTGCCGATTTCTCTGCAAGGTCAGGGCAAAGTCCAATGCATACGGGTTGATTGGGCGTTCTTGCCCCGAATGTTCGGTGCTGCAATTTCCCCAGCCCATAATGTGGCCCGTGCTGGAACGCCTGAACCACCCGTCTGTCACGCCTTCCCTCTCATGGGTTAGCGTAGGGCTGTGTGCTGCCTTTTCGGATCTGCTTCAATTTCGAATCTGTGGCTTGACAGGACTTCCGTTCTTCTTCTTCCCAGTGCGGAACGCTCAGGCAGGGACGGGACCCGCGGACCACCACAACGAGACCCGCACTCTGCCCTGGTTCAACCCCCGTTCAACGGCGCCATCCGAATCTTGAGGCGGTTTTGCTCGTCTCCAACGGATACCCAACGGCTCCGCCAAGTCAGAACGTTGAATCCTCCCGTTGCTTACCCAGAGAAGCGGCTCGTTTCCGTCTTTCCGCATCCCCCGGCCAGGGAGATCACAAACCCCACGGCCCGGTAAGGGTCGATCGAATGGATGCTCTGCCCGCCGGAAGAAACGGGCAAGCCACCGCCGTTGTATGTCTCGGGCATGGCATGACTTCGGCCTCTCGAACCTTACCGGGCCTTGCGTCTGCATGCAGGATGGGGGAACCACGCGCGGAAAGATTTCTGGAACAAGCCACGATGCGTCAATTGCATGCTGTGGGCATTCGCTTGACGCGAACGCGCTGACGAATTAAAATCCCAGGTAGCATTTAAGCTTTTGGAGTCTCTGGTGCTGGGAGCCTCGCCAAGACGCGCCAATCTCCACCCTCGTTGAAAACGCCTTCGCACAGGTAGCCCAAAGAGGCAGTACCCCTGTTCTTCTCCCCCATGGCGAGTGGGTGATGATAGTCCGGTACTTTCGAACCACCACGCTCGCACCGACCAGCGTGCCCGACCTGCTCGGTTCTCTTCGCCATGACCGCCACAGCCGCGAGCCAGCCTCAAAGAGCTCCAGGTATCGGAGTAACTGGAGGCTGTGGACGGAAGCAGGGGCTGTGTGTCGTCTTCTCACGCTTGTCGGCTGCAGGGAACTGCTTGGCACTCGCGAGACATCCGCCACAACTGCACCTCGCCAGGGCCAGTTGAGCCCTACGAATCGACCAGTTGACTCAGGAGACCCCTTTGGAGCCTGCAGGCACGGGTCGACGTGCACCGCGTCGGGAATATCTGTTGCGGCCTCCGCCAATTTTGCGACACACACCAGTTCCAGCTTAAGAAGCTGGTAACCGGCCGGGCTCTCCCCGAGGCATCTTCACAGCAACTCTTGACCAACGACGGGCAAACTTCCAAAGAGAGCATTCTGCCCCTTTCGTCCACACGTGCCGCTCGGGCAGACGCCCCCTTTTCCGCCTCCTCCGACTCTGGACCCGACCAGCTGAGGCCTGGACCTCAGACTAGTTTGCGGCGATCAGCTGGCGGCGTTTTCCCATTGCGGGACGAGGACTGAAGCTCCTCCGGCGAATGTTACGGAAGAGGCCGACTGCGCCGTTGGACGCGTCGTCTCACCGGACTCGACCCCACGTTTGGCGTCGAGTGTCATTATCCCAAGATGGTTTACTGCGGGAAGCCAAGCAAGGGGTGCTCCAACTGCCGGGAGCGCAAGATTCGTGTAAGTCTGCCTTCTGTTATGAAACATTGCTCCGCCACACAAGTCCTCTCTGTCACTTGGCAGAATGAACGTCTTCATTGGGGATGCCCGTGTTGAACCACCCACTGACAAACCCCAAGTGTGACCAGAAGGAGCCAGGATGTGGCCAGTGTGACAAGAGGCAGCAGAGATGTCCCGGCTACCGAAATCTCGTCGACCTCATGTTTCGCGATGAGAGCTCCCATGTCATCAAGAAGGCCAAGGCGAGGGCTCGAAAGAAGGCCAAGCTGGGAATATCACCACCGGGCACCCCATCAGACACGGAAAGCCGGTTTTCCGCTACGCCTGAGCCTCGCTCGCGGACGCTGTCGTTGATCGTCCCTCCGACACCAACTTTCGGCAGCCCAGCTGGACGAAATACCGATCACCATGACGACAGCAGCATGCTTATGTCGCCCGACTCGGGGAGCTGGCCAGTGACGCCACCAATGGCTCAGCTGTACACTCTCCCGCCAGCTTGTCAGGAAGACGGCTTCGCCTACTTCTTCTCACGGTACGTGACAGCCGATGAGACGGTACCGCACCAAAAGTTCGACTTCATTCGAGACGTCTGGCGGCCCTCGCCCTCGGCGCCCGCCGCCCATGTCGACGGTGTCCTGGCTAGCATGACGGCGGTCGGCCTCATGGGGCTAGCGAGCACGGCACAGTCGCCAGACCTGATGGATGCCGCGAGAAAGTCGTACGGAACAGCGCTGCGGTTGACAAACCACGCGCTGCAAGATCCGGCCGAGGCCGTCAAGGACAGCACGATGCTGTCGGTACTCATTCTAGGCGTGTTCGAGATGATGGCAGAAAACACATCACGAACAATGACGGTTGAGGCGTTTCAGGAGCACGTCAATGGAGCGGTTGCGCTCGCACGGATGCGAGGGCCCGCTCAGTTCCGGACGCGGGCGGGGAGGCGCATGTTCTCAATGCTGTGCCAGAGGGTTGTCGTCAGCTGCGTTCAGCGAAACGTACCCATTCCAGACTTCCTAGTCGAGCTCTGGCACGAGATGTCCCGAATGGCAGAAGCTGGAAATCCCGATCAACCACTGGTGCCACTTATGTGGCAAGCGCTGCAGCTGCGTTCCGATATCAAGAGCGGATTTTTGTCGGACCCAGAAATCATCGTGGACAGGCTGATTGCCCTCGACCAAGACATCGAAAAACAGGCCGCCCAACTTCCACCTTCCTGGAAATACCGCATCTTCCAAGTAAAACAGCACCACCCGGCCGTCTTCGATGGCATTTGCCACCTCCACACCTCCTTCCACCACGCCAACGTCTGGAGTCGCATTCTCACGGTCCGTATCCTCCTCCTCGAAACGGTCATCTCCGAAATCTCCCGCGACCTCACCAGCTTCTCACCAACCCTCGAGTCCACCCGTTACCTCGACGAGCACCGTAAAGCGCGCCGAAAACTCAGATGCCTAATTCGCGACGTCACCGCCAGCGTCCCCCAACAGCTCGGGCTCATGAACCCGGCCGACGGCAGCATCGGCAACGGCGACGACGATGACGCGGCGCCCATCGCGACCGTCGAGATCCGCGAGACGCCCTCGCCACCGACGTCGCCCTCCGCCCGGTCCTCCGACTCGGCGAGTAGCGTCTACAGCCCGCTGTCAGCGACTGGCGGACCGCGCCCCGCCTACCCCTCGGGCTTGACCATGCTAGACGTCACCGGGGGCCGCGATGCCGAAGAAGAAGCCGAGCGGTACATGCTCCTGGTCTCGGCCACCAGCACCCTTGTGTGGCCGCTGTTCGTCGTGGGCATGTCGACTGCTTGCACCCCCGAGATGCGCGCCTACGTCGTCGGCCGTCTGCGCACGCTATACATGGAGACGGGAATCCGGCAGGCGGATGCCGTGGCGAATTTGCTCGAAGAACATGAGATGGCGGTCGGGGCCGAGATCGGGGCAGGAATAGGGGCCGGCGTGGGACCGGAGACGGGGGCGGAGTGGTTGGATATGGAGCTGAGGGAGCCCGGTCAGGAGGGGGTGGCGGGGCCCGGGATGATGGGGGAGGAGTATGGACTCGGGCTGATGCCGTTGACGAGTCCTGGGGTGATGAAGCCCCAATTCGATATGGTTTGGGGGTGACAGAAGAGCAACATGGGATTGGATGGATGGAAGGCGTCTCGGACTCGAGACGAATGCGTGGACTTGAAACGCTGGAAACGGAAATCGAAGGCACCAGCGATACCAGGGAGGGTTTGCATAATTAGCGTGTACCATTTTTGAATATCTCGTATATACCACTCAGCTGCTTTATCGCAGCGATGATAAATCTCAGTCCGAACAACTCCGAAGCCCACTTTTTTCCCGCCCAAACGCCATGCATGCAATGCCGAACCCTCACAAATTACTGTCCCCAACCCTCCTCACAAATCACCCCGGCCCCTCACTCGCAACCAAAAATCACAAACCCTCGTCACAAATCACCTAGGCTTCCTCACCAAGAATCGAAATTCCCAAACCCTCCCGTCTTCACCTTCTTCCTCACCGGCTCCTCCCACGTCTCCACCACCTCACCCCCACCACCACCACCACCACCACCCTCCCCCTCCTCCTCCCCGTGCTGCTGCTGCTGCTGCTGCTGCGCAACAACGCCCTTCAAATACCGCCCCACCCCGCTCGTCCGCTCATCCTCCTCCACCCCGCCATCAGCCCGAATCCTCTTGCCCGTCCACGTCGTGCGATCGTCCTCGGTGCCACCCTGCCGCCTCACCTCTTCTTTGCTCTTGACCTCGGCCTCGCGCCGGCTCTTTTCCTTCAAGAACTCGTCGAACGGATCGATCAGCACGACGACGTCGTCGATGCGCAGGTCCTCGAGCGGGCGGTTGGAGCCGTCGTCCGCGACGGGGACGCGCTCCATGGCGTCGAGGGTGGCGTTTGTGGTGGTGGCAGCGTCGACGACACGCCCGAAGACGGTGTGCTTGCGGTCGAGGTGCTTGGCCGGGCGGTAGGTGATGAAGAATTGGGAGGAATTCGTGTTGCGCCCCTTGTTGGCCATGCTCACCACGCCGCGCGCGTCGTGCACATAGGGCCCTTCGAGCTCGTCCGCGAAGGTCTTGCCCCAGATGCTCTGGCCGCCGCGGCCGGTGCCGGTCGGGTCGCCGCCTTGGATCATGAAGTTGCGGATATTGCGGTGGAAGGCCACGCCGCGGTAGTAGCCGCGCTGGGCGAGCCGGAGGAAGTTCCAGACGGCCTTGGGGGCGGTGTCGGTGTGGAGTTCGAGGGTGAGCGGGCCGAGGTTGGTGTCCAGTCGCGCGTAGCCTTTGTGTTTGATTCGTCGCGGGTGCAGCATCCATTCCTCGTCGGAGAGGAGGGCGCGCTCGTTGGAGGTGGAGGGGGTTAGCCCGGTGGAGGTGAAGGAGGCGGCGGCGAGGCCGGTGGTGTAGGCTGCGGCATTGGGGGCCAGTTTCTTTTCCAAGATGGACGGGGCACGGGAGGTCGGGGTGGAAGCTTTGGAGGTAGCGCTGAGGGCTTTGGTGGTGCGGTTTACGTCGCCGCCGGTTGCGCGGGCCTGGCGGGCGCGCTCGACGGCTTCTTTGGCGCGGAGCACTTTGTCGCCTATCCGGCCGAGCGCGTCGATGTTGATGCCGCTCTGCTCGCGTTGGTCCGCCTGCTCTTTGGTGAGGAGCGCTTCTTGCCCCTCCTGAAGGTACTTGAACTGGCTCAGGTCGCGGCTGGCAGCGTTCTGTGGGTCCTGTAGCGTGATGATATCCTTGCGGCTGAACTCGACGTCGTCAAGCAGATCCCGCCACGACTTGGCCTTGATGTTCATGCGCTCGACCGTCTCCCAGGCGAAGACATTGGCGTAGGTGCCGTGCCTGATAGCCACGATATGCGTGTTGTCGGTGAGCACCTTGAAGGTAACCGGATCAATAAAGTCGCCCTTGCCATCTGATGGCGCGCCATTGCGATCGTCCTTCTCGGTCGTGTCGGCGTTGCGCGAGAAGTTGAGGCGGATCAGGTCCTTGGCGGCGAGTGGTTCGCCAGTGACCGGATTGGTCTTGTTCTTTTCCAGCCACGCGCCGATGACCTCGACGTCAAAAATGGTGCCATTCGGGGTGCAGACGGGGTTCCTGAAAGGCTGAAGGCTCGCGGCGCAGAAGTTGAAGGGCAGTCGCTTGAAGCTCGCGTGAGTTGCGCCTTCGCCACGTTGACGAGCATTCGAACCGACACTAGCGCTGTACGCATCCGAGGATGACCACTCGGAGTGGGTAATGTATAGCTTGTCGGTGCCCTTCCCCATGTTTGCGGTGCCAATCGTAAGGTTGGGGGAGGAAAGATGAAGGATGTCGTGAAGCAAACAAATGACGGGTGCTGATGGTGGATGCACCATTGCACTGGGTTCCTTATCTTATCGGCTGGACCCCTGGTGGCACCGATTCCCGCGCGGTTGCAGCGTGGCTAACCAGCAGGGGCCCCACAGTTCTCTCTCAGGCCAGTTTCGAACAGTCCGGCCAGGCACGCAAGCGCTGTGGATCCTGGTCGTCGCAGGTCCAGGTTGGAGATGCAAGCTTGCGCAACATCCACAATCCACCCTATCCGAGACCTCGAACACCAGTCCGAAGACGAGGCTCAGGGCTTCTTCCATCCCAACCACAACCCCGGTCGCTAATACAGAAGCTTCCTGTATCGAGGCAGAGACCCCTTTCAAACGAATCAATGACGAATCCCATGATTGGATCTCGTTATTAACACCCAATCCCTGGACACTTCGCTCCATCCCATCCCATCCCTGATCGAGCCCGAAGCATCGATACATACGGAGTACGGAGTACTAAACGGAGCCCGCGGAACTCTACACACACCCGACAATGAGGCGCTGGGCGACTTCTATTCTTTTGCTGCTGCTGTCAGTATGGACAGCGGCGGCATTGGAGATCAAGCTAGTAAGCATCGCCATCGTGCCGAATTCCACCCCTCCCCCTGCCAGGCTAACACCACGCGCAATAGGACCAGAACGAGAATCAACGATGCGCCGGTTTGTCCCCTCCGACTCCGAACCCATTGCGCCTCCGAGCTTGTCTGATGGTGAAAAGGCATGTATAGCAAGAACGCGTGGGGCGGCCCCGTCGACCCCTACATCCACGTGAAGTTCACGGGCGTCGGCAAGGACGAAGGCAAGGACCCCGTAGTGAGCCTGCTCATCTTCGACTGGATGGATCAGGAGTACCTCGACGTGCTACCGGGAAGCACGGACAAGGCGGCCATCTGCCAACAGGAGTACGTCGATGCCGGGTACTGCAATACAACCGACATTGGCAGGTTCCTCGTCTCGCCCAACGCTACCGAGAAGTCGGTCAACGTTATTTTGACCCAGGCAATGCACCTCAAGAAGTCGGCTCCCATCAAGTATCCCATCTCCAAGACGGGCTACTTCTGCGTCGTTACCGAGAAGTTTGACGCAACCAGCTACGAGGCCATCGTCGAGTTCCGCAACGCCTTCGGCGAGCTTCCGGCCACCCAGATCCCGAAACTGCCGTTCTACGGCGGGATTACCATCGCATATGCGCTGGTGCTGGTGTATGTACAGCCGACGTCGAGGGATGAATTGGGCTAACGATCGCAGATTCTGGGGTTTCTTGTACTTCCAGCATCGTTCCGACATATGTAAGTCATGATGGGCGTACTATCACTGTGTTTCGCACTGACTAACGTTATCTGCAGTGGCCGTCCAAAACTACATCACGGCGATCCTCATCTTCTTGGTTGTGGAGATGCTTATGACCTGGGGCTTCTATGGTATGTCTTCTAGCTATCTCGCCCGAGCAACCACTGACCAACCCCAGACTACCTGAACAGAAACGGGTCGAATGTCGGCTCGCAGGTCCTTCTCGTGGTCGTCGCGGTCCTCAACGCCGCCCGCAACTCCTTCTCCTTCTTCCTCCTCCTTATCGTCTGCATGGGCTACGGCGTGGTCAAACACACGCTCGGCCGCACCATGATCTACGTCCGGTGGCTCGCCATCGGCCACTTCGTCTTCGGCATCGTATACGCCATCACCAGTTTGGTTGTCAACCCGGACACGGCGGGTCCCTTCGTGCTTCTCATCGTCCTTCCTCTCGCCGGCACGCTCACGGCCTTCTACGTCTGGACGCTCAACTCGCTCAACTGGACGCTTAAGGACCTTCGCGAGCGCAAGCAGCACGTCAAGGAGACCATGTACCGCAAGCTGTGGTGGTGCATCCTCGTCTCCATCATGGTCATCTTCGCCTTCTTCTTCTTCAACTCCTTCTCCTTCGCCTCGGCCCGCGACCCGGACTACGTCCCCTTCCACTGGAAGACGCGCTGGTTCGTGCTCGACGGCTGGCTCAACATCGTCTACTTTGCCGACGTCGCCTTCATCGCCTACGTCTGGCGCCCGACCGCGAACAACCGGCGCTTCGCCATGAGCGACGAGATCGCGCAGGAGGACGACGGCACCTTTGAGATTGCCAACCTGGACATCGGAAACCCGGATGAGTCGGACGACGACGAGGAGGCTAGGATCGAGGGCGCGAAGCCGGGCCAGAACGGTCAGACCCAGGCGACCGGGAGCGGGCCACAACCTTCTCAGGTACAGCGCTCGCAGTCGTCTGCGGCCGGCGCGGCGACGGCGAGGAAACCGTCGCCGCCCATGCCGAGGGAGTCGCTGGATGGCGAGACCATCTTTGCCGTGGGCGAGGACGGGAAGTTCTCGGACGACGACGATGACGACGACGAGGAGGACGACGAGGAAGAGGAGGAGAGTAGTGAGGAGGAGTCTGGGCGGCTGGTTAGGACGAGGAAGTAGAGGGGGAGAGGACTGTTTCTTACGCACTATTCAAGGTTCACCTAGATTTCCACCAAAACGGGTACTTGTGAGATGGATGGTCGAGCTGTACTATAGCGATGACTGGCGTTGTTGGGTGGGATTATTGGTATCTACTAGTATTGCATCGTTATTTCAGCGGGATTTTGGTCATATAACGATTGAAGGAGCCACCGTCCTTGGGACCATCCTGTACCGTGCACGCAGTAATCGAAGCAGTTCCAAGCCTATTTTATTGTTCACACCTTTGAGTTCCAGATGTCGTTTAATCGTACAAGCCGAGGTAACCAGCTGAGATTTCCAACCCACGGAGGATAATCAAGCACCGTTGAACCATCCTACACACCAACCCCACGAACCAACATCAACACCGACCCATCTTACACTCCCACCACAGCATCACACCACCCCAACCAACCCTACGCGGCAACATCCCCCCCAAACCCAACTGGCCTCCGCCGCCCCTCATTCTCCGGCAAGATCGCCAGCGCCTTATACAACTTCCCCATCCCATTCGGCCCGCGATCCACCAACCTCGCCCACGCCTTGCGCACATCCTCCGCCGCCTTAACCCCCCCTCTCCCTTCCCCTTCCCCAGCCTTCCCCTCCCCACCTCCCTCCTCCACAGCCTTCACCAACATCTCCACCCTCTCCCTAATCCCCATACACTCCAAAAAATCACCCTGCCCCACCGGGCCGTGCACCTCCACCCCGCCACTCGCGCGCGTCGCCGCCTCCGCCAGCGCCGCGAAATCCACGTCCGCGCTGAGGTCGGTCAGCCCGGGCTCCGCGAAGGGGCTGACGCGCCGGTGGCGGCGGATGCCGCGCAGCGAGTTGGTCGGGATGGAGCCGTCGCCGGGGCCGTAGTCTAGGATGAGGGCGGCGCCGCTGGGACGGGGTTTGGGGTGGGTGGGGGAACCGCCGATGCGGGTGGCGAAATCGGTGGCGTAGAGGGAGGCGTCGGGGCAGATTTCGATGAGGGCGGTTGTGTGGGTGGGGGTTTTGAGGGCGCGGTAGCGCGGGGAGGATTCGGGGAGGTAGAGCGCGTGGCGGGTCGGGGCTTGCGCGCGGGTGAGTTGGAAGTCGGGGGGCGGGGTGTCGCGGGATTGGGAGGGGGGCGTGTTGAGCGTGGTGTGGGTTGAGCCTGGGGGGGTGGGGGAGACGAGGAGCTCGCGCCATTGGAGGGTGGGGTGGGAGGTTTTGGTGGAGGGGGAGGAGGCGTCGGTGGGGGAGGGGGTGGTGGTTTGGGAGGGGGGGACTGAGATTAGTTCGAAGGCGTGGATGGGGAGGGCGTCGAAGAATTCGTGGGCCATTATGAAGGGCATCTTTTCGGGAGCTACCGTGGGGCGGTGGGTTAGTGAGGGGGGGAGATGGGTAATGGGAGTGGTGAGACGTACTGATGGGGATGGATTTGATAGTCTCGGTCCAGACGATAGGCAGGGCGTTGTATTTGCACACGCTGTGGTAGCCCACCTTGGACTCGGTCATGGGAGCGTCCTCGCCGCAGAGGAGGTTCTTCTGGGCTACTCTCAGCTCTGGGCTAGCCTCGACCATGTATATGGCGTCAATGCTGTTGGCCATGGCCGGGAACCGCTGAATGGTCTGTGACGGATCAGCCATGCCCAAGGGGGGTTATCAAGCTCCGTGGCTTACCCGTAGCATGTCGTCCATCAGCGTGCCACGGCCGGGGCCGACCTCGATCAACTCGACACCCTTCCCTGGGCGGCCCTGGGCCATCCACTCAGTCACATACCAAATGCCGCAGAGCTCGCCAAAGACCTGGGAGATCTCAGGGGAGGTGACAAAATCGCCCTTCAGACCGAACTGGTCGCGGCCCTCCTCGATGGCCCCGGTGTAATAGCCGCCGATATCAGCAGTCAAGCACATGCGCATGTAACTGGCGAGTGGTACAGGGCCGGTTGCCTAGACAGTTGATGTGAGTGACTAGTATTGGGAGAGCATCTTAAATAGTCTATCTTCAGAGTACACATACCTCAATGGCTTCCCCCAACTGCTTGGCCAGGGGAGTCGACCACTTCCTTTCTTCGTTGAGCCCATCATACAGCTGTTCGGGACTCTTATTCTCTAGCTTTGTGGGTGTTGAAGAAAAGCGGCGTGATGCGCCCAAGCTCAGGCTTGACCAGTGTTGTGTTGAGTTTCGAAGTGAGTTGAGTGTGAGAGCACTCTTTCTGGGATGCAGAGCGCTGTAGCGCGCGTTCCTCAGCGCCCTCAACGCTGCGGGTCTCATGCTGTCCAATTCAAGCAGCCGATATCACGCTTGCATGATTTGGGACTGGGGGAGGTTGTTTTTCTGTTTATATATCCTGCAGAGGGGAAGCTCAAGCTTAACCTCGAGCTCCTGGTGTGTTGCACCCCCAAAAGTTCTTATCGATTGAGCTCTCCGGTCGGATGGTGGTAATATCGACCCTAACCCTGTGCCGTCCCTGATTCCCTCCTTGAGTGATGTCAGTGCTCAAAGCCACAGCGACAAGCTCGTGCCACATGTCAATTGCGATAGAGTTGAGCTAACTTGGGAAATTCAAGATGCTGCAACCACTTTTCAGTCAACCACTTTTAATAAACAACCTCAACAATGGCTCGATTAATAACCGGCGTAACGCCAACGCCCATTCCTCGACGGGCTGACCCACTAACCGACCTCACCCTGCTGCTGAGCCGTTTGCAGCGCACCATTCTCCACGCCGACGCCGAGCGCGAAGCACGACTACGCGAGAGCGACTTTGAGAGGGATAAGGCCCATGCAGTAGGCATTAAATTCTTATTTTATTTGGAGATATGCTCGACGAGTATGCTGATGGGTTCAGAACATTCGCTATGCGCGATCGCTCCTCACAAAACTCGAGCAGGAAGCCCTGACCATCAAGATCCATTCCCGTCGACAGGAAGCCCAGGTCGATCTGGTACAAAAACGGGAGGTCCTCGAACAGTTATCAGAACGTCTCAGCGATCTAGCCGAGTTTGCAGCCGCGAGGAATACCAGCCATGGCAACGACGACGACGATACGTCCGACGGGGAAGACATTCTGGCCGACATCATCGTGACACCAAGCGAGAGCATGGAATCCACGAGGTCGCTTGACATGCTGCCGGAAGAGCCAGAAGAGCCATTAGATCAGATACCAGCCTCTCTAGAACAACCACAACACCCTCCGCAGCAGTCCACAGAGCAAACAAACGCAGCCCGTCAACCCGAACACCCCCCAGCCTCGAGCGCACCACAACCAACCACCACCACCACCACCACCCAAACCCTCCGCCCGCGCCACCCCGACCCAACCCCCTCCCCCTCCTCCTCTTCAAACCCCCCACCCCAAGCCTCCACCACCTCCGCCCTCTTCCACAACCACCAACCCACCACCGCCACCACCACAACCGCACCAACAAACACAAACACCACAACCGCCATCTCCACAACCGAAGCCATCCTCGACCACCAGCGCAGCGAGCAAGACGCCCTCTCCTCGTCCATCCTCAAGCTCGCCTCGGATCTCAAAGCCTCGTCCCACGCCTTCAGCGCGTCGCTGGACTCGGACCGCGAGGTCGTCGACCGCGCGGGCCAGGGCATGAGCCGCACGGGCCAGAACATGGAGGGCGTGACACGCACCATGGGCGCGCTGCAGCGCATGACTGAGGGGGAGGGCTGGTGGGGGAGGGTGAGGTTGTATGGGATCGTGTATGGGTTGATGGTGGTGTTGGTGCTGGTGGTTTTTGTGTTGCCGAAGTTGAGGTTTTGAGTTTCCTGGGGAGTTGAGGGGGGGGGGGGGGGGTGGAAGGGCGCAGGTGTGGAAGGGTGGAGGTGTGGGAGTTGGGATTGAGTTGGTTTCAAGTTGGGGTTTGGTTGGAATGGGGTTTAAGGGGGGTATTACTACTGTACAGATTAATCGGCACTGCCTTTCTTTTCTTAAGGAGCTGGAGAGGGGGGGTTAGCGTGTATTATGATGGGGTAATGATGATGATATTACTATTTTGATTGCCTATTCGACTACTAGTTGACTATGCCGGAAAAGAAACGATGCGTGTGTAAAAATAGGGGTAAATCATCGAGTGTGGAACTGGGAGCCTTATTCCCTCCGCGGGATGACCGCGATATGCAGGTCTCAAACCGTAGGGCTGTGGGAGCGCCGACGCCGTTCATCTCGTGGACCTTCGTACGGCGAGGGGTCCGTCCCTACAAAACAAACGACATATTTGACAGCCGCTGTGTCTTAGGCGGCTCTCCCTGTCGAGGCATCAAACCCGAATGTGTCAATGAACCCTCAAACCTCGCTCTCCTCTCTGTCGTGTGACGTTGATCGTCCGATGAGCCCTTCAAAGAGCGCAAACTGCGTTGTCTCTTCCAGTAAGACCAACGATAGAAGGCGAGATGGCACCAGTAAGCAAGCCGAAAGTGGGTGCCGTCCTTGATGAAAAGTCGGGAGTGCGTTGATCCTGGGCTCCGTGTTGAGGTCGAGGCGAGTATGCTAGGGGGATGAAGAATGGTGATTGGCGATGAGGGTTGGGAGCGCTCGAAGATGTGCCAATAGTTGGCGAAGCCATGGGAATGGCGCCGCCGTTGCCGTTTGCGTTTGCGACTGCACTGGGTTGAGTAGGAGTTGCGGTATTCACGTTCTTGTCAACTACGACACCGCTGGGAGTCTCAGTCGGGTCATGCTCTGCCGGGACATGCTCTACCGGGACATGCTCTATCGGGACCCAGCCAACTGGCTTACCACCAGTCTGTATACATGTCAGTCTACTTAGCTCTGCTTCCCCCTAGAGGTTGACTCACCGGCGGCTGATACTGGAAGACGCGCTTGTCTGTGGTCCCCTCCTTGACGAGACGCTGTGCCCAGGCGATGCCCGTCTTGACCCGGAAGAAGGACTGAAATAAAGCGAACTCGCGCGCAAACATGCCCGGGGCGTGGCTCGGACGGTGGATCTTGGCCTGCGTGTCGCCTTTCTTCTTGTAGTACTTGGCCACGAACCAGTAGAGGCGCGGTTTGTCGTTGTTGGATTCGAACATCTACGGAGTCAGAGGACTGTCACCAGTCTGGGTTGAGAATGGCACACGGGGCTATGTGTGTCCTGTGTCGAAATGGATATACCGGGGACGGGTTGTTGGGAGGGACAGATGATGTAGGGTCAGGCCCTTATGAAATCCGAAAAAGGGGTAAAAGGGGTAAGATGGGATGAACACCCCCGAGCCAAAACAACAAATCGAAATGTTGCTCACCGAAAGAATGTACCGCTCCCCCTGGATTCCAGCCTCCTCATTGTCTCGAGTCATCACCACCTCGTACTGAAAGAACGTATGGTCGCGGTAAAGATGGTAGAGATCTAGATAGTCAGCCAAACTACAGGAAGAAACTCGAGACAACACGTACTCGGATTAACCTCCTTCACGGCCTTCTCCAGCCCCTTGATAACCATCAACCGCTTCCGCTCCCGCTCTCTCTCCCTCTTCAGCGCCCGCAGATGCGAGTACAGCTCCTCATCCAGCCGCTTCCCCTTCAGCATCGAGTCCTCCAGCCAGTCCAGCGTGACAATGTGACACGTCTTGGGGCATTTAAGAGCCGCCTTCACTATCCAGAAGTACCGCGTTAGCCACTCCTGCCCCAAAGAAAAGGACCCCAGCAGCAGGTAAAAGACAAAAAAACAAAATATACGCACCCAACCGCCCCCTCCGCCGAAACTCCTCCCCCGTGCAAACCACATGCGTCACTTCCGCGTCCCCGCCCGCACCCGTTCCCTCCCCGTTCCCCACCCCGATGATCTTTCCCGCCCCCATACTCACACTCGCACCCGCACCCGCACCCGCACCATCCCTGACAAACCGGCCCTCGCGCAGCCCGACCCAGCGCGCGATGTTGGTGTCGGTCCACTGGGCGCTGCCGCCGAGGTTGCCGACCGCGGCGATGGTCAGGCCGCGGAAGATGGGCTTCTCCTTGCGGCTGCGCATTGTGAGGGTGATGATTGTGTGTCTCTGTCTGTATGATGTGTGTATTTGGTTGTGCGGGTTAGGTTTGGGTGTTGAAGGAAGGTATGGGTTGATGGGAGAAACTGGGATGGGGAGGGGATAGGATGGCCCCGAGGTTTGCTGAGGATGTAGGTGGCAGTCGGAAGAAGAAGAAACTGTTCAAGAGGGGGTTTTCGAAGTTTGGGTTTTAAAGGATGCTGGGCCGGCTCGGGGAGTGTACGTCGTAAAAAAGAACTTCTCGCGGAGAACTGGGGGTGGGAATGGTTGACAGAAAGGATATGTCCCAGGGTTGGAGCAAAAACGCAGACTAGTGGGGAGAGAATTTACTGAGGGGACTAATGGCAGAGAAAGTAAGGAGGATACGGTGGTAGGTGAGATGAGTGAGATGCGTTGCTGAAATGGAGAATGGGCAATGGAGTGAAAAGGAATCAACCCTGCGGGAAGCGTCCTCTCGGTAAACGAGTCTCATGTATGGGTGAGGATAGCCGGAGAGTTCAGAGAAACATGAAAGCGCTGCTCCTGCCTGTTAGTAAGTTTCACTCGAATCGAACCACTTCCCGAAATCACGTAGAAGGAAATGCTGGTCTAAATGGAGGGGAGCTATCTGAGCGGAGAAACCTGATGTGCGGTTGTCTCTACCCACGAAGGCCAGAACCAGGTTGGTGTAAGTGAGTCTGGTTGATCATGGCATCGACATCCAAGAAGGTAGGAGTCTTGTGAGATAGAAGCCGGTGAAACATAATGGACACCCAGTCGGACGCCCTACAAACAACCCGCCAGCACACATTAAGCCCATCCAGGAGAGTAGAAGTCGGACCCAACCGAGGTGACAACACCCCTATTCCCACACCCAGTCACACACAATAGTGCTAGGGAAACGAACCGTCAATTCAAAAACTATCTTCTATAACAAACCGAGCATCGACAACTACCGAATAGCCTTCGCAGCCTGCACAAACCCCCTAATCTTCTCCAGACTCTGCTTGCCATCCACCTCCACCCCGCTGCTAACATCCACACCCAGCACCCTCTCCGCAAGCGGCCCCAGCGCCGCCACCGCCGCGACCACATTCTCCGGCCCCAACCCACCCGCCAACAGCACCAACAACTGCGGATCCCTCTCCAGCGCCACCTTCACCGCCTCAATATCCAGCATCTTCCCCGACCCGGCGCCGGAATCCAGCAGCGGCACGGCATGGTATCCGCGCACACCCAAGCCGACCTGACCGGGCTTGAACTTGCGGACGACCGGCACGGGGATCAGGCTGGCCCACTCGAGGGGCTCGTCGCCGTGCAGCTGGACGACGTCGAGGCTGTACAGCCGCTGCTTCTCGAGCACGTCGGCCAGGGGCTGGTTCATGAAGACGCCGACGAGCAGCGGGCCTTGCTTGCGCAGGACTTCGCTGGTGAGGGTGAAGAAGTCGGTTGCGGTCTGGGGGACTTGGACGGGCTCTGATGCGGCGGCGGCGGTGTTCTTTCTGCTGCTGCTGTGGACGGCCTCGGAGATGGCGAGGGCTGTCTCGTGCGAGACGCAGCGCTTTGTGCCCGGGACGAGGATCATGCCGACGAGGTCGGCGCCCGTGTTGATGGCCTCGGTGGCGGCCTCGGCGCTTCGTGTTCCGCAGATTTTGACGAGCAGGGGGTTGGTGATGGATTTGGGGGCGGGTGCTTCGGGGCCGGCGCAGAGTTCACGGATGAATTTGGATGCGTCGGGGGCGCGCATGATGGCTTCGCCGACGAGCACGCCGTTGACCCCGTCCCGCTTGCAGTCGAGGACGTCCTGGTGAGAGTTGATGCCGCTGAGCGCGCACAGGAAGGTGTCCTTGGGCACCATGCTCCGCAGCCGGCCGGTTGTGCCCAGGTCAACTTCGAAGTTCTCTAGGTTGCGGTTGTTGACGCCAATCACCTTGGACCCGAGCTTGATGGCGACGGCCATCTCCTCGGTGTTCTGCACCTCGACCAGCGGCTCCATGCCCAGAGAGAGCGAGTACTTGTAGAGCCGTTCCAAGAGGTCAAAATCTAGCATCTTCACAATCAGAAGCACGGTATCGGCGCCCGCGAGCCTCGCCTCGAGGATCTGGTACTCCTCGAAAATGAACTCCTTCCGGAGTACCGCCGGCCGGTTGGGCATAGCGTTGAGAACTTGGCGCACAGCCCGGAGGTCCTCGATGCTTCCCTTGAACCACTCCGGCTCGGTGAGGACCGAGATGACGCTGGCACCTGCAAGTGCATACTTGCGGGCCTGGCTGGGCGCGTCGATGTCAAGCGCAAAGATGCCCTTGGAAGGCGACCCTCGCTTGATTTCGGCTGCGAGGGCGACGTCGAATGGGGAGTTGCGCAAGCGATCGACGAGCGAGATCTGGGGTGGTGCGAGGTTCAAGTCGTAGGCGGCTTGCAAATCGGAGGGCCGTTGAGAAGGGATCTGCTTTTGGGCGGCAACGGCGGCTTTCCGGTGAGCGTAGATCTTCTGGAGGATGTTGTTCTTGGGCGGGGCCGTCTTCCCCTCGCTCTTTGGTACGACCACGGCATTCTTGCTCTCCTTAGTGGCCTTCTGCAGGCGCTCGTTCTCGGCCCAGGTCCCTCCCTGCATGTGAAGGAAGTTCTTGAGCATGATGCGTCCGTCGGCAGATAGAATGCTCTCGGGGTGGAACTGCACACCCTCGATGGTGTACTCCTTGTGACGAACACCCATGATGACACCCTTGGAACCATCCTCGTTGGCAATCCAGGAGGTGAGCTCGAGTGATTCGGGCAGGGTAACGTGGGTGCCAGCGAGCGAGTGGTAACGGGTGACGGGCAAACCCTGGGCCATACCAGCATAGACACCCTTGGAGTCGTGGGCCAGTGGTGATGTCTTGCCGTGAAGAATCTCACCAGCAAAGCTCACATCGCCGCCATACACATCAAAAATGCATTGCCTACACAGAGGATATGAGTCAGGGATCGGAACCAAGACTGTAAGATCTGTTGCACTTACTGCCCCATGCATACCCCGAAAATAGGGATCTTGCCGGCAAAGTGCCTGATGGCATCACGACTGACACCCGAATCGGTGTGTGGGTGCCCTGGCCCGGGGCTGATCACCAACTGGGTAGGGTTCTTCGCAATGAGTTCATCGATCGAGATCTTGTCATTTCTGAATACCGTCACATTGGCACCCTCGAGTACCAAATATTGGTAGACATTCCAGGTGAAGGAGTCATAGTTGTCGATCAAGATGAGGTTGGTAGCTGTTGGGACTAAGGGCGAAGGATCGGGATGGTGGGGTGAGTAATCGGTGATATCCGGGGTGGCAGGCATTTTTTGGGTTGGTGTTGAGGGGTTGAGGGGTTGAATTGGTTGTTGGTTTTCTGTCACCGAATTCGGAGCGAGGGGAAGTTGTGAGATGGCGATGAAACTTAAAAAAAAAAGCTTATTCGCCTTTCTCTTTTGGCGACGCTGCACGATGGAATAGTTTGTGTCTTTTTTTACAAGAGCTGGATGTCCGTGAGTCACGTCCAAATTGTTGGAGGACTTGGAGGACAGGGAGTGTGTAAGAAGAGCGGATCGTGAAAGTAACCAACTCTTATAATGTAAGGCACAGTGCAGTTCATTGATCGGGCTAACAGATCGGATAAGCTGATGGAGGGGTTGCAAAAAGAGTCAGCGGAGGCCAAATCCTTGCGCTGCAGCTGACTGAGAGTACAGCGTCAAGTGGCGCTAACTCACTAACGAGCAGCAAGCGCGCCTTGCGCACCATGCAGGTCGGGACTATGCGGACAGTGCAGGGTACTTCGCAGATAGTTCTGGGGCTGCAGCTCTTATCGATAACAAAGGCAGGTGGGTCTTGGAGCTGAAAAATAGTAGGGTGGGCGAGTGCGACCGCCTGGGCAACCGCCTGGCAGAGAGCTTCCAGGTTGGGACGGACCCGCGTCGGCAGAGCGCGTCCCTCAGAACAGAGGTCCCATGCTAGATTCGCAATTCCAGATTCACTTGCAGCTCCCGAGCTCTGCCACCACCACTTGCTCCCCCACCACCTAGACGGAGCCCAGGCTGTCGCATTTAATATTCCAGCACCGGCCGACCCTGGCCCGGATGGAGACCATTCCCAATGGCTACCTTGACCGATAGAACCTATTTTCCGCCGCTTGAAGAATGTCTAAGCGGCAAGAAAATAATCCTGTATGTTGCGCCGTCTTCGAACAGTTCCCCCCGGCCCCTCCCCAACATATGCATTCTAACTCTGTTTACTTTCCCATAGCTCCTGGAGACTTGTCGCTGCTGCCCTCGAAGATCTGTCATGCGACCGACTCACTAGCGCCGCCGTGTCGGCCTTCCTCCGAGATGGTTACGTTCACCAGTTGCTTAGGGAGCCCACCAAGACCTTCGCCCCGCCCACGAACCAGACCAAGCTCGATTTTGAGACCAAGACCGGGGCCATCAACGTTGTGCCCTCGCCGAATGACCCCTACAACCTCGATACCATCAAGGGCGATGCGCAATGGCTGAGCAAGAACATCAAGACCAACGAGGTGGCCGCCCTCCGCGTTGTGCTTATAGAATACCAGTCGCGCGCTCACAGCCATCTCACCGGTCCGCTATCTACACAAGATGTCGCCAACATCCAAGAAGCTGCCGGGGTTGGGGACGCGCAGGCCTCGGCCATCCTGGCCTCACTGAACGCGACAACAGTCGCCGATGCTGAATCAACCTGGGCCGACTTCGAAAGCGAGACAACCCGCCGCCAGCGACTACTGTCCACCTACCTCTCCGAGCGGCGCTCCTTCCTGGGGGCCGTCGATGCGCTCCTCTCGTTTCTTTTACACTCTTGTTCGCCGGACGCCGGCTCGGAACTGAAGCCCTTGCGGGACGCCGTGTTGCAGGAGGCGTTTGGCTTTGACGACAACGCGACGAAGCCCGACATGTCCCGTCTTGACGCCCTCGCGCCGACATACATCCGCACGCTCGATGGCTGCTTCGTCCGGATCCACGCGCCACCGGAATCCCTCGACCTTCAAATCCTAACGGCGCAGTTGGAGGTCGACTGGGTCAGGACCGCACTCACCGAGGCCATCCACGCCATGTCATTGATCTTCCAGATTTTGGACCTTAAAGCCTCGCATTTTGCAACACCCGAGATTGTAACCCAGTGGTTTGAGCTCATGGACGCGTGTGAATTCTTTGCTCCCGTTGCGGGGGGCCATGAGCTTGTTGCTGAGCTGGTCATGCCGCTGCACAGTCTGATCAGTGCCATCTCGTTGAAGGTGCTCAACATCGACCGGACGCTTTTATACCTAGACCAGGACGTTGATCTCCTGGAGGACGAGGAGCCTTACCTGGCTTCGTCCGACGCCCTCACCAAGATACACACCACGGTGGCGGCTGCTGCCAATGCCGGCTTAGCCACAACAATGCCGCTTGTATTCGCCTGGTCCCTCATTCTACACCAGATGCATATAGGCTACCAAGAGCGAGCCGAGCGGCGCGATCTACTACAAAATCAACGGGCCCAGGCCGGCTTCGAGCTGGAATATGAGCCATCTGGGACCTCTGGGCGTCAGCGGAGGAACTCGGCTGGAAGTATTGTCTCCATCGAGGCGTCGTCGTATGATGTCTTCCTTGCCTCCCAGCAGCTCGAGCGCAACATCGAGCCGGCAGAAAATATGGCCAGGATGGCCACTTCACAAGGCCAACTCTACGGGCTCCTGGCTGAAATGGCGGTATGCTTGGGAAGCGGCCAAGGTGCCGCATTCCGGCCGGTGCTAGGCGCCCGCGCCCGCTTGGTTTTCCAGGACCTCCTCAAGCGGAGTGCCCATTACGTTGGGTATCAGTCGGAACCCGTCGAGTGCCTCCTCTCCATTCTCTCAGGAGGCAGCCAATATTGGGATATCACTCCGAAAATCCCTTCCAACGAGAAGGCTTCGCTCGACATCTACACCCGCATGCTAAATGACGATATCCTGAGCGCGCAATATACCTCCCAATCTCAGAGCCGCTTCCCCTACGAATTCCTCCCGTTCTCCTCTATCTGCCGCATCCTATCGGCAGCCCTGATAACGGACAACGACAACGCCGAACTCATCACTAATTTGCTCATCAAAACCCCGAGCCTGACTGTTGACTGGGACCCGCGGTGGGACAGGTCGTACGAGCTGGTCTTCGAGGAGGAGAACACAAACTCGTTCCGCTTGACCAAAGACATCGACCTCTTCGACGCAACGCCAAAGTCCAACAGGCGAATCTCGCCCGAGGAGAGGTCCACGATGCCCTCCGGGACATACGGCCGCTTCGTCACCGACGTTGGGAGGGTTGCCAAGCTGGAATTCGAACACTGCACGCTGGCTCTCTTCGGGAAACGTCTCGAGGTGAACCTCATGGCAGGGGCCTACGACACCGGGCTGGGATACCTGACGGTGGATGAACTTATCGAGGGAATATCGCTGTTAGCAACAGTGCTGCGCGCTGAGGCCCTCAAATCCTCGAAGACGGACGCCGACCGAGGCTTGAGGATCTTGACCGAGGCTAGCCGCTTGCTTCCGCAGGGCAAGGACATCTTGAGCATCATCTGCGATACACTCGATAGTCTGGTGGAGGAGGATCTCGCGGATCTAGATGGCCCCAAGATCGCTGCCCTGTCAGCTTGCCTTCAGTTTTTGTATGCGGCACTCCCGGTATGCCCGGGCCGGGTTTGGGCCTACATGGCACGCTGTGCGCTCATCAACAGCGACACCCGGTCGGGCCGCCTGTCGAGAATCACAGCAAACCTCGACATGTTCGCCGAGAGGTACGACCTGCTTTTGTCTGCCGTGAAGCTCTTCTCTAGCCTCGTGGAGAGCGCCATGACAAGCGCCGTCCAAAGGAGACCGGGGATCAGTGTCAACAGCCGCACTAAAGGAGAAGAGAATCCCTGGATTGGGGCTTCTGACAAGATCGTGTCTCGGGTATCTCTCTCCATTGCCCAAACAGGCATCGACGTCTTCGAGAACTCGGCCACGTGGAGGTTCCCCTCTGAGGTCGACCGTAGCGTCTTGGTCCGGGACGTGGTAGGCATCATGCAAAAGCTGGTGACCTATGCACATAGCGTAGGGCCGCGCGATGCTCCCAAGAGCTTGACAGGGTGCCTTGCGCCTGCGGCCGGGTACATTGTTGAGAGCTTCCTTTCCACTTCGTCGAGCTCGCTGCGCTTCCAACCCCTTCTCGCAACTCTGCTAGCTGCCTTCCAGATTCCGGACACGACGCTCTACCAGCGGCGCGCTCAGGTTGTGTCGGAGAGACTTACGACAGTGCTGGGGTTTGCTACCACACTGTTGCGGGTTGCCGACTACCTGAACCAAGCATCAGCCAACATCCAGACACAACTCTTCAAGTCTGCGTGTGTTGTTGCGCGGCTCCCGGCCATCAGGCATTCCTTCCGGATGCCAGCAATCGCCCTCCTGAGCGCGCTGGTGGAAAGCGCGGGGAAGAGCAGCGGCGAGCCCCCGTCTCTCCTTGGGTACCTGGGCCCACAAGTGTCTCGTTCCTTCATCCAGATTGCCGGGCAGCTGGACAAGCCGTTCGACAGAACGCCCGAAGTGGCGAGCACTTGGAAATTCTTCTCAACCATTCTCCGGAACAGGCAGCAATGGATGGCCAACTGCTTGCTCACGGGCAAGACGCCGCGGGAAGCTCTCAAGGGCGAAGCCAAGATTGCCCAGCTCACCGCGGGCTCCGTGTTGTCAACAGCGTTGGAGAAGCTGCGTTCCATCAGAAACACCCCGAGCCAAGAAACCCTCGCCATACTCGACTTCTTCACGTCAGCCCAAAACTACTGGCCATGGACCATCTTTGCCATGCAGAGGGATAAAACGTTCCTGCAGGAACTTCGGGCCTATGTCCGCGACCTCAAGTCCCCCGCGGCGGTGGCCAAAACCGACCCGGCCGAGGCGTGCTACCAGGCGAGGATAGCAGCCTACATCGCCGAGACGTTTGCTATGCAGCTGTACCACCTGCGCCAGATGCGTCGGGAGCAGGACTTTGCCGCCGAGGTGGTGAACGACTTGGACTATTTCCTCCGGGACGGTGTCGCCGTGTCGGACTACAACTCGTCGCTCCATGCCAACTTCGCCAAGAACTTCGCCCAGAGGTATACCGGGTGCTCTATCGATGACTTCAAAAGGACTCTGCTAGTACCGCGGGATCTGGGTTCCCAGTACTTCTACGCGCTGGACGTGGCTGAATCCATGCTTGGTCACGACGCTGGCTGGGCTGGGTCACGCCACAACGGCTTTCGGCGAGAGATGGAGGCGGCGAACCTCAACCTCTCCTTGGTGGAGGCTGAAGTTGTGAGTTAATCCATGCAGTGTCTACAATGGGAAGAAGTATTTGCTAACTGGACTAGTCGTTATTCCATGCTTGGGAGTACCTGCTCCTGGAGCTCAGCACTTGCCTACTGCCCAAGTACGGGACCGCCAGGCAGATGTTGCAGGTTTCCGAGCAGTGCTTCGAGGCGAATCAACGGCCGCAGCCACCAGAGAACATCTTCGTCGTCCTCGCCCACTCGCGAGCAAACCTTGCCTTGACACTGCTGCAACGGCTCGCGGACTGCTCGCTCCTCCCCAAGGACATCGGCCAGCTCCTCTCGCTCGTCTCCGCCACCATCAACGGCGTCGAGTACCCGTGGAGCAAAGGCCAGATCTCCTACTTCCGCACCCTCCTCAAGACCCTATTCGTCGTCCTCCGCGGGACCAAGCATTCCAACAACGCCGTCCCTCAAAAACCCGGCCCCGAAAGCTCCGTCGCCGTCACCCAGCTAGTCCTCACCACGCTGGACCGCGTCGTCGCCCGCTCCTTCCGCAACCTCGCAGCGCTCGTCCACGAGCCGGACGCAGCCACCACCCCCGAGGACCTCGCGCTCATCACCGCCATCCTGCAAGCCTGCCTCAGCGTCCCCGGCATCGAGCAGTGCCAACTCCAAGTCCTCAACATCATGTCCTCGCACGACATCCTCCAGGTCGCCACCTCGCTCTTCTCCTGGTCCGACCGCCTCGCCGACAAAGGCGACCCCATCTACGGCGAACTCGCCCTGCTCCTCCTCCTCGAACTCTCCGCCCTGCCGGCCCTCGCCGAACAACTGGCCTGCGACGGCCTCCTCGGCCACCTGACATCCGCCAAGCTCGCCGGCTTCATGCGGCGCGCCAACGTCTCCCCGCTCGCGGACAACCCGGGCGCCGCGCGCTGCTACGCCGTCTGGGCCAAGGGCGTCCTGCCCCTCTTGCTCAACATCCTCGGCGCCCTCGGCCCCACCATCGCCCCCGAGGTCGCCTACGTGCTCAACCAGTTCCCCAACCTGCTGCGCGCGTCGGTCGCCCGCCTCGAGGCGCCCGGCCTCAGCCGCACCGTCCCCGTCGGGGGCGGTACGCGCGACGCGCCGCCGTTCGTGGTTGCGTTGGTGGCTGTCTCCGAGGTGCACTCGCTCGCGCTGTTGACGCGGGTGCTGGCGGCGCTAAGGGCGGCGAATGCGAGGGATATTCCCGAGGTGGTGTGGGATGCGGGCGCGGTGCTGGAGAATGTGGAGTTTTGGCTGGCCAGTCGCAAGGTGTTGAGGGAGCGGCTGCTGCCGCTGGGGCCGAGGGAGGCGGAGTGGCGGGCTGTGGCGGCGGGGGAGGGGAGTGGGTGTGAGAATCGGCTGGAGGAGAAGGCGGTTGGGTTGTTGGAGGGGGTGAGGGATGTGTTGGCGGAGGAGGGGGAGTGGGAGTAAGTAAGGGGGGTTATTGTGTGGGGGTGTGATGCGAGGTAGGGTAGTGGGGGGTGTGGTGTGGGTTAGTAGTAGTGGTGGTTTTTTCTTTCCTTTTTCTTGTCTTGTCTGGTTATTGGCGATAAAACGAGTTTATGGTTTGGCGGTCTTGGATGCTGTCACCTGCCTTGTCTGGTGGGGTGTGAGTTGAGTCTTGATTAGAATGTGTGTGTGTGTGTGTTTTCTCATGCCTGTCCGTTGATCTGCGAACCTGTAAAAACAATAACAGAGCTACGGTCGGCAAATCCCATAAACCCCATAGTGGTACACAGATAGCTCCCCGCCCAACCCGATCTATCCATCCATATCCCTCCTAACCAAATCCCGCTCGACTTCCCCCTTGTCATGCGTCCCGATGATAATGTACAGTCCAGTCCTCATATCCCGAGGATACCTGTGTCGGCATATTCGTTGAGTAGAGAGAGAAAGCGCCCTCCTCCCACCCCCCTATCTCATATCCCTTTTTTCCCCTACCAGCCCTTACCGCTTCTGCATGTCGGCGGTCATGGCGGCGTTGAGCTCGGCGAAGCGCTCGCCCAGGCGGGTCTGGGTGGTCATGGACTTGGTCACGCACCGGCTGATGCAGCCCGACTCGCGCCCAGAGAGGGCCTTGGAGGTGAAGTCGTCGACGCAGGCGTTGAAGCAGTTGTCGACCAGGTTGCCGAAGACCTAGTGTGTGGTGTTGGTTAGTTGGGTTGTGGTACTGGGGAGGGGGGACGGTTTGGGGTTGGGGGTTTAGGTTTGGCGTCTAGGGAAGGCCGGGGATAGATAGAGGTGACAATGAGATGAAACCGAGGACGTACGTTCATGAACTCCTTGACTTGGCGCTTCTGCAGGCGGGACTCGAGCTCGCGCTGCTCTGATGCTGAGAGTCTGGGCGTTTGACATGATATGTTAGCATTGGCAATGATTGCCGTGAGGTTCGTTCGGGTTGTGTGGTGCCTACCCTGTGTCCATGATGTTGGTTATTTGTGATGGGTATGGGTGGTTGATAGGTGGTGGTGTGAGGTTTCGGCAAAGGGATTCTCAATGAACTGTTCGGCGGCTTGAAGGTGGTTCCAAGTTCCAGATCCAGTTGCTTGCAGCTATCGCGATAACAAAATTCCTTTGCTTGGCTTGGCTCAACAGGACCTGGTCCGTGCTCGACCGAAGCTTGGCCGAGCAACATGGCACACAACGTCTGCCAAGGCGGCTTTCTTGGACGGCATCATCTCTTGGCCTCTGCTTGTTCCTGGATTTGGACCTGGTGTGCCTGCCGAGCCTGCATCGTCAAGACGAGACGACCGAGACGGCTTAAATTCCTCTAAGCCAAACTCGTTTTTCTTTGTTTCCTGCTTTTTTCTTTACTTTTTCTCGTGGAGCTCTTCTTTCCGGTTTACCATCTCGCAGTGCAAACTGCAACTGTGCCAAGTGTGAGTTTCCTCACCTCGAGAGCTTCCTGGTGTTGCAAAAAGCTCATTTCTTCATTGACTTTGACTTCATGTCCCCAGTCACGAGTGACCCGAGAGGTACATAGAGAATGCGAAACAGGGGAGTCAATCTGAAGACTCAAGATTGCGCATAGCTAAGTATACTATATCAACATTGTGACCGATGATGAATCGAAAAATCACAGAAGAACAAGCATTGGCCGCCCAGATTCAACTCTCGATTGGTGCGACTAACTCGTAGCAGGGGAGTGTGGAACAAGTCAACGGCCACCTCTCGTCTCTGAGGCCAGTTCATCCACAGCAACACCTCGCAAAAGATACCTTGACCCGCCTGGTCCGATCTCTCCGTTGAATCCCTAATTAGCCTGCTCCCGACGAAACAATGCATTCAAGGCACACTAGCCCGATTTGCGGGCGGCAGTGTCTTCCCGAAGCGATGTAACCTCCCCCAGATCTTGATGGACGAATCTTCTAAATCGACGGTGTCCTCTGCATAAATCGACGGTATCTAACCTAGTCCGGCTAGCCGCGCCGAGACCAGAACAAAATTTTGCAGCAAAGCCATCTAGTCGAGCACCCAGCTACTGCAAGTCCACATTGCAAGATGGATCAATTGAATTGCATAGAGATATAGTCGAATCGTTTCAAAAATGGGGTAGAATCAATGCTAATTGAATCCCTCGAGCTTGGGTTAACGTATGAGGTTCTGAAAGTTAAGGATCTAGGGTTAGGGTTGAATGATGAAGAGAAAGGAGGTCTTTTAATAGTAGGGTTAGGGTTAAATACTTGAATCTCTTGGTTATATAGATTTTGTAAATAAGGAGCTGTTTTAATTATTCTTGTAAATACCTTCGAGATACTGCTTCCTAGACTATCTGAGGGACTTTGCTATACTTGATTTTTACTGATCTTGTCTGTTGTTGACTTGCATCCTGAGTTCCGGAACTTCGCTGCAAAATTTTGTTGCGGGCTTGGCACGGCTAGCCGGATTAGGCTAGATACCGTCGATTTATGGAGAGGACACCGTCGATTTAGAAGGTTCGTTGATGGAAGTGTAACCGGCTAAATGAGGCATTGGTGGCGTTTTGGCTGGCTGGGAAGCTTGAAAGTCATCAACCTCTCCCATCTTCACGAGAGCCTTTCCAGCTCAGCAGCGACTTGGACACCATCTTGGAAGGTAAAACCGACGTCTGACGGTCAACAACGGCAGCTACCCCTTCTTTGGCGAACGAGAGGCTTGTTTGAGTCGATCACGGCCTGGCAACCGCAGCAGACGACCGGAGGGTTCACCCGGTCGCGCAACCACACAGCCGGCGCAAAAGGGGCCGAGAGGGGTGTTCCTCTCCCACTTCACAAACATGGACTCGAGGAAACGGGAGGCGGACGAGGAGGAGCAGACCTTCTTACCTAAATCCGGATCCAATGAAGATACCACGACCGGCTTCTCGACCGTGTGCCTGAAATGCGACGGCAGCACCCCCCGGAAACGGGGCGTGGTTTGGTATTCGAGGTTGATCTTGGAGATTGCCATGGCGGCCACAATAATCTATCTGCTCGTCGCCAAACCCCTGATTGTCTCCCGCGAGACTCTCCGGCGGACACCGGTGCCTAATTGTAGGTTAGCAATCGTTAGGCTTCCCGTTGCAGCTGCTAATTGCCGTCCAGTACCACGGAAGATTTACACCTTCCAGGACAACCCCAAATACCTCCGCGGTGACATGTGGTTCAACGAGACGTTGACCCTCCACACTCTCCACAACTGGATCGAGTTGAGCTCAGGTACGTAGCGATGCCGTACCATCTAGGGAAGGGGGCAGCTAATGAGCAGTATAGAAAGCCGAGGCTATGTCGTCGTCGACGATGCCAGCCGCTACGACCTCCCGGAGCCGTACACGGTAGCGATAGACCGGCACAACGACGGGCCGGGGTACATGATGACCGTCTTTCACCAGCTACACTGTCTCTCTTACATCGCCGAGCACTACCAGCAGGGGTACGCCGGTGTCAACCTGACCGAGGAGGTCGCCCACCACACGAGCCACTGCTTCAACTACATCCGCCAGGGCATCACGTGCTCCGCCGACACCACGTTGGAGGGCAAGACGGATGCCGGGCCGGGCGAGGGCTCGGAGCACGAGTGCGTCGATTACGACGCGCTGCTGGATTGGGCCAACTCGAACTCGGCCATGAAATGGCGGAATGCTCTGCTGCCGGAAACGTCCATCCTTTGATGTGTATATTTATTTTTAGGGAATGTTAAGGAACGATATTTGACAGCTTCTTTTTTGGGACACGACATGCATCTCGTCCTTGGGCGGGCCGGGGATAAGCGGACGGTCATTGGGTGGTCGGGCAATGAGTCAACTGGCAAGCGGAGGGCGTGCCGCAAGGCCGAATTCTTTCTTAACCACGACAAGTAGAGTATATCCCAACGGAAGACTTATTTCACCCCGAACCTCAACACAACCCCCTTTTACCCCCGACAACAACAGCAACGGCAACAACAAAACACACACAGCCACAATGCCCCCACCTCAACCACCCCAAGACCAACCCCCCACCCTCGAGCACGACCCCTCCCTCGAAGCCTTCAACATCCCCGTGCAGGACTGGCTAGCAGCCAACCCCGAGCACCAACTAATCGTGTCCGCCATCGTCTCCCTCCCCTCTTCTTTCCCCTCCTTCAACCCCAACCAACCACGCCCCCAACCCCCCCAAGAAGACGACGAAAAAGAAGAACGCACGCTCCTCCTCCAGCGCGCCCCCACCGACCAAGACCCCCTAACCTGGGAGCACCCCGGCGGCGGCTGCAACCCGCACGAGACCCTCCTCCAGGCGGTAGCGCGCGAGCTGGCCGAGGAAACGGGCTTGGTGGCGCGCCGTGTGGCTGGGTTGGTTACGACGCTGGATATTCCCGAGCCTGGGTTTGATGAGGTGAAGAGAGGGAGGGGGGTGAGGGGGTGGTGGAGGTTGTTTTGTTTTTTGGTTGAAATTCAGGTTGAGGTTGAGGGGGAGGTTGAGGGGGGGGTTGAGAATGGAGGGGAGGGTGAGGGTGATGGGGGTGGTGATGGGGTGGGGGGGTTGTTGCCGCTGCCGGTGGTGAGGTTGGATCCGGAGGAGCATTGTGCGTATGTGTGGGCGACGGAGGGGGAGGTGAGGAGGGGGGAGTGTGGTGGGGTAGAGATGCGGTGGGATGGGGAGGGGAATATGAGGAAGGGGGTGATTTTGAGGGGGTTTGAGGTGCTGAGGGAGAGGAGGGCGCTGGCCCGGGGGAGAGGGGTTATGGGCGGGGTGTGATGATGGGAAGGGAGAATGGGGGTTGCGGGGGGTGTGCTTGGGAAGTGATGGAAGCATTTCAGAATATGGTGGTTTGTCAATTTCAAAAAAAGACATGTCAAGAACCAATGTTGTGCCCGGAGTAACTTCAAATCTATCCAACAAACAATTACTGGACATAGCAGTCCTCCAGAATCAAGGATCCAATACCTCTACTACCCTAGCTACAAGTCATCTCCAGCAGCTCGTCCTATACACAAAAGCGATATATATACACAAGAATCGCGTCCATCTCTCATCCCGCGCCTCAAACCTTAGATCACACGGGTGTACCGGTAGGGCTTGGCCGTAAAGCCGCCGCTCGTCCAGCCAACGTTGCGCTTGTATTCGACGCAACCGTAGGTGCCGCGGCACTCGAGCGTGTTGTAAGCCTTGTGGGCGTCGTCCGCCCACGAGAGGAAGAGGGTGACGTGGCCGGCGGCACCGGCGGTGCCCTCGCCCAGGGTGCCGACAAAGTCGCCGGGCGTGAGGTCGGCCCACTCGATGGCCTTGGCGATCTCCGGCAGGCTGACGGTGTTGTAGCCGGGGGCGTTGGCGTGCAGGGCCATGGACACGAAGCCCGAGCAGTCGGTGCGGTACATGCGCCCCTGCTGGTCCGGGTACGTCTTGGTCATGGAGTAGGGCACCCCGAGCGAGACCCAGTACCGCCCGCGCTCGATGATCTCGGTGCGGTTGATGGGGCCGTTGTACTGCGAGCCGCCGTCGCCGCCCTCGATCGGGCACTCCTCGGTCACCAGGTCGTTGGAGCCCGTCTTGACGTAGTAGTCCGAGACGTAGCAGCCGTCGCTGGTCTTGTCCCAGATGGAGTTGCCGAAGATGCTCTGGCCGTAGGTCTGGCAGGTGATGTTGACGTCGGTGTTGATCTTGTACGTCTTGACCGACTCGAAGCTCGTGTCGGGGCCGCTGCGGCAGTTGACGTCGTCGGCGGTGATGGGGTAGGCGGCGACGGTGGAGATGGCCGCAGCCAGGGTCAGGACCAGGCTGCTGAGCTGCATGATGACGTCTGGAAATTAAGCCGTGAGTTGTTGAGGTGGTGAGGTAATTGTGGTGGTGATGTGGATGAGTCGAGATCTGAGAAACGACCCCGATGTCTTTATATGTACTCACGATCGCACAATTACCAATTCTACGATGCGAATGCTTACTTTGTCCTGTCCGTCTGCAACCTCACAATCTCCCCCATCCAAGCTACATTATGTCTCCATGCGATGGACATCTCGGCCCCACCGAGTGTTGACGATCGCCGAGGTAAAAACTCCAGCAGGCAAGATCCGTTGGGGGGAGTCTCTAACCGCCAAGTCCTAAAAGTAGAGACGGCGAGGACGGGTGCATTCCGCCGCTTACTTGGCGATGTCCCTACTCCAGGGTTCAAAGCCCAGACCTTCCAGCGCTCGGTGATGGAGAAGGTTAGGGATGCTTCCATGGGACCATCTGTGTGTTGACAATGCCAGATCGGTGCACCCTGAAGCGAGAGAATGTAACCATTCCAAGCTGCCCCTGACCACCGCCCGAAATAGAAGCCGAAAGTGGATTGTCAACGCCCAGATATACTTCGTAAGACGGGCTAACTCGACCCTTCCTGACTTTCCAGTTTCCACTCCAAGCAGCCCTAGCGTTGCGTTTTTGGGACAAGGGTTTTTTTGACGCACTCCTTCACAGCCCCAGACCCGCTCTAAAAACAAACGTCCTTCCAATTCAATGCGAGATCTGCACCAGAATGCGTTGTTTCGTTGCTGAATGCGGGATGGGCCGACGTTTTGGGTTGCAAGTGATCAGTGACAAGATCTATCTTTATCAACAAAAGTGCTTTGCAACGAACTTGGCTTCGAAATGATGTCAGTGCAAAGAGAGAAACCACTCGAGTCTCATCCGGTGTTTCCGGTTCGCAAATGCCCAATGTTATGTACCTATCCGTCGTGTTCAGCTCCTCTCATGGGTCCTCTCACACGACCTCGGGGGGAGCAATCCCTCTTCCTCCCGCTCTAATGTGTGTGCCTGGTTTCAGGGTGTGATATTGTCTTTGAAAACAAAATAATTAAAATGGGTTTTGGTTTGAAAAGTTGATGTGACGGACTCGGACTTGCAACAGACTTGCAATAAACCCAGACGAACACTCTCGCCCAGATCCGGGGGACGGTGGCATTCAAGGCCCGAGCTCCCGTTTCCTTGCGCTCACCTACTTATGATTACTTTATAAATAAGGAAATACTTGTATTACAGGCTATCGGACTAGGTTTTATATACTTGGAATAGCAAAAGTTGGTGCTTGGTGCTTGGGTGCTCTTGATCATATACTGCTTGCATCTAAACACTTTCTCACAGTTAAATGGTTGTTAGACCGACTACAATCAGATAGATAGCCATCCATCCCCCACCCCTCCCGTGTTGTTGTCTAGGATTTTACTCGAATCGAATCTTCCTCTCGTGTTGGTGAAGCTTCTCTTATAAATATCTCCACGCAAGCCGTCAAACGTCCCCGCAGTATTATCCTCGTAGAGACAACGAAAACCCTCGTCGGGCTTGTGCAACACGCATGCCAACGTACCCATCATCAACAACAACACCATGATGCCGTCCACTTACTTAGCCGGTGCCATTCATGAAGACAAGAGGCTACTTTTCAAATTGAAGAAAAGGAACCCGCCGCTCCCGAGTAGTCGGTCGAGACGGACAGTGCACAGCAAGTCCGAAAAGAAAAGAGTTACGTTTGCACCTATGTAAAGATATAGCCGCGAGAGTATCAACTCATATGTTTTCGGATCTCTGCCCTCGATGCGGCCCAATCGGGTGACCACCTTTTGAGTTCATCACCAGGTCTAAGAAGCCAAGACGGATGTAGAAAGAAGTCATCAATATGGATTCGAGGTGGCCGAATATAAATTGAGAAAGAAGTGAGGCGAGAAAGGTGGTTCAGTACTGTTGAAGTTGCAAAAGGTACGCACTCCTCCGAGCAAGGGACGACGCGTGTATGATTTGGCTGCACCCCGCAATCTGGCTGCGGCTCCCCATACCAAGACAAGTTAATATGTTGATAAATCCCGGCCGGAGTTCCAGGTCAGTCTCCTTGTCAGTCCCAGGTAACCGGCCAATTACCCGATTCGTGCGCATAGCTTCGTCCCAGGCAAGGTGTAACTCTGGAACAGAAAACAACACCCAAACTGCTTGGATAAACTTCAACTCTCGTCTACTTACTTGCCAGGCCGTGGAGGGGACGCCAGAACACGCATCGTCGGCATCTACTAGCCCCCTCGGCACTTATAGGGAGCGGAAATGCATCAAGGGATAACGACAGTGACAGACGAAAACATGATGGTACTGGACTCGATGAAAAGAGAATGCCTCACGAGAACACATGACGGCAATATACCAATCGCCAAGCACCTGGTGATTGGGGATGGGAGGGAATAAAAGTATATATTCTCCCCATCATCTCGCTGTCTGGCCATCTCTCCTGTTGGTCAGCGCCAGCCTCCCTCGACACGAGCAAATTCAGATCCCTCACGCCCCGATACTCTCCAGACATGGCTCATCGCCGCCTTCTCGGGCCGCTGGCCCTCCTCGCCGTTGCGCTGCTCCTGATCCTCCCCGCGGCGTCCGCAGCCTCGGCCGGATGCGGCAAGTCCCCGGTTATCACCGCCGGAAGCAAGACCATGACGGTCAACGGCAAGAACCGGCGCTGGATGATCCGGCTGCCCCAAGGGTACGACCAGAACCGCCCGTACAAGCTGATCTTCGGCATCCACTGGCGCGACGCCGACTTCATGGCGGTCGACGGCGGCACGGCGCCGTACTACGGTCTGCAGCGGCTGGCCAACAACTCGGCAATCTTCGTGTCACCGGACGGGCTGAACAAGGGCTGGGCGAACCAGGGCGGCGAGGACGTCACCTTCATCGAAGAGATCTATAAGACGGTCAGCGACGGGCTCTGTGTCGATGAGAAGCAGGTCTTTTCGACCGGCTTTAGCTACGGCGGCGCCATGTCGTACGCGCTCGCTTGCGCCAAGCCCAACATATTCCGCGCCATCGGCGTGCTCTCGGGCGCTCAGCTGAGCGGTTGTGCTGGCGGGAACACACCAGTGGTAAGACCCCTCCCCCCTTTGCCCCATTTCCCTCTACATTTCCCCTAGGACACCAGACGGTGAGAGTACAAGACTAACTCAACATCAACCAGGCCTACTACGGCCAGCACGGCGTGCGCGACGGGGTGCTGCCCATCTCAATGGGCAAGCAGCTGCGCGACAACTTTGTGCGGGTCAACGGCTGCAATTCGGGCCAGCAGGCGGCGGAGCCCGGGCGCGGCAGCCGGCAGCACATCAAGACGGTCTACCAGGGCTGCGAATACCCCGTCGTCTTCGTCGCCTTCGACGAAGACCACGTCGCCCTACCCCAGGACTCGGGCGGCGACGGCGGGCCCAACAGCTGGACTATCCCCGAGCTGTGGGATTTCTTCTCGCAGTTTTCTTCTTGAGGGGGGCTTAGTTGCCCTTGGAAATTGGACGAGGAAATATCTTTAGCCCTTTGGGATTTTCGGGGATATTTGTTGACTTTGAATTTTCGAAACTCATTCGAAAGACCGTTGACTCTGTGCGTGCGCTTCTCTCCGCCCTGTACCAATGGAACCTGAGGCAAGCTCGAAAGGTCGAGACAAAGAACAAGTGCCTGCCCGTGCGCTGCAAGTTGAACCGTCTGGGCAGGCGGCAACAGCGCTTGGGAGCCACGGAGCCTGCCCTTTTCCCTGTTCTTCTTGCAAAGGGGGAAGGAATGACGTGAGCGGCTGTCACGTGACAGCATAACTTTGGATTCTTTGCAACGTCAATTTCCCCGCTGTGGAGCTTGATGGTTCCCCTCCTCGCCCTCCCTCGCAAAGCTTGGCGCAGATTCAAGAACACCTAACATAACGGTCGCTAAACGGGAAGAGTGATCCTACCACAATATCCTACCACAGTAGATGTGAGAGCCATAACTCAGAATCCACGATTTGCAGGGAGGATCCAATCCCGCAGTACTATCTTCAAGAGGGTCTGTGGCCTGCTGGCCAAGGTTGAAACGTGAGACCGATGACGGAACCGCACCACTCCAAGTTACGAGGTTACCTATCCAAGGTATCCTCAACTGCGGACCCGGATCACCGTCCGGGGATGTTCATCTGAGAGCTGCCCGATCGTCAGTTGAACAAGCACACAAAAAGTATCAAATCAGGCCTCGGGATCATTGCCGAGATCAGGGTTGAACCAAATATCCAATACAGTGTGCACACGTTAAGTTAGGAGTCTTTCAAGCACGCCCTTTGGATGGACTCTCGCTCCTATCTCTCCACGTCTTCTCTCCATTCTGAGGCAAAATTGTAGATTGGTCAAGATTAGCTTCTTTTTCTCCAGCTCACGCTCCCCTCCCCCCGTCCTCCACACCAAAATAGTCATCCCCCACAATGCAAGGGCCTGAATAATGAACCCGAGTTCAGTCCGTGTGAATATCAATACATACGGTACTACACCGTGAGGGCTGTCGCGGATACCCCTGTCGACGTTGCCCCAAGTCCCCCAGTCCCGTCTTTTGAAAAGCGAGCCCGCTTGTCCCTCCTCCCTGCCGTCACACGCTGGGCGGGCTTTCGTTTAATCAAAACTGCAATCACTAAGCACGACGCGGTCTCGTCAGAGGAAACACCGACAAGAGAGCGCGCGCTGTTACCAGAGCGCCAGGTTTATCGAGTCGGCTCTCGAGTCGCTACATAGCGAGCATCTCGGCGGGTTCCATCACCCAACCCCCCGCCCCGATCCCCGATCGACCAAGGCGCGCCCGCAGCCGAGAAACGGGTCTCGGCCAGGCGCTGCATCGCGTCGCAGAACGATAATCATCGCCCGCCTGCACACACAGCGCATATCTTCCAGGGGATCCCCACGTGCTGTTCCCCTGTCTACGCCTCGTCCCCTCTTCGCATTCCGCATTCCGCATTCGTTCATGCATCTCGATCCGACCTAGAATCTCCGAACCTGGCCACGAAGCACAACAGCAGTAGCAGCAGCAGCAGCAGCAGCAGCAGCAACAGACTGCCCAGCGCCCGGTGGCATCCGATCAGCCGCCCACCGCCGCGCAGTCGCAACCATGACTTCCGGGGTACAGCCAGTAACACCCCAGCAGCCTGTCTCGCAACACCAGCAGCAGCAACTACAACAACTACAACAACTACAACAACTACAACAACAGCAACAACAGCGAGCGAACGCCCCGAATACCCCTAGCACCCCGGTTGCTTCCCCGATACACTCCGCCGTCTCCCCGCCCAACAAGCGCGATTTGAAGTCATGGTGGAAAGGCTTCAAGCTTCCCTCGAAGCATCACGAGTCACACGGTACAACCGCCCCATCTACTATACCTTTCCCAAGATCACAGCCCCAAAGGAAAGCTACTATATTTGCCGAGGACATGGAAGGCGACCTTAAGCACCTCCCATCCGCTGTATCTCTACTTCGGAGCATCGTCTTCAAGGAAGAAGAGTGCGCCGTTCATCAAGCAAGTGCGAGCATGAACCGGCACCCGCCAACCGGAAGACCACCCAGGTCGAGGGCGCCCAAGTTGCGCGCCCTCTCCCGTATCATGGCCTGCCGATTTGGGGGCCACTCCCGTGCCGTGCGCCGCAAGTCTTTTCCGGCTAGACCTAAACTAATTGTCGCAGACCAACGCACGCACGGTATCTTTGGTGTCCCTCTACGCCAGAGCATCACCTACGCCAATGTCGCCATCTCGCTCGTCGACGAGGATGGCAAGAGCTACATCTACGGCTACGTCCCGATCGTCGTCGCGAAATGTGGCGTGTTTTTGAAAGAGAGGGGTGCGTATACTTTGCATTGCCCTGCCCCTGTTTCGTGCCCCGGCCCCGGATGCATGCTAACCCACTACAAGCGACCGAAATTGAGGGGATCTTCCGCCTGAACGGTTCTGAGAAGCGGATCAAAGAGCTTAAGACCATTTTTGACTCGCCGGACAGGTACGGCAAGGGGCTGGTCTGGGACGGTTACACGGTTCACGATGCCGCCAACGTCCTGCGCCGCTACCTCAACGACCTTCCCGAGCCGGTCGTCCCCCTAGATCTCTACGAAAAGTTCCGGGAGCCGCTGAGCGGAGCGACGAGACCAGGGGCTGGCGACGCTGAAGGGCCCCAGTTCGTCGAGCATTTCGAGATGGACGCCGCCATCATCAGGTACCAGCAGCTCATCACCGAGTTACCGCCGCTGAACCGCCAACTTCTGCTGTACATTCTAGACTTGCTCGCCGTATTTGCGGCCAAGTCGGACCAGAATCGCATGACGTCACAGAACCTCGCCGCCATCTTCCAGCCCGGCATGTTATCCCATCCGAACCACGCCATGGCGCCAGAGGAGTACCGGCTGAATCAATGCGTCATCATCTTCCTGATCGAGAACCAGGATCACTTTCTCATCGGGATGCAAGGCACAGCGGCGGACGAGAAAACCGTTGAAGAGGTCCAGAAAGGCACGCCGGTGCTCAAACCGCCATCGACGCCCGTTTCAAAGCCGAGCATCGTACGGTCTACGTCTAGCGCGAGCGCTGGGGCCGAGAGCGTTGCCAAGGATGGCTCGATTCGAAGAAATAAGTCGACTTCGTCAAGACGGTCATTCCACTCCAACGGTTGCCCCAGCCCTGCCAGCCCGGCATTGACCGCTACCCCAACAGGGGGAGGTCTGGCTCGGAGCAACACTCTGCCCTCCAAGAAATCGCCAGCTCTGCAGGCGGGGAGGTTTGCCTCTCGGAACGACTCCCATGTTGCACCCATGACCCCCGTTGCACAGCCGGCGGGCACAGTGGTATCGCCACCTGCTGTTGTGGAGGAAATAGTGGTTCTTCGGGAAGGGGCGGCGCCATCCAGCTCGCAGCCCGGCTTGACTATCCCCGGTGCTAAGAGCCGGGAGAGGCTCCTTGAACCTCTTACCCCTGAGGCCACGACCCCGTCCAAAGACAAGAAACGGCCCATCCTGTTCCAGAGGATAGCATCGAGCGAGAGCGACGGACGCCAGCCGAACAAACTGAGGAAGAAGAGGTTACCGGGCAGCGCAAACCCTAGCGCCCATAGTTCGACGGCCTCGCTTCCCCATTCAACCTCGGTTTCTCCCAACACCGAAGCGGTGAGCCCTCTGGAGGTAATCCCGTCCGTTCCCCGGGCCGCAGGCGCCGGGGAACCCGTGGAGACCCAACAGCCCGAAACTTCCTCGGAACTAACACCAAGACCCTCGCACGCTGTGCCCGTCAACGCTCGGAGGGATCATCCGGGACACACCGAGCCGAGCAGTGCCGTTACGCATTCCGATCCTAGCAGTACTACTACGAGTGGCAATCACACCGATGCCTTGCATTCTGGCCATGCCCACGCCGACACGCTCCATCCCAATAGCGCTCAAGCGCCGTTGAAATCCAGGAAATCTCCTCCGACCTCACTACATAGCTCTTTTAACGAAGGGTCGGATCTCGACCAGGTCGATGAGCTGGCAACGGCCCCTGCCGAGGTACCCATCCCCGACACGCCTAGCGAGAAGGAGAAGAAGAAGCGATGGCGTTTGTCGCGCAAGAAGGAGGATGCGTCACCACCCTCTTTCCCCTCCTTCGCCTCTCCGCGCCCTGTGATGGGGTCGAATGCGACAGCGGGCGCCAGCGGCACGTCTATCAGCAGCGGCGGGAAGCTCGGGCAGAGCTTGATGGACAAGAGCATGACGGACATGTCGGACCGCACCACGATCAATGAGGCGCCGCTGGTCGAAGTGTCGAGCAAGGAGAGCAGAGACGACTCGCACAAGATCTCAAACTGGATCAAGAACAAGTACCGCGAGCACAAGGAGAACGTCGAGCACCGGCGGAACAAGTCCCCCCCTGCCGGGGAACGGACTGTCTCGATTGGGTCCAGTTTGATGTCGTCGCGGGGGAAGAGCCTGGACCTGAAGCGCGCCGAGGAGGAGAAGCCGCCGGTACCGCAGCCTGTACAAGCTGCGCCGCCCCAGTCTGCACCACTCCAGCCCTCGCAGCTTCAGAACGTGCTTCCCCAGCCTCAGCCCCAGACCCAACTCCCGATCCATACTCGGGTTCAGTCCCAGGTCCAGCCGCCGGTCCAACCTCAAGTCGAGTCTCAGATTCAACCCCAGGCCCAACCCCAAGTCCCGCCTCAGATCCAGCCTCAGGATGCGTCTCCGATCCAACCCGATGTCCAACATCAGGTCAGACCCCAGGCCCAAGTCCAGACCGCGCAGCCCGAGGCCCAGCCTCCGACGCAGGCTCAGCTCGAACCCAAGAACGAAGCCGAGGACCAACCCAAGGACCACGCCCAAGATCAACACCATGACCAGTCTCAACACCAATTTGAAGTTCAGCCTCAGGCCCAGACTCCGGCGCCGGCGCAACCCCAAGAACCAAAGGCGCAATGATACCCATCGCGGCCTTTGCACGGAGACGGCCCACGCTATTATGATTGTTTTCAGAACATGCACCTTCCTTTTCACTTGAAGATACTGGAGAGGGGCGACGAGAAGTAGAGATTTAGCGCGCCAGCCAGCCAGCCAGCCAGCCGGCTTTGTGGAGTGTGGTTTTGTCAAGCGCGCGCGAGAGAGAGAGAGGGGATGGAAGGAGATGGTTGCTCTAGTTGTCCGGCTGAAGCGGATACCCACCAGATTCTTTTTTTGGTTTTTTGCTGTTCTTGTCGGTCTGTTGATGTTTATATGATTCGGGCGGGCGGCGGGGTGGGGGGGTTGGACTGATCAAAAGATGATTCCCCATTGTTTGGTTGTGTTTTTGTTGCTGGGAGGTTTTCGAATGGATGGAGGGGAGGGTAACTACTGTTGTGTAGTGTTTTATAAGAAGAAGAAGGAGGGGATGTCTCGTGTCGGTTCTATTCTACTCGATTAATCTTCTCCCGGCTTCGGGGCGACTGACTATGGTTGATGTTCGCCTTGGCCTCGACTAATCACTAACAACTCAGTGTTGACACTAACCCACCATACATGCATATATACTAACACTATCCAGAAATCCCAAGGAGTCAGTTCACCAACTTCCTTCCTGGTCGGGGGGGGTTGTATGTATTCCTGGCAACACCAGAAACGGGATAGCGCCCGTCCCCAAGACCGCCGCAAGCCGTCCCCGCGGAACCGACTGACCGGGATGGCCAACGTGTCGGTGCCAACCGCTTTGCCTGTTTCATCTTAGCGGCTGGGGAGAGGGCCCCCTTCCCATGTTCGGTCTGTTGGGGGGGCCACGTTGGTGTTTGTCTGGGGATTTCCCGCTTCCCCAAGTGTGTCGGAGACCGTGGTCGTTCCACTTTCCCCGCAAAGGCGGCAGGGCGGGTGCGGGTCCCTCTGCGGATGGATTTTGAGGGGTCTGGGGGGGTTGAGCCGCTGGGCCTCGGCCTGGACCTGCCACGACCTGGCCCCTGGCAAACCCAGACGGACTCGGTCGTAACTGCTGCTTCTCTCTGAGGAGACTCTGAAATTGGCTTTCCCTTTTCTTTCCTTTTTCTGGTAAATGTTTTGTTACGTGAAAATCAAAGAGTGTATTTGTGTATTTGTTTCATTCCACACTCTCCTCCGGCCCCGCTCCGGCAGTTAGAGCCCGAGTGCGGAGGAAAAGTTTTAAAAGTTCGAATGCCGTGTCTGAAACTTTATTCGCGAAACGCCCCAGCGCCTTCATGATTAACTAATCCCCAAGTCGCCCGACTCGCCTGACTCGCCTGACTCACCTCCAGTTACACTACCTAAACCAGGTCGCGGCAGATGAAAACGGAATGCGAGCATGCCCACCCAACCGCCACACACGACAATGGCCGAATTTCGGCGAGAGGCTTGCGCTTGGCGTTCGGAGACGTTGATGAAGGAGGCACACATTCCAACGCCGAATGTGAGCAAATCCCGGCAAATTCATCACGGCGAACACGGCCAAGCCCGGATCCACCGGCTTCGAATCCCACCCGCTCGACATTCTCGAACCTGTTTTGTCCGCTCGCCCGGGTTATTCAGCCTCTCAGCTCAGGCCAAGAAACAAACACCGAGCTACGGCTCCGCTGGTTGGTGAGTTGAGGACCGCAACCGGGAGATCGCCCGTTCTTTTTTGAACCTCGGACTTTGAGGGTTTGAACATTCACCACGATGCGCCGGGCGATCGGCCGGTGGCGCCAGCCACCCGAAGCCTAATTTGTAATATCCGAACTGCCGACTCAGCAAGCTGCTGTGTAACTCGCCGTGCTGGCAGACAAATCGCCGCCCTGTTGTTCGACACATGGCAGTGGCCACCCCGTGTAACTAGGAGCGAAGAGTGAACGACCTGAGGGCGCAACGGCGGCATGGACTTGTGCTCTTTCTCAACAAGTGGAGATTACTCAGTACGGCATCCACTCGGCGCTGCGAACCTGTGGTCTCCATCGCCCCGCGCATGGATCTGGGATGATGGTGTTGCCTCGAGGTCGCCCCGGCGTGCCTGGCCCCTCCAAGTCCCTGGTCCCTTTTAACCTTAATCTGGAAGGTGGTTGACAAACGCCCCCGATCGCGGGCCCTGGTGCCATTCGAAATGCGGAGGCAACGAGACGCTGATCAATGGGGGACCTGTCGCGCGCGATGCAGTCACCCACGGCGTTACCATTACCAAAATGCATAAAATCCGCATGGCGTGCCACCATCGCGCTGCCGATCTTCGCTCTCTCTTCTGCTCGCCCTCCCGCTTTCGTCCGCCTCTTTACCTGGGGTCCCGTTTTGATACCCATCGGGAAGGGTTATAGTAGCTTCAGATTGAGGTCCGCCGAACCGTAACTGAAACATACTTGTAAAAGATAGCAGTCATGTCTGAACTCAAGCAACGTATGGCCATCTATATTCTGCCGCTCCGGGTACCATGCCCGCGCGGTCCTGCCCTTCGCCTCCAGCCCAGCTCCGTCTTCAAATACATCACTATACCACACGTCGCTACTTAGAGCTGACACTCCCACAGCATCAGACGAGGAGGACGTCAAGAGGTCCGCGGCCGGGACCAGCAAGGCCGCCCATGATGTCGCACCCCCTTACGACTCGGCCTCGACCTCCACGGAGGATGTCGTATGCCCACCCCACACCACAGAGCGCAGAATCACGACGAGGATCGACACATACATCATCCCGTTCGTGTCCATCCTCTACCTCATGGCCTTCCTCGACCGCGTCAACATCGGCAACGCCCGCGCCTTCGGGCTCGAGGACGATCTCCACATGGGCGGCGTCGAGTACAACACGGCCCTTACCATCTTCTTCGTCCCCTACATCATATGCGAGATCCCGTCCAACATCCTGATCAAGTACTTGTCGCCCCGCGTCTGGCTGTCCATCTGCTGCATCGGCTTCGGCGCCGTCACCGTGTTCCAGGGCCTGGTGCAGAACTACGGCGGCCTCCTCACCACCCGCTTCTTCCTCGGCCTCTTCGAGTGCGTCATGTTCCCCGCCTGCTTCTACCTGCTCGGCAGCTGGTACCGCCGCGCCGAGGCCCAGAAGCGCTTCTCGCTTTTCTTCTCGTCGACTTCGCTGGCCGGCGCGTTTGGCGGTCTGCTGGCCTCGGGCATCGGGAGGATGGACTATGTGCGAGGCTACCGGGGCTGGCGCTGGATCTTCATCCTCGAGGGCACCTTTACCGTGCTCCTCGGCATCTTCTTTCTGTTCACCTTCCCTTCGTTCCCGGAGCAGGCGGTACGTAGATCTCTCCTGGCTGGGTGTACATGCAGAATGCAGTGCTGACAACAAACAGAAATGGCTCCGCGACGACGAGCGCGAGTACGTCAAGGCGCGTCTGCGCGCCTCGCAGGGCGAGAGCGGCGCGGAGCGCAAGATCAAGCTCAAGGACGTCGTGACGGTCATGTCCGACTACAAGATCTGGCTCGGCGGCTTCATGTACTTCGGCCTGATCGTGCCGGCCTACTCGTACGCCTACTTCGCCCCCACCATCATCCAGAGCTACCAGTACGACCCCATCACCACCCAGCTGCGCTCCGTCCCGCCCTGGGTCGCCTCCTTCGGCTTCTCCATGGTCGTCGCCGTCTTGTCGGATTGGGCCAAGCACCGCTTCCTGTTTATCATTGGTGCCATCTGCATTGCCATCACGGGTTTTGCTATTCTGTTCACCGTCCACGACAACCTGCAGGTGCAGTATGCCGCCTTGTTTTTGACCTGCATGGGCACCTACTCGGCTATGCCTGTCGTTGTGTGCTGGTTCAATATGAACCTAGCGGGTCATCACAGGAGGGCGATCGGGAGTGCCTGGCAGATTGGTGAGTTCTATCCCCCCCCCCCCCTTTTTTTTCCGTTGTTTTTATCAAGTGTGGAAAGTGCTGACCGGAACAGGCTTCGGCAACATTGGCGGCATTATCGCGACCTACTCGTTCGTCAAGGAAGACGGGCCTTTCTTCACCAAAGGCTATGCTATTTGCGTCTCGTTCATTTGCCTGAGCGTGGTGTCGTGCATTTTGTATGCGGGGGCCATCACTTGGGAGAACAAAAAGCGGAGCAAGCAGGTGCATGATCTGAATTTGACCCAGTCGGAGAAGCTAGATCTCGGGGTAAGTTTGCGTTTGCTGGACGACTCTGTAGCTGTTGCTAACCCTGGACAGGATTTGAACCCCGAGTTTAGGTACATGCTTTAACGTTGGGAAGGGATTGTGATGCAGCATACGTCAATGATAGACGGGGATAGACCGTAGACCGGTGCTTATGAATAATGTGGCCTGTGTCAGGTCGAGAATAAACATAATTCAACCTATGCCTGAGCGTTTCCATTGTGGAGCTGGAACCTGCTCTCAGACGGCAGATGTGGTGATAGACCTCGGCTGGCTAACTCAACTCCTTGTGGATGAAGTCTACCGCGTCAAACGGCACCATGTCTGGCATCGCCCCGTCTGTGGCCCCCAGCCCAGCAATGAGTTTCTGAACCTCCTCGATCTCCCGATCCACATCCGGTTTTTTTAGGTTCATCAACATCTTGATATCCTCCTCCGCTGTCCGTCTCTCCTCTTCTGTCAATGCCCTCCCCCACTCGCGTTCCAACGCTTTCAACGCGCCGGGCTCCTTTTCCCACCTTCCCCCTTTTATCCTTTTATTGTCGTACACAACCCCCAACCCCCTTCTGACCACAACAACCCTTTCCACCCGCCCCTTGTCGTCTTCCGATGCCCGCGCGCCCTCGCCATCTAGCCACCCCACAGCACCGCGGAGCCCTTCTAAGCTCTCGTCATGCACCACTCTGGGTGTAAGCCTCAGCGGCATTGGCCCGCCAAGCTCGCACTGTCTACCACCTTTTTCCTTGTCCTCTCTCCCCTCCCCCTTTTCTCTATTCCCCCCATCCCCCTTCTTCCCATCCCCACCCTCCCCATCCCCCTTAACCTCCCCCTCCCCCCCTTTCTCTACCTCCATTTCCATTACCCCCCTCCAAAACCGCCCCACAACCCCCAACCAACTCACCCCGGAGGCCACCCCCAAAACCACCACCCTCACCCCATACCCCTTTTGTACAAACCCCCCCACCAACCGCCCCATCCCCTCCCCACCACCCCCCCTCCGACACGCCGTCTCCACCAGCACATCGACCCGCGCCTGCGCCGCCGCCGCGCAGACTTCTTCCAGCCAGCGCGCTGCGTCGGGACCGGCGAGGCGGGATGCGAGGTGGGGGGTTGCGGGGAGGGCGGCCAGGCAGGTGTGGAAGTGGGGGTGGTGGGTTTTGTAGGCGTCTGCTGTTAGGTGGAGGGGGGGGTTTCTTCTTCTGTTTGGATGGGGGGGTTGTCCGGGGGGGGTGGGTTGGGGAGTGGAAAGAGGGGGGTGTTGGGGGAGGGGTTGGGATCCGGGTTGGGGTGGGGAGGTGGAAGGGGATGGGAATGGGGATGGGGGTTGTTGGGAAAAGGCGTTGGCCAAGAGGGGCGCTAGGTGCGTTTTGCCGGCGCCGGTTTGGCCGAGGAGGAGGACGGCTAGCGGTTGTGGTTGTGGTTGCGGTTGGGGGTTGGCAGTGCTCTCCTCGGCGGCGGGGAGGAAGGGGTGGAGGACGGTTGGCAGGATGCGGGTGTGCAGGATGTGGGCGTGGGTTTCGGGGGTTATTTGCCAGCCTGCGAGGAGGCGGGCGATTTCCTCGGGAGAGCGGGAGGCGGTGTTGGTAGTTGGGGGGTTGGAGGGAGTCGTTGTTTGGGGTTTGGCGTGGGAAGGGGCTTCGGTAGGCTCCATGGTTGTGGAAGCAGCAGAGTCGGCTGGAGGTGGGAAAGGGTTTGTTGATATCTCGTTGCCGTGGCGGCTGGGCGGAGTGAGAACTGGGTGCGCAGTCTGGGTTGTGAACTCTCCTCCTCAACAAGATGCGGTGGATGTCTCCCTCTCCGCGAGGCAGTAAGCAACGAGTCAAGTCCTCTCCTCTGAAAATACACCAAAGTCTTTGGTGAGAATGTAGTCTGCAGAAAGTAAAGTTCAGAGGGAACAAACACAGTGAGCGACTACCCCGACAGGAAAGCGTCAGAGTGTCCACACGGGCTAAGGTTACACTCGGCCCCAGATCTACATATAAACTGCACCATATAAACTGCACCATATAAACTGCACCATATAAACTGCACCATATAAACTGCAGACTATGAGATAGATCCACATGCGGCATCGCTCCCGCCCGTGGGGGCACCACGACTTCCCCGCAACCAACGGGACGGGTTGAGACGGCGGTTCTCAGCTCATGCCGAATCCCGACGTCGCCCCATCGTCCCCGGTTCACAGCCCTTGCTACAGCTACCAGGGCCTGAAGGATCGAGGGAGAAAGGGGAAGGGTCTCGCCATGGGTCATCCGATACGGAATGTGTTGACTTCGAGTGTTGTGGACGGGCTCGCCCTTCAGCCGAAAATAATACCGCAGGGGCATGAAAGACGGGGAGCACGCAGCTGAGCAGGAGAGCACTTATCAGCCCCCCGAGTTGAGTCAAGCTTCAAGCAAAAAGACAAGGTTGACATAACCCAAACTACACACATATGGACGGCCATTATATGTATCAATATTCCATTCGCGTCCAGCTTAACATTCTTTCTCCGGTTTGACCACCTGCTGCGTGCAATCCTGACACCTGCCATTCCGCTGTAGGTTCGCCGCCAGGGGACCGTCCCGTTCCCAAGAATAGGTAGCCAAGCCAACGCCTATGAAGAAAGGGCGAAACCGGTATTCAGCACGAGGGCGGCAACCCAAGCGCCGGAACACCGAGCAATCCAAAATATACTCTGAATAATAATAGCCACCGTGCAGAAGAACGATGGTCCCAACGCCATAAGTCCGCGAGTGTTGCGTGTGGGTGCAGAACCGAGCCTCAACTTCCAGACTCCATGCCAATTGCCCCAAAATAGTACCGCGCGAATCGATATGAAGAAAACGCCCACCCAGATGCATGATTCCCCCCTAAACGTAAGTCGCACAAAAAAACAAACCCACTGCATACCCGGACTACCGGTCCAGAATCCAGAGGGCTGAAATGCCAGCCGTGGGGCATAAGCTCCTAGTAATAATAATGAGCCCTGATATCTTCGCCTTCATTAATCATCAAACATGCACCCTCAGGTCGGTACACTGCGCGGCGTGACGTCGCCGCTTCGCCGCCGGACGACGATATGTTGTTGTTGCTGCTGCTGGGCTTTGGATGCCACAGCAATGGCATGCATCCTCTTCCGGAGATGGGCAAGTCTGCCGTTGACCATTTGCACCACTGCTAGCGCGTTAGCAAAACATATTCACGCTTAAGGATAGCGTGGGCTGGCTTACTCTTTTGCACTGCCTGCTTGTCGTCGCTGCTCATTTCGTCTGACGCGTCTTGAGCAGCGACGGGTTTCTCCTCCTTAGACGACGTTGACACGCGGCGCTTCGGCAGGTGGTCATCGTCGCTATCCAGCACCGCCTCGAGCATGCGGATCGCCGTGACATACGATATCTCGCAGCCGGGGAGATCTTCGCTCGCAATCTCGTTGATGGCGGCCGTGCGGCTCATCTCGACGGCGCGGTCGTACATCAGCTTCTCGGCACTTATGCCGAGCGAGGGGAACACTGTCACGGTGTCGGAGCCGCCCAGCGCGCTCGTCTCGGGCGGCTGGTTACTCGGGTGGCTGGGATGCTCCTCGGGCAGCTGCTTCTGTGCCTCGATCAATTTTAAGCGGACAACCTCGGCCTTCTCCAAGACCTCGTTGAAACGGGCGCGAATCCACTGGACTGCCGCGTTGATCTTCAGCGCTAGCGCTTGCGTGTTCACCGAGTCCCGGGTGGCCGAATGCACGCTGTTGCTAGATTCTGCCCGGCTCTTGCGCGACCACCAGAGACTAGCGATGTCCATCGACTTGGCGAGCAAGGACAGCGCCTTGACGTAGAGCACTAGGGCCTCTTCGGACAGCGAGACCACCGCATCCATTGTGAGGCCGTCCTCTTCTTCGCCCATCCTGTCGGCAGGAGCACCACCGAGACCGTGTTCGATGGAGGGCGCCAGCGGAACGACTTGCTTGTACTTGACTTCGGCGAAGCCATATACAACGTCGCTCCGCGTAGCGTAATCCTCTATGCACTGAGCGACCCGCGAGTCTTCGTCCACGGGAGCACTCTGCTTCCCATCCATAATCAAGCCAGCCGGCGTAGATGGCGTCGGGTAGGCCGGGAACGGGCTGTACATCTGCGGTGGTGATTGTCCCTTGCTCAACATCTGCGGCGAGTACTTGAAGCCGAACAGCCGGAGACTAGCATCTTGGATAGCCTTGGAGATTACCGATGTCGTGTTGCCAGGGCTGCTAGAAAGAGTCTTGTCGTACGAGGCCTTCCGGTAGTGGTCGGAACGACCCCCCTGTGGACTCCTGGACGACTGGCCGGGCACGGCGCCGGTGGCCGAAGTTGGATATCCCTGCTGCGTAGCACGCCTCACGACCGGGCCAGACTTGGCCGGCTGGGCTTGCTGTGGATACAGTGAAATCTGGTCCGCGAGCGCGTTGACCTCGACTGCGGTTTTGTCGATGAAGATGTAGTCCCGTTCGAATGCCACGTCCTGCGCGGTTTTCTCCTCGTCTGTAAGAGGTCTGCTCGCTGCGCTTTTTGGCCTCGTGCGGCTTGCAGCCTCGTGCGGCGGCGGCTGAGCCTCACGGGCGGGTGCCTTCGTCGAAGCGTTCGAGTACCGACGGCTTCGGTCGACGTACGAAATGGGCCGGACGGGAGCCGAAGTGGATGGCTGCGCCACAGGCCGGCGTATCCCGAGGCCCTCTTCTGCCTCCTGTCGGGGCGAGTAGCTCAGTCGAGGGCTGGATACTTGCTCCAGCGGGTTCGGCTTGGGTTCGATGGGCGTCGCCAGAGGGGATGATCGACGCGGCTTCGGCGAGGGCGGAACCCCAGGCTCGCGCGTCGAATCCTGCTCTGCAACATAACGTCGAAGGGATGGCCTCCGCGACATCAACGCCGCCTCGCCACTTCCGGTCGATACCCTGGTTTCGGCCAGAACCGGCCTCTCGGGTTTTGGAATATCGTCTTCCACGAGGCCTGGAATGGGACCGGTGATGACAGAATGGCGGAAGAGGTCCTCGAAACTTATCCGCTCCACCGGATTCCGTTTCAACAGGGCCCGAACCAGGCCCTTCACTTCGGAGCTGACGACGCAATCTTTTGAGAATCGGATGACGTCTTCCGAGGCCTCGATCTTCCTGAGCAGCTCCACGTGGTTGCCTGCTCGAAAGGGCGGTCTCCCTGTCGCCATTTCGTACAATACGGTACCTACGGACCACAAATCGGCCTTCGCATCGTATCGCTCGTAGCGGAGAATCTCCGGAGCCATGTACAATGGCGAACCGCAGAGGGTCTCGGCGAGCGAAGTCGAAGGGAGCACCCGAGCAAAACCGAAATCGGCCAGCTTCAGCATCGGCAGCGAAGGCAGCCCAGCGGCCGGCGTGAGCGAGTCATGGCTGGCGCTGAGAATCTGCTTGTGCATCTTGTTGGCTTCGCGAAACTGCGGCGAAGGTAGCAGCAGTAGATTTTGGGGCTTGACGTCGCGGTGGATGAGGTTCGCTTCCCGCAAGAACCTGATGGCACTGATGAGCTGCTTCAGAAAGTGACGTATGACGACCTCGTTCAAGCCCGAGTTTGGAGCGACAGGGTATTTGCGGGCGAGCTCATGCGTGCCCGGGTTCGTGATGAGCTTGTCTCGTTTCTTGATGAAAAGCGACAAGTCCCCCAGTTCGCAGTACTCCATAATTAGGTTGATATGTGTCCCGGACTCAACGCAGTCATGGAGGGCGACGATGTGGGGATGCCGGAGTCGCTTGAGGATCTTGATCTCGCCGTAGAGGTTCTCTTTCAGCTTCTTGTTGAGACGGGCAAGCTCGACGGACTTGATGGCCACCAAGGCACCGGTGACCTTGTAACAACATGTTAGCGAGTTTCCGACATGGCCCAAACACAAGCGGGAGCGGAGCTAACCTTGTGACGACCAGAGTACACCTGGGCAAAGCTCCCCTTTCCGATCTCCTTGTCGATGACAAAGTTCCCGATGGCGTCATCGCTGGCTGGCTTTGACCGCCTCGACGAAGAGGTCCGTTCAGACATGGCTTCCTGTGAGTGTTGGCGATAGCAGGAAGCAGGCGGGGAAGAATAGCCCGAGGGCCTATGATATGCGAAAGACGTCGGCGTCCGGCCTGATCGTCATGTATACGTCGAACCGAGAACTTGCGAGTGATCGGGGTGATTGAGAGCGAGGTGAAGACGAGGAGACGGTGGTAGACTCGAAATGCGGACCCTGAAGTCGTCGGGCGCAGTGACTGAGGAGGGCGCGTGCTGCCTGTGCCAGACGGGAGGGAGGCGGCAAGTATCCGCTAGACCGGGAGAGAGGGAGGATGGAGGCAGGGATGGTGCTTTGACGGTTGCCGTTGTGGACAGGAGGAGTTCGAGTTTAAAAGGGGAAGTCAAGTCGACGGGAATGGTGGTGGTGGTGGAGGTGGAGGCCTTGCGAGGTTGCGAGGTGCAGTGCTTAGCTACCTAGGTAAGGTAGTTTAGGTATGCGAGGTGACGACGCATACGCCGAGTTGTGTGCGGATAACTTGTTGAAAGTACGAGTCTCGAGCTTCGGCAAGAGGTGCAAAACAAGGAGCACGGCGAGAAGAGTGGGAAGTCCGTGTTTGTTTGTTTTTTAGGCTTGGGCCAGGGTTTGTCTTGGGAGGAAATCGAGACAAAAGTTCAGATGGCCGGTGTATGCCTGGAGCAGCACAGAGCACTGGCAGTTACGGAAGCTATCGAGGAAAGGCGGGCAGCTCCACACGGCACTGTGACGTCCAATGTCAACTCAATGACTCAGACTCGATTGCTGCCGAAGGGATGACTAGGGCCCAGAGGGTTTCCAACAAGATGAAAACCACAAGAAAAAAAGAGTGAAGAAGGCAATGATGATTCAGAGGCGATGAGATGCGGCGTGTGAGGGATGGGATGGTAAAAAAGAAAGGAAGAAATGGAAGGAACTTGGGAAGGACCTGGGATAGGCAGAGTGACGACGATACCAAGGTACCTTACCAACCGAGTAACTCAGGTAGGCCTGCGCCTGTTGCCGGGTGGCCGCTGTGCACACTGCCAAACAAGGGGCGTGGGCGTGGGAGTGAGAGCCACGGGGGCTGCTGTGCTGATGAGAGCCCGCAAGCAACGCACGGGACCGAAGGCGCTGGTCCTTCACTGGCCAGGCGCGCTGAGAGCAGGTGCGAATACCGTCGCGAACACGGTGCTCGTGATGCGAGACTCCACCGGCCAAGCAGAACCACTCAAGCTGTGGTACCCTCGGGTACCGTTGCCCCTGCTCCCTCGTACGGGCTCAGCAACCTGCAGCCCAGTAAGACAAAGGAGTACAAGGCACCGTTACGTACACTACCGAGTTTAGGGTCTGAGACGCGCTAAAACGGCATTTGGCGATAAGACTCCGCGATAGCACCACTTCGACTGGCACAGCGGACGCGTTGAGTCCCCATCGTTCCCATCGTTCCCATCATTTGCGACATCTCTTGCGTCTTCGGAGGCGGTGATGAGATAAGCGTCGTCCGTGGTCGGCGACGGTGACGGTGACGGAGAGACATCGATGGGGCAACTCATTGTTCCGGTTTCTCCCGCCACCGATCCGAAGAAACTGTCTCTCTCTCGCCGGACGACCGTCATTGACTCTCCTCAGCGATCAGCGCCAGCCGTCAGGGTGGATGAAGCCGCCAGACACAAGCAGGGATCCATCCGCCGGGACCTTGAGGGTACAGTTCCGTGGTCACTGGGCGGCTTTGCCCCACACGGTATACAGTGTCAATCAACTCGAGTTCGAGTCGGGCACTGTGACACAGAGGAATGCACCAGCAGCCAAAGAAGGAAAAGCAGTCCAGACAGGAAACCAAGCAATGGATTATCTCCGTATTTTTGCAGCAAGATAGGGGGTTTACGGTAGTACAAAGGATGGTTGCTTCTTGTGGCCAAAAGTAGCGGGAGTTGGCACATTGGGTCAACCCGGAGTCAGAGAGCATCATCCATGGGATGTGGTCAGGTGAGCCAAGCCGAACCACGCCGTCGCTGCGGCTGGTCACTGCTGGTCTCAGGAACAGCTGCAACAGGGCCGGGCCCACACAGTTTCCGGTTCTTTCTTGGTGGAGAGGCGTCCGCAGCGTTTGTTGTCTGTTTTGGTTCCGGAGAGGCACGCAGTCGAGAACAGGGAAAGTGCGGCCAGCCGGGCGGCCCTCCTTCCTCCTTGCATTGATAGTAGCGAGGCTGTTCCCGGTGTTAGGCCGGCCTGGGGATCCCTCTACCTTATCGGCTGAATCTCCCTGGTTTCTCGCCGCCTATCACTCGCAAGTCCCTGGCTAAGCCTGGCTTCTTGTTTCCAACATCATGCCAATCAATGCATGCAATAGCGGCGAGCGGCCAGGCGGACTTGACACCCAGCCTCGAGCCAGGCTCAACGTCTTCCAGTTAGGTAGCTGTCTTGGTTCCAGGTTTTTGGGGCATTTTTCCACGTTACTTGTTACTCGCGTTACTCAAACGGCGTCGTGCTGGCGGTCAATTCGATGCACATCTCAGATCCAACGCCAAGCACCAACCAAACCCGCCGCCCCGACAACCTTGGACCGATCTCATCTTTCCGGGGAAACTTTCCTGGGGGTCTGGGGCCTGGAACCGAGCTGCAGCGCCATGCTTGCAAGAAGCTGCCACGTCTTCACAAGTAAAACATGGGGTCTCCATTCGGAGTGTGTCTTTGATGGCCGGGTAGCCAGGAACACTGTGGTCACCAGACACATCAAGGGAACAACTACTGTGTAGTTATCGAAACGAAACTCGGCTTGCCTTTGTCTTGAAGCTGGCTGCACAAGGCTGGTACGGGAGCATGGCCACTTCGTACATACCTCGAGGCACTGGCAGCCAAAAGTGGTGTCATTGATCTTCGGATTCCCACCCAGGCTCCCGGTCTGGCAGTCTGCTTGGCTCACTTGCCCCCCGCGCTGGCTCCCACGCCATTCAAGTCAAGGGAAACAGGCAGGGCAGCCTCGCTCGGAGCACTTTACCAACGGAATGTCCCAAAAAGGAAGGGGGTGACAAACAGGTCAGCCACTCACACCGAGTCCCCGCGGTGACACGGCAGCGTCGAGCCCGTTGCCAAGGGCCGGGAGAGGGCACCGAGAGCAAGAAAACGAGACCGCCACGTCCCGGACGCGTTATGTGAGTGAGAGAGGGTGTGAACACTATTGCCGTGCCCATTGGAGTATATCACTGGACAATTGGCCTCTCAATCGGCAGAATAGACGACAAACAGCTGCCCGTGGTCATCTGCCCTCGAGCAACACCTCGCAGAAGTGTCACACAGCAGCATGTCAGCGCGCATCACAGATCGGAAGCAAGATGTGTCACCGTGCTATTCGAAATCCAGGGTCCAGTCCCTCGACTCGGAGTTATGTACGAGTACACGAGTACACTCACTACACTACATCTCGAATCCCAATCCCGCGCACCTCGAGGTCGTTCACTCGCCCCACTGAGAGACGCCCACTGCAGTTGGCTGAAGTCCCATTGCAACCCTCGACGGAGTCCTCCCCGTCCAATCCACTCACCACGCCCCACCCAGTTCTCATCAACGAGACAGACGAGACAAAACGATATGTACACTTCTGTTGTCCATGCATCTGCTGTTTGAGGTTAAGCCACGTGGGGTTTTTGACAGCCGGGGAGGTTCTCCGAATGGCAGGTCCCCGTCCAGCAGCATTTAGCCACTACCGCGGAACCGCTCCCCACGGATGGCGGAGAGGTTCCATGATGGGGGGGGGGGGGGCTGATGGGCAGCCTAGAAGGCAACCATCCGCGGCGACGCCTCGAGAGGGGAAGTGGGAGAAAAGAGAAGGGAGTTCTGCGCACATATTGGACAATGGATGATGGTTCGCCCGTCGTTGAAGGATCCAACGCTGTGTGTTGTCTGCCTGCCCACAACACCACCCCTTTCCCGTCCGTCCTCTCTGCTGCGACTTACACGAGCCTGCCGGACAGACCTGCCAATTCGGGGTCAGATATGCACCTTGATAACTTAAAATCCCACCGTGGCGACCACCACCGCCCGTTTTCCGCACTTCAACGATTGATAATCACCACTTTGTCCTCAAAACTCTCCCACTTTGATTCCGCTTTGCCGCCCCTATCTCACCGTCACAATCAACCCTTTCACTCAATCACCCCTTTTCACTCAACCGCCCCTTCCCACATACCATATCCACACATCCGCCCATCCAACCCCCATCCGAACCGACCAACCGACCAACCCGACCAGCCGAGCAACAGAGTGTCAAAGTCAGGGTCCGACCCGCCGCATGCTGCACCCGGCCCGCTCGCCTGCATCCCGAACCCGTCCTGTGAATGGACGGCTGCGTATTCCGTACATGTATTATAAGTATGTATAGATAGCTTTACATGACTCGCTCGCCGTCCCGCCAGCAGCACGCAAGCAAGCACGTCACATGCGAAGTCGTGTCGCGTTACGCTGCGTCGCCGAGCCTTTGCGTTTGCTGCGCGTAGGTCTGAAGACGGGGCGGCTTCGCATGTGGCGAGGTGATCTGTCCGTTGTCGGTGATGTTCCTACGTCGCAACCACACCGGAACCAAATCCAAGGGAGGGCGGGATCCGAGATGGTTGGTTACTTCTTTTTTTATTCGCGTTCGTTCGTTCTGTTCTTGCGAGCAGGACGGAGGGGCCGGGTAGGGTAGACAGCACCCCGACGGCGAGATCTACATCTGGATCTAATCCAATCCAATCCAATCCGATCCGATCCAACCCGGATCTAGGTAGCTCAGGTCCAGTCCCATCCCAATGCAATGCCAAACACTATCCGATGTGGTATCAAATGAGATGCGCCAGACACAGCCAGCAGCCAGCGGCTAGCGGCCACGATGCAAATATGCAATATGCAGCCCGCCCACCTCTCTGAACGCCCCCTAGTGACCCTCGCTAATCTTGGTCGTCGGCAGCTCCTCCAACGCCTCACCAATGACCTTGATGGCCCCGCGGAGTTCCTCCTCGGTGATAACCAACGGTGGCGCGAACCGGATGATGTTGCCGTGCGTGGGTTTGGCCTATTCCGTAAGTCAGCAATTCGGTTCATATCTCTTGGAAGAAGAAAAAAGTAAAAGAGAAGAAAAAAAGAGAGAGAAGAAGGCAAGAAGAACATCAGGGGCGGTATGTACTCACCAAAACACCCTTCTCCTTCAACAACAAGCACAGCTCCCACGCCGACCGCCCGTCCGCCTTGCTCTCATCGATGACAACGGCATTCAATAGCCCCTTACCCCTGACCACCTGCACGAGCGGCGACTTGAAAGCCTCCACCCCCTCGCGGAACATCTTGCCCAACCGATCCGCCCTCTCCACCAAACCCTCCTCCTCGACCAACTCCAGCGCGCGAATCGACACGGCACAGCCCAGCGGATTCCCACCATAGGTCGAACCATGGGTCCCCGGTTCGACCACGCCCATGACGGCCTTGTCGGCCAGCACGCAGCTGACGGGGTACATGCCGCCCGAGATGGCCTTGCCGAGGGTGACCATGTCGGGCTTGATGCCGGCCCACTCGGAGCAGAGCATGCGCCCCGTGCGCGCGATGCCCGTCTGGATCTCGTCGCACACCAGCAGCACGTTGTGGCGGCGGCACAGCGCCTGCGCCCGCGCCAGGTAGTCGTCGTCGGGCACCACCACGCCCGCCTCGCCCTGGATCGGCTCCACGATGAAGGCCGCCGTGTCGGGGCCGTGCGCCTCGAGCACCGCTTCGAGGTCCGGGATGCTGTTGTACCGGATCGGTTGGCCGGTCGTGGGGTTGGTGGCGCCTACGTTGGGGAGGTAGGGGCCGTAGTTGTCGCGCGATTCGGGGTCGAGGGAGAGGGAGACGGCCGTCATCTGTAAGGCGTGTTAGATTGTGTTCTTTATTGTGTGTCTGGCTATGGCAGAGAGGGGGGTAAGGTAGCCTACAGTTCGCCCGTGGAAGTTCTCGCTCGCGCTAAAGATGAGCGCCTTGCCCGGTGCCACGCCCTTGACCTTGTAAGCCCACTTGCGGGCGATCTTGATGGCCGTCTCGACGGCCTCGGCGCCCGTGTTCATGGGCAGCACCATGTCGAAGCCGAACAGCTGGCGGACCTTCTGGGCCCATACGGGGAACACATCGTTGTGGAAGGCGCGCGAGCTCAGCGTCAGGCGGCCGGCCTGCTCGGTGAGCGCCTTGACCAGCTCCGGGTGGCAGTGGCCCTGGTTGACGGCGCTGTACGCCGAGAGGAAGTCGAGGTAGTGCTTGCCCTCCGGGTCCCAGACGTGGACGCCCTCGGCGCGGGCGAACACCACAGGGAGCGGGTGGTAGTTGTGGGCGGCGAACTCGTTCTCGGCGGTGATGGCGCTCTTGGTCGACGCCGCATGGTAGCGGCCCTTGGACGGCGCGATGTCGCCTTCAGGAACGGAGTTGTCCTTGTCTGCGTGGGGTGCCATTGTGATGTGTTACGGCGTCGCGTGTGTAGTTCTTTTGATCGACGGTCTGGCCGTTAATGTTGAGGTGGTCTCCAACGAAGTGGGACCAGCAAAGGAATGACGATGGAGGGGTAGGGAAGTGATCGATAGGCCCCACTGATGGAGAAGATCAAAGAAGCTTGTCTGTGGTATCCGACCGGTTTCGGTTTGTGATTCACTCTGGGGTATCAAGCGGCTAGAACTATTGTAGAAGAAGAAAACAACCTGTGACCCAGTGTGTGAAATGTGATCAATTGGAGAAAAAGAGAGAAAACATGACCAGCCTATGAAACGGGAGAACACCCGGGATTATGTAGGCACATGTTCGCCCCAACTTCGGTCTCCAGATGCAGACGAAAATGTTTCCCTGACATTGCCTGTGGATTGTGTGAAACGCCACTATACTCCTAAGTGCAAGTGGAAGCGGCGTCATGGTTAACATGACGGCAGTGACCCCTCACGTGGGCCCAAAGATCCCTGGAGATCCTGGTGTGCCGATACAGAGCGAGCGGGCCCAACGGTCAATTCTGGAAGGAGTTGCCCAACCCGCGTCGCCCGCCAATGCCGTGACAAGAGACTCCGAGGCCCCGGTCTCTGCCGTGTTGGCATGGGATTCCGTTGGTAGGTCTTGGGGCAACGACAGCCAGAAAATATGCACTTTATCCAATCATGCCGAACCTTCGGGTCCGTGGCGCGCCTTGGAGGTCAGATTCTCGAAAGCGATCCGGAGCGGAGCGCTGGCGGTGGAGTTTCCAGGTTCGGGGTTCCGGGGCGGTGGTGCAGGGGTCACAGCGCCGACTGGCCAACCGCGCTCAGGTGATTACCCAGCAGGGGGGTGGAAGCAGCCAATTAGGGGATTATGTTTCAACGCTCTGGCACTTGGTGACAGCTTTCCGACACTGGCACACAACTGGCAGACTCGAGGAAGCTCAGGGGAGCCAAGCTCGGGTTGTTGTTAGCATTTACGTATGAGCAACCCCTGGCTCACAACAGCAACCCGCAACCTGCAAAGTACAATAAATACACCACCATGCCAGTGGAATCCAAGCCGGCTGCCGAAGGGTTGCGGGAACGGCACAAGGCGGGTTCCGTCGGAAACTCCCGCGAAAAAGATAACTTGAAACCAAAATCGAACGGATCAAAACTTGTTCACGCTCAAGTCGCAGCAGCACAAGTCGGCGATGTTCTCAGTTTGCTGCTACTCTTTCGCTTCATCAACGCCCTCTGCGTCCGCACATTTTTCCAGCCAGATGAGTATTTTCAAGCACTCGAACCGGCATGGAGCATTGCGTTCGGGGCCGACAGCGGCGCCTGGATGACCTGGGTACACACTCTCCCTCTCGCTCTCTCTTCTTCCACTTGCATCTTTATACTTTGTTAGTTGTTGTTGTTACTTGTCTAACTGTAGATGTAAATTTAGGAATGGCAATACCAGCTCAGGTCATCGCTGCACCCCGCCATATTTGGCCTGGCATACAAAGCTGCAGAGGCTCTTATGAGCTTTCTACATCTGTTTCCGCCGTTCATATCCTTCATGCTTGTGGCCTTACCTGGAACCTTGCAGGCCGTGTTTGCTGCCCTAGGTGACTTCTACACGTGGAAGCTGGCCATGGATATTTACGGTAGAGGGAGCAATGCCCCATGGGCTGCGGTTAGTTCTAGTCTACTACTCCCTGCCGTCCACCACTAACTCTTCTAGCTATGGATGTCAGTGCTCAGCCCCTGGCAGTGGTATTGCTCCACTAGAACCTTCTCCAACTCCCTAGAGACAACATTGACTATTGCCGCTTTGTGTTATTGGCCCTGGGAAGTCCTCGATGGTTCAAAGGCGAACAAAGAAGCGCAAACACCCTTACAGCAGAAGGGAAGAGTGACGAGGTAGGTTCTTGCTGATATTATACCACGGACCCGGCTGACAACATGAAAGCCTGCGTATATCGCTTGTACTCGCAGCCGTCGCCGTGTTGCTACGGCCGACAAACCTGCTCATATGGCTTGTTGTCCTGGGCGTTTCTCTAACACGGCTGCTTCCCGTCGGACAGCCACCTTTGCAGACATCGACCCTGCTGGTGCTCTTCCGTGAGATCGTCATCTGCGGCACGGTGGTGCTGGCCATCTCTCTCGTTTCCGATCGCCTGTACTTTGGCTTTTGGACTTTCCCGCCATACAACTGGCTCTACTTCAACATCTCGCAATCGCTCGCCGTCTTTTACGGCCAGATGCCCTGGCACTACTATTTCTCCCAAGGCGTACCGCTGCTCACCACGACATTCCTCCCCTTCACCCTCGTCGGGCTCTACAAGGCATCTTCTTCATCCATAAGCCCGTACGCCCTCCGATCCGGCGTCCTCGGCACTCTGAATGCTGCCGCCCTAACGATGATCATCGTCCTCTCCCTCATCTCCCACAAAGAAGTCCGCTTCATCTACCCCCTCCTCCCGATCTTGCACATACTCGCAGCGCCCTACATAACCTCCTTCTTCACCAAACCTCCCACTACCCCCGCTACCATCCCATCCCCCCCATCATCCAAACCAACCCCCGTCACCCTCCGCCACAAACTAACCCTCACCAACCTCCTCTCCCTCAACCTCCTCCTCGCCGGCTACCTCTCCCTCTTCCACCAACCGGCCCCCCTCTCCGTCCTCTCCTTCCTGCGCACCGACTTTGAACGCATCCACCCCGACGCCCTCGACATCACCCACACCACCAACCACCTCACCAACCTCAACCCCCCCCACGACGACACCACCACCACCGAAGAAGAAGAAGAAGCCGCCAAAACCAAAAAGGAACTATTCGCCCTCTTCCTCACCCCCTGCCACACCACCCCCTGGCGCTCCCACCTCGTCTACCCGGCCCTGCGCGCCCGCGCCCTGACCTGTGAGCCGCCCCTGCACACCAGCCCCGGCACGCCCGAGCGCGACACCTACCTCGACGAGGCCGATCGGTTTTATCTTGAGGAGGATGATGCAGGGGGTGCTGAGGGGTCTTATGGGGTGGGGTTTTTGGGGCGGGAGGTGTGGCCTCTTGTTGGCGGTGGTGATGATAGCAGTGGCAGTGGCGGTGGTGGTGGTGGTGGTGGTAATGGTAATGGAAGGGATGGGGAGGTGCCGCGGTATATTGTGGGGTTTGAAGGGGTTGAGGGGGTGTTGAGGCGGTTTTTTGAGGGGGAGGATGCGCCGGGGAGCGGGATGGGGGTTAGGCTTACGAGGGTGTGGTCTGCGTGGAATGGGGCGTTTAATGAGGACTGGCGGAGGCGGGGGAGGTTGGTGGTTTGGGATACGGGGGTTTATGGGGGTTCTCATGAGGCGGAGGAGGTGGTGTGAGGGAGTAATTATATGTACAGTGGCCTTCGTTGGCTGTTCTTTGGTGTTTGTTTGGCTTTGGGTGAGGGGATCGCATGGGATAATATGAAAAGAAAGGAAAAGGAGAAGGATGGGATGGTGATTAATATGTAAAATCTATCGGATGTATTATTTTGTTTTTTCCTTCTTTATCTTCCACCGAGCTACATTGTAGTACTTATTGCCGCGGTAGTTAGCTCTTGACGCCTTGTAGCGGTTTAGCGGTTTAGCACTCGAGTACTCTGACCGCCGACTCGCTCGAGACTCCCATGAATCCCCAGCTGATACGCGACCCACTCATCAAGTACTCTGATTAATAAGACCAGCTTGCCGTGGACAGAAATACACTGGAATAGACACCCCCGAAGCACACATCACAGACCAGCACGAAGAAGATGTCATCAACTATTGATCGCGCATCTTGGGAGTATAAATTTGGGTATTTGTTTGGCTGCCTGTCCAGGAAAAAAGCCAACGCGCATTTTCCGACCAGTCCCCCTTATCATGATATACGGACGACTCAAAACACCCGACCATTGCTCATAAACATCATCGTAGCGAGACCGTCCCACTTCACTAGCATTACTGCCCCTTTGTACTCAAGACCGAGCAGCCTCCAGCTCCAGCTCGAGCTGCCGGATCCGTTCGCTCTGGTCCTGCGAGCCTGAACCAACTCTCTTCTTGAGCGTCTCAACCTCAGAGGCGAGACGGGTGATGATCTGCGTCTGGGCAGTGATCTTTTCACTTTGGGTAGTGATAACCTTGCCCTGCTGCTCGATGAGCTGCTTGATTTCACCCAGCGATGCTTCGACAGCCGGGCTTGGGGGCGCTGCTGCTGCGGAGGAAACCGCGGGAGGGGCTTGGGAGACAGGGGCGGCGGAGGCCTGCGGCGACTTAATCGGCGATGCAGGCTTCGCTTGAACAGGCGGTGCGGCCGCCGCAACGGGCTGCGGCTTGACGGCAGACCGGACGGGGATAGTGGTGCGGGGCGCGGGACGCCCGATCTCCTCGAAGCTTGACGTCTCGGCGCCGTCATCCACTTGCTCTTCCTCCTCATTGTCCTGGAACTTGTTCGCCATGGCCGACATGGAGACCTTCTGGTCGGCCATGGTGGCAGGGGCGCGAGTGGGAGCGGGAGCCGGTTCGGGCTCCTTCTTGGGGGCTGCGGCAGGTGCCGGGGCAGGAGCAGGGGCGGCTGCGGGCGGCTTGTAGTCGGCCGGGACCTCGACCGGGGCGTTCCCGTCGTAGATGCTTTCCAGGTCAATCTTGGACGGGATAGCCGTCTTGCCGTCGAACCACTCCTTGGCGGACATGGCGGCTTTGAGGCCGGTGGCAGGAGGGTAAATATCGGATTGGAAGGTTTCGGCACGACGAGGTACGGTAAAGGAGATGGGCTCGACGTATGCGTCGTTGACGGTCTTGTAGGCGCGCATAACCTCGTTCTCGTGCACGTTGATACCGCGGCGGGGTAGGAAAGCAATTCCGCGTTGGGGGTCCCCCGACTTGTATTCGGACAAAAACTCGAACTTGTCGTTCTCGTACTCGAAATAGCGGATGTTGCCGTCGCTGGGAAGGTGAGCATGTCTTAATTATTTACAGGCTGCGGGGATCGGCTTACCCTTTTCCAGCAAGATAGAGACAGTTGGATCCGTCGTCTGCAACAAGTTTTATTAGAAGTCGTTCCGCAGACCAAAGGGTGGTGGTGGCTTACCCCAGAAAGGCATGCAAACGCCGGAGATGGAGTCGAGCGAGGTGAAGCCGCCAATGGGGTCTTTACGGCCGGGCTCCCACAGACCGATTTGTCGCTCGCTCATTCTCGAAAAGCCGGTGGTAGCAATGCGGTTGTGCTCGCCCAGCCACACTGCGCGGCTGTTTTTGGCACCCTCATGGCCCGCATACTCGTGCACCGGTTTTTCCTGGCGCACATCCCACACGCGCAGCTTCTTGTCTCTTGAGGTGGTCACCAGCATGGCACCGTTGGCACTCCAAGATAGACTTTGCACCATGTCGGGGTGTTTCAGGGCGATGGCCGCCTGGCCAGTGGAAATATCCCACATCTTGATGCTCATGTCGCCAGAGGAGGAAGCAAGGATGTTCTCGGCTGCGGGGTTGAAGAGTACGTGGCCGACCTTCCTAGAAGGCAGTGAGTAGGACAGCCCAGATTTTCTTGAGACCGGTACAAATCGCACCTTGAGTGGCCGGTCAGCTTGCTAACGGGCGATACATCAGTGATCTCCTCGGCGTCGGTGAGCAGAGTGAAACCCTGGGGCACCTCCCAGATGAAGACCTTGCCATCATCGGAGGCTGAAGCAATAATGCGGTCGTTATGGGGGTTCCTGGGAGAGAGTCAACCAAAGACATTCAGAGTATAGCAACCAGGACTGTATCTCCGTAGACGCACCAGTCTGTGTCCAGCACGGCAGAAGTGTGGCCTCGGAAAAGGGGTATTTGGTCGGGGGCCTTTCCACGCTCGTTCAGGGGGATAACAGCGAAAGCACCGCCACCGCTTGATTCCCAATTGACGGAAAGGTACTCGGGGTTGACCTAGTGTGCAGCCCAAAGGTCAGTACCCAGCCAGTTCGAGATGCGGGAATGTGGGGCAGATCAGGAGAGGGAGTGGCCAGTGAGTAAGTACCTTCACTAGGTTGGTATCCCAGGCATTGCGACTGATGTGGAGGTTATCATAGCAAATGTCCTTCTTGGTGGGCTTCCCAAAGATGTGTCCTGGTCAAAGGGTCGGTCAGCAGCTGTCGCATGCAAGGCCGCCGTCTCGTAATAGTAGCAGCAGCATCGCAGCAGAGCACGCGAGCAGAACCTAAGGACGCCTACGGTATTTCGACGCTCGGACAAATCGGCCGGCCATTGGATCGGGAAGTTGAAAGAGACCGGCTAGGCGAGGTGTTGGGCAGGTTTACAGGTTGTGAAAGAGAGGTTGTTGACAGTGTCGGCTTGTCTTGCACACCTAACCAAGAAGTTTAGGGGAGCTCGGGAGGGTCACTCCATTCCAGGATGGGTCTGCTTGGCGAGGCTGTGTCCACTCCTCCTGAGCGCTTGGCCCGTTCACACCCTGTTCTTGGTCGGTGATTGGTGCTGGCAGGCGGATGCCCCTCCATTCACTGCATGGGTTCCCAAATTCACCCGTCTCGAGTCCTCAAACATCGAAGATAACAGAAAAGGGGACGGACACTGTATAGTTGAAACAGTAGTATTCTTTGTCTCGAAAAGACAAAGCTCCTCCTCCTGAAAAAGCGGCATGACTTCTGATCAACATGGAAAGCGGGATGTTGAATTTGGATAAATTCTAGTCGCGCCGACACCGTTCGACAACCCCGCGATAACCCCTGAATTCGACACAATTTGTTATCAAAGGCCGGCTGGTGTAGTGGTTATCACGTCTCGTTCACAAAGGTTGAATTAATTGGAAGCAATTCCACCGAGAAGGTGCCAGGTTCGATCCCTGGGTCGGTCATTCCTTTTGCCTCCGGGTCATCCATATTTACTTTTGCAGCTATGGATGGGAATGCACTTTTGTCGGTCTGTTCTGGATTTAAAAAATGATGTTTTTGTCTTGCGTTGCAGGGAAGGCGCCGAGCTTTGGCCAACTAGGAAATCTCCATCCTAAGAGGACGAGGAAGCTTGCCTGAGCAACGGATGTATCCATCCAAACGCTCGAGATGCACGCGTCTCTTTTCTACAAACGCCCGCCAGAGACAACATTGCCTCCCTGAACCCTCTGGCTACTTTATCCGATATTTCTACAGGCCTTCCGAATCTGTGAAACAACCTACACCATAAGCTTCACGACTAACCTTCGATGCGATGGCGAGTAAAGCCAAGTCCCGGTGGGCAGACGACGAGGGCGATGCAGCACTCGAGTCGCGGCTGAAGAAGGAGAAGGAGGAGAAGAAACGTCTCAAGGCGGAGAAGGCACGCAAACTCGAGGCCGAGAAACAGGCGAGGGAAGCTGCCGCGGCCGCGGCGCAACAAGAAGGCGACGGCACCAATGGACCCCCAGCGAAACGGCGAAAGATATCCCCAGAGCGCGAAACGACGCAAGCCACAGGGCATTCCGACGAGAGCAATGGCGCGCCGAAATTACTGCGCTTCAATGGCGGCGCGTTCGGCAAGTCTCGCAGCGTCGAGAACTACGACAAGCTCAACGACATCGAGGAGGGAGCCTACGGCTGGGTGTCGCGGGCTAAGGAGATTGCAACAGGGCAAGTGGTAGCGCTCAAGAGGCTAAAGATAGACCCCAAAGACCGCGGGGGGCTGCCAGTCACGGGGCTGCGCGAGATCCAAATCCTGAAGGACTGCGACCACCGGAATGTGGTCAAGCTACGGGAGGTGGTCGTGGGGGACGACACGAGCAGGATCGAAAAGTATAGCACCCCCCAACACCCACCCGCCCAGGATACCAACCCCAGCTAACCACCACGCCCCCCCCCCCCCAACAGCATCTTCCTCGTCCTCGAATTTCTCGAACACGACCTCAAGTCGATCCTCGAAGACATGCCGGAACCCTTCCTCGCCTCCGAAGTCAAGACCCTCCTCCAGCAACTCGCCTCGGGCGTAGCCTACCTGCACGACAACTGGATCCTGCACCGGGACCTCAAAACCTCCAACCTCCTCCTCAACAACCGCGGGCAGCTCAAGATCGCCGACTTCGGCATGGCGCGGTACGTGGGCGACCCGGCGCCCCAGCAGCTCACCCAACTCGTCGTAACCCTCTGGTACCGCGCCCCCGAACTCTTACTCGGAACAGCACGATACGGGGCCGCCGTCGACATGTGGAGCGTGGGGTGCATCTTCGGGGAGCTGCTGACGCGGGAGCCGCTGCTCCAGGGGCGCAACGAGGTGGACGAGCTGAGCCGCATCTTCGCGCTGTGCGGGACGCCGACCGACGAGACGTGGCCCGGGTTCCGGCGCCTGCCCAACGCGCGCGCGCTGCGGCTGCCGGCAGCAGCGGCGGCGGCGCCGGGTCGCGGGGGTGGTGGGTCCGCGGTGCGCGCCAAGTTCCCGCTGCTCACGGCCGCGGGCGTGGCGTTGCTGAATGGCCTGCTGGCGCTAGACCCGGACAGGCGGCCGACGGCGAAGGAGATGCTGGCGCATGAGTATTTCGGGCAGGACCCGAAGCCGAAGCAGGAGGCTATGTTTCCGACCTTTCCGAGCAAGGCCGGGCAGGAGAAGAGGCGGCGGCGGGAGACGCCGAACGCGCCGGCGCGGGGCCAGCAGGCGGCGGATTTTGGGGCGGTGGATTTCAGCGGCATCTTCTCGGGGAGGGAGAGGGAGGAGAGGGGAGGCGGGTTCTCGTTGCGGATGGTGTAGCGCATCAGCGAGAAACAGCGGTAGTCTTTGGCTCTTGTGACGTCTAGATAATCAGACCAGAGAGGAGGGGCATACACACGATTCGTTAATGGATGCTTCATTAAGCTACCTGATAATATATATGCAGTGTCGTGAGTAAGAAAATACATGCAACAAATGCTCTCTCCCGACCGTTTGTGTTCGAGTTTTAAGCCCGGCCCGGGCATAAAGATGATCCAGATGAAATGCAAACAGTACTCAATCCAACGCCCTTCCGCTCTTTGCACTCCGTAGTGGAAAGACCGGGACCGAAACCTCGGCCATATTCCGTCCCTAAAACACATTACAAGACATATCCGCTGTCACCACCACTCTGTCTCTCCTACCCTCCTACCCCTCCTCACTCCTCAGCCCCAAGGGCTAAATTCAAAGAAACGCTCCAAAGCCAGAAACAAACCAGGTAAAGCTGAGAACGGTCACGGCGCTCATGACAACCGCAGCGCCCACCGCGCGGTTGTCCATGCCGGACCCGGCGCCGCTGCACGAGGCGCACTGGTATCCATCGTTGTTGTCATGATACTCCTGCTTCTCGTACAGGCCAAAGAAGAACAGGGAGTAGGGAGCGAGGTATCCCGGCTCGGGCGTGGCGCTGATGCCGCCGTCGGCGTCGGCGATCACCAGGGTGTATTGCTCCGTCAGCAGCGGGTTGGCGACGTTGCTCTTCTGGAACTTCTCCGTGTCCCAGGTGTAGGTGCCGGGGTCGGTGAAGGACATGTTCTGCGTCAGCGTCCACGGCTGCGGCACCTTGCTGCACTTGACGTAGACGTCGATCGCCGTCGGCGTGGCCTGCACGTTGGTGTAGTTCCACCCCCACGTCACGTAGTCCCCGATCTTGTACAGCTGGGTGCCGTCGAACACCCCCGGCGTCACCATCACCACGCCACCGACGGGGGCCTGCGGGTCGAATTGGGTCTTCTTGGGCGCGCGCGTGCGCGTCCCGTTGCCGGTCATTCGTTCGGTTTCGGTTCCCGTCTGGCTGATGCCGCCCGTGTTGAGGTTTGTTTGGATCGGATCCGCGGGATTGCGGGAAGTTGTCGCTTTCGTCTCTTCATCGTCTTCGTTTGTGGGGGGGTTGGTCGCTGTCGGCGCGGCAGACTCGGCTTAAGTATGTTAGGGACGCGATCGCATCAACAGGGTGCGTGTCTTCGGTGGATGCATACCATCTTGAGATGACCCATCATCTTGCCGGACAACTAACGAGTCGAGCTCTGGGAGCCACCTTGGCCATGCCAACGCAGAGACTGCGGGAGTCAAGGAGAGCAGGGCCACGGCCATCTGGCCGACGGAGAGAGGAGACTTCATGGCGGGGAGTTGTCGGGGGTTGGCGACGAAGATTAGAGACGATACTGCGGACCGCGCCCGAGTTATTCAGTCCCCCAAGGACTACACAATTCGACCTGAAAAAACTTGTTCAACACCGGAAAATTTGGGCTGTGGTGTTTCGGCGGACGATGGCCGGGACACGGGCGTGGCACGGCGTTGGCTTGGGGAGCCCCTATTACTGGGCCGACCAAAAATTAGGCCCGCGCGAAATGGCGTGAAAAACAAGACGATGGGAACACCAGACGAAACCGGGGGATCTGCGGTAACGATGGTCAAAGTGTCGATAGGGTGTTATGCACTTCAGGAAAGCAGACGAAGCGAACGTGATTGCTGAAGAAACAGGTCATAAACGAGGGGCCCTGATGGTTCTGGAAGCAATGCAGCGAGAGTGAGTGATCGGGAGACGGTTGGAATGCAGATGCCCCCCGGCTCGAATTTGATGGGATCTGGTGAGCGCTTGGCCAACGGATGGATGCGCTCGGGGCATCCCAGCCAATGGCAGGTGCGGGATGCTCGGGCTGAGTCCAGGCCCGGGTGGCGCTGGGACGAAACCTGGTCCCAAATCGACCAGGTTGCCAACATGAACCGCCCGGGAATCTCCAAGCCAACACGGACCGGGTTCGTATTTGGCGGGGCTACCGGAGGAAGAAAGCATTGTGTGTGGCACGCCAACATTATTTTTAGCGGTTCTTCAAACATGGAACACGAGAAGTGGATGTCATCGACATATTAAAATGCCGTGTTTTCTCCCCTACTTTCTTGTTCGCGATGCATAAAGTGCTGGCCCTAGTACATACGAAGTAGCGATAGTTTATTCCAAGAGGGCCATCACTCCCGGTCGATCACGATCGCCAGTACATACCTTCCTCTAGAGGCTCCGTTAGTTGGGTAACTCGACTTGGCTTGAGCCTTCGAGCATTTTCCTTTGCTTTTCTGCCCGTCGCCGGTAGCCGGACTCACCGCAAGCCTGCAGACGACCGCCGCGATGAAACCCTCGCCGCAATCCCATCGCGCGGACTTTGACTCTCTCTACAATCTGTTGCCTGGCCACAGCAGCGGCGTTGAGGCTCGGGGCATGTGCCGCCGACACCACGCCAAAACTGGAATTCGCTGCGTGCCATGCGTTGCTCCTCGCATTCCGGCCGGTCGGTGCTTGTTTACAGGGGCCCATGCAAACACACTCAGACACTCCAACCAAATCGGGCGCCAATCTTTCGTTTCCGTTTGTGACATGGTTATGCAGCGCAGATCGGCGTGATGGAAGGATTTGGAGTTTACATGCACAACTGGCTAACTTGCTAGTTCGTGCTTTCACACTGAGCGCGAGTTACTGGTGTAAGTGAATGGTTTTTGGGACCGTTTTTGGAACCGAAGTAGGTAACTACCGTTTTGATCGGTAACAGCGCTCTGTTAGGGCCCAGGGTTTAAAAACACTTCTTGGAGGAAATAATCCGAAGAGGGATGAAATGAGGTCGATTAAATACTGTGTAAAAGTAAGAACCATTCGTTTGCTTTTACGATTCGCTTCTCATATCCACTTTCTTAATACACTAGTGGTGCGCCATTGTAACTATTGTCATCTGGAATTGAATGACGGTGGAAACGTGAGTGATGATGCACAGATCATACTGATGCCGGAGAGACAGGTGATTAGGGGAAGATTGGCCATCCCGACACTTGATGGCACAATCAATTGCGAAAACGAGGCTTGGAAACTCCCCACCGATCCTATCAACGAGGTTTCGGGGAGGGAAGGAGGTGCCCAAATAGGTGGGTTCCATGGAAACCCAACTCCAGTCTGTGTTGAGCCCTTCCATCTCCGAGGCCGCTGTGAAATGGTTCTCTTGCGGGAAACATGCCCGACGTGTGTTACTCGAGTAACTTGCACTCGACACAAGTAAGACTGGGACTCGACGCTCGTCTCTGAGCTTCGGCCGAAGCCCGGCCTCGAAGTCATTCAATGTTGGTCCGTGTGCCAGCTCAGCGCGTAATGCCTGCCGCTGCAGCAGATCACACGTGAAGGTTGATGAATCGCGAGCCAGGATAGGTTAGTGAGATAGCGCGCAACCTAAGATAACTGACCACTGCAGCTGCTTCCGGTAATCGCTTGTCATACGCGGTACCTCCTCCCCCAGACCCAACTGCCAACCAACGGATTCCGTCTGAAGGGTAGCCGCTCCATTTTTGGGCGAGCTCTTCCAACAGGAGACGCCCCTCCAACCTGGAAACCTCTACTCGCTTCCTTCCATCGGGCATTTTCCTGGCAGTGGGCAACATGTCGTCTTCAAGCAGCACCGCCGTCACTATCGACCGGGAGTATTTTGATACCCTCGTTCGAAGGTACGTTTCCTGTTCTTGTTTTCTTGTCTTAGCACTACCAGATCCCGACGTATCATTGCCCACATTCTGCCGGGGTGTGCCCAAAGCTAACCCACGCCGTGGCCATGCATAGGGCGCAGTTTGTAGGTCACGCAGCACCCTTGATTCTGCCAAACCGAGAAACTTAATAATCCTAACAATCACAAGAATGCCGATTCTCCAAAGGCAGACGGGCACCTTGCTTCCGTCGTCATTTCGCGGGCCGAATATGACAGCCTCATGTTTGTCGCCAGGCAATATGGTATATTCTTCCTACCATGTCAGCGCCGCACGGGATTGTTCGTTGACCGGATCACCTAGGGAATCTCAGACGGAACCTTCTTCGCGGCGGCGTAGGAGCGGAAACGGTGGATGTATGATCCCAGCGATTGCGAGCACGGATGGCCCGCCGAATCAGCGGTTAACGGGTGACAGCTTCTCAGCCAGGATGATGAGACCATCCAGGGGGGGGCAAAGACGTCCGCTGCCCCAAAGGCAGACCTGAACGAGGACGGAGGGGCCCGCCTCTACACACCCGCCCCGCCCGCCGCGTCCGGTGGCACGTACGGCCCGCAGAAGGACGTGCCGCACGACGGGCCTCACAATCGGTATCAGGATCGCTCTACATGGGCTGACGGCGACGTGGGTCACGACGAAGACGACGAGAATGGTGCCAGCGACACCGAGTCCCAAATCGAGGACCCCCCTGGCGCTAACTACGCCAAACCTCAGGGCCAGCGTCAGCAGTTCGAGCGCCAATGCGTTCGCACAATCCAGCTTTCGCACCTTGCCGAGGGCACGACCCATGCTGACATCGCGAACGCTGTGCGTGGCGGGATGCTGCTGGACATCTTTCTCCGTAGCCACGACCGCTCCGCGATGGTGTCTTTCCTCAGGTCGGTGGACGCCAAGAAGTTCTACGACCATGTCCGCCGGCATGACTTGTACATCAAAAACAAGAGGGTGAGAAGGCTTAGACTATCTTGTTCGGTTGGATGATTGTTAACCTCTTCCGCAGATTGAAGCTAAGTGGAACGACCGTCAATTCGTTCTCCCTGGCCACGTCGCGAACAAAATTGGCACCGGTGCCAGTCGCAACCTGGTGATTCAGGGATATGATAATAGGCATACCGAAGAAGTCATCCGTGAGGACTTGGACCACATCCACAACTTGGTCGTCGTCAAGATCGAGTTCATTGGCGGCAGCTGCTACATCGGGCTTAATTCGGTCCACAACGCCATCTCTGCGCGTCAGTGCATGCTGAGCCGCCTGTATGTATCCTTGTTGTCATGTCACCGCCTTTTAGGAGCTAACAAAGACAATAGCAGGTACAAGGGCAAGAAGATCAACTACGACGTCGACGAATGCGCCCAGCCGTACCCTCAACCAGCGCCCAAGGTGCGCAAGGAGATGGCGCCGCCCAAGAAGGGATTTTCGGCGGTCCCCAACCGCTTCCAGCTGCTGAACCTTGATGACGGCGACGAGGACGAGATTGCGGCCCCGTTTCAGGCCAAGAATTCGGTGGGTATCACGGCGTAGAAGCCCACGACCCACTGTCTCGCTGGCATCGCTTTTCCATAAATAAATGGTCGAGCGAGGGGGACCAGAGGGTAGCCCGAGGTGATTTAGGGACGGAGCACGGGAAACATGGTTCATTTCGCACTACACAGTAGCGGCAGGCGTTAAAAGGATACCCATGGTTAGTTCCCCGGATGCATGTATGGCAGAGTGCCCATGAAGGGGAATTACCCAGCCGTCTAAGTCTTTGTGCCGAAGATGCATCTATCACGCTCTATCACGCCACTATTTGGTCTTGACCCAACAAATAATTTGCTCTAACCGCCCGGCGCCTCAATGTCTCAGTCCCTTTGTTCTAGACTCACTCCGTTTTTCGACTGAAATGATTCCCTTCCTGCATGTCTGGCTTGGTGGGGGGTGGTGGTGTCTGTATTGGGTTTTCTACGTTACGTCATGACATACGGAAGATCGCCGCGGCCCCACTGCAACTGCCGAGAAGGTTATTTTGACGGGTGTGTAACAATGTAACGGTATTTCATCACGCTCAACGCTCAACACCCGACTACGAATACGGGTTGATGAACACAAAACATAATAAATCAAGGCTCGCTAGACTGATCATGTATGATATGGATAGTTTCTGAATCTACCCGCTTAACTTGAAAAAGAAGAAGAAAAAAACGCAGCATTGTCGAGTTCCCTCGCTAGGTAACATCGTGGTGAATACGGCAGCCAACCACCCTCGCGAATGAATACGATGATATGATATAGAACCCAATCTTTCCCTCCGCCGCTCTCGAGCAAGGGAAGTAGAAGTAGTGCCGCCGCCCGGGTACCTAACCCCACCGCCAAACCGAACCATGCGATAGAGACATACCAACCGGGGAACGCCGCGACGCCTGATGCAACAAATCCCACCCAGCCAGCCCCCCCATGCAGCATAGCATGGCATCCATTTTTACCGGCCCACGCCCGTCACCGACTCCAGGTACGACAAAAGGAAGCTGCGGTCCGCCGGCGAGATGGGCGTCTGGCTCCCGCGGCGCGACGTGGCCGCGCTGCCGGCGCCGATGATGGCGGGCTCGTTGGCGCCGGCCGACGCGAACGACGCCACGCGCGAACGCGGCGTGCTGCCGGTCTGGGACGGGTTGTACATGCCGGCGCCTGCGGCCTCCTTCCCCTTGCCCTTCTCTCCGGCTGTGATACTGGCCGGTGAACCACCCTGATGGTGCTGTTGTTGTTGTTGTTGCTGCTGCTGCTGCTCCTTGCTAAAGAGCGAGAGCAGTTTCTGCTTTTGTTCCGAGTTCGAATCCTTGCGGTGCTGGAGCACAGCCGTGGGCTGCTGGTGCTGTGGCTGCTGCTGCTGCTGCTGCTGCTGTTGAAACGAGGGGGTGGAATGCGTGCTGGACGGGGATTGATGCGCGTACGGGAGACTGGCAGTGTGGGCAGCCGCGTAGTTGGATTGGGGGGACCGTTTGGCTTCTTGCTCCATCTGCTGCTGTAGGAAGGCGCGGTCTCGTGGGGAGGGGAGGTTTTGCCGGCCTGCATTTCTTGTATCCGGCGGAGACGGGCCGATGGGACTGAATCGCTGCTGGAGACGCTGCATCTGAGCCATTGCGCTTGTGTACTCTTGCGACTTGCCCTGGTCCCCCTGCTTCGGCCGACTCATAATCTGGACGGGTCGGTATGGCAGGTTGAACTCGGGATTCATCCTCACGGGTGCGCCGTTGGCCTCTGATGCTTGCGCAGTCGCCTCGGTTGTGGACGGCGTCTTGTAGGAGGGGCTGGCGGGCTCGTCTTTCCTTGCAAATCCGGGGCTTTGTTGTGCCCCGCCGGGTTGCATCCTAATCTCGTTACTCAAGGGCGACCTAGCGCCGCCCTTCTTGAACATATCCAATAGTGCTGTCCGATGCGTGTCGGCTGGCTGGGAAGGTTTGGCCCCGGGTTGAGGTTCCGAGGGCTGCATTGTGCGGGGCGAAGTCCTCATCGGTGCAACAGGTCCCATGTGCTGAGGCAAAAATTGCGCGGCGGGGTTTGGTGCTTGCGTCGCCGGCACGTTTGCCCACTGTGCTGACTGATGCTGATGCTGACTGTCTGCCGGCTCAAACGCACTATCCTGGGGTGTATTCCCGCGGGATTTGTTTTCAATATTATCCCGAGGACCGTTCTTGAAAGCACTCAGCAGCGACATTGCGTGGCCGGTCAACTGGCCCGGCTTCGCAGTTTGCTGCTGAGGAGCATAGGTATCATTGGTACGAGCGGTGAACGAATCCAGAGCACCCTGTTGAATATGCTGGCCGCCTTGCTGAGGATGAGGGCCGCCTTGCTGAGGATGAGGGCCGCCTTGCTGAGTAGTTTGGCCAGCCGGCTGAGTATGCGGACCGCCGTAGTGAATCTGTTGGCTGTCTCTTTGAGCATTCTGCCCGCCTTGACCGACCGCTTCCATCAGAGCCGGAGTCGGCAGGATACCCCTAGTAAGAACGGACTGCTGCACTTGCGGTGGTAGCGGCTGTGGATGGAGAAGGACCGGCTCGTTGCGCTGCTGCTGTGCTGGGTTCACGAACGGGTTGCGACCGTAGATCTGAGGCATCGCCTGGGCAGGTGCTTGGACTTGACCGTAATACCCAGAAGGCGCATTTTGGGTGGGGAATGGCGGCATGGGGAAGTTCGGTGATGGTTGGTAATTCGGAGCTGGTTGCCGCTGCGTCTGGTGGTGGTGATGAGGGCCGTTGGGGTCAGGACCGTTCGTGTAGGTAAGATCCGATGGTGCATGTGTGATTTGACTCGTAGGGTGGGGGGCTTGCTGTGGGCTATGCTGTGGCGCCATCTCGGCGCTCTTTTGCAGAAGCGCCATGAGAGCTTCCCCCTTGCCAGCGCTCGAAGCTGACGGACTCATCTGCAAGCTCTGGGCCGGTTGTTGAACGTTAAGAAGGCGCTGAAGCTCGCGCGTAGCCCCCTCCATTGTTTCGATCGCGGGAGCGCCATTCGACGGTGCGGGTGCTGGTTCGGTAGGAGCACCGATGTCGTCCTCGGTGAGAGGATCTTCGGTTGGATGTTGAATGGCCAGGTGAGAGTGAGCGGCAGCCACGCGCGTGCCGTCCTTTTTCTTTTGCTGGACCACCCATTTCTTCAGCGGCACCAAAAACGGGGCGACCATGTAGAACTTGTTCGCGTTTGATGCGGCGGCGGCGTCATCGTGGGAGTTGTTGCCCTTCTTTCGGAAAGCGGGCAGCTCCGACAGTTTATACCACTCCACCTTGCTGATTTCTTTCCGCGTTTTCGGCTCGAAGACGGTATCCATAGGGACGTTGCGGAAAACGTAGAGGCGGATCTGTTGCTCCCTCATAGAGATTTGGATGTACTTGACCTCGTCCTCCTTGGGTACTAGGCCTGCTTGCTTGATGTCGAAGCCGGTTTCCTCGTACACTTCACGGACGGCACAATCGAGGTCGTCTTCATCCTTGTTGATTTTACCTCTTGGGAAGCTCCAATTTGCGCCCTTCTTCCAACCCTTGACGAGCACCGTCGAGTCCATCGCCTCGTTCAGCAGGATGGCACCCCTGACGGGGACTCTTGTTTTGTATAGAAGGAACTCATCGAACGCGCGCATGTGGTTCTCGGCCGAGAAGCCAGCCAGCAGGGGACAGTGCTGGAATATGCGAAGGCAGAAGCTCCGGAGGGACATGGACGGTAGGGTGGGGTCCAGCGGTCGGATGAAGTCTTCGTAGAACCATTGTGCCTCTTCAACTTGGAAACAGATACGCGCGACGGATGAGAGGTCCTCCATGGGGAGGTGGATGATAAAACGGACGCAGAGGTCGTCCAACCCTGGCAGCAAATCAGTCAGTCTCGGGTCACAAAGACAGACATAGAGCGCATAGAGCAGGGCCAACCCACAGTCTTCGAGTTGCATCTTGTGTTCGGCCATGGCGATGTCTTGTATCGAGCATATCCACGGCGGTGGTTGGCAGTTGAAAAGGATGGGTTTTCTAGGGTAATCGGGTACTCTGAAAGGTAAGGCACCCGAATCGTAGACTCGCAGGGTTGTGTCGGGTTAGGTGCTGTCGAGATTCGGGTCGAAGGGCGGGGACTGGCAGCTGCAACGAACTTCCCCACCGAAATGCGCGACGAAGTACCAGAGACAACAAAACAGGTACAAAGGCGCTCAGCCAATGGCTGCGGTGCACGCTTCGGTCCGGAAGTTGGAAATATGCTCGTCAGTGTTGAGATTGGGGATGTTCGGGCGCCGTTGATGTTACCTGCGGGTCAGAATGGGCAAAACTGACTTGCGACGTGTGCAGCTGTGGATGGCATGCATTGTCCCCACTCCGGGACTCACGACGGGATGGTTGCGTTGGGTGATGGCCGAGAATGGATGTGGCATGGATCCCAGAGCCAGCCCAATTCAAGCTGTCGCCACATTACTACGCAAGCCACAGGTCCAAGTTTGTGGCGGTGCATTGCTCCCGGCTTGGTCCCCCACTCAGATTCCGACCCGATCCCTTGGCAGCCTCGGCAGCACAGGGAGGCGTGGGACCAGTGGGAGGCCACCCGCTCAGCGGGGGTACGGACCTGGAGACCTCCTGAACGTCATCGCAAGAAGCAGGGTCTGGGTGAGTTTGAGTTGCACACCCACTGGTCAAGTTTCGTTTGATGATCGGATTAGCCGCAACCATCATGAGACCAATGCAATGCATAAATGAAAAGGGCCACGGCCCGCTAGCCACCAGCGGCTCACACACTTTTCCTCTTCTTCCCCAGGCCCAAAGACCAGACGACCGGGCTAGGATTCCCCAGGCCAGCGCCAAAAGTGTTTCCAATCTGGGCCTCACAAGCGCGCGCCTGAAACCGACAAAGCGCCGCCGTCAACCAATACAACAGCAAATTCCCGCCATCGCAGATCGACAGCAATCAAACCAGCGGCCACAAAGGCCCCAACAAAGCGCCAGTTGTTTATATCTTCGCTTGGCTGCCCTCGAGGTTCTGGTACTTTTTTTCTTGTGTTTTCAACTTACCCAACAACACACACACACAACTCCGAGTTCGCAGTCGTCACTGCGATCAAGACGCCATCATGAACGTTGCTATGAAAGTCTTGACGAAGAAGGCGTTTGAGAACGTCGTCAATAGTCCCAATTCAAAGCTCGTCGATAGTCCCAATTCAGAGGTACGTGCACCTGGGTGTCGCTGGGAATCATATGGTGTCGATGCTGACCACACTCCAAAACATAGAAACCAGTCGCTGTGCGGGAGAATGGCAAAACGAAGATGAAGAAAGGGGGGAGGGACATGCCCCCCGGGCTGTCGGAAAATGACAAGAAGATCCTCAGGCACGTCCGGAGGAAGGCGTATAAATGGGATCAGCAGTTTCGCTTCTGCTGCTGCGGCCCGAGATTCGGCTGGTCGGCCGTCATTGGCCTCATTCCTCTGTAAGCCTCCTTGCTTTACCATACCCTCGAGAGCACGCTTAGCTAACTGTCGTTGCTAGTATCGGCGATGGGCTGGAGCTCCTCATGTCTCTTTCCTTGATTCGGACAGCCTCGAAGGTGGACGGCGGCCTCCCGGGGGGCATCTACTCCATGATGGTTACACATATCATCCTGGATTTCGCAATCGGTTTCATCCCCGTCCTTGGAGACTTTGTCGACGTCGTGTTCCGCGCCAACACGCGCAATGCCTGGCTACTCGAGTCCTACCTGACAGAGAAGGGCAAGGTACTCCTGTCAGGTGTGATCAGAGACGAAGACGAAGACAACGGCACAAAGATCGCGATCGCCGTCCCCAAAGAGCTGCGGCCACAAGGACAGGATGTCGAGCAAGGCGTGGAACCGATGCGCATGGTTGAGCAATCTTCCGTAACCCCCACGGCTGTTCCGCCGGCGTGGACACCGGCTCCGAAAGGGGCCATGCCGCCTCCGGGCCGGAATTTAACGGGGCGAAATGCGCGGGACCCAAGAGACCGCTGAGGCCGGGAGCAAGCGCTAGTTTGGCGTAGGGGCTGTTGCTGAGCAGCAGAGGAAGCTGGCCCAGACTGACAACAAGGAGGAAGGCCCTATTATGGAATTGCATTAGCGTTTGTGTTACTCCCTTTTGTTATTAGAATGCATCTAGCGTGGGGGCTTGGTTTGTGGTTTGGAGAAAGAAAATGACGCCAGCCGTCAGAATAAACGTGGAACCCAAAGCGGTTCACAAATTATGCCGATGCCCGCCCCCAGAGCTGCCTGTCCATGGAGCAAGGTGGATTTGAAGGTATCCAATGTTCAACTTGTCAGGCGATCCGGATGTCCGGATTCCGCGATTCCATTGTGATGATGTTGCGATTATGTTGCGATGACAAACAAGACGGCGGGTCGTCGTCTCTTCCCAAGCCTTCCTCAAGGTGGGTTACCAGGGATCAGCTCAATTTGGCGACGTCGGGGGCGATCAAAGCGCGTGGGAAGCTCCACCAGCAACGGCCAGCCCGTCGAGATGAGCAACGGAAGAGAGCAAGAATCCAAAGCAGTTTTGAACACACCCATTTTGGCAGTTGATGTCCAGATCGGTCGAGTTCAATTGCTAACTAACCGGTTTCGAGGTCAATTAAAACCCATGCGCTTGCCTGAGCTCCTTGCCATCTTGGATGAAGTGGACGCGTCACGGTCTTCAAAACTTTCGGAGAGCACTGTGTCAGAGTGGAGCCGTAAATGGCTTGGGAAGGTGCGAAAACGGCTCTTGACTGGCGAGAGTGGAAGGTTGCGCCGCCCGACTGTCTCGGAGCCGAAGATCTGATAAAGGCGAGGTAAGGCCGGCCAGGCTTCCAGGACACAAGTGGATCGATGCCTGGGGTAAATCCATGACCGAGGGGGCTGGTTCCTCTTGACGCCGCATTTGCCAGGGCCGACGGACCCAATTCGCGTCGACGCGAACCCCTGCAACACAGATTTAGGAGAGTGGGGCCAGCGCGTGCAGACGTGCAAACGTGCAGCATTTAAGAGACGCGCTTCCGGTTCTCCCTCTCTCCAAAACCATCCTTTGTCTACACAATTCCCCAACCCATTACTTCATCACCAACAGCAATTGCCTCTCGACATCTTACCTCAGGTGGCAATTTTCTCTGTCTTGTTTCTACACAACTCTCAATCCCACACACTACACACAATGACTGCCCAGGTCACTCCATCCAAGCAGGTCAGTGCCCGCCCCGCGTCATGCTCGCCCTTTACGCGTCGCGTCGACCCATGCTAACATGCACCACTTAACAGGCTGCTTCCGCGATTGAGGGACTTAAGATGGAATCTCCCGTCAAGAAGCTGAACTTTTCCACATCCAACAAGGAGAACGCGCCCTTCGACGCCGACCTCGCCACCCTCGAGGCAGAGATTGACGCCAACCACCAACAGACAACCATGGATAAGAAGGAACCAAGCGCCGCGGTGGCTCCCACCATCAAGGAGCTTGAGGCCGATGAGCCGCTCCTCCAGGAGAACCCGCAGCGCTTCGTGATGTTCCCCATCAAGTATCATGAGGTACGCGACGCGCCCTGACGCGTAAAGTGGAACGCGTGCTAACACCTCCCTTCAGATCTGGCAGATGTACAAGAAGGCCGAGGCTTCCTTCTGGACCGCCGAGGAGATTGATCTTTCCAAGGACCTCCACGACTGGAACAACAAGATCAACGACGACGAGAAATACTTCATCTCCCACATCCTCGCCTTCTTCGCCGCGTCGGACGGCATCGTCAATGAGAACCTGGTTGAGCGCTTCAGCGGCGAGGTCCAGGTCCCGGAGGCCCGCTGCTTCTACGGCTTCCAGATCATGATGGAGAACATCCACTCCGAGACCTACTCCCTGCTCATTGACACATACATCAAGGAGCCTGCCCAGCGCACGCACCTGTTCAATGCCATCGACACCATCCCTGCCATCCGCAAGAAGGCCGACTGGGCCCTGCGGTGGATCACGGACCAGAAGTCCACCTTCGCCCAGCGCCTCGTCGCATTTGCCGCCGTTGAGGGTATCTTCTTCAGCGGTGCCTTCGCCTCCATCTTCTGGCTCAAGAAGCGCGGCCTCATGCCCGGCCTGACCTTCTCCAACGAGCTCATCTCGCGTGACGAGGGTCTCCACACCGACTTTGCCTGCCTGCTGTTCTCGCACCTTAACAACCGCCCCAGCAAGCAGGTCATCGAGGACATCATCGTCGATGCCGTCCGCATTGAGCAGGAGTTCCTCACCGAGGCCCTGCCGTGCGCCCTGCTCGGCATGAACTCCAACCTGATGAAGCAGTACATCGAGTTCGTCGCTGACCGTCTCCTCGTCGCTCTCGGCAACGAGAAGGTGTACCGGTCGACGAACCCCTTCGACTTCATGGAGAACATCTCTCTCGGCGGCAAGACCAACTTCTTCGAGAAGCGCGTTGGCGAGTACCAGAAGGCCGGCGTCATGGCCAGCACCAAGAAGCCCCAAGACGACGTGGAGGAGGTTAAGGGCGAAAACGGCGGCGACTTCACTTTCGATGACGACTTTTAAGCCGTCTCTCTTTGACCGTCTCTTTCCTTGCTCTCTAATACCCCCTGTACTCGATATTTCCTCTCTTTTCCCTGGCGGCATCTTCTGGCATAGAAGTGGCAGGGCTGTCGGTTTACGTCTCGCCTCGTTGGAGAGGTTGGATATTCTTTCACATGTACATATGCTGCGCGGGCGGGACCGTGTTTGCACAAGGCGTTGGGCGTTGGGCGGTGCCCGCTAGGTCTGGTTCATGAGGGTATGCGGTGGTGATGAGGAAAACGTTTTAGTATGTATGAGTAGATTCTCATACGAGGAATCAAGCTGCGAACACATCTTGTCCCATTGATCTAAGTTATGTTGACTGTACTTGCCCTGCCATGCGTGTCCTTCATGTAGTAGTTGTCCCAACCTCGAGTTCCCGCCAACCGCGTGCCTCCCTGCCGCACCTGCTCCTAACGTCCTTCGACCGGCCATCACGATCTCAACATTCGCGATTCAGGTGTCAACAAAGTCTCTCAGAATGCTGCCTTGATACAAATACTCCTAGTTTATTCGCCACTCTAATAACCCCCTTTTCCTCACCTCTCAGAATGTAACCAGCCAGGTACGGCCGTAACCGTAACAGACAGCACACGCCTCACTTCTTCCCCCTCTTCTTCTTCTTCCCACCGCCACCCCCCTGCTGCTGCTGCTGCTGCTCTTTCCCACCCGCACCAACACCAGCACCAGCACCACCCGCACCCCCCCCAACAGCAGCCGGCGTCTGCACCCCACTGCCCCCCTCCACCTCAGCACCGGCCACATCCACCATAACCTCATCCTCCCCCCCTACTGCTGCTGCTGCTGCTGCTGCTACCGGCTCGGCGGCCAGCCCGGCCATGCCGCGGCCCAGCGTGCCCAGCATCTGCACGAGGCGCGTCACCTCGGCGGCCTTGGAGGTCTTGTACTTGAGCGTCACGCCGCTGTGCGGGTCGTAGGTCTTGAGCACGAGGTGGCCGCGCGGGGGTTTGGCGTCGGCTTGGGCGGGTTGGACGGCGGGTTGTTTTTGTGCTGGGGGTGCTGGTGTTTGGGCGGTGGTGCTGGTGGTGGTGGCGTCGGATTTCTTGGGCTTGGGGACTCGCCGGGCGGGTTTGAGGTGGTAGCGGGTTGTGATGCGCGTCTAGTTGGGACGGGGTGGTTAGTGAGGGTGACGGGGGAGGGGTTGAACGGGAAGGGGGGCGTACTGTTGAGGGACGGGCTTGGAGGAGGAGGGCGGACTGGTGCAGCCAGTCTTCGGATTTTGCGTAGTAGGGCATCTTGACGGGTTTTGTGGTGAGGAAGGTGGTTTGGACTGGGTGGTGGGAATGGAGAGGACCCGTGTCGCGTGAGGCCAACCGTCGGGATTGCTGAATTGGGGCCGCTGTGAAAAAATGCGAATGGAGGTGCTGGGTTTTGCAAGACGTCCGGCAAGTCAAACTGTTCTGTGTCTGTGGGGGACCACTCCGAATCGCTATCTGGAGGTGGCTACGCAGTGTTGCACCGTCGAGGGTTCTCGGTTGGAGTTTTGGTGCTCTCGCGGTGAGTTCCGCAGGTGCATTTCAGTGGGGTCAGCCGAATGCGGGGAGCTCTCGCGCCCCACCCCTGGACGCCCCGAGTCAATCCCAGGATGCCATTCTACTTGTATATATATACCTTCACAATTAACACGGTTTACACCTGAACGCCGCAATATGCAATGGGTATCTCGATCCATCCCGATGCCATCATTCAGCATCCGCCCGCGCCATGAGTTCAAACAGCCCCAAACAACCCTCCCGATTCCGCCGCCCTATGCATTAGGATCAGGCAGCCAGAACATGAGGTCTTGGTCCGCCGAGGCAATCATGTTGTACCGGGGATTGTACGCCACTACAGCCGCCTCTCGTTTCTCCTCCAGGATATGCGCCGGCTCGAGCACTTTGTCGCTTCCGGGCGTCCCCAACGTGTCCCACACGAGGAGGTCTGACTTTGCCCCGCTGATTACGTAGCGGCCGTCCGGGGCAAAGCAGCATTCGCCGCTGCTCTCCATATTGCCTCCTTCCAACTCCCCTACGCCCAGGCGCCTCGTGCTAGCACCCGGCTTTTTCAAGTATGCCTTCAGACTGCCGTCGAATGAGTCCAGCAGGAAGTGGCCGTCGCCACGCGACCCCAAGAGAAGGTGCTTCCCGTCGTTCGAGAACTCGAGTTTCGTCCAGCCTCGGAAGCTAGCCTCTGTGTCGGCTGGTCCGCGGGCCTTCAGAACGTCGAAGACGGAGAACGGCACCTTTTCGTAGTTGCGGTAGTCGTAAAGCAGGATGCTCCCGCTTGCCGGTGACGCCACGGCAAAAACGTTGCCCGATGGGTCCCAAGCCGAAAGGTACGGTGTGGTCAAAAAGAGCTTGCCCGTCCACTGCTTCGTCCCAATATTCCATATCCGTACCGTATTGTCAAGGCTGCAGGAAATGAAATTGTCGGCGCCGGGGTGGAGCGCGAGGTTGGTGACCGCGCCTTCGTGTCCCTCAAAGTAGCGGATAAACGAGTTGTCGTGCGTTGCCAAGTAACGGATCGCGTCTGCACCAGGTCAGTCACCGGCATTGCCGACACCCACGGAGAACCTACCATTCTGCTGAGTGCTGGCGTAGATGATGCTCGAGCTCGTGTGGGTAAACTTGGCCAGTTTTACGCCGTACTTTTTGCTCAGCAAGCTCTTGTCGTGCCGGCCATCCTTGACGTTGTAGATCTGGATGGTCTCGTCGCTCTCCGACGTCATACAAAGCTCTCCCGGGTCGTCGAAGTCAATGGACAGGATGGATGGTTGAGATTTGCCCTCCTTGATGTCGTCCCGTTGGAATAGCTGGAGAATATCGTTAGATATGTTAGAAACACACGACATAAAGAACCCACTTTGGTCGGTCTGTACGATGCGATCACATCGCTGACGGCGGTGGTGCTGGGCACATTGGCTCCCAGAGCCCGCGTGAGATTGAACGATGGGGTCGCCGTTGCCGAAGGTGCGTCGTCGAGGTCCATTGGGGTGGAAGCCATGTTTATTGTCCCGTTACGCGCCGGGATGGCTCAATTGGTGGGGAAGGGAGATGGGAACAAGCTCAAGGAAGACAGACGGGGTTCTGCCGGGCGGTGAACTGGACAATGAGACTCGCGAGACAATGCACAGTGCCCCACCAAGCAAGCCAAAACCGCCAGGGTCCAAACTGCATTCGAGGCCCGATTCCCGGAGGATGGCCAAGCCGGGCCCGATGGCCAAAAAATGTTCTGCGCGAAAGCTTCGGCTTGTTCGCAGCGCGACCGACCCAGAAAAATGGACCGCGCACGCTTCAAGGATGGCCCGACTTCGTCTGGCTCCGACAACCGCAAGCCAGGAGAGGAAATTCCCACTTTTCTGCGGTTGCAAGGGCCGGGAAATTGATCAGCGCTGCGACACAGGCGAGTCAGCGTGAGACCGCGCGGATATAAGCGGCCTTGCCATGCAGCCTGACCGCAGCATTCTCTTTTAATTATTCTATTATTCTATTTCTTTGTTTCCGTGTACATGTCGCCCAGAAGTTGACAGACCTTTCTCCCGAATCCCCTCCCTCGAGAAAGCCGAGTCCGGCTCGCCATTGGGCGCATCCTCCCTCCCTCCGCAGGGCCGATTTCGGCAGCCCGTGAGCACGACACCACAAAGCCAGCAGCAGGATGTCAACAACAGCTGGGTAGGTGTCGTTGCGCACAATCTCCAAGAGGAAGAGAGAGAAGAACCGTATATGACACGAAATCTGACATGGCTGTCCCTCCAGCGCCTTCATAGCGGGCGGTATCGCCGCCTGCGGAGCCGTGACGGCGACGCACCCCTTCGAGACGGTCAAGATCCGCATGCAGCTGCAGGGCGAACTACAAGACAAGGGCCACCAGCCGCATCACTACCGCGGGCCAGTCCATGGCGTGTCTGTCATCGTGAGGAACGAGGGGGTACGCGGCATCTACCGCGGCATCGGGTGCGCCTACATCTACCAGATCCTGCTCAACGGCTGCCGGCTCGGCTTCTACGAGCCCATGCGCCACAGCCTGTCCACGCTCCTCTTCAAAGACGGCAACACGCAAAGTCTGGGTATCAACATGTTCTGCGGCGCTGGATCGGGCATCATGGGCGCTGCTGCAGGGAGCCCCTTCTTCCTGGTCAAGACGCGGCTGCAGAGCTACTCGCCTTTCCGGCCGGTCGGCACACAACATCAATATCGGAACGCGTGGGACGGCATGAGTCAGATCTTCCGGAGCGAGGGCATACGCGGCCTGTACCGCGGCGTAGGAGCGGCCATGATCCGGACGGGTTTCGGGAGCTCCGTGCAGCTGCCCACATACTTCTTTGCCAAGCGCCGGTTAATGAAGCACCTGGGCATGGAGGAGGGCACCCCACTCCATTTGGCCAGCAGTACGGCGAGCGGTTTCGTTGTCTGCGTGGTGATGCACCCGCCGGGTAAGTTATGAAGGTGTGTGGGTTTGTGAACAGCGTTGAACTAACTCCGGGCAGACACTATCATGTCTCGAATGTACAACCAAAACGGCAATCTATACAAGGGAGTCTTTGACTGCCTAGGGAAGACCATACGGACCGAGGGTTTCTTTGCCATCTACAAGGGTTTCCTTCCTCATCTGGCTAGAATTCTACCACACACGATCCTGACGCTTACTTTGGCGGAGCAAACCAACAAGCTCGTCAAGAAGCTCGAGGGCCGGTTTTTTCCCTAGCGCCGCGTTGGAGACGGTATGACGGGATCGGCATTTAATATGGCGTTCGGTAGATCTGCATTTGGGCGCCTTTCCGCGTTTGATACCAACTCAGGTGGGAGTCCTAAAAGCGAGCGCAACGGTGGCTGCGATGTATTTTTCGAGGGGGCGGGAGGCAGATTTGAGGCTTAGATAAACTAGACAATGTGTTAACCACGGTGTATTTTGATAGCCAATGCGATGCACGCTCTACCCGGCAGTCGACCTCTCACACCCGTAACACAACCTCCCCGTCCCCGTCCCTGATCTCTCCTGAATTCCCAGCTCCCCCCTCCACCTCTCATCCCCGTCCTCATCCAGGGGCATCCCGCACAGGCCACACCACTCCCCTCCCGTTCCGTCTTCTCCGCCCCGCACTAGCTTCCCCGTCGTCCGCGCGACATTGGCGACAACAGACGGGTAGCTCTCCTCGACCTCGGCGAAGTACCGCCCCATCACCTCCTCGATACTGAGGTCCTTGTGGGAGACGACGGCCGCCGCGCCATCATCCTTTGTCTCCCATACAAGCTCAGTCAGCGGCGGCTCAACCAGCCCGGCGTAGATGACCAGCTCCTTGCGCAGGGCGTCGCGCAGGGGATGGTACACCAGCACTCCCTTGTCACTTCCCCCCTTCTCCCCATCCTCTTTTCCTCTCCCCTCCGCCTCCTTACTCCCATTCCCCCCCCCCTCCCCATGACCGTTCTCCTCCCCCTCCCCAACCTCTCCCCCCTCACCACCACCACCCCCCTCCACCCCCAACCCCAACCCAGACCCCACCGCAGGCGCCAACCCATCCTGCACCAGCCAAGGCAGCGCAAACCCCCTCCCCTTAGCCGCCTCCGCCAGCGTCAGCTCCGCCAGCGCCGTCGTGCTGTGGCCCAGCAGCAGCGCCTGGCAGCCGCGGGCGCGCGCCTGTGCGAGCAGCGCTCTCCGCGTCAGCAGGCGGGCCACGTCGCTGCGGGAGGCGGCTGTGGGGAGCGGTTGTGCTGCTTCTGTTTGTTCGGGGGTGGTTAAGGGGATGCGGTGGAACGTGAAGCGGGGGTAGCGCGTGCGGAAGCGGGCGAGGGCGGTTTCGGCGGGGGGGGTGGTCTCTGGGTTGGAAAGGGGGGTTGTGGTGGTGGTGGTGGTGTCGATGTGCACGACGGTGAGGTCGAAGGGGGCGTTGCGGCCGCGGGCGAGCTGGAACTCGATGTTCTCGCTGAGGAGGTGGAGGAGGACGGTGGAGGAGATGCCCAGGGAGAGGCCGACCATGTAGTGGCGGGTGCCGGTGGGCGGGCCGCCGGTTTTGGGGAGAGGGAGGCGGGTCTCTTTGCCTAGGATGCCGGTCTGCTTGATGCATTTGGCGGCGATGAACTTGGCGAAGCAGTCTCTGGAGATGAGTTAGTCATGTTTTATGGGTTTCGAGGAAATGTATGGGTTGCTACCTGCATACAGGCTGGGACCTGCTGTCAAGGGTCGCCTCCTGAACACGACATTTCATACAGGGCCGTGAGAGTGACCCCTCTGCCCTTGGTGTAGACTCGGTCATGGGATATGTTAACGGGTGACGAATTTAATTAAATAAAAATGTAGCGTTGAGATGTGGTCAAAACCCAAGACTTTGAAACCCAACTTTTTCAGCCGGGTGTAAATAACGCCGATAAAATCCCAGGCAATCGAGCTTGTAAGAGTTGAGTTCTTGACTCATTTAGGAAGGTATTCAAGGTCAAGTTTTGTGGTCTCATGCTGCGCAGAGCTGGGTTAGGGTTAGGGCCGGGCATAAAAAAGGGGTCAAGACGGAGGAGACAATACGGCCTATAAATGGCCTCGAGACAGACGGGGTTCTTTATGTCTCCTGAGTGCCGTAGTTATTGACTAAGAGCTACTGATACCCAATCCATGGGTATAATCTCCTGTTACTTATGTGGAAGCACCACTCCTAACCCCCTATCACCCCCTAACCCCCCCTCCCAGTCTTATAAACACCCACACCCCTCACGGAAACCTCTCATAAGCAGGCCTCTTCTGAAACCCCCTATCCATCCCACCATCATTATCACCATCACCATCAACCCCCCTCGCCTCCAGGTACGCATCAAACCCACCCCCAACATCCACCGCCGCCAACACCGTATTGACCAACGCCCCGAGCACCGTCATCACCACCACCGCGGCAAACAGATTCGACGCCGTGCCCCCCACGCCCACACTCAGCGGCACCCCCGCCGCCACCGTCCCCACCAGCCGGGACGCCGCCGCCCCAATGGCCTGATACGCCGCAAAGCTGGTCGCAGCGCCCGCGGCCGCCGCCCAGTCCAGGCTGCGCGCCCACAGCGCGGCTTGGGCGCGGCGGCGACTGCTCGCCGTGTTGTTGAAGTAGACCTGGGCGAGGTTGGCGACGGCTGCGGCGACGAGGAGGAGGAGGAGGGGGATGCCGCCGAGGACGACGAAGCTGGATTGTACGGAGAGGGCGAGCGCGGCGAGTGCGAAGTTGCCGCCGCCCTTGGTGGGCGGGATGTCGGCGGCGAGCTGGCTGGGGCGCTTGGTTTGGGGCGTGGCGAGGCTGGGGGTGCAGTTGAAGGGGGCGGGGCCGAAGCAGAGGCCTGGTTTTGGGTTAGTGGGGTGGTGAGGTTGAGGGAGGGGGCGTTGGGATGGAGGGCGTACCCCAGAAGCCGACGCGTATGTCGATTTGGATGGTTTGGCCGCCGATGGTGACGGGGCCGTTGGAGCGGGCTACGATGGGGGATATCCCGCTGACGGAGTCGCTGATGCATCCTATGGATAGGATCACTGTAGATTTCCGTCAGTTTGGGTGGTAAGGGACGGTTAGGGGGCGGGGGGGGAGTACAATAGAGGATCAAGCTAATAAGGGGAAATGCAATAACAAGAACAACCCGAGGCGTTTTGAGAATCCCTACAGTGCGTTAGCTTGAGGGCTTCGATGGAAGAGTGTGGATAAGTAACAAACATGTGGGCATTGGCTTAGACGCCATCTATCAACTTGATTCATCAGCACATGAGGATAATATCACGGAGATTTTGGAACGCCGTACCTTTCGTCGTCGACCGCCGGTATCTCTGTTCTATGGAGGCCAGCGCTGAATCGACACTTTCAGCATATCGATCTGAAGGTTATTGGCTGGCCTCCATGCTGCGTTGGGTGTGACATTACTAGGACATAGATCAGAGGTACTGGCCACAAGAAGCGGGCAAGCCTCTGGTTATAATCACAGCCTGAAGGCGCGGGTGCATCTCCTCCCCCATACGCTTCCGGCACTTCGGGAGTTCGGCGGCCCGGGGCCACATAGATAATGGTTCCTGCCGTTTGGCAGTTTTAAGAATTAGAGTCACATATGGCGTCGATCATCCACAAGATTCTCAAGACTCGATATGGCGTTTCACGAATGCCGTTTTGACCCTCCCGGCATACCCAATAGGGTGCCGACTATGGTTTCAGCTGAGACCTCTTCTAGTGTCGCATTGACCCTCAATAGTCTCCAAACACCAGACCCAGACGTGCCGTGCTTGACGGTTGAGACTACTGGCTGCCGAACAAGCAAGCTAGATCGCCGCTCTCAAACCAAGCACGATCCTTCCGCCAGGCGTTCAGGACGATGTCCTTCCCCACGCCGACCACCTGCCGCACCTGTGCCTCCGTTCCCCAACCCGGCGCCTTGGGGCCCCAGGCGATAAGGTGGGTGCCGATGTGAAGGGCGGCACGGAAGGCGAACTCATCATCCACGTGGCCATATCCTGTCGTGAACCCCTCGATTATCCACTTGCCCTCCTCTATCCACTGGAACAGGAAGAGCTCGTAGAGTTCGGCAATCATTTGTCCTAGGTCGAATGAGGGCAGGTTGAACTGGCAAACCTCCCAGTCTACGACAAAGACTGGCATTTGGTTTCCTTCTTCCAGCGGTTGGCTGGGCAATAGGACGCTGTTCGCGTGTGAGTTTTCTCCTTTTTCCAGCCTACTTGCTCATAAGATGTAGGATACTCACTTTCCCGTCCAGAAATCTCCATGGATGACCTGGAGAGCTGGGTTTTGGAGTTCTTCGGCCGTGAAATCCCTGATCTTCTCGAACGTTTCCTTCGCATCAGTAAGGATGGCCGGGAAGTCGGCAACAGTGGATACCAGAGTCTCGTAGGTTGACATGTGCTTGATCTGCCGCATCTCGTCGTTTGCCTTGGCCTGCTCCCTGAACTTGGCCTGCTCCGGATGCGAGGCCCAGACATGGAAATCGCGGAGCCACACCCCCAAGCTGCGACCCAGTTCGAGACAGAGAGGCTTTCTAGAGGGGTCCGGAGAGGCGAAATGCTTGAGAGCGTAATGCTTCAGGCTCAGCGCGTTGGGCAAGTACTGCTGGACTTGCGTGTTCGTTTCTAGGTTCGAGTAGTAGAGCTTGGGCGTTTGAACAACGTAGGCACCCTTGGCCGGCGGGAGCTCGTTGAGGGCCTTCAGGCACTCTACCTCGGCTTTCTATGCAGCCGTTAGTGATATGGCGTGGTGTCTCTCGAACTTGAATCGGGACTTACACAGCGGGTTGTGGGGAGCAAGAAAGCCGGAATGGCGGCCAAGTAGTCCTCGCCATGCTTCACGGCAACCTCCTTGGTGCCATCGGAGAGAGGCTTGGCCAGGGTGCCCTTGAAGATGAAGTTGGCCATCCCCCCAGAGAGGGGTGCCAACGACGAGCACGCATAGTCGGTGCCGCTGAGGCTCTGGAGGACCTCCTCGGATAGTTTGGCTACCTTGGGGTCGGCCATAGTTTCGACTATTGATGTCGTAGAGGGAAAGTGTCAAGTTGTTAAGTTGTCAACAACCGGGAAGGCAGGACGCAATGATGAGACGACTTGACCAGTGCTGATATACCTCTTCGCTACTCGTGAGAGACCACACACTTTTATATTCGTACTTTCCCCGCGCATCCCTTTGTGAACACCGAAACCCAACTTGGGTATTTACACAGTACCGAGATACCTTCCTGGCACGATCCTTTAGCAGTCGCTGGGCTCGAGAGGTGATCGGCGGGTCGAGAGGCCCCGAAGCCGCACCTCGATGCGAGCATGAGCCAATCATCAGGGTCGTGTTGGCCCCTCTCTCGGAGCTCTGACTCTTCGCCGACGTCGTGTTGACAAAGCCCCACTCTCCTCTCCAGAAAATCCGTGCATCGATCCAAGTGAGACAGCGGGGAATCTGAACTCGAAGGTTTGAATCCTCTCCAGATTATTCTCAACGTCTGCCAGGATACTCTCGATAAGTTCAGCGAGGTTTCAAAGACGAACTCCTCGTCTTTCTTTTTCGGGGGGTACAAGTGATGGTCCAAGACGGCATCGCGATAGTGGTCATGCATCGGATTCCAACCTTGCGAATGTCAACTTGTGGTTAGTTAACTATTGCGAATCCAAAGTCGAACTCGTCCAATTTAAACTCGGGAGCTTGGACAAAATCAAGACAGAAAAGAAGCACGCGGTTCTCCAATTTTACCCGTTCATGCCAAGCCCACTCGGCAATGTCCCACAGGCCCACACGCCCGAGAACAACAAAAAGCACAGCTCAGCCAGTGGAGAGCGCGGCCAAGCACCTCTGGACCTCGATGCTCAGCGCTGAAACAGGGCCAGCTCTCTGATACCACCTCCTGCGTCAGCACACAGGTCGGCCACACACCACCACCCACCCTCGCTTTGCCGCATGAAGAGCCGTCTCGAATTGTTTTGACTGCCGCCAATGGCTTGGTAACTAGCCTCATCCCGCATATCGAAGCCGCCTTCAAGCCGCCATCAAGCCTCCCGAGGAATCCCCATCAGCCCGAAATCGACCTTCACGCGCCTCCTGCAGCCAAGTCGTCAAATTCCGCCACTCGATGCTTGTTGACGTTGCTGCGCGCATGTCACCCCCAGTTACGGCGTTAGCGCCGCTGCTGACCGTTTGACGATTCGAGGTTTCACCAACGTGAGCCTTGGTCGTGGCACGAGGCCAGGCGCTTCCCGTCGGTAACTCGCTGCCTCTCGCCCGACTGCGCACCTGGAGAAGTCACTTTCCGGTAGTCACCGATCCTAGCCCAAACCAGGGCGGCGCCTACGCAACAACAACGACACCCACCACCCCCGGGTCAGGCGCATGTATGTATTCGCGTTTGTCTCGGAGAGGTTCCCTGCTTGAGTCATCACCACATATTCACCGCCAGCCCTGGTCCTAATTGGATCTCGACCACTGCCCGCCCGCAAGCCTCGACTTTTCCTTCGATTTTTTACTTCGAATACAACCTCGAAGGTGTCCCTCGTTTGAATCGCTTTTTCCTTCCTCTTCGCATATCCACCACCACCGCCGCCGCTACTACATACAGCTCCCGCTTGCTTATTTACATGGGCGACCTACCATGGCTCAAGTGCACACACAACTAGCGGCCTTGACGATCGCCGACCCACGGGTCGATGCGCAGGCTCCTAAACCAATCCCCGTACCGCCGCAAACGACAGCGCCCGAATCCAAGAGTCGTGGTCGTCTAGCCGCCGACGCATATTCGCCCGTAAATCAAAACGGTAGCTTCGAGTTCGACCGCGTTATCAAGAGCGGTTATGTACAGAAGCGCACGCAGAAAACAAAGGTAGGGCTTACATCTACGGGCCCATACATGTACCTCGGTGGAATGCACGCTAACCCCGACATGCAGACATGGCGCACCATCTACTTGGTCCTACGACCGAACACGCTATATATCTACAAGTCGGATAAGGAGGAGAAGCTCCGGCGCAAGGTTTATCTTTCCGACCTGACCGCGGTGACGCTGTTAAAGGACCCAAAGAACAAACGGCCGAACGTCTTTGGCCTGTTTTCGCCTGCAAAGAACTTCCACTTCCAGGCGCCGAGCCTGAAGGATGCGCAGGAGTGGGTAGAGCTGATCCGGCAAGATGCCAGGATAGAGGAGGAAGAAGAGGAGATGTTCTTAGCCAGCCCGACCGCACGTCAGCCTTCTTTTTTCCACGGCGCCGAGGTTGATAACGACAATGGCCGCCAGATTCGCGCCCTGGCGTCGCCGGAGCACTTCTTATCGAGCTCCCCCGAGCCCACCGAGCCTCCGATCCGCAATCTTCCAAAACCATACGCACGACGGCCGTCACACATAGACTCGTCTGGCCTTTCGGGCGCCGAGCTAGCAAGCCACTCCGACTTCTCGGATTCCGACATGCACCGTGTCCCGGGCGCTTCGTTCGAGAGTCTGGCAGCCCATCAACCATCGACATCGCCTGCGCTGCCCAGGCCCAGTATAGGTACCATCAACAACAACCGAGTCAGCGGGACGCACCAAGACGCCGACCCGGACCGCGTTATCTGGCAGGGTTGGATGTGGTTTCACCGCAGCAAGGGGGGAGTCCGGCAATGGAAGAAGTCCTGGGGCGTTTTGCGACCAAGAAATTTCATCCTTTACAAAGACGGCGCCGAGTCGTCCGTCTTATTCTTACTTTACATGTCGTCAATCGTCAACGTGGTCGAGACAGACTCGAAGAGCCGGACCAAGAAACACTGCCTGCAGATCATCACGGACGAGAAGAGCTACCGGTTTTGCACCCACGACGAAGAGGCCCTTGTGCAGTGCCTGGGCGCATTCAAAAGTCTGCTTGCCAAGCGCCGGGAGCTGGAGGCCAGGGCAGGGACACCCAGCGCAGCGGCGGCTTCGACTGCGGCCACAGTGGCGGCCACGACGACAGCCACAGCGGCACCTGCGACCGAGACTCGCTCCCCACCCGCCTAATTCAATAATTTTCTTTAATATCGGGCGGATTCTTGCGAGTTGCTTGGGATACCCGGTCGACCTTTCGACCACACGCTTTGGGGGGGGGGGGGGGGGGGGGGGGGGGTGCAGGGGAGGGGACGGTGGCATCCAAGGGGGCCGTATTGCCTACCTAGTTCGTTGGCGACCTAATGGCGCAGTCAGGCGCTTTTTTCATGTTCAATTCTTACGACTGACGATGAGTATATGACGGATAGCCCTGTAATCACATTTTAGCCCAGCGGAGAGTAACCAGTCGGAGGACCGGCATAGACATAATTAAATGTTCGTTACTATTGTTTCCCCCGGACTTCCAACTTTGGCAAGACCATGCCCGTGTTCCGGTCATCTATTATGCCTCCCTGCTGGACCAAGGCAGGCTACTGCAAATCTCCGTTATCAAGAAGTTGGTGTCGCCCTGACACCGTGCCACGGCGCACCGTCACCCCAGTCTAGCAGGGTCCTGTCCACGAAGACTCCTATAAATTTCCGGTGATTCACAACCACAAGGTTTGGTGTGACCATGGCTTAAACTTGGAAGCTGGGAATGACCGCGAAGGAACGGGTCCCAGGGGCTAACCACGGAAAGGACCGGGCCAGCCGTGGCTGAATCATGACCAAGTGCAGATTTGATGGCTCAGATGGCTTGAGTTTCGTGCTGTGGCATGTGGCCAAGCGTGCCATCTCAAAACAAGAACTTGGACACCACCATTGGTCGTTGAAACAGGGCCGCAAATGGTATCTCGATAGACTTCCTTGCTTGTGCGACCCAACTCTCAAACCGGCCAATCCCAGCGCACCTTTTCCCACAAACTGCCGTCGGCTGAGAGCATAACCACATGCCACTGAATGCTAGTCGACAGACATATCATTTAACTAGGAAAGGGGGTATGGGGTGGGTGGTTCACCGGCTGATGTCTCCTGGACAAGCACTAATCGATCACAAGCTGAAGTCGTCCTCCAACACCCCTTTTCCATGGCCCCAAGCAAGGAAGGAGGCCAACAACCGGATGGTCACCTAACCCGGCACTTGAACCCGATATGGGGCTAAGGCGATGGCCAAGATTTCTGCGAGACCTCCAAGACCTGCCATGCGCCTTGTCATTCGCCTGTCCCCTCATGAACCCCAATTCGGGCCGCCTCCAATCACAAGGACGAGACCACGGGTCCGGGTTGGATGCGTGGGTGTTCCGTCATTTTCGACCACCGAAACAAACCTGTGCCCCTCGAGATCTTTCTGGCGGGTTGGCCTCGGCCCTGGTGGGCGAACTGGGAAGGTAACTCTCCATGAGAACCCCCCCTCGCCCCCCTCTGCTACCCAACACTCCTCCCGCGTGCGGCTGGCGAGTGAGCCAAGACGATGCAACCGCGTGGAAGAAGCAGGCGAGGCTGTTCGGCAGCAAGACGGGAGAAAGAGAAAGAAGAGCGCTGTAACCTTCCCGATGAAAGTTCCTGGTTTTTCAGGTGCGATATGTCCAAGGTGAACCCCCTATTCAGGAGGGATCAGCTGGGAACTGGACTTACACCTGATATATTAAGTCATGACCTCGGCAGCTCCCGTGCCTGCCCTGGGGCTGGCTGGAGTTGAAATATCACCCCCCTAAGGACTCTCGTTGAGATCGATAAGGGCAAAGTGCCGCTCGTTCACTTCCCCTTCACTCCCTTCGTTTATCTTCGGACTACCATAGCATTCGTTCTTGTCAAGTCAAATCTCAGCCCATGACTTTGGCCTGAGTTAGAGTTAGACGTCAGCTCTACCGTTTCATACTTTACTAGAATATCATCATATCCTCCCCCGACACCACCACTGCCTCAACCCCTCCATCACAACCCGTCCACAGGAGGGAGTAACCCCCCCCCCCCTCTGCAAAACAATGGCGCGCCTCCACCACCTCCTCACCCTCCTCGGCCTCCTCACCCCCCTCACCACCACCACCACCACCACCACCACCACCACCACCGCCACCGCAGCCAGCATCACCCCCCCCACCCTCCCCCTCTCCTCCACCAGCCGCTGGATCGTCGACGCCACCGGCACGCGCATCAAACTGCGCTGCGTGAACTGGGCCGGACACATGGAGACCAACCTGCCCGAAGGCTTACAACACCAGTCCGTCGACTTCCTCGCCGACTGGATCGCCGCGCAGGGGTTCAACTGCGTGCGGCTGACCTACAGCACCGACCACGCGCTGGACCCGGACCGCACCGTGTCCGCGTCGTTTGAGGGCGCGGCGGCCGCGGCGGGGATTGCGCGCGAGGAGATGGTGGCGTTGTATGAGCGTGTGCGGGCGCGGAATGCGTGGATTGGGGAGAATACGACGACGCGCGATGTGTTTGCCGCCGTGGTGGATGGGCTGTATGCGCGCGGGGTGGTGACGATTCTGGATAACCATGTCTCGCGCGCGTCGTGGTGCTGTAATCTGTGGGATGGGAATGGGTGGTGGGACGAGGGGTTTGGGTATAATGAGTGGAACAGCCGGTTCTTCAACACGCAGGAGTGGCTGCGCGGGCTGGAGGGGATGGCGGGGTGGGCGGCGCGGGGCCACCCGGGGGTGGTGGCGCTGTCGCTGCGCAACGAGCTGCGGGCGTTCCTGCTGCAGGACCTGAACGGGCGGGCGGACTGGTACAAGTACGTCAAGGAGGCCGGGGACCGGGTGCACGCGGCGCACCCGGACGCGCTGGTGGTCGTGGGCGGGGTGCAGAGCACGACGGACCTGCTGCACCTGCGGAGCGGCGACGCCGGCGCCATGCTGGACACGAGCGGGTGGGCGGGCAAGCACGTGTGGGAGATGCACGCCTACAGCTTCACCATCACCTTCCCGGACGCCTTCAACAACTGCGACATCGTCAAGGCCCAGTACGGCGCCTTTGTCGGCTTCGTGCTCGAGCAGGACAAGCCCTACACGGGCCCGCTGATCCTGAGCGAGTTCGGGGTCGGCATGGAGGGCGGCGAGTTTGACGGCCTGAGCGAGAAGGACGACCGGTACCTGAACTGCTTGGTGTCGTATATGCAGAACAACGACGCCGACTGGGCCGTGTGGGCCATCCAGGGGAGTTATTACGTGCGCGACGGGAAGACCGATTTTGATGAGACATGGGGCTTGATGAACCGCAACTGGACTGACTGGAGGAATCCGGGTTTTTCTGCCAGGTTGGGCGATATGTGGAAGATGACGCAGCAGCCGTGAGTGTGTACCCGACGGTGTTGCTTGCTCCTTGCTGTCTTGATTTTCTTTCTTCTTTCTTGTAAATAGCTGCGGCCTTAGATATGTACCCCGGATTCCTAGTTAGGTAGCTGGGACGTGCCTTAAGAGGCAGGAAATCTTTAGGATAATTATCAGTGAAATTTTGAACCCCGAATAAATCTCGAGGGCCCCTGATGCCTCGAGGCAAACCTGGTATCTAAGTGTGAAACCCTACATATCCGAAACTCCGTTGCCCCAAGTCATTCTCAGTACCCAGATCATCCATTGAGATTGAAGAAAGCGTCGTCAAACTCTCCCGCCCCACCATTGTTGTCGCCTGTAGGGAAGTACATGTCGTTGAAGTTGCTGTTGTCTCCGTTGCCGAGGTCATATTCAAGATCAATGGTGTCGAGGTCGCCGGGACCCAAATCGAAAAGCCCGTCGATCTTGTCATCAACGTTGCTAATGGTGTTAGCGTCCCCGGCTTTGATGTCCGGGATCCCAACGTCCATGTTGGCCACATCCGCTGGGCCCCCTTTGAATTGCTCCATTTGGTGGCCCAGGACATCCCCGCCCCCGGCGTTCGTGATACTGGTTCCTGGCGGGGGTGGTTGCTGCTGTGGCGCTGTTCTTTGCGGTTGCGGGACCTGGTTTTGAAGGTGCGTATCACCAGGGGGAGGCGCCACAGAGAAGGTCATGTCTGTGAATATGTTCCCATTTCCGGCGACGGGGGCCGGTGGCGTGGCAGCGCTGGTGGCCGAGGCATTAGGGGTCAGGCTGGACGCCTGCCTGTTTGCTGCCGCCGTGGCAACAAACGACGCTTTGGGTTGAGCTGAGGCGTTGAGAGGCGTTTGAGGGGCCGTTGCCACGCCACTTGGCCGGTGCAAGTGTGGTGAGGGGACCTTGACGTCCTTCTTTTGTGGAGCGCTGGCGGATCTGGCGGCCGCGCCCGTTGCCCCGGCCGGTCGGGCCTGGTTTTTGACATCCTTGGGTTTAGGGGCGGCCTTCGGGTTGGGTGCCGCGGCCACCTCGGGTGATGCTCCTTCGAATCCCATATTCGGGAACGGGGCAACCGGTTTACTGGCCTGCTTCCCAGGTAGAGACGGTCCTGGCAAGCCCGGAAAAGACGCCTTTGGAGTCATTTTCGGGGAGTCCAAGTCAATGACCATTGGCGCTGGTGGAGCAACAGGTTTCGACTCCGGAGGTGGCGGCTGGCGTTTGGCTCTAAGGAGTTTGAGATCCCGCTCGATCACCGCTTTGGACAGGAGCTTCACGAGATTAGCGGAGATGGATCACCCCTGTTGTTCGACCGGTAAAGCTTACGATTTCGGACTCGATATCGTCCAATATGGCATTGAACTGCTCAACGGCAGCAGGAACCCGCGTCTCCATCGCCGCAGCGGCGGCGGCGGGGTTGCCCTTGCCATCTTGCCTTGCAGCTCTGAAGGTTTTGGCTGTGGTGATTACCTTTGCAGCCAAGCAATCAGCAAATGTGAATATGACGAGTCAATCGATTCCAGCCACTTCTCCACTTACCACGTCGGTGACCACGTTTGGTAGTTTATCAATTGGACGCCGGCCAGCCATCACAGCGGGCTCCTGCAGGAGATGTGCCCAAGATACGAAAGGAAAATATGACAAACGGGCGTTGAGAGCCTCGCCTGTTGGCGAACCTGGACCGGATTGGTGAGACGGAGCGATTCTGCGGACCAACGCCGGGCGATGAATGGATCCGTTCGGGAACCGGAATCGGTGCCGGTCTGGGAGCGAATAACTAGGGAGTTACGGGCGGAAATGGAGAAATGAAAAATGAGTTGACCAAACGGATGGGCAGCCTGTCACCTAGGCGGGTTGGGATACCACGATACCCAAAAAGAGGTGGTGAACTTCCCAAAGAATGCTGGGTTTCCGTTGCTTTTTCCCGTTGCGCGATGCTTTCGGCCAGGCAGGTGATGCTTGCCTGTTGCTGAGAACCCAAATCCTGAAGCAAGCTCCCGTTGGCCGCCACCTGCAACCAATCAACGGAGGAAAGCCTGCAGCTGATGGAATTACGCCTAGCCTGCCGAGCGGGCCTGTTCGCTCGCCTCCACAGATGCGTGGACCCGAACCCCGCGACCCTCCCAACGTCAATCTCCATCAGACAACAACCGCGCAAGGTAGGTAAGTCCCAAAAGTGATCAATTCACTCCCGTAGGTACCCACAAACCCTTAGGCAATCAATATGTGACGTGTTCATTCTAGCACTGTGTACTGGACTCGGATATTGACATGCCTATGCTTTGCTTACGAGGAAGATACCAATGCCCGTTTGGTGATAGATAGGTTGATTGGCCAGCCTGTGAACAAGCCGACTTGGAAAGGTGGGAGTTCGTGGTGGGGCTCGGTCGATGTCCGATGGATTTTTTGTCGAGGAGACCCAGGCAACGAGACAACAGCCAGAGTCCCTCGCTCATTTTACCTAGCAGTTACAATTAGTTAAATACCTGTTAACTATCATGGATGATATGCTAAATTAATAACACTCCCTACCTTCAGGCATGTTCGGAGTGATCAATGGTGATCAGCTTGTCCAACTGCCCACCTCGCCGTTTGTCCACTCAACCAAGGCTTCGAGTTCGCACCAACGAATAGAGCTGCCCGGCCTGGCTTCAACAAACGCATCTTCTAGCGTGCTGCAGCCAACCTGCAAGGAGGAGAACCTGATAGCAAGGACCCATACGACCAAGCCCGCCTGGGCACCATTCAGCTTTGGCCATTCGGCTTCGCTGCATCTACAAACAGAGGGAAGATGCACAGGACCGAACAGCCCAGAATCTGAGGGGCTGCCGCTTTGGCCACCATGAGGACCGCCCCCCCTTTCTTTCAGTGCGCCGACCAGTGATGCTCGACAATCCCAGTTCCATGCATGGCACCATCAAAAATCCCCCCCTCTTCGTGATGCCTATGGCCCTCTTCCTCCTACATCTCTTTTCCTTCACCTCCTTCAACTACCAAGGAGTTCCGTCACGTATCCTCTTGGATCGGCCGGCGCTGTTTTGATTTCGGGGGCTCTCCTCCTTTTAACGGCCGGGTCTTTTCCCTCTTCTTTTGTTGGTTTCTCCTGCTCCATCTCCTTATCCTCATTATCGTCGTCGTCGTCAATTCAGCCCTATCTTATTCGTCGTCGTCTCCTCCGCCTCACAGTTCCAAACGCACTCCGGGTTTGGGTATCACATCCTGTGCTTTTCTAGTTGCACGTCGACTCTCTGTTCTCGGTTTGCTGTCCGAGCCTTTCCGGTCGGAGACACTGCGCGCGCTCCGCACTCCGCTCTGCCACGCCGACATCCGGGTCTTTGGTCCCTATTTGGCGCCCGGGTTTACCAGCTGTCTCTCAGCTTTGGTCGATTTCAGAAGCTGCCGATCTTGAAAAGCGAAATACACAGCTCCCAGCTGTTCTTCGCTCTTGCTTCCAGGTTCCTTCTCCTTTGCAGCAACACAACGGCACTTGCTCGCTCGAGTGCTTTGCGGCAGGAAACACCAGGTTTTGTGTCCAGTGCCTTTTGCTCTTGCTTCGCGCTTTCGTCAAAAACGTCTTGCGTAGCTCGAATTTTCTTCGCGCGCGCCGAGACAACCTGAGCATCTGGTCGTCTGCAGTCGCCGTGTCCTCAGTGGGGTTTACGCTGCCAAGAAAGGCCCTTGGTACAATACATCTCCCATTCGCCGCGATCTTCTGCTCTTCCCTTCAGCAACCCACGCAACAACTTTCGCAAAGATGGCTGACAACGGTCCCCCCACGACCTCTGGTCAACTCCCGCCGCCGCCGCAGCCCAACGCGGGCGCGCCTGGCTACGAGAACGGCCAAAACCCTGGCTCGAACCCGTCGCACATGCCTCCCCCTCCTCTGCATATTCCGCAGAACACCAATCCGATCCCGACCGCGATCACTTCCCCGATGGGTCCGGGCGGCGACAAGAGTGGCATGATGTCCCCAGGCAGCGCCGGCCCCTTCGGTCGCCGCGCCGCGCCGGAGCCGAACAAGCGTGCGCTGTATGTCGGGGGCTTGGACCCGCGCGTCACCGAGGACGTCTTGCGTCAAATCTTCGAGACCACCGGTCACGTCCAGAGTGTCAAGATCATTCCGGACAAGAATGTAAGCCTATCTCAGCCTCCCTGACCCCACCATTTGGGATTGGCCCGGCCGATTGAAGCCTTCCCACTTCTTTCCCGTTTTTCGCTTGTCCCTTTTTTTTTCCTTTTTTTTTTTTTTGACTCGCATGCTGACTGGTCTGCTGGAGGCCAAGGGTTACAACTACGGTTTCGTTGAGTACGACGACCCCGGTGCCGCCGAACGCGCCATGCAGACTCTGAACGGCCGCCGTGTCCATCAATCGGTACGTTTGTCGCGACAGGTTGGGAAATACAATACCGGTTCTAATAGGCGCTGTGTAGGAGATTCGTGTGAACTGGGCCTACCAGTCCAACAGCACCAACAAGGAGGACACTTCGAACCATTTCCATATCTTCGTCGGCGATCTCTCTAACGAGGTCAATGACGAGGTCCTCCTCCAGGCCTTCTCGGCCTTTGGGTCTGTTTCTGAGGCTCGCGTCATGTGGGACATGAAGACCGGCCGCTCTCGTGGTTATGGTTTCGTCGCCTTCCGCGAGCGCCCGGATGCCGAGAAGGCACTGAGCTCCATGGATGGCGAGTGGCTCGGCTCCCGTGCTATCCGCTGCAACTGGGCCAACCAGAAGGGCCAGCCCTCCATGGCCCAACAGCAGGCCATGCAGCAGATGGGCATGACCCCGACCACGCCGTACGGCCACCATCATTTCCCTACCCATGGCGTCCACAGCTACGACATGATTGTCAACCAGACCCCGGCCTGGCAGACCACCTGCTACGTGGGTAACCTGACTCCCTACACCACTCAACAAGACATCGTTCCGCTCTTCCAGAACTTTGGCTTCGTCGTCGAGTCTCGTTTCCAAGCCGACCGCGGCTTCTCATTCGTCAAGATGGATACTCACGAGAACGCCGCGATGGCCATCTGCCAGCTGAACGGCTACAACGTCAATGGCCGCCCGCTCAAGTGCAGCGTAAGTGTTTCCATATTGTCACTTCGGGGCCCGCATCACGAAGCTAACCAATACGCAGTGGGGCAAGGACAAGACGCCTAGCCATCCCCAGCAGTTCGACCCCAACCAGCAGTACAGCCCTCAGAGCGCGCAGACCCCTGGTTATCCCGGTACGCCCTCCACCTATTTTAACCAGTACGGTGGTGGTACGTATCCCCGCGAGGCTGCTGCCCCGAACTCGGTAGTTAACGCCCCCGTAGGTTCGTACGGTCCGGGCCAGCAGCCTGGCTACGCCGGTCCCCAGGCCCAGTCGCCGGCCGGCTACGGTGCGCAGCCCATGGGCTACAGTGGCCCCCCGAGCGCTGGTGGCTACGGCCGTGGGCAGCAGTCCAACGCGCAGTGGAACCAGCCGCCCCCTGGTCAGAACTTCAACAACGGCTTCTCCGGTTACCAAGGTTAGGGGTCTGGCCACCACCGTCGCCGCTGAATGGCGGCACCAGCGATTGGTCGCGGCTTTCCATCGTCTTTTCTTTCGGGCAGCGCCGATGTTGGAGCGCGTTGCAATTTCTTCCAACGTCGAAATGCCTTTCATGATCTGAGGAACTTTCAGGCAGTCATTCAAGTTGATTTTCGGGGAATCTGGTCGGGAAATTGAGCGTCCTTTGCTTCTTTCGTTCCGTGTATTACGTTCCTCGCTCCGCAATCTGCGTTTCTCACGGCCGTTGCCGTCGTTGTCATCATCCTCGTTTTCCAATCTTCTTCGTCTTGCAGTGATGCCCCCACGGGCATGATCTGATTCAGTTGCTACGGCATTTTTGCTCTGTCTCTCCTGCTCAAAACTTTCACGTCTCTAGTGATTTTGTGTTTCGTGGTGTTTCGCCTTCTTTTCTTTTATGCCGTGCGCTGGATACCACTCGATCGAATTACGGCAAATGTTCTTTTGTCTGCCTGGCCGGCCCCTTTCTCCTTGGGCGGAACGAGATTACGATTTCCAATGTCAAACTGCTCTGGTCAGGTCTGCTTGCACAGGAGTATCAGGTGGTTTAGGGATTTTCTTTATTCCTGTCTCAATGCGCGGGACGGAGTCAAGGACCGTCTTGTCTGCTCGAGTCCGCCAAACGAACGCCGGTCGATATCATCTCGCTCGGAGAGGGAGGACTATTGTCGTTAGCGACGGGGAAATCGCTGAGCCGGATTTTCCGGACAGAGGGGAGCGCACCTGTTAAAACTCGGGTGATGGTGGGAGGTTGATCTAAGGATGGTTATCTGGAATGGGCAAAGACCAGAAGAGCAAAAGTGGTGTTTTGGATAACGAAGAATAGGAAGTTCTTGGTTACTGCCATCTCGCGCTGTCTAATCCTTGCCTATTCATTGTTGACGAGTGACATCGAGTCTCTCTCACACACCTAACCAATGAATGCCATGGGGTGATCTCAGCAAAACCATCCCATTACCTAGAAAGGAAATTATAAGAATCAACGTTTGCGTACATCAATGGGAGGGGGCAACGGGCGACCGAATTGAAGATTGGGCATCAACGGCGGTCGCCCCCGAGTCGGCGCGTTTCTCGTAGCCAATGAATAATCAATGACTCCTCCGATTGGGCACACAGCCCAAGTTTGATCTTTCGCAGTCCTTCCGCCCTTATGATATGGGGCCTGTATTAACGAATCAAAAGTTCTAACTCCATTCAGGGATCTCGCGTTGTTGTCTCCGAGTGCATCTGTTGTTCTCGAACTCGTTCCGAGAAGTGAAGGGGGTTGAGCATGTGACGAAGCTACGACTCGGGGCTAGAAGCCCAAGGGCTTGCTAGAATAAAGCCGGTTTGCGAACTCCAAATACACAGGACTACGGAATAAAAACGGCGCATTTCCACAGACCTTAAATTCATTTTACGGAACACAGTGCCTGCCAAATACTTTGTCGTTGGCTATGGGATAATAGCACCCTTCCAAAACCATATCGTGGGCACGAGGTGTGCATGGCGCGTCATTGCGGCCCCAAGTTGGTGACAATGCCCCGGTTTTGGAGGCAAAAACGGTAATGCATCAGGGAGATCGCGAGTGAAACCGGAGTACAGGGACCGGCGTCTGAGAAGTCTAGAATCGCGGCAAGCCAACTGTTTTTTATTTTTATTGTTGGCTGCTTGGGGCGGCGTTTATTCTTTGGCTCGAGCTGCCTCAGCTGTGGGGACCTGGTGAACTTCGATCCCATTGCAGGGGTGCCCGATGTAGCCACGGCCGGGGGAATTGACCTGGCCCAGCGCTGTATCGTCATCGCGGGCAGCCGTCGTCTCTGCGGTCGCCCTGGTGCCCGTTCCTTATTATTTTCCCTCTCTTCCCCTCGGTCGCTCCCCACACCCAGGAAAAAATCGCGAGTAACGTAGAATCTCGGCCGCTCTCTTCTTGTGGCACTCGACATCGGGAACGACCCTCCATCCGCAATCCTTTCCCGCCCCATTAAAATTACCCCCTCGTTCCATTCTCTCCCACAGTGCTGGGCGGGTCTCTCACAGCTCCTGCCAAACGCGTCCACCCAAGCGCCCTTTCCACCCCTGCTCGAGACCTTGGCTGGCTGCGCTGTGGACAGTGGGACCGTGGCAGACCCGCTTTCTGGCTGGGAGCGGGTCCCCCTCCCCTCCGCACCAGAGCCCAAGGACTCCAAACTCATTTACCCTGCTTTGCTGCGACACATACAACAAAACACCATCACAACACGTAATCCGCGAACCTTGTCGTCCCGCTGTTTCCAGAAGCAGCAGCAGCCATGGAGCAATGGCAGGCGTACAACGACCCTGCCAGCGCCGGCGGCCAGCGACGATACAATGGAAGCACTGGCAACCAAATGTCGCCGCGGGACTTTGGTAACAGCGGCCAGAACCCGGCGCAACAGCCCCCGGCGGGCTTCAAGTACGACAACTACCAGGGCGGCCTAAATCCGCACCAGACGCCGCCGTCGGCAACGTCGCCTATGGCGAGCCCGCTTCTGCACGACGGTAACGGCGACGTTTCGATGCAAGATTCCCATGATTCCTACGCCGGCCTGAACTCCAGCGCCAAGTACCCGATGCGGCCCCTTCACCAACAACACCCCTCGAGCGGTCGCGCCGCCAACCTCCAGCAAGAACCTTCTGCCGCCGCGCAGCGATACTCGCCCATGGAGGTTTTGTCGCCTACGTCGCCTTACGGCCCCAAGTCTGGCAGCGCAAGCCAGTTTTCGCAGCAGCCCGCGCAACGGCAATCGCCCACGCGCTCGTCAGACTATGCCCCGCAGCAGAGCCCTTATTACAACACCCGACAAGCCGCTCCCCAGCTGCCGCCCATCAACCCATACGGTGGCAGCCAGGATTCCTACTCCCCGTCGGCCATGACTCCCATGGACGGCTCCTATGTCGATCCCAAATCGCCCAAGCGTGCCCCGCAGCAGCCGACAATGCAAGACAGGGGTCCTGTGCCTGAGTTCAAGCGCATCCGAGCTCCGACAGATCTTAAACCCAAGGTCAACAGCCAACCAGCATTTCGACGAGCCAACCCCGAAGGTGGTTTCCTCAGCGTTAGTCACTGGTGCCAATGCGCTACATGTTTTGTCGCTAGATTTGCTAACCCGCCCGTTATAGCCGCTCCAAGCGCTCACCGTGCAGCTCCCGGCCACGTACCGAATCTGCAACCCCGGTTTCAAGTACGAGTCGTCGCGTAACCCTCGCCGTGTCTTGACGAAGCCGAGCAAGGGCTTGAAGAACGATGGCTTTGATAATGAAGATAGCGATTACATCCTCTACGTCAACGACATCCTTGGCTCTGAGGAGGCTGGACACAAGTACGAACTCACTCCCCCTGAGAAGTGGGCAATGCAGTGGCTAATTCCCTTGTTTAGGAACCGATATTTGATCCTGGATGTTCTCGGCCAGGGTACTTTTGGCCAGGTCGTGAAGTGCCAGAACATGAAGACCCAGGAGGTTGTCGCTGTCAAGGTCATCAAGAACCGCACCGCATACTTCAACCAGAGCATGATGGAGGTGTCTGTCTTGGATTTGGTGAGTCGCCCATGTGCCACCGTGTCGAATCGTCCACGGCGCTAACCGCTCGCGCATAGCTCAACACCAAGCTGGACAAGAACGACGACCACCATCTCCTACGGCTCAAGGACACGTTTATTCACAGACAACATCTGTGCTTGGTGTTTGAGCTGCTCAGTGTGAACTTGTACGAGCTTATCAAGCAGAACCAGTTCCGGGGTCTCAGCACAACCCTCGTTCGCGTTTTTGCTCAGCAGCTCTTGAACGGGTTGGCGTTGCTCAACAAGGCGAGGTTGATCCACTGTGATCTGAAACCAGAGAACATTCTCCTCAAGAATCTCGAGAGCCCGATCATCAAGATTATCGATTTCGGTTCCGCATGCGACGAGCGGCAAACAGTTTACACATACATCCAGTCCAGGTTCTATCGGTCACCTGAGGTCCTCCTCGGCCTACCCTATTCTTCGGCTATCGATATGTGGTCGCTGGGGTGCATCGTCGTCGAACTGTTCCTTGGCCTACCCTTATTCCCAGGCTCTTCCGAATACAACCAGGTCTCTCGAATTGTCGAGATGCTCGGAAACCCCCCAAATTGGATGATCGAGATGGGCAAGCAAGCCGGCGAGTTCTTCGAGAAAAGGCAGGACGAATTCGGCAGGCGGACCTACCACTTGAAGAGCATGGAGCAGTACTCGCGGGAACGCGGCACAAAGGAGCAACCCAGCAAGAAGTACTTCCAGGCGAACACGTTGCCCGAGATTATCAAATCATACCCGATGCCTCGGAAGAACATGAAGCAGTCGGAAATCGATCGGGGTAAGTTATCATCGACTACCCACCGCCTGAAAAACAACGAGATTGACCAAACCCGCAGAAATGAATAATCGCATTGCCTTTATCGACTTTGTCCGGGGTCTGCTGACTATCAACCCCCTCGAAAGGTGGTCGCCACAGCAGGCAAAGCTGCATCCTTTCATCACGCAACAGAAGTACACTGGCCAGTTTGTGCCGCCTATGAACCTCAAGGCGAGCGCCCTCAACCGATCACCAGCTCCGGGTACGCAACAACAAATACAAGCCGAGGCCACGAGCAAGCAAAGGGCCCAGCTAGCTCAAGCCCAAGCGCAGGCAAGCACAGCAGCCCAAGGTGCCTACGGGTCGATGGGCGCGGTACAGTACCAGCAACAAGGCCACGCACAGCAACCAGCGCCGCTGTACGGGAACAACAACATGTACACTCCGACCGGCGCGCAGGCAGGGGCGCCGCCCCCGTACAGTGGGCAGCAGGGTGGATATGGCCAAATGGGTATGGCGCAGCCGCCGGTGCAAATGCCGCCGGCCAACTACGCGCAATCCAACATGTACGCTCAGCAAAACCGGCCCAGGCAGCGCGCCTCTACGATGGAACAGCAGCAGAGCGGCATTCCCGCCGCTATTCAGAGGGTAGCCAGCCACCTCGACCCGACTCAGCCCATCCGACTCCAGCCCAGTCCGGCGTACTACCCGCCTCCCCCAGAAGGTTTGGCGGGCATGGACCACCAGACAGCCAGCAGGCAACCAAGGAGAGGGAGCCGAGCGCAACAGGGGGGACGGGGCAACAACCGAGACTTTATCCGGAATCTGGAGGCGCGCACGATGGAGGAGGGATTCATGGGCAGTGGCCAAAGCCCTTGGCATTGAGATTGGTGTCCGGGGGAGCTGGGAGGGCGGCGGGCTGCGAGTTGGATACGTATGATTTACGCGAGAGACACGAAGCGGGAGAGAAGGGGCATGATGTTACGGGTTTCCCATTGATGCAAATTGCAACTGCAATTTTCGGCGTTCGAGACTCGCTGCTTTGCTTGCTTTCTTGCCTGCTAGGTTTAAAGCTGCATTATCGTTCGAGTCATCACCATTGTCATATTATCATTGTCATTCCTGCCGCGCTTATGTCCTTTTCCAACGCTCGCTGGTGGATGGTAGGGGGTACCGAAAAGAGGGCGGGGAAAATAACATTGGGGCGGCACAACCACATTTGCCTTGTGTTTGTATATGTTTATACTCTTCTTCTTTTTTGTGGCACTCGTGGCTTTTGGCTTGATTCTTGTGTCGTTCCGTTGCTGATTTTGTTTGAATAAACGGGGCAATGAATGGGCATCCTAACGGGCGGGCATGCATCATGTATCGATAATAATGTTGGCTTTTTCTTTCAAGTTATCAAAATGAGGTTTGCTTTGACCTCTTACTTCTCCCACCTTGGGCAGACAATTATTCAGGCGGCGATGGGCCTGGATAAGCCTCACATCATAGTCGAGGGGGAATGTGTAAGTGTACCTCGTAAAATCCGCCTATTGGCAGCAGATCACCTGTTGTTGTGGGATCTGTGGGATCCAAGAAGTCGGTTCAACCGCACGAGAGGCTTGTCAGGCACATCAGGGTACTGTGTGGGTACAGTGCGGATCCCGGACGAGATTCCGGCCCAGGTGCGCCGGCAACCCTCTGGCCAGAAAAATGTGAACTCGAAGCGAAAGCAAGAAACTAAGCAAAAAGAATTAAGCAAAAAGACTGAGTAAAGACAAACAATAAAGGTATCGTCGACTAAAATGAAGAAGTAAATGTAGCCAATGCAGCTTCCTTGGGCTTTTGGAAGGTTTTGGTTTCGTTCCTACAAGTCGACGTTTGGTCGATGGCTGCACGGAGAGTCCGGTCTTTTTTGTCCTTGGGGTGGCCGGGTTGTTTTTAACTTCGATCTGCTGCAGGGGGGCCGCCGAACAAATCCTCGCTGGCGCGCGCCAGAAACACGGTTCAGCGACGAACCCGCCTGCAGCAACCGATTGTTGGAGAAGCGCACCAGCTACAGCCTCGCCTTCCACGAAGCCCATCACGGAACTTTATTTTCTCACGCTCTACAAAGAAGTCATTGTATTGCACCCGCGTCTCGGCATTATATCATTTGGCCGACCGACTTACTAGTTACGGAGCAACATGGTCGCCAACGGCAAGAATGGCGCCAAAGGCGGCGGCGCCGACTTGGAGAAAATAATCCACGAGGGTATGTAATTCAACGCGCTCACTTCTCGAAAGTCGAGCACCCAGAACCAACCCACCGCTCTACAGCTCGCGATCGAAAGAAGAATGAAGCGCTTGCCGCCAAGATATTTGGCAAAGACCGCCGCTCAAGCACCCCCGCCTCCAAACCATCCCTTACCGGCAGCCTCGCCAGCCGCGCAGGTGTGAAGAAGGTTCGTTTGGCCATTCAATTTCCCAATTGCCCCCTTTCCATCCCGCTAACCCTGCCCACAGCAGCGCGCCGAGCCTACCAGCCGCCCGCGGCATAGCACGGGCAACATTGACGGAGAATGGACGCACGACCTGCACGAGACACAGACGCGGGGCCCCAGGGCCAACGGCCGAGCCAGCGGCAGCGGCGCCGGCTCCCTCGCCGCGCGCATCACCGACCCGAATGCACCGCCGACCGGACCAGCAAGCCACAGACGCCAGACGCGCCGTGCCGCCCAGGTAGCGCAAGCCCTGATAAGGTCGGAGCTGCAGCCGTCCCACGGTCGGGGGCAGCACCGTCCGGCCCACCACGCGGAGGCGGGTGAAGCGAGGCCCACCAACGGCGCCATTCCGACAGGGCCGAAGGCTATGACGACGCCGACAAGCACATTCAACAAGGGCATCACGATCCGGGGTCTGGCCGGCCCGTTTGTCGTCATGGCGCAGAACTTTGCCCCGGGCACAACGGCGGCCGACATCGAGAGCGCCGTGACCCCTGTGGGCGGTATCGTCAGCAGCTGTCGGGTGGTGAAGCAGCACCCGCTGGTGATTGCCGAAATCGTTTTTGAGAGCAAGGAGGGTGCCGACAACGTGATTGCCACGTTCAACAACCAGACAGTATGCCGTTCCCGTTCCCGACATGCAGGTAGTACTGAAAACTAACTATCCCAGGCCGATGGCCGCGTCCTGAACGTCTACTACAAAGTCGGCAACGCCCCCGCCACCCCCGCCAACCCAACACCGGCCCGCCCCTCGTCGGATAACGACATGGTGGTAGACGGGTCGTATGGCTTCGACGAGGCGACGGATGCGGAGCCCAGAACCGCGAAACAACCCCCCACAGGCCCGGCAGCAGGAGTTGGTAGCGGTTTGTACAGCGACAACCTCGTCAAGACGAACCGCTGGGGCCGAGGCTTCAGCCGGGGTGGACGTTTCAGCGGGAGATAGACCGTATCCTTTCCATCACGGCCGACTCTGGTACCGACCCTGCGCACGTTGAATATGTCGATAGATCTTTTGAGTGTATGAGTTGCGAGCATTCTTCCCTTTCTGTTTCTAATGGTGGGAGTGGGTAATTATGAAGAGCTTCGGGGTGCAGGGAGAGTGTCGTGATATTAGGTAGTTGAGCACGGCGTACATTGGCGTTTCAGGTCTCATGGTGGGAAAGGTTGGACATGAGGACTGGGCTAGAGTAGCATATGGGCAGACAACCGAAAGGGCAATGGGTGTGCCTTTGCGCGCTAAATAAACAAAGAGAAATAACTGGCGTTCAACGCCGCCCATCCCCTAAATCTAAAATCATCAACCTTCCTATGTTCTGAAAGCATTGGATGGATATTTGGGTTGGCTGGATGGGATAATACAGTGGCCATGGAATGCGACATGTCGACTTCACAGCTTGGGGCGGCGTCAGGGGCACCTTCCCAATCACTCGTAAAATGCGAACCTTCCTCCCCGGACAACATAGAACGACACCTTCCGCGGTCTCGCGCGCAGGCGTTTCCTGGTCTAGGTAGCTGCGTATTTGCTCTGGGGCCTATCGAGAGAACGGAGCTAGAGTCTTTGCCCTCTTCTTCAGCGAATATCCGAGACGGAGCCACTATCCATTCTATGCTGTTATTATAGTGTGTAAGCCAACTAGGCCTCACATTATTATCATTACTTAGGGACTCGTCTTCCTTTGCTTCTCCAGTTTTACCATTGTATCGAATTCAATCTTGTAAGGAGGAAGAGTGTTGCAAACATGTCGACCAGCCCCGACTCGGTTGGCCTACCGGACCAGGCAAGTCTCAAGACGAGCCTCAGCACAAGCCGTTCCCGGAAGTCCATCGCGGCCAGTCTCCGCCACAAGACATCGCGACTCTTTGGCCGCAATGCTACCAACATCGCCACAACGGACAACACCCCCGTGCCCATCCAGCCCGAGCCGCTAAAAGGCAAACACGGTTGGTTCCACTCGGTCGGTTCTCGCTTTCACCGCCATGACCACGCCGCTCCCGAGTCGTCGGAGAGTTCTCAGGGGATTCAAGTGGAGATGGAAGAGACCCTTCAGACGAGCAACCCGCCTACTTCTTCCGAGACCACCACGCCTCCCCAGTCACCCAGGAGACGTCGCCGCTTCAGGAGCCGTCTTCGGCTGCATTCGCTGCCCGCAAGATTCCGCCGACGTGGAGTTACCCTTTTCAGCCGATCGTCGTCTCTCTCGGACGAAGACAAAGAGAACTTCATAGCCATGGCTGGCGTACCCGTGCGTTCAGGCGAGGGTTCCAATACCGGGAGCTGGAGTTCATTCCGGTCGGGTGTCCAAAGAGCTGTTCGGGGTGAGTGGCCTTATCACCTCTCGAGTAACTTACAATGTAATGTTAAACAAGGCTCAGAAATGGTAGATGGCAACTTCCGTTTCTCTGAGGACCGAAACCATCAACACAGTGAGAAAACATCACCAGCATCTCGACATCTATTAAGGTACTGACTGACCCGTCCTAGGTGGCCCACCTCCCCGGCCGCCGCCTAGAGTTCCCCTCCGGACCCTCTGGACAATCATGTCTGCCGATTCCTCCGAGTTAGTAACCCACCCAATGCCCCTTCTCAAACCACACATCTAACAACCGACTAATATCCTCCCCTCCTCATAGAGGCCATGACCAGCCCCAAAGTCCAACCACCCGAGACCAAGTCCAAGATCCCTCACCGCCCCCCAAAAAGTACCAGCTCTCCTCCCCGACCTGGTCCCCGGACTGGTCGCCGCCTTCATCCCCAACATGCCATTTCGTATCCCCTTCATCCCGTCGTAGCAGTGGGGCTTCATCCCCGGGCGGTCTGACCCGTTCCGGTTCGACTGTGGACTCGTCGCCCGTGGTCACGCCTCAAAGCCCGGCTAGTCCGGCCAGCCGTGTCGATATCTTGGATGTGGCTGGGGGTCAAGTGGAGGGGAATAGGGAGGGGAGTGGGGAGAATACGCCGGAGGTGCTGAGTGACGCTGGGGAAAGGGGAGAGGAGAGAATTGGGGATAGGCATGAGGTGGAGGGAAGCAGAGTTGGTTCGGTGTGGGAGGGGGTCAGGTCGAGGGTTGTGTCACGCTCCGCTGTGGTTGTTTGAAGAGGCGTGGGTTCTAGAGTGAAGGGGGTGATAGCATAGGATTACCCAGTATCGGTACAGATGTGGTCACAGTGTTCGCAGGGTGGGGTTGGTTTTGTATCATTAAGAGATGGGTTTGGCAGGGTGCAAATAGAGATATCAAAAAGCCGTAGACAAAGCCTGCCGCTGGGCTTAAAGTGCGGAGATAGTTACTACAAAATGCTTTTCTGACAGGGAATGACACGCTTGCTCCCCGTTCGTATCATATTGTACATGGTATATAACCCCATCTATAAATGTACACATGGTAATACACACCGGTATTATACACCCCCCAGGCTTGATACCTCAGAAAGAAGCCTTCCTCGCCGCCTGCCTCGCCGTCCGCTCCTCCGCCAACCCCTCCTCCTCCGCCAGCACCAGCCTCCGCTCCCGCTCCCCCTCGGGCGGCGGGCCGTCCGGGTACAGCACGCGCACGTGGCGCTCCACCATCTTCTGCAGGATGATGCGCCGCGTCGCCCACAGCTTGCCCGTCCGCCGGTCCGCCACCATGCCGGGCTCGTTCAGCACCCGGTCCATCGCCGCGAGCATCCGCCGCGCCGTCGCCGTGATCTCCTGCACCGTCCCGCGCTGCCGCTCCCGTTCCTCTTGGGGAGAGCGCGTGGCTTCGGCTGGGTAGGACAGCGAGCTGGTCAGGATCCGGAAGGGCTCCCACATGCGCTCGAGCGCGCTGGTGATTTGGGCGCCGTGGGCGAGTTTGCCGGTTGGGGTGGTGGTGGTGGTGGTGGTGGTGGTGGTTTCGGTTGGTGGTTGTTGGCGGCGGTGGTGGTGGTGTTGTTGTTGTTGTTCTTCTTCTTCTTCTTCGTGGAAGTGGCGCGTGTTGGCGCGGGCGACCTGCAGGAACAGGCGCATGGCCAGCGCGTCGGCGTAGCGCTGCTTGGTGGCCATGACGTCGAAGATGCGGCAGGCGTGCTTGAAGGCGTGCGGGTTGAGGTTGTCGCTGATGCAGGCCGAGAAACCGCGCCGGAAGGTGAGCGGCGTGAGGAGCTCGGCGGGGAACGAGGCGATGAGCGAGGCCACCTGCCCGCTCGCGTGGCCTCCGGCGAGGGCCCGCAGGTACAAGGCATGGTTCGACGAGTCGGGCGTCACGTTGAGGATTTGCGTGAAGTAGCTCCAGTATTTTGGCGCGCTGGATGTCTTGCGCATGTTGGCGATGGCGGTGAGGGCGAGAGACAGCGTCTTGTTGCCGGGCGTGGCGTATAGAGGGGATTTGTCCGCTCTCGACTCGGCCAGTGCCTTTCGGTCCTTCGGTGACATGTTGGTGCCCGGGGTTTTGTTTTCTGCGGCTGGCAGGTTGGCTGCGTTGGTTTCGGCGGGCGGCGCGTCAGGGAGCTTGACGTTGGGTTGATCGAACCTCGGAATCTTCATGGTCTGTTCGAGAAGCTCCAAGACACTGTCGTTGTCTTTGTAGTCACCCAGGGCAAGTATTCTGCCCATGGCGGACACCAAATGTTCGTCCAGGATCATTTTAGCGTTCCTCCAGTTCGCGATTACGTCAGTCCAGATGGCCCTCGCTCTCAAGATGTTCTTTTGGATCTCCCGCTTAACCTCGGCATCAATCAGTCCGATGTTGGACTTGTCTGCGTGGCCCGAGTCGTATCTGAGGGCGTTCAGGACGATGGTATAGGTATGGGCGTCGGGGGAGCGTATGCTCGTATTGGAAGTTACCAGTACGGTAAACAAGCTCTCGAGGTCGCCCGCACGAGCGCAAACTTCGAGGACGGCGTTCATGTGAATGGTGTTGGGCTTGAGTGGTCCAGCCTTGATCATAAAGTTGTAGATCCTGGTGGACTCGGCTACTGCCAGCTTGGGATGGAGAGACTGTGCGCATCCGCGGAAGATGATGGTGTAGGTCTTTGCGTTGGGTACTTGAGCTCGCTTCTTCATCTGCGGGGGGGTCAGCACACGGCATATCTCAAGCAAGCAAGCGAATGCGCACCTCGTTGTACAGTTTCACAGCAGCATGGAGGCGCTGGTTTTTCAGCTGGTAGTCGATCAGATGGTTCCAGCTGACTTCGACCTTGTTGTTGCGGCTGGCCATACGCGCCATCATGAGCGCCTCGTCGAAGCGCTCTTTCTCGAGCATCCCGGCGACACTCTGGGCAATGTGGTAGGGGTCTGGGGTGAGACTAAGGTGTCTCTTGATGTTCGACGCCAGCTTTCTCTCATACATTTTCCTCCCATGCTCGCCACCTCTTGTATCGAGGTTTTCATATTCCAGATCTTCCTTATCATCACCAGGCGGCTCTTCACTTGAGACCCGTTTCCCCTTGGGCGGGAAATGCTCGCCCCCAGGTTGGCTAGAGCCTTCAATGGCGCTGCGCAAATTGACCCCAGCCGCCTTTCCTGTGTACGGTCGCCGGCTTGATATCGAGCTCGCGGCTCTCTTTTGCAAAGGTCCAAGCAACCGAGCTCCTATTGGACCGGCAGGCGTCCCTGTGAGGCTTCGGAGACAACCCCGGCAGACGAACATGGCAGCGTGGGTTGCCCTTTGGGCGGGTTTGCGGGTCGAAGAGCGGTTTATATCGTTTTGGTTGTCGCAGGGGAAACACGGCGCCGGCACAACCCCCTTCAACGTATGGCACGATTCGACTCGGAGTATAAGTGGAGAGCACAGGGTTGGCGACGGTGATGCTCTATATCCAAAATTCGAACCTTCACATTTACGCTGCTCTCTCTTTCAATGGCTTGGCGCCCCAACTTTTTTTTATCTGCCTGCCGGATGGAAACTTGAACAACGAGGTGGGGCTATTGGTGGCCAGGGGTCCAACAACTGGCAGTTCATTGCAGGTTTACAGGGGTACGCGTCGCTCTACGCGAGAGACACGAAAAGCGCGCCCACTGTAAACTTGCAATTAACGAATGAGACCCACGCCTTGCTCCCACGCAACGCATACACACCCACCACCGCCCCCCCAGAGTGTTGTTTCCTCAGTCTCCGAAGACAACCAAAGCCGTTCCAGAGCCCGCTCAAGACAATGCCAATGCTAATGTCACCGTCCTGAAAAACCCGATCATACCGTCATCAACCCACCGAATAAACCGAATTACACGAGAGAAACGAAGCAAAAATGTCCAAAGCAAGTAAGCGTGGGAAGTTCGCCGAACTGCGCGCTCTGCGTCAGTCTGGCAAGAAGAACTTTGACACGTACGAGGTCGAAGACGCCGCAGATCTTTACGAAGAAGTCGACGAGAACCAGTACAAGAAGATTGTTCGAGACCGCCTCAACGAAGACGACTTTGTTGTAGATGACAACGGCGAGGGATATGCCGATGATGGTCGTGAGGAGTGGGACCGCGTGCAAACGTACGATTCCGAAAGTGATGGCGCTCTGCCAGTTCGGGGCAAGGACCGCAAATGTAGGGACCGCTCCCTCTCCGACTTTCATGGACCAGTCGTAGCGCAGTCCGCTGATAGTTTTATTTTCTGTACAGCCAAGAAACAGCGGGATGAAGAGCAGTCAAAACGAGACGCCAATGACCGGAACATCTCCGAATACTTTACAAAAGGGGCTTCCAAGCCACAGCCCAAGCCAAAGGTCGGTTTCGGTTCCAGTTGGCCCCGACGCTCTTGACTGACACCTCGCCAGGTCATCAAGACCGAAGATGACGAAAAGTTTCTGGAGGATCTCCTCGGCGAAGTCGATGCGAACGTTCCGGTACCCGCTCCGAGGGTGACGAAGAAGCGAGACCGGTCGGCCGAGAGGAGGAGAAACCGCGCTCTCTCTCCGGCACGAGAACCGCGCCATCCAGCCGCCAAAAAGGCCAAGATGCTTGACGGTAGTGCATCCTCCCCCGTGGCAAGCGATGTTGCCATGATCGAAGACGATTTTGTGCCACCCGCGGAAGAAGATGAACTCCCTGTACCTCTCGACGTGGTCATGAGCGACCCTGCACCCTCATCCCCTGCAGCAAAGGTTGCTGAGCGGCGGACACAGCCCAAGGCGGACACCAACGACTATGACGACTTTGACGACGACGACGACGACGACGATGACGACATGATGGAAGTTGGCCGTACAGGTGCTGTTGCTGCCGCAAGCGTCAACTTGTCCGCCTCGCGGCAGATCAAGAAGATCATCAAACCCGACCCTACGCCAGTGAGCTCGTCACCCGCCAAGGCACCTGAGACTGCCGTTGACGCATCCTCGTGGAATGGTATCAACGACAAGCTCAACGTCGTAAGCAGCTCGCAACCAGAGGCCAGGAGTATGGGGAAGATCGATTACAAGGACGCCATCGAGACGGATGGCAGTCTGAACATGTTCTGGACCGATTACACCGAGGTGCATGGCAGCCTGTGTCTCTTTGGCAAGGTTCTGAACAAAAAGACCGGTCACCATGTCAGCTGCTTCGTCAAGGTCGACAACATACTCCGCAAGCTCTACTTTTTGCCGCGCAAGCATCGGGTGGAGCGCGGTGTTGAAACCACAGAGCAGGTTGATATGATGGATGTCTACAACGAAGTTGACGGAATCATGACCAAGATGAACGTCAACATGCACAAGATCAAGGCCACCACCCGGAAATATGCCTTCGAACTCCCTGAGATCCCCAGCAAGGCCCAGTACATGAAGCTGCTCTACCCCTACACCAAGCCCGCCATTGAGCTCGGCACGAAGGGGGAGACCTTCTCGCACGTTTTTGGCACCAACACCCCTCTTTTTGAACAATTCGTACTCTGGAAAGACATCATGGGTCCGTGCTGGTTGCGGATCAAAGATGCCGACTTTGGGGCATTGAAGAATGCCTCTCACTGCCGACTCGAAGTCCTTGTCGACAATCCGGAGATGGTGGCACCGATGAATGATAACGAAGCCCTCGAAATGCCGCCGCTGACCATGATGAGCATCGCCATGCGCACCATGTTCAATGCGAAGGCCAACAAGCAGGAGATTTTGGCCATCAGCGCCAGGATCTACGAGGATGTCTCGCTCAGTGACACAACTCCGGCCGACAAGCTGCCCTGTCGGACCTTCACCCTTGTGCGGCCACAAGCGACTGCCTTTCCTCTTGGCTTTGAGAAACTGGCCAAGGAGAGGAAACGAGGTCTGATCAAGCTGATGAAGCAGGAGTCAGATATCCTGTCGTTCTTCCTGGCCCAGGTTGATCTCGTTGATCCGGACGTCATTCTCGGCCATCAACTTGAGGGTGTAGACTACAGCATTCTGCTGAACCGTCTCTACGAGAAAAAGACACACCAGTGGTCTCGCCTCGGGAGATTGAGGCGGTCCGCATGGCCATCCTCCATTGGCAAAGTTGGTGGCAATGTTTTTGCGGAGCGCCAGATTATGGCTGGCCGTCTTCTATGCGATCTCGCCAACGAGGCTGGAAAATCCGTCATGTATCAGTGCCAGTCCTGGAGTCTAACGGAAATGTGCACTCGCTACCTTGGGGAAAATAACCACAGGCGGGACGTCGACAACGAGTCGGCTCTCAAAACCTGGGCTGTCTCCAAGGACGGTCTGATGGACTATCTGTCGCACGCCGAGGCCGACACCTACTTCATCTCTGCCCTGGCTTTCAGGACTCAGATTCTTCCGCTCACTAAAATCCTTACCAATCTCGCAGGCAACTCGTGGGCGCGAACCCTCACAGGTACCCGTGCTGAACGAAACGAGTACATTTTGCTCCACGAATTCCATCGAAATTCGTATATCTGCCCAGACAAGCAACCCTTCAAGGGGCGAGCGCGCCCCGACGAAGAGGAGGAGGATGGTGGCGAGAGCAAGAAGAAGGACAAGTACAAAGGTGGTCTCGTGTTCGAGCCCGAAAAGGGTCTCTATGACAAGTTTGTTCTCGTCATGGACTTCAACTCCCTTTATCCCTCCATCATCCAGGAGTACAATATCTGCTTCACCACTGTCGATCGGTCATTCGTGGTGAGTACCTTTTCGCCCCATGTGTAAACACCCTCGCTAATAATGACCAGTCGGATGATGAAGATGGAGTGCCTCGAGTCCCGGAGGACAAGAAACCGGGGGTCCTCCCGCGGCTCATTTCCGAGCTCGTCAGCCGTCGTAAATCAGTCAAGAGCCTAATGAAGGACAAGTCTACCACCCCAGAGCAACTTGCAACTTACGACATCAAGCAACTCGCCCTGAAGCTGACAGCCAATTCCATGTACGGCTGTTTGGGGTATACCAAGTCTCGCTTCTACGCCAGACCCCTTGCCATGCTCACCACCTTCAAGGGCCGCGAAATTCTTCGCAGCACCAAGGACTTGGCCGAGAGCATGTCGCTGCAGGTCATCTACGGTGACACTGACTCGGTCATGATCAATGCCAATGTGGACAACGTAGCCGACGCGTTCAAGGTCGGTCGGGAGTTCAAGGTTCAGGTCAACAAGCGGTACAGGCGGCTCGAGATCGACATCGACAATGTCTTCCGCCGCATCCTCCTCCAGGCCAAGAAGAAGTACGCTGCCATCAACCTAGTCGAGGTCGACGGCAAGTTTGTCGAGCAGATGGAGGTCAAGGGTCTCGATATGAGGCGCCGCGAGTATTGCCCCTTGTCAAGGGACATTTCGAAACGCATCCTGGATGAGATTCTTTCAGGCGATGACATCGAATTATCCATCCAGCGCATCCACGAACACTTGCGTGACATCTCGACCAAGATGCGCGAGCAGGTCATCCCGCCATCCAAGTACATCATCCTGACTCAGCTCGGCAAGGCCCCCAAGGAGTACCCCAACGCGGACAGCATGCCCCAGGTCCAAGTCGCCCTCCGCGAGCTCGCGCGCGGCAAGACGATGCGCAAAGGCGATGTCGTCTCGTACATCATCACAGGCGACAGCAAGACCACCTCCGAGCCCGCTCCGAAGCGCGCCTACACGCCACAAGACGTGCTCAAGGCCGACTCGGGCCTGACCCCCGACGTGGAGTGGTACCTGGGCAAGCAGATCTTCCCGCCCGTCGAGCGCCTCTGCGCGAACATCGTCGGCACCTCGACCGCCCAGCTGGCCGACAACCTCGGCCTCGACGTCCGGCGCTACGCCAACAACAACACCAACAACTCCTCCAGCGGCAACCCCGACGTCGAGATCCACCCGCTCGAATCCCAAATCCCCGACGCGACCCGCTTCCAAGACTGCGCGCGCCTCACGCTGCGCTGCCGCGCATGCAAAACAACCGCGCCCTTCGAAGGTCTACTCGGCTCGACCGAGCGGATAACCCCCTCGGGCGTCTCCTGCCCGCAGTGCGGGGCCATCCTCTCGACGCTCTCCATCGTCGCGCAGGTCGAGACGGCCGCGCGGGCGCAGACGGCGCGGTACTACGAAGGGTGGCTGGCGTGCGACGACGCCGGGTGCGGCAGCCGCACGCGGCAGATCAGCGTGGCGGGGGCGCGCTGCCTGGGCCCGCGCGGGCTCGCCCGCGACTGCCAGGGCCGCATGCGCTACGAGATGGGCGAGAAGGCCGTCTACAACCAGCTGCTGTACTTTGCCTCGCTGTGGGATGTTGATCGTGCCAAGGAGAAGGCGGCCGCTGCCGCGCCGGGCGAGGGCGGTGAGAGTGGTGTCCCCGCTGGGGAGGCGCGGGATAAGGTGCTGGCGTTGGCGGAGCATAATAGGACGCGGTTTGGGACGGTGAAGGGCGCGGTGGATAAGTATTTGGAAAAGTGTGGGCGGCAGTGGGTGGCGATGGATACGCTGTTTTCAAAGCTGGGGTTCACGGCTTAGGTATGTTGTCAGGGTTGGATTGTACGAGGCACTGGATGATGCTCTGCGAGTGGTTTTGTATTATCTCCTTGTTGGCATAGGGGGCTTTGGCGTAGGATTGGTTTGATGGATGGTAGTCACTCACGTCTCTCTTACTTGTTTTGTTTTAACACAATGGAACATAATGCCCCGAGTGTGGTGGTCCGAGCATGCCAGCGAACCCGTCTAGTCAAAGAAACAATCTGAGTTGAGACCTGAACGCCCAAATTATGGATGCCAATGACAGGAATAAAAGCAAGCCAACGCTTATGTACACACACAAACGCTTGTCTCTAGCCTCAACGCAGCGCACCAGCCCCTCTAGATGGCCGGTTAGTGACAGGTGATGCACCCTCTTTTCAGTGTCCTCCCAAACTCGCCCATGTCTCGTGTGCCTCGTCCAACTCTTGCATATCCACCCACCCTCATCACCCTCATTGCCCAACCTCCAACCTAATCCATATCTTCGTCAGATCGCTTTCCGCTTGCTGTCTTCGCGAGCACAGCCTGTCGGTCATGTGGGAAGTGATTGATGAACATAACGCCAAACAAAAGGGAAAACCGCTCCATAAAAGCCTCCAGTCCCAGAAGAGAGAACGTGATTACAAAGACCATCGCGTGTGTAAAGGTTGTGAATTGAAGTAGCAAGGGAGTTGGTGATCATGCGAGGAAGTGGGAAGTGCCGCTGAGGCTCTCGCTTGTCCGGAAAAAGAAGCCAACAATCCATGACAGTGCAGAATGTGGGGAGAGACAAGGCAGAGAGGCCGTAAAGCATGAATCCATTATAGAGAGATAGGCAAGCTTCCTCCACTTTCCCAATCCCAGCCCGCCACCCATACCACAATGGGCACTGGTGGCGAAGCACCAAGCAACATAAAAACTTTTGAAAGTGTACAAACAACACGAAGAGGGCAGAAGTGAAGAAGAGGTCAATCGATTCCCCCGCCCCAAACTCCAGAATAATAAAAAAAGAACAATGACGACAGATGTCTCCCCTGCCCTGGCCGTCTCTCTGATGGGTAACGTCTATCGAGATAAGGGAGGTATCATGAGGGGCGGCCCAACTTTTAGGAGAGAAAAAAAGCAATTTTGATGAACAAACCCGCCGCAAATGCAGATGACAAACCCCGCCCGGTCTATGCATGAGTTCATGAATGCAAGACTCCGTGTAGTGATGGAAAAAAACTCTGCTCTCTACTCCTTTTTGCTGTTGCCAGCCGCAACCGTGTCGAGGGTTGCCTTTGGCAGCGCTGGCGACGCATGGGCTGATGGAGGAGAGCCGGGGTGGTCACCGGTATCAGCGAGAAGTCTATGTATGTGTGGTTAGCAAACCTGCTATGGGACTTAGGTGAAGGCTGGAGTACATACCCAAATGCATTTGTGTGGGCAACCGAGTCGCGGTCACGAACGGGAGGGGTCCCAGTGCGCGAGGACGCGCCGGAGTCCTCGGCGGCACGACCAAAAGCACCACCAGGGCCACCCAGGCGTGTACGACCGCTGTTGCTCCGAGAGTTGAACATGGAAGTGGGTCCGAATGATGGGTTTTGGCTCGAGGTACGGCTTGAAGATCCCTTGAGGCGTCTGAGATCATCCATGCCGACCTGGTTACTGGGGGGTGCATTGTTGTAGGAGAAGTTCCTTGACTCGCCCCGACCACCCATCGGCCGGCCACCACCAGGGGGACCACGCTGGTGGTTGCGAGCGCTCTCGGCGGCCTTTTGTGCAGCAGCTGCCTCAGCCTAGTAATGTCACGTTAGTCTCAATGCAAATTGTGGGTTGTTTCGAGATGGACATACCTCAGCCCTAACTTCCTCAAGAGTCTTGGGACCCTTGTTGGCTTCCTTAGAAACCCAGCCGGCCTTGCGCAAGTCGATAATGTCCATGAGCATGAACATGAGACGGCTCGGCAGGCCCTCGAGCTGGACGATGCCGTCAATCCGGGCGAAGTATGCGCTCATGAATTGACGGCCCTTCTCTGTGCTGTCCAAGTTGCCACCGATAGTCTTTAGAAGCTTTGTGAGAGACTCAATCTCAGCCTCATCAGGGACACCAGTGAATTCGAGCAACTTGCGCACACACTCGTGCATAATGCGCTCCGTCAGCATACCAAGCTTGTAGAGCTCGCCGATAAACTGAACGAGACCCAGACCACGACGCTTGGCAGCGGCGGCAATGTAGTATTCGTCCGACAGCAAGGCCGCCTCGGTCGCCTTCTTGTCTTCGCCCTCCTTAGGTTGCGGGAGATCGACCTTCCAGCCGCGCTCGAATTCCTCCTGGCACCTGTTGAGAAGGTACTTGCGGAACAGAGCACCGCCACTGACGACATTTCCAGCCTTGTCCAGGATGCTCTCGTCGCGAATATCGGCGCTCATGTTCTCGAGCATACACTTGCAGAACTTGGCATACATAGATGCCCAGTGAGCCTCATCGGTCGCCTTCTCAAATGTAAGCTGGATAACCTGACGCAGGGTGCGGCCATCCGGCTCGTTCTTGGATTGTGCGGCAATCGCGAGAATCTGATCCGAGATCTTCTGGAAGTTCTCCGGAGTCATCTTGTTCAGGGCAGCCTTGACCTTACGCTGCACCATTCCAGGGTCCATATGGCCGCCCTGAGCAACCGCAGTGGGCGCTTGAGCGGCCTTGTTACCGACGCTAGACGGTTTCCAGCCTGACGCTGAGACGGTAATGGGCTTGAGGTCCTGGCCTTGGGTAAGGGGCATGGTCTTAGCAGCCTGCGCCTCGGCCTTGGCGCTGCCAAAGTCCCGCTTGCTGCCACCTCCACGCCTGCTTCCGGCACGGGGAGAGGGCAGGCCGACCGCATTAGAGGACGGCGTACGGCTCATTTGGCCGGGGAAGACACCTCCGCGGTTGAAGCCACCCATCGAGCCCATGGCGGGTCTAGGGGTATTGCCCTGGGACATGGCAAAGCGTTCCGCTGAGGTGGTTCCAGGAGGCAATGTCTTGGCGGCTCCGAATTGGCCCATGGCGCCTCCAGACGGGAAAGCAGAAGAGGCACCAGCGCGCGAGTTTTGTCGACCGGAGCCGGCGCCAGGGGTACGAGCCGAGGCAGACCGGGAACCGTCCGAGTCTCCAATGAGAGACTTGACCTGCTGGTGGAACTCCATTGAAGGCTGCTCGGTGAAGACTTGCTGGAACTGGAGCAAGAACTGAGCGTCGTACTTGAAAATCTTGCCCTTCTTGTGAACTGCCGCATTGAGGGCAGGGTTGGGCGACGCGATGCCCGCGGGGTATATGGTGTGGTCCACGTTCTGCAAGAAACGAGCAGAGCGGAGAGACTGCAGTGCCGCACTGGGCTGCGGAGCTTCGACCGGCGTTGTCTTAAGGGGCGCCAGGTTGAGAGCAGCAGGCTTGCTTCTAGCCTTGTCTGCAGCTCCAAGCTTTGTGGTCGCATCGGTGCTAGCTTTCTCGGTTGACTCCTTGTCGGCGAGTTTCAGCGCGCTCATGGGCTTCGAGAGAAGGTCGCTAACAGACGTCGCCTTCTCACCCTTAGCCTCGCCTTCCTTGCGGCGACGCTCACGTTCCTCCTCGAGTCTCTCCATCTCCGCTTCTTGCTCCCTGAGCTTCTTGTCGTTGTCGGCCGAGTTGAGCTTGGCAGCATCCGCGCGCTTCTTCTCCTCTTCCTTTTGAGCCTTCTTTTTGGCGGAGATTTCCTCCTGCTCCTTCTCGCGACGAGCATCCTCTTCTTCCATCTCACGAATCATGCGCTCCATCTCGTCCTCTTCCGATTCCTTGGGAGCGGCTGGCTGCTTGTCCTCCTTTGGCTCAGGGACCTTGGCAGCTTCGGCGGCAGCTTCGGCCTCCGCTTTCGCCTTCGCGTCGGCCTCGGCCTTCTCTTTCGCCTTGGCTTCTTCTGCCTTCGCCTGCTCGGCGGCCTTCTCGGCCTGGAGGCGAGCTTCCTCCTTGGCCTTCTCTTCAGCAGCAGCCTTCTCAGCCGCTGCCTTTTCCTCGGCGGCCGCCTCCTCAGCCGCCTTGTCGGCTGCAGCCTTGTCTTCCGCAGCCTTGACTCCTTCTTCCTCCTCCTTGGCTTTCTCTTCGGACGGGGTGTCGGCTTGCTTTCTGACAAGGTTCATGAACTCGTTGCGAACCTGTTCAGCAGTTTTGCCAGTAGAAGCACTATCAGTTCGGCCATGGGAAGGCGTTGAAGGCTTGGGAGGCGGTGTGGGAGTCGAGACGATTGCCGGGGGCGTCTTCGACGGCTGAATGGGCGGAGCCGGGGAGCCGGGGGCCTTCATTGCGGCGGTCAGGTCAACAACCTTACCCTCCGAGTCTTTGATGACAATCGCGGCACTCTTCTTCGGCGGCCGTGAGAACGCCGGCGAAGACACGATGGCCGGCGCGGCTTGGGCCGGGCGTTGCTGTGGCGTACCCTGAGCGATTGCCGGTGCTGGTTGGGCCGGCCCGGTGCTCGATGCGGGACGGTCGGAAACCTGGGAAGCGTTACGAGACATGGGCTGCGCGGTTGCCTGCCCGGGTCCGTACGAAGGAACAAACCCTTGGTGGGGAGCGGGGGCAAATTGCGAAGGCTGCGGCATGTAATGATTCATCGGCTGCGGGGGATACTGATAGTTCATGCGATAACCATCCATCGGCGGTGGCATGCCGTAAGGGGCTCCCATCTGCATCTTGTTTGCGGTTAGCAGCTTCTCAAAGGTACCACTCTCTGGCGACAAGTCAATAGGCCCCATTAGGTGAGGAGCAAACATAGGAACCGGGCGACCTGGTTGAAAATGGTACGACGGAGGCACGCCATCCGAATTCTCGGGCGATGGGGGGCCGCCGTTGACATTCTGATAGCAGTCGGCCGCTGAGTCCCAACGCTTGCTTTGACGCCGCGGCCGCTGCGTAGGTTCCATGCTGGTATGTCTCTGGGAGGCGTTGGGAGCTCGCAGATGGTGCGCTTTCTCCGAGTCCCGACGCCCTGCCTTGTTCTTCTTGTGGGTCTTGAATGTGGGGTGGTCACTATTAATGGAATGGGGATTTACTTGGTGAGAGTAAGGCGGGATTGCCGGGTTCATGCCCGGGTAGTGGTATGGCTGTGCGCCAGCAGCCAGGGCGGCAGGCTGCATCGTGGGCGTGACATGAGGCATGGCTGGAGTCGTTGCCGGGCTGGCACGGTGGGGTTGCGGCGAGTTGGGGAATTGTTGCATTCCGCCGCGGCCCTGGTGATAGGGCTGCATGCCGCCACGACCGGCGTTGGGGCCCGAAAAGTTCCTGTTAGGCGGGTAGCCCATGTTAGAATTGTTGTATTGCGGGTTGAAATTGCCGCGGCCGCGACCCTGGCCCTGGTAGCCACCTCGACCGTGTGCCGGACCGCCGTGGCCGATGCCTTCGCCGTGTGTCGAGGCTTGTGAATCACGTCTAACGTGAGGGCTCTGGCCCATCGCAACTTGGTTATGCTGCTTCATATGGCGCTTTAGATAATGGTTAGCAAGGAAGCGTTGCCTAGAGCAGGGAGCGAGGATACGTACGTCGTTATCGCCCGGAAAGCTTCCAAAGGTCACCGGAGCCTGGGGGATGGACGGAGCCCGCTGGCCGCCACCGCTTTGCTGGGGCATCTGCGGGATGGGCGACGGAGAGTGTGCAGGGGACTGGATCCTCGGGTTGCCGCTCCCAGGGATGGGAATCGGCGCGGGACCACCCGCCTGGGGGGTGCTGTGAGCGATGGCTGGCGACTCGTTGAAGCCAAACTGGATGCCCTTGGGGCCGCCGGCGGGGCCGCCGTTTGCGATATGGCCAACCGGGGCGTTGGCACTAATGGTCACGGAGCTCTTGCGGGCGTGGTCTGCGCCGCCGTTGACGATGGAAGAGCCACGAGCGACAGGTGGGGTGGTGACGGTCGGGACCGCGGGGGTGATGTTGGGCCGGCCGTTCATCGGGGCAACAGTCGAAGTTTTGCCATTCTGAGCAGCTGGCGCAGATGATCCGACCACTACGGGCGGATGAGGGCCCGCCGCTGATCGCGGCGAAGATGTCGGCTTCTTGTTCGCACCGGCGGCGGAAGCATACGACGGAGTTGCCACAGAAGCTGCGGGAGTTTGCGCCGGGTTTTGATTTTGCTGACTCGCAGTAGAAGTCATAGAGGGAACTGTTGACTCGAAAGCCGTATCCTTGGGTTTGTTGTGTGTACGTAGAGGTTGTTTTGGGAATGCGAAACTATCGGGTCGGCCCAAATGCACGGCGAATCTCAGATCCGGCGTGTCGAGGACGGAAGGGAATGGTTATCGTTTCGTTTCTTCGTAAACCGATATGTGCCAATCTGGAAATATTCGCAACGCACTCGAGAGGTTCGGGTGGTTGAGCGGTAGAAATTTCTGTGAAAGAGCGTGGTAGGTTTGTCGCAAGGAAACCAGAAAGGCGACCGAGAGCGACGGGACCGAGTGTCGGAAAACTCGCAAAACTGGCGAGGCCCAACGTCTTCGCGATTAACAGCGGAAGAGCGGGGAGATGTATATCTCTGTTCTCTGGATTCGGGATCCGAGAAGGAGAGATACCGGCGGTATTATGTGTAAAAAAAGGGAATCGGTCGATTAAAGACGATTCCTCCCTAGAGATTTTCACAAGGTGGGCGTGGAAAGGGTGGTGGGAGAGGGAAAGCAGAGCCCAGAAAATTTTTGGGGAGCTGCCTTTCTGATGGCGAAGGAAGGGCCCGGTGTGTGGGCGGGCAGCGCCGCCTGGGTTTGGCCGCACTAAAAGTCATCGGCTCTCGGCCGCGCTCTGGCCAAAAAAAACGTCGCAGGTACCAACCACACCAAAATTTGCGGTTGGAGGTACTTCACGTTGGGTTGTTGAAATTCTTCGCCTCCACAAGTGAAATATGCCTTGCATGTCCACGCAAAGACCTACCTGGGTGCATTACAGTACCGAACAGGGAGGTTTTCGCGGAGCAAATTGTGGCTTTGGAAGTGTCTGATTTGTGTGCAGCAACCGCAACAGCTTGTAGATATACACCCACCAGGCGCCCAAGTGGCACACCTACCCACAGTTTTTTACATTCTTCTCGTTGAAAAAGAGATCGCGTAGGCCCGCTCTCATTCTCTCAGTAAGCTCCAAATTCCACTATCAGTGCGAAATGTACCTAGTTGTGTCGATCAAAGGGCATGTGGTTGTCCAGGCCGAGTTACGGATACCCTTTTGGAACCCAAAGGTCAGGGCACGACTCCGGGTTCGAAGGAACCCCCACTTCACACCTCCAATGGACGAAGGTTATCAGCACCCGAACGAGTTCTTGTTCTTTGAAAAAGTGGAAGCTGTGATACAATAAAATTTCCATGAATGCACGCATATTCTGACATGGCGGTGCATGATGCCTCGCGATCATGGACAGGGCATGGTATTCCCTTGAGCGCTTTCTGGCCGAGAAGCAGGCTGACATTTGCCTCACAGCACCAACCTTCGTTGGTACACAACGGGGTGGGGGTACCTAACTCAACAAAGAAGGGCTCGGTATTAAAACGGATAGCTTTAGTCTCCTCGTTCGGAAACCAAAGAGTTAATCTCTCGCATTGTGCTTCGAGGCTTTTCTGAATGTCACGCTCCCCTCGTCGGGTTCTCGACTTGGTGACTTCCCCAGGCAGGCACTGAGATAGCCCGCACCAGCCACCACCGCCTCACAAAGATCGCCACCAGACAACACTCCTTTACACAGCCGAGTGGTGTCGAGTTTCGTGTTGTTTTTCCTATTGATAATATCCCTGAACAATCCCCTGGCGGGAGAAAGGTTCCCGAGCTGGCCTTGGGTGACGATATAAGATGGAGGGGTTGCCGTCTTTTTCTCTTTTTCTCCGTGGGGCTGGGCGGGGTGTCTCCCGGTGGAGATTGACTCTGCCACAACCCTGCATCGAACTAATGACTCTTTTTTTGTTACCACTCACTTCTTGTTCGCTCTCATATACCCAGTCATGATGAATGCCACTTATGTGACTTCTATAATCCTCTTTTTTCAAAGACTTCTCGGTCAGTAACCAGTCCACAGGGTTGCACAGTCTGTCTCCCTGGCACTCCTGGGTGGGCACATGCGCTCCAAGGCGAAAACTGGGGCTCGAATGGGTTGGCGGAGCCTCCGCTCCACATCAGATCTGGAGAGGGCGTTTCGTTTCCTTGGGCCATCAAAACATTTGGCGGGGAAGCCTTCGGGCAATTCACCGCGGAACTTGCCTTCTCCCCGAAGTGATCCTCCATTTGTCGGGTGCGGCGTCAACCTCCCTCCGATCCTACATCAAAGGGGTCGGAAGGTCACCTGGAAAATGGTTTTCATTACCGGTGATTTATTACTGGTGATTCAGAGGTCGGATAGAAACCCTCTGCGCCCCACTGTTGACTCTTACAACGATCTGTGCGAGTTATGGACATACATCCTTGACTCTGACCCGGGACCTGTGATGGCTTGTGTAACAGAACTCAACACCCCGGTTTCTTGGAACTTGTCTGCATCGACATGTCCGCATGTATGGACATACGAATGCCCTTTGATGCCGACTCTTCCGGGAGTCTCTTTTCCTCCGAGCCTTGACCGCAAACAGCTGCTTCTTTATATATATATATTTGCAATAGCAAACACGGAGCAAACCCGACGAAAGCTCGGGCCTGTTGGCCTATCCAAGACACGCAATCACATGCCTACCAAGCAATTCAATCCTTCCAGTTACACCGCCGCGGAATCGGCTTAGCCCACGGGCGCGGGTCTTCGCACAAGCGGTTCGCCACCGCCAGCGCATCCTCAACCGCAAACCAAAAACGCACAATGGCGCCCTCACAAAGTCGCAGATGTGCCCATGCTCGACATGGCGGCCGTCAGCGGTCGGTCTGAGTCATACTGTGGGAAACCAATGACTCCCACTGCCACCCGCGGGCGGCTCCGTTTAACCCATGCAACACTGGGGGCCTTGAGCGACGGACGTCGTGGATTGCTCACCGTGCGCGACTCGCGGGTCCAAGAGGGCCTCGTTCAGCTTGAACACCGATGGTGGCTTCTTTCATATTAACTCTTCTCACCGTCTTGCTTTTCTTATCTCCGTCGTGTTGTGGGGGAAAAAACACCGAAAGTTAGACTACAGATGACTTCGACATACTCACTAATCCATTAGTGGCTTGGTTTTGAAACCAAGCCGGGCATGCCGGGTGTGACGTTGACGACGGCTTCAGACGCTGCTGCATGGTGACGACATATCCTCGCTGTCGGTGTTGCATGCGACCGGAATCACAAGAGACCCTTGGAGCTCCAGTCAGCTGCTGTTGTTGCTCAACCCCGGCATGCAGATCAGCCAGGGTCCAATAACGACAGAAAAAAACGGCTCTTGCAGGACAATCAACACACGCTTTTCGTGACCCAACTCGATATCAAACCACACGATGTATGTACCATATAAACATACAGACCGACGCCGCATTTCACCTCATTCCTCCTCAACCTCAAACCCCTCCCCTCTAGCCAACCCCTCCACCTCCTCTCCCTCTCCATCCTCACCAGCACCCCCCACACCATACCCCTCCTCCACCTCCTCCACGACCGCCTCAAGCGGCACATCCCCCGCCAAGCCCCTCTCCTCGCGCAGCTGCTTGACCCTTGTGCTGGTCATCTCAAAGACATACTGCCCGAGATGCTCGACCCCCTCCATGACCGCCTCGCCCTGCACGTCCTTGGTCTTCCCACCCTTCCCTGCCTTTCCTCCCTTCCCTGCCTTCCCTCCCTTCCCACCCTTCCCACCCTTCCCTTCCTCCCCCTCCCCCTCCCCTTCTCCCCCCTCCTCATCAGCCAGGACCCTCGCAGACGGCCACATCTCGCCCGTGACGAGGGCCAGCTTGTCCGGGCGGCGCAGCAGCAGGTCGAAGGCGTCGCGCAGCTCGTAGCAGGCCTCGAAGACGTCGCGGCGGCCGAGGATGTAGAGGCCCAGGCGGGCGCGCGAGAGGGCGACGGTGAGGCGGCGGATGTCGCGCAGGTAGCCGACGCGCGTGGTGCGCGTGAGGGAGAGGATGATGTCTGGTGCGGGAGCATGGTTGTTAGTGGTTTTTTACCTATGGTGGGGTTGAGGGGGGGAGGCAAGGTGGGTTGGGGGGGGTGGTGCTTACAGTCGTTCTGTTCGCCCTGGTACTTATCGACAGTGGTGACGATGCGGGGCAGGCCGAAGACGGGGTTCTTGGCGCATCGGTGGGCGAGCACGTCCTTGATGAGCGCCCGCTGGCCGGCGTAAGTGGCTAGGATGCTGATTTTGGATGCCGGGTAGCCCAGCAGGCGCATGTACTGGTAAATGGCCACGGCATACTCGGCCTCGCCGAGGTTTTGGATAAAATGCGGCGAGGGCTCCGTCTCTCCCTTGCCCTTGTAGTCGGGGACGTTGATGAACTGGTAGTCAAACCGGAACCCGGCGTTGGCGGTGAGGAACTCGTTGTGCGTTTGGGTGTGCGGAAGGTCGCCTAGCTCGGGGTAACGCCATTTGTACAGGCTAGAGATCGAAGGACGAGCGCGGCCTTGCTGGTCGAGGTGGATGGTTGGAACGCCGAGACGGACAAGCCGGGAAAAGAGCGATTGCTCGAGATTCGCATAGTGCCGGAACGCCAGCCCCTGGATGACGGGCGAGTTCTGGTAGTGGTCACCACATAAAACCACCCTCTGGAGACCGGATCGCCCATCCTTGGGTTTCTGCATGGCGAAGGGGATGAAGTTCTCAATCTCGGTGATTTGTGCGGCCTCTTCCATGATAACATTGTCGTAGTGGAAGCCGAGTGAGGCGATCTCGCCCCTCTTCATCGCAGCATGTGTCGAGGTCATGGCAACGATCCGGGCCTCGCTGGTGAGCAGATAGTTGGCCTTGTCCTTGTCGCGTCTTAGGATCTCGAAAGGTAGCACATCTGCCAACTCCGAAAAGATCTTGGATATGTGACGATAACATCCGCTAGCGATTTCTAAGACAGCCTCGCGGTCTGCGTCGGCGGGGAAAAGGGGCTGCGGCGCATCCTCAAAGAAAGCATGGAAGGGAAATGCCTGAACAATCTCCTCGGGACCGACATCCTCCGGCTTGACGGCGCCGCCGAACTTGGCCCATGCCGGCTCAACATAGACCGAGTTAAAGTAGCCGGCCGTCTCGGCAGAGTTACCATGAGCGCCCGGCGCGCCCATGCTTGCAGCGAGACGATTGACCTCGAGGAGGAAACGCTGCCGGTTTTCAAGGAACGACTCGACTCTGCCGTGCTTGCTGAAGCTCCCTCCGGTTTCCAGCTCCTCTTCTCCGTGGCCCAGACGGAGAAGGTGGCGCTCATCCATATCCAGGGCCACGATCTTGGCAAACAGCTGGTTGAGGGCCTGGTTGCTGTGGGCTATGAGGAGCGTTTTCTGCTCGGGAAAGTTGTGGTAGATGTTGTTGATAATCTGGGTCGCGACGTCCGTCTTACCAGTGCCGGGTGGGCCAACAATGACAGTAAGCCCCGGTTGTGACCCTGAGACGATCGCTTCGATTTGTGTTGGCGTGAACCGGACCTTGTTGAGTTTCGGAACGTCAACCGGATAAGGCCCGTTGTTTGGCGGTTTGTATGTCGAGACATTAACAGTCTCGATCTCGGCGATCAGAGCAGGCTCTGCGTCTCGCCTTCTTTTCTTAGAAGGTTTGGAAACGGCGCCCTCCGGTTGCTTGTCGACGGTCTCCAGTACATATGGGGGGCCGAAACTCCCGGAGACGTCGTCACTTGGTTCGATAATCTTGCCGGGCAGGCTCTCGATAAGATGCTGCCAGTCCAGGAAAGTATCGCGGAAGTTGACTTTCTTGACGCGGTTTGGTAGGTTCCTGTACGTAGCACCGGCTGGGTCACCATACCCCAGGAAGACTTCATACAGCCAGGAGGCGAGAGGGACCTCGGAAAGGGTGAGATCTCGGATCGACTCTAACACCGGCTTGAAGTTGTTCTCCCGGCCGCTTCTCCGAACCAAGAGATTGATTCCGTCGTAGACGTCGCGATTGCTCTCAGTGTCGGCTTTGAACGCCGCCGCGTCTAGTCGGAGTTGAAGTTTCCTCGAGTCGCCGCGGCTATGGCCATCGAAGTACGCCTGTGCATCCCTGATCGCTCGTCCCTTGTCGTCAAGCACCTGGATGACTTCGGCAGCTCGAACAGAGACCAGGCCTAACTTCTCGGCCTCTGACGGTGGGGCGCCGCCATTAGCGGCCTGTTTCGATTTGGACGCGTCGACAGCAACAAGGAAAAGCACATCGTCGGGACGTAAGGATTCCCATTCACGCCGGACATGTGGTGACAGCCTCCTCATGTCGATGGTCACTTCGGCCCGGACTAACGAGGGCTTATCGTGACCTACCCGGGGCGGCACCACCTCAAGGATGGTTGGTTTGGCGATCGGTAGGGCCATTTTTGAGAAGCCCGAGAAGGTTGTTACCCCTGCTCGTTTGCTCTCGGGTTTTAACCTTGTTAACGCGTCCTCGATGTCCTGACCGATGGCATAGAAGGACTCGCACCGGTACAAGATCATGGCCCGCCAGAGAAAGTCGCCAACCGATAGGTACTGGAGATTGAGTTTCGGGAGCGCAAGGGGCCGGGATCCGTCATAGTGGTCTGTCCTCCTGAGGCTGATGTCAAAGAGCGCTTTCTCGGTGGGGAGGATGCTCAAGTCGCGGGCGGCCTCCTGGAAGGTCTTTTGCCTCTCAAAGGTCCATAGAAGGACCTCCATCAAGAACCTGCGATCCACCGGTACTTTGGCAGGTTCTGGGTACGTTACCCGGAGGCCCAAGTGACTAGCAAGCTGGGCAAGCTCCTCATCTGTTAATGACTGAAGATGGCCTTCGAGCCCTGCTCTCTTGTCGATCGAACCATAGTTCGACAGCGCCAGGAGGGTCAACTTCTCCTTGAAGTGTTTCAGGGCCGTCCTTTGCAGCTTAGCCAAGGCGCCGCAATGCCTGTCGTACGCCTCCTTAAGGTTGAGCTGTGCGCCCGAGTGGTCGTCGACGCAAAAACGGGTGTAGTGTGTGAAGAGAGCGCATAGCTCTCGGAGCAATTCGCTCCCTTCGTCGTTGTAAACTGGCGATAGAGCGAGGGCGGGAAGAACGTGCATGTCTTGGAGCAACGTGTTGACATATCGTCTGGTTGGGAGCTGGCTCTGCAAGTCGGTCAAGAATTCGACGAAGCGTTCGCAGTAGAGTATGTGCTCTAGTTTGGGGCTCCCGACGTGGAGCAGCGCGAGGAAGTCCAGGATCAAGGTGTATAGCCAGGACCTCTCGAAGCGTAGGCGAGCTTTGGTGGCATCGTCGGCGGCATCGTACCTCTTGGCAGACGCCCTCCAAGCCTTCTTTAATTGTGGATTGGCGTCGAGTATCGCGACCCGCTTCTCCTCGGTCGACATGCTATGCCATATCGAGATCGAGACCAAAGGGGCGCACTCCTTACGCACAATGTCGCGGTCTAGGCTCCGGAAGGCGTGGATGACGAAGAGCAGAACATGGGTTCGGACGGTCCAGGATAGCGAGCCGTCGAGGGTCATGGAAAGAGCACGGCGGAAGAGATCTGAAAAGTCGGCGGGACGGTCGGCGAAGATGTCTGCAGGCGGTCAGCACTCGATCGAGGGGAGGGAGCTCAAGACGGGCAAGACGTACCCCAAGTCCCGAGCCGTTCCCTTTGTTTCGCGTTGACTATGAGGACAATCAGGAGGACATGGTAGTTGGATGAGCTCTCCCCATAACCAGGCCACAGGTAGCTACAGCAGAGGTCAACGATTATAATCTTCAACTTGGTCTCTCGCATGGACACCCACCTTTCCAGCGTCTGCAACCCCTCCAGCACCAGCAGTGATTTTAATGGGAAGTTCTCCTTCTCTAGAACGTCCCATATTTCCCGCTTGAGCACATCGTTCTTGACCTTAACTTTGGACTTGGCCTTGCTGGTCTTGGATGTCTGCTTCGGTGTCTTGAGCCAATGCTGCCGCGCCAGATTGGCAAACTCGCTTTCTCCCTCTAAATCCTCGACAGTCGGCCGTTTCGAGGGCCCAGCATTCGGCCGGGAATCCGCGCTGCTTTTTACTCGTTTGGCGGGAGGCATATTGGGCGCTGTTGTCGCGTGCAGCGTACGGAATCGGGGCCTATTGTTGTTGTGTCGCGCTCCCGCATAAACTTTATCGGACTCGTTAAACTCGGGGATGATAGATATTATTGAGCCGGAACGGGTTGCACCCAAAAGCTCCAAGCTTCCAGGTTCCAGAATCGCAGGACAGCCTTGCAGTTACGCTCCACACTCTCGCCCCACACATCCACGGCCTGTTCTGCTTGCATTGGATGGATGGATCGCCAAGCCAAGGGACGCCGGGAGTGGGGCCCCTTGCACCGAACCAGCCTTGTCACTTCCATTGTTCGCTGTTCCTCTCGCGAGCATATCGCGGGCCCTCGTTTTGGTGTGTTTCGTTGGTGTTGTCAAGTTCCGGCCACTTGGAAACCCAAGTCGCAACAAACCGCCCCCGCACCTCTTCCAGCTCCAGGAATCCTCAGGCAGCCTCAAGATGCCGTCGGCAACCATTGATAGCCATGGCGTCTCGGGTGTTGCTGCAGCCGGTGCCTTTCTCGATAACCTCCTCGCGCGTGCCGAAATCGTCAAGCAAACAGCATCGATTGAACCGCCCCTGGAGAAATCGGACTTCGACGATGTTAGGCGACAACTAAGCGATGCGCTAAGCTATGAATTCGTTGCCGATGAACCCGTCGACGCGAAGAAGATACAGCGCTTTGCCGTCATCGAAACCGCCGCTCGAGACACATTCAAGTCATTAATCGTGAGTTGGTCTTGGAACCGCGCATTCCCGCTGCCGTTTTGAGTCTGACCGATCATTATCTTCAGGCAATGACGCCGATTGAGTCTCCCGCGTTCGTAAAGGTCTGGAATCTCCTCGACATCCTTTCCCTACTTTCCGACTTGGAACTCTGCGACCCCGCCCTACTCTTCTGGCTTGTCGAGGAATTGCTCGATAGTCAAACAATTGCCGGCTGCCGAAAGGTGTTCGACTTTCTCGAGTCGCGCCGCGAGCGCATCACCGCCAAGCATTTCAAACAAAAGCAGCTCGTCATCCTCCGCACCTGCAATGAGCTCCTCCGACGCTTGTCCAGGGCCCTCGATCCGGCGTTTTGCGGGAGGGTCTTCATCTTCATGTTCCAGAGCTTTCCCCTCGGAGACAAGAGCTCCGTCAACCTGAGAGGAGAATACCACGTCGAAAATGTCACCACTTTCGATCAAGAGACTCCGGTGGTGGACGCGGAAAAGATGGACGTGGACACGGATTCGAAACCACAGAAAGACAAGCCCCTAGATCCGGATTCCCTGTACCCCATTTTCTGGTCGCTACAAGAAAGCTTCAACCAGCCGAAGAAACTTTTCGAGTCGAGCCATTTCGCCGCCTTCAAAGCTGGTCTTGAGGCAACCATGGCGACTTTTTGGACCATCAACCCGGAGAAGCCGACACGGAAAGAAAAGGACAAGCCGGAGGAGGAAATGAATCCTAGCCACAAACGAAAACGCGACGACGTCGATGACGAGCTCGCCAGCGGCTTCAACCCCAAGTATCTCACCAGCAGAGACTTGTTCAAGCTAGAGGTAGGCCTCGTCTCCCTCCCACTTGCACATGCCCTCTAATACCGTACAGATTAGCGACCTCGCCTTTCGGCGCAACTTCCTTGTCCAGGTGCTCATCGTCATGGAGTTCCTCTTGTCTCTTTCTCCAAAGGCAAAAGAAAAGCTCGCGGCCATCAAGGCTCCAAACAAGTCGGTGACGTATTCGGACCAGCAGTTGAGCGAAGAAGACACTAAGTGGGCGACAAACATGAGGGCGGACGTCGTCAGATACCTGCAGAAAGGGGTTGACGGCCCCTTCTTCGACCGGATGGTTGGTACTGTCCTCGTTAGGGACAAGAATTGGGTCCGGTGGAAGGTAGAAAACTGCCCGTCCATCGAGCTCCCAACCTTGTCTCCTGGTACGTTCATCGAGGCTAGGGCTGCGGCGACCAGACTGGCAAGGACGAGACGGCTGCCCAACGAGTCGCGCTCGCTCGAGTTTCTCGGCGACGAAGACGAGAAGAGCGCGATGGAAAGGCTGAAGAACCCCGAACGGTATAGCCTCCCAGAGCTTACCAGCTTCAAGGATGCCATTGACGACGACGATTTCGACATCGAGAGGGCCACCAGCAACGAATCGAAAGCTTCGGCAATAGAAAGTAAGGCCAGCAAAGCGTGGAGGACTCTCAGGATAGCTAGCAAATCCAAGCTAGTCGTCTTCGATAAGATCGAGGATGACGAAAAGATCGACATCGTCTTCAAAGACCATCCCATCCAAGAGGCCGGTGTCGAGGAAGACGCGGCGAGCAGCGAAACGGTTTTCCCCGAGGATCGCAGGGCGATCGCCATCGTGGATGCCACCAGCAGCCCTGGCGCAAGGTCCGAGTTGGTAAAGCAATTTATTGCTGAACATTCTCGAGTCTTTACGAGGGTTTCACCCCACGTCATACGCGAGCCGCAGGAAGGCGAGGTTAAAGGGCAGGATTACCATTTTGTGGACGTCCAGGCATTCAACGTCATGCGGGACGGCGACCTATTTATTGAATTCAACGAGGAGGGCGATAATGTCCACGGGACAAACAAGCGAATGGTGGAAGCCATCATAGAGAATGACCGGGTGCCGGTTATGGAGATGGATCGTGATGTGAGTGCAACATCTCTCCGAAACCTACGAAATAGCGATGCTGATCATATTACAGGGCGCGCAACAGGTCAAAGACAATGGTTTCGACGCGAGGTTCGTCCTGGTCGAGGGAGCCGAAGCGGAAGTGGACACCACTACACTCGAGTTCTATGACTCGGTTGTCAAGGACCTTGACTCTCTGAAGGGTGCCATATTTGGGCCAGAGAGTGAAGCCCCAGCGGCGTCAGGAGACGGGGACACGCCTATGGCGGACGAAGCTGCCCCATGACACTTTGATCGAAACATGCAAATTATCTAGACCGCAAGACGAGATGATACCCAATAAAGCGTACAGTGTTTCACCGCATCGCCGTTACAGGAACCTTTACAACCTCCATCAAATGGCACAGCCACCTCAACCCGAGAATGGTGGGGTGGAGGAGGCGATGAGTTGAGGCTTTGGTTGTGGAAAGGGCGGTATCGAGCACCCGGACCGTTCGGAAGCCAGGTATACTAGAGCATTTCGCCCTGCGCACTATCCACTGCGTGTGTGTCGGGAGAAATGCCTAGACCTGGCAGGAGGAAGGCACTCAAAGGAAGGAAGCAACAAGGGGGATGGGGAGAGGGATGGGAAGGAGAGCACATGTATGCCCGGGACTTACAGCCGGCGTATAGCTTTGGCTTATCCCCAGCCATCACGATCTCTCGTTCTGCATGTTACCGCCCTAATCCCTATCTCGACTTCCATGCGAAGCCGGCCTCGTTTTCTCAAGCACCACCTAGCACCGCCAAAGCGTCATCATTTCTTAAAGCATGCCGATCGAAATTGCTGACGTGGGAGAGCCGGCGCCCGAGAACCCGACCAGCCAGTGGCAGATGCAGCTGCGGGACATCATCCGCCTATTGCAATGCCCGGCTTGCTCGTCGCCACTCAAGAAGCCCGTCACCCTCCCCTGCGGCAAAACATACTGCGAGAGCTGTCTACCGGCGTTACACAGACGGGAGAACACCTCATGGCCGGGAACTCTAAACAGACAGTGGGGTATTCACTGCCCCGACATCGAGTGCAGCAGAGCGCATGTCCAGGGAGACTATGGCCCGGACATCATGGTCCGCCGCGTCCTTGAGGCTGTGGAGACCGTTTTACAGAACGGGGCCGACTCGCCCGCCCGAACCGGTCTTCAGACAACGATCATCTTCGAGAGCCCGCAGAAGAACATGCTGACGACCCTCGAAGGTGGAACCCTTCTCGCCGCTTACAAGTTGGTGTCACTCGGGGGTTTGGAACGCAGCATTAATCCCGGGTTTCGGCCGCACGAATGCGACGCCCGGGCGGTAAGAGCCTTCGACGAGGAGCTGCTGGCGCAAATCAAGAGCGCGGCAAGGGAAGAACTCAGCTGCGAAGTCTGCCGGATCGGCCGCCTGGTCAGCCCGCTCACGACTCCGTGTGGTCACACATTCTGCCATATGTGCCTACGCAAGTCGATCTACCTCGGCGAGGACAAGAACTGCCCGTTGTGTCGCCGGCCCCTGTCGTTACGGTTCGGGAGTACACCCGACTCGCGCCCTGGTATCTTGAGCGCCTTCCTCCAGCACACAAACGAACTCACCGGGAGCGTTCCCTCCGAGGAGGCGGGCTGGGACACATGGGGCTGCGTATCAGAAGACAGACCCATGCTGCTTGCGCAAGCGTTATTCCCGGGTATGATCGCGACGCTCGATATTCCTGATCACTATTGGGTTGCCGTTCACCGCGCCCTCGAAGGCGACAAAATCCTCGCTGTGTGTGCCACGATCAATGGCACACCCACGGGCGTTGGCACGCTCGCCAAAATCTTGGAAAATAACCGGTTCGAGAACATGTCCCGCATCAAAGTGATGGGCGTAGCAAGGTTCCGTGTCTCGCGCACCAGGGCGGCGAACGATGGCTGCGTTGTCGGCGAGATCTGGCCCTTGGACGACATCAGCCTCGCCGACGAGGAGGATAATGAGGCCAGGGAAACAATGGGAAACCATAACAAAAATAACATGACGTGCAGGGCAGACGTTCCTCGAACAGCGACCAGATGTCTGTCCGGGCTCGCCACGTATGTCATTCACAAATGCTTGACAAAGGGCGGCCACGCTTGGCTCAAGGAGGGCGCGGCGTTCTCGAGACATTTTGGACAAACATTTCCCTACGACCCAGTTGTGCTGCCCTGGTGGTTCGCCAATATTGCCCCCATTAGCGACAGTCAAAGGGTCGGGCTGCTCGTCAGCAAAAGCGTGCGGGAACGGCTGCAAATCTGCTGGGGCTGGTTGTTCGACTTCGGAATTGACAGGTTCGGTCTTTGATCACTGGATTGTATCCAGTACCTGGGGTTGGTTACGGAAATGGTCGTCGTTGAGGGCGGCGGCCCGGGTGGTTTTGATACCTGAGAACAGCGAAGACATACCATAGGTACCTACCAGTCATATCGTATATAGTACAGCGTTTTCGTTTATTCCCAACACTCCATCTCAGTCCGTTAATTCGTTAGAGCGTTAACTATCGATCGAGAGGAAAAAAAAGGGGTTTAAGTGGAGAGAAAAGACAGAGAACAAGTATCACATCCTGGATGATAAGGTCCAAGGTTACCCGCCCCCTTTGCGTACTACCCCTTTTTCAAGTGCCACCAAGGCAAAGCGCCGCAAACAAACAACATTCTATATCTGTATATACACCCCCCACGCGGCAGATTCCGAATGTCGAAACGACGGCGGTTAATGCATGTTTGTTGGGGTTAGTATTGTCCTCCCTGTGCACAATATCAAGACTGAGACAAAGCGAGGGGGTTCAACCAACACCAAGCAATCCATTGACACATCCCGTCTCGACGACGGAGAAACCCAGATAAATCACAACGACCCCCCTGGTCCTTAAAAGCCTCGCATTCTGTTCATTGTGTCCTAGACCAAGACTCGAACCCAGCCCAGCATAATAGCAGCACATTAGCCAACAGTCGCGCAGTCTTCCCGGCGTCAGAAAGATACCAAACAACACCGGCAACATGGCCTTCTCAGTGTCCCGCATGCTCAGCTTTCTCATGTTACTCCTTAGCCCCATCAGAACCACCGGCTTCATGTGGTTTTAGTTTTTGAAACAACCCGTTCCCGGTGCCGATCCGCTCATTACTGGTATTACAACCCGCTCCGAAAAGCGTCAAAACATTCGTTACCACCCAGCCGACCCGACCCCCCAACCAGAAATAAAACCGTTCCAACATAGCAGCAGTCCGCCGTCCTCCACCGGCCCGGCCCATTCATTCTCCCTGTCCCTTTCCACCCTCCTCCTGCCCCTCATAACATATCACCTCACCCCACCCCACCGCCCCCTCCCCGCAGCCGACGAATTCAGCGCCAGCCGCCGGCCAATATTCCCAAAACACACACAGCTACAAAACAGCACGCTCAGCATCCACACCCCCGTCTCGATCGTCTCCTGGCTCGCCAACCCCCCCAGCGCACCACCACCACCACCACCACCACCGCGGCCTACCGCCTCCCCATCCACCCACCCCCCCAAAACACCACCAGCAGTGGCATTACCACCACCACCACCCCCCACCACACCACCACCACCAGCAGCAGCAGCCAGCCCTTCCAAAAGTGCAACCGACGCAGGCGCAGGCATGACCCCCGGCCCAAGACGCATCAGCACAGCGGACCCCGCGAGCCCGACAGCAGCGGATAATAAAAAGCCCGGCTTGGAGCGGTCGATCAGGTACCAGAGGAAGGGGTTGGCCAGGGCCAGGGTGAGGGACACCTGCATGGTGGAGGCCCAGGGCAGCTTGCGGATGGCGAAGACGATGCCGACGAAGGCGCCGATGCCGCGGATGACGAGGGCCCAGTCGGCGGGGGGAGGTGTGGTGGGGTTTTGGGGTTCGGTTTCAAGGTCGGGGTTGGGGTTGGGGTCGGTGGTGGTGTCGGGGTCGGTTTGTTTGTCGGGGTGGTGGTTGGTGTTGTTAGTGTTAGTGCCGTTACGGCGAGAAGAACGGGCGATGGTCTCCTCCCAGAAACGGTCGAACCACGGCAGCAGACTGCCCAGCGCGACGCCGGCGGCGCCCCAGAAGACCAGATAGCGCCATTCGTAGTGGGACTCGTATGCGGCGGCGAGGCGGTGGCTGGGGTGGTGCTGGTGGTGGCTGTTTTGCGGGAGGCGCGTGACGAGCACGCCGTAGCCCACGCCGAGGACGAAGAGGAGGCCGGCGCGCAGGACGAGCTGGAGGGCCACCTCCCTCTTTCGCGCCGGGCGTGGTGCTTCTGCCGCCGCGGCCGCCGCCACTAGTGGGTTGAGGAGGGCGCTCGGTCGCGGCTGGTGGTGGGATGAGGACCGCTTGCGCATTAGCGCATATGTTTCGTCGTCTAGCCCGGGGCGCGGGGCCGGGACGTCGCCGGGTGTGTCGGTGCCGGGGTTGCGGTCCGAGTCTCGGAAGTAGTGATCCTGGTCCTGGTCCTGGTCGTCTTCATCTTTAGTGGAGGCGTCCAGCGTCGAGGGGGAGTAGATGCCAAAGAGGGTCGGGGAAGTCAAGTTGAGATAGGAGGCGTTGTAACTGATCGGGGTGCCGCTATCTCTGCTGCCGCTGTTCGGGGTGGCGGCGGCGTGCTGGTGGGGGGCGAGGAAGCGTAGGTCGTTGGCACTGATTTGGGGCCGTGACGAGGAGTAGCGGTCGTCATCTTCTTCTGGGGGAGTCGGGCTAGAGAATCCAAGCTTGAAAGGGCGGCGGGGTATGGGCCGTATGATTTTTGGTCCTGATGTGTTGGAAACCCCTTCTCCCAGTGTGTCTGCCATGCCTAGAGAAGTATTGTTGTTGCTGCGGTGGAATAGATGATTGGTAGTGTTGCTCGGATGTCTATCAGGAGTCCCCTTAAAATCATCGGCTACCTAAGCCAAGGAGGGGCGGAGAGTGAATGTGCTAAGGCGGAGATGATGGCTCTCATCAACACGCGACGGGTCAATTTCCAGCGAGATTCGGGTGGTGGCAACCGGGTAGTTATGGAGATGAATGACTCGTGTGTTTTGGCCGTGCACAAAACAAGGGAGGAATGAATGAGAAACAGCCAGATTTCGCTTCTTTCACTGGGGTCTTTCTTGTACTCTCCCAAGAAGGAGCGTGGATCAAGTGCGCGTGCCAGGGTCTTTCCTAGTTTGTCCTCTTTTTTCGCGTCCGGAGCTTGTTGGCCAAATACCGTGACCGAGATGACAGCGGGAGGATGTGAGCAGAAGTCGTCGTCCGCAGTTGAGATGACGAATGTATACGTCCGTGTGCAACAGTGTTTCGAGTCGACGCGCGCAAAGCGTCGTCAGAAGAAACACAGCCGGCAGGGATCGGACGGATTGGCGGGATTGGCTGGGGTGAACGGGCTCGATGGATTGGACGGATTGGATGGGATTGGATTTCTCAAGAGCCGGCGGCGGGTGGCATCTCACTCCGAGATCTGGGGTTGGTTGCTTATGTGAACTACCGGAGTGGTAGGTGTAACCGGAAACCCAACATCTCAACTTTTCCGACCGACAATTGCATTGTATTTATTACGTAGAGCTGTCAGATCTCAAAACCCCTCCACATCCGAATCCCGCTTGTCTGCACCTCTCAGCGCCATGCATGCACCATTGCCAGGGCGCAACCGTGTCCGTGTCCGTGTCTCGTGTCTCTCATGCGATCCCGCCCATGTCTGGCTTTTTTCCGGAGCCAAACGCCAGGGACCAAAAGCACCCACCCCGAACTCCGTCAGCAGCGGGAATCGACAAACGGGGAAGTAGCCGAACAGGGATGCTCGGGAGCGCCACTCGCAATCCTCGCTGAAAGTGGGGGGCGGAGAAGCGGCGATCCGGACCCCTTCACCCAAAAGCTCGCATGTGATCAACACCGCGGTGTGGCTGCCCAGTCAGTGCCAGTCAGTGCCAGTCACTGCCAGTTGAGCCAGTGAGGCGTCTGACTTTTAAACCCTTACCCCACACTTTGCTTGCCTCCTCGCTTGGCTCACCTGGTGCTTGTTTGAGCATCATCGTGCAGACTCGCGCGGTTGACTGCAGCACTTGGCAATCCTCTGCCAAACATGGAGACATGGGCGAATGCACCGCTCAGCCCAGTTCATCAGGTGATCTGGTAGCTGTGGGTTCACGAGGTGGCGGGTGATGCACTCGCTGAAACGACTTGGGTCGTCACTCATTGTCATGTCAACGGTCGGTTACAGGGGTCGCCCATGATGTGTGATGATGAGATATTGCTCCGTTGTTAGAAGGTCGGAAGACTGAGACTGTAGTTCGTGAGAAACTACCTCCCCATGGTCAGGTATGCATGCTGCAGTACAAACATGTATCAACGCCAGGTCCTGGTATTGGGTAAATTTTATCAACAAATTAATATACTCATCATCATCACTCCTCCCCATCATCGCTATCCTCAGACTCGTCCGACTCAAACTCGTACTCGCTCTCCTCCGCTCCCAGCGGCCGGGGTATCATGACGAAGGCCTCCACACAAGTGATTCTGTTCTGTGTCTCGTACATCCCCAGCAGCTTGCCCACCTGCCCGGGCGTCTTGCTGGTGCCGCCGAGTTCAGCAGCCCCGACCCGCCACAGCCGGATCCGCCCATCGCTGCTGGCACCGGCGACGAAGAACGACCGCTTGCCGTCCTCGTCCTCCACCGGCAGGACCTTGAAGTCCTTGATCCTGCCGGACACGCCCGCCTCCTTCCCGCCCAGCTGCCCGACCAGCTTAGCCACCTTCACCGTCTTGCCCTCCGCCGGCTCGGCCAAGTCCTCCGTGGCCGTCGAGAAGAACAGCACCCGGCCATCCTCCGTCGACATCGCCATCACCGTCTCCTCCCCGCTCCCCTCCGTCTCCACGTAGCAGATCGCATGCACCTTGGTCTTGATATCCCCCATCACCCTGCATTTCGGCACGCAATCCATGCCGAAGACGAGCACATCCCGCTCAAACGCCACAGCAAACTCATCATCCCCACCCCTCGAGCGCCCCCACACAATCCGCCGCGCCTCGCCAGTCGAATGCCTGCCCTCCCCACACTCCCCCAACACCGCCCGCTCAAAATTCAGCACCCGGCTCTTCTTGCCCGTCTCCAAGTTCCACAGCCGCATGCAGCGCTCGCCCTTGCTAACGCTAATCATGATCTTATTACTAGGGTGAACAGCAAAATCATTGACACCAGAGGGCGCGCCGCCGAGCGCGGCCGTGTCGCCGCTGGGGCGGCCCTGGGCCTTGGGGATGGGGCACTTGAAGGAGTGCAGCAGGTTCCAGTCGCGGGCGCGGGTGACGGCGACGGTGGAGTCCTCGGCGGCGGAGAGCAGCTTGGAGCGGTTGGGGAAGGCGAGCCGGGTGATGTTGGACGTGTGGTGCAGGAGCGTGCCCAGCTCGCGGTTCTTGGGGTTCTCGAGGATCGGTCGCGGGGCCAAGGCCGAGAGCGCCTGCTGGTCGTCCGCCGCCCGCGCCGAGGGGGGGTGCGCCGAGAGGTTGTAGATGTTGATGCGCTCGTCCGTGCTGCCCGTCGCGAGCAGCACCTTTTGCGATTGGCCCGGTGTCGGCGCCGAGGCGGGTGACAGGGCGAGGCAGCGGACGGCCGAGTTGTGCGCGTTGAAGAGGAAGCTGTCGGCGAACTTGGCTTCTTGTTGTGGCGGTGTGTTGTTGTCTTTGGACTTCTTCTTTGTGGATGGCACGGCGGGAGCCGGCTTGAGTGTCGCTGTGACGCCGTGGAGGACGCGATCGTAGGACCCCGCGATGATCTGGATTGTCACCGGCCCATTGCTGTCGAGCTTGAAGGCCGTCGACTGTGGTATCTTGGCCGAAGCCTTCGTTTTCTTGGCCGAGGATTTGGTATTGGCATGTTCGCCCTCAGAGGCGGCTTCTCTTTTCCTTTTCGCCATGGTAATCGTTCGGTGAATTGCCGATGCTCTCTGTTCTTGAATGAATGTTTTGTTGTTGGAAATGGCTGGACAGTTCGAGTTTTTGAAAAATAAAGTGGGGACCGAGACAAAACTTTATCTTATCGCTCGACCCAAACGTGCCAAACCTGCCCAAGATCCCGGAACCAAGGTAGCCTCTCCAGCCTCCAGCACAGCGACAGCAACCGACTTCGAAGAGACCCTCCAAACAAGATTTCGTCACAGCTGGGGACTGCCATCTATTACAATACTAGGTATGTCCTCTGGTCATTTGTCTGACCAATCATGAAATATTTACATGAACACATCATCATGAATAACGACGCCCAAGACAAACACCGCCTCGAGTCTAGAAGGTAGGTGTTCCATAGGTGATGGCCTTCCGTCAATTTCTAAGTTTTGGCCTTGCGACCATACTGAATTCATACTCGTCGGGCCTCCAAAGACGGCGATCCTCCTACCCGCCAAGCCAGTACTCTCCCAGGACCCCAGTGGGTACCTGGATGCGGGAGTCGTTGCGATGCTCTATCCTCGTAGAGGTAGTGGCTACTATTTCCCAGGCCCCGGCGTTACACTTCCGCTAGACTGTCTCTGATGCTGTCCCGCCTGTTGCTGGGCGGCCTGTTGTGCCGCTTGCTGGGCTTGCTGCTGGGCCGCCTGCTGTGCCTGGGCTTGCTGCTGCGCTCGGAGCAGCGAGGCATATTGATGTGGGCTATTCATCGACTGTTGCGCGACTCCTCCTGCAGCCGCGTTCATAGCCGCCTGCTGTTGGCTTTGCACAATCATCCTACCCAGGTGCTCAGTGGCCAGTTGCCGTACGGTCTCAGGTGGCAGATTCGGGTTCTTAGTTCGGTAATGCGCTTCGAGTTCAGCAAGTCGCTGTGTAATATGTTGGTTCAGGATGCCTCCGGGACCCCGACCCGCCATGGCGGGCATGCTCAGTCCAGCACCCGGCGAAGTCACCAAACCAGCCCCATTGGCCGCCCCAAACGACGCCATCATTGCCTGCGCATTGTTGAGGAATGCCCCCTGGTTGACACCATTGGCCACACTGCGCAATGGCGTTGGTGAACCTTGCGTCCCGTTCGATTGCGGCAGTTGTGGTGTTTGCTGGTTGGTCTGCGACTGTTGCTGCTGAGAAACCTGCTGTTGTGCGTGTTGTGCATTGTGCTGTTGCTGAGGTGGAAGGGGATGCTGCTGCTGCTGCTGCTGTTGTTGTTGTTGCTGCTGTTGTTGCTGCTGTTGCTGCGGCTGCTGCGGTGGCGGTGAGGATTGCGCCTGTTGTTGTTGCTGTTGCTGCTGCTGTTGCTGCTGCTGCTGTTGTTGTTGTGATTGGGGTTGGAGTTGCTGCGACGGCGCCTGCCGCTGTTGTTCCTGTGTCTGTTGCACCTGTTGCTGCTGTTGCAGTTGCTGGATAGCCACTCGTTGCTGGTTCTGTATCGACCTTGCTTGAAGCATGACCCCGATATCCGGCTGTGGATTGACCATGGGTAGCCTATGCTGTGCAGCTTGCATCGCTTGAAGCTGAGCCTGCGGTATCCCTGTCATTTGGAGCGGCGGAACAAGGCCACCGGCGGCAATCCGTGCTTGTACAGCCGCAGGAACTGGCCCTGGGGTTGCCGGCATCGACACCCGCCCGGGGGTGCGGTTTTGCGCGGCCGTGGCAAGCTGTCCGGGGACGTTGAGGCGAGCAGCACCGTTGGTCGAGCCTGTGGTAGCCATCTGGGCAGCAGTCTGAGGGCCAGCGGCTGCACCGGGGGTGCCTGGTACTTGACCCGGGTGATTTTGCTTCTGTAGATGCCAAAGTTAGTTGTAGATTCAAACATGACGCTGTAAAAATGTGCTCACCAATCTCCGTGCATTGGCGTCCGCCTGCCGAATGGCGTACGCAGCCATCCTTTCCGCGAGCGCCTGGTCTCGTTCCCACCTCATGATGCTGTAATCCCGCGGCGTTTTGTTTTGAATCTGCTGTCTAGGCACCTCGTTGGCCTTACGCATCGCTGCCAGGTTCGCTGCCTGCTGAGCCTTTTGAGCCGTTGCCTCTCGTTTCTTGGCCAGCTTTCGCATAGCGTCAATCAACGCCAGGTGCTTCTGATTGCGGCGCCGCTCGACCCGGATGCTCGTGGTCGGCCGTCGCCTCGGGATTGGCGCGACCGCACCGTTGGGCCCGACTTGCTGCTGCGCATTTTGATTTTGCTGCGCAATGGCTCGCTGGGCTGCGTCGATCCTGGCTTGATAGGCCTTGAAGTACGGAGTCCTAGCCATGTCATTCGGCAGGCCATCCAAGCTCCCGAGGCTCACCCATCGCTCAAAGCATTCCCATGGTGTGCGCCGCTCCGCTCCGGATGCGAAGGCGGACACGGTTGATGCCATAGCGGAGATCAACGACCAGTTATATGAACATTCGCGGACAAGGGACTTCAGCTGCTCATCCTCGGCCCATGTCCACTGAGACGCTGTTCGGCTCTCAAAGAAGCTCTGGGGGGGCATAGCATGCTCAGTGGGTGGCCGGAACTGGTGACCCGCATGTAAGCGGTCCCGGATCCCCTTCATCTCCGGACTGAACAATGCAACCGCCGCATTCGCCGCCTGCAGCTCTCCACCGTTGTCGGGTTCACGCCCAAATATTATGTCGTGGTCGTCGTCGTCGTAGCCGTCGTCTTCGGCGAGATAGTCGTATCGGCGCCGCTTGCGGGGTGGCCCATCGTTCGCTAGCACCATCTCGCCTTCCACGTACTTGCTCAGCGGCACCGCGGGTCGTTTCCACTTGGCGTCGGGGTCATAGTCCGTGTCCGAGACGTCAAACTTTGGGACCGCGAGCGGTGAACCATGCAATGGAAGGTTTTCGAGGAGGAGGTCGGCCGTTTTCGAGGGCTGGAGCCCAAAGACCACCTCATCATCTGGGAGGGCGAAAATGGCTGCCGGGGCCACGCAATCAACCAAGATTTCAGGGAGCTCATCTTCGTTTTCGGTTGGCGAGTCGGTATGGACTAAATCGGGCAGAGTATCGTCCGCGGCCTCGGACCGGCCTCGGTTCGCCCCCTTCACCTCTACCTCTACCGGCCGAGGTGGGATTACCGCGTTGACCTGTAACATCAACCGCTCTGCCGGGTCCGAGTGAACCCATTCAGCACACGCATGGGCGAGATTTCGTGCAACTGTTCGTTTCCATTTGCCCTCCTCACGAAAATCGGTTCGCATCCATTTCATCTCCTGGAGGAGGACATCCCAGTGAGACGCTGGTCTTGTCGGCTCTGAGCATCGAACCGGTTGCCTCAGAGACCACTTGTCGTGTTGCTGAAGATGATAGACTCTACGTAGTATTTTGCAAGCTTGGTGATCTAACATCGAGATATACTGGTCGGTTGTCGATATCGTTTTGTGAGCGTGGTTGATGAGTTTTTCGATGGGCTTCATCCAGGTCGACTGCCTCGTGAAGCCCTCTATGAAAAGGGGCGTGAAATAGTCGTCCGATGGAATGTGTCCCGATTGCTGCTGGCCGACAACGACCGTCCCATCGTCTAACGATTTCTGCCTTCTGCCTTGTTTGCCTTGCTTGCCTTGCCTGCCGAAAATAACAGTTGGTGTGCTTGTTCGCCGCCTGTGGTGCGTCTTGCCAGTATGCAAGGTGAGCTGGGTGGGATGCGCCTGGGGGACGATTGCTCCGTCCTGGGTGGCACGTGTTGGAACTGGCCTCGAAGGTTCTGTGGGGGGATTAGATTCTCGATGTTCTGGATCCCAGGAGGTTGAGGTGACTGTTGCTGTAGGGTGAGATTGCCGTGCCAGGCCAACACCGGTGGAGTCTTCGTTTTCGGCTGCGGCGCCCTCCGGTTTGTCGACATCCATAAGGGTCGATGTACCTTCATCCTCTTCGTCTTGGCCTTCCACGCCAGCATTGTGTGGTGTCATCGAGGGCCCAGTCGAGGTACCCGATAACAACTGACCATGCTGTCGGCTGCCCACAGGCGCCGTGGTTGACTCAACCTGCTGTTTGTCGACAATGCTATCACCGAGGGTTTCTTTTCGGGCCCGGTCCGTCGCTGCCTGTATAATCTCCTCGGGCTCGCTACGAGGCGGCAGAGCAACGGTTGGAGAATCGAACGATTGACTGAGCTGAGCTGCTGCTGATTCCTGAAGCAGCTGCGCTTCCACGCCACTGATCGGGGTCGGAAGGGACGTAGCCAGCGCTGGAGGGGCCGTCGAAGAGACACCTTCGGCGACCCCAGCTCCCCCCACCTCCAACCTACGGTCTCCCTGCAGTTTATCCCCAGAGATCTCCTCGGCTCTTTCTGAATACTGCGCTGCTTCGCTATCGGGGCTTGTGTCTGCGGAGACATCGTGGATAGCAGGGGTCAACATCGACTGGGTAGTAGAGCCGGGGGACGACAGTGTATCATGGCGGTGAGTTGTTCCCGTTGCAAACGGTGGTTGGTCAGGCGCGATCGGCTCGGTGTCGTTGGAATTTCGCTTTTCGTCGGCCTCTGATTGCATCGGGTGCTGGTCGGCTCGGGAAGTTTGGACATCGATGCGAGGAATCTGTGGGACGGTGGCCGAAGCTTGTGACGGCAGATCCGGAGCCGACGCAGTCGACGTACCATCTGCAGATGCGTGACTAGCAGTGACACCATTAACCTGGCCACGGTTTGCCAAACGAGCGGGCGCTTCCTCCGCTTGGACTCTCTGGAGGTTGTCATCGTGTGCCTTTGGGGCTATACCTGACGGCTGAGCCGCAGAAGTGGCTCCCCGGTCAGCAGGCAACGCGTTGACGGCGGCCCGTGGTGATGGATGTTGTATGTCCTTCTCGAGATACGTCGTCGGTTTGTCGGCTTTCGTACCATTGGTGTAGCAAGGGGGTCGGAATTCATTATTATTTGCGTCGGCGGAGGCCTTCAGGGATACGTTTTCGATTGTCGCTGAAGCACATATCGCGCGGAGTCGCTGTGCATCGAACAAGGCCTTCCGGCGCGCCGGGATGGTGAGCTTGTCGAATCGCCGGCCCCTGTCAACCCATCGAAACAGATTAGAAAATCAACTGCTGACGCGACGCGACGATGTCACAAGTAAATGAATATAATATTCCCAGAGAGTAAGACATACTGCAGAATGTCGGATTCGTTCAGAAAATTTTGCTCGGCGGGCGTGGCTGTCGGCGCGTCCGGATCGCTGGAGTCGTAGTTGGGAATCCCATCCTCATCGGCCGCGACGGCGAAGAGTTCCCGCAGCTTGCGTTTCCGCGAGGACGCAATTGACCTACACGAAGTTAGCCCTGGTCACCGTATATCAAAACGATCAGAAAATTGAGCTCTATCGATTAAAGCTGGTTTTACCTTATTCCTGACTGTCTTGATTGCAGCAGCTTCAGGCGGTCGGCGAGCGGGAGCTCAGTCATGTCATCAACGACGGCGACATCCGTTTTTTGTCAAACGGATGGCGATGCCGACTTGAATAGAGCGATGGGAACCTAGGATGGATTTGCGGATGATGGAAATGGCCGGCGTTGCGACTTTTTTACACCGGTTTGATTGACTGGGCGTGATCGAGCAGAGCGTAAATCTCTGTCCTGCCTTGTTGAGGGGGTTGTCAAGACCACCCAGTGGGCAACCGGAACCGGGAACGATGCCAGTCGGGGGTCAAAAAAGTTAATCCAGGATGCATCCAGGCCTGAAAGGACCGGAAACGGCGGCGTTCAGCACGAACCGGGGACAAGTTAGGGGGCGATAAGGCCTAAAACTCCACTGAAGTTTTCGCCTGAATGCAACAGGCCTTAGGGACCTGCCCTGAAAGAAGCCTGGAACGAAACACCGTGTCCGGAGTTGAAAAGCCGACTGTTTTCATACTGTAAGAGGGGGAGGCGGGTTGAGCGCCCCACTTCGATTGATGCTTGGCACCGCGCCGAGGAATATCCGGGGCTCGTGAAGGAGGAACGACGAGAAGAGCTAACGCAGGAAAGCTGAATGGGAGCAAGCGATACCTCGATGGCGTGTGCGAGCGTCGGGTCTGCGTGGCGATGTCTCCATATTCCGATCGGAAGGGCGACACGACGGCCAACTCCTGGGGCTGGCCGTCGAGGCCACTCCCCACCGGATCTTCCTTCAGCCATTGTTTGCTTCGCCAGCGCCGAGCAGGGAAAAAGCGGCCCGGGTTCCTCATCCATCTGGTGAGCGCAATGGTTGTCTGTCGTTTTCGCAGCAGCTTCCGGGGTGAGAATTAGGCCGATCTGGTGAGAATTCGGGCGGGGAATGCGAGGGAAAGGCTTTGGTTCGGTGGTGGTGTTGGAAGAAGAACCAGTTGATTCTGAGCGGCCTCTGTACGGGCATGTGGTCCGTTCTCTGCGACGGCCGACGGATAATATGGAACGCTCACTGAATGGTAGAAATGTGCGTTGCCTGAGGCCGACATGAGACGACTCGCCCCACAATGACATGGTTGTGCTGAAGGGAGCGAAGTCCCCACATCTCCCGCCCGGGTGTCACCAGCCCGGCGTCTGCCAGTGTTCGGGTTAGCGTGCGACGACAGCACCGTGCCGAGAGTGAAGGTTATGACGGCAAACCAACAACGCCAACCTTCGGAAAAAGAAGTTACACTTCCATACCACCCACATTCTCCAGCTCTCAAAGCTGCCGACAACATGCCAGATCACGACGACGGGACCCCCCGGATAGCCATTCAGCTTGGGAAATCATCAACCTCCTCGCCACACGCAATTAAGAAACGCGCCCGTCCGGCACACGGGAAACGGCACCGAGCTCACGCGCTGCACGAGAATTCCGAATCCGAAGACAACAGCGACCATGAACAGCAAACCTACGGTCGCCAGGAAACAATCACATCCTACAACCTCCCCGGCACAAGTTTAGACGATGGGTCACCAAAACGTAACGGGTCCTCGAGACACGACGCATCGGCGGAGAAGGGCCAGGAGGAGGACTCTACAGCAAACCAACTAGAAGACGGAACTCCAAAGGCTCGCCGGAATGATGTCGGAGCAGATGACTCGGAGTCTCGAGACAAACCAGCCAAGTGGGGCCTGACTATCAACATGAAGGGGACCAGGGACAGCAAAAATGCAGCGAGGGGGAAAGCGAAGGCACAGACCGAAGCTCTTAGCTCCGACGACGATCGGGAAAGGCGGAAAAATGCTCCGAAGACCATTGACGACGAAGCGCTCGATGCTCTCATGGGTTCTCGGGCACCCAAGCGCAAACACCTCGACTCCGACGCTGCTGACCGAGAACCACGAGCCGAAGATTATCGATCAGTTCCCATTGATGACTTTGGCGCCCACCTTCTCCGAAACTTTGGCTGGGATGGGAAAATGAAGGGCAAGGTCAAGGAAGTAACAAGGCACGCCAACCTAACGGGACTAGGTGCCAAGGATGCGAAAGGCGCCGAGGATCTGGGCTCCTGGAATCAAAAGACTACTAAGGACTCCCGCCCCGTGCGGCTCGATGACTACCGGAGAGAGGAAAGCAAGAAGCGGCAGCGGACCGATGACCGGTACGCAGACAGCTACAAGCGAGAGAGGGAGAGGGAGAGGGAACGAGAGCGGGAACGGGGGAGAGACAGGTAGAACCCACTGCGACACTGCGGCCGTATTCGAATCCCACCACCCCGAAACACCGTCCCCGAGTTTGTATATCAAACGCCGAAGGGAAATGTGCATGTTGTTCCATCGCCTCCCAAAATTTGAACTGGGTGGGTATCCGTGACGACGTGGGTTGAAAATCAACCGTTACTGACAGTTGCCAGCCAGATATGGCTCGAATGTCGACAAACTGAGGATCTCTTCCAATCGACAACAGCTGGGCACGAGCTCTCACCTCTCATTGGTATTGGTCGGGATCACATCAGCCGCAAGCCAGGGGTGGTGCCGAGACTACCCCAGAGCAACGCGAGAAAACCTTGGGTGTGGTCTGGCTGCTGGCATTCGAGCCGTCCGAGCGAAGCCGGCCACGGACATAATACCGCATGGCTTAAGCAATCAGTCGGGCTATTCCGTCGTGTCAACTCGCTGGTTACGAGGGTATTGCAATCCAGACTAAGTGTCGGCCAAGCCATGATGCCTTTGGCCCTTGTTGCAAGACATCCCTTCTTGACGACACAGGCGACAAGGTAGCATAGCAGTCCTGGTCTAATCGGTATATAATCGGAGAAGCGAGACGAAAGCGATTAGTTGACCACCGGACGGTATTGGTGGTTCGAGAATGCGACGGAGTCATCCTTTCTCCCCTGAATACGGAGCAGTTCTCCGTAAATGGGAACTCTATGGTTGTTCTTTTTATCGTTTTATTGCTTCGTGCAACCAACATTGACACCAGAGCAAAACCCGCCAGTTCAACGCCCGTCACCCCTCGATGAATCCCAGAGACGAATCGATTGGCTGTTTCCGCCCCATCAGAAAACCTCGCACACAAGGCCTCCCGTTGCAGATGCAACATCTCTTTGGTGCCCGCTTTATATGCGTCCCTTCCTTGTTCGCTGTGCCGATCTGGATATGCATGACGGGAGCTAAGTAGTGCCTGGCTGCTACCATCGTTGCCCTACCCGGCTGGCTTTATCTTGGTTCGTGGTTCCGATGTCCGCAAAGCGCTGTGGTACTACATCTATAAATGCCTCTTCGTAGTCGTATCAATAAATACAATTTCGTCCTCTCACCCTCATTACCCCTGCCCTAAACACCTGCCCTCCGTGTGAATAAGCTATCCAACGATGGCGGCATTATCGTCGAGACCATGGTGGAAGGACGCAGTCTGCTACCAGATCTACCCCGCGTCGTTCAAGGACTCCAATGGAGACGGGCTGGGAGACATTCCGGGTATCCTGAGCAAGATCGATTATTTGAAAGATCTCGGTATCGACGTGGTCTGGGTTTCGCCCATGTATATGGCACCCTTCTACAGCTCTCCTGTAATATGTTGCTAACTGAATAACTCTGTCCAGGTTTGACAGCCCCCAAGTAAGTTCTCGACCAGGTTTGTATTCAGGAACCCTGCGGAGACCCCCAAACAGCCTAAGCTAGAGTGGGTTCTATTCAAACTAACTTGTGGTTAAGGTTGACATGGGATACGACATTTCGAACTATGAGAAGGTCTATCCTCCGTACGGCTCAGTCAAAGACATGGAGGCCCTCATCGAAGCCTGCCACAAGGGGTACCTGTTTACCCGTCTCATGCAGACGCTCAGCCGCCACTATTCAGGCTAGCTAATAGTCGGCCAGGGGCATGAAGTTGATTCTAGATCTCGTCATCAACCATACGTCCGACCAGCACGCCTGGTTCAAGGAATCGAGATCGTCCAAGGACAACCCGAAGCGTAGCTGGTGAGTGGTCGGGGCTCGCCTTGGTGGTGATAAAAGGCTAACCGGACGACAAAGGTACATCTGGAAACCTCCTCGGTATGCAGAGGACGGCACTCGTCTACCGCCGACTAACTGGAGGAGCTACTTCTCTGGGCCGACTTGGGAGTACGATGAGCACACCGGCGAGTACTATCTGCACTTGTTTGCCAAGGAGCAACCGGACCTCAACTGGGAAAACGAAGAGACCCGGAAGGCCATCTATGACAGCGCCATGTGTTTCTGGCTTGATAAGGGGGTCGACGGGTTCCGGGTGGACACGGTGAACATGTAAGTCACATACTGCTTGATACACTCGGCCCATGTCTTGGGTGCATATGCGCCTCGGGGGAGATAACACGTTGGCTAATGTTGACACGCCTTGTTCATAGGTACTCCAAGGGCGTCGAATTTAAGGACGCCCCCATTGTCGACGGCAGATTCTACGAGCAACCGGCATGGCTGTACTACGCCAACGGCCCGAGAATGCACGAATTCCTCCGAGAAATGAACCAGAACGTACTCAACAACTACGACGCCGTAACCGTAGGCGAGCTGCCACACACTTCAGACCCCAAAAAAGTCCTCGAGTACGTCGGGGCAGGCGACAAGCAGCTGAGCATGGTATTCCAGTTCGACATAGTCGATCTCGGCCAGGGGCGCGAACACAAGTACCACTTCGAAGAATGGAAGCTGCCGCAACTCAAGGATATCGTGGCCAAGTGGCAGCAATTCATCGAGGGTACCGACGGGTGGACGACTGTTTTTTGCGAGAACCACGGTGCGTCGTCCCCCACTTGAAACCCCTGGACATAACCACACACAACACCACCCACCCACCCATTTCGTCCAACTACGCACTTACACACAGGTACTAACCTCACACGCACGGCAGACCAAGGCCGGTCCGTCTCACGCTACGCCTCCGACGCAGCGCACGAGCGGGCGCCCTCGGCCAAGCTCCTCGCGCTGATGCTGTGCGCGCTGACGGGCACGCTCTTCGTCTACCAGGGGCAGGAAATCGGCATGACCAACGTGCCGGCCGGCTGGCCGATCGAGTCGTACCGCGACATCGAGTCGGTCAACTTCTACCGGGCCATGGCCGCGCGGACGCACAACGACCCGGCCGAGCTGGCCTACGTCATGCGCAGCCTGCAGGTGCTCGGCCGCGACAACGCCCGCCTGCCGATGCAGTGGAGCGCGGAGCCGCACGCTGGGTTCACGGATTGTGAGCGTGGCCCGTGGATGAGGGTGCATGATTTGTATGGGGATGTCAATGTTGAGAGGCAGGTGAGGGAGGGGGAGGGGTCGGTGTTGGGGTTTTGGAAGAGGATGATTCGGTTTAGGAAGGAGCATGCGGATGTGTTGGTGCATGGTGCGTTTGAGGGTTTTGGGATGGAGGATGAGCGGACGTTTGTGTTTGGTAAAAGGGTTGGGGAGAAGAGGGCGGCGGTGGTTTTGAACTTTACCGGCGAGGAGCAGACAGTCGAGTTGCCGGAATATGAAGGCTTGGTATTGAAGGTTGGGAGTTATGAGGATGCTGAGAACCAAGAGCTGGGAGCCGAGGGAAGAATCAGGAAGTTGAGGCCATGGGAGGGACGGCTGTACCTGGCGGGTTGCTAGCTGGGGTTCTCCCTGCCATCTCTCCTTGCCATCTCTCCTTGATGGACGGGATGGGAAGGGATGAGATGGAAAGAGATGGGATGAAATGAATTGAGTGCAGACCGATCCAGCGTTCCATCGACTATTGATTTCTCAAACGGATCTCAACAAAATGGGGAACCAGGTACAAAACATTGAGGACACGCATGCATCTCTCTTATCGGCGACTTTGCATGCACCTTGCCCTGCCTGCACGAAACAAAAATCGGTGGTCAACCCTAGCTCAAAACAAAAGACTGAAAAAGGGGCAAATGGGATCAACAGACGCCAGAGAAGTTGGACCTTATGAATCCCTGAATGCAGCTACTGGGCGCCAAGCCGAACGCGCGGCCCCACTCGGCCAGCCCCCCCCCGGTTCTCGTCCACCGCCGAACCGAGCTCCCTTCTTTCTGCTGAAAAAGTGAAGTCTGGAACTTCTTCTTCCCTTCCTTCCACCGACATTCCCCGTTTCCTGCTCAACAGTCCGCAATTGGGGACTGCAGCAGCTGGCCGCCATCATGTCGAAGCCACAGAGCACCAACGGCAGCGAGTCCGAGTTCGAGTTTGTCGAGACTCCCAAAGCTCCCACGCCGACCTTCGAGAAGGTTGAGGATTGCGGCGTTCGCACCACGTCGGTGAGTACAGATCACCCCATTGACTTTTCCTGCTTTGCTTCTTGGGTGCTTCCCGAGACAGTATCACGTTTCTTGCATCTTCCCTAGCTACCACGAGGCCGATTGACTTGATCTAACCGTTGTGTGCAGCTCTCGACCATCAAGAATGCCCCGTTGCCCGCCGAGGGCTCTGGCACCGAGAGCTTCTCCAACCTCCTACTCTTCTCCATCCTCGGCGGTGTGCCGCTTTACCTGTCATGGAAGGTCGGCGGTGGCCTGAAGACGACGCTCTTCATGGCCCTCTTCACCACCCTCCCCCTGCTCGGCGCCTTCTGGCTTATTGCGTCGACCATGTCGCCGCGTAAGAACGAGAAGGCCCGGCTCCCCGGCCGCCCCGTCGAGCACTACCTCACCTTCAAGAATGCCGCCGACAAGGCCAAGTACAATGGCCGCAACAAGATCCCCATGGAGACCTTCCACGAGATGTACTTTGACGGTGATGTCGATTTCAACGGCGACGCCCTCGAGGTCCTCGAGTACCGCCACGACTGGGCCAACTTCCGTTTCACCTGGGGCCTGATCAAGTACTTCCTGACCGGCATGATGCCCGAGGTTATCATGCACACCCGGTCCCAGGGTGAGTTTCACCGCCTGCTTATTTATGGACTTGGGAAAAATTCTAACATGACCAGATGAGGAGCAGGTTCGCGGCCACTACGACCGCGGTGACGACTTCTACGCCTGGTTCCTTGGCCCGCGTATGATCTACACCTCGGGCGTTATCAGCGACTTGAACCGGGAGGAGACCCTGGAGGAGCTCCAGGATAACAAGCTCGCCGGTGTTTGCGAAAAGATCGCCCTCAAGAAGGACGAGACGATGCTTGATATCGGCTGTGGCTGGGGCACTCTGGCCCGCTTTGCCAGCGTCAACTATGGTGCCAAGGTTACCGGTGTCACTCTCGGCCGCAACCAGACCGCCTGGGGCAACGGCGCCATGCGCAAGGTTGGAGTCCCCGAGGACCAGAGCAAGATTCTGTGCATGGACTACCGCGACATCCCCGTGCCCGAGGGTGGCTACAAGAAGATTACCTGCCTCGAGATGGCTGAGCACGTCGGTGTCCGCCACTTCCACGGTTTCTGCAAGCAGGTCTATGACATGATGGATGACGATGGTGTCTTCTTCCTCCAGATCGCCGGTCTGCGCAAGGCTTGGCAGTACGAGGATCTGACCTGGGGTCTCTTCATGAACAAGTACGTCTTCCCCGGCGCCGACGCTTCGACTCCCCTCGGCTGGTTCGTCGACAAGTTGGAGGGCGCCGGATTCGAGGTCAAGGGCATTGATACCATTGGTGTACACTACTCGGCCACCCTCTGGCGGTGGTACCGTAACTGGATGGCCAACAAGGATAAGGTCGAGGCCAAGTACGGCAAGAGATGGTTCCGCGTAAGTCACCTAGTTGCTTCGATGCTGCTTTCAATACTGACTCGCAATAGATCTGGGAGTTCTTCCTTGCCTACTCGACCATCATTTCCCGCCAGGGCAGTGCCACTTGCTACCAGATTGTTCTCCACAAGAACATCAACGCGTTCCACCGTGTCGAGGGTATCCCGACCCAGTATGGTCTCAGTGGCTCCACCGGTGCCATTAAGGCTGATCTGAAGGCTTGGGCCGAGGCCAACGCTACCGACTTCCCCAGCGTCCCCGTTCAGTAAATCTGTTCGCGACAAACGAGGATTCCAGCCAAGGGGCCCGGCCTTGCTACCGAGAAGCTTCTGGTTTGGAAAAAATAAATGAATGAGGGGTGTGGTTCCCAGCTGGGAGGCCAGAGATGGTGCGGTGCCCTCGAAAAACGTCTGTCTGTTGAATTGGACAGCACGGTTGCCGCGATATGGATCAAAAGTTGGGCCCTCCGGTGGAGGCGTTGTATGCTGTGTATTCGAAAAACAAATCATGAGCTTGATTAGATGAAATAGAGCTTAGTAATGACGCTGTTGAGTCAGCGAGATACCCAGTATAAAACCTGAAGCATTGTTGGCTTGTAGTTGTCTTCGCGAAACCGCAGCTCGGAACAGAAGGGGTTGATGATAGCAGCCTTCGGTCCCCAATGGCGATGAGCGCTGCATCCTTCCGTCCAACCTAGCCGTCTCTTCACGACACGAGGTCTCGGAACTCGTCCGATACGGGCACGAACTTCCCCTAGGTAGACATTTCTTGAGTCCAATGCACAAGCTCGCCATAGTATGCATTTATACACATCCACCATCGAGAACCCATCTGTACAATCACTCGCTTTGCCTACCAACGCCTAACCAGCCCCTATCATACAGCCGTTATGTTCTCTTCACCGTAACGGAAGTCCTCGGGCCCAGTTTGTCGCGCGATGAAGAAAAGATCTTATTGTGCACCCTCCTTCCAGCCGATTGGTATCAACGCCGCCGCAACATCCTCCACCCCCCGTTCCGTAGCCAGCATGTTATACTGCGACGCCGCGTTCCTCGTATCCAGCACCTCAACCCTCATCCCGAGGTTGCTGATCGCCCGCCTCGTAGTAGGGCTCAACGGCCGTATCTCCGGCCCTAACCCCAAAATCAGGAGATCTGCCATCCCAACCGTCGTTAGCCTCGGAACAATCTCTTCCCAACTCGCCCCCTCAAGAAAAACACTCACCCGGCCTCGGCCAAACCGCCGCCAAAACCGCAAACGCCTCCTCACCCACCTCCCACTGGCCCTTCTCATTCAGCAACCTCCCCCCTCCAGCACCACCCCCATCACCCCCCAACCAAGGCCGCCAGGCAAACGCCTCGCCCGCCACCAGCAGCGCACCCGCACCCCCGCGGATGTGCACGCCCGAGTTGAGCGAGAAGCCGTCGGCGTGGGAGACCTCGACGGCGGTGGTGGGCACGGGCGCCGACGCCAGCACGTCCATCTGCTCGAAGTCGGTCGGCGGGGCGCGGTCGGGCACCGGCTCGCGGTTGTGCGCCAGCGGCGTGCGCCGCGCGCGGGGGGAGGGCGGGGTCGTGTGCATCAGGCGGTGGGCATGGCTGCTGCTGGTGTTGCTGCTTTGGTTGATTCGTGGGTGGGAGAGGAGTGAGGGTGGTTGGGAGGTGGGTGTTTGGGGCGATGAAGAGCGTAGGCTTCCGCGGACTGCTGCTTGCGTGAACGGTCGAGCTGCTGTGGTCTGGCGGAGGACGCGGAGGGTGGATAGGGAAAGGCGGAGGGGTGTTGATGGAGTCGCCATTGTGGCTATTGCTGCGTCGATTCTGCCCTGGGGCTTGACATGCGCTGTAGGTTGGTTGGACTAAGAGGCGTTGCGACAAATGGCACGCAGCTTCTTTTTTGCTCGGGGAGACTTGGATTTGGGGATCAATTGGAAATTTAGGCGGAGCTCGACGTCATTGCAGGGGTTGAAAGGTTCTCGGCCAACAGCTCCGCACGGGCAGAAAGCAGCGGGAAAAAGCAGCTCTTGGCCGAGGGATGAGAGGTTTGAAGCCTCATCCGGCCGGCCTGGCTGAACAGTGATATAAAACCAGCTCTTCCTCACGACTACAGTTCTTCATAAACAGGCCCCTTGCTACAGCAGCAGCATTCGGGCAAACGACATGGGCGCGACTTTTGCTTGGATTGCTCGCTCGTAACCGTAACCGGTTGTCATTCGGCGCTCAGAACGCCCATTGCTCCATTCCACAGCATCCCAGCCTCAATAAGCACGGCCTGAAGTCCATTTCCATTGAGAACCTCATCCCGGAGTAGAAAGCAGCCCTAAGAACAGAGACAGCCAACCCCGGCTGTATGTGCGTGCGCATGGCATGCCGCCCGTTTCCCAAGTGAACACCGAAGCAATGAGACCGTCAACCTAGCATCCGTCGCCCCGAACCAAACCCAAGCGCATTTATTTCTTCTTGTCAGCCTGGCTCTGCTCCTTGAGCACCTTCTTGACGATCTTCTGCTCCTCAATGAGGAAAGCCCGGACAACGCGGTCCCGGACACAGTTACCGCATCTCGAGCCACCGTACGCGCGCTGGACGGTCTTCTTGGGCTTGGAGATCTGTGCGTACTCGTGGGGGCGGAGGGCGGGGACCTGTAAGAAGCGCCGAGTCAGCACGCTGCCATCCATCCTTTGCCTCGCCATGTCCAATGCCTCCCTGCTACCCCGCAACCATCGCCCTGAAAATTGTTGAAGAATGCGTCGGTGGACTGGCCGGTCGAGGAATGCTCGAATTAACTGCACTGGAATTCCTGCGTGTGATCCAGATCGTGTTCCTGGTGTTGGCATTGCTGCGAGACCGATGTCGGCTTGCTGTTGTGTTCGATCGTTCTCGTCGTTCGGATCCTCTCATTCCCCACATGCAAGACTCTCAAGATCGCAAACCACTTACACCAGGGAGCTTGATGCCGCAGTCGCCGCACTTGGGAGCAGTGCCGCGCTTCTTGATGTGAAGGACGCGAAGCGAGCCGCCGGGAGTCTTCGTAACCCGCGTCAGGTTCGACGTGGTGTTGTACCTGCAAGCAGAGCAAGTTAGCCGATTTCCTCTTGCTCGATTCCTCCGCTTCTTGGTTCCCAAAGTCTCAGCAGAAAATCGAAGAACTCACGGGTTCCGGCGACGGTAGGTGACTCGTGAAGGGGCCATTTCTGCGGTGTTGTCGCTGACGTGATGGTTTCCGTCGACTCGATCACGGTGTGCGAGATGGTTTAATTTTGAGATCTAGTTTGGAAATTTCTGTGTGGGCGCAGAATGCGGGTGCCCCACTCTGGTTCAGCATTGAATAGCTGACACTTGGCAGAGCATCTCTCAGCCGGCACCACTTGGCTTGCACAAATTCATCCCCCTGCCTTGTGGCACTGTGGCTAGTGCAATGTTGTGGCGGCGGATACCCACCCACCCCCGAACATCATCGGACCCAACAACTCACGGTTGTGTTGTTCATTCGTTGCCTTTGACTCCCAAAACAAAAATGATGATCCCACTCCCCTTGCTCTGATTTCGTCCCCAGACCCCGGTCCAATAATAATAAGATTGCCCCGCCGTTGTCCAAACTCCTTGAACCCCGGAAAATCACAAAAGACAGCTCAACGTCGAGTCCACAACTTTGTGTGATTAGTTACCATTCTCAGAAATCCGACGTCGTTTTCGATCCGAATCAGCCCAGTCGGGGTGTTCAGTGGCGCGCCACTGCTTGAGGCCCTTTCCATTCTTCGGGGCGGTACGTGCCCTGTTGAGGACGCCGTCAGTCTGCAGGCGAACAATCGCCTCCTGAAAACTTGACACCTCCTTGTGGGTGCCCTCGACGGATTGCATGTAGGCGGCAAAGGCAGCTTGGGCTGGGGTTGCTGTCAGTCGGCGTTGGCTGTGGTACTTCAAGCCCCGAATACTTACGCGACGGTTGTTTGACCATAAGCGGCTCCAACATGCGCGGAAGCGCCGAGCGAAGCTGCCTCAGCTGCATTGACAGGTCAGAAGAAACAATGCCGTGGCGGTGACGAATAGAATTAGCAGAGCAAACTTGCCTGGAGATGCACCTGGTCCAACCGGTAGAGCATGTCCTCCAGCTGCTGCTCGTCCGCCTCGCCATTCTTAGCCGCCACCGGGGGCTGCTGCTTGGTGTTGGCGTTGTTGGCCATCCTCTACCTACCTGCCTGCAGGCAGGCCAGAACAAGACAAGTAAGACACGGGATGCCCGAGAATATATGCAGCTGGTGTTTGTATGAAATCGCGTCTGCGTGTCTGCCGGGGGACCAGACCAGGGGAGAATATCTCGAATGTGATGGATCTCAGCTGTGTGATTGAGCGCGACCAACAGATGAACCAAGAGCGGTCGAGTCCTTGTTCGTGGCTCCGAGTCGAGCGTGAGAGTCGACTCCAATTGGTCACCGTCCCCCAAAGCAGGAGGCGGTGTGGGTCGAGAAGCATCGAGCCAGAATGTGGCTGATGCAATTGGAACAACCTGGTGACCAGCAGAGAGCTCGGGCCAACACTGCCAGGTTTTCGGGCTAGGATAGGTGGGGAGTGAAGCCGGGGACAAGCAAACAACCTTGAGAAGGGAGCGACCCAGAAAGCACTGCACCTTCGCTCGCTCGTCGCCTCCATCAACATCCAACCAACCCGAGCAAGCACAGGTGAGTGCAAGTTACGCCAGTCGTATCTCGCCGACCTGCCGGGTATTTTTTTCTGCTTTGTGCGCGTACGAAAGCGACTCATTTTTCGCATTTTCTCGGCGCTCGTCAAAGTGAACGGATTTATCTGCATCCAGTCGAGAACTAAACTACCTAGTTAAGGCGATCGCGCACACGCGCCTCTCGGCACCAGGCCCCAGCAGGTGCCGATTTCCCCTCCAAGCCTTGCTGCTACAACTTTTTCGGGACCCGCGCAGCACAGTGTTTCCCACTGGCTGTTCCGACCACATCACCAATCATCATGGATCCCTCAGGTGCTACCGGAGGCCCGTCCCAGGCCCAGCCACGCCCTCGCAAGCGCGGTCGCCAGACCCGCGTGTCGGAAGCTGGAAATGCGGCGGCCTCGGCCCCGCTAGCCCCCGTCCCACAGGTGCCCCAGGGCTGGGGTCCCGCCACCGTTACAAATGGTCACCATAGCCAGACCGTGCGTGCGCCCGTCGACACCGTGCCCACTCAACAACAGCCTGCCTTTCCATCGCAGCAGCTCGATAGATCGCATCAGGTCGCAGAGCCCGAGGGATTGATGAACGGCTACAGCGCCAACCCGCAGCACACACAGTATCCCGACCCGCAGCCCACCCTCGCGCCAGCACCGCAGCCCGACACGTCGGGCCTGACCGGTCTGAGCGAACTTGCTGGCGACCATCATCACCATCAGCACGCGCAACACGGCCAGCAGCATCATCAAGCTCAGCATCAGCAGATCCAGCAGCAGCAGCAGCAGCAACAGCAACATCAGCAGCAGCAGCAGCGCGCTGCCGCCAATAAACCCGACCGCATCATTTTCCAGCACCAGTACGGTGCTCCCCATCCCACGAGCAATTCGTCTCCGACCACCGTGGCGAACCCGTCCTCTGCATCGGCCGGCTACAACATTCCGCCGTGGCCTGTATCCGACGCGACCCCGGCGCCGCAGCCGCAGCCTTCGGCGCCCTCGTCCTCCTCGATGCCTCCGCAGTCGCCCGCGCTGGGCTCCTCTGCGGGCTTAGCTCCCCCGCCCGAGGGGATCTACCGCTCCTTTGACGACCTCCTCTCGTCAGTGCAGCGAACCGCCAAAGAGCAAGGCTACAGCATCGTCAAGCTTCGCGCCAGCAACTACCGGGATAGCAAGCCGACGCGCTACGATCTCGTATGCGACCGCGGCGGCGTGAAGTATAGCAGCACCGCCAAGAAGCGCAACCCCAGCACGCGCAAAGTCGACTGCCCGTGGCGCGCAAAGGCCGTGTGCGAAGTGAACCTCGGTCACCAGTGGCGCTTCGTCGTGCAAGAAGCTCGCCACAACCACGAAGCGCGCGTCCCCGCCGCCGTGCCGGGCCAGGAGAACACCCCCGTCGCGCAGAGTCTTAGGAGCATCACCAACAAGGTCGACCGCATGGCCCACGACGTGGCGCAGGGAATCAATCGGCTCGAGAGCGTGATCGTGTCGCGCCTGGACAACATTGAGAAGCGGCTCGAGGCCCTCGAAGGCGGCCGCTCGGCCATGCTCGGCGGCAACGGCGTGCCTCAAATGGGCGCCCCAAGCATGCCTCCTGCTAATATGGGCGGCAACAGCCTTGGGAACAACTCGCTAACTAACGGCGGCATGCAGCCTCTCGTGGACGGCCGGCTGGGCGGCGTCGAGAGCCGCCTCAGCCAAATGGAGCCGCGCAGCTTGGACGGCCTGCAGATGATGGACGACGACACCAGGGGTCTATCGATGATGGTCAACTCGTAGTCCGAGGGCCGCTGGGGCACTAACCCCGACAACCAGATGCCTTAATCTGGAACGCAAGAGACCGCGAGCCGCCGCCGTCGTCCTAGGGTTTCACATATCCGAAACCGATTATTCAGGAGCTTGGCTCGGGCTCGACTCGAGCTCGACTGCCTGAAATACTCGATCTTTAATATCCTGTTGTTCGCCGAGGTCATATTTTCTCTTCTATTGGAACGAGACGGCATGGCGACCAGACAGGATAATTCTTGGGCGCCCGTTGATGGCGCAAAAAAAAGGGTACGCGAGAAGTGGATCAGGATCACCGGGATGGGATGGGCCTTTTTCTTTTTTGAAGCCCATCAGCAGCTGGGGAACCGGGACTGTGGTTTCTCGTTCTGGTTTTTTCCTTATTTTCTCATTTTTTACTGTACATGTACTCAGTCCTCCTCGGCGTTTCTGGGATCGGGACAAAGTGTGCAAAGTGTGTAGATATTTCCCTGCCGGCGTTTTAGCCCGGCTTCTGACTCAGGTCTTGCAAGTTTTCGGCCTTTTCACTTTCTTTTCTATGTTTCCCCTCCACTTTCATACGGGGTAGCGGCGGATGGGCATTCCATGGTTGCCCACAGAGTGGGCAATAAGGATAACTCGGGCGAAAGGGCGGAATGGGCTCACTCGGCGTTTTCCAGTTTGGGAGAATTGGTCAGCCAGACAGAGTTGCGGCACGGGCATGTTTTGTTTCGCTCTGCGTTCACAGATACCACACCCAAAGGTTTACTCTGCCTTTTCTTGTCTGCCGGGCCATTCAACGGGGGTCGCCTGATACACGCACAACTAGGGGGTGGTTGCTCACAGATTATACGAGCGAGGGGGGTTCCTAAGGTGGAGGCAAGGAAAGAGGCCCTGTGGTTTTGCGGGCGTCTTTCTTCCCTCTTTGTTGGGTGTATATGACAGCTGAACACACAAAACTGTATGATGGCATTCACACTTACCGTGGTGGTGCACATACCAGACTAGACCAAGACTGAAACCAACCCGTGTTGCCTCCCTGTGATTACGTCCAGTGAGCTAGTTAGTTGTTAATGGAATGTGACAAACTTTGCATCCTCCTAGCGCCCTCGGATTTCGCTTGTTGGGCGGGAGGAGAGTTGCTTTTCGGGCGAGGAGAGGAATGGACATATCAGTCTCGCCGTGGACTGCATTCCACATGTTGTGTTTGACACATTGCGCACTGGGTAGTGGATCTTCACCTTCTGGAAGACGAATGGAAAGGGACACGGTGTGTGACGAACTGTGCAAGTATGCAAGAGCTTCTGGAACGCGGGTCGAGCGCGGCTAACAGCCAGACATGAATGGTGGCCTCGGCACTGGGCATTTGTTGGAGGATTTGATTATCAAACTCCTACACATCACTCCAGGGATCTTCCACATCAACAAACAAGCCAGTTTTAAGTCTAGGGCTCTCTCTTTTTAAAGTCCTCCCAACGCCGCCCCAGGCGCGATAAGCAAAAACAACAAAGCATAAATAAAAATGCTGTAAAAAAAGGCAAACAAGAGAAATGCAAGGGGAATACAGATATATTATCAACACAGCCTCGTAATCAGGGAGGTCCCTTCGAAGTCTGCCGATTAGACCAGAAGGCAAGTTCAACGCCGCTCTCCGTGGGCATCCGGGTAGTATGCAAAAATACCATATGCAAAAAAAACATGTCGACTAGAAAATGGGGTTGGACGAGCCCACCTGGAGCAGAAGGCTGCCCCAACGACAGTCCAGTGTGATGAGAGGTGAAGGATATCGCGATCATATACGACGAAAGGTTGTGATTGTTGTTGTAGTTGTGGGGCGTCCATCATTACTTCGTAGCCAAATGGCTGCCGCTGGTGCGTCGGCGTGGGGTATAAAACAGGTAGTGCGTGTTCCATCTTCCGGCGCTCGTTATATTTCTTGGATCCAAACCTGGGCATTGTGTTAGTATGTTTGGAATATGCCTGATCTGATGATTGTAAACTCACCTCCATCTTTCCTGTATCTGTCCTCTGCTTCCTCGCGACTTGTTTGACGCTCATCATGACCATGTCGAGATCGTCCTGGTCGCCCATCGTGATCATGTCCTCGGGCGAATCATCGTCTCTGACTTTGATCTTGAATCTTCGGCGTAGCCCAAATTTGTCCTGGATCCGATCAACGAGATCCGGGAATTCGATGGCGGGGCCAACAACGATGTAGCGTACATCGTCGGCGTGCACTTTTACGCGGATCGTGCGAAGGGCGTCCCGTCTCGATGAACCCCTCTTCGACGCGCCCGACATAACAGAACCCGGTCCCGGCCGACGGTTCGATACCATTTCGAACTCGCCTTCGTCGAACGAGGCATCGTCGTAATCGGAGCCGTCTTCGTCCTCTTCCTCGATGTATCGCTCTCGAATCCGACCGCTGTTCTTTTGTGACCTGCTGCTCCGGGAGCCGCCAGCATCGCCGTACATGTCGTAGACGTCGTCCGGGTAAGCGTCCTCTTCCTCGTCCCTCCTTCTCCGCGGTGGCGGCTCGCGTTGAGAGAAGCCGCGAGATGGCGCGGCTGACGCAGAGCGCGTCGGCCTTGGCCGCCCATCCTCGGGTGATGTCTTATCGTAGCGTTCGTTTGACCGGACTTTCTCGAGGTTGAGTCTGCTCGGGATGGGCTTGGGCCCGTTTCGTACCGACTGCCCGCGGGTCATTGGCGCAGGCTTATCGTTCTCGGGAGGTGGCGTTGGCGGGAAGACGTTGCGGCCATTTGGCGGCTCGGATTGTTGTCTCCTGCTCTGGAGACCGGGCTTGACGAGGTTGCTTGCGGCGAAGGAGAGGGATTCGGCTGGCCTGTCATCCTTGGGCTCGACGGTGATCTTGTTTTAAGGTCAGCAGGGGGGTATAAAAGGGGGACCAGCTTAGCAACTCACCGCCTTGTTCAGCTCAGTGCCAGAGAAGCCTGTGAAGGCATTGTTGCGGTCTGAAGCAGCTACCAGCCGTGCCTTTCCTAGATAGTCTTTTTGTTGCAGGTTCCGCACTTTGGCTTCATTTGGCCTGTAGACGACGCCGACAGGGATCGAGAAAACGGTGTAGTCCTGGAGAAAAAGAAGGTCAGTGGAGGGCTTAAACTGCCACAGAGTGGGAAACGCATACCTTCGCCTTGGCCTGGATCGCATCATCAATCACGTTGTGGTCCTCCACCACCTTCTCCTTAATAGCATACTCCAAATCCTGCATACCGGTCTCCATCTGCTCCAGGTAGATGTAGCACAGACCACGGTTGAACAGAACTTCGCAGGAGTATAGCTTGAACAGCAGGCCTAGCTGCGAATAGTCGATCAGTGAGTTGCCGCGGAGGTAGAGGAGGGTGTCGTTGAAGTTCGCTAGTGCTTCTTCGAAGTCGCCGAGGAGGAAGTTGGAGACTCCTTGTTGGAAATACGCTACGGCGAGGTACTGGTCGAGCTTGAGGGCGCGTTGATAGCACTCAACCTATGCCAGTATTGTCAGTATGCTTGGGCGCATGGGGGAGCTGGGGGCGGAGGTTCTTACTGCTTGTTCGTGCTGGCCGAGGGTCGCATTGATGACGCCCATGTTGAACAGGATCTTGGACGTATCCGAGACCCTGTCAAACGACTTGAGCGCCTCGTCGAACTCATTGTTGTCGTAGAATTTCAGGGCCTCAACCCATGTCTCGATTTCCTGTTGCGGGCACGTGTAAGTCAGTCGTTGTGTCTTGGTTAGGTTCTTTGCCCTGCCCGCGTGTCGATCGCAGTGGAGCCCGCCGAGGTTCTTCTCACCTGTTTTAACGACATGCTTTCTCAAGTGCTGCAGTTGCAAAGGCTGTCAAAGCTAGGCAGTCTTGCGGCCCTTGGAAGAGCAAAAAGTCACGAGGGGATTCCCGTTCGGCCACCAGCTGCAAAATCCCTTGGGCGGTTAAGGTGGGTGTGCGTCGGATGGTCGGACGTGCGTTGAGGGGTCGGGTGGCTTTAAGTGTTAAGGGGAATTTGGGGCCGGCAAAGCGGCGTGGCAGGGATCAGTCTGCGCTAAGGTAGGCTGGGCGGGCGGCAACAAGGGGGCTGGCTCTTCGAGTCAGCGATGGTGGTGGGCTGCCGGTTGCCAGTTGCTGGTGTGGAAAACGGCTCAAATTTCCCCGCTCTTTTTGGATGCCCAATTACGGTCGTCTTCTTGCCCTCCGTCAACGAAAGTACAATGGCCAAGGCTCGGTCGGTTAATGGCGAAGTCGATAGCAAGTTCGCGAAGCTCGTCGTGTAATTAGTGCCAGCTTGGCAGGCGGTGCAGGCCGCGACGGCTTCGGTTCTGTCTGTCCGCCCGAGGTATCCGTACTGTCCTGCAGCGGGCGTTCTCGACAGTTGTCTCTTGCTTCCTCTTGTCTCTTTCTGTTCCTGACGATCCTCTCAATTAAAGTCGGTAGTAGGTGCAGCTCTGCTGGGCCCTCTGCAGCCAACAGCGCCTCTTGCAGCGTATGGGAGCCGAGTCCGACTCCTCGGTATTATTAGCGTCCGGGGATTGCCGGGCGATATTGAATTTCCTGGTTCTCTCAACAGGCGGAAAAGAATGGCCGGAGGTCGGTTCGAAGGGAAGGGAGAAAAAGTTGGGTATATGGGGAAAGCCGTTACGGCGGGAATGAGGAGGAAAAGAGTGTCACGAAGACCAGGTGAGATGGTAAATGGCCAGCACCGAGCAACAAGAAACGGGATGGTCTCTCTCAAGCGGACAAGCCCAGCATACCGAAGCGAGGATTACAACTCAGGGCCCGTTTGGAGACGGCCGAACTGGGGGAGATGATCATGCAGGGCCCACCAGGACACTGGGGCCTGCCACGCCTGCCACGCCCAAGTGGATTCGCCAGGCCTGAACGAAGGCCATCACTGCGAAAGGGTTTCCCAAAAGCCAGTTGTTACAGCCGACAGGGGGATTCCTTGCCCCAGCATGGGAGCATTGGGCTCTGGGAAGGGGCGGGGCAGAAGAAAAAAAAAACCCGAAACCCTTAAAAAGCGGGGCTGAAGAGTGGGAGGGGATCACAAGTTCAACATGGAAGTTCGAGCTCTCTTCTACCACTGGCATTCTTCACTCAATGCGACTGCTTCATGGCTGGCGGGAAGAAATGGTGATGGCAACGGGCTATCTAAGTAATCGAACGGTTTTTGGCCTGAGATCGAACCATTTCTCTTCCCACCAAGCTTTTGTTCTGGAAGGGAGTTCGGCACGGACGCGGAGGCATGGCGCAAGATCGAACGGTCCCATGTCGACTTGCTGCCGGATCGACGCGAGACGGAACCGTGCCTTTCTCCAACCATGTGCTGGACGCCAGACGGACCGGCCATGGCAGCTGCACCTTGAGGATTGCATCACAGCATGCATGCATGGTAGACTCGTCGAAGCTAATGGAAGAGGATATTTTTACTTCATTCGAATGTGGGCTTCGATACACAGAAATCCACCTGTAGTTTCAATCGCTTTTCTCAGCCTTCAGCCTTTCGAAGAATCGAGCCGTCCCGCATGATGTCCTGTCCACCGCAAGGAGCTCTCGGCCCAGTGCAGGTAAGTCTTGGCTCCGCGGGAGGCTGTCAATGAGACTCGGGGGTCAATGCAAAGTCATGGGCTGTCACAAGTCTCATGGAACCCATGCGAATCACAGGCCTGCGTTCCTCATGCACCAAGCGTTTCCGAGACAGCTGGGCGGCCCCTCATTGGACCAGGGGGCCCGGCCGCTTGAGCCCCTGCGTTGCAGGGCGGCTATGGATTTCAACCTCGACCACCAGTCAACCGCCTCCATCAACCGCGAAATACGACCGAGTCACGGTTCGCCAGTGCGGTGCGGCTGGCCGCCGCCAAGTTTCTATATCGATTAGATGATCTTCACCACACTTCCCATTGCACGCCTCTCAGCAAGAGGATAATGGGAGGCTGGGGTTTCGAGAGTATTCTCCCTAGGGTGAGGCGTCTCGGAGGGCGTCAGTTGTTGGCAACCCAGATAACCGATGCCAATACACAGTACCTCATAGAAGGCTAACCGCCCGCTCTGTCATGAGCCGAGAGAGGGAATCCCGCAGCAAAATGCAACGGCACCGGCCTGTGATAGTGACGGCGGCCTATCGCCCGCATTCCGTGTCACACGCTCGAGGTTCTATTTCTGGAGTCGAATCCTCGGCTTGATGGTTGAGCGGAAAAGAGACTCACCTCTCGATCATCTCGTGTACTGTGTAAATGGTAGTGCCGAATCCATATCCGTCCCAAGCCCTTGGCTTCCGCGCCATGTGGGATGGCGTTGCAGTCCGCCGCGCTAGCGAGCAGCGCTAACGGAAAACGGCCAATACCTTTCCAAACCAAGATCTTGATCGATCCATCAGGCCTGTTTCGGACTTCAGTTGACTTGATCATCAGATGGTCTGTTGAGCATGAGCAAAGGCGCACATGTCTTTCCCAGTGGTTGAAAATATTCCCAAACTCCACACTCAAAAGGTCTGGGCCCTTCTCTCAGTTGCACCTGGTGGGTCCCGGCCGGGTACCCAGAATTTGGCGAAACTCGCTTCCTCAACCCAGCCTTTCTCACATTTTCATACGAAGTAAGTACGAAGTATCCTCGATGAGTTCAACATTTGTGCTTAACCGAGCGAGGAAATAGCCGAGCTTGCTGCCAAGGGACTAAATACTTGGTATATATGTACATAGGCCACACGATGGTCAAATGCAAACCGAACCCAAGGCAGAGGGAACTTGTATTTCGGCTGCCGCATTAAGCTTTGCGAACAACGGCGCCCCCCCCCAAACCCATCCTTGGTTTGAACCTGACGCACAATTGCACCGAACACAACATCTGAAGACAAGACCCTCCTTTTCCGTCTCATCTTGTACCCTAGCTTTCAGTCGACACACTCCCGTTGTGCTTCCGGAAGCGCAGAGTGGAGGGACCAGGGTAGGGTTCCCGGCTTTCAGCAACACGTTTCTTCCCCTGCATATTTTTTCGTTCGAGGCCGGCCGAACACCTCCTCTTAGCTCCCGGGGTGTTACCCGACAGGCCAACATTGGATGGAAAAGGGGAAAGAAGAAAAAGAAGGATAGTCATCTGAAGTCCATTCTGTGATGGTATTGGCGAGCGTCTCAACCATATCTCGGTTACCGACAGACTATGTGTGTGTACACCTTTGGAAACAAGCCAGTTGGCGCTATCCCGTGGTCGACTTGGACGACATACCCGAGGCTGGATGATCCTGTTGCACCACCCCAAACCTTCACGACTGCCGCGATACGACCGTAGCCCCGGACGATCTAATCTGGGTAACCCCCACGACCTGAACTGCGCTTCGAGGACGCTGCCCAGGTATTTGAAACAACTTGTCATAACATGCCCTTGGACATCTCGTCCTTCCTCTCCTCCCAAAGCGTCTTGCCCGTGCAGGAGCACACAGTTTTGTCGTTGTCCCACACTCCGGCGCTCCGGGCAATGACGCCGACAACGGTGTCCTCCTCGTTCGTAAGTGGGGCTCCGTCGCTCTCATCGTGACGCGAGACGACCAGCGCATGGCCGATAACTTCCCATACCTGGAACGGATGGTTGATAAACGTATTCCCGTACCCATTGGGCCCAATCTCCACCGTCCCCAGGACTCCACGGGGAGAGCCACCGGCCTCCTTGCTCTGGGCCGACCAGACGGGGCCTGCTGACGTCGCGCCGTCCTTCAAGTTTCCATACTCCCGGATAGTAGCGCGGTACGTCCCCGGCGGCACGCCCCGGACAGTCAGGTCAACCAGGGTTTCGGTTGGGCTGACCTGGACCATCCGCACCAAGCCCCTGACCAGCCTCTCATTCACCCAGCTCTCACCCGGGGCTCCGGCAGGCGTCACCTCCGCGTCTGACCTGTGATGGTATGTCTCGAGGATGCTGACCGCGGCACCTGTGGTAAGAAACAAGAAACAGAACGAATCAGCAAATGATCTGGGAAGATTTGAGGATCGGCCTTGGCTGGTTTGTCCAAGGGGGAAACCACACCAAAACATATGGGAAGGGGGCCAGGCAGGTATATCACTGCACTTACTGTTTGAGGTTCCTGACCCTCGTAAGATGGCGTCTCTCCCAGTGGTTTGAATAGCATCAACAATGGCCGAAGGCGCCGCTAGGGAGTTTCGAGGTCAGCCAACACCATACGATGAAGCTGAACAATGGCAACACCGTCATACGAACCTGTCCCCTCAATTGATACCAATTGGTCCTTCACATTCGCCTCCACTTTCGTGATGCCTGGCAGCTTGTGCAGGGCGCTCGAGACGTCTTTGGCACAGCCGTCGCAGGTCATGGGCACGGCGAAAAGGGTCTGGTTCAGGTTTCATCAGCCCATGTTCGGCAGTCTTTTGCTGGGTTGTGCCAAGGGAAAAAGGAAGGTATTGAAAGGGGTATGAAACGAGAAGGGGGTTTTGTTAGGCAGAGTATGAAGGAAAAGATCTGGAACTACCCCAATGAAAACTGAGTTGGGGTTGACTCACCTGAAAAGGGGTAATGACAGCCATCTTGCCGGTATTGTTCCTCTCAGATGGGAGTAATTGGAGTCGCCCTTGTTCCTGAGTTCCTGGTCGCCCCCACGAGTACGCACCAGCAGATGCGACGAACAGCAATCCGGATGTTTTAAGAATGGAGCGAGTTTGGATGGGACCACGATACATCAAGGGTCCAATACCCGAGAAGCCCGAATTGGATTTCCAGAAGAGAGCTCGTGAGAGACAAGAGAGCTACGATATAAGGTCGTGTGGGCAGGGGCTTTAGTGGTTCGGTAGTTAGGGCTCTAGTATTGTAATACGGAAAGAGATCGAATTCGCAGCATTTGTATCCCCCATCACGTCAAAAGTCCGATATTCAAGAAACCCGGAAGTTTGCGACTGCTTTGAAATCCGTCCCATCGCGGGGCAGGTGGCGGGCATGGGGTCAGCCAAGCCCAGGGTCCAGTGTGTGGGGTCCCTTGCAGATGCGGCGCCGTCAGCAGGCATGTGGCGCGTGCGTGAGGCGCTCCAGCCGATTTTTCCAAACTCCCGGGCTTGGCTCTATCAAGCCATCGCGACATCGACCGCCGGCTCGCTCCGCCAATTCCCCGTCGTGATCGAACCACCGCCGCGCTTGCTGCACCCAATTCGAGCATTCGATTGCAGCAGTTGCGTCTTCGTCGATGAGGGACTAGTTCCCAGGGGCTTTGCTCGTCTTCTTCACCTTCACCACCGCTAACATGTCACAAACCGTTGGAGCTGTAAGCACCTCCTCCACAGCCTTACAACCCCGCCCTTACACCCTTCCCTGGCCCGGCCACTAACCCCATCCGCTCCCACCTATAGACACGACTCGCCTACTCGAGGGTATGGCACCACATCTCGGCGTCGACGCCGCACCAGACGCTGAGCACGATCAAGGCGCCGCCCGAGGCGGTGACGCCGCCGTCGCTGGGGCGGCTGGCGTCGCGGATCGCGACGATCCTGATGGGCAAGCACAAGCCGATCTGGGACCCGTCGACGGACTGCGGCGACTACGTGGTGGTGACCAACTGCGCGGCGCTGTACACGACGGGCCAGAAGAAGTACCGCAAGACCTACTACCGCCACAACACCCGCCCGGGCTCGCTCCAGACCATCACCATGGACGTGCTGATGGACAAGTTTGGCGGCGCCGAGGTCCTGCGCAAGGCCGTCAGCGGCATGCTGCCCAAGAACAGGCTGCGTGACAAGCGGCTGGCGCGGTTGAAGGCCTTTGAGGGCGATGCCCACCCGTACAAGCAAAACTTGGTGCGGTTTGGTGGGAAGGTTGTGGGGACTTCGGGGTGGGAGGATATTGTGAAGGCTGTGAGGGAAGCGGATGCTGCGAGGATATAGGGGCTGCTGGGAAGGAACGGCGGTTGGATGGGTGTGTGTACGAGGTCGTCTTGACTCTATGATTTGAGTCTTGTGTGTATTAACAATACATTGATGGATACCACAAAACCTTGTTCCTGGAACACTAGGGATTGAGCCGTTGGCCCTTGTTGATATCATATGCATCAAATGTCAATTCGCTACGCCAAATGCCGGTCGGGCTCATAGAGCACGAACATGCCAAGATCGAGAGCACGCCAGTGTTTCTCACATCGGATATGCCAAAGAAATATTCCCCTGTTCCGTTGCCATGCACCTTTCTCACCTGTGTGCCAAAGTGGCGGTATCACGGGATACCTCACACTTGATCAGGCCGTTGGGCCCTGACTGCGGCGCATACACCTCGGCGTCCTTGCCCGTATTCTTGATGCCCTTGTGCCAGCTGAGGTCTACATCGTCGAGGTGGGTTAGCCTAGGCTCGTTAGAACACCGAGAACAAAATACTGACCAATTTCAAAGTAGTGCTTGTTCGGCAGCGCGAAGCCGGCCTTGTCAACCTCGGGCACAGCCTCCAGGATCTGCTCGCACATCTTGTACATGGTATTCTGCACCGACGCGCTCTCGTCGACGGCAAACGTCTTCATGATGATGCCGCGGGCGCTCTCCCACGCGGCGTCGAAGCGATCCGCCCCCTGCTCCACGGCGGCGGCGGTCGGGAAGCGCTTCCAGGCCCAGGTGCAGTCGATGTCGGTGGACAGGATGCGGTCCCACGTCTCGGGCAGGGTGGTGAACTCGTCGCGCACGAAGCCGTGGAAGGCCGACCCCGTGCTCTTGAGCACCGACAGGCCCGCGATGCTGCTCTTGAGGTCGATCCCCGCCCCGCGCGCCGCCGTGGCCTCGACGTTGCGCGTCTCCTGCCCGTCGCGGAAGAAGCTGTGCGGGTGGGGGGCGCCGTCCACCGCCATCCGCGTCCACCGGTGCACCACCACGTTGATGTGCGCGGCGGTGATGTGCGGGTATGTGTCGAGGAAGTGCTGCCCCAGGTGGCTGGCGTAGACCTCTGGCGGGTTTACGGGGTGTTCCTTGGCCTTGATGTAGATTGTGTTCTTGATTGAGTCGGTGGCGACTACGACGCTGTTGTCTGCATGGGTGTATCTAGGAAGTCGTTTAGTCGGTTGTGCCGCTGGGCAATGCGGTTTTTGGTACGGGGAGTGCCTAGCTTACGATGTCTCGATCTTGCCCTCGAGCAGGCAGCACACTGTCATCTCCGTCACGGTCTGAACGCCGGTCTTCTCATCTCTCTGGACCTTGCAAACGCGGACATTGTCCTTGCCATACCGGGCAGACGCAAGATTAGGCATATCGATGGTAATGTACGTGTGAATGAGTGACCCGGAACTACCTATTTAAAGGAGGGTATTTTGGTTCACAGCTGCGTTTGCTAATAACGAAAGTAAATCTCGAACCGCAGAAACAAGGAGGCGAGGCAAGTGGAGGAACGGGCCAACGTTAAATAGATCGAGTTACAAATATTTAGTGTTTGTTCTTGGAGGAGCTAGTTGGGACATTTATACTCCCGGGCCAACACCGGAACCGAAGCAAGAATGGAAACCCCCGGCATCCAATGAGTCCATGTCCGGACGGCACCTAGCGGCTCACCTGCCCATGGCGCGGCTTCCCGGCGGAGGGGCAGCAAGCCGGGTTGTGAAGGAGGAGGGAGGTGGAGGTGGATCACCGGAATCCGCCGACTGCCTTGTGCCAGGCCCCTCCCTTCAGGTCTTTCCACTTTCTGCGCCTTCCCGCCTCCCGCGGGAATGAAACAGCTTCCTTTTGAGAATACCACTGAAACTTGCTGACCAGCAATCAGAGAACGTTCCTCTGACGAAATCCGGCAACTGAATGGATCTATCGACCCAGGGCCAATGCCCATACCCGGTTCTGTTTGTCCAATCCCCCAAATTGGTGACGTTGATGAGAGGTCGGGGCTGGCAATCCCCGATCGCCCCACCACGATGTGCAGGGGCACCGCCGGGCTGGGCCGAAGTGTGCTGTCCTGGGGACGCTCACAAGTCACACAGAGCCCGCCGTCGTTAGGCCAGTTAGAGGTGGTATCGTACCACACAGAAAACCTATTTGTGACGACCGCGACATTTGGCAGGGGCACAATGTGAGACATGACAGGTTCCTTGCCAGCGTGCCCGCCACTTCGCTAGTTGGCAGTAGCGGTCGGATTCTGAGGGAGCAGAGAAAAAGACCTGTTGTGAATTTATGTTTTTTGTGTGGCTCAGCTCAAATTATGATCAACGCGACATCGTTGTTAATAATATTATCCAGGTTATTCTTGACAGGCAGTTTGCTGTTGTATCTCGCAATTCTGAACTCACCTCCCGGGGATCTTAGTTATCACACTTCGGTATCAGGTGTCACCAAGACGAGGCGGGGATCCATGGATGTTTGGATCAGTTGGTGGGGCGGCCGTTGCCAGGCGTTGCGCACAGGCCACTTATGGAACTGCAGGACGGCCGCTGTCGCGATACGAAATCCCAAAGCGGCGGACTTCGAAGCCAGCGCCAACCCCCCCAACCCCACATCGATCTTCAACACCGTATATGGCAGGAGACTGAGCGCGCACGCCACCTGGCCGTAACGACAGATTGAGAAATGACGGCAGACAGGCCCCGAAATTGTTGAAGAACTCGAACATTCATGCGTCGAACAAAGAGCCGGCCGGCAAATCGAATGCGAATACCGGGAGCGTTACGAGTGTCGAGAGGGTCAAGTGTGGAGGGCAAATGGCCGGGCCGTCCGCCATGTTGAGCGCCTCGGCGACACCCACTCAGAGGTCATATGTTCCCCAGTCGCAGCAGCAACAACAGCAACAGCAGCAGCAGCAGCAGCAGCAGCAGCAGGAACAGCAACAAAACCAGCAGCCTGGGAACCCTCGACCGAGCCTCGAACGCGATGGCCTGCAGCCTCCCGTCTCCAATGGCGGCCGTAATCTCTCGGCCTCCGCCGTGAGCTTTGCGTCCCGCGGCCCATCGCTCAACCCGTCGCCCATGCCCGGTAGCTTCAGCTCTGAGCTCCGTAGCCAAACAAACATCTCTCGCGCCGGCTCGCGACTTGACATGTTCCCTGCGCTAGAGAAGTTGGACGAGGACGATGATGGCCCGGTTCAGGAAAAGACCATCACCCACCTGCGCGAAGCCCTCGGCCGCGAGATGAAAATTAAGGAGGGGAGCGAGAACATGTTGGAAGCGCTGAACTCTAAGAAGGCGAAGCAAACCAAGGAGCAGCGGCAAAGGGTGGAGGCCGAATTAAACTCGTCCAACATACGCATCAAGGAGCTGCGCCAGAAGATCACAGATGCCCAGCGGGTGAAGGCCGCGCCAACCACACCCACGCGGACGAGGACAGAGGCCCTGTTCCCCGGCTCCAATGGCTTGCGTTCTCCCCCCAGCGCGTCTCGGAGCGGCGCCGGGTCCGACGTCGACGAGCCCACCGAGTCACCAACCTTTGCGCTTACAGAGATTCTGCAGGCCCTAGAAATACCGGGCATGACTCCAGACTACTACGTATCCAGAGCGAATAGCCTAGTTGACCTCTTCAAGCGACACCCCACACTCAAATATGACTTGGTATGGTCCGTGTTCGGCCTCCGGATGCAAGCCATGCTCCTGAGCGAGAGCCGCGAGGTGGTTGCTGCAGGGTACAGGATGATACGATACGCCATTTCGGACATCAGCTCCATCAGAAACATACGTGCCCTCAATACTGACTATCTCGTGACGTGGTAAGTGGTCCCTTCGTTAGTTCTCGTACGCCGTGGACTAATCCAAGGCAGGTCCCTAATCAAAGATCGCAAAGCCGACGTTGAACGTGAGCAGGCCCTCAAGTTTGTGCGTGCCTTCCTTGATGTCAAAGACGGTGTGCGCGAAATCTCGAGAGCTGTCGTCAGGTCGATAGCCGCCGCGGCAGAAGAGCCCGAGGAGAGGTTACGGCCAATCTGCATCGAGACCCTGGCCGAGATCCTCGTCCGCGACCCCCGGCTGTTGATTGTTTCTGGAGGGATGGGCCCTTTGCATGAAGCGTTAGCCGATGGTTCGTACAAGGCATCCGAGAGCTTGACAGCAGCCTTCCTCTACCTCTTGGACGCGCCACATCGACGGAAGTACCTGCGTCCTGGGAACGAGCTGGAGATACTCTTCACCGCCTTTACCGACGAGCTGTCTTCCAACGAACGGTTTCTAAAGCAGAGCGTCAAAGCCGTAGGCTCGGCTCTGAGAACGTGGTCCGGTCTTATGAGCTTGTCCATGTACAACTTCCGGGCCATTAAGTCCATGATCACTAGTATGGTCGTTCAAGCCGGGCCCATTCGCGAGGCCATCATAGATCTCATATTTTCCCTTCTGCGCATCAAGCCCCCGGCGTGGGCCACGTCATTCTTAGCTGGCCGGCGGCTCACCACCTATGGCCGAGTTACGAATCTCAAATCGGCCACCAAGGGCTCCCAACCCGACTACGAGGAAGACGGGGGAGAACAGAATTTTCTGGAGCACTACACAACCCTCTTGCTTGCGGTATTTATCAAGTCCGGAGTGATCCCGGCCCTTCTCGAGCTCACCCAAACAAACGACAGTGGAACCCTCAGGCGCAAATCGGCGCTGTTGATAGGCGAGGTCTTGAAGCTGTCCAGCCGTCTCCTCCCGCCGTCCTGGAGTAGCCATCTACAACTACTTCCCGACCTGTTCGCCGCGGCCGCGAATCTCAAAGACGAAAGTCATTTCGCAGCCACCGGGGTCATTTACCAGATAAGCAGCGTCAGCAGAACTCTGTACCGCTCTTCCCCATCGTCCTACCTCCCTTCCACGCATCACAACATGGACCTGAACGCGCTCGACGATCACCCCAAGGCCAACACATCAACAACCTTCGATGATGGAACGTTCCGACAGCTTCTCCTCGAATCAAATGTCCTCAGTAGCTCCAATTACACGAAGTGGAACTGGGAGGTCATGATTAGGCTCATCGAAGGGCCCCTAACGAGCGGTAAGAGGCTCGAGGAGGCTATCAAGGCGTCCAAGTTCATTAAACGCATCATGAGTTTCTACCGCCCGTTCAAGTACAAGTTTTCGGAAATCAAGAGCTCAAGGGGCACGCAAAAGTACGTCCGGACCGGGTGTTCCCTGATGCACGCCCTGCTTCAGAGCCCCGAAGGTGTCAAGTACCTGTCCGACAACAAGCTACTACGCCAAGTTGCCGAGTGCTTAGCCCAGTGCGATCCAACAAGTGGGTTGACCGCCCAGGACCCTATGTTCTCCAAGGACCGTCTCGCCGACACCCTTTGCGGTGGCTACTTTCCCATGCTCGGCGTCTTGACCGCAGATGTCAAGGGGTTGCAGATGATGGACCGATGGCGCATCTTCAACATGCTGTACCGGATTCTGGACCTGAAGCAGCGGCCGGACCTCATCAAGCTAATGCTCTCCAATTTTGACTACTCCCTCCAAGGCCACCCTCGAGTTCTCTTGTCCAAGGCTCTGACGGCCGGGACGAAAGACATCCGGATCTACGCGACAAACGCATTGAGGAAGTTTGCCACACACCCGCGGATGGGGCCCCATGGCCCGGAACCCGGCGATTCGAAGTGGGCGATCCAGCTTCTCGTGACGCAGCTGTACGACCCAGAAGTTGAAGTGTGTGCCACTGCGGTCAAGATTCTTGAAAAGGCCTGCAACACAAAGAATCATCTCGAGTACATTGTCGAATGCCGGCCAGCGCTGGACCACCTAGGCGAGATAGGAGCTCCCCTTCTCCTGCGCTTCCTCTCGACATCGATCGGATACCACTACCTGGACGGGCTGGACTACATTAGCAACGAGATGGACGACTGGTTCCTGGGCCGAAACGACTCGTACGTTGGCGTCATCGAGGCAAGCCTCGCGCGGTCTTTCATGGACCACCAGGACGACCATACGAACCGAATCAGCGTGTTTGACGAGCAGCAGGAGATGGAGGCCGACAACCACGTGCCGCCACACTTCTACCGCGAGCTCACTCGGACCCAAGAGGGCTGCAAGCTCCTCAGCGACAAGGGCCACTTTGACGAATTCGCCGCCACGATCCGCGAGTACGGCATGCAATCCGACGACCACGAAATGATGGTTAAGGTAAAAGGCTGCCTCTGGGCAGTAGGCAATGTCGGCTCGATGGAGCTCGGCGCCCCGTTCCTCGAATCCTGCGACGTGGTGGAACAGATCATCGAGATCGCCCAAAACCACGAGGTCATGAGCCTGCGCGGGACCGCCTTCTTCGTTCTCGGACTCGTCTCCCGCTCCATACACGGCCTCGAGATCCTCTCAGAAAACGGCTGGGATGCAAACACCAACATCCTCGGCCACTCCTTCGGCCTGTGCATCCCCTCGGACCTCTCCCAACTCTTCTCCCTCAAGCCGTGGCACCACACGCCCGTCACCGCCATCGAGCTCCCAGACAGCCAAAAGACCGAAACCGCCAAACTCCCCGCGGTGCCGTCCCGCCCGCGCTCCGAGTCGCTCATCAAAGCGCTGCAGGAGGCGGAACAAGAAGCCGCGACGACGGCGGCGGCGGCGGCGGCGGGCGGCTTGGCGCCGTCGGACGCGGCGCTGCTGCCGCCGCGCGTGGAGCTCGACCCGGACCCGACCAGCCACCGCATCCTGGAGCTGGTCATCGACATGTCCAACATGGTGCTCTACCGCCGCGCCCGCAACGAGCTGATGCAGATCAAGTCCCAGGGCCGCGCCGCCGGCTTCGCGCAGCCCCGCCTCTTTCGGAAGGTCATGTCCCTGCTCGAGTGCCACCACTATCGGTTGGTTGATCGGAATATGATTGTGAGCTTGTTTGAGAAGGGTGTGTTGAGGGCGGTGGTGTATGGGGAGGATGGGAGTGCTGGTGGGGGGAGTGGGGGGGAGGATGAGGATAGTGAGGATGGGGATGATAGTGATGAGGAGGAGGAGGATGATGATGACGATGATGAGGAGGAGGAGGAGGCCCAGGGCGAGAGGCGGGTGGTGCCGAGCGTGCCGGTTAGGGAGGGTGGGAGGGAGAGTGAGAGCGAGAGTGAAGAGGAGGAGGAGGAGGAGGAGCGTGAGGAGGCGGATGATAGAGAGGAAGAGGAGGAGAAAGAAGGGGGGGAAGAGGGCAGCGATAGTTCGGGTGACGAACAGCGCACGGAGCGGCAGAGGAGTGTGAGTGATCCGGCAGACATCAAGAGGCGGGGAATGACAATGGGGTTCGGCCGATAGTGGGCCACGGCATCGTGATATACTTCCTATTTCTGGCTATCATACGAAGACGGAGCGCGAGACGAGTTGGGGCGCGAGACACGGATCGGCGTCGGTTGTATTTCTGCAAAAGTAGGGGCGCGTGGCGGTCATGGTTAGGTATGGTGGACTTTGCATCTAGGGGGTTGGTGGCCGGGTCTCGGTGCTGAGGGATAGGAAAGCGGTTGGCGTTCGAAGCAACTTCTTCATTAAGGACCTTTGGTCCATTTGCAATGTACAGTATCCGGGCCGTGATGGGCCGGGAATTGCAATTGGAAACGATAAAAGAACTCGAGGGTCCAGTCCATTCCGCCTATTCTGTTACTTGTTACTAAACGTTATCCTGCAACCCCACTGTGCCCCCGCATCGAAACAGTCAGTTCTCTGGCTCAGCTCTCTCCATACGGTCGACTTAGTAAGGCACTAAGAGGCATTTCAATTGCATGACATTGTATTCCTACACCGGGATCATCGACGATACCCAGTCCAGGACCAGACACAGTTCAGAGGTTAAGATGGGCCCCGGGAGAGTTTTAGCAATTGCTGGTTCTGATAGTTCTGGCGGAGCGTATGTTTTACTTTTATTTTACCTCCTTGCAATTGCGATGCCGGTATCGCTCAAACTTGTTGATGGGTGACTCGGCTTACACACGCTTCTTCTCACAGCGGCCTCGAAGCAGACCAAAAGGTCATCGCCGCCCATGGTTGCTACGCCATGACGGCCACGACGGCCCTCACGGCACAAAACACAAAGGGAGTCTATGCCATCCACCACATCCCGTCCGAGTTTCTCAGGAAACAGATCGACGCCGTCATTGAGGATGTCGGGGTTGATGTTGTCAAAACGGGTGAGCCCCTGACTACCCCCAACTCAATGTGGTTGTTTCACACTAACCACCAAGTCAAGGCATGCTCGGATCAACAGAAACAATCGAAACCATCGCCGACGCGCTCACTTTCCATGGCGTCTCAACCGTTGTCCTTGATCCGGTATAGCAACGCACCCCCACCCCCCATTCACCCTACCCAACATCCTAACCACTAGTGCGCTCCTGCGCATCTAGGTAATGATCGCAACAACAGGCGCCGAACTCCTACCCCAGCAAGCTCTGAACGCCCTACACACCCACCTGCTGCCCCTCGCCACCATCATCACGCCCAACGTGCCCGAGGCGCTCCTCCTGCTCCGCGACACCCGCCCCGAGATGGACAAGGTCAGCACGGTCGACGACCTCGAGACCATCGGGCGGGCGATACGCCAGCTGGGGCCGAAGTGGGTGCTCGTCAAGGGCGGGCATTGCCCTTTCAAGAAGGACGGGACAGTGGCAGAGGCGCAGGCGGAGAGGGAGCTGGTCGTGGATGTGCTTGTGGGAGAGGATGCGGCCACGGGCGCGGAGGTGGTGCTGCGGCTGGAGACGGCGTATTGCGAATCGCAGCATACGCATGGGACCGGGTGTTCTTTGGCTTGTGAGTGGACTTGCACCCCGCCTCCCTCCCTAGCTCTGTTTGGCGTCGTGTGAGGTTGACTCGTGCGTGTGTTGTTGTTGTGGGCTTGTAGCGGCGATCGCGTCAAACTTGGCCAAGGGAATGGCTATGCCGGCTGCGGTGAGGGCCGGCTGCAGATACGTCCAGGCCGGTATTAGGAGTGCGCCAGGACTGGGTGGGGGGAATGGGCCGTTGAATCACTTCCACTCGGTCTATACCCTGCCGTTCTCACCGTGAGAAGCAAACGACTACTCGGTTGTTCAGGAGCTCCAGCTGACCAAGCGTAGGGGTCACTTCATCGACTATTTACTGGAACGACCTGACGTTGCCCCGATATGGGACAAGTTTGTTAACCACCCGTTTGTACTGGCCATGGGAGACGGAACACTGCCTCTCGAGTCATTCAAGGGCTATTTGATGCAGGATTACCTTTACCTAGTGAGTTGTGCCTGTCCGTGGCAAGGAGCTCCTTGCTAACACGAAGAGGTACACTTTGCCCGAGCGAATGCATTGGGATCATACAAGGCCAGCAACATGAAGGATATCGCCGCGGTAGGATCTCCATACACGGTAACTCATGGACAAGTGATCTAAATATAACCGTATCGCAGTCCGCCGCCATCGTTACCCATATCTTCAAAGAGATGGAGCTCCATGTTGGGTACTGCCAGGGTTTCGGTATTTCTAGGGAGGAGATGGAGAAGACGGAAGAGAAAGCGGGTGAGTAGCATTTCCGTTAACCTCAACTAGCAGGAGAGCAGTAGAGGCAACTGACAAACACCCCACCCACAGCTTGCACGGCGTACACAAGGTACGTCCTTGACATCGGCCAGTCCCAAGATTGGCTGGGCCTCCAAGTCGCCATTGCACCCTGTCTACTCGGGTACGGCGTGGTCGCCAAACAACTGCACGCCAACAAGCGGTCCAAAAGAGAGGGCAATTTGTACTGGACCTGGATTCAAAATTACGTGGCCAACGATTATGTCACGGCTGTAAAGACTGGCTCCGGTGAGTAGGAAACCAAGTCAAAGTCAAATGGAGGAAACGTCCATGGATGATCGCTAATTAGAGACAAAGAACTGCTGGAACGCCACGCGGTGCTTCAAAGCCCATCGCGCATTGAGGAGCTGGTGAAGATCTTTATCCACGCTACAAAGGTCAGTCTACCAATTTTATTAAAGTGCAGTCAAAGGGATGCTGACAATGAGAATGCACCGCAGATGGAGATTGCATTTTGGGAAATGTATAGCTCAAGTTGAGGAAAGAGATATCGGCTGTATGGTACATACCTTCCTGCCTTCTTTGCCTACCTAGGTAGACATGATAGTAACAAGGAGAGAATAATGGTTTCCCGGAATTACAATTCACGTATTCCGTACCTACCTACACAGTCGGTTTGTTTGCTGTGGACCAGTATGGTATGTATATAGAGAAAAGAAGAGAAGGCACCTTGGGTGGCGTTCATTGTCAGTTTCATCTCGAAAATTTACTGCCTCAGGCATCAACCGTTCGGCTGCCGAGTCCTTATCCGACTTATCGCCCCCTTTGTCGACCGACAAGGCGCCTGCCTGCAAAAATATTTTCTGGCCCAAGGCCGCCAAACAAATTCTCCTGGGGCAACTTCCCGATTCCTTCCTCTTACAAAAGATTTTCGCCTCGACGAAAAACCTGCATTCTCCATCTCCCTCCCTCCCTCTATTAAGTTTGCGACGCATCTCGAAGTACAATCCGCTCATTTATTTCGAGCGCGGTTTTAGGTACTAAACTGACGAGCCTCGCTTTTCTCTTTCTCGCGTGTCGCTTCTCGGTGATCAAAGCGTCATTTCCTCGTCGGCTTCATCATTCCAACGCCTTTGCCCAACGCGCCATAATCGGCTTTTATTGAGCCAACCCAGCAGCGCGCTCTATATTTTCGGTCTCGCCCCATCCCTATCGCGAAACAGCAGTTTTCGCGTCCCCGACATTTTCAACACGGTCTCGATACTCGCGTCACCCTAAACACGACATGTCTTCGTACGGCGGCGGCGGTGGTGGCTACGGCTCCCGCGGCGGCGGCGGCGGCGGATACTCGGGTGGCTATGATCGCAATGGCGGCGGCGGTGGTGGTTACTCGTAAGTTGAACACGCCCATTCCCAAATTTGTCATTGCCCACCTTTGAGCGGTGAGCGACGCTTCACGCGCTTAACTCTAGGTGGTTTCCCCTTATTGGATCATCGATAACTGACCTGACTTCCAACCATAGTGGATCCAACGGCTATTCCGGCGGTGGTGGCGGCGGCTACGGCGGCGGCGGCGGAGGCTATGGCGGTGGCGGTGGTGGGTATGGCGGTGGTGGTGGTGGATATGGCGGCGGCGGCGGCGGTTACGGTGGCGGCGGTGGTGATCGCATGTCCAACCTTGGTGCCGGTCTGCAGAAGCAGAACTGGGACCTGGACACACTCCCCAAGTTCGAGAAATCGTTCTACCAGGAGCACCCCAACGTCGCCGCCCGGTCGCAGGCCGAGGTCGACAAGTTCCGTCGCGATCACGCCATGACCGTCGCTGGTACCAATGTCCCAAGCCCGGTCGAAACCTTCGATGAGGCGGGCTTCCCCCGCTATGTCATGGACGAGGTCAAGGCCCAGGGGTTCCCCGCGCCGACAGCGATCCAATCTCAGGGCTGGCCCATGGCACTCTCAGGGCGCGACGTGGTCGGTATTGCCGAGACCGGTTCTGGCAAAACCCTGACTTACTGCCTCCCCGCCATTGTTCACATCAACGCCCAACCCCTCCTCGCTCCCGGCGACGGCCCCATCGTCTTGGTCCTCGCTCCCACCCGCGAGCTGGCTGTTCAGATTCAGCAGGAAATCACCAAGTTCGGCAAGTCTTCTAGGATTCGCAACACTTGCGTCTACGGCGGTGTTCCCAAGGGCCCTCAGACTCGGGACCTCTCTCGCGGCGTTGAGGTGTGTATCGCCACGCCTGGCCGCCTGATTGATATGCTCGAGTCGGGCAGGACCAACCTCCGTCGTGTCACATACCTGGTCCTCGATGAGGCCGACCGCATGCTCGACATGGGTTTCGAGCCCCAGATCCGCAAGATTATCGGGCAGATTCGGCCCGACCGTCAGACTTGCATGTGGTCCGCTACTTGGCCCAAGGAAGTCCGCGCCTTGGCCAGCGACTTCCTGACTGATTTCATTCAGGTCAACATTGGCTCCATGGACCTGGCTGCCAACCACCGCATCACCCAAGTTGTCGAGGTTGTGAATGAGAGCGAGAAGCGCGACAAGATGATCAAGCATCTTGAGAAGATCATGGAGGACAAGGAGAACCAAAACAAGATCCTCATCTTCACAGGTACCAAGCGCGTGGCTGACGAGATCACCCGCTTCCTTCGCCAGGACGGCTGGCCGGCACTTTGTAAGTTGTTTCCAGTCGCCTACGATACCTCTTTTTTTTTTTTTTTTTTTTTTTTCCAACGGTGCTAACTTGCTCCCTAGCAATCCACGGCGACAAGCAACAAAACGAGCGCGATTGGGTCCTGGATCAGTTCAAGACTGGAAAGAGCCCTATCATGGTTGCCACCGACGTTGCGTCTCGCGGTATCGGTATGTCCCCCTCCCACCCCCAAAGACCCGTGCCCTCTTTTGGGCAACCTTCCAGCATCGAAGTGTGCTGTGCTTTACTCTTGTGTCTAGGGGCTTTCTTGATTGCGCGAACTTGCCTGACCTCGTGTCTGCATGGTCTTCCTGAACGGAGTCTTGGATTCGTGACGTAGCAGGGACGCTGTTCTTGATGCTACGCCGTAATTCTTCTCTTGTACCGTTTCTTTTTGCCGTGGTACAAGCGTAGAGTAGACATCCCTTGACCCTGATCAAGCTTTGTCTCCAAGATTCCCAAAGGCCCGAGGACCCGGAGCTTGGGATATCCCACCGGCATATTCACCGCAATGGACAGCCCACCTGCCAAGGAGAGAAGTACAGCCATCATGGATCACGAAACATGCTTAGCTACCCGTGTCATCCGCCATGCGTTCGTGCTGGAACGTTGCTTGCGCTCAAGCTGCTCGCTGTTGCTAACCATTCCCTTGTTTTAAAGATGTGCGCAACATTACCCATGTGCTCAACTATGACTACCCCAACAACTCGGAGGACTACATCCACCGTATTGGTAGAACTGGCCGTGCCGGCGCTAAAGGCACAGCCATCACGTTCTTCACCACTGACAGTACGTTTTGCCCCGCACCATCCTAACTCCCCGATCGGTTCGCTTACATGCATACAGATTCCAAGCAGGCTCGCGACCTCGTGGGTGTTCTCCAGGAGGCCAAGCAGCATATTGATCCCCGCCTCGCCGAGATGGTTCGGTACGGTGGCGGTGGTGGCAACAGCCGGTATGGCGGTTATCGTGGCCGCGGCGGTGGTGGATTCCGTGGCGGTAAGTGTGTACCTGTCGGCTCCCAATACACATGAAAAATATGTGCTGACCACTTGTACGATAGGACGTTCTCAAGGCGCTAATGGCCCCAACGCCATGCCCATGGGCAACCGTCGGTGGTAGAGAACCACACGTTTTGAAGGCGCCGTAAGCGTTAGGCGCCATCCAGATCTTTCGTGACTGGCTTTTCGACCAGTGCACCCGCATTCGGACAACACGGCGTTTCACGTAGAGGGTTCGGCTTAGAGGTCGGTTTCGTGGCTTATTTGCCACTGGTTATGTTGTTTTATGTCGTCATCCCAGGTTGAGACGTGGCTTTTTCTTTGATGCGTTGCGATTCCATATTCGACGGGAGAAGAGGAAGTTCTCCTTGGAAACCCGCGGTTGCAGAAGCCTTCGCACAGACAGAGGGTTCGTCAAACCGAACTCCTGTCGGCCGGTCACCACGAACCATGGCGGCCCGTCCCTGCTTGGCCGAGGACCGGTGTGGACACTGCATATGACATGAAGGCCATTTGACTTATTTATCAGCTATGGTCTTTCTTATTTCTCAAGTCGGTTTTCACCCTTTTCATACAATCGCACAGCGGCTCAGCTGCGAATTCAAGGGGAGGGAGGCTCTCGCGGGCCCTGACTAAGATGGATGGGGCAGTCGCAAACAAGTCTATGCCCGCCCGTTTCGTAACCGGCGATGACGCACAGATGCTTATGTACTTAATCTCGGGGAAAAGCGAATACCATTCCACAGACACTCCCCCAGCCATGTGAACTCGATGTTGAGTGTTTCCCTCTGCGGCTCAAAACCGCCCTTGCCTGTTCAGCCGATGGACCTTGCCCGGCTGCTCCGATTCGAGTTCTGACCTAACTACACCCGAATGTAGTGGGCTCAGATCTCGATTTGAGAGCAGATATTGAGCCTAGAGCAAACCTGTAGGTCCATGGATGATAGTCTCAGAGCAAACCCCATTTAACATGCTGTGTGGGCAGTCTTAGTCGCGAACTCACGACCCGGCCGTCAGAGACACCCCCTTTTCCCGCGACCAAGTGATGGATAATGGCTTTCGGTCAGCTCCGCGTTACCGTGTAGAAGCCGGCAGGCAAGCTGGTTCGATCTCCTGTAATCTGCCTCTGGGTAGTCATGTCCAGGTCTACCCTGGAGGCAAAATACGGATATTCTTACGCGGGTGGATTCCACCCCCTTTTTCTTTTCTTTCTACCTCCGTTCCTATGTTTAGCAGCTCACCTCATCCGTGGGAACGCGAATCCATGTTTACATAGTACCGCAACTTCTCGCTCCCTGGGGAGACCCGGCGACTGTTTGGTATGGGTGTTTGGTCTTGCTTGGAAGGGAGTCGGATGTTTCCCTCGGCCCGACGAGCCTTGGGCGGTGGAGCTTGGTTTGGGGGGGTGGTTGATGGGTGAGGCCGAGGGACCGAGTTGGAGTCCGCTATCGGCGCGGGTTTTTGGTAAGGGGGTTCGTTGGGTGTGGATTCCCCTTGCCCGGGGACGAGGGGATAGTGGTCGATCTTGCGATGCGCGCCGTTTGAGGGATGGCGAGTCATCAGCGAGTCTTGTTTTCCGAGCATCAGCTCGACCAGCGTTCGGGGTGTGGGGAGGGGGTTGGCACTCATGGGGGCAGGCTTGGGTCAGCTCGGCTTCTCGTAGCTTGTCAAAGTGGTTGGCCTATCGGGCAGTTAGAGCGCTCCGGTGGAGGGCGACGTCCCAACCTCTTCTCCGGTTCGGGAACTGGGTGCCGTTGTGGGGAGTCGCCGCAATCACGCGATTCGGGGTGTGTTGTTAACATCGCTCAGCATGGAGAACTGTTTGCGGTCACAGTTGCTGTTCACTGACATGGCAATTCACGGGGAATGACAGAACGTTTCTTGCAAGGATATCTATCACACAGGTTTTACGGAGTCTGGTCTCTGTTCACCCTCATGTTGGATCATGTTGACGTTGAGATCGCCAGCTATTAGATCGACAGCTATTTCTCCGACCAGCTACACAAGTACTAGCTCTCATGTTTGGCCCTGGGGGATGGATGGTGGTTAGTGGGGAGAGGCACCCAGCGCGCCGTGGGCACTGTCTCTAGCGCCGGCCATCTCCCGGATGGCGGAACGGCGGATCCGATCGTGGCTTGATAACTCAGAGTTGCTTGGATCGACGGGGTTATTCCCCACTGAGTCCACTGTTGGCCTCTCTGGTGTCATTTGAGAAGGAAAGGGGTTTATCGGTCAGCAAAAGCACATGTTGGGGATCATCCGTTCGATCAAATGGGTGGCTGTCCAACACAATGAGGGGGTGCACCATCAGCACTCGGCCGGTAATGAGTAATCTCGCCGAACGGCCGGTGTGGTGACTGAAGCTCCCTCCTCTTGCTCAGCACCAGACCCCTTTGTCGGGGAGCCTGGGTTTTCCCCTCCACCCCATGAACGGCCCTTGATAAGAACAAGGTTCGAATGTTGAACGTCTTGACTCGGACCACTGCGTAGTGGATATTGAACGTCCGGTTTGTTAACTACCCGGAGTTACTTCAAACCCAATGGAGGGTGGTGGTCTGCGTCGGGATCGAAGACGCGCATGGATCCACCCCAATCGGTTCTACCAACGGGATGGGTCGAGTATGTCACTCCTCACTATCCCGAGCGCAGCTGGGCCCGGTATGCTCCGTTCAATGGCGGAACACGGGGAGGTCTGGAGACGGTCGGGCGCGATGTGGCAGCTCGAGGACGGAATATTTCGAGAAGGACTGGTTCAGCGCTAGAAAGCAGCCCCCGGACTTGTCTCATGCACCTCGAAACCCATCTCCCTTTCCGTCAATATTTGACTAATGGCCCTTCCCACATCTGACGGGATGAAATCCAATTTGCGCTAGCCTCACGGGCTGTCGTCTCTTCATCGGACTCCACCGATGAACAAATGACGGTGAAGAACAAAGTCCGCATCGCCAAGGATGATTCTGCGAGCTCTTCTGGTCCTCTGTCTCGGACGGCAGTGCGATGGGCATCTCCAGATGGCTTGACTGGGGGGAGGGGATGCGTCGGGTGGTCGGGTAGGGCCACGGGTGCTCGGCCCCTCCAGGAAACCGGTGTCTGTTTGGCATTCTGACAAATAACTACACAGTAATAACTACTAGTTAGAGGGGATGCAGCTCATCAGCCCATTGGGTTGGCTCGTTGAGATGACAAGGAAATCCGCCGGTGACCGTGGCGGAGACGGCGGCTGCCATGGTATACTGTGTAACTATGTATGTATACTACAAACAAGCCCGAGAGATGGCGCGAAGACGGTGCACCGTTTGGTTCTAAAACATCGAGAAGCCGTGATGGTAGAAAAGGCAGTGGCGCAACTTGCTAACAGACGACGGGAAGAGATGGTTTCATCGGGTGGTTTGACACTAAGATCTCACGCTCCTACAACGGCACGTGTGAGGCCAGATAGATCGCAGGATGCCAGGCCGGAGGACGAGCCGCATAAACCTGCGATAGCTTCAGGGCAAATGGTCTTGAAGGATCCGAGGTGCGTGCTTCAGAGCCCATCCTGATGCCGTCTCTTCCTTCGAGTGACCATGGTAAAAAGCGAAATCAAGGGGTGTTTGTTCTCTCGCCCTCGAATCCGAGAGATTGGCTGCAAGCCTCGGGGGCAAATTCGTGGCAGCCTCACCTGCCGCCCTGCCGATGAGATTTCGGTGACGACTGATGATGATGCACAACCAACAATCAACGACGACGCCTTCCGCCCCTCCGCAGTGTCTCAAAAAGTGCCATCACCGTATCTCCTCACTGCGATCAGCACAACTGCGGTGTCGCCGGGTGCCGAGGCGGCCGCGTTCGGCCGCGTTCTCAGCTGCCATGGCCGGTTCCACTCTCTCTGTGTCGATATTTGCGGATGTTGTCTTGAACTCAGAGGGACATGGTCAGATGTCCCAAAACTGTCCAAGTTAGCGAGGGGCGGTGGGTCCCATGTGGCCCGTGATGGTGTCCCTTTGCTCGCCCCATGTCGAATCAAGTGCTGTGCCGCACTGCTGCAGTCCCAGGGGCCAGGATGTCCCCGGCTGGGGCTGGCCAAGCTCCCCAAAGCTGAATTTCCCGCCCACATCCCTTTGGCTCTCCCCCTCCGTCGGGTTGCCATCCAAGTGCCAAAAGGAGAACGCGCTGCGTCTGTGCATGACGGGGCTCCCAAAGATAGCAACGACCCTGCCTCCGATACCATACGAATACGCGAAAAGCAGCCCTGTCATTTGCCGAGGAAGCCGACAACCCACCTCCTGCCTGTGGACGGCGTCGCTTCGCCGACGGAACAAGAAGCAATGGAAGAAGGTATCTTTTGCCTGGAAGCGGAGAGGAAGACCCGTGTGCGTCTACCTATCACGTGCGTTTCCGCAGCTGCGCTTGAAAGTCGCACGGTTTTTACCGTCGATGGGAGGTTTGGCACAAAACATCGTCCGCCTCCGCAGTCCACAGGAATGGAACTTGAAGTTCACCTTTCCCACCCTTGCACTGTGCCTTGAGCTCTCACAACACTGTGCTGTGGAGGGGCTGTTTTGGAAAGATACAGTAACCAGTTACATCGATGGGTACGCAGTCACGTCACGGTTACCATCTTGCGCCCTTGCGTGTTTTGGCAGCGGATGGACGGCGGGTAGGTTCCAGGTTGTCAGGCATTCATTCATTGTCTGCCTGGCCTGCCGGCTTCCCGCTATCGGCCAGCCGATCATACAGGCGCGCTGTGGAGACGGGCCCTTCGCGGTGCAGGACCATCCGTCCCGACGGGGCAGCTTGACCCTCCCCGTTTCCAATCGCTGGACGATTTGATGTGTGGAGGTAGTTATTTGCAGCGTGCCTCAACCAGACCTCCATCCCGCTCCCAATGCCTGCCAGGTATTCTGCGGTTTCTGGGCCCCTCGGCTGCAGCGGCAAGAACCCAGCCCCGAAAGTCCGCTCACCGCAACATGCCCTGTCATGTGTGCAAAATTCGCAGATGTCCAGACTCGGCCGATTGCCGCCTCGCCCAAGTCGCCGTCCTATCAAAACCTTCCGTCACGCTGCAGCCACAAGGGGCAACGGAGGCATCTTCTGCCGTGCCCTGCATGGGCAACTCATCGTCCCCGGTCGGTCGGCGACGATGCTCAAAAAAAAAAGAGAGGCTGTCTTCGGTTTCGCCTTTGGCATACGTCAGACGCCGAGGCAGCGTCGGGAATGTTCTCCTCACCGTCGGGCTCAAAGAACGCATTTGTGGCTTGACAAGCGCCCGCGTTAGTCAGGCACATCGAGAGGGGAGAGACACGAGCCGTCACCGACAAATCGAAGATTGCGAAGTTCAGCATGCACATCAGAGTGTCACACCAGAAGACCAGGCACTACCCGCCAATCAGCGAGCCTACCGAGCGCCATAACGAGGCCACCCTTTTCCTTTGGTTCTGCTGATGGAAAGTCCCCCATCACCCGGACATGACGATAACTATCCCGATGGCTTCCCGGCGAATCGGTTCCACTGTCAGGAACAGGCATCAGATACATACATACACATACATACTGTGTACAGAGGCTCAGGGTCTCGGCTCGACGGCTTTTTATTTTATTTTTTTACCTCGATACCTCTCTGACATTTTACCGAGCACAACCTTGCGGGTTTCCTGGAACAAGACCGTCGCACAAAAGGCCGAGGAGACCCAGCAGCCCCTAACCCATGCGAGGAAGACCGCTAGTGCTGCCCAACACGTGGCGGGCTCACTGCAACGTTGATCGGTGAGACAAGGGGCCGAACTTCACGCAACGGCAATGTTGCCAACTCGAGCGACTTTTGCTGGTTCTTGTGTGTCTGCCCCTTCCCTTGGACAGTGTTCCCTTTTCCGATTCGAATGCTAAAAGGTCTCATTCGTGCTTCTTCCACGACCGTATGAGCATTGGTTGGTTGGCACTCCTGGTCGTGGTGCACACTGTGCCCCTCCCAGACATGTCGCGCGATTTTAGTGCATCCGAATCTTCGGGTCATTCACCACAAAGGCGGCTCAGGCGACACATCCGCTAGACGGGCACATCCTCTGACAAGGCGGTCGCCCAAGCCGGCACGTCAACTTGGGAGACACCGACGCATCCTATCTTGTCTGTCGTGTTTGTTTGAGTCATGCCACTTGTTCCTCTCTTCCATTTCTTGTTTGCCAGTATCCGTGGTCAGCTGCCACTTTCCTGCGGGCAAGGTAACCCTACACGGACACGGAGATGCATCGTCTTATTTCACCGCTCCAATTCTCCGAAAGAGGATCCGGATACCTGGTGGCAGAATGCAAAGCTTGCATTCCCACATCCGGCTGAGATTCGCCAATCTTTTTTCCTTTTTTTATTTTATTTTTTATTTTCGAGGGGGTTTCCAATCGTTGACCAGGCCCAGCCCGTCGCCGCAGACGGGACGGGAGCTAACGAACTGACGAAATTAGACCCTGACTGCTGATCATCGACACTAGACTCCCTGCTGGACCGGAGGGCCGTTTTAAGCTTGCGACGGCGCCAAACGATGTGGTTTCGCGAAGAACGCCATCAGTCCCATCCGGCTCCAGTTCGGCCAAACTCCCCAGATTTTCTCGGATCCCAAGCCCCAACCTCAAGCGCCAGCGCTGATTTTTAGTCTCGCCGCATTCGCCGACGTCTAAACTTTAAATCAACCGTACCTCGCCTGTTCTCACTCGATTTCTCAACCGGGAAGGAGACGCGTTCTGTAACTTTCGGGCGGCTGGGGTAACCAAATGTGAATGACAACTTCTCCCGTTCGTTACCTGTGCGGCCCGACCTGCCGATCTGCTCTCGTCCTCCCGATCGAGATCCGACTGGTCACTGCTGGCCCCCAGCTTTTTCAGACGAAGTTGGCTCGCCTGCATCCAACGTTTTCTTTTCGCCTGCCGTCTTTCTGCGCACGGGGGAGAAGGCACTCGAGAAGAGAGCCGCGGAACGAGCTGCGAGTGAAGACAAATGGCGGTGGACCTGTGCATCGTTGACCCTGCCCGCTTGCCTGACGTGCCCTTGATCCGAGTTGTGTTGGTAATTACCACATGGAAACAAGGGTTAAAGGGTTTGAACCACCCCCACCCCTCAATATCGCCCGCATCCTCGCATCTGGTCGGTTGTGTGCAGGTCAGCGGTGGGTGGGTGAGCCAGCCGCACCAGGGTCCCCCAAAGACAGCGGCCACGCGAGGAAATGAAGCGCGCAGATCCTCGCACTGTACCCCGGACGGTGTGCAGGACGCTGGTACCAACCTAGGATGTATTGAACTGTAACCCTTGTGATGAAATGAGCCGGGATCCCCACGGATTCCTTTCTGCACACCTTGCGTCCCGGGAGTGTTCAACGAACGAACGACAGCAATTTGAGGCGAGGAACGCCCTTCTCCAAGAGAACTTCGCATATCACCTGAAGGATATATTGTCACATACCACTTCGCCACCACTCTAGCCACCACTTACCGAAAACTTTGCTTCTTTTTTGCTGCGACAAGAGACCAGCGTTTTGCAGGGTGTGTGTAACCCCCTGTTGATATTTCCCATCGCTGACGTCCCAGTTGGCCAAGTCCAAGCCGACCCCGTCAAAGGATCCACAGCGCCAGAGTGCAACATCCGTCCCCATCCAGCACGCCAGCCAGTCAATCTCGCTGCCCCTCGCCACTCCATCCGCCTGCCCCCAGCTCCTGCGTGCCGCCACTCCTGGACTTTTTTTCCCTTCGAGAGCAGGAGGCTTCGTCGATGCGGGGATCAGATGCACGGTCCAGCTGCAAAGTGACAGTCCCTTCCTGAGCGAGCGAGCCGCGGACGCGCCTTTCTAACCTTTCCCAGGTTCGAACAACGAAACCGAGTTTGGGGGAATGCGCTTGTACATAACTACATGGTCCCAAAGTCGCATAAATTCGAGGGATCCCAACGGAAGACCGGGCCATTCTATATTCCTCTCCACTCACTGTATCCGGTACATGGTCGATGCCCGATACATCGTCAGCTCCGCATTAGGTCATCAACTGCGAAGGTTCGCGCGCGAGTCAGAGTGGAGCGTCAATGCAGAATGTGGGAATTTTGGAGGTCCTTCTCTGGGCAGGCAGTCCCGTCAGGGTGGCGTCGCAAAGCGAACATCCCCGCTGAGATTTTACCATGCAGATCCATTAGTCTAACCGCTTGTAGCATATCCACATTTCCCCAAGCAGCAGCCCACTGCTCTGCAGGAGGGGGTGTGTGTGCGGAAAGATGGGTGCGCCGCAACTCACAAAAGGAAGAGGGCAAAATAAAGCACACGGGAGGTTTATCTTGCGTTGGCGAACACGAAAATCTAGGTTTTTAGAAATGCGCCGTGCATTTGCTTGCGAGAGAAGCAGAGAAAGGAAGCAGAGGAAACCCGAGGGAAACTTCCGACAAGTCGTTCGTGACGAGTTGAAGACTGGAACCAGCGGGATGGGAACGATCGGCTGTGGGGTTGCCGAACTGCGTTAGGACTCGCAACTCGTTCGGCGACGCGTGAGGGGGGGTTGCGCCATTGGGTAATCAGCAAGTCCCAACCACATGGACGGGTGCAGCCATCCTTCTCCTCCGAGGGCGGGTGCTTGGTACTAACACGGTTGTTTGTGCATCAAAATTCAAAAACAAAAATTAAATAAATAAAAAAACAAGAAGGAAGATACTCCCTATTCAATGAGCGCATCAGGGGGGCCCAGATTTGCTCACAACGCGCCTCACTGGCTTGATGATGACGAGATGGATGATGGTACATACGAATCGAAAAGTTCGACGCGACGGGGAAGACAGTGCGCCCGATCCGCACAGTCCACCAGCCATCAATTGGGAGGTTACATAGCAACTACCTTGTACCTAACTCGCCTCCGGCTTTCGAAACCCGGCAGCAATTCTCCCCTTCTCACCTATTCCTGGTCTCTATCACCAGTCTTCTCTTCCCCTTTCGAAGCAGTCCCTCTTATCACAGCACCCCCCATTCGCCGGGCCTCGAACCTTGCAAAGGCAGCGGGCTCCACTCGTAAAATCAGCCCCTCCCCAGCAGCGCGGGCAAGCGTGACGGGTCAGTGGGCACTTGAATTCACAACCCTGGGCCCTGGAGGCCGAACGACCTCCCTGCTCGCCGCTGCTGCTGCAACAGAGTGTCGACCCCATCCCAATTTCCCTCCACCTTTCCCACCCCCACTCCGATTATAAAATCACCCTTGGTCCCGCACTAAACTCGATTTTCTCTCCCGGCCGAACCCTCGCGATTCTTCCCAGACAAGCATCCAATTCACGGCACGTCAACGGCTGATCTAATCCTGCCAGGCTACTGCACGAAGAAGCAGCGGGCTGTGCGCCTCACGTCTCCAACCATTTTGTCGGGTCTCGGGAGCTAAACTTTACGGTCGCTGCGGCTCTGGTGCTTGACTAGCCCATTAGCGTGCACGCTAATCACTTCGAGGACCTCTGCGGCGTGTGCTCTCGACCCCAACAAGCCACAAGCCAGCAACAAAACCCAGCAACAAAACCCAGCCCATTCTTGTTCGGGCCTTCGCACTAAATTAGTGCTGGTCCTCTCGACCTCCACTTCGGCCTTCACACACGCCCCCCCCTCCACCCACAGCAATCATCTGCGGTTGCGCCGTCGGCGGACTCCCAAATAATAAACCCCCCAAGGTCCCGCCTCGATAAACAAGCCGTCCCACATCCTTCCAGCCAAACTACTACCACGGTGCATCGCCAAGAATACGTTGACGGCGCCTCTCTCTGTCTATCTCTCCCTCCCCATCACGGCTTTCGATCATCTCGTCCGTGGATTCCGTGCTTCATCCAGACGCACCATCATCCACCGATCGGGCTTTTTGAGCACCAATCCATTCTCCCTTACCTGACTGGCATCCGAGCCGGCCCCTCGACTTTGGAATTCCCCCATCCGCGTTCTCAGCGACCTCCTCGACTCTTCTATGGAGCGCGCCGCCCCCGAGTACTCGCAGTCAGGTTTGCCTTCGCCCCATCCCAGTGTCGTCGGCGACACGCAGTCTAAGGCGGAACCTGTAGATACGGCGTCTGCTGCTGCTCAATACGCGACGCAGCAAGAGGCGCGGTCAGCCAGCTACTCCAACTCGGCCACTCCCACTTCGGAATACAGCGTGTACCCGACCACTTCGCGGTCCGCCACTTTCCCAGACATGCAGCGCTCCTACCACCCCGCTAGCAACCCCAATGGGAGCGGCGGAGGGATGCCTCAAACACCAACAAGTCCGTCCATGCCTCTGCCAGATGGGCGCAGCCATCAAAATCCCCAGCCGGAGCAGGCCAAGTCTGACAGCGCTCTGCCTATAGATCCATCCATCGCAGGTGCCAGCCCGACATATGCGACACACAACCAATACCCCCCCTATGCCGCCCCTCCCCAAGACATGTCTCAAGGGTACCAGCATCCGGGTACACCAGGCTTGTACACTCAGCCTCGCCCCGACTGGGGCGGTTACAGCCAGCAACCCGCCGGCCATATCACCCCCGGCACACACATTTTCCACCAGGCGCCCGCGACCGCCGCAGCCACTGGTCGCCCGCATCAGGTAGGTGCATATGCGTGGTTTTGTTTTGCATGATGCGCGCCCCGTTTCCGACAGACCCACCAATCCCGGCCTCGCCTTCTTTCAGATCTCGGCATGGTGCTAACCCTACCCCCCCAGGTCTACAGCTTTGTCCCCATTCCGGGTGCACAGCAGCACAAGCGACCGAGGCGACGATTCGAGGAGATTGAACGCATGTACAAGTGCGGCCATAACGGATGCGAGAAAGCCTATGGCACGCTAAACCATCTCAATGCGCATGTGACGATGCAAGCCCACGGTGTCAAGCGCACACCAGAGCGTACGTTGATTGCCCAAGACGGTCGGCCAACGGCAATTTGAAGCGCACACTGGCTAACGCGGTCGATTCTATTCAGTATTCAAGGACATTCGCCGAGAGTGGAAGGCCAAGAAGAAGGAAGAGGAGGCTCGCAAAGCAGCTGCGGCCGAAGAAGACCGCCAGCGACAGGCGGCAGCTGCTGCCGCCGCCGCCGCCCAGAATGGAGCCACGGACCCGCAAGCTGGCGTGGATGCTGCTCAGCCCCCAACATCCTATCCCGGTTCGGGAACCGTCCAATTGCCTCCCATCGGCTATCAGACCGCCCGGTATGCGGGACCACCCCCGGCCGGCATGCAGCAGCAGATGCCCGAGTACAGCTACCCCGGTTACTCGCCAGCATCACCATACGGCCAGTCAGGCCAGCAGATGTACAACCCACGTAAGTTGGATTCTTGTCTTTCTATCCTACCAACCCCCAGTAAACTTCCCTGTTGCTAACGCTGCTCAGACAACGGCGGCCAACCTCCGAGTCATTAATTTAGGCTCGGTATACTATGAACTGCCTCGACATCAGCCGCGCAACTAGCAGACCCATTGAATGTCAGGCGAACTCTCTGCGGCAAACAACGCATTACATATGACGGCAACAAAAATCGCTTTCTGTTCACCAATTCAGCGGCAATGTACCGCACCACAGCAACATCTTTGGTTTTCAATCTGTTCCCTTTTTTTACCTCTTTTTTTGGCTTTCGTTTATTCACTTTTATTCCTTGCGTTCTCGCATCGCGATTCCCGACATTTTATCATCGACATTGCATGGAGTCGGCATGGAAAGGCGTGCATATCGCTCAACGTGGGAGCATGGGTTGAGTTGTCTTTCACCACGGGTTCAGGGCAGTCGGATATACCCCAAAAGAGAGAGAACACGGAGTGTAATGCATGGCATTAGGGGGGGGTGGTTTGGGGGACCGGGGTTGGGGGGTTCTTACGAAGTCAGAAGAGGAACACAAAAGGGCCGAGCCATCACTTTCACCCTACAGGCCCTTGCGAACAGCAAGTCGGGTGCTGTGTTCCTCCCTTTTTGTGATACGAGACGACGAAGCAAGGAGAGGCGTTGGGGTTGGGGTTTGATGTCAGGGCACAACTGTAACTAATTGCATTTGCCTTCGCGGTTGAGGGCGGGGCTAGCGAGTATGTTAATATAGGCAACGCAGTATTTGCTTGCTCCCTTTCAAGGGGCTGCGATCCTGTTTACAAAACAACTCTCATCTCACGATACTATACCGGCTATTGCGTGTGGCTCGACAAAGGATTTCCCACTCATCAATCCGACTGGCTGACTGACCGACGAGCATGTAATTTATGCGGCGTCGGAGCTATTTGCTGGGAGACAACAGCAAGTGACTAGGGATGGGTCGAGACTCTTGTTGTGTGATACCGAGGAGACGGTGAAACAAGCATGATATCGGGTTGTGACACGTTCCCGGCGCCGGAGTGTCCAGGAAGGCATCGGACGGGATGAGACGGTATGTGTGTGTGGAGGGAGTGGCGTGTATGTGCGTATGTGTGAGTGTGTGTGTGTTACATGGACGTTGCTGGGGCTCGCATGCGGCTTAACTCGGGCAATTAACAGAATCTTGGCCTAAGCTCTCCCACGGCCATGGCACTGGGATCCTGTTAGCTTCGGTAGCATGTGCGGCCCAGCAAAGACCCGGCGGTTTGGTAAACTAGGCTGAAGCTAACGACTCCGATCCCGCCTGCGCAGGGTGGTGCGTTGGTTCTTGCTTCGATGGCTGTGCCGATAGACAACCAACCACGTGGGGGCCAGGGGGGGCGGGGAAAGGGGTGTTTCTCCGGCACGCAAAGTCCATGCTGGGCTTTTGCTTGTATTCAGGCAGGTTACCCGGATTGGCGGGGTCTTTGTGTGTGTTTTGCTGCGTGTGCGGTACGAGGATGCGCATCATTCTGTTTGGTGCCTGCTGCTGCAGGTCGGGAAAAAAGGCTTGTTTGCCAACGGGCGTTGGTCTCAACCCCCCTGTTCGCCTTAGCTTCGTGTAACCACACACTTTCGGGATGGAGGAGACGGGGGATGATGGCATAACCGGCAAGGGGCAACACCGGGGAGAGAAGAAGCAGGAAAATGGCTTGGCCTGGGGTTCCCTCATGTCACACTGCCGGCTGTGCCACAGTCCTGTTGTGTCTGGGGAAACGCAGAAGCTGGGCGGGATTCGGGCGGCGAGCTGCAGGCTGGTGACACAGACGGGGAGTCGAGATCCTGTCAAGGGGAGTCGAGGTGGGACGTGTAATGCGGACTTCGGGTTTCATCTTTTTCGGGCCGTGGGGAAGTGCCGAGACTCGGGGCGATCCTGGATATATGCTAAACTCGGACGAGGGTACGAAGAAACGAAGGATTGCAAGGATGCCGTCATCCCTTACATACTGTGTAGATATGACCGCGGCGGCTGAGCAGTCGGGGGTTTCGAATCGCAGGCTGTTTAACTAGCGGTCGTTGACTGCCTCACTTACCTGCCTAGGGAAGGCATTTAGGCCGTTGATTTCTTGACTCGGGCTCAGGAAGGGAAGCACCAAAAAGCCAACTTCTACCGCTCCGCACCCTGCTATGTACTGTGGATGTAGTGTACGTCGTCTGATCCCGAAGTGCATATGCAACACCCCAGTGGAATCCTGGATAGATGAAGCGAGGAACGCTAGTTAACTCCTCCGCATGATGTGCGTTGTTAGTTGTGGTACAGTAACTCCGTTGCCAAGACGCACTGTACAAGACGTAAAGACATCCAGGGCGCTCAGCCCTCAAGTAAAGACACGGAACCTCCCGTCCTCACCTGGTGTCAAGGCTTCCAAAAATACTGTAACACAAGGATACAGATACCCTAGCTGAGTCCCAGGACTCAGTTTCTGCAGTCATTCATGGGTATGTAATTCTCCCACACGTTCGATCCGACAGAGTGACATCCACAAGTGCCAGGAATGCGAGCGTATGTGTGGTTATACGTATACGCACTGTGCTCTACTCGATTCCAACTAACGCGATTTACAGTGGTATCCCGGCGGTGCCCGGACCGTGCCGGGTACCTATCATGGAACCACTTCCTTCGAGCGTCGTGGATGGACAGATTACTTCGCTAACTGTACTGAGAAAGGTTTGCCCTCGTTTTACGGACCAGTAGAAGATACGATAGATCTTAATCTTCCTGCTGCCATCTCCCCAAGTCTCGACTCGACAGTAACCTGTCCTAGGTGAAGTACTTCGTACCGTCGTTTTATTCTGGGGAAGTGCCGGAAGTGGGGCACCGCATCGAGGTTCTTACCACTGGCAACCATCAACCACAAACGCGGATAGGTACGCGCACTTTCTAAATCACACATTCGAGTAACGCCATCAAAGCACTAGAGTAGGCTTTGGCATATCAAGTTGATTTTTACCAACCATCTGCAACGACGCAACAACGTAACCTCCCTCTTCGACGACAGAAAGCAAGTCTACCTGCATTGAAGGGTTTGCAGCACCGGAACTGGGACTGCACTTGACCCTGAGACGGTCACTGTATGTAACAACGACTCAAAAGTACAACGTACACTATAGATCTCCAATGGTACCAAATCCGGGACACGGAGGCGATGAGGGGGCGGGGCGCTCCCCCAAGGCGGAAGAGATCGGTGTTCGACCTGGGCCGGCTTATCTCGAGAAGGGTGATATTTTTATGACTTTAGGGCTACCCGACAAGTTTGTTATTGGGCTCGACACCATGGCGGTGACTACCAGCAAGAGCCTCCAAGGGTTTCGGGACATTCCGCCAGGCGCCCATTTTCTCTGGTTTCAGCAGCCTAGCGGTGTATCTCGGTGTGGCTATTGGTTCATCACCGAAAGCCAAGGGCAGATGCATATCAAGGAGTGGAACAGGTATGACGAGACGATGGGAGAGCCCACGGGCCAAACGGGCGCATCCAACGGGAGGGACGGGATGGGATCTATCTACCCAACGCTACAGCCATATACGCTCCATGGCCAAGGACATCAGACGCCAGTACCAGGCGACGAATTACCTCCAGATTGGGCGCAATCTCCCGGCCACCTCTGGCGCGCCTTAACCAGCGCCATATCAATCCAGTCTCTGAGCAGGATCACCGGGAAACAAGACAACCAGGACTATCTTATTGACTCGACGGACTCTGCGAAAGGCGCACTCCCCAGCACCAACAACGAGCTCAACTTCCTCTTCGCCCAAGACTTCCGCGACCTCCAAGTCCTCGACCTCGGCTCCGCCAAAGCCCGCGTCGCCGACACCTCGTCCCGAATCCACGCCTTCCTAACCAACACCAACACGACCACCAACACGCCCACCAACCCAACCCCGTCACAAACCCTCCTCGCCGAGCTGCAGTTCACCTTCCTCACCGGCACGCACCTCGGCAACCCGGCCTGCCTCGAGCAGTGGTGGAACCTGGTCCTCAAGCTCGTCCTGCGCGCCCACGCCCTGGCGCTCTCCCACCCGCGCCTCGCCGCCCAGCTCCTGCGCGCCCTCCACGCCCAGCTCTTCTACACCGAGCACTACTTCGCCCCCGCCGCCGCCGCCGCCGCCGAGTCCGAGTCCGAGTCCGAGTCCGCCCTTCAAGCCGACGACGGAGCGGACCGTCACGGGCCGAGTGGTGATAGGCCTGTCTTTGAGTACAAGCCGCTCTACTGGGGGAAGCTGCGGCTGGCGTTGGGGGAGTATAAGGCGAGGTTGGAGGGGTTGTTGGCGGGGCTGGGTGGTGGTGTTACGCCTGAGCAGGAGGCGGTTGGCGGTGTGTTTGGGGAGCTGGAGGCGTGGCTTGGGAGGAGGGGGTGGGAGCTAGGGGGGCGGGGTGAGCTGGAGAGGGATGGCGGCGGTGAAGGGGATGGGTTGGTGGATAGTGAGGATGAGGAGGATGAGCAGCCGGTTGTGGTGGAATTGGATGGGGAGGGGAGGGAGGTGGGGTTGGTTTCGTTTAGGGATTAGTTAGGGGTGTGATGGGAGGTGGAAGAGGGTGTTGATGGGGTGACAGCTAGGTGTGTTGTGATGACCGTTAGAGCTTGTTGGTTTTCGCTTGAGGCTTGGCTGGAACTCCCTGGGTTGCTTGGTTTGCTTGGAGTTCCCAGTTCTTAGCTAGGGCTAGATACGTCAACTCATGCCGTGGGTTGCGCAGGTCTACACATGAACTTGGAAGGACCGTCAAATACTATAGAATGTGGGAGATACCAGGGCTTTTCCAAACCCCCAAGGCTGAATGTCTTACAAACGGCTCTCAAAATGCTACAACTTCACAATCGAAAGGAGAGTGATGAATTAGCGGGTATCACAGCCCCAGGGGTAGTGGCGGTGACGCGAACGAGCACGAGGGTGTCGCGGCTTTATCTTATCGCCCGCTTACCCCCCTCCACCCTCTACCCCAGCAACGTCATCCGATCACTCACCGCACCACCCCAACGGCAGCACAAAAACAACAAACCCAACAACCCCAGCAACAAAAACAAACCCCAAAACAAACAATGTCCCGCAAAGGCGTCGGCCTCGCCGCCTTCGACCGCTCGCGCCTGACGTCGGCGCAGTACGCGAGCCACGGGTCGACGCTGCGGTCGACCAACGCGCAGGCGCTCGAGACCCAGCTGGCCGTCTTCCGCTCGCTGCTGCAGCAGTTCGCCCAGACGCACGCCAAGGACATTCGCTCGAACCCGACCTTCCGCGCCCAGTTCGCCCGCATGTGCGCCGCCATCGGCGTCGACCCGCTCGCGAGCAGCAGTGGTGGCGGCGGTGGCGGTCAGTCTGGTGGTGGGGTTGGGTCGATCTGGGCGCAGTTGCTGGGTCGGTCGGTGAATGATTTTTATTTCGAGCTGGCTGTGCGCGTGGTCGAGGTTTGTGGCGAGACGAGGGGGGAGAATGGCGGGTTGATTGAGCTGAGGAAAGTGCGGGAGCGCATCATGAGGAGTCGCATGGAGGGGGCGTCGGAGATTACTGAGTGAGTGTTTTCCTGCTATCGTTTCCTGCTTCTGGATGGCGAACGAGTAGGTGGCTGACTCGCCTGCAGAGACGATATCCTCCGCGCCGTGGGCACGCTCAAGCCGCTGGGGTCGGCCTACTCCATCATCAAGGTCGGCAGCAAGCCGTACATACGGTCCGTACCCAAGGAGCTCAACACAGACCAGAGCGCCGTGCTCGAGGCCGCTCAGGTGCTGGGCTATGTCAGCGTGTCGATGCTGATGGTCAACCTGAAATGGATGCGGGCGCGGGCGCAGACGGCGCTAGAGGACTTGATGGCCGAGGGCATGCTTTGGGTGGACAAGCAGAGCGAGGAGTGGGAGTACTGGAGTCCTGGATTTATGCTCGAAAGCCAGGAGGTTCCGGAAGAGACGGGATGAACCGCCCTCCCGGCCGACGACACATCAAAACGATCGAGAGCCAACGTACGGCACGAAGTACGCGCGACCACACCCCTCGGCCGTATGGCCTCCCGCCGCCGCCCCCCCCCCCCTGACGCTGGCCTGGTATTCGCGGCATCGTACACTGTATTGATAGGCCAGTGCTTCGAGCCCATGTGGATTGGGAAAGATCGGGGCTACAGCGCGAGGAACGGGTGGTCGGAAAAATGCCCCTAGTGGCCATTGCACACCGAAAGAAGCTAGGATGGCGTCGTTCATGCAAAACACAGTACAAGGGGGGCTATTCTTGGAGCCGTTCTCCGAGATGCAGCCTGGATCCCGAATCGACAGTTGGCTACCTTGGGAACCGAGGTTGTACCTGGTCCTTGCAGTTATCCTTTATGCCGCAAGCTTGGGATACAAGTTCAACTAGTGGCATGTCAACGCCGCGGGTTACGAGGTATCCAAGCTATTGTATTCATCTACCCTTGCCGCAAATCCTAGCCATATCTGACCTAAAATAACAAAACAACGAACATTATACAGGTATCCCGCCCCGCCCCAAACTCCCGCAAAGGAGCCTCTTCCAAAGGATCCACAAGCCGTCATAAGCTCTCGGCCCGCTTGACGCAAAACTATCCACCCACCCGCCATCCCATGGAAAGGAGGCGAGCCGTCAAGCAGCGCCATGGTCATATACTCATTCCACACCACTATCCACACTGACACCGAACATCAACACCGGGCGTTACCGCCGGCGCCGCCGGCCGCTCCCGTTTAGTACGGAGGGTTGGGCCCGATGGGCGGGTAGTCCGGGCGCGGCCCGCCGACGGTGGAGCCGCCGGGGGTGCGGCCGTCGCCAAAGTGCTTCTTGCGCAGGGCGGAGAGGCGCTTCTTCTTGGCGATGGTGTTGATGTAGATGCCGAGGATGAAGGACACGAGGTTGAAGAAGGGCATCCAGGCGCTCTCGGACAGGAACTTTTGCGCAAAGGCGAGGCAGATGGGCGAGGTGATCCAGCTGACGCGCATCACCTTCCAGAAGCTGGCGCGCACCGTCGCCTTGACCTGGTGGAACGTCTTGGCGCCCGCGATGAGGGACATGGCGACGAGGTAGACGGTGTTCTGGATGGGTGCGATCTGGGCGGGGTACATGTCAATACGGGCGCGTTCGGGAGGGGGAGGGGCGCGAGGCGGGGCAATGGATGGCTATTCAGAAAGGGCTACTCACCACCAGGTTGCTGAACAGAATCTGCAGGATCTTGGCCCGCAGACTGGTGCGGCCGCTGAAGATCTTCTGCAGGAGCCAGATCAAGAAGTGGCCGAGCGGGGCGCTGACGAGAGCGCCGTAGGCCGCCATCTTGGGCACGCGCGAGGTGAAGTAGTTGCCATGCTTGTTGCGGTCCTTGGCCAGCCATGACGCAATCAGCTCCTGGCTACCAGCCAGCGTGCCGGCCGTCAGCATCTTGGTGCGCAGGGGGTTGTCCTCCAGCTGCTGCAAGTAGGCCTAGAGGGGTGACAAGGCGTTAGCCAAATGGGTGGTCTCCCGCATCGCTGCAAATATGACGCATGGAAGCGTTCAGCGCGTGGCGCGCGGCGCGGGGCAACATACAGCAAGATAACCCTTGGTGCCCGCATTCTTCCTGCCGCCGGTGAGGGCAGTGCCGACAACGGCCGAGATGGGATGCTTGCCGGTGGTGCCGGGCAGGTTTCCATGAGCGGCCTCCGAGATGGCACTGGCTGCTGACCCGACGACGCCGCCCTTGTTGGCGACGTGGTCGAGGACGGCGTCCCGGACCACGTCCTTAACGGTTTCCCGCTCCATCTTGATCGACATGGCTCGCGATGGTCGTCAAATCGGCATCTAATGATAAGCGGGCCCTAATAGGGAGACCGGATTAGCCTCTTGCACAATTCTGGCCTTGTGTGCGGTGCGCAATGTGCCGACGATGCCGTGGTTGCGCCGGGTCAACGCTTTGTTTACAACGGGGATAACAACCGGATTGCTGGGGGGAATTGGAGGATTCGGCGGGTCTCGATGCACAGCAGCCTTCTTGGGCGTGTCCGTTGCGCTGAATGAGCGGCGAGACAGGGGAAATGGAGACCGACTCACTATTGATGGAGAAGAGACAACTGTTCGAACGATCAGGGTTGGCTGGGAGTGAAATGTGCTGTCGTCGCAAAATCTCGCCTTGCAACGTCGAGAACGAGTTGACCTGAGAATGGGGAGGCTGGTTTTTTGGATGGGGGACAGAGCTCCCCTGTTGCCGAGCGTCGTGGGCGTCGCGACTGGGCATGAGTGAGGGGCGCGTGTGGAGACCTGGAAAGCAGGCCACAGGAAATGATCCTGATTGGTCGCATCGACGAATGGCCGAGGTTTTGTTTTCCCAGCCAGCTTCCCGTGCTCCCTCAGCTGTGAAGAAGCACGGACAAGTCAGCAAAGCGGCAGGAAAGTGGCAGGACTGCCCCTGTCCGTGCAGGATAACCCTTGCCAATGTCTCGACCTCGGCCAGTTAACTTCCCACCACGATGCCGCTGCTGCTTCACAACCCGGCGACACTTCCATTGGTTGGGGAGGGTTTTTGGTGTCGTTATCCAATCTGTAATAGAGATCGGGTTCATTGTTCAGCGGAGAGAGCCGGGTTCAATTAAGATTTTTGAGCCGCATCCGAATGTCTTGGACAGCCGATCCTGATAATTCTATTGTTGATGTTGTTTGTTGTTGTTGATGTGGGGAAAGGGGGGTTCGGACGGATACTTTCAATTGACTTACTAGACTAGGTGCATAGCCATCGTCCCATTTTCTACCACTAAAGAACCGTCATGATATCGAAAGTTGAAAAGAAGTGCGGGTTTGATCCCTTCCTATCCCTCGAACCCATGACTTGAAGACTGGGGATGCCGCTCACGAACACAGCAAGGATACGATGTTTGACGAGGGCGTCTGGTATTCCAGCGGGAAAAAGTACCGAGCTCAGGTTCTCTACGAAGCACATGGCTGAGTTTTATAGGTTGTGGAAGGTCGGGGCCACTAGGTACTTGCATCGGCGGCGTTGAGGAAGGAAGTGGCGATGGAGAGCTTCCGTGAGTCCAGACGTGGAATCACTGATCCGATTATCTGTGCGAGTTTGCAGCCTCCGTCTCATCTCGGGCCCAGTCTGAGCTATGGAACGCACATATTGCTCGGACTACTGCAAATCCGGCAGCTGGTAGGTGACTGGTAACTACCCGCCATTGTTTCGCCATCCCATCCACCTGGTTGTCCACGCAACGTGCTGTGGGCTCTCTGCCCTTTTTACTGCATGTTCTACGGAACAAGAGGTTCTTTTAGCAGCAAGCCACATTGTTACCGGCAACCAAGTAGGATTTCTTTCTGCGCAGCATAACCTTTACCTGCAGCTCGCGGTCAACCAGATTGCCCTACAAACACTAGGTTTTTGCGACACCACCCTTCCCCGCCATGAACTCGATACCAAATACGACCGACGAGATGGATGCAGAAACCTCGACGACCGACAGCGGCGGGTCACAGCACATCGCTGCGACTCGCAGAATTCTACAAGCCACGGGGGCTGGCCGACCACGACTACCCGAACCCAACCCGAACAGTACCTGGATACCAGACTGCACCCACTCGATTATGGCGGTGATTTACGAAGATACTTTTCATTGCTTGCATTGCGGACAGCTGCCTCCGTCCAAGACGCTTTATCGCTGCGTCGTGGATAGAGATCCTTTGGTTTTAGACGCGTATCGCAGTGGATGTTCGGTAAGCCGAGCGAAGCAACCGTGGGAATACGTCGCTGATATCGGTACCAAACAGGTTGCTTTCGACTCTATTGGTCGCCAGTTCGAACAAGAAATGAAGCTTGGAAAGTCTGGGGCCGATGCCCGAAGTACCAACAACCCTCTGGCCGAAATGTCCACGGAACAGCTTTCCTCTTACACTCCGGAGCAGCTTGACACCCTGATATCACAGCGTGATAATGTACGGTCTATAATAAAAGCCATACTCGACGTTCCTTTTCTGACCTGCTGTATAGGTCCGCAACGCGATAGCCAACGAGCGCAGCATATTTGAACACCGCACGCCTCAATGCGCGAGAGTCAAATACCCCTACGACCACAAGCCGTGGGTGCCCGCGCCAAAGTCCGAGTGCCAGTATAAGGTCTGCCATTCTTGCTTTAAACTCGGATACCAAAAGACTTGGGTCAGCCTAGACTCTGTATTAAAAGGCGATGTATCGCCCACTGTTGCAACCGGCTTCTCCTTCAGTTTCAACCGTGCCAGGCCAACCTGCGACGCCGACATGGTTAGGGATATTGGGTGCCGCCCTATTTCACTGGTAAGAGGAAACTTTATACCTCATGACAATCTTGGTGCCTAACCGCCCTCAGCCTCAACCTCATCCACCACTAGCGAGCAGCTAGCACCACTGGCGAGAGCAGCCAGATGAGTAAAGTAGTGATTTTTTACGTCTCTACGGCACTACCTTTACAGCCGTACGTTGCTTTCAATGAGTCAGCTTTCATGTCTATGACACTTAGCAGGCTGCTTTTTATAACCTTGTATTAAGAGAGGAGTGTGTTAGCAACGACAAACATTTTTGGTGGGAAATCTTCGGGAGCTTTGGAATGACAACTTAACGATCTAGCGGCCATATTAATGCCATAGGCACAAAGTGATGTATAGATAGAAGGCAAAGTCTTCACAGGAGCCACATCTGGTCGAGGGCATTTGCAACGCCAATACGGACACATGCCGTGGTTCTGATTATTGTGTTATTTAAATCGTGCCGCACCCCCATCGTTCGTTGTTTTTTTTTCGATTAGAGAGTCCACAATATCACATAGGAATCGCCTTCATCTCCTGCACAGTGAAATGCTTCCGCATCTTCTCCGCCCCAAGATCCCTCACCTCCTGGTCCAGATGCTGCAACAACACATCTCCCCACGACTCCATCTTCTCCTTCAAAACCCCCAACTCCAGCTCGCACTCCCTATCCCTGCACCGCCGCAGATAATCCGCCGTCTCGTCCATCCCGTCATGAATAACCTTGTGCTGCCGCAGCAGCTCGCACTCCTCCGCCTTCCCCTTCCTCCCGCCGCCGCCGCCGCCGCCCCCTTCCTTCCCACCACCCGGCGGTGCAGACGTGGTGGCCCGGAACTCGGGCATCTTGCGCCCCAGAAGCGGGTACAGGTGCGTCTCTTCGATCGAGTGGTGCATCTCCAGGTACCGCGCCAGCCGCAGCCCTTCCTCGATGAACTGCTTCAGCGTCATGCCGGCGGGCCGCCGGTTGGTGGCGCACGCTGTTTGGAGCGTGTTGTACATTTGGCGGAAGTGTTCGTGCTAGATAGGGGCGGAAAGGGAGGGGGGGGGTGGTTGTTAGTGGGGTTTGGTGTCTGCGTGGTGTTGGGGGGTGGGGGGGGTGGGGGTAGGAGGTACATACAAAGTAGTCCATTTGTTCGGCGAGGCGGTTGTAGATGCGGAATTCTTGCGGTGTTAGAGGGGGGAGGGCGGGTTCGGCGGGTGGCTGCTCTTCCGGTGCGGAGTCGGGCCTGGCGGTCGGAGCCGGGCTGTCGTTTGCCGGCGGCGTTTCCGTGTTTGTGGGGACTGCTTCCCCGGGGGTCATGTCTTGAGACATTGTTGCGTCGCAGGTTTGGGGTCGGCTGCTCCTGTGGGCAGTCAAGGCATAAAGCGATGGGAATAGGGTTGCAGAGCGTGTGGTTGGCTAGTTAGTAACTGGAAGTATTTTGAGAAATTGACTTTGCAACAAATTGGTGAAAAGGAAGTGAGAGCTGTGTCTCAAGATATACCATCTGGTGGAGGGATGGACCTTGGCATCTCTCTCCGTACTGCAAGATGCCTCTTTTGTACCTGAAACCATCCCCATTGGCTGTTGTATTTTATCCCGTCAGCCATTAGCAATCAAGCCACTAGCAAAGCACTCTGGTGGCTCCTTAACCGCGCGGTGACCGTTTTTGTCTCGCCACACTGGGCAGGGAGCCTTCGACCGCGCGGGTACGATGGCAACACAACCCCTGGTGTGTAGAGAACCAGGACAATACAACCTGCAGGACTTCAGGGTTTTGGCTCTCATTATCATTAATTCGTTAAGCTCGTCGTTATCTATCGCCGCTGCTCCATCGGTACGGCTCTGCACCTGGAACGCCGCCGCCGGTGGCCAGGGTGTCCCAAAAATGCATCCACCGTCTTGAAGCACATCGAAAACACCGAAATGTCGTCCCAGCACCTGATCACCGATATTCCGGCTTGAGCGTCCAAGTTGCTCGCATGCTCGACCCGCGCTTCTCCATCTTGGCCACCTTGCCCAGCGCCGCTTTGAACGCGTCTGCCTGCCGAGAGCCGCTGCAGAAGCGGTTGAAATGATCTACTAACAACTTCGACGGCACCTGACCATTGTGCCGCTTGATGAAATCCGGTATCATTTTCTCGAAATCCTTCGCCCTGAGATTCTGGTCCGCTGCGCCGGGTGTACCCGGCCTTGAGTTGCCGGGACTGCCCGAGCCGAAGCCCTGACGGTTCGCAACACCAGCCGATATGCCAGACGAGCCCGGCCCCCCGCCCCCACGCCGCGTATTGGTAGGCCGGCCAGCTTCACCGACTTCACCAGTCCACGTCACGGTGCCGATGGGTACGTTCCGGGCTTGCTCGCCTGCCCGCCGTAGACCGAGGGCCGCCTGTGCGGCTATTCGGTTGGCCTCCTGCTGGAGCATTTTACGATCTGCCTTGACGGTCTTTTTGCCGTTGATGATTTCGTCGTGCTCAAGCAGGCTGTGAACACCGGACTTGGCGAAAAGCCCTTCCATGAGCCTGTCCTCCTCGTTGGCGGGTGGTGCTGATGGATCTTCAAACGTCTCGAGGCTAGCAACTCCGTCAATTTTGCGGAGGTCATCTTCCCTTTCATCTGTGTTGCTAGCCTCAGTTTTGGGTTGTCTGGTGCCGACTTGATGAGGCCTGAATGGCACAACATCGTGTCCGGGCACGATGAGTTCCTTCGGACCGGAGCGCTTGAAGTTCTTGACATCGCTGCCTTTGAATAGCTCACTCGTCTCAGTCACACCATCCTCATACGAGCTGAGGCTGAAAAGATCGTGCAAGTCGTTGAGATTAAACGTCGTCTGCTGCTTTGGGTCTTTTAAAACCTTGTTTGAGAGGAACTGCTTAAAGATTTGGCGGTGGTATATCTTCTCCTCAATTGTTCCGGCCGTCATCAGCCGGTAAATGGTAACCTCCCTCTTCTGGCCCAGCCTCCAGGCCCGCTCTCTCGCCTGCACATCCGTAGAAGGGTTCCAGTCGGGGTCAAAAATGATGACGCGGTTGGCTCCCGTAAGATTGACGCCCAGCCCACCGACTTTTGTCGTCAGCAAAAATACGTCGAGCTCCGGGTCGGTATTGAACTGGTCGACGAGGGTTTGACGCTGCTTAACGGGTGTCTTGCCGTCCATGCGAAGGTACCTGATATTGTCTAGTCGCTGAATAAAGGATTCGATGACGTCTAGCATTTGAACGCCCTGGGAGAACAGCAGCGTCTTATGCCCTAGGCGCTTCCACATCGGGAGTAGCGACTTGACGACTGCCATCTTGCCCGATTTGCTGTCGTCACCCCACGTGTAGCCAGGCTTGTTCTTCAGCCTCGGATCCAGCAGATCAGGGTGGTTGCAAATCTTGCGGAGAATATCGATGCCATACAGCGACTGCCGTGTCCGGTTGAGGATAGATGCCATATCCTCAGACTTGAGGAACAGCTCGTATGCCCCCCGCTGCGACTTTGATAGCTTGCAGAAGAGCACCTGCTCACTTTTCTTGGGAAGGTCAGCGGCGACATCGGCCTTTAGGCGCTGGAGCAGATAGGGGCTGATCGCATCCTTGAGCGTCTCAGCGCACTTCTGCGCAGTCATGATTTGCAAGTTTGTGGCATTGGCGTAGCCTCCGAGCTTGATTGGTATCTCGAACTGGTTGCGGAACGCGACTAGGGTACCGAGACGCATGGGGTAGACGAAGTCAAATAGGGACCACAGCTCAGTCAGATTGTTCTGCATTGGGGTACCAGATAGGATGATGCGGTTATGTGTGCGCAGCTCCTTGCAGTAGATCGTGATGGCTGTGTTTGGGTTCCGAATCTTGTGGCCTTCATCGAGGACGGCGTAACCCCAGTCTACGGGGATCAAGACGTCACCATAGGTCTGGAGACCGGCGTATGTGGTAACCAGCACATGGCCCTGCTTGACCACTCGGTCGACGATCCTCTTCACGGTTGTGCTGGACCTGCTGGGCTTTTTCTCCTCCCAGTCATCCACATGGTCTTCGATCTCACCCTCATCACGAACATTCAACATGCCGCTTCCGGATGAGTGCAAAATAGAGACGCGGAGTGGTGGCCACCAGCGATGGAACTCATTAACCCACTGGCGCAGGACGGTGGCTGGGGCAACCACAATGACGGGTTTGTGTAGCTTCTTGCTGTAATGTAAGGCGGCGATGAATGATATTAGTTGGACTAGGGGATTGTGAGTTTTGCGTCCCGGTGAACGGCAGCAAGCGTGTTTAGGCAAGACAGACCTGTTTTACCCAGCCCCATCTCATCGCCAACAATGCCGCCGACCTGTTGGGCGTACAGCTCTGCCAACCATTGCACGCCGGTCTTTTGATAGTCGAAGAGAGAAGGGTAAATGTCACCCGGGAGCTTCAGCCCGTTCTCAAAATGGTGATCTGGCTCATCCGGCGACGGCTTGAGCCATTCCTCCACGCCGTCTGAATCGTCGTCAACGGACTGGCCCACTATCTCCTGGCGGCGCCGCCGCGCCCGGCTTCGTCGCTCGGTCCAATCGTTCAGTCTCTGCTGGTAGACAGCCTCGTTGCCATCATCTATGTTGCTCAGATCGACCTTTTCCCCGACTTCTTTGACGGCCTTCCCTCGCTTCCGCTTCGGAGTGGTGTCCGTCATGTCAAAGTCATCGGAAGGAGAAGATTCGGGGCTAGCTGCTTCGGAAGCAGATCCATCTGGCATGAACTCGTCATCGGACTCGACGGATGGTTTCTGCAGCTTTTGTTTTTTCCGCGGCCGAAGAGAGAACTCGGATTCTACGGCGGAACTGGACGGCCCCTCATTATCCTCAATGAAACCGGGGAGTCTAAGATTTTGGTGGGAGCGGGGACCTTCGCCAGCCTGCTCCTCGAGTTCGTCCGCAATAGCCTCATCCTCAGCATCAATTATGGCATCAGCGAGCTCCCCCTGGACACCGCCGGGTCGGGGTCCGCCAAACGGAGCGAAGGGGGTGATCTTTCCGGTCCGTATAAGATACTCGCGCTGGTTCTCCCCGGGAAGCTTTCCGCCGGCCGCAGGCGCCTGGTTGTCTGATGCATCTTGCTGGTTTCGCTGCTCGATGCGGGCATTGAAGTCGGCAATGTCCTTTTCACAAATTTCCATCTCTGCCTCAATCCTGGCAATTTCTCGCTGAATTCGTAGCGCCGCCGCCGGATTCGCTTGTGCGGCACGGAGTTTCTGCTGCTGAGATTTTCGTTGACCCTCCAACCTAGACTTCGATAACTCGGCCTTCTCGATGCGCTTTTGGTCCCGTTTGTCCTCGGCTTCAATCAAGGCGCGACTGGCTTGAAAAGTGATATCCCGCTCGAGCTCATCCTGATCTCGGACATTTTCGGTTAGGAGCTTGAGTGCCGATGCCTCATCATCCGTGGCCGCTTCGTCGTTGCTTGGGGACAAGGTCGCATCCTCAATGGGAGTGGAACTGGCGGCGTCGGTCAACGCTTGAGGGACATCTGAACTTTGAGTGGAATCCATTGCGTTGTTGGAGAAGGAATGGTCGGCAGGTCGCACGGGTCGAAGAAAGAGGCAGACGGGCAAGGATATAGTTTTATTGAACGATGAGGCAGACAAAGGCACACTGCGCACTTGGGAAAACGAGTGCTCGTGAGCTGAGATCAAGGCGGGCACATCCTGGAGACAACCAAAAAAAATCGTGTCTCAATGTCAACGAAAAATGATCGAGACGGTGATGACAAGTGGGTCTTCCAGGCAGCCGGCGATGGTGTTGCAAAATGAGGCGTCGAGGCGAAATGAGTCGCGAATAGCGCGGTGGCGTTACGGCACGTAGTCACGTGATTTTAATGGATGAATGACGCACGCAAATTTGCGGGTCTCATAGTCTTGGCATCGGGGAATTTGAAGCGGCGCGTGCTTGAAAATAGTTATTGTGGAGTTGAGTTCTTTGTTTGGGGGGACTTCCGTTTCCCTGAACAGAGTTACCGGCGCAGACACGCAGTATGGGGTTGTGACACTTTAGCTAGGTATTCCGGTATAGATGAGATTACACCATGCGTGGTGGTAAAAGGATAGAATTCACGAGTCTGGCTTTCCCCAGTCTAGCACCTGTCGTGGTTCCCCTGGGATAGAGTACACTTCGAGGGAAGTGATTGCTATCCCTCACGGCGTTCAAAGCCAGACGGGTGATGCTCATCGCTCGGGCAAGTACTCCATCCCGTAAACTCAACCTGCGCGGTTTCCAAGGGGCGCGCGGGCCCAGTCCTTGGCTCACAAGGCTGAGGTACCCGTCCAGGGGTGTGGAGAGGTGTACATACATACATACATCGATGCGGCAGGACCCAGAAAAGCATCTTCATAACCCCGAATGGTCTTGCAGGGCGGGCCGGGCTGATTACCGGCAGCTTCGGTAGAGACGCTGCTAGATATTGGAGGCAATCTACCATCTTGGAACACAGGCAGGGCCTTGGACGGGTGGCGATTTTCGACTTTGTTTCCCTCTCCCACCATTAGCTGCAACGTTACGCAACCAAGGGTCTGCCCCTGTCTGATCAGGATATCAAGCCAGGTCACTCCAGGTCCAGCGACGGCGCAGCACTGTGTGCCCTTCCGGAGGGACTCAAAACTACCCCCCGATACCCGAAACTTGGAACCGCCCGTGGAGAGTGCGTGTCGCCGGCGACAAGGCATTCCGCCCCAGCCACATCCAGACTGCCGTCCCCGCCTTTAAGGGGGGTTCGAGGAAAATGCAGACCAACATTGGCGCCCAATGGGGGCCGGACACGCGCGACTGCGTCCCTCCTGCCCCGACGCCGCGTTCCTTGCATGCCGGCCCTTCATCTCTCTCCCTTCGTTCACCGCTCCTCTGAAGAAACTCCTCCTTCCTTGAATCCGGGGCAAGAGAAGCAACTCCAGATTCTTCCCGAGACAGATCCGAGGCGTCCCGAATAAGGCGACACCTCCGCGACTCCAGGAGACACTGTGGTCCAGGTTTTGCCATCCCGCCGGTACCAAGCTGTTCGGCGTTCCCTTCTCAGGCCACCACCCACTGCCAATCCGGGATGTCTGGTTCGTTGTGGGCTTAGCGGGTCCCAAAATATTTGTCTTATGATGGGTGATATAGCCCTGGCCAAGGATTAAGCCGTTCCACTCTTGCAGAACACCTGGGCGAGCCGTCTTTCAAATCCTCCGGCTTTCAAGGCGTCACCTGAAGCTCCCATTTTCTTGGCCAACCGGGCCGCTCCTGGTTGGGAATCGAGGTTTCCAAAGCCTGAGGAATGGAAACCGTGATTCACTCGGGTGCTCGGGATGGCATCGGGTGGCGTCCACCCCACGTAGGGATGGTTTGTCAAATGCCGTGGATAAAAAGCAAGTGAGCAATACCATTCCGACTGTCGCAAGACCGGGAAACCTTGCAGCGTTTGGCCAGGGCCGCTAAGCCAAGTCCAGGCCCTTGGTGATGTGCCATGGCAGCCTCGCGCTAATTCCGCATTGACGGAGATCCGGGTCATCTTCGAATGCGCTGCGGGAGTTGGGTCTGCGTCAAGTCGGGAGGAGACGTGCAGTCGGCGCAGGCTTTGAATCTGCCCCCCGAAAATGCAGGTCCCAATACCCGGCTGGAGTGGCCCGGCGGCCAGAGGTTCCAATTTAAACGAGACTGAAGCACCTTCTTCATCAGGGAGCTCCCAACAGTAAGTGTATGAGTTAGAATTCTCCCGTGCAGCAGCCTAAGTTGACCAGTGTGTAGCCTGACGCATCAACATCGGCATCAACATCAAATCGGCACTTTAAGCGAGGACAGGCGGATCAGATTACCAATTGCTGTCCCGCTGCATGCGAGCATGAAGCCAGACATTGTGGCCCTAATCTCCGATTGGGTAGCTGCCCGTTTGTGGTCGCAGCGTTGGGCAGCCCGTGGCTCGCTTGAGCGTATGGTATGTGCTGTGGGATGCAGTCTGCTTCGATGTTTCGACGCCTCGGCCACAGCTCCGGACGAGGCTGGGATTGGACAACGGAACGCTTTCATGACTGTGCCTGAAATCTGCTTGCCGCGCCTCCAGGCCTGGCGAGGAGGCGACCTGCTAAACTCGGATGGGCCAAGCCAAGTAATTTGTTGTTTTTGTTGTGGGTAGCGAAGGAAACGAAAAAGCCGAAGTCGCTCGCATCTCAGCGCATTTGACAGGATGATCGGTACCGTCAATAACCGCGTCAAGTAGGGCCCTGCAGCAAACACTGACTTGCCGGAAAGAGATCGGCGTCACAGCCGTGATGCGAGGAGGTTGCCGCGATTGAGGCGGATGTAACTCGACGTTGCCTTGAGCTTCGCTTGACTTGGTCGCCCAATGCAAATCTGGGCGCGATCAAGACCAAGACCGTCCCCTCGCGGGCGTGAGTAAAGAGAATCATGCTATTCTTCTGCTGGTGACCTCTTTGCCGAGGGCTTCTCGAAAACCATGTGGATTTCCCGGCTCCCTTTCAGGTTTTCGGCTTTGCGAGACTGTCTTGGACCTTGCGTTCTTGTTGAGGTTGGGGTTTGGAGAAAGCCAATGGCGGTCACCGACTCACCTGTCAGGACAGGGGCTGGGACGGCAAGCGCAAGCTCTGGGGTTCCGGCAGGGCAAGTGGGGAGACCAGGGTTAACTCGCAGCGGCGCGATTGTTTGCCTGAAAGGAGGACGAAGACCCATGCTCCAGCTGTTTCGAACTCTCAATTCGGAAAGAGCCCTGAATGCAGAACGTCCAAGAAGGGGTTTGAACACAACGCTGTTTCTGTCGAAGTGTTTCAGGTCCGACAAATCCATCTTGTCCCGTCATGCGGCGATTTCGGTATCTTTTCCCTCGAAGAAGCCAGCATGTTTCATTCTACAGGGATCTTAGCCCAGGATGATGCTCGAGAGAATTATCAGTTCATCGTCCAAGTTAGTTACTGTGTTGGTACCTCCGCTAGATGTACCGTGTAGATATACATGGAGGCCGCGCTGCCCGCTCGACTGCGCACTGTGGTCGCCGTGTTTGGGGGGGGTTGGGCTTGGCGGCGCTCGGGAATGACGAGCTTGGAACGGGCCAACGACACGCGCCTTGGTTCAATGGTCTTCATCGGTTCCATGTTCTTTGACTGCAAATCACCGAGTGCGGTCCGCCAAGTCAGGCCTTGAAAACTATCGGCTACTTCCGTCAGGGTACCACAATGGTCTTTGAGAAGTGCAACACAAACCAGGCAGGCAGCAGCAATGCGAGAGAACCACAACAAGTGCGCTGTCAATTGTGGCAGGTATCCGAGACTGAGTACTTAGGTCTTGGCGAAAACCGTTACACTGCTGGGGTCATCTGGAGGATCGACATCGGAATCGACATGGGATGAAGCGAAGCCGCCCATGTCACTTTCAAACGAGCTCTCCCATTTCCTCCGCAGAGCAGGCCACAAATTTACAAGTACATACGAATATTGACTTCGAGACTCGCAAGGGAGGAGAACGGTGGGGAATTCAAGTTTTTGGTGAGGGCCCGCCCATGTAGCTAAACATTAATGGTTTGGTAGAGGAACAACAAGCGCATTAGAAACCGCTCCTCCTGCATCAGGCTTGATTGATGCATGGTCGCAGACCGTGGCCGACTTTATCGCAGACGAGCCCCTGACTAGGCCAAATCGCACACCCTTTCCCTCTTCATAGTCGTCCAACCCATGTTTATCCCGAAACCTCCAACCCCAGTACTATGCCTCCCATAGAGATTAAACAATCTAGGTCGTCATCATCACTCGGCCGTGTGTACTCCGGTGGTGGGCCGGTTATCATATGCATCATCTCTCCCACCAAGTCCTCTCTATGCCTTGGGAACCAATGCTGCGAGAAAGAGAAAAAGAAAAAAAAAGAATAATTAACATAGGGGAAGTAAACGAGACAGGTATCTTTGGCGGTTTCTGGGTATCTCCAACATTAAACCCCGCCTCTTCAAAGTAAAGCCAGGACCAACAGAGCCAATTGGCCAGGAAAGATTGCGTAGGAGAAACAAAACCAAGCGTAGCCTCAAGGACAAGATAATATAAAATAATGAGTGGAGTAGAGACGGGTTAGTGGTGGAAGTTAGATGTGAACCGCGCTATGAAGCCGCCACCAGCCGCCATGCGCCTCGCTGAAACAGATCTTGTAAATGCCGAAGATTCTTGGGCCGAAGCACATGTGGGCTTCGAAAGGTTGATGGGCTTGATTTATGTCGATTATTTTGACTTCCGATCTTGCCGCTGCTGGGTCTTCTCGTGTCGCGTGCCGGAAGCTGCCGCCTCGGGGTGTGGGCAGGTGAAGTGATGCGGGGATTTCGTGGCCGCTTGTAGAAGCTGCTGGTGTCCATGCTTCGAGAGTTGTCGTGTATTTTGTCACGAGAGCTGTGACGGATAAACAGTGGTGTCCCCTGCCACAGGAGCCGAAGCCCCTGGCGGAGACAGCGATTGCTATAAGTTCTCGCCCGGCAACTGCGCTGCCCGTTCACGACAAGCTGCCGGTGTAAAACCCGTGCCGACCTTGTTGGCGATTATGCGCCACTTTTCGTTTTCGTAATCCTGGAGTGCCGTTTTGAGCTTCTGGTCCTGTAGTTTTGCCATCTGTTAGTCACTGGTGCCTCCCTCCGTTGGTCCAGGGGTTTGCTCTGCGGAAACACACTGACCGTCTCGTCTGTCCACTGCGTTGTCTTGGCCTTGAGTTTCGTACAGTACCGCACTTGGAGGGTCCCACTCGATCTTCCGGGGAAAAAGTCGGCAATTTGTTTCCAGGTTAGGTTTTTATTCTCCTTGAGGTCGACCAGGAGTTGATCATCCTCCGGGGTAAATTTCAGCTTGGGACCTCTCGGCCGCGGAGCGGGTGCTGGCATCCCGATCTGACCCACCATGCTCGGGGCTCCTCCGCCGCTGCTATCTCCGTCCCGTCGCATGACTTTGTTAGGCGGCCCGGTGTCTGGCAGCCGATGGTGGTGATGCGTGGGCGGGGCGGAGGCCTGTGCGTAAGCGGTGCCCATGGGTGTCTGCTGCATCGACTCTAGATCGCTGTGTTCGAGGTCGGGCATGCCAGGGACAGAGAGGTCGAGGTCGTCGGGCCGTGGCCGCTTTACTCCCGCAGTATGGCCGTGTGTCGGAGTTAGAGATGGATAGAGGGGTGCCACAGCGGTGTGGGGCGAGGGACCGGCGCCGAAGTGCGACGGTCCCGGATGCCCCATATGCCGGGCCGACGGGTGCCCAGCCAGGTGGCTCGGATCGGTGAGGATCGGATGGGGGTGGTGGGCGGCGTAGTGTTGGGGTAAACCGTGGTGAGATGGATGGGGAGCGGGTTCGTGAAGAGAGGACGGCCCGGCATGCTGGAGCGAGGCTCGATGGTGGTGCGCGTCATATGGGTGCGGAGTCTGGGCCTGCTCCCCCGGATGCGGGTCTTGCGGCGCGTAGTCGACATTGTAATCCGGTCCTACTCGGTAGTTGCCCGCCAGCGTGCCTCCGACACATGGGTTCCGCCAGAGCGAGCCGCTCTGGCTGGTCGCCGGACTCTGAATCGAAATAATTTGTAGAGGTCGAGCCCCGTGGGGCTACTTCGGCAGAGATACCGGTACTTGACCCGGATTTGGGACGTCTGATGGGCCGACTCTTATGATTTCTCGTGGGCTGGCGTGCTGTCGGTGGCCTGCGTTGAAGAGTAGACGGTGGCTGAAGCAAGACAGAGATCATGTGGCGTCGAGGTGTCGGATTCCGGGGGGTATGGTGGCGGGCAGTGGCAGGTGGGCTGCAGCGGAGGTCTTGTGCGAAGTACGCGTTTGGGCTGCGGCGAACTATGCGGACAGCGATGGTAACCTAGGTGCGCCCCCTCAGCAACTCATTGCTTTTGATGACCTGCGCACGCGTGTGACTTTCGTTGTCGTTGACATGTATTGGCGGTCGGTGGGCAGGCTCGGGCAGGTCGTTGAGGCCGACGTCTTAATCCTCGACTACTTTGCGCTTCGTCCCATAGAAGTGCAGGCAGGAATTTGGAGTTCAGAGCAACCGGCAGCGAGTGTATATGGTATTATACCATCTGATATTTAGTACCGTGGACCAAAACGAGAAGAGTCGGATTCCCAGGGCCTGGGGGTGGGAGTAGGTTTAATACCCTTTGCATCACTCCACATCAAGCACATGAGAGATTGCCAAGCGTGCGACGAAAAAAGATGGTTCCTGAGCAGTGGCGGAACTCAAGTGGCCTTGACCAACGATGACGGTAGCATAATTTGAGGATCTTATGCCATGGCCTGGCAGCCGGATATAGAAACAGGGGCCCAGCCCTAGCAATGATGCAACAGGGTAGGGGGCCATGAGCGCCCGGGGGGGTCGATGGAGGAGGAAATCCATCAAATCTGAAAAACCCCAGTGGATTAACCGAAAAGAGGAGGAAGCCGGGCCAGGGTATACAAGACAGCCCCAAGACAGTCATGGCCTGGAAAACGTATGGAAGGATACAAAACGGCCAGCCAAATGGAGAATATATTGTGAAACAAGCTCTTACCATGCAGCTGGAAAGAGGGCATGACGACAGCCTGGCTTTTGGGGGTTGCTGCCAGCGCCCGGCCCATCGAATGCAGCCGCGGCACTTGCCTCGCGGCTAAGCTTGGTAACAGCAACCCGCCGTTATTATCCTCTTGCCGGCCGAGTGTGGAGGATCTGTGGGAAAAGCTGGGCTGGACCGGGGCAGAAACATCTCGGCATCACAGTGACCAGACCGACTCGCACAGACCAGGGGAAGCCATGGCGGCCGACTGGGTTCCGCAGCGCGACGGCGCGAGTGCTCGGGAAAAACGCTGCGGGAGCACGACGCACCCGCTGTTGACGCGGGATGGCGTGTGGAATATTTTGTGGAGCGAGGCGCACAGTCCTGGTCGGAATGTATCCGTACCAAGACGCTCATTCGAGCCTGTTGGGTGGTTGGGATGATGTGGTGACGGGCAGGTAACTGGTCGAGTTTTCACCGTTGTGTCCAAAAGAAGGTATAATAGAACCGGGGTACTCTATATCAGGAACGAAACGAGATCGGTGCCCTGGCCTGCCATAGGGCCACGGGAAGAGAGGGACGTGATTAGCTGCCAGATTGCCGAACAGGGGACAGTAACAAGCAACGTACCAGGCAAACCCATGGCGAGAGCAGGAGCGTCAGTTATCGCGTGGACTGCTCAATGTAACCCACACCACAGGCCGAGAAACCTCTTCCCAACAGCGCTGCCCAGGAGAATGGCAGGTATTGGCAGCAGAAAAACAGCCCCTTGGGCATCCGGTGGGTACGTTAAGAGCGGAAGGCCACCGCTCATTGCCAACCCGACTCGAGGTCGGATGATGGGAAAAGCAGCGGAGCCGTGGGCTATCAATCGAGGGGAGTCGCATCGTGGCTTGAAGAGGCTTGGTCTCGGGGAGCCCTAGATTACTCCTCAATGCTGCGGGGGGCCTTTGTCCCTGACCCAGTTAGCTCGGAGTGTGAACACTGGGAAGCTCGAGAGAGTATGCCTTGCCTGCAAGTGTCCACAAACGCAGGACACGGCGATGCTGGTCATCCCACCCGTAGTGGGAATCAACGCCGGCAAGGGAGTGGGAGAGTCGCAACGACCCCGGAGTGGGCGATGCTTGGCGACCAGGGTTTGCGGAAGAGCGCGACGGCGCGTCAGGCGACGGACGCTGCGGCCGAGCGCATGAATAAAAAGCGTTTCATTCAAACCTTGCAATTAAAAGTAGTTTTATGCTTCCGCAAAGCGATGAAATTGATGCCATCTCGACCTTCTAGAAGCTCCCGGTAACGTCAACCTTCGGGCTAGGGCTGATGACGGGAGCGCCGCGATCCTCGGGCTCGCCAGCCCGGACGTCACGAGTGTTTGAGCAAGGGTGAGCAACTTCCGCTTGAGCATTGATCCTCCGCCTGGGTCGTGCCTGTTCAACTGATGGGTTGGTAAAAAGGGGGGGGGGATTTCTTAGTAGTTGTAATCTATCAGCGGGAGTTGGAAGCTGAATCAATTGCTCAGTGCGTAAAGATTGGAAAAATGAAAACCTGAGGTCCCTCAGGCACGAACGAGAGTGCTCCGAAGACAAGTCGTCACGATGCAAGGCTCCTTCCGAGACATGTCTCCGATCATCCGCACAAGACCCACTCCAGGTCCCGCTTCGTCGCTCACAGCCCCTGCAATCAAGGTTCACAATTGCGGTCGTGGAATGAACATGGGTCGATCGAAGACGCCATCATCCACGGGAGCGTCTCCGCACCATCAATCTCGTGTTTGGCGGACCGAGCCGGCGTTCAGTTGACGAGACGAGGACCTCTGATAAAGTTGGTCTTTTTGGTGACCCGTTACAGCAACTGCAAGGTGCTCAAAAGTGAGAGAATCACTAGGATCAAGGGCACTGACAGAATCTTCCCCTGATCCCCGTGCCTCCTCGCAGTGCTTCCGTCCTCCACAGTACCTACGCTTCTCCGGAGCTCGGCTCAGCTCCTGATCAACGTCGGGTTTGACTCGGCCGGGACGGTGGTGGGGTCTTTCCCCAGATCGGAGTGGCCGCTGCGCCAAGGCCATCGCTGCGCTCCGAAAGGGGGACCACCCGAACACAGCAGCCCTGCCACCTGACCCTGGAGCCTGTTCAGGCCTGTTCTTCCTGGGAACGGCCGGTCAAAGCTCCGGCGGTGGGGGAGGGGCTGAAGAGCTCATCCAACACCCCGGCCCTTGTGGGAGGAGGCTGGCAGACGACCGACATACAAGTACACATGTTCATGGATCCATCGATTCATCGATGGAACTGCCCTGGTTCTTCACTGATAGTAACGGCTTTGCTAATGGTACCTGGACACGATCGTTTAAAGTCGACACCATCAATGTGCGCTACCACATGTCCATGACTAGGTATACATATCAAAATCCTGGATCCTCTGTGCCTCTCTCCCGAGAAGCTGAGCTTGCGGAAAGACGTTGCTCGGAAATTTACCCTGCAAGGGGGGTTGCCTTGGCATGCGCATCACAAGGCAATGACAATGCATGGAAAACAGGATCGAACCTTCGAAGCTTTTACGAAATTTCGCAGGCTCTTTGTGGACTGCCCACGCCTAGCAGCCCCACGACATGCCCGTAGCGTCATGCAATGCAGAGAGCAGTGCAACGACATTCCACACCAAGCTCACAATCCCTTGACCAACTTCCCCCGAACGGGAAACTCTCGTTGATCTTCAATGCATGAACGCATTGAACGTAATCTCTTGCGAACATCAGAAGCGAGCGCTGAATCAGCCCTGACGGGATGCCCGCCTTCGGCTCGGTCCCCATCTCGCTGGTTATTCCGGTGTGCGATCGTCCCCGTTCCGGGAGATGCGAGAACATCACTCAACTGTTTGAGAGCCGCACATTGCAAAAGTACCTCCAGAGGGAGTTGACCGTCATAAAAGTGTTGTGCCACAACATGGTATCGAAATCAGATCATTAATATCATCTTTGACTACTATGTATAGACAGAGGTGTTACAACATGCCTTTTTTTGCTAGAAATACACCCGATTGTCCCAACCGCTCGTACAAAAACGCCCCCCCGCCCCCCTGGAAAGAAAAAATGCAACACAAATTCATCGTTTGCTCTCTCGCATCGCAACTGGAACCGCCAACCGGACTCCCGGAGAGTCGATCAAACAATCTGATATTGCACCACGCGACGCTCACGGCCTGGGGCTATCCGCTTGCTTCCGTGTCTGTCATGCCCGGCCGCCTGGGCGTTTCCGCGTTTCCTCGTTTCCCCGCTTCCTGGGCTCTCTTTCCGAGAGCAACGGATCCTCACCCTTCCCATCCGCGCATCTATGCAAAGTTATCCTGCCTGTCAACCCAGATATCTTCCAACTCGTTGAAGCTGGAAAAATGGATGGGGCGGTGCTGGTCGCTGTAGAATGGCATGGGAGTGTCTAGCTTCACGTGGATAGCCTTCTTCTCTAGCCCGCCGAATGCACTGCCCATGAAGCTGTAGTTCCACTTGCCGGTGTCGGGGACCAGGAAGAAGCCCCTGAACTTGTCGCTGAGCAGGACCTGTCGCCTCTCGCCCATCGCCGTTGAGAAACCCTGCGGTTGATCACTGCCCACGTCCTTGTTCTCCGCGCCCCATTTGTAGCCTTGAGGGGTGAGAGCCCAGGCAGAGAGCGACACGCTGCCCGGGGTAAACGACACTGCAACCGTGAGCGTGTTTTGCTCGTTCCATGCGTTGTGGGCATCGACTAGCCTGGCATGGCTGGTGACGTCCATCGCAGACATGTACGGGAGCTCATTGCCAGACATGGTGTGGATGATGCCGAGGGGCTCCATGTCCTTTAGCAGTTCATGTTGAGGCAGGTGCTGCGGCAGCTGCACGTTACGCAGCCCACCAATCTGCGGGACCATGACGATGCACTTGATTTCTTTGACCTGGTCATTGTCGGCCGGGGAGGATCCGTAGAGATAGCCGGCCACCTGCACCCGGAGATCCGCGATGGTAATGAACTTTTTGAGGATGTTCTTGGGCATCACGTATGTGATCTCGTCCACGTCGCTGTCCACGGGAGCCACATACATGTTGTTGGCTCTGGTGCGTAGATTGGATGTGGCGATGGCCCGAGTGCGCCACTCCGTCTTGGAGGCGAACGTCTGCTGTTCAAACTGCGACGTCGTCGTGACGATGATCTCCTCACCGTGCACGTTCTGAGTCTTGGTTGTGACCGCCGTGAGTTGCTGCTGCTCTTGCTGCTGCTTCTCGATTTCGGCAGCCTGCTGTCTCTGCAGAGACGGCGCTGAGATCTCCATGCCCAAAATAATGTCTCGCACTTCGCTCGTGGTTAAGCTCGACACGTTCACATTGTTCTTCTTCCCGTAGTCGTTAAGGATCAGGTCTCGAAGCTGCATTTCAACCTTGATCCAGTCGTCGTCTGAGAGGGACGGCCAGATGTGATGATCTTGCGTGATCACCGTCTTGTCTGGCCGGAGGATGAGCTTTGTCTTGTCCTGGTTGACATGAAGGGCTCTTAAGATGAGAATCAAGCGAGAGAACGCCGTGTACGACGAGATGCTCTTGAGCCACTCGTCATAAAGGTTGAAGAGCACCATCTGGGGCTCAGTGGCGCGCAGAATCATGTCTCCCAATTTCTCAACCTTCATGGCGGCCTGGAAAGGCAGCTGCAGCTCGGAAGCACGAATAGAAATGTTGGGGAAATCCAGGAGGTTGACCTCGAGAGGGTCAAGCAACCCCTTTCGCGTGACGATGAGCTGCTTCGGCTGCTCTTCGACTGGGAGTGACCGAATCAGAGCTGCGACTTCTTCGGCCGTCTTCCATTTGGCCAGTTGACCAAGACGCTTCTGCCCGGCCCAGACACTGGTGTGAATGATCTTGAGGAAGAGCTGGCCGGTGCGGGGGTTGAAGATGAAGATCGCCCCGTTGATCGGTTTTGTTGTCAAATTGCCCTCGAATGTCTTGTGGATTGTGACCCGGTATACATTCGTGTCGTCGATGAACAGCTGGGTCTGGTTGCTGAACAATTCCGAGTAATTTTGGGAATTCAAAAACTCCTGATTGCTCTCGGACGCATAAAGCTGCAAACCCTTGCGGATGCGCTCACGCAGTACGTAAAGCGCGGGGTTTGCCTTCATGATCTTCCCCATAGCCTGCTGGACCAGAGTCTTCAGGCCGGGGAAGTACTGTCCATAGGCCGAGTAGAGATTGTAGGCAAGATCGATCCCGATCATCAAACCAGTCGGGGAGGGATACAGACTCATACTGTCGGTGGTGTAATCCAGATACTTCGCTCTGACATATCTCTCGATGTCGTGAGAGTCGTAATCACCGTAGCGAAGCTGCACATCAATCCAGAACTTGCTTGTTGTGGTTGCCTCGATCGCGTCCTTGTTATCGAAGAGCAGTGATGGCCGGGTGACGTTCCACTTATGGCTTGCGAACAGCTGGATATCCGCGCACGAGCTGTTCATCTTGTACGACTTTCTGGGGTGAATAGTCTCCTTTTGGACCGACTCGATGCTCAGAGCCTCCAGCTCCTGGTCAAAGACCTGGCAGAGATCCATGACAACAGACTCGTGTATCTTTTGCCACAAATGGGCACGGAAGATTTGGATGAGAGAAATCTTCAACGTCGGGATCTTGCCGTGCAGGAAAATACCAGTAAGGTCAAGCTGCACTTGGAAACCAACGTACACGTTTGCTCTGTTGATGGTTGGGGACCACCAGAGGGTGAAACGTCGGTTGGGAATTTGGTTCAAACCAGACCGTTGGGCGTTGGTCAGCTTTTTGAATTGCATAGACTGCGACAAGAAACAAACGTTAGTCAATACTCGGTTAATGTGAGGTTATCACCACGGATATTGTGGGCGAAAAGAGCACTGTAAAATGGAATGTGGGGGGAAGTGAGAGGAATCACGACTGACCTGCTCAAAACCCGAGGCCCTCTCCCAGAAGAGTCCTTCCCAGGACGGAAAGCCCGTCGCCTTGAAGAGCGTGTGCTCTAGAATGGTCTCGACACCACCCAGAGCCTGAATCACATCGGTGCGGTAGGCGTTTAGGTTCCACAACTTGCCATCGTGTCTCTGGCTCGTCCACCAGAATGGATTGCTCTTCATGAGCTGGTAGATTTTGAACTCCGCCCGGGTGCGGAAGCCCTTGTCGAAGCTCAACGTGCTGCGATCCTTTTGAAACAAAGTGTTGATACGAGGCAAGCCACGATCCCAACTATCCTCGAGATCCTCCAGGGTGAGTCTCCGGTTCTGCTGGTTTGCTTCGAGGCGTTTCTGAGAATACTCCGTCCACACACGTTGGGAATCGATGAATTCGGCCTCCCATGGGATGATGTACCGGAAGATGTTGGGAATCAACGTTTCCTCGTCATGAGACATGCCCGCACGATAGTGCGTGACACCAACATCGGTTTGCTTGTACCAACGTTTGTCACTTGCCGGGATCAGGATATGGGATCCCGAGATCATGCCCAGACCACCAAGTTCCTTTGGTGTGTAGAAAACCGCTGGGGGGAAGCGCGACGGCATCTTCGAGTTCAGGCCGATCTTGACTCGAGTTTGGATCTTGGTCTCGCACTTGACAATGGTGTCAAGCAGGTTGACTGTCGAGACTGCCGCCTCGCGGTAATATGTGAACAAGGCGATCAGGGCAGTGTTCCACTTGTTCGCAATCTTGGTGAAGGTTGTGGAGCCGGACGACATCAGAATCTGGCGGATACGATTGTTGAACTTCTGGATGTCCTCCTCGGTCACCTGGAGGAATGCGTGCGCGGTCCGTTCCTTGGTTGTGTTGTCCACAAGCGACCAGACGCTGTCCTTGACGGGAAACTCGTCGTTCTGGTTGCGAATCTTGGGCAGGATGCGCACCTCAAAACCACACATGGAGAACAAGAGGTTGGGGTTGTCTTTGCTGTAAACACTAGCAAACGTGTCTTCCCATTCAACCGTTGTGACCGACCTTGGAAGCCGGTTTTTGAGGTCCCAGAAAACGGCCCTCCCAAGATTCACGTCGTGTCTCATCAGCCGCATTCGTGAGTCCCTGGGCCAACACTTCTTGCTTTTGTAGCCGATGACATTCTCAAAGTTGGGGTCGGGCTGTTCCGTAAGGAATCGTTGGATAAGGTCCCTCGACTCATCAGCCGTGAAGCGCAAGCACACCCAGATCTTGTCGATGTATCTGGTGTAGAGCCGGATGGGGTGCCTGGTTTCTGTCTCGCGATCCTGGAACTGGAGGAAGTCGTTGGGGCTCTGGGGAGGGCCCGCGATCTCGCTCGCTCGCTGAGGACCGAGAAGGAGAAGATCGAGAATCAGGCCGTAGTACTGGAAAACAAAGGCCGAAAACTGAAGGCCGCGAATCATGCCGTAGCTGTTGACGTGGCTCATGTCCTTGTAGGTCAACGTCACGTTGTTCTTTGCAGTGATGTAGTCGGCCAGGTTGTGGTCCATGATCAGACGCAAAAGCGAGTTGAGCAACGTCAGCTCGATCTTCTCATAAACCTTTGACAACTGCGTCTCGATCATGACATTGCACTCTCCATTCGCCGTTTCCCAGACTCTGTCAAGGTTGTTGATGCCCTGCGCCCACTTGTAGACTAGAAGAGGTGGAACTTCAGAGTCGGAAGGCTTGATCCAGGCGGGGAAGAGATGGCGCTGATCGGCCTGATACCAAAGGTATTGGTCAAGATACGCATCACTGATCTTCTCAATGGGCTCGATGTCGTAAACAGGGTTGATGGTGCTGTAGTTGTCATTCATATCGATGCCAACTTCCTTGAAAGCACGCTGCGTGAGCAAGAAGCGCTTGATCCGCTCCAAGGTGGTTCCGGGACTGTCGTAAGCCTGCTCAATCAGAGCAAGCTCCTCACGCTGGCTCTGATTCAGCCTGCCCTTGGTGGAATAGGCTTCGCGCAGCCGCTCGAGGGCCAGGATGAGAATTTTGGTGTCATGCTTGTACGAGACACTTGGGAAAGGGATAGGCGAAAACTTCCGCGACTCGAGCCAATGGACCGTTGTGGTGTAAATTGCGACAGCTTCCTCGGATGAGACGTATGGGCCGTCCTTCATGTGGTTGTGCTGCCTCTCCTGCTCTGCTTTGAGCCACAAGCGAGTGAGGCGTCCAACGTTCTTTTTGGCCACGGTCTTATCGACGGTAGCGCCTCTTCGGATGCGTTCCCGGTTGTAGTGGGCAACCGAAATCCACCAATCTGCCTTCGATTTGACGTATCTCAGGATGATGTTCTCAATGGCAGCAGGCAAGCCAGGGACCTTCCAGGGGATGTTGCTCTTCCAGCACCTCCAAGCCTCAGAGAGATGTTGAAGAACCGTGTTGACCTTGTTCTGTTTGATGCCTTCCGGCATCATATCCATCAGGTCGGCCATGACCGAGGCACGTAATTCCAAATCGAAGTGTGACTCGACACGCTGCTTCGTCACAGTCTTGGCGACTCCCTTGCTGTGACGACCCTCGAATTGACGCGAGAGAAGATTGCCGAGCCAACGCTCAAGCAGAGGGATAATGCCCCGCATGAAGAACAACCAGACCCTCCACGACGGGGCCCAGAAGCCACAACCTGGCCCCTTACCGACGGAATCGGTGTTGAACCGGTAGTAGATCAAGTGCTTGATATCCTTGCACGAGCGGATCTGATGCATGAGCTTGTATTTGTACCGATACATACCCGTCAGTTGCCCGACATGGTTGAAGGCGTACAGGATGCCATCAGCAAGCTGGAAAGCGTCGATATTCCCAAGCCGGTATTGCACCTGAGCATCGACGATAAGCTTGGTCAAACGCAGGATCTCGCGCATCAGGTGGAACGCGTTTCCGAAGCGCGATTTCTTCCGCTCCTTGGTCGTCAACGTTTTGACGGGCTTCAGGTTGAAGTTGTAGTCAAGGTGGAGGTATGTCAAGTTCTTGCGATGGATCAACAGATTGAGCATGTTGAATCCTTGACGGCAGACCTGGAGTCCAGCTTCGACCCAGTCAATCGTCGTTTGCTGGAAAAACTTCGTCTGTTTGAGCGTTTTGAGCAGATTCTGCTTCTGCAGTGACTTGGGCCTCTTCTTGTGCAGCTCATTGAGCACATAGGTCTTGAGGAGCTTCTGGTACGAGACCCGCACCTTGACAGGCTGCTTGGGTGGGCAGTGCTCAAGGTACCAGTGTTTAATGAGCGGCACATCTTGAGCCCGCACCATGCGTCCGGACCGGCGGTCAAAAGGGAAAGGAGCCCACCACAGCTCGATCGCGGACGCCGTGTCGTCGGTCGAAAGTTCATCGTCCGCGAAAAAAGGCTCGATCGCCGCGGGAAGCTCAAACGCCTCCTCCTCCGGCTCCTCAAGGTTGCCCTGTCCAAATAGCTCATCCTCGTGGCTCACAGTGATGTTCTTCGGCGCAACAGCCCGGGATGAGATTGGGTTGATGTTGGTGTCGAAATAAAACGCAGGGAGGTCGGGATCCTCGGGTTTGTGGTAGACGACCTGCGGGTGAGAATGCCAGGAGAGATGCACACTTCGCGGCAGTGCGTTGTAAAGGTACGGGTAAGAAACACGACACTCTGTCCGGATTGGGTTCCGGAAAATGATGCGGTCCATGGCGTTGAACTCGCCGAAGTCTTCGTCGTTGGGGTCGATGTCCTTGTAGAGCGGCTCAAAGCGAGGACCACCCGGCAGCGCGACATTTAACGCCTTCCCCGTCAGGAAACTCTTCAACTCAAAGAGGTAGAAGTAGTTTTGGTCGACGACATCGGACACCAGCGGTAGACTCAGACGGTACAGATCGGCCATCTGGGGCAGTGTGAGGTTCCATCTCTTGTAGCTCGGTCCATTTACGTGCGATGTGTCGAGAAGCGGCTGGTGGTCGTAAAACCATTCGTAAACGGCCGCTTCCTCTTCCTCGTGGAGGTCCATCTGAATAGGTTCCAGCGGCTCGACATCTTCGATGTTCTCGGACCAAGACAACGGGGGCTCTTCGTCGTCAAATGGCGGAAACCGCATGCGCTTGAACAGCCTCCGGTCTCTCTTCTCCTTCCGCATAGTACTCCACATCGTAGCCCACTGGGCAAAGAAGACCGGTTCGATGACGCGGGGTGTCTCGTTGACGAGGGTCAAGCAGCCGTTGACATGGTACAAGACTTTGACCTCGCGGGCTGATTCCCAAGGCATGGGCATGTTCTCCAACAGTTTCATGACCGCATGCGGCATAAACTTCAAGGCACCAAGGTAGCTGCGTTTGTCGCTCGTGTATTTCTTTTGGGAGACGTCGCCGATGTCCTTGACGATCTTCCGCAGGTGTTCTGGTGGCATGTCGGCCTTTTGCGTCTCCACAAATCCACCCTTCCTCTTCTCGCCGAATCGACTTCGCTGCATACGGAGCCATTCCTTCTTCTTCTGCGCAAATTTGGCGATCTGGGGATCAGTCGGCGGACGGTACCCCGGTGGCGGCGGAGCTGGGATCGCGGGAGGGGGAGGAAGCGACGATGGGGGACCCGGCGGAGGAGGCGTTGGAGGCGGAGGCGGAGGGCCCCAGCCTGGGGGAGGCGGCGGCGGTGGAAACGAAGACATCTCGATATCGTTGACCCGCTACTCAGATGAGCTTCAACACCGAAGGGGGATTCCCTTGACGCGCCAAAGAGTACTCGATGCGGCTGCGCTCTCGGCGGCGGTTCCGGTGTCAATAAGAAATGAATTTGGAGGATGACTCCATGGAAAGGTTAACGGCGGCAACAATCCCCTAACAGATTGAGATGTTGATTGCGCGTTGTGGGGTGTTGGTGCGATGAAGCCAAAACTTGGCTGGATGCTCAGATACAAAAAATCTCGAAGAGCTCTCGCGAAGCAGGAGGCGCGAGGATGCGAGCGCGCAGCCTGGCAGAGTTTCGATTACCCTATCACCTCGATAAATACATAACATCCAATCACACCGCACAACATACAACGTACCGTAATGTAATGGGATACGGTAACTTACAATTCACGTGAGCTATCAGCTGACTCCTGCGGGCAGTGAGCAAGTCACCCAAAATGCCTTAACATTGTTTGCTCTCAATCGGGAAACCTCCGTTTTCGGTCTTCTGTGCAAAGGCTTGTCTTGCACTCGTTACTGTGCTGCTCGTCTGACTCAACTAAGGTTGTCATTCCGGTGGCAAGAGTGGAGGCGGGGAATTCGTGCAGGCCGTCTCGACCGCTGCGCTTTCCACCCGCTCAGCCCCAAATCGCCCCACCAGAAAATCACCGTCCACTGAAAAATATTATCAACCCCTCCACTCGGTTTTCGTTCCTTGTCTAGCAGCACCACGTCACGGCGTATCGCGAAATTTACCATCGATCATCGACTCGACTCCGTGCGCGCACTAAGGACTGACCTTCACCATGTCCCGATTCTTCCGCGGCGGCGACGACAGCTCGTCCGAGAGCAGCTCCGACGAGGAGGAGCTGTACTCCACCTCCGAAGAGGAAGAGGAGGAGGATCAAGAGCAGCAGGAGTCCTCTGAAGAGGAGGACGAGGAGAAGTCCAGCGATGAGGAAGAGGGCCCGAAAAAGACGGGCTTGTCCCGTTTCCTTGTCGACCAGGCATCATCGGATAGCGAGGGGAGCGATGAAGAGGCCGCCACCAAAGTCAAGAGTGCCAAGGACAAGCGGTTCGACGAGCTCGAGGCTACTATTACCACCATCCAAAACCGCCAGAAGATCGACGACTGGGGTTCCATTGCAAATGGTATGTTTTGGACTTTAGGTGCCCCCAGAGGCCCTCGCTAACTAGATCAGAGTTCGACAAGCTCAATCGTCAAGTCGTCAAGCTTCAAGATGGCGGCAAGGCCCCGAAGTCATACATCAAATGCATCGCCGAGTTAGAAGACTTCTTGAATGAGACGCTGGCGAAGCAGAAGGTCACGCCCAAGAACAAGAAGCTGAATGCAACCAATGCCCGTGGTCTCAATGCGGTCAAGCAACGCATCAAGAAGAACAACAAAGATTATCAAACCCAGATCGATGCGTTCAGGAAAGACAGCGATGACTTTATGGAGTCGGATGAGGAAGAAGCCCCGGCGCCAAGGACCAAAGTTCGGTTTCAGGAGCCGCTCGATCTCGAGGAAGCAGTGGAAGACGAGGGTGGGTTTGCCAGAGTCGACAAACGCGGGAAGGCCATTCCTTTCTCCCCCGAGAGCATTCAGAAGCACCTTCGCGCCATCGTTGAGTCAAGGGGCAGGAAGAACACAGACCGTGGGGAGCAGATCAAGATCATGGAGGAGCTTAGCAAGGTCGCTGAGACCCCTTATCTCAAAATCCGGGTTCTGCAGACGCTTGTTTCGGCTCGGTTTGATCTCGGCTCTGGCACAACGACCTCGATGCCTCTGGAACACTGGAAGGCTGCCGAAAGGGAATTGGCTGCTTTGCTCACGCTCCTCGAGACGCACAAGGACCACGTTGTAATCGAGGGCGCGGAGGAGTGGGAAGATGACGATAAGACCCCCGTCCTCGGGCCGGACGACAAGTACATTAAGGTTCCCGGCAGCGTGGTATCGTACATTGAGCGCCTGGACGATGAGCTCACTCGCTCGCTGCAAAGCATCGACCCCCACACCTCGGAGTACATCGAGAGGCTGACCGACGAGGCGTCTCTTTACAACATCATCCTCCAGGGCCTACTCTACTACGAGACCATCCGGAAGGATGCTTCACTAGACATTCCCCAAGAGAGCCTAAACCGGATTATCCAGCGGCGCCTGGATCATGTCTACTTCAAGGTATGTGGCCGAAGCAAAGCATCTCCTACTTTTCTTTTGCGCCTTCGCTAACATGTTGCAGCCTGCCCAAGTTGTTAAGATTCTGGAGGAGAATGCCTGGAAGCAGGCTTCGAGCGGCGTCGATTCCGCCATTACCCCCCGTGGCGTATCAGGCGATGCCGGCAAACTTATGCACACCCTCTGCAACTATCTGTTCGACAACAGCGAAGGCATTATTCGTGCCCGCGCCATGCTTTGCCAAATCTACTTCTTGGCCTTGCACGACGAGTACTACAAAGCCCGCGACATGATGCTCACCTCTCACTTGCAAGAGAGCATCGCGAGTTTCGATGTGGCCACCCAAATTCTGTACAACCGCACACTCGTCCAGGTCGGCCTCTGTGCCTTCCGGAGAGGGCTAGTGTACGATGCTCAGAACACCCTGCAGGATATCTGTGGCAGCGGGCGTCAAAAGGAGCTTCTTGCTCAAGGTGTGATGATGCAGCGGTACAACCAAGTGACTCCAGAGCAAGAGCGGCTTGAGAAGCAAAGGCAGCTGCCTTTCCATATGCACATCAACCTTGAGCTTCTTGAGTGTGTCTACCTAACGTGCAGCATGCTCTTGGAGATCCCACTCTTGGCACAGATTGGCTCTTCGCCAGATATCAAGAAGCGCGTCATCAGCAAGACGTACCGCCGGATGCTTGAGTACCACGAGCGGCAAATCTTCACAGGCCCGCCGGAGAACACCCGCGACCATGTCATGCAGGCGTCCAAGGCCCTTGCCGCTGGTGAATGGAAGAAGGCTACCCACTTCATCCACAGCATCAAGATTTGGGATCTGATGCCGAGCGCAGAAGAGATCAAGGCGATGCTTGCCAAGCAAATCCAGGAGGAGGGCCTCCGGACATACCTCTTCACGTACGCCCCATTCTACGACACCTTGGCCATCGAGACACTGAGCACAATGTTCGAGCTCGACTCGGTCAAGGTTTCTGCCGTGGTCAGCAAGATGATCAGCCACGAGGAGCTCGCCGCTGCTCTGGACCAGGTCACCAAGACCGTTATCTTCCGCAAGGGCGTGGAGCTCAGCCGCCTGCAGAGCTTGGCTCTGGCGCTCTCGGACAAGGCAAGCGCTCTGATCGAGACAAACGAGCGCACGCTCGAGGTTAGAACCCAGGGGTCGGCCAACGCTTTCAGCAGGAAAGATGGCAGGCAGGGTGGCCAAAGGGGCGGTGGCCAGCGGGGTGGCAGGGGGGGTGCAAGGGCTGGCGGCAACGCTCAGCGGCAGGCCGGTGGTACACAGTTTACGGGCGGTGCCCTGGGTGCTGCGGTGCGTGGTTAGGCTTTGGGCGATGAGGCCGCATGACTTTCATTTGCTATTGCATTAGGATTTGGGCATGTTCCGTATCAAAATTGGCCCTCGGTGCGTTAATGATGCGCGCCACGGTAGACCAGGGAAACGCAGACAAAACCATAAACACTCCTGGGGCAATCAACAGTCTTCTGACTGTTTTGCCGACTGTTTTGCCGCTTGGGTTGTGAGCATGATGTCCGTCATTTCATCGGTTCAACAATAAAGAGGACAAATGAAAGTCGTAAGCGATCACAAAGGAGGTTCAAGGCTGAGGAGGCATCACGTTGCCCCGTAAACCTAGACTCCGGTTTATACTTGTCCAACTATCCTAAGTAACCAGACCAGAAAGCGTCTAGTGCGCGGAGCCGCCTGTCGACCCCAGGCTTTGGGGACTGTGTTTAACAAGTCCAAAACGCAGAGGGGAAATGCACATTGATTTCATACGAGTCGCAGTCGCTTGCGTGATGTGGGTGTTCGGGTATCACATGGAAAAAAGTAGATCCAGCCACAAACAACCCATCACTTCGGCAGAGACCGTCGACTTCAGAACGCAGCGGTTCGAAAGGTGTGATGGCAGCCGGAAAAGGTGGGCACGAAACAGGTGACGCGGTGATGATTGTTTTCCGGGAAGAACCGATAACTCGGAGCTGCAGGTAGTGACCTCAACGCAAGGCAGCGTTTTCCCGGGCTACCTCTGTAGCTCCGTCTTAATTCTCTACTCATGTGCTGCAAGTGTGCCATAAGCAGGACAAAGGCCAGGATCTGGAGACCAGGCAATCTCATGCCGTTCTCCTCGTATTTGTCAACTCCGCAGCAAAAACCCAACCGAGAACCGATACCCTCCCAAGAAGGCAACCACCACAGTCTGATCGATCACAGACGGCGACCACGACGACCACCCTTGCGGCGGGTCGAGTCGGAGGGCGTCGGAGTAACGTCCTCAATCCGGCCGATCTTCATGCCGGCACGAGCCAGAGCGCGGAGGGCAGACTGGGCGCCAGGACCGGGGGTCTTAGTACCGTTACCTTTGGACCCAGATATTAGCAACCGTCTCGATCCGAATGGGGGAAAGTCAAACATACCACCGGTAGCACGGATCTTGATGTGGAGCGCAGTGATGCCGAGTTCCTTGCAGCGGGCCGCGACGTCCTGAGCAGCCAACATAGCAGCGTAGGGAGACGACTCGTCACGGTCGGCCTTGACCTTCATGCCACCAGTAACACGGCAGATGGTTTCACGGCCGCTATAAACAGCCAGGGCATTAGTCTCGAGACCACAAATCGAGAATATATACGGGACACAGCGTCGCAAACGACCCCTCTTCTCTTGCCCGGTGTTCAGCGGGATACGCACCTGAGATCGGTGACGTGGACGAAGGTATCGTTCTTTTTTTTCATAGTCAGTAGTGGCCTCGAATCATTTCGTAGCGGGAAATGCGGCTTACGAAGCTGGCGAAGATGCGGGCAACTATAAACAAATTTGTTAGCGAGCTGTGGCGATCGCAAATATGGAGGAGTTACCCACCGCCAAAAACCAGCTCGCCCTCCCGGACCTGGGGACCCAGGGAGATGTTCTCCTGGGGGGGGCGCGCAGCTCTCTTCTGGGGGGCCATTTTGTCGTGATCTGGTGGTTTGGTTCCGTTCGTTGTTGCTGCAAAGTTGCTCGGAATTTTGATGGGTGCGGTAAAGAATGCCCGACCAAGGTTGGCGGTGAGGGGCAGCAGAAGGCAGGAATTTTGTGGGGATTGTGCTCAAGCCCTAAGTGCCTTCGTGCATTGACTCCACTTTTCGCGACTACCTCGAGGTTTTTCTTGTGCCCACCAAGCGAATTTTCTTTTCCTCGATCGTGAACCGAGCAGACGACAACCTCAGCACACCGCAGAGGTCGACAATCCGCAAAGATGGCTCCCACGTATGCCTCACCCTGACTCCTTTCCTTGGCTTTTTGAATGGTATCGTCGTGTGTCACTTGACGAGATTCTGCAGATTGGCGTGGTCCTCTCACTGGATGCTCTTCCCGGCTTCGAAACTTGAACCGGGCATCGCTCCAGCTCGATCCCTCCCGCAATTCTCCCTCTTTCCTCCAGGCTTGAACTCGATCCAGCCTGCAGACTGAGAGATGTGTTGCGGGGTGTTGGGGCTGAAGGTTCTACCTTCTCCCTTGAATTCAGTGCCGCTTGGTGCCAGCCGATGACAAGACCCTGTGTCCTGGCCGAAGCTTTTGGTCTCCAACGCGAGCAGAACTTCTTGGGCATTATCCAAGGTGTGTTGCGAGATGGTACTTGACTCGAGGCGTCGGTGCTGCCATTAATGGCGCCCTTCCCGTAGAGCTTCCCATCGGTCAACGTTTGGCAGTCGAGTCAGCCACGAGAGAATGTCGCGCTTGAGCAGCAATTCTCCACCGGCGCTCTACCACATACCGCGGTATGTCGGACTACGTACTAATCTAAACGCGCAGGACCGTCCCGACTCAGAACGATGTTCTGGTTCCCGAGACCCTCCTGAAGAAGCGCAAGTCGCAGGAGAAGGCGCGCGCCGAGCGCACTGCCGAGCAGGACAAGCAGAAGAAGGTTGGTTTCCCCTTGCCTTGCAACTTCCTGAGAACGATGTGATGCACAACACAACTAGCGACTAGACCAACGTCAATGCTGTTGCTAAATTAACCATCTTTCGGGTCTGATCGAACTCTCTGGAAGATCCTTTGCAACGCGGATGTAGCCATGAAGCAGAGCGTTGCTAACATAATTCATAGGCCAACAAGGAGAAGCGTGGCGTCATCTTCAAGCGTGCCGAGAAGTACGTCAAGGAGTACCGCGATGCCGAGCGCGAGAAGATCCGCCTGAACCGTGTCGCCAAGCAGGATGGTTCCTTCTACGTCCCCGCTGAGGCCAAGCTGATCTTCGTCATCCGCATCAAGGGGTAAGAGCGCACTCTCGCTTGTCTTCCCCGTTCTGGTCGCTAACTCGGTGGTAGTATCAACAAGATCCCCCCCAAGCCGCGCAAGATCCTTCAGCTTCTTCGTCTCCTCCAAATCAACAACGGCGTCTTCGTTCGCATTACCAAGGCCACCTCGGAGATGATCAAGGTCGTCGAGCCGTGGGTTGCCTATGGCTACCCCAACCTCAAGAGCGTCAAGGAGCTCATCTACAAGCGCGGATACGGCAAGATCAACGGCCAGCGCATCCCCCTCACCGACAACGCGATCATTGAGGAGAACCTTGGCAAGTACGGCATCATCTGCATGGAGGACCTGATCCACGAAATCATGACCGTCGGCCCCAACTTCAAGCAGGCCTCCAACTTCCTGTGGCCCTTCAAGCTTAGCAACCCCAACGGCGGCTTCCGCACCCGCAAGTTCAAGCACTTCATTGAGGGTGGTGACCTTGGTAACCGGGAGGAGCACATCAACGCCCTGATCCGGCAAATGAACTAAAAAAGGCGGCTTGGGTGGTTTGCGGTTTTGGTCTTGGTCATGAGTGGCATGGGTGCTCGGCGTTTAACGTGACAGCCAGGGTGGCTCACAGGGAAGGAATATAACACGATGTCGTTCTTGCGCACCACATCTGATTCACCCTCAAGATTTCTGTTCTAGTCTACTGCCGTTGCCTGGGACACGACCGAATCTACAGAGTTGCCAGCGCCTTCGCCTGACATCAATACTGCCTGTATGCCTTCCGTGTCTATGTAGTAGTGTACAATTCCGTACCGCTGTCTGTCGGCCCATGCCTCAGCCGGTTCTAGAAGAGATGTAGTTGTGTCATACTTTGATATCAAAGCTTGTACCACATCCACAACTACTCGTCGCGAGAGGGTTGTCCACAATTTTGAATTGCGACCCAATGAGTTCCATGGTGAAGTCAACCTTGCTGCCCTTCAATAACTCCAACGAGGGAAAATCAAGTATGATCTTGGGCGCCGTCAGGTCTCCTTCCGCAAGGTTGCCGTCGGGGGCATATGTAAAGATGGTATCGTCCTCGTGGATAGCGGCCGAGTCATCGTCTGTACCGGGGGGGGACGATTTCTGAGTAGGGAGTGACGGGGGCAGTGTCACGAGTTTCATAAGATATTGAAATCCGTGGCACCCACCACTTTCGACTTGGATCCGGAGGGCGAGGTTGGGGTTGGCGTCTTTGGCCATGATCTGGGAGAGGCGCTGAGGGTGGTGGTGATGGATTAGTCAACGCTAGAAAATAAAGATGGGATTATCCGGGGAGGTGGGGGGTGAAGTACCTTCGCTGCGCGCTGGGTGATTTCCAATACCATATCCTTCCCATCGTCGTCGACTTGGGGGTTGTAGATGGCGTGGGTTGCACGCCGCGGAGAGGAGGTACTGAAGGGGCGCGAGAGAGGGTGGAGTGGCGTTGTCCGGGCCTTCGGTATCACGCTGGGTGGTGTTTCGCCTCTACCTGGTCTATGTCCCAGTGAGGTGGGAGATGGCGCATGGCGATGCGCATCGGCTATTCTTCCCGCCGACGCAACGTGATGGGCGCGGATGAACGGGGCGCGGGCTGCCCGGGAAGGCACGGGTAGCAGGACATCCAGGATCGGGAGCCCACACAAGACGGCCTGCCGGCGCATACTGAGCTGGATGAAAAGGGTTGCCGTTGCGGGCGCGTTGGAGCAGCGTAGTCGCGGCATACGAAGGTTAAGGTTGGTGATGTCCGTCGTCGCCGGGTTTTCGGTGCATCGTCACGTCGGCTGCCGAGCGGTTTTTGCGGCAAGCAAAATTTCGGGATGATGTCAGCAAGCCCCCGAGGACCCGGAGATCCTAAGCAGTGGGGCCCGGCGAAAGCGGGGCAAGCTTCCCCCGCAGCCGCTGGTCGGTGTTCGCTGCTGATCAACGACACTCGAAAAAGTTCAATTAGGTGGGTAGGGAGTGTTTCACCAAAGTAGAGTGGCAACGGTGAAACAATCCAGGTAAAGGTATGTATGTACATCTGCCCCATGAAATTCTACAAGAATGGAAGACCCTCGGTACGACACCAGCGTCGGAAGATTGAACAATGCAACTGTGGGAGCCAAGAGCTGCCCCAAGACCCAACACAATCCCCCCCTAACCCCTGAAACCAAGCATCACACTCGGGCAAATGGTCCAACAGCATGGGTGAATGCCGAATTCCGTTCACTCAAAAATGGAAAATAACTGAGAGCCATCATCAGGGCACGGCCCTGACTCAAGCCTATCGTTGCCAGGCAGGATGCAAATCCCGCCGTTTTCCTTCACAGGCGCAAACGCAAAGCTGGTCTGGCCGATGAAGGGAAACAGCTGGTTGCCATCCGTTCCACCATCTATAATGCTGTTAGTGTAACCGAGGGCAAAAGTATCATTAACAAATACATACCACCATCGGCGCGACCGCCGCACGAGAACAGGGTGACGGTATCGCCTTCCTGCCTTCTCCCATCGAAGCTGATACAGCCCTGGGTCTACAAAGAGAAAAGTTAGCCTCACTATCCACCCGGCCAAACACCAAACTAAGACCTACCAATGCGCTCACAGCAAGAACGGCAGGCTGATCGGCATTGGGCGTGTTGTGCTCGCCCTCGGTGATGAGATCCCACTTCTCGTTAGGGGACCCAGTGCAGTCCACCAGCGAAACGGGGATCAAGTTCTGCCGGAAATCGCCCGCTGTCGGGTCGACGAAGAGACACTGCCCGTTTGGAGCGCGGATCGACACGCCGCTAAAAGCTCGTTCGGCTGTCTCGTCTCGTTGGTGCGACTCCGCCGCCGCTGTCGGCTGCAAGGTACCGCCAGCCCCGGACACTGGTACCGGCTCCGTGGGGTTCACCGTAAGGATATCCCCGGCCTCGCCGCCGCCGCCACCGCCTTCTGCAGGCGCAGCTGTTGTCGTCTGGGCCCCCGCGTTCCCCTCGGTCTGGGTTGGAGCAACAGTCACTGTGCGGGTAGACTTCGTGCAGGTCGAAGATGACTCCTCCCCATTGCCGCCGTTTTCGTTGCCGTTGTCGTTGCCGTTGTCGTTGTTGTTGTCGTTGCCGCCGTTGCCGTTGCCGTTGCCGCCGTTGTTGCCCCCCCCTCCTGCGGCATCACCGAAAGTGAAGAATTGACCAGCACCACCATCGGTACACCCAGCGATGTCAATAGCCTTGCCTTTGACAACGAGGCAAGATCCCGCTTCATTCTGGGGCTGAAGAGAAAGAGGGCCAGCGCCACCATCGAAGGCAAAAAGCTGCGAGTCCGCCACCTCTCCTTCTAGAAGTACGTTAGCGCGCTGATCCCGAGGATACCCTTAGAAGTCCCCTTACCACCACCAGCCCGGCCGCCACAGGAAAACAGCAAAACCTGGTTACCCGCCGGCCGGCGGGGGTCGAAATTGAAGCAGGCCTGGGTTAAAGTGCTGACAATGAGCATAACATTGTCGCCTTTAACATGTTTTCCTGCCGTAATAACGTCCCAGCCCTGCCCGTCAGTCGACCCGCAGTCGGCGACCTGAACGGGAGTCAGGTTGGCACGGAAGTCGCCGGAGAGCTTGTCAACAAAAAGACATTTTCCGTCCGATGTCTATAATCATGACCAGTTAACTTTAACTCAACTACCACCGTATCCGCCAAAATCGCACCTTGATCTGAACATCAGAAAAGGCACGGGTCGCGCCGTCATCGCGTTGGTGAGCCTCCGCGGTGGCTTCTTCGTTTAGTGAATCAACGGCCCGAACCCGGAAAGGAGTCGCTCCAGCAAGGGCACCCAATGCGAGTAGCGAAAGCAGAGTAGAGACCATGGTGTAAGGCGGGGAACACGAAAGAGAATGTGTGATCAACGGGTACCGAAGGTCAAGAAAGGAATGAATGCCCGCCCAGCAGGCAGGTCAAGAAGCGAAAGGAAAGTGAAAAGGAAGGAATGACTCTATTCACAGATCACACACCAGCGGCAACCATCCGAATGAGAGACCAGTGGTAGGGACCGACGACAAGGGGAGCGGCCGGCTGGGGCTACTTATCCCGATGATGGCTTCATACTCAGGAACTTTAGGCGCTAGCCTGAGGAGTTGGTGTGCCTATCCCATGTTGCAATCGCAACTCCCATTTCAGGATCAGGTGAGTCCCTCGTTCCCAAATTAGAGTTTCATGTCCTCCGTGACGTGCAGGCTCACTTACACGGCCGTTTCGTGCCGAAGTCGTGCAGCCAGTGTGCAGTTCGAACCACAGGCCCGGATAGAGCGGCTCGGAGCCAATGACTTGGCCCTTCAAAAACACCCTAGCAATGGCAGGTGGTAGTGATGGAGAAACACACGAGGATGCGAGAGAAACAGCTCAGGCCCATGGCGGCATGTTGCATGTGTGCGGTTCAACAGGCAGGGGGATTCGGTTTGTTTGGTTGGCAGTCAAAGAACAACACCCCTGTGGCACATCACGAATATCCTGCCCAGCGCCAGCATGCAACCTACCGGGCTCGAGGCGTGGTCGCGGGAAAGTAAACCGGGATGTTGAAACAGGACCTGTCAGAAGGGGTGCCAAGGCCGTCGAGACAGGTCCCACAACCCACGCTTGGGACCCGCAAATGATGACAGGAACAGCGGTCGTCTCATGTTTGACAATTCGTGACAAGGGGTTCATTGCATTCGCCTCCCCGGCCCATGCCGTTTTCCCGACTTTTTTGAACTTCACGATTCGAAGATCATGATGGGCTGCCGTTCCGCGATTCCCCAGAGATCATCACTCATCTCTGTGGTTATGTAAGTGATCGGGGGCAGAAACAATGTCTTGCAAACACCCTTGTCTCTCGGAGAAAAGAACTTGAAAACCCCAACAACCCCAAAGCAGCCAACTCGAGGACTTCCCGCCGGTTTTACAACGAGGATCGTACCCTTTGGCCGATCTCCAGCCTCTGTTCCAATCGATATTGATACTCCAATCCCGAGACAGACCGGGCCGCCGACCGTCTACATAAGTGCTTTGTTAAGGGGAGAGGCCACCTCGTGGGTCAAGTAATCTGTAAGCACATACGGTGTCAACCTGTAAGAGGCCAAGCACTGCGAGGTTGTCTTTCGGTAGGCCTCGAAGACGGAGATTTGGGACTGAGATAGAAGCCAAAAGCCTCAGATGGCAGGCCGCCCGCATTCACGAGGCCCGCCCGGGCGTCTCTCAACTCTCGATAAGGCCACGGGGGTTAGGGTTATTTGGGAGCCCACACCCCGAGGGCCAAAGCCCTAAAAGATGCTCGCAATTTTGCCAAGTCCTTTCCCCACTCGAAAATTTACAGTCAATTGCGGTTGCGGCTTGTTCCACCTCGACGACTCCTCGCAACATCACGAACGACCAAACCTATCATCTCCCGCCCAAATCCCTCACAACTACCGCCAACATGACTGGAGGTGTCAGCGTTCGCGATGTCGATGTAAGTTATTGCAGTTCTCCGCCATAACTGGCCTCTGCGACCCGGACCCGAACATTCTTTCGCTGTCCCAGCCGCCTCGAGTCTCGCCGGCAGAGCTCGTCCTGGCCGACGTGATGGACCGCTGGTCGTCACAGCAGCAACCTGGAAGATGAAGGGAGCAGGCGTGAGGGGGTCGAAAGATCTCTGAAGACGGAATTTTGCTAATCATGTTGCTGCCGACACAAAGGCTCACAAGTTTGTCGGTAAGTTCTGCTCTGCTGCAAATGCATTTTGCTTGGCCATGCACGAAGCTAACATTGAACAGCTGCCTACGCGGCTTTCTTGAAGCGTCAGGGCAAGCTCCCCGTGCCCGGTTAGTACACGCGACCGCGATACCCCGATCGAGCAACCGCATTCTGACACGAACTTCACGCAGGTTGGGTCGATACCGTCAAGACCGGCCCCGCCAAGGAGATGCCCCCTCAGGATATCGACTGGTACTACGTCCGCGCTGCTTCCGTCGCTCGCCATGTCTACCTGAGGAAGACCGTCGGTGTCGGCCGTCTCCGCAGGGTCCACGGCAGCGCCAAGAACCGCGGCTCCCGTCCATCAAAGCACGTTGATGCTAGCGGCAGCGTCGACCGCAAGATCATGCAGTCACTGGAGAAGATCCAGGTCCTCGAGCAGGATGAGGATAAGGGCGGCCGCCGCATCACCCAGCAGGGTCAGCGTGATCTGGACCGTGAGTTACCCCAATGCAGCCCTCCACCGTATTAATCGGATCTAACGCAATGATAAACAGGGATCGCACAGACTGTTGCCGAGGCTGATGAGGAGGATGAGGAGGAGGAGGAGTAAACGCATTCTCGCGTGAGCAGGGGGTACTTTGGGTGGCACAGAGCTAAAGGCACTGCGTGGGTTGGTCTCGGTCATGATTCCCGGTAGCATCTGGTTTAGGCGTCATAAAAGGGATTGCTGGCTTGCTTGATCACTTAAGCCTGGCCTGGGTTACCTCCACAGTCAGTTTGCCTCAACTGCGTGTTAGCCCCCGCCCCCGGAGCGTGGTATTCCAGCCACCGCCAATCTCTTCCTTCCCGCCGTGCAAACGCGCAGTAGTAAACTGTAAAACGAAGTCAGGAAACTCTCAGCTTTAAGCTTCTCTACGCTAAATGTTCTTGTTTGTTTCAGGAAACCGCGCCTTGTTCTCTTTCTTACCGTCTCTCTCTCGCCCCCTCTCTCTCTCTCGCCCTCTCTCTCTCTCGCCCTCTCTCTCTCTCGCCCTCTCTCTTTCTCGCCCTCTCTCTCTTTCTCGCCCTCTCTCTCTTTCTCGCCCTCTCTCTCTTTCTCGCCCTCTTTCTCGCGCTTGAAGACTAACACAGTTTCAAACCCGGCTGCTAGAGACTTTGTTGTTCAATATTGGAAGTGACCACTACAACTCGAAGTCGGAGTGGATTTCTCTGTTTGTCAATCTCTCAATCGATCCGACCCGGTATGATGCACAATTACCATGCGTCTTGCGTGCAGTTTCCTTTCCTTTTGCTTTGGTGTTCTTTCCCTTACGTGGTTAATCCGAATGGTGATGCTAACTACCTAGTCCAAACCCGCTAGCTTCTCGTTACAAGAGCTCACCATGGATGGAGCCGAGGCTCCCATGGCCCACGGCCTGAGTGACCTGCACATTGCGGTCATATCAGGCCAGGCTGATCGCGTCCTCAAGATCCTGACGCAACGTAACAAGAACGCACTCGTGAATTCGGGCGATGCGGACGGCGCAACCCCGTTGATGACGGCCGTCCTCACGGGGCGTTTGACTATTGCGCACCTTCTACTACGGAATGGGGGATCACCCCGTGTCCGGGATCGCCGAGGCTATCAAGCCAGCGATTATTCGAAGGCGAGCTTCTTTAAGACAAAGTTCGACATATACAAGCGCCTAGGATTGCCAGAGGTAGGCCCTGAACAACTGGGCAAACGAGCGGCAATTTCAAAAATACTTCGGTACCCAGCAGCGCTAGAGTCCTGGTTTGTTCCCTCCCCGTTTTATTCTCCTCCCAACTCTAATAAGACACACAGCCGTTTACTAACGCCAAATCATTGTGTAGCCGGCAGATGGGTCAGCATGAGTGCTCGAGGGCGCTTTTCTTCAAGGAGGGTCACGAGCTTATCATCATACGGCCCTATCTAATCTTCAAAATTGACAAGGAGAACTTGGAAAAGGCTACGACGGGTTTCATCGCGTCTGCTACGTACCCACTTGTCAAGACCGCTGCCGTCAGCGGCTGGAGAGCCAACCCTGGAAGAGGGCAAAACGTTTTAGACAACTGCAAATACTTGCGACTCGTCCGAGACCTGGCCCATATCTTAAAGTTCACGTTGACTTGTTCCCCGAGGGATAACAATGGGAAGCCGGAACCCGAGCACAGAGGGCGTTTCGTAGCCTCTCATGCGGTGAGACCCAAACATCTGCCCTCGTTCGCTTCAAGTTCTAACTACTATCACAGGAAAAGAAGCTCGCTACATTCTGGGTCATCGCCGTTCTGAAAGCAGTACTTGGTTCAACGGATTTAAAGAGAGTTCACGAGCTGCGGGGTATGACTATCCCTAGCCCATGGAAAACCGCCTGGGTCTTTATAGATCACACGCCATGCGAAAATGTGAGGTCCGAATTAGCCTTGACTTTGCCCCTGAGCTAACATTTACTTGGCACTAGTGTTGGGGATTTTTGCATCGCATAAAACAGGTGACGGGAATCAGCATTTTTGTCGAAACACGCCCTTTTTTGACCAAAAGGAATCGCCAAGATGTTGTTGGGTGCCGGAGCTGCGCGTGTGATCGATGCAAGCGCAGGTTCGGAGCTGAACAGGTACGGGGTACCCAGCTCGGCCCCGAACGGTGCGATGACGATACGGGATCCAAATCCAAAGGTTCTGAAGAAGACACCGCTATGGTAGAGCTAGAACCAAGCCCCGGCCCTAATCTTGAAGATGGCGCTAGCCTTACCCTTCGGAGGAATGATTGCGAGGACCAGCAACGACTAAGTCGGGAATTCACAAGGCCCAATACCTTACCAGCAATCTCCAGAGCACCGAGGGTAAATCTTAGCGTATTCCCGAGCTATCTCTATCTTATCTTTCTAACCTATTTCCAGGCCTAGAGACATTTTCTCGACGACGAGACGGGTTTAACGTACGCGAAACCGGTCCCTCGACCGGTTGGGGACTACGGTTCAGAACGAGCGAGCACGCCTGAGCTACGCGAGCCGATCTCAGCCATTGCAGGCCGGTCCGGATTTTTCGCTACGCTAGATATACGCGGATCCGTCGAGATCCATATCCCGGGGATGAGCTCCCGCGTTCGAGCGGAGTACGATCGAGTATCCGACGTCTCTAGTGCTCTCGACCTCGGGCGGTTCGCATACAATCCGCCTACCACTGCCACCTCAACGCCGAAGAGAGCAGGCTGTCGGTGCGGGCCCCAGAAGCTTGTTGCCAATGGCAAAAGTGCCAAGGTGGCTGCGAGAGATAAACCACGAACCAGGGTCTCGAAACTCGAAAGGACGCGCGTCAGGAGTTCATTCGCGCGAGCTGTGGAACACCACCAGCGGCGGAGAGCTGGCAAGGCTTGAGACGCCGCCGGCGCCGCGTTTTCCCTTTCTGCCACCCGCATTAGGACATATCACCATGTTGCAGCCCCGTCCTGAGGTGGTCAGCTGTTCTCCGCAAATAGGCTACGTTCTAGCTCCGGGGGGTTGAGAACTGGGACTTGTCAGCGGCAAATAGTAAAAGGGGCACGCTCATCATATCCTTGCTTCAGACTTGAGGCGGCAGAGGCTCTCTCCCACCCATCAAGGATCATTGAAGATTCCAAAGGCAAACGACAAACTTCCAGCCCGCGGTTCTACGACAAGAGTTACCCGCCGCAGTACGTATGGGATGGACTTCATATTCCTTTTTGTTCTTTTTTTTATCTCAATTCTCGCGCGGCTCGGCGAGCGGCTGCAAAAGGTCGAGTTTGTCAGGTCATTGGTTTCGTCGACGACCCTACATCGGACCTCGCTATATCCAGCAAGTTATAGTTCTCCGGCCCGAGGGGTTCGATCAGGGAAGAGGGGTGTCGATGGACAGGCTGAGTGATCATTAGCGTGCTATATGCAGGGTAGAGGTTTTCACATTCAGATTAGTTTAGCTTGGTCCTCTTCATAAAAGCCACTGCGTGCGCATCCGTTCAGACTGATCCATGACGGTGGAAACGGTCTGTTTAGCTGGTCAAAAACTCAATTGCCATGGCAGTAATTAGAACAGCTAACGCCGCCAGTAAAGACCCGCCGCTGTGGGTATCAAGAAGCCACTACGTACGAAAGGAGGCTCTCCGCCCCCATCCCTAGCATCCGCGTCCGGTGCTCCACGCCCCCTTTTTCGCAACCGCGTCCCGGCCGCCACGGAGACAATGCCATTCCCCCCACGGTATTCGGAATTAAGGAACAAATCGAATAACGTCGTAATCCACTGAGAACATGATACCGTAAATACTCTCATGTCTACTCGTATACCGTATACTGTGCAGACGTCGCTTGCCTGCTCATTAGGCCCACTTGGCCAGAAGCGCCATTAGCCCGACTCCGAAGGCAACGCACATGTACGCGGAGAGCTGCATCCCCAGTCCCGCCTTCCGCATTTCCGGGTTGAACATGAACTCATGCGCCACCAGCTCAACGAGGGCGGTATACATGAGGATGCCGCCGCTGATGGCATCAAAGACACCGTTGACGACCCTGCTTGTAGCAGCTTCCAGAGCAAGCGACTTGCTCGCGATGAGCCCCATCCCAATGGCGAACGGCGTGCTGACGGCATACAGCAGCCCGAGGAGATACGGAGTCCATCTACGGGCGCCGGGTGGCCAGGTCGCCATGCCGAGACGCGCGCCGAGCCCGAGTCCCTCAAAGGTCTGGTGGAAGACCAGGACAACGAAGAGGATGATGAAGTTATCGGTGACGGCGAGAGTGAGGCCAATGAAGATGGAGTGAAAGATGACGCCGAACTCGAGGACGAAGATCGCTGTGATCTGCGCGGCGTAGTTGGCATGCTCGTCGCCTTCGACATGGTCTCGCTGGTGGCCCAGGTGGTCCTCCCCGCCGGGCGGATAGCTGATGTCGTTGCGCAAGCCAGGGATTCTATTTTTGTCAGACAAGCCCGGCCCAACAGTGCTCCCAGCGGGCGAGGAAGCATCGGCCGACTTGTTCGAGCCTGCGGTCTCAACATCCTGGGAGTGCCGCATAGCAGCCTGGCTTCTTAAGTCCTTAACTTTTTGGCCCTTCTCATTGGTGTGGCCGTGCCCGTGGCCGTTGGCGGAGCCAAAGCCAAAGTCGAAGCGCGAGACGATGAGTTCCAAGAGAAACATGACCATGACCGTCATCAAGCCGATAGCCATGGCCCAATCGTAATCGGGCAGAATGTTTGCGAGACATTCATCGCGGAGGTTGTCAGACGCGGGGGAGAGAAGGTGCATCCAGGCCGTTGCTAGAATCACACCAGTGCCGAAGTACTTGGCGATGAAGAAACACAACTTGGGCACCCGGAACTTGGAGGTTCTTGCAAGGAAGACAGGCAAAAGCGCGCCGAGCGCCGAGCCGATGAGGATGACGAAAATGGACGCAATCCGAAGGCCCCAATGATCCGTGCTTGAGGGAGAAATCTCACACTCAGTCACAACCGCGGCAGCATCGCCCTCCTCACGGCCGACCAATATCTGCCGGTAAATGTGCCGATGCATTTTGAATGGTCTGGTCTCGCTGGGGGTCAGCCGTCAGTTTTGATACCAGAGTATGCCGTCTCGGGCTTGAGACACACCTTAGTTAGACAGTGACGGAGATGCTGGCCGCAAATCAAGAGTCGATGACTTTCAGGGGCTAACGGCCTGTTGCGAAACCGCACACACTCGGGAACGACTTAAGGGTGGTTCCCAGGGCCTTGGTTGAAGGTAGAAAGTTGACGAGGTCGACTTCTTGACAACAACGAGAGAGTTAAATGATGCCTACGTAGGTAGGGTAAAGCGAGGAATTTGTTGGAGTTGAGTTGGGTACCCTGATAACTAGGCCTTGTGGAAGGGGCTTGCATCAGCACACACGGGGGCAGGCAAATGGTCAGCGTAATACTCACGGAAGGTGGGCTGTGCAACGATTTTTCCATCCCCCGCCTAGGAAGGAATAAACGGTGTTGTCTCACGCACGAGTCGTTGACAAGATGCTGTTGGAGTTGAAATCGACGCAGTTTCAGAGGGGAAGATACGAGCCAAAGAGCTCTAACGGGGGGCGCCTTGGAAAAGCAGGGTGAAAAGGAAAACGCAGCGCCCGATGTGGTATGCCCCGTCTTAAGACCTTGACGGCCGCCGCGGTGTCCTTTTCAAGGGCAGCTGGAACAGGGGTTAAGACGGCCGTTATCTCCAACCGTGCCGTCAACACGAACACAAAAACTAACTGAACTGGACATTGATAGCACAGTTTCTCCATTTTTCGTCGTGTGTGTGGACTCGGTGGCTCCAACTTCCTGACTAAGGTGCGTAGACAACTCCACGGCGCCGGGCCATCAAGGTTCTCAGTCAGACCTGTGCGACTTTCAACCCCCCGGCCCTGGTAGCCCCTAGGTCGGGAATAACCACGCAGCGGAGCATGATTTAAGACCCCCATTTCCGGATTGTTGGATCAGGTTGCTCGAGGGCCCACCGCGAAGATCTCCGCAACGACGTCCCCCCGAGCTCTCTCCAACTCGCTTTACCCCAGAAACGGCCGAAGAATCGAGCGCCATCATAGGCGCCGCTGGTCAACGCTGAGGGCCACAACATCATGAGGAATATTGGATTTCCAGCCCCAGGCTTCTGAACGGCTCGCCCAACCTTCGCATATCTACGCCAGTGCCAAGGCTAAAAATAAGTGACTTGACACGGCCCTCCCAAAGCAGGCCGAACCGGAGATTCTGGTCGAACCGCGCCTTCAGGACCCCTCTATACTCCTCCTTGGGCCCATCACCTGCAGACTTCCCACCGGCTCCGGGGCCCGTGGGCTCTGGCTCAGGGTCGTCCACCCGCCATTCCATCTTTGCCTGGAAACTCCTCTCCTTGGCTCTTTTGGGCGGTTCCCGGACGGGCTCGGCTTGGTCATTGGGGTTGGCACCGAGAAGGAAGCCAGCTGGCCTTCTATTGCTCCACAACTCTACCCCGACCGCCCACTCGCTCTCGTAGCTGTAGACGTTGAACTCCATCTTCGTAGCCAACGAGCAGTATTCTCTTGCGAGGACGGCATAAGTGGCATTAATGTTCCCCATTAAGGGGTTGATGGTCAACGTTGCCGTCAGCGGGGTCCCTCGGTGTGCTGGCAGAGTGGCAAACCGCGCGCCCAGGGACATGCCTCCGGATTTGTTGAGGGTTCCATAATACAATTCGCCGCCGGCACTAAAACGGCCATATATCCTCTCTTTTTCCGCCGAAGGGCCATTGCCATTATTCTCGGAAGACGATATACCAACGGGCGGGCTCAGGGCAGAGGAAGACGCATCCCCCCCAAAATTATACAGTCCCCGGACACCGAGAAGTCCGCCATCTGTCGAAGCGAGCCCCTCGACCCCGTACTTCCGCTTGTCGTATTGAACGAGCCCGAGCAAGGTACCCCCATTCCGCAGTGAGCGTTCGCTGACAGCCGAAAGCTGAACCTGCAAAGCTGGCGTGAAGCGCTGAACAACCAGGCCTTCGAGAAGCGACTGCGGCAGGTATAAACGACCGTATAGTAGGGTGTTGTTATCCACATCCGAACCTCCGTTGGCGCTAGGGGCGGCTGGGGAAGTTGACTCCGTCGGCGCAGGCTCCGCCCCCACGTACTGTTGTTGGTCCTTCGAGGCAAGATCATGCAGCCGGCGGTACGATCGTAGAAGTGCTGGTAAGGGTATTCGGTCCGACCGAGCAGCGATACCAGTCAAGGGGACCGAGCTGTGGAGGTACGAAATGGAGCCATCAACGATGCCTACACTACCAAGTTGGTAGCTGGTCGCGAAGTGCGGGGTTGCGAGGGACGACAGGGTCAGACGGAGTCCTCGGGGGAGCGGGAAGTCGATGAGCTCTGTTAGTCGCGGTCAGCTAGGGGCATTCAAGAGCGGGAAGAGGGGAGGACCCGCCTCTTGCCGTGACATTGAGCTCCTTGTATGTGTTGTCATCATTCCAACCGGTCGCGCCGTAGAAGGCATTGGTGATGTAGTGCATAAATTCGCGCATCTTCTCTGCAGCCTGCGTGCCGGCAGGGTTAGCGCGCAATGTCACCTTTGGCCTATCATTGGGAGCTAGCGGGTTCGGGGTCGAGCTCTGTATCGAGTGCGCCGCCGCCTTCAGTCGAGATGTGTTGAAAGCAATCGAAAGGCCAACGGGAGCTGTCCCTGCAATGACGAAGTCCAATCAAGCATTCGAGACCCCACTGTCTTCCGTTTGGCCAATCATCATGGTCATTCGGGCCCTGGGAGCCCCAAGGTCCCTGTTAGCCAAGCCCTGCCCAGGACCGAAACCAATGGACACTGCGCAATCGGCCAGCTGAGGCACGTACGGAATAACGACATGCAATGCAACTCGTTTGGCTAACTAAGGGCTCTGTCTTTTAAAAGAATAGTTCATTCCAGGATAAACCTCCACCGGCCCCATTTATAGAATATTGACCACGCAAAACGGCGCCGCCAGCTTACTTGGACTCGCCAAAACTGTCGCGACCGCTCGCAAACACCTTGTCGAAGTCGAACTCAGACCACCTGATCGTGGGGGACAGGCCGGCAAACTTCCACACTCCGTCGACCTTGTTGTAGTAGTGTACGTTGAAACCATGCGCGTGGCCTTTGACTTCGACATCCTGCAGGCTTGCGTCCGTGTAGACCTGGTGCGGCACCCGCAGCTGATGGTATCCGATGATTTCGGTGTCTGACACCTTGTCCCACTTACTCGCGCCGCCGATAAAGTGTTGGGTCCGGAGCAGCGGGTTGCCCAGCACCGACTTATCTGAGATCATGGCGATGAACTCCTCGGCCGGCATCGCCTCCCATAGCTTGTTGAGGAACGAGCGGTAGTCAACCTGCAGGCAAGTCAGTATTTGCAGTTGAAACGCCTTGGAACCTTCCTCCTGCCGCGTCACTGTTTTCCACGTACCCGGAGTGTGGGAGCGATACACTTCCTCAGTCGATCCCAATCCTTGGAGTCATAACTGTCCGCCCATTCGAATGCTGCCTCGGTGACACCGAGGTATTCTGCCCATTCCATTAGTCAGAGCAGGGCATGGGCGTGTATCCAAAGCGCACAACGAACCCTCGAACGTGATCTGTGGTTTCTTTTCGCTGGCCATGGTGTTGAACTGCTTGGGTAATACTCGGATGCTTGCTTTGGAGACCGCAAATTTGTTCTTCTTGACGAGATGCAGATGGCAACCTCCGGGTTTAGTCGTCTTATACAGTCATCAAGTGGTCTGAGATTTCCACTGGCCGGCGGCAAGCAGGAGTGCTCCTGTATATGCCGGTTTCGGGGTTTGTTGGGGATCTGCGGATGGGGAAGCTGCGGCCGGCGCAGGCCGGTGCCGTGGTGCCGGGCCTTAGCTGACCTTTCCCCAACCAGCTCCGTTACCCGGGAGAAATATCGACGAATTTAGACTGATGCATTTGTAGGAATATTCGGGACCATGGAAAACCCAACGCGCATTTTCCCGAAACGGCGCTGATCAACAGCAGCTGTCATCATGCGGACAGCCGAACACGAACCACGATATGTTTGGTGGACAAGGCGACAATCATACCAGAATTGGCCGCGCGTACAATGTAAGAAAAGTCCGCATTGTCAATGTCTAACGAGGACTACGGGCAGCTAGTTCACTGTGGTTGGTAATGAATAAATATTGCGGAAGGTCCAGGTTCGAGCCACGACGCTGCCCTGGGCTTTTCTGAGGAGGAGCTGGGACGCTGGTGCCTTGCCCTCGGAAACGAGCAGCCCTCATCGGCCCGATGGGCCATCACGGGGCTGCACCACGGGGTAAACCCCCGCCGGGGGTTTCACGGCCGGCTATCTCCCTTCGACCATGTAGGGGCTAGGCCGGTGAGCTTTTGAAAATCTTTATATCTTGGAAATACCGAATTATCTCACTTTTATATGGGCAGGACATTCAATCCGCCTCTCGGGGATTCTAACAAATAAACTTAGTACTCCTAGTGGTTGTTTTTACCGCTTATTATCACCCCTTCTAGCTTGGATCTGCCCGAGCACCGTGTTACAAGAGTCCTAATGCTAGAAAGTCGAAGCCGAGAATTGTTTGTTCCTATTGTTACTTCTCCAGCGTGTGTTTTCCGGCCAACGCTAATTATACAGATAATTAAAATAGCCCTTGTGTAAGACCGTCCCCCTTCAGCCCACTACCTCGCAGGTTGATGTTGCTTTAGTTTCAACTCCACTCACTGCCATCGCTGTTATAGTCGCTTGTCTCTTCACCGCTGGTAAAGAAGGAGTCACCGGTATTCATATCCAGGTCTTCCACCACAAGGTCATCCCCAGCCCCTAGCATCACAACTTCACTAGCCGTACCACGTGTGCGAGCGCGGAGACCTGTGTGCGTCAAGTTTGCCTGCAGGGCCGTCGGAATAGCGGGTGGTGACAGTCCTAGTGCCTCGCGACTCCTCCGACGAGTCGCCATACGAGCCGTGTCAACCATGGCCTTCTTGACTTCAGCGCTGCCCTTCGTTTTCTTTCCGGAAGCTATCGCCATCCTGCCCTTCTTCGTCGGCCTATCTTTAACGGGTCCCGTCACGGCTAGTTTGAGTGGCCGCCCACCCCACTGCCTCGCAACCTCGTTCAGCCTGTCCCATATCTTCTCCCTCGCAGTCGGCCTACTCGCGCCGTGCTTGAGCAGCTCGTCGTATTCGGTGTGGACGTGTCGGATGTGCGCGCGCACCGCAAGCTTCACCCTGTCTTGCAGGGCTACCGTCCCAGTCCTCCCCACGCGCCTGCTGTGCTTCTTGAGCGAGTGCTTGAGGATCTGCGGAACCTCTGACTTGGGGATCTCGGGAAAAAGCTTCACTATCGCCTCCTCGAAGTTCTCTTCAATGACTGCGTCCCGCTTCTGGACCGCCTCGGCTCGCTGCGCCGCGGTCGCCTTGTTCTCGCTCATGACGGCATTGTGGATGTAGGCGGGGCACCGTAGGCCCGTTGGCTTTCCTTTTTTATTGACAACGACGTAAAGAGTTCTCTCTGCTTCGTGTGTCTTCTTGCGGCAATTCTTAGTGATGTAGACGTTGCCTTTGGGGACGAATCTGTAGCCTTTGGGCATGGGTTCGTGTGCCAGGACTTCGGGCTCCTCTTGATCTCCTGCCATACTAATCGACTCGCGTTTCTTGTTGTGTGGGAGGATTTTCCTCTCTGATAAAGCTTGTGCACGACCGTTTATATCGAGCCTTCGCCGTCCATGAACCTTTAGCTTCGTCAGCGAGCTGTCTAGTTGAATATGGTGGCTCGGCAAGGGGTGGAGCTTCTTTTTACACGCCAGGAACCGATCAGGATTGATCCAAGCACTGGGCTTGCTCACCTTTGTCTTAAAATTGGCGCTGCAACAAAGCGCAGTCCGAACTCGACGAGTGCTCGACTCAAAACGGCCTTTATCACAATCGTCGGTCACAAATGACGAGGTATTTTGAGAGCAAGTCTTTGTAGATACCTACTTAGCGCTTCTTCTATGGTATCCGCTTACTAGAAGCGTCAACGAAGCAAACGTGTTGTCCACAACCAAAAGAGCACCCTTCTGTGTTGAACGCGATGCTCAGGTTCAATTGTTTATTTTGACGAATGAAATCAAGTCTAACCCTAACCCCAGTCGCTATCCCTCGCTGAACTGGTGCGCCTTCTTGAGGGCGGAGATTTTGGTTCTCGCTGCCTCGAGTATCGCGCAGCGTACCTGCCTAATCGGGTAATAACCATTGCCGGTTGAGTAGTTTCGCGAATACCTTAGGTACCTAGGTAGGTAACCTCAAGAACCCGTCAGTCTTTCCCTCCCTCCTCGTTACGCTTCCCCGACTTAAATGCTGCCGTCGCCTTGGCCTTCAACTCGTCATATCCTTCCTTCCATTCTGCCGAATGAGCTAGCATCGGCGGCTCTCCAATTTCCGCCGCATGGGCGTTCACCCAGTCCGCAAGCTCTTGCACGTACGCAACCTCGAGGCCAGGTGCATGCAGAGAGTGGAACCCACGGCCAAGTCCCTTCTCCTCCACACGCTTCTCATACTCCCTCCGCATCTCCTCCCGGCCCGGCAACCGGGCTTTGCCGGCAAATACTCGAGCAGCGGCCTGGGCTTGGAAATCAAAAAGAGAGAAAGTTGCCACGTAGTATGGCACCCCAATGAATGCCAGGGTGGGGTCGTTGATGTAAAAGATGTCGCGGTGCAAGTTATGCGCCATGTTGCCGTCCGAGGTTACCACCAGATCCTCGCCGGCCGCGGTGATAGGCGCATCGTCCGAGTGAAACTGCGGGAGGAAGGGGTAAGATGTGATATACCCTGTTGCCAGTATCACCTGGTGGATATTCTCCAGGACCCCTCCATCCTTCAGTACGACGAATCCGGGGATTTGCGCCTCGGTCTCGAGCTGCCCGTTCCTGGCGGAAGCGCTGCGAAGCTCATATCTGGCAACCTCCGGAACCCGAACGACGGTCTCCGGTAGAAGAGATGCGGGTAAGTCGAATTTGCCACCGCGCACGCTTTGGTATGTGTCAGTGGCCACACCGTTGATCTCACGGCAGATATCCATGGCAGATACCCCAGCGCCGACGACCAACACATTTTGACCCCGGTAGGCTTCAGGGGACCGATATTGCTTGGAGTGAATGACCCGAGAAGGATATCTTGACTTCCAATCCTTGAGCCCTTCGGTGTCGGGAATTCGGGGCATATTGTAGTGCCCTGATGCCACCACCACCAGGTCAAAATGTGAGATTCGCTCGGTAAGTCGGGGGCCTACATCCCCCTTCTCCAGCGCGACTAGTCGTAGTTCCCACTTGGTCCCGTCAACAGTTCTTCGAACTTCGTCCACTCGGGTGTGGAATGACGTGACCTCGTCTACGCCGTGGTCCTTCGCCAGCGTTTGGACATACTCCTCGAGGTATCTTTGGCTAACAAAGGGCTGGGTTCCTTCCGGCCATGGACCTAGCGCGCTAGTCATGAGGTGCGTGGGGACGTTGTTCTTCAAGCCTGCATAACAGGGCCCGGGTGGTGAGAAATGCACCTCGAGGTCGGCGATGGCGCGAGTATTTTGGTTGCCCGCGGCATCGCCAACATAGGCATTGTGTTCCGGCGGAGGTGTGGCGTATGAAAACTCTCCTGGCTGTGATAATTGATAATCACCTCGTGAGGGCATGCTGTTGGGGTATGGCGAGTCCTCCGAAATACGCCTGTCGTAGTGCCAGACGCCGCCAGCAATGCCCGAGCGCTCAAACACAGTTACCTCGAGCCCTTGCTTCAATAGATGAGCAGCGGCGCAAACGCCACTGATTCCGGCACCGATAACGGCTACCGTTTTGCCGGGCCCGAAGGCATCGTACCCATGGCAATCCGGGACAGGCGAGGACATAATCGAGGTCAGCTTGAGGGTGACGCTGGGACCGAGATTGTTTTCCGGTCGCTTCGGTAAACTGGAGGGTGCTTAAGAGCCGTGGAAGAGGTGGTTTTTTTTACGGCACAAGTGACAATGACCGCGGTAAGTGTGCATCAAAACTAGAGGGAGCAGTCACAGTTGGGACGACCAAAATAATTAGCCACGCGGCTTGATAACCCCATGGCTCGGTGAACATACCGGTTGCTACCCAGACATAAACCAGATAAGAGGCAACAATAGACACACATGATGCCTTGCAAACACGGGACCAGCAATGTTACATGCCATGCACGTGGATAGCCTAGTAGCCCCGCTCATCGCAAATATTGATCGAAACCACCATTGAAAGCGTGGGTGTTGTTGTACCGGCTGGTAGGTATGATGTATCTCTTCATGAGCGCACGATGTGGTACTTTACCCCGCGAGGTGAGCTTGTTTCGCAATATGGGGTGCATATTAGATCATCGATATCTGCACGGTCATCCTGTTCTTGGTGCTCATGCTTGATAATCACCAGCTAGAGCCGAGATACTTTCCGCCCATAATACCAACGGGGATAAACCAAACAGGACGGGGCACGGAACATAAGAACGAGGAAGCCAACCCTAGACAGGACCCCTAAACCGCTCGGTGGACACAACAAGCACGAGACACCGTTGGCCACTTCACCTATCATTCATTGACACGCGACACCACCCAATGGCGCCAGCGTCTATTATCGAGCCCATTGCGGACACAATCCAACCGAAAAAAGACACTCTTAACCTCCCCGAGCCGGCACGTCAACGGCTGACGAAGGCTGGGATTGACCTGTCTGGAGGCTACCCGTACCGGCCAGATGTGCCTTTGTATCTTCAAGATGTGTACAAGATTCGAAACGAGGAACGGCCATACGAAGACGCTGGGGCAAGGGCCGATAAGCAGAAAAAGCATTTGTTTTCTGCTGCAACGAAGGTCACAGACCTGACCACCCACATCGGGACGGAAATTGAGGGCGTCCAGCTCAAGGACCTCACCCCTGAGCAACGGGATGAACTGGCCCTACTAATCGGGGAGAGGAGCGTGGTCTTCTTCCGGAATCAGGAGCTCACTCCGCAGCAGCAGAGAGAGCTCGGGGAGTGGTTCGGAGAGGTCGAGGTCCACGTGAGTACAGTTTGAAGTGTTCTAGCTGGTTGCAACCACAGTGCATTATCTGACGTGTCACATAGCCTCAAGTGCCCCAGGTTCCTGGCGTGCCCGGCGTCACGGTGATATGGCCGGATCTCTTTGCCCAGGAGAACGCAGCCAGCTTCCGCAAGCCAGGTGGCGCTTCGTCGTGGCACACGGATCTCGTACACGAACGGCAGCCCGCGGGAATCACGCACCTCCACAATGACACGGTGCCGCCAGTGGGAGGTGACACCCTCTGGGCGTCGGGCTACAGCGCGTACGAAAAGCTCTCGCCTTTGTTCCGCAAGTTCATCGACGGGAAGCAAGCCGTCTATCGCTCTGCCCACCCGTACCTGGACCGCGAAAACCCAACGGCCGGCCCCAGGCACATCGAGCGCACCCATCCGCTCGTCCGTGTCCATCCGGGCACAGGCTGGAAGGCCCTATGGGTCAACCGGGCCATGACGGTACGGATCGTCGGGCTGGACAAGGCCGAGAGTGACTTGATCCTGAACTACCTGCACGATGTTTTTGAGAAAAGCGTCGATATCCAGGTGCGGTTCAAGTGGACTCCGGGCACGAGTGCGCTTTGGGACAACAGGTAAGGAAACACACCTCATATTGTGGTCTATTACCTGTATCAGCAAGCGGGAACTAACTGCGATAGAATCACCATCCACAACGCAAGCTGGGACTATGGGGGGAGGTACCCCCGGCATGGTACTCGCGTCACATCCCTCGCCGAAGTCCCCTATTTTGATCCCGGCGCTCCGACCCGTCGGCAAGCCTTGGGTTTGCTCGACAAAAACGAGAAGGAGGCGCTAGGAGTTGAATGAAGGCTGAAATGATTCTGCATGCGTGTTGTTCGGCGTTCTGCTCAACAGCGTGGCGGAATGTATGGTGATAAAAAACAATATTATGCATACTACCACCGCGTCACGCAGTTGTCCTTCTCTCGCACTACCGGCGTGTATGTTGATATTCCCTCTTTCCACAACCCTCATGTTTCCATCCCTGGGCTGGTCCGGGCAGACTCCAAATCATAACCCAAATCAGCCCGTTTCACTGCATCAGCCGCGCCTCGATGAGGCTCTCTGTCCCTAGCTTCGGCCTCCCAATTACCGCCGTGATCCGGAGCCTGGAATCGACGCTGGTAAACAAATCCTGCCAATCTTCGTATGATCGCTCCTTGGCATTGAACATGGACAACATGACTATGTCTAGGGCGCGAACTTGGGCTTCTTGCGTTTTGGGTGTCGTGTTGGGCTCCGGCAGGACAATATCGCAGACAACGAGGCGGCTGTCGGGACTCATGACCTCAACAATCGGTTTCAGGATTCGCCGGCAGTCCATGTCGGGCCAGTTGTGCATGATGTTCCGGAGAAAGTAGACGGCTGCTTCCCTGGATGTTTCGGGCTGCGGGTCGAAGAAGTTATGCGGGCAAAACTGGACTCGGTCAGATACGCCCGCTGACTGTCGGAGCAGACTGGATTCCTCGGCCAAGTCGCCGAAGTCCTGGACCTGGAACCTCAGGAGCGGGTGCTTTTGTGCAACAGCCGTGGAAATATGCCCTATTCCACCGCCAACGTCGACGACGAGCGAGCCTGCCGGCAGCGTTTCCCACGTGTAAGCGCGAGCAAACGACTCAGCCGTGTCAGCCTCGATGCCGCTGGCAAAGGCATCCACGAACTGGCCAAACTTGACCATGTGGTCCTGGTGCTTCTCCTTGTAATCGAAGAAGGTATCCCCAAATGCCAGGCGGAAGGCTGTGTTCCGGGGCTCGGCAGCCTCGGGTGAGCTCGTGTACGTTTCCACCGCTTCGACGAGCTTTGCCACAGAGGGCATCATCTCGGAATGCCGGAACCATACACATGCCCTCATCTTCGGATCGGTGGCCAGGGTCTTGGACCAGGCCGTGTGAGCAATAAACTCCGGACGGGGTTCAGTGAAGTAGTAGTTTACGGCCGCCATGCGTAAAAACCGTGCTAGCAACCCCTTGTCGAGTCCCGTCTTAGTCGATAATTCTCCCATACTAATCTCTCCGTGTACGGGAACCTGCTGCGGCACGTTGAAGTGACAAAGGACCTGCATTGCGCCGACGAAATAGATATCCTTGAAGTAGAAGAGACGAGTTGTTTCGCTTGGTCCCACGGCCAGCGTATGGAGCGCCTTTGATGCTTCGATCAGTGCGTGCCTGGCAGCCGATAGCTCTTCGTTTGCTTCGGGAATGGGATGGGAAGGGCCATCTGCGTCAAAGGATGGCTGGGGAAGGTCGTTTCTATTGAGGTGTTCGACTATTACTGACGTGTTGCGCGATATCTCCTCTGCAAGCTTCAAAAGAAGGGAGGTGGATGAAGACATGTTTGTGTCGGGCGCACTGATGGGCCAACGTTGCGTTTTGTGATAACTTGGACAGATGATGCCCTTGGAAAAACGTCGCTTATTTAAAGGAACTGTCAACTCGGCATACTGGACGGAGGCCGTTGCCGATTGGCGCCCGCTCTACTCCGGACCTCCGGCTGGGCTGACGGACCTACCCGATCCAACCCAAATCCAACACATTGAAGCACGCTTGCACGAGATAATCCACTCTTTTAACTTTGTTTGGCCCATAGAGTATGCAGCTTAGTTCTTTCCCGTGTATTAGGGGAAAAGTCAACCATATGTATGCTATGGAAAGCTATGGTAACGGCAAGTCGACGGCCCCATCCTCGTCATAGGCCGATCAACGATGCCCTGACGCAGTTAACAACGCTTTTCGCCCCTCCCAGCCACATCGGTCATAACCCCCACTCCACCCCAAAATTGGTTTTGTGACGTGAAAACTGCCCACGGCCCTGTACGCCTTGCCAAAGGCTTAAAATAGGTGCCGTAACGGCACCCCCGGGATAGCCTCACTCGTCGTCCGAATCCATGTTCATGTGAGCATCGCTGTCCTCATCCCACGATTTTCCAGCCTCGGACTCATAGAGACTCCCAGTTGTAGCGTCGGTATCGTAATCCCCGTCGTCTTCATCCTCGTCCTCATCGTCGCTCGAACCATCCGTACTGCTGTCGCTGCCACTATCACCGTCGTTGTCACACACCCCGCCCACCTCGCTCTCTCCGTCGCTGATGTCGTTCAGCCTAGCCAGCTCGAGGATCTCTTTGTCGATGTGCCCATCCTCGGCATATTTCGGGTGCGCGGTACCATCCCCCACGGCTGATCCAATGGTCTCCCTCTTTCTTGCCTGCATCCCCAAGATAGCTTCGTCCATCGACCCCGCGGCGACTAATTTTGCCGTGTGAACTTCTTTAGTCTGGCCGATACGATGGACGCGCGCAAAGGCCTGTCGCTCCAAGCCCTCATGCCACCAATGGTCGAAAACGATGGCCCGGTTAGCGGCGGTGAGATTTAGGCCATGGGCACCGCAGCTGACTGATATGAGCTAAGTCATGTTAACCGGTTGGATTCACGGACGGAAGTAAAGCCTCGGAAGTAGGTGGAGCAAGCACTGACCATTATTTTGATCTCCCGAACCAGCTGGAAAGCCTTGATGGCCATTTCTTGCTCGGTTGACTCCATCTCCCCCCAGAGGTAAACGAACTTGATCCCGTTCTGGAAAATCATCCTGCCGAGAAACGAGAGCATCGGGATCCATTGGATAAATACTGTCATCGTCATGGCACATTAGCTCTAAATTACTGCAGGGTTGAAACTGCCGCGGCTCACTGATGATCTTGTCGTCGGGCGCTTCCTTCTGCCTAGATGGCATAGCTAGGTCAGCCATTCATTCGAGCCCCTGATTAATTGGTTGGGATTGATTTATGATAATCATGGTAGGAAGACGCGGGCACAGAAACTTACCACTTATTGACCAAATCCATGGTCGCCCTCGTCTTTGCGCTGTGGGGGATGGGGTCCCACGGCTTTGTATCACACGCCCGGAGAAACCCCCCAGCATTGGTGCGTATACGACGTTCCGCGTCGTCTTTCTTCGCCTTGGCCCGCCGGCCCTTGCTTTTCTTGGCCTTTCGTCTTCCTCTCCGGGCCTTCTTCCGTTGGGTCAACCGTGGCTGAATTCCGAACTCGTCGTCGCCAGGCTTACGCATCCTCTTTATTCGCTTGCCTTTGCTAGAGAAATCCGAACCTGCGAATTTCCCTTTCAACTTCTCAAAATAACCACCAGTGTGACGGTAGTACTCCTTGCCACCCTCTGATACGGTGCTTGGAGTTTTGCCGCAGCTCAAGCAGTGGCGATCCTTCCTCGAGCCTTTCTGGGACTTTTTAACGCAGGCTTTACAAAAGGCATGGCCGCACTAAATTCGGTTAGCAGCAGTATTCTCAGGTAAGTATATCTGCTAGGCGAAGGGAACCGGGGGGGGGGGGGGGGGGGGGGGGGGGATGAGGAAGGGAGTGTTATAAAGGGGCCTTACGTCTCCGATATGAGGGTCGACCAATACATTGCGACATATCCTGCAGAAATAATAGGGCACTTCGGGATCTTCTGTTTCCGTTATCTCTAGCATGGAAGCCCCCTCTTCCACACCAGTGCTTCCCGGCACCTGAGGTTGACGGGTTTGCTGGTCAAAGTAATTCGGCTCGACCAAAGCTGGGTGCGAGGTAAAGTACCTCAGATAGTCGAAATGTCTGTGGAGCTCGCCCTTTGGGATCGCCTCGGACCCGTCGCCGGCTTTGTGATTCCTCGCTCGCTCTCGGAGCTCCTGAAGCTTGTCGCTGGTCAGATGGTACAAGCGGCCTTCAAATGGGGAGAAGTCCACCGTAATCAACTCCGCTGGGCGGTTCTCGGGAATCTGGAGAATGGGCCGACCTAAGAGCTTGTCACTAACGCACCTGTGCTTGATAGTCAGCCGAACGGTTCGTGCGTCTTTGGCTTTAAACGCTGGCCTGCCGGCCTGCCACCTTGCTACTCACCGTCTCAGAGATACCTCGTGGTATATGTCTCTCAGCGTGTTCCTCTGCTCATACTGTCGACCGTCAGCACCGAATCGCCTGGGGGGGGGGGGGCGATAGGAGGCTCACATTCGAGATGTCTCCCATGGCGCCGTGATACTTCCCGAAATCGCTGTATGTGGACCTAATAAAGTCCAAGTAAGGGAAAAGCTCTGTTGCGATATTAGTTAATCGGCACCGGGCTGGAGAGGGAAATGTTATTAGCGGCAGTGGGAATAAATAGGATAACTCACCATCGGTATCGTTCGTCATCGGAGTTCCGCTCAGGACCCAGCTGTATTTTCTGAGCAGGAGCCTGCATGCTTTTGATGCTATCAAACGGTTATTCCAAGCTCTTCAAATATATTGGATCTGATCCTTACTCTGACTGGTCCTGTTATTGATCGCATGAGCCTCGTCAAGGACGACCCGGTGCCAGTCGATTTTGAACAGACCGCCTCTGCTATGTTTTCGGAGAAGGGTTTTCCATTTCGGGTTTCCTTTCTGCTTGAACTTCTCTATTTGTCCCAGTTTACTGAAAGGAGGTAGCTGCCGCTGAAGCTGGCTGTAATTGGTTAAGCTATAAGGAAAGTCAGCGCCGCCAGCTAAGCTGGAGGAGACGCAAGCATGTGACGAATTACGGCCGAGAGGTACATCCATGGAAAACACTTACATGATGCTCTCATCCTCCCATTGTGCGTCCGTCATGATCTTGCTGGCTTCGTAAATGAATACACGTTTCATCTTCTTGTGCGAACAGTGGCTCTTGATTTCGTTAAACCACTGCGTGAGGAGCCTCTTCGGGGCGATGATGAGGGTCTTTGTGGCCTTGGAGTGTTTCCCAGGTAGATTCTGGGACATGCAGGCCAGGAGCTGCACGGTCTTCCCCAGGCCCATCTCGTCGGCCAGGATCCCACCCGTTGGGGCTGCCGGGTGAAGCTCCCGACTCAGCATCCAGCTCACACCGATGACTTGGTGTGGGTAGAGGGATGTCCGGAAGTTGTCGAGTTGCCATTTTTGATCGACCAACTTGCACTTATCCTGGCCAAAGGAAGTAACTGCGTTGTATAGTTGGTAGAGGTCTCTGCGGGATTGCGGGTCGTCGAGATTGGCATCCACCCCTAGGAACTGCTGCACCTGTCTGTCTTTCTCGGTAGGGCCGAGGTCGCCACTCTGCGTTGAGCTGGCACCCTGTCCAACACCTGGCGCCGTTGAACCGTCACCGCTGAATTCGTTGTCGTTTGGGGGTAACGCTGAAGTCTGTGGTGCTTGCGACACTTCATCCGCGTGTGCTCCCTGGTGTCTCTTGACCTGCCCACCGTTTTCAACATCACTGTGACGTTTCCGCTTGCCGTTCGGCTGGTCAGACTGCTTCAAGCTGGCATGTGCCTGTTTCCAGTACTCCTTGGCGTTCTTGGGACACATTTTCGCCGGATTGCAGTCATTTATCTCTCCAGGTGCCTGTGTTGGGGTGGGAGAAGCACGGAGAGATGGGTTTGCGCTTGGTGAAGGGCTGATATAGGGTGCCTGCGTTGGGGAGGCCATGTCGTCCAAGAATGACCGATAACCCGCCGTGAAGAGTTGGGTTATATCGAAATGCGATAGTGCCCGATTGAAACGAGTTTATGACCGTCGGTTAATGACGCCAGAAATATGAGACTTTCTCTGTGGACTAAATTGGCCGAGGGGAAATGGAATGCTCAACTTCGGTCGGAGAGAAAGAATTAGGGAAACAAGTGCGGAAAACCCTCCGATGTAGCCCAAGTTGTAGGCTTTCGTGTGTGCGGCGGCGATAAAGGTTGGCCTCCTGTTTCTTGCTTCGGGCAACCTTGAAATAAGCACCTCAAAATGAGACTCGAAAACCCAGACCTGGGCCGGGAACGGTGCGATTGAACAACGCTAAAATGTGCTAGGGTAGTGGTGGATATGTGTTATGAGAGGAGTAGTGGAAATCAGGGCAGAGAATGGGGGCTTGCGAGCAAGAAGGAGGAGGCAGGATCTGGCGAAATATATGGCAAGGCCTTTAGCGTCTCGCGAGTTGTTGAAAACTGCGTTTGTGCGACTGCTCTGCTACCAGTAGCTCCTGGTCAAACGATTAGGGCAGCAAGCAGTAGTTGACTGCTTTGTGTTTGACAAGAGACTGGAAAAACGACCAGGTTAATTTGGGTTGAATGACTCGATATGAAAGAATTAAAGCAGGGGACACTCCATTCCTAAGGTGGAAATGAATAAATACCTTTAAAGACTCGAGACGGGCAGAGCAAACGTGTGGAATTTGGGGGAAAGGAAGGTAATGGCATGAATCGGAAAGGGGACTAATAACTGTCATATAATACCTAATGGCCGCCAGAAAGCGCGAGAGGGCTCGAACCGAAGAAGGAAGGTCAACGGAGGGAGCGAGGATGGGTTTACCAAATGGCGATACGACGGAGCACAGAGGAACGAGGTAACGGAATAGACTACCATGGCAGTTGGGACATGGAAAGCCAGTGTTCATGTGGGTTTTCAGGTGCCATTACGCGTAGAGAATGGACATTATCTACCTATAGGTTTGGAAGCCCTCGGGTTTGGGCCCAGCTAACTATGGGTACACAGCGGTTGGCGTTGACACCAAGGCTTTCCCTGTATCTTGGGATACATGATAGAGGTAGTCATCAAACGGTTTCTGCATGATTTCCTTCCCCAGGTGTTCTCCCGCCAACACTTGGTGCCGGGTGCCATACGCAGTTCCCATACCTAGAATTGCTCATCAGTGTCGCTGTTGAACTTGGTTGGATCCAGTGCTTTTGTACTGTGGGGCGGTTTCCCAATGGGTGGTGAGGTTCAATGCTTGTTTTAACGTGAAGCCCTGCATGCCCGCGGCGGCCACACGACAAATGAATTACTCGTGCATGTCTGCGCCCATCATTGACTCCATGGGGTCAGCTCAACGCCCTCCAAAATCCGACCCTAATAATAGTTTCCGGGGTTTGTTGGTTTCACCTCATGATTGACATGGACGGACACATGTCGTCGTCGGGCGCAACCGTCAGCTTGTGCCCCCTGATTGGCTAATTTGGCGGTTTCCAGCCCCGTTGGTCAGGGGTCGGCAAGGATGGAAATCAGCTGCAGTGCCGTGCAGGAACAGGGACCCATTTTATTTTCGCTTCCCTGCTGCCATGGTTCATGATAGCTAAGTTGATGTCCGTCCCAGGCAAGGTCCCAGGCACCCGTGAGCTGCTTGAGCCAAGCTTCACCATCGATTGACTCTTCTTCACTCATGATCCATTGGTCCAACTAGGACTGTCGAATATCCATAATAAGCGTCGCAAGACATTGTTAACATTGAGAGCGCCCTATTGCCGTTCTAAACGGCTATCTCAGAGATGGTCGGCGAAAATGGAGGGGGAACGGACCCAATTCCCCGCGACTTCGCGTTCCCATCAATGCCACCTTCCGCCGCGCTGCTCCCGACTACCACACATTCCGAAGGTTCAAGCGGCAGTAGCGGCCAAGGAAACTCACACTTGCACTATCCGTCTAGCATTGACACCGGTCTTGCCAGCACCGCACCCCTGAGCTCGGCCGAGGGCTCGGCCAAAGCCGCCGTCGGCCGCTCCGATCCCGAAGCCGCATTGAGCCCCGGCCTGCGACGTCGCCTAACCCGGGTTGGGACCTTTAAAACGGTGGATGACTTCGATGACTTCACAGTTCCCCGTGGCTGGCATCGTATGTTTAACCCGGAAACCCGCTGTCTCCCGAGATTTCACCCGCTCTCCCCCGCTTGCTCTCCTTACTGACGCCCGCAACCATGTTATAGCCGGCGCCGAGCCAGGGGTGGACCCGAGCAAACCGGACGGTGGCCATGCTTCTATGGCGGCACTGAACGCTCCCTGCGAGATCACCGTCGTCGACTTCTCCGAAGACCGCCTGACCATTCAGAGACTTGACAATAGAACGCTGACGGGTTTCTTGACCCGGCCGCAACCGGAATGGGCTAGTTGTCGCTGGATCAATGTCAATGGTCTCAGCTGGGATGTCATTCAAGCCCTGGGGCGGCATAAAAACCTCCACCGGTTGGCAGTCGAAGATATGATGAACACGAAGGACAGGACAAAGGCGGAATGGTATGTGGAGCAACAGGGCTGCCCTGAAAGCGGACAGCCGCGGATGCTAACCGCTGACAGGTTTCCCACACATGCCTTTATCGTTCTGACCCTTCAAAAGCTGGTCCATGTATACGAATCCGAGAGCGAGGACTCCGATTCCGAGTCTGAAGACGATGCTAGGAGCCAGAGGAGCGTGTTGAGCAAGCGGAGCGCGAGGTCTCCGAAACGGCTCCTGCGGCGCTTGAAAAGGATGTTTCGCCAGAAAGCCGACAACCGGGGAGAGAAAGTCCCGGGCACTGGCAGGTCATCCATCCCCGGAAATGCTGGTGTCTATCTCAGATCCCAACCCACTGGCTTCTCCGAAGTGTTAGACATCAGCCAGCTGCGTACACTCCAGCGCTATCATGCCTCGCCAAACGACCCGCGGACAAGGTACATGGAGAAACACTCGGCCCTATCCCCCAGGAACTTGGCCGTAGCCTGCGAGCAGGTGTCTATGTTCCTCACCAACGACAACTGCATCATTAGCTTTTTTGAACAATCAGCCCATGATATCGAGGCGCCCATCGTCCGGCGTCTCCAGACCAATGACACTATCATCAGACAGTAAGTCATTGTGGTTCCGTGTTTGCCCCCGCGCGCGCCCAGGGCCCGCTACTAACGCTTTGCTGTGCAAGATCATGCGATGCTTCCTTAGTCGGTCAGGCCATTATGGACGCAATAATCGACTTAGCGATCCCAGTCACAGCGTGCTACGACGATGTGATTGGTGATCTTGAACTGGACGTCCTCAACCGGCCCAATATCGGGCATACCAAAAGCCTGTATATTCTCATCTCTGAGATCAACAAAATCCTGTCCTTCATCGCCCCCATCACAACACTCATCAATGCCCTACGTGATCACGAAGCCAAGGTGGCCCCAGACGTGATCAAGACACATCTACGGGATCCGAACCACGGAGTCATCATCACGCCCATGACTTACACCTATCTTGGGGATGTGCTCGACCATTGCGTGCTGATTACCGAGTCGCTTAACCAGCTCAAAGGCTCAGCCGATGGCATGATTGGGCTCATATTCAATACCCTCTCGGCCCACCAAAACGAGTCTATGAGGCAGCTCACCGTCGCCACCATCATCTTCCTACCTTTGACGTTCCTCACCGGATATTTTGGGCAAAACTTTGTGCCGTTCGACGTTTTGGGCGAGGATATCAGCTACTTGTACGCACCACCCCTTTACGACTGATAGCATCTCACGTTTTCAGCTACTGACTGTCGAATAGCTGGAAGATCGCTGTCCCTTTAGTTGTTTTCACCACCATCGCCCTGCTTTGGGAAGGTATTCACGATTACTGCAGAGCGCTGCTTCAGCGGCGCGATATTATGCGTCTAAGGAAGAACCGCCCAAGAAAACGGAATAGGCCCCGGCAATGAGCATGTTCGGCCACAATAATAAAACATCTTATCGGTCCCCGATTCCTGGTGTCCTCACCATTCCAGTGCCTTTGACGATGCGACTAGGAGCCCACTGGGGGCCGCGCGTGCACCGCTGAACTGACCAGGACCGGCCGAGATCGCAATGGTCGCCGCTTCCGCGGTCCCCCCCAACAAAGACAAGGCCCTCGATTGCCAATACCCGTCCGTATCGCCACTTCAGCTAAAGGTCACTTAGCCGGTATGTTAAAGGGTAATTTGAAGCGAGGCCATGAGGACTGTGTGACGGCAAAACGACGTCAATTCCAGGCAGTCGACAGGGCTCCGGAGGCAAGCCCCGAATCTTGTTGGTCGGGCTCCCCGGCAAGGGCCCGCCGATGTGGGGTTTGTCCCAAGGAATGCCGAACTTGTCCGCGCCGATTGGAAGCTTGTTTCGCCGCTTCGGGCGCCCCGCAGTCAGCCGGGCTGGCCCGTCGGGTTCGCGAGTTTGGGGGGAGGGGTCGAATACGAGATGCTTGGCGGTCGATCTCCTCCGCACCCCGCATTGGCCCCCAGCTTCCCTCTGGCGTTCGGGGGCATGGCAGGCCTTCTGCACGTGGCCGGTTCAATGGGGAAGGGACGTGTTGTCTGTTCTCGATGCTTGTGTCAACAGACAAGAGCACGAGGCTAAGACATGGGGTGACGACTGTCCAAGCAATCAATGCCTGCTGCGAGGCTAGCCCTATCCACAAAGTGCTTCTCCGTCACTCCGATCCGTTCAGCTCAGTTCACAGAAATTCCCGGGTAGGTCGGAGCTGCCTGTGGCACCTCTCTAAACTTGGAGCCGAGATTCCGATCCCAGTCAAATGGGCTAAGAATACGAGAGATGCTGCAGGACGATCGAGCGCCTGCAGCCATGGCCCTGGTCGGTTCGCAATGTGACCCGGAGATGCTACACTGCCGCCGGTGTCGCGGACGGGCCCGTCACCATGGGAAACAGGACGTTGCGGGTATGTGCAGTATAAATTCAACCTCGATCCCAGCATCACTTCTCTCGACTCTGTCTGAGCCATCAACACTCACACCTTGCTCCTGGTGATTATCTCTTTGAGCATCGTTCCTGTATCGCCGCTACTAATTAGACGAGTACACGAACCCCACGCCACAACATGCCTCGGTTTACTTTGACCGCTGCCGCCCTCGTCGGGCTGGCGAGTGGTGTTTTGGGCGACCTCGAGACCTGCGGTCAGGCACAGTACGACCCGACTCAGGTATGTCGTGTCCCCCTTCTGCAACACAAGCACGTGAGATTGGGCTAACCATAGTTTCACATATAGTACGTCTGCTGGGATAACCAATTCCTCTGCCCCATCACGGCGGGCGAGCCTCTGTCCAACTGCGCGGGGGCATGCTACAGCAAGTTCATGTACTCTTGCACCAATAACGTCCTGGCGCTTCTCCCGGCCACCGAGGCCCCCTTTACACTCACCGTTGACAACCCCGCCCTCCTTATCCACGGCAAGCCTGTCACTGCGGCCGGCCGCCATTGGTCTCTCGATGGGGAGACGAGCAGCTACTGCCCTGACCAGGTTGGCGATGCCTGCCCGCCGGGCGACGAGACCGTCATTGTCTCCATCGGCGGACGCGTGTCCATGAGCGTCATGGTCCCCGGTGGTCAGCAAGCCTACCTGGACCCGTTCTGGAACATGGGCTACACGCAGGCTCACTCGGCCGCCATCCCCGCGGGCAGCATCTCGGATGGCTTTGGCGCCTACGAGGGCGGCGGTTTCGTCAACCTTAACGGCAACGGCTGGGGCTGGGCGGCTTGCCCCCCCAGGGCCTCGGGCGGTGGCGGCCCGGGATGGAACTTGGTGGCCCGGAACGAGACGAACGCGGAAAAATACAACGACTGCCACCCCATCAACCTCAAGATCAACTCACTACCCAGCGGCACCTTTGGTGCTTGGCAGTACACGTAGAGCGGATGGTATGTAGATATAGTAGCTTTAATGCGCCGCGTCGGGAAGCGGCATATCTAATGCACCCACTTGATATAATTCTGCTTCCGTGACTGGTCGAGTGTTGTCACAACTTTTGTCGACGGTGGGTCAAGTGAGCGATGGGCCCTGCGTGTGTTATGATGTCCTGTAGGTGAGTGTTGACCGAGCGGCGAGAAAAGATGGTGCAAGATAATAAGCAAGTTCTAGATGGAGGCGTGCAACTGAGAGATTCCGCCATGCGAGTGTGGTGAGATGGGAGCCCATTAGATCAATACGGCGGTAACTCAGTTTTATATCGTGCATGAAGGCGGCTTGGAAATATTGCGACAAACAGACTGTGGGAACTATCAGCGCAACCTCCGCCCCTTGCGATGCCAAATATCAAGTTTTGTCCAAGATAATAAACTCAAGAACCCCCCAAGCTCCTTGAGCCCCTTACCCACACCGGTGGTTTCTTCTCCACCCCGGCCCGTCCGAGAATCGGAATGTTTGCCGGGTTCTTTCTTTCGCGGTGCCGTATCGGTGGGGAGCCCCGTGGGATAGCAGTGCTTATACAACCACGGGACGCTGTCTATGATGCTCTCTATCCTCTATGAGTAGGGTTGTAACGTAAAGTCGGTCTTCTCGACCCTAACAATATAACCACGACGCAGTCTTTAGGCAGGCGCTGTCCTGGCACGAAGCGTCTCAAAGTCGTCCAGCAGCACTCAAGCCCCGTGAAGTCTCAGCGGCTTGTAATAAACCCAGGGAAGGTCATGTGAGAAGTCTAATCAATCTCGGCCAAGGCGCTCCTCGTCGTCATCCCTGAGCTCGTATGCTGGGTGAAACTTCGAAGTGTCTCCGCCAAGCGCTAGCGCTGGGTTTGGACGGGTGTCGGTGACACCCCCCAGAGAAGTGAACCCGCGATTGTACAATTCGCAGAACGGAATCTGGAGATGCCGGATGAACTAAGCCCAGAGTCAGCCTCGAAGGCATTCTTCGCACCCTACGAATCCCTCGCTCAACGCGACTGTATAGCCCATAGAGAAACAACGGACTCACCGCCCAGATTTCGACATAGTGCCAATCGATAACAGGATGGACGCGCATGAACTGCGGCCAACCCTGGTCCGTGGGGTCGAAGTGTGTCAGGAACTCTCCGTGCGGGTCAGTCCGCCTTGTCCCTAAAAATATAGCCTTGATGATTGGGGTGTCTTCGAGGTATGCCTCAAGAGCCGGTCGCATGGGGAGCGCATAACGTTTGAGGTCGAGATGGTACTGCTCTGCCGATGCCGCCACGAAATCCTCGACTTCCGAAAACGGATCGGAAGAAACTATGTATATCGCTTGGAGAGGTCGACGAGGAGAAACGATCGTCGGGGGAGGGGGGTTGTCGGGGGAGGGTGAGGAGGGCGGCGCGCAACTGGGTAGGCAAGCGAGAATCAAGATCAAGAGCACAAGACAGTCCTTGCCACCGTTATACGAAAGCGAGAGGTGGTCGGCCCTTTCCAGGTGAGATTGAGTCAGCGGGGTTGGTTGCGCCCAAGAAGATTTCCCCTGCTGGCCGTGAGCCATGGTTCCGATCACATACCCATATCGGCGTAGCGACTCCTGGATCACATCCATAGACACTCGAACTTGGCGTTGTACGTTGCGCAAGACACCGTCATCAGGTTGTTCCTCGAGGAATGCATCAATCTTGGCTCGTAGCTCGAAGCATATGTCGGGGAGAGCCCGCGGCGTTGGACCATGTATAGCCGCCGGAGTATCGGTCTTGGTGATGCCATTAACTCGCGCATCGTGCTGGCGCTGGCAGGCCGAGTTGGCTGTCATCTCTTCCTTTCCGCGGATGAATCTCAGGGGGTAAAAAGAGTGCGAGGGGCGGGACGGAGTCGTCGGAGGCCAGGTTTCGTTTGGCGAGGTGGGGGTATGCAAGGCAGACCCACAATGCGGGGGTGGGGCCGACCTGCAGCTCGGTGTTGGTCGTTCAACCGAGGCATCTCTCAACGACAATCTATGAACGAACAGCGCAAAGTCTAGCAAGTATCGTCCTGTTTTAAGCCCCTCATAGCAACGATAATTGTATAACAATAAAGTTCAAATTAATATAAAAGACTTAAACTATAGTAAATTATCATTATATACTGAGTACTATGTATTTACATAACGTAGTAAATACCCTCCTCGAATGGGTATAGTATTTATACACTACAAATCTCCCATTTTACAGGGGTAAAGTACACCTACACCACCATCACCAACATCACCAAGATTACTATAAAATGTAAGCTACTTAGTTAAATTAAATAGATATTAGTATTATAACAAATAGAGTAAAAGAGAGGCTATTCCTAGTATACTAAACCTACTAAAACCCTCCTACAGCTATTTAAAGATAGTATTATTAAACTACATCTCCCTCTATATAATCTCTATAAAGGTGATGACCCTCTGCTTGGAAGCCTTATAGACCTTCTCCTAGGCCAGTTTAGCTTCTTTTTCCTCGCTATTAGCTGCTAATTGTTAAATAGCTTCAATAATTGTGACGAACCTGTCTCTGGACCCGTCCTGTTAGGGTTCAGTATCGGTCGAAGGTATTCTCTCAAGGGTGCTTAGGTTCGGTGCAGCCAAAGGGTGCACAACAAAGATTTGTCTCAACAGTAGGCTCTCGAGCTTGTAGCGAACTGTAGTTGTGATTGCTAACTGGAGAACTCCCAGAGCTCTCCAGAACGAGTGACTATATACTATCTAAGTCTTGAGGTATCTCCGTACCTTGCTCTGTATGCTCCGTGCCAGAGCACCCAGAGCGTCGTGCTCTCCCTGCTCTGTGCCAGAGCACCCAGAGCGTAGCGTGCTCTGTCGTGCCAAGAGCAGAGCACCCAGCTGGCCGCCGGTGATTGGCTCGGGGCGGCCCGCGCCCCGTGGTGGCATGTCTCCAGCACGCCCCTCGTTGGCTGTTCGTGACAATAATCAAGATATACACATTGCTACAATACTTCCTAGTAGCCTTCTTCCGGCTATTAACTCTCTATCAAATAAGCTTCTAGTTTAATATATTGGAGGCTATTATATCAACCTCTAACTATAAAACCTTCTTCTTAATAGGGCTAGTAATAGCTATTTCGGCTAAACTATTTATAAGACTATTGATTTCGATAGAGGTAGAGGTTATTAGTTAAAATAACTAGAAGAGCTTTATAAAGAGTATTAATTTTAGTTAATATTAGTTAAAGATCTTTATAGGTTTAAATAGAATTAAGCTAGCTCTTTATTATATATTAGAGAGGTTATGTCACGGATTAGGCCCAACGCGGTCTTGGCCTGCGGGATGCGGGACGTCCCGGCCAATCATTTAAGGGTCCAACGGCCAATCGTTGCGACAAGTGAAAGCGCTCCCGACGCTCCCTCTCGAGGAAGGGAGCACGGGGAGCACTCGCCGCACTCACTGCTCACGACGCTCCCATCGCTCCTCGGGAGCATAGGGAGCAGAGGGATCAACACGTTAGATAGCAGTATATAGTCACTCGTTCTGGAGAGCTCTGGGAGTTCTCCAGTTAGCAATCACAACTACAGTTCGCTACAAGCTCGAGAGCCTACTGTTGAGACAAGTCTTTGTTGTGCACCCTTTGGCTGCACCGAACCTAAGCACCCTTGAGAGAATACCTTCGACCGATACTGAACCCTAACAGGACGGGTCCAGAGACAGGTTCGTCACACGTTGCTAACTCCCTTTGATCTGTTACAGTTCAGGCTCGAAGGTAAAACGACATGGCAACTCAACCGACGCCGGGCCAGATCACGGCCGCGCTTCAGAGAGTCACCGAACGACTCGACGAAACTGAAGAAGAGCTTGCGAAGACCAAGGCCAGCAACGCGGCATTGGCAGCCCGACTTGCGGCGACCGAGGTCCACACCAAGGACCCGGCCAAGACGAAGGTCAAATTGGAGCAACCCGAGAAGTACGGGGGCGACCAGGAAGCCTTGCCAGGTTGGATCACGGAGATGCGGAACTATCTCGACCACAACTCGCACCAGTTCGCCACTGAGGAATCCAAGACCAGATACGCCGCCACCCGACTCAAGGACAAGGCCCTCAAGTGGTTCACGGGAACACTGAGTGATTTCCTCGGCGGAGCAATCCACAAACCCTTCACCAAAAAGGTCTTCGAGAACTACTCCGAGTTCGAGAGTGAGATTCAGAAGGTGTTCGGTGACAAGGACGAGAAGTTACACGCCCAGGAACGGCTAGGACGGCTGAAGCAGACTAGGTCAGCCACCGCCTACGCCACGATTTTCCGACAAGACTCCATGAAGGCAGAAATAGACGACGAGGGGCTGATGCACCTGTTCTACGGAGGACTGAAGGAGGAGGTCAAGGACGAGCTCTACAAGGAGAGCCGACCTGACACGCTCGACGAGTACATCGCCATGGCTGTCAAAATTGACGACCGACAGTTCGCCCGCAAACAACAGAAGAAGGGCAGCGAGATTCAGCGATCCGCAGGCTACCACAAGCCCAACGACAAAAAGAAACGCCAGCACCAGAGCACGTCATACGGCACGCACTCGGGACCCATGGACGTCAGCGCTGCCCAGGCACAATGGGCAGGAAAGAGAGATGGTGCCAAGGACAAATCAGGCATCACTTGTTACAATTGCGGCAAGAAGGGGCACTTCAAACGAGACTGCCGCAGCAAGAAAGAGTGGAGACCGGTTCCAGGGAAGGAAGCTGCCACCATCGACCAAAACACGGTCGGAAGAAGAACCCGGTTTCTGGAGGTCGCAGCCGCCAGCTACACGCAGGACGACCTCGAAATCGACATTGACCGAGTCATCGAGCAGGACGATGAACTCACCGACTCGGATCAAGAAGACTTGATGAGCAGCAACCACCAGGAGGGAAATGACACCGCCCATCACGCTTTCATCGAAACGGATGACGAGGGAGAACTGGCTCCCCCGCGGCACATCCGACAAGTCGCTGAGGACTGGGGCATCACCCTGGTTCAGCAAGAGGACGGGCAATGGCGAACCCACGAGGGTGAAGGAGGAGTCAGCCCGAACCTCATTTTTCTGCAACAGAAGGTCCTAAGCCAACGGCAAAGGATCGAGGAGTTGTCAAGAGAGAAAGAAGAACTCGAGCAACTTCTCCAGAGAAGGAACGACCAGTACGGACGACTTTGCGCGGAACTCGATTTCGCCAGGGAACGAGTCCAAGAGATCACCGAGGCCAACAACAGGGCCGGGGATCACGTCGAAAAGACATTAAGAGAGGCACAGGCCTTGCAGGACGACATCCGCCAGGCACTTCCGCACCACACACCGTGGGATGGACCCACCGAAGAGGCGGAAGGATACGAAAACGGAGTACGATACCCCGAGCAACTTTTCGACTACGCACAGGAACAGAATGCGGCGAAAGGAAGAAAACAGCAGAGCTGGGAAGAATACTGGACGCGACATCAGCACATCGTGCGCGCCGGACGACAAACCTCCGACCTTGAATGGTGGGGTTTTCGGGGCGAGAACAACACGGAGGGATTCCAGTTGTTATCAGAAGACCACGAGCGGGTGGACCCACGAAAAGAAAGTCACATCTACCTGCCCTGGTTCCAGTGCATCACGCACGAATGTCGGTACCACTTCCAGGACAAATTTCGCAACAGTTTCTGGCCCACAAGAGAAGAAAAGGGAATGCAACCCCTGCCCATCAGATGGGTATACGACAGCGGCGACGCTCCCGCAGGCATGTTGTGGGACACCCAACGCACTCACGAGGGCAGGCTGAGGGTTAAACCCAAGGCAGCCTGGCCCCGACGCTGTATGGCGGGCGTAGGAGTCAACGAATGCCGAAGCGCAGACTGCCTACCACACGCCGACGAGAAAATCTGGGGATACATGGAACAGCAATCCCAGAGGAAGCCACACCAGAGGACGAGAGCGTCCCGAAGGAACGAGAGGCGCCCAGTTGAGGCATGGGCGGCCCAATGGCTCCAAGAACACCAGACGATTGACGCCGCAAGCCAAGGTGCGGACAGGGACGCCTTGAAACACCACAAGAGCTTGGGAAACGGCTCAGGGCCCTCCGAGGGGCCCGGAAACCGCTAACTCCACAGCAACGGAGACAGGCTGCGCAGTACAGGAAGAACTGGCGCAAGCAGAAGCCTTACAACGACCTCCCAGCAGACGAACACGAAGTAGCTGCTGTACGAAGCACCAAGCCAGACAACAGGCTCTGGATCACAGCGCGATGGGGGAAGATCGAAGCCCTCGCGTTAGTGGATGGAGGAGCGCAGATGGATCTCATCTCGCCCGCATTTGTGAATCAACTCAGAATCCCATGGAGGATCAAGAAGCAACCACACGTCGTCAAGGGACCATTCGACACACAATGGGTACGACGAGAGACAGAACCACTCGACATTGAGGTGGAAGGAAAAACCACCCAAGTGGTGTTCGACATCGTAAACATGGGGCCGAAGAAAGACATGATTCTCGGGCGCCCATGGCATGAGGAATACGACCCAGACATCAGTTGGAAGGGAGATGGCCATCTGCGACCGCGGGAACAACGGGAGCATCCGACCAACTTGATGGGAGAACGCGCAGAACAGGAGCCACGGGAGAGCAGCGGGTCAGAACGAACCCCCTCTACGGGCCCACCGCAGGAAGCAGCCAGTGCAGAACCACGCACTCTGGAATCCGGAAGGAGCGGCACACGACGAAAGAAGCAGACACGGGAGGAACGAACCATCGCCGTCGTCTCAGTCGACGAGCACGGAATGCTCAAACACGAACAATGGGTCAATCAACTCGAGGCGGCAAGCATCGAGCTGGCAGCAGAAGAAGTCAGGGAACTCGAAGCAGCAAGCATCGAGCCTGGAAACAGCAAGTTCGCGTACTACGAAGGCACGGCGAAGAACGCGAAAACGGGACAGATCCCAGACGATTACAAGGGACATCCGGCGTTCACGGCAAAACATCTTGCAG